TCAGGCGTATCATCGGCGCGCGCCTGCGGCTGTCGACTTGCGTCATCCGCAGCATGCACAGCATCGGAAGCAGCGCTGGCCCCCAGACGCTGCAGCGCGTCTACGAGCGACTGCCCAAGCGCGGCGGACGACGGACGCGTCGCGCCGTCAGGTACCTGCGAGCTGAGGCCTGGCCCAGGTCGGGACTCTGCGTCGCTGAGCCGCACCTCATCTGCGTGATCCAAGCCAGCAGGGTCGTCCAGGGGACGACACTCGAGCGCGTTGCGCAGCCGCTGTGCCAGCCGCACGTCCGCGTCGCAGCGAGGCTCTTGCAGCCAAAAGAACAGCTGTAGATCCGACGACGCAAAGCCCAAGACGAACATTCTACCAGTCCGGCAGGCGTGCACGCGCCGCCAGTTCGCGTCGCCGGGGAACACGATCAGGTCCTCCTCGATTGCACGGGTTGCGCGGTCGAGCCACTGGAAGTGCACGAGGCCGTCCGCGGCTCGCACGACACGGACGCAGCCCTTGCGGCCGTCCGAGTGCACCAAACCACTGTCCAGGTACGCGCGACCTGCGCGGAACTCCACCAGTACCTGCTCTGGAAGTTCGTCCATCTGGCGTTCCAAGCTTGAAACACGGCCGTCCCGCACACCAAAGTCACACTCGCTCCGAGCAGCAAGGCTCGACAGTCAGCCACGCGAAAGCCGGTGTAGCGCTCACGGGCTGTCCGGTCATGGACGCCGCACTAAAACGGCGGCAGTGGCACCAAGACCGAAACTGATAATAAAAGCTACTCCACCGACAATGCAGTACACGCTAGACGGTGCAGCAGCTTGCACCGATACGAAACGTTCAGAAGTATTACGAGAGGCGACACGCGCCGCGCACGAACGAGGCCAGGCGCTCTGAATGCCGCTCCGGGCATCGAGCTGGGAGGCGCCGGCGCCGCCACTGGTGACTGCAACCCACGAAGGGCGCAGTTCACTCATGGGGCGCGTCTTGGCCCTCCTGTGTGCCGTTGCACTGATGCCCGCACGTTGCAGCGCAAGACTTGGCGAAGCTGAATGACGAGCAGTGCATGACACCTGACGGCGAGCATAGCGCAGCGGTCAAGCGACTGCAGATTCCCGATACCAGAGCGCTCCGTCCAGGTCCCTGGTGTGTATCACAGCGACATGCTGCCCCCGAGGCTCTCGTAGACGCAGCGTGTGCGTGTCCGGTGCCTCTCGCATCCATGCGTATCACAGAGAAGCGCGAGTGATTGCCAGCGCACGCACATAGTACACGTGTCCAGTGCGTTGCTTCCGTATGCACGCATCCCGAAAGCACCCCGAAAGGAAATCCAATTGTACCACGTGAACCGGTCTCGTTCACCGATACGCTCTGTTCGATACGCGAATGTATGAGCAGTACAGCGAACAACCACGAAATCAATGTGCTGTTACCAGCGATGTGGCATGAAAGCATCAGCGAGCACATTGACCCCTGTGGAATCGCTTTGTCGGAATATTGCCCTGCACGGCTTGGCAGGATCGTCCACCACAGGAATCGCACCGTGCATGACGCTGGCGTTCCGTCGCCATCGAACGCACCTGGTGTACTACGAAACCACCTGCCTGGCATGTCTCTGTCGTATCAAGCAGCGCATCCATCAATGAGTGCGCAGCTATTCATCTGAAACTCGCTGCCAGCAGGCCGGCATGCACGCCCCGTGCCGATCCCGTGCCGATCCCGTGCCGATCCCGTGCCGATCCCGTGCCGATCCCGTGCCAGTCCAGTGCCGATTGGCGGCTGGCGTGCAGCATGCGCGTGCGCCATCAATATCGGAGGAAGCAGCACGAGCAGCAGCAGCAGTAGCGGTAGTCGTAGCGTCGTGGGAACCCGCCAACTTGTTCTCCCGCTCATTCTTGCCCGTTGCAGAGGCACGTAGGCGTAGAGACTCACGTTTAGGTCGTTTTCTGCAAAAGAACACACTCGGTGTTCTTAAAGTACTCTCACGGGCTTTTGCATACCATCCCCGACCGTGCTAGTCCTTGCTTTATCATGGTACAGCTCTTCTCACTGGCAGGCTTTATCATTACGTTTCGCGAGATCCTCGAGGCCTGCATCGTGGTCTCGATCTGTCTGGCATAACTGCGGCGCACCAAGAATGAGCGCTACCTCAGAGACGTCTGGCTGGGCGTTGCAGCCGGCGTCGGTGTGCTCATCGTCATTGGAATCGCATTCGGCATCGTTTTCTGGACGCGCGGCCAGAAGCTGTATACGGGTCTCACTGAGCTGCTCTTCGAGGCCATTGTCCGACTGGTGGCGGTAGTGCTCATCACGTGGATGATCTTCTGGATGCTCAGCACGGCCGCGCACATGCGCCGCGACCTCGAGGGCGGGATAGCGCGGGCGCTGTCGAGGCGCGGCCGATGGGGCGTTGCGCTGCTCGTCTTCACGTCCGTGCTGCGTGAGGGCGTCGAGCTCATCGTATTCCTGTTCGGAATCACGGGCGGTGTCTCGTGGAGCTCGATTCCCATCGCCGCAGCCGTCGGCGTGGCCGTTGCGCTGGTCGTCGCCTGGGCAATCTACCGCGGGGCGCTCGCCTTCGATCTGCGCCTCTTCTTCGCGCTCTCGTCGCTGCTGCTGATCGCATTCGCTGCGGGCTTCCTGTCGACGGCCTTCCTGGACCTCCAGAAAGCGAACCTGTTCGGGGCATTCACGCGCAACGGCAACGAGGACGAGTCGATTCCATCCACGCAGCGGCCGTGGTGGAATGCCGCGCTCTGGTCCACCGAGGCCTGCTGCGCGGACGACGGGAACGAGTTCTTCAACCTGCTGCACGAGCTCTTCGGATACGTGGATGCGCCGACCTTCGTCTCCACTGTCGTCTACTTCGGTTACTGGACCCTGGCTGGCGTGCTCTGGATCATCGTTGAGCGACGCACCCTGGAGCGCAAACTCTGCCAAATGCACACCGGGTACCTCGTATCGACTGCGTTCCTGGCGGTAGCTGCCGTGGTGGGGCTCGTCGTCGCCGCTCGCAGCCCGACATGGAACGGCATCCTGGTGACGTGCCTGACTCTGGTGCTGGCGATCATCGGTGTAGGTGCCGCCAGCGCACCCCATGCAGCGCTACCGCCGCGTGCGCGTTTCGCCCTCCAGGGCTCCTGCTGGATAGGCCTCGTGCTGGTAGCGTGCCTGGCGCTGGCGCTGCAGGTTGCACAGGCGATCTGCTCGCCGCAGATTGGCGCGTCGCAGTACTGCTCTATCTCCGATTTCTACTATTGGTTCGTCATCTTCTCCCCGGACTGGATCGCAAAGACACGGGACGATAACAGCTTCCACGCGCTCGCGGTGCTTACCGTGTCGATATGCTTCACGATGCTGTTCTGCCTCGGACAGGGCCTGGTCGGCTTCTACGAGTGGAAGCGTTCGGCGCTGGCGATGCAGCGTGCTGGACAAGCGCCAGCGGCTCTCGCCAAAGAGGCGAATACATCCTCGGATCTGGAAGGCGGGAAATCCACGCCGCTCGATGACTCCTCGATCGATGAGCTTACCTGGGAAGCGCTCGATTCGACGCAGCCTCCGCAGCACGCGTCGCAGATCGAGATCTCGGCGAGACGGGTGCTGGCGGATTGAACCAGGGCGCAGCGCGGCACCAGGTCACCGCCGACGACTAGGCGGTACTCATAACAGCGAGCGCAATCCATGTGCAACGCGACGTATCGCACTTGCCGATTCAAAGAGAATGACAGCGCCTGTGGTTACCCGTCGCGGAGCCGTTCGCATGGTGATAGCGTCGGCATCACCTGACACCCACTCCGTGGCGCTATGGTGCTTTGCCAAGAACGCGCCCCTGGTTGCCACAGCGTTGCGTACCAGCGAATGGATCATGCGTCGAGCGCTGCTCTGGTGCGATCATAGACAAGTTCACGTCGAATACTTTGCGCACCGCTGTACCGCATACCGATGACTCGTCTAGCATGCACTGCTACCGTACAGTAAAGAACGCTCGTGCAATGCGTATCCCGTTTCTCGCTATCCTGAAGGACAACGGCTCCTCGAGCACACAATATCTCAGCATGCAGGAGTCGAGACGCTCTCATCACGCAGCGCAGCGGCTCCAGCGCCCTGCACGATTGCCCGACGAAACGCCTGGGGCGCGCCCCGATCAATACCGGAGACACGCCATGCGCAGGAAACCTGGGACGGTACTGTTTCGCCTGCAAGTAGGAGGGTGCACTCAAGTGATATCCAGAACTTCCCGCAGCCTGGACACCAGTGCCAACAGGTCGCTTCAAGTATGCCAGACGAGAGCGCTCAAGTTCGTTTTCTGATAGTCGGACGCACCGGTTGGATCGCCAACATGGTTGCAGAGCTACTTGAGCAGCGCGGTGAGCGGTACGCGTTTGCGAGCTTCCGTCTCGAGCAGCGCGAGGCCTGTGAGCTCGAACTGGACGCGCTGCGCCCACAGCGGGTCCTGAACTGTGCTGGGGTCACTGGGCGTCCGAACGTCGACTGGTGCGAGGACCACCGGCGCGAGACCGTCCGCAGTAACGTACTGGGCGTGCTGAACCTGGCGGACTGCTGCGCGTCGCGCGGGATCCACCTCACCAACTTTGCTACCGGCTGTCTATACCACTACGACGACGGCGAGCACCGGCCGACGGCTGAGGGCGGCAGGCCCTTCACGGAGGACGATCCGCCGAACTTTTTCGGTAGCTACTACAGTCGCACCAAGGCCATGGTGGAGGAGCTGCTGCGCAGCGCTTTTGACAATGTGCTCATCCTGCGACTGCGCATGCCTGTGAGCGACGACCTGTCGCCGCGCAGCTTTGTCGCGAAAATCGCACGCTACGAAAAGGTTGTGAATATCCCCAACAGCATGACGGTTTTGACGGAGCTGCTGCCAGTGGCACTGGATATGAGCGAGCGCGGCCTTACGGGCGTGTACAACTTTACCAATCCGGGTAGCATCTCGCATAACGAGGTCCTGGAGCTTTACAGAAAATATATCGATCCAAAGTTCCAATGGAAGAACTTTACGCTCGAGGAGCAGGCAAAAATCCTCAAGGCCGGCCGCTCCAACTGCGAGCTCGACGTCCGCAAACTGCTGCGGGACAATCCCGGTGCCCAGATCCGCGAGGTCCACGCCGCCATGGAGGAGGTCTTTCGGCGCATGCAGGCGAAGGGTGTCAAGCCGCTGGCTGCGCCCTAGTATAGCACCGCAGGTGGCGTACTTTGCGACAAAACGGTTACGCACCGAGTGACGGGTCGATGGCGTGCGCTCCCAGGGACGACTCGCTTTGCGTGCAGGGAAGCGACTGCGACTGCAGGCGCGCTAGCACAATCCTGCACTGGGCGAAAGGAACGGAAGCGTCATTGGCACCAGGGCACTTACTGCCGTGTAAGGCACCTTTCGACGCGGACCTCAAGGCTGACTGCGAGGCGTTCTGGAAAGACTTGCTCCGATAGGCTAGCTCCGCTGTGGCAGCCGCTGCAGGCGAAATCGGATACCGGGATGATCCAACTGCAGAGCCCTTCTAATAGTGATCCGTGTAAATGACGCAAGCCTCTGAAGAGAGTGCATCAAAGTGGCGCAGGCATTTGTTCCTGGCGTTCATGTGTGCCTTCGAATGCAGCATCCAGGGGCCTGCAGGCATTGGCTGGACGACTGCCTGCTAGCAGCGGTCAGGATTACAGGGATCCTAGGGACTCGATACGTGCATACGTGCATTACTGCATTCGTGCATGCTTCCATACGTAAAAACGTGTGAATGCTGGTGAGCACTGCGCGAATATGTGCACGCGCGCACGCTGCAGCATGGGAACACAGCGTTCTCGCCACGCTCTGGCTGGGATGTCTGAGCGACGGGAACGTGCTGTCGATGCTGCCACATAAGCAGAGTCCGTCAAGGCCGACACGCTCGAGACAGCGCTCATGAATTGCATAGTGGAGCGGATTCACGTGCGCGAACACAGGAACGAACACACAAACAAGTCCTAGTGGCAAGGCGAGTTTCAACAGATCCCCGAAAGCGCCCACACTCCGTACCTGCCAGCAACATCACTGTCGGTCGCTATCGCGCTGCTGCCCACAGCGCGAATGATGCACACATATCTCCTTGGATTCATGCCGCCAGCCTCAGTGTTGATCCTTCTGCCCTACACCATGATGGAAGCGCGCGATCCACAGAGCGCGCGCGCAATCGCCGCCCGCCGCATGAGCGATGCGTGCGCGGTGGCGACGCTGCTGCCGCCATCATCGGTCGCATACCTGGGACACGTGTCTCGCTAGAGATGGATCCTGTCGAAACAGAAACGCGCGCTACGATCGTGGCGTTACCGCCTGTGCAGGCAGAGCGCGGAAGTAGCCGGTGCGTGTGGTTGTGTGTGTCCGAGTCGAAAGGCGCACGTTGGCAAGATAAATGTCCTCGCAGAGCACGGCGCTTTCGAACGGTGCCAAGTCGGTAACCGGTGGACAGCCCGACGGGAACTCGGACGCGCGGGTCGTCTACGGCGACCGTCTGCGCTTCGTGCCGCGGAATATCCTTGTGACTGGCGGTGCCGGCTTTATTGCCTCGCACGTTGTCGAACGGCTCGTGAGTCGATATCCCCATTACCGCGTGACGGTACTGGACAAGCTCGACTACTGCTCGTCGCTGAGCAACCTCGCGCAGGTGGCAAACCGACCAAACTTCAAGTTTATTCGCGGCGATATCCGCTCGCATGACCTGGTGCTCTACGTGCTCCAGGAGGAGTGCATCGATACAGTGCTCCACTTTGCGGCGTGCACGCACGTCGATAACTCGTTCACGTCCTCGATCCTGTTTACGGAGAACAACGTGCTGGGAACGCACGTCCTCCTGGAGTGCGCACGCCAGTACGGCAAAGTGCGGCGCTTCATTCACGTCAGCACCGATGAGGTGTACGGCGGCGAGAGCAACATGGAGACAGAGTCATCGATCCTGGCACCCACGAACCCGTACGCATGTAGCAAGGCCGCCGCTGAATTCATTTGCCGCGGCTACGTCAAGTCGTTCGGATTGCCGGTGATCATCACACGCGGCAACAACGTGTACGGGCCGCACCAGTTCCCCGACAAGCTCATTCCCAAGAGTATCTGTCTGCTGGCGCAACGCCGGCCCTGCTTTGTACACGGCTCTGGTGAGCATGCACGCAACTTTTTGTACGTCGAGGACGCGGCGAGCGCCTTTGACACCATCCTGCATTGTGGCGAGACCGATGAGGTCTACAATGTAGGCTCTGAGATCGAGAAACGCAACATTGACGTTGTGCACGACATTATCGATCTCTTCGGCCTGTCTGCCGAGGCGAACCGCCACATCGAGTTTGTCAAAGATCGCACCCTCAACGATATGCGCTACAGGATCGACTCGTCGAAGCTGCATGCGCTTGGCTGGAGGCCGCAGGTGTCCTGGGAAGAGGGCCTGCGCCGAACCAAGACCTGGTACTGCGATCCGAATAACCTGAAGCGCTGGCCGAATTATCTCAGTGGCCTCGTACCGCATCCGAGTCTCACCGAGGAGAAGCACTAGGACGGCATTCATCGCGTACGCACTGTGCATGCGGCAGGCGAGATTTCGAGCGACACTGCCGCTGGTCTGTGCATCACAGACGGCGATCCGCAGAGCAGCGTGGCATAGGATCGCCAGCGGATGCGCCTTTTGTACATGTATGACGGTTACAAGCGTGTCTCAGGTGCGCCTTTCTCGACAAGTCTGTAATACGAGGCGCTTTCGTGTCGCCTGCAACACAGGACGCATCTGAAGCGATGCGCACCGACGAAAGCGCGCATACTCTATCGACCGAGGGTCGTGGGCTTGCGACCTCATGATCTTGTGCCGGTTGCAGAGCGTATGTTACAACACACGACAGCAGCAGGGCAGTTGACGCAGCACAGGTTCGCGCGCGGCAGGTACAGCGAGCTCTGGGCGGCCTCGGTTGCACCGATACGCTCTGCGCTTGACGCGCTTCTGTTGCATAAACGTGTACTGAGGCTGTGCTCCAATAACCTGCAAGACGCCTATGTCCCATGCCACGCGGTTTGCAGAGGTATGCTTTCGTCGAGTTTGCGTCTGGAAGCGCGTTGTTACGGGTGCGGCGGGTGAAGCGTTCCGCGTCAAGAACTAGCCGCACACCGGCACGCTGTGCTGTGTCAGAGCCGTCACCAGCGTCACCGTCCAGTGGCGACCAGCCGACCCAGACAGTGCGTGTACGACCTGATGAGCGGCCGCTGCGGCTGAATGCGCTACAGCGCTGGTTGCTCGGCCGACTGAGGCGAAGCCTCGAGCGCCTCTCCCCCGGCAACGTGCCCAACCTGCTTAGGAGCGCCGTCGCGCGGGCGCGTGGTGCCCCCGCGGACCCACCGCCCTTGGACGATGACTACCTCGACAGTGTGCTGCTCCCAGAGTCAGATGAGCGGCCCTTTATATCGCCGGCACTCCGACGCGTTCTGCGCGACGCGCCTGCGCAGCCTGCCAAGGGCGTTTACACAAGCGACCCGTCGCGGACGTTCTGGGAGCAACTGATCCTATGGGCAGGCGTGGTGCTCGTCGCTCTCGCCGTCCTGCGCGTCCTTTGGCTCTTTATCAGTGCTATCCTGGGAATTTCGCTGAGTCTCATCGTCATCGCCGTCGTCACCGTGTTCGTTTTCGTGGCGTTCACAATACTCGGCTAGAGAATCGGGAACTATCACGGAACCGTACCGCTCCCAAACACATCCACGGGCTCATCGCAGAGCTGCCGACGAAGCAGGTGCAGCTGCGTACGCAGCCGGTAACCCCGCGGCTCCGGCACCGTACGCGCAACCTGCGTCCAAGCAGCAAGCACCGTGCGAAGCTGTTGCAAGACATGCCGACGCATCGAATGTATCGCCGCGGCAATGTCGGGAACGACATTCCAATCCAGCAGGAGCAAGTGCATCGCATCCACCATCCACTCTAGATCACTCGCATCGGAAGCGCGTCCCGACGTGCGGCCGGCCTCATAGCGTGGCAGGCACAGCGCGCCAGCGACGCGTGCAAGCAGCATAACCGACGCGTGCCCTGCATCCGCCTCGGACGCACCATCATCGATGCGGGCAACTGCAGACTCCTGTGCCTCAACCTGCAATTCAGTACGACGCGATACCCAGCTCTCCAGGAGACGCGCACATAGACACTTTTGAAGCCAACGCGAGCGCCCTCGTGGTGGAATCACCCAAATCAAGGCAACGAGCGCCGGCAGCCAGCATCGTGTCAAGTGATCGTGTCCACAGAGCCGGCAATGCGGCACGTCGTCGCGCACGCATCGGCACCAGCACGCAATCGCCGCATCAGCGGACACGCGATCCGCTGCGATGCCGATGACCTCTGCCAGCTGCGTGCGCCAATGACGTGCCATCGCTGCTTGGCATGTGTAGATCGCCAGCACGTCGTCGATAAACGCCAGGAGCTGCTCGTCATTCCATGCTGCGGCGCGCAGGTTGCGTTTCAGCAGGTGCCAGAACGGCTCGAGGGTGCTGCGTGTCTGCGTTAGCGCAGGCTCCGCAGCCGGGTTTTGTGTCGTCACCGCGGCTGCCGCTGTCTCCAGCAGCTGGTGCACGAACGCGCCCGGAAGCGTCAGAACGCGCTTCAAGCGGTGAGCGTGGCGATAGGCTGGGCATTGGGTCGACACTCGTGAGCTCGAGGCGCGTTTCGAATGGACAGGCTCGTCCAGCGCGCACACATCGCACCAGCCCAGGAGGCCGAGAGGAGAACGCGCGAGGGCCATGCAACCCAAGCGTCGCAGTGTCACGTGCAGAGCGCCCATGGCTCGCATGTGTTGATCCCGGGGGGTATCACACATCTGCTGAGCGGCTATGTTGAGCACGCAAAGAGGACACGCGGTGGCAGTGACGACCTCAACGCCGCCGCTATCGCAGCGATCCTCGAGTCGAGCACACGGATCGAATCGCCGTGCGCGATCAGCGGTGATCGGCACGCACCGGCGCAGCGCCGCGGGAACGATGCGTGCATCGGCATGCGCGCTGCGCGCCACAAGAATCCTGAGACTAGACGCGAGCCCTGCACGACGGGCTCGAAAAGCGATAGAGACGTCGGTGGCCTTCGTTGATGTGTGCTGGCCTTGGGATCGTATGCTCACCGGGCTTACCCGCTCGTCGCTATGCCTCTTGTCGCGCTGGATACGCGGCTCGCAGATCGCCGTGGGTGTTGCAGCAGTCCAGTGCGGCACGTCCGCCGACCAGACCTCTGAAGATGCTGGTGCGTGCTTTGTCTTGCAGCGCATGTCTGTGCCTGATAGCGCCACTCTCGAGACGTGCCTGTCAGAGGCAGTCGCCAAATCCGGTTGCATGGGCGATTCGACGCGTCGCTGCAGTTCAATGCACTGTTCGCGGAATGCATCTGTGCGTGTGCACGTCGCAAGCCCAGATCGCCCCCAGCTCGAGTCCAACAGCTTGCCGTCACGATGCGGCAGCGCGCCGGGTGATTCAACGTCCTCAACTGGCGACTGGCAATGCACTCGTGGATTGCCCAGTTCACGAATCGTCGAGCTTACCCTGCGCTCCGACGTTCCATGATCCAGACGATGGTACGGATCAGCCCAGGAGAGCTCGTGCTCGTTCGTCGTCTCCGCCATGGAGGACGACAAGTTATGCTGCAGACAGGATGTTTCGGCAGGTTCATCCGCTGCTTGTCGGGTGCGGTGCTTGTCTCGACACTGAGTGTGCTCTGGTACCTGAACATCGCCTGCGACACGAGTATGCTCCTCAGAGGATAGCGAGAGGGATTCCGCAGAGCTTGCATAACCATCGGATACGGCATATTGTCGGAAAAGTAAAGAGCCTGTGCATGAAGCGCAAAGCGACGCTGCATTGGTGTTCAATGCGCTTTTCACGTTTCCCGCATCTAAAGAATCATTGGCAGACGAAAAAGGCGTCGATGGTAGCGTCTGCGCTGCAGACTTCAAATACTCGTTGCGGCCAATGCCATTACGGTTATCGTCAGCGCACTGGTGTCGAGAAATGCGCCCTGAGTGTCCACACATCGGCTGCTTACGTGCTGGCTGCACGATCATCCCCGAACCAGCTTTCTCGATTATTGAGCATCGTTCATCGTTGGTGTCTTTAGGAATGTGACGAAGAAGCGACTCAGAGCGACACGTGTCGTTCTCTGTGGTCCCGCTGCATGAGACACCGCAGTGGCGTTCCGAGGGTGCGCTCTTTTCAAAGCTGTTGCCGGTTTCGTTGTCGAAGCAGCGCTGCGCTTCGCTTTCAGTGCTCGTGTAGCCGCTATGCCGCTTCGCTTGCGAGTCGAGGGAGCCCGCAGCAACCAGTCGGTGGCGCTTATAGCTGCCCAGCCGTGTCGCCGTTCTAACTGTTCCTCGAGGCCGAGGTTGTGCTCCGTGCTGGCGCGTTTCGCCCACAGGCCCAGACTGCTCCGGCGAGCCGCTGACCTCGGCAGCGCTACGCAACCCCGAGGCCAGAACAATTCCTGGACCAGCAGGGTCCGTGTGTGCCGAGCTCGGCCACTTCTCGAGCAGCTTCGGAGCCCATATCGCGTCTAGACTGAGCACACGAGTGCTCGCAGCCTGCTCTCCCCGTTTGCGCATACGACAGCGTCGCTTGTGTGCTGGCTGTGTCTGCGTCGCTTTAGCGACTGCTGCCCAGGTACGGGGCGCCTCGGGCTCCCGCAAGCACGCTTGGGGCATTTTGCAAGGTTATCACACAAGGCGGCACCCAAGTCGCTCTCACCGCCACGTAAACAGCGGCATCGGAGTGTGAACCCTGTCCATGAAACGCGAACGTGCTCAGCGCTTTCGAAATGTACATTGGCGCCACAAACGGCATGCCGGCGCAGGTACCACATGGAACCACGGGGAGAGCGGTGAAGGCAGCAGCGGCTTCTGCGGGTAGGAAGCGACTACTGACCTCGAACAGCGTGGATACATATAACTTTTGTGATCGTTTCGACTGTCGTTCAACAAGCTAAAGTTGATTCCACATGCGAATGACGACCATCAAGAAGGCGCGTATGAACGCGAGGACGTTCGCGACTTGTCATATCGGCTGGAGTAAGGGCCTGTGTAGTGCCAACTTTACGAGGCTAGAAATTAGAGACTCAGGTCTTCTTCGAAGGCGGAAAGTGTACCCGAATCCCCATAGAGCAAATCACGAAGTGTTGCCAAATTTTGTTGGTAGGCGATTTCCAGCCTGCGCTCTAGTGTGTTATCGCAGCGTATTCGTCCATCCGCACTTGTGACAATGACGCCGCCTGGCGAACTGTTATCGAGCTGCTCGGTGTTTGAAATGGACACGCAAGACGCCTGCTCGGAGGCAGGAGTCGTGGCTTCGCTGTTTTCGAGCAACTGGCGGTATCGTGCCTGAAGGCCTGCAAGCGAATTTTCCACAAGCGCCCGATCACGCGAACGCAGAATAAGGCTCACTCGTGGCTCTGGTTGTACCATCTTCATGCCCTGTTCAATAAGACGCTCCAAAAGCTCCTGGTAGTCCGGACCGGCTTCGGTGCCAAACGCGGCGAGTCGCTCGCGGCTACACTCGTAGAGCTCACGCAGCGTCGCTTCGCGAGCGCGAAGCACCTGCAGACGAGCGGCGTTGAGCGCCGATGCCAACGCTATTCGACGTGATGCCTGCAGCTGCTTGTACTTTCGCTCAAACTCAGCTCGTATCCGCTCGCGCTGCTCCTCGAAAAGGCTGAGCTTCCGCAGGTGGAACTCCTCCTCCGCTTTTGTGCGCAGCTCGTTCACTTTCTCGTCTGCTTCCTGCCGAATAAACGCCACCATCTGCTGCACCTGTTGCTGTACCTGAGCATCGTTCATTATGAAAGCGGAGCAACTGAAACGGCCTGTGCTCCTCCGAGTACGCCCAGCAATACCGACTCAGCGACAAGTTGGCTGCAGCGATGCGCCTCGGAGCGTTTCTTGCACTGCGGCTCGAAGCGCCGCCAATGGATTCGCTCTCGCTCATACGACAAGAATGTTGTGTCCCGTGACGTCTATGCACTACATGATTGCAGCGCATACTAGGGGATATTGCGTCACATGAGGGCTACTCACTGCAGTGTAGTCGCCAGCAATTGGGGATATTTTTGCCGGATTTTTATCCATACACGACGCTATAGGCGCTCATAGAGGCTACTGCATCATCGACCGGCAGCGGACAAACAATTGGAACGCGAACGCATTCTTCGCTCTGCAACAGCTGCAATAACTGTCGTACTTGCTACTCGGCAACGAGAAGCTCGTGCGAGGTGCTCGTTATCCATACACAGCTGGCGAGAAGCGCAAACGCTAAGCTCACACTGTGTAAGAGTGTGCGTCTGGAAACCTGCACTCGCTGGTGCGCTCCGATGGCCGTTTTAGTCTCTGTGAGCGTCTGCTAGCCCGGGTTTTCGGAAGCAACACCCGCTTAGACGGCAACTAGGCAAGGCCTGCCTCGCTACGTCACGAGTGCCTCATCATCAGGCACGTTGCCGACCCATAGTGCGGCAGAACAAAGTGCTGACGTCACCTGGCGAACATGACCACTCTGGACACTGTGCTGGGCGGGCAGTGGGAGCCTCTCGAGAAGACCTTGAGCCGCCTGGAGACAGCGATACAGCGCGCTGCAAGCCTGGACTGGCAGCAGGTGCGGTCTGAACTAGCCAGCGCTGTTGCCCGAGCAGGCGAGCAATCTATTCCAGATGCACTGCGTTTACGGGTATGGAGGTTGGCTCTCGAGTGGCCGCAGTCGCACGGCACGGCGCTGGTGCAGCCGGCAGAAGATCTGACACACGAGGCGTCTGCTGCAGAAACGCCTGCTGCGACTCTCATTGAAGCACAAGAGAGCATAGAGGAGCGTTTCGCTCCCAGCGATGTCAACACATTGTCCATCGCACTTTTAGGTGAGACGGCTGGCAACGGGGCTGATCTCATAGACTCGCCGACAGATGCCCACCGCTTCGATACTTTGTGGACAGATACGGTAGTTGCCGGCGAGTCCAGACCTAAGGCTTCAGAGACGCCAGCCACTCGAAAAAACGATGCACCTTACGCAGCGGTGGACGAGTCGGAGAGCACTGCGCGCGGAGCAAGCTCCGACACCGCACGTGAAGCGGCCCCAGGTAAAGGTCCAGTGTCAGCAGGCATGCCGAGCACCCTCGAGAACGACGTCTACGATGTGCTCGAGCAGGACGTGCTGCGAACGCGTCGCGGTACGACAGTGTTCGAGCGTGCTGCCGCGAGAACGCTTCTGACGCAATGGTTGTGCACTTTTTGCGAAACACACGGCGTGCCATACATGCAAGGCATGAATGAGGTAGCTGCGGTTTTCGTATATCTGCATGAAACGCAGCATTCACCTGTCGCTGACTGCACGTGCTACGCGCTGTATGAGCGCTTCGAGGAAAGGTTTGTGCCGCTCACCGCCGACCTGGGACCTGACCCGTTCCGCTGCCTCAAGCTGGCCTTCGAACTGCTAACAGCCCTGCTCTGGTTCCACGATCCCGAGCTGGCTGTGCGATTAGAGCGGTACCAGCTTACGCCGGACATGTTCTCCACATCTTGGCTTGTAACCGTTTTCGCACGCAACCTATCGCTTGATGCAGTTTTGGCGCTTTGGGACGCGCTGGTGCTGGCCGGTGACCCTCTATTAACGATTTTTGTGGCACTTGTGTGCCTAGAGTCCAATCGACAAAGCCTGCTGATGGCGAGCGAGGCGTCGCTGCCGGAGCAGTTGCTATCCATTCCCCTGCAGAGTCGCCAGGACATTGAGGCGGCCTGGCAATGGGCCCGCAAACTCGAGAGTCGCACCCCTGCAGAGGCGCTCCGTCGAAGTCGCAATGTCATGTTCGGCCCGAGCCCAGTGCCCGCTGAGGGAACGGCATTCCGAGAAGTCACCATCGTGGTCGCATTCGAGCCCCATGAAGTGATCGCGTCGCTCGAAAAGCCGTGCAATGATGGCACACGAGCGCCGCTGCCCGCTTTGCTGCTGGACTGCCGCCCGAGCGACGAGCGTCAGTATGGTTACTTGCCGGAGGCGATTCCGCTTGACCTTGATGAGCTGCGTGATGCTGTGGTGCACGGCTGGGAGCCATGCCTTGATCGCTTCCGCGAAGATGTCTTTGCCCAGCGCATCGTACAGCATGTACTGGAACGTTTCGGTGCCAGTCATGATGGCAAAATTTGGATTTGCCTTGTGGGTTCAGGCCCTCCGACGTATTTCGATGTCGATGAAAACGCATTTGACGTTCTACCTCTGAAGAGAATACTTGAGTACCAGGGCGTGCACTATGTAGCATCACTGCGTCACGGGTTTGCAGCCTGTGAGGCGCTGGCGAAGCGCGGATCACTCGCCCTCGCGCACTATGATGCCGCTGCACTAGCCCAGGCGCGTCAAGCAAAGTGTGCACGCTTGGCGGGAGTACGTCCCCCGGGGCCGGTCGCTCCGCCGCATGTGACATCGCGTATCGCTCCTCCGGGGTCGCATCCTGAAGAGTGCCTCGATCGGCAAGTATCGCAGACACTCGGTATGGTATCGCTGCAAGCGATCGACTCCACGTTGCTGGGCACGTCTGCACTGCACGGCTGGCTCGATGGTACGCAACTGATGTTGGCGAAGCATACGCCCCTGGATATAGGATCACCGGCACTTCTTCGGCGCTTGACGCTTTATCCCTGTCTGAAGTTGCAGCGCAAAAGCGGCGTTTTCGTGAATCGCTATCTGGGGATAACCAGATGTCGCTTCTTCGTGCTTGCGCCTGATCGAGCACGCAACACGCTCATGTATGTCAAGTCGAGTCGGCATTTGTTGCTGCTGAAGCGTATCCTCTTTCGGAAGGAAAGTCGTGAGCTCGTCATTTTTGAGTTTCGCGCTCCAGATTCGCAGCTTATCGATAAGCGTATTACGTGCCATCTGGCGGACGGGCTCAGCGACTGTGTTGAGTCTATACGTAGGCGCCTGCGACAGCTGAGGCTCGAGTCACGACTCGGTTCGCGCGCTGCACGCGACACCGCCACATGAGGGTGCATTGCTGGGCGCTCCCAGAGCGCTGCATCCGGAAAGAGAGAGTCGACGTCGCCACGAATGTGGCTCTGCTTTGCGTTGACGCAGATCGTGGCGTAAGTTGCCGAAGCGGTACCTCGTTCATATGCGGGAAATGTGACGCGACGCTGGGCAACGCGCGGCACATGGATACGCAAGCGCAGCCTGCATTCACAGTGCGTCCACGAATCGCACCGTGTCCCGCCCTTACCCATATCTCCAGTGCAGTGTATAGCAGCGCTGAGCGCACGATCAGCTTGCATCGCAAAGCGCCTGTATTCAGTGGTGAGAGGTCGCAATGCCTGTTGTCTACAGCATCGTATATGTGTGTGGATATCGAGCTGGGGTGCGCACACAGCGGCATTTTCATGTCGTAGTTCTCCATGCGGTGTCCGTGGATGCGCTAACGATGGAGAGTCGGTACCTGGCGAGTCGTTGGATCCGTAAAACATCTAATGCGGAGGAGAATCGTATCGAACCGGTGCTCATGGATGCCTGAGGTGTCTGCGATGTCGGTCTGAGCCTCTCTTCACTGGTGACGGTGCGGATCGTGCGTTCGGGAGACGCGGATTCGATTCATCGATTTTTTGTTGTAAGGTGACGCTTTGATTAGCAGCCAGTCGCATGCCGAGATCCGAGTTTCTGCTCGGACCAAGCGCCTTTCTGGATGAGGAGCGATCGTGCACTGTTATCTGGGGTACTCTTTGCCGATCGGGAGTGCTCCAAGAATTCTGTTCTTGCGATACATCACTGCAACATACAGCAGTATCCCTGCATCAACTTACAGATAAGCTCGGGAGCGCAATGATGACTTGTTTGGAGATGCTCGCGCATCGCAACTTGCTGACTTGAAAAGCAAAGACGTCAGTACCGACTTGACGCTGGGTGTATGTCATTGGTCGCTAATCAACGCAACGGGAGCAGATCAGCCGGTGACACATCACGAGACAGCACGTCGAATACGCCCTGCTCACAACACGTTTCACGAAGAGGAGGTATCCGCATCGCATGGACGAGGGTCCAGTGTCGTGTACACCTGATCTACATCATCTATGGCTTGCAGCGCTTCGACGCCTGCATGAATGAGGTCCCGATCTGCCTCAGAAACCGGGGGCGGTATCAGTTTCGGGACCATAACAAGCTCACTGGTGCTAAGCTTCACACCCGCTGTTGTGAGGGCTTGGGCGACCTGTGCGAGCGCACCAGGCGGTGTCCATACCAGAAACTCGCTTCGTCCCATCGGCGTGTCATCCATGGCGAGGTGCTGCAGGTCGTCGGCGCCCGCATCTGCAACGATGAGAAGCAACGAATCAGGGTCAAACTGTGAGGATTCAGCGTCCTCTTCCGACACGAATGCACGGATGCAACCTTTTCGTTCAAAAAGATGTTGAACCGCACCAGCCGAGGCCATCTGAAGACCTGCCTTGCGCGCAACGAGTCGCACTTCTGCTGCTGTACGGTTCAGGTTGTCTGTGAGGGCCTCCACCAAAATTCCTACCCCATGTGGACCAAAAAGCTCGTAGATAGCGGACTCGAAGTTCGCTTGCTCAGACGCGCTTGCCTTGGTAAGAGCCCGAGCCACGTTTTCCTTCGGAACACCACGCTCAATAGCTTCCCGTACAATGGCGTCTACATCACCGCCCGCTTTTGCAGTCTGGACGATCCGCTTTCCATAGCGGGCAAAGAGCTTCACGCGCGCTAGCTCACTCGCCTGCTTTCTCGCCATGATCTTGGCGTAGCGCCGACCCATGTGCAAACTCAATACACCGCCCGTCCGTGCAATGCGTCGGTCCAAGGGATGCACCGCAGTCTGCGATCGCACGCTTCTACGCAAACGGCCAGAAGGCACTTGGTGCTCGGAGGAGCTTCGCGCTCGCCTCGCCCAAGGCACCCGGGATCCGTTCGGTACGATATCCGGATTCGCCCCCAAAATCCAGAACAGCTTCATATTCATACACAAGTAGTCAAAGAGGATCCCGAATAGATGCTACTCATGAGAAAATGAACTGCACAACAGCCAGCAGTCCACAAATGCACAGACAAACAAAAGGTCGGTCGCCCTTGGAGCAGATGATCGCACGTCGGCCCTAGCGCGTACGCTTGAGGAGACGATTCTGCCGTCGTTCCACAGACGCTTCTGTTGCTTTTCCCTAGGAACATCATGTTTTGTATAACGAGCACTTTCACAAGCCCAGTACACAGCAGCAGAGCGGGTGGGTCGGTTTACGCCTGCAAGCTACGGCGAAAAAGCTTGCGAAAGCACGTGTTAACGCAGCCGTGGCCGCAAACGTTGCGGCTCTGTGCTGCAGGATCGGTGGGCGACGACTCGGCTTCAGAGAGCGGTGTGGAGCCTGGGATGCCTCCCGAAAAAGCGCAAGTCACGAGTTCGGCTACTGATCCAGAGCTCGAACGACTACGCTTGGCGGTAGAGCGAGCGAAGCTTGAAGCAGAGCGGGCACGTTTGCAGGCAGAAAAGGCCCGGTTGGAGGCCGAAAAGGCCAAAATAGAGGCAGAAAAGCAACGCCTTGCAAAGGAAAAGGAGAAAGAGAAAGCGGCACTTGCGGCTAAGGGTACCGCAGCCGTTGCCAGCGGTATTGCACAGCCTGCAGCGAACACAGACGCGACTGCGGGTGCCCAGCAGAGCGGGACGCGTTCGCCGACAAACGACGCCGGCGGAAAACAGCCCGAGCGGGGCAGCGCACCCTTGAACAACACGGACCCTGCACTCCGCAGGGCTATCGAGAGCGGCATGCTTGACGAACGCAGCATGGCGCTGTTGTCGCAAATGGGGTCGTTTGTGCTCGGCGGTGGTATCTCCGACGACGACCTGAAGCTCCTCCAAGAGAAGGTACTGACCTTCGATACCTTCATGGCAAACCAAATCACAAGAACACCTATTGGTGTTGTCATTCGAGGGCGCCTTCGTGTGCAGAATCCCTCAGAAGCCTATCAAAGGCTCGAAATGGCCCTGGCAAACACCGGACTGAACCAGCGCCTTCGATTGTTTTTGATGGAAGATCCGAGGTCGCCATTCCTCACGGATGACGAGCTGCTCGTGGATAGTGCAGACGAGTCTGCGCGGCTGCGCTCGCCTCCTATTATCGTGGTGATGCCGATCACTTCCGAACCAGCAGGCATAGGTATCTGGCAGTACCTCCTGGCCAGCGTTCTCGGAGTGACAGCGTTATTTACAACGTTTGGCTATGGAGTGGGTGTTTTTGGGCTTTCGCCGGACTTTGCTCAACAGATTGCGCGCGGTAACATCGATGTGGTATCCGAGACGCTCCCCGTGTCCATTGGGGCAGTTGGGATTCTCGTGGCTCACGAGCTCGGCCATCGAATCGCAGGTGCAGTTCGGGGCGTGAAACAGGGCTTGTCGTTCGTGATCCCCTCGCTGCAGATTGGTTACTATGGCTGCGTGACACCGCTGAAAAGTTTCCCTCGAAACAGGTCGTCGCTTTTTGACGTGGCTGTGGCCGGACCTGTGGCTGGTCTCGTGAGCTCTGTCGTCGCCCTGCTTGCAGGCCTCGTTCTGACGGTACAGCAGGGGAGTACGCCGCTGGACTGGTTTCCGCAGATACCCTCTGCGCTCTTCGACGCCTCGCTGTTCATAGGCACCCTGGGCAAGGCTATTCTACCACAAAGCGCGCTTTCGCAACCGACAATTGCTGTCCATCCGCTGTTTGTGGTAGGCTATACCGGTTTGTTGAGTCAGGCACTGCAACTGCTCCCGATTGGGCGCACGGATGGAGGCCGAATGGTTCAGGCAGCGTTCGGACGTCGCATTGCCGGCAGAGTCAGCGGAATTACGTTGCTTTTACAGGCTCTAGCCTCGGTTTTGGGGAACTCGCCCCTGCTCCTTTTTTACGGGCTGGTGGTGATCTTTTTGCAGCGTGAGCAGGAACTTCCCTGCCTGGATGAAGTATCTGAGCCCGATAATGCCCGCAGAGTAACGACTTTTGTGCTGCTTCTTATCACGATGCTCATTCTGTTGCCTTTCCCGTCACAATTTGGAGACATAACTGGCCAGTTTTGAAGCCAGGGAACAGTCGCAGTACGATACTGCAAATTGCGGCGTTTCCTGTTACCCGCAAATATGAGGGACCACCGCCCTCGCGATTCAGCAAATCATAAAGGGGCCAGATAGCGATTTCTCTCGATTTGGCACTGGGTGTGCCTCGCGATGGGCTTCAACGACGTCGAGGACGCATATGCAGCCGTGCGCTGCATGCCAACGAGCCCAGCCTTTGCCCTCATTGATGCCGCTCTCTGACTCGTCGCTCAGCGGTGTGCTGTGCTGGCGGTACGTCACGCGGAAGCGTCCACATCGCGAACAACTTGATCTCGATCCGACGCTCGGTAGGGTACGAAGCAGGCGTCCTTTGTCCGCTCGGCGTCCGCAACGGCGCTATAAAAGCGCCTTTGGAGGCACGCACGGGTAGCGCAAAACTCGAAAGATCGCTAGAACGAATCATAATGTCCAAGTGGAAGTCTGGATGGTGATTGCTGAAACCTAGCGGGTCTGAAGTGCAGCGCAGTGATACATGCTTCCCTAGACCCCGATAAACATCGCGCCATCGGGTATCTCTGGTCACCTTCAACGATGCTGTACGATGGAAAAGGCGGTACGCACAATACGCTCTGTCGTAGCCGATTTCTGCGGCGTGAATGCACCGCATGGGAGGCTGTTGGGGCGTACCTGCGGGTCGTTCCAGTTTTGATCGACGAAACGTTTACACTGACGGGGACACCCGATGACACCCTTTCGCTGCAGGCTCATCCGCGGCAGCGACAGGTCCGCAATGCGCCTGCTACGTCGACTCGCGTGCGCGCAGTGCCTGATCCACAAATCCAGCGGTGCTTGTGCTCAAACGCCTGCAAACACAGTATGCAACGGGCTGTCTAGCTCGGAGGATACCACCATGCGAGAGCTTTCGCGTGAGCCCAACAGCGCCAGTGACGGCTGGTCGTCCACAGCGCAGGCGATGGTTCCTTGTGCAGATCTGAGCGACACCAGCAGTTGACTCCAACAAAAGCCGAGTTACATCTGCTCGCTGGAGCGCCCGATTCTCCAGGGACAAGAGCGGGTCTCTCTGCAGCACTGCCCCGGAGGAAATCTACTGGATGTAACATCGAGCGATTTCTGTGCATGTGCTTTACGACCTAAACAGCGCCACTTCTCTACAACCTCTCAAATACATGTCCCTCTCCATGAAATGGAACCAATGCGCTATGAATCTGCAACCTAAAAGGAACGGTTCTGTGAAACCGTTCTTCGTTTCGGATTCTGGCCTCACAGAACGCGCTGGCGTCCGCTAGGGGCGTACCGCAGAACGGTAATTCACAGTGATGTCGCTCATATGAACATATGGCCTGTTTGACGAACATTCTCCTGGTGAAAGAGCAAAAGCAATTGCGCTTCATACACTGTATGGACACAATTCACGCTTGCATCTTGCGATCGACATTGAACTACAGCGCGATTGTTTGGCAGGAGCGCATGGCGAGCCGGAGGCCCTCCCTACTGGCCATGTTACTCGGTTTTCAACTGCTTTGGCCACATATCTGTCGAGTGCTCTTCGTCTCGGGCCGAGGACACAAGCATTCCTGCTGACCAACGTCAATGCTCTCTTCGCATGGACCGCATCCGAAGCATCAAGCTCAGTATGCGAGGTCGCACATGTCATCCCCCTTCATCAGGTCCACTTGTTGAGGACGCCGCAGCTTCATCGGCGGCGTCCGTCAGGAAGCTCCAGAGATACGATGGAAGCGATGCACTGGATGCCTCCAGGCAATGCGCGCGCGTTTCTGCTCGTTCCATGGCTTTCCGCATCACGTTCGCCCGCGGATCCATCGTACCACCGCGCTCGAAAATGTGCATGAGCTCGTCTGTGCCCCCTGCTCCCTGAGAACCGACTGAAGACGCAAAGTTCAATGGTAAAAGGAGACGACGATCCAGGGCAACAATCAGTGCACCCCACGGTGTCAGCATAGAAGACTCTCTATCCTGTTCTGCACTCTTCAAAGTCGACGGCCCCGTGCCCACAAGAGGTCCAATCAAAAACTCCATGAACGGCCAAATACCTAGACCCACATCCACGGTCATCGAACTCAGGCTTTCCAAGTTTACGCAATGGTCATCCCAGTAGCAATCCCAAATAAGGGGCTCTGAACCAGCTGGTGCGCGTGGAACACCCCATATAACCCGCATCCGGCTGTAGCGCCCTTGAAGAGCCGAACTCCCGCAGACCAGCACAGCGACGTACCCGTTGAGGGCAATCCATCGCGCAAAATATCCCAGAGAGCCCAGCGCTGCGCAGCTGGTACCGAAAGCACTGACGAGCGCGATGCCATGGGCGGCGACGCGGTCCAAGCACGTGCGCGTTGCGACGCTAAGCACAAGCGTCATATCCGTGCCACGCCCTTCCAGGCTCGCCACGAGTTTGTGGGCCCGCACGAACCGCAAACTAGGTGTCGGGGGCAACGCGCTCGGGGGGTCTGCAATACAGTTGGCGAGCTCACGCAGCTCGCACTCCAGACTGTGCAGTCTGTCCGACTCTGGGGTCTCGTCGCATATTCGCGACACTTGCAGGGCCTCTAAAGACCGGTACACCAATTCACTATTCCCATCTATGCAACAGAATACGAATACGTCTGCAACGAGAGCTGCTGCCCGAGGTTCGTAGCCACGTGTGCGCAGAAAACAGAAAAATCGCAAACGCAGATCTTCCAGAGACACCGCAACGTCTTCACTTGATGCGCGAATCATGAACACAGCAGCATAAACTCAAGGTTGCAGCCCAACCTAGATGATATCCCAAAGCAGACTTACAAAGTGTAACCAGTCCTACCACAGGGCCGGCACTTGCCCTCCCGAACACAACCCAGACCGAACAATACGAATTGATTGTATAGAGCAGGCCGTTGGAGCCGACTACGAGGTTTGGCTTCGCCAATCGCGCGCGCCAGCTCAACGCGCATTCGGTTACCGCAAGTGCATCGCAGAAATCAGACAAAGGCGACGTCGCACGGAGCACACTTCAAATGAAACGGCGTCGTGATTGGAGCAGTGCCAGGAGCGCCGCGCACACCTCAGATGAAACGCATTCGCATGCGTGTGTGGCTGCGTGTGTTCGGATCGACGAGCGTCAGGCGCACTGCGATGCGCCTCAGTGCAGCAGCAGCAGCAACGAGATCGGCACAAGATTACGAAGCGATGCGTGCCGGCGCGCGCGTTGTTTCCGAGATCCCAGGCGTCGACGCGTCGATGGTGGTGGTGGTGGCAGGCGGGCGCCTGGATCTCCATGTATGTCAGGGCGGTACTGCGATGGGCAGTAGCGTCGGCACCAGCGACAGAGCCTATAGCAAGAGATTATTCTACGTGAGTTTCCGATCTACGAGACTTTATTTCAGCTGCAGCACGATGCGAACACGCATGTGCCAAGGCGGGGTCTTGGACACGTGTCCTTCATCGATCGGTGAGGCGTCTCGCGCGGTGCACGCATCTCGCGAAGTGAGCGCATCTGGGGGATCAGGCAGTCAATTGGAGCGACGCGCGTGTCGCCGTTGTTGAAGGGAAACGCGATGTTGATCTCTAGTGTGTTGTTCAGCTGTAAAAGTTGTATTTGCGTTGGAGTCGAACAAAAATATAGTTTTCAATTCATTTGTGTTTCAGCCCTCAAACAAGTCTAGTCAAGTGTTCTTTCGCAGTATATAACAGAAGGGTTCACAGAGCGTTCTTTCTCAAGAAACTGAAAAAAGAAAAGTTATGAAAAGCAAGTCCACGATCCTGGAGGCCCAGGGCCGCCGGCTGCCAGACAAAAAAAACGAAAAACAGTGCCGAGTCCAGAAGAAAAGGAAGAGAAGAAGAACCGAAATGGGGAGGCCCTACGTCGAAGGCTGCAAGAAAGACGACAGTACAACGAGATGGTGGTGAAAGCCTTTCTTCTTGGACATATCAAGGATCCGTACAGGGAAAAGTTGCGAGACGCTATCGAAAAACTTGTCGACTCGTACTCCAAGAGTACTGTCAAGGCGTCGTCAGGACTGATGCATTTGGCGAGGGAGATGTACGAAGACGTGGCGCACATGGAAACGGTCGAGATTCCGGACGAGTTTTTCGACAAGACGTTTATTCGTCACCTGATGCTTGGTACAGCGGAAACGCGGAGGGAAAATGAGCGGGTTCACGCTCTTCACGAAAACTTCGCGGAGCTCCGCTTCGAGAGTAATCGATACAGGGGTGATCGGGATATTTAGACAAACGGAGCGAAAAAGCACATCACCAGTCTGAAGTACCATTTGACAGTGAACATCGAACGTTTCGTGATACGGGCCGTGTTTCCACTCTACTCGAGCCTATCTCGCAATGGAAAATGGGCGATTATCAATGACATCACGAACGATCGTAATCATGAAGATGAGGTCGAATTTGTCGACAAGAAGGCGGCAAACCAGAGCACGAATGAAGCTTCTGAAATCCGTGCGGTTATACAAGAGCACCGTGCGGTACTAGGGTTGGCGAATCCAACAGAAAAGATATCAGAGCTGAAAAAAGATAAGGAAAGATGCTATCGCCTCGTCTTACGGTATTTCGCGTTTTCGTTCCGAGAACTCGAACCCAAGACCGAAAAGCGTCTGAGTAGGGGAAAAATGCAGAGTCGGAGAGACGGAAGGTTTTTGCAATGGGGAAGCGCTTCAACGTGGTTCCAATGTGCAACATTAAGTCACATTTTGTGAGTATCGACTCCGGCGTCCTTTACGGCATCATGAAAGAGATCTGTCGGAGTTCAGTGTCAGCAGGGAGGAATTCACCGGCGAAAACCGGGAGACGTACTGGAGGATTAACTTCAATTTCAAACGTCTGGAAGCGAGCAAACAGCAGGTATTCACTGGAATGATCGAAACCGATGGAGTAGCCTTGCGTGTACACTATCGGCGGTTGAAGAAAGATCGTCCAGTTCCGCCCTCGGCGAACCATGAAGATGAGAAGGAGGCGGATCCTGTGACGCAGGAGGTGGAGGATAACGACTTTATGGTTGGCGCGGCGAAGCATAAAGATGGGAAGGAGGCGGGTCCTGCGACGCAGGAGGTGGAGGATAACGACCTTGTCGTTGACGTAACGAAGGATGAAGATAAGAAGGAGGCGGATCCTGCGATGCAGGAGGTGGAGGATAGCCACATTGTCGTTAGCGCTACGAAGCATGAAGAAAAGAAGGAGGCGGGTCTTGAGACGCAGAAAGTGCATGATGACGACTTTGTCGTTGGCGCTGACCCCAGAAACACAAATATCATCACCATCGCAGCACCGAAGCGCGCAGAAGATAGTACTGACGGTAACTTGCGTCAGAAAGACATGCGTCTGCTGAGGTTCTCGAGAGCGAGATACGGCCGAGAATCGGGAATCATGAATGCAAGGAACAAAATCGAGACTTGGAATACAGGAATGAAGGATCTCCTGGAAGCTATGAGCAAGGTGACGAGCCGAGGAGCGGACTTTCATGCTTTTCGGGAGTTTATGCAAGTTCGTGTTGCTCATTGGGATGCACTGTGGGAGGAGTATACAAAGCCCCGGTGGGCTCGGTTGCGTATGAATTTGTACAGTGGGAAGCAGCGGGAGTTCGCGATCTTTTTCAATCACTTGAGTGCCCTCAAAGAGGACAAGACTCAAAGGCTCGTAGTAGCATACGGAGCAGGGCGCTGGGCGCCCAAGAAAGGTACTACGCCAGCTCCAACGACGAGGATGTACAAGTCGTGTGCACGGCGTTTTCTTACAATACCTGTAGATGAGTTTCGAATGTCCTACACACACCTCGAGCTGGTTTGTACACTTCAGAGGGTCGAGATGGAAAAGTGCCAGCCGAGCCCTGAGGAAATAGCAAAGTACGGACCGCTGACGGAGGAGCAAATGGAAAGGAGAGCGAAATTTCGTGGACTACTGGCACTGGTGAGTACAACTCCCAACGGCACGAATCGTATGGAGTTTGTTAACCGAGACTTTAACGCCGCTCTCAATATAAGGAAATGTGCGGTGCTGGAGACGAGACCTCCAGAGTGGACAAGAGGGAACTTTTTTGGACAACCTCTTCAAGTTCAGTTATATGAGAAGAAGTTGGAAGCAGCAGTAGGTGGCCGGTCGAAAGAAACTGGAAGGCGTCTGTACGTCAGTTGGAGACTTCTTGGCTAGGGCACGGTTGCCGCCACTACTGTACACCGCTGGCGTCGTTCGACTTTCGAACGGCGTTCGGATGCGGCGGACTCTTCGGCAGTTTTCGCTCACCATGACACAGGTAGTCAAGAGAAGTGATGCGGAAACCGAGTCCTCGTTGGGCGCATACGAGCGCGAGCGACTCGCGCGGATGGAACGGAATCGTATGCTCATGGAAAAGCTGGGTGTCACCTCACTTTCGAACCGGCTCGAGACGATCACGACTGTTCGGGAGCAAGCCCTCAAACCCATAGGTTACTCGAAACGCACGCCAAAGGCGGAGAAAAGGGCGCGCAATTCTGAAAACGAAGTAGACCGTGGAGAGCTGGAGCCACGGCGTCGTTCGCTTCGTGTGCGGGGAATCGCCCCGGCCGGAGCTGGAACATCAGCAGAGGAACCGAAAAATAGCCAGCTACAGCTGAAGGAAGAGGAAACATCAAGAGGTCCGTTTTTGGAAGACCAGACGTTCGCAGAGGTTGCCCTAGAAAACTATGGTGCCACTAGCGAAAGCTCCATGGTCAACGACGACTACGACCGCAGCGACGTAGACGACGTCGATGGTAACAAAGACGACGGAGACCAGAAGAGCTTGTGTACGCGGCGCGCCAGGTTGTTCCAGCGAGCCTGGTGCGGTGCAATGGCATGCACTTCCTTGTCGACAAGTGAGCATCTCGCGAAGGATCCAAGCCGTTTTCACCGCTGGGTGCTGGACGAGGCCTCGGGCTTCTTCAAGCTTGTTCCAGCACGTATTTATTCCGCAACCATGCATCCGCGTCTCGATGCATGGACCATGATGGTTGGCGACAAGGCAGGTCATGTGGGCCTTGCTGTTGTACCACGGGAACGCGTCGCAGAACATGCTGTTCAGGTGCTGTGTATGCGAGTTCACCGCGACACAACCGCTGGCATGGCACCACGTGCGGGTTCCGCCAACTCCCAACAGCTGCTAACAGTGTCCTACGACGGCAGTGCGCGCTTGCTAGATATCGAAAAACAAACAATTCAGACAGTCCTCGTCGATGAGCGAGAACGAATTTTCAAGAGCATAGCGCTCAGTACAGAGAACGACAACGTCTTTTGGACCACTGCCAGCCATCGCTCACTTGGTGGATTCCTGGTTCGCCACGACCTTCGACAGAGCCAGAAATCGTTCGATGCTTTCGGTATCTCTGACAGCAGAGTCTACTCTGTTAGTTTACAGCATCAGGGCGCTGCAGGAGCAGTCCCCGGCCATGACGGTCTGCTGGCGGTCACGACGGCGCGAGATGGTGTTCTCATTTTTGATCAGCGTCGAATCGAGACTGGCGCTACTCGCCGATCAACATCAAAACCGCTTTTTGCTCTACCACACGAGCGCGCAACAACTGCAGCAACTTGGTCTCCGTCGGCGACGCGGCTGCTGACCACCTGCTACGATGACTTGCTACGCATATGGCATTACGACGGCAGCGAGTGCTCGCTCGAACACCGCTTTGTACACAACAATCACACCGGTCGATGGGTTACGCCTTTTGAGGCATGCTGGGACCCAGCTACGGACCACAAGATTTTTGCGTGTGGATCCATGAATCATAACCCGGTCCATGGCGTGGACCTCTTCCACGTGGAGCTCAACAAACGATCAGTCTGGAATCGGTTGACTGGCGAGCCCATGACGGCGATTGCGGCTGTCCTGGCCTGGCACCCGGCAGGGCATGCGCTCATAGGCGGGACTGCATCAGGCAGGGTATATCTATGGGGCGAAGCTCACGGATCTGAGGGCGTCCTCGCAGCGTGATTAGATCCACACGGTCGAGAATTCTAGAGCGAAACCACAGATCGCTTTGTAAGGATTCGCAGCGAGTACTCGGCCGCGACGACGATATCGAGAAAGAAAAGGGTAACAGCACGGCACTGGAATGACGTTGGCATGCGTTATGCCACGAATGACAGCACCAGTCGACAATGAGATGTTTGTCTGCTCGAGCGTTGGCGAAGAGAGAGACTTGATGATGATGATGATGATGATGATGACGGGCCTGGGTCCTGAGCTGAAGAGCATCGTTGCCACCGCCGAATCTCTAAGTAAAAAAGGGCACAGCCGAAGACTTCAACAAGAACGCAGATGCTGCTGCTCAACTTTTCCAGTGCTCGGTATCATCGACACTCGGGTATCATGGACGCCAGGAGGCATACCATCAAGAGGAATAGAGACGTCAGGTCCCATTCCGACGCTCCGAACACCGTATCGAGCAGAGGATGGCGCTGTGTTCGCTTCATTGAGAGCGCTTCTGTATGCGTCCAAATCGCATATGCAGACGATTTAAGGCAGAAGTACATGAGATCCTGGTGCGGTTAGCAACGGTTGCAGTTTTATGGAGCCAAGAGGCGTAAATTCACCAACTTATTGAAAAGGGCATCTTAAGAAATGACCTACGATTCGCGTCGTTCGCTGGTATCCTATACCGTTGGACGCGCTATGCCAAGCCAAACCTGCACTGCTGTTCCTTCGAAGAGCACGTCTAGTGAGTGCAGGGATCGATGCAGCACGATTTCCATCCATGCGTTCAGTGCGAGACGGACGCCTCGCGAGCGAGGGTGCAGCTCGAAACATAGAGAGAAAAAGAACGCGGAATAGAAAAGGATGCACGAGATCGTATACAGTATGCTGACGAAACGGCCATTTGCGCGGAAATCGCAAGTCAGCGACTTGCTATGATGTGATTCCATCGGCAAACACGTACACAAGCAGTTCCTGCACCCAGGCATCAAGGACTCGATCTCCATACGGGTGTGTCTCGTGCATCGGGAGGGTCCACGGGCTTTATGCTGAGCGGAATTTCGAGAGAATGATGTAACATGCAGTATGGGTATTGTGCTGAATCGCCCAATAACTGCGATGATGAAACAAATCAATGGCGAGGAGAAATGGGATTTGATTCTGAACTGCAGCGAGGCACCGGTTTGGTGCGCTTCAGTAACCGAGAAAGTCTGCGTCCCTAAAGGAATACATCGGGGAGAAAGTTCCGGTAAAGCTGGTGAGCAATAATGGTGCTCCATAATTCGATATTCAGAGTTCTGCGAAAATGATCACAGCATACGACTTGGTTGAATATACGCACCGAAGATGTGCAGCTGCCGCGATGTCAGCAATGTATCCTTCTGTGGCAAATCGCCAGGTCAGCGCCCAAGCTGCTTTTCAACGTGTTCCTGACTCGACAAATCAATCACGAATCAAGTAGGCGGTTCTCTGTGGTCGTATCCATGAACTGAAGACAGTGAAACGCTCAAACAGCGACGATTTTGAGGACGATGATAGCTACTACAGCCTCGACGCCTCGCGGCATGAGATGCGGACGCAATCGAGCGAAGCAAACTTCTTCAGCGCTGTTCATCCAGCCATGGGAAGAGCGCCAGCCAGCGGCTTACTCAACTGCGAAAGCGATCCGAGGATGTATCGCGCAGCCCGCCGACGTGACGCCTCAACAGACGTCACGTCGGAAGTTCGCTGACCACGGACTGCAGACCCCAGTGCATGCGAATGGTATCACGAATCCAAGTGCGTCGAGCCTTCTCGATACGTTCCATGAAACGCGCACCATAGGTTCGTCTAAGCCTACTCCGGGCGATCCAGCGAGAGAACTCTGGCAAGGTCAATGGTGCTTTGCTCGTTAGACGACCACGCTTCCTGGTCGGCGATAACGGACCAGGATCTACGCCTGGAGAACCTGTCGCCGCTGCATACTCTTGTTCGCGTCGTCTCCACTCCTTCGCTAGCAAATGTACGTCCGCAATTACTTCGGGTGCTTTGGCTCGAGCGAGAATCAATGGCCCATATTCCGATACAAATGCAAAGTAGAGGGCAGGATCTGCTAGCGCGCGACGCTCCTGCTCCAAAACCATAGTGTAATGTGCGATCACGAACGCGTCGCTCTCGTCGTAGCCAATCGAGTCACTGGTAAGCTCCACAGACCCACGTGTATCGTGCCCGGCAGCTTGTGCGTCTGGCAACGCTACACCGGGCGACAGCGGCCTGCTGGAACGTTCGAGCCAGGGTCGTACACGTTCGAGCACCACCGCCTTGACGGAGTGCTCATCGGAAGCAGCGTCCGAGTACAGGGCACGCCCGGTGAGTCCGAACCATCCTCGGGCTTCGGATGGATGGATGCTCAGCGGTTCGTGCACACAACCCAGCCGTCGACTCATTTCGTAGGCAATGAGCGTGTTCAGTTCGGCAAGCCGGAAGAGGCTGTTGGTGCGAAAACGACCGGGGGTGTAACAGCGCATGTAGGCCTCCACACCGATCACAAACGGGCAGCCAGCTGTGTCTTCCTGTTGCAGACGCTCGTGGGCAGCAGCAACAGGAGCCGCTGCTGATACCTGATCGCATATCTGCGCCACCTTCGCGTAGGTGCCAGTTGTGCGCGTTGTCGAAACCTGCCCAAGAGCTATCAAGTGGTTTATCTGCGATGCAGAAGACACGTACGCGTAGCCGGTATTCTGGGTGCTGATGTCCAGCCCGAGCGCCACAAACGGCACTCGCAGCAACGCCTCCAAACGAGCAGCTGCCTCGCAGCTCTCGCCAGCACTGCACTCGCTCCAAGCGCTCGTCGTCGAAGAGTCTTTCTCGACCTCTGTCAGACCGCAGCTCCCAAAACTTCGCCCTTTCTTGAGCACACCAGGAAATATTTGTTTCTGCTTTAGATCGGAAAGTGCAAGAGCGGCTGCAGGCAGCGTCGCTCGCGACTCGAGATCACCCCAGAGGCCACAGCGCGAAACTCGCAACGCATGTAAAGCTCGTAATCGACACCTGGAACCTATTTTGTTGCATGCTTGAGCCAAGGAGCATTTCTGACAATTTCCACGAGGGATCACGACCCACATGACGCGATAGGCGAAAACCTGCTCCTACTACACTCGGCAAGCAGGGACTTGGGGCCGCCTCACAGCTTCCCGCGTGCCGCTGCATGCGGGAGCGCACGCGAGGTTTGGCGCCACATCGCCATGGTGTTGCTGTAGAAGCTGTATAAAAAGGACATCCCCCCACGCGTGCCACTGCATGCTCGTTTCCGTGCTGCCTTGCATGCCTCCCTCATTCCCTAGAAAGCATTTCCAGTAGAGGCTGTGCGAGTCGCGGATGCAACTCGTGATCGTCTCTCAGCCTGCTTACTCTGGGCACTGGGTGTCACGGAAGCACATCCCAGGCCGAGGATGCGAACTCGACTCGATGTACACCGTGTGTCATGACAGCAGCACGAGCGGCAGTGCGTGCCTTTGCGAACAGATCCCCAGCAAGGCGCTGCATGCAACCAGGTTTTCAGTGCTCAGTCATCGATAGGTCGATACTGAAGCGTTCAAAGCCTAAGTGGACGTGTTTTACCGTAGGAACAGTTCGGAGCAGCGTACAAGTGGCGGGAGGCCTTTCATCGGCGCCCATTGGAACCGTGCGCACCTCGTGAGCGCTCTCTGGAGCCTTGCACACCACTGGGGAGCTCAGGAGCTGCAGTCCAGCACGGTGTTGTGCCAGTTCTGCTGCACGATAGCAGCAGCGGCGGCGTTGACAGCGCCCTGCAGTTGGAGCATACGAAACGGCGGACATCTGTCAACGATGCACTCTATGCCCTGTCAGCACTCAAGCGGGTGCGTGCTAGTGTTTCCTCCAGCAGCGCGATGAGTCGATCGATGTCGATCATCTTCTGGGATCCAGAGCAGGCAAAGTCGCGCTCCTCGAAACCTGCAATGCACGCATCCGTTTTTGGCTCTGTGCTGGAAGCTTGGGATTGCAGAGCATTCCTCACGTGCATCTGAATCTGCAACTCAAGCGCGTCCAGCAGCTGAAGACACGTGGTAACCTGGCCTTGCGCAAGAACATGCCCCCCGGCAGGCAGGCTGTTGCGAATGCGAGCTGCAACTTCCCTGAGAAGGGCTCCGAACGTACGCTGCGTACCTGGAAGGGTCAGACCAGACTCGGGCGGGTGAATGCGCGGACGCAGTACGAGCAAGGCCAAGTCCGGCTCAACAATGGCTTCTACTGCAACGTGTTCCGAATGAACGACCCTGCCGTCATCGCGTAGCCGGCGCCACCAGTGACAAAGGTTCCGCTCTGCGTAGCGAGCTCCCGGCGGGTACACAACGACCATTTCGAAAACCGTATCTGGCGGTGCGAACCTGTCCGAGTGCGATGCCCCGTCGCTGTGCGTCTTGTCGTGGTCCAGCATGGTCTCTGGAACACGTATGGATTGAACGCTATGGCAACGAACAGTTGGTACGTCAGAGACGAGGCCGCATATGATGAGATGTCCACTGACCTGGTGCGCTGGTGCGGCAACGCTAAAAAGATGGTCCACGCTAGCCGGGCCTACCGCTGGAGTGTAACACCGAACAAAAGCGTCCAGATTGCGCTGTGGTGTGCTGAGAACCAGCCGAAGGCGACGCGAATTCGCAAGCGCCGTCAGTGGCTCACGAGCATCCCGCCAATCTCTCACGACAAGCAACGCATGCCACCAGTCCAGCGACCAGAGCAGCTTCTGCCGGAGAATATCCACACATGGTATTTTTCGATAGCGCGGTGACGTAGCGCCTGGACGCTCACCATCGCGAGACTCAGCTGCTTCCTCAGTGAGCGTCCGTGGGGATGCGCGCGGCCTCTTCGCCATCGAGGCAGTACCCGAGACCGTGCATGGTGCTCGCTCCGAGTCCAGCATGATATCCGTAACATCGGACTGCTCCGCATTCATCGACGCTGATGACGCATCGATAACTCGTGTTTCATGGAACATATCTAGCTCCGAAGCGGGGCACATCGGTATCATCTGTGCAGTCTCGGGAATGGAGTCGCACTGGCCAGGCGCATGCCCATCCGGCATGGTCGCGGTCGAGTCCAACGTGCTGCTGCTGTCGATATCCAGCGCTGCTCGCATTCGCTCCATTTCTCTGCGATCCATGGTGGCAACCCATGCAGCTGCACGCCGTGCGACTGCTTCTTTGAGCATAAGCGAACGCTTGGAATCTATCCAAGCTTCGATTTCTGCCTCTAGACGATGCTGTAGCTGTTGCAGGAACACGCCAGCACCGGAGCCATTCTCCTGCGAAGCCGCTCGCCGTGCCGGGGTTTCCAACGCAGCCGCAGCCTCTGATGGTGCCAGACCGCGCTCATGTGCGTCGACGTCTGCATCGCCGGACTCGTGTACTCCTGGTTCCAAGTGAGCTGCGCGTGTACGTTGCTGCTGTTGCGGTTGCTGGAGTGAGCGCTTTGTTCCAGATCCGACTATCCCAGCGTGCGCGACGAAGAGCGCACCCTCCACAACAACTCGGTAGTTCCAGCTCTTTGCACCTGTAGCTGGCGTCCGAATCACCTGAATACACGAAGACACTAGCAGGCTATCCGAAGTGGTCGCTTGCACGCGCCACAGTGGCGATACTTTCGAGGCAGCGACGTACGTCGTTCGCTGCAAGTGCTCCCCTTCAAACGCGTCGTCGTCCGTGAACGGCAGCAAGATCCAGCACGTCTGACCTTCGTCGGTCGAGACCTGTACTCCGTGACGGTAGAGGCCGCACCAGCGCACCCAGCCAGCGCTGAGCAGGCAGTGCACACCAACGGCATGTGCGCAAGGTGCGGAGCTCGCGCTTCCGTTCGCTGTCGCTTCAGAGAAACTCAAAAGCGCGCTTTCCTCCAGTGCAACTCCGTCAGCCTCTTTCTGTTGTCTATTCAAAACTGCACGATCAAACCGTTCATCACGCTCGTCGGTCGTCGACAGATGAACCACGACGTAGTGCAGCGCGAGCCTAGCGGACACCCCGTTCTCTATGCAGGGCAGACTCGCGACCCAAACGACGACTTGTTGCGGATTGGCAGTGATGCACGGTTGCACAACTGCAACCCAAGCGGTCATTCAAGCGGACACCGCAGCACGCAACTCCAGCGCCCTATCGTGTCCCATACAAGGGGCAGGAAGCCAGCGCGGCCCTCATTGGGCGCCAAACACCAAGTACGATACAGTATATGTGGACGTTGCAGAGCCGCGCAAGGCATCGCTTTTGTTCGGAGCTGGCGTCCGCACGCTGGAGGCCGAGCGACCGGGTTCCCTGCACCGGTTCAAAAACCCAAGGTTGCAGAGCAGCAGGCTGTTCCGAACCAGTAGTGCACCCTACCAGGGGTCATGTTGCCACCAGCGTCACCAGACGAGTGCCGGGTGCTGGACGAGTTCGAACGGCTCCTGGTGGAAACGCGGCCCTCAGGCAGCTCGACTCTTGCGGAGGCGGAAGCGGAGCAGTCTCCAGACGCTGAGCAGAGGACGGCTCCCTGCCCAGACGACGACTGGGAACATACAATCGAAGCGGTTCTTGGTCAACTGCAGCAGACTGGTGTCGCTGAGAAGCTTCCGCTCGGTGTCGGCGACGAGGATGTGCACAGGCCCGCCGACAGCTCCGCGCGTGCCGAGTCAACCGAGCAGCGCGAGGACGAGCGCGCTGATGCTGAACTCGACGCAGCCCTCACCCAGTTTGTAACCGAACTGGGGGCTGTTCCCGGACCCACCGCAGCGGGAACGGGTGGCAAGGCATCCACCTCGAATGGGACAGGCGCGAGCGAAGCGAATTACGCGGCTGGTAACGAAGTCGAGTCGCTGATCAGCAACCTCGTGCAGACGATTCTCTCGAAGGATGTGCTGTACGCACCAATGCTGGAAATCAGAGGCCTCTACGAGTATTATCTGAACAAAGAGGAGTGCACAGCCGGCACCGATGGCGAAGCTCATCTGGCGCAAGCCGACCTGGAACGCTACCAAGCCCAGTATACGTGCGTGAATGAAATCATTACGTGTTTAGAAGACGAGAGTCTGTCACCCGGAAAGCAGACTGAAATGCTCATGGATCTCATAGCGCGGATGGAGAGCATGGGTGATCCGCCACCGGGCGTGCTTGAGACCATGAACGTGGCTCGAGAGCGCCAGAGTCACGAAGCTGCCCTGGATCAGAGCCGCACGGACAACAACGCAGACCCCGAACAGGTTATGGCGATCCTGGAGAAACTTCTCCAAGAAGTAGCCGAATCACCAAGCGATGCTTCGGCAATGGCGAAACTGCAGCGCGCTTTACAGGATGCGCCACCAACTTCCAGCGATTGCCGACAACAATAGCTTTCATGCGCGGTTGCCAGTGGAGTGCACTTTCATGCAAGGTTTATTCAAGAGCGTGGCTCTCGGTATATGAGCGAGCTCAGGCGGCGTTGATGAAGGACGCGGCCGCCACTGTCCGGCGTATACGAAAGTGGAGTACGCGTGGCTCATGCGCTGCCCATGTTCCATCAATGCAATGGTGCAAGTTCGGGTTCCGAGAGCCCTAACACAGCGCTATCCAGCTTTTGCTCCAATCAGAACTGAAAGCGAATGCTGGACTTGCCTTTTTTTGGATAGTGTTCGAAGGACAAGCGACCGCGAAGCGGCCGCATGAAGCACGCGGTCGGATCGCAGGCCTCGAGACACTTGAAGACGCGGCGGTGACGTCCACCTGGCGTTGCAGCAAGCGCCTCTGGTGCACTCGCCTTCCGCAGGGTCGCTGTTTCGGGTCTCATTTCTCCAGGGCAGCACGATTTGAGAGCAACACAAACGCCGACGCATCTGCCGACGAGATGGGCGCGCTGCCCAGCCAATGGCTAAACCTGCGTATCCGAAGGAATCTGGTTCAATGCATCGATCGCAGAGTGTGTGCAAAGCATTTGCTACGCGCCGCAGCCTTGCCTTGGGGTGCAGCGTATGTGCCAAAGCGTGCTCTGCGTCGTGCTAGCCTCGGATATACATAACAATAAATCGATTTAGAAACACAGATGGACAATATGCACCGACATACGCATGTACAACGATGTCTGGCGTACATACGGTTATGGAACGCTCGTGTCCGTGCAGTAGACGAGCGCAACGCGCTGCAAACCGCTCAAGACTCGTGATATCGAGGCGCTGGCTCCCCTGGAACCCTGCTGCTGTCACTTTTGCAGCAGCACATAGCGTTCATTTTTCCACGACATACTGCGATGATGCGCTTCACCGCGTGCCAATGCTAGCCTCAACGGTTAATGCCAAATATGCGTACTCCGTGCATAAATGGCAACTTTGCGACAAAGACAACGAGAAACGCAATCAGGTTCACGGCGTGTACGAAAAAGAATTGTCGTTCGAAAGGCGTGCTGTGCACCGCGGCCAGATAAAGGAAGACCACAACGCAGATGAGAAACTTTCGTGACGGCGTATTCTGGACGCTGCCGTCAATCTGCTCCCACCAGGTTTGTTTTTCGCCCTTCCCCATCATATCTACCCAAGGCGTATGGAAGGGGTTCCCCTTGATCCAGTGAAACACAATAAAAGTCACACCCGCATGCACAACGTTCATAATTGTCCAGGACTCCATCGGGCTGAGCGAGAGACCCAGGCCAAAGAATATCCGAAAACTCGCAAGGAGCATAATGTAGAACGTCCAGCTTCCCTTGGCACGCAGCCACTCGACACCAACGTCGAAACGCGTCTCGCCGTGACCCGACTGCATCGCGGCGAAACGACGTTGACCACGACTTTGGCGACGATGACGATGACGCTGATAACGAACAGCGCTCTCTGAACGCCAGTTTCAAGTGCCTCGTCACGCCAGAAGCTCTAAGGAAACGTTCACGACAACGACGACGACAACAACAACAGCAACGACAACCACGAAGGAGCGTTAGACGTTCGCCAGCACACCAGCGTCGCGAATGCTCCGAAACGGAACGCCGGAGCGGAGCGCGCCAGCCCGTCCAGATTCGGCAACGCGACGTCGGGCGAATCGCGCAGGCAGCAGCACGGCGCGCCAGCGCCCAGAGGCCTCCGTATGGATGTGTTCCGATTTTGCTCAGATTTTACAGGATGTTGACACAGGCCAGCGTGCCGCCACGGGGTGGTGCGCGTGCGATCCGCGCGCGGTGAAGAAGCATCCAGCATACGACATCGGAGAACGCTGGCCTAAGTAAACGTTTTGTCAATGAAAAAAATCCAGCATTCGACGCCCTATGTCCAAATTCTATAATCCATGCTTCCTTCCGAACGGACTGGCCGTTCCATACGCTCTATCGTGCGCCGAGTGCGTGCGTTGCTGCATCCGCAATAGAGCATATATCGCAGGTGCTTGTGCAGCTCGGAGATAGAACGGCTCTTCGATACCACCTAGGGCGCTTCGGCTCGAGGTATCATGCATTCAACACCGGATCGCGTCTCTCCATCATTCTGGGGGCCTGCAAGCTGCGCAGCGAGACTGACTGCCCACGACAGCGCGAAACGATACGCAAGGAGATAACTGCAACCGGGGCGATACCTGGATGCATGCTACCCGCCCCTAGTCTCAAAATGAACCGCGTTACGGATGAGTCGCTGAGAGCTGACTACAGCTCCCGCCACTGTAGAAGAATACGGAGCGATAGCCCGGTAGATGCGTCCATCTCGGGGGATCTTACGCCTAGCAGCTAAACATTCGACAATACGGAACGCTTCCCGCCCCTTTTCAACGCTTACCACGAAGGTGTAACGAAAAAATGGTCGCGTTGCTCGTTCATGATTCGTTGCTGTTCTCGGTTTTGGGTAGCCAGTCGCGATCGATCGCGGATCGCTGGCGGCCGCACGTTGCCGGCGGGCATGAACGGCCGCCGCACCTGCATCCGCTTACGGAGGCGGCTTCTGGCCACTCGGGCATATCTTGAAATATTTCAGACGCAGAGACTAGCACTTTGCGCTGAAGAGTTGGTTGACCGAAGAGACGTGAACGGCATGGAATATTCGAGTGCTCATTCCGAAAGAGGAACGACCGTAACACATGTGCACTCCAGTGCGAAGCCTGTTACGAGTACGGGTAGCGTGCAGCGAGGCACGCCGTCGCGATCGACGCCGCTGACAACGCCAGTACCGCCAGCAGCGGTTGCTGCACACCAGCAAACGCTGACGGGCGTCACTTCTGGTCTAGGGAGCTCAACTCTGTCGCATCCTGGTACACAACCGACGGCGGCGGTGACGGTGCAGGGCGTCAGCCCGGGGAGCCACCTGGGTGCGACGCAACGAGTTGCGGCTGCAGTTCAGGTCGGATCGCCTGTGGTGCATGTGGGCTCTGTCGGTTCAACGTCGACGGGAAAGTCACCTATTACTGGAGAGAAACTTGTCGCAGCGTCGCTTGATGCGCTGTCAGACTTGGGGCGAGATGTCGCACCGCACGCAACCCCCACAGTACCTGCGGGTGGCGACCTCGACGCCCCCTGTGTCGTTATTAAAATCGGGACCAGCACCATCATGCGCTACGATTCCGAAGGAGAGGCCGGAGAACTCGCGCTCTCGACCCTGGGCAAGCTGGTCGACTCCATCGTTGCGTTGCGGCGGCTGAACCACAATGTCGTGTTGGTCACATCCGGGGCAGTTGGGGTCGGCTGTCGGGAGCTAGGTCTCCGGAAGCGCCCCGATTCCCTTCGGACGAAACAGGCTATGGCAGCTATTGGACAGTGTAAGCTAATGCGCGTTTACGATGATTTGTTTCGCTTCTCCGGTCAGACGATTGCCCAAATTCTCCTGACCAGGGAGAATCTGAGCCAAAAGCACCAGTATTTCAACGCTCGAAACACCATGCGTGAGTTGCTGCGACTAGGTGTCGTTCCAATCGTGAACGAAAACGATACGGTGGCCACCGAGGAATTGCGCTTTGGTGACAACGACCGCCTGAGCAGTCTAGTGGCCGGCATGGTCGAGGCCAAGTGGCTGTTCCTCCTGACCGATGTGGACAAACTGTATACGGCGGATCCGCGCCAGCATCCTGGCGCTGAGCCTATCGACATCGTCCACGACATGGAGCAGCTGCACGTGCGACTCTCAGCGAACGAGGATGCCGTGTCGAGTGAACAGGAGCAACGCGCGGAAAGCGATACCCATGCTGCACACGGCCCCAAATCTCAGCTTCAAGGTGGCCAGGTGCCGCGGGGTGGCACCCAGTGGGGCTCGGGCGGCATGGCTACGAAGATTGTTGCCGCGCAGCTTGCTACTGCGGCCGGTGTCCATGTTTGTATCATGCACGGCCGTCGTCCAGAGGGTATTCTGGAACGTGTTCTGGACAAGAAGGGCTCGTCGCGTATCGGGACGGTGTTCTTGGCGTCACGCGAACCGATTCGCGGCGGTCGCAAACGGTGGATCGCTCACGGCCTTGCCCCGAAAGGCAAACTCTACGTTGACGACGGCGCTTGCCGAGCAGTGGCACGCCATAACTCTCTGTTTGCTGCGGGCATTCGTGAAGTTGACGGCGACTTTGAAGCGGATACAGCGGTCTCTATTGTTCGCCAGAGCGATGGCCTCGAAGTGGGGCGCGGTCTCACGAATTACTCATCGGATGAAATCCGTCGCATCATTGGTCTGCACAGCAAGGAAATTCGTCGGGTTCTCGGGTACCCTGGTCCAGACGAAGTCATCCATCGTGATAATCTTGTTGATTTGCTGGGCACAATCAGCAGCAGTGATGCCGATGAAACGGACTAGGTTATGGACAGCACGTCGTCACGAACGGTGCTAAATGGAGCGCTGGATGCTAGGCTGTCGCCCATGGACCCGTAGCATTGAAAAGAGTTGAAACCGGTCAAATTTGACTTGCGTAGAGCGCGCTTTGCCTCGGATCTACTTGGTGCCGCAGGCGAGTGCTTTGCGCGCGTTATACAATGCCAGTGCGCAGTTCGAGCGTCGCGCTGGTGATCAGCCCGGGACCCGCGACCAGTTCAGTGCACGATACCACGCGCGCTCATAGAGACGTCGGACAGGACGGTGTCGGGGTTCCAGCGAAGATATCGCCAACACCGATACGCTTGACGTAGAACCCTGATGCGGCCGCAAGTCGGTGCGATTCCCCCGAAACAACGGGTGAACGAGGCGGCATCTGGGGTCTGTTGCCAGCGAACAGAGGCCGTGAGCATGCAATCGTTTCTCTGTACCCGTGTCAGATTAAAATGGAACGCTGGACTGATACAGCTGTTCGTGCACTCCGAGCTCCTTGCTCCGAAATGCTTCTAAGTGTGCAGTGTCGAGATTCGAAAAGCAACACTTTGGGTTTACGGATCGATCCGCAGCGTTAGGATTCTCGGTCGTCTTTTCGGATTCTTTTGTTCGACGCTTTGCAGCTGGAATTCGTTACGTCACCGGAATCAAGATGATTCGGGGCGCCTCAAACAAGAGTCCATGAAATAAGCGATGTAATTATCCCGTTCACGGGGGGCAAGCCTCTGGGCTGCTCCTTCGGTTACGTGTAGCAGCGCAAATCACGCAGCCTTCAGGTTTTCGATTTTTCGAATTCATGGCAACTCGTGAGCGGAGCAATGCGAGCCGCTGGGTTCATAGCGACAGCCAGTCGACGTCGGGCGCTGAAGAACTTTTGAAGTCCATGTCGCGACGTTGCTGTACTTGCTATGTCACATAATCGATTGTGTGCGAAAGCGAAAACCCCTCTCTTTGTGGCCATCGGCGAAACGCCATTCGACATCAGCATCATGCCTCTCACGCGATATGCTCGCCGAGGTTCGCATCCCAACTATCTAAATGGAAATGCGTCTTGGACTCAGACTTGAGTTATCACGGCGACGGCTTGCAGTGGAGCGTGTGTCATCGTTTTGCATAACAGGAGCGTAGACGGATCGACATTTCTCGACGTGCTCTCCAGCCTGGGTCTTCCTTCTGGTGCCTTTTTCATCATCACGTACACCATCGCGTTCCACAAATCGTCTACCGTATGGAACAGCATGCGCTCGCGTGTTCAAAAAACAGCGAACTCGCTGGGGAGATCGTACAGGAGAGGTCCGTGATCACAGGGTACGACACAAGGTGCGGAAACCGAGGTGAGCATCGAGAGGCGCCTCTCGTATTTGTCCAGACCACGGACCAGGCGATGATGGAAGCCTGCACGTCTCACATGGTGCCGGTCGGTGGAGGCGATTTGATGGACGTATAGGAACGAATGACCAGAAGTAAGTGTACCTGCGGTGAGAGGTGCAGCGAGGCTGTGGACAGAGAACATGAACATGGCAAGCGAATGGTAGATCACAACCTCCGCTTTGCATAAACTGCGTTGACAACATCCGGAAGCAGAAAATGTTCGACTCGAACGCTGCCATCAATATTAGACGAGCCGTGAAGACGAGATCCGAAGAGCAGCGTCTGCCGAACATTGTGAGGCAGCCTCGCAGGCTCGAAGTGTGTCTGGATAAAGCCTGAAGCCGATACGAGGCTGCCCGACTCAGAGCCTCGGCGCGTGCGCGGCGTGCCCAGCACGATCGCCCGCGCCAGCGCGTCTGGGGCAGCGCCATGCGTATGCACGACGCTGGAGTGGGTGTGTACGCAAAGGCTTCACTAGGGAGCGCCGTTTTGGTGTTGATTATGTTTTTGGTGCTCGCTGTAGCGTTCATTGGTCGCAAACGCTGGCCACTGGCGCGACAAGAGGTCCGATTTCGACCCGTGCGTGCTCGTCACCGCAATTGGTCCAGCGCCGCACCCCGTACCACGCCGCAGGTAGCGTGCACGGCAACGGCGTCAACGAACGGCAGTGCGCCGAATGAACACCGAGATCGTCTAGTCCTTGTCGGGTTAGGCAACCCAGGACCCAAGTACGAGAAGACGCGACACAATGCCGGGTTCCTCGCAGCTGACGCGGTGGCGCGCGCATACCGGGCACCAGCGTTTCGTCTGAACGAGTCGTGGCAGGCGCTGCACACCCATATCGACATCGGTCGCCAAGTACATATTCTGAAACCAATAACCTACATGAACCTGTCCGGTCAAGCATTGCGGTCTTTTTTGCGCGACACTTTCGGTACAGGTTTCGAGCGAGAGACCGAGTGGAGCACTCGGCTTCTCGTCCTGGTGGATGACACTGCGCTTCCATTCGGCAAGCTGCGCCTCCGCCTACGAGGCAGCGACGGTGGTCACAATGGTTTGAAAAGTATTGCCCAAGCGCTGCGAAGTGAACGCTACAGTCGACTGCGAATAGGCATTGGCGGCGATCATCGGGCGGGCAACGGGAGCGCCGTTGACTACGTGCTGAGCGACTTTAGCCGAGCAGAATGGCGCACCATGGAAGAGCAGGTCCTGATCGACTGTGTCCAGGTTGCACGCCACTGGATTGAGCATGATGATCTGGCCAAAGTTGTGCAATTCTGTAATGCCGCTCGAAGCACGATGCACATGCCGCCAGCTTGAGCACGCATTCGCCACGAGCGCGCTTCCATGTCCAGAAGGATATGCGTGCACGCATCCACACGTGTCCGTCGTGGTGACGTGTCCCCTGAGGTTGCGCGCAATGCCGGCCGCAGGTACCGCAGATACCGCAGATTCCCTGAGAGACACGGATGCTGTCGCTCGTGACTCTCGCGCAGCACTGCGACATGCTGCGATGCGTACCCCCGAGCTGGAGTCGTTGTAGCACGGACACGAGTAATGCGAATCGCCAATGCGCTTCTGTCTCTGAGGGCAGCTCTGGTACTGTGCTTTATCATCCGCGATGCGTGCACATCTTAGCTCTGCCAGTGATCAGAACGGAACCACACAAGGGCAGGCATGCACGAGCGTTCATGACCTTTGTGCTACAACCAGTTGAACGCACGTGTCAGACGATGAAATCAGATGCAAGATGCGTCTGCGGGACGGTGCATCGGATCCAAGGGCGACGGCGAGATACCAGCGTAAGAACCGGTTCTGCTACAAGCTATCGGTTCGAGCGCACGATGTCGATGGAGCATCATGATTACAGGCTATCGCGGCCCGGGCTCGAGCACGCTGATTTTCAAGCCAAGATTGAACCGGAGGCAAGCAATCTGCCAGCGCTTCCCCGATCGCCCGCAGATAGTCGCGATGCGGCCGGCTCTGATCCCGCGCGTGATCACGCAGCCAGCGGCGTAAACTGGTGCGGATCGCCCACCCATCGAGTCGGCAGTGCGCCGCGAGCATTTCCTGCAGTGCAGCCTGGACAGCGTCCAGCGTGGTCTGCGCGGCACGCACGGAACCTGCAGTGCTTAGCGCAATGTCATCGATCCAACCTCCCTTGCGGCGGGCGCGAAGCTCCACTTCCACGTGCAGGTCAGGGCACAGCGAAACGCCTTCAACTTTGACTCGAAATGCGGGAGTCTCACCGAGGATCCACTGCGGGTCGGCTAAGCGATCAGCTATCTCACGAACAGCGTCCCAGTCAACTTGGGCAACTGAAAGTACTTTGGCGTCAAAGTCCATTCGGAATTGCCGCACGCACAGCTGCGCAACTCGGTCGACATCCATCGAAGGCACCATGTCGATAAGATTTCCGACTCGTGCGCGGACACTCGGCGTACCACGTACATCCGCAAACGTAGTCCTCAAGCCGGCCGACATCGGTGAGTACCAGCGCGTTGACGGGCCGACTTGCCCGGTCTCAGCAGCGAGTTTCGCCACCGCGTGCCGCCGATGAGCAGCCGCGATGCCCGAACTTTCGCTGCGCGTGGTCGGCGTCAGGAGGCCGCGCAGACGACCCAAGTCTGACCGGATCAAAAGAGTTCCGTGGTGTAGCGCAACATCGCCGGTCAGCCGATATGCGGAGCCGCTCACCTTGAACCCGTCGCACAGAATATCGTTACGCTGGTTAATCTCGAGGTGCAGGTCTCGAAACGCTCCTCGTAGCGTATTCGCCAGCCACTCCACGTTACCCCGCCGGTTAAAGTCACTTTTGGGCGATATGAAGCTAAAGTTTAGGTTGCCGAGATCGTGGACGACTGCCCCACCTCCCGAGAAGCGCCGGGCAAGGAACGGCTGCACCAGTGCGTTCGTGCTTCCGCTACTAATAGAGCCGTCGGCTGCTTCAAGTTGTGCAAGTAACCAGAGGTTGCTCTCCGTCCAGGGGTTTTGGTTTCTCCCGATCACTACGGACGGACTATTGCGGTACAGCAAGAGCACGTGGCTAACGTGGTGCTTCTCAAGCGCGTGCCGAAGCAGCCACTCCTCAAGAGCGAGGTTCTCGAAAACACAAGTGCGCTCCGAGCAGAGCACAGCTGCTGCTCGCCTCAGCGTCATTCTGGTGGTAACGCGTCAGTACGCGTAGAATCATCGAAACCCGTTTTCCAAATGAGACCCTACGTTCATCGACAGGTTCCGGCACTTGCAGGATACGAAGAACGAGCGGAACAGTCAGTGAGTCAGTCTGCGTAGTACCAGGCTGGCCAGCTGGCGAACCAGACAGATACAAGTCTGGCGGATACCGCACCCCCAGACGCAGGAATGCTCCGCGCGTAGACTGCGGGATCGCCAGATTCTGCGCCCCATTGAGCGCATGCCTTGCCTTACCTTCCCATACCGTTCTTTTCTGTACTTTATGGAAGCAAGCGGACAGGTTTGTGGCGGATGCGTTTTCGCCTGCCGCGATCTGGCAACGCCGCGCTGAGCGCGGGCATGAGCACCCAACCGGGCAGACGCTGCGCGCCCGACACTGTGTGCATTCCATGACTTTATGACTTGCCATCCGATGCGGAGGCATGCTGCTGCTGCTGCTGCTGCTGCAGTTGTTGTTGTTGTTGTTGTTGGTTGAGCGCAAACCATTCCGGCCGCCAGCGTGCCGGGATCGCACGATGTGTGAACTGGCGCGAACCGGCTGCAAACTCTGCCACAGTATGCCCCGCACCGTAGAGACGATATTTGTAGGTGACCAGACCCTCGAGACCAACTGGACCTCGCGCGTGAATGCGGTTTGTGCTGATACCCACTTCACTACCGAAACCGTACCGAAAACCGTCGGCGAAACGCGTCGAGGCGTTGTGGTATACGCCAGCGGCATCGACAGCGGCGAGAAAACACTCCGCTGTGTTCACATCCTCGGTAATGATACAATCGGTATGATGTGAGCCGTGCTCATTGATATGCGAAATCGCCTCGTCCATCGATTCCACAATCTTGACCGCCAGAATGTAGTCCAGAAACTCGGTATCCCAGTCCTCGGCGGTTGCTCTGCGCAGGAGCTTCTGCTTGGTATCCTGGTTCCGCGTTGAAACCAGAACCTTTTGGAGATGCGCAAAAGCGTCCTCATCGGCCCGAATTTCCACATTTTGCTTCCAAAGTGCCTGTGCAACCTGCTCCAGAACCCCGCGTTCCATTGCCAACCGGTGACAGATCAGCGTCTCGAGCGCGTTGCACGCTGCCGGGTACTGCGTCTTCGAGTCGACGACGATGCGCACCGCCTTGTCGGGGTCGGCATCCTTGTCGATGTAGCAGGCACAGAGGCCGTCCGCGTGACCAAGTACAGGCACCGTTGTATTTGCTTTGATGTACCGAACGAGCGATTGGCTGCCCCGCGGAACCACAAGGTCCAGGTACTGGTCCAGTTTCAGGAGCTCAGCGATCTCCGCTCGGGTCGTGACCAGCTGCAAAGCGTTCGCGTACCGGGCACCGAGCGTGCGTTCAACGCCTAGGCGCATGGCCGCTGTAAGTGCCTGGTTCGTGGCGGTGGCCTCACGCCCGCCTTTCAGCACCACCGCATTCGCAGACTTGAGACCCAGCGTGCCGATCTGCACGAGCGCGTCCGGGCGCGACTCAAATATCACGCAAATCACGCCAATTGGGCACGTGACTCGGTACAGTTCGAGGCCGTCCGCTGCAAGCTCTGTCGCCAACGTGACGCGTCCGACAGGGTCCGGAAGCGTGCGCAGCTGGTCGATTCCCGCCAGCAGCGTATCAAACTTTCCAGACCCAGAAAGATCGAGGCGTTTCAGTAATACTTTATCGAGTTTGCCTTGTTCGCAAAGTGCCTCAGCCTGACGCAAATCGCTTTGGTTCGCGGCGAGGATCTCGGCCCGTTGCTCTGCGAGCGCCTCACGAACAGCAAGCAGCGTTCTATCCTTCTGCTGGCTGGAAAGCGTCTGACAAACAAGTGCTGCCTGACGCGCTTGTTGCGCAACTTGCAAGATACTCTCTGTTTCAGTCGTCATTTGTAAAGCACGGGTCTGCGTCTTACTTAGCGATGAGCCGCCACGAACGATAAACGTCTTTCAAAAGAAAAACGCTGTCGCCAGTCGTGTACAGTAGTGGCGACCGGCGCCTTAGACAAACCGTCTCCAACTCAGTGTAGACGCCTCCCCGTCTTTTGGACCGGCCACCTACTCCTGCTTCCATTTTTTTCTCATATAGTTCCACTTTGGGAGGTTGTCCAAAAAAATTGTCTCTTGGCAAGTCGTCTCCAGCACCGTACATCTCCGTATACTGATAGCGGCATTAAAGTCACGATTCACAAACTCCATACGTTTCTTGCCATCACTGGTTGTGCTAACCAATGCAAGTAGTCCCCGAACTTTCGCCCTGCTTTCCATTTGCTCTTCCGTCAGCGGTCCATACTTTTTTATATCCTCAGGGCTCCTCTGGCACTTTTCCATATCGACCCTCTGAAGTGTACACCCCAGTTCATGGTGTGTATACGATGTTCAAATTTCATCTACAGGTATCGTAACGAAACGCCTTGCGCACTCCTTGATCGTTCCTGTCGTTGGAGCTGGCGTAGTCCCTTTTTTCGACGCCCAGCGCCCTGCTCCGTATGCTACAACCAGCCTCTGACTTTCATTCTCCTTGAGGGCACTCAACTCATTGAAAAAATTCGGAAATCCCCGCTGCTTCTCACAGTATAGATTCATCCGCAGACGAGCCGACCGGAGCTTTGTATACTCTTCCCAAAGTGCATCCCAATGCGCAACATGAACTTCCAGGAACTCCCAGAACGCTTCAAAGTCCGCTCCACGGCTCGTCATCTCGCTCAGAGCTTCCAGGTGATCCTTCATTCCATGTCTCGACTTTCTTCCTCGCATTCATTATACCGGATTCTCGATGGTATCTTGCTCTCGAGAACCTCAAAAGACGCATGTCTTTCTGACGAAAGTTGCCCTCAGTACCATCTTCCGCACGCTTCGGTGCTGCGATGGTGATGATATTTGTGTTTCCGGGGTCCGCGCCAACAACAAAGTCGTTCTCCTGCACTTTCTGTGTGGCAGGATCCGCGTCCTTCTTTTCTTCATGCTCAGCCGCGCCAACGACAAGATCGTTATCCTCCACCTCCTGCATCACAGGATCCTCCTCTTTGTTTTCTTCATCCATCGTTACGGGCGCAGCCGAGGGCGGAACTGGCCAATCTTTCTTCGACGGCCGATAGTGTACACACAAGGCTACTCCATCAGTTTCGATCATCCCAGTGAATACCTTTTGTTTGCTCACTTTGAGACTTTTGAAATCGAAGACGTTCTTCCGGTACGTCTCCCGGTTTTCGCCGGTGAATTCCCCCCCTGCTGACACTGAACCCCAGACTGATCTCCTTCATGATGCCGTAAAGGATTCTGGAATCGATGCTCACAAAATGTGACTTGATGTTGCACACTGGAACGGCACTGAAGCGCTTCCCCATTAGGAAAGTCTTCCGGTCTAACGACTCTTCATTTTTTCCTCACTCAGATCCATCTCCGCCTTGCGTTCGAGTTCTCGGTCCAAAAATACGAAATCGCGCAGAATTAAGGGACCACATCTTTTTCTATGTCTTCTCATATCTGATACCTCTGCTGCTGGATTCGCCAGCCCCAAGACTGCACGTTGCTCTTGTATAGCCTCACGGATTGCAGAAGCTTAATTCTTTCTCTTGCGTAATCTCTTCTTGTCAACGAACTCGATCTCATCTTGATACTTTCGATCGTTCGTGATGCCATTGATAATCGCCCATTTTCCATCGCGAGATAGGCCCGAGTAGAGTGCAAACATGGCGCCTATCATGAAACGTTCGAGGTTTACTGTCAAATGGTTCTTCAGATTCGTGAGGTACTTCATCGCCCCATAGTCGTAAATATCCCGGTCACCCCTGTATCGAGTACCCTCGAAGCGGAATTCCGCGAAGTTTTCGTGGAGGGCATCCACTAGCACATTTTCCTTCAGCGCTTGCGCTGTACCAAGCATCAGTTGACGAGTCAAGGTCTTGTCGAAGAATTCTTCCGGAATCTCGACCGTTTCCATGTGCATCACGTCGCCGTACATCTCCCTCGCCAAATGCATCAGCCCTGACGACGCCTTGACAATACTCTTCGAGTCTGAGTTGACACGTTTTTGATAGCATCTCGCAAGTTTTCCTTCGACGGATCCTTGATATATTTAAGAAGACCGGCGTTCACCACCATCTCGTCGTACTGTCGTCTTTCTTGCCGCCTTCGACGTAGCACCTCGCCCTTTTGCTTCTTCGCCTTTTCCTGTTCCTCTATATTCGGAACTGGTTCCGTTTTTCTCCGGCAGCTGTCCACGCTACTCCTCCAGGATATTTTACTTCCTTTTCCATAACTTTCCTTTTTTCAGTATTTTTCGGAAAGAACGCTCTTCGAACGCTTCTGTTATAAACCGCGAAAAATCACTTGAATTATCTAAACCGAAGTTTGAGACACGATTGAACAGAAAACTATAGTTTGCTATGACTTGAACGCAAATGCAACTTGTACGGCAGAGCAAGATCATAAACATCAGGACCACGTTTCCCTCCAACGGCAACATGCGCGTAGTATCTCATGCCTGCATGATCTCCCAGGTACGCGTATCGAACACACTATGTGGAACAAAGAACAGAGACGAACGATTCACGAGCTTCGATATATATATATATTTCGTTCCCCCCTCTACGATGAACGTTACAAGGGGGAAAGATTTCGGTATTTTAGAAAGTTTACCTCCTAGGCGGAAGGTCCATAGAGCCGTACGAGTCTGCTAGGCTGGTGCTCGGTGTGCCTCTAAAGTGGCTGGTGCTTTAGCGAGACCTGAGCAACTCGTCTGCAACGCAGTTTATACTAGGTCTCGGATAGGGTATGCTGCGTTTGGGCGTCGCCCAGGTCCTAGTGGGCTCCTTGTATATCGCTTCGCGCTACCACAGGCAGAACGTCTCTCTGTACAGCTTGCAGGCTCCCAGAATGATAATTAACCGTGATTCCGTGTCAGGTGTAGGATTCTGCGAGCCGACGCCCTCAGTGGTATGGCAAAGTCGTTCTGTCTCCGTGCAGCGTCTGCCCCAGTGGTATACGCGCTACGGCGGGTGCAGCAAGGCAGGCACTCGGCACACGACAGAACATACGAAACGGCCAGTATACCCGAGAGGAAGTATAAGTAGTGGAACTTGAATGTAGGTGCTTCATCACTGACGCTTTCCCGCAAGCCATGACCCATCCCGAATTCTGGGATGCATGGTCAATGTAATCGTTTTGTCATCTGGAAAAACAGCAACATGAACATCGACGACATGCGTCATGAGAAACGTGCCAAGGAATGCTAGTCATATACAAAGCGGTCATGCGAATCCAGAAATCATGGACATGGGCATCGCAATGCCGGTCCATGATCGACAGCCATGCGAACATGCATGACATGTCCATTGCAATGCGACAATCTATGACATGCGGCGATGAAAGAGCGTGCAGCGAACGCGCGCGCCGATCGACATGGCGCGCCGCGATCGAGACGCGCGCGTCGTTCGCGCGGCGGTGACCTGTTTTCGGTAACGCACAAACGACGACGAGTTTGGCTTTCGTACATCTACACATGGCACGAGTTCTCGGGTCGGTGGCTGCCCAACCGAAATGGGTGCCACTGGAATCGAACCCAGACTTATGGAATGAATATATGTATCACCTAGGTGTTGAAGGAGGACGTCCAGCGTTCGTGGACGTCCTGTCGCTGACGGAGGCAGTGGCGCAGCTTCCGCAACCTGTGCACGCGCTGGTGGTGTGTTTCCCACTGGGCGCACGGGAAGCCAGCTCCCCGGTTAGAACTGTAGGGTCTGACGTGTGCTATTATTTTTGCGCACAAACAGTACAAAACGCGTGTGGAACTATGGCGCTGCTGCACGCTGTCTTGAACAACTGTGAACGCGCGTCCATCCAGCTTCGGCCGAGCTCCGTACTGGAAAAGTTGCAGGCGCACGCTCGTGACTTTCCAAACGCAACGCCTTTAGAACGAGCAGAGTTTCTAGAAGGTGACGAGGCCCTGGCTGCAGCGCACGATGCATATGCTGCCGCGGGACAGACAACGGCACCTGCACCAGACACCGACACCGATTTGCACTTCATTTGCCTAATTCGGGACCGCAGCGGCCGTCGTCTTCTCGAGCTCGATGGCAGGAAACACGGTCCAGTAGACCATGGGGAAACGAACGCCGAAACTTTTGTAGAGGATGCGTGTAGGCTAATCCAGAACAAATTTGTGCAGCGGGGTCCGTACCTAACTGTCATGGCGCTGTGCGGCTGAGCTTGCGTATCGTTTGCGCTCTGACCAGTGGGCATCGTTGGATTGTGGTGCTCGCAGCCGTGTCTGCCGCGCTGACTTATCTTCTCCTCCAGCAAAAGTGTAGATGTTGCTTAGGCGGCTGCAGAGAGCACGATCGTGAACATAGGCACCGGTTCCTGAAAGGTCGTCGCTGTATCTGCGGGTCCTGGCTCCACTGTTGATGCAGCAGTCGCTGGGATTCCGGGCCGGGCGAGAAGATCTGAAAAGTGTACAAGCGACTTAGGCGCAAGGAGCAAGTTGCGTGGACGGATCGACGCGGTCTTCTTATCGAGAGAACGCGAGCAATCAGGGTACTGTCACTTGCGCTCGACCAAGACTGGCGGTTCGTTTCCCGCGTGGCATCTGTCGTGCTATCCAGGAGCCGCTGCGCGTCACCGTCACGCTCGGTAGGCTTGATGCGGTATTCCGCAAACTGGACTGGTTTGAGCAGCATGACGTAACGTTGTGTGGATGCTGTCGCCTTGTTCGCGTTTCCAGGACACCTGCTTTGGGTAGTCCAGTCGAGTACACGTAGCTTTCTGATGCTACAAGCTCGATAGACCCGTTACCCACGCGTGCGCATTTTTGCAGCCTTTACTGGCACTCCACAGAGCGTATCTACTTCGTCGAACGTAGGCGACATGGCGCACGGGCCGAGCAAGTGATCATCTAGGTGCGATCAAAACGGTACATTGCCATCCACGACGCAAGAGCGCTTGGTAGACGGCATGCAACCATACCAGCATTTATTGCATAGTGCATAATGCGCATCCAGCGTATATCACTGACGAGAGGCGGGCGTGTCGCAGAGAAGACACGCCAGCTACGCAGGTCTGAGATTGCGATTGGAGCAGGGCGTTGCGAGCGGCGACGCTCAATGAAGAGCCAACGGAATCCAGTGGCTGGGCACTAACGATACCCCGCACAACGCTGGTTGTACATGGAAACTATCTAGCATATACTCAGCAATAGCGAATAACAGAACGCCATCATGGTTCACAAACTGCACAGGAAAGTTGTTCGCGGTATATACATACGGCGCTCGTGCTGTACTGCGTTGCGGACCGCACCATACCAGTGCCTTGCTTCGGGCGAGAATTCTAAGGGACTCCTCTCGAGGCTTTTGGATTTTAGTCATAGAAAGTCTCGAACGTTTCAGCACAATGCCCAGACTGCGTATTAAACGATTTTCTCGTACATTCGCTCGAGCCGAAGCTGCTGCATGCCACGGATGCATGCCACATTTCCAAATGTTTACGAATACCCAGAGGTCTCGGTGCCGAACGTCAGCACACGCACTGTTGCCGGTGGACGCACACCAGCGCAAGCCGCTCACCATCGATTGCCACTCCACGTGACGTTCGGTCCGCGTACCGTGCAGTATACTGTGCACTCGTCTCTGTTTCATGCTCTTCTTCTCTAGCTGTCTCAACGGGCGCCCTCGCTGGTGATGCGTTCATGTCATCCTGGATGCATCGACGGGAATGGTAACGAATCGAATCCTGCATTCGGTGAACGCGCTCGTCGAAGGTACAGGTGGGCGCCAATGTGTGATGCAGCATCTCCAGCGCCACTGGACAGAACCAAACGACACGAATTATCCGTCATTGCCTTTCCAGACACATTGAACAAGCTGATGAGTGCAAGCCTCGTGCCCGAGTATGCCAGGAACCGTTGGCAAGCCGAGCGCTGTCCCGGGCACGCTCTAAAGCGTGCGTTGATACCTTCCATCGGTGCCCTGTTTTCTGGGCGATTGGCCTCAGGCTGCGATGGGTACAACCCAGACACGGTGCGCTTCATTCAGCGTTCGAGACCGATCCGTATCTAATTTTTGAGGCTGGTCTGATCATTGGTGGCAGCAGCGAAATAAACTTTTTTTGCGACGGCTGAAATCGCTTGGCGAAGCGTCGAGGTATTCTGGAGAGCGGGGCTTCGAATCTCTGATCCTTTGATCGGGCCGTCTCGCATCCTCTGTCCAGCACATCCTTCATGCTGTCGCGTGATGCCCTAATCGAGACATGATAGGGAAATGGGAATAGATGGGAGCTCTGCGTCCGGAAACTCGTACGACCGGTTCGTGGACGGGATATGTCAAGGCGAGCGTAGCCAGGCACGTCTTCTTCGAGTAAGAAGCTATGCGACTTTTAAAGGTGTCTTGCACCTTTCAGTATTAGGGAAGCGAACGACTCTTGTATGGATTCATGGGCGCTAGAACGGTGTGTGAAAACAGAGCGAATGCCTTTGACAGGATTCAACCTGGGAGAACATGCTGGCACGACGTCGAGTCGGCGCCAAGCTTAGCTTTGTTCCCAATAACCGATTTTTAGTGGCCGAAAAAGACGGTGCATAAGAGCAGGACAGAAGAATACGGGAAGCAGACGCCGCAGAATGTGCTTCGGCCAAGGATCCGGGGTTGAATGATTCGCTTTGTTCGTGGATCCATGGGGAATCACAGGATTGCATGGTCATCAGGGCGGGTATTGTCGGGAAGCACGTTGATCGCTCTCGTTTACGAACAGCAGTGTTTTATTCTTCGAGTACCTATGCACAGGTGTACCTTTTCTTCCGAATCAAAAGTATCATCGAGAGAAACGAAGACTGGTGTCTTCTGCTGTGTAAGCGTTCGCTCTTCACTGCGAAATCGATGGTGTCTTGTTTCACATGCAACGCTCTCCCATAGAAGCGCGGGATTTTCTCTGTCCACTTGTGTCCTTTCATCAGCTTCTGAATCAACGATATGGAAGATTCACATCCTATGGCTTCGTTGATCGTGCTATTTAGTAATTGTATGGAATAAATTGGATTGAACAGGTGAAAGTATATCATATAGTGTTTGATTAGCTCTGGTTTAAGTGCACGTCGTTCATGTTGTGGACGACGAGAACAGTTGTTCATCCACCAGGTTACCGTAGAATGACTGACTTGCATATGGGCGGGTAATTCTTCGCAAGCTCGCAGAGACATCATATGGTCCTTTCGCGACCTTTTGCCCGTCTACAACATTCATTCCCTTTGTTCAATATCTGAGAGAAAAATAAACGAAATCAAGAAAGACGTCCTGGTACATGTATTCACGAATTCAGCGCTCTGAATATGACCGAGTTCATGGCGATGCAACCGCGTATACCACACCGTAGCTGCAGGTGGTGCAGGTGTTGTTCGCGTCTCCCGAGCGTCGCACGTTCTCAACCAATTCACATGCGAAGAGCGTCCTGTGTCGAGACGTGCGCTGCGCGCTTGCGACGCAACGTCCTTTCGATAGCGAGTCAGCGCTCGAGACGTTGATGAGTCGAGATGATGACGACCTTGTCGTTTGATTTTACTTGAATAAAGTAGGCTCGAATTAGAAATGTGCATTCATTCGCGAATGATGTTCGTCGTTCATCGCAGTGTGGAACCGACCATGCCTACTGCGACATGTCCACGATGCCACCGATCCGGGGCAACACCCAGGTTCTAGACGACATAAATGGGCAGGTGCAGCACGCTATACCCCAGACCTGTTTCCACTCTGGTACAGTAGCCATGAACCGGCACCCAAGGACGACGCTCAAGTGCTCCGTGCGTGAATCGGAGAACCCAGCTAAGCTCCGGCGGCGAGCGAGACCAACGCTAGATGGTTGAACGTGTGGTGGCGATATCGCCACATCCCTCGTCTTTGGTGAGCCCTCAGATCCAATCCTCCTCGTTTTTCTCCACCTCTTTAAGCGCGATTTTTGCTGTCCAGTTCCCTTTCCAGTCAGTGCTTAGCTGAACGCGACCTTGTTTCGCGACCCCAATGCACTTACCTGCAGTATCGCAGGCAACCCCGAGTTTGATTGGCGCGAACTCCTCCGGCTGCCCCTTCAGTCGGAAGGTTTTAATGAGTCCCGCGCGCACCACTGCGTACCGGTAGCGCAGCTTGCTGTGTGAGGTTGCCAGAATACCGTGCAAGCGGAAAGTCTCGCCAGAATCCAACACCCAATCCCGTTTGACAGCGACCCGTGAGCTGATCCGGTTATAGCAGTCGACTTTGCCACCCAGCGTAACCGTAGAAGGGAACCATGCGCCCCTTACGGAAAAGTCCTTCTGGTAGCTCGCCTGGAAGTAAGGGGAGCCCAGTCCGGGCGAAGCGATGCCCAGCAGCTGCAACACACCGCCGTCACGAAAGCAAAAGTCCCGTGATGCGACCGCATCCCAGTCACGGTTCACTGATTCATAAACGAGAGAAACCTCAGTTTTACTCATTATAAACAAAAAGCCGGTGCGCTTCACCTGATAACTCTGCTCTACGATAACCGTAGCCCGCGAGCGAACAGCACCAACAACGCACAGGCTGCGAGCTGCACCGATCCCGTTTCGAGCACGTTTAAACCGGCGTGCGGAACGCCCACGTGGCCGTGACCCCCCGTATACCGCACGCGGCTGTGCCTGCACACGCAGCGGCCGTCGTACGATCGAGCGCAGCCCTTGCGGGCACGCAGGGACGTTGCGCGGGGCGCTTGCCGCCACGGCCTGGGCATCCGCGGGAACACGAGCCGGATCGCCTGCCGATGCATGCGCCAGGTACGCAAAAGGAGCTTTGTTCTGTTTTCCCCTATTTGTTTGCATAGGACGCATGATTTGTATGCACATGGCAGCGCCGCTTGGAGCAGCGATACAACGTCTTCGGCGAGCGTCGTCGCGCTGCACAGCAGACAGGGCGCATTCGCGACTAGACGAAGCGCACAGGTGGTATGCGGCTCGAGGTTCGCGTCTCGTGGCAACGTGTGGGCAGCATCCGGGAGCGAGATACGTCGCCACTGCGATGTTTGCGTTGGTTGCGCGGGCGCTCCGAACTCTTTCTGAATGGACTAGCACTGAAGAACCACGCGTCTGGAGTCGCATCCTCGAACTTGATGGTCATGACTCACCAGTTCATTGCGAGTATCCGTCGAGGACACTAAAATGTCGGGGATTGGATGCATATCGAGAAACCACGCGTCTGGAGTCGCATCCTCGGACTTGATGGGTATGACTCACCAGTTCATTGCGAGTATCCGTCGAGGACACTAAAATGTCGGGGATTGGATGCATATCGAGAAACCACGCGTCTGGAGTCGCATCCTCGGACTTGATGGGTATGACTCACCAGTTCATTGCGAGTATCCGTCGAGGACACTAAAATGTCGGGGATTGGATGCATATCGAGAAACCACGCGTCTGGAGTCGCATCCTCGAACTTGATGGGTATGACTCACCAGTTCATTGCGAGTATCCGTCGAGGACACTAAAATGTCGGGGATTGGATGCATATCGAGAAATCATGCGTCTGGAGTCGCATCCTCGAACTTGGTGGGTATGACTCACCACTTCATTGCGAGTATCCGTCGAGGACACTAAAATGTCTAGAGGTTGACTCCGCGTCTGGATGAGTCACCGGCGGAGCCGCTCATCCCTGGTGGTATTTCCTGCGCAAACACTTTCCAGGAAATCATCTGGGAACGTGATTCAGGTCGGTGTCACGCAACATTTTTCAGATGTCTTTTCGCAGGATAGACAGAGTTGCGGCTCGCTGTTGCCACGACTATCGATAGGGATGGTGCTGAACACCTGGTAAACATCTCCTCGAAACAGGAGTGTTGTTCCGAAGCCACAAGAATGCGCCGCCGCCGAGCGCCAAAACTCGAACAGCGCACCTCTCCTCGTGATCCAATACAGGCTCAAATTTTGGGGAAAGATGCAGTATGCACGAGAAAACGGCATACGCATGCTTGGACTAGATGTTTAAACGGGAAAGCGCGAGGGCCTGCCACACGCGACGTTTTTGAGCGCCACACCGCACGCTCTAATGGCAACACCCCGAATATGGCAAAGCAACATGCGCGAAACTATGGCGCTGGACCCGACAGCTACAATGGCGAACAGCTGACTCAGACCTTTGCACTGTACGTTCCGACCTGTGCATCGCCGCAGCTACGCAAAAGCTTCCGCTTCTGTTCCGAAACTGTGATCACAGGTCTTGCAGTGCTGCCGATCGCGAAACGCATAGCAGGCTGCGAGTCGAGGGGCAAGGTACCAGAGGCTGCCCTTCCCGGGCAGCACCAGGCCTCACACACACGGACGAGGGTGAGGTTTCCGTATCGGGCGCGTACAAGAGGCAAGCGCTTCGCCTGGGCCGTACAGCGTAGAGCCTACGGAGCCACTTGTGTCCCGGTTCTGTGGCGAGTCAGAAGCAGTCGTTTTGGCTGTGAACCCGCGCTGCTGGGCACTGCGAAGCGTCGAGTGACGCGCACTTCGAACGCCGCGGGTACTCTCCAGGGTGCAGGCGGGCGCTTGTTTTCAATACCTACCGACCGTTCGGAACAGGAGCGTAGACACGACGACCAAGTGATCGCTCCCAGTCGGCCAGACGGCTACCAAAGTTTGGCTGCGAACGGCACCTGCTCACAGTACTAGCAGCGCAGGGGTAGCGACACCCGTGTCATGAACCTGTTCGCAGACCCGCCTTTAACTGCATTCGTGAAGGCGCTTCGTTCGCACCAGCACGAGGAGTTGTCTTTTGTGCAAAAGCAGCTTGAGCTGCTTCGAAGCGAGTGCGAGGACCGCGATCCGGAAAAGAAAGCCTGGGCCTTGCTGAAGCTGACTCACCTGAACCAGCACCTACTAGCAGGCGACCTATCGTTCACCGCTTTTCCTATCGTGGAAACAGCCACTCGGTCTGTTCTATGGCAAAAACAGGTCGGATTGCTTGCTGCGAGTCTGCTCTTCCATTCTCAGACTCCGGAGACACTGCTACTCGCGAATCAATTGAGAAAAGATCTTCACAGTGGCAACCGCAACGAACAGGCGCTTGCGCTGACAGGGTTTGCGGGTTTCGCCTCCGCGGACCTCGCTGAGGCTTTGTGGCCCGACGTTGCAGCGCTGTTCACGAGCGCTCGTCCGTACCTGCGTAAGCGAGCAGTGGTCGCCTTCCATCGCAGCGTTCGTCAGTGCCCAGAGGTGCTGCCAGCGTGCTGGCCTCGCTTTGTCAACCTCCTGCAGGACGCCGACCCTTCCGTGGTCTGCGCATCAGTCACCGTTGCACTCGAAGAGGTGCATACGTATCCAGAACTGTTTATACAAGTGATTCCCCGTTTTTATGAAATCGCCAGCCAGGGCGGTAGCAATTGGTTGCTCATCAAAGTCCTGATGGTTCTCGACGCTCTGTGTGCACATGAACCGCGTCTACCAAAGAAACTCGCATCTTTGGTGACAAGCATGATAGAGGCAACCCAGGCCAAGTCGTTGGTGTTCGAATGTTGCCGAGTCGCATGTCGTCGCTTGGCCGATGACGGCCATTTGCTCTGTGTTGCCATTGCTCGTCTAATTGCGTTTGTTGAGGGTACCGATCAGAACCTTCGATACTTGGCGCTGAAAGTACTCCGCAATGTTGTCGAGTACCGGCCATCGATCATTTCGCAGAAACAGTTGCAAGGCGTTCTCAACGAGTTACAGAACAACGACATCCTGGTGCGGCTTGCAGCGCTAGAATTGCTTTCGAGCAGAGTGCATACTGCCGATGACTTACGATGCCTGGCTCAGAGCATGGAGCGGATGTCGCTGTTAGAGCCCGCACCGGGGCGGGCCCCGAACCGGGACACATCCGAGGAGCTGCGATTTCGCTCGATGTTGTTCAGTGAGCTGTGGCGATGCATTCGAAGGGTGTTTCCGGATGGATCCACTGATCTGGCAGAGGCAGATGCAGCGTGGTTGCTTGTGTCCATCGTTCGCCCGGCGCTTGTTCGGGCATCACAACTCGATGAGAAAAACGTGGAGCGGTTTGCGGTGTTGCTTTGGAAGCTTGTTCAATTACATGAATCGCTACGCGGATCTGCAGCGGCTGTGTGTCGTCAGGTTCTCGACCGCTGCCTCTCGGAATCACACGATTGGATCCGGTACTACGGCGCTATTCGAGTTTGTGTTTGGATACTGGGCACCAGTCTTGAAGGTGTGAACGACTCGTCTCGTGCCGCCAATGACCTGGAACGACTCACGGGACTGTTCCAGCTTTTCGAATGCGTACGCACGGGCGACGAGGAATTGGACAGTTTCGCAGCACTCCAGACGACGGTGCTGCGAACATTGCGCTTTTGCTGTGAGCATTTGCAGGCTGACTTTTCCTTGCAAGTCAGAGAGCGCCTCCAAAGAATCGTTCTATTGAGTCCAAGCGCCTTTGAGGAGCACTGGCGCCTCCTGGGCATCCAGCGAGACGTCCAACGCCGAGCGGGAGAGATCACTCGTCGCAGCGCCCCGCACCCCGGGGCACTCCAAGCGCTTTTGCGTTCGCTGCCCGCTCTCTCGTCACACGAACTATCCGAGTGTTGGGCTGATCCGCACGACTTGCCGCCACCGACACCGACACCAGCGATACGTCGACCACGAAAGCATTCGGAATCACAGGGCGCATCTCGGAGTGGCAACAATGCCGAGGCGGCGCTCCTGCTGCTCGACACCGTCGACGCCAATGATGTCGTACGTGCGCCGCTGACAGCACTGCCGTACAGGTCCGCTGCGCCCGCAAGTGCAACAAATGAATCCAGGGGCGAAAGAGACGCGAGCAGCGCGCATCCTCTGCAAGCGTCAGCGAGTGCGGGATTCACCACCGCATCTGATGTCTGGGCAGCACATCGTTTCGCGAGTGCCCCCGACGACACCTCAACGGATGCCACAGGAATGGAGGCAGCGGGAGCAAGCGCCCGCTCCACCACCGAGCTCGAGCACCTCGCATTCTACCTCCGTGATGCACCGAGCGCGCACGCACACGCACGACACGCACACGCACCAGCAGCCTCCGTGCCCTCGAATCAGCAGGCTGCTGATGCGCTCTCGATCGGCGCCAGTCTGCAGGGCAATGCGTGCACCAGGCATGATGCGATGCAGGGCGCACGCATCGCAGGTACCAGCGATGCCCCGGATGATGCCCTGTTGATTGACTTTTGTGCACCGTATGCAGCAATCGACGGTGGTGATGCTCCTGCAGGTGATGATGCACCATCTACGACCGGGGCTGACAACTTGGGACCGGGTCGGTGTGTTGCGACCCCGGAGCATACCCAAGCAGCAGTGTGAAGCGAGCTGCAGGCCGGACGTTCACACGGCAGTTTATGGGAAGCATGTGCTCGGCATCCTGGATCATAGCAGACACGAGCGTCGACGCTGCAACAGGGACGTCTTGCTATTGCTATTGCTGTTGCTGGTGTTGGTGTTGTGGTGCGCTGACGTGCGTCTCGCACCAGTCCAGCATCGCGGAGGCCATTGGCCGGTGCAGAGCGCGCGCTGGGGTGAGGATCAGTCGGCAGCGGACGCAAGGTTACGGACGCGAATGCACGGGGCTCGTGCGGATTCACTCCAGAGTCTGGGTGCTTGCTGTTCATGGCTGTCGGGCCTGGATGTGTCTGGTATGGGGCTTGCGTCGCAGTTTGCGGCCGCGGCGACAGCTACAATTGATGACACGAGTGCGTGGATCATCGGCAGACGTGGCTGCTCCATCTGTCACGGTGCGCTGCCACGTGTGCACTGACCGGCCTTTCGACACACGGACGATCCATGGAAAATGAAAGCGGAGTAGCGAAGTGGACACGGATGCGCTCGAGTGCCTGCAACAGGCGGTAAGGAAGCGGCTGGCGATGTGCGAACGCTCCCACTGGGCGGCCGTCGGGCGACCCGGGGCTGGTCCATGAGTAGCTACCGCTTCGGGGGTCTACTTGTCATGACGGACACGCCAGCACAGTGGAAGCGAGGCTGCTTCGTGTAACGCAGAGCGTCCGGACTGCGCCTCCAGGCGGAGCGGCGAGGCCGTCTTTGTCGTCGTCGTCGTCGTCGCTGCTGCTGCTGCTACTGCTGGTACTCGCTGTGAAGCAGGCGGGTGCTAGCGATCGTCAGGCGTTCATCAATACGAAGCTCGAGGGCGGCGGATGACGTGCTCGCCGTAAAATCATCTGCTGTAGCAAGTTTGTCAAGCACCTAGTATAGACCCGTGCGTGTTCCGCGTCTTACGCACCGTGGAACAGCCACCAGTGCGGTGCGCTCGCTGCCCAGCGCGTTTGCAACATGTTCCTAGGTGCTGGACTTCGGGTTGGCCACGTCTCGAACAAAGTAATTGGGCGCGATCGTCGGCAACCGTACGGTTTCCTGCGGTCGGTTCAAGGTGTCGTTTGCGCTTGCGCCGATAACGCCGGCTTCTTGCGTGCGCTGCAGAAGTGTCGAACGCGGATACGCGCTTCGTTCTGCTGCCCGGGGCACCACGGCCAGCCGGAGAAGCTGTGGCCCCCGCTCCGAGAAGTACTCGATCGAGAGCGGCATGCCCTCGTAACGCTTGATCTAGCAGAGCAACCCGAACTCGATAACCTGCAACAACCGACCGGCATTCTTCGTGCGGTGCAGGAGCGAGCAGCGGCCGTCTTCGATACCGTACATACCTTCTTTCTGGTCAATGGCTCGACCAGTGGCATCCTTGCTGCGCTGCTTGCAGTCTGCAGTCAGCTGGGTCAGGATCCGAGTCGCTTTTATGCCCTGGTGCCGAGAAATGCCCATCAGTCTGTTTTTCATGCGCTAGCGCTGACTGGACTTCATCCCGTGTATTTAACCCCAGAGGTTGTGGATTCTCGCTACGATATCCTCGGGCCGGTTTCCGAGTCGACAATAGAGGCGGCACTCGTTGCTTTCGCGCCGCAGGTGGCGGTGGTGCTGCTGACCTCACCAACCTACCACGGGTTTGTGGCGAATGTGCGCAGTATCGCAGCTCGATGTCGTCGATACGGGGCGTGGTTGGTTGTCGACGAAGCGCATGGTGCGCATCTGGGCTTCTCTCCCGAGTTGCCGCAGAGTGCGCGACAGATGGGTGCGGATCTGGTTGTACAGTCGACGCACAAGACCCTGATGGCCCTGACCCAAGCAGCGATGCTGCACGTGCCATGCGGTTCACGCCTCGCTGTCGAGGATGTGGCCGAAGCAGTCCGCATGGTTTCCAGCACGTCGCCGAACGCGTGGGTGGTGGCGAGTCTCGACGCCACCGTCGCCGCTCTGGCGGATACGCCCTGGTGTCAGGCGTGGTTCGAGCGAGCCTGCACTCTAGGGCAAGCGATCCGAAGACGACTACCGACGCTTCCGAATGACGACGCAACACGTTGCTGTCTCCTGCTGCCGGACGACATCGATGGGTTTCTTTTCGATGCGCACTTGCTGGATCACTACGGGGTTTACATGGAACTTGCTGGACGTGCGACGAGCACAGGTATCGTCACCGGGGCCAATGATGCGAGCCATGTTGCCATTTTGGAGGAAGCGTTCACAGCGTTGACCACGGACTCCCGCCTAAGAGGCACTCGTGAATCCAGGGTGCACACTTTGCGCCCCATGGACAGCTTGCAAGGCGTGTTTCGGGCTGCAAGCTGCACGCTTCGTGTGTCTCTGCATCAACGACGCCGCTGGTGCCCGCTGCAGCACGCCGCAAACCAAGTCGCTTCCGCGACAATCAGCGTTTACCCACCGGGCATTCCGGTCGTCTTGCCTGGCGAACGCATCGATCCGCCACTGGTATCGTACTTGCTCGACGCATCGCGGTGTGGTTGTGCCATATCGGGCGTGCACGGCCCAGAGCAGCACGTTGCCGTCGTTGATGATGAACCACCGGCGACACGATGCCACCAGGCGCCTTGATCGATCCACGCTATGCGTATCGGATGTACCACATGGGGTGCACCGGTTCAAGGCACGTTGGTCGGGCAACGAGTTCAGCACGCTGGCATACAATCCATAGCATCGAGAGCGGGAATCGCGATGCCGGTGACACAGCTCGCATTCTACATTTGCGGTGACTTGCACGGATGGCACGCATGCGCGGATGCATGGACCTGTCCATACATGTACATGTATAGATCGCTGTGTGGATGTGAGCATGCATGCACACCAACGCCGCTCGCCGCTGAACTTGCGCGCATGCGTGGCGTTGCTCGACACGCGCGATGCAGATGCATGGCGCTGTGCGTGCGCATGCGTGTCCGCGGGCACAGACAGCGCGCTGCCCGCATCCGCTGCATCGACAGCGCGTTGGGGTGCGTGCCATGCGCGCGCCACCGGCGACACGTCGGCAGTGGAATCGCCACACAGATACCGCGTAGCTGTTTCGATGGCGCTGTCGAGATCTGTGACCTGCTTGCGTTTCGTCTGGGGGAAATTTCTTGCTGGCTCGCTGACTGGCGATCGATGCAAAGGCGTGATCCGTCCATCCCGGATGCTTGTTGTTGTTGTGGATGCGCTGATGCGCTTGCTTGTCGCGATGACGCGTATACGTTCGGACGGCGCACGAGATGTGCCGGCTCTTTCCGAATCGATTCATATCGTGCTGGTGCGCTGCGCCTGGCCTACTGGTACGCTGCGACCCACATGGAATCCCGAGAAGGCTACCTTCGGCCCATACGCTCCCTCTGCTGCCTCGTTCCGAATGGTTTGATATCGGGCAGGTACGGTGCAGCTGACGATACCCGGTGCATGGAGATGCCACGCGGAAGCGCGTGTACCGCAGATGCGCCAACGAGAACACAAACGCTTGAGTGATGCGCCACAGCGCACCTCAGCCGAACTCCATATGCATCTGCGGCGCGTGCTTCTCGCGCGTTTCAGTCAGCGCACGGAGGAGTCGTCTTTCGCGCCATGGATACGGATATGACGGCCGATGGAGTGCGCAAGTCGTCACCGTGGCCGGGCTGAAGCCAGAGGCGGAACCTGCCTCAACGAACGGCTAGCGGTACGCGGACGTCAGCGAAATGGTCGATCGCGTCTGGTTCATGCGCGGTAGTGTTTCTCTGGGAGGCTGCGAAGGCGTTCCGCAGCCTGCTCGGCAGTGAGATCACGCTGCGATTCGGCGAGCATTTCGAAACCGACCATGAACTTGCGAACGGTTGCACTCCTGAGCAATGGTGGATAGAAATGGATGTGAAAGAGTAGACCTGGTTCGGCGGTCGCGGCACCGTTCGCCACGGGCGCCTGGTGCAGCCCCATGCTGTACGGAAAACTGGTCTTGAAGAGATTGTCGTACCGAACTGTGACTCGCTGCAAAATGTCTGCCAGATCATCCTTCTGCGATGCATCTATGTCCAAGAGAGACTGGCACGAGCCAGTGGGAAGCACCATGACCTCGAACGGCCATACCGCCCAGAAAGGAACGAGTGCAACAAAATGCGGATTCTGGCAAACAATGCGCTCGTTAGGCCGCTGCAACTCTGCTTTCAAATAGTCCAAGAGTAGTTCTCGGCCCGTGTCAGCGTAATAGGCACTCTGCAGGCGCAGCTCGGTGGCAATCTCGTTCGGGATGAACGAGGATGCCCATATCTGGCCGTGCGGGTGCGGGTTGCTGCAGCCCATCGCAGAGCCCTTGTTCTCGAAGATCTGCACGTGCCGGATCTGCGGCATGGTCGCTAGCTCAGCGTACTGCTCTTGCCAGGCATCGACAACGCGCCGAATCTCCGAACGACTCATCTCCGCCAGCGTCAAGTCGTGCCGAGGCGAAAAGCACACGACGCGACAGGTACCGGACACGGGCCGCGCTTGGAACAGCGTGGCGTGCGACGCCCGACTGGCCTCAGCGTCGGCACTGTCAGAGGGCCCATCTAACAGAAGCGCAGGAAAGTCGTTCGTAAACACAAACGTAGCGTCATACTGGGGGTTTCGGTGCGCGCCACCAGCCCGCGTGTTACCAGGGCAGAGGTAGCACTCGGGATCGTAGCGGGGTCGTTCTTCGCCACCAACCGTCTCCTGGGCGCCTTGCCAAGGCCGTTTCGCTCTGTGCGGGGAGCACAAGACCCACTCCCCTTTCAGAGGATTAAACCTACGATGCGGGTGCTCGGTAAAGTCAAACGACGCCATAAAGACGGGAGTAGTGCAATGAAGCAAGCACCAAGCGCAACGACTTGCCACCGCCTCAACACATCAGGGGCGCTCGCCGTCGCATGAATCGTCAGACGCCGTGGACATGCGCGAGCCGTACGATGGACGCCTCGCTCGCCCGGAATGCCGATCAGCATCGCGCAGTCGAGAATCCCTGCTCCATCGCAACGCTCCGTTGATCCGGCGTTCAGGAGCGCCTCGCTCGCCCGGAATGCCGATCAGCATCGCGCAGTCGAGGATCCCTGCTCCATCGCAACGCTCCGTTGATCCGGCGTTCAGGAGCGCCTCGCTCGCCCGGAATGCCGATCAGCATCGCGCAGTCGAGAATCCCTGCTCCATCGCAACGCTCCGTTGATCCGGCGTTCAGGAGCGCCTCGCTCGCCCGGAATGCCGATCAGCATCGCGCAGTCGAGAATCCCTGCTCCATCGCAACGCTCCGTTGATCCGGCGTTCAGGAGCGCCTCGCTCGCCCGGAATGCCGATCAGCATCGCGCAGTCGAGGATCCCTGCTCCATCGCAACGCTCCGTTGATCCGGCGTTCAGGAGCGCCTCGCTCGCCCGGAATGCCGATCAGCATCGCGCAGTCGAGAATCCCTGCTCCATCGCAACGCTCCGTTGATCCGGCGTTCAGGAGCGCCTCGCTCGCCCGGAATGCCGATCAGCATCGCGCAGTCGAGGATCCCTGCTCCATCGCAACGCTCCGTTGATCCGGCGTTCAGGAGCGCCTCGCTCGCCCGGAATGCCGATCAGCATCGCGCAATCGAGAATCCCTGCTCCATCGCAACGCTCCGTTGATCCGGCGTTCAGGAGCGCCTCGCTCGCCCGGAATGCCGATCAGCATCGCGCAGTCGAGGATCCCTGCTCCATCGCAACGCTCCGTTGATCGAGGAAGTACGCCAAGCATCAAGCGGCCGTCACGTGTGCGTGCTGCTCCCGGTCGCACGCGCGCTCCTGCCGCCGACCCAGGCGATCTCGCGTCGGGCGCGCACCGCATTATGTCTGTACCATGCTTTGTTTGCTATTTAGGGTATCTTCTCATCGAAGAAGCGCCCTGGGACCTAACATCCAACTACACCAAGCATGGCATTCGTTCTCTGTGCCGCTAAATATGGAAATCGTAGCTCCAGGAGGCGTTGCATGCGGAGGTCGCTGAACGCTCTGCACACCCGTCTCGCAGTAGCTGCGCACTTGAAGAAACTTAGGTGGAGTGAGTTCGAGGACCGTGCCGCGTACCAGCCACTGCCGGCAACGTGGCGAGGCGAGTTTGACTCGGTGTCGCCACTGGACGAGATGAGTGGTGGGCAAGTGAAACCTGTTAAAACCCAGGTTTTCGGACAAGTGTATGAGGAACCGGTTCCTCTGGAGCTTCGCGCCGAAGACGACGACGCCTTCCGTCGTTTCCAGGCGTTGATGCTCGCCGACCGTGCGGCAGAACTTGAGGCTTTGCAGCAGCGGCGTGCAGCGTACGGCGACGACGCTGGAGTCATGAGCAACATGCGTATAGAGACGATCTACGCGCAGCCATGTGTGGAATACTGGCGAGGTCGTTCTTGAAACGGCTGGAGCCGTCTGGGCACACGTACTGTCCAGAACCTGTGCACCGGGAATAGTCCCTATGATGAAAAATTCCTATTTTACTCGGAACGTAAAGCACGGCGCGAATCGCTTTCGCCTTGAGCCGCCGACGCATCCGCGCGCCGTATTTTTTGACTGCGGCCGCATTTGAGTCTGGCGTCTTGTCCATGCGTTGTGAGCGCGCGATAACGTGCAGGAGAAACGAGTAGTTCCAGAAGGTGCACCAGACACCATTCGGGTCGTAGGCCGATCTCCAAACGGCTTTTTGCGAGACGCACCTGTGAAGATGGAGGCTGTCGAGAGCGCGCGCCCTGCTCCGCACTGTACCAAATTCCGGGGACGATCGCGTTCGAGCGCGGGAGCAGCGCCTCCCGTAAGCAATACGGACCCCATCAAGGCAACCGCCGGGGCTGCGATGCGCGCTACCCCTGCGGGTGATGGCTCCTGAACGTGCACCATCACAGCTGGGCGTACCAGCGAGCGAACAAAGCGCATCAGCGAGCAGAGCACATGATCGTATGGAACATCGGCATCGGGGGAGCTTTTACTCGTATACGCTGTAGCATCAAACGAATACTTAAACCCACATATACCAAGCATACCTACAAACCCGACGATTGTTTGCCCCTAACCGCACAAGCGGATGCATCGCAGCGGCGGCGGCGGCGGCGGCCGGGGCCGCTCCATATTTCTCCAGCAGGGATCCGATCGTTGACGCATCAAGCGGGTATCCCGGGATGGCGCGATCGCTGCCAGCCTCTGGAATGCGGCTCCAGTCGGGACGGGGCGGGACCAGCCGGGCGTGCCCGCTGGTGTGGCATTCTCGACGCATGCCCAGTCGATGCTCCTCGGCGGCGCGTAAAATCGGCATCACCACCCGTCCGTGCGAACGTGCTGTGCGCATGCAAGAACGATGAGCTGCAGCGCTCTCGCAGACAGCGTCAGGCGACGTCGAGTTCGAGTGTGTGGGTTTTTTTTCATTGAGAAAACGTTTACTTTGGCCAGCGTTCGCCGATCATGCGCATTGTTCTTTTCTTACCTTTTTTTCTCTTTTTTTCCAGTGCGCGGTAATGTATCTATCAACCCCCCACTCCCAAGTTACATTACCTGCACTTCTTCTCGGATATTCTGGTCGTTTCGTACGTCCAATCGTGTGCCTAGTGCCTGCCGAACGCGACAGCAATAGCGCCTATAGCGCCGGTACGGTCGCTGCACGGAGACAGAACGGCGTTGCTGTACCACACAAAGGGCGCCGGCTCGAGGTCGAGTGTGTGGGTGAGCGCGCGCGCGCGCGCGCGCGTGATCAGAGCGAGGCACACCGCACGCACACCTAGAGTCGCTGTCCATGCGCCACGTGTGCATGAACCCCGCGCACCGGTCCAAAACGGAGCGTGCGCCGTACCACCCCGGTGATCCAGGCGCGCCAAACTGGGACTAGGCGCGGCATCGCGACGAGCCTCTCGCAGAGCGCCCGTTAGCGACGTCCCGCACCGGCGCCGCCCAGTCGAGAACGAATGCCGCCCCCCGGTGATGCCAGACGCGCGCGAATGTTCGCCACTGTCGGAATGCTTCCTGTTGCTGCGTGCTGGAGCAATACCTCGGACGGGAATGAAGCATTTTTCGTGTGTTTGGAGTTTCATGTTTATGGTTGCCTGCTGGGCGAGCATATGCTTTGCCGGCGGTGCAGCCGAGCCGTCGCTGCGATCGGCGCGAGTAACGAACGCGTTTACGCTGCCTGTCGAGGTGCGCGTGACCTACGGGCGCTACAGTGCCAGCGCACAGAACGCCAGTCGACAACTGACAAGTGCAACTGTCGTTTTTCCAGGTGACTCTGCTGTTTTTGGAGAGGTTTTCGTACAACTCAGAGAACCCGCTGTTGTCGGCGCACTGACCGGTACGGGCTCGTCTTCGTGCGTGCAGGTCACGCTACCGATCGATTCCGTGCTAGCGTGTGCGTTTCCGAGCAACGACACCAACATACCATACACTTATCCCGATAGTTGTGCATCGGCCAGTGCGCCGTACGGGGCTGAGAACCAGAAGAGAGGCAACTTTTTGGTATTGCCTGCAACCGCGGGCGGCTCGTCAGGGTCAGCACCTGTTTCGGTGGCGTACGCTGGTGGCGAGCCCGCCGCCAGTGCGCTGATTTCCGAAACCTGTAGCGTATAGAGAGGTTGTATAGGATTCTAGCATAGGATATAAGTAGCGGAAATAGGTTTGAATGCCGTGAAAGTTGATCGGCTTTCTAGAGAGAACTGGCGATCGCCTTGATGTTGCACGCAACGATGCCTGACCCAGAGCGCGCTCGCAGGCGCACCAAATCGTCGATTCCTCGGCACGAATACAAACGGGATGCTCAATGTTTCCGTAAAGATACGGAATACCGACGTTATGCGCACCGTCGCGGATCCACTGTGGACACAAGCGCGATGCATTTCTCGTGCGTTCGTTATCCTTATACGCATGCACCAGTAGTATCGGCAGTGTCTTGGTGCTGCTCCCGCGGTGTCCAGGCGTGCGCATCGCCTAAACACTGAGTCCATTGTGGCGGCACCTGACGTACAAGAGAGAGAGTTGTCGCCCACTCCGGATACCGGTAGTATACGTGCACGCAGTAATTTCTAATGCGAGTCGTCGACCTCACATCGTCTATGACTCCATAGGTTCACGAGATTGACTGACGATCTGTTGTAAAAGGGAACCCCGAATCTGGGATTTTACAAGCACCCGTACAGCAACGCCGGCCTTGGCCACGATCGGTGCCGGTCGTATATGCGCTCGCTGCAACATCGAATTCGAGTCATCGCTTCCGTACCGTCCATGAGCTCGAGACGCCACCAGTGCCGGCGATATCCCCATACGTGCGCTCACAAGGCGATATGTGCCTGGGGCTTTCCAGCCGGCGGCTCAGCGGCGGACGTCCGCGAATCCGGGATGCTTCCCGTATTCCAGTCACGAAGGAGCGTTCTCCGTATAATTCCTGCTAAATGGAGCGATCCGATACAAACCACACTGTGCGGTTTTTCTGGACCAGCTGCCGTCGCAGCAAGCTCAACCGCACGGCGAAGCGCTTCTTCTGGAAGTGCCACTTTGAACACCGGCGTCTGAGACACCGCTGCAGCGTGATTGGCAACAACGCGATGCGCCCGCTCGTGCAGCTCATCAGCCGGCATGTACGATGGGTCATCACCGACCCGAGTGCAGATGATCGCACGCGGTGCGAAGCGCATCAAGGCCTCGGTAAACTCCTCAACTCGCTTGTCGCGGCCCATGGCTAAGACGATCCACGCTCCGCAAGGGAGGCGTTGTACGGTTTCAGGAATATGGGCCCCATCGACGAGCACGTTCACCGATAGCGTTCCGCGATGGAGCGCAAACCACTCCATGCGTCCGGGAAGCATCTGCTTCATCTGCGGTTGAAGCAGCGACCAATCCGGTGGCTCGCACTGAAGCCAACCATACCGTGCTGCGAGCTCTTTTATTGCGCGCTCCGCCATCAACTGGTTGCGCTCTTCCCAGGAAGCCGCGTCTACGAAGACAACGGAGCGAGGAGCCGGCGGTGACAACTGCTCCACCGTCTCCCGAATGACTTGCCGCAGCTCCGGTTGATGGACGCCCGAGATCAGTATACAACTCGGCCGCCATGCAATACCTGCCTTTTCACGAGCTATATCGGCTAGACCTGGCCCGATGATCTCCGCATGCTCCAGGGCAACGCTCGTGAGCAGACAGACCTCAGCTCCGAGAACGTTCGTGGAGTCCTTGGCGCCGCCCATGCCGCACTCGATGACAGCGTACTCGACACCAGCCGTTTTCATTGCTAGGAATCCGGCCGCCGTCATAACGTCAAACCAGGTAGGACGCTCGACCACCGGTACGCCGTCTTGCAGGAATGGATCAGCCGCAGCAAGGGCGCTCTCGAGGGCGTCTGCGAGCGCTTCGTCTTCGATGCACGCACCCTGCAGCCTGACTCGCTCTTGGATGCGCTCTACATGTGGTGAGGTATATGTTCCGACTCGGAATCCTTTTTGTTTGACCAGATACGCCGTGAGCATAGCCGCTAGGGTCCCTTTGCCCTTTGTCCCGGCAATATGAACGGCGCGATAGCAGTGCTGCGGACTTCCAAGCGCGTCCAGCAAACGCTTCGCAGGCTTCACGTCTACACGCATCTCCCGCTGCCGTTGACCCGTGTTCGCTCTTTGCAACCGTTCCCAGTTCACAAGTTCATCTAAGCGAGTCAGCAACTGTCGCAGACGCTGTGAGACGGTACCGTCAACGCCACGAGTAAAGACACCGCTGGCAGTGCGCCAAGCCATGGCTTTGTTGAGGCAAGTTAGCAGGTCGATTAACGCTGAGATTTTACTGGAGGTGAGCAGACACTATTGTCGCGTGGCGAAGGCACTACATAACGGTACGCACTAGCAACAGCAACAGCAGAAACTGCAAGGTGAAGACTGTTCCAAGGTCAGCGCGAACTTTTCGGGTGATAAGGGCGGCGCGAGGACGGCGGCGGTGGCGGCGGTAGTACCGGTACCCTCGCCGCTTGCGTCAGGTCCTGCATCCGATCCTCATCTGTCGAGTTGTCTTCGGATGCCGCAGAGGAAATACTATACTCCATGTCAGAGGCGGATGACGCGCGAACTTGGGCCGACGACTCCACCAGAATACCGTCACGATCGACCGGAACATTACAGGCCTCGGTGTCCGACTTCCGCTTGTCCGTCCATGGCAACGGGCTCGTGAACCGGCTCAGCTCGGGATCAGTGCGGGCGAGATCCATCAGAGAAGACGAGCCCTGCTCGGTAATGGTGGCGGGAGCGATGTCAGGCGACACGCGTGGCGTCAGCACAGCGCTTCGATGACGTGGGCTTGCGACCTCGGGACTGAGAGGCTGTTGGGTATGTTTCCCGGAAGACAAGTGCTCCGCGGCGAACTCACCGTCGACTTCGGTACGCTCCTGGCCTTCGCAAAGTCCTGGATGCCCGCGCTCTCCATATGGCGGCTGCTTTGGGCGTCCCGGGATGCCAAGCTGCCCCTGCGCTGCAGTTGGACCCGATGCCAGATCGGCATCTACACTGGAGCGCGCGCTCTTGACCCCTGTACCATAAGGGGTCTCATCGGAAACAGACCAGCTGGGCGGCTCTATTGGACGTTGTTGCTGTGCATTGAGTCGGAGTCTTGTGGAGAGCATTTGCCAGGCGACACGGGCGTCATCGCATGCTCGCAGCACCCAGTGGTGCAGCTTGGATAGCGTCGTCACTGCCGTGTACATTCCGCCCGCAAGTTGGCGGAGCGCAAGCAATCGCTCATTTTTCACATCGTAGACAACACGGAGACGAGCATGGCAAGCGTTTTCCTCCGCCTGCGTGGGGTCCAGCACGCAGCATGTCTCTTGAGAGCCTCGATGCTCATCGAAAAACAGAGCATACTCCAGGATCACAGGGTATACTTGCAGCTGCAGCGGGACTGGCGGCCGCTCCCTCGGACTGAATAGTCGAACCCGTTCATCGCCATACCCGTGCCGCTCGATGGTAAAGTCTGGACGGCGAAAACGTTGTAGCGAACCGAGCGCAGCCAGTGACGCGTAAAAGAGCCCGCTACCATCCAGACTTTCGACACAGACTTGCACGGTAACCTGGAACGCGTATTTGCCGGCAACTATGCAGAGCGACTCGGGGTCAATACATCGAGACTCACGAAGGATGCGCTCTAGAAACACAGCCTCCTCTGAGAAGCTAACAGCGTCGCTTTGTTCGAGCAGCGTTCGCTCTGAGGCACCCGGCGAGATTCCGTAGACGACGCGGATCCATCCTTCGGTGGGTCGGTGCGGCGGCGGTGCAACCACTCGACAGGTTGTGGTTGCAAACGTGATCGCACTCGAGCCGGCGAACACGAGGACGCCGCTCTCGCCTACAAGCTGGAAACGAAGGCGCCGGGCCTCTTCGGGTCGGCGACCATCAACGCGGAGCGGCAGACTCTGTAGAACGAACAGGAGCTCGTTGCTCGAATAGGGCTCATCTCGCATAGAGTACGCTTTCTTCCGAAAGTGTTGGAAACGGGGTCAGCACCCCGTCAGACCAGGTGTCCGTCGACTCGTCGGAATCTTGAATGCTGCTGCGCTGCGCTGCTCGACGACGGGGTAGACGCCCAAGCTCTGCAAGGCATTTGTAAAAGGCGTGCTCAAACGTACTGAGACAGTCGTTTCATCCCAGTTTCCCCTGTGTGACTGTATCAGAATCTAATTCTCGTTATATACGAGACCTAGGATACCACATCCTCCATTTTGCATCAAGACACATCGGTCTCGAAGGATGGTGTGGTGTTTTTTGTCACTGAGCTGTGATGTTTGTGTTCCGTCTTACGACAAAACGGGGCAAGTCGCTGATTCGCTCTGATGCTGATCCTCAACTGCTCCGGATTGATGTGGCACTTGTTGTCATCGCGCTTCCCTTTGATGCCTGGGCTGGGAGCGTCTTCGACGAATCTAGCACTCTCGTAGCGCAACACATAGTGGATCCGAGATAAACACACGACCTGCTTTCTTTTTCTTTCGTTTCTTTATTGGTAATGACCCTCGTCGTCATCATTTCGTTCAAATTCGTGAGGCGACTTGCGCAACAAGAATACTCTGTCGACGCCCGGCATTCATAGCTATCCACCACATGCACATTCCGCAATTCCCCGCACTACTGTTTGGTGGTTTCTTCCTGCACCGAACGTTGGACAAGAGCTCGGATGCTTGGCTCGCGCATCCCGGTCTCCGAACCAGATGGCTGTATCTTGGCCACCTGGCACCAGCATGGGTTGCAGATCCCATGGATTGCATCCTGTTCGAATATGGGGCGGACGGCACCTCAGTCGCTCGTACCCGGAACGAGCTCTGCGCTTTAGTCATTCAGGAAGAACGCTTAAATGCGCTCGCAGATACGTTTTGTAAGCCAAGTCCGTCGTCTCGCATCTGGTGAGACGAGCAGTCACATGCTCTGTCTGTTGAATCTTGTTTTTTGCGTGTTCCTCGTGCTGTAAACGAGCCTCGCCTCGAGGCCGTATCTTCTGCTTCGGTCAACGGCACGTATCTGACCCTGGGCTCGAGTACGCGACGGCGACCAGGTCCAGAATACCTGGCTCTTGGCCCACGAGTCTTTCGTAATTTTTCAGAGGCGGGAGGCTTTCTTCGTCTGCCATTTGCCCCGAGATATTCGGCGATGCGCTCAGTTGAAAGCTAGAACCGAACCCATCCGAGAGAAAATGGAAACTGAATGCACCGTTTCTGGTTTCGGCTGCTTAGATATTAAGGTTTTCGCGTTAAACCTTCCTCTTCATTTCCTCACTCGCTTTCCTTTCATTCTCAGCATGCCGTGGCGTCGTAGAATGCCCACGACACTCAAGTAAGTTAAAGGAACGTAACCAGTGATGAAGCCACGCTTTGTAGACAAGAGAGTGTACGTCGTGGGGCGTAGTGTACCTCTTCTGTCTTGTGCATCCTATTTTCGCCGGGAATTTGAAGCATTTACACACTTTTCTACCAATTCGTTTCACAGCGAAAGAGGCCAACGCTTCTTGGAAGAATGTCTCAGAGACATGCCTTGGGGAATGCATCTCTTCACGTCTTCCACGATCTCTGCCGCCAAGTTCAGCTTCGAATTACTTGTTCGGTCACTCGGACGGAAGCGAACCTCGAGACTTTCGAACGATCCCGCGGGTACGACACAGGAAATCTCTTTTTCTCTCTCCCGAGGCTCTCTTTATTCATTTTCCATACTCCAGCTTGATCGAATCCTATCTAGGAACGACCACCCGTTTGTGGCCGCTCCGCTCGCCCGAGCTTCGGCCTTCTTGCATCCGCGTCCTCTCAGTGTCTGTTCGAAGCGAGATAAACGATCATGTGAACAGCGTCCGTCATCGCAAGCGAGAATCCCCAGAATGTGCAAGATCGCAAGGGCGTAGGGTTCCCTTCCCAGTCAGTTGCCTAAGGTAACTTTAAAACGGGAACGAGACACTTTATATTTCTTGGCGATGATGGTCTTGCAGGGAAGCAACCAGCTACATCTCGGTGAAGCGAACTTCCCCTTGGGTCACTCGCTCTCGTTCGTCATCCTCTCTCTCCCCAGCTCGAGTCAGACGGTACATTTTTTCTGTGCACCACAGGATGTGTTACACTGGTCCCAACAGCATAATGTCTTTCTTCACGTGGAAACATACCTTGAATCTCTAATTTATTCGAGAAAACCGAAGACTCGATACGTCATTTTGTTGCTCCAGAGGAGCTGAACCAGCTTTGCACAAGCGCTGGTGTATGGACGCTGCACTCGGTAACGACGAAATGGAACACACCTGGTCGCAGTGTTGCGATTTCTTTTCCGGGTTTTTTCAATTGTCCCGCCTTCTTATTCGAAACCCAGAAATAGGAACTTTCGGATTGACACGAACAATACGTATACATGGTTGTCGACTCGGAGAGGCCCCTTCGATTCGTAGCCATTGGAATTCCGTAGCTCCCGGGAATCACGATGATTCGCGACGCTCTCGAACAAGAATTCGTAAAATAACCTATACCATGATGCAATGCATCCGTGCATGCCTCGAGTCATCTTGTATTTGCTAACATGCAGCATGTTCGAATAACGCATGCTTCATGTTTCGATCTTTGTGTCTCGAGGCAACTCGTCGGCGCTAGAATACGTGCCGCTGGATTGACGACACAAAAAAAAACGCGACATCGTTCATTGACGACTTGTTCGCAAGCTCGTGCTGAAAGTTTGCTGAGCAATCAAAGTCTAATAATCGATTCCATTCGATTGAAAAATCCTTCTCGGTTTACAATCATCGATGAAACGACATTCCACGTCATCTTGATATCTTGTATGATGTATGGTTCCAGATGCTTCCGTCTTCGCATTTTGTACGGAAAACCGTCTTCGACTCGGACTTGAGTTGCCATGGCGATCGCTTCCGCTGGCGAGGTCGTCATTGCTCTGTATGATGCTTGTGGAACGGATCGAAAGATCTCTGTTTGATCGCCAACCTGGATTTTTCTTCCAGTACTTGTTTCATTGTGGACCAGATCTCGTTCCACTAGCCCTCTATCGAATAGAACAGTGTACGCGTCACGGGTATCGCCCAGACGAAGCCCCTGGTTATAGAGTACGGCATCGAACGCGGAAGAGGAGGGCAGCATCAAGCCGATCCTCGTGCATTCGTCAAAGGAATGTACCAAGCGATAAAACAAGCGTTTACGCGCCACACGGCGACGCCGTGAGCAGGAGAAAGTGTACTAGACTCCTAGGAACATCTCACCACAGCCAGGTGTCACCAATACGAGGCGCGCACGGAGGCTCGACATCACTTTGTTGAAAATGACAAGCAGAGCGTAGATCACAACTTCCATATGTGCAAGAGGTAGGTTGACAACAACCGCAAACAGCGAAATCTGGACTTGGACGCTACGATCAATATCTTTCGAACGTTGCCAACGGAGCTGTAGTGAACGATGAGACCAGCGTTTTGAAAGCTCGAGATATGAGAGAGCATTATGGGGAAAAGTCGATGAAAAAGCGAGTATTGGTTGCTGCTGATGACAGCGGAAATAGATCCAAAGTTGAGCATGTACTCCCGAGTTAGCAGAATGCACCTGTTCCATTTTTATATTAACATTGGCGTAGAATGGATCAGGTTCATTCAAATTGCTCGATTGGGATCCTGACTGCGCGCAGAAGCTGCACTTTGTTCGCTGGTGAACGCCCTGCCAGAGGCTGGTTTCCGAGGCACACCCCGCGTGGCCTCCGTCAGCCAGCCACCACCCGAGTCCTGGCCGTGACCGCTCGAAACCGCACTCGAGTTCATCGTTCGCCGTGAAGATGCGTCAGTGGTCGGCTCGATGTACTGCGCTGCGGGAGCCGAAACTCCACCCTTCTCCAGTCCGTCTGCCTGGTCGGTGTCCTCAGTGCCGGACGCTTGGCGTTTGCCCCAGAACCAGCCGCGCCCCGTTTTCGTGGACCCGGACGATGCTGATGCGGCCGCTGTGGTGTGCGTTGGGCCCGCATCCGCCGCAAACTCATGATTCTTGCCAAAGAAGACGTTGAGGAAACTGAAAGAGACGATGACGGCCCCAGATACAATTAGGAGCACTTTGCTCACGGTATCGCTGTCGCTAACACCAGCCGTGATAGCCAGCGAACCGGTGAACATCTCGAACAAGCCACGTCCCCAGCGCCCTTTCAAGAACCCGAACGGGCGGAAAAAGAAACGAGGCCGACCGATTTCACCAAATATAATCAGCAAACCGAAAAACGCGACATACAGCATCACAATGAAGCCCAGCGGGTTGCGCAGCGCCTGTGCTGCTGTCGTGAAAAGCGTCACGAGCCCGAAAACTCCGGTGAAAACGAGAAAACCCCCCGAAACCACTGTGCACCACCGGAGCACTGTGCTTACCTTCCGCAGATCAGCCTCAAAGCAAATGCAGTTCTTCATCGAAACGAGCCCAAAACGTGCGATGAACGACGCCGACCGTGTACAGCAGTGGCGAACCGTACGCCCTGGACAGACCGTGTCCAACTGACGTGTAGACGCCTCCCCGTCTTTTCGGACCGGGCATCCACCACTGCTTCCAACTTCTTCTCATATAATTCCACTTTTAGAGGTTGTCCAATAAAGTTCTCTCTTGTCCAATCTGGAGGTCTTTCCTCCAGCACCGCACATTTCCTTATATGGATAGCGGCATTGAAGTCTCGGTTCACATACTCCATCCGTTTTTTGTTGCCATTGATTGTACGAACAAGCGCAAGGAGTCCACGAACGTTCGCCCTTCTTTCCATTTGCTCCCCCGTCATCGGTCCGTGCTTTGCTATTTCCTCAGGGCTCCGTTGGCACTTTTCTATCTCCACTCTCTGAAGTGTACACCCCAGTTCCTGGTGTGTATACGATGTTCGAAACTCATCTACAGGTATCGTAACAAAACGCCTTGCGCACGCCTTGTACACCCTCGTCGTTGGAGCTGGCGTAGTTCCTTTTTGGGTCATCCATCGTCCTGCCCCGTACGCTACAACCAGCCTTTGACTTTCATCCTCCTTCAGGACGCTCAACTCATTGAAAAATTCGCGAACGCCCGCTGGTTCCCACAATACAAATTCATTCGGAAACGAGCCCACCGGGGCTTGGTATACTCCTCCCACAGCGCATCCCAATGGGCAACACGAACTTCCATGAATTTCCGAAAAGCTTCAAAGTCCGCTCCACGGCTCGTCATCTCGCTCAGAGCTTCCAGGTGATCCTTCATTCCATGTCTCGACTTTCTTCCTCGCATTCATTATACCGGATTCTCGATGGTATCTTGCTCTCGAGAACCTCAAAAGACGCATGTCTTTCTGACGAAAGTTGCCCTCAGTACCATCTTCCGCACGCTTCGGTGCTGTGATGGTGATGATATTTGTGTTTCCGGGGTCCGCGCCAACAACAAAGTCGTTATCCTGCACTTTCTGTGTCACAGGACCTGCCTTCTTGGTTTCTTCATGCTTCTCCGCGTAAACGACATGCACGTTATCCTCCACCTCCTGCGTCGCAGGATCCACCTCCTTCTTTTCTTCATCCTTCGCCGCGTAAACGACAAGGTCGTTATCCTCCACCTCCTGCATCGCAGGACCAGCCTCCTCCCTTTCTTCATGCTTCGTCGTGTCAACGACAAGGTCGTTATCTTGCACCCTCTGCGTCGCAGGATCCGCCTCCTTCTCATCTCCATCCTTCGCCACGTCAACGACATGCACGTTATCCTCCACCTCCTGCGTCGCAGGACCAGCCTCCTCCTTTTCTTCATCCTTCGTCACGGGCGCAGCTGAGGGAGGGACTGGCCGATCTGCCTTCAACCGCCGATAGTGTACACACAAGGCTACTCCATCGGTTTCGATCATTCCAGTGAATATCTTTTGTTTGCCGACTTTGAGCCGTTTGAAATCGAAGATATTCTTCCAGTACGTCTCCCGGTTTTCGCCGGTGAACTCTGTCCTCCTTACATCGAACTCCGGACTGATCTCCTTCATGATGCCGTAAAGGATTCTGGAATCGATGCTCACAAAATGTGACTTGATGTTGCACATTGGAACCACGTTGAAGCGCTTCCCCATTAGGACAGCCTCCCGTCTCTCACACGCTTCATTTTTTTCCTCACTCAGCTTCGTTTCTGCCTTGCGTTCGAGCTCTCAGTCCAGAAACACGAAATATCGCAGGACGAGGCGATAGTATCTTTTCTTATCTTTTTTCATCTCTGATATCTTGTCTGTTGGATTCACGAGCCCCAAGACTGCACGGTGCTCTTGTATAGCCGCACGGATTCCAGAAGCTTCATTCGTGAACTAGTTTGACGCTTTCTTGTCAACGATTTCGACCTCATCTTCACGCTTGCCATCTTTCGTGATGCCATTGATCATCGCCCATGTTCCTTTGCGAGATAGGCCCGGGTAGAGTGCAAACACGGCGCGTATCATGAAACGTTCGAGGTTCACTGTCAAATGGTTCTTCAGGTTCGTGATGTACTTCATCGCCCCGTATATGTAAAAATTCGAGTCGCCCTTGTATCGAGTACCCTCGAAGCGGATTTTGGCGAAGTTTTCGTGGAGGTGCACTAGCACATTTTCCCTCCGCGTTTTCTCTCCACCAAGCATCAGGTGTCGAATAAACGTCTTGTCGAAAAACTCGTCCGGAATCTCGACCGTTTCCATATCCGTCACGTCGCGATACATCTCCCTTGCCAAATGCATCAGTCCTGACGACGCCTTGACAACAATCTTGGAGTACGAGTCGACACGTTTTTTGATAGCGTCTCGCAACTTTTCCCTGTAGGGATCCTTGATATGTCCAAGACGAAAGGTTTTCACCACCTTCTCGTCGTACAGTCGTCTCTCGTGACGCCTTCGACGTAGGGCCTCCCCCTTTCGGTTCTTCTTCTCTCCCTGTTCTTCTGGACTCGGCACTGTTTTTTGTTTTTTTCTAGCAGCCGGCGACCATGGCCCTCCAGGATCGTGGACTTGCTTTTTCATAACTTTCCTTTTATTAGTTTTTTTTTGAAAAAGAACCCTCTTTGAACCCTTGTGTTATATACTGCGAAAAAACACTTGACTAGACTTGTTTGAGGTTTGAAGCAAAAACGAACTGAAAGACTGTACTTTGCCACGTCTTTAACGCAAGTACAGCTTGCACATTAGAGCAGCACGCTATTGATCAGGATCGCGTTTCCCTTCAACGGCGACAAGTGCGTCGCATCAGTTGACTGCCCGATCTCCCAGATGCGCTCAGTGAGCGCGCTGGGCGCATCGCCCCGTTAAAAACGCGCAAAGCACAGTGCCTCGACACAAGTCTACCCGTCGCGCACCGAGGCTAGGCGCAAGGCCGCTGGCGACGCCTTGGCTGGCCTGGTGTCGCTGCGCTCCGGAGACATCGACTCAGGTACCGAGTGTGGTGCCTGCGCAGACGCCGAGCGCCCCGTTACGAATAGAGAACGCACCGGTGAGCGTTCAAAGACCCCAGCAGACCGACAAGCATCCGCAAGTAGTCGACCGGCAGGTGTAAATACCCCAACGATCCAGCGCGTTGTTGTGGCAGCAGCAGTATCAGCGTCTCGTTCGGCTAACGTTGGTTGTAGAGACGCCAGCGGCACATACGGTTCAACACGAATCACGCCCGTGCTTCCATACAGGTCGAACAGACCAAAGGAAGTTGTGCTAGTGTGCAGGACGTTACTAGGTCGAGTGCAGCGTCCCGCCCCGAGTTCGGTGGCGGCTCCAGCCACTCGGCCGGGAAAATACTGGCCAGCGAAAGCACTGCCTAAGCCACGAGCGCGACTGATGACCCAACGACCAAAACGCGCCTTTCTAATAAAACGAGTTTGATCAGGCGCAACAAGTCCCGTCGAAGCCGCGTCACCAGCTGTTGGAGACTCGTGTCGCCAATGGCGTCGCGGTCCAGGCACGCTGGTAGTCGCTGCACTGGCACTGGTGTCGGTACCGGCAGTCGCTGCACTTCAGGGTCGCCCAACGCAGCCGCTTCCTCTTCATCCAGCGTCGTAACCAAGGTCCCGAAGCAGTCTACCTGCCCAAAGCTATGTTTCGCAAAGTAACTGGCAACCACCGGCTCAAGTCGACTCGCTAGAAGCGCATACAGCGGCCAACGACTCAACAGTAGCACAGACTTTTGGACGAGACCTCGGGCTGTTGCAACAGCCTCCTCCTCAGCGCTAGCGATGCGACTGCAGTCCATCTGATGCTATCGGTAACAAGCTACACCGTACAACGTGTCGACAGTGACGCCCTGCCGAACCGTGAGGTACACCGTGTCGTGCTCGCGTCCATGCGCACCGTCGGGAAGCGCTCGCACGGCCACCTCGCGAAGCCAGTCGTTGTCAAGGTTCTGCGCTGAAGCTCCGGAGCGATCTTCTGTCTGGTTCACTTGCCAGTTCACCGACAACTCATCCGCTAACTCAGCACACTCGACTTGGTACTCGTGCTTGGCGTGAAACCTGAACGCAAACCCGCGTTCACCGAACGGATCCGCAAAGCGCACGGCCGGTCGATCGTCGAGACGCCGCCCTCCTGCCCCATGCGATCTAGGCAGCGGGTATCGCTCTGTGCACAGAAGCGCGTTAAAACGGGTAGGCGTCGACTTCAGTGCAGCGGTGCAGCGAGGTATCCGTCTGAGTTGACTGAAAGCAGTTCGTGTCATGGAGACACGGTCGGCGGTCAGCGGGAAGGAAACCACGCAGATAACACCGAGCGGCAGGGGTGCAACACGCGCACCTGAGGGCCGTCACGCGTCCGTGGGCGCTGCAGCTGCTCGTGACGCGACCCTCGTGTTCCCCGAGGCACCGAAACGCATGAGCCCTATGGCAACACGTCGTCTGCATAAAGAGCTCTCGGACTGGCACCTTTCGGGGCGGACCGCGGAGAGTAACCCACAGCCGGCCATCTTTCTGGAAACCCCGGTGACGCGCCTCGACGAGTGGTTTGTCTCCCTGCGCGGCGTCGAGTCGACGCTCTACGCAGGTGAGGTCTACCGTTTACGATTTCGCTTTCCCAGTGATTACCCCATCGAAGCACCGGAGGTGGTGTTTCTGGGAAATCCGCCGGTTCACGAACACGTGTACTCGAACGGTCATTTGTGTCTATCGATTCTCTACGATAACTGGTCGCCAGCGCTGACTGTCAACTCGGTGGCACTCTCTATTCAAAGCATGCTGAGCAGCGCAACTCAGAAACGACGCCCGCCAGATAACGATGCATACGTGCGAAACTGCCGAGGCAGGTCGCCGAAGCACACGCGCTGGCTCTTCCACGACGATGGGGTTTGAAACCGGTGCGCATCTCGCTGCTCCGAGCACAGCAGCGCGCACCATTGTCTCGACCAGGCATGCTCGAGCGGTTGCAAGCGTTCATTCGGAAGACTCGGTATCCATCGTGGATGTGTGTTCGGCGAACCCGGCTCGATGTCGCCGTCAACGCGCGACGCTCGGGCGCGCACCGCGACATCCAGCGAGCAACACCGGCGCCTATCGAACGCACCGCTCAGGAGCGTATCGTTGCCAAATCTGGATGCGGGCAGCGAATCGATACTGGGGCATCCGGGGGGCGGGCGGGAACCTGGAACCCCGAACACTGCGACAAGCCGGACATTGGTGTCGTGAGTGGCGCGGCGAGCGATATCACGCACGCGCGGGATGCTGAGAACGCTCCTGGACATTAGTGGTCAGGGATTTGGAGCTGGCTGCGTTGCTTGATCAGATCGGTACCGTTGAACAGCGGGTACGGTGCCCGAATGATCATTGGGTAGCCTGGAACGATGTTCCCGAAGCGACGCTCTGCGACCGCAGCGCGACACGCTTTGGCACGTCCAGGGCAAGGCATCGTGTCCGGGTCGCCAGTCAATGGTGCCAGGTGCTGACCGCCCGCCGCCTGTGGTGATGTGTGCGGAGTGGCACCTGCGCCACCGCGTTGACAGCGGTGGCTACGTCAGACGCGGTTGTGGTTTGGAATCACGCGTGCACAAAATGCATCGCGTTGTAAGTGACGGTGGTGGCGGCGGTGGCGGCGGTGGCGGCGGCGGCGGCGGCGGTTTGAATCTATCGTAAGCATCCGCACTGAACATGCTCAGATGCTTGACGAGTGGCGTCCATGTGCCCGGTGATTTGGGATGTAGTTTGTACCTCCATTGCCGCCTAGTCAACTGAGGTCCGTAGTTCGCAGGGATGCGATTCGCGAACGCTGACGTTGCGGATACATTCGAACGCGATCGACCCGCGCTCATCTGCAGTTGCAGCGTTTTACGAAATGGTCCCTGGTGAGCCTCGTGCAAGCGCAGTCCGCAAATCCCGAGTTTGCGGACACCCTGAAACATCATCGCTGCGCGTAAAACGCACCAGCTTTGCAAATAGCGCTGAGCCGTGTATCGCGTCAGGGTCTGAGCCATGTCAGCGGAAAAGGCAGGCCTGTGCGATGATGTCGGATATCGTGGATTTGCTGAGACAGTTGTCGCACAGGTACCCGCTGGCATGGAATCACGGCCGCTAGCCCCGTGCCAGATGAAAATGGAACGCTGAACTGCTCGCTCTGTTCCTGAGCTTCGTCGTTGCTTCTGAAGATTTCATAGATATACAGGATCGATTTTCGAGGTCCAGCGACAGGGGTTTACGGATTCATGCGTTGATGGAGGATCCTCGGTTGTAGCTTAGGAGTGGCCTCTTCAACGCTTTGCTCCTGAAATTCGATATGTCTCGGGAATCGAAATGATTCCTGATGCCCTAGAACAAAGTTTCATAAAATACCCACCATCATGATAAAATTTACAAGTCGAAGCTTCGATTCGACTGCTTTCCTTACGTGTAGCATGCTCAGATCACGCTTGCTCCAAGTTTTCGGCCTTTATGATTCAGGGCCAATCGCGGGCACAGCACTGCGCGCCGCAGCATCGATGACCACGAAAAAATACATCGATCTCCTCTCTTGACGGCTTGTCCGGGTGCTCATGCAGAGAGTTCACTGAATCCGCCGGGGGTAAATACCGGATACCATTCGAAAAGAAAATTCGTTTGTCTTTGTGACGATCGATTGTACGGGATTCGAAAGAGACAGCACGATACTTCTGACGGGATATGCTCCAAAGGGTCACCGTCTCTGCTGGAGCTGTTGTGAGAGGTCTTACGCTCGGAGTTCGTTCATCGTCGAGATCGCTTCCAGTGGCGATTCCGTCATCGTTTTCCACATAGGGAGCGTAGACGAATCGGGATTTCTCGACTTTATTCTCCAGCCGAGAAATTTATCCTTACAGTACTTGCTTCATCATGGACAAGATCGCGTTCCAGAAATTCTCTATCGAATGCGACAGCCTGCGCTTGGGCGCGCAGCGTACTCGCCAAGGGCTTCGCCCGGAAGATGCCCCCGGTTATAGGGTATTGCGCCAGGTGCGGACGCTGAGGCATGCAGCGGGTGAGCCTTCTGTTCCTGGCAAAGGCATGCACACAGCACTGAAGCAAGCGTCAACACAGGGCAGTGCTCTGACAAGGAGGATGGAGTGTAGTGTGCATACGGGAACGCCTAACCAAAGCCATGTGTCATCGTTTCGATTGGCGCACCCAGGCTCTGTACAACGACAATGAACATGGCAAGCGAAGCGCAGATCGGTACCTTTCCCTGTTCATGAACTACGTTGACAGCAGACGGAAGCTGCGAATTCGGAAGTTGAACGCTGCAGGCAACATCCCTTGAATGCTGATAGCGGCGCTTGAGCGACAAACGAGACTAGTGTGCTTTAAGACGGAGGCGAGCGAGGAAATGAAAGCAGACTTGGCGGGAAAAAGCCCGCAATGGCTGGTGTTGGTGACACTTGGACGAGGCCCGAGCGCCCACATGTAAGCCGGAGCTGGTGCTCACATTCCATTCTGTTCTGGCATCGGCACAGCCGCGACCAATACGTTCCGTTTAATCGTCGAGTCCCATGTAGTGCATGCCTTCTCGCCAAAACGATTCGTCGTGACGCAACGCCATGCTGCAGGATGGATCATGCGTAATCGAGCACATCCTGGTGCCATACAGCCGCGTCATTTCCATAGATTCGACGACGCGGTATCGCCATAGCGACACTACGGCAGTCGGCTGCACGATGTACACGGGAGGCGCCGCGTTCGCATCGCCCATCCGTCGAATGCCGCTCACCCCGCAAAATCGTGCGTTTCCAGACGCTCACAGCAAGTAGGACGCGGTCATGTATGGCCATGTGTCAAGCCACGTGAATCGGAAGCAGGAACTGTGCCACTACACGATTCGAAGCCGAATCCTTGCATGGGGATAAAGACTGCGCCTCGCCTTTAGCTCCAAAAGTGTGGCGTTCGGTCTGTTCGGCCGCCGTCTCTACTTGCATCTCTGGCGGATGCTCGAATGCACCAGCGAAATTTGACGTAGCTGCCTAGTCTTCAGATAAACGCTCCTGCAGCGTGCATCTTGCGCTTACAGGGTCGGTGCCTGCCGCGATGCTCCGGCCGCAGCCTCGCATCCGAGGCGTGACAACCCACGCTGTGACATGGTTCGTACGCACGCGCACATTTCATCCTCCATTTTGTTCTCCTGTACGATTCTAGAGGCCGTCTGTAAAATCTTTTCTTTTGGCAGACTACGGAAAGGTCGAAGTTCGAAACCAATTCGCTTCGCCTGGACCTGCTCCAGCGCAGTGTCCAGCTCGGAAGGCCACTCGTACGCAGTGTTGTCACCCGTTGTCTGGTCCGCACTGACGCTTTCCATGCATTTCGCATTCGTATTCGTTTCCGCGGTAGGCAGTGGCGCGGTTCGTTGAGGGCTCGGTCCCGGATGGTAGTGCATCCGAATCTCGGCACGGAATAGATCTCGCAATCGCTCAGCGTCCAGGCGAGTGTTCTCGAAACCAAAGTCGCCCGCATCCCAGACTGGGACTGTATACGAAGGCGCTCGACCGCCATCAACATCATCAAAATATGGATGAGAGAGCGCCTCGGCGGCCGTCAGCCGCAACCGTGGGTTCACGCACAGCATCTGACGCAAAAGATCGACGGCATGCGGCTCCGCTGTTGGGAACAGGCTCCCCAGATCCACCGGAGGTCGCTCAGGCATACGACGCAGATACTCACGCACCTGAGGAGAACGAAACTCTCGAACAGAATGCGCATCCGGTTTGCCAAGCAATCGAGTGATGAGGTCCAGTTGATCCAGTCCGTCTTTGCCGATAAAGAGCGGTCGGCCGCCAGAGAGCATCTCCGCAAAGATGCACCCAGCCGACCAAATGTCAATTGCAGTACTATAATGGGTGTAGTTGCATAGAAGAAGCTCTGGCGCTCGATACCAGCGTGTTTCCACATAGCCCGTCCATAGAACGAGATTCTCGGGCTCTCGCAGCTTCGCAGCGCGCGCCAGCCCAAAGTCGCAGATACACAGGCGCACGGTATTCGGCATATTCGTGACCAGCAGATTATCCGGCTTCAAATCTCGGTGATATATACCCGCTGCGTGCATGTATTGTAAGCCGCACAACAGGTCGTAAAGCAGCTTCTTGACTAGTCTATTGCGATATGCCGTCGTCAACTGCGAGTTGGTGTACAGGATCGCATTCGCGCGCCGCAGTGTCGCCGGCAGATACTCAAGAATAATGAACACGTCATCGAAGCGCAGCGTGTCCCTGGGCATCAATACATCCAAAATCTGAACGATATTCGGGTGGCCGCGCAACAGACGCAACAACTTGAGTTCCCGGAGTACGCGAATCGCCTCGGGTGGGTGCTCAAACACGTTGCGAATGTGCTTGATGGCTACATCTCGGCCGCTGAGCGTATCTCGGGCCCGATAGACCTCACCATAGGCACCGCGGCCCACGAGGCACTGGAACGTATACCGCTGGGAGGAAAGAGCTGCAACGCCAAGCGCTGCCGCGTTCGGTACGGTTGTTGTTTCGGTTCGAGCACCTTGCGGCGGTGGCGTTCGCTGCTGCGACATCCGCTTGTCCACTGTATTCGTCAAAGAATATCGTCTAGAGATAGGTGCTGGCTTCCAGAGCCCAGGATCCGGTGAACGCTTCTCGTTGTTCGTGCAGCGATCGTCCACTGTGCCCCAGGTACCTCGAAGGCACGAGTCAGTTCAAGGCATGCAATCGATAGTTCAGAATTGTTCGAACTAGAGATTTGCACTCTTCCTTGGTCTTTTCTCAAAAACAGTATGAAGAGAATCTGCTGCCAAACTCGCCTGGAGCTGGATTCGAGCTAGGTCAGCATATGCCGTACCGGGGCGAGGTCTGGGGCCCGTTTGAGCCTGCCCACTCGCTGGACAGCACTTGCCAACGAGATGCACTGACACGCCCTACGCTGCTTATCAGTTCAGCTCAGGAAATGCGGTTTTGCTGCGAACGCCCCCTGGGCCGTGGCGCAAGTCCACAGGCTGTATGAAGCCACCGGTAACGCTCGTCGTCGCGCCGGCTGGTGCGCGCATCCCGCACAGCCTCGAGCGACCGTGCGCAAGCGCACAGCGTTGCTGTTCATCGGTCGCTGGAGCGCAACAACAGCGACGGCATCGACAACGACAACGGCGAGATATACACGGCATTGCTTGTGTTGTGGGCATTTGCGGGATGCTCGAAACTCGGCGTATTGCTGAATCGATAGAGTCTCTACTTCCGAGAAATACACCGCCCTGCGAACGGAGGTATGCAGGTTTGTTCCGAGATGGACTGCTCCTCCTCTCTGGTCTCCGATAGCATCCGCGCATCGCGAGCTTAACTCGTTGGATTCATCAATCTTATCCGATGCAACGAGTCGAGCGCCCACGCAAGCGTCTGGGGTAGGCTAAACCCGCCACCGGATAGACTGCTGGACATAGATGAAGCGCGCACTAGCGGCGGGACACCGTCCTGACCTTGATGGAAAGTTAGCGTCGCTGTTGACGAGCTGAGACTCCATCCAGAGTCACCCAGTCTTTTCGTTGTGCAGCAGAACGGTTTCCATGGACCCCAGATACCCGATTGCGCGAGATGCGTACGGGCATGCAAACGGCACGCGATGCCGCAGCTGTGTACAGATTTGTGTATTTGTGTACAGCGTGATGTGGATGCGTGCACGCGTGCATCCATCTCGCGGAACAGTCGATCGAGGCGGGACGCATCCAATAGGGACAATCATTGACAAGTTGTTCACGATCCTGCTGGTGTACCCAATGCTGCAGGGGAGCAATTCGGGATCGAGTCGTGTACGTTGTGCCTCGAACCTGGCTACCTGACTGTGCACCTGTGCTGCTATGGCCTCTGAGGAGGCCGTACTAGCTGGTAACTGTAGCAGCGAGCAGGATGCGTCGGGCACTGCAGTCGTTGCGTGCGCAGAGTCGGCGGCATCATTCGACGAGCAGGCTGCAGCAGCGCAACAGAATCAACTGCTCACTGCCGCTGCAGCAACAGACGGCAGCAGTGCGCGCGATGAAAAACACAGCACGGAAACAGAGGAGGCTTTGAGGGCAAGCGTAGCGTCCGCGCCGTTCCAGCAGTGCTCCTCTGCTGGGGCGATGTTTCCCAGCGCCGCGGACGAGCTCGTGGAGCGAGCGCTGCACGATGATCGGTCGCTGGCAGCCTTGCTGAACGCGGACGGTCCGGTACGATGGCCGTCCTCCGAAGTGGTGCTCCATCAGGTAGCATGCTCTCTCGAGCGGCGTTACCTGCTGCACCCCGGAACCATGTACATCTCAAAAAGGTACTTGTGCTTCCAGCTCACGTCAAGCGGCAGCTCATCGTTTCTGGAGGCTGCAGGAGCCTCCGCTAGTAGCTTTCTCAGCTTTGGATATAGGTCCAGCCCAGCGGCAAACAGCGGTTCTGCTGCACTGGCCCAAGCGGAACGGCGCAGTGTCCCTGAAGCAGACGGAGACGCCGTCTGCTCCGCCAGGGACTGTGCCTCGAGCGTTGCTTCCCCGCGTTCTGCGAGCGGCAACGGTACCACGGTCTCGCCAGGAAGTTTGGCGCAGCAGAGGGCTAGCGATTCCGGGTCTACGACGCTCTGGCTGATTCCCTTCGAGGCAGTGACTTCCGTTCGCAAATCATCATACCTGTATCTGGAGAGCGCGTTGGAGGTTTCGACGACCTTTGGTCTCTGCAATCATACTCGACATGGCGGCGTGTTCTGGACGAAACCGCAAGAGGCTGTCTCAGGGATCAAACTACTCCGGTTTGCTGCCTTTTCTGAGCCGAACCGGGATGTCGTGTACCAGTACGTCATGAAGGCTTGGATGGCTCGACTGAGTCTGCTCGCGCTGGAGGGTCGACTCCCGCTCACGATGCAGACACCCAGCACACAGCACGCTCTGGACAACGCAGGGAAGCCCGCGACGCAACCGGGCTCTGAAAACAATATGTTTATCGCGGGCGTTTCGGAGGTGAAAAACGAACCTCGCACCACCAAGACGAATACAGCGGTTACCGGTGGCCTCGCGCTGTCAAATGCTGTGGCTTCTCAGGAGACGCTGAAAACGCCAGACACCAGCGCCAACGGGTCTGTTGTGGAGTCACTATCACGGGAGGACGGTGCTGCGGTTGCAGTTGAAACGCCCTACGACATCGACGCGGGACAAGTTGTGCTCGAGATACCAGCACACATCACCTCTGCCCAGACAGCTGACAAGGTCCCCGAGGCTTTGCTCTTTGAACTCTTTTTCGCCGATACCGCAACGCTGCCCAAGCAGTTGAATGAGGCCCTCGGACACACGGAGCTGCAGATGAGCACCTGGCAACTCATTGAGCCAGCCTCGGACGCAGCTGTGCATGCTGCGAGCGCTTTCCCATCACGCCATCGGACGATATCATATCAGGTGACGGTGCGGCGGGGTATCCTGAGCTTCACCGGTCACTGCACGGAGTCGCAATCGTTCCGCTTAACGCCCCCGGCATTGCGGGATGCCGGATACCCGTACGGAGCGCTCTACGAAATGTCCGTCATCACTCGAGACATGCCCTCATCGGACACGTTTCTTGTCCGCCAGCGAATTTTTTTCGATATGCAGCAGATAGACAAGGTGTGGCGAGTACGCGTTCGCGCGGTTCTCGGTATCCAGTGGCTTGGACGCACCGTCTGGCGGCCTTTCATCGAGCGCAGTGTGGCGGCTCAGAGCCGCCACGCCTTTGAGCAGTACAGCAAGCTGATGGACGCAGAAATATCCAAGTTTCGGGCACGAGAAGGTGCAGCTCAAATTCAGCATCATCCGCATGCCTCCAAACCAGAACCAATCATCGCTGTGATGTGGGTTGTGCTCGCGAGCAGGGTGCGATCGCTGGTGCAGCGCACTGCTCGGGCCGTGGAACAGGCCCTGGTACGACTACCACCACCGCTGCTCGCTCGTCTGTTTCTTACGCAAACGGTTCTCTTAATGCTTTGCTCAGGTTTATGCGGGTATCTGTTGGGGCAGCTGAGTTCGCGCAGCTTGCCATAGGGCTTGCAAGCGCAAAAGATTTGGTGTACAGCGCTCCCGCTCTGGAGCTCGCCATGCAATGAACAACGAGTCTGTGAAAGGCCACAGATTGTTTCAGTGTCAGAGCGTGATCGCTTCCGGGTTGCACGGTCACGATGACCAGCATTGACGCTGAGGTTTTGGCTGGCGCACCGCCCCTGGGAGCTTGCTTCCCTGGGAAACCGGGCATATGCCATGGTAGCGCCGTGCACCATGCATGCTGGTGCGACTGTGTAGCGCGCGCGTGCGCGATCACGACAAGTACGCACATCAGAGCGACGACAAACGCCACCAGGTTCGAAGCTGTGCTGCGAATGACTATCTGCGATTCGAGTCGGGATCAGTCTAACATCTGAGAATGATCACATTGAGCATGATTCGGCAAACCGTGTGTTGCTGTGTACTGCTTTGCGATGTTATGCGCCGTATGATTCCTTCATGGTACATGATCGACGAGTCAACGCAATCACGCACCAGATTCGTGAACACCGCCAGGAACCAGGCACCGATCGCAGCGCCTCCGCACACGCTACCACGCACACGTTGACCCAGTGCAGGATGCCGTTTGTGAATACTCCACAAGATCGATCCAGCGACGTTCAAGATGTTGTTCGGAGACCAGGCGGTTTGGCCTCGACCTTTCGCACTGCCGCTCGAGGCGCTGGCAGGCACGCAGGCACGCGTGCACCACTGCAACACGGAAATATCCACGCGAAGCCGGTTCAATGCATCGATCGAACACTGGGCAAAGAAACTCGCTGATACCCATCCATCACGACGTTCGACGCTGCATCCATCGTGGGCGCGCTTGCACAGAATCCGTCCCATTCGGATCGCTTCATACGAGAACATCTGCACCCGGAGGAAGAGGCGCTCCCCGATTCCCCGACGACACGGTATGTGTACACTCGTGCGCAGCATCAGCCGTAACGTCTTGCCGTACCGGGTAGCCGTCTGCGTAGTAGACGCGCTCGAGGCATAGTCCGTGCGCCGGAGCAGGTTTCACCCGGGGCGCAATGAGCGCACGCCCTCGACTGCCTTGCTGCAGCGCATCGACAACAAGCGCATCATCTAACTCGCCTCGAGCGACTGCGAGAAATGTTCCCATGATGTTCCGAATCATCCTGTAAAGCGCACCATCGAGCTCGAACTCGAATTTCCACACAGGTACAATACTATCTACGGGGGATGGCTCGACCGAGATTCGTCGGATCGTTCGTACCGTTGAACGCTGGATCTGGTGGCGATCGGCCTTTCCCGGTGGGCTGCTTGCGAACGCTCCAAAATCATGTGTTCCTACGAATGTCTGCAACATCTGTTGCGCTACCGCCCAGTGCTGCATCTGGCGGTAATCTGTGTACGCGTAACGATGGTAGAGCGGGTCGATCCATGCACCAGCAGAAAGGCGATAAACGTAGCGTTTGCCTTGTGCTCGGTAGATTGCATGCCAGGGCAGCAGCTGGTACGTTCGTGTCGAGGGTACAAGATACCAGGCCGGCGGCGGTGAGACCTCCATCGCTCGTACCTGAATCGTTCGGGGAAGGAGTCGATTCAGGGCATGCTCCAGTCGAGATGGCTCAAATGCGGATGTAGCGGCCTTCTGCTCGGGAATATCAAAGTGTATGACTTGGCCTCGAGCATGAACACCAGCGTCGGTGCGTCCAGCACCGACTACCTGGCAGTGCCAGGGATAACCTCCGAGACGTTGTTGCAGGGCCGCTTCGAGTCGGCCCTGGATCGTTGGTGTCGCTCGTGACTTTGCCTGTCGCTGAAAGCCGTGAAAGTCGGTGCCATCGTAGGCGACTACAGCTCGATAGCGCACGAGGTTCTCTGTCGATGGTGCGCTACCCGCGTTGCGAGTAGGCTGCTCACCGGCGAGGCACGCAACCGGCGACAAGTGACTGCCTCCGGGCAGCCAGCAACGGCGCTCTCGAAGGCATCGCCAGAATTGGCCTAGCCTCGACGCGTGCACGACAAGAAGCAAGCGCTTCTTTTGCAACTGCGGTCGAGTGACACTCGTAACCCAAGCAGGACGTTTTTTGAGGTCGCCCAGTGCTGCTGGGAAACGCACCTGCTTTGAATCACTAGAGGCACTGTGAAACTGGAGTTTCATATATACATGATCAGTGAAACAAAAAACGTTCTACGACTTTTGAGGGTAAAACTATATCAACGCGCAGAAGCTTCCCAGTTTGTTTTTCGTACCGGCCGACTGCTATAGGCTTCAGCTCCTCCTGGTAAATCTCGAGAATCAGGGGCTGCCCCACGAGCTCTGATCGCCTAACCTCCTCGGGTCTTGTCTTCAGCGTCGCCCATGTCCTGATATATGAATGGCGGCGTTCAGGTTTTGTATTCACGAACTCCATGCGTTTGCGGACCCTGGTTGAACGCACGAATACACGGAGTCCTCGAACTCGTGCCGCCTGTGCCACTAAAGTCTCGACATACTCCCGTCGAGTAAACGCCTTTTCTCACCCATGTCCGTTCCTGTTCTTCTTATTGGTCAAATGGTCTGCTTCGCTCGGTGGTCGGCGAGGAGGAGGATTTTTCCTTTTTCAAGCATCCGGGGATGACAGGCCGTCAGGATCCGTGACCTCCGTGTCCATAACTTTCCCCTGGATTTTTATTTCCTCAAAACGAACGCATCCCTTTATGCCGTTCGATGAGGACCTTCCCGGAGGCAGAAGGACTTGCGGAATAAAGACGACCGGTGCCGCTGGTTTCACCGTGGGCTGTACGCCTCAGCGATTCGCTCCGTCGACCGATCATTACACTTCACGATGGAAAACACGCCTGCGACGGGGATGGACCACGGAGTGTACCCAGGAATGAAAAGCAGCTCTACTCTCGATAGAATCCACAAAAGTTCGAATGCAATGGGAAAAGTCTCCAACGATTAGGGAACGGCGTGCTGTTGTATGAGTCTTCTCTACGAGCGAAACTGAGGCCGCCAAATGAATCCACTGCAAATAGAACAGATGAAGAGGTCATTGGCCTCTTGGATTTCGATCCTACATAGAAAGGACTCCATCTCCACGAATACCCATGAACGCTCCCATCGCCGCGTCCGCAGAAAGCCTCATCGACAGAAAAACAAACCCCAGTCCCTGTGCTTCATATCGATGGTAACTTACCAGGAACATTGCTGTAGTTACGATTTCGGTCGAAGATGGCCGCGCTTGAACTAGGACTTTTGCGACTATATCCCAGTGTTTTCGAGACTACACGAAAAAGCTGGTGAGAAATAGAGACGCCCGTTGCGGCTGATATCGTCGGTTTCACCTACCCCAAAGTGAACAACGGGTCGCCTTCGACCATCTTTCGCAAGCAGTCTATGAATGTACCTGTTTTGGCGCGGAACGCATATACTTGGTCCTTTCAGTGTTCCTCATCCAGCCGAGTCCATTGGTATGACTGATCTGAGGGAGGAATGCAGTCCTCATTGAACTGTTCACTAGAGCATATATCTAGACGCAATGCGTCTACGATCTATCGAGTACATCGCATAGCGATTTCGATCTCGTGCTATACACCGCAGCAGGGATGAAACAGTACTGCGTTGGAAGGCTATAAGAAGTGATGCTCCGTAGCGTTAAGCGAAACCGCGGCGCCTCGACCTGGCGCGCGTCATTCGCATCACCTGCCTTTTAGAGAATAAGCTATCGATGAAGCCTCGCTTTGACAGAAATGGGGCGCGCTGTGGTGTGTTCGACACCCACATTGCGCTTCTTGACAAACGTCCCAAACGAAGACCATTTGCGTTGACGCCGTACCGACGACGCGAAGCGCCCAGCCAGCGGATCCGTCCTAGGCCTCGCTGGAGGGCGGCGCCTCCTTTGAAACGGCTCCGACCAGCTACGGCTGCAACAGCCGTGCACGTTCAGGAGCGCCCGTGCAACGCGTCGTCAAGTCGCCGGCGTCGAATGCGTGTTCGCTCCGACGGCTGCCTGGAAGCTACTTGGGCACGCCACTCTACTCAGTAAAGTGACGCACTTCAGTCAATGTCATCCGGTGCATACGCGTTTACCAATAGTTCATGGTGAGAGGCGCAGCACGTCTGCATGTTCGGTCGACGATATCGCAACCGCAAGCACACGCGATCCCGCGCAGAAAAGCCTTCCCTGTCCCTCTGCATCGGAACGAAATATCCGCGCAGAAATGTCTTCTCGCATGGTGAAGCGCTTCGCTCCCGAACGCAGTGCGTCAACTGCAGGAATTGCTTCCCGCCAAGTGCGCACGCGCGTGATACGATACCATCATCATCATCATCATCATCATCATCCGTACTCGCCTAGGCGAACCACGCCACACTGCGTAGGACGTACATGCGTAATCCGTAGGCTAACGCGCAACACAGTGCCTGCAAGATCATCAAAACAAGGCAGAGCTGTCGCTCCGTCATTGGGCCGCAGAGCAGGAGGACCAGGTTGAGCAGGTTCATGTGGCTCGGAACGCCCTCAAGCTTGCGAGTCTTCGGATTCAGCCGCGGCAGTCGATGGCGCGGACACCGGATGATCCCCAGTAATTGCGGTAAGCTGTACAGGAAATTGAACACCTGCGGAACGAAGAAGAGGAGGAGCGTCTCGCTGTAGTGTCCCAAGATCGCAGCCATGGCCAAACACATACCTGCAAAGTAGCAGTAGGTATCGCCGACGAATACTGCCGAAGGATACCAGTTGTGAACAAAGAGCGCGGCGCTGGTCGCCAGGAATGGCACGATCAAGTCCAAGGAAAACAGATGGTTCGCTCGTAGACGTTCGGGGTCTGCAACTGGCAAGGCGAACCAGCCTCGCAAATGCGCTGCATTATGTAACGCAACAGCACAGCCGATGACGATGGCTTGACCAACTTCCAAACCATTGATTCCCGCGTGAATGTTAATGGCATTTGAGCAGAACACCGCCAGCAGGAGCATGTAGAGTTTGTATATCCAACCGAGATCGACCAGTCGCGGTACAACAACGGGTAGTTTCCAGAGCTTGGCCCATTCTTTGCCGTATGAAAACGAGGCCACTTTGGTGAGCAGCCAACCGAACCACTGTCGAACCGGCTGCGGTACGATGACCGTTGTGGAGCCGGTGTAGGCTGCCAACAACGGCAGAGCCGCCACGCTCGGTAGAATCATCTTATCGCGCCAACGCAGATCAAGCACATCATCCGCGAACCCAAGCAGAATCATAAATGTTACGGAGGCGAGGGCGGCGTTGTAGAAAGGGGTCGCCTCTGGACCCCGGAACAAGTGGAAGAAGCACAGCCCGCAGAGGTATACGGCAGCCGCTACAAGGCCCAGCGCTTCTGGCACCAAGGGCTGCTCTTGCGTCGCATCAGCGCCCTCTTGCTTCGTCGGCGGCTTGTTCAAGTCACGCCCATAGAGTCCTGCTTTGATGAAAAGCGGTGAGAAACGCGGGATCAGAACGAGCGTCGCGAGGAACACACCGGCGGAGCTCCACCAGTTGAGCGCTATGTGCGCACGTGCCTCTGCATCCAGCTGTACGTAAACAGCTCCAAGTGCCGCCAAGATGAGCGCGAGCGCGTAACGAGCGTTCCATATGCGTGCTCGTAGGCAACGAGGATGCTTGATCGTACTTGACATTGTTGCACCGCTGACGCAGCACAAAACGCACGAGTCGCGTGCGTTCGAACACGTTGCGAAAGGATGGCGCTGTCGTAGCCGCTGTGGCGGTTATGCGCTTCTTCCTCAGAGAGATGCCGCGGCCTCGATTTTTTTTTCATTGACAAAACGTTTACGTAGGCCAGCGTTCTCCGATTATGCGCATTTTTCTTTTCTTACTTTTTTTTTGTGTCCGCGGCCTCGATGCTGCGGTACCTCGCAGCGGGGGTCGGCGGGGAACCGTGGCGCCCTTAGGCTTCGCGGCAACGCAGATGCAGGTCGGTCCGGGAACGGACACCCAAATGCCGAAGCGCCCTTGCCTCCATGACAGGGGCATATATGCAAGCGTTAATGTTTGTTGCCTGATGATAGCCAGCACACCTGGTTTCGGGAGCTTCTGAGTCGAGTTCATTGATCCTCCAGGGATGAGCGTTCCTCGTTCGCCGCGTCGGGCGGGATCTTCGTGAATGTCGTCGAGGAAGGCGACATCTCCGCACTCCGCGAAAGCGTCCCGGATAGGCGCGTCCTTCTCGTTGAAGGAAGGACGGACAGGAGGTCAGGCGAATACAACGATGCCTGAAGTGGAAGGGCATGCCCTTCGTCGGTCCTCGGTCGCAGCAGGGCATTCGCGGGATTCGGCGTCAGCGCCATGGAACTTGCACAGAGACAACAAGATGCGCCGTTGAACGCGCTGAACCCGCATTCGATGAAGATGGAACACTGTACTGCTCGGTATGCGCCTGCCTTGGGATTTTTCTGGACTTTTTTTTTAAATTGTGGATTCTCGACACTCGACGTGCAGTGATAAGGGCTTAAGGATTCGTTCGTAGTTTTAGTTTTCTCGACTTGATCTCCATCCTGGAATTTCGTTCCAATTCCTGCCTCATCATGGACAACACTCCGATGCACAAATCCGCTAGCGAGTAGAACAGCGTCTGCTTCTATGTGCAGCGGACAGGGTGCTCGCTTCGGGATTGTCGGGACGAAGCTCTTGATCGTTGTGTACGACAACTGGCGCTGCAAAACGAAGGCGAGCATCAAGTGTATCCCTGTGTACCCGTCACGCGCATGTGGCGAGCGAAGAAGCAAGCATTCACCCGCCACAGGGCGGCGCTCGGAGGACACATTGTGGTGGATCTATGGAAAAATTGGCCCCAGTCCATCATCATCTGGGCGAAATTCGCACCAAACTTGTTCAACAAAGAATCTGAAAATGGCAAACAGGCTTTAGATCCAACCACCTGCTGGGCAGGATATGCGTCGACAAGAGCCCGCAGCAGAAAGTCAGGATATTGATGCTCTCCTTCGTATGATTTTTCGTGTGCTGGCAACGGAGCTCGAGTGAAGACACACCCTGTCGAATTTGAATCCGGAGATATGCGAGACAGGGATAGGAATCAGTCGCAGAACAAGCCCGCAAAAACTGACCCTTCTGGGGACGCGTAGAGACCCGGACGCTGGTGCGTACGCCCGAGTCGCTCGGTACGTACACCTGCTCCATTGTAAGCGAACATGTATATAAAGATATCAATAGGCACCTAATGCAATAAAACTAGACACATATGGGCACAGGATGTGTGCGTTTTCGCTGCGTGCCGCACGCCGCGCACCCCCCGCGAAATCGAAACGCTTGCGTCGGCAAGCCGCAGGAGCGCGCGCGCGCTCGTAGCCCCGCAGCCGTTTCGATCTGGAGCGCGCAGGGTACCCGGCCCCGACGCCGATGATGCGATGGGGTGACGGCCCTGGCGTTGCGTCCGCTGCAGCGGGTCGCTCGTCAGCGGGAGGCGTTGCAAACGGAACGTCCTGCGCTGGGCGGCAGCGATGCGCAGCGGCGCACTCCACAACGGCACCAGCAGCAGCACCAGCAGCAGAGCTGTTCTCGATATCGGAGCATTCGTCGACCGCGGCAGCTGCTGAAGAGGCCGCGATACGCACAGCAGCCGCCCGTGCCTGCTACCAGGGGTCGCGTTCGGCTCTGCTGTATCAGGCGTCGACGTTCCGTTGTTGGGCGAGGTGTGTTGTCGCTGTGGGTGCACCAAACGGACCGAATCGGTCGTTGATTTCATAACATACGAACTGCGTGCAAGCACAAGTTCTTGCTCATCGATCGTTAGAAGGTGTCCGAGCTCAGTACACAACGTTGTTCGCAGTATGCAGGCGACACCAGGCCTTGCGGTGCAAGCTGGTACGACGCCTGAGGTACGCAAATGGAAAGCTGACAACTCGCGGCAGCTTTACTCAGACGCAAAGGCATCACCCGAGAAACTGCTTGAAAGAGCGTGGCTGCGGCTTGGCCGGCGCGATGCAGACGCCTTGCGAGAAACGTCAACGCGAGCTACTGCCAATGCATCAGCGTCAGCGGCAGAGTTGGCTACCAGGGCACCGTTATCGCCAGTGCTGTCTCGGGTAGATAGCAAGGACGCCAAGCTCCACTATACGCTGCAGCGCAGCACGTCCAAGGCTGTCATCTATGCTTCCGAGGATCCTCATCGGAACAGCAAGAACAAGGCTATCTCCAAGAGACAACTCGTCACTGAATGGACTCCCGACAAACGCATAGCCATGCAGGTGCCGGATGAACGCCCGCGGGGCACTGTAACGGCAGCAACTGGCCCGGTGTCGACGGCGGTCCTGCGAACGCCAACCGCCTCTACCCCGGAACGACGACCCTGGACGCTGGGCGACTTTGAGATCGGAAGGCCACTGGGGCGCGGCAAATTCGGTAATGTTTACCTTGCACGGGAAAAAAGGACGCGCTACATTGTGGCACTCAAGGTCCTGTTCAAGGCTCAGTTGCAGAAAGCCGGTGTCGAGCACCAACTGCGTCGCGAGATTGAGATCCAGTCGCATCTACGGCATCCGAATATTCTTCGCCTTTTCGGGTATTTCCACGACGATACGCGCGTCTTCCTAATCCTGGAATACGCCGGGCGAGGTGAGCTGTACCGCGAACTCCAGAGATGTGGCCGTTTCAGCGAGCGCCGCACGGCGACCTATATCGCGCAACTCGCACACGCACTGGAGTACTGTCACCGCAAGCACGTTATCCACCGAGATATCAAACCGGAAAACTTGCTCCTAGGCATCTTCGGAGAGTTGAAGATTGCCGATTTTGGTTGGAGCGTGCACGCACCGCAGTCTCGTCGGAATACACTGTGCGGCACCCTAGATTATTTACCGCCGGAAATGGTTGAGGGCGCGCCACATGATGCGCGCGTCGATATCTGGAGTTTGGGCGTGCTCACCTACGAGTTCCTGGTGGGAAATCCGCCTTTCGAAGCGCAGAGTCACGAAGAGACGTACCGACGCATTGCACGAGTGGATCTGCGCTTCCCGCCGAGCGTCTCTGCGGGGGCGCGAGACCTCATCCGGAAGCTGCTGGTGCGCGACCCGGCCGAGCGTCTGCCACTCGATGCTCTGCTGAAGCACCCGTGGATTCAGGCCAATGCTGAGTTCGTGCCACGAATCGGTGAGTTGTCTTTACCGCCGCGAATGCACGCTGCGGAACAATAGGCGACGGGCATCGCCTGCATCGAACTGCTCGGTTACGGCGCTGACATAAAGTCGGCAGTGCACTAGGTAGCTTTCGCAGCGAGCCCTGAATCCTCGATGCCGGTCCACGCTTCCATGCAGGCTGCTGCGGTGGACGTCACGCTGATGCGCAATCAGCAACGTTCGTTTCGCCCGCACTGTCGCTGCAGGTTCCGGGCGATGCGTTCACGCGAGTCCGTATTTCCCGTGGACGTCCGCCCGTACATCCATGCAAACAAGTGCAGATACCGTTGCCACGTGCGACTTGCGCACCTGCTCCGAGTGAAGCGCACGTTGCCGTCGCGTCGCATGACGCACGCTCGCTACCAACACGCTGACCAGACTTGCGTCTGCTATTGGCGAGGGCGCACGTGCCTCGCTGTGTGTGCATACATGTGTGCGCAGCTCAGCGCTCGTCGGAACGAGCCTCCCGCTTATCCTCCTTCAGCGCGTCTCGTTTGTAAATGACCTCATCGATGAGACCGAACGCTTTCGCGGCCTCCGCAGACATGAAATGATCGCGCTCCATTTTGTCCGCAATAACATGCTTATTCTGACCCGTGTGCTTGGCGTAGAGCTCGTGCAAACGCTCACGCAGAAACAGAATCTCATTGGCGTGGATGGCAATATCTGAAGCCTGCCCGCCGGCTTGCCCACTCGGCTGATGAATCATCACACGAGCGTTCGGTAAGCAGCGGCGCTCGCCCGGCTCACCCGCGCATAGCAGCAACGATGCCATAGAGCTCGCCTGGCCCAAGCAAACCGTGTGCACCGGAGCAGATATATATTGCATGGTGTCGTAGATCGCCATCCCCGCTGAGATGATGCCCCCTGGTGAGTGAATGTACATAGAGAGCGCCTTCGCCGGCGCTACCGACTCCAAGTACAGCAACTGCGCAACGACGAGAGAGGCCACGGTATCCGTGATAGGACCGTTGAGCACAATAATACGCTCTCTGAGCAGACGCGAGTATATGTCGTAGACGCGCTCTCCTCGCGGTGTCTGTTCGAGGACGATGGGTACGAGTTGCGCTTGAGCGGCGTCAGCGCCTGCTGTCGTGGGCCCAGCGTCGAAGCCCGGGCCGGTTCGGTTCGGAATCCCAGGGCGGAACCAGGAGTAAAAGCGAGCACGTGCACCTAGACGCGAAAAAGTTTGCGCAGACGGCAGGATTCGAACCTGCGCGGCGAGACACCACATGATACCGAGGCGTCAGCGCGAGGCAATGTATACCAGCACTGGCTGCAGAACGCGTTCGAGTCATGCACCTTAACCACTCGGTCACGTCTGCCGGATAATCATACCATTGCGTGCGAAATCTGTATATAAAGGGTATTGGGGGAGTTGCGGCTCGAGGCGGCGCTTGGCGCTAGCGGCGCGCGTGTGCCTTCGTCCACCCTGACTTGCTCGCTCGATTGCTTGCGGGAACGACCTGGCAATCGAGCTGCGCACTGTGCGGGGAACGCTTTCACAAGCTCACCGAGCGACTGGCGTTAAGCTGAGTGCGCGAATGCCTAGTGTCTTCGGCGCAACGGGACACTGACGCTGCTCTCTTGTTTCCCTTAGAATAGTGGTGTAAGGCACGTGATCGCGCACGGGGTCTGTGTTCGATGAGTCACGTGCCCGCTGCGCCTGTGTGTGTTGATGATGCGCGAACAAGGTATGAAGTGATCGAGTGTTGTAACGTTTAGGTCCTTCTCTGGCGTGATATGAGCGGGGGATAGGAATTAATCGCGAACATAGCGACCGGTTACTCGGGGAAGTGCATGCAGGCTGCCGTTGACTGTTACGAGGATCGCGGGGAGCGCGCTCGAGTCGCTGCTCTTGTTCAAGGGGCTCTCACGATGCTGAGTCGCAATGCGTGAGCGGTTCGCGCTGGTTAGCAGGGCGACCTGCTGTTCGAGCTTCTGCGTGACACGCTCTGCGCAGCGCATGTCATTTTCAATATCGGATAGTGTTGATGAGGACTCGCTGGGCGAGCGCCAGCGCGAGCTGTGCTCCGGATCAGCAGAAACTGGGCTGCGCAGCAGAGTGTCCGCTGGTGAGGGGTGCTCGTGCGCTGGGCTTTCTCCGGCAGAGTGAACATGCTCGGCGAGTGCGCAGGGTGAGGGATCTTCCGATGCCGAGTCGTCGCCCGTACTAGGGACCAGACCGGCAGCGATCTCCCGCCGTACTGCAGCAGCCTCGACCCGCAAGGCAGCGTTTGCGAGCATCATTCCCTCCAGCGTCGTCACGAGATTTTCAATAACGTCAATGGGTGGCACCCTGGCAAATGCACTCGCAACTAGTTTGGTATGCTCGCCACTCGCGTCACCACAAGCAGATGCATGTCTTTGGAGCAGACTAGCGGCTTCGTTCAAAAGTCTTGCATGGTCGGAATCGGTGCAGTCTCCTAGAAGAGAACGCAATCGAGAAGCGAGCGCGCCGAAAACCTCCGAATGACTCGCACACAATTGGTCGAGGGAGCTGCTTGACGCATTCGTGAAATCCCGAGCATAGGGTGGATCCCACTCCATCGAGTCCGTATTGGCTTTGTGCTGGAAGGCGCCTTCGTCACTGGTATCGATCGGATCTCTCTGCTTCTGGTGTTTGTTGCTGGATCGACAGCAATCCTCGTGACGAAGGGTAGCTGTTCGCTGGTTCGCTGGACGTGGTCCGCTCGTCTCGATGGACAGGCTCGGTGATGCAGATCGCCGCGAGTCATGATCGACTTGTTCAGCTTGTTCCTCGTATGGTCGGGGCACGGGCTCTCCGGTGATCTGAGACGCAGAAGCAGCCGGTCTTGACTCGGCTGTACTCGCTTTCGCATCGGGCTCGGCGTCTGCAGTTATCGTTTTGCCACTGCCAACATCTTCGCTCTTCGACGAGGGCATTTCAAGATTCCTGCAACCGATTTGCGCCACGTCTCGCGAGCCTCTCAATAAAGCATATGAGCGACGAGTATCAGGTTCTGGGGACTTGCCTGAAGGCAGCCCCCTGTGACCTGGAGCTGCTTGGGAGTCGTCCGCGAAACGCACGCAGACTGATCCAGGACGGCCTGCAAGCCCCAGTACAGAGTCGCTTTGCGAGCCACGCTGACCCTCACAAATCGCTTCCGTATCCGGGTCAGCGTCCTCGGCTGGCCGTGGTGCACAGCTGTCCTCGGTACACCTGTGTCTCCAAAAGGATGCGCGAGAGTTCGCGGCAACGTGAACGAGTGCTCGCGTTCGCAGCTCGAGAAACCTCCAGCATGCTACAATTATCAGGCGCAGCTTGCACCATACATAAACTGCGCGACGAAGAATCGCCCTCCACCAGATTCCCATTGTAGCACGCCAGCGCCAGTGCGCCAAGCCCCCAAGTGCCAGCAAAACTGCCGCCACCATAGCACCAACAGGCCGAGCGTGCTGACCCCAGCACTCGCGGGGTGGAGCGGTGGGCCAGTGAGAGACCAGCGCCTTCGTCCAGTGCTTGATGCGCAACAACGCGTGTCCAGGTGTTGCGGCCGCTTCGCCTTGCCCAAAGATGCGCCCATACTCTGGGTACTCTCGTAAGAGCGTCTGATGCGCGAGCGCACGGATTGACTCTCCTCGTCTTTCCGCAGCGACCCAGTGCGCGAGTGCCGCACCGCTTCCGATAACCATACCGATGTAGACTCGCCGGCAAGCCCGGTACCAGGCCTCAGGGAAAGCGCTTGAACAGCTGCGCTCCGCGTCAGGTGCAACCGTTGACGCCGCTACGCACACGTTGTCCATTGTTCGGCGCAAGCGCAGCGGGAATTTGAATTGATGTCGCTGGGGCTCGCCGCCCTGCCTGAATCGCTGGCGGACGGACGGACGCCCTGGGGGTGAGGCGGCACCAACGGCGACGGCAGCGGGCCGCATTGCGATGCGCATCGGAATCGGCACGTTTCGGAGGTGCCACCGATGCGTTCGTTTGATCCGATATTGTAAAGACAAATCCTGTTTTATACAGTTTCTTCCGTTTTGTAGATGCAGGTACCGTTTCGATGATGCTGCCGACGACGCCGTGCAGCGCTAGGCGCCCGCGGCCAGCACGCTCGCAACGGGCAGCGTTTGCGCGCATGCATGAACCTCTGCCAGTGCGCGTGTGCGGCACCAGGAAGCACTGAGACGTGTTCGAGGCTGTGCTCTGAAGCCCGCCTGTCTGCCTGTCTGCCTGTCTGCCAATTGCGGACGCTGTGATCCCGGTAAATCATCCATGTGGCACCACTGCGGCAGGCAGTGCAGAGCTTGAATGCAGCACTCATCGACTACCCAGCGTACGATAGCGACGACGCACATTCCGCGTGTTGACACGCGCCGGGTACCTATGGTCGGTGGCTGGAGATCGACAGGGAATGCCAGGTACCGACGCCTTACAAAACGCTTTTGCCCGAACTGTGCCTGCTATGCAATGCGTATCGTCGGTCGAGCGACTGACGTCACACTGCAGCGCGCCCAGTAGCGAGATGGTGCCAGAAACCTCGTACACGTCATCCAGTCATGCGTCAGGACGATACCTGGAGCTATGAGCACGTCATTTTGACTCTTTCGCTGCAGAGTTCAGCGACGATCGACGACGGCATTCGGGAACTGTTTCTGTACCATCTCCGTATGGCAACAGCAGCGGGGTGCTTCCAGGGGCGCAACGGACCCGTGCGCCACACTTGCCACCCGGAGAGTCGCTTGAACGAATTATGATACCCCGATGCCAAGTAGGGTCTGCAGTTCGTCGAAATCAGGGTCGTGACTGGTGTGTGGACTACCATGCAGTCGAATACGGGTGAGTCTCGGCCGCTTTCCTGGCTACCGATAACCACGGCACATCCTGGAATCCCCGATTCGTCTCATCGATCCCAGACTATCAGGAAGGTTTCAGCGACATCGACGCGCTCGAAGCGAGAACGCATAACGCTTCACGATGCGAGGGTTTGCCTTCACCACGAGGGACTCGGATGCTTCCGAGTCGTTCATGCTGTGCATTCTGATGAACGAGTTGAGGTTAGGCGCAAGCGCCACCTGTTTCTACGTGCTCATCCTCTGACCGAGATCGCTCACAAAGATACGCGTTCACGTACCCTGGACATTGCCTATCGTATCGAGGAAGCGGGATGCAGTGCGCGATCCGCCACAAAAACGACCGCAGCGCGCTGGATGCGATGCAAAAGCGCAAAGGCACCCCTGCTGTGCACGAAACGCAACGAATGGCGGCGACTTGCAAGAGATCCACATTGAAACTGCTACAACAAAGCGGTTCATAACCGCTGGGCGAGCGCTATATAGCTGATACGTGAAGAAACGCAATACCACAAACGGCGCTTCTAGGACGGCCAACACACTCGCGTCATTCGCTCGATGCAGCAGAGCAATTTTTACATGCACCGTCGACGAAACCCAGCGCCCTGCCTGGACTTGTTTCGCAATATCGCAAGAACAAAGATGCGCTCGTAGGTACCAGAACATGCAGCGCATTGCTCTCTCGAGTGAAGCGTGCCGTTGAATCCGCATCCAATGTCATGCAGAATCTGGAACTGGCCCAGCATACACGAATTCATAATTGCCGGCAGGTACAGCACCTGTTGACGCGGCTACACCAAGCCGCATCTCGACGAGACTCGATTATGCTGTTTTCGTATCCCGTCAGCGGGTACGGAAAACGGAAACGGCAGCGGATCGCACCCCGTGATTTCGTGCTTATGGATCGGAAGCGCTGTTGTTCCTGTCATGGTGGCCTCGACGAGAGGTGCCACTCGCAATCCAAACATTCGCCACGAATCAGGCTACTGGTGCAGATGCAGTTGATGGTTCAGCAGACGTTGTCAAATGACATCCTCTGTCGCATACGATACTGCACAACGAACGGATTTAACGATGCTGCACATGTAGAACAAGTGCATCCGAGGAGACGCTCCACGTTCCGCAGCGTAGATTGCTTTCTGCCTTGACACTATTCCAAAGCGAACCGTCGCCCCAGGTGTCTCCATACAGCGCGGAGCGTCTGTGCTTCGACCGCGCATCCATTTACCACTGCAACCATTGAACAAGTCGTGCTTCTCGGCGTTATCTAGACCGGGTCCAACGGTGATGTGCATCGAACAAGTGACCTGTGAGCAACAATGGGCGTACTGGGGATGACAGACTCCGCAACTCGCGCGAGGTGCTCCTCGAAACCCCGTAATACTCGGGGAATACGTCAGGCCATAAAGCCGAATGGCCCCGACGATGCATCATTGCATGCAAAGAAGCAGCATAACCTGGAAACCCCGTAATACTCGGGGAAAACGTCAGGCCATAAAGCTGAATGGCCTCGACGATGCATCATTGCATGCAAAGAAGCAGCATAACCTGGAGTTGCCTTAGCAACCCGAACATCGATCAAACATAGTCGAGTGTTGCCGGGTCTGGTTGCCAGAAGACCACATTCTGACACGCGCTTACGAGCAGTGCGTACTGCGGATTAAACCCTAACGCCCGCGAATACATGGAATGCCCGTGCAGAACGTGACACGGATTCCCCGTCGCCCTTTCCCAAATGTGAATGCTTGCATCTTCTGATCCCGAAAGCACGTACTGTGAGTCCGGACTAAAGCATGCGTCAAGCTCATAGGCCTGGTCATTCGCGTGGCCTCTACAGAGTGTCTGCAGACAACCGTTGAATGCGTCCAGTATCTGAATGCGTGGATTCGGTTCAGCCGCACCTACGAGCAGTGAGCGGCCGTCGCCGCTAAACTTGAGTACGGTTGGCTCAGAGGTTGTTACGTTGCTCTCAAAGTCGATAAATGGGCCCTCATCCCATTTGCGGAGATCGTAGAGCTTAATCACGAGTTTCAACAGGTCACTGAATGCTACTGCAGCGACAAGACCAGATGGATCGACGGCAACTGCGGGGCGCCCTCGTACCTGCAGCACGCCTGCACAATGGGGATAACGAATGTCCCAGAGCCGCATGGTGCCGTCCAATGCTGCTGACATGAACGAATCATCATTCGGCGTCACTGCGATGGAAACAACGCGCGCACGATGACCACGAAAGTACCGTATGTATTTGCTCTCCGTTAACGACAGATAGCGAATATGATCGTCCCAGGACAGCGGCGCATTGTCCGGTGCCCGGGCTTGGAGTGAACCGCTGCCGGGGTCCAGAACTGGTTTGCTTGCGCATAGTACTGCAGATTTGTGGTTACCGAAGCGAATGACACCGCACCCGTAGCGTTTCACTGGTATTGTCGTCAAGAGTCTGCCTTGAACGGCGCTGTACACACTGATGAGGCCATCATCACCACCGGCCGCTACGATTTCGCCATCAACCGAAAAGTCTAGAGTGCAGACCTGTTCTTGATGGACATTTTTGAAGACTTTTGTTTTGCGCAGGCTCTGCATCGCTCGGTTGTTTAGCCTCACTATCGGAAGGTCTCGCTGCTGCGAAGTGAAAACTCTGGGCTCCATGCTCCAATTCCGTACTGAACAGCGAACGAAATTGACAACGTTCACTGCCAGGTTCTTTGAGCTTAAAGGTAGCGCTTCACAGCCAAGAGCACCTCGAGACGCCCGTGTCTAGTCCCAGTTAATATTTTGGCTCGGGAGCAAGTCACTTTGGAGCGCCCGCTCCCGAGGCACTGCCCTGCGTTCTCCGGCCACGGTTCAATGGCGCGTTAGCCCTGACGCGGGGGCTTGTGAAATCGCGGACCTGCAGCGACCACGTCTCTACACCCGCTTACTTGGTGGCAGCAAGCTGCGGTGTTTCAGCGTGTGTCGACGCAATGAACCAGTCTGCAAGCGGGAAAGCAACAAAAACAACACTGGCAAAAGTCCCCAGGTCTCCGAAAGCGATGAGTTAAACGGCTTGGCCTCGACTGAGCTAAACGTTCGCTACAGGGCCATGACACCAGTCAGGCCACTGAAATAACGCCAAGATTAATGATGGTGCAGGCACCGTGAACTTGCTCAGCAGCTGAGGCGCGTTCCACAGGTCGTTTCAGACGTTGTTCGACACCAGAACCCGCCGCATACGAAGGCACGACGCGCTGCGTTGCAGAGCGAACATGTGCTGTCCATATATATTCCAATAGTAACACTTTTGTACTATGTGCAATGGACGTCGACGCAGCGGCGAGCCACGAGCCGCGCCCCTACTCGACAGGGATGTTCATCGAACAGTGTATAAGGCAGCTGCGTCGCGCTCTGGAACGACTAGTGCACCATGCAGAACGCGAGTGGACGTATTGTCGATCTCTATGTACCTCGAAAATGTTCCGTGACGAACAGGCTGATTTCCGCAAAGGACCACGCATCCGTACAGCTGAATATCGCAAAAGTTGACCCTGATACGGGACGGATGGTTCCCGGCGAGCACCTGACCGTCGCTTTGACCGGATCGATAAGACGCTTGGGGCTGAGCGATCAGGCGGTTTTTAGACTGGCCAAGGAAAAGGGAGCGCTCGATGACTTGCGTGGTGGTGGTGCTGTTGGTGTTGGCTCAGGCGCTTCAGGCGGCGCGGAGGAGCGCACGGACTAGCTGACGCGGGCACGCACCTGCGCAGCGCTAGGGACCTGTCCGCGGCGGCGGCGCTAAGCACTGAGCGCCAGCTTCCCAAGTGCAACATTCGTCTGGTTTGCGCGAAGACATCTGCCAAGGAAGAAACGCGTCGATATAGTTGCGTGAGCAACATGTAGACGCGCGACTCCCTGTGAGCGCCTCTTGCTCGAAAACGGAGAGCGTGACCGCAGCGCTCTGCTCGGGCGCGCGAGACGTTACCGCTTCGGTTTGCTTGAATCGATACAACTGGTCGGACTTTGCTGCTCGTAGGTATTCGGTGATTGCACAGCGTTATTTGGAGACCCACAACCAAGCTCTTGAAGTAAACGTTCCCGATGCGCCACTGAACCCCCAGAGCCGGGATCTGGGTTTCCCGGCTCGCTTGCAACGCTTTGCATGAGGTGCTCGAGGCGCTCCCGAGACATACCGGCTTCACGGATGCGCTGCACTAAATAGCGACGTAGGCCATCGGTGCCGTGGTTGTCACGAACGTGTCGTAGTTCCCGAAAGAGCATGCTCGATGCAGCTCTGATCGCGTCTGCCATACGCGGGTCCAAAGAAGTAGCGACCAGCGGCGAGACCTCTTCTGGCTTTTCCGCTGCTTTTGTGCGCTCTTGTTGCAGTTTCGTCGCAGCAGGCTCCGCCGTTCGGAGGCTTTGCTGTGCGGCAGACTGGCTTTTGAGAATAGGGAGCAGGTCAAGCGTGCTACGGCTCAGACGATGAAGTTCTTCCAGTGCCTTGTGTTGCGCCTGAGCGCGTTCCAGTAAGGCGCGGGCAACAGTTACTTCTTGCTGGAGTCTCTGGCGTACCAGTTTCTCCAACCGCCGTCCCTGCCTCCAATACGTAAAGAACTGGTACAACAATCTCACGCCGCTCCACATGACGTGAAGTGTCGGCTTTCTTGATCTGTAGCAGCCTCTAAAGCACAGCAATCAGGCCACGAAGAACCTGTCTAGGCAAAAAATGCCGATCCCATAGAAAGTCGACCGCTTCGCGCCCAGCAAACTCGACTTGTACGGCGCTGGCTCTCGCCGGTCCACGGGTAGTAGAGCGCTTCAGCCGGCGCACCGGGTGTGTGCCAGGAACGTCTTTGCAACACACGCTTTAGCAACCAAACCGCTGATTAAGAAGTGCCGTCAATTTCAGCCGTTCGTGCGGTATTCTGAAGTGAGGAAACAATCAACCAACCAACCGTTAGCCAGTCAGCCAGCGCTGAACCCTCAGCGTCGGCGAAGAGCAACCAGCCAAGGCGCAGGTGCACAAAAGACCAGGTCCAGCGCGGCGCTCACGCTCCGTTATGGGGGTTCTGGGAGACGCGTCCGCTCGTTGGCCCTGGCTGGTACAGTTGGGAACGGAGCCAGAGGACACCATCCTGAGGGTTGTTTATGAACACCAAAAAGTTGCAGCTGAAGAGGAGCGGCCCTGGTTCGTGACCCTATCGTTCGCCCAGTCACTTGACGGGCGGATCGACTTTCGCGAGACAACCGGGGCCGCTCCCCTGCGACTGTCTAGTCCCCGGGCGCAACGTCTGACACACGCACTTCGAGCTATGCATCATGCAGTTGCTGTCGGGTGGAACACCCTGGTATCAGACGACCCGTTGCTCACAGTGCGTTGCGGTATACCGGGAACGCATACGCCTCCAGGTTGGACGCAACCTCGACCAGTGGTCCTGCTCCCGCACGACGGCACCCGTGAGTCTACAGGCCTGAAACAGTCACGCCTGTGGTGCCAGCGCCGACACGAGCTGCTGCTGGTGCCTCGCGAGGCTGACTGGCGCGCCGAGGTCAGTGCACCCTCGCTCTTTGTTGAAGGCGGCAGACGGGTGATCTCCAGTCTACTCCAAGCGACAACGACAGACGACGCGCTTGGGCGACGTTGCAACCTGGTTATCATCACGATTGCGAATTGCTTCATTGGAAACGACGTGCGGAGCGTTCCGGCCTTTACGCGTGGTTCATCGAGTGCGCACACGTGTCGACTTGGACACTTGCGCAGCTGGATGCTCGAAGATGAGCTGATTCTGCTCGGTATCCCGGCCGGTGCGGATACCGAGCGCACGCCATCCTGAACGGCTGTATGCAACGAAACCACCATCTAGAAACGCCTGGGGAGCAAAGCGATTTGCATATCCGGCAGCGAGCTGAAGGCCGGCGACTCGAGTCGCTGGGAAGCGGGGCACTGGGCACCACGGTAGCTCCGCCAGCAACCTCGAACGAGGCCATCAGACCTGGACTGACTGCCCAGGTGCTTTCGGTTCCACGACTGGCGCTCGCTCCCGGAAGCAGGTAAGCGAGTGTGCGGGTATCTCCTTCATTCGTCAAACTACAGCACCGGCATCAGCAACAGAGCAGCCGATGATGAAGCTTCGGGGAAGCAGACGCCGACGCCGACGCCGCCCCACCTGCCCCCGGGTGCACGCCAAACGCCACGCGGATGCCGCGCAGATCGATCACGTGATCCATACGTCTGTGGCGGCGGCGGCGGCGGCGGCGGCGGGAATGCATGCGTGCACGCATACGCCCGCGCATCGATGAGCTGCCCTGTACTGGTGGCAGTCGTCGAGCGGCTGCGATTGCTGCCAGGCTCTATTGCGCGTGCATCGGTGCATTGGGACACGACGCAGTGCAGATTTTTCCTCTTTGACACATCGTTGAAACACCCACGCAGACGGACGGCAGACCAGCGATTCCCGATTGCGCGATGGATATGAGCGATTCGCGAAGCATCCGTCGTTGCACGCCGTCATTCCATACTCAAGACCCATACGTACTCGCGGGGGTACTTGTTACGTTTCACGTTGCATCGGGCGCGGCGTGCATGCTTTAAGCGTTCGCGATAGCACGCACGGCGCCGGCGCGTACGCAGCACAGACATAGAACGGCTGTGCGATACCACAGAAGGCATTGAATCCGTAATGTCGATGCTATTCGCTGCGGCGATCGGGGTACGGCGGAGCGCGCTCGGTGGGTGGCCCCCGCCCGAGAATCCCGCAACCACAGAATCAGGTTCCGAATTGCATGGCGAGCTCATGCACCTGCTCCCAGCAGCAGCGTATCGGAGCAGTCGGGGAACCCAGACCAGTAGTTGCATTGACAACGTAAACGAGCACCGTCTGATCGCGAGAATGGACCCAGCGACGTTGGCATCCGACCGGAGCCTGCGCTTCGTTGGCGCTCGTACTTGATGAAGCGCGCGACGCTGCGATCGGCAGGACTGACGTTGACCGCCATCTCTGTAGTCACGCACCTGGGATGCACGAATACCGCTGCTGGAGCGACGCTCGAGGATGCGCACGCGACCCATACCAATCGGGGAGCGCCATCGTCGACGATGGCGATAAAGGCACGGCGCCCGCTGGAACGCGTGAATGCCGAATACCGGCGACCAACACGACGCCATGCGGCTGCACAGGGCCGGGCAGTCGGTGCTCCTGAGTCGTCGCGCGGGCTCGTGGCGGTGCAGCTGGCACCGACCGAAGCCCTGCCGCAGGCGCAGCTTCGTTTTCGACGGCGATCCGTCGTTGTCGTTGGCGTCGTCGTCGTCGTCGAGACGATGCACCACACAGAGCTGCTGCCCCGGATCCGGCGAGGCCAGTGAACCACGCGCCCATGCTGCAAGCATACTTTATAGATCGATATCAAAGTGAACCGTGGGTTGCCAGCGAAACAGGGGCACCTTCCCGTGTCCCTCTTGTTCCGCAAGATCCGCGTCGTTGCAAATACTCGCGTTGAACGTGTGTGGACCGCGAGAAGTGCTCGCGATGAGCTGAAAGTTCCCGTATCCACGTGGACGTAAGGCGGTATTCAAACCGAAACCGATGACAACACCGCGCTGTTTTGACGGCGGTGCCATAGCCCGTTTCTCCATCCGCGTCATGGCCTGAAGCTGGGCAGTCGGCGAGTCCCGGTATTTGTTCGCTGCCTCGAGCAAAGTGTTCTGCAGATCTGTTCGGCTGCTACGATACGAGAGTCGCATGCTGGGTACCAGTAGTTCTTCGGCTTTTCGATTGAAAAATTCATCCATCCTCCGAACGAGGAACTGACACTCGAACTCGCTGACCATGCCGCTCCGATCTGCGATGAGGGCGAGCATCTGGTCTCGGAAACGGGTCATTGTTTGATTCTGTAGCAGCTGGATTTGTCGATTGAAAAGCGCTCGGATATGATTCTGAAGTGTCGACACGAGCTCGTGGCGTTTGCGGTTCCGAACGAGCGATGCGCTGCTACTGGTCAAGGCACTTGTTTCGGAGTCGTACTTTTCGCCGGTGGTCGTCAACAGTTCTTGGGCCTTACTCCCGAAACCATCCACCAACTTGCCGCTGTCGACCTGGTTGTACCACTTGGATATTTGCTCTAACGCTGAGCGGAGCAGGCGATCGTAGACGACTCCGCAACGATGCGCTGCTACTAGTTCCGCGTAGTCTGGCAGGCCTCCTTCCTTGGGCTCAATGAGTTCTCTCCATACCATGTCCACGTACGTCGCAAATCCTTCCACCGGTAGCTCCTTGGAGTAACGGGGCGCCAGTAGGTTTTGGTAGATTTCTGCTGCGTCCGCGGACGAGCTGCTCTGCGGCCAGAGCACTGCGCCAGTGGCACCCCTGCCGGTGAGAAAGCGGCTCCGAAGCGCATCGATCGCCTTGTTGTACGCCTCCGCCCGATAGCGGCGATGCGGAAGCGAGATAACTTCGATATCAAAGTGATCCCCAATGCGTGCATCGCGGTATTCAACTGGCTTCTCCACCTGAGTTGCCCATACAGCCTCGAGGTCACGCTCAATAATCGCAGCGATTGCCTCGAGAGGCGACCCATCATCGTGATCGTGGACGATGAATAAGATTTTGCTCCTAGCAGGCGATTCCTTCGTGAAGAGCTTCAGATGCTCACTAAATATGGTCCTTATGAGGGGCACATATCCAGAGGCCTCGGCTCGACCGATGTCTGCGTACCAAACGTTCACCAGCATCACATCCGATATCGTCGTTGCCAGCATCGCCACGCGTATCGCTCGTGGAACCGTCAGTTGGAGTGCGCGTTCACGAGCGCCAGCCCCGGCGTGATCGGCAGCGTTGGCGCTGTCTCCGCGGCGCCCAGTGAGCCTTGCTCGGGACTCCGCTTCGACGAGGAGTGCCTCAGCTTCGGCGTCTTCGAGCTCTGCAGTTTCCTCGGTTTCTCGGCCGTCGATTCCTTCTGAATCAAGAAGCAGCAGCCACGGCGCTTGAGGGCCGGCAACGCTGCAAAAACAACCACGAGTACCGCGAGCGTGTCGCGCAAATGTCCGTCCTGTCGCAAAACGGGTCCCAAAGAGGTCGTTCAAAAGCGCCGACTTGCCACTGCCCCGTGGTCCGAGACTCGTCACCACTGCGAGTTCGCGCTGTCCTAAGAAGCCGGCCTCGTTGCCGGCGACATTATTTGCGGTTAACTCGGCATCTAGAGGCCGTACGTTCAGAGATATCCAGTCGCCAAGCGCAGGATTCAGCTCCCCCTGCGTGCTGATCATGTGAAGCGGCGCAGTCGCCCCGCTCGCGACACCCGCACTTGCCATAGTCAGCGGCTTGTGTTGCGTTCTCGGTGAATCGCACTGTAGAAGTTTGACGCAGCACCGGTCCTCTCGGCAGGTGTTTCTATCGCTGGCACGTGCCGAGCACACCAGGAACAGTGCAACGCGCTAGACTAGGTAGGACAGACGGCGCACTGCTGCTGCTGCTGCTGCTGTTGCTGTTGCCTACAATCGCTGTGCCGGGCGGCGTACGCAGCCGTGTAGGAGCAGCAGCAGCAGCGCCTTTCGCTCGACTGATGCTCACCGAGCGCCGGCGGCGCCGCGGGCGAGGCGTACCGTCGCCGCCGCGGTCCATCACCTCAGAATCTGTACTAATCTGTCCATCCGCATTCGTGCGCTTGGAGCGCCGCTCAAGCGGCAGTGTGCTGTTCCATGACGGGCATGGCGCTTGGCACCGGCGGGATCGCTTGAACGAGCCGTTACCCCCCCAGGAGATGAGTCGCTGATGGTTGATCAGACCTGGAGAATCTGGTATGGCATGACCGGTGCTTTTCCTAGTGGCGATTGGAAACGTGCAACTGGGATCATTGTTTAGACGTACCGATCCCAGAAGAGAAAAATGGGATACAGAGTCTCGGTGTTAGCGCAAGAACCTGCTGAAACCGAGTACGAACTCGTTGTGCAACGGCTTGTCGTAGAGCGTCCCGCGCTCCATGGTCGCATCCTGCGAGGCTGTAGTCGACCTAGACTTCTCGACACGCTGGGATTTTCTGTGAATAAGAACTTTATCTATCCACGATGCGGAACGAAGGGATTCGCTGCGCTTTGCGGGTACGGACACTTCCGCTGTACACGTCCAGTCTAAGAGCGGACTCAAGTTCCATGTGGGAAGCCTCAAACTGCGTCGTTATCGCACCTTTCCAAGGCGGGCGGCAAATCCTCAATTCGCATGTTCCATCACATCGGATGACCCGAGCGTCTATGGGCGTCCTCATACACTGGCTGCACTCACGGTTCCCGGTCAATGATCGTAGTGTGCTATCTCGAGTAGCGGGATCCGAAACCCCTGACGCGCGCACACGTGCATCTCTGTGTCGGGCGTACGCAAGTCCACCAGCGCCTCCAATGGTTATGCCGATTCCGATGTGTTATGCCATGTTGGACGCGTCTCCGGTACACTGGATGGCTGGCGCGCTCGCGAAACGGCCCCAGGAATGGTGGTGGTCGAGGACCCCGCTCTCGTTTAGGAGACGAGTCATGATATGAGGCGATAGGCGACAACATACCGCTCGGACGGTGTCTCCGAGGTGCGCCCCGTGAAAACATGCCTCTCCAAAGTGACGGGAGCGATCTCGTAGAGAGATATCTATCAGCAACACGCGGGTTTCAATGCATGGTCTGCAAAGCGAGGCAGCAAGCAGGCACAAACACCATCCCGAGCGACTATGGCCGCGGTGGAAGCGTTGACGTTGGACCCGCTAAACCAGGACCCATACCGCCGGGCATTGTACCCTGACCCGGCAGTTCGTCCTCAAACCCTTCGTGGCGCTTATCATTCCAGGCATAGCGCAGAGACTTTTCTATGAGATCTACGTGCGTCAGGAGCATTCGCCGACAGCAGTATCGCTTCAGCCCCAGGGCGTCAAGCGCCTCTGCTTCTGTTTTCTCTCGCAGTAACTGGAGATAGGGTTCCCACTTATCACCTATAACCTTTCCACACGTAAAACACCGCACTGGTATGATCATCGCGTTCAGCGCGCAGCGTCTACGCGTGAACGTGCCGAGGTACCCGCGCTCTACGATGCTCCCTCACGACCAAGCTTCACCTTCAGAAGCGATCCTTGGTTGATTTGGAGTAGACTTGTCCCCGTTTATGAGCTCTTTGCTGTCAAAGAGCGCGCACAGACGCAAGTCAAACAGAAAGCTCTCGATGATCTGGTGTTCACGCGATAGCGAATAGCGCCAGAACGCCAGCGAGAACGCGCACACGAATCCAGCGCTAACTCTGGTGGAGCGCGGAGCGTTTGCGCCCCCTCTGAAACAGTGGACTTTCTTTCATAGTGCAAGACGACTTTCGCGTTCCTGGGTGTATCTGGTCTAGAGCAATGGATTTTAGACGAGAACGAATATTGGCTGTGGGAGCTTCGGCCCAGTTTTGCTCCAGCGCAAACGCTGAACTCCGGGCGAAGCATGGATGTCCCAGCGCTACGACGCGTGCGTTAGAGCAGCGTCCGCATCGACATGCATCAGAGCGTTCTCGAAACCCATGCAACACTAAAAACTCGTTGCATCGAGTACGTAAAACAAAACCGCTTGAATCCGAGACAATGCAGCAGTGATACATCGGCCTTGAGTCTCGATTGTTGGAGAAGATACGAGGGCGTGCTCGCTGGGTGTACTCGGATGGTAACAAGGGCGGTTTCGCGGCTCAGGGCGGACGCCTCGACAGCAAGGGCCATTACGGACGCACGCTGCAGCGTATCCTGGTACACCCATATCAGACTGAAAAAGGGACGGGTTCTACCGAGTTGAATCGGGCGTACGCGCTCAAGTTCGGGTCCGTTCCCGTTATCATGAAGACCAGTCATTGTGGGCTTTCTCTGTAATCGCTTCCCTTTCGTTCATCCTATATCAGAGCTTTAGAACGCTCTACTCTTGTTTAACCACAACTCCGTCATCAACAGTGAAAAGATGTTGCGTAGAGCGTACAAGCTCTGATTTAGACGCTTCCGCCGGTTTCCGACGTATTTCATACACAGGCGGATGCCGCCATCGCCGCATCGCCTGGCGCTTCCGACTTGTCTGCTCCTACAAACTCAGTGCGCCCTTCGCAGGGGTACCTCTCGGGTTTTATCTACTGTTCCCATTTATCCAACAAAATTCCTCCTCCGAGTGCAGCCCCGTGGCACGACAGAGCTTGCTTCATCGCTCGGTAGATGCTCTTGAAGCGTACGCGATGCTCGCTTAATGCATTGGTACGTTTACGCACCATGTGCCGTACTGACAATCATGGGCTGCTGGTTCTGAGCGAGCCCATCGAAGGCCGTTCTGTTCGCTGCACGTGCAGGCGGACACTTTACCATTCCATAGATGATTTTTTGAACGCGATGTCGTCCATGATAATTCGAGTCCTTGAATGAAAATCCAGGTTGGAAAACGAGAATTCGAGAAATTTCGATGCTTCTACGCTCGCATCGTGCAAAGCAGCGACGCACCCTCCACTGAAAGCAATTGCTAAGGTTGCTCGAGCTTGAGCCAAAAATCCGTTTCCATCCAAATAGAAGAGACGGGAATCTCCAGAAGCATATCTCACGAGAACGATCATGCCGCTGTCGAGTACCAATTCCTTGATGTCTCGCATGGAGTTAGTGTGCGCCTTTCGAACGAACTCGATTGCTTGATGTGACAAGTTCAGCGAACTTTCGGCACGAGCGTAGGAGCAAGTCCTCGAAGTACGACGTCGAGTTTTCTTCTCTCCGGTCCAGTGGCGCGCCTTGTGGCGCTCGCAAGCTGTTGTAGAAAATGCGAAAGCTTGATGCATGTGTGATTTGAGCATGCTTCTCGTCATGAAAAGAGAAGCATCGAGACCTTTACACATCAACCGGATATCGATATCGGCTGCTTTACGAACCTTTGCTCGAGGGCGTGGCGAATCATCTTGATTCCGGCAACGACCATGAACTCCAGCGGCGAAGAATCGAGTGCGCCACTATGAAAAAAAACACCAAGAAGCCGAAAACCACGTGTGCACTCGTGCGCCCTTATTGCTGTTCTTGGAATACCGAGGCTGCGCATCCAAAAAAGCGGAAAAAAAATCGAAAGGCAGGAACAGAGCGAGCAGTTCAGGGTTCCGTTTCAGTCTGAAACTGATGTTTGCGTACAGGGCCGAGCACCGCGCCGTTGCCGCAGTTGCTTGGCGCTCCGCATAGCGCTGGACTCGACAGGGACCATTCGCCACTGGACAGCGTGGTTTTCGATAAACGTGCGGCAAGCATTGCGGAGACACCGTGGAAAACCGAGACCGCTCCCGGAGCTTGGCATGCGGCAAATTCAAACCCATGCTGACCGGTTGCCGCTGCCAGTGGCAAACGTCATCTATTCGGTGCCCGCCGGTGAAGTTGCAGAGCTTGTGCCGGTCCGGATGCGTTTCCGTGGTCGCGCAGACGGGGCAAGTTCCAGCGTTTCCAGACTCTGACGCGGCAGGTAAACTTTTCCGACCTTGGACAATCGGGCTGGATCATATTTCACGTTCTTCTCACGACGTGGTAGCGTAGAGCCGGCAGCTGCACGCAGTTGCTCCTGCGTGGGCATTGTTTGACGCATCAGCGCATCACTCGCAAAGCGAGTACGACGCACTCGCCAATCCATCCACGGCATGGCGGGTTCGAGTCGTACCAGCGGCAGGCGCACGTCGCCCTCGGCTCGTTTCTTCAGTCGCACAAGATAGTGTCGAAACAGAATGCGCAGATCCCCGCATCCATCCGACTCAACGGTTTCCAATACGCTTCTAGGCGGCGACTGCGCCACCAGTACGATCACTTGATCGATGCCAGCAAGGTTCACCTCTTCCAAATCGTAAGCCCGGAAAAAGTCCAGAAACAAGTTCCGCAGTCGCTCGCCGTGGGGTACTTTCGCCCATGCATCGCCCAGGAAACACAAGCAAGGTTTCGACCCTATGGAGCCAGCGCGTTTTGGGGCCTCAGTGTCCTGTTCCGGGGTTTTCAGTGACTCGACGCCTACTTCGATCATGTCCAGCACCCGACCGTCGAAACTTCGGCCAAGCACGAGGCCATGCGGACGCTTTTTAGCGTGCGTGGCGATCGCGAACAAGGAGCAGTCATTTCTCTGTAATAAGAACTCTAACGGGCCCTCACCGCCGAGCTCGAAAGGACGCACTTCGTTCCGCTTCCTTAGAACAGTTACCAGAGGTGCTTTGAGCCGCGCTAGCGAACGAAGAGCGCCAATCGCTACCTGCGAAGTCTTGCTTGCTCGCAGGACAAGCAGCCTTTTCGGGTTTTCCTCGAGTTTCGGTTCTCGCTTTTGGAGGGCACGCTTACCCGCCCTCGTGCGCGGTTTTGTTGTTGACGACATGGACAACGTCTGGGGCAAGGCGCAGCACGAAACGAAGCGATAGGTTGATGACCGATCGACGGGAGGCGACGCTACGCGTGCTGCGCAAGCGAGTCCAGCATCATATGTCTTTATGGAATACGTGCGCTGTGGACCCATTTTCTCTCCGACGATAAAACGTTTCCATGGACAATGGGTCCCAGATTGTGAGATGGATAATGATTATCGAAAGAGCGTCCATCATGACGCACTTACCTCCGAGTTCCATTACCTATACTTGCTTCCAGATGTACTGGTCGTTTCGTATGTCCTATCGGTCACAGAGTACCTGCTTTGGGCGCCTGCGGTAGCGCTTATATATCGCTGATGCCGATGCATCACGGAGACAGAACAGCGTTGCCATACCGTTGAGTTCGCTCGGGCGTACTGTGAAATGTTTGGCTCCCTTCCCAGTGTCATCAATACCAACCTTTGCAGGCTTTTTCTGTGACCGTTTCCCGTCGCTTTCTCTTATCCCTGGCTTGACATGCACCAGTCTCGCCTTTCTATCAAGAACAGCTGTCCAGTGTCGAAGGACGTTGATCACAGCGTTCAATGGCCGACTTGCCGCTTCAGGCTGTTGTCGACGCATACCATGCACAGGTGAACGTTGCGATCTATGCTTCGCTTGCGATTTTCATCTTCCATGGATAGAGCTTCGGTTGCCCTGTCGCAGATTTGGCACGTCCGTGTAATCGGATGTTCGCATATGTCCACCACACCGCATCCTCCGAGGTGCACCCTGTTTCACGTGAACACTCGCGTCGTCGCTCGCTACGTACCCGTGACGAATACGAGAAATCGTCTCGATGCCTTCCTCCATCTACGCGCTCGGTGCAGTACCCTGGAATCACGGGCTTCTTCTGTGCGATCCAACTGCCGCTGCTCTGGCTGTTGCAAGCACGTGTTGTACTATTCTATAACGGACTTATCGAAGACGATGTATTCAACGACGAAACTATTACTTGAAGCAAAATCAAGGCTGGACAAGAAGGCAGGGAACCTCGATCTGTCCATGGTCGCTTCGCGCAAGGCGGTTTCGCATAATCCACTGGAAGCGATCTCCACGATGACTAAAGACCGAGTCCGAGGCACTTTTCTATGCGAAGAGAAGAGACAGGAGCTCCTGGGGGCATACCCCGTGTAACATATCTCGCTGATGTCGCATGCCGTTCCGTTGATGGCCACCAAAATAGGAGGTTTTTTTCTCGACCGGAATTGCTTATCTTACGAGACATGTTGCGTGAGCTTCCGTCATGAGCTTGTGCACAAGCCTCCGATAGACGACGTTGGGTCTCCCTTCATCTTCTGTTGGCTGGCGAGAATTGCTGCACCATCGAATCGCTTTGTAAGAGAAAATCGATAAGTTGGAGGATGTGTGATTTGAGCGTGCTTCATGTCAGTAAAGCAGAAGCATGCGGACGTGTGCATACGCATTGGATGAACCATTCGGCTCTTTTAAGGATCTTTTTTTTGAGGGTGTCGCCGAATCCGGTTCATCCCAGGCACGGTACGCGTTCCAGCGCCACTGCGTCGGGCGGAGCCACACTGGGGATACGATCGAGCATACGAAAACGACGTATGCGTCCGCAATCCCTTACTGCTTCACTGCGCACGCCACTGCTGTAGACTAAAAATACGTATGGAGAAAAGTCGAAATGCAGCCCGAGAGCCAGCAGTTCCGTTTTCCATGATGATCCTCTGCTCCCGTTCGTGAAAGCGCAGTCTGCTTCGCCGCAGCCTGTGCCGCACGACACACCGATGGCGCTGTCGCGATCCTTTCATGAGGCTGTGCCGATGCCGCTCCAAAAAGCGCAACGCACTACCCATGCCTTCGTTCTACCACGATTGCAGGGGCGTTGATAAGGCACTCTTGTGGCGACCGGCACTGGGTGCAATACAAACGCACGAGCGCTGCCACTCGGCGCCTTGTCTTCTGGTGCAGCAACCCGCCCGATCCTTGTTCGGCAGCGGCACAGCGCCGGTGGTGCAAACGAGGCGCTCATCGCATCCTATTCGGACTGGTGTGCGTGCTTCGATCCGTCATGAGTCAGGAAGCGTTGTTTCGTGACTTGCAGCTCATCCAGCGTCTCAATCATATGACGCCACTGTGGATTTTAGAAGACCCCAGCACCTTCACGTACGCGGGGTTTGTGCCTATCAAGACTGCGTCGCGGGAGAATCGCGCTTGCTTCTTGCGCGTACAGTGTCCAAAAGGACCCGCCGACCTGTGTGACGCCTCATATGCGCTTGAAAGTTGGGCAGAAAACCTCATTTCATATTATGGCCTCGATGGCGCCCTGCGAAAGCGGTTAGAGCGAGCGCACGACCTAGCAGAGTTCGTTGCTGAGGTCCAGGACCTGCTCGAGCGCTGCGCAGATGGGCGTGCAGCGGTTCCACGAACGCCGGTACCACCACCGGCACCTACAGTGGCAGGTAGCACGTTGTTGGCGACGCTACCGGACCCTTTTTTCTACCGGAGACTGTGTACGGATCTGAAGCATATCGGATGGTCTTGCCTGCGGCATCTGGCGATGGATTTTGAGTCTGTCACATTGCAGGCTATAGACACGGGCGGGCGCCTCCACGAGCTCCAGATCCTCGACCTCATGCGCGAGCAACCAACTTGCATAGCAGCGCTGCCATGGCGTCCAACGGCAATTTGCAGACCTGCATCCGAAGACGGACGCTTATTTATCTCGATCTATGAGACCTATCGTCGATTCCGCAGTATGCTCGATGAACTTGAGCCTTACTTCCGCGTACTGGATGACTTTGATGCGCACACCTGGGTTCTCGAGCCGGAGCATCCAACGTATGCGGTGTCGTCAAGGCGTCTGAACCTGGCGCCACAATGCTCACTAGTCGTGGAAATCGACCCAGCAGATCCATGCCGCCTCCCGAATGTTCGTTTCTTTGGTAGCGAACAGCGGATCGAGGCCATGCGGAATCGTTTCTTTGAGCGCCGAGCACTCTGGGACTCGTCCGCGCGGACTCCGCGAGAGAACCTACAAGTCGTGCTCATGATGGCCTTGCCGCCGCGTCCAGCGGATATGATGCAGAACGCAAAAGACAACGAGTGCGGTATTTGCTATACGTATGAGCTGGAGGGTGAGGGCATCCCCGATTGGGCGTGCGATGCGGCATCATGCGGGCGACCGTATCACCGCAGCTGCCTGCGCACCTGGCTTGCAAGTATTCCGGAGACACGGCAGCTGTTCCAAATGTATCATGGCTCTTGTCCGTACTGTGGCGAACCGATTCAGGTGAGCAAGATCTGAACGTATCGCTCAAGGACTGGGCGTAGACGTTAAAGCTGACGCATCGCCCTCGCCGATAGGCACCGATTTCTTCCACGAATCTGATCACAAGTTACGCTGATCATGCTGCATATGCGTTGCAAAGTGGATAAAGATGCGCATTCGAACTGTGGCTTTGAAACGCTCTCAGCGACAAGCACGGGAGCGTCGTCAAGATCCCGCCATTCCAGACGCATTGCTGAACGAGCACTGAACATGCTGCATCGCGCCATACACGAATGCAATTCGTTCAGAGCACATGGCACGAATCACGAAGCGATTTTTCTCCGGATCAATCTAGCTGGGTAGCGAGATAAGGTGAGCACCTGATGAGACGCGACACACACGCTTGGAATAGGTGCGCTCGAAACTACACCGGTGTTGGGTGCCAACCGCGTCTGCAGGTCGCATCACAGTCGCTCGTCTGCCACGGACGTCCACGAAACCCCGACAAGTCTGGAACCTTCAAGCAAGTCTATGATCCGGTTCGGGTCCAGGATCCGTTCAACAAACTGCTGCTTGTAGCGGGGCGCCTATGATCCAGCATTCGAACCCGGATCCGATGAGGGCGGGCGCTTTCCACGCAGCCCGAAGACGCGGTTCATCACGGCATGCTCTTGGTAGCCGAGTTCGTGCATCCGTCGGCGAGCTGCTCGATAAATTGACGATCGTGCTGTATCCACATATCATGGTGGCTAGTGTGCTGCCAAGTAACGTGTTCAAGCGATCACGCAGACTGTTCAGCTGTGATCATCGTCGAACGACGCTATTCCACGACAGACGGGATGCCTACCGGACGCATGTCATCCGCTGTGATGAACGTGGACGCAAACCGCGCGCGTTTGACAGCGTGTCTCTGAAGTGAACGGTGCTGTCCGGTTATCACAAAAAGTTCGACGTCTCGATCATCGTATTCAGGTCTCTGCAGAGAAGTCCGGGATTTGTGGATCCGTTGCACCACGAGGAGCTCGCTCATCATTGCGAGCGCCACGCGCCCGCGATGCTTTGTCCAACGCAAGATCGCTGGCGAGGAAACACTGCCGAAGAATCACAGCGTACTCGCTGCACGAGGGCCGTTACGGTCAGGTGCTGAGGACCCAGAAGCGCCCATGCGGAACGCAATAGAGCAAGGCAACTCCGCCAGGCTGCGCCTGGAAAGCGATGCGCTATCACCGACAATCGGGCGAAGTTTGCAGCTCGGTCCCCGAAACGTCTGAATGCGTCAACTGGCTAGACCAGCAGCTTGACCACGGAGCAAACGGAGCACCGCGGTTTGCTCGCGTTCGGATACCCCGTGACAAGCTCGTACATTCCAGACGCCAGAGCACGACAGCAGGCAACAGGGCGTGCGGCGCAAGCGATGCGCTCAGCTTCACCGCGCTGTTCTCGATCGCTCGACTTGTGATCGACAGCCGACTACTTCCACAGGGAATGCCCATCATGACAGTGCCGCTGGTACGCTTCGTACACATGCGCAGGTTTCTCGTTCACAACGAATACCATAAACCGCGCTCACAACGCACTGCGCTCTGTCTCGAGTCTGAGCAGAACGCGCACCGGACGATGATCCGACAGATCATAGCGCTCAATATCCGGCCACTGATCCGCTTCCAATTCAGGCGGCAATAACTGAGCACTTTGAAAGATCTTCTCCGAGGCCCAGTCCAAAAAAACATGATCGCAACAGATCTGCTTACCGTCGTGCGTCAGGTGCGTCACAGAGCGCTGAGGTAAGCGGCAGCGGACGTACATATTGGACTCCAGGTAGCGAAGAACGGGATCCTCAGCACCGAGGGTATTCCAGTCGCCACAGAGCACAACGACTCGATGGCAAGGAGGAATCTCCTCACGAGCCTGTGCCGTCATATGATGCACAGTTCGAACCTGGTGCTTCCGCAGAGCGTTGTCCCAGATATGATGTGGATACGTCAGATGTACATTCAGGACAAGAAGATGCATATGCGGGGCCCACGTGGGTCGAAGGTGCACCAGCAGGCCGATACGGTCACCGAGTGGGGTCAAAGTGAAGCATCGCCACTTTTCTACATGAAAGTCTGTGCGCCGAAAAAATACCGCCAGACCGTCTCGTTTGCTACCAGGACGCTTCGCTTTGATCCAGCGAAAGGTCTCCGCGGGAAACCGCGTTTGAAAGATCTCCTCATACGCAGGTTCGAACAGGTACTCTTGGAGACAAATGATGTCTCCTATGAGTTTTGGTTGCTCACGAATGCCATCCTCGCGCTGTTGGACTGTGCAAGTGCCGTCCGCGAGGAACGTGCACGTTCTTTCTGCTCTCTGCTGCCAGCGTTGCGGCTGCGACCACTCCGGGCTCCCTCCACTGCACCCGCTGTTCTGAGAACGCTCACAGAGCGCTGGCGGACGCACAGCGTAACACGGAGCCAGTAGATTGAAAGTAACGATACTGAACTGTAGAGGTTTTGGGTGACCTCTCAGTGTAAAGGCGGCGTCATGCGCGTGCTGCTGTTGGCTCGCCATTTCACTGGTTTGACGCGCCTTTCCAAAAAGCGTTTTTCAGGGCCAACACCTCAGCTGCTGCTGCTGCTGCTGCTGCAGAGATACTCGGTCAGCGCCAGCAGCGCCAGTATGTACTGTGGCTCGCACGTGCAGCAAAGGAAAAGTTTTGGCTTCACTGTAACCAGACAATACAACGACGCACATGGAATGGGAGATTCTAGCTGGGACCCTGTATGCCCCGGGCGCACGCTCGACTTGAGCATTTGTCTCCAAGCAATGCTCGTAAGCGGGCAGTTGAACTCTATCGGAAACAGTAGAAAGCAGCAGTTTATAAAGTTCTCTATGCAGCGTCGGCAACGCGTCGAGACTATTCATGACACGAGAACTCCGCTGGAATCAACAGAAACCAGCTATTTCAAAAGTCCTCCGTACACACCCAAGATGCTGGTAGGCATGCCCTCGTGCTTATCTTCCTCAGGAAAAGCGGTCCAGTGAATCGGACGGAGTCGCCGCCGCCGCCGCCGCCGCCTCTACTCAGGCTAGACCATGAACGAAACCGAACAGCGATCGACCGCGGCATTATCCGCACACAGCGTCCACTACTGTATCACAAATAAAAATAGCAAAGGTCGACGACGAGCTTCGCGGTTCACTGTATACTGTCGCTTTTCGAAGCGTCGCTTACATAGGCTCGTCTGCTCATGCGGAGGAGCGTCATTGCATGCGTGCTCGTGCTTGCACACAAGGCTGTGCCTGAGGCGTCGCTCGGCATGGATATCAAGTTCCATCCTTCGTCTCGATTAGTGTCCAGTCGAGCTGCATACTCTTTGTGACAACCAGTCTCCAGGTCGTTGTAGACGCCACATCGAACGGAGCGTCTATGATGAGGTGCTCGAGCAATCGAAGCAGCAACATCCGGTAGAAACGTAAAGCCTGCAGTTTTCCCACAATATCGACGATAAACCTTCGCATTAGCGCTCTCCGACCGCACTCAGTGTCGCTCACGAAACTCGAGGATATCGTGCTGCTGAGAAACGAACGCTGTTCGCCTTGCTTGCCACCCTATCGCACTCAGAGAAAAACAGCACTGCACGAACACACAGTTGCAGCAGAGGAAAGGCTGGCGCCCTCGTCGAACTGTCCCTTTCGGAAACGCTCACTTGTGCGCCTGCTCTTGGCGCATGTTACGCTCAAACCGGAGAACAGCCCTTCGGGTTTCCTCCAGCCAGAACTTGACGTTCGGTACTCGGTACTGCTGAGCAACGTACATACCTGTACAGGTACCCATTAGGAATACAAAAGTTACCGTGGCAATTGACATTGCGCACAGTGGACGATTTGTACTGCAAAACGTGTGTCCAGGTGCGAAACGAAACACGAAACTGCGAACGAAAAAACGGACGGGAGTGTTCTGCGCCAGCGCCGCGCCGATCGTGAAGCCCTCCGTACACTCGCCGCGAATCGCAGGCTATGCTCCTGCCTGATGGGAATGAATCACGGAACTGCTCGATCTAATCATGTCTTGCGAATTTTTCCAAACTTGTATCGGTATGCAGCCTCGACTTTCCAAGTGCAGCGATACTAGTTTACGGGTTCATTTGTCGATTTTAGGATGATCGGTCGTGGTTTCGGTGTGGTGCATGCGACTATCTGGCGCTGGATCTCGCTAGGTGACTGGAATCAAGATCATTGGCGGCATTCGCGACTAAGGGCTCGTAACATAACCGACATGATCACAGCGTTCAGACGTGCAAGCCTCCAGGATTCTCCTTTTATTACGTGTTGTATACGCGAATCATAATCTTCATTCACGTTTCCGATCTTTCTGTTTCAAGGCAAGTTGGTTGTGCAGCAATGCGCTCCGCTGGATTGGCGATGAAGGGATCTCGACGTCGTCTCATTACGACTTGCAGAATATGTTATTTCAATCGCTCACTGGACTTGCAAACTCAAATAAGCGATCCCTGGTCGAAAGACAAACACCCTAATCTTCGCGCCCGTCGACGAGACGGTATGCGGCACCAGCACCCTGATACCTCGCACGGGACAGGCTGCCAGAGGCTCCCGAGTCGCCTGTTCGCAAGCGCAGAAAAGCGCCCTGGACGCTGGGTTCAGTCGTCGCAGCGACCGCTGCCGGTGTAGCGCTCGTCACCGCTTTGCATGGAGTGAGCGTGCATCGCTCAATATACTTCGACTTGTCCTTCGAGCGGCGCTTTCCTTCGGGTAGTTGCTTCATCGTGGACAACATCGCGCTCCACGTACCGTCTACCGAGAGGAACAGCGTACGCTTCCATGTAAAACAGGCGGCGTGCTCCCCGAGAGGATCGCCCAGCACAAGCCCGTGATCGCTGCGTGCGACACTGGGCTCGGAAATGGAGCACGGCATCCAAGGCAGCCTTCTTCATTCGTCAAGGGCATGTACTGAGCGACGAGGCAAGCGTGCGCACGCCACTGGGTGCTTCTCCAGTGAGAACGTACGGCGTACGTGTGAGAGCACCTGATCACAGTTTCGTGTTACCGCTGCGAAGGACGCCACGAGTCTCTATGAAGACAAAATGAAAATCGCGAGCGAAGCAACGTTTCCAATTCCAGTCTGTGCATGGAATGCGTTGTCAACAGCGCGCAGCGACGGCTTCGGGGCCTGAACGCTGCCATCACCATCGGTCGACTGCTGGCATCGAAGCAGGCGGGACACCAGAGACCAGCGTATATCAACATCTGATGCAAGAACTAGGAACAAGGACCCGTCGCAGAGGAGGCCCGCAAAGGCCGGTGTTGATGACGGGCGGAAGCGACGCTGACGTTCGATAGTACGTCCGAGTTGGAGGACCCGTTCCATGTTATTTTGCTATCGGTTGAGTATCTCCGAATCGGTTCCCTATGAAGCAACGACGTGCCCGGCATTGGCGGGATCTGGAGCACCAGATGCGCGCACGACTTCACTGCGTCATCGTATCCTACATATGGCGCGCTGCGGTGACGTCGAGGGTTCGCTGCAATGAACTCGCAGAAAACGATAGATGAAGAGGAACTGCGTATCCCCCGGGATGATCCAAGTGAGTGGATCAGTTCAGGGTCTGTAGAAAGGTCGACAGTGCTTTTTATCTGGAGTTCGGCGCCCGCGGAAACGCTGGCGGCTAGTCGCAGTGTTTATCGTGCGCTTCAGGCGCAGAGGCAACTGCAGCCGGAGCTACGACTGCTCTGTTTCGATTTGCATGAACAAAGATCAAAGCTCTCTAAGGTTCTTGAGACATACAAGGTTGGTGCGGTGCCAACTGTGCTCGCGTTCCCGGCGCACGCGCATCAACCCAGCGACCGTGTCGAGGGTGTCTACCCGGCACGCGTTGGCGCGCTGGTAGAACAGCTGGTTCACAACTCGGCTGCGGCGGATACGAAGACGGTGCGGCAGCGGGTTGAGAAGATGATTAGCGAGCACCCGATACTGCTTTTTATGAAAGGAACGCCTGAGCGGCCTCGGTGTGGGTTTAGTCAACAGATCGTGCAGCTTCTTGTGGGGGATCTCAAACTGCCACGTGCCAGTCTTGCCACATTTGACGTACTAACTGACGAGCAGGTCCGTCAAGAGGTGAAAGCATACAGTCAGTGGCCGACATTTCCCCAACTTTACGTACGAGGTGAGCTCATTGGCGGCCTTGATGTCTGCCGCGAAATGGCACAATCTGGCGAACTCGCGGCATTACTGGCATCCGCGACGCGCGATGAACACGGAACAACTGGTCCTTGAGGTTAGCGCTGCAGACAACGATTGTTTCAGCTATGGTTAGTATGGGCAGGGTTGCGCGTATGGTGACTCTGCGGACGAGTGCAGAGAAAGCGGACCTGAGTCCAAGATTCCCGGACTCTGTGCACGAACGAAGCCAAAACCTTCGCGGAGCGGCCTCACTGGTGGACACTCGTGAACCGCATATTTTCTGAATCTTTTGACGGTATTGACCACCTGGAAGATGACCGGCATCGCGTGAATCGATGCGCAGGATTCCATAGTATTTTTCCAGATAGAATACTGGGGCACGCAGATTCATACAGCTGGCATCTCATGCAGCGTGCCTTAGGGTGATGTCGTGCAGTGCTACAAATTCCGAGTGCGTGCTGCGGAGATCTTCGTAAGCTGAAAGAGGCAACGCGATTTTGCTGGAACAGGGGTTCCATGGAAAATCGAGATATCGAGCACCTGCCCTGCCGATGATGGCACTGGCCCGCCTTGACGTGTTCTTGGAACACTGCGACGCCATTTGATCAGGATTGCGTAAAGAACACGCTGGAGCTCTGAACCGCACTGATCGCTGCTGAAATATCGCCCTGGATTCTGGGTCTGTGGTTTCGGCCAGAACGATCGTCGATGGAAAATTTTCCTCGTGATACTACCCCAGAAGCAGTCTTAAATGCAGAACCCTGATGCCTGGGCTAACTGTACAAGCGCGCCTTTCATTTTTGTTCCTTCGTCCCGCTCGTATTCAACGAATGGAGTCTATTCCGTGGACCGAAGAGAGATGGTGGGAAATTTTATACTATCATAACGTACTTGCGAAGAATGGCATTCACTCTACAAGTCACTCATTCCGCGATCATCAGTGGGTTATTGAGCAAAGCTGCTCGTCGTCCTTGTTCTCGTCGTCGTGCTCTTATCACGGATTCTGTTCTACTCTGTGCCCATCGTCACCTACTCGTCAATCTTTTTAACTCGATATGTTTTCTTAAAAATAGCATAACAGAATCCATGGGATGTGAAGTGTCCACACCGTTGATATGAACCGCGATGAACGTACATGAATGGACAAAGAAGTACGCACACTGTCATAGGAGACCGTCACGCAGTGAACTACTCAATATCCATCTAGTATTAGAACGCGAATGCGTATCCCAGGAGGCAGGCGGCATCGTTTCGCTCGAGGAGACCTCGTTCAGGGGAAACGGTAGCGCCGCACAGTGGTACGCAAAGAGGGGCAAACCGCTGTTTGTAAAACAGGTACTCTCGAGCACTCCAACAACATTAGCCCTTGCGGATTTTCAATCGTAGAGTTACGACGAAATCGCCAAATGAGCAAGATCGTTCAGCACCACTCCATTAACTGAAGCACGCTTCATGGTGCCTGCTTCTCAAAGTCTTCTCGCTGCCCGTATGACACTGCCGCTTTCCAACACTCGAAAGCAGCCAGGGAGTGCGTGGCTCAGATCGACATTGACAAGCACTTCGTGCCAGCGTATTCTGCCTGGTTCAATACAAACCAATGTATCTTCTCTGTTGTCATACGCCATTTTGATGTTCTAAGACGCATGGACGAATCGTTTGCAACCGTGGCGTCGCTCGTCATCAAGTCGTTGTGTACCTTTGCCAGCCGTGAACTACGGTGCTGCCCCTGTGCTCTTGCGGGGCAGCAATCGAAAAGATTTGCCTCGGTCAGTGGATATATGCTGGTGACGGCGACGGTGACGAGCTTGTAGTTAAGGCGTAGTGGATATACAAAGACGAACGGAGAGCTTCGGTGATGCTGCCAAACTAGTACTTCTGAATTCCGCGAAGAAATCAGGTATAGAGCATGTCGATTACATGCGTGTCGCCCCGGCACGTAGAGGAAGCAGGTTACTATTGCACTAGTCTCCGCGAGCAACAAGGAAGCGTTCTCACGACCTCGCGCAGAGCGCTGGCAGAGCTTGATGAAGATTTCTCGCTTAGAGGGAGGAAGTGGGAAGGGTTTTTAAAGAATGATAGAGGGCAACAGAGTATCGAGCTGCAAAGCCTTTGTCAAAAATTGGCATGTGTCGCGCGACGAGACTCATGTTCAGGTGTTCAGGATAGATGAAGAGCAAGACTTTATGATCAGTGTGGATCCCGGATTCAACAACTTAATCGCTGTAGCTGTCCCTCTACATCCAGAGGACAGAGCTGAAAATCTGAACGGCGTGAAGTTGTACCAGATCAACTTTTCCAGGCCTGGGTACCAACAAGAGTCGGGTATGGCAGACTCAAGGCGGCATACCAACAACTTGAATGATTGTGTCAGGACTGGTCTCGACGCTGTGTGCACCGTGTCGTGCAGCGTGCGCTGCTTTGCACGCTTCATTTAGAGAGTACATCAGCGTAAAAGTGGCTCGTGCGGACGATCTTTGGCTGGAGTATGCGACTTCGTGCTATGACCGCCAATGGATTGGGGTTTACTGAGGCAGGGAACGTGCGTCCGCCAACGTCTTCAATGAGTTGGACAAAGAAATGACCGATACGTATTATCGTTTGGCGTCAGCCTATCACGCAAGACGTGCTGAGGCGCGAAAGGAGTGCATCTCTGATCCTTTGATGAGCGCGTTCAACGAGTGCACGAATCGATGCTGCACGACTCGCGTCGATGAGTTCAGGACTGCATTCATGCATCAGGGGCGCGGCCGCACATTGGAGTAGGCAGAGAAGGGGCGCGTGAAGAAGAGACGGACGCACGAGGTGGTATGCGGTAAGCTGATCGAACGTCAGGTGACGAGGGAATCAAAATTGAGAGGCTTCCCATGTCGTACTTCCACCGGCAAGCATGCGCGCAGGCACTCTCTGCACCAAAGCTTGAAAGCCTCGATCAACCTGCGAAATTGTTCCGTGCTTCCGGAGCGCCCAGCGCCTTTGTGTCGAGCAGATAATCGAGGGAATCGTTTATTGGTGAGGTCGGGGATTTTGCTGACACACACGGAATACTTTCGATAAAAACAGTCAATGGCTACGAGACGTGTCATTGGATTCCCGCCTGTGGCAAAGCACAAATGCAGCACAGTACGGTACGGTCAGCGGTCCATCAGGCTTGGAGTGCCGTCTAAATGCATGAGTATGGACCGGAAACGCTTTTCCTGGGCTATCGGAGAACGTGAACGGTGTTCCATTATTCGATATTACAGAGTAAAGCACCATGCCAATCCACAGGCTATCTAATGAGTGAATTCATTATGCGACGCTGGTCAACTGGAAAGCAGCCCGCAAAGTCCGCCTCTGGTGCGAGGAGCCGTCAATTCAGACACAGAGCACTCGATTCAAAAATCTGGCAAAACTTTTTTCGGAACGATCCATCCACGAAAGATTGCTCGGAGCATGCAGCTTGTTGGCAATCGTCCTTCGCAGGAATCGGGGAAGCAGCGGCTGCATCCGGCAAATGCATTGCTACTGATTCGTTCCGAATCGCGCTTGACCTCTATCGATTCGCTTGGTACGTATGCCGCATTTGCTTCGTCTCCGGCGCTTGGAGATCTTGTGCGGAGGGAGAGCGTTTCAATCCTCTGGCAAAAGCACTTCGGATATCAAGGCCGGGTTTTTTTCCGGGCTCATCGCGTCGAGGCTCTATCAATGACGGACCTTCGTTCTTGACGGAAGACACTGTATTCGATACAGGGTGCCAAACGATTTGCTCAGTCGGCTGCAGACAACGATGCACCGCCACACGAGCAGGCACCTGCTCAACGTCGAGCCATGCCTGGAGCTGATCCTCGGTTTCCAAAAGTGCCGGCATGCGGTTATGCATCCACTGAATTTTGTCGCTGGCTGCGACAGTAAAAATCGCAAATCGATTCATCTCTGTCTCCTCAACGAACAAGGCGGCCATAAACAACGGTCGGTCGATCATGTCGTGCGCGTTCCGAGGCGCCAAGTGGTCCTTGCTCTCTCTCTTTGTAACACCGTGATAGATAAAATAGGGTATTCGGGATGCTTTCGTCATTGTTTTGATTTTACCCACGTCCTGTTGCTCACCAGGGGCATCTGCAGCGCTCCACTCGTAAAACCCGTTCGCAATAACCACAGCGCGCTGACCTGCATCTAACGCTGACCGGAAGCTCGCCTTTTCAAGAGCAGTCTCCGCCCGCACGTTGATGACGATTGGAGGGCTCTCACCCTTACCAAAAGTTCGCCCACGAATCGGAAACGCCCAGCGCATTGGTTGCAGAACACGCTCGCCTGAAACAGTGCGCAGCAGTGGTACCGTTTGCTGCGGAGCTACATTGTAGCGCGGCTGGTAGTGGTAGCGCTTTTCCTGGTCCTTCGCGTCAGCCCAGCGAGTTGTTCCAGCAACTCGTTCAAGCTGTTCTCGAGAGTAGTACAGCGCGAAGCGTCCGCACATGCACGCGAGCAGCGCTTTTTAAAAGCACTGCGAAGCAAGGCGCCTCCAGCACACGCCTAGGCACGAACGGAGACAGCGTCGCGGAGATACGCGCATCACACGGCTGTGCGTGCGTGCGTGCGTGCATGCGTGCGTGCACGCCAGAACCCTGCCAGATCTCCAAATGGCGCAAGGCGCACGCTGCGCGGCCACCGCCGCCATAGCACTCAACGGATCGTATGGAATCGGGCAATACGCGGCAATACGCTTTCGCCATACACATCGCGCATTCACTCGCAAAGATCTTTGCAGTAACTGGCAATCCCTTGCAGCCATGAGGACGATTCACGAGCGTAAGGATGGAACGTTTATGACACCTGCTTTCATCAGCAGCTCTCATGTATTCCTGTCGGATCCTTGCTTTTGGTCGAGTGGAAGGGTTTCAGGGAGACGGCACCGCAACGCAGTCTACTCGAAGCCCCAAAGTGGCACGGTCCGCCTGCCAACCCGCCTCGTGCTCGAAGACGCGCCGAGTCGGGAGAAGACTACCCAGTTTGATCGCGCTGAGTTTGATCGCTATGTTCAAAATACGTATGCGCGGTATCCGCTGACCCTGGTGAGTGGCCGCGGCTCAAAAGTCGTCGACGACAACGGGCGAACGTACATCGACTGTGTGGCGGGAATCGCGACTTGCTCCCTAGGCCACGCAGATCCGAGGCTTGTTTCTGCAGTGTCGGACCAAATTCGTCGCCTACATCATGTGTCGAACTTGTATTATACAGTAGAGCAGGCAAGTTTAGCCAAGTGGCTTGTTGAGCACTCCTGCGGCGACCGCGTGTTCTTCTGTAACTCGGGCGCTGAGGCCAACGAGGCAGCGCTCAAGCTGGTACGGAAGTACGCGCACACCCAACTCGGTTTGGATGTGCCGGTGGTGGTCACGGCGATGAACAGCTTCCACGGTCGAACGCTGGCGACCATCACTGCAACAGGTCAGCCGAAGTACCAGCGCGGCTTCGAACCGTTGATGCCGGGATTTCGATACGTTCCCTACAACGACGTAGCTGCACTGGAACGCGTTGTCAACGAGCTAGAGCAGATGCGGAACTCTTGGTGGCGACGGATCCAAGGTGCACCTCGAACTGGCTTGGCAGCGATTATGCTGGAGGCGTTGCAAGGCGAAGGGGGCGTCATGCCAGGAGACCGAGCCTTTTTCGCTGCTGCTCAGCGCATTTGTGAACGAACTGGTGCATTGCTGGTGCTCGATGAGGTACAGGTTGGCATGGGGCGGACAGGTAAGCTCTTTGGCTTCGAGAATCTCTCCATACAGCCGGACATCTTCACGCTCGCCAAGGGACTTGGCGGCGGAATACCTATCGGGGCCATGATCTGCAATGCCCGCTTGCGCGATATCCTGCAACCTGGCGAGCACGCCTCGACCTTTGGCGGGAATCCGCTGGCCTGTCGTGCGGGTCTCGTGGTCACTAGGGCGCTGGTCGAGGACAATGTGCTGGAGAATGTACGCGCTCGCGGCGCTCAGCTTCGTAACACGCTCGAGTCCCTGGCTCGTGCGTACCCTTCGGTGGTGCGCGAGACTCGTGGCTGGGGCCTCATTCAAGGACTAGAGTTTCACGAGCCGTGCTCACCACAATTTGTCCAAGCTGCGATGCGTGAGGGCGTCCTGCTAGTGCCAGCAGGCCCGCGTGTTGTTCGCTTCGTACCACCCCTGACGATAACGGAAAGCGAGCTCGAAGAAGCCATTCAGGCGACGCGGCGAGCTTTTCGAAATCTATTCGGATCCGAGTCCTGAACTCCGGAATGGTTCGATTCAGTAGACGGGATATACCATTGTTCGCCGTCAGAGCTGCAGCGCGCTTCGTGGTGTACCAACGCCGACACCGGTGCGTCCCATGCGCGCGCGCAACGCAGCGCGCAGACTGCTATGCAAACGAGCAAACTCCCGATTCTGGGCCCGCAGCGTTTCGATCTCCCGGCAGAGCTGAGGGAGGATCCAGCGTTCGATGAACAGACACTCTGTACGATATCTCTGAGCGACCGCGCGCCAGTAGAACAGCTCTGTAGAATTTGTTTGGCATCTCGAACAAGACAGCTCCATGGCGGATCCGTGTAAACCACCAGTTGCACTTTGGTCAAACGCCGTCGTCGAAACGCGTGTTGCTGCAACTGCGGCCTGCCGTCTGTGATGACACGGATCTGGATCCGTGAAGCATGCGTGCATGCGTGCACGCACGTATACGTACATAAATGTATAGATTCTGACGTGCGTGGCAGTCATCCATTCACAGATGCACCTGCACGCATACGTGCATACACGTACTCACTCATGCGTTCAAGCATGCCCGCCGCGCAACATTCCCCCAGTGCCTGTGCTCAAAACGAACCCATGTTGGTAAAGACAACATTCTTTGTCATTCGCTCTGTTTCGCCGGGGATCCTCGCACGTCACCTTTGCAAGAAACCGTCGATGTTTGACAGTGCCCACGAGACCATGTCTCTGGATGCTGCACCAGTAACCGCAGTGATGTTAACGTTGGCCAGTCGCCCGACAAACCGCAGATGCGCTTCTCGGTTCGTCCGTACCGTACATTTCCGTTTCATGCGTGCAGCCTATCCCTTGCGTTATTGCCGGAGACGATCCTTTTTATCAGGAGAGCCGTTCGCATCCATTCACAAGCGCATGCCCAACGCAATCTGCGTTCGCGTTCTGTTCATGATGAACACGCGCTTCGGGCTGGGACCGCGCGGCGCCTGGGGGTTGCGCTTAACGTTCACGTTCTGCTAATCGCCGCTAATCGCAGGATTCGGACGGATGCGGGCACCACCATGGCAATGGAACATCGCTCGCTCGTCGTATACGGTAGCAAAACATCACCACTGAATTGCTTGCTTCGGAGCGAAAGAATTTGTTTTGACGTCCGAATTCGCCAGAAGGTGCCATTTAGAACATGTAAGCGACTATGTCACTGTAAACACCACGATACCACAAACCCTGTGAGATCCGAGCAAGTTCGCTGCCTCCTATACGTGTCTTTGGGTGCGCTCATGGCTCATTGTCGGCCTCCGCGTGCAGGGCGGTCACAGAGCAAGATTCGAAGCAGCACCAGTGGCATTCGACTGAGCGTAACAAACCACGATATGCTTCCGTCCGTCCGGGAATGGTGAGGCTCTGGCCCCACTTCGCAATGCAAGGTGCAGGAAACCAACGGAGGAACGGAGCTCGCGCGCCAGCAAGAATTAGTTCTCCACATGAGCCTCCAGGCGTTCGCTGTGTTTTTTGTCGAGTCCATGGGACTTCGGCCACCGGTTGAAAGTATCGGGTGAAGGCAACGCTTAACGTGCACCATGATCGGAGATATCGTACATAATTTGGAGGTTTGCATCGTTTTCAAGCGGGTGCCTTTGAAGCGAGCGCTATCAACAGCCAGTAACGTGGCCAGCGGCAGCTCAGATAATCTCCCGGGTGCCTGGTGCTGTTCGGGGAACCCACAGCACCGGGTTTCATCAGCACATTGTGGCCGTCGTCGAGAGACCAAGCAGCGGCACCAGTCCAGACACGGCCGCAAGTAGCCGAGTCCGCGCTGCGCACACGCAACCGCACTCGTTCGGGCATTGACGGGCGACTCGGGATGCGTATGGCAACCAGCGAGCTCCTCCTCGGGCTGCGTACTTGCTTGCACTGTCAAAGAGTTCCCTCAGAGCGCCATGACATTTTGAAGACTGTGTGTATGTGAATGTGTGTGTGTGCTGAATGAGAGGCACGCATCGGTGGCCTCTCGGCGCACAAAGCAACCAAACGATGCATCCATGTTCTCGCCGCGAAGAGACGCGTCACCCAATGCAGCGCTATGATTGGGCATGTTTCAAAGACAACGCACTGACTGCTTCACCTCTGCTCTCTCGATAACTCCATGAGACGCTGAGTCGTTTGTGGAAAGGTTGGGCGCTCATCGTCAACTGCGATCCGAGTCGCCTCACCAGGCGATGCGCAGAAGAATGTCTGCCAAGGTTCTGGAAAGACTCGGAAAAGCAAACCATTTGGTAAGGGCTTCAAGTAGTATATGGGCTCAAATTGCTCAAGATAACGCTTGCGCAGGGCAGTTAGCCGTGGATAAAACAGAGGTGGATAGTAGTTGCTTCGGAGGCGGTCCATGTTTCCATTTAGGACGACGATGCTTGCGTCGGGATACAACAACGCTGGTCGCTCCAGTTGTAGCCATTCGTCTATGTTAAACCCGGGCTGGACGACGAACACAAGTGCTGGCGCCTCGACCTGTTGCAGGAACGCCGGCCTCTCGTACAGCGGCAGTGCTGAGAGCGTGAACGTATGCTCACTGCTTCCATAGACTTTTTCCGCTATTTTGGCCTCGGCCACGTCCGGAAACACCAAGTGCAGGCGCTTGCGAAATGAAGCTGCGAAAGGTTTGATGATTTCCCGCGCGTGCGAAGTATTGGCGTCTAGGATCCTCGACAAGGCAGCTGTGGTGTCCCGAACTGCTGGAAAAGAAACTTCATAAAGCGCCGGCGAGCGCGTTTTGGTTTCAGTAGCCTTCGACAGCGCATTCTGAACCTGCCTATGCAATGATGCAGTGTCCTTCGGTAAACTTGTGTATTGACAAACCAGAAACATCAAGCGGCGGGAAACGCGTCCGCCATGAAGCGCTCGAGGTTTGCGCGCTGCAGGCGCAGATCCAGCGCGTCGGGGCCAGGTGCGCTGCGGCCACGACACGTAGGTGTCCTTAAAATCTAATTTAATACAATTGTATCCAATATCCCTTTCCACTGCGAATCGCCATGCGCCGCACCGTACACAACGGATGCAGGCCAATGACTGCGTATCGGTTACGCAGGGTATCTCGAGCAGCGCGTGCTTCAACGCAAAGTGTGTTTCCCAGTACTTGGTGCCGTCTGAGGCACTCGAGCGTATAGTAGGTGCCCGCGAGACGCTGTATGCGCTGTGTTTCGTGGTGAAGGGCTGGTTAACGGCCTTGATAGACGTTCTCACTGTCTGCTGGTTTCGCACGAGCGCATCGAGTCGGCAGGTGGCCAGGAGCGCGGCAGCCGGAGCTTCACTCGCGAAGATGCAGCGCGGTTACCTGTTCTGGAGATAGGGGGACGTCCAGGAACAACAGAATGTCGCGTATGGACCGGGCAGCGCCGCAGCTCGTCGGAGCACCAACGGAACAGTCACAAGGGGGCGACGGAGATTGGAAGAAGAATCTATCCGGCAAACTGCAAGAGGCGGGTCCTTGCTATGCTCGACTTTTGGGCAGCTCTGAGCGATGCCTGTGGCACTATGAACTGCTGGGAACACCGGGCGCAGCTGCAACGGTCGTACTCCTCCCAGACCACCTGAACGGGGCAGCGGGGCTCCGTGCACTCGCCTCGGTCGTTGCTCGCTGCGGATATAGAGTTTTGCTTTTAGACTGGCCTGAGCATGTGCATACGGTGGAGGCTTTTATTAAGAGTCTCGAGAAGCTGCTGGAAGTCCTGGCTGCGGCGGATGCGGTATGTAGAAGCGCGCACTTTCTTGGTGTCGGCCTGGGGGCTCTTCTTGCGCTATCTTTCGCTCAGCATTGCCCAGACCTTGTTGCGTCTCTCATGCTTGCTGGGGTACTTTGGCGACGCCAGACTCTATCGAGACTGCTTTCGCCGTGGTCCTTGGCTGGTCGAGTTTGCGCAGCCAACAGCTTGCTACCTCGCTGCATTTTCGAGGAGCCTCTCCTCGAGTCTGGGCTGCTAACCTTTGCCAGTACAACGGAGCGTCTCCAAATGCAGCTGCTCATAAGGGAACGCATACGGCAGTCGACCAGAGGAAGCCTCTGTACGCGCTTGTGCCTGATGCGCTCAGGCAAGGACCCAGGGACGATTCGCTTGCCCGAGTCACGAATATCGCTGATCACGTGTCTGCCGCGCAGTTGGGATGCGGTTTATTTTGCCTCTTCATCAGGTCTGGGTCGGTCACAGAACCTGCGTTGGCCCTTCACCGATACGAAACTCCAGCACAGGGTACTGCAGTCGCCGTGGGTGCAAAGCTACGAGGAGACAACCCCAGTCGACGGAACCCACGCTGGTGGCCTCCTGAGACGTGCTTTTTGTGCTTACTGGAGATCCTGGCGACTCGGCAGCGGCGACCGAGATTCTGCAGCGCATCCAGGACATGGACCTGACACAGCAGCGTTCTTGCTCCTGTTTCCCCGAGCCCGCCGTGCGTATCTGAAAGGCGCTTTTACGAACTATCCTTTCCTGTGGTCCGCAGATGCCTTTATTCTGCATGTGCTGGTGCATCTACGTCGCCAACTGGATCCACCGCAGCAGTTGCTTCTGCTGCAGCGGTACCGATCTCTCCCTTTGGGGCATCTTAATACGATACCAGAAAAAACGGATGCAGCTCCCATGAGACCACTGATGCACCAACAGACGAGCGTTTCAAACGCGAACGCGGAACCTAACCACGACACGAGATCATCGGACTGGAACCACGAAGACTTTATCAGGATCGTCAGCCCCGCGTCAGCCACAACCTCCTGGGCGACCGTTTACGCTTCAGCTGGCTCGACGACGCTCACGGATGTCACCCAAGATATTTGGTCTGAGGATGCCAACGAGACAGAGGTTTCATCGAGCTGTGAGTCCACCTGCTCCACCACCAGTCGCGATGTACGCATCATGCGAGACGCTCTAGCGTAGATGTCTGGAAAGGACTCTGCTTTCACGTGCTTCTGTTTAGATGGCGACAACGATCCAAGCGGTCCCGCATAGCAAAATCCAGCTAAAGACGCTTCGCCCCTGTTTCATCGTCTAGATGGTGCATCTTGTGCTCGAATCCGAGCTGCTAGAGGTTTCGTCTTGAAGAAACGGAATCTGCTTCGGGGTTTAGCGCAGGATCCGAGAGCGCCCTTTGAAAGGGTGCGCGGTGCCCGTGATGGGCCTCATCGCTCATCTGTTCTCGGCAGACGATGCCGCGAAAGCAGCTTGAACCGGGAAGGTTCCCCGGGTAAGCACGCCATCCTCCAGAGCTCTTACGAAATACTCGAACAATTCCCGATACCTTTTCTCAAAGACATGTGATTTCGCTTGAATTGGTTATACCTGGAATGCCCTCAGTGTTTAAAGCGTACGCGTGTCGAGTCCTGTCGCAAGTACCAGCCCGGCCCCTGATATCGCAATCTGTTCCAGATGAATTGGGTCTGCATCCTGATGATGCACAGTCTTTCTGTGCTGGAGTGTATCCCTGGCGTCATGCCTGGATCATAAGCGCATTCTAGTCCTGCAGAACAGTTCCATGGGCGGCAGTTTCTCTGGCACTGAGGCATTTCAGGTAGCCTGCGAGATGCCCCAACTGCTATTCCTTTTGCTGGAATCGAAACGCCGTGGAACAGTCTTTTTCGATTCATTCTGCAGGGAAGCTTGCTCGTAGTCGCTTCAGGGTGCACCAATACTGACGTCATGCGTAACCTGGCAGCGAATCACCCGAAAACATTTGAGTCACCAAAGCGTCTTTCTGTGTTCGAGCTCCAGTACGAACGGTGCGCTCTGGTAGCTCCAAACGTGACACGAGTCCCTGGTGCTTCGCAGCGCCTCCGATAACTCGTTGACCGCAATAAACTATGTAACAGCGAGGAACGCGCCTCGCTTCGGAGGTATTCACAGAAGCAGCTCGAGGAGCCCCGGGTCCGGGTCCGGCTTTGCGATATCACGGCAACTGCATCGTGATCCTTGCCTCTACTCGAACACAACCCTTTTCCCAGGTACGATTCAATGTAACTATCAAGACCTCGGTTGCGACCCAGACTTGAGTATGAAAGTGCCTGCGGGTGCAAGTATATGCGCCTGGTTGACGTTGTTCCCAGCGCACCGTACTGCCTCCTCGACAAAAGCGTGCTTCAAGGGTCTCGAGCCAAGTGCCGGTGGCGTCTCAGACTGGAGATAGCCATCGCGCTGTTAGGGATCCCGACTCAGACGCACCCAACCCAAAGCCTACAGACACCGAACTAGTGGCGCCCGAACGCAACAACGAGGATCTTTGGTACCTCGGGTCGACGCGCTTGCACCGCCCAAGAGAGGGCCGCAAGCCTGGCAACTGCGTTTCTTCCCGTCTGTGCGCGATCAGGTTTCGAGCTGTGCATGAGTACACTGCTGATACCAGCGTTTGCAATAGCAGTCGCAGGACTTGCTGCGCTTCGTTGGAATACAGCGAAACAGGTGCCGCATCAAGTCGGAAGGCGCCCGAACGGAGCGCTCCGTCTACCATTAGGGGAAACGAACAACGGCGAAGCGAACGACAGGTCTGGTTCCCCGGTCTTATCTCGCCAGGACGCTCTTCAACAAGCGAGAGCCGAAGCAAGCGCCTATGCAGCTCAAGAACCGGTTCAAGCGTTTGCACGAAAGGTTCGCAGTTTGCGACCGGAGGACCTTCTCGACCGCTTTGGCCCCAGTGCATCGCTGCACTTTGGCACAGCGGGTTTACGTGAACCCATGGGCCCTGGATACAACCTTTTGAATACAGTGGTTGTTGTTCGAGCGACTCGTGCGGTACTGGGGCACCTTGCCGACACCCTGGGCTGGGAAGCGCTGCGAACGCGTGGCATCCTTATCGGCTATGATGCGAGGCAGCACTCGGAAACCTTTGCGCAAGCTGCTGCCGTGGTTTGTGCATCGCACCAGGTTGCCTTTGCTCTACTCGATCGTGTCGTGCCGACACCACTGGTTGCCTTCGGGGTGGTTCAACAACAACGCTGTGCTGGAATCATGATCACGGCGAGTCACAATCCGAAGGAATACAACGGTTACAAACTCTATATGGAAAATGGCTTGCAGATCAGTGCAGCCGTTGCCAAACAGATTGAGGCTCGGATGCGGTCCGAGGCGTCCTCGCCCCGAGAACGACAGGCCGAGCTTCTTTTCGCGACCAAGGAGCTGGCCTCGTTACCTCGTCAGTCCGTGGAGACACTCTGGCAGGCCTACGAACAGCGCATTCGCCATGAACTTTATGCGCCGATGAGGTTCGATAGCGCTCGTCTTCAGATCGTCCATACTGCATTGCATGGTGTGGCCGACGATTACCTCAGGCGACTTTTTGCGGCCTTTGCATTACCGACCTATACGCCGACGGCGGCACAACAGAGCCCCGACGGTGATTTTCCAACGGTCCCGGTTCCGAACCCGGAAGAGGGTGCTGCAGTTCTGCGTCTGGCTATGCAGACTGCAGAGCAACTTTTGCGATCGAACAAGACGAATGCTGTGGTGGTTTTAGCGAATGACCCAGATGCAGATCGGTTGGCAGTGGCAGAACTAGCACCGCAAACAAATCCTCGGTGGCACATTTTCCACGGTGATGAAGTTGGTATCCTATTTGCCTGGTGGATGCTGCAGCAGGTCGAGAAGCTTGGTAAGCAACGTGCTTCCACGGAAATGGTCTTCATCAACAGCGTTGTTTCCTCTCAGATGCTCGGAGCATTGGCTGAACACCAGCACAAGCTGCGCTGCCGCTGGATACAGCATTATCCCGGTTTCAAATGGCTTATGGAAGTGGCGGTAGCGCAAACGCGACCGCAACAGCAAGTGCTCCTTGTCTACGAGGAGGCGCTCGGCTATGCGCTCGGCGGCCTGCGTTCGGGTACGTTGCCGGTAAATGACAAGGACGGCATCGCCGCAGCGATCGTCGCAGCCCAGCTGGCTTACTTTTGCCACCAAAACAGGACTTACGGCTCGCTGCAGGGACTTCTCGAGAGCCTCTACCGCCAGTACGGTCTCTACCTCCAGCACTCTGGATATTTACGCTGTCGAGACTTTCGCACATTGACGCCTTTGTTTGAGCGCATTCGTCAACGCCTCGCGTCGGGCGAGCTGGTGCTCTTCACCGCCGACGATGGATGCGGAGGCGGCAAACCGTTACCGCCGCGACGGTACCAGATCCAAAGCGTCTATGACTGGACTCGCGGCTACTATTGCGCGTATGGCTGCGAGCCGGTGCCGCTGTCGCTACCGCCTCAACCCAAAACGCACTTTATGACGTTCTGCATCAGAGAGAGTGATGAACATAGGCTGAGCCTTCAGAGACAGCGGCGACAGCAGCCGAGGCAAACGCCTTCCGGAGACCGCTCGAGAACGCCATCGTCTCCGTCGACACCGATGAAGCCTGCGAGTCCTTCGCTCCCCGCAGACGCGGACCTACGAATAACTCTGCGGAACAGCGGCACAGAACGGAAACTTAAGTTCTACTCAGAGCTCCATGTAACTAGATACAGTCGCTTAGAAGACCGCGATGAACTGCGAAAGGCTCTTGATCGCGCAGTTCGCGCGTTCATCGAGGCGTTCCTGCAGCCAGGCCTACACGGCCTGGAGTATGGAACAGATCGTTAAAGCAGGAAAGTGCTCGAAACGTTCATAATTCATCTGGATATGTTTTTAGTCGCTTTAGTAGGTTTCCGCTGGGATCCGAGAAACGCACACGCATACCCTACACTTGTGTCGGATTGAAATGGAGCACGGAACTGCTCGATCTAATCATGTCTTGCGAATTTTTCCAAACTTGTATCGATATGCAGCCTCGACTTTCCAAGTGCAGCGATACTGGTTTACGGGTTCATTTGTCGTTTTTAGGATGATCGGTCGTGGTTTCGGTGTGGTGCATGCGACTATCTGGCGCTGGATCTCGCTAGGTGACTGGAATCAAGATCATTGGCGGCATTCGCGACTAAGGGCTCGTAACATAACCGACATGATCACAGCGTTCAGACGTGCAAGCCTCCAGGATTCTCCTTTTATTACGTGTTGTATACGCGAATCATAATTTTCATTCATGTTTCCGATCTTTCTGTTTCAAGGCAAGTTGGTTGTGCAGCAATGCGCTCCGCTGGATTGGCGATGAAGGGATCTCGACGTCGTCTCATTACGACTTGTAGAATATGTTATTTCAATCGCTCACTGGACTTGCAAACTCAAATAAGCGATCCCTGGTTGAAAGACAAACACCCTAATCTTCGCGCCCGTCGACGAGACGGTATGCGGCACCAGCACCCTGATACCTCGCACGGGACAGGCTGCCAGAGGCTCCCGAGTCGCCTGTTCGCAAGCGCAGAAAAGCGCCCTGGACGCTGGGTTCAGTCGTCGCAGCGACCGCTGCCGGTGTAGCGCTCGTCACCGCTTTGCATGGAGTGAGCGTGCATCGCTCAATATACTTCGACTTGTCCTTCGAGCTGCGCTTTCCTTCGGGTAGTTGCTTCATCGTGGACAACATCGCGCTCCACGTACCGTCTACCGAAAGGAACAGCGTACGCTTCCATGTAAAACAGGCGGCGTGCTCCCCGAGAGGATCGCCCAGCACAAGCCCGTGATCGCTGCGTGCGACACTGGGCTCGGAAATGGAGCACGGCATCCAAGGCAGCCTTCTTCATTCGTCAAGGGCATGTACTGAGCGACGAGGCAAGCGTGCGCACGCCACTGGGTGCTTCTCCAGTGAGAACGTACGGCGTACGTGTGAGAGCACCTGATCACAGTTTCGTGTTACCGCTGCGAAGGACGCCACGAGTCTCTATGAAGACAAAATGAAAATCGCGAGCGAAGCAACGTTTCCAATTCCAGTCTGTGCATGGAATGCGTTGTCAACAGCGCGCAGCGACGGCTTCGGGGCCTGAACGCTGCCATCACCATCGGTCGACTGCTGGCATCGAAGCAGGCGGGACACCAGAGACCAGCGTATATCAACATCTGATGCAAGAACTAGGAACAAGGACCCGTCGCAGAGGAGGCCCGCAAAGGCCGGTGTTGATGACGGGCGGAAGCGACGCTGACGTTCGATAGTACGTCCGAGTTGGAGGACCCGTTCCATTTTATTTTGCAAGGGGTACAGCGCCGTCTGCTGAATACCATTGAAGACTTGAGCGAGCGTCACGCGATACTGTCGTGTGCAGTGGAAGACACTGAAAGCGCGCGGCATTGGACGAGCACCACTTGCCTCCCACGGAACGCGTACGATTATTGCCGGCGATCGATGCTCCCTTCCATGTGTCTCGCTGGAGAAGCCAGAAGCGCGCAGAATCTACAGACCGTGGCAGTGCTGCATGCGGAGTACCCGTGGATAGCCACCTGCGTCACACGGTATCTTTGTACGACTGGAGCAGCGCGTTTTCTGGAGAACAGATCCGGTGCAATGGTCTGGATGGTAAGCGATCTCGCAAGACCGAATCGTTACCGTATTGCAGACTCGGCCACAGGTATACGACGCTGCAAAGAACAACCTTTTTTCCGAGTTATCTGAATGCACATTGCACCAAGTTCGTACTCAAACAACGAGTCCTCTACACAAGATACTCGAAAGCAGCTCGCACATTAAACGTGAATGCTGAACCTCCGCGACTCGACATACTTGCAGTGCCTCCGAAACTACGGATACGCTCTCTGCATCATGTGCGAACTACCTCGGGAACGTTACGCACAGCAAACGTGTGCGCTGATTGACCAGCATTCGACATGCTTGCCGTGCTTCCAACACAAACTGTCGCGACACACGACGCTGCCCGGATATCATAACCATGGTTCACCTGTGGCAATGCGCACGACTGAGGATCGAAGCGGTGCCACCCTTTCAATGAACTGCATTCCTAGACCGCGAAAACTGCTTGCTAAAGTGGATCCGAGTCCTCGTGTTCGGGTCGGAAAGGCAAAAACGCGACGCAACGCAGAAAGCGTCACTAACATCGCCGTGTTCAGAGGCAACCTCTCTCGAGTATAGACAGCCAAGACGCTTGGATCGCCGATATCCCGTCCCGTTTGCCATGCTTGTTTCAAAACACGAGCAAGCGTCTGCGCATCCGCAAGCCCCAGGTTTACGCCCTGTCCAGCGAGCGGATGAACGACATGGGCGGCGTCACCCACTAAGACGACTCGATTGGCGTCGTATCCAGTAGCGCTCCCAAAGTGGAGTGGAAACGACCAACGATCTCTGCCATCCGTTCGACTCGGGATCAGTCGTTGAAAACTGGGCACTACGGGGAAGCTTCGCCTATCGATCGGGTACGAGCTCTGGCTCAAAAAGCGACGATACGGAGCGTGCTGGCCTCCATCGACATTCACTCGATGTAGCGCTGCATGCGTTGCATCGAGAAACTGCGAGGCGGAGGCCTCAGTCTCCAGCCAATCCGCTTCGGATTCATTCGTGGACCAGACGATATTGCTGTACATGCCATGCTGTCCCATGGGGAGAATTGCCAGCGGGCCTCTCGGGAGAAAACGTTGAATCGCCACCAGGTTGGGTTCGCGATTCTCTACAATAGCGACCACTGCCCGCTGATGGTATGAACGCCCTATCCAGGTTAGTTCGGTCTGGTGGCGGACTCTGGAGCGAGCGCCATCAGCTGCAATCACCAGGGAAGCGGCCACAGCGAATGGTGGATGTTCCGCTTCAGAGAGATGCAACTGTGCCCAGGGATGGGATGCTGGCCAGGTCAGGGTATCGAAGCAGGCTCTGGACCAGCATATGGAACCGGAGACTGAACTGGTTCCATCTCGACCGCTGGCGTTGCCGGTGGGCTCCTTCTCGCCAGCGACTCGCTCTAGACACCGGTGAAGCGTCTCGAGCAGTGCGGTTTCTTCGACGATATATCCCAGCGCTGGTGGCTCGGTGGAGAGGCGCCCGACGCAATCCGCGGCATCAAAAGTGATTTTCTCCTGCGCTGAGCGCCCATACGCGAACAGTGTTGGAAACGCGGTGATGGCCCCCTGCGGTAGGCGTTCCCATACGCCAAGCGACGCGAGAAACTTCTGCGAAGCCGGTGTGATCGCCACAGTGCGTAGTCCAGCTGCTGTGTCATTGATAGGTTGCCAAGCCGGTGCACGTCGCGGATCAACGAGAAGAATGCGCGCTCCTGGCTCGATGAGGTGCCGGTGCAACGCGAGTGCTAGCGTTGAGCCAACGACACCGGCCCCTACAATCGCCACGTCAGCCGAAGCGGTCGGTGAACCTGTTTCGGGCATGACCGCTTCTCGGAACGTAACCGGCGACACACGGCGAAACCAGGAGGCTTTCAAACTGGCCTAGAGAAGAACGCCTTCATACGCAGGTGCCCGATGAAAAAAGATTCGCACGCCCACACCCCTGGAAACAAACGTCTTTTAAAAGAAAAAAGTTGCTGCCAGTGGTACAGCAGTGGCAAACACGCCCTATACAAGAAGTCACCAACTGACTTGCAGACGCCTCCCAGTTTTTTTTCGACCGGCCGCCTACTACTGGTTTCAACTTTTTCTCATATAATGCCACTTTGAGAGGTTGTCCAATAAAGTTCCCTCTTGTCGACTCTGAAGGTTTTTTCTCCATCGCCGCACATCTCCTTATACATTGATCGCGGCATGAAAGCCACGGTTCACAAACTCCATACGTTTCCTGCCATCTTTGGTTGTACTTGTCAATGCAAGTAGTCCACGAACTTTCGCCATCCTTTCCATATGCTCTTCCGTCAGCGGACCGTATTTTGCTATTTCCTCAGGGCTCCGCTGACACTTTTCCATCTCCACTCCCTGAAGTGTACAACCCAGCTAATGGTGTGTATAGGACGTTCGGAACTCATCCATCGGTATTGTAACAAAACGCCGTGCACACTCTTTGAATGTTCTTGTCGTTGGAGCTGGCGTAGTCCCTTTTTGGGTCATCTAGCGCCCTGCTCCGTACGCCACTACCAGCCTCTGATTTTCATCCTCCTTCAAGGCGCTCAACGCATTGAAAAAATTCGCGAACGCCCGCTGCTTCCCGCATTACATATTCATACGCAAACGAACCCACCGAGGCTTTGTATACTCCTCCCACAGCGCATCCCAATGGGCAACACGAACTTCCATGAATTTCCGAAAAGCTTCAAAGTCCGCTCTTCGGCTCGCTCAAAGCTTCCAGGTGATCCTTCATTCCTGCATTCCGTGTCTCGATTCTCTTCCTCGCATTCATGATTCCCGATTCTCGATAGTATCTCGCTCACGAGAACCTCAAAAGACGCATATCTTTCTGACGTAAGTTGCCGTTGTTAGCAACTTCTGCACGCTTGGGTGCAGCGATGGTTACGATATTCGTATTCCCAGGGTTCGTGCCAATGACAAAATCGTTATCCTCTACATCCTGCGTGGCAAGATACGCCTCCTTCTCATCTCCACGCTTCGTCACGGCCGCAGCCGAGGGCGGAACTCGACGATCTGCCTCCAAACGCCGATAGTGAACACACTTGGATACTTCACCGGTTTCGATCATCCTAGTGAATACCTTTTGTTTGCTCGTATTGAGAAGTTTGAAATTGAGGATATTCTTCCAGTACGTCTCACGGTTTTCGCCGGAGAATTCCCGCCTGCTGGCATTGACCTCCGGACTGGTCTCCCTCATGATGCCGTGAAGGATTCTGGAGTCGATAGTCACGAAATGTGGCTTGATGTTCCACAATGGAACTACGTTGAAACGCTTCCCCATTAGGGCAGCCTTCCGTCTCTTCCATTCTCCATTTCTCTCCTCTCTCAGCTTCATCTCTGCCTTGCGTTCGAGTTCTCGGTCCAAAAACACGAAATAGCGTAACATGAGGCGATAGTATCTTTCCTTATCTTTTTTCAACGCTGATATCTTTTCTGCTGGATTTGCCAGCCCCAGTACCGCACGATGCTCTTTAATAGCCGCACGGATGACGGAATCTTTATTCTTTCTCCTGTGTGACGCCATCTCTCCGACGAATTCGGTCTCATCTTTATGTTGGCAATCGTTCGTGATGCCATCGATACTGGCCCATATCCCCTGGCAAGAGAGACCCCGGTGCAGCGCAAAGATGGAGCGTATCAGAAAGCATTCGAGGTTCAAGGTCATAGGGTCCCTCAGGTTCGTGAGGTACTTCATCGCCCCATGGCAGTAAATATTCCCGTCACCGCTGTATCGAGTACCCTCGCAGCGGCATTCCGCGAAGTTTTCCTGGAGGACATGCACTCGCTCATTTCTCCAAGACGTTTCCGCTGTGCCAACCATCAGGTGGCGAATAACGGTCTTGTCGAAAAATTCCACCCGCACCTCGACCGTTTTGATGTCCGTCACGTCTTCGTTCATCTTCCTCACCAAATGCATTATTCTTGCAAAAGCCTTGCAATCGCTCATGCAGTAGTGCGCGATACGGTCTCTGAGATCCTCCCGCAAATTTTGCTTCTACGGATTCATGATATGCTTGAGACGACAGGCTTTCGGTACTATTTCGACGTAGTGTCGTCTTTCCTCGAGCCATTGGCGTCGGGCCGCCTGCCTTAGCTTCTTCGTCTCATCCTGTTCCTCTCTGCTCTGCACTGTTTTTTCTTTGTTTCCGCCTGCCGGCGGTAATAGCCCTCTAGGATCCTCCACTTCCATGTCCAAACTTCCCTTTTTCATTTTTGAAAACGAATGCACTTTGAACTCCCCTGCTATAAACCCCGAAAACTCACTTGAATACACTCACTTGAGGGTTGAAACAAAACTGAAATAAAAGACTGTATTTTTCGACGACTTCAACATCGTCGCAGCTTGTACTTTAGAACGAGAAGTCAACGAATATTCAGGATCGCGTTTCGCTTCAACGGCGAGATGCGCGTCGTGTCCCATGTATACCAGGTATGGAGGTGCGTCTATCGACCGCGCTACATAGAACAAATAACAGAGACTAACGATCAAGTATCAACGATATAGAGATTTATTCCCCCTCGATGATAAATGTGAAGAGAGGAAAAAGCTTTCAGTATTGTCGAAGGCCTACCCTCGAGGCGGAAGGTCCCGCGAGCCGGACAAGTCTGCCAAGCTTGCGCTCTGTGCGACTCTGCAGTTGCGGGTACTTTAGCGAGACCTAAGCTGAAACTCGTACGCAACGCAATTCTTTCTGGTGCGAGGGGCAGCTAAGCTCCGTCTGGGCGTCGCCCTGGTCGCAGTGGTCTCCAAGTATATCGCTTCGCGCTGCCATAGGCAGCACGTCTATCTGCGCAGCTTGCTTGCCCCCAGAATCATGATGCATCCCGATTAGGTATTGCGTGAACCACACCTCGAGCAGACGCCCTCCGTAGTACGGCAAAGCCGTTGTATCCCCATGTTGCATCTGCTCCAATGGTTTCGTCGTTATTGTGGGTGCTTAAAGCAGACACTCGGCGTTCCTTAGAACTCAAGGAACTACCAGCATATCCAAAATGAAATATAAGTTATGGAACTTGAAGGTACGTTGCATCATGCTGGAAGCTTTCCCCACAGCCATGATCCATCCCGCAATCTGGGCCCCATGCGCAATGAAAGCGTTTTGCCATCAAAAAACGCGACCCGTACCGAACGTTCACGACATTTTTAAACGAATGCACAACTAGCTGCGAAGGCGCAATTCTTGTATGCACTTGCTGTCCAGCGCAGCGACAGTTTGGAGCTACCAAGCGCTTGGACCTGGAAGCGTCTTCCGCATCTTTGCGATTTCGAGTGCACGGCAGAGCGGTGAAGGAAAAGCGTCTAGAACGAAGCTGCGTGTGAAACGCAAGCGTCCCAGCGTACGATGGTACCAGCGAGCGGCTCAGGAGGTCACTTTCAGGCCAAGGCGGTGTGATAGCTATCGACTCGAAAACGCTCGCAACTGTTCGAGACCCAGCGCCCTTTAAACTCGTGGTCGAAGCACTGGTGCTTTCTGCGTTTTCTGCTGTGCTGCCACTTGGCTGCTGTTCTCGTCAGTTAACTGGACCAGTTCGCCAAAGTACCAGGTTGTGGCACTGTGCTTGCAGCTGGGAGCGCGGATCGAATCGTCTGAACCACGTCACCAGCGGCACGCTCTTGTCCGTCTTGTTTATCTCGCGCGTCGTTGCGAGAGCTCGCGGAGTTGCATGGCACACGCTTTGATAGAGGTCTGGACTGGGGCGAGCGCATCCCCGCCGAGCATCTTCAACTAATGGAGTCGCTGGAAGAAAACGACTCCGATTTCGAGAATGACGGGCGGGATCGGATGCCGTCTCGGCCAGAGCTGGCGAGCTGGCAGCCTCCAGCCCTTGAAACGGTCGCTGTTCTGGCTCGCCAGTTTGACACGGCGTTCCAGAGCGCGAATGCGTCAGCGCTCGAAGCTTGCGAACGAGCGCTGGTGGAGCGGGTCCCTCTGCAGTTGCTGCAACAGACCTGGTTGGAAAAGATATTTGATCGGCGAGCGGATGCCAGTCATGAGTGGACGTACGCGGACATACGCTTCGCGTTGCATTTAGCGTCCGCTGCAGGGCACCTGGAGCAGCGCATGCTGCGCACGCTTTTCGTAAGCGTGTTGGCAGAGACCGCCTCGGGAGAGGCGCCAGCGTCCGTGGGTCGCACAAGCGTCACAACCAACATCCCCAGACGGGTAGAAACACGAGCATTTGCGGCACTGTACCGGCATGTTGCGGAGGCGCTTTCAAAACCCAGTATGGACACAGAGGGAAGCTGGCTGACGCTGGTGCAACTGATTCCACATATCGATGGAGTGTCCGGGTCCGTGACATCTATGCATGTGGATGCGCTGGCGCTCTGCGTCGCACACGATGCCTGGAATCAGGCACTCGAGGTAGTCCTCGCGAGGATTACCCCTTTCTGGTACAAACCGCCATCTCCATTCATGGTATCCCTGAGCGACCTGGAGCGCTTTCTCTTCAGCGCGGCAACGACTCACTTCAAAACTGGCAACTATCGAGCATCTTGGCGGTTACTGCATGAATTCTTGGCACTGCAGTGCACGCGACCAATGTCGAGGCGCAACGAGGCGGCAGACCCGGATACCAAACATCCATCTCAACGGATCGCCCCTCTGGATACCGCAGTGACACTCTGCCGATGGCATGAACCGGTGATGCTAGACTCGAGTCACATTTGCGAAACCACGGCAGCAATGCGTATTCGAGCTGCACAGCGGTACGTATGTTTGGAGCTTATTGTCTACGGCACCACGGAAGAGGCACTGCAATCGAGCCTGCCTATGGGCTCTGTGGAACGTTCGCCATCAACGACAGGGCGCTTTCTAGCACGATATCGGGCGCTTGCGCAGACCTTCGACGCGTGTAGTGCGGCCGGGTGCATCGCTCCCTTCGATGCGTTCGTGCACCTGCATTTGGACTCTTTTCGAGCTGACACTCACGAGGAATGGATTCTGCAGACTCGCCGTGCCCTTGCACGTGTTCTCATGCTCAGCACTGCGAGCGTCTACAAAACACTACCACTGCGAACGCTCAGTGAGCGCACCGGCTTGTCGCGTTCGGAGATCGCGCAAGTCATTCAGGATCTGCGTTCAGGGCGGTGCTGGAGCCAGAGCGCAGGTGCTTTATGGACTCGCTGGTTCACAACGCTCGTTACACTGGACGCGAATGGCGAGCGGGTTTCGTTCAGGCGGCACGCTGATACAAGGACCGAGTCTGCTGGAGCTGTAGCGGTACCAGGGTCTTGCGGCATCTACCTGTCCCGTGCGATGTTGGTGGATGCTGGAGTGCATGCAGCGTGTGCAGCAGATTTCTCCCGCAAATGCGCTTGGTTTCCCTGAGTATCATCGTCGTCGTCATCCTCATGATGACAATCGGAGGCTGGAATGCCTCGGTCTATACCAAAACCTAATTCTATGACGTTCACCGTTTTCGAACGCCGTCGTCCACTGTTACGACACGACGAGAGTAGCTGCTCAGAAGCTCTCTGAAAAGCGGATCGATGCACAGGAAGTTGCAACGCACACGAATCCTGCACTGTGCGTTGCAGCGCATCGCGGAGACCCTTCATGACCTAAAAAGGATGATGAGCCCCGCGTCCAAGCGAATGTTCAGCTCGTGTACCGGTATTGCGCTATCTAGGGTCCGCTATCCGAACAATCGCCGTCGCTTGCGCGCACTGCGGGTATACGGCGCAAGCCTCCACTCATCATCAGCATCTTGTTGCTCGAGCGTTCCGAGACGTATGCGGAACAGTCCTAAATCGAAACGGGGACCCAGTTCGATGAGTGCTTGGTGCTGCTGGTGACCCTGGATTCGACCCGCACTCGATGAAGCGGTCGCAGTTCCCGCTTCTTCGTCGTCTGATGAATCATCCGCAGCGGCGGTGCGCCTCCTCTCAACAATGTAATGTCGGAAAGATAGAATACCATCATATCCCTTATCAATGAATGCTACAATACGCTTCGAGTCTGGCTTGGGAACGGGAAACAGAAATCGAAGCATGTTCTTCACCCGCATGCCCAGTCTACTCTGAAAGCTGCCCTCGAAGATCACATGGGGATACGCTTCGCTGAGTGGCGGCAGCGCAGCGTCCGGGCTGTTTTGGTGTTCGTGTCGAAGCATCTCCGCTACATCGTGTCGCATGACGACATTGGAGAGTGCGAAGTACGCCGTCGGACCCAGCGGCAAATGACATACGATGAGCGCATCGGGTTCGCCGCGCGTCTCGTGCAGCAACACCAAGTCCGTGAGCTGTTGCGCTCTGCCGAGCTCGATCAGGTCCTTTAGGATGAGATTGCCGCGGTTCAGCCGCTGAGCGTTCGGAAAGAGGAACCGGACCTCTTTCGCAAACTGGCATAAGCGACTCGAGGGGTTCCTCGAGGTCGTGATCACGATCTTCGGATCCGCAACGCCCGCTGTGGCGTACTCGTCATCCAGCATCAACCGTGTTGTTGCTAGCATTCGTATCGGATGACGAAGTGCCTCCTCGGTTATCTGGACTTTCTCGTCTGCGTCGCTCGTGTCTCGCCGAGCGGACGGCGTCGAGCTCGCACCACCAGGGCGAGCAAGTCCTGGGGGTCCGCGCTGGCGGCTCGTCTCCGCCCCTGCTGCCGCTATTTCGAGCGCTCTTCTGTAAAGGTACTCTCGACGCAAACGAGCTTGCCTCTTTAGTGATATCATTGAAGTGTTCGGTTCGTAGTTGACTGAGGTAAGATGCAGCACGCAGTGTGTTAGCGCGATGCGCTGCACAAACGCCCGTGACGCGCCCTAATACCACGCCGCTGGACTCAGAAGCGGCTGCAACGGTTCTTTTCCGTGCAGATCTCGAGTGTCTCTTTGCGGGTGGATTGTTTTTCGCTGCCTGTACAAGCGCTGGTGACAAGCGTTCCTTCAAGCGTCCTTATCGAGTTAAAGAAGCGGTTCGCAGGAGAGAAGTTGTGCAGCGACAGCGCAACGCAGTTGGAGCGCTTTACATGAGACATGATTGTATCTAAATGGAACAACAGAAACAAAAAATCCCTTGCCCCCAAGGCGTTGCCGTTCCTCCGCACTCTGTTCCTGCACGAGCGTAAGGTACCGCGTCCCAGCAGCACGAAAACAACTGCAGCAGCTACTGGTGCCGCCACAACTTGTTGTTGCGTCCATGGCAAACAGCCTCGGCCTACCAGCAGTACCGCTGGAGCCGCGTCTGGTGCCGGATGCTGCGACTTGGCTCTCGGAGCGCTTCTCCAATGACGATGAAGAGGAGGTGACGCGGCTCGAGGAAGCGGTGTGTCTGCAGCTGGCGGCGCTGCGAGCGTTGCGGGCACCCCTGCCCCAGGGCATTGCTGTGTACCGGTGTCGAGCGCCCGGTTCACCGTCACGAAGTGCTGACGCTTCCTCAAGTCGTGGAACTCGCAGCGTGCGTAGAACTGTGCAGCTTCGCCAGCGGACGCGAAGCGCTTACCGGCAGGCCAGCGGCACTACAGCAGCGAACACTGGCTTGCGCACCAACCTCGACACGAGTATTGGTGCCGTTGATGAACACATCAACGACGAGTTGATCGATAGTCAAGAACTCGAAGAAGCAAGCACCGGTGAAACAGAGCCGCGGCCGGCGCACCGAGCGACGACAGTTGCGCATCGAGTGTTTATTCCACCGCGTTACGTCCTCCCGCATCATGCGCTGATATACGAACACACGGACTGGTATCGAGAACGAGTGCGTCTGGCCATGGAAACAAACAGTGGCCAGTACGCCTCCGCTGAGGCAAGCTCGGGTCGCGCGCCTGCTCCGCGGGCGCTCACGGTGTTCCCGGCACCTGCTGGTCGCGACCGCGAAACAGACTCATCGCCCAGGAGACCACGCGAGCGTCGGTTTCGTACACGCTTTTCCGGCCAACGTGAGGGTATCCTCGAAGATGCACTTGCAACCATACTTTTCCGCGATGAACGCACGGGCGCGGGAACCCCTCCCGCTGCAGAGATGCCTCTGGATCGGCAGCTAGATCGAGGACCTGGCCTGCCTGACAGTGCCGAGAGACTGCCGGCTCCTTTGCTTGGCTATCGCGAAGAGGTTCGTTCTCATCAGCGACGCGCATATGCGCAGCGTGAAGCGTTCGGCAGCCCGCCAACGTCCATGGTCCTCAGTGACTGGCTAGAGAGCCGTCGTCGCGACGTCGCGGACCCAGGCAGTGTATCACCAGCCGACGCAATGTCGCTGTGGAGCGCACCCCGCGCACCTCAGAGGCACATACCAGGCCGTGGCGACGCAGCGCTCGGCGTCTATCGAGAGCCACGCACGGGGCAGCGGAGCCTCCAGAGACGCTCGACAGAGGTGTTGTCCACGTCTGTGGATACGGGTCGCATTCGAGGCCCGATAACAGCGAACGAGTCGGCGCCAGAGCTTTTACATTCACCGCCTTTCCGAGCTGGATCGATCGGTGACGATTCCTTTGATGCCGGGAGCCTGCGGCTGACTGCCCGAGGACCGAGTCGAGCGCGCCTCTCGGGGCATGTGGCATCACGCACTCGTGGACTCCCCGTAGATCACATTTCGCCAGCAGATGCGTCTCTGCCCTTAGACGAATCGTTACAGACAGATGAAACGAGCGGGCGCGTTCATGGACGCGCTGCGCTTCATCGCATGAGGCGTAGCGGTCGAGAGCTCGACGTATCCTCAGTCGCGGATACGTTCCATAGCACATCGGCAGGCAGCGCGAGCCACCACGCTTGGACGAGGGCGCCCATGGACACTGCACGTTCGACAAGCACAGCTTTTGCATCGCCGTTAACCCTGGAGCACAGAGATTCCGCAGGTAGCTCGCCGGGTGACTTTGTTGTGAACGATTGGATGTCTGCAGGGGATCGTTCCTCGCGCACCGACCAGAGCCGAGGCGGTTTCCGGACGGGAACCGGGTCAGCCGGGGATACCACCACGATAGAAGCGCTTGGTGGTCGACGGCATCGCGGACCCAGGGATCTGGTTGTGCGCATAGAAGAAACGCTGCGCACGCGAGCCTGGGAACGATCCACCTCTGCGGATGCATCAGCGCGAGCTTCGGGTACTGCCCGCGCTCAGGTTCGCAATGAACGGCGGCATCTGGATTCATCGTAAAATGAATGATGCATCGTGGTAGTCGACGAGCTGACGCGTGAGAAAGACACTGGGAAGCTGTTTTGTAGGCGCAGGGCGACCCCGGTGGCGGCGCTCCGAGCGTCCGCGGCAGGCACGATGAATACGATGCACCGGTGCCCTTCAATCGATGTTGCCTGTAGATTTTAAAGAATGGCAATTTTAGGATTGGTAATGCGTAGCAGCATCTCGAAGGGAATGGTGGTGCTTTCATGGTTCACCGACGGCAACCGGGAATCCCTTGGATTCTCGTTACACCGGTGTCAGAATAAAATGCAACGGATCGTTCAAATTGGGCGTACACTGTACGCCCTGGGTATCGTTCTAGTGTCATCGACACAGGCCTGTGGAGACTTTTTCATTTCTGAGACCGCTTCCTTCATCGCCCTCTTGTCTACGGCTCGAAATGAGGCGGGCTCTCCGGTCCTTCCTGCTCGGTTGTCGGCAATGGAAAGATGTTGAAGGCAGCGTTTCAAGTCCAGATTTCGCAGATTCGGACTGCTGCCAACGCAGTTCATGCAGAGGCGGAAGTTGCGCTCTACGCTTCGCTTGCCATTTTCACCTGATTGGTAGGGAGCCATGGTATGCGCTTCGCAACGGTGACAGTAAAATGTACTCTTGTGTTCTGGTATGCCCATTATACGTTCTGCGTCGAGGAGCCTCCTGTGGTGCGTGAAGACTTGCTCCATAGCTCGGTACATGACAGGTACCGAGGACTCGCATCGATGCCAGCTTCCGTTTCCGTACCGAGTCCTAGACGCTTTGATGACGGTAATCGTCTGGATGATCTCTTCGACAAGCTCTCCGTCTGCTGCACACGCAAGCGGATGCTGTACAATTGGATAGAGGATTTGTTCAACGCGACATTGCCCATTAGAGAACAAGTACCCGGAAGAAAATCCAGGCTGGAGAAACATTCGAGAAAATTTGAACCGTGTACACTCACCTCATGCAAAGCGGTGATGCGCTCTGCACAGGAAGCGATCGCTGTGATGCCTGCATTCCTAGTCCAAGGCCCTTTTCCATGGAAAAGGAGGCAATGGGTGCTTCTGAAAGCATTTCCCGTTGGATATTTCATGCTGCTGTTGCGCTCAGCTTCGTCGATAGCGATAAATAGAAAAAGGAGGGATTGGTCTTTCGGATAGAATCGACGTTGATTGGACGTGACAAGTTTCGTCAACTTCCGGCATGAGCTTGTGAGCAAGCCGATAAAGAACGACGTGGCATAATAATCTATGTAAATGCATTGTTCATGAAACAAAGAAAATGTCTCACGACCATGAAGGTATATATACATACTGACGAGCAGACGCCTCCGAATCTTCTTTGATCGGCGGCTTGCCTTAGGTATCAGTTTCTCCCCATACACTTCGAGACTGAGAAGCTGCCCTACAAAGTTTGCTCGCGTCAGCTCATCGGGTCTTGTCTCCAGAACCGCACATCGTATGATATTGATGGCGGCGTTGAAGTCTTTGTTCGCGAACTCCATGCGTTTGTTGCCGCTGTTTGAACTCATCAATGCAAGGGTTGCTAGAACCCGCGTCCTGTGTGCCACCTGCTGCTCTTTCAGCAATCCGTGCTTTTCCATCGCCGAAGCCCTCCGCTGTGTTCTCCCTATCTCGACCATCTGGTGTGTATAACCCAGCTCATGCCTTAGATTTTTCATTTCTCAAAATGAATGGGCTTCTTTATGCCCGTAGCTAAGGACCTTCCCCGAGGAAGAAGGACATGTTCAAGAAAAACGACATATGCCTCGGCGTGCCATCGTGTGCTGAAAGCTTCGGCAATTCGCCCCGTGGAGCGATCATTGCGTTTCAGGACAGAATACACTCCTTCAATGGGGCTGAATCACGGAGCGTATGGAGGAATGGAAGGCAGCTCTACTCCCAGATAGTATCGGCAAAATCTGGAACTCAAGGGGAATGGTAAAATACTACGTTGTTCAATAGAAGGACGTTGCCGGACTTGAGGAAAAAATGTTCAACAATTCGACAAAGTGTTCGCTGCTATTGAATGAGCCTTCTCAACGAGCGAATATGAGGACGCCAAATGAATCCACTCCAGCTAGAACAGATGATGATGTCCTCGTTCTCCTCGAGCTCGATCTTGTATACAATGAGCTCTATCTCCGAGAAAATAAACATATACGATTGGACCGTTTCGTCTGAAGCAGTTCTCATCGGCTGAAAAACAAACCGACGTGCCTGTGCTTCACACGAATCGAGAGGTCCCATGCATGTTGTCGCTGCGATCTCGGTGGAAGATAGCCGTTTTCGTGAACCAGGACTGGTTTTGTATGAATGTATCCCGAGTTTCCAGGATCACACGAGCAAGCTGGTGAGAAACAGAGACACCCGCAATAACTACTATTATCGCGTCGCTTTCCTTAAAGCAATCAAGTGGTCGTTTTTCTAACATGGCCGACAACAAAGTTTTTACCAGTACCTGTTTTTGGAGCAGAGCGCGCATACCTGTTTCTTTCAGTGTTCTCGACCATCCTAGTATAGTAGTATGACTGACCTGAAGAAGGAATGCAGCCCTCGTTACCATGATCAGTAAATAATATGTATCGTGCATGCATTTCGTCTACGATCGAATCGATACAAAGCATAGAAATGTCGATCTCGTACGATACACTGCGAAGAGGCATTTGATGACACGCAGCAGGCGCGAAACAAAACTGACGTGAAAGACTATAACAATATGCATATAATTGCTACAATCTGCCTTTTTTGAGACAATCGCTCCTGAACGTCCCTGTGCGCTTACCAGCGAGCGTCAGCAGGCGCGCGCCTTGTACCCAGATCCGCCGTGGGGCGCCTGTCGGAGGTCGCCGCTACGCGACCGTATCTGCGAGCCACCACGCTGACCTGCACACTGCTGCATGCGTAGACGGTATGAACAGTGGAAACGAGTACGCCAGAGTGAGTCCTGGCGCTACGAGTGCCCCAGACGCACAAAGTGGACTTGGCGTGACGACTGCTGGTAGCGAGGTAACCATAAAGGCGTGGAAGCAGACGGCAGGCGAGCGCTGCGCCGTGGGAAACGCGCTCGTGGCTGCCCACGAGCCGCACTGCCCGGTCTGCCCCGAGCCGACGAACAAAATTGTGCCTCGTCGGAAGATGGTACCCAGCTCGATGGCTGTGCAGCCGCAGCCTTTTCCGCACCAAGTCGGGGGTCACGGTGCGCTGGCACTCCACGGCGCTGGGCTGGTCAAAAAACCCCTGGTAGAGCGAGAGCTGGCCTTTTACGAGTACGTTTGGGGTGATCTAGTCGACATATTTGAGAGACTGGATGACACGAGTGAAGACGGGCTGAATTTGCGCAGGAAGCTGGTGGCCCCACACAGCCCACGAAAACTCGAACGACTGCTATCGTCAGAGACGCGGGGGCGTGCGCTCGCAAACTTGCGCGACAGGCTTCAGTACCGCCGAATGAAAGCGGAGCGTCGCTGCGCTTTATGTCGACAAAACGCACCGGTTGGTTGTGGCTCGAGCGCTGGCACCAACAAGCTCTGTACGATGCAGTTCTCTGACCTGGTGGTTCAGACGCTGCGCGAGTTCACCGCCCGCTACTATGGTATCGTTTCCCTCTACCGAGTACGCGGCGAATGGAGGTACACCCGCGAGCTCCCATCATCTAGTGCTATCGAACTCGAAGCCAATGACTCGAGTGACTCGGCGATAACAGGCCTGCCTGATGCCGCGGAGCGACGTTCTCCAGCCTCCTCCGAAGACACCAGTTCGGGACTCGTAGAGCTGTGGCATGCGGAAAACGGCAAGGCCCTGGACGTGAACCCGTGGGCGCGAGTCTGCTTCGAGCGCTCGTTTGCGTCCTATGCCTCGCACCGTGGGACACGGAGTCCTCGCGTCGGCACGACCCCCGGGGCTGACGCGAACCACATGGACCCTGACCGAGGCGTCGTAGTGGAAACCGGCGTCACGAGCTCGGACCCAGACGATGCCGTGCAACATGATTTTTTAGTGCTCGAGGATCTGACGTTTCCTTTTCGTTACCCGTCAGTTCTGGACGTTAAGGTTGGTACGCGGGACTATGACGACGAGGCAACCGAGGAGAAACGCCGTCGGCACATCGAAAAATGCCGGATGACGACGAGCGCTCGCTATGGCGTGCGGTTAACCGGTATGCAAGTATTCCAGCCAGAGCGACGCACCTACCTTTGCCATGATAAGTACCATGGCCGTCGCTTAAAGGATGAAGAGCAGCTGCAGGAGGAGCTGCAGCAGTACCTCGACAACGGCCAACGGAGTCGCGTTGCTGCCCTGCGCGCCGTTCAGGTTGCGAACGCCTTTCGACAACGCCTGGAAATACTGCGTGATTTCGTCGCCAGACAGGAAGAATGGCGGTTCTACAGCTCGAGCCTTTTATTTATCTACGAAGGAGACAGCGTTGAGGCACAAGACGCTCCTGTGCAGCCTGCAAGCGACGCGAACGCTGCGACTGCCTCCGAAGTGGCGTCCGCGTGCGCTGCCCGGAACGGCAGCAAAAGCGGAAACGCTACCTCCGTTTGCCTGAAAATGATTGACTTTGCCCATACCCAGCGGAGCAACTGCGATGATGGCCCAAACGATGACGGCTATTTGCTCGGTATCGAAACCATGATTCGTTTATTTTTCAACGCGGCGCAACGATTCGCCGAGCGCGGAAACCAGTGGCATCCGTAACCGGGCAGCAGAATCACCGACCGTGATATTGTAGAGCGCTTTACTTTTTCGACATTGATGAGCAGCAACTGCTGCTCGACGCGCAGGTCTGCTTGCGAATACGGATGCACCTGACGACAACCGACAGCGGATGCCCGCAAAACCTCGTGCAAGCACGGCGGCGCCAACCCGCCGGGAAATGAGGCTCACAGCGTCAACAGTCGTTGCGCTGCTCGGTGCCCGCATCTTCGCTCTTGTCGAACTGGTGTGCACTGCACGGGGATACGAGGACAACCCGATGACAATGAGTACGTAGATGTTGGTCGATTCTGCACAGATAAACCTACCCGATCTCCTGGACGTATCACGCGCTCGATTCCCTGTCAGTGTCGTTGTTGCGCATCGCCACCGCATCGACCGAGGCCGACTCGCAAAGACGGCAGCGGCGGCGGCGGCGGTCGGGAACCCAGCAAGTCACGCTTCAGCATCGTGGTGACTGCGGCGTGCACATCGTTGCGCCTGGCCCACCGTTGGTACTACGACCTGCGTAGAAAACTCCGCTCTCCGCACTTTTTACTCAGTATTTATCATCCAGTTGTTGAGAGAGCCATTCGAGGCCCTCGAAAAGACCGTCGCCAGTTGTTGCGCAACAACTTTGCACATACCAGTTGCGTTGACGCAGCGTATGCAGCGCCAGTCTCTCGGTGATCTCGCTCGCCGAGTACGCGTTGGGCAGATCCTGCTTATTCGCGAATACGAGAAGATGCGCATCGCGCAACTCCTCTTCAGCTAGCATCTTATGGAGTTCCTCGCGAGCCTCGGGAAGGCGCTCCCGATCGTTGCTATCCACCACGAAAATGATTCCCTGCGTGTTCTGGAAGTAGTGACGCCACAACGGGCGAATCTTATCCTGACCACCTACGTCCCATACCGTGAACGATATATTTTTATATTCTACGGTCTCGACGTTGAAGCCGATCGTCGGGATCGTGGTAACGATTTCGCCCAGTTTCAGTTTGTACAGGATCGTCGTCTTCCCGGCAGCGTCGAGCCCGACCATGAGAATGCGCATCTCGCGCTTCCCGAACAGTCTCGCAAATAACCGACTAAGCGTGAGACCCATGGTACTCTAGTCTGCGTGATATAAAACACTCGCTGTGAACTGAACAGCACGACCGCAGGCCTGCTCCCTCGGACGGCACTCGTTTAAGCAAGGCGCGCTCTGGGACCCGTCACAAACGTTCTGTTTGGCTACCGGTTACAGCGCTCGTTCGGCAGTAGCTTCCACGTGTGCGATTGGTCGGTTTACGCTGTCGTACAAGAAGCGCCTCTCGCTTGTCTTTGCAGGGGCTGCAGGCACTGTCGACGCAGAGCCGACAAACTGTGCACGGATCGAGAAGGCACGCACGCACGCACGCACGCACGCACGCACCCAACGTGACAGCAAGGCAGCAGCGCTGCGCGCCCGCATCGTTGCCCGTCCGCAGTGACTCGGGCGTCGACGACGACGACGACGGCGAAGAAACGGAACTCGAGTGCTGCGGGCGCGTGACGGCGGGAGCGCTGGGCGCGCGCGCGCGCTGAGATCATCTTGCCGGACTCGTCGTTTTCGACGTGCAGCAGTGAGGGTCTATCGATATATGTAGGTGGATTTGGGATTTTTGGGTCATCTTTTGGGGTGGTTCGCTTGACGCTTTGCGGTTGGAATGAAGTTAGGTTACCGTAAACGAGCTGATTCGCAGTGCCATGGAACAGGGTTCGAAAACGATCTGGTATTATGATGCAGTACACAAGGTGCACAGCGCCACGCTTCGCGTTGTTTTCCCGTGAATCATGCATTACACGAGCATTCTTCGAGATTTTTACGGCTGTGTTTCATGGAAACCCGTAGGCACAGTGATTCGGGCCGATGGATTTACAAGAAAAACGTTCGGCCTCGTTTCTTGACGACTTGTTCACAAGCTCTTGTCGAATGTTCACTGAAATACGAAGGTAAAATAATCGACTCCGTTCGAGAGAAAAATCCAAGGCTCTATGTGGCCATGGATGAAGCGGCGTTCGATAGCAGCATGATGCCTCTTAGGGGCTATGCTGCCGGAGGCCCTGGTGTCTTCAGTTTTCATGGAACGGGGTCTTGGACCTCGACTTGAGTCATCGAAGCGATCGTTACCAGGGGAGCGCGCGTCACCGCTTCGCAAAAAAGGAGCATGAACGGATCGAAATTACTCGATTTTTCCTCCAAACTGGATTTCTGTTTTCGCACTTGTTCCATCGCAGAAAACATTGCGCTCCATAAACCCTCAGTAGAATGGAACAACGTGCGCCGGATTGTGCGATCGATAGAGAACTTGTCGGGGAATCGTCCAGAAAAAGCCCGTGATCGCTGGTACAGCGTCGAGGGCGTTATCGAAGGAGGGTATCGACCATCATCCGCTGTGCTCGTCAAGGGCATGTACCGAGTGATAAAGCGTGCCTTTATGCGCCATAGGCCGGTGCCCAGAGAAGTACATACGGTGGACATGTCGGAACGCATTCAAGTTTCGCGGCTGCGACAGATTCTATACAAAGAAGATAAAAACGAGAATCGAATCGTAGATTGCAACTTTTGCATCTGCATGAAATGCGTAAACAACATACGGAAGCCGATTAGGTATGCCGGTAGCACTCGTATGAATATCCTTCGACTGCTGACAAAAGAGCAGGAGCAACGAGAGAATCCGGCGGATTGAAAGCCCGGCATAAGAGAGAGGGGATGAAAACAGTCGTAGAAAAAGCCGGCAAACGCTGGTTCGATGACAATGTGAAGAGACCAATACCCTTGCGCGTACACCCGAGTTAGCAAAGTGGACCGGTTCCATTCCATTCTGGAATGGGTGTATCTCAGTGCTCGCGTGTTGATGGCACTGGGAAGCGACCCAACGTTCAATGTGTACGTCCGAGCTGGAACACCTCTTCCACGCTAGTCTGGCAAGAGAGTATCTCAGATTTCGCGTATTGCCAGAGTCGGAGCGGGCGTCCCGCGCACTACCGACGGCCCAGGGAATGCGCCTGATCACCGCATCGCAGCTACAGCTGGAGCCTGCAGCCTGATGCACAGAAGCGTGGCGCATCTGGATCGCTACCCTGCGGCTACCGCTGCCATCGTTCTGCACCTGTGGTCCTATTGTCCATGCAGGGTACACCATTTACCACGCGACGACGGCTACTGGATACCGCGCCTACGGATGTGGCTGGCCCCCAGCCGACCACGCGTTGCATGTTGGCAGCCCGCTGTGGCATCGAAACCGCGGGTTCCGCGGCAAACGGCCGTGCCAATGTCGCGCCCTGATCGGGCCTCGCACAGCCTGCACCAGTGTGCACGCTCCAGCACGGCGCCAGCACGGCACTTGACGTGTTCACCGGTAACCCGCCATTCAATGTTAAATGCAAATTTAGCTTATCTCGTCGTTCCATTTAGTATTTCAGCAGCACAAAACATACGAAACGCCCAGCGTCAACGCAAACGATCCCACGACGCGATCCATGGAATGTTGTGTGCAGTGATGTGTACGCGTGAACACATGTCACGACCTAGCCAGCATCCGTCAACTGCGTACCAGGATTGAAGCTCGTCCGCGATTCGACGGACGTATTGGCATCCATAGAAACCCCGTGCGCGTTGCCGCTACTCACAGTGTCGCGAGGATCACAATACAGTCGTCAACGTCGACGATGGCGCCACGGACACTGCGACGCCAGCCTCGCGCACACGCATCGTTCCGGGTGACGTAACCGCACGTGCGGTGCTTGCGTCCTTTCCGGTACTTGGGTCCAGGCGCAGCGCACGATACCGACCCTGACAACGAATGAGAAGACGCCTCCCATTCGAGGATGCATCCATCCAGGCCGCGCACGCACGCATCACCACGAGCTCGTGATCGCCCGCATCGACGAGTGCGTGCACCTCCGCGGCGAGCACCGCCGCCGCATCGCCGATTGCCGCACGAACGCTCTGCGTTACCGCTGGAGGCACCGCAGTCGCGGCGGACGCGGTACCCGTACGGAGCTCCGTGTCGAAGCGCACCTCGGCGACATATGTGCCGTCGTCGAAGCGTGACGTCAAGGCAGGTATGCCGCCGCCCTGTCGTGCATTCAGAATCTGGATACCAATGGTGACAGGCGCAGCAGGCGGCGTGCTTGTCGAGTAGGCCTCGCGGAGGCACCGCGCGAACGCTGCATCGCGTTGTATGTTGCACGACAGGAATGCAGCCGTGCGAGACGATGCGCTGCAGCGGAGCGATGTGACGCAGAGCCACTGCACGCTGCAGTCGGGGCGCTGCAGCGTCAGCACCGCAACCGCTTTGGGTAGGGCGCTTGCAAAGCGCCTGAGCTCCTCGGCTCGTTCAGCGGGTTCGCTTGCAGGTGCTCGGGGTACACAACGCAGCTCGATCGTTCCGAGCTGATTCTGGAAATAGAGCAGCAGCCGCATCGGGTCTGGTGTGCCGAACGTCAGCTGCTGAACCTCGGCTACCACGAGATATTCGCCGAATTCTGGTGTCAGTGGATGCGTACGACGGACGTTGACCTGTAGCGCTGGTGCGCTAGGCAGCGCATCGCGTTCCAAGTTCAGGTCCGTGAGGTGCACCAACGAGCCGCAGGCCTGGGAAGCGCCGCGCATTCGGGCGAGCGCGAAGATTCGCTCGACCAGTGGCTGATGCGCATTCGTTAGAAGGTACAGGGACAGCGCATCGGGTAAACCAATGTGACCGTGAGCGCTCAGCGCGACGTCTTCATGGATAGGCTTCTCGTCGCCACTGCAGGTATCTGCGGGTTGCGTGCACGACCTCACGTCATCGACAACCATGTGAAAAGAAACGCACGGCGGTGAAAGCGAACAGACTGCAACCGTGTCGACGAGTGCAATTCCGAGCGTATTCGTTGATGGCAGCGCTGCGACGACAAGAAATAGGACACGCGGTAGGAGCGCTGCTGCCGCTGAGCAGGCCATGAAACCGGTCTTCAACTCGGGTAGGATGCGCGGGCTTGCCGCACGCGGTGTGCTCTCTATGCGCGGCCCCTTTTCGAATTCAGACCGCATCAGAACGGCAACCGAGGGTAATGGCTGAAACGGAGGCACATAAAAGACGCTTCGCTCGCTTTTCGCCGCGTTCTTGGAGTATATCTGCCTCGTGACCAGACAGTATGCAAGAACTTGTGGGTGCCCTTGCAACCATTCAGCCGCGTCCGATGCCTTCTGAAACGTCATTGCTGCGGTGGCCAGAGCGTCCGCTGTGGCTGCATCCTTTGCAAGCACCGTCGCCGACGCTATCGAATCCTTGGTGGCCCGCTGGACGCGTCTCGTGAGCGGGCACAATATATGATAGAAGCCGAAACGCTCCATCTGGTAGTAATCTCCAGACGTAGCGAGTCCGAAGCCTTCATCACTGTCTTCGAATGCCAGCGAAAAGGCTGCATCCTTGAGGCACGGTATCCACGTCCGCGCTCCGTGTTTCCATCCGGAAAACAGTTGCTCTAGCGGTGGCGGGCGAATCACCAGCGTTCGCCACGGGCGACCACTGGGATGTCGTCCCCAGGCCCTAATTTCGCTACCCCAGTCCAGAAATGCTCCAACAAGTTGATAAGCGCCCTCCGGCGAATCAGCGGATACTGCTGCGCTCTCCGCACCAGAGACACTCGATTCAAGGCCGCCAGCCGCCGGCGATATCCTATTCTCTAGCGATTTTCCATTATTATCTGTTGCTGGTGCTGCTGCAGGAGCAACAAGTTCGCTAGATTGTAGCTTTGATTGATCGTCCAGCCGCAGACGCTCTGCTCCAAAGCGCTCTCGCAAAGTCCTGTCAATCTGATCAATGATCCAGCCTTTCAGCATCCCATCCAGATCGATACACACACCGCTGCGCGTCAGCACAAGCGCACCGGGGTGTCCCGGGCGCGGTGCTTGCAACCGCACGAGCTCAGACCATCCGACCTTTTCCCAATCAAGTTGAAAACGCTCTTCCTTGGGGGGGGCGCTGCAGAGCACTGCTGCGCAGCGTCGCCCTGAAACCACGCCACAGCGCACCGCATGTCGGATCGAAACGCCCACCAGTGACCCGATGCAAACGATGCGCCTCTGCCAACAATGCGTACAAAATTGTACCAACTTCGACAGCCTTTTTCGGATGCGCGCTGCTGCACGCTGCGCTCAGCTCCGAGTCGGGATTCCACCGATTCGCGATGCGTTCGCAAGCGTGCATGTGGGCGCGCAAGCACGCGTGCACTGCGCGTAAGAGCGACTCGGGAACGCAAGCGTCCATCACGCATTCGGGTGCAGCGGACGATGCACCCAAAGCCGCCCAGTGCATCTGAAGTTGCAATGCGATTCCGAACGCCTTGCCTGAAAACACGACAAGCACGCGATCTTGGTAAGCTTGCTGGACAACGGAATCGAGCGATAGATCGAGCGGCGACGGGGGCGCGCCGATGCCGCCCGCCGCCGCTCCCTCGTTCGTGGCATCTGATGTAGCATCGAACCGACACCAGGCGTCATCGTGGGCGTTAAGCACCTCCTGGTGCACCGCTGCGCCATCTTCCGCAACGAGGTCCGCTGAGGAATCCTCCATACTATACGCTGCCTTGGGCTGACGCTCATCGTGCAAGTCATCAATGCCAGACGCGGTGGACAACGAATCATAGGCGCCGGCAGAGCGCTCTTCGTTAACTTCGAGATATCCGCCTTCCGGTACTGAGAAGAGACAACCCATGACCGCCAAGCTCAAGCCCTAAAACGAAACTCTTGTTCAAGAGTCTCTCGCAAAGCGAGCACTAATCACGCTGCAAACCACCAACACACATGCACGATCTATGTCTTTGTCAACTGAACGAAGCTCCATGCCAGGGCGAGCCACGTGTACGAGGACTGCGAGCGCGACGCCGCACGTCCGTCCGCCGCTCGAACACGACATGCGGCACGCGTGCGAAACGACGCCTGGCACCGGCTGCAAACACGCGATCGCCACGCGCGGCACACGCTGGGAATCGCTTCCGAGAGCAGTGCATGGTGATTATGGGCGTTTGTTACCATGAAGTTCAGAAAGGTGGAGATTCGTGATTCTAGCTCTGCGATTCGTCGAACAGTGCCCAGTGCGCAGCGCGCACGATGGGGCAACGCCGGCTGTCATCAGCGCCTCGAAGCAATTGAACAGCAGCTCGAAGGCACGACGAGTAGAAACTGACCATTTACTAGGAACGAAGGGAGAGTGCTTCGTTATCCATGCGCGGCAAGGGATGAGAGGTGGTAGATTTTTGCGTGAATAGGAAACTTTACTTGGTGGGCGTAAGCTCCCGCGATCCGGGCTCGTACGCGGTGCGTACCCGCAGTGGCGAGTGCGTTGGCGACGCCCGAGCAGTTCGTCCGCAACCCAGTGTTTTCTGGGACGAGGAGAAAGGTGCCTGGCGTCTGGGCATCGCCCTGACCTCTATCGTCCTGTAGCGTGTCGTTTCGTGCTATCTCGAGCACTAGGTCTATTTGAGCGGCCTGCGGGATCCCGGGATAACGAAGCAATTCGAACACGAGTCTCATGAACCACACCTCGAGCTGGCGCCTTCCGTAGTATGGCGAAACCGCTCCGTATTCTTGCTGTGTCCGTAGCGGTGCCACAGGTGCTACTGGGAGCGCTCAAGCCAAGCTCGGCGCACGATAAAACGTACGAAAAGAAGTATCTCCGAGAGGAAGTATGCGAAATCGAACTGGGAGGTCTGGGGCCGTATAATGGTCGCTTTCCAGAATACGAATATCCATCGCGCAATCGAGGATCTCTGGTCGGTGGAAACGTTACGCTTATCGAGAACATCAACGGCCGCACGTCGCTCAGGCGAGCAGTGTTTCCCAGTGTGCTGCTCATCCTGCGCTGGCAGCGTCACCGGTGCACGCAACGCGCACGTGCAGTTGCTGGACGCCAAGAACGCCCAGAGCGTGCCCTGAAGCGGACAAGGTATCTAACAGGCCTCACACTGTCCAGAACAGTTGTAAAAAGCCGTTGGCCATGCCCACGCGTACCAATCCCCTGCTCCTGATACGAGCAGACGCGGACCGAGCGACACACAGTCGGCACAGCGCGCTGCGCTGTAGCCTGGTCCGAAACTTGAACCCTGGTGTCGGTCGGCGGCCAAACTGGCTAAGCTGCAGCGTTCGAGTCGGGTACCACGGCAACGATCTGCAACGAGCTCGACGGACCGCAGAGGCTCCTGCATCATCTCTAGAGCCGGCGCGAGCGGGCAGGCAAGCGAGCTCGTGCGTGCACTCGACAGACGGTGCTCGCTGAAACGGCGTGACACCTCGAAGGCACCTAGCGCACGCGCCGTACGAACTCGTTCACCATCGTGCGGCAGTGACGTCATGCATTGGATGTAGACCAGATCGCAGACCTCGACATACGCTGCGCTCAATGTGATCCTTCAATCTCTCAAGCTCGAGCATGCGCGTGCGAACAAGCACCAGACTCACAGAATCATGTACTGTGAATAGACCAGATCGCGAACGTCAAAGTACTCTGCGCTGAGTGATCCTTCAATCACCAAATCGTGCTGACGCTTCCGAACGAGCACAATACTCGGAGGCCGATCGTTCTCGACGCAAAGCGCCCCACCGGCAAACTCCGCCGGCATCAACGATTTGGTCATGATTTCCTTCAAATCGGAAAGTCGCAAATCTCCGACGAAAACATTAAGGTGTCCGACCTGCGTCCTTTCTGTTACGAGCGCGAACGTCGTCGTGTTAGCCGTGCGATCGCCATCGACTAGCGCTGTCGCTGCAGAGGCTGCGTCTGTTGTCTTCGCTGCCAACCAGGCTGCATCGACTCCGGACTCCGTGCCTTCGGGGAGCTGCTGCTCCTGCTCCGTCTGTCGCTCGACGGATACCAGGCGTAGCTGGCCGTCGGGATCGGTCTGGATATAGCCATCAAACCAGGCCAGTTCGTAATCCTGCATCCGCCGCCAGAAGCAACGTCGCAGCAGTGAATCATCGAGTTTGATCCGGTATACCGACGTGTCCGACGAGACATCGACCATCTCGCGCGCACGTGGCGCGTATAAACGCGTAAAGTTCTTCTTGCCCAGGTACTCGGTGAGCGCAGCCGTTTCGCGCTCGCTTCCGTGAATGATAATCACTCGCTGAGGTGCCATACTGACGATAAGTTGACGCAAGGAACGGCCATCAGCAAGCCCGGCCATATCAAAGTTGCGAACCGCGCACCGAATCGTTAGGTCATTGACGACATAGCGAACGAGTTTCGTGGGCAACGTTTCCAGCGCTCGACTCGTTGTCGAATCCGCAACAGCCGCATCGTTGTCGTGGGCGGAGCTCCGGAAACGATCGCGACGGTGATAACTCCCCGGAGCATCAGCCGATGTTCTCTCTGGTCGCACAGACGGGGACACAGATGGCGACGGAGCTGTCGCCATGCGCTCGTCGTGGAACCCGTCGATGTTGTCAGTTTTGTGCGGCTCGAGGTCCATCGGCTCACCTTGGTCAGGCGCATGACGACTGAATGCGTTGTCCGCGCTCTTCGCGAGGCCCTCAAACGCGTCACCGTCGATGGTGCGGTCACCGGGGTCCTCTCCGATCATGTACCTAGCAGGATCGATGACCTCCCCGTACGCATCGTGGGGCGGTGGCTCGGGCTCCACATGCGGTAGCAGCAGACCAGCCTGAACGAGAGCTTGGTACCGCTGATTCACATCATCCTCTTCCTCATCTTCGGCGACTCCGGGAAAATCCGGACCAAGCGCCTCATGGAGCTGGGCTGCATCACCAGCAACAAGCGCCTCGCCGAGCGGGCCCGAGCTAACGACCCGACCGCCACGCAACTTCTCGGCGACGGCCGTCGGAGCTACCATCGGCATCTCAGCGCTTTCCAGAGCAACTTCTGCTCCGACAAAACGGGCTTTCTCTTGCTCCCGTTGCCATCGCTCAAGCTCCTCGCCCTGGAGTGGAACCCGCTCAGCATACGTGAGCGGTTCACGCACACGCAGTTTCTCCTTCTCCACTGCCAAGCGAAAGGCAAACGTGCCCGACTCGAGGCGATCGCTCATCAGCACCATAGCGCGTGGATCCGCTGCAATCCGTTGTAAGAATAGAACACGCGAGAATCCATAGTCAAGCGACGGCAACGGTGCCATGACGACTTTGGGACTCGGCAAGGCATCGGCCTGATCCAGCCCGTGAACAACCTGCACGTGTCGCAAGCGGAAAGGATTCTCGCGCCTGCTATCAAAGGCACTCACCACCGCGTCGCTCATCCATTCAATCAGTGATTTGGCAAATTCAATGGTGTGGATACCAACGTGTTGTGCAAACACCACCGGATAGAGCGCAGCAACATCCGGGTGTGCAGTCCAGAATTCATCAGCGGCTACCAAGAGCTCCAGACAACGACCAGCAGAGTCCACAGGCATGAGCACGTCCCCGCCTCCGCGTAGCGTTTCGACAACTGCCTCCCACAGGTCTGTTTCTTTCTTCTGGGATGGAGCAGTGAGTACGCCGCTTGCGCCCACAATGAGGTGGCTCGGTTTGGTGATCAACTGCGGCGTGGAGGCGCAGCCGTTCAGCAGGCGCTCCCTCCGATGGTTGACATCCACACAGTAAACGATCTCTTCGGACTCTTTCTGGAATTTCCATATCGCACCACCGAGTAGGTGTCCCGCGGGATACGCCGTAGCGAAAACGTTCTGAGCGAGCTCAATGACTTGCTGGTACTTAACAGGGCGCATCCGTTCGAAGGCTTCATCGACGTCATCGAGGGTGAAGGTTTCAAAGTCTTCACCGTAGTACCGGTGCTGGTGTGCGTCGTAAAGAAACATCTGCCCTAGGATCTGCACTGGTGTTGTTGCATAGATGGGTACGCTCGCTGGGAGGCCGAGCTTCCCCACGAGGTACGGCAGCGCACCCAAGTGAGCCAAGTCGGGATGCGTCAGGAAAACCGCATCAATACCACGAGTAATGACCGGCCGAAGTGGTTCCAGAAGAGCAACATCAAAGCGATCGTTCCACCCGCAGTCCAGGAGAAAAACCCCGTCGTCGATCTCGAGCACTGTGCAGAGCGGCGGTGCGGACGTGTGCGCTCCGTACAAAGGCGTTACGCGTATCGATGAAGCCATGAGTTTTAACAGTTAGACTAGCGCATGAGAACGTTTCCGCGTTGACTCTGCAGACAAACGCCCAGGTATCACCGTCAACAGGCACCTCCGGGGCGCTAAGACGCAGGTTCGCTCCCAGGTTCTGCTCTCTCAGAAGGGCTAGCGTAACGCCGCTTCGTTTGCTGGCTCGTGACGGCTCCAGCGCGCCGCACCTGCAGGTACACGAAACCGTTCACAGTGCTGAAGATTACGCTTTTCCAGGTGCAACGCTCTTTGAGGTTGAACAGTCTTGTGATCCGCTCGTTTAGACGAATACACGCGAGCACGCGTCGAGATGTTCGAAGTTGTCCAACAGTGGATTGTTCTCGCGATGGGCAACGGCCTTGATACGAGACGCTGCAGAGGATACGACATTGGGTGCATGGGGTTCCCGAAGGAACGCATATTCGTTGTTGATGGAACCTGAGTGGTTTAGAGCTGACTGGTGGTTCTTTAGCCGGACACCGATAACATTCGCATTGTTGGGGAACCCTGGTCAGTGCGACCCGATCTCCGACTTCAAAATACGTACGTTGCAGATTTCCGAGGTCAATGAAGCAATGTCTGACGCAAGTAAACGGGTCATCTACATAGTCTACAGCAGTGTGTAGCGTTGCGGCGCACGCGGCTGGCCCTACGGAGTCAACGAAGGTGTTTGGAGCGGCAAGGCCACTGCGCGCGGTTGCTTGTGGTCGACCTACTGTTCTGAGAGCGTGCACTAGACATCGAAACCAGTACGATGAACGCAAGTCCGGCGATGCCAGGTTCCCGCAAAGTATTCGTAAGTTTCGAATCGATCCGTGCGTACACGAAACAGGTGCGTAGCGGGCATGTACGCTGTCCTGGGGTTGCTGAAACTCGCTTGTGTTTTCCGAGCGTATTGTCGACCCCGGTCAGCCACCGGTCGAAGTTTATTGTTCGAGAATGGACTGTGAGGTCCTGGCAGGACTCGGACGTGTCTGGTGAAGCGCATCACGTTTCGCGAAAGCAAGTCATATCAAGGGGTCTACGCTATATACGTCCTGGCAACAAGGCTACGGAATATCTGTAAGAGACTCGTGCATGCGTTCCGCCTAGACCTTTCCGCTGCCCGATGAGGAGCCGCCTCATGCTGAATTCTTCTGTTCCTAAAACAAGACTGAGTCGTAGTGGGTTTACCACCCGTGATTTGCCCTAGAACATGCTACGAGAGCGCACGTCTCCGCGAGAGCCAAACCATGAGCATATATGCATCTTGCAGACGCTTTCAGGTCGCAGCTGGTGATTTCAAATCATAGCTCTGGTTATGGGGCATCTCATATCAACCAGTACCTCCCGGGGCCGGGTCCTCTGATCACGCGATGCACAAACACGTCGGATCCGTTCGATAGGAACCAAGGGGAGATGCTGATGGTCAGCACAGATGCTCCTCCATTCGAGCGCACAATCGCTGTTATCTTCGCAGCCAGCACCTGCCCATACGTAAGGCCTGCTAAGAAACATGGTGCCCGAACACGCGTCGCTTCGTTTCCTAGGCATAAACGCTTGCCGTAAACCGGATCAACATGCACCTCCAGAATCAACGAGCCGCCAGTACCTATTCGATGCACTCGCGTCCCGAGTCGGGCCAGCAGCGCGCTCCGTGCAGGTGTTTCCGTGACAACGCCATGAGAGACTAACCGCCGAGACCGTGGCCTCAGAACGCGACTGCCATTGCCGGGGCATGTGGATGCTCGAACGTCGGTATTCAAAAGGTCATGCGATGCGGATATTGGCCCTTGGTCAGCGTGAACCGGCTCGAAAGGTATTCGCGGAGCAAAGGAATTCCTTCAACAGCTTTCATCACCTGTCCGTCGATCTGCTTCTGTAGGTTCTTCTTTTCCTCCGGGAGGCACTGTTTTACAGTCGATTCGCCACCGGAACCGTCCGCGCCGCGCAAGCGGGCTTTCTTTCGCTCCTCGCGAGCCTTGCGAGCACCCTTTGTGAACCACGTATCGTCAACGGAGCTCGTATCGATACCACTTATATCCACCCGCGTTTTCGTCGCAATCACATAAACCTGATTAACTCGTCGAAGCGGTACGCCGTTCAGTGCAAACGGTCCCGTAACCAGCAGGAGGCCAGAGTGCTCCAACTGCCGCAGAAACACCACCCGTTTCCCTCGAAACCGCCCAGCCAACATGATAAGAACCGTTCCAGGCTGTATCGAGTTGCGCAACCGCGTGCGCTGCTTCTGGGAACGCTTCTTTGCGCTGGTATGCAGCCGACGCACCCGCGCATCAACTGGATAAAAGCTTGGTTTCCGCTTCGGTGCGCGCTCAGAAGGCTTCAGCTCGATGACATTCCCTGTGCCGGAAATGATGGCCGCCTGTTCTTTGATCGCAGCCTGCAGTGCTGCATCACGTTCGGCACGTTCGGAGGAACCTTTTGTGAAGACGCTCATGCCGAAGTGTAGACTCCTTTTCGGACTCTGCTCGAGGCACAATACTCCTAAACGAGGAGGTCACAGATAATCCGCGTGCGAACATTCCCGGCCTCGGCGGCTGCGTCCGATCGGCGAAGAGGAAATCCCTTAAATAGGCGAAGGTAAATTCCATATTACATGGCGCGTCCAACTTTAGCCCATTTTCCGCCGTAGAAAGACGCAGGATCGAGCCAGGCTCATTCGAATACGCAAATGCAGCCGGGAACCACAGAAGAGGCCTCGAATGCTCTCCAGATGCTTCAAAGCTCCATGAGCCGAAGCGCAGACTTCCCGTTGGTCGTCCTGGTTCGATCAGTCTTACGATGCTTGTCCTCTGGGAGACGCACCAACCGTCAATGGTTGTTTCGGCGCTTGAAGCCGCAATGCCATACTCGTCGTGTGGAAACAGAGCGCTTTTCGTCTTCCTGACGGAAGCCTGCCTGAGACTTGCACCCATCTGTGAAGTCAACGAAGCGACTTCGAGCCGCACCAGTTGAAGTTGCCCGCAGGAGGAAGCGGAGGATACCACACGCCCAAACGTTTAGCGTTCAGAGGTCCGTAACGAGGCATGAACTCTGGATACACCTTGAGCATATCGCAGCTGCCGGGCACAGTTGCTGGTGCTGGTTCGGACAAAACGAGCGATGACGCTGGACGCGTGGCTCGCCGTTTACGAGGATCAAAACTGAACATGTGTTGGCGAGGGGCGTTAACCATGTGCGAACCCGCGTACCCTGATCTTCCGAGACTCGCGATGCCCCAGCTTAGCCAGGCGCACTCCGTCGCCCATGTTCCCGAAATAGTGTCGCATGCGGGCGTCTCTTTGGTCTCTGAGATCGGAGGAGTCTAATTGCGTGCGAGGATAATCGACAGGGATGTGGCTTCAGATCAAGTGCCAACGAGCGGCAAGCTCCAGTTAAGAGACGAATCTTCATGAGCGCCGAGCCGACTGCCACGGACATGTAGCACCGCTTTGCAAACAGAGGGATAATCGGGAATGATGCTCTTGTGCACAGAATTCTCTATCGTGCAACGATACCGCTAATGGTGTTGCGAATACGACCATGGTCAGTCGCTTCTGCTCTGGAGACCGAAGCTCAGGCCCGCGCTTCGTGCGGCAAACCCTCGTCTGCCGAACGATACACTGTCCTGAGCTCATTGGAAGTATCGGTGGCGTCGCAGCAGAGCTGGGTAGAATCTCGTGCATGTCGGGCGGGGAGCGGGCCTCATCAAACGGATCCAGGAAACACCAACAATGGACATGATTGTCCCTATACTCAATCTAGATGGACGCGGATGCATGCGATGACGCGTGATTCGCAGACATAAACTGGAATGTCATAAGACATAAATATACAAAACTACCAAGAGTCCGAGAGCGCGCTTCTGCGCCCCGTAGCGCTAGACGCAACGTGCGGCACATATTCGAACGCGGTTGCGCTTTCGGACACGTATCCACCAGGTGTGCCCGAGAGATCCTGCGTACTTCTTTTGTCGCAAACAGAGCGAAGAAGCGTCTACTGTCACCGAAGGCACGCAGTTGGCGGAACCTGGTGTGCAAGCGTCAGCGTGCTGTCACTCTTGGACCAGAGAAGCAGTGCTGTTGACGAGCGCTGGTGTTTCGGGGTCACCTGCTCCGGGAGCCGCCATGTCGGCGGCTGTGCACTACAAGTTCCGCTCTGCGAAACACTTTGGTCGGGTGCAGTTTGAGGGGGACTTTATTCAGCTCGCAGAGCTAAAAGTAGCCATTGTGGAGCAAGAAAAACTGCAGTTTGGCGAGGACTTTGACTTACAAGTAGTTGACGCACAAACCCAGGAAGAGTACTACGACGAAGAAACCTTGATACCGAAGAACACTTCGGTTATCGTGAAACGAGTGCCTGCTGGCCAGAAGCAGGGCATATTGAGTCAGATCGCACTCGCAAGGAAAAATGAGCGCTTCGCTGAGATTCTCGACCGCTCAACCGGCGGCACGGGTGCCACAGCGGGCGCTATTGCTGCAGCTGCACGGCAGGTGCTTGCTGGCAACCTGGGACCCAGCACAACCGCGAACACAGGCATGACGGGCAGTGAACCTGTCCGGCTCCGTCGAGGTGACGAAGACACGCGCCTTGCCTCCGTGGCCCTCGCAGCTGGCGCAGGAGACTCGGGCCCGAATCCACGAAACATCCAGCGTCCAGGCGGCCGCGTAACGGCCTCGGGAGCGATGGATGGGCCACCGCCGGGTGCGCAGCCACCGCCAGGTTATATCTGTCACCGCTGCGGAGAGCCAGGCCATTATATCCAACACTGCACGGCAAACCTGGAAGGCGATGTGAATATCATTCGTGTGAAGCGACCAACTGGCATTCCGCGGAGCATGCTAAAAACGATTGATGCACCTGTAGATGGAGGGACCGAGCTTCAGCTTCCAGGTGGTAAATTCGTGACCCTAGCCACAGACGATCGTGAGTTCAGCAAAGAACCCCTGGCGGTGCGAATGGCGCGCCTTGCGGAAGCACGAGCGGGGGCACGCGAGGACAATACCATCGCTTCCGACGTTACGACGATACAAGGATCCGAGACGAAGCAACCAGTGCCCATGGATAAAAAGGAATCGGAAACAACTCGTCGCCAAGTTGCTGCTTCCGATGCGCCATCGGAGAGCGCGGCGTCATCGCCGCGAGGCTCCACGCCAACAGACTCGGTGGAAAACGCTCAGCTGTTACCAGCAGATATACGCCCCGATTTACCCTACTTCCCGTTACCAGGAATGGATCAGAAGGAACATTTCTTTGGGACAGGCGAACTGCCCACCGCGCGTGAGTTCCAGGAAGTAATCTGGGGTATTATTTTGATGAATAGGGATCAGCATCCAGAACTTGGGCATGACATGGAGACGGGAACTCAACGCGATGTGACGCGGGATTCGGCGGCAGCGCTCCAGCCTGAGCCCAGATCCATGGAAAGCGCTGAAGCGCCGAGCACGACAAATGAGCGTGCTGTATCAGCACAGCCGCGGCCGCGGATGACTGCTTCTGCAGAAGGAGAAAGCTACCAGGAGCGCCGGCCGCAGGCGCACGAACGAAAGACACCCACGCATGTGCAGGATGTATCCAAGCGTTCTCCAACATCTGAAGCACAAAACGTACCCGAACGAGGCGACAGAGATCCCGACAAATCAGCGCCTCGAAGTGGAAGCGTCGCCAATGCGCGTCCGATACCCTCCAGCTTCAAATCCACAGAGACCGCGAATCATCATCTAGACGCAGAAAGGCCAAGACCAGGGCGTCGATCGTCGGCGCTCCAGGTGACGTCGATGGAACCCTCAGGTGCACCATTTGGCGAAATCGAGTACTCGCGTGTGTCGACCAAGAATCAGCGCTTGCTACCGCCGGATCGGAAGGCTACTGAAAGCGCTCAAGCAACAGCCCCGAACTACGGAAATTCATTGCCGAGGAAACAAGCTGCCTTTGCCCGCAGTGGAAAGATGACTGGGAATACCACGAGACCGGGGCTGCCTCTTGCGCCGCTCCAAACGCAGCAGCAGCAGCAGCACCAGCAGCAGCAGCAGCACCAGCAGCGACAGACGCATGTGCAACGCTTTCAGGCTGCAAACCAACACGGCAACGAGGCAGCGAGCGTGGATAAACAGCACCCCTTGGACAGAGGTCAGCATGCCATGCAGAGAACGGAGCCTGCGCGAGAACGTCGACAACCTACTGTTGCAGCCGCCGACAGGAATGCGGTATCGCGAGGCGTTCCGACTTCGAGGGCGACCTCTTCTGGTGTCACAGCAACGGGCTCTACCGCGCCCGTTCGTACCAAAATGCCGCCACGAATGCCGCATCAGAGACCAGATGAGGATACGCTGGGTCACAGGCATCATGCAGCGTCGGACACGGAGCAAAAACCTGCCCAGTTGAACGCAAACCTCTCTCAGCCGCAACCGCTGAGCGTGTCGCGTGCTCGAGAGCGATCAGGTCTGGGAAAAAGCGCTCGGCACTCGCCGGCACCCGTGGCACCTGCTCTGCATGGAACAACCCGAAAGCACCCGCGGGCTAGCGACTCGTCACCAGGAACCGAGACGCGCGACTCAAGACCGATTCCAGTTTTTGCTCGTCTGGGCACGAGAGCAGAAGCTGCAGCGTCTACGCGCGCCCCAGCCTCTGTGCCCCAGCGGAGCACTACCGGGAGCATCGGGTCCGCGGAACGGAGGACGGTGCCGCCAGCGCATCCGCCTCCTGCAGACGCGTCGCAGCTCAAAGGCAAAAACTCCTCCCCGATGAATCAACAAGGCGAATATCTACACCGAGCGAGTGTACGCGCACCACCAAAGGTTCCGGAAAAGCGTCCGGCAGCGACAGCAGCTGTTGGCGACGACAAGCGCTCCCGGAACACGCCGAGCTCAGCCGAGCGGGCCGCCGCTAACGTCTTTGAACGATTAGGACCAGCGATACCGGTGCCTCCTCGTCTTGCTGGGCGTATTTCGAGCGGAAAAGTCAGCGACGGTGAACGCGGAGCGAACGCCTCTACCGGTGCATCTGGTGTGGTCGCCAACGACGCCTCGAAAACGAAAACGAACCTACGGGCAGTGCACGCGAAGCAGAGCGTCCCTATGACACAGCAAAAAACACCCGTGCCGACATATTCCTCGAGTGAAACAGGTTCAAGTCGTGCCCGGAACAGGGCTGCAAACTTGCCGTGGTAAACACAGCAACTGAATATGTTGGCGATGGTGTACCAGGAAGCGAAAACGTATCGCGAACATGGGGTAAATGAATATCCACCCGGAGACATGTGCCTGCCTTTTTCGACCGGGCTCCTGCTGTCGGCTTTCGTTTTCTCCTTGCACACTTCGAACATCAGAGGCGGTGCGACGAAGTTAGGTTTCGTCAGCTCTGCGTGTCTCGTCTTGAGCGCTGCACATCTCCTGATATTGATAGCAGCGTTGAAGTCTCGGTTCGCAGACTCCATGCGTGCAGTGCCTCTGGAGCTACTCACTCATGCAAGGAATGGTACAACTCGCGCCCTGTGTGCCACTACAGTCTCGTGATCGTCTCGTCGATGAAACACCTTTGCTCTCCGATTTCCCCTCATCTTCATCGTCAGTTGCTCTTCTTCGCTCGACGGTCGCACAGAAGAGGATGTTTTCCGGTTTTATCGGATAGCCAGCGATGTCGGTCCTTCAGAATCCCCGAATTCCATGCTCATACCTTTCCCTTCTATTTTTATTTCTTCAAAAAAACACAGTTGTTTATGCCCTCAGATGAGGACCCTCCCGGAAGGAGACGGTCTTGCAGAAGAACGACGAAATGTGCCCTGGTATCACCGTGTGGTGAACGCTTCAGCGCTTGGCGCAGTGGCGCAATCACTAGGTTTCGTCATAGAAACGCCTGCTCTTCATAGGACTGAACCACCGAATGTACGGAGGAATAAAAAGCCGCTCTACCCTGACAGAATCAGCGATAGATCGAACGCAAGTGGAATGGAGAAATACCACAATATCCAACGGAAAGACGTCGTCAGACCTCAGGGAAAAGTCTTCAATTGTTCGATAAAATGGTTCGTGCTGTTGTATGAGCCTTCTCTACGAGCGAAACTGAGGTCGCCGAATGGTTCCACTCCCGCACGAACAGGTGGTGTCCTTGTTATCTACGAATTCGTTCGTTGAGAATATCAGTTTTTGGCGCTGATCGCATACGCTTCTTTCTTTCAGTATTCCTCAACTACCTGAGTTCGTATGGTATGGCTGACGTAAATGATGCATGCAGTCCTCCTTGCACTATTCAGTAAAAATATATCTCTGATAGACGATTCAATTACGATCCACACAGTACATTGCATCGTGAGTCCGATCTCCTGCTCTGCACTGCGAAAAAAGCATTCGTTGACACGCAGGAACGTCGGAACGGAATTGACTTGAACAAATTCGCAGCTGAACATCAGCACCGATGCGCTGAGGTGAAGTGCCGCACAATGCAAAGTCGAGTGTCAGCGCTTGGCAGACGCAGTACTAGCTGCCGCAACGACCACAGGTTCTCGAGTTCGTGTCTGTGTGTCTGTGTGTGTGTGTCGGTAACCGTGACGTTCGAAACCTTCCGGAACACGCTCGCCGCAACGTGTTTCGAGTTCGTCGTCCCGTACTGACGTTTTCTGACGACAGAGTAGCGAGCTGGCGTTGACGTTTTGTTCGTGCCGTTTGGAAAGCGGCACCGGAAGCCGAGCCTTCCCCACGACGCCCAGTTCCGCTGCGTGTTGTTGCGGTTCCGCGTAGCAGCTCGTTGAACGAGAAAACTGGGGTAGGGGCGCGTCAACGAGCACAGAGGTGGGTCAGGTTTCGCTTGTGAATAGCCGCACGCAGCCTGCACAACGTCTGCAGGTCGAGTGAACCGTCATTATGGCTCATGAACCGTTAGAACCTACTGTAATCCAAGAGGATCATACAGTGAGCGTTCCTGTCGCGGAACAAGTGACACTGCGAGTTTTACCAGAGTGGGAGCAGATCTTTCCACCACCGACACTACGCTCTGCGAAAGAGAGCGACGCGCTCTCCGCCCTGGCTTCGATTCGTCTCTGTGTCTCCTTGGATAGCACTATCTCCGACCTTGAGGAGCAAGTCAGGCGCGCATATCTCCCCCGCTGCTGTGCGTGCCTGTCGCTTCCTGAAGAGCGCATCCATGAGGCCCTCGAGAGCGCACACATCCGCTATACCGCATCTGTATTAGATCCGCAGTGTACACTCCGAGCGCTCCGTTTGGCATCTGGGACCACGCTACGGTGGTTACGAATCCATGACCCGGAATCGCCAGAGGCATCCGCGGCAGCGGTGCAGTTGCAGACAAGCGCTCCGCAGCAGCGGCGACGAAGAACAACCGTTCAGCGCTTGGAGCCGAATACTGGCTTGACCAGCGGCGGCGCTCGTGTTCTCGTATTTGGAGAGCACTTTCCCCCGGTAGCCAGAGTTCGTTTTGGACGGGTGGTGGTGAGCGCAAACCGCATCTCTGCGCAGTGCCTATCGTGTATAGCCCCAGCACATGAGCCGGGTGTAGTTTGCGTCGAGGTAAGTACCAGGGCGACGACTGCTTCGGAGCAGGATGCGTGGACGCATGATCGCGTCACCTATACTTATGTGGGATACGAACGTCTGTCCATGATCCTTGCGGTGCATGCCGCGGAACGAAGAGCCGCTACCGCCCTCACTGAGACCCAGTCGCCGTGCAGAAGCTCGAGCGAACCCCTCTCCTGGCTGCGTCGCGACCCCGACGATGAAGACCGTCGTTGAGCTACCCGGAACTGTGCATTTTCTCTCCACATGAGTCTCGGATGTGTACACGTCTCACCGGTAATGAGATCTAGATCTCCAGGTCCGAGCGCAAATACTAGCCGCATCCAAGCGAAGTAGTCGACGCGTAATGTTTACGAAAGGCGCATGCATTCATTCGTTCGCTAACGCATGGGCCGGTCGAGTCGCTATAGATCTGGGAGGCTTGCGTTTTCTCTGCAAATATCCAGAAATTCCATGATACCTGTGTTACCCGCGCGGGCATCTCCTGTGGTAGCGGTACGTGCTTGGCCGTATCGCGCCGCAGACAAGTTGCACAATCGAAAGCAGACTCAGGCAAACTGATCCAAACGACACGAGGATCATCGACAGGGTAGTGCCGGGCGTTGGCCGCATCCCTGTTACGGAAATCGGTACCTGGTTCTGCCCAGTATCGAGTGCTGGACAGGTGCGTCTGGTAGACACGGACGTTTCTCTCGACAAAGCGCTGCAATCATACATCGGCAGTGATGTCGAAAGCGTAAACCACGCACACCACCGTCTGGCGCGGTGGTATGGCGAAATCACGTTCAATGACAGAGACGTTACTGCGGGTGCTTCGTGCGTTGAACGCTCTCCGGGCATGTTTCTCGAGACAGCAAACAAGTCGATGTCGTATGCACGGGGCGCAGTGCTGGAGCTGCTGGTGCCAGCACCTGAACGGAACACACAAACGATTCGTTTCCATTTTGCACTGGGCAGACGCTGGGCTGCAGGTGCCATAAAAGTGACTGTGCAGTAATGGCAAGCACGCGTCCCGACTGCAGGGTGTGTGCTGTGCATGGGACACGGCCTTGTTCCATGTTCCCGGATGAACAATTTAAAACCAGTTCCGATTCGTGTCTCTTGTGGTGTCCCGAAGCCGGAGATGCGACTCCGCCGAACATACGTCACCCACGGAAATTTTGCAGTGAGAATGCTCCTATGCTACGCAGTCGCTGCACTGTGGCCGCTGCAACGCTTCAACCAAGTGATGCCGCATACCGGCACCCTGAACACTTCCAGAAGCTTGAACCTGATGCATATCTGTCCAGGTGGATGCGGATGTACGTTGCCTGGTCCATTACCTGGCACCCTCGACAACGTGTTCGCCCTGAGCCGCTCCATTTCGCATCCATAGTAGCTGGTAGTGCGCTTAGGCACCCATGAATATGTTCCCTGAAGACAGCGCGGTGCGGGAAAGCACACGTGCCTACCATACGGGCGTCTGTTTTGATCAGCCATACCTTAGAGGTAAACAGGAAGCCACTTGGTGTTCAGTGCTGGTGCTCACGGTGAGCGGCACCCGTGCTCTTTTTTCATCATGCATGCCCCAGGGATTCTAGTTGTACGAGGCCACCTCACACGTGGGGTGTCTGTTTCGTGGCGAAATGGTGTTTACCTTGACCGTGTATATGGTAGCGTATGGTTCTGCGGTTGCCGCCGGCGATGCCCAACGTCAAAAACGCTTGCAGCAGCAGAGAACGGTTTTTTCGCGACTTGCTCCCAGGACCAAAGGCACTCGAAGACGTACCGTAGACGGCAGCGATGATCACGCGAAACCACGGCATCAGGAAGCGTAGGTGTAGGGTTGCCAGTGTCCGGGCGAGCGCTTTGGACTTGAAACCTGCATCTGCTCATGAACGTAACCGTTCGCTATGAAACAATGCAACAGGATTCCTCGGCAAATTCCAAGTCGGACTGGTGGCATAGCACACGTTCTTGGAGCGAGAAGCGTGTCCTCGGAACAATGCTGCTGTTGTTGTTGATGATGATACGCTTGCAAACCTCGTTGCAGACCTGGACGATTTGCTTGCGCTACTAACGAGCTCTTTACGAATCCTTTTGTAGACGCTGCTTGGCGGCGCTGGCATGCGCGTCCAACCGCTCTGCAGCGGCAATTTTCTCAGCAGCTGCGGCGACTTCCCGCGCTGTCGACTTGTCCAAAGCAATAACGCTGGTGATTTTCACAAAATCCCATACGTTGATGGGGCTCGCATAACGGGCACTACCACCGGTCGGCATCACATGACTCGGGCCGGCCACATAGTCGCCGAGAACCTCACCAGAACTCTCTCCGACAAAAATGCCACCGGCGTGATGGATCCGAGAGACCAGGTCCCACGGCTGGTTGACACTCAAGGAGACGTGTTCTGCAGCAAAGTCGCTGCAGAGCTTCGCACATGCTTCGAGATCATCGCACACGACGAGTCCGCCCTGGCGTTGAATCGCGTGCTGGGCACGCTGCCTTGCAGCAGCCGTCGGTAACGAAGCAAGTTGTCGATGGAGCGCTTCGCGAACCTTTTCAGCAAACGTCCGCGTTGGCGTCAAGAGGATTGGTATCGCTGCTTCATCGTGCTCCGCTTGAGCGAGCAGATCCGCAGCAACCAGCTCAGCGTTGGCGAAGGCATCTGCAACGACAATTGCCTCGGTTGGTCCATAGATTCCATCGATGTCACAGATCCCGTACACCTCTCGTTTCGCCAAAGTGACGTACAGGTTGCCAGGTCCAACGATTTTGTCGACACGGGGTAAAGTCTGTGTGCCATACGCCATAGCCCCGATAGCTTGTGCGCCGCCCAGACGAAAGACCTGGAACGAAAGCGCCTCATCACGCTTCGTGAGAGCATGACGATGACGCTCCTCGAGCATTTGCTTGCAGAGGGCGCACGCAGCGAGCGTTACGGGGCTAATGTCATTGCTTTCGCGGGAAGGCGGCGAGGTCACCACGAAACGTCGACACCCCGCCACAATGGCGGGAATCATCGTCATCAGCGCTGTGCTAGGGAGCGCTGCGTTACCTCCGGGAACGTAGAAACCAACAGCTTGAAGAGGTCGCACCAGCTGCCCTACTTGGCCCCCGAGTTTCGTCGTAAACCAGGAGTTGACGGGCTGCTCTTCATGGAACGCTGCGATACGTCGTGCTGCAATGTGCAACGCCTCATATAGGGACGGTTCGGTCTTTTCCAAACTGCATAGGGCGTGATCCAGCTCCGCCGCAGGTACCTCAAGCGCTTTGGGTGAGTCCACGACAACTCCGTCTAGCCGCGCGGTCCAGTCCAGGAGTGCGATGTCACCTTGCGTGCGTACGGATTCTAGGATTCGCTGCACTGCCTCCCGGGGGGAAAGTGCCTCACCGAAGATTTTCAGGATTCTTTCCTGTTGCAGTGCGCTTACTTGATTGAGATCGAGCGGCTTCCGTTGAAGAATGGAGCCAAGAGCCTCCTCCGCAGTATAGATAGGCACGGGAACCATTTCCGGTGCAGGTTCCCAGACCTAACCGCCGACGCCCAGTGCTGCGTTTTCCCCCGCTAGTCAAAACCTAAGGTTTGCAGGCGTGTCTGCGAGTTTTTTGTCGAACTTCACCCCGCACCCGCGAGACTTGAACACAGAACAGGACGAGTGACTCTGGCGGTGGCGAGTAGTGCCTCGTGCTGCACTCGTGCTCACGCGCTCCGGGTTTCCAGGCAGGCGCGTATCCAGGCCCTACGGCGGTTAATGCTGGAAGCGCACGCTCCACGGGCGTTGTGCGCTCACGCTTTGTCGGGTGAACGAGCAGCGCAGTACTCGTCCCTGGTTCGCAACGCTATGTGTCTACCGCTGTCACCTACACGGTTTTTAGTGATGTAGAACTGACAGGTAGAAACCGAGGCCCTTGGATACGCGATTGCTGTGTATCGGGAGAACAACAGCTCCACATTGATTGCGCTGCACACCGAACAGCGCCGCCGATTTTTTTCATTGACAAAACGTGTACTTGTGCCAGCGTTCTCCGATTATGCGGGTTCTCCTTTCTTTTTTGTGTGTTTTCTTTCAGTGCGCGGCGACGTATCCACCAACCCCCTACCTCCAAGTTACATACCCTTTACTGATTCCAGGATATTCTGGTCGTTTCATACGTCCCATCGCGTGTGCCTCGTACCTGCCGTTCCGTATTCGCCTTTGCGCTTGAACGCTGGAGCAGATAGTTCATGGAGCTGGAACAGCTTTTCTACACCACAGAGGGCGTCGGCTCGAGGCGTGCTTCACCCGACGTAGAATCGGATCTCGTCGTCAGTTTGTGCTCGGACAGTCTGCGGATGCAGGCTTGTCTTCGCTGCACGACACGCTGGAGAAACTTGGTTGTTAGGATATATCGTGGAAGCCGCCTCTCTCCTTTGTGATCATGCATGGAATGCGTTGTTGTCGGTTGGCAATGCGGGTTTGTGCTTGACACCCACCACAGTGGGTAGGCGCAAAGAGCGCACTGAGCCCATGTGCGCATCCGATTCGCTGGACCTTCCGCCTAGAAGGTAGCATGTGAGTTTGTTCGCCACTAATGAGCGCTGAGGCTCGGTTAGCGGACCATCAGTTGCCAGTGCTACACTCAGGGTGAGTGTCCGGCCTTTTGCTATCACGGTGATGTCCAGCTGCTGCTGTCCTTCAAGGAGCTCGCTGCGCTCCTGCTTCGAGCGCGGGCACTGTAAGCCCAAATATGTCAGCGTCTCGGGGGTCTGGTCTCCAGAGCAGGGACAGTGTGACTCCCAGTGCGACTCCAGTGTTCCTATACGGCTTAGAGCCGGTGCTGGTAGCCAGATGCCACCAACGCGGATTTTGGCGAGCCACTGGGTACCTCGAGCAAGTCCCGGGAATTCCAGCGCCTCCCACCAGTACTTGCACGTGTTTGCTAGGTTGTAGTTCCGGTATACAGTCAAGCCGGCGTTAAGGGCGCGATTTGTTCCGTGTCTACGTTCCCATATTGTTTGGACCGTTCGCTTGAGGCGGCGGGAGCCTTGTACATTTCTGGGGAACGATTGGAGCGCATTTTCGCCTAAGAGGCGCTTCAGCCAAATCTGCGCTGATTTCATCCAAGTGTTCTAGCGGTGCGTTGGGGTCTGCATGAAAATCCGACTCAAAGAGGTGCGCATAGTGGGCCCTTTGGCCCGTATACATGCCCGGCAGCCTGCTGCTATCGCTTCTGTCGAGGCTATTTGGAGTTCAAGTCCGAGTGCCAGCGCGGTGGTTGCTCTGCTCTGCACTGAGCATCCAACAACAACGAGTCGCATTGCCCTGTTGGCGGCTGTCTGCGGACGCGAGGCATTTGTGTGCTTCATGCCGCACCACCCAGCACCCCAGGTCGTAGGCTGGATGATACACATCCTTAGTGCCCTCGTACGGATTGCTAAGGGGATAGAGGGGTCGGATAGGACTGGGCGTGCGATCGCTGTACGTCTACGCATCTTGGCGATCATCTCGTTAACGTGTGCCTTTTCGTCGAGCGTCAGCATGCGACAGACCCTGCAGATAGCGATATTTTTCCCCGATCGGACTTTCCTGATTCTGCAACCGCCACGAGCGATTGCGAATGCTCTGCGAGTCTCCATGGATGACCATGACGCCGCACTTCGATGCTCCTACGTTCATCTTCCAGCGATCGACCCAGGCGCTGACTTGTTCCATGCTACCCGCAAGCGTTTCCGGGGCGGGTGCCAACAACACGACATCGTCCGCGAATAGAAGGCCTGCGAGGCGGTTCCTATGCGAGGGCTCTTTACCGGGCTCTCCGCAGTCTATCCACGGCACCTCAAGTCCGTATTGTCTGCAGTTGTTCAGCGGATCGTTGATGAAGATGTTGAAAAGGAGCGGGGATGCGGGGTCGCCCTTTTGTAGTCCACGGCGGATTCTTATACAAGGGGTTCTTGAGCTGTCGCCCAGTCGGATGCGCATCCATGAGTCTGCATAGAGCGCACGGAAGAACGCTAAGCACTTTCCGGAGACTACGGCACGTTCCATCTTCAAAAATAGAACCTCGTGCGGGACCGTGTCAAAGACCTTTTGGAAGTCGGTGAAGCATACGTAAGTTGGTTGTCGGTCACGAATAAAGCGACGTTGCGCCACTTCAATGAGGGTCAGGGCATGGCTCATGTACTCCTCGCGGCTCCGGAATCCAGCCTGCCCTGGGGCGAAGAACTTGCGTTGCTCGAGGCCCCTCTGAGTCCGGTTCGTGGGAATGGCGCAAAGTAGCTTTATGATTGACGGGATGAGGCGCATAGTCCGGTAGTTGTTCATGTCTGTGTGGGAGTCTTTTTTGAGGATCGGTACGACTTCGGCAGTCCTCCATACATCCGGGATGTACGTTTCTTCGAACATGCCTTGGATGAGCTCCACAAGGCGTTTGCCTAAGCTTGTGTCAGGTTCATCTGGTATCGATGGTGTCCCTGTTGTCCCGTCTTTTGGGGTCGTCAGTTTCATCCACTCCGCAGGGATACCGTCGATGCTAGGTGTTTTGCGGTTGCATGACCTTAAGAGGGTCCGAACAGATTCAGGCCAGAAGATTGGCTCGTTCCATTCCGGTACCGGGTCGAGGCGCGGTAGTTCTGCGGCATACTGGTGCCAATAGATTCGGTTTTGGCAGTGCCCAGTTGCGTCTTCATGTAATTCTGTGCCGTGGTCCGTCCAGGCCTCATTCACTGAGGCACCCTCCGTCCTCAGCGCTTCCTTATAAACGATTGGTGTGAGCCCCAGACACTTTTTTGGTGGGTCAAGTCTCGATCGGATATAGCGCTAGGTCTCATCTTCGTTGGTGCTCTCGAGCATAGATTTCGCCAGGGAGGCGATTTTGCGGTTTCGATCCTCCTGTTTGTCTTCTCTGGAAAGTTTCTTCTTTCTTTTGATAGCTTCCTCATGTTGCGCCTGTAGCGCCGGTAGCGCTGCCTTCGCTTCCTTGTCTCCGGCGTTGGCGCGTATGGCGGTGCGTTTGACGATCTTATAGAGTCGGTGGCATTCATCAATCCGAGTTTTGGTACATCGTTTCAGGTACTGCGGTTTGCAACTGTTGCGTTCTGGTGCAAGCCGTCCCGGTTGGTCTAATGATTTGCATGCACGGCTTTTCGGTTCTTCAGCGCTGTGGGTAGGTGACTGAGTTGGGTGACGGCTTTCTTGAGTTCCTGCAGGGGTGCCCTTTCGGGGGATGACTTGTGATGGGCTCGTTTCGGAGTTCTTCTTTCTAGTCTTCTGTTTTTTCTCGTTGGGCTTCTTCTTCTTCGGGCGCTTTCCTGAGCTGCTTTCTCTGGATATTTTGCATCTAGGTGGATCATGAGGTTTCTGTGCCTCCTTCTCCGTATCTGGTTGGGTCTCTTTCGCTATTGTAGAGTCCTCTATTGGTGTCTCTTCTTCGTTAATGTACTGATATTTCGTTAGCTTTTCTCGGAAGGCTGCAAGTGACCTGTTGGTTACTCTCCGGGCTTGGTGGTATGAAGCGATGCACTGCGTTGCACCGGCGCGCCGCTGCTACCCAGAGGCCGCGCCCTCGACCAGCGTCGCCGCCAAACCGTGCGCGCCCTATCTTGTACTTCGAGTCGGTTTCATCGTTCTTGTCGAAAATGGCAGACGACGATGCTACTTTCGAGCAGGTATTACGCATGTACGGCAGCAAAACACCAAAATCACAAAAGATGCTCGCGTTTGTAGACTCCTTGATCCTTTTTCTCGTACCGCTGCTCGCGTACTGCGGGTTTCTGTTCCAGGTGGACGGACGCGATCCACTAATACTGGGAACGCTGCTCACCAGTGCGTTGATTGTTATTCCGCTGCTATGGGTTTCTCACATTCGGTATGCACGTGCTAAGCTTGTGCAGCTCCAACGCACTGCAGCCGCGCCCCAGTCGGACGAAAAGCGTCTGGTACAAGTTGCCATGCTGCGGGCACTCGCTAGCAACAACATCTGGTACTTGGGACTCGTCGCGCTCTGCTGCGGTCACATTTTTAACGGGCGCTTCTTCGATGCGCTGAACTTTGGCATATCATCGTTGCTGGGAGCGTCGTTTCTTCTGGTAAACGCCTCTGCAGCAATGCAAGTTGCTCGCGAGAAACGTGCGTAGGAGCCGCTGAAGCACTTCCGTTCGACTCTGGAAACAAGGCGAATCGCGCGTGTACCAGTTTTACATATGGAAAATCTCGCAGTTCATTCGTTCATTCAACAGATGCAGCCATTCGAGGATGATGCGTCCCGCTGCCGCGCTGAACACGCAGCCAGCAACAGCCAGCCTTTGGCGAACGCACAAAAGAAAAAGCACGAGAGCACCCCAGACTTAACAGGATGCATTGAATGCAACGGATAGGTCTTGTATTTGGACGACGGATGTGCATGTCGCGGAAGCTATCGAGTAATGCCATGCGAGAGGTCCACGAGGCCGCGATTGGGCTCCAAGCCTTTGGCCTTTAGCAATTCCAGAACCTTGGGCAGGGAGTCTCGTTGGCGCTTTCTATGGAGCTGACTCGCAACAGCGGTAAAGTGCGACGGTCGCAGACAGCTCGGTGGACTCTCCTCCAAAGCTCTCAAGGCGACTGCGGGGGCCTCTAGCTGACACGCTCGTCGCACGAAGTCTGAAACAAGAACCGAGTTCAGCAGCTTGGCGTTACAAAGCGCTTCCCAGAGCTGCGCAAGCGCCTCGGCGTCTTGCAACTTCGCAACCGTATAGCGGAGTGCTTGCGTGGCGATCAAGTTCTTGCAACCGAACTGTTCGGGGTTTTGTACAAGTTCTAAAATGCGATCGAAACGTCCAGCGCGCAGGCAAGCACGCACGTATAGGCTCCAGGTATACTTGCTTAGCGGGATAAAGCGCCGGTGAAACTCCTTCTGTAAACGCGTGGCAGTGTCCAGGTCCTCTGAGTTTTCAACTTTTCGCAGAATCTCGCGAAAGACCTTTCTCCCAGGAGCTTGATCAGCAACCAGGCTTCTTTGTGCACGCTGAACTAGCTCAACCAGACTTCCCATGCAAGCTCTAGGTATATTTGGGTGCTGCAGGGTGCCAACAGCCAACTTTGCAACCAGTGCTCGGGGCAAGGCACTGGAACGGAGCGGGGGGCGCCCAGGGTGCCGCGGACGCATTCGGCGTCGTCAGCGCCACCGCCGAGAATGCAGGGCATGTGGGCATTACGCTCTTGCGGCGTGTGGCGTTGTGCTTCAGGAAACGAGGACTGGGTACAGAGAACGGGGCGGGGAGCAGGGTTGCAGGGTAAGCAAAGGCATCTTGTGGCTGTTTCTGTGCGGGCTTACGTCGGACAGTCGCCGCAAGCCAGCCGAGACGCGAGACCTTGCGGTAAAACGGCCACAGCTGCTGCCTCTGCAGCAAGCCGCGCGATCCCACGGAGTAAGACGAACGCCTGCGACCGTGGACGCTACTAGCGCCATTAAGGTTTCCAGTCCGTGCTGGTGACCTATGTATAGTGTGTCGTAGACGCCAGGGTAGATGCTGCTGCGTTCTGGAGCGCCCATGCCGTGCTGGCAACCTATAAATCGCATTTCGTGGACGCCGAGGTAGATGCTGCTGCGTTCCTCTGCCAGCCTTTTTTCGAACAAAGCAGCGACTGCATGAAGCGCTTCACGGTCTCAAAACCGCTTCAAGTAGCAGCCTTGGAAGCGACCGACTTGTCTTCTTGTTTTCCAGCGCATCAAGACATACACGTGCACGAAGGACAAGCCAGGAACGCACCGTAGCCCCATGGTACTGGCAGCCTCGTAATCAAGCCGCTCCCGCATGCAACCAGAGCGCGCTGCAAGTGATGAAAGCTTTACGATACTCAGCTCACCCCGAGTATTGCATACAGTGAAGACCGTATGTGACAAGCATATGTCTGATGCAGGTGCGCGAATAGTTGTTCAGGGCTGAGCCACTCCAACCATGTAAGCGACATAGAGTCTATGACCCTTGTCCGGACAGCGCGTCTCCGTATGCATCTGTTACGATGATGCTCATGACGTACTGCCATCAGTCCAGGTTCCTGGTTGGACCGCAGCCGGCACCGTGCCGCCTGTGCGCTGCTGGACTCGTCTGAGCCCTTGCTAGAATGATCGGTTCAACGTTCGTGGCGGGCGCTTGCATGCCGTATGCCTCTCTCAAAAAAGAGACCCGCCTGGAGAACCCGGGGGCGCCTCCATTTGGTCAGCTCGAAGGGTCGATACGCCTAAACTGGCTCATTTGGATACACGAACGCCGTCGTTCCCTGGTACCGCGATTCTCATCACTTGTTCCGCCGACGCCTGGCGACGCCGAAGATCCGAACGAGTGGAGCGCACCCGCGCTCCACCAGCGAAATTCCTCAAGTGTCACGAGAAGCCTACAAAACAAGCTCGACGTCTGGTAGTCGCCTCGTGTCGTCGGAATGAGCTCCAACAGCGGAATCCCGCGACTATCGCGAGGATCTTCCGCTTCAGGCTCGCCATCGAGCCATAGACCCCTGTCATTGCATCCAGCAAGCCTCTATCGCCGACTGGATGATAATGCGCGGGCTCATGGAAAGCGGAAGCGTCCAGAGCGGCATCATGGTCGCTTGACCGGCCACCGACAGATATCACGCGCATCCTAGGGGTCCTCGCTGGATTCATAGATCGTGCCGCATAAGGAGCGGTATTCCCGGTATGCTCGATTCCGAGACGCTCCTCTGAACGTGAAACATTCACAGGCGTGTGTCGCACCGGGTGACAGCGTTTCTTTACGGGGAAAGCGGGATTCGACTCGGTTCACTGAACCACGCTAAGCGTTACAGGGCGGCGCTCTCCAGAATGCAATCGGTTGCTCTTTCCAGAAACGCCTATCTCCAATATCCGTAACGACGACACGCAGCATATAATGGACAGAGAAGAGACCACAAACATCTTCATAGGTTGGTGTAAGGTCATCGAATTGTCTCAAGAAGATGCGGATCGGTAGCTTGCAGGCTGGTTTCGGTGAGCCAGCGAGTACCTGAAAACTCCCCACGAGCACAGATTGCATCGGCAACGAGAAACCGCTTTCCTGCCGCCGTATCTCGATATCCGCTCGGCGAATGGCGATATGGTTGTCTAGGAAAGTGAGTGAGCCAACGATGACGTCCTCAATGGAATACGCTCGGCGATCTAACTGTAGCTCCAGGTTCAGAATATCTTCGAGACCCGCGTTGAAGTGAATGGCGGGGAAGAACCTGGGGGCTCGCTGCGATAATCGAACTACAACTTCCACACCAGTACTCCGTGAAGATAGACCGGAATATCCGTGAAAACTCAACACCACTCGATATACGCAGCGAACTCGTGTGCTCTCGTAGGTGTCGTGGACGAGTTCTGCGCACCGGAAAGCGAACGGCAAAGAAACGGCCGCGTGAGGCTCCAGCTTCACGGACTCCGGTTTAAAGCTCAGTGTGCGCGAAAACACCTCCCAGTCACGTTGAGAAATGCCATACCCAACCGAGACCAGCGCCACCAGCTTCACTGTCAGGAGCGTGCACGGAAGCGGAAACGTTACCCGAGAGCGCACCACCGCACAGCCCGTGATTTGATCGCCCGTCGTGTAGATAGCCCGATTCTTGGGGTCTCGGGACCTGAACGATCCCTCATCTAGCGATATCTGGAGATCAACGCGGTTTTGCAACGCCCAGCGGTACCGCAAGTGACGAAACAAAGACATGGTTGCCGCCTCTAGAGCCGAGACTCCCCGCGCGGACGCGAGCGTTGCATACGCACTGGTGTCCGCGGTTCCCCCACGCATACCGCACTAAGTTGGCGCGATCCACTCAAACTGACTCAGAAAACAGTCCGGACTCATGTTCCCAGATGCCACGCGCAGCGCTCACCACTGCTCAACAACAATCAATCGTTACGAATGCATCTGCACACCAGGGACTGTAGCACCAGCCTGCAGATCGCGCTCCCGAACGGCGACTGTGTCAGGCGGCAGCAATCGGGCATCCCGCCGATTCCTGCGCCAGGATGATCCCGCAGGCTCGTCGATGCCGTCGATCTTCCGCGCATCGTGTGCACCGCCGCTCGCGCGACGCCGCCGTCGCTGCGATGCGCACGCACGCACGCACGCACGCACGCACGCACGCACGGCGTTTGTAGACGGCGCTTCGGAACAAGGCGGTTTGTGAGCACTCCTTACATTCCCGACTCGGAGAGCAGCTTCGAAAAGAGCGGGGTTGGGAGCGGAACTCAAGTCGCACGAGTAAACGGGTGCTAAGGAGCGGTCCCGCATAACCGGTGAACGTCCCTGACGCTGAAATTGCGCACCAGCGACTGTTTTTCGGCAACCAAGTGCGCAGTTCAGTTGCGCTGTGCGTAACCTTTGGAGTCTGCTGGTTTGTACAAGCGAGATACTATATTTTGCACGAAGTGTGACATATTTTCTGGTCGCTCTTGAACCGATTAGAATGCAGGCTTTTGTGGGCACCTTTACTGCCGCACGAGGCGGCTTCGTTTCTGCAAGGCGTGACGCGTTCCTGTGCGGTGCGGGACAGGTGCGCCCCGCAGCGCCGGTCGTACAGGCCGCGCCTCAGACCCTTGTCATGTCCGGGAAGACGACGGCGCTTCGTGGTAGAATCCGCACGATAAAAAACACCCAGAAAATCACAGAAGCAATGCGCTTGGTGGCTGCTGCGAAGGTGCGACGCGCACAAGATGCTGTTTTGAGGACGCGTCCATTCTCAGATACACTGCAGAAGGTGCTCGGTGGCCTGCTCAGCCGCTTGAACTCTACGGAATACTTCGACCTGCCTTTGCTGAAGCAACGCGAAACAAAAAAGGTTCTGCTGGTAGCCATCAGCGGCGATCGCGGTCTCTGTGGCAGCTACAACTCGAGCATTCTCCGCAAGCTTCAGCTACGTATCAATGAACTCAAGGCGCAGAGCCTCGAGGTTGAGCTGGTCACGGTTGGAAGCAAGGTGACGCAGTGGGCACGTCGCCGAAACTACAAGATTCGACGCTCATTTTTATGTACGCAGCAGCCGACGTCATCCCAGGCGACGGAGATAGCGGATGTTTTGCTGGCGGCGTATCTGGGCGACGATGTGCAGCGGGTGGAGTTGCTCTACACGCGTTTCGTGTCATTGATCAGTTCCAAGCCCAGTATTCGGACAATGTTACCGCTAACTCCAGTAGGTCTGGAAATGGAAGGTGATGAGATCTTCCAGCTGACAACCGAGGAGGGCAAGTTCGCTGTCAAACGTTCGTTCCAGAAGCCGTCGCCCGAAGCGATCGAGATTACGCCTGACATGATCTTCGAGCAGGATCCGCTGCAGCTGCTCAACGCGCTACTGCCGCTGTACTTCAATGGGCAGCTCCTGCGAACGCTCCAGGAATCTGTGGCGGGAGAGCTTGCAGCGCGCATGTCGGCCATGTCGAGCGCCAGCGACAACGCCAAAGAACTCGCTCGCAAGCTCAACATCGAGTTCAACCGCGCACGGCAGTCCGCGATCACATCGGAACTTGCGGAGATTGTTGGCGGTGCTGCGGCCCTGGAGGGTTAACAACAGTGCCTTAATGGGAGGCGGCTTCAGCAAGTAGACCATGCGATGCATACGGAACGAAGGTAAACATACATAACACTCGCGAATGCGCAGTACGCGTGCTGCCGCCAGCGCGATGCATCACCTACCGCTCCACCTGAGCCGGCGACCCGGAGCCCGGCAACATGCCCGACGGCGTGTGTGCGTCTTGCCCTGGGCTTACGTCCTTGATGCCGCAAAAGCGACCGCATATGGCAATACTCCCGCTTAGCTACACGTGTGGTTACCTGGTCGATGTCTGCATCGCTCAGGTCTAAGAAACGCTGCGCAGCACATCGAGGCGAGCGGGTACAGCAGTGCGAAATGCGTCGAGCTGGTCAGTACGCAGCGTGCAGTCGAGTGCGGCATGGTGCGCGCGCAGGCAATCAAGCAGCGTTCTCCAGAACGTCGACGCATATGCGCAGAGACAGCACTGGGTTTGCGTATCATCGCCCAGCGTGTCGATGCTCGCTGTCACCGGCTCTAGTGGATACCAAGCGGCGGCGACCTGGCGTCTCAGCGTAGGCCGCGCCGGCTGTGTTGCCGCCTGCCTCAGCGCGACACGCAGCGTATACACGTTACCAGCCCCGGTATCCTGGCGCCAGGCACAGCACACGCGTCCCGAAACCTCCGGTCAGAACCACCTAGCCCATTCCGGAAACAGCGTTCCGGACTCCTTCGATACCACGCAGTGCAGGGCTCTTAGCGCTCTGTCACTATTGCCGAATAGTAAGCCTCAAAATCGATGAATCTATTCAGAGTAATCCCGATGCGCCGTATTCCATCCGAGATCAGGGTACGAGCTCCCACCTCTGCACCAGCCCAGTCATGCACCAATGAAAGCAGTGGATATAACTGCTTGGCATTCCTCGAGTGTCACTCGCGGCGACTGCCGCCTCATGAGGCGTCTCGCAGGCCGCGGGGGCGTCGCCGCAAAACGGCGCGCTTCCGCGGCGATCGTCGCGGCAATCTCGATCTGCGGTGCGCCCGGTGCTCGCCTCTACGCCGATGCTTCTGTGCAGGGCGAAGGCGTAGGCGTACGTTTCTCCGGGGTTGCCGGTGCTGTGCTCGTGGACGCACGTCATGCTAACAGCGTCGTCACCTGCAAAGACACAGACGGAACGCATCAAAATCATTAGGCCCAGTGGTATGACACTGGGCCAATTGCACACGCTCATAGAGTATGAGCCGACGATACGAACCCCCTTGGAAACTGTTGCAAGCGATTTCGCAGAGGTGCTCGGTGAACAGGTGGTGCTAACTCGCGGCGCTGAGGTGGTTGAAAAAGCGCCACCGGTCAAACGGGACGTGCTAGGAGAATGGTTGACCAGCTCTGGTGGCGGTGGCGGTGGCGGTGGTATTCTGACGCAGCTGCCGGCCTCACAGCGCTTCACCACAGCACCCGACGCGGCGCCGCTGGTGCTGCTGTCGGGCTCTTTCAACCCGTTGCACGAAGGGCATCGCCAGTTGCTCGAGGCGGCACGGAAAATGGTGGCGTGGGATGCTCGTGGCGGCTTTGAAATATCCGTGCTCAACGCGGACAAGGGGGCTATCTCCGAGGGGGAACTGCACCAACGCCTGCGCCAGTTCGCAGGCTATCGACCCGTGACCCTTACCAGAGCACCGCTGTTTACCGACAAGGCAAAGATTCTTCCTGGACGAGTTTTCGTCATCGGAGTCGATACGATGCTACGGCTCGTCGATGCACGATACTACGGAGGCAACGAAACGAAGATGCGCGAGGCGCTCGAGGAAATCGAACGCTGCGGTTGCCGCTTTCTGGTAGCGGGACGCAAGGACCCGCGCGCTCCAAACCAGAACGACGCCCCGTTCCTGACCCGTGACGACGTCAGCATCCCACTGGGGCTCGAGTCGCTCTTCGGCAGCATTCCAGAACGACTGTTCCGGGTCGATTTGCGGTCAACAGATTTGCGCGAGGCGTTTACGCGCTCCTAATTGCCAGTCGTTCAGTCGCTCAGAGGTTGCCAGCTGCTGCGATGACCAAGGCATCGGGGTCTACCCAGCGGCGAATCGCGGTGTTCACCTCGTCGACGGTCAGGGATCCGATGCGATCCACGTAGTCGTCAACCCAGGTCAGAGGTCGGCCTTCATCCAAAGTGCTCATGATTGCACCAGCGAGACCACGAGTAGTGGCAAGACCCACCTGATAACTACCATACACCGTTGCTTTCTTGGCGTCCAGCTCCGCCTGTGTAACACCATCATGATACCAGCGTTCGACCTGCTCCAAAGTAGCGGCTACGCCTCGTTCGACGTTCGTGGATCCAAAGGTTGCGCCGATCCGCCACAGGCCGTCGGTACCGAGTTCAGCACCTTCAACACCTGCGCCTATACCGTAGGTTAGACCGAGCTCGTCGCGAACCACTTGCATTAAGCGCGAGGAAAAGTTTCCACCGAGAATAAAGACGCCCATAGCGAGTGCGTAATACTCGGGGTGGTTGGAATCCATGCCCAGGGACTGCCCGATCTGCACGTCGACGCTGTCCTTGTCTGGTACACGATACGTTCGCCAGCTGGAAACCGAAGATGGATGTTTTGTGCTCGCGTTCGCCACGGTGACGCGGTCTAACGCGCGGAGTTCCAGGGGCAACGTTGCGGGAAACCCGCTGCGGCGCCATCCGCTTGGGCAGGTTGCTTCCAACAGGGACCGCGTTTCCTGCGGATCGACGTCACCTACGGCAATAAAGCGTGCATCGCTACCAAAACCATACATACGAGCGAAACGCTCCACATCGTCCACCTTGAGTGCACGAAGCGATTCTATGAGCTCCTCCAAAGGATATACAAAGTTGGGATGGCCGCGCGGAAACAGCGCCGCTGAGAAAAGCTCATCGGCCCGACGGCCTGTACTCTCTTTGGAGGCCTCGAGGTCGCCCAGAAAGCGCAGCTTGGCCATTTCAAAGTCATTCATGTCCAGACGAGGTTCGGTAAGCTGTTCCATCAGCAAACTTGCAACAAGAGGGAGATCCTTGCGCAAGCAGCGCCCGCGGAAGCGCAAGCGATTGCGGGTAACACCAAAGCTCACACGCGCGCCGACATTCTCCAGGAGTTCCGATATCGCAAACTTGTCCCGGTGGCGTGATCCCTGATCAAACATATCCGACACCATCTCCGCTACCATGAGCGAGCCAAACGGTTCGCGATCGCCATGATCTGTACCACCGGCTAGGGAGCCGACCAGCGTCACCACCTCCTCGGCTGCAGTGCGTAGCGTGAACTGCGTCAGGCCGCCTTCAAACAGCATCTCACGATGTGTTCGCGCTGCTATGCGACTTCGAGGCACAGCCGGAGCTGGGCTCCCCGAAGCCTCCGCACCCGCTGTCGTCGACCGTCGCTTCTGCGTCGTCAGCGGGAGCGCTGTTGGCGCCACTCGGGTCGCTTCACGCCGCTGCGCGTCCATGGAGCTCTCTGCGTCTTCTACGATCCGACCGGCTGGCGCTGCTGCAGCGTCTTCATGATCGATAAACGCAGGATCCTCTTGGACATCGTCGTCTTCTGAGCGAAGCGGTACGAACCATCCGGTCGTACTCGCGTCCTCGCGGAAATATCGTTGAGCAGCTCTCTGAACGTCCTCCAGGCGAACCGGCTCGATACGATTCCGACAGAAAGCCGTCCAGTCGCCCATGGCAAGCGACTCGTTCAGGCCGTCGGCGATCCCGAACGTACCATCGCGGGAGAACTTGAGATACGCATTCACTTGTGATTTCGCGCGTTCGAGCTCTGCCAGCTCAATACCCTCCTTCTTGATCTGCTCTATCTCTTCCCAAAGTATTCTCTCTACCGTGGGAGAATCCGCCTGAGGGGTCAGGAAACAGTATATCTGAAAGAGGCCAGGATCTCTGAAAGAACTCTCCCAAGCGTAGACGCGCGTAGCCAGTCCCGCATCCACAATGCGTCGATAGAGTCGTCCGGTCTTGCCGCCGGACAGTGCAACAGACAGTACCGCTAACGCCGGAGCGTCCTCGTGCAGCCCCGGTGGCGCCTTGAATGCAATACCGATAATATGTTGTCGTCCGCTGCGTTTCACGATGAGTCGCCGCGGCCCGCGTTGCACGTCCTCTTGCGGGACGACCTGCTTCTCTTGTATCGAATGCGTTGAAGCGGGTAAAGGTCCAAAATACTGAGCTACCCATCCGAGTACCGTACAGGTGTCAGGTATATCTCCGATGATAGAGAGCGTCGCATTATTCGGATGATAAAAGGTATCATAAAACCTTCGCAGCGCAGCAGCGGTCGCATGCTCGATATCGTCTCGCCAGCCGATTGTCGGATGGTGGTACGGATGGGCTTGATACGCCGTTGCCCATATCTCCTTGTCCAACGCTTGGAAATTATCATTTTCGCCTCTTTCATATTCGTTTCGGACCACGGTTTTCTCAGCGAGAAGGTCCTCTTCGCGAAGCAGGGCATGACGCATGCGATCGGCTTCAATGGCAATGGCCTCTTCGATGAACTCCGACGGCAGGACTGCGTAGTAGTTTGTTCGATCGAACCAGGTGGAGGCGTTAACATTTGCGCCAATGTTCTGGAGCACTGTCCATATGGGTCGTCCGGTTTCCTTGTTGTAGTGGCGGGAGCCCTTGAACATGAGGTGCTCCAGCAAATGCGTGCTGCCGGTGATCCCCGCAGCTTCGTTCCTGGACCCGACGAGGTACGTGATCATGACCGTGGCGACCGGTGCAGCGGCGTCCCGACGCAGCAGGACTCGCAGTCCGTTGGCATCGAGCTGGTACTCGCTGATGCCCGCCACCTGCTGAACGAAGCGGAAAGCGGGGTGTCCCTCGTTCGTCGGCAACGCACTCGCCCCAGTTGATGTTACTTGGTGCGCGTTTTCAACAGCTCCGCTGGTGTCTGACGCCGAAGTACGAGGCGTATGGTCCCCTGCGCACGCGCTGATGTGGCGGCTCGTCTCTCGAGCACGTCCACGGCAGCAGCACGAACAACAGCTGCCGCCTTGAGGTGACTGGAAACCTTTCCGAGCGTACTGGGCGCCACGAAAGAGCCGATATGGCAAAGATCGCGCTGCTTTACTCAACAAGTGTTTGCATGGAATAAAATGCGCAAACATGAGCGCTTTTCTTCGAGTCGAAACCTCTTGACGCTGCATAGAAGTCGTCCTTGCACAGCAAAAGTGGACTTGGACGGGAAAGTCTCCGCCGAGGCGCATCGTGCGAGCGCGCACGAACGCTTCATGGAGGCACGCTACGTAGGCACATGTGTACATCGGCAGGTTTCTTTGGCAAGTAGGCAAACAGTTACGGTGGCAGGCAAGCACACGGGCACACGGGCAAGCACGAGTGTAACGAGTACGCAAGGTACTTGCTGCCAGGAACCCGTGCGGCACTTTACGGAAACGTAACAAGGGTGCAGGTAGCCTGTGAACCTGTCTGACTGCGGGTACTCGTGTCTCGCCCGCTGGAGGGTTTACGGACCTTCGGACAAGGTCCAGTTGCTTAAGCGTACGATCATGGTGCGCAAACAGGGAGTTATAGCACACCTTGCACCCGCTGAGCGCAACTGCAACAGCGAAACGTGTACCGATGTTTTCGGAACTGCAAAAAGTGACCGAGGGTAGTACGGGAGCCCTGGATGAGGCGCATCTGCTGCCCGGCGCCATGCGAGCTCCAAGGGACAGCGTGCGCAGGGCCAGCACCAGAGCGCTTCTCTCCGCTTCGCGTGTGCGAACAGACTTGTCGTGAAGCTGTCTGAAATTCAAACAAAAACTCTCCAGTTTCTTGCAACGCCACGTCGCAATACGGTTTCATAGAGCGCCTCTGACCGATCCGTCCTGGCGTCGGCAAGTGTGCGAGCGCTTGTGATATCGGAGGTTTACGCAAACGGCAACCAGCACTGAGCCCGTCGCCGCTCCGGCCTATGCGATGGACCAAATGCGACGTGATGCTTCAAACGTATGACGGCGTTCTTGGCAACTGGTTACCAGCAGTAATGTCTGTGTAATTTGCCGACAATGTTTTTCTAGGTTTCATGATGAACTCTTGCACACAGCGCCAGCAAGCCTGGGCGCTGAATACCTCCTTCGTTCTCGACACGCAGAAGCGGCCCTGCGTGGTATCGCCACCGTGACCCGCGGCCCCATACTCAAGGGCTATAGCGCATCAGCTCTTCTACGATTCGATTGGGCGCAAAAAGAGCTTTTCAGAATCCATTCCAATGCGCCTATATATCCGCTAAAACTCCGGGGGTGCGGGTGCATCCTCGAGGCGGTTGTGGCGCTGAAACCGTCGGTGCCCTCGGCGGGGCGTCAGATGAGGTGGCCAAATCGTGCCCGGTCCAAGCTCATCTTGTACTTCTTCTCGCCCCGCACTAGTTTCCAGCTGGCGGAGCTGACGACTAGATACCTCATTATCGGTTCTGGCTACAGCCAATTCGGTTTTTAGGTGAGCAATCTGCCGCAACAGGTTCTCTTCGCGGACAGATGCCTCTTCTCGGACTCGTTGGAGCTCCTCCTGCAGAACTCGGAGTGATTCTCGCTGGTTGCGCACCAGTTCCTGCATGAAGCCTTGCAACTCAGAGCGTAACACTTCCTGCTGGGTGCGTGCGTCGTCAGCAGGGGTCGTAGCCGCTGGCGCTGCTGAGTCCAGCAAACGCGACTGCAGCGCAGCGAGTTGCTCTTCAATGCGTGTGCTGCGCCTGCGCTCCGTCTCCAGTTGCTCCTCTAGCGCCTTTTTTGTCATCTGAAGACGGTGGACCTCGTCATCAGATTCGCGTAAGTAACTTGTAGCCAAAGCATAAGTTTCACGAATTAGCGCCTGTTCACTGTCTTCCCAGAACTGTTGTAGCTTCGCGGTGGCGTCGTGCACCACTTGCTTCCATTGCTCCAGGTTCTCTGGTTTGGCCTGTTCCACAGCTTGACGGACCAAGTCTGCGTCCAGCCTCTCGGCACTTGATATTCTCTCCTCTTCGAAAGCGTTTGCAAGACTAGTGAGCTCAGCTCTGAGCGAAGCGGCTCGGCTCATGGTGGCGGCTGAGCACGCACCAGCACCGCCGCTCTAAGTCGAACGACGCCAACGGTGCACAGTAGTGGCGATAAACCCTCCCTAGACAAAACGTCTCCAACTGACGTGTAGACGCCTCCCCGTGTTTTTTGACCGGCCACCCACTACTGTTTCCAATTTCTTCTCATATAGTTAACCTTTTGGGAGGTTGTCTCACAAAATTCTCTCTTGTCATCTCTGGAAGTCTTTTTTCCATCACCACACATTTCCTGATATTAATTGCGGCGTTAAAGTCTCGGTTCACAAACTCCATCCGTTTCTTGCCATCATTGATTGTACTTACTAATGCAAGTCGCCCATGAACGTTCGCCCTCCTTTCCATTTGCTATCCCGTCAGCGGTCCGTATTTTTCATATCCTCAGGGCTCCGCTGGCACTTTTCCATCTCGAATCTCTGAAGTGTGCATCCCAGCTCATGGTGTATATACAATGCTCGGAACTCATCGATCGGTAGCGGAACGAAACGCCTTGCGCACTCCTTGTACGTTCTCGCCGGTGGAGCTGGTGTAGTCCCTTTTTGGGTCTTCCAGCGTCCTGCTCCGTATGCCACTACGAGCCTCTGACGTTCATCCTCCTTCAAGCCACTCAACTGATTGAAAAAGTTGGCAAACGCCCGCTGCTTCCCACAATACAGATTCATTCGCAGACGAGCCCACCGAGGCTTTGTATACCCTTTCCACAGCGCATCCCAATGAGCAACGCGACCTTCCATGAATTTTCGAAAAGCTTCAAAGTCCGCTCCTCGACTCGTCACCTTGCTCAAAGCCTCCAGGTGCTCTTTCACTTATGCGTTCCACGTCTCGATTTTATTCCTTGCATTCATGATTCTGGAGTCTCGATAGTATCTTGCTCTCGAGAACTTTAAAATACTCATGCCTTTCTGAAGTAAGTTGCCGTGGATACCATCTTCCGCACGCTTGGGTACTGCGATGGTTATGATACTTGTGCCCCAGGGTCCGCGCCAACGACAAAGTCGTTATCCTGCACTTTCTGCGTCGCAGAATCCGCCTCCTTCTCATCTTCATGCTTCGTTACGGGCGAGGCCGAGCATGGAACAAGACGATCCGCCTTCAAGCGCCGACGGTGTACACACATGGATACCCCATCGGTTTCGATCACCCCAGTGAATACCTTTTGTTCGCTGACTTTCAAACGTTTGATTTCGAAGATATTCTTCTGGTACTTCTCCCGGTTTACACCGGTGAACTCCTTCCTGCTAACCTTGAACTCCGGACAGATCTCCCTCATGATGCCATGAAGGACTGCGGAATCGATGGTCACGAAATGTGCCCTGATGTTGCACAACGGAACCACGTTGAAGCGCTTCTCCATTAGGAACGCTTCCGTCTCTCAGACGCTTCATTGTTCCCGCGATTCAGCTCCATCTCCGCCTTGGGTTCGAGCTCTCGGTCTAGGTGCACGAAATAGCGCATAATTAGGGGATATCATCATTTTTTCACCTTTTTTCATATCTGATACCTTTTCTGCTGGGTTGACCGGCCTCAAGGGTGCACGGTGCTCATGAATAGTCGCACGGATTATAGAATCCTCATTCGTGCACCTGCGTGATGTCTTCTTGTCGACGAACTCGATCTCCTGTTCAAGCTGGCGATCGTCCGTCATCCCATTGGTGATGGCCCATCTTTCCTTCGCGAGAGAGACCCGGTTGGAGTGCAAACACGGCGCATATCATGAAGCCCTGGAGGTTCATGGTTAAACGGTCTCCAAGTTCGTTAGGTACCGCATGGCCCCGTGGGTGTAAATATTCCAGTCCCTCTGCATCGAGTACCGTAGAAGCTGTAGAAGGGATGCTTTTCGTGGAGGGCATGCACCCGCTCATTTCCCCTCGAGGTTTCCCCTGTGGCGAGCACCAGGTGGCGGAGAAGGGTCCTGCTGAAAAATTCTTCCGGAACCTCGGCTGTTTCGATGTCGGCCACGTCTTCATTCATCTCCTTCACCAAATGCATTAGCCCTGACGAAGCCTTTATAACACTCATGGAGTAAGACGCAACACGGTTTCTGGGAGTCTCTTGCAACGCTTCCTTGGACGGATGCTTGATATGTATAAGATGGCAGGCTTTGACAACCATCACGTCGTTGTGCCGTCTTTCTTGCAGCCTTTGACGTCGGGCCTCCTTCATTCGCTTCTTTGTCTCGTCCTGTTCCTCTTCGCACTGGACTGTGTGTTCGTTTGTATCCGCCAGCTGGCGACACTGGGCCTCCAGGAGCCTCCACTTTCACTCGCATAACTTTCCTTTTTAGTTTTTTTTCTGAGAAAGAACGCACTTTGAATGCTTCAGGTATAAACAGCGAAAAATCACTTGAATACACTTACTTGAGGGTTGGAATACGATTGAACTGAAAAGCATACTTTGCTACGACTTCAATGCAAATACACCGCGTGCAGCAGAACAACACGCTCTTGATACCGATCGCGTTTCCGTTCAAGAGCAGCATGCGCGAAGTGTCTCGTGTAACTGGCTGATGTCTCTGGTGCACGTGTCCAGCCCCCTACAGAAAAAAAAACAGAGACTCACGACTAACTGGCAACGATATGACAATTTCTTTCCCCCCTCTAAGGTAAACGTTAAAAGGCGAAAAGGTTTCCATATTGTCGAAAGTTTATTTTATAGGCGAAACGTCCCGCGAGCCGGACGTGTCTGCCAGACCAGTGCTTCATGCGACCCCAGTGGAAGGTGCTTGCTGGAAACCCGAGCAACTCGTGCGAAATGCAGTTTATTATGGGACTAGGAGCGGGTATGCTGCGTCAGGGCGTCGGCCTGGTCGCAGTTATCTCCTTACATATCGCTTGGCGCTGCCGCAGGCACTAGGTCTGTCTGCAGAGCTTGCAGGCTCCCAGAAAGATTATGTACTCTGGCGCTGTATCGGGAAAAGCGCTCCTCGATTGGACGCCCTCTGTGGTACGGTAACGCGGTTTTGTCTCCGCGATCCATCTGTTCCAGCGGTTTAGGCGCCACTACGGGTGCTCATGGTAGGTACTCGCGCTCGCTAGAACGTAAAAACCGACCAGTATGTCCGCGATGAAGCATAGGTAATGTAACTTGGGAGTAGGGAGTTTGATGGATACTTCAATGCGCACTGAAAAAAATAGGAAAAGAAAAAGCGCATAATCGGCGAACGCTGGCCAATGTCAACGTTTTGTCAATTAAAAAAATCTGCGAATACCTGACCACAACGAAATGGCACCGATGCGACGGGCGCGCTCAGTTTCCACCCCGAAAAGACGGGAATGACAAGCGCTGCACAAACCGCAACGACCGCTTGTGCGTGATACGTATGAGCAAGAGCCTGGAGCAGTGAGATAGGGACCTGGACGCTGCCATCAACATTCTTCGACTGCTGCGAATGAAGCTGGAGTCAAAACGAGAGACCAACGAATTAAAAACCGGAGGTATGAGGGAGCGAAAGGAGGCTATTGCAGAAAAGGTCCACAAATCCAAAGTATCAATGACTACAGGAAGAGACCAAAACTCTAGCGTGCGCACCCGAGTGAGTAACGCGGAACCTTCCATGGTAGTCTGCCGTGGGTACCGGGGAGCCCCGTGTCCATCGCGAGACACTCTCGCAGAGCGTCCGCCTTGTTTTCGGAGGAAGCAGGCGGAAAAGCGGCAACGCCATGCAAGCCTCGTTATGGCGGTCACGTCGCGGGAACATACACACAGCAATGACCCAGCAGTCACGTGCCGTCCGCGGAACCTTCCGCCAAGGCAGCCACGTTCGAGTGTGGCCATCACGAACGAGCGCTGCAACTCGGGCACGATGACGGCATCCAGTGGGCACAACGGCCATTCACACCCAGTCTGCGTTTCGCGTTACTTCTGAGGCCTGGAATGGAGTCGAGCTCAGTTCCCCGGAGGCCAATGGAAATCGACTATTCGGCGGATTTCCGGTCCCGCGAGTATTGGTCCTACACCACAAGAAAATCGCCATGAGCGCTCCGACGCTCAACCGTATCCCCCTCGTGGGCTCTGTCGGAGCCCTGAGGCACACAACCGGACACCCGAGTTCTGACCCAGCCACCGGGCAGCTTGGACGGCAAACGCTCAGCGAGCTTAACGCATCGCATCGCTCTGACGACCACATGCACATCAAGCTGGATGCAACCGAAAACGAAATGCGTGAAACGCCTACTCATGGCGTTCAGGGGATCCCAACGACCACGACGCGGAAGCGACGAAGCGCTCCGCAATCCGGTCGCGTTTCCGACACATCTGCAGTAAACTTAGGAATCATCGTCGTTTACGCGTATTGCGAACCCGATATGTCAGTATAATTCCGTCCTTCTGATGCCGCTGCGATCACGTTAGAGGTACCGGGAGACACCGTCCATGGCTCCAAACGTCCACAGGCAGCGTGCAAGAAGCGTGAGCTTCGCCGGAGTGCGCACACTCGCCACCACGAGTACCAACGCCGCTGTGTTGGGTGTTCGTGTCGTACGCTTACGGCACGAGCTCGGGCAGATTCTCCGTCAGGAACTGGGTAAGTGCGGGTTTGCCTATAGCCCCTTCGTGTCGCGCAACAACATCCCCTTTTTTCATGAGAATTAGGGTTGGAAGCCCTGAAATGCCGTACCGAGTCAAGAACTTGGGGTTCGTATCCGTATCCAATTTGTATACCTTCATCTTTCCCGAAAATTCGTTCGCCGCCCAGTCGATCAACGGCGCAATCAGCTTGCAGGGCCCGCACCACTCCGCGTAAAAGTCTACCAAGACAGGCACATCCGCCTGAAGCACCTCCGATTCAAACATATCATCCGTTAGAGTCGGCGCTTTGCAGACCAGAGTGCGCGCCGAGCCAGCTACTCGCCTCTTCTCAAAAGCAGGTACACGACGCGAAGCCCAGCGTTGGCGCTGCGACTGGTTTCGCACCACTGGACAGTGCGAGCTCATCGGCCGTGAGCACACTGCTCGCGTACCAGCGTTCCTTCCGCTTGGAGAACTTGGTGCGTTGCCTATGACGAACATTCTCGAGAAGTGAACTGTTTACCTCGACGCGTGCAGAGGCGCGTTCAGCGGCTCACGATTCAGAGCCTACACACAACGCAGAAGACCCGCGGAGGCGGACGACGAGGAGGAAGGGTTCCAGGTCGAGAATCCGCGCGCTCGGCGGATGCGACGCCTCTTTGCGAGCGCGCCTCGTCAGCCGTGCTCGAAGTGCTTTTGCCGATAACGAAGTGTTTACATTGACCACTGGATCCCAGATTATGGGGTGTGTATTACGATTCATGTAGTCGTCCACCATGATGCATCATACCTCCCAGTTCCGTTTCCTGTTTTCGGATGTACCGGTCGTTTTGTACAGTCTATTGTGCGGCGAGTGCCAGCCGTGCGTTATCCGCCTTGGCGCCTGAACACTGCTGGCGCGGATCCGTCTCGGAGACAGAAGGGCCTAGCCATACCACTGAGCGCGTCGGCTCGAAAGGTCGTTCACTAGTCACAGAATTAGGATTCTTTATCGTTCTGGGAGCCTGCAAGCTGCGCAGAGAGACGTACTGGCTGCGGCAGCGTGTAGCGATATACTGGGAGACCACTGCGACCAGGCCGACGCCCCGACGCTCCCTAACTGCCCTAGTCCCAGAATAAACTGCGCTGCGGACGAGTTGCTCAGTTGCCACTACAGCACGCGCCACTGCAGCGCCGCATGAAGCACGATCCGAGCAGACTCGTCCGGCTCCCGGGGCCTTCCGCCCATGAGGTAAATTGTCGACAATGCGGAAAACTTTTCCCCTATTTGGAGTTTACCGTAGAACAGGGAAAGAAATCGTAATCTCATTCCTAGCTACTGATTCGTTTCTCTTTTTTGTTTTCTATAGCGCGCGCTCGATACGCGCATTTACGTATCTGATAGACTTGAGATATGACGCCACAGAGTCTATGACGTTTCGATCTTGCACTGGGAAAAGCTTCGGTGCATTTCACACTGCAGGCGCACCCGCTCTCGGTGTCACGTTTCAGGGCAGGGTTGCGGTGCGGCTCACGTCGCCGCGTCTGTTTTCTGCAGGCGCAGCACGAGGTACCTGCGGAACCCCATAATGGATAATTCTGGACCGCTGGTGAGCCCGCATAACGCAATACCTCTACCAACTGGCACGGATCCGATGGGTATGCCTAGAACACTGCGAACAGTTGAACTCGTCGTTGCCATGTGCTCGAGCGATGCCCCCGGTATCAGCTTCTTTCCATGCCTGGAAACGTGATCGCAAGAGGCGGGCCATTGATGCCACGAAATCGGGGTCTCTGGTGGGACAGGCTGCTGTCGTATAGCGCATCGTACCCAGAAAACGCGTATGGGCATGGACATGCCTCTATGACTGCGTTCCTCATTGTGTGTGTGTGTGTGTGTACCTGCCTGCCTGCCTGCCTACTTGCGTACTTGCTTGCGTGCCCTACAGACCGTCCATGCATACGCTGCTTGGACGCACGATGGCGCACACACTGGACAACAGTCGCACGTGGAATCCACTCCCGCCGAGGTCAGTCCAGACGCAAGACGTATCTGGTCGAGCTGGTATCGCGCACACCCCGTGTATAACGTTCGTTGCGCTTGTCCAGCATGCGTCGACTCTGGACGCGAGCAGTGAAGTTTATCGTGCGGCGCAATACGCGTTCACGGAATTTGCCGTTCGAAGCGTAAGACTTTCCAAGCCGTTTTTACTTGCCGCGCTTCTTTCGTTTATCCACGATCTCGGCGAGATGCGCGGGAACATGGTACGTACCCGTGAGCAACTCCACAACCTCATCCGCGAAAGAGCCCTGCAAGGTGACTTCGGTGTCAGGGATCCCGCCTTTCTTGGCGCTTCCTGCGATTTCCGACACGGTTGCTGCTGCGGCAAAACGCCGCTGGGCATCGGCGGCAAACTGCTGGTCGTCAATACCGTACACGCGCATGCGCTGAATACGGGTGATATGCTTGCGACCTCCCTGGCGATCCTCGACGATAACTTGTATTGGTTTCACACGTCCGCGTTGCAGTTTGCCATCACGACCGATACGGTGCCAGATCTCCATGCTTTCCAGCATTCGATCGAAAAGTTCACGGAAGGGCAGTTGCCGCGGTGAACCGGTCGGTGCGCATTGCAGAAACGAGCAGAGATCCTCATTCATCTCGACGATGTTCCTGGGGCGCTCGAGTCCATGAGCACGTACGTAGTGTTCAAGCAGCTTGAACAACTGGTCGCTTTGGAAAAACTCAGCGCCCTGGCTGGTGTCAGCGACAGCGTCCATCACCGAGGGCATCCCAGCAGCGAGTGCCTCGAGGAATGCTCTCTGGTGGGGTTTCGCTTTGAACCATTCCTCGACGTGAATGACTCGTTCCGTTTCAGCCAGTGACTGCGATTCCCGTGTTTCCGATGCGCTAAACGCCGCGCTATTATGGGACTCGAACGACTGCAAAAGTTCGTGGTTGCGATCAACCTCAACAATGAGGATGGCACCGCGCTGTTCCTTCGTTTTGATCAGCTTCCGCTTCACCATCGCTTTGAGAAATGCTCCTAGCTTCTTATATGAGGTCGCTTTCAGATCTAGGGCAGTGCCTGCCGGGCGACTTGGCACCACGAACTCAGTGTAAAACTTGCTCGCGTCAATGGGTAGCGCGAGACTGGGGTGAATTTTCAGCGCTTGCAAAAAGCTCTGGATCAACAACTGATCCGGTTCTACATCGAGAGCGCGTTCGTTCTCCGTCTCAGCTGTGTCGATAATGTGCTGCGCTTCAAGGTCTTGCGCCACTTCATCGATAGCATGGTTTGCATCCACCGTGGATGAGGCACTCGTTGTGGCGGCGTTATCGTTCCTGGACGGAGGCGGCGCCTCACCCGCTTTCATGGTGGACGTCTCCAGGCCCGCTTCCTCGCCGCCGGCATTGCGGTCGTTGTCGTCGTCGTCGTCGTCGTCGCCAGGCACTGCCTCAACGACCTCACCCAAGATAAAGCCACGATTCGGGACTGCTTTCGAACCGTACTCCCAGAGCGCATCGCCAAAAAAGTGCTCTACTGCAAGCACTTTTCCTTTGGTGTTCTTGTCCGCGCTATCCGAGCCGATCAGTGTCGTCCCAACGGCGAGCGCACACGGGTTGCCCCGCACGCGTACCGCGATTACTTGGGTGGCACGCCAGGTTAGCGCTGGGTCATCACGAAAAACGCCAGGAAGCATCAGATCGGCACCGCCCAGGAGAAACTTGCTAACTTGAGAGATGGTCTCGAGTGCGGGCCAGCGCCGCACCTTCCACAGCGTGTATACCGTTGGGTAGTAGAGCGATGAGCGCGCAGGTTGAAACAGCACCGGATCCTGCTCCACGACGTAGACGCTTGCCTTGGGCGTCGAACACTTGACCAGAATGATGTTTTTAGACTTTGAGTGCGGTAGGATTTGGTCGACCTCCTCTTCCGTTATCCAGTGCGCTTCTTGGAGCAGAAGCTCCTGGCGCAGTTTCCGCACATCGGATGATCGTACTGGGTTGCTCGTCGAAACTTCAAGGCGTTTCCATGCACCCATACTTGGAGTCTCCTAAAAAGGCATTAGCGACAGGAGTCTGGCTTGCGATATCACAAAACGAGCTGTGAGTGTAGCAGCCGCAGATCCTTGTCCAGCGGTGGTGCGTCGCCCGCGCCGGCGACGTTTTCATTCGGTGGGCATCGCTGCTGTCGTGCGCTGCGTTTATGCGTCTAAGGAGTACGCCCATACCAGAAGTATACAGAATGGAGACTCTGACCGTACTCGGTCGCCAAAACGCTAGCATTCCGCTCTCCTTCTATCTATTTTCATCAACATCAGCCTGTGCGGGCTTTGAGTGCGACTGATTCCTGTCCCTCTCGCTGATCACTGGGCTTACAAATGCCGATGTCTGCATTCGCGTCAGCCGCGCTGCAGCAGTCGAGATACGGTGATGCCAGCGTTCGAGTCCGGCGTTCGCTGTTTCTGGTTCATCCGCAAGCACTGCATCCACAAGCGGTCGTTACGATCCGTGCGTTGCTGGCCATTTGGAGCCCACGTCTCTGGAGCTTCGGTGCGGCTGCCGCAGCGATGACGCCTGACTGCGTTCAGGTGCTTCCATGGGTCTGACGCCACACACGTGCTCCTTCGAGCACCGCCTCGTGGCACGTGAACGCGCGCGTCATCGCTCCTTGCATGCCACTGACCGCTGCAAAAGGCTGCCTTGGATGCCGTACCCAAAGAGCACGGACTTGTTCTGGGCGATCGCCTTGGCGAGCACGCTATCGACTGCGTATGCAAGCGACCGCTGCCCCGTTCGACAGAGGATTTGCGGTAAGCGACGTCGTTCGGGATCAGGTATGTACCGGGGGCGGAATCCAGACTGGAGCGCACGCCCAGCAATGTCGATCGGTCTGCGCTCCCTTCTTCGTGCACAGCGGTGACACGCGCTCTGCTGGAAGCGATCGCTACGATGCCTGACGTCCGACTCCAGGGCCCTTTGTAATGCAAACAAGGGAGACGAGCACTTGTGGGCGTATTTTCGCATGAGAGGTATGTTGCTGACGATGTTGCATGGTGTGTTGTCGATGCCCACAGAGGGAGAGGGCAGGATTTGTCACTGGAGTGAAATCGATGATTTGACGGAACGCGTTCAGAGAGGGTTCGGTATGCGCTTGAGACGAAGCCTCACAGGCTCGCCGTCGACTTCTCCTTCACTCGCGGAGGCGGTGACCCGAATCGCCCCGCCCGCGAGTCGCCTCGCAACGGACGGATCGGGAGCTTGGAGAACGCGGGATCGCAGGATGCTGTTCGTAAGGGAAGCGGAAGAGCAGAGGCTCGCACGCGTACAGCGGGTAACGAAAGCGGATACTGGACAAACCATTCTGGATTGCGTCGCGAATGGTCTTGCTTCTAGTCACGTAACGAATTCCTGCTATGAAAGCGGTAGGAACTACTCCGAGGGTTATCACCGAAAATCCTAAAAGTGCATGCAAATCCCTGAGCCCCAATCGCTGCACGTGGAATGTCGATGCTATGCTTCTGAATAAAAAACTCGGTGAAAATCACGAGGCAGGAACAGAGCAAACAATTCAGTGTTCCATTTTCACCTGGCGCAAAACTCGCGGTCGCTTTCAGACACTATCTCCGGCAAGCAACGAACAAGGCGAGTGTTTTCTATGGATCGTGCTGGCAAGTGACAGCGGTCTACACGATACCGTACGCTGAGGTATGCGTTCAGTCTCATTGAACACATCTCCTGGGACTCTCCGAAAGCATGTACAATGCCCAGGGCCAAGTCGACTTGTAAAAGATCTCTGCGGGCCAATATCCATCCCTAGAAACACGGCTCTCGTCGTGGTGCTTTTCCAGAGAGCCCCCCGCTTATCCCGAATGTCATTTCCCTCATCCCGAAAGCTGCGCGAACACATGGCGGAGCTTCCCAACGGGACCTTATCTAGCGATCTGCATCCAAGTAGCAGCGGTGCGATGCGATGACAGCCTCCACAATGCGTTTCTCTATTTCCGTGTCCGACTCGGGACACTCGATTTCCTCCATTCGCCCGTTCTCCAGAATCCATACCCTATGATGGCGTTCGTGCAGCAGGTTCGCAACCATGATATGGGCTCCGCTGCGGCTAGCAGTCAACTGTGCTCGTTCGTGCAAAGTCTCCATACTGGTTTCGAGTTTGAAAGCAACGACAAACGCCTGTGGCGCCCAGAGCTCACGCAACAGGTCCAAAAGCTTTGGTGTGCAGCTCAACTTCAACACCAACGCAGAGTCCGAGGTTCGCTTATGACTCTTGAAGTCTTCAAACCGCAGGTAAAAGTCGGAAACTGCCGCAGCCATGTACAGGATAGCATTGCGTTCGAAAACAGCAGATGCACTCGCAATCAACTCCAAATACTGTGCGTACTCATAGACGGTGCAGAACGGCACTTCGAGAACTCGCTCCTCCTTGAGCGCGCGTTCGTACTGCACAAGCGCTGCCTGCGCATCCGCCGTGACTCGGAAAGACGCAACCCCTTCCTTAATATGGCCCTCTGACACCAAAACAGTGACGGGATCCGTGACGAGTTTCGCCAAGCGCCGCTGCAGCGGCCGTAACGAGCCCTCCCTATACAGAAAAACCACTGCGTACTCTGACTCCAGAAAGTATTCGGCTGAAGCAGCTCCTCGACGCCCTGTAGAAAAGTTGTCCAAAAACCGTACGGTATGCTTCTCCAACGGTACCGTGGTGCCTCCAGAACTCACCACCGCTAGGTTGCGCTGGAAGCGTCTCTGCCGCTCCAAAAAGTTGCGTATGCTGCTCTGGAGAGGCAGTTCTGCGACATAGTACGCAGTAAACGATGGATCCATCGGTTCATATGAATCGTGTGGCTCAAGCCAGTAGCGGTACCAGACGAATCGCCGCTCTTTACGGGATCAGAGCACACCAACAAAGCCAGCCTTGCCGGGTATCGAAGCGCTTGGCGTCCGTAACGACGTCGCCAGTAACCCTTAATAACGCTACAGCATCCACTGGGTATCCTTGGCGCAATACCTACGAGTATTCTGCCTCTAACTGCTAAAGCAAGTGCTATATTCCAGGTGGCCAGGTTGCTTCTCGAGTTGCGGCAGCTGGGCGTCGAGCGTTCGGCCGCGACGTCCTTCGGGGCCGCCCCCCGCGCAGCAGCGCCGCTCTCCCGGTGGGCATGTCGTCACTGCGAGAGCCTTTGAACAGGTTGTTTTTCGTGGCTCTTCACTTTGATCCTTGACGAAAGGCGTCAGAAGATCGCTCTACGGCAGCGGTACTATGATCCTGCAGCGAGTGCTGCGCTCAGCGCGGCCGGAGCGGTACGCTGGCAGCCTCGAGCGACTCACTCGTCTGACGCAGCGTCGACAGTGGACGCTTCCTTTGCGACAGTCTCGCGGGTTTAGCAGCGAGTCTGATGCCGCCGCAGCGGAGAACAAAGAGCCACCAAGCCAACCCAGTGAGCATTCTGCAAGTGACGCTGTTGCGCAGCCGCCTTCGATTGTGCAACGGGTCCCGTTTCGGGAGCTGGTACTGCCTTGCATCCCGCTGTACCGTCGGCCGCTCTTTCCCGGAATTGTTGCGCCAATTCTGGTCCAAGACTCGGCTGCATGTGAGGCGTTCCTTGCAATGAAGGATGGTGGTAACCGGTTCGCTGGCCTCTTCCTCCATAAAAGCGCAGGTCAGGGTCGCCAACAGGGTGGCGGCGAAGCGCCCGGGGGCATCACCGCGCTCCCCGCTGACGGACTCTTGCGCGGAGCGCCGGATCCGGATCAACTGTTCAAAGTTGGGGTTATTGGTGAACTGCTGCGTATGGCTCCGCGACCGAAGGGTCTCGAGCTCACCTATATGTGTCACCATCGAATCCGCGCCACCGGGGTTGCTCGCCGCGAGGCGTTGCTGTTCCTCCACACGGAGCCCGTCCAGGAGGAGAAGGTGGAACAGACCACCTCCATTCGAGCGTATTCTCTTGCGGTAGTTGAAACACTGCGAGAGCTCTTGTCTGCGGGATCGCTGTACAAGGAACAACTGGAGCTGCTGCTCGAATCCGTGGATGTGAACAACCCCTATCATCTTGCAGATCTGGGCGCTTGCCTCGCCTCGACAGCAGACGCTGCCGCTTTGCAAGAAATTCTCGAAGAGCCACGACTGGAAGAGCGTTTGAGCAAAACTCTTGGACTTCTCAAATCCGAGCTGGAGACCATTCGCGTGCAACGCAAGATCAGTCGGCAAATCGAAGAGAACGTCTCCAATGCGCAGCGCAAGTTCTTTCTCAACGAGCAATTGAAGTACATTCGCAAAGAACTTGGCTTAGAGAAGGATGAGCGCGAGTCAGTGAAATCCAAACTTTTGGCTCGACTGGAGCAGAAGCAAGTACCAAAGCAGGCGGCCAGCGTCATCGACGAAGAGATGCAGAAACTGAGCGCCTTGGACCCGGCCAGCTCCGAGTACAATGTGACGCGCAACTACCTCGACTGGCTGACCATCATACCCTGGGGTGTCTACTCGCAGGATAACCTCGATATCCAGAATGTACGTGCGGTGCTAGACGAGGATCACTATGGAATGGATGATGTGAAGAAGCGGATTCAGGAATTCATCGCCATTGGCAAACTCAAGGGCACCGTCGAAGGCAAGATTCTACTGCTGAGCGGACCCCCCGGGGTCGGCAAGACAACCATTGGCAAGTCCATCGCTCGCGCACTGGGCCGCAAGTGCTACCGTTTCTCCGTCGGCGGTATGAGCGACGTCGCTGAAATCAAAGGTCATCGGCGAACGTACGTGGGCGCTATGCCCGGCAAGTTCATCCAAGCGCTCAAAGTTGCGCAGACTCAGAATCCGCTCATTCTCATCGACGAAATCGACAAACTCGGCCGAGGCTGGCAAGGAGATCCCTCGTCGGCACTCCTCGAAGCACTGGATCCCGAGCAGAATAACGCTTTCCTGGATCATTATCTGGATGTGCCGGTGGATCTCAGCAAAACCCTCTTCATCTGCACGGCCAACGTAATCGATTCGATCCCGTCACCGCTTCTAGACCGCATGGAAAACATCTCCCTACCTGGATATATTCTGGAGGAAAAAGTTGCCATTGCCCGACGCCACCTGGTACCGCAGGCTCGCAAGGCAGCTGGCCTTACAGCTCGTCAACTGGTGATCCGTGAAGGCGCTCTGCGGGCGCTCGCACGCGATTACTGTCGCGAGGCTGGCGTCCGTAGTCTTCAAAAACAGATTGAACGCATCTGCCGCAAAGTAGCGCTGCAGATCGTGAACCAGGACATCGGCCAGATGGTTGTCAACAGCGAATCGCTCCCGGAACTCGTCGGAAAGCCCCCGTACGCAAGCGAGCTCGCTTATCGCCGCATGCCGTCTGGGGTAGCGCGGGGTCTCGCCTGGACACCTCTGGGCGGAGCAGTCCTCTACGTTGAGAGTATTGATACCGGGCATCAAGGTAGTGGAGGCGCTTTTACTGGTGGTCCACGCCTCCATACGACGGGCCAAATCGGCAGCGTCATGAAAGAGAGCAGCGATATTGCGCTCTCTTTCGCTAGACGCTTTCTCCAGGCCAAAGATCCAGCAAATCGCTTCTTTGAACGTGCCTATATCCATATGCACGTTCCCGAGGGTGCCACGCCCAAGGACGGACCCTCTGCCGGCTGCACCATGGTGACGAGTCTGCTCTCGCTGGCGTTGAATCGACCGGTACCCAGCGACTTGGCCATGACTGGTGAGATGACACTCACTGGACGCATTCTGCCGGTTGGCGGCATTCGAGAAAAGGTTGTTGCGGCGAAACGTGCCGGGTTGAAGCGAGTCCTGTTACCCCAGCAGAATATCAGAGACTGGGAAGAACTGCCCGACTATATTCGTCGGGGCTTGGAGGTCTCGTTTGTCAGCTCCTACGACGACGTCTATCGCATTGCATTTGCCAGTGCTGGTGCCGGTGCCAGTGCCGGTGCTAGTGGACCAGCAGACGCCAACGCAGATGACGCACGAGAAACCACAGCGGTTGCGTGAGCGCGCTCTCGAGGTACGACCAGTGAACGATTGCTGTTCCAGGAGCGTATACACTCCAGAGGCATATGCTGGTCGCTTTACGCCTTAAACAGAAGATGCGACGACGACGACGACGACGACGACTGCTGCTGCTGCTGCTGCTGCTGCTGCTATGCATATCGTCCATTCATGCATCGTGCTAGAGAATGCAGTTCGTACGTGAACGCGAGGCGTTGACGCGGGAATTCTTGTTCGTGCTGTGCGTGTGTGTGTGTGTGCGTCACATACACACACACACGCTCGATATTGCATCTGGTCCGGTTCTTGCAATTGTGTAGAATCAGAGGCTAGGGTGGCCACTGCTCTTGAAACGCTTGTTTTCCGTGCCGCCCGGGGATTGCAGCGCATGCCAGACCAACTGCGAAACGATTCACGTGCATGGAGTCGGGTTCCAGAACGCGAACAAAGACTGCAGTGCTCGACTGGTGGTGCATGTTTCCCAGCGACTTGTCGTGCAACTGCCGCTGCACTCGCATTGATCGCTGAGCAGACGGCCCTGGGCTGTGCCGCAGCGATCGCACAAACCATCCTGAACGAGATAGGTTTGTAAAAGCGCGGATAAACGTCCCGCGACTCGGTACCGAAGTTGTGCTTCCGATAACGGACACGCACATATACGACAGCTTCGCGTTGACAAAGCTTCCGTCGTCTGACTCGACGCAAGCTGGGCCACATTCACTGCAAAGCACCGGCTGCAGACAATAGGGTCAAGAACGATGACCCGATGGCTAGCGTCCAGCGATTTCGCTTTGTACGCAAACGGACTGCATTTGAGGAAGCGGAAGACCGCATGCTCAACTCCGAGTAGCGCCTCTTGCCATGGACGATAGAGTAGCAGGAGGCGGAAGAGCCAGTGCGCATCCTGGGCTGCTGCCTGAGGCTCCCGATCAAGCGACCATTGCTTCACAAGGAAAAAGATTTGATCGGCAGCCAAGGGCGTGAGCGCCGCTGGGGCGGCACGAGCGCCCACGGTGCCGGCTGCTGTCACATGGGGAGCGCGGCCCTGGCCCTCTTGTCCAGCAAGGGCGAGATGCTGGAGCAGGCCCTGGGCCAAGGCCGCAAACTGTTTGCGGGCAGGCGCACTCCAGTGCTCCGCATCGCGCCAGCTGTACTCGAGCCGATACGACAGCGCAACGTTCCCATTTGCTGTTCCGTTTGGTATAGCTCCTGCCTCTGTTGTTGTTGTTGTTGTTGTTGTCGTCGTCGTCGTCGTCGGTGCTTCTGCTTCGGTCTGGACTGGCGTCGTTTCCATGGTCCATGCCCAGTAGTGATCGGAATCGTGCCAGAATGCCGCGCGTATGTAGCGAAGCACAGGCGCAAAAATGAGGCGCCGCAGCACCGGCCGCGTGCGGCACGACTCGAGCAGGAACCGACAGTAGGCTTTTGCTTCGGATAGCTGTCGCCGGTGCGTGCAGAGCATCAGCCGGAACGGCGTCGCGTGGATCACAGAGGCATTCATTTCGGCAAGTGTTTCCATGAGATGGTGAAAAGTCTTCCGAATGAGATGCAGCAGCTCAGCACAGAGCATGCGACTTGTCCGACCCGCAAGGCCTCGAACGATCCACCGATGCAAGTGACTCGTTAAGAGCGCTGCGCTCTGGTCCCCGTTCGCTTCGAGGCCGACCCAGGTCTGCACCAGCGGCCGAAGAACTTGTACCAGCAAGCTACCGGACGGTGCTTGTGAGCGATCCATCGCGTAGAGCGTATCAGCTTCGAGAATGGCAACCAGTGGCAAGTCTTGAATCTCCAGATCAATGCAAATACCCGAATACGCACCCGGAACCGACACCTGGGGCCAGGTCTCAGCGTCGCTCGTGGTATCCACATCCAAGGCCAGGGAGTCACCTCGATGAAGCCAGTCCAGCGGCCAGCCTCGCTGCAGCAGCGCCCTCGCCACGGCCACATCAAGCGTCTCTGCAACCAGGTCGCCACTGAGGTTGCCGATCGGCACCCCATATAGGTCACTGAGTTGGAAACGCAGCGGCAGCTGAGCGCACAGCGCTGTCACTCGCTGCAGGGTGCGCTGCATGGCTGGTGCCTCCCAGCCAGTCGGCTGATAAGAGCAATCCGCGGCGACGTGCGGTACCACAGCGAGCGGGTAATTGTTCAGCGCCGGAACACGGCGGCGCATCAGCGCGACGGGCACGGCAGTCTGCAGAAACAACAACGGTGGCCGAGCCCCCCCGGGGAAACGATTCGCTAACGTGAGTCCGAGCAGGCGGAGGCCTCGCTTCCAGTCCTGAGCGTGAATAATCTCCGTCTGATTGAGTGCGTTTCCGAGCGTTTGCAGTGAACCATCGCCATGGACGCTGCTTTCGTGTCGCAGGCGCATCAAGGTGGATCGCGTTTCAGCGTCGGATCGGAACGAACCGACCAGGATCAGAATGATGCGGTCGGGACTGAAGATGACCCAAATGCCGCGGCCAGAACGGTCTTTTGCGTGACTACCGCAGACTATGATCCATGAAGGAGAAGCGAAGTCTGCGGGCTTCCGTTTCTCGACCGAGTCCAGGTCGGTGAGCGCGATGCCCTGCAGCTGAAGCGCACGTAACGTCTGTTTGGCTGCATCCGGTTTCAGCACACAAACAATGCCCAGCGAGGCAACGGCAAGCAAGAGCGGTGACACCTGCACACCATAAAGTCCAACCAGATAGCCAGCGTGTAGACAGAGAGCGTCCCGGGCCATTGTGGTCAACTGGGCCTCGCTGACGCTCGCGTCACGGACGGTGAGCGTGTGCACGGCAAGCTCGTCACTGCACCAGGCTCTGTTCCTGCTCGTTTCGATCGGTTGACCCAGTGCGTCGGGCGGGAGTCTGCGGTAGAGCAACCAGAGTTCGTGCGGCACGTGGACAGGCAGCGAGAGCACACGTCCCCTGCTCGTTTGGAACCAAACTCGACATGTTTGGAAAGTTCCTGTTTCGCGAATACCAAGGACGAGAAGCGGTTCGACAAGGTCGGCGTGCTCGAGAACCAGTCCGCTGAGGCGGCAACGTAGACCTGCTGGGTGCGCTGCTGCACTTCTCCTGGCTCGCCGCTGGCGGACCCAGAGACGCCACTGCGGCTTGGCAACCGCTTCAAGCCACTGCTGGTACGATATCGGTCGCAATGACGGCGGCTCGCCACGGGCTGCTGCGTCCGAATGAGGTCGACAACGGCCTGGCTGAACCACCTGTTGCACACCGGCCCGAAACGGAGCCAAACGTGAACCTGATGCGTCACGCTCAGTAACTTGTTCCTGAGCGCTATGAGCAAACCCAACCGACGTACCAGCAGCAGTCCACTTCAACGAGGTGCTCACAGTCTCAAGTACGGTACGAGCAAGGTCAACCGACGACGTAGCACCAGCGGCACCAGCGGCACCAGCGGCAACTGCTGCGTTCAACAAAGACGTGTTCGCAATGCCGCGAGCATCGCTGCAAGGCTGCCTGCGCGGCAACGGTCCGGTTTTGACGACAACGATATCCTCGAGGTCGGGTGTGGCCTTCTGGTCGGCTCTGAAGAAGCTCTTCAACGTAGTTTGCTTCTGCGCGCAGGCAAGGTCTCGCAAGCGCCGTCGCAACCAGTCGGGATGCTCAATACGAGGCACCGGATTCGGTACGCCTTGGCAAGCTGCTGGAATGGAAATGATCCGCTGCACGGTGTTCGCGAGGCGGCCGCGATAATAATCCCAGTCCAGGATTTCGCGGAAATTGTACACGGGCTCCCGTAACCACTTGCGCAACAAAGCCTGGCGTTGCTCGAGGTCTGCGGAAAAGATCTGCACGGGAATAGCTCGCTCCGTCACTTGCGTTCCCAGAGGATACCGCGCAATCACGTAGCGACAGGCGAGGCCCTTGTCGCGAACCATGTCCTTGCCCAAGAATTCCTGTATCCGTTTCGCACAGGTTATTGCGCTGCTCTTCTGGCCAGCTTGTATGTATGCTGCTAGCGGCTTGCTCATATGTGTCTGCTCTGCAACGAGTTCGAGAAGCTCAGCATCACTGAGCAGGCCGCCATTACTGTCGAGCACATCGAGCCAGAGGTTCGCAGTCTCGCCAACGGCAGCATAGCATTCGGCTAGGGTGCTGCCTTCTAAAAAACGCCCAAAGATCTCACTCTGAAGCACCTTGATCAGTTTCAGTTCGCCTCTTCTTTTCAGCTCAAAACCTTTGATTTCGGCGAGACTCCCATCGCGCTGGAATACGGCGTAACGTTTCTTGATGCTTTTCCCCTCCTCGCGACTGGCGGGGAGTACCATCGCTCGATATGGTCCGTCTATCTCGAAAAAGATACTAAACTCGGAGCGCTGCTTGTATGTTCCCTCGTCCGGTGACCACTCCTGGTATTGATGGTTCGTATACTGTGCGGCGACTTTGGTGTTGAGAACGGTGCAGAGCAAAGAAATGGAAATCTCTCGACCACTGCGAGTATGGAGTGTTATGTCGTTCGGAAAGGTAGCTGGGATCGCGCACCATATACCGTCAGTGTCGAGCTCAAGTGGCAAGCCGACGCGCTCGATCCACTCGCGGGCGAGGCGAATGATACTCGCACCGGTCTGTGTGACAACACCCGCCATTTCCATGGAGTACCAGCGAGCAGCTCTGCGCATGACGTAGCCGTAAAAGGAGTTCAGGATACACTTGTGCGCGAGTTGCATTGAATCATAGACGATGCACATGTTGCGCGCTTCGATGGAGGCGCCGCCGCTTTCCGCCAGCGCTTTGCGCCACTGCTTGAGTAGCCGCTTGTATTCGTAGCGACGGTCCCGAAACGCTCGCACGGTGTCTACGTAGAAGGGATTCTCGCGCTGACATATCCAGGCTTCTCGCGTCTGAACGGTCGGTTCGAGGACTCTTTTGTGGACCTTCATGCAGTACTCCCGTAGTCGTTTCCTGTACATGGCCTCAGCGTCATCATCCGAAACTTTCTCTCCTTGCCGTCGACGGGCCCGTACGGTCGTCAGGACTGAGGCGCGGATACTCTGCACCTCTCCAATGGTTGCAGGATAGCACTCTCCTCGCCAGACCCAGTGCATCTTGCGGCGGCAGTCAGACGTGCCGTTAAAATCACAGGCTGCGCAAGTTTCCCGCGTGACGCAAGCGTGCGGCTGCAACCGGTTCGTCAGGATAATATTCGGGTACATGGCGCCCACATCCAGGTGGAGAATCAGGGGGCGCTCCTGCAGCAGCGGCTGCTCGGCAAGGCGTTTGAGTCGTTCCGCGAGGTCTGCCCGCACATTTTCATAGTCCGTAATTTCCTCCAGATGCAAATCCTGTTCACGCTCGATTGCGAACTGAAGGAACTGGTCCAAGTTTTCTTGCAGCTCCCGAACAGCCGCTGTGTCAATTCTGAATGGGATGGGAAGGTCTGCACGGTAGATACCTGACTGCAGTGCCTCAACATGTCCACCAATGTAGGTCTCATTGGCGAGCAAGCGGCTTTGAAACGTTCGTTCTGTCGCATTGTTTTTGAACTTGTTTGGAGCTACGATGTTTCTCCGATGGGCCTCACACATCAAGAGGCTTTCGCAGAGAGTGCCCGAGCCTTTTCGAAGAACATCATCCGGTCCAAATGGCAAAATGTTGCACAACGAAAATATGAAAGGTTGGACATACTTCATATACAACTGATAGGTGGCGACTGCATCGGACACCGAGTAGGCAGCGAGTTCCTGAGGCCGTGTCCGCGCAGCTGTTAGCATCTCCTCGGGGTCGAGTTCGTGCGGTTCGTAACCTAGCAAAGCCCTGGTCACTGCTTTGAGACCACGGGAGCCTTGCGGAAGGTAGCTATCTCGATTCACCCAATGGATGCAATCCATGTGGACTGCAGCGCGTCCGCGGCATAAGCCTCTTGCTGCCGAGAACGACATTCCGATCTTGTCCAGAATGTTGATGCCTAGACGGCTAGCACGGACATGCACGAAAAACCAATCGAAGGCGTCTCCGTTGTACGTTACGTAGACCCGCGGTTGTGCGGCTCGCGCCTCGGCGAAAAAGCGCCGCAGTAGCGATGCTTCATCGGGTTCGTTGAAGACGACAAAGCTAGATTCAAACTCAGGCTTCGGAGCGTATGTAAACCCGTGGATGTCCTCTGCTATGATCTGGCGATTTACGCCTAGATAGCCTCGGCCGTCTAACATCCATGAAATCATCATGATTTCATCATCCGCATATGGGTCGGGAAACTTCAGCGGGGCCTTGGTGCACTCGATGTCGTACGCGAGCACGGTAGGATTCGCACGCTCGACGAGCTCGGACAAGAGGTGTAATTTTGGAGCAGCCCCTCCCGAGGATAATGAATGTTCCACGCGATACCAATAACCGCAGCGAATGTCGCAATCGATGCAGACCCGCGTCACATAGGGGACGTCGTATTCGCGGAGTTCCACGATGTTTTCGTACGGATCTGTTCGACGAATCCGCTGTGCCGCGCTCGAGAGGGAAGCGGATGCGTCTGTACTGAGATCCCCAGGTATGAGGCTGGGGTTTTGCTTACCATTCGCATAGGACAGCAAATGACTGCGGATTCTTACCAAATCATCGGTTGTAAACGTTTCCACACGAAGGAACAAACGTCGGGCTCGCGTCGCCAAATGATTGAGCATATCCAGGTCCTCGAGTTCGGCCCGATGAATCCCACTGAGCACATCGCTGAAATCCCGTTTCAGCGCCGACTCTACATCAGTCTCCTTTCCTGGTGTACATCCCACATAGAAATAAGGCCTATAACACAGCGTCACACGAAAGTCGCCACCACCTTCATCCCCGGAAAGGAAGTAACAATCCAATGCGCTCACTTGGCGGCCACTCGCTGGGTCATGTACGGCTGCAACGGCCACATTTAGCAACCATCCGATCCTTTCTGGTGCTCGAAAACCGTCCAGAACCGGGGGCAATGGGAAAAATCCAGCCATCCGATCCCGAGCATCCAGCGCAGCTCGCGAGTCTCTTTCTACCTGCGTGTCGTGCGCAGGCAACGTCCGCACGTCCACTTCAGCGTCTTCATCTTCAGCCCCAGAGGAAAGTTGTTCCTCATCAGGGTCAAGATACCCGTCCAGTGCCATAGGTAAGCACAGTCCCTGGCGCTCTCTAGTCGTTCGCAACGACGGGGCGCGGGAAACGCACACGTCTCACAAGGCCTCGAGCGCAGTGCGCTCTCGAAGTTTCCCAAGCGATGTAGTGCAGCTTCCTCCTCAGAAGCTTCGAAGCGCGCACGGCATCAAAACACACGCGCCACTGGCCCCCGGAAGAGCTGCAACGATTGTCCAGCCGCCTCCGTCCAGCTCTCCCAAAGTCGCCTCACGTTCCGAAGCTGCCAGGCTTGGCAAAGATACGAGAGGCACCTTTGCGACGAGAGTTCCGCGTTACCCTGTCTCGTCACAAGATGAATCAGTTGTTCCCTACTTGCACTCACGCCTCACACACGGCCTCGAAAGAACACCAATAAGCACCGCAACTAGAGCGCTTCCTATGCACGCATACTCTTCGTGGAGCGCGGAAGCGTGTCTCCGGTGCACGCATACGTTCCCGCGACGACACGCATCGCCCCGCCGCAGAGACACGTATGCATTCCAGGTAGAAGGTGTCAGACAAAGCGCGCCGCCGTCCACTGTGCGCGAATTTTTCGCGCGCTTTTTCGCTGTCGCCTCCAGACACGATTTTGAGTTTGGCACAGGGATCGGGCGATTGCGTGCCCGGGGTGTTGCGACGCGCGAGTTCTCAGTGGATAGTGCGATATCCCGCATGGTCATGATGGCCGGCACACCGGCACCGGTGTAGCTCGGTTCGATCAAACAACTGATCTTTCGATAAATAAGACGACAAGCGAATCAACAGTAGGGTCATTCGTGCTGCTGTCTAGCGTAAGCGAAATACCCCGGGGAATGCCTTATTAGAGAGCGCTGGTGCAAGCGCACCGGACGGTCCATGAATGCGAGCATCGCGAAAAAGAGATCTCGTTGCTGAGACCGCGAGCACAACCACACGCGTGCTGCTTACATACGTTCTCTGGGATTCTTCCGAGCGACCTGCCTCTTCTGTGCAGAGCCATTTGATACTGTCCGCAGCATTACTGAAGGCGCTAATACCATGCTTCAGAAGCACAGCTTCCCGCCGAGATGCAGAGCGTTCATCCTGGAATGGTCGCCGGCTTCCCGGTGTAACGTTACTGGGTCGATAATTCAGAAAACAAACATATCCAGCGTGACGCCGGCGACAGCAGCACAGGAGGCGAGGAGAACATGTTGCAATCCGCACGGGAAACGCTCGTCTGTTGCTGTGTCTCTTTTTGGCACATTTCTTTGGGAATTCACCAACTGCATGACGAGAAAGGCGACGACTTTCTCGATACACCCATGCCAAAATAAAATGGAATGGGTCCAGTTAGCTAACTCGGTCACCAAAACGCTAGCATTCCGCTCTCCTTCTATCTATTTTCATCAACATCAGCCTGTGCGGGCTTTGAGTGCGACTGATTCCTGTCCCTCTCGCTGATCACTGGGCTTACAAATGCCGATGTCTGCATTCGCGTCAGCCGCGCTGCAGCAGTCGAGATACGGTGATGCCAGCGTTCGAGTCCGGCGTTCGCTGTTTCTGGTTCATCCGCAAGCACTGCATCCACAAGCGGTCGTTACGATCCGTGCGTTGCTGGCCATTTGGAGCCCACGTCTCTGGAGCTTCGGTGCGGCTGCCGCAGCGATGACGCCTGACTGCGTTCAGGTGCTTCCATGGGTCTGACGCCACACACGTGCTTCTTCGAGCACCGCCTCGTGGCACGTGAACGCGCGCGTCATCGCTCCTTGCATGCCACTGACCGCTGCAAAAGGCTGCCTTGGATGCCGTACCCAAAGAGCACGGACTTGTTCTGGGCGATCGCCTTGGCGAGCACGCTATCGACTGCGAATGCAAGCGACCGCTGCCCCGTTCGACAGAGGATTTGCGGTAAGCGACGTCGTTCGGGATCAGGTGTGTACCGGGGGCGGAATCCAGACTGGAGCGCACGCCCAGCAATGTCGATCGGTCTGCGCTCCCTTCTTCGTGCACAGCGGTGACACGCGCTCTGCTGGAAGCGATCGCTACGATGCCTGACGTCCGACTCCAGGGCCCTTTGTAATGCAAACAAGGGAGACGAGCACTTGTGGGCGTATTTTCGCATGAGAGGTATGTTGCTGACGATGTTGCATGGTGTGTTGTCGATGCCCACAGAGGGAGAGGGCAGGATTTGTCTCTGGAGTGAAATCGATGATTTGACGTAACGCGTTCAGAGAGGGTTCGGTATGCGCTTGAGACGAAGCCTCACAGGCTCGCCGTCGACTTCTCCTTCACTCGCGGAGGCGGCGGCCCGAATCGCCCCGCCCGCGAGTCGCCTCGCAACGGACGGATCGGGAGCTTGGAGAACGCGCGATCGCAGGATGCTGTTCGTACGGGAAGCGGAAGAGCAGAGGCTCGCACGCGTACAGCGGGTAACGAAAGCGGATACTGGACAAACCATTCTGGATTGCGTCGCGAATGGTCTTGCTTCTAGTCACGTAACGAATTCCTGCTATGAAAGTGGTAGGAACTACTCCGAGGGTTATCACCGAAAATCCTAAAAGTGCATGCAAATCCCTGAGCCCCAATCGCTGCACGTGGAATGTCGATGCTATGCTTCTGAATAAAAAACTCGGTGAAAATCACGAGGCAGGAACAGAGCAAACAATTCAGTGTTCCATTTTATAATCTAAAAGAGGTTAAGGAAAGTAGCACCAATTGACAGGCAGTCATCGCAGCTGGGATGCTGCACCAGCCGCTACGAAGAGCGCAGCGAGCATGTCTTTGTCCTGCATTGACGACAAGTTCTGTTAGAGTCCGGGACGCAGCAGCAGCAACAGCAGCAGTTCTGCAAAAGCGTGCAGTGTCCTTGACGATGAGCTCGCTGCGCTCACAAAACGCAGCTCGCGGACACTAGCAGGTGTGAGAAGGTCGATCCTGTGAACCCGCTAGCGACTTCGAGCGCCTCGGTCGTTGCAGCAGCCGCAGAGGCAACCGTTATTGACCCTTTGGGACCAGAGTGACCCGAGTTTGTTTCTTCTGGTGCAAGTTGCAGCCTAGACGGAGTGGAAACGCGAAAGGATTTCTTCTTTTGGCGAGATGAGTGCAGCGCCGCCCTATGTGCGTGCAAGTGGGCGTAGAACCAGTGACTCTGTTGTGGACGCCAGCAGAGCAGACACAGCTTCAACAGTGAGCGCCAACCGTCGTTTGCAGACGCTCCTCGATCACTGGATTAGACGGGGCTGTGTCACCGAGGTAAGTGGCCCGCGAGGTGTCGGAAAAACTCACCTTGCGCTGGCATGTGCATGTCGCGCCATCCGAGACAACGCTGAGGTTATCATTCTGGATACAGAAGGTGGTATGACTTCGGACCGGCTCCAGCGCATAGAGCCTTCTGTAGCGTCTCGAATGCACCGTATACAGTGCTTCCGTCCTAGCTCGATGACAGAAGTATTGGCGCTGGCTTACTGCATGGATGCAGGTGTAATCGATACAAGTCAGGTCGCTTTAGTTATTGTAGACACCCTCGCGTCGGTTGTGCGAAGCGAATTCGTGCCGGATCGATCACTGGCACGACTTGGTCTGCTCCTACAGCGACTGGCGCATCAGACGAATGCTATCGTGCTGGTGCTGAACCATGTCAGCTTTCGCATTCTTGAAGCCGAAGGCCCACGTGAAGTTCCGTGTGTCGAGAGAATATGGGCATCTCTCTGTACGGTGCGCATACAGCTGATAGGACGGGACCAGTACATTGTATGGAAAGGTCATCAGCTTGATCACGGGGGTGTTGTGTCCGAACGCTCGCAAGGAGACGGCTCAGTCGTTGGCTATTCGCAACCGCACAGATCAGGGAACGATACGCAGCCTTTCGATGCATCTGGAGCTGAGAATCCGGCCTCGCAGCCAAGCGCTCAATCGGATACTTCTTGCAAGGAGCCTAGTGGATCCAATTAGACCAGAGTTGCGTCCGATAATAGGCATCGCATCCGTTGCGACAGCAACGACGTGTTCCGATCGGTTGCTGCATAGATAATAGAGCTTGTTCAGGATTCTTGCCCGGTTGTAATGTCCTTCTGGGGACGACCGGGCGTGCACCTTCGAGTTTGTCGCGAGCTGGGAAACTGCACTGTGCGATTGATTGCACTGCACGTACACCTCTCGGGATACACGAAAAGAATGTGAAAGCTTCGTATGGAGGCGCATTTGCGCAGAACCGAAAAGTGCGCTCCACCGTATTCGGTCAACGATGCGGGATGAATCCGTCTCATGATAGCTGGCGAAATCTTTCTGCCCCTTTTTAGCCGGGTGGTTGTTCAGCGAACACTTGTGTTTGCGTCGAAAAAGTGGGAGCGCGCATCCTTGCACGAGCGCTTTTGGGTATCGGATATGTGCATTTGCGCACCCGTGTCCGTATACGTATCTGTATCTGAATCTGGGGGCGCGCCTGGACCAGTGCCTGTGTACGTGACTGTAGATGCATCGATGCAAAAATGCATCTACATCTTTGCGCATTCGGATACCGGGACCTAGAAATGTGTGTGTATATATAGAGGAGCCCATCTAGGAGCCTCTGAATTCGTGCATAGTTTCATTCAATGCCCCGTTCGTGCCCAGCGACATTGCAGTGCAATGGAGAAGCTTTTTCAAGGTGGCTATTTCTGGGACAATTCTGTCTTCAAATTCTGATTGGCATTCGCATGCTTCCAGATCTTGTCGAAAATCGCTGCTAGAGTTTCGCACACCCCAAACTGTACATCAGATGCGCTCAGTATAGCCATTTTGAGAATCCTAATTGGCAATCGCGCTTGATGCACAGGGCCAAGGAACGAGATGGAGTCGACCACGCGAACGCCCCTTGCAAAGTAAAACCCTTCTGTGCGCTGATTGGACTCATTCACGATCAGGAACAACAGATTCAAGGAAGGTTTCCGTGCTCGTGCACTGTATGTCCGGCAGTGTGTTGTCGTGCGGGATTGTTTGCTGTGACGTGAGAGACTCGCTCAATTCTAGTCCCGAACGCAAGGCCAATAGGGCCTGGCATGGCTCGCGTTCGTCGGCCACCATTGCACGCTTATCTGAGAGTATGATGGAAAACATTTCACGCGATCGTGGCTTCATTCGTATGCGGAGTTCCGACCACTCATCTACGATATAGTTCTGCTCCAGCTAAAAGCGGCGGTGGTCCTGTGTCTCACAGGAAACCAAAATCCACTTGCATCCCTTTGTGCACGACAGGCGCCCATGTCACTGGAATACTTTGCTGTCCAGGTCGCTGCAGCCTTCGCCACAGCGCGTGGGGTTTTTTCGCTTCACGCGGCAGCAGCCTGACCTCTTTTGCGCGGGTCACTCGCTGCGTACATGATACCGTCTTGGACAGTGCCGCGCTGCACCGGCTCGTTTGAATGCAGAGCAAATAGCGGCAAACCAGCATGGGGTCGCACGACAGCCTGCACACAGCCAACCATTTCTGGTGCAATACTCTCATGGTCTTGGCTTCCCTCAATTTCGTGACCGACACGACGCATGTATTGGCACATCTGAGTCCAAATACCGCTATTCTTTTCCTGTGCAGATCGAACTCCTCCGAGCTCGCATTTTTGACCAACCGCTTCCATCCAGAGAACATTCGGTAGCAGCTGATGGTGTACGCGTGGCATAGAAATGGCCTCTACCAGGCCATCAGCAAAGTCGAGCACATTGATCAGCACCTGCAGCGTCGATGAAATGATTCGGGGCCCACCGGATCCGCCAACAACAAGCACGGTACGTCCGTTGCGTACGACAATTGTAGGTGACATCGAGGAAAGTGGTCGCTTTCCAGGCACGGGAAAATTTGGCTCTGAGGGTGATATATCGAAGGCATTCGGATGCCCGGCCACGGAAAAGTCGTCAATCTCGTTGTTGAAGACAATGCCTGTCGAGCGACTTCGAATCATGGAGCCAAATTCAGTATTGATGGTGGACGTGAGCGCGACAGCATTGCCTTGTGCGTCAAGAACGCTCAAATGGGTAGTGCCGTGGTCATCGACTCCGCCGATAGTCGAATGAATACGCTCGGCGTCAAAGTAATAGTCCGCAGGATGCGTTTGCAGGGTATCCAGAGTTTCGCGCAGACGCGCGGCTGCCGCTTTGTTCACCATGTAGTCGCTGACGTGAACTGCTGCTTCAGGCACAAAGTCCGGATCTCCTAATTGCGAACGGCTCGCAAAAGCGTATTTCAGGGCTTCGGTCACAAGCTGCAGACTCTCATTGGAATGTCCACGAGATGGCATATTGTAGCCCTCGAGGATGTTCAGCGCCATAGCGATCGCCGGTCCACCGGAGCTCGGAAGTGAAGAACCGAGAATCTCAAAGCCCCTGTAGAAGCTTTGCAGAGGCTGTCTCCGTTTCGGTTGATATCCACTGATGTCCTCGGCAGTCATTAGTCCACCTGCCTCCTGAATTTCTTTCGCCAGAGTCGAGGCCGAGTGATTGTACAAGTAATCAGCGCCGTGAAGCGCAATCTGCGTCAGGAGTTCTGCCAGCGCCGTCTGGACGAGCGTCTCGTTTTCCGCCAAGACACGAGAACCGCTGGGGTCACAGAACACTTCACATAAAGTAGGCGATTTGAGAATTGTTGGAGCATTCTGAGCCAGGCGATATGCGAGCATGGTTCCAACCGTCGCGTTACGAGCGAGAGGGATCACTGGCAACACAACATCTCTCCAAGAAAGCTTCCCGTATAGGGCATGCATGAGCTCGAGACCTCGAAGTTCACCAGGAACCGCGATGGAGAGTCCGCCATGGCGCGTACTTTCCGGGCCCCGTTCGCGTAGAAGCTGGTGCGTTAGGTTCATTGGCGCCGTCTCCCGTGCGTCAATGAAGTCCGTTGACCCGTTCTGCAGCCGAACGAGCGCGAAGCACCCACCTCCGATTCCAGATGCAAATGGCGACAGAACTCCTTGGCAAAGGGCAGAGGTCACAGCGGCGTCCACGGCGTTTCCGCCCAGTTCCGATAGAACCTGCAGTCCTAGTTTCGAACAGACGGGGTTGTCCGCTGCAACCGCTCCATATCGCTCACCACGTGCCAAGATGCTTTTGCCAAACGGAGCAAAGTTTTCTACAAGTGACGCTGCAGTGGTGTCGTCGCCACGAGCGCCTTTGTGGGCATCAGAACCTCCAGCGACAGGGCCTCCCTTTGAATCGTGAGTCGAGTCAGCCGCCTGAGATGGCGTACTCGTTCCAGCACGCTCATCACTTGGTGGCAAAAAGATCGGGATGCTCAAAACTGCCGCGGCGAACAGTACAAGAAAGAAGAAGAGTAGCGCATACTTTCGCAGCTCGCGAGGGTCACGCTCGCCTTCCCACCACGAAGGCAACTCGAGCCCTGAGCGAACCAAGAAAGGCTCGCGTTGCTGTTGGGACTCAACATCCAGAAAAGTCGTCCGTCGATCAATCTGTTTGCGTGGACTCAGAACAGTGATCTGGTCGGTCATCGGGTGTTGCCAGTCCACGCTGAGCAGGTTCAGAGGCGTGGCGAAGGTTGCAGCGACCGGGCAAGAAACCCCTCGATGAGCCCAGCACACGCGTAGCGTTCGCAGCGGCTCACGCCTGAGCGGATGAGGTACGCATCTCCTTCGTCATTGGGAGTTTCGTTAGGTTTCTTGTTCGTTAAAAAATACTCACGACACGATTCATGTGCATGTATATACGTTTATTCCTGATGCTTGTAATGCAACTTTATCGGACTATGGATGGTGAACTGTTTTGGATTGCACTGCTATCGGGCGTTATGGGCTGGCACTGATGACACTACATGTTGTTGCCGTACTGTCGTCGTTGTCTAGGTCATGGTGCCTGCTACTTTCCCCGGATCCGGCGATCTTGGCAGAGATGCAGCGCGCTTTCAGCGTCGATATGGACCACGACGTGCGAGCCTTGTACATCACATGGCAGGATCGAGGCACCCGACAAAAGCAGATACTGCATTTTGGTCTACGCTATTGGTGTACTGGCGAGAGCGTACCCGGAAGGTCGTGGCGCAATCGCCAAACCGTGAAGTGATTCTTACTCCCGCCAGTCATATGCGCCCGGATATTCGTTGGCTACCTGCTGATTTTTCACATCAAGTAGGAATACTTTGGAACGTACGGATTTTCTCTCTTTCCGTTTATACGTCCAGTGAGGCGGAACAGGTTCACAGCGATGGAAGGTAAAAATATCTGTCCAATCGCAGACGCCTCCCAACGTCGTTTGACCGGTCGCCTGGTATCGGCTTCAGATTTTCCTCACATACTGCGCGAAGAGGCTGCCCCATAAATAAAGTAAGCTCGCCTCAGATCCCCGAGTCTCCTCTTCGGCACCGCACATCGTCTCATATTTGTGGCGGCGTTGATGTCACAGTTGACAAACTCCTTGCTTTTATTGCATCCGGGCGAAATAACCAAAGCAAGTATTTCTAGAGCTCATGTCCTCTGCGCCACGACAGTCTCGTCATCGTCCCGCTGGGTAAACACCTTTTCTCAACTTTTCCCCTTCTTCTGCTTCTTCGTCACTTGCTCCTCTTCTCACGATGGTATCGGAGAAGAGAATTTTATTGGTTTTCGTCCAACCCGGTGATGATGGCCCTCCGAGATCCTCGAATTATACGCCCATACCATCGCATTTTATTTTTTATTTTGGAACATGAACACCCTTCTTCATGTCCTGAGGTGAAACCCCTTCACGGAGGGAGAAGGACTTGCGGAAGACAGACGGAATGTGCCCCGGTGAGTCAAAGTTGTGAAAGCTTGATCAGTTCGCCCAGCGTAGCGTTCATTACGTTTCACGGTACGACACATTCCTTCGATGTGTTGAATCACGTAGAGGAAGCATTAATGAAAAGCAGCTCTATCCGGATAGAATCCGCAAAAACTCGAACCCAAAGGGCATCATGAAATACCAACTTGTATAGTTGAAGGACGTTACCAGATGTCAGGGAAAAGTCTTCAATGATTCGGCTAATTTGTACATGGTGTTGTATGAGACTTCTCTACGAGCGACGCTGAGGCCGCCATACGAATCCCTTGTAGCTAGACCAGATGATATCCTCGTTCTCTTCGAGTTCGGTCGTATATAACATAATCCCTCCCCGCGAACACCCATATATGCGCCAACGGTATCGCCTGAAGGAACCATCATCAACTGAAAAAAGAAACCGACGTCCCTGTGCCTCATACCGGTCGTGAGGTACCAGGAACACTTTCTTTGCGATTTCGTTGGAAGATGGACATGCTGTAACTAGTACCTTTTTGGGACTGTATCCCAGTGTTTTCAGGACAGGATGAAAAAGCTGGTGAGGTGCAGAGACGCCCGTAGTGGCTACTGTTGTCGCTTCTACCTTCCGGAAGGTGAACGACGGTTCGCTGTCTGCCATTGACCGCCAGCATTCTATAAAACTATCGGTTTCTGGCGTAAAGCGCACATACATCTTTCTTTCCACGTTCCTCAACCATCTGAGTGTCACGGTGTGACTGATCTGAAGGAGAACTGCAGTCTTCCTTGCACTGTTCAGTACAAAGTATACCCTACAGACAATTCATCGACGATCTATAGAGCACACTGCAGAGTTATTTCGATCTGCTGCTCTACACCGCATCCGCCGAGAAATAAAATTGAGTTGGAAGACTAATGTAGCCCTTGGGCCAGCGTCCGGCGGATACCGCTGCTTCTTGTACACGCTCTTCGGGATGCATGCGGCAGGTACGCATCAACTCTGCATGACATGCATCCGCTTTGAGATCCAAAACCCCCTATTAGATTATAAAGTGGAACACTGAATTGTTTGCTCTGTTCCTGCCTCGTGATTTTCACCGAGTTTTTTATTCAGAAGCATAGCATCGACATTCCACGTGCAGCGATTGGGGCTCAGGGATTTGCATGCACTTTTAGGATTTTCGGTGATAACCCTCGGAGTAGTTCCTACCGCTTTCATAGCAGGAATTCGTTACGTGACTAGAAGCAAGACCATTCGCGACGCAATCCAGAATGGTTTGTCCAGTATCCGCTTTCGTTACCCGCTGTACGCGTGCGAGCCTCTGCTCTTCTGCTTCCCTTACGAACAGCATCCTGCAATCGCGCGTTCTCCAAGCTCCCGATCCGTCCGTTGCGAGGCGACTCGCGGGCGGGGCGATTCGGGCCGCCGCCTCCGCGAGTGAAGGAGAAGTCGACGGCGAGCCTGTGAGGCTTCGTCTCAAGCGCATACCGAACCCTCTCTGAACGCGTTACGTCAAATCATCGATTTCACTCCAGAGACAAATCCTGCCCTCTCCCTCTGTGGGCATCGACAACACACCATGCAACATCGTCAGCAACATACCTCTCATGCGAAAATACGCCCACAAGTGCTCGTCTCCCTTGTTTGCATTACAAAGGGCCCTGGAGTCGGACGTCAGGCATCGTAGCGATCGCTTCCAGCAGAGCGCGTGTCACCGCTGTGCACGAAGAAGGGAGCGCAGACCGATCGACATTGCTGGGCGTGCGCTCCAGTCTGGATTCCGCCCCCGGTACATACCTGATCCCGAACGACGTCGCTTACCGCAAATCCTCTGTCGAACGGGGCAGCGGTCGCTTGCATTCGCAGTCGATAGCGTGCTCGCCAAGGCGATCGCCCAGAACAAGTCCGTGCTCTTTGGGTACGGCATCCAAGGCAGCCTTTTGCAGCGGTCAGTGGCATGCAAGGAGCGATGACGCGCGCGTTCACGTGCCACGAGGCGGTGCTCGAAGGAGCACGTGTGTGGCGTCAGACCCATGGAAGCACCTGAACGCAGTCAGGCGTCATCGCTGCGGCAGCCGCACCGAAGCTCCAGAGACGTGGGCTCCAAATGGCCAGCAACGCACGGATCGTAACGACCGCTTGTGGATGCAGTGCTTGCGGATGAACCAGAAACAGCGAACGCCGGACTCGAACGCTGGCATCACCGTATCTCGACTGCTGCAGCGCGGCTGACGCGAATGCAGACATCGGCATTTGTAAGCCCAGTGATCAGCGAGAGGGACAGGAATCAGTCGCACTCAAAGCCCGCACAGGCTGATGTTGATGAAAATAGATAGAAGGAGAGCGGAATGCTAGCGTTTTTGCGACCGAGTTAGCTAACTGGACCCATTCCATTCTATTCTGGAATGAATATAAGACGCGCAACGCATTCGCAGAAGACGTACTGCGATGTCTAGCGCCGAAAATTGTCCAGAGTTCTAGGTGCTTCGCCAAATGCTCCTACAATGCATATCGAAGACTGCCGATTTGTGAGCATTAGGCCTCCTGTGCCATAGAGTGCGCCTCTCTTCCTCAAAGCAGGTACAGGTATCTCTTCCTCAAGAAATTCCGATCAGAATCACTTAAGAAGAATGCTATCCACATTGCGGCTCACCTGACCTTTTAAAAACTTCACACAAGAGTGCGCGTCGGTGACCCACATCAGACGCGTACCGATAACTGCAGCCGCTCCTCATGGACCTTGTCCAGGAACGCGTCTCTGCAGTAAATCAATCGCCTCTGCCGCGTAGCCACGCAGGATCGTTTATCGCGAATTTTTGCTCCTAGGCAGCACTACTCACTCTGTCCAGCAATCACGCGAGTGCTACAGACTCTTCCTATCGACGGAGTCCGCTGGAGCGCTGCGCCAAACGTAGAGAATTCTCTCATAAAAGGAAGCGGTGACACATTTCAGATTGTGCCCCAACCCCGGAAGCCAGCTTGCGGCATAGACGAGCGAATGATCCATATGCTGCCCGAGATGGACTTGAAGTCGCGGTAGCGGCCCCAGGAGATCGACGATCGCGGCGTGTCCTTGCATGCAGGCCACCAGCAGCGAGGTGCCGCGCACCTCAATACGCCATGGCCCGCCAGGCATCTGCAGCGTTTGCCACGAGCGCCCGAGCATACGCGTGTCCCAAAAACGCAGCTTTTCATCGAATCCACCGGAAACAAAAACGTGCTCATCCAAGAAGCACGCTCTGGTCACGCCCAGTGCTTCATGTGCTTGGTAGCTTGATACGCAAGGGTCCTCCTGCGGTCGCAAACGCGAATCCCAAAGGCGTAGGTACCCGTCATCGCCACCGCTCATGATCAGATACTCCTGCGCTCCGAAGCACGCGAACCAAGCCTCGTGGGCGTGCGCTTGCGTTCGTTCCCAGAGCCAGCTGGGAGAATCCAACGTCGCCAGCGCGATCGCTCCGTCAGCAAAACTGGTGACGATCTTGCCCTCGCTTGCTCCCGCCCCAAGACAAACCGATAGAGCGATAGCTGGACCGTCTAGATGTTGCTGTACTGTCCAGCCTGAGGCTCCATCTTGCACTTGCAACGCACGGATCCCGCCGTCAGCTGAGGCTACCACCAGGCTGTTTTCGTTGAACCAGTGCAAGTCGAGGACGCCGAAATCCAGCGCTTTCCAGGCTAGTAGCGGCTTGTCTTCGGGAGAAAACTTGATGAGGCCAACACCGCCGATCCGCCTGTTTTCGTGGAGCTCGTACGCCCCGAAAGCCAGACAGGCGCCCCGCTCTAGGCACCTGGTAGCGACCGCGTCTGGGCAAGATGGCACGGTAATCTTACACCATTCCTCCATGAGGGCCCCGATTTGCTCTAGCCCCTGTCCCGTAGGACTCAAAACCGGAATTGGATCGACTCCCTCCCCATGCTGAGGCCGGTCACCGAGCAAACCACAAGCACTACAAAAGCGCCACCGGGCTGGACGCACTGGCACGAGAACGGACTCTGGTCCATCCGAGTGCTGTGGCTGGCACGAGTTACCTGAGGAGGACGCGCACGGTCGGTGGTTCCAACGATACTCGCGACCTGGTTAGGAAGCGTCCTAGCAACAGTTAGTTGATTCTCGATACTTGGGTAGCGAGCGCAGCGTCTGCAGTTAGAGTCGCACCGATAGGCGAGTTTGTAAGCACCGCGCCTCCAGGGACAGGTGCAAGCACGAACTTGGAGAACCTCTGCAACAGGCGGCGTGTCTGGAACATTTCCTGTTTCTCTGATAGAAGATTGTTGAGAACTTGTACACTATGAAGAAGCAACTCCGCGTTTTAGATCTGAAACAGCGACGAGCGCGTCTGGCCGAACTAGAGGCTACACTGCTTGCTCAGAGTGCTACTGAGCAGGAGCACGTCGAATCCCTGTCAGAAGAGCAGGCGGCTGCCGACTTCATCGAGCACTTGGTATGCCTCCGTACACCTCAGCCCATCATCCTGGAGTCTATTTTGAGCTGCGCGCTGCGCAAGCTGCGAGAACTTGTGATATATGCTTCAGAAACAAACCTTTCCGCCTCGGACCCGGATGTGAAGGAGGCCTTGCAAGCTTTCCGGAGGGTCATTGTACTCTGTTTTAGGAGCTCCACCATACACAACTTTCTCACCCGCTCGAACATGGCATGCATCGATGAACTTGCGCGGCTTACTGTCTACCGCCTTCGGCAGGAGCTGGCTACACATCAGTCGTTACACATCGCTGCGCTGCAGTGTGCGCAGGAAGTGTTTTCGTCCTGCAACCCAACCATCGATGCTTTTTCAGCGCCACAGGAAGATGAAAAGCTTGCTCATCTTCGAGCCATCCTTCAGGTCTGGGATTCTCCCGAACTCGAGACAGACGCAGCCCGCATCGCTGCCTGGATGAACCTGGGCGGGCCGGTCGCACACGCGCTCGCCTCCGCGTGGGCGCGTAGCGCGCCAGCACCAGCGGCAACTGCGAAACGCTGTTCCTCCTAACCGTAAAACTTTGCGACGGTTTGCCATGTACTGTCCATGAGGGTTCGTAGAGAGACGCGCGGAAAAGCTGAAGGTGACCCCGACGATGCGTTAGACGGTTTTGTGCCGCCTTCGCTGGTGTGCAAGGGCACTGCGTTGGCTGTACTGAAGCGTGTCAACGTGCTAGCAGAGTCGAACGCTCTGGCGTTGGACATAGGCGGCTCGCTCGCGAAAATACTGTACTTCCAGCCCAATACGCGAGGAACTGCAGAGAGACAGCTATGTATCGACTTTCTGGAGCCGGTAGCGGCGGCACACCGCTCAGCGCTGTCAGTAGCCGTGCAGGAGCTCGGGGGTACGTTCCACTTTTTTGCTTTCGAAACGAGAAACATTGAGGAGTGCGTGCAGTTTATTAAAGAGCACTGGATGCCAACGAATACGGAGAAACCTTATGTGATTCGCTCAACCGGTGGCGGTGCGTACAAATATCGAGAGCTCTTTCGCGCGATCGGTGTAGAGCTTAGCACCCAAGATGAGATGGCTTGCACGGTGGCTGGGTTGAACTTCCTTCTGACTCATTTCGAGCATGAGGTGTACTCTGTGACTGTTGCCCCAGATACGCAAATAGGCTCTCCGAATCCCATCATTCAGCGGAACTACTTGGACGCTCGACCGGATCCGTATCCTTATCTGTTGTGTCATATTGGCTCGGGAGTGAGCTTTATTAAAGTACAGGGGCCGCGCAGCTTTCGTCGCGTCAGCGGCACCTCGCTGGGCGGGGGAACCTTCTGGGGCCTCTGCCGAATTCTCACTAACTGCAAGACATTTGACGAGGTGATCGAGCTCACGAAGAAAGGAGATAACTCGCGCGTCGACATGCTTGTCGGGGACATCTACGGGGGCGCCTACGAGAAACTGGGCCTCGATGCAAATCTAATCGCAGCCTCATTTGGAAAGGTTACCATGAGGAAGGAGCCATCGCCGACTTTTGAAAACTTCCGACGCGAGCTGCGCCGCTTCATCGTCGGAACAATGTCGCTTTTCGTGCAGCTCCTCATTGCGCTTCCGTTCCTCGGCCAAATCTTCCGGTGGCTCGGTCTGGAGCGAAGGGCACACGCCACCCTGAGCAATGTCTATTTCAGTCGCCATTTCCATGCCGAGGATGTTGCCTTGAGTGCATTGCGCATGGTGAGTTACAACGTCGCCCAACTGGCCTACCTGAACGCTGTCATTGAGAACGTTCCACGAATCTATTTCGGGGGCAGCTTTGTCCGTGAGCATCCTTTCACGGTATCTGCAATATCCTATGCGGTAGAATTCTGGAGTAAGAAAAATATGCAGGCGCTCTTCCTAGTGCATGACGGGTATCTCGGTGCCCTAGGAAGCTACCTGGGCGTCGACTGGACCGAATCTGAACAATTTGCGGATGAACAGATCCCTACAAACGCGATTTCACAGATGCATTCGCATGTGGCGATGAACCGCGTCATCTTTAACCCGGCGGCGAACGGCTCAAGTCGGAAGAACAAAAGGCAAAGGCGCAAGCAAAGCCTCGCTTCAGCGCCGTCATCTGCGGCTGCACCGATGCACTTCAGCAAAGCACGATCCCAACAGCGTAGCGCCCTCGGCGACGAACATGGACCCGAATTCGAAGGCACCGGAACCGAAACAAGTCGTCTGGACTGAGGCTTTACGGAAAACTTGTTCCGCGAGATAGTATCGAATCTCCGCGAAATATTCGTAAGCATCACGATGAGGACAAGCGTTTCGCGCAGCGAATGGATAGCATCACCGTTTCCCTGATGTCTCGCGAGTTGGTTTCGACTTGTGGACGATGCCCGGCGAGCATGTCGTACACGAGGATTCCCCAAGTCTCGAGAGGACTCACGCGAGCTCGGCAGGAAAGCTTGCGCTCCGTCAAAATCCCTTCATCGTCCGCAGGCACTTCAGTACCATGTGAGCATGCCCCGGTTGATTACCGTCCATGCAGCCGCGCATCAAGCGTCTGATCGGGCGACCCTCGTGATCTGGCAACGTGCAAGACGCTTCCCATAAAGTGCCCTCGTCTCTGATATTTCGTGCTTGTTTCGCATCGAGTCGATATAAAACGAACAATGCCAGCGAAGCGATATACGCGCCACAGAGTCCGGGGACGGTTCGCGTACTCGTTGAGCGGTCGCTCCAGGAACGCGCGCTTCGACTTGAAGGCATGCCCCAACTGATTGGCACCATTAGTTTCCAGGGTATGTGGAACAAAATTCATCACGAGATTGTCGGTAAACTCCCAAAAGGGTTCAATCAACGTAGGCAGTGCACCCCGAAATACTTGATCGTGAATGTAGAGCTCGGTCAAACTTTGCTCTCTGCACTAGGACGAGTCCGACTGCAATCACCATCATGTCCTACCACATTGAGAATGTCCAGAGACCGCATGACGCAGCGGTGACGGTCTTCGCTGTGGCATGTTTGCGCAAAAGCAGCATCCATACCGATGCATCCGCACAAAGCGGGAACTCGTTGCCAAACACTCACCGTTCCGGCGGGTATAAGTGCCGTGAATGGTACCAGGCCCGAGGCTTCCCCGACTCCAGCGCTGTGCAATGACCTTCAAACAAAAACGCTCAAGCCGACTCCTGAGGCAAATTGCCACCCCGAACGAAATGCAGGGAACTCGCGTCCACGCAAAGGATCGCGTCCTATTTCACAGGATACTTGCAAGCGACACGCGTGTCTCTTAAACATAATGAAAACATCCACAGAGACCAACGATCGGGTTGCCTGGCTGGGGAGCACGCACCTTACCATGCACACCCGCGCGAATGCATATTTTATTCCTCATCGACAATGAAACGTGCAGAGGTGCCGTGCTCGGTGCTTGAGTGAAATCAAATAGCAGAACTGCCCGGCACTTGCCATGCCGCGATCTCACAGGCACTGAACAGACGCCGGGTAAAGCGGCTCCCTTGGGTCGAGGCGTCAATTGTCCGTATCCGTCGAAAATGGAAGGCTGACATGTTCGCTGGGCTCCCGGCTATCGATGTTTTCCGACATTGTTTCCATGTACAGCATCGAGTATCGAACTGCAGCAATATGGGCGTACGAATTCATACGTGGTTTAAGATTCGTGGTTGTCTTTATCGGAATGGCTTTTACGAATCTATGCTGCGGAAATTTGTTTTGTTTATTTGTTTCATTGACAAAACGTTTACATGGGCCAGCGTTCTCCAATTGTGCGCTCTTTCTGCTCCCACATTTTTTTGTGTTTTTTCCAGTACACGGTGAAGTATCCATCAAACGCCCTACCTCCAAGTTACATGTCCCATACTTCTTCTCGGATATTCAGGTCGTTTCATACGTCCTATCGTGTGTGCCTGGTGCCTGCCGAAAGCGACCGCAATGGAGTCTTTAGCGCCGATGCGTTCGCTGCACGGAGACAGAATGGCGTTGCCGTACCACACAGAGGGCATCGGCTCGAGATTCGTTCTGGTAAGGGAATCGGGAAGATTCGCGACGCACTCGAAAAAGCGTTTGAAAAAATAGATACCATCATCCAATTGAGTTTTGCATGCCCCCACTCTTCTCCTTTCGTTAAGCGTGGCGTGCTCAAATTATGCCTTCTAAATGTTTTCCATCCTTCTGTTTCACCACAACTCGTAAGAGCAGGAATTCGCACCGCTATATAGAAAAGGAAAAGAACTCGACAGTTTCAGTTGATGAGCGTTTTGTGGAAGCACCTGCCGAAAGCTATTTTGACTTTCCTTTATCAAATAATCGAGACAATTCGAATAACGAATCCTCCTACTTTGCGGCCAGCGACTAGACGGTGTTCGACAAGATCACGCTACCTCTCACAGGGTTTGCGCGCAGAGGCACCAGTCTCGTCTGTTTAGATGTAACAGGGTCGTAGACTGCGGCTCGAGACATCGCAGCAGTTGCCCCATTGGGGAGCGCGTCACCGCTTCACACGACGAGAGCGTAGACCAATCGAATCATTTCGATGTGCTATGCAGTCAAGGTTCCCCTTCCTGCACTGGTTTCATCAGGAGCAACATCGCGCTCCACAAAAAGCCTCTTTTATTCGCAAAATAGCAGAGGGCAGAATATAGGTCATCTTGCCTACTTTAACTTTTTCTCCGTTGTTCGACGCTATTCAGAGCTTGTTCCGGACCATGGCAAACATATTCATGGATTTGAATTACTTTTTCGGCAACCCGGATCGCCCTCGACACGACCAATACTCAGTGCTTTTGGCGCCGAAACTGCTGCCACTGGGCTCCTCCGCACCTGTTTGGCGCAATTTGTTCCCGTTCACGGATCGGGGACTTCCAAATAACCATGAACGATAGCGATGAACAAGATGTACAGAATGAATATGTAATGCATTCTTATCAGTAGAGGCACATGGCCGATGCGCACCTGGTACACCGAGGTAAGAACTTTCTCAGAGCAACAATGAAATCCCGGAGTATTTCGCTTAGAGGCGCATACCATCCATACAGAACGTCGCCCATGTCGGACGCAACGCCTTCCTCCACGAAGCGCGTCGCATGGGCATCTTCTCGAACGAGGAGCTGTCTTCATCGCTACTCTACGGCACTGCGGTCGTGACGGCATATCTCGGACCACACTAGCTTATGCCGTGACATCGAGCCCGAAGAGAAGAGCGGGAACTCCATCGCCGCATTCTGAAGCAACGCGATTGCCTCAAGCTCAAGCGCATGCACAGCTTGTGCGGCGTAGACCTTGGAGTCCTTCACCGCAATTGTGTTCCACCTCCGGGTACGTGTCATCAAGCGCTCTTTAGCGGTCTATATCAGACTTGCTCAGAGTGCGTTCATTTGAAGAAATAAAAAATCTAGGGGACAGGTATCGACATGAAAGTTGGAGATATTGCAGGGGATGTCGTCGCCGGCTGCCTGTAGAAAACGAAAAAAAAAATCCGCTTCTCGTCAGCTATCTAGCGAAGAAGGGCATATGCTGAAAAAGAAGAAAAAGAAACAAAGAGAACGACGAGTCAAGGGGCTTGCCCAACCGAACGACAACGAGACTGTGGTGGCATAGAGGGCACGAGTTCGGGGACTCCTTCCAATAGTGAGTTCACCCGGAGGCCCTGCACGCAGGGAGTTCGCGAAACGAGACTTCAACGCCATCATCAATGTCAAGAGATATGCGGCGCTGAGGACGACACCCGCATAGCTGACGCGATCTGTCGTCGTGGGGCAGCTCCTCAGGCTCAAGATCTACAGGGAGATGCTGAAATCGATAGCATACGGCCGGTCGGAAAAAACTGGGAGGCGCCTGTGACTGGGTGTAAACATATACAATCTACGGTAGAAAAAGGTTTTTTCGCTCCATGGACTGTAACACGGACAAGTGATTCTAGATTGCGTGGTTGTTATCGGGGCCTGAGAAAACGTCCACCATTACGCAACATCCTTCAAGTTGCTCCAGACATCATCTATGCTTTCCTTCGGAGATGCTGGATCGTTCTGGCGATCCTCTGGAAACCGAGTCCACTGTGAGTGCCAACAATGGCATCTTATGCACCAGTACAGACGCCAAACGGAGACAGAGCGGCTTTAATGTGCTTTTGTGAGCGTCGGTTCGAGGGCTGCTCGCGCGAGAGGTCCCCGTCACAAGCAAGCGCAAACGCACGTCACCGTGGATATAGTGCAACCGGGGAATCTGGTTCACATTATCGACGTTTCACACCATGGGGAACCAGGGTTTCATCTCGCGTAGATGCCCTTCCAGGTGCCGTTGAGCCACGCCGTCGCCTCGTGCGGCGAATGCGTCGTCACTGTACGGATCCAATCCCCAGCGCTGATGGGAGGTGCTGTTTACGGTTCTTCGAATGTGCTTATATTCGGACAGAAGCAGTGATCCCTCGACTGATCTCCACTGGCAATAGCGAATGCTGGGAATTCATGTCCAATGTTTCAAGCGTATACCATAAAACATTTTATCCGGCATATGATGCCGTTCTAGCAGCAGTGAGAAAGCCGCTCTATGTTTCTCGAATTACTGCTCATCAAACGCGTAACGCGGCCGGCAACTCCCGTGTTCCATCGCACGAACTGATGCACCATGACGGTCTCGTGCAGCGTCCTCGCTCGTGACTGTGTCGCCTTTCATGTCCGACGACTTCTGCGCCAGGTACTCAAGTTCGCAGCAATGTGGACGATAGATGCAGAGGGCCGAATTCGCAAATCCAATCGACTTCGAGCGAGCAGATGCCGCGCATCCTGAATACCCCTGTTGTTCCGTTCTACTATCGCGCACAGATAATAACCGCCGACGATGAGCTGGTTTCCGATGAACGAAGCTTGGCGAATGCAGGCTCGGGCGGTGTCTTCTTCAGATACGCAACCCATATCCGAACGCTAGCTGTGCCGATCCCCGCGCAGAGTGCGTCTCTGTGCCCGTGAGCCTCTGTGAGGGCAAAAGTTTACGCGCTAGCGCTCGGAAGCTAACGCTCAGCCTTGCTTCTTCGTGTCTCCGAGCTCGATCTCGCCTCAATACATAGCATGCAGCGCTATAACTCTGTGGGCTTCTTCGCTTCGCCTGGAACGTCCTCGGCGTCTGCGAGGCCACTGTTGAGGAACGCGGTCCAGAAAGCCTCTGCTGTCCCTGGTGCGGCGTCATCCGACGTTCGTTCAGCGAGTTCCATGATGCCGTCGGGATTCACATAGTCCTCGCCACTGAGCCACCAGAGGTTCGCGTGTTCGTCGGCCCCGCTCTGCGCACGACCAAACAGCGTTCGAGCGCTCTGTTTGTGTTTCGTTAGAAGGCGTCGTATGGCGGGCGGAGCGCTCGCAAAGTCTTCATCATCTGACGACAACTCTGCGCGCAAAAGCACCCTTGACTGTGAGCACGTTGACACTAGTACTGGACGAGACCTTTGGCAACCCAGCGGTACGGACTGTGGCACGAACATGTTATCGATGCAGTACGTCCCAACAAAGAACAGTGTCATCGCCAGCTCTCGCGCGCCGTTCGAGCACGCGTGTTTACAGTTCTCGAACGTGCTTCGAGGACGGTTTTGGAAGAAATGAGCGACGCTACGAACAACGCAGTTTTGGTAAGAAATTTGTCCCCCGAGGTGACTAAACAGACTCTCTTGGACTTTTTCTCGTTCTGTGGCGAAATCTCCGCGGTGAAAATTCGTCCATCCGTAGGGGAGGGGGGTTCTTCCAGCTCTGGGAGCCCAACGGAAGCGATGGAGGCCCTGGTGATTTTTGAAAACCAGTCAGCGAAGAAAACCGCTCTAGTCCTGGATTCTGCTACTCTTAAGAAGCGAAAGATTAGTGTTATGGATGCAACCGAGGAGCTCGTCTCCTCTTTTAAAGACGTCCGGGAAGTGGACCTCGCGAGGGACAGCACCGACGTTCCAGAGACTGCTACCGCTCGCCAGGAACGGCTGCAGGGCCTCCGCGAAGAGTTCGACCGCGCCATCAAACGCGCTTCCGACAAGCTCAGCGATTTCAATGAAAAGCACCGAATAACGGAAAAGGTCCAGGAGTTTGGCGACTTGACCAAACGCAAAACGCAGGAGATCAATGAACAGTACCGTCTAACGGAGCGAGCTCGCGAAGGCTGGCAGACCGTGCGTGAGAAAACACGCGAATTGGATGAGCGCTTGCATCTCAGCGAAAGTGCTCGGGACGGATGGAGATCGTTGAAAGCATCTGTGAGTAAGATTATGCAGAAAGATCGCGGCGGAGAGGTTGATAAAGCGTAGGGACTCAGGGAATTCGTACTATTGAGACCGCCTGCTCTGAAACTCGAGCGAAGTTGCACCAGCAATGGATTTGGGTTTCAAATCTGATCCTCCGATTTGTGATGGCGAAGCTCCCATATCTGTATCATACATATGGTACCGTGATCGGAAGGCTCTGGCTCTGGGACAGGAGCTACCCAGCAACAAAGTGTCGAACGCGAAGAGCCCAGCCTTCTGGCGCGGCACCGACACCCGTCACAATTTTCTGCGTGCGCGGCACTGCATTTCGCGTTGATTTACGTCACTGCACAGTACTGGACGAGGGGCCATGCCATCAGCGAAACGTCCACGGGAGACGACAGCTCAAATTGCGCGTCTTCTATGTATACGATTCTGGAACGCGGCTGGGTCGAATCACGACAGCGTACGGATTCTTTGTCTGTGGACACTTTTCGACGAGTGCTTTCGAGTGGCTGGAGAATTCGAACCCTAGTCGTGGAGATTCGTCGTTCTGGTATAGCCGTCCGAATGAGCTAGAGCGGTGCCTCTGACAGAGAAAGATGTGTGATTGCATTCGAGCGGACGAGCTGCGGAGGTCTCCATGCCGGAGACCTAGCGCCAAACTGAGCACACAGCACAGACCTGCGGGCGCTCACATAGAGGAGAAGATTACGCGCCGATTGCGCTCGATTTGCGAAACGGCGCCTGCAGATAAATGGTGGCATTCAGGGCTCGCGCTGTAACCACGGAGAATGCTCCGCCCAAACAGTTGCTACAGAGACACGAATACCCGTATCACGGGAGCAGATAGGGACTTGCGGTGTAGCTGTTGTATGAAAAGATCGTTTAGATTCATTTACTGTGCAGGAAGGCAGAACCAGAATCCCATCATGTAATCTAAAGAATACGATCGCCCTGGGGTTTCTGAGGTCTTTGGAGATTTTGCGTAGGCTCGCGCATGTTCTCCAGAAGAACGATTGAACCGCAAATCTACGAACTGATAGCTTTACCTCGGAAATAAACGCCTATTCGCTACAAACACTACAGATCACAGTATGTATCGGACGCAAGAACAGAGTGCTGGGAAACCATACGACGCGAGGTGGAGGACACAATCTCGACGAATTACATGCATCCCCAGGGCGAAGAACAACTTTTTACATCTATGGAGCGTATGGAAACCCATACGCAGACGCCGCGCAGCATTTTTGACCGGCCTCCTGCCACCGATATCAGTTTTTACCCCAGCACACTTTGAGCTTGAGAGTCTGGGCCACGAAGTTGAATCGCGTCGGATCCTTGGGTCTCGTCTTCTGCACCGCACACTGTCTGATATTAACAGCGACTTTAAGTCTCAGTTCATAAACTTAATGCGCGTATTGCCCCTGGCTGAACTCACCAGTGGACGGACTGCTAGAACTCGCGCCTTCTGTGCCACTACGGTCTCTTCAGTGTTCCGTCGGGCACACACTTTTTCCCGCCTATTTCCACTCTTCCTCTACGTCACATGCTCGGCTTCGCTCGATGCTAGGTGACAAGACAATTTTGTCTGTTTTTTCTTGAACCCGGCGACATCGGTACTCCAGGATCGTCGACTTGCTTTTCCATAACTTTCCTTTTCTAATTTTTGTCTGAAAAAGAACGCTTTTTGAACGCTTCTTTTATAGACTGCAAAAAACCAATCGAATACACTTGTTTGAGGTTTGGAACTCAAATGAATTGAAAGACTGTACTTTGCTTCGACCCCAACGCAAATACAACTTTTTCCGGTAGAACAACACGCTAATTGATCGGGATCATGTTTCCCTCCAACGGCGACATGCGCGTCGTGTCTCATGTCTGCCCGATCTCCCAGGTGCGCTCACCGCCGCGACGCATGCACCGCGCGAGACGGTACTCCGATCGATGAAGGACACGTGTCCGATGCCGCACTGGCACATGCGTGTTCTCACCAGCGCACTGCAGCTGCAATCCAGTGTCCTAAATCGGAAACTCACGTAGAATTATCTCCTGCTATAGGCCATGTCGCTGGTGCCCATCGCAGTACCGACCTGACATACAAGGAGATGTTGGGGCCTCCCACAAAAGCCCTGCAACGATTCCAGCAAACGCGTAGCGTTCTCAGCGACACACGCTTGTGTGGATGAGGTACGCATCACTCTACTCAATAGGAATTTCATCAGTTTTATTGATCGTAATCAAACAATGTACGGCAGGGTTCCCGAACACGGATATGCGTTTATTGCCTATGCTTGTTATGCATGCTGCACGGACGCTGGAGTATGGAACTGATTCGAATTCTGCTGGTATCCTGCGTCATGGGCTGGAACTGGTGGCAGTTCAAGTCATTGCCATGTCGTCGTCGTGCGTCGGATTGTATTCGCTGAAAGGAAGCCGCAGGACTTGTGTAACGTATTCAAGAAGAAACTCACGATGCTTTTATTCGATCTATTTCCAGACACTACCGCTCCCGAGCCTAAATTTCTGGACAAGCGTCAATATACTGTCCTTCAATCCCCAAACTGCCTATTATCAAAGCCAGCGGGGCGACGAGGGGCTAAACGAGCCCAAGAGCCACCGACACCAGTTTTACGGCTGGGCACCTTGCTGAGCACATCTTCCAGCGTTGCCGTTGTGCCGAAAGGGTTTGACTTCGGGCCCGCACCGCTCAGCTTATCTTTCCACTGCCCCTGCAGGTCCCAAGGCTTTCTTTGCTTGGGCACACGATCAAGATAAGACTCAGAGCCGTCCCGAGGGGTCGCGCGGCCTCCGATGCCGCCAGCCCGAGCTCTGGCAATTGTGCGCTCCGCAGAAGGCGAACGGGGCTTCGAGTTGCCCTGTCGCGCTAGAACGTCGCTCCATGCAAGCGGTTCATTGTTCAAGAGATCTTGCAGATCTGCCGCACCTCTCACGAATACCTGGACAGCTATCTGCGAACAAGACACCAAACCGAGCGCTCCGAAACTCAAGGAAGCCATGTCACCACAGTCGAGTCCGAACAAGGGTAAGCGAACGGCGCCTCGCGAAGCGTGACCTGGGAGGTGCACTGCGAGATCTCGAACGAATGTTGACAACTTGACCACAGACGCCTCCTAGAATTTTTGGACCGGCCACCTACTACTGGTTCCAACTTATTCTTGCATCATTCCACCTTGAATGGTTCTCCCACAAAATTCTCTCTTGTCATCTCTGGAAGTCTTTTTTCCATCACCACACATTTCCTGATATTGATTGCGGCGTTAAAGTCTCGGTTCACAAACTCCATCCGTTTCTTGCCATCATTGATTGTACTTACTAATGCAAGTCGCCCATGAACGTTCGCCCTCCTTTCCATTTGCTGTCCCGTCAGCGGTCCGTATTTTTCATATCCTCAGGGCTCCGCTGGCACTTTTTTCATCTCGAATCTCTGAAGTGTGCATCCCAGTTCATGGTGTATATACAATGCTCGGAACTCATCGATCGGTAGCGGAACGAAACGCCTTGCGCACTCCTTGTACGTTCTCGCCGGTGGAGCTGGTGTAGTCCCTTTTTGGGTCTTCCAGCGTCCTGCTCCGTTTGCCACTACGAGCCTCTGACGTTCATCCTCCTTCAAGCCACTCAACTGATTGAAAAAGTTGGCAAACGCCCGCTGCTTCCCACAATACAGGTTCATTCGCAGACGAGCCCACCGAGGCTTTGTATACTCTTTCCACAGCGCATCCCAATGAGCAACGCGACCTTCCATGAATTTCCGAAAAGCTTCAAAGTCCGCTCCTCGACTCGTCACCTTGCTCAAGGCCTCCAGGTGCTCTTTCAGTTATGCGTTCCACGTCTCGATTTTATTCCTTGCATTCATGATTCTGGAATCTCGATAGTTTCTTGCTCTCGAGAACTTTAAAATACTCATGCCTTTCTGAAGTAAGTTGCCGTGGATTCCATCTTCCGCACGCTTGGGTACTGCGGTGGTTATGATACTTGTGCCCCAGGGTCCGCGCCAACGACAAGGTCGTTATCCTGCACTTTCTGCGTCGCAGAATCCGCCTCCTTCTCATCTTCATGCTTCGTTACGGGCGAGGCCGAGCATGGAACAAGACGATCCGCCTTCAGGCGCCGACGGTGTACACACATGGATACCCCATCGGTTTCGATCACCCCAGCGAATACCTTTTGTTCGCTGACTTTCAAACGTTTGATTTCGAAGATATTTTTCTGGTACTTCTCCCGGTTGACACCGGTGACCTCCTTCCTGCTAACCTTGAACTCCGGACAGATCTCCCTCATGATGCCATGAAGGACTGCGGAATCGATGGTCACGAAATGTGCCCTGATGTTGCACAACGGAACCACGTTGAAGCGCTTCTCCATTAGGAACGCTTCCGTCTCTCAGACGCTTCATTGTTCCCGCGATTCAGCTCCATCTCCGCCTTGGGTTCGAGCTCTCGGTCTGGGTGCACGAAATAGCGCATAATTAGGGGATATCATCATTTTTTCACCTTTTTTCATATCTGATACCTTTTCTGCTGGGTTGACCGGCCTCAAGGGTGCACGGTGCTCATGAATAGTCGCACGGATTATAGAATCCTCATTCGTGCACCTGCGTGATGTCTTCTTGTCGACGAACTCGATCTCCTGTTCAAGCTGCCGATCGTCCGTCATCCCATTGGTGATGGCCCATCTTTCCTTCGCGAGAGAGACCCGGTTGGAGTGCAAACACGGCGCATATCATGAAGCCCTGGAGGTTCATGGTTAAACGGTCTCCAAGTTCGTTAGGTACCGCATGGCCCCGTGGGTGTAAATATTCCAGTCCCTCTGAATCGAGTACCGTAGAAGCTGTAGAAGGGATGCTTTTCGTGGAGGGCATGCACCCGCTCATTTCCCCTCGAGGTTTCCCCTGTGGCGAGCACCAGGTGGCGAAGAAGGGTCCTGCTGAAAAATTCTTCCGGAACCTCGGCTGTTTCGATGTCGGCCACGTCTTCATTCATCTCCTTCACCAAATGCATTAGCCCTGACGAAGCCTTTATAACACTCATGGAGTAAGACGCAACACGGTTTCTGGGAGTCTCTTGCAACGCTTCCTTGGACGGATGCTTGATATGTTTAAGATGGCAGGCTTTGACAACCATCACGTCGTTGTGCCGTCTTTCTTGCAGCCTTTGACGTCGGGCCTCCTTCATTTGCTTCTTTGTCTCGTCCTGTTCCTCTTCGCACTGGACTGTGTGTTCGTTTGTATCCGCCAGCTGACGACACTGGGCCTCCAGGAGCCTCCACTTTCACTCGCATAACTTTCCTTTTTAATTTTTTTTCTGAAAAAGAACGCACCTTGAATGCTTCAGGTATAAACAGCGAAAAATCACTTGAATACACTTACTTGAGGGTTGGAATACGATTGAACTGAAAAGCATACTTTGCTACGACTTCAATGCAAATACACCGCGTGCAGCAGAACAACACGCTCTTGATACCGATCGCGTTTCCGTTCAAGAGCAGCATGCGCGAAGTGTCTCGTGTAACTGGCTGATGTCTCTGGTGCACGTGTCCAGCCCCCTACAGAAAAAAAACAGAGACTCACGACTAACTGGCAACGATATGACAATTTCTTTCCCCCCTCTAAGGTAAACGTTAAAAGGCGAAAAGGTTTCCATATTGTCGAAAGTTTATTTTATAGGCGAAACGTCCCGCGAGCCGGACGTGTCTGCCAGACCAGTGCTTCATGCGACCCCAGTGGAAGGTGCTTGCTGGAAACCCGAGCAACTCGTGCGAAATGCAGTTTATTATGAGACTAGGAGCGGGTATGCTGCGTCAGGGCGTCGGCCTGGTCGCAGTTATCTCCTTACATATCGCTTGGCGCTGCCGCAGGCACTAGGTCTGTCTGCAGAGCTTGCAGGCTCCCAGAAAGATTATGTACTCTGGCTCTGTATCGGGAAAAGCGCTCCTCGATTCGATGCCCTCTGTGGTACGGTAACGCGGTTTTGTCTCCGCGATCCATCTGTTCCAGCGGTTTAGGCGCCACTACGGGTGCTCGTGGTAGGTACTCGCGCACGCTAGAACGTAAAAACCGACCAGTATGTCCGAGATGAAGTGTAAGAGATGGATCTTAGTCGGCCGGGGCGGGAAGGGCAGCATGATGAGCGCTTCCTCGAAAGCCACTACCCATCCATCCCGAAATCTGGGATCCATGGTAAATGTAAACGTTTGTCATCGAAAAAAAACAGATCGAAATTAATATGCAATTCACCGTTTAGATCGAAGACGAATTGTCTCTAGTATGTATATTCTTTATTGAAGAGTGCAATGAGGACTGCATGGTTCCTTCAGGTCAGTCATAGCAGGTCACTCAGGTGGTTGACGAACACTGAAAGAGACCAACAGATGCGCTACGCGCCGAAAACTGATATTCTTCAGGCCTGCTTGCGGTCAATGATAGAAAATGGTCCGTTGATAATGCTACCGAAGAGCAAAAGCTATGATAATAGACGTCAAGTAGGTGTCTCTGTTTCTCACTAGTTTGTTCATGTGGTCCAGCATACAGGGGGATACAGTCGCAAGAAAGTCCTAGTTCACGAACGGTCATCTTCCAATGAAATCGCAACGACAGCGTTCCTGGAGCTCAGCGATCGGGACAGAGTACAGGAACGTCGGGTTGTTTCAGTTGATGAGATTTCCTTTCGACAAAACGGTCGGAGCATGTATAGGCATTTGTGGGGAAAAGAGCCTGTTATATATACGATCGAACTCGAAAATAACTCGGACCTCATTATCTGTTCTAGCTGCAGTCGATTCACTCTCCGGCCTCAGTCCCGCTCGTAGAGAAGGCTCATCCAACAGCACCAACCATTCCGTCGAATCATTGAAGACTTTTCCCTCACGTCTCGCGACGTTTTTCCACTGAAAAACGTGGTATTTCAGCATTACCGTCGCGGTCGAGTTTTTGCCGATTCTGTCGGGGTAGAGTTGGTTTTCATTTCTCCGTGAGCTCCGTGATTCGGTCCCATCGAAGGAGAGTTTTCGATCGAAAAAAGGTAATGATCTCTCCACTGGGCGAATTGATGAAGCGTCCAGCACACGATGACACCGCGGACAATGTCGTCTCTCTTCTGCAAGTCTTCCTCTTTCCGGGAAGGTCCTCATTTAGGCACATTCAAAAGTGCGCCCATTCGCAGAAAATGAGGGATGAACTGAGGTGTATATTTCAGAAGGTCGAGATTGAGAGAAGGCAGCGGAGCGCTTCGGTGATAGGAAAGCACAGAGGGCTGACAGAGCACCACATGACGCTGAGGGTGCGAATTCGAGGACTACTTGCACTGGTGAGTTCAACCAGCAGCAAAAAACGCATGAAGTTCGTGAATGGTGAGTTTAACACTGAGAAAAATACAAGGAGATGTGCATTGTTGAAGACGAGACGCGAGGAGCTGACGCGAGCGAACTTTATGGGGTAGCCTCTCGGGTTCGAGGTGTACAAGGAGAAGCTGAAGCCGATCGCAGGGTGCCGGCCAAATACGGTTTGAAGGCGCCTGCCGTTGGGCGAATATACATACTCAAAAGTCGTGGAATGTTGTTCGTTATACTGGAAAGAATACTCGTAGTCAAACCATGAGGGCTCACCAACGCATGGGTACTTTTAACAACATCAAGCGTTGTTTTGGGACGGCCTCTTCCACTCCTTGCCGCTGGATTTCGTTACCTCACCGCCACCAAGATGAGTCGTGACGCCCGCTACAAAGCGCTCCTAAAATAACCGATACCACTATGCAGCGCATTCATAAACCACTGCGCGCTTCTCCTTTTCTTACGAACAGCACGCTCAAATACCCCATTCATCTGGCTCTCCGTCTAGCGGTTCCATGGCAGCTCGTGGGCGCACCAGATCGCGCCCCTATATCGCGACGACGAACACCCGACGTCGGCCGTTCACGAGTGTTCTCAGACACTCATGCCGAAAGCCCAACGGGGTTCTCACGTCAAATACTCCTCTCCGCTCTCATCGCACGCCCCCCTCTCTTCGCGCCCGTCGACGAGCCGGCACTCAACAGCGACACCGTATGTCTCTCCAGCTGCAGGCTCGCTACGGCTCCCGCGTCTCCCGTTTCCATGGGAAAGGGGCCTTGGACGCGGGCGCGCGCCGTCGCAGCGGCCGCCTCCAGCAGAGTTTGCGTCACCGCTCTGCACAGCGGGAGCGTAGACGGATCGAACCAGCTGGGCTGGATATCTCCAGCGCGGATCTCCCTCTTGGTGCCCCGCCTCATCGTGGTCAGCATTGCGTTGCACGGATTCTCCCGCGGACTGGACAGCGTGCGCGTGCGCATGCGCCCGCCCAGAATACGCGCCGTGCGGATCGCCCCGAGCGAGCCCGGGGTCTGTCGGTACCGCACGAGACGCCGAGACGGAACGAGGGCGTCGAGGCGACCCTTCTGCATCCGCCAACGACATGTATCGGGCGACGAGGGAGGCCCTCGGTGGATGAGCTTTGTCGGACATGTTGTCACACCTTACCACAGCCGATCATGGCAGCTACGTTGTGCGTCTCGAGGCTGTACACAGCGAAGATGGCAATGGCAAGCAAAGCATATATCGTGACGACCGCCTCTGGATGAACTGTTTCAAGAACACCTGGTGGCAGCGAAATCGGGACTTGAACACTGCCATCAGCATCCTTCAACAGTCGACAACGGACTCCGAGGGAGCGGAGCGTCCAGCACGCTGACTGGCGGACATAAGAAAGGAAAACGGAGCATTTGCAGAAAGAGTCTGCGAGGGCTGGTGTGCATGACAGTACGATGAAATCCAAACCTGTGCGAGTACGCCCGTGTCAGGATGCCTGTTCCATTTCATCCCGACATGCGTGAACGTACATGCACTGAACCCGTTACGTAGCGGCGACGTCGTATGAGTGATTGCCGTTTGCAATCACGCGCCGATCGCGAGACGGCCGCGCGTCACAGCATAGGGTGCCAGATTTCAGGGGCGTCTGCTGCGGAGCCGTATCCCACGGCCTGCCTGCAGGCTCGGACACGTCCCAGATTGGCAACTGATCCCGGACACGTGGTGCGATCTGGACGCGTTTCACATGGACAGCAGCTGGAGCGCTCGCGCGTCGATGTGGAACACCCGGCGACAAGAGCCAGCCTGAAATTCACACCCGGCTTTAGAACTCGCTGTACTTATGGTTGCGCTGGAACTTCCAGCAGCCATGTCTAAGGTGGAAGTGGTAGGTCTGGTGGAGTCCAACACGGGACGACAGGCAGTCCTTGTTTCCGGTGAGCAGGAAGCTGGGCAACCAGACAGGAACTGGTTTACAAGTCAGACGGCCGCTGATCTTTGCACCCAGAGCAGGCCTCGTACTCGCCAGATGGGTCCGGTTTACTGTCCAATTCTTGGCAGAGAGCCCACCACCAAAAACCGGGCACGCTCAGATCAAAATTCGCTCTATGTTCGGGAAGCTTGCGAAGGGACCGTGTACGCTTCCAATCGCTACGAAACACGAACTTCTGAGCTCTCGCGGGAAGCGCCAAGAGACGAAGCTGGCGACGGTAGAGCGCAGGTTCAAACGACGCCCACGCTGATTTCCGCTGAAAAAAGACTCGAAGAAACCAACAGCCTTCCCTGTGTTCTCGAAGGTTCCTCTTCACACATGCCACGCGTTCTGAATAGCACCGTCGAAGTGCCGATATGCAAGTCACGGAATATCTCGGCGGCAGATGAGCAGCCTGAGGTTCTGCGTGAGCGGTCACTGGAGAAAAATGTGAAGCATTGGTCTTCTATTCATTTCCTTCTATCAGCTGCACTTCGTCCCCAGTACTCGACAACCGTCAAGGAGGACGATTGCTCGAGACGAGCAAGGCGACGTGTTCATACTCGATCGCGTTCGGCAGGATATGGCGCTCTTCGCGTAGTCCCGGAGAAGTATCTGCTGGATCGAACGCATGCTTCGGTGCTGGGGGCTTCAAATCAGCGGGTTCTTCGATGGCTCGCACCACACACTGGGGAGAGCGGTGTCCAGTTATCATCATCATCATCATCAGCAGCAGCAGCAGCAGCGCCCCGGAGCGTTACTGGCACGGGAGCACTGGTATCCAGACCACGCGAGGGCGGATCCGAGCATGCGGCGCCCAAATGTTCGAGTACGTCATTCACTGCGCGAAAGCGTGGCCGCAACATCTCCTGCACGCTGAACAGCAACGTGAACAAATGCTCTTCCAGGGACACCGACTCAGACGGGTCGAGTGCAGTCACGGAGATGATCCCCGATACAGAGCACATCCTGATCCATCAGGCTGGCGTCAGTTCACTTGCGGTAGAGGTAGATGGTGAAATCGATCCATGGCTCATTATCGCCACGCTGCCGCCCCGAGAGTATGCGGCTCCCGCGCCTCAGATCCGCCTACCGAAGCCGGATCCCGCCGTGCGAGATCGCCCGACACTCGTTTTGGATCTGGATGAGACGCTTGTACACTGCTCGACAGAGTTTATGTCTGATGCTGACTTTAATTTCTCCGTGCACTTTGAAGGAACGAATTACACAGTATATGTGAAACGGAGACCTTTTTTACAGGCGCTGCTCCAGTACGCTGCTCGCTATTTTGAAGTGGTGGTCTTTACCGCCTCGCAGAAAGCGTACGCAGATCGTCTTTTGAACATTTTAGATCCTGATCACACACTAATCCACCACCGGCTCTTTAGAGATGCGTGCATCAATGTTGCGGGTAACTATCTGAAAGATTTGACCGTGCTGAGTCGTGACCTGCGACGTACCATCATTGTGGATAACAGCCCCCAAGCTTTCGGCTATCATTTGGGGAACGGCGTTCCGATTCTAACCTGGACCGATGACGAAAATGACCGCGAATTGATCCAGCTGATTCATCTGTTAGAGGATATGCGCGACGAATTGGAACACGGTAGCGGCGATGTTCGTTTTCTTGTCGAGCGGCGTTTCCGCAATAAGAATCGCGTTGAGTTCTACAGAGCGTTTCTTGCCTCCATTGATTCTGCACAATGACAACTTGCCACATGAGTATGGAGTATGTTTAGATGGGAAGCATGTTACCTGCCATTGACCACCAGGTTGCGCCTCTCCTGGCGAACAGAAACGATGACAGCATTCCTCTGTGCAATGACGCGTCGCGAGATCGAGCGCTGTAATGCGGACCGCGACGCCCACGGAAGCGCCGAGATCATTGTCCGGTGAAACAATTTCAGTTCGGGCGCTTGGTACTGATCGTCGGGACAGCCGCTGCTCGCGACGAGATTGTATCGCCTGGTGCCCTTTGAGCCTTTGGAGAGCACACGATCGCCGCGAGTTTCCTACTCTGTACATATAAACGGCTTTTCCCGCTGTGCCAAGTTATACCAGACGCTCTGACGCACAGTTTCCTTTCGAATGAAGTTTTAGAGCTCTGGAGTTTTACTAGCTGCGAGCATCGAGTCCAGGGAGCGGCTTGGTCTATCAAGGAACGGGATTGCAAGTGATTCTCCTAAAGGAGTGCAGCTTAAACACGTATGCATGGAGCCCAGTCCAAGACAGCCTTGGGCAAACTTTACTTTGTGAGAACCCACGAAAACTGTCGGTGATATGCAAGCTCTTATTCTGATGATCTAACGTTCCCAAGCGCAGATGCTCGCTTGCGAACTCCGTGAGGGAGACGCACCTAAGCTGCGCACACTGAGTACCTCCAAAGAGTTGGAACACTCTCAGGATCGGGCTGGGCCGAGCGATATTCATCGAAATTTTCGATTCTCATGCATTTTCCCCATGAGCCTCCGAGTCGATAGGCGTCCGAAGCAGAAACCTTGTCCGTGCAAATCGATTTGCTGCGCTGAAGTTTCTGTCCGCTGCTGTCCGGCAAAGCTGGTACCGCATTCCGTATGAGTACGCAACGCAAGGCTCTGTTCGCGAAGCGAACGTCATTGGTCAGAGCGTGTCAACGAGTCCAGATCCGCTGCAAATTGCATGCTTGTCTGTATGCGTGGATGCGTGCGCGCATTAGTGCTTGTATGTCGATGGAAATCCGGGAGTCAGTCAATCAGTAAGTCAGTCAATCAGCATGCACAGCTGGCCGTCTGCTTGCGGGCATACCTATACGCATATTTACATACATGTGTGCGTGCGAGCATGCATGTCTGTCTGCTTGCGGTCGATTGCAGCCTTTCATGCGCCAAAACATCAAATCCAGTCTCCGTGACGAATCTTTTCGGGCAAATATACTTCGGTTAGGTACTGGAAGCCGAAATTGCTGAGAGCCTGAATCTCAGCCTTCTCTTTCCGCTTCACCATCAGGGAGAGCTCTCGATGCCAGGCTGGATTCTTTTTGATAAAATCTTCTTCCAGCATGTCTTTTCCGGTCTTAAGATCATTTTCTGTCATCGCAAGGCGGCACTGCTCCGGGATACCGTAGCGATCAAGGTCGGTTGGCCGAATCCCCAACCACTTTATATCGGGCGTTGCTAGATTTGCAGAATCGTAGCTCATGCCCTTACTGCCACTCATGTAAACCGAAAGAATTTTCAGTCCGTACGGATCGCTGTCTACTAGACCAAGGATTGGTAAATGCAATTCCCGCTTCAGTCTTCGCAGAAACAAACGTGTTCCGACGTCCGGCTGACCTTTTGCAGTGACAATAATGCATTTCACGCGATTATAGAAGCGATCTTCCGCTAAGCGCATAAATGCTGCATCCTTCTCGACCAGGAGGATAAATTCGGCGTCCGATGTTATATTCGTGATTCGATCGGTGTACGGAGGTATTGCTTTCCCGCCAACGCCCATACGCGTGCAGTCGATCAAATCCCCGTCTTCCTGGAAAGTTACACGGCCAACGACGATGCCTTTCTCTGACGCAACGACGTTTAGAGAGTTTCGAGTACAGCCGATCAGGCATGCAACATCGTTGAGCACATCGTCTGACTCGGTTTGCTGCCGAAACAATTTCACATCTGTGTAGAACAAGTCGCGTTTTGTTGTGTGTATCCGTCGGGTGCAAAGCTCGTGCACAAGCTGTAGCACTCTCGTCATGATAGTGGTTTTGCGAACCGAGGCGACGGAGGCGAAGTTGCGAATCGCGACCCCGTCTTTGAGCACGATCCGTTCCAGCTCCTCGACGTACTCTTGGTTGCCCGCGGATCTCCGTGGCACCTTGTAGGAGAGACCACGACCCTCCAGTATAGACTTTGCTGCGGAGAGAATGACTCGTTCGAGTTCGGCAAGTACCTGGTCGCAATCGAGCTCGCGCACCTCTATGCGTGCTGCGCTCGAGGCATCGGAACTCTGCTGCAAAATAAACCGTTGTTTTGCAGCCTCTCTGGACTCTATTTCCCTTTTCAACTCCCGGACTCTGTTCAGAAAAGACTCAGCGTCAACAGCCGCCGTTCCGCTAGAGACAGCACCCGATTCTGCCGCCTGTTTCCACTTCCGAGAGGCTGTGCTCAGCCGCGGCTCGGTCGCGGTTTTCTTTCTCTTCGCAACCATAAGATGAGGTGCTCGGGCCCCAGTCCGTCCAAAAAGCTTTCAAGCAGGAACGTATGCAGCACAAGCGGTACGACGAAGCAGCCTGCCTTTCGATCTTGAGCGCTGATGCGTACCGTTCGGCGAAAACTCGCGCCCGCCACGGGATCGGCAGAGGCGCAGTGTGCACCGAACACTCGCGTTCGCGCCAAGCTTGCATGCGGCGTGCGGATGTCAGCGCATCGCCTTCTGAGGCGAAGTACGACACGCGTATTCGGTTCTCTTCAGCACCTGGACCGGTTTCAGCGCCGCGGATCAAACGCAATCAGGATCGAAAGTCACAGAAAAGGCCTCGAGGGCCCGTATGGACCATGAAATGTCCGAACCTAAGGCACGATAACTGACGTGAACGCCAGAGCCCGACACAGCAGGAAGAAAAAATCCAGCTTTGAGCTACTCCTTCTGATCCTGCATTTCCATTTTTCTCGAAATGTTTTAGATGAGCAGTGCCGAGGTTCGTAGTCAAACCATGTGGGCTCACCAACGCATGGGTACTTTTAACAACATCAAGCGTTGTTTTGGGACGGCCTCTTCCACTCCTTGCCGCTGGATTTCGTTACCTCACCGCCACCAAGATGAGTCGTGACGCCCGCTACAAAGCGCTCCTAAAATAACCGATACCACTATGCAGCGCATTCATAAACCACTGCGCGCTTCTCCTTTTCTTACGAACAGCACGCTCAAATACCCCATTCATCTGGCTCTCCGTCTAGCGGTTCCATGGCAGCTCGTGGGCGCACCAGATCGCGCCCCTATATCGCGACGACGAACACCCGACGTCGGCCGTTCACGAGTGTTCTCAGACACTCATGCCGAAAGCCCAACGGGGTTCTCACGTCAAATACTCCTCTCCGCTCTCATCGCACGCCCCCCTCTCTTCGCGCCCGTCGACGAGCCGGCACTCAACAGCGACACCGTATGTCTCTCCAGCTGCAGGCTCGCTACGGCTCCCGCGTCTCCCGTTTCCATGGGAAAGGGGCCTTGGACGCGGGCGCGCGCCGTCGCAGCGGCCGCCTCCAGCAGAGTTTGCGTCACCGCTCTGCACAGCGGGAGCGTAGACGGATCGAACCAGCTGGGCTGGATATCTCCAGCGCGGATCTCCCTCTTGGTGCCCCGCCTCATCGTGGTCAGCATTGCGTTGCACGGATTCTCCCGCGGACTGGACAGCGTGCGCGTGCGCATGCGCCCGCCCAGAATACGCGCCGTGCGGATCGCCCCGAGCGAGCCCGGGGTCTGTCGGTACCGCACGAGACGCCGAGACGGAACGAGGGCGTCGAGGCGACCCTTCTGCATCCGCCAACGACATGTATCGGGCGACGAGGGAGGCCCTCACGCGCCATGGAGCGGCCCTCGGTGGAGGAGCTTTGTCGGACATGTTGTCACACCTTACCACAGCCGATCATGGCAGCTACGTTGTGCGTCTCGAGGCTGTACACAGCGAAGATGGCAATGGCAAGCAAAGCATATATCGTGACGACCGCCTCTGGATGAAATGTTTCAAGAACACCTGGTGGCAGCGAAATCGGGACTTGAACACTGCCATCAGCATCCTTCAACAGTCGACAACGGACTCCGAGGGAGCGGAGCGTCCAGCACGCTGACTGGCGGACATAAGAAAGGAAAACGGAGCATTTGCAGAAAGAGTCTGCGAGGGCTGGTGTGCATGACAGTACGATGAAATCCAAACCTGTGCGAGTACGCCCGTGTCAGGATGCCTGTTCCATTTCATCCCGACATGCGTGTTGAACGCAGCAGCAGATTCGTGCCCCATGTGCAGCGCATGATGGAGCCCTCGCCTCGTGCTCTATAGCGCCCAGCATAACTACCTTCGAAAAACGGCCGTAACCCGTAAAGAAAGCGAAGATTCCTGGGATCTGCACATAATAACGAGCGGCGACAACAAGGATTCAAGGAAAATCGGGCCAATGGCTCGCTCTTGTGTACAGGAGACGCGCAAATCTGTCTGGATTTTATGCAAAGCGCAGAATACATGGATGTCGTGCACAGGAGACGGATAACTTTCTGTAGCTTTGACGCAAAGCGCAGCATAACTGGATCCTGGGCAATAATAACGCACAATTGAGTTTTTCTCAATACGCTCACGCTGAAAGCAAGGACACAGAGGAAAACACAAGACCTTACTCCAGGACGCGTCCCCCGCCAAAAAAATACGGCCTCGCCAGTCACCGGGCTCTTTTTCAGCGGTTCGCCAGCCCAGTTTCGCCTTGGCGCTCCCCGCAGAGCAGTATCGGAGCTACAATCCCCAGCGACATCGCTAGCACGTGTCCCGGCGCTGGGATGCGAATCCCGCCAATTGGCGGCTGCACCGAGTCGTGTGCTGATCGCGCAGCGTGATGCACTCAGCGCCGCCGTCGTCGCCGGCGCCGGCGCCGGCGCCGCCGCATAAGGGCAACCGGACAATCCGCCAGCCACGACACGGCAGCGGCCGGACGTCGGGTGCCGCCAAAGCCTTAGAACGTACACCGTTTCTGCTCGCGTAACTGAAGGGCCTGGACGCCACGCTCAAAGGGTGTGCGTTGTCGATCTCGTGCTTCTTTCCATAATACGGACGAAACGTTGAAAAACAAAGTTTTTGTAGTTGAGTGGAGACCCCGAAAACATGATCGTGTGGAAAGACGTTTTCACTAAAGACGAACTGCTCTCTGATGGAATGAAAAACGTTCGGGAGCTGGAGAACGGCCTTCTCCTGGCTTGCGATTCGTACAATGTGACGCTAGGCGGAGGCGACTATGGAATCGCGAACAACGACGAAGAAGCTATGGGGGCAGGCGGCGACACTGCGGGCGCAGAGTCGGTGAACGTGGTGGTGGACGCTTTCAAGTTGCAGAACATTCAGCTGCCACGGAAGGATTTTCAGGTGTACATCAAGAAGTATTCAAAACGGTTGAAGGAATACCTTGAGAACGAGAATCCATCTAGAGTGGCGGCGTTCATGGAAGGAATGAAGGAATGGGTACCGAAGATGCTCAAGGAGTTCGACGAGTACGAGTTTTATATGGGCCCTTCCTGCGATCCCGACGCATTACTGGTTCTCGCGAAATACGAAGGCGAAAGTCACTACCCGACTTTTCTGTATCTCAAGGATGGGCTTGCTGAAGAGAAGTTTTAGAACAGAACAGAAACACTCATTTCAGTTTAATCTGCAGGTTAAATACGACCAATGGATACCTGGGGATTTAAGACCGCTCGTGACCAACAGTGCGGTCATGCGAGGTTGCCTTCGGGCTCTGGCTCTTGTTCACGATGCTCGGCAAACTCATGAGGATCAAATTCTGGCGGGGGCGATGCACCCCCGGCAACAGAGTGATCAACGCTATCCGAGAGGGGGCTCGCATCCGCCGAAAACCGTGACGGCGTCTTTGACGTCGGGCTCTGCATACGCTGACTTGTGCGCTCACCCGAGGTGTTCACCTGAGAGCTTTCAGTCCAATCAATCTTTTGACTGGTGAGGCTTCCATGTTCAGTCATAATATCTTGCAGTTCTCTGTCTTGTTCAATAAGCGGCTCGAATTTCAATGCTGCCAGTTGGTTAGAGATATAAACAATGAGGGCCCTTGAGAACACAACATCCTTGTTGCGTTCGAGCATTTCAACACCAAGCTGGAGAGAGTTGCAGGCGTCCTCTGCAGACTGTCTGGATTCAAGGAGTTTCAGACGGTTGCGTTCCAAACGCGCGTCCGAATCCTGCTTTTGCGCTGCTTCGAGCTTCTCGACTTTGGTTAAATAATAGTTGACCTCTCTCAGGCGCTCCTCATACACGTGTGCTCGTTTTCTCATCTCTTTGCACTTTTCGAGGAACTCGTCAACTTGCGCTAAGACGCTCTGGACCCCCTCCGGTGTCGGTTTACTCTCGTTCTGGCGGTAACCCGTTGGCGGTGGGCGAAGAAGACCAATCTTACACATGTGTTGTTCCAGTGCCGAGACAACGTTCGCAGTATCTGTTGCGGTGCTGTAAAATGGGTGCGTAGCTTCGAACATAGTCTGTATTGAGCCGGTGGCATCACTCATGTTCGCCAGCAGGCTCTTCCAGGCGTTCTCGTTCGCAGCTAGCACGGCTCGTACTCGTTGGGCCCGACGCTCCAGGCTGTCCAGTACGTCCATCGCAGCCTCGTACCGAGTTTCGGGCGCACTCGCCGGCCCCCTGCGAAGTACAGCGTCTTTCGAGCTCTTTAAGCTTAACTTAACGCGGTGAAGCATGGTTGCGGTCGCTGAGAGGCAGAAGCTTATAATAGCGATGGTTCATTTGCGCCGATCATGAATACATCACGTACAAGTGCCGTTTTGTCCAGTATTCCCTGGATCATTCCCGAAGGCTGTAACGCAGGACACGTGGCTGCACCGCGGCATCTCGTTCCGGAACGTGCGTAGACGGACGCCGCGGCCCCTGGGTGTCCGATCATCCGGTGGCGTTCGGCGATGCACCGATGCTGCGGAAACCACGAGTTGATCAGCGAGCGGCTCGAATGCCGAGGTGCCTCGTCAACGCGCGACGCCAACATCCCCCAAAATACGATATTTCGCGATCGCGACCTGTGGAAACGCCGTTCATGCAGGGGGTTGTCGGCGATGCCGCGCCAGGCGCAGGCGCACGTGTGGCGCTGCTCAACCAGCCCGAGTCTTTGCGTAGCCAAGGCAAAACATGAAACATGAAAATCACGTTGGGGGCGCTCGACCCTGAGTCTGGATTTCTGAGCAGCGGATGATACCAGGGCGTGCGCCACTACATCCATGTCAGAATAAAATTGAAGAGGTCCACTTAGCCGACATGGGTGCAAACATCAGAATCATTTCAGAGTAAAACAGAATAGGTTCATCGCGCAAGCTTGGATCCGCACTCGCTATGGTTACGGCTCTTCCTAATGGCATCAACGCGTGCCTTTAGAGGCTTTTTCTATGACAGCTTCCCTTTACGCTCTTGTATCTCGGGCTCTATACAGGCCGACCTCCGCTTTCCGTCGAGCTCTGTTGCCAGCAGTCGGAGGATATTTATGGCAACATATTCGTTTGGATTCCGCCGTTTCCGGCTGCAGCAGACGCATTTCACGCACAGAGTGAAGATGAGATCTACGTTTCTCTTGCCATTTTCATACTCTTTGCACAAGGCCTCGATACGGTATTCGTAACCTTCAGAATTGCCACTGTTAACGTGTTTCAGTGTGTCCAACACAACTTCTCCTTCGAGGGCTAGCCTATGACGTATGAACGCTTACTTCATCGCTCGGTGCATGCCCTTGACAGGTACATAAGGTTCACCGCCCCGCTCCGATGTTCTCCTCGGTTTTCGCGCCCGGTACAGTTCCTTACGATCGCGGACCTCTTGTGAGCGATTCTCGCGGTGAGGGCACTGCACGCTGCTCGTGCAAGCCCAAACTGTTGTGTTTCAAACATGGATTGTGGAACACGATATTGTCCATGATCAAACAAGTATCGAAAGGAAAATTTAGGCTGGAGGGGAATTCGAGCTGTGTCGGTCCCTCTACGCTCGCTTCGTGCACAGCGGTGACGCATTCTCTAGTCAAAGCAATCACTGGAATGACTCAAGTCCGAGTCCAAGACGATTCTTCGTGTAAGAAGAACAGACGGCAGCCGATGGGAGCGTATTCCTTGGTAGGTATCATGCTGCTGCCGTCGAATAGTGTTTCGTCGATGGACACCAAGAGCGGAGGGTTTGTCTTTCGAACGAAGTCCAGGATTTGATGTGAAAGGTTCGAAAAACAAGTGGCATGAGCTTTTTAACGACTGGTCAAGGGAGGCTGCCGCGTTTTTTCCTTCCTCAATCTAGCTACCCGAATTGATACCCCCACGAGTCGCGTTGAAAAGTGACCATCGAAACCTTGAAGAATGCGTTATTTGAGGACGTTACGCATATGGAAATGAGCCGACTGGAGGGATGGACGTATGAATCGGATCATGACATCGGAATTTTACGAATACATTGTCGATGGGATCGCGAATCATTTCGATTCACGTGGCGGAACGAACTCAAGCGACAGAGAGTTTGAGGAGCCACTCCAAAATGACCGCCGAAAGTCCTGAAACTTCGAATGAATCCTCAAGTCCTTGCTGCCGCACTTCGAATGTCGAGGCTGTACTTCAGAAAACCATTCGAAAGAATCGAAATTATCTGAAGAGAGCGAGAAGCTGAGTGTTGCAATCAATTCTGAAACAGGTTTAGGAATCTTCTCTTCGGTGCTGCGAACGAATATTCCTTATCTGGAGCCTGTTGTGACGAGCGACTTTCCAGCATCCAAGAATGACGCTTGTCTGTTGGTGTCGCTGCAATAAATCTAGCTTTATGTTCATTCATCCTAGTTCACGAAGAAACATATAATTGAATTGAGGATCCTTTCCGATCAATGGGCCACAAGTTATCTTCGTGATGAATCTTTCTTCTAGAGGCCTCTGGCAAGATTCACCTGGAGACTCGGATATTTTGAACGGGAACGTCTCGCAATGACCATCTCAATTGCCACCACTCAACTGCCCAACTCTTGCTCCGCGCCACGCTTTGGTGCCAGGACAGAATCCACGGCCCCCCGGGGCATACCATCAGATACTACCTATTCGACAACGCTTTCGTTGGGTAGGCTCGATGGATTAAAGCTGATGTTTTCGAGTGCGCGGAGCATGGCGGTTCGTAGGGCACAATCCTCATCTCAGCTGTGGATACAGCTAGCACCGCTTATACCATATATTTACGTGTACAATGTTCACCTCCGGAACAGCAGCATGATCGTTCCAGCGATACCTCGAGCGACGCATCTTCAGGGAGCATTGCTTATGGCACTTGACGCGCCTCCGGGGTCACGCTGCACAGACAGGACGAATTTGCGATGTTTTTGCGGCAGTCAGCTCGAGACTTGCAATCATTTTTTGAATGATAGAGAGGAACTTCACCGTGAAATAGCGAGCTCGAGCTTACGACTATCCATCGCGTTGAAAGCCGATAGACATCTGATGTGCGAGCTCGTGCACTAGATTCGCTGAAGGCAATTTTTTCCAGGAAACAATCATGTATCCAACCAGGATTGCTCTCGTGTGCGATGAGTTCATGCGACAGGGAAATGGATATCACACCGATCAGCGCACCTGAATTTTCCAAGAGCCTCAGAGGATTCTTCCCGTCGAAGCTGGCTGGTTGATGTCTCCACCGATATGAGTTTACCACCGGATGCCGGGCCTACCGAGGACACGCACTGAGATTCTGCATTTTCGGTAGCGACCCTCCCACAAAATGACCGGTTTCTTTTCGTGGCCATGTGGGCTCGCTACGGTGCAGAACGTTCTCGCTGAGCCTCAATCGCGAAGCAAGCATTGGTGCCTTGCTGGAGACGCGGTGCGCGCTCTGGGCGTCCACCTCAAACATTCGGAGCCAGACCTCTGCCAATTCATCATCGTCGCTACTCTGGAAAGTGCTCGAGCGATGCGCGACATGCGTGTGCTCCGAGCGCTCACGAAAGCTCGCGCGCTGAAACGCAAACCTTTGCTCCTCTGGCCTGAAAGCCGGTTCTGAATACAGTCTCTACTGCATAGCGCTTGTAGCGGAGCCTCGACGGAGCTGTAAGAAAGGGCCCGCATTGTCGTTCCAGTCAAGGAGAGCATCATCTGCACAGAGACACAAGTTCAGCGCATAGTACGAGACATGCTCGAGGCAACTGCAACAGCGACAGCACAGCGGTGCTCCGCACGTGGACATGCAGCACACAAGGCCTTACAATACGCATATTTTAGAGCAGCCTGCCAATGAGGCGGCTGAGGAGTAGTCTGAGCTGAATTCCGGGAGTCATAGGAAGCTGCAAACGGCGATCGAATGCGTCATAGCCCGAAGCACGTAATTTGCGCAGATAGTCCGCCGCCAAAACAGCTGGTAGAAACGCTAATCGACACGAGCGGGGAATCCGCTTCCAGGTCTCTTTGTCTGAGCGAGCGCGCTCCAAATATTCTTCTGCCACAAGTGCAATCGACTGGAAGGCACCCCGCCGATCCACGGAGGACTGGACCTGGAGGTTCACCAACTCCTTCGCGGAAATCTTCCAAGCTTCCATGACATCACGAGGCACATATGTCTGCAAGCGAGCTGCGTGATATGGTGCGCCTCGCAGAAGCGTTGCAAGACCCGCCGCCGTACCTACGTCCATAGCGACTCGATCCAGCAGCTGAGCTGTTTCGCGTTTGGGCGGCTCGCCGTTGGCCCCGACAGCATGCAAGATTCTCGCGTGCAGCGCAATACACGACCCGTGCGAAGCCTGGGTGTATTCTACCAGATCTTGGATTGTATGCGGCTGCGGATACTTTAGATCCTGCTCCCTTGCTGCAAATAGTGCTTCAAAAGGCTCTACAGGGAGCGCGAAACGTTGAATCGTTTCGCATAGAGCACGCAGCGTCGGACTGGAGATCGAGGTACGAACACCAGTCTCCGCACTGCTTCCATCGTATATTCCGTGCACGGCATTGCGGAAGAAAGATAGACGGAGTCTTCCCATGTCCTCGTTAGAAACAGAGTCTTTGATTCGAGCGAGCTGCAGGTTGAACGCGAAGAGCGCCGCATGCGCACAACGTGCTCTCTGCTCCGCATGAAGTACGTTGATCAAATAGGCTCCATACTCCATCTGTCGCAACTGTTGCAAGCAGTACTCATAATCTTGGCGTTGCGCCTCCAAAACTGTGGGAAACTTAGGCTCCCAACTCGTCGGGAAGGTATGAACGCTCATGCGGCCCGCGGTGAACGCGTGTGTTTCGGTGGTGCTTCCAGTCCGACAGCCCGTTTCTCCCTTTTCTAGACTTGATGGCTGCCTCGCCTCAAAGTCTTGAAGGTTCCGGTAACCTCCAGGCGTTCGCCATTGGTCCATGGAACCATTCTTTACGGGAACTTGCAAGGCTTTCGGCACCCCGCAGCTAGCACACAAGTGCAGGGACAGGCACTTAAGGCGCCGGAGGCGTGCGCGCGCGGCACTGCAGAGCGTTTCGGGGGAGCAGTCTCCGGCGCTCAGCAGCGAGACGGTGGGTCACCTGTAGAAAGCGTCGCCGATCTCAAGGATGCCGAAGAACAAGGGCAAAGGAGGCAAAAACAGGAGAAGAGGGAAGAGCGATAATGACTCGATCAAGCGTGAGATAGTTTTCAAGGAGGACGGGCAAGGTAAGTGACTGCGATGTAACCTGCTAGGGCAGTGTCGAGCACAGCTGCACGCTCGGTGTGGAATCAGCTCTGCGTGATGAAACTTTCGAGTCTCGAATCCTGAATGGCGAACCAACGTCTCTGAAGAATACTGAACCGAATTCCTCGTTTCTGATTGGGCACTGTCTGAGCTTTGCGTGTCTGCGCACCGTAGACAGCGCTGCGTGCACTAGTTCCACGAACAACAACTAACCGTTTCGTTTTCGTATCGGTGACAGAATATGGACAAGTTTTGCGCATGCTTGGCAACGGCCGGTGCGAAATCCACTGCTTCGATGGACAGAAGAGGCTTGGACATATTAGAGGAAAGATGCGGAAGAAAGTGTGGGTAAATGCGGGCGATATCGTTCTGGTCGGTTTGCGGGATTTCCAAGACGACAAATGCGATATCATTCTCAAGTATTCTGCTGATGAGTCTCGTGCGCTCCAGCGCAAGGGCGAACTTCCGGATAACATTGTTCTGAATGAAGCAACGGATACTGGGGATGGAGCTGAAGTCGAGTTTGAGGTCGACTTTGACGAAGAGGAAGAGGTTGCGAAGCAGCCAGCACGCGGGGCCATGCCTGAACTCGACATCGATGACATTTAATGGAGATCGATTTGAACTCGGCCTTGTGCACAAGAACGGGATATGATTTGACGACATATCAGCTCCCTTGCGTCAGATCGTGGCCAACCCTACCGCCCTGGGCTGGCAGTGCGACCCGGGGCCATGCCGATCTCAGGTCGTGAGCCGTCGCCTCTACGCAAATCGTAAAATGCTGTGTGGCAGATGCCGGCCTGTGCGCCTATGCTTCAGAGTCCATAAACGTATACTCGACATGCGAAAAAGCCGTATTTTCCGAGTCCAGGGCCATGGGTGCAACCATGAAAGACTGAACACGAGCACCCGAAGGGGGCAGCAGCTAGCGCTCACGACCTACATTGACAGCTGTTTCAGTCACAGACACGAGTGCGGTGTTTTTTGCGTGGTTCAACAGCATCTCGCCCAGTTGGAAAATAATGGACAAATTGCTGGCTACCAATGTCTTTGACTCGCACAGACGGCTACTTGCAATGCATTCCATCCTTCTAGGAAAAGGCCTACAGGTGGGTCGCAGCGATGCTCAAAGGCGCTGGCAACCCAACGTTGCGGTTTAGAAGGTAGTTCGCGTTTTTTAGCAGAGCGATGATAGTACGAATATTTTTCCCCGCTGCAGCATAAGCATGGTCCGAAGCCACTCGCTGACTACAGAAGCACAGACTTTACAGTGCCGGAACTGAGTTTTGCACGACACGGAAGCGCCGCACTGCTCTGGGCTGGTGACACTTGGAGCCTTCAGCGCAGGATCTGGGGTCTCGTTGCCGGCTGCTGGTCGGGGTCGCGCATCCCGGGTCAGTCAACGGCGACGGGTCCGATCCGTTGCAACACTGGGGAAACGCGTGCGCGAGCCCACGCAGAAGCATTGCACCCAAGATCTGTACATGGGCGGAAGAAGTGGACATTGTGCCCGTGCGCCGTCGGCGTCGCCACGCACGCGAATGCTCCCGGATACTTTTTGCTCATCATTGAACGTCGTTTCTGTCGCGGCTAGCACTGCATCAATGCCTTCTCATAAAACTTTCAAGATAAAGATCAAGCTCGCGAAGAAGGCGAAGCAGAATCGTCCGGTTCCTGTATGGTTTCGGTACAAAAAGGACACAAAGATCAGGTACAACAACAAAAGAAGGCACTGGCGGCGAACGAAGCTGAACTTTTGAAGCGCAGTACTTGCGAGCAACGCCGTGTACGTCGTCGTGTTTACCGGCGGCTCTGGTAGCTCAATGTTTCCGAGGAACGCATCGCAAGCTACTGAACGGCAACGGTGCGCTGCTTGAAGGCGATGCGAAGTGTAAACCCGGGTCGGGGAAATAGATCTTTGGAGCTATCGAAACCAGAGCGCTGGTTGCCCGTGCACCTGAGCAAGTAAAGTTCAATAAGATACCGTGAATACCTTTGATGCAGCTTCTTACGATTAGCAAGGTTTTAGGCGCTGCAGAGTGACCAGTGTGTTGCGACTAGCGTTACAATTCCCAAGGGGTGTCTAGCTTGGACTCTTTCGGTGACGAGGCGCCTCGCGGCATAGTCGGCCCTCGAGCGGAGAGCGGGGTTTGTCTGTTCGGGGCTTCTCGTACACCAATGACAGCGTCGTTCAGATAAACCTGACTGTCGTCATCTGCCCCGCTCGGTGCGTGCTTTTCATTCTTCGAATAGCTCGGCCAGTCATATTTTTCCTTGAGCAGCAGCAAATGCTTGTAGACGACATTCCATTTGCGTTCCTGGCCATTGGGAAGACGGGCTTGTACCTCTTTCGCGATCTGAACTTTGCTACGGATCCTTGGAGCAAGCTCATGGTAAACCTCGCTGAATATCGCATCCTCCGCTTCAGTGAACCGTAAACGATGCGCTTTGCTGTTGACTGGGACACCGGTCTCGCGGGAGCCGCTGCGCGCTGCCGCATGGCCGTTATAAGTGCGAGCTTCGCGCTGCTCGACACCGTAGCTCGAGGCCTCTTGGACCTCTCTGAAACCAACTGGGCTGGCGGCTAACGCTCTCTTGGCCGATAACTTTCCGAGTTCGATGTTTTCGGATAGTGTTTCAGGTGTCGAGCCCACCTGAACAGTTTCGTTTTCGAGTGTCCCTTGGTGAGTCGGAGCCCCAGTAGAAAGCGTCTCAATCATGAACTGGGCTGAAGCAATACTTGCTTGCGCAGCGCTGAGCACAGAAGGCGCGTACTCTGCAGCCCATTCACGGAGCGTCTGCTGTGATTCCAGTGTAACGGAGAGTTGCCTTAAGTAGTCTAGTTTCTCCCGGAGTGTAGCGGTAGCTGCGAGCAGTTCAGAGAACAGAAGGTTCCATGCCTCTGGCGGAGCGCCTCGCTCTTGATTCATAAGAGCAACACACCCCACTGTCCAAAGTCTCCTGTTGATTAGTTACTCGTGAAACACAGAGAGGACCATCCGCCCTGAGAAACCAGAACGCAAAGCCGCTACTGTGCTGGGCGCTCAACAAAACGGTGGCGCACGCGCATCAGTGACGTGTGTTTCCCGGTGCGACGTTGCGCGGTATTTAGTGCAGAGCGGTCGAGCTTCGGTAACACAACTGTCTTATCTATGAGGACACTCGCATTCTATGCTGGGAGCGCCCAGAAGCGCACTTCTCGTCTGAACCGGACGTAAGGGCATATGGTGTTGTATCGTCTGGTGCGCTGCGGTCGATAGTGCGCTTGACGGCGTTGGACGATGTAAGGCGCACTTGAACGTGCCTGGTCGCGGTTTCGACTGTCGACTCAGCCTCTATAACGTCTAGGCGTTTTCTCTTGTTTTGTAAGTCGCGGAAAACGTACAATAGACAACGCAGCTCCATAGCACAATACACACAAATTAGTCGAGCGCACGGTGGGAGGTCGGTTGCGTCTCGACGGCAGCGAGCAGGCTGCACGCTTTCTGGAGCGAAAAGTTTCGCGACCATAGAATGTACACAAATAAACCTACTCACAGAAGACACCCAGCCTTTTTTGACGGACTGCATGCTATCGGCTTCAGCAACCCCTTGCACAGTTTGAGCCTTAGCGGTTGCGCGACAAAGTTCGCTCGCGTCACCTCCTCGTGTCTTGTCTTCAGCACTGCACATCTTTTGGTATTGATGGCGACGTTACCGTCTCGGTTCACGAAATCCTTGCGTTTATTGCCTCTGCTTGAACTCAGCATTGCAGGGATTGCTAGAGGTCCTGCCTTCTATGAAATCAAAGTCTCGTTATCGTCTCGTTGAGCAAACACATTTTCTCGCCTTTTTCCGTTCTTCTTCTTTATCACTCGCTCTTCTTCGGTTGGTGGTCGGCGTGAAGAGGATCTTTTTTTTCGTTCCTTTTTTGTGGAACCCGGCGACACCGGGCCTCCAGGATCCTTGACGTCCGTGACCATACCTATTCCTCGGATTTTTTTTATTTGAAAATGAACGCACTTCTTTATGCCCTTAGATGAGGGCCTTCCTGGAGCGAGCAGGATTTGCGGAACAAAAACTACTTGTGCCCCGGTGTGTCACCGTGCAGAACGCTCCAGGGACTCGCCCAGTGGAGCGATCATTATGTTAAAGGATACAAAACACTCCTTCGATGAGGTTGAAACACGTAGAGCACGGAGGAATGAAAAGCAGCGCTATCTGGATAGAATCTGCAAAAACTCGAACGCATCGGAAATGGTGCAATGCCACGTTTTCCAGTAGAGGGAAGTCGGCGGACGTCAGGGAAAAGTCTTCAATGATTCGAATTTGCGGGTGCTGTTGTATGAGTCTCCTGTACGAGCGAAACTGAGGCCGTCAAATGGATCAACTGCAGCTAGAATAGACGATGATGTCCTCGTTCTCCTCGAGATCGATCGCACATACAACGAGCCCCCTCTTTTTGAATACCCATATACGCTTCGGCCGTTTCGTCCAAAGCAAGTCTCATTTACCGGCGAAACAAACCGCCATTCCCGTGCTTCATACCGATCGCGACGTTTCAGGGATGCTGTCGTAGCGATTTCGATGGACGATGGTCGTGCATGAGCTAGGACTCTTTTTTTGCGACTGTATCCCAGTGTTTTCAGTACCACATGAACAAGTTTTTGAGAAACAGATACACTCTTGGCGGCTACTATCGTCGCTTTTGCCTCCCGCAGGGTGATCAACGGGTCGTATTTCCACCATGGACCGCAAAGAGTCTTTAAGAATATGGCTCTTGGCGCGGAGCGCGTATCCTGTGATCTTTCAGTGATCCTCAACTATCTGAGAACTGCCGTATGACTGACCTAAAAGAAAAATACGGTCCCCCGTGCACAATGAAGTAAGGAATATATATCCTCCAGGCAGTTTGCCTTCGAATTATACGGTACGATGTAACTTGATATCGATCTGCCGCTCGTACTGCGAAAAAGCATTCGATGACACGCATCAGCGGTGGAACAGAATTGACCTGAAAGTCCGCAGAAATCGAACAATCTTTCAAGGTTTTGTCCATGATTCTAAAATGTGATATATTGGTCCATAACGCATTGCACGCCAAGCGATCGCGAGCGCCGCTCCCCATGTAACGAGCACCGACGCGCGTCTGACGCCGAGCCCGGGCCAAAACTCGAACCGGTGCTGCGCAGCGACGGCCGCGACACGATGTGGCGAATGCCGGCGTATTCGTCGACACTTTGTAGACGCTCTAGCGCAGGCTTTACGTAACGAACTTTTTCTGATCGAAAACCAAAACTCAGTTTGATCGTACCTTGTGCACGCGTGGACAGTAAAAACTTGTATTGGGACCGATAATTGTCATAGGACGCGACCATGGCAGTTTGTTTCGTTCTTCCGCACAATGGACTCGCGGCAGTAGCCGGGAGGCGAGCGCAGAGTGGCTGGAAACCCAGCGGTGCCCTCTTCCGCGAAACGAGAATGGTTATTAGCGCCAAGCCTGATTCAAAGAAAAATACTGGTGGTCGCGTATGGCGACCTTCTTCTTGGCGGGAAATGCCTGTCAAACAGGTACCGACGTACCCAGACGAGGCGAGGCTGCAGGATGTTGAGGCGAGGCTGCACAAGGCGCTGCCCCTGGTCTACACTGGTGAGTGTGAGCACCTGAAAAAGCTGATTGCAAAAGCCAGCCGCGGAGAAGCATTCGTTCTACAAGGAGGCGACTGTGCGGAGTCATTCGAGGAGTTCGAAAAGTACGGTGGCGACAACATACGGGATACTTTTCTCCTGCTCATTCAGATGAGCATCGTTCTCATGTACGCCCTCGGGTTGCCGGTGGTGAAAATCGGTCGCATGGCTGGGCAGTTTGCGAAACCACGCACATCGCCTATGGAGCGGGAAAAGAATAAGAAGCTTGAACTGCCCAGCTATCGTGGCGACATGATCAACGGGCCCGAGTTCGAAGCACGAGCGCGCGTGCCCGATCCCGAACGGATGCTCCGAGCGTATCACCAGAGCACTGCGACGATCAACCTCGTGCGAGCGCTTGCGTATGGTGGTTTCGTGGATCTACATCGCATCCATGAAATCAACTTGGAATTCGTGAACGGCACACCGCAGGGAAAACGCTTTTTCGAATACGCTGCTCGGATCACGGATGCTCTGCGCTTCATGTCGAGCTGCGGCATTCAAGCCAACTCCCCGATGATCAAACAGGCAGAGTTTTTCGTCTCACACGAGGCACTTCTGCTTCCATACGAAGAAGCGCTCGTACGCCAGGACAGAGAGACCGGCAAGTACTATGCAACTTCAGGCCATATGATCTGGTGCGGCGACCGAACCAGACAGCCAGATGGTGGCCATGTCGAGTTCCTACGCGGCATCGCGAACCCGATTGGGATCAAATGCGGACCCTCTCTGACTGAGGCGGAGTTGATTGAGCTGCTGGACATTTTGAATCCGGACAATGAGCCAGGTCGCATTACGCTGATCTCACGTGTTGGTGCTGGACGAGTACGCGAACATCTGCCTCGTTTTATTGAATGCGTGCAGCGTGAGGGACGAATCGTTACCTGGTCATGTGATCCAATGCACGGAAATACGGTAACAACTGCATCCGGAGTGAAAACTCGGCGATTCGACGACATTTTAAGCGAAGTCAAGGAATTTTTTGAAGTTCATCGTGAAATGGGCTCGATTCCGGGCGGTATTCATCTGGAAATGACCGGCCAGAATGTGACAGAATGCATCGGAGGTATGTATGAGCTCTCGGATGCGGATCTGGCCACTCGTTTTGAATCTCGATGCGATCCGAGACTGAATGCGAGCCAGAGCCTGGAATTAGCTTTTCTGCTCTCGGAGTACATGTCGGGCAAGCGTACGGATTGAGCACCCCGCGGAGTAAAGCTCCAGCGAGTATGATCGGCAGGTTCATCTACACCATGCAAAAAAACCCGCGACCAGAGCGAGGCCTCGCTCCTCTACATGATCGAGCATAGGCTCCGGTCCGCGTTGAGTCTCGCCCATGCTCTGGATGTGTTTGGCGTGTCGTTTCGATGCGCAGCGGGCTTTTGAAGAACGGGGAGTTCCAGAAGTCTAGTGCCGTCTGGTCGCAAAATATCTCCGTAAATGACGTACTCGATGGTATCCAGTTCCTCTTGAGAAAGCGACCGACTGAGGACGCGACTATGCGCACGCAGGAGTTTCTCTGTGACGCGGCTTTCCGGCTGATCGCTCTTCCATCGATTTGCTGAAGTCTGCAGAACGTCGCAGTTGGTTGAGTCTGAGCGTCCACCTTTGCCCCAGGGTGCGCGGTGGTCATACTCGTAACAGAGCGGACCGTTGCAACCATGCAGTGCGCGGCATACCAAGTTCCCGACTCGATCGAAGCGCCAGCGCCTTGGGTGTCTACCCGGAACAACTTGAGCGTTCCTCCAGCAGATGTTTCGCTCAGTATGCGAAAACAGGCGCCTTCCGTCGCGACGCGTATCCTCCAGGACGTCTTGCGCGACGGTTAGCAGCTTCCGACCCCAGACCGGCTGCTGCATCACCTTCCCAGCTGTGCACGCTGAAGCTTGACCAGTGCAAGCAGTAGCGTTGTTTCCTCCAGGGGCTCGTAGCGTCTTATCGAGATCCTTTACCGAGTTCAGCAAGAAACCTGGGCAGGCAGTGAACCTAGCAAGCCGGCTTCAAAGGTTTGTTGCACGTCGAAGCGCTCATGAAGAAACCGTTTATCGCCCAACACCGTCTGCGCAAGCTGGAACCAAATGAAGCGTTCTAGGATGTTTTCAGGATGTCGTACTGCTAAACTGTCAGCGTTGCGTCCGCAATGCAGCGGTTTGTGCTGCGCTCTATGATCGATGAAACCTGTGCGAGACAAATATGCTTCCGAGCGACCATCAACGGTGCAGGTCATAGAGCCAATCCATACCTGACAGGTCGAGAAGAGCATCGATCGATCCTCTGGCAATGCTCCATAGCGAAGACATGTGAGCTAGACTGCGTGATGCGCGACACCCCGAGGATCCATTCGCCCCCGGTCTTGGAGCGCCCACATGTGAGGTCGAAGATAAAATCACGAGCGCCCAGGTTCTCTTCAGGTATCTCCGCTTTCTTCCGTTGTGTCTATCTCCGGGAGGGAGCTCCCGTAAACCCAGAAACAACGCGGTAATGAAGAATCCATCGCACAGGACTCGAATTGCTGCTCGAGTGTTGCAACATTCGAGGCACTCAACATCGGGGTCGTGCATCTGCTTGACATCGCGACGTTCGTGGTTGCGTGCCTTTGCCTATTCGGAAGCTCTAGCGCACGCATGTACGGTGTGCGTCAAGCCGTCACTCCCTCATACATGGGAAAGCCCTGCTCTCTCTGTGCTGCATCCGCAACTTCGCTATAGGCGCTGTTGCGGACGCTCACGATAGAGTCGGTGTGTGATGGAACGTACGAAATGACTTGTATCTCCGGGGGGAATAGCGAGTGCTGGAACTTGTAGGTGGGTAGAATTACGGGCGCTTTCCCGATCGCCACTATCAAGCTCAATCGGAGATTCCTGGTCGCTAGAAAAGTTCTCTCAACAAGCAACGTACAGCGTTCTGGTTCGATGTATGCGCAGCGCCGTGTTCACGTCAGGTTCTGGCGCAGAAGCGTCGTATGGCTGTTTCCACCGCCGTGGCGGATGCCTTGCTCCAAGCACCAGGTATACGGTCACATTATTGGTACTGACAGGGAAGATGCCTCTCTAGCGCCGATTCCAACTACGAGATGCTACGTACTGAACGACCTGTGCTGGCGTTTCAGCATACCCAGAGCGACGCCGCATCGGATGCTGCGGAACGTTCTTCAGTGACATCCTGCACGTGGGTGAAACTGGACGCCCTCTCGGGGACGCGCACTGCGCGCCATCTGCGACACACACCGCGTCCGTTCTGGGTCCGTAGCTGTGGTCAGTGGGGTTTGCTTGACGACCTGGCGCTTAAAGAGAGCGCAGCATAAATCCGGGTCTGTCTGCTGACGTACTGTGTGGGCTATCAGCGCAATGAGCACGCAGGCTGGCGCAACAGCGGCCGCGCTCTCAAAGTACAAACTCGTTTTCCTCGGCGATCAGGCCGTTGGGAAAACATCGATTATCACCCGCTTCATGTACGATAAGTTTGATAACAACTACCAAGCAACTATTGGGATCGACTTTTTGTCGAAAACGATGTACCTGGAGGATCGCACCGTCCGACTGCAGCTGTGGGACACCGCAGGACAGGAACGTTTCCGCTCGCTGATCCCGTCTTACATTCGAGATAGCTCCGTAGCAGTGGTCGTCTATGATGTAACAAGTCGCCGTAGTTTCCTGAATACTGCAAAGTGGATAGAAGAAGTTCGTAATGAGAGAGGCAACGAAGTAATTATCGTTCTGGTTGGGAATAAGAGCGACCAAAACGATAAGCGTCAGGTAAGCGTCGAAGAGGGCGAAGCGAAAGCCAAAGAACTGGATGTTCTGTTCATCGAGACTAGCGCGAAGACAGGCGCAAATGTGAAAGCGCTCTTTCGGAAGATTGCTGCGGCGTTGCCAGGTTCCAGCTCGACGACGAGTCGAGGAAGCCAGCTCATCGACGTGAAGCTCACACCGCAGGAACCCGCCGCGAGTCCGTCGCAACAAAGCTCGTCGTGTCTGTGTTAGCCTGTAAGGCGATCTTGGCGGTGCAGCACTGAAGGGTTTCAAGGCCCTCGGTTAAATGTCTCAAAGTTCCGCGTACTAGGCGCGGCGCACGGAAGGCGCGCAGTCGTGTTCGTACCCTAGACTGGTACAGGCTGTGAGAATCTCTTCTCTATCATGCATCCGTCGCAGTACGTTCTTTAAGGAAATGCATTTCTATCAAAGGACCTCGGTGGTCCTGGTAAACGAGTAGGGCGATGGTTCCGGAAAAGGCTGAAGGGCGACGGTGCTGTGCCAGCGCCGACCGCCTTCTTCGTACTAGCGCCCGCTTCTGGCTCTGTAACGCTTGCCTTAGCACTAGCAGTCGCTGACGTCGTGCTCGCTGCACCATTTCCAGTGGATGCTCTGTCATGTGTTTGCACGCTCTGTGCGGAAGCCGTTTTTGGTGGTTTCTCCGCCGCACTTGACGAGGACCCCGCAGTGCTACCGGCATCCGTTGGTACCCGAGGCACTACTCCAGTCGTTTGTTTCCTCTCAAATGCTGGCAGCTGGCCGTTGCGAATACGACTGCGAGCTGAATCAGCTCCGGGCATTGGAAGGCGCTTCTTGCCAAGTTTGCCGCCTCGAGTCAATATCCAGCCGTCGCCGCCCCAGACTCGGTCTGCGCGAAGCACCAGCAACGGGCGGCTGTTCTGCGCAGAGATCGAGCTCCGCCAGCTAGTCTCGTGAAGTGCATGCGCGCAAAACCCGATGACACCTATTGAACCGAGTGTTCCAAAGGACTGCAACGCACTCAACGCAAAAGCTTGGCACTGCATGGAGAGGCTCAGACACCCTGAAGGAATTGATGAATAAAGATCAAGCGCAGCTAACTGTGGAGCCGTAGCGGCGGTCGGCGCTCTGCGGCACACGCGGCAGTGGGTAGTTTAAGAAAAACAACAAAGCGGACATTCTCTTGCGGTGTCCGTGTATAGGGTCTTTCATCTCAATTTCGTTCCGCCTCTGCTACGTTCTGTAGAAGAAGGTCGAAATTATTGTGTAATTAACCTTTTAGATCGTAGACGAATTGTCAGTAGGGTACGTATTCTTTACTAAACAGTCCACGGAGAACTGCATTCCTTCTTCATGTCAGACATTCCACATCACGCAGATGGTTGCGGAACACTGGAAGACAGGCATAGACGCGCTCTGCGTCAAGAACCGATATTCTCCACGTGTGCTTCCAATCAACGGTAGAACACGATCCTTTGATCACCTTTTCCGGAAGTACAAAGCGACGATAATAGATGCCACCAGCGCCTCTGTTTCTAAACAGCTTGTTCATGTGGTCCAGAATACACTAGGATACTGTCGCAAGAATGTCCTAGTTCAATCACCGTCATCTCCCATGGAAATCCCAGTTACAGTGCTCCTTGAACATCGAGATCGGTATGAAGCACAGGGACGTGGGTTTTTTTCCTCAGTCAATGAGACTTGCTTCCGATGAAACAGTCGGAGAAGATACGGATATTTGCGGAGCGGGGCGCCCGTTCCATATACCATCGAATTCGAGACGAACGACGAAATCATCATCCGTTCTAGTTGTAGTGGATTCTATTTACGGCCTCAGTTTCGATCGTGGGGAAGGCTCATACAACAGCACCAACCATTTTGTCGAATCATTGACGATTTTTCTCTAACATCTGGCGACGTCCTTCTACTGAACAACGTGGCATTTCACCAGCCCCCTCGCGGTCGAGCGTTTCCCGATTCTATCGGGATAGAGCTCGTTTTCATTCTTCCGTACGCTCCGTGATTCAACCGGAACGAAGCAATCTTTTGTATCCTGAAATGCAACGATTGCTCCACAGCGAGATTCGCTGAAGCGTCCAGCACATGGTAAAACTGGGCCACATTATGTACCATTTGCGCAAGTGCTTTTTCTTCCGGGAAGGGCCCCACCAAAGGCCATAAAGAAGTGCACTCACTCTAAAAGAATTAAGGGATGAGCTGGGATGCACACTTCAGATGCTCGAGATTGAGAAAAGACTGCAGAGCGCTTTGGCGACAGAAATGTACGAAGACATGATAGAGCACCAAATGGCACAGAGGGCCTAAGTGCGCAGATTCCTCGCATAGGTGAGTACAAGCGGAAGCAAGAAAGGCATGAAGTTCGTGACCCGAGATTATAACGCTGCTATCAATATCAGGAGATTTGCGGTGCTGGCGACGAAATCCCGGAAGCTGACGCGAGCTTCCTTTAGAGGGTCAGCATCTCAGGCTCGAAGTATGCTGGGATAAATACTGAAACCGATAGCAGGCAACCGGTTGAAAAAGCCTGGGAGGCGTCTTCTGGTGGATATGCATATACCCCCACATGGCGGTGCGAAATTTTTTATTTCACTGAGGGTATGTATTTTGATGGACTTAAATAGAAGAAGCGGACACGATCGCAGTCGACGCGGGCGTGAATGCTGCGAACCCCGTATTTCCATCCGCCCTTCTGCTGTGCTAAGCTGTGCTGCGGAAAGAACAAGGTCCCGTGTCAAATGAACACGGAGTCGCGTTGGCGGCGACAATTTGGAAGAGGTGCAATGCTTTCCTCGAATACTCTCGCCGGCTTTGTGAACGTATTCGGGCCGGTGGCGGGCCAAGCTGGAAGCACGCGTGCGGCGCTTCGAAGCGCAACGGTACGGCTCAGCAGGGTCTGCACGGACGCGGTCTCACGGCGAAACCGGAAGCAAGCCACCTGTATGAGGCCGCGCTCGCGTGCGCGACTCTTTATGGGCACCGATACGAACCCAGATGGTGAAGACAATGAAACTCGCTCTGGGTCACAAGGAGGTCAAAACTCCAGCGATGTCGAAAAGCACAAGGAGGCGTCTGCCTCATCTGGGCAGTCCGGGAGAAGCGATATGGGTACGCGGGATATTGAATTTAACCTTGGCCCCAAAGGCGAGTCCCTTACTGCGTCAGCTACCGAAAAACCAAATCCATTCTTGGAATATATCCGCTCCTTGTCTCCGCCAGAGACTTTGAAGCGTTTTGCCGAGTCGGCACCCAAAGAAGTTCAAGCTGCCATGAAACAAATGGTCGTCAACATGTTGGGCAACCTGCCGCCTTTCGCGTATGCAGTTACCATCACCACGCTGGGGCAGCGTCTAGCGGACCTGCTGTATTCTACAGCGATGACGGGCTACATGTTGCGCAATGCTGAGTACCGTCTCTCGCTGACGCGCTCGTTGGGATACTGGAGTCCCAACGATAATCAGAGTAACGAGCGGTTGCGGCAAGAGATCGAGCGCATAGCACCGGATTCTGTCATTCGTCTGCGCAACTCGGATGGCACAACCACCGAGGTTCCCGCCGCGAAATTCCTCGGAGAGCTCTGTGAAGAAGTGCGCGCTCTGAAAAGCGAATTAGCCCAGTACGAAGCGGGAAGCAATCGGATTCTCTCCTACATTCGCTCTCTGAAACCCGAGAACCTGGAGCAGCTGACAAAAAGCGCAGGCACTGAAGCTGTAGATGCAATGAAAAGGACAGTGAAAACCTTGCTTGAGCAGTCGGGAGTTAAGGGCGAGCTTCCAGTCACCCTCCCGGCAGCTGAGCTGTCATCGCTCCTCTTCTGGCTCATGGTTCTCGGATATGATATTCGAGAAAAAGAAGTGAAAATGGATTTTGAACGACAGTTTCATAGGGGTTATCTATCGAGTTCGAACGAACAGAAACCGGAGGACGAAGGAAGCGGCCCGGACGCGCCTCAGCCGTAAAAAAGCGAGGCAAGTCGATGGCTGACAAAATTTGTCGCTACTGTATTTGGGCTGGGACGAGGAGGTCCTCGGAGCGCGCTGCATTGTCGCTACGACATCGTCTGAGCATTGCTTACAGTACCGGAATAGTTGACTGCTTCTGGGCAGCATCCCATTGGCGATAAAGTTGATGCCATCGACGCAAACGCCGTCGACGAGCTCGCTCGCTTGCGTGACGTTGGTGGCTGGCAGCGGCCTCCATGTGCGATGATTCCCCTGAGAAAGAATCTTGCTTACGTCGTAGCAACTCGTCACATGTTTCTCCAATATGGACCAAACGATTCGTGTTGAGAGACATTTTCGATTCGAGTCCGTTCGAAATCAGAACTTGAAGCATGAGCTGCCTTTTCCAGGTTTCGTAAAGCGATATTCGATCGGGATCCGATGACGTAGCGTGGCCAAGTCGGCGACACCAGGACGCAAAGGATCGCTCCAGCGGCACGTTCACAACAGAACGCTCGAAGGCGTAGAGTTTGCGGGCATCAACCGCCATCGGCAACATATCCAGCGTGTGTTGGTGCTGGTGTTGTCCTTGCCAAGCAAAGAATCCTAGATAGCTGGCCGCCGCTTCCGCAGCTGCAGCGGTATCGCGTCGACGTGGAATGCCCTCATCGCTTGTCAGCAGGGTTACAGTGAGGATTGCTGGAGTCGACGCCAGCGTGGCTCGATCCTCCTTGGGTTCGAGGTCACTGGCGCCTGACCCCACTGGCCCCGGAGCGTCCTGCACCTGGAAGCGATAGAGATTCCCACCGCGCTCATCGCGTAGAATTTGTAGCGCTTTGATACAGTACGACACCTCTGCAATACATAGAGCTTGCGCTTCCGCGTCGGTAACGCCATCACCATCAGGGACCAGACCGCGCACGAGATCCTGCTCTTGAGCAAAATACAAGGCAACGAGTCTCGACTGAGCCGTGTTGTACGCTTGTTTCACTAACTTGAATAGCACCTTGTCTAAGGTAAAGAGCACGTACGATTCAGGCCCCAGTACGCGGCGGCAGTAGTCTTCATACTCTTGGCTATCGATGGCATTACTCAGGTACCTCCGGAGCATGTCCATATATTCTCTGTATATGTCCGAGGGGGCGCGCAGCGTCGCCTCCGCCCTCGCTTCACCTTCGGGATTGTAGAGGGAGTCGGAGATGGATTTGAGGTCCATGGCCGCCTCAGGCTGACGTTGCTCGTTCATTCGAGCTGATCGTTGCCTCTCGTACTGGGACTGCGCCATCTGTCGAGCGGCGGCCAGACGCTGGAATGCGATTTCGTAGAGCCGCATGAGAATATACAGGGACTCGTCGGCGAAAAGAACCGAGTCGTTCCGATAGCGCATCCTCTCGACTCTTGCATTGCGCTTCGGACCCGGCACAGAAGTCGACCCGGTTTCCGCCTTGATCGCTGGTGCCTCTCCGGGTCGCACACTGGGCACCTCCTCTGACAACGACAGAATGACTGGATCGAGGCCATTCCCGCCATCCCGTGTGTCCATCTCAGCACAGAAGTTTTCATCAGGCGATGACTTTCGCGAGACGCTGTCGGAGGCCGCCGGCGAGTCCCCCGCTGAGCGCTCATCTGCAGCACGAGCCAGCTCATTCCGCAAAAGGCCACTCACATCCGCAAGCTCCGAATCCGTCTCTTCGCGAACGACGGGCGCAGTGCACTCGCCAGGAGTCTCGACTGCGCGAACACCAGGATCATGCAAATTGATGCCAAAGAATCTCCCGAAAAGCTCCGCATAGAACTGCAAGAGATGCGCACATTCCATCGGCCCGTACTCTAGATGAGACAAAAACGACACCAGTGCATATAGGTCCTGATGCGCCTTCTTCAGACGGAGGCGGAATCGCAAGCACGGAGGCTCTAGCGCCGACACCACCGCAAAGGGGTCGCGTTCAGGCGCCGCCGCTGAATCGCCACACGCAGCGCTCAGTGATGCGTGCGCGCACTCGAACGTGCCCCCGTGGACGCACTGCAAAGCAACTTGCCGAGCGCGCCAACTGTTTTCGAACTCACGGCTGAGCGCAGGGTGTCCGAAACCGCAGCCGAAAGCGACACAATCACAGGAGCCAGCCATGATATTCGCGGCAAAGACAGCGACCGTGATCGCTTCCATGAGCGTCCGGACCTCTGCGATGTCGTGGATGTCCTGGAGGAGGCCACGGACGCTGATTGTGCGCTTATCACTCTGTCTGAAATAAAAGCTTCGGTGATCCAGGCTCTTGAAATAGTTGCGTTCACAGATTTCTCTCCAGAGTTTGTTCATTTCGACGCGAGCTCTTCGCCATTCCTCGTCCTTCTGTTTGAGGCGGTTCAGGACAATTGGAACTGCCACACTTGGTTGCATCTTCACATGCATGACCATTTCTGGGCCGTGTGCTCCATAGACTCGCTCTATGGCCCGGTAATGCACTGCACTGAGGGCGTGCTCGGCGAGCATATGTTTTGCCTTTTCTTCGTCGCTCATATGGGCGATCACCATGGCCAGAGGTTCAAGCTTATGAATCGTTGCCGCATTCGTCTCGATGACCATATCCAGCTCGTAGCGATCGTCTTCACATCGAAAGAGATTGTCTTCAAACTGATTGCGACGCATGTGCTTGAACGAGCCCTCCTCGCTCCCGGTCGGCACTGACACCCAGATATCGTTCAGTACCTGTTTCTCAAGCTCACCGCGACCACTACATGGCATGGATTGAAATTCGGAAGGTATGCGTTTGTAGCTGGTGTCACAACGTTCCCGGGACTCTGCTGCCGCCTCGCTGAGCGACTTGTAGCGCCAGAGCCCGTCAACCGGGGGGGCGGTCGCCGACGGTGGAGCACGGCCCTCTAGAATCGCCAGCGCTGCCTCGACGCCCGACATTGCACTTTCTGCATCGGTTGGATGCTTGGACCTGCGTGCTGGGGCACAAGCATCCAAGAACGTGCGGAAGGCCTCGCTTAAAATATGCCTGTGTCCGAAAAGTTCATCAGCAAGGCTCATCAGCTCTGTTCTGCCGATAATCTCCTGGTTGTAAAGACTCAGGCACTTGATGAACTCATGAAATTGATGTGCTTCCATGCGCTCCCGCAATTTTTCGAAAAAGAGAAGCTCGGCTCGAGCTCCGTAAGAAATGGGCGAAAGTCCAGACAACGCAGTAGCAGCCGTTGAAGACGCGTGCGGCGCTGTCGCAATCGTCTGTTCCAGGTGCTGTGGAACGAGTGCAGCCTGGAGCGGAGCATCACGCCCGTCGAGGCTAACTCCCTGCGCAGTTTCGCTGCGTCGACTCCTTTTGGTTCGCTTTGTGGGTCCTCCCGTCGCACCAAGGTTGCTCGCCGCTCGTTTTGCCCAAGTTATTTGTCTTGCGCTCTCGATTTCATCCTCCACAGAATCTGGAAGAAAACTCTTGAACTCTTCCAGGAGATCTGGATGACCGCGAAAGATCTGAGAGACTTCATCCAGCACGCTGAATTTGTCCTCTCCGTCGCGCTGATAGGCCTGCAGAATGTTCAGAAACCTCTGGTAGATTGCTGGTTGGTTCTGAAAACGCTGCTTGACTTTGTTCACGTATTGGATAGCGTGGTCGAATTCCTCATTGTTGAACGTGGACAAGCTTGGTGGTACCCCAACGGCTTGTGCGTTCACGACAGCTGCACTGTCGGCGACGGTATCCGCAACACGTTGCGGGACGTGCAGCTGTTTGGGTTCCTGCGAAGGCTGAAACGCTCGAAACGCTTCAGGTCCAGCTCTAATGTGGGCGTTTCCCATGGCAGAAGACATTTCAGCGACTCTGTATGCGTCTGGAACAGCATGCTGACTTGGACGAGTGATTGCGCCTGGATATGGAGCGCGAGCACGGGTATCCTCTGCAGCGACCGTAATCTTCGCATCATCCCTTTCATTTGCAGGGCCGGGTGTTTCTGCGTGAACGGGTGCTGCATCCAAGCAGTCTGAGAGCTCAATTTTGTATCCCGCCGGCAGAAAAGTGTTGAAGCCAAGCACAAGGTTGGGATAGCCGCGAAAAAGACGCGTAACTTGCTCAATTACGCCTGGTGTATCGATTGTTTGCGCCTTGAATTCTTTCATGATGTCCAGGAATTTTGCATAGATTCGCGGCCGATCCTCGAACTGGGCCTTCACCTGCTCTAAATAAGCCAGAGCGTCCTCGACTCTCAAAGCTCGCGCCTGCGAGCCTTCCTCGGTCTCAGCAGGTTGATTCATTCGGTCAGCAGCTGCACTGGTCTCCTCGGACTGGGGATCGAGCTTAAGCACCGTGCGTGCGGCACCAGCTCGTTCTGTGCTGTCGCTCTCGCGTTTCGAGCTACTATTTTTACCGCTCACCGTCGGTTCAAGGTTTTGCGTAACCTGTTTCTCTGTAAACTCTAAGTGCGTTTTGTGCTGGCTCGAAGTAGGCGATATAGGCTGGGTTGCTGTCTCCCGAACGTGCGAATGCGCACCCTCAACTAGCGTCGCCAGTTCATCTTCTATTGTTCGTGCACCTTCTCTCGGCATGGTGTCCGCCGTGACATCTCTGGGCACGTTTTCGGTCTCCGAACGTAGCGCTTCAGCGCGTTCGCTACGATCATCTGTGCTTTGCAAAATCATCCCGGCCTCTTCGCTGCTTCCGAGACCAGCAGATCCCTGCGGACGCTGTGGTTCTGCCTCAACGCGCAGAGGCACTGTTTGCGTTTCTGGTGGCACCAGTGATGCCTCACCCGAGATCCGCTCCAGTAATCTATCTTCAGACTCCTCCATCTATTGTGGCGAGTTGGCTTTTGCCCAGGTTGCGACCAAGGCAAGCTCACGACTATATTTCCACAGCAGTGCTGGCTTTCCTCGAGCGAGAGCAACCTGCGCGCAGCAGTCTCAGATCCGACTCCGCTTCCCCGGGGCGCGTAGCTTCTAGAGTGGTGAAAACATTATTAACACAATCCGTGACCTGTATTGAAATTGTGCAAGCTAACCAGATTCAAGTAACGGGTAATAAATATAAAAATAAATCTTATCGTCGTCATTCAGGACGTCCAGGAGGGATGAAGATTCGTTATTTTTATCAAATAGGTGGAAAAAGAGCATTGGAACATGCAATTAAAGGTATGCTTCCAAAAGGTGTGAAAGGTCGCCAATTGTGGCGAAAAATTCGTATAGAAGCTTAGAAAGAGTTATGTATGCCATAGGAAAACGTAAATGTGCCATCCCCGGGGAAGCAACCAGCCTGTATCGTGTACCAAGCTGCAATCCATATTTGTGCATATTAATTCTAAACATTCCACGATTGAACTGGATCCAGTGCAGCCTCGAATCGCGATGCCACCCTGGCGGCTAACCTGCTGCGCGTACCTGGCAGCTAAAAATGATTCTTGTTCCTCTAGTTGCTTTCAACTTAATTCAGTTCCAACCCCGCTGTATAAAATCGAATGATTTTTCTCAGTGTAGAGCACGAGATCGAGGTCACTATGTAATTTATTGTGTACATCTTAGATGAATAGCCTGTAGGATATATTCTTTAGTAAACAATCCCTGCAGGACTGTATTTATCCTTCAGGTCAGTCATACAACAGTACTCAGACGGCTCAGGAACACTGAAAGAAAGGAGTATATGCGCTCCGCGCCAAGTACCGATATTCTCAAAGCATGGTTGCGGTGAATTGTAGGAATTGGACCCGTTGATCGTTTTTTACGGAAAGCAAAAGCGAAGATAATAGCGAACACGGGCGTCACTTTTCTCACGAGCTTGTTCGGGTGGCGCTGAAAACAGAGGTATACTGCCGGAGAAAAGAGCCCAGTCTCATGCACGGCAATCTCCCGCTGAAATCGCCTCAGCAGAACTCCTGGAACGTTGCGATCTGTAAGAAGTAGAGGAACTCCGGATCGTTTTCTCTGTCAATCAGACTTTATTAGGAAAATACGGTCGGTGCGTGTATGGGTATTCGCAGAGCAGGCAGCCGGTTGTATGTAAGATGAAACTCACAGAGAACGAGGATATTATCATCTATTCTAGCTGCGGTGGATTTACTTGGCGGCCTCGGTTTCGCTCGTAGAAGAGAATCATGCAACAGCACCTGCTACGTCGAACCATTGAAGACTTTCCCCTGACGTCTCACGACGGCCTTCTATTGGACACCGTAGCATTGCAACATTCCCCTTGCGTTCGAGCTCTTGCCGATCCTGTCTGGGGTAGAGCTGCTTTTCAATCCTTCATACACTCCCTGGAAAAATCCAATCGAAGGAATGTTTTCTATTGTGAAACGTACTGATCGCTCTACTGGACGAATCGCTGAAGATCTCAGCACATGGTTACACCGAGGCACATGTCGCATGTCGTCCGCAAGTCCTCCTCGCTCCAGGAAGGTCCTCACCTCAGGGCCTAAAGATTTGCATTCATTTTCAAAAACCAAAAATCTCAGGGATGAGCTGGGGTGCACGCTTCACAAGGTCGAGATGGAAAGAAGGCAACGGATCGCCTCGGCGATGGAAATGGACAGAGACATCACAGAGCTGCAAGTGGCATTGAGGGCGCGCATTCGAGGACTCCTTGCACCGATGAGTATCACGAGTGAGAAGAAATGCATGGAGTTCGCGAACCGAGATTTCAGCGCCATCGTCAATATCAGATGATGTGCGGTGCTGAAGACAAGACCCGAGGAGCTGACGTGATCCACTTTTTGGGGCAGTATATCAGGCTCTAAGTGTACAGGGATAGAAACTGAACCTGACAGCAGGATATCGGTTGAAAAAGGCTGGGGCATCCGCGAATGGGCGAATATATACCATCCATAGGCGTGAAATGTGTATCCTTTTTCCTGCAGTATGTATTCATGCATTCATCACGATTAGGTGGATCGAGTGGCGACCTCTCGTTCGTACGCTGAACGCGCGTCCGAACAGCAGCTTTGCTGGAACAGGGGCAGTGCTTTGTTGTCGAAAACAGGCCGAAAACCAAGCCGCGGCTTGTTGCCAGTCAGCATTTTCCCGAGAACGATTCCCATTGATCGACATCGTAAATTTGAATCCGAGATGCCTCCTGCATGAAGCTTGCTACGCACTGGGTTTTGCTCCACTCGATACAAACCTGCGCAATCTTTCCACGAATGCTGAAGTCCCAGTTTCGGAGCAACGAGTTGTACTATGAATAGAGCAAACTTGCAACCAGTTCATGATTTCGTAAACTTGCACTAGGGCGGCTGGCAAGAAACACTGGCTTTTCGATACGGCGCATGCTGAGCGATATCAGCCCGATATTGAAATACGGTATTTTCTTCTCGTGAAATGCAGCAGGCAGCCCGCGCAGAAGGAACCTGAGCCGAAGCATCCCAGAAGTGCCTTTCGGGGAGAAAGCAGCAAAGTACATGACAAATTTCTACGCAGATCATTATGCGTATGGCCTGGCCACATCCAGCGGGCATCTTTGTGAAACAGCACTTTCATAAGACGCTGCTGTGAAAAGCCCTTGAATGCATCACTATTTCCAAGTTCTGCGCGTGCGCCGCCACCGATACAGCATCTTCGGCTCCTTTATGCATGCACGCAGATACATCCACGTCAAATTCAAATGGAACCGGGCACATTCACCTAACACGGATGTTTACTCTAAAGTTTGGGTCCGGTCCCTTTGCCATCAACACCAGCATTTGCGGCATTTTTACGCGACTGCTTCCTCTTGCTTTCTCTCACCGCCGGCTTTAAATATGCAGGTCTTTCCATTTCTCCAGCCGCGTTGCCAGAATTCGATTGATCTGGATGACAGCATCAAGGTCCTGATTATGATGCTTCCGGCAGCTGCCGACGCAATTAAAGCAGATGCGGAAGTTGCTATCTACACCCTGCTTGCCATTTTCATCTTCTTCTTACATCGCCTCGGTGTGCCCATTGCAGTAGATGCACTTGGCTGCGGTATAAAATTCCCATGGTTACACCACATATTCTCCTCATAGGGCGGCCCTCTGAAGCGTGAACGTTTACTTCATCGCTTGCAGTAGGTCGATGAAGAGTACTTGAGGCTCCCCTCGGTTGCGTTCTCCGTTTCCGATCCCGATATCATGCCCCAAGATCATAAGCTTTTCCGGGGCAATCACATAAACGAGCTATCTGTCCGATGCGTGAACGCGCACTGTTCCATTCGATAAAAGATTTGTGGAATTCGATGTTGTCCATGGTGGAACAAATGCTAGAAGGGAAATTCGCGCAAGCGATCGAATCGAGAAATTTCGATCCGTTTACGCTCCATTCGTGCAAATTGTTGAAGCACTGTCGACTAGAAGCGATCGCTGCTATGATGCGAGTCCGAGTCCAAGAGCCTTTTCTATGGAAACAGAAGATATGGAATCATCTGAAAGATATCCATGTAGAGGTATGACGCTGGTGTGGACTGCATTTTCGTCGATAGCCACAAAAAGATGAATGATTCGTCTTCCGGAAGAAATTGATTATATGGAATGAAATGCTCAGTATGTGTTCGGCGTGAGCTCGTGAAGAAATCGTCATGGAAGGTGACCGAGTGTTTTATTTCGTCCATAGAGCAGCGCGGATTGCTGCGCCCAAGATTTGCGTTGAAGTAGAAAAAAAATTCTTCGAAATTCCTTATTTGACTATGCAAGAGGTAATAAAAAGATAAGAAAGAATTCTTTTACACATGGATTGGATGATCAAATTGTTTATTCGAAGCACCGTCGTTTGAGGGTGTCACGAATACTCTTTATAACGGTGACGTACCAAAATTCCAGGGGCAGAGTGTCGACAGTGCTACTCCAAGAGAACGATCGCAAACCCCAAACTGCTTATGCATCCATCAGCCCTTGGTGCTGTGCATCGAATGTTAAGGCTGTACATCTATAAAGAAGATCGACAAAGTCGACATGCATAAAGCGAGTGCGCGGCTCAGTTTCACATTTAAATTTCACTTCAGGATTATATCAACTCTAGAGGGCGTACTGGGCATTCGATAATTGTCCAAAAACGCAGCGCGTCACCTCTGCCAAGTTGTGAAATTCCATGAAGTACAGTATGCGTTCCGTCATGCTGTCGCTTCCACTAGAAGCACCCGCGGTAACATTCCGTGGGAAAGGATGCGCGGCTGCGCATTGCATGCAAAACAACTTGGTTGTGAGAGAAGAGATCGCTGTTTGAAATATCCATCACTCTGCATAGCCAACACGGATGCAAAGCACAAGATCTCCAGCGAATCTTCTCGTATAGAGTGTTCTTCTGTCATGTCGCCGTCATTAACAAGAAGAGCCCTTGAATCCACATATCTTTGGAGCCCAGTAGAGATGCGCAGCGCTCTCGAGCGCAGTATCTGGCGAGGATATCTCTCCTCATCCTGGGTTCGGGGCTCTTTCGCAAGCTCCAGACGAGACTCTCACTCACGAATGTAGAATGACTTAGCCTCATCGTAGTTCATCACTTGCCACGGAAAATCGTTCCCTGCGTATACATGCGACGTTGAAACTTTGCTGGATTAACGAACAGTACCACACCAGCGACACGTGCCAGTTGGGAATCGAGTGCGATCACTCCTGGCGGCTGAGATTCTTCTCGACGGTCGTCTTCACCGTTTCAGCGCAACGCCGACACTGAGTAATGAGCGATTTCCTCGAAATTTCGCTTGAGACAGAGCTGCTGAAAGCTCAGGAAGCACGAGAAGTTTCCGGACGTTGGTCGAGATCTTCAAGTCACGATGCAGAAACCGCTTGCCGGAATGCGTAAAGTTGGAATCACAGCCAAGAAAGCATCTCATCTTCATCCATGATGGCATCTGACGGTGAACCGGCGTACCGAATAATATCTCGTACACCCAGTTCAGTTTCAATGTATTTTTTTCGACCTGTTCCCGCAGGCGCCCATGCACATGTTGCCTGGATGCCGTAAAAAACTGATCGATGAGACTCACATAGAATCGATTCTAGCACTTGTCATGCGCTCTCGTTGAAGGCGTGGGAGTGAAGCCTTTTAACGGTCCAGCACGTTCATAATAATCGGATACCATCAAACGACACGATTTCTCGGTCATATTCTTTCCCAAGTCATTGAAGAAGTTGGCAAATGCGCGCTGCCCTGCCCTGTACAATTAAAACCGTTGGCGGCTCGAGCACGTTTCCATATGCGCCCAACAGGAATCGTACGCATGAGCCACTTGGACGCATTCGCATTCTCTGACTGGAGAAAGCAAAGCATTGTCCCTGCTCGACAAATTGCCAAGGGCGTTGAGACTGGTCCTGAAGCTGCCATTCCGCCCATTGGTATTCCTAATAGCGCGCATCATTCTCGAGCCCAGATGGTATCGACCTCTGGGAAATTGCTTTTCTTGATCTACTTTCTGTTCATGTATTTAACTTGGCCCTCTTTATTTAGAGGTACCCTGGCAGCCATGGCGGTCTTAAATCGGCGATCTATGCCCCTGAAATGATCGTTCTATTCATCTTCTCTAAAGATTAAAAACGAGTCATGTTGCTCGACTCAGTCCTAGGTTTCACGAGTTTCTTGATGTCCTCCCAGCTAAATTCTCTGCCGGTCTCCGTGGTCCATGTAAAAGCTTTCCGTTTCACCCCTGTAGACGAGAAACCTTGCACGAGCTCCGCCGATGCTCTTCCCGATATTGTTGGAATGCGTCGTGGTTTCTCGCAGAGGGCAACTCTATCTTCACCTTTCTCGCTCCATGGCTGGCCAGCATGAACGTTGTTGCTCAGCTTCACATCCGTTTTCCCCGCAGAATCCAGACGCACCGTCCAGACGCACTGCTCCGAGCGTGTTACCGAAACTTGCCCTCTCTATTCATGTATCCTCTATTTCTTAACTAAATTTTCGCTTTCTGCTCCGTCGCGAGCATGCCCATGAACCGAAGCGCGCCTTTTCGCTTCCTCTCTCGCATGAGTTGAGGAGCAACGCAGCAGTCGTGGTGTTTTGAAAGCAGAGAACGATTTTGCGAAGACCGCTATCACGGATGCGAATGACTCTTCTGTATCATAGATCATATAAATTGCGTTTGACGGTAGAGTAGACACCTTTGACTGGACTGGGCCAGGGAGAGTAAATACGCACGAAGAGAAGCTCAAATCTTGTCCCAGCAGTGTCCCGCTAACCGTTTTGAGTAATATGAAGCAGTGTAATCTAGGAACAGGAAACAGGTATGTGGGAAGGAGCCGCCCCGAGTTATGCCTCGAGAAATGATGAGCTATTTAATGATTCATTCAGTTTGACCATTCGATTCATACACCGCCGAGGCTGATAATGGCGGATTACTCGCTTTTCTAGTCTTCAGAAATAGTTATTTGCCTCTTGCTGAGTGCCCGTGTAGAGTTCTCGCATTTCTCTCGAATGCAGTCTCATCTAGTGATTCGAAAACCCATCTCCAATCTAATGAGCGCTCCTATTTTAGTACCAATTCTACACCATGCTGCTCAGCGCGCGATGGTTTCCAGTAGAAGCGCGCGTTTTGCTTTATACATCCACGTCTCTTCGCCACCGTCCGTTCCAACGATGCGAGAAGCTCATTTCCTGTCGATTTTTCAATGTTATTTCTTAGGGAACGTATGGAGTGGCGTGAATCGGCTACGGGGCAGCCTTGCACATAGTGATCGGATGGTTCTGTTTCGTCGACGCGACCTCCGGGATAAAAGCTAAGATATGGATGGTCCATCCCCTTGTTGATCCATTGAACGACTAACCTCGTCGAGTAAGTTTTTATTTCTCGCCAGCTAATATTGACAGTATAAAGCCTTTCCATAACCTTTCCCTAATCTACAGGATACAATACTTTCGTTAAATACCCGCTAGAAGAGCAAACATAACCAGTAAGGTTGCGGTGATCCAGATAGTCCAGAATTCACTGCACTGAGTACAACGCACATGAAACCAACGCACACAAACCAAGGACAGTTGCATTCTCGCCAAACTGCGCAGCATTCTCAGGCTGATGACTGCCAAATAGAATATAGGCACGAGAGCAACCGATATGGAACACTGCTTTCCATGGTAGATCGAGAGGTCGGTGTCGTGCACCTGAACAAGCAGCCAGCCTTGGGTGTGAATCCACCCCTAGGGATGCACGCCCAGAACTGTATCGTCGAAACAAGACGCGTGCCTTGAGTTCGGGAAGCCCAGTTTCTCGCCTATACTTGTTAGGAACTGCAGTTTCTTGAGAAAGGCACTCCCAGTAGTAGTGAGGGCGTGTTGGTGCTTCCTGGCTTCGAAGCTGGAAACGAGAGCACTGAATTCTGGGTTGGCGAGGACTCTAGGAAACTGGCCTGCGGTCTCAATGATAGAGCGCTGCGGTAGTTCTTTCTGTACAGCCTATATCGCCTTATCCGTCCTCTTCGACGTCTATCTTGTGCGATTTTTTTTGGACGCGGTAAAGGTTGCCTTGGGTCTACCCAAATCAGCGGGGGAAAAGCTCTTCTCCGCAAGACTCTACAAAGCCCTTCAGAGCACGAAGAAGAGATCTATTCCCCTCTTCGTCCGGGTGATTTCTTCGAGTTGTGACGGTACCATTTGGTTCTTCTTCCCTTTGCTTGTGGGGCTCGTCGCAAACAGTCCTTTTGCATGGCCTCTGCTGCTGCACTGTTTCCTAGTGCCAGCGCTAGCCGAGCTTGTGGTGAAGAGCATCTTCAGACGACCGCGCCCCAGTCACAATACCCGTCACGTGTTTCTGGCCCCTGGGGAACGCTTTTCCTTTCCTTCTGGCCACTCGACGAGAGCAGCCGCCATCGCATGTTTCTGGACAAGATGGTTATGTTGCGCTTTGAGTCCTCGAAATGTGTGTTTAGCGCTTTGCGTGCACTTCTGGGCAATCAGCATCTCGCTCTCGAGAGTGACTCTCGGACGCCATTATCCCAGCGACGTCATCGCAGGGCACTTGGTCGGGACTCTTGCAACGATCATTTCGCAAGAGGTGCTTCTCTTGGATGCGCGATTGCCGCCCCCATGGCAACTCCTGCACAGTAACCTGTTGTCCAGGCGTTTTGCAAATTGAAGCCGCCGGTTACACCGTCGACATCGAGCACTTCCCCGCCAAAGTATAGACCTGGCACGCGCTTGCTCTCGCACGAGGCCATATTCACATCGCGAAGGTCGACGCCGCCTGCCATTACGAACTCTTCCTTGAAGGGAGAGCGGCCCACTATATGAAGCTCACAGCGAGTAAGAGCATCACCGAGACGTTTCATTTCCGCTGCGCTTAGGTTTGCGTAATTTTGCGTGCTATGAATTCGAGCTACCTTGGTTACAAGTGCAGCCCAGAGCCTCCGAGGCAACATGAAGGGATTCCTGGTGAGAATGCCAAGACGACGACCCGAGCTCTTCCGCCAGCTCTCCATGACCTCCGTGAAAGGGCCGAAAGAAGGAATGAAATTCAATTGAGCAGTGAAGCGGTACTTGCGTTCACAAAATACTCGAGCGCCAAAAGCAGATAGGGCAAGCACCGCTGGCCCCGTTATACCACTGTGACTTATGAGCAATGGACCAGTCTCCTTTAGTGCAGGGCCATTTAGAGTTGCTCGGGACGCGGGTTGCGCGCTCGGCTCCGCGAAACTGACCTCAGCTTCTGGTATCGCGATGCCAGCCAGCTCGAGAAGCCATGCATGTCTCTCGGGGCATACCGTAAAGCTAAACAGACTGGGTACGAGCGGCACGACGCGATGATCGCCGAGCATCTGGGCCCAGTCGAGTGCTCTTTGTGAGGCTCCAGTTGCCAACATCAGCCTCCGCGAACTAAAGTGCCCGCGCTTTGCAACGTCGACTCGGAACAGCGGCTGGTCGCCCTCGCGCTCGTGTGCAACGTCCGTGACTTTGCAGTTTGTCTCGACTTGCACACCAAGCCGATCAGCCTCTGAAACGAGGGCGTCTACTATACTCTGGCTTTTATTAGAAACCGGAAAAACTCTTCGATCAGATTCTACCTTTAACTTAACTCCGCGACGCTCAAACCAGTCGAAGGTTTCGCGAGGCCCAAAGCGACTCAACGGTCCGAGTAGCTCACGACTTCCACGTGGATAACGTCCGGAAAAAGTTTGCAGATCGAACGCTGCGTGCGTCACGTTACATCGTCCACCACCGCTTATACGAACCTTCCCCAGCACTTGAGAACCGGCTTCGAAGATAAGCACCCGCGGTTGAGTGCCGCTGAGCGCTAGCGCACACTGAGCACAATGAATCGCCGCGAAGAAACCAGCGGGGCCTCCACCTACTATGACAACGTCAAATATCATCAGTGAGATACGATTCGATTCATCTAATGCGCCTTGTCTAGCCACGGGAGCGTCAAGTAACGCGGCAGTGCCTGGCCCTCAGCACTGAATACACAAAAGTCTTACGAAGGCTGGCGATGCCCTGCCGCAAATCACCAGAATCACAGGGATTGGTTCGCTGCTGGGCGCTGTTTGCGCCCCGTATAGGATACAGCATGATTGTTCCGCCTTCTTTGCTTCCGTCATGTCGTGTCATACGAAACTTGGATGCTTCGAGCCGTTCTGTAGAGTATTGTGGCGGAGCGCATGCCAAAAGATGCCGCTCGTCGAGGCTCCGCGGCTGGCGAGATGCACTTTATGCTTGGGTTCGATAGTGGAGCGCATCTGACTTGCGTGATAGGTGTCTGTTCTGGAGGGGTTGTTGGAAAAGCGGAGTCTCTGGACTGAGACATTCAATGGTGTGCATCAACGCTATTTGCCGTTTAAATTGGCTCCGGAGCGCCTCAAATCCTGACGATCTGCCGCCGTTTTGGGCGGCATTCTCTGCACCTGCCTCAAGCAATAGATCGAGTATATCGTGGAACACTACTGGAGCATTTCTTCCCGAAGCAGACACCCGCAGCATTTCGGTCTGACGCCACTGGAGCTTAGGCTGCTTCTTCGGCAGGGGGTCTAGGTCTTTTTCCCGCAGCGGCTGCATGCAGATAAAAAGGATCCGTCCATTTCTCCAACTGAAGGAAAGATTTTATGTTCGTGCAAAAGCGGTATTTCTATCGACGGGCATGGCAATGGACACGGGAGGAACTTGAATACATTCGAAGGATTTCAGCGTGTTTAGCTTGCAGACGAACACCTGCCTCGAAAAGCAGCTCTCAACGAACCCGACCAGATGCTCCATCGGAGAAATTCACCTTTGTATCTAATGCATGTGCCCTATAGGAATGGATGCTCCAGTGGAAGGCGCGCCAACGACTCAGCACCGAACGAATCGAATCCGAAAAATCTGTCGACCGTTCAAAATGCAGCGCATCTCACGCTCGCTCCGCACGGGATACGGAGAATCGCTCAGGTTTTCGGCGGTGAACTTTCCGCTGCTGACGAAAACCTCTCTGATATACTCGTGGACCTCTGCTACATCGGTTTGGCACACCACTTCTGCGCCAGGGGCCAGGCCTTCCGACAAGCAGTGCACCAGCTCAGGCTGCACCACGCGTCTTTTGTGCTGACGTCGCTTAAAATAAGGATCCGGAAAGTTCAGCGAAATTCGGCGCACCATGCCCAATGTATATGTCGATATAATTTTTTCCATGGCAGCGTTCGCATTACAGCACACGAAAAAGACCCTGTCGGCCACGTGTGCGCGCTCTGCGCGTATATTGGCGAACTCTACGAGTGGACGACGAATCTCCAATCCGACATAGTTGTAGCTTGGATCTTCCTGCGATAACTCAAGCAGAAAAGTTCCGGTCGCACAACCAATATCAATATGCAACGGTGCCCGACGATCGTTATACACTCCGACCGGCCATTCCGGTGGAAGCTCTACCAAAGTTCGCAGGTGTTCCGATAAAGGGTTCACGTGCTGCCGCACTCTCGGGCGCTTTGCGCGATCTGATCCAGAGTCTCCTACATTGGGAACCATACCTTTCAGATCAAAACTGTTATCGGGCGCGTTCTGTGAGGCGTGGGCGCATACTAGACAGCGGCGCGACAGGCAAAGTAGCAGGCTTCGCTGAACGGAGCACGCTCCGGGCCTTGTGGCGTTCTCCACTGCGAACTGACCAAAAGCACTTCGAGGGAAGCAGAAAAGAGAGGCAAATAAAAGCCTTCTCAGGAGCATTCAACAGGATCAGGGCTCTTCGTGAAAGTGTATAAGGTGGAGTAACACGAAACTCTTCGGCCTTCGTGCGTGGCGCACAGGGCCAAATGCAATGCCACAGGTGGCTCTTTGAACAGCAGGTGCTAGCCCGCGGCATCTTCATTGAGCTCCAGGGGAACAAAAGAACGAGCAGACCTGGTTATCCGGTGTTTGTATGACCCAGAAATGCAAAGATAGTGTCCGCAGGTGAGAATCCCCCAGAATAATCAGTTTTGCTACAATATGCCGCCGATGCACGCGGAATGCGCTCGATTTATCGCATGACGCAGTCGAGGACGCTTAGGTTTTGCACCCGTGTGCATTCGTGCCTTGTCATCGACGCACCATGTGACACCCTCGATAGGATCGGTTTAGGTTCGGCATCCAGGCCTGCAGATCCGACAAACGCACCCCAGCAGTTAATGTTTGTAATTGAGGTGTGTAGATGAATCGATCCAGACGCTCCTGGATGCGCGAGTATTCAGAGCCTGGATGCACGGGAGAGCTCTCGGTTTCGGATTGACGCCTCTTTGTTGCAGCAGCTCCACATCACCTTTCGCAACCGGAAACAGAAGCTCGATCGATCTAGTGATACCAGGATGTTGAGTTTACAGCACGCGCATCCAGCAGCACCGAAAGCACCGCCGCCCATGTCCCGAGGAGTTCGCGCGTGTCCGCTATCCCTGAAGGTCTACGATCGATGTAACTAGCCAGAATGCTTCAGATAAGTAGTTTTATGGGCGTGGGATCGTTTAAACGAACCAGGGATCCCCTTTCCTGATTTAGTGCAGCACTCCAGAGCGTATACGCGGAGTTCTTCAAGGAAATTAGACGAACGGGCCAGATATGCCCTTGCGGCTTTCAGGTTGCAGTCCGTTCGACGCGACGATACCACCTGCATTCGAGCGGAATGCGACATGAGGGCAGAATAACGCTAGCGTTGCGGCTTTTAGGACGGAGTTGGTGCACCCGCAACCCGAGTGCGATAGAGCGGGACAGCCGGGTTGTTCAAACCGGGTTGATCCATTAGAGGCCTTGTGAGACAGCAACCGAGCTTCGGTGCTGTCCGCAAGCGTAACGCTGGAGAACACACGGTTTCGGCGGCCGTGCGAGTTACTTGTCTTCGAAGGTGCACGGCTTGGTTCCCAAGCAGCTGCTCCCTGCTCGTTGAATTAGCACAGCCGTGGTACACGGGTGTCGTGTCTTTCCACCACAGCACGGCTGCTAAGCACCGGCACTCGTCGCAAAGTTCCGCTATAGACTGCGACCGCGCCTAACGCGCTCCGACCTTGATAGCTCGAAAGCGTCCACGAATTCGTAGGGAGCGAGCCTGGAACGGAGTGCTGGTCTTCAGCGGAACTAACTGCAAAGCTACGTCTTGCACTGCAGCTACGTCCAGCGAGCGTTGACCAGGACCGCTCAGACGCCTACAGCGAATCATAGAAAGCGGGCCAGAAACTAGTTTCTGTGCAGAAAAGACCTCGGACGTGTCAGCAGAGAGCCGGACTCCTCAGATCTGCAGACTCGGGTGGCCTGCGCAAGTCGTCGCCGCAGTAACGGTGACTGGACGCCGGTCCAGAAACTTTTGAGCCGCGTGACGCCAAAGTACACCCATGGTTACTTCATGCGGCAGAGCTGCACGCCTGCGAGCGTGCTCCCGGATGTGCCAGCAACTGGAGCTCGAAGACGGCAGCAGTGTCCCGTTGAAACAATGGCAACCACAGCCTGCATACCAACGAGACGCTGAGCAGAAGGTCTCCATATATCGCCAAAGCCACTGCATGCTGCTGTGTCTGTTTCGAGGTGCGCACTCAACGCCATGCGGAAGCAGCTCATCGGCCGAGCAACCGCCTCCGACAGATACTGCTTCTCGAGGAGCCGAGCAGCAACACTAGTCGACAGCGACCGGTGCTGGGGAGGCCTCGGTCACCCATGCACTTCCGGACGCTCTTGTTCTTCGACTCAACTGCGCACATGTTGTACCAGCCGCTTACTGATGCTGGCGCGCGCATAGAGCACGTTGCTGGTGCTTCAGGGTGCATGACTAAACTGAATCACCGCGCGGGGATGTTAACGGCGAGATCGATTTTCCCGCGGTGGTGCTACTGTAGCGCCTGCTCGCAGCAGCAACAGCAGCATCAAAAGCTGCAGTCATGCCGGTACATGGTGCACTGTTTACTGCGTGCGCGTTGCGCAAGCAGAGTCCTCTATATCCCGAAATTGTGTTTCGCGCAGTCTCATCACAGGCAGTTTGTTGGCTTCGAGCGCGCTTCATCGAGTCCCGAGTTGGTATCACAAATAAAGAAACTTTCGAATGGTGTCTTAGTCGTTGCAGTAGATGCAAACGATCGCGTGATGCCTTTCGTGCAGCACTCTTGCGGTCGCGAATGCCGATGCCGGGGTTTGCTGTGTCGGCGTCTATGGCGTGCACGCACTCGCAGCAATAAGTACACATGCGGGAGCTTTTGTATCGCCAGTAAAATGGACAACATTTCATGATCATAGAGGGAAAATATATACCTTCTCACAGACGCTTCCCAGCCTTTTTCAATCAGTTGCCTGCTATCGGTTTCAGTGTTTATCCCCGCACGCGTCGAGCCTACGAGGCTATCCCAAGAAGTTGGATCGCTCCAGCTCCTTGGGTCTCGTCTTCAGTGCGACACACCTTCTGATATTAATGGCGGCGCTGACGTCTCGGTGCAAGAACTCCACGCGTGCATTGACGCTGGTTAAACTCGCCACTGCAAGGATTGCTGGAAATCGTGCCCTCTGTGTAACTACAGTCTCGTCATCGTCCCGTCTCGTAAACACCTTTCCTCGCCTGTCTCCTCTTTTTTCTTCTTCGTCACTTGCTCTGCTTCGCTCAATATTCGGCGAGAAGAGAATTTTTTCCGTTTCCTTCAGGCAGCCAACGATGACGGCCTTCCAGGATCCGGGACTTCCATGCCCATGCTTTGTCCTTGGATTTTTTATTTCTTCAAATGAACGCACTTGGGGTCCATCTGCGATAAACCGCGAAAAAGCATTTGCTTACACGCACCTGGGGTCGGAATATCATTGAGGTCAAAGACTAGAAGCAGAATCCTCTGGGTACTTACGCGGGGCGTCGTCCCTCTGGCGAACTTGCGCTCGGAGAGGCGCGCGGATTGTTTATGCAGATTCTCGCGTTTCAACGCATATCAAAAAGGTTTCCGCAGGCCTCATGGATACGGAACAGCCACAGGATATCTCTCCTGACGAGACTCGGCTGCGGCCTGGCGAGGTTGAGAGGAGAATAATTCAGGTGGAGTCCCAGCTGACAATGGCTAGGCGCGCCCGTCTGGTAGCCGAGGCGGCACTCGAGGCGCTCGGAACTGTTGCGCCAGAGCGCCAAGTTGCACGCGCCGTCGGCAAGTGCTTTGTGCTCTCGACACATTCTCGAGTGGAAGATCAGCTACGTGCGGAACTAGTGCGTTCGGAGGAAAGCATCGCGAGGCTCTCGGAACTCAAGTCCCTGTTTGAGAAAAAGTTAGCACCGCGCACTGTGCGCTCGGAGCATTAGGTGCCTCATTCCGCGCAGCGAGTGCACGCAGATTTGCGCAGAACCCACGGTCCGCCGAGCTTGCGCGTTAAGAGAGCTTGACGTGTGCGTCCGGCTGCAGCTGGAGCGGTATATTGGTGAATACGGTCTCAAAGTTTGGGGCACCTGCCCAGCCGGAGCATGACAGCTGCGGATAGTTATGGGATAGCAGCATACACGAGTAGCTTCGGAAACGCAGTGTATCTGCAGCGAGCTCGCCTAACAGCCGTACTGATGCGAGCGGCTTGCGCATAGACTGCAAACGGATCTCGATGACGCTACGAAGTGGTGCCTTTGTCTCGCCAGCTGTGTCCTCGGCATCGGGCCAGCACTGAGCCCTGTAGAATGCGAAGGACCGACTATTCGTACGATAGAATGGGGTGAGGGGTTCGCGTTGTACAGTTGCACACCACCTGTTCGTGAGCATCCGAGCGCCGCGAGTCGAGAGCTCGCGTCTTCCCATATGATCGCCAGATCAGGGGCACCTGCTGCAATGCATTGCGAAGGCCGTGCATTGCTTATCAGAGCTGGCACGCTGCATCTGCGTTGTCGCGATACAACGCGAATATGCCGTGAGCCGAGTGGTGCTCTTGTGGCAGGGGGCGTAGCGCTGCCTTGTGGCCTGCACAGCATCACGCGATGTCATCGAACGATGACTCGCCATTGCTGTCTGTAAAGCATTTACACACAGTTATTGCGCTCATTGCATGTCATGCAACCAGGCGTCGATTGCGAGTGACTGGCCTGGGCGCAGGTGCAGTTTATGAACATGCCAGCGACCGGGTGCTCCTGGCCCTTTTTCAGACGAGTTGCTACGTAGAGCATGCGACTCCAATATCTCAGGTCTGAATGGCTGGCAAGCTGGCTGGCCCTGGGTGCTCTGGAGATGCATCCGCAGCGTAGTCCGTGCCGGCTCGCATAACCGAACAAATATATACATTTTTGTATCTTTTAGACCATCGATGATTCACCAGACGGTGCGCGAGACGGAAGTCACCCGCCGGGGTGGCATGCATATGACGCTCCACGAGCGCGTCGCTCGAAAGCGTCCAAGTTCCTTGGTACGCCGGGCCTCCCTGTGGCTGGCTTATCCGACAGGCCAACCACTTGTATCGTGCTTCTCTTCACGCTGATTCTATGAATCGAATACCCCCTCCTCGGCACCATGCACATGCCCGAACGCAAGTCGTTTTTCGCAGTACGTCAGATCCAAGTATTCCTGATCGTTAAATTCTTTTTAGGCACTTTTATGAATGGACGTCTAATGCTCTTCTGCTGAGCCAGCTCGCGAATCTAAGGTCGGTTGTTAATTTGAAGTTTTACGTTCAACACTCACGAAGCGTCCGCATGAATGCGCACCGCCGATTGAAAGAACAAAATCGATCGCAATAGCGTCTACAGCCATGTTCTCGTGGAAGTATTGCTGCGTATGTGAAGGCTCAGATACACAGATATCTAAGAAGCTTGGATCCGTTCACCCTCTGGATCGAAGCACTGAGTTACAACACCAAGCTTCAGATGCTGGTACAATATGCCAAAGTGGTCGCCCTCGAGGTTCCACCGCTACCGGGCACGTCTGTTTTCTCTACTATTCGCTTACACACTAGCACTTGTTGCGTTCGCTGCAGCCCTGCGCGCACTTTCCCTTAGGGGCTTCTCTAAGACCCCATTTCCCGCCCAAAAGGCACCAGTCTCGTTGCTCATTATAGTTTTAGGTTATAATCGACCGTTGGCGCTTCGGAGGCTCTTAGAGTCGCTAGCCAAAGTCAACTGGCTGCAAACTCGTATAGACTTGAGAGTTTGGATCGATGCTGGGGATATTGCGGCTTCCTACGACGTAGCTAAGGGCTTCCATTGGGACCACGGCCAGAAAATTGTTCGCCAACGTCTGAGGCACCACGGCCTGTGCGGGTCCTGGCTGAACGCCTGGCCAGCCTGGGACACGCACGAGTATGCCCTGATACTGGAGGATGATCTAGAGGTCCACCCACAAATTTTCGAAGTTTTCCAATACCTGATTGCAAAGGGCGTTCGGGCGAACGCTTCTGGCTTTATACTGGAAAAGCTTGCCGAGGTTCCCTGTGGGTCTCTTGTTCATTACGCTTCCAGCTGGGCCCCCGTTTTCTCGCGCCGCCTTTTCCAGGACTTCGCGCGCTGGTACGATTCACGTCGAAAATGCGCCCCAGACTTTAGACCTTTCATTCGCGGCCATGATGAAACGTACAACCTTTGGATTCGGGAGCATCGCGACGTATGGTCACCATGGCTCCGGAGATTTCTCTTCGAACGCGGCATCGCTCTTACGTATCTGGGTTCTCTCGATCTGGTGCATAATCATCAGGAGCGAGGTTCCAGTCGAAAGGGTGCTTCTCCTTTCTTCATTCGCACAGTTGATTGGAGGCATATCGAATTGGATCTAATTGACACCTGCGTCGTGAGAGAGCCGCCTGTGTACGAGTGCTTCCTGAAAGCGAGCAAACATTTTTGCACGCGTTTAGACGGCAATCGAAGCTCTCTTGTAGACCGAGGCTGGATCGAGTTTTTGACGGACAAACTCTGGATCTGCTCACCATCGGCCCCGTCTGTAAAGGCGAAATGATCGGTTTTGGGTAAGAAACACAGAGCAAGGCAAGTGAAGACGCCTATTCAGATTCTGGCATTCAGAATCCAGCTCGGATATCTATTATCTTCGAAGTGCGGCGCGCTTGAACATCCCGACCGGATGCTCTAATACTGAAATTTGCGAATGAATTTTTCGATGCCTCGAACGATGGTTCATGAAAGCGTTTTGGGCCAATCGTCCCGTATGTGCAACTGACAGAGCGTGGCGTGTTCACAGGGCGGAGACAAAGCTATCATAACATGGAAGTTGAAGGAATCCACGTTCTGAGCGCAACGCTAGTAAACTTGACCGAGCAAGCCAGATAACCTTCGGTGACGGCGCTGAATATCTAAATGACGGCGAAGTTTGTTGGTCAAATCCGGTGACAAGGCTCAAAACACGTTCCGAGTCCAGACATACAAATCGAAGGAGCAAGGCTGTTTTACCGCATACATCTTCAGAACCAACTCACTGGGATACATATCCCCCGGTTTCTAGAATCATGCATCTTAGGCTGATGTCAATCGGACACAGCGATTTGGTAATCAATGCGGATGCGTTTGCATGAAAACGACGAAAAAGCATTCACCATCTCGGGGTTCAACTCGTCTGCTCCGGCTCGCGGTATCCATACGCGACATCCTCGCGTTCGACGATACCGACTAGTTTCCCACGTTCGGTGACATATATCATTGAAGGCATCAGCATAACGAAAAGAAAATGAAGTTGTCGAACGAGCGAGTAGCTCGTGACCACAATGGGCGAAACATCACAAGGGACGACAAGAGAGGAGGTTGGTTCCAAAACTGTCGCGGTCCGCTTGCCTTTGGATGAATGCTCGCCACTTGGCGTTTCATCGACAAGACCCTCGATATTCTCACTCAGATCCGCAGCGTCCAGAAGGACTAAGGTCCGGTGGCCGGCGATCGGCTCTGGAACATCTTCTAGTACGTGTTGCAGTCGATCCACAATTTCCTTCCGAGATATAGCGCCAAGAAGGTATCCGTTTGCGTCGATCACGGGAAAAACCAGTCTATTCGGAAACTTCTCAAGGATCCCCTTAATATGTTGTGGCTCTGAATCTGGAAAAAGATGAGGTTCTCCCTCTATCGGGTGCATGATTTCTCGAGCCGTCATCTCAGGGCTCCTATCTCTCCGCAAAATTGGCATATAGGGGAGGTGTTTCATCAGAACAAGCGTTTCGTACAGCGATCGATTGAAAGCGTTGCCCACAATAACTGCCAGCAAAACCGAAATCAGAACAGGCACAAGGTGCCGAATCTGACCGGTTACCTCGAAGATGATTACTGCACACGAGAGCGCCCTAGTGACGCCTGCTGTGAAGGCGGCTGCCCCCACAACTGCATAGCTGCCGGGAACGATCGCATTCCCGAACACAACACGCATCAGCTCACCGTACAGCCGCCCGAAGCCGGCTCCGATGAGAAAGCTGGGCACAAAGACACCGGCGGGAAGTGGAAGACCGATGGACAAAGCAACCAAAATGAACTTAATTATAGGCATTAGTATCAGTTCTGTCCAGCCAAAATGATCCGTTTGGTACAGCGGCACAGCCTTGAACAGATCATTGATCGTGGCGCGTGGGTCCAACGCAAACAAGCGAAATGGATACTGCAGCGCCGACGCAAAAAGCGCCACGACACCCACAAGAAAGTAGCGATTAGTGCCTGGATAGTGTCGCATTCGTAGTTCGTAGATGCTACGGACACAGCGGATGAATAATGCTCCAAGAACGCCCATGAGAGCCCCCAGAATGGCGTACAGCAAAGTTTGTGTTCGGCTCACATCGGAAGCGTCAAAGTTTGTACCCTCAAATGCCTCAACGAGTGGCGTCGTATAGAGCAGCTCGTAAACGATGGCACCGGATAGCGCACTCAGCACCCCCTTCCAAAAAGCTTGCACGAGATAGAATGAAGCTATGGTTTCAATGGAATAGAGTACGCCTCCAAGAGGCGCACCAAACGAGGATGCAAGACCCACTGCGCATGCTGCCGCCAAAGTCTGCAGGCGCAGGGCCCGGTCTGTACAAAGCTCCTTGAAAACACCTAGCCGATAGAACTGATGAGCAATGATGCAGGCGATATGCACGTTGGGGCCCTCCCAGCCTACGGGCAGGCCACCACCGATCGCACATATGAGGCCCAGTGCTTTTGCAAAAAGAACTCGAAGTTCAAGAGCACTTCTCATTTTGTCATAGAACCCTGAAAGTATTGACTTCATCTGCGGGAGGCCGGACCCCTCCGCCTCGGTGCTTAGAACAGCGCACCAAAACGTCGACAGCAGGCACAACGCGACGCCGGATACTACGTACAGAATATAGCCGGCGAACCGTCCAGCGAGACGGCTGATCTTCATGCGCAGCTCCTCCAGTCCGTGCACCGCGAGATCCACAGCGAAAATAAACAGCGCCGCGGTCACTCCGAGCAGGGTTAAGAAACAGACGAGCCGCAGGAGGTACATCAGAGATCCCCTTGGCGTGCAGCTACCAAGCGCATTCCAACAACGGTATGCATCTCGCGGTGAGACGGAGCCGTATGATCGCTCGTTGGCGTCAAAACCTGTGTCGTAGGGAGCCAGCCTCAGACCGCTCTCCGTTTCCTCGAGGGAGATTTGCTGACTCGATTCCGACGCTCTCGTTCCCACCGGGGTTGGATGGCGGGCGAGGTTGCCCATACTATCAAGAAGTCCATAGTCTACTTCAAGTGTCCCAGTTATTTTGGAGCTCATGAACGCTCGCTGAAGCGTTCTATGGATACGCGTCTGAAACTTGTTTTCGATGTCAACAATATGAATTGTTATTAAGGTAAACGTCATGTGGCCGGTTAGCGCAAGCGCGCTACAATAATCATTTGAGTCTCGCAGTCTCTACAAGTTCGGTGTCAGCCTCTTGCCACTCTGGCCGTTTCTGCTTTAATTCTGTAGAACACTTTGTTCAAGCAAGAGGAATTCTCGTTCCCAGGAGCCAAAAAGCGCTGCTGAATATGGGTCAGGCTATGTCTAGGTGGTACGAAACAACCCTCTTCGATGGGGCGATGGAACTCTTCGAGTCCAATACGCAACGGAAACTGCGCCAGAGACTCTTTCAGTACATGGATTGCGATGAGCCAACGAATACTACGTCGGTGCTCGAAATAGGAGCTGGCGCAGGTTTGAATCTCCCACACTATCCGGTATGGGTCAAAGAGCTTCACGCTTCGAGTCTATCGCCCGACTTACCACCAAAAGCTAAAAAACGAGCGAGGAAGAGGAACATCAAGGTATACTACAAACAAGGAAAGCCAATAGGTCTACCATATCCGGAAAACTCGTTCGACTATGTCGTTGCTACGTTGATCCTTTGCTCTCTACCGGATCGCGAAGGTTTCGTGAAGGAGATCTATCGAGTACTCAAGCCAGGCGGAAAGTATTTGTTCATGGATCACGCTTGGCAAAGTGCGGAGGCTCAGACTCATCTGTCCCGCATGCTTGCCCCGCTACATCGTAGGCTAGCTCTCGGATGCAGCCTCAAAAGTGTCTGGGCTGACTCAGTTTTTACCTCTGCTGGTTTCAAACGAGAGGATCTTCATGTAGAAGAAGAGATACCGAAGGGGTTTTCATGGCTTGTAGGTAAAATTTTTCTGGGCTATGCGACAAAGCGTCCGGAGGCTAGCGACTTTAAAATGGACGACCGGCATGGCCAGAGGGCGTGTTGAATTTACTTGTGTCGATGTGTAGAACAGGTGAGCAGTCCAAAGAGCACACAGCATTGGATGGGTGCGATAGCCATATGGCTATGCTGATGAAGTCTGTGACGAGGTCCCTCTGCTTAATCGCTGAGAAACTTTTCTCGTCCGATACAGTGCCTTGCATGGGTTTCGGATGTTCGGCTTGAACGCTGTTTCCGTCAAAACGCCGCACGGGTGCAACCGCACGAAACCTCTCCCAGCCTTTAAACATCTAGGGAGCACCCCCTTTGGATTCTACGCTTCTACCAGCGAGCAAGCAAGAGAGATTTTTGCTGATGATTCAGAGGCCGTCAGAATAATTAGAAGGGTCTTCCTTAACGTTTACCCGAAAGGCTGTAGCACGCCAGCTCGACAGGAGTCTTCAAAAAAGCTCAAAGTGTTGACAGTACGTGAGCGAAGAGCAACTGCACTCATGCAAACGTCTACCCCTACACCGCATGGAGACTTTCCAGTATGCGGGATTCTTGGATACAGCATCCTCCAAACCAGTGGGAAAATGAATTTTACTTAACGCGTCCTTGAGCCGCCGCCCGCGAGGGTGCTGTAAAGCTGCGCTGCCTCTGTACGACGTGCACAGACCCGCGCCTCGCACCCGAGAGAGCCCCCACTGGAGACTAGGCTGCTGGAGAGCCGCGTGCTCGATCAAGCCAATATTCCACAGGCGTTTCCATGACTAAAGCTGGCTGAGCGAGGAAATGCCCGTGGGTGAGGTGAATTCTCTGTTCTGAGCATTGAGAGTACGTCCACATCAGTGGAAACTTTTAGAAGCTTTCATCTAAATGAAATAATTAGTGCATTTACCTCATCGGGCTGTGCCCGACTCATGAAATGACTAAGCGTTTGAACTAGACTGTCTCATTTCCGCACCAATGAAATGGCGCTTTTTTCCCGCGGAGCTGTTTGTTCACTTACGTTGTAGCTGTATATCAACGAATCCAATCATCACTATCCAAAAGCTGAGTTGCAGTTGGATGCTGAGGAAGAAATCACTGTAGCAATCGAGGCCTCCGTAAGTTAGACCGACCCCACCCGTGTGTCAGAATAAAACGGAACGTCGCACTGCTCGCTTTTCCCATGCCTTTCTAATTTTAGCCCAATCATTTCTTAGATGCGCATCCTCCGCACTCAAACTAAAATAATAAAAGTTTACAGGTTCACTCGTGGTTTTTTTGGATTCTCGTTCGTTTTTCCGTGGTAGCTTGTTCGACTCTTTGTTGCTGGAATGCGTTTCTTTGTCGAAATCATAATGATTCACGACGCCATTGAACAAGGATTCGTAAAGTACCCGATTATATTATCCAGTTGATACGTCCAAGATTCCATTTTTCTCCTTTCTTTGCGTCTAGTACGATGAAACAGCGCATTCTTCAAGTGTTTGACCTTTCTGCTTCAAGACAGCTGGAGCGCGTAGCAACTTGCACCGCTGGATTGACGACGACGAAGAAAATTCGACATCGTCCCTTGAATAGCGTTTCGTAAACGCACGCCAAACGCTCACTGAACCAATCACAGCAAGTAATCGATGCGGTTCGAAAAGCAAGTCCTTCCCTCTTGATCGCCATCGACGAAACGGGATTCCGCCGCAATTATAAGCTATCTCTCACGGGACCCGCTCCCAGAGGCACCCATCTCATTTTCCGCGCGGAAAAGGTTCTTGGACTAGAACTAGAGTCGTCGCTGCGATCGCTTCCACTCGGGATTCCGTCACCGCTTTGAGCCTGGGGGCGTACACGGATCGAGATCTCTCGAGCGCTTTCACAACCTGGAGCTTCCTTCTGGTACTTGTTTCAGCATGGTCAACATAGCGTTCCGTGAATCCTCTATCGAATAGAACAGCGAGCACTCGGGCGCGCAGCAGACATAGTACTCGCCAAGTAGTCACCCAGCTCAAGCACGTCATCGTAGAGTTCGCCGTCGGACCCGGAAACGGAGGAGCGAACGGACAGGACCCTTTTCTGGCTGTCAAATTGGCATGTGCCGAACGATGAAGAAAGGGTTCATGATCTGCAGGGCGACCCTTTGAGGAACAGTTTTCGGGTATATAGGGGAACACTTGACCACAATCAGATGTCATCGCCGCGATGAGCGCACCGCGACTTTACGCGAGGAAGACGCAAATGGCAAGCAAAGCGTAGATCGCATCTCCCTTTCGAGCATTAGATGCGTGAGCAGCAGCCGGAAGCAGTGAAATGGTGGCTTTGACACTGCCATCAACATACTTCTACTTCTGAAAACGGAGCTAGAGGGACAAGAGAATTCTGCGTTGCTACAGGCGCATATGAGAGAGACAAGGGAAGTAGTCAAACATCATGCCCGCCAAGACTGGTATTGACGAAAGTGAGAAGCGACCCAAAGCCTAGTCTTTTCTCCCGAGTTAGAGGGTCGGTCCTCGTTTGTTCAGAAATGAGTGTAGATCTGCCTCCACGTTGGGGGCCTATTAATGAAATGATTCATAATCCGCGTCCTCCTGCTGGCAAACCTGCTCTTTCTACTTATGGTCTATCACCTCAATTTAGTTCCAATCTCAGGTGAGCGTCATCGAATGCTTTTTCGCAGTTTTCAGCAGGAGCATTGGAGTGCATTCATTTTGAAGAAATGAATAATCCAAGGTGAAGCTATGGATATGCAGGACAGAGATCCTGTTCACCAAGTGTCGCCGGCTGCCAGAGAAAAGCAAAAAGCAGTGTCTAGTCCAGAGGAAAAGGAGAGGACAAGAAAGAAACGGCAGGTGGCCCGAAGTCAATGGCCGCAAGAAAGACGAATGTACGACGATACGGTGGTGATAGCCTGTCTTTTCGGACATATCACGGATACGTACGAGGAAAAATTGCGAGACGCCATCAGAAACCGTGTCGATTCGTACTCCATGAGTACTAGAAAGGCGTCGTCAGGGCTAATGCATTTGGTGATGAAGATGAACGAAAACGTGACGCACATGGAAACAGTCGCGGTTCCGGACGAGTTTTTCGACAAGACCTTTATTCGTAACCTAATGCTTGGCACAGGCGAAACACGGAGAGAAAATAGCGGGTTCACGCCCTCCACGAAAATTATGCCGAACTCCGCTTCGAGGGTACTCGAAACAGGGGTGACCAGGATATTTACGCATGCGGAGCGATGAAGTATCTCACGAACCTGAAGAACCATTTGACGATGAACCTCGAACGTTCCATGATACGCGCCGTGGTTGCACTCTACTCGGGCCTGTCTCGCAAAGGACTGCGGGCGATTATCAATGGCATCACGAAGGATCGCAAGCATGAAGATGAGATCGAATTCGTCGACAAGAAGACGTCACGCAGGAGCACAAATGAAGCGTCTGTAATCCAAGGGGTTATAAAAGAGCGCCGTACAGTGTTGGGGCTGGCGAATCCAGTAGAAGAGGTATCAGATATGAAAAAAATGAAGAGAGACACTATCGCCTCGTCCTGCGATATTTCGTGTTTTTGGACCAAGAGGTCGAACGCAAGAAGGAGATGAAGCTGAGTGAGCAAAAAATGAAGATTGGGAGAGACGGAAGGCTGCCCTGACGGGGAAGCGCTTCAACGTCGATCCGATATGTAACGTCAAGTCATACTTTGTGGGTATCGATTCAAGAGTCCTCCATGGAATCATGAAGGAGATCAGTCCGGAGTTCAATGTAAGGAAGATAGAGTTCACTGGTGAAACAAGTGAGACGTACTGGAAAAACATCTTCGATATCAAACATCTCAAAACGAGCAAGCAAAAGGTATTTACTGGGATGATTGAAACCGATGGAGTAGCCTCGTGTGTGCACTATCGGCGGTTGAAGAAAGATCGGCCAGTCCCTTCGTCGGCTGCGCCCGTTACGAAGGATGAAGAAAACAATGAGGAGGATCCTGCGATGCAGGAGGTGCAGGATAACGACCTTGTCTTTGACATGACGAAGGATGAAGAAAAGAAGAAGGCGGATCCTGCGATGCAGAAAACGCAGGATAACGACTTTGCCGTCGGCGTGGACCCTGCGAATACGAATGTCATAAGTATCGCAGTACCTAAGCGTGCGGAAAACGGTACTGACGGTAATTTACGTCAGAAAGACATGCGTCTGTTGAGATTCTCGAGAGCGAGATTCTATTGGGAATCGGGAATAATGAATGCGAGGAAGAAAATCGACACTTAGAATGCAGGAATGAATAATCACCTGGAAGCTTTGAGCGAGGTGACTAGCCGAGGAGCGTACTATGAAGCCTTTCGGAAATTCATGGAAGTTCGTGTTGCCCACTGGGATGCGCTGTGGGAAGAGTATACTAAGCCCCGGTGGGCTCTTTTGCGAATGAATCTATACGGTGAGAGGCAGCGGGCGTTCGCGAATCTTTTCAATCAGTTGAGCGCCCTCAAAGAGGATCAAAGTCAGAGGCTGGTAGTGGCATACGGAGCACGGCGATGGAAGACCAAAAAAGGGTATACGCCAGCTCCAACGACAAGAACGTACAAGGATTCCGCAAGGCGTTTCGTCACGATACCTCTAGATGAGTTTCGAACATTGCATACACACCATGAACTGGGGTGTACATTTCAGAGAGTGGAGATAGAAAAGTGCCAGAGGAGCCCTGAGGATATAAAAAAGTATGGACCGCTGACGGAAGAGCAAATGGAAAGGATTTCGAAAGTTCGTGGACTACTTGCATTAGTAAGTAAAACCAGTGATGGTAAGAAACGTATGGAGTATGTGAACCGAGATTTTAATGCCGCTATCAATATTAGGGAATGTGCGGTGCTGGAGAATAGGCCTCCAAAGTAGACAAGAGAGAACTTTATTGGACAACCTCTCAAAGTGGAACTATATGAGAGAAAGTTGGAAGCAGTGGTGGATGCCCGGTCCGAAAAGACGGGGAGGCGTCTGCACGTCAGCTGGAGAGGATTTGTCTAAGGCGCGCTGATCGCCACTACTGTCCACCGCCGGCGAGCACGCGCTCGTGCGCGTGCTCGCCGGATGCCGCTCCGCGACATGAAATCCGCCACCAACCCCCTTTTCGGTTTATTGCTGAGGTGGTGGGAGTGTATTGCTCGTTTGAAAAACCGTGAATTCGGGAAAGATGCGGGAATCAAAAATTTGCAAGCCACGTGCGGTCTGCTTTCTGACGCCCTCAACAGCGTCGGCCACGCCAGCTAGAGGAAAGCCGACTCGAACTGCGCAATGTGAGACGCGCCCACAGCAGGACCTTGGGACGACAGAGTTCGCGGATGAGCAGGAGATCTCGGTAGGAGGCTTGGTTGACTCAACGTCTTCACGTGCGCAGCGGACCTGTGACTCATCAGGAGCGGTGTGTATTGAGCCCGTTTCAGAGTTCAGCGAGAGGCTTGTCGTGTCCACTGAAACGAACCCGCGTACCGAAGGTAACTGGTATTTTGAGCTTCCCTGGCCAGATGGAGGACTTTGCTCCCAAGACCAGGGAGGCGCTTGTAGAAAAGCTCCAGATGTTCGTCTTCCGCGAGGCGCCGCCCAGGGTGGGGCAGCTGCTACGAGTGTACTGCTGAAGCACTCGGCTAGTCTTTCACGAGACTCGAGTTCTGCGAGGCGCCAGACGAAACCGGGCCCGTCCCAGACGGTTGCGTCTTTTCTTTTTAGCGCTCAAAAAGTGGTTGACGCTCCCCGGAATTTCTTCGTATCAAGCTGCGGATATGTTGCGAACGAGCCTGATTCAGCGAAAAATCTCTCAAATTGCTGGCAGGTACCTCTCGAAGGTGCCTCAGACAAGCCTGCGGTCTGGAGGCAAGACGTTCAGGAAACTTCTCATGGTTATGAGTATTCTCTTGCGACAGAGCGTGTTGCGTTTGAAACTGCATCCGATGTGCTTGCCGATGAGGAGCAGAAATTATTCAACCAACAAGAATCGAGCCATCCTACAGTGCGGGACAACATGTCGCCATCCTTCTCCACAAGCGGGGACTCTACGAACGAGGATCCTGAAAGGAACGAAATTACTCGTTTCACGCCACCAAGAGCTCCAGCTTCGAAGACATCGTATGAGCGCAGACTTGCTGAGAGCAGGAATCTGTTCCCCGTTTCAAATCTGAATGTTGCAGATGCAGACCTCAGATCTCCGTTACATAGAAGCGCTTCACAACATCGGAGCGATGGAAGCCTAGCACCTCAAGTAAGAGAAATCAGATCTACACGACAGCTGAATAAGATACTCAGCGCACTATACAAATCAGGTCGGGCAGCGGATGCACTCAGTTTGTGTAGAATTGTGGAGAGAGAGGGACATATTGAGATAGATGTAGCATCCTACTCTATCCTTATCTCGTGTCTTGGGAAATGCGGCGCGTCGGCACAAGCAATCGAAATGTTTCACAAAATGATAAGAAATGGCGTAGCGCCCAATGCATTCACGTTTTCAGCGCTCTTCGGAGCGTTGACTGACGGTGCCTTCTTCGATCAGGCAATGCGGCTCTTTCAGATGATCAGAGCAAGCTATCCCAATGAGCTTAATGTCGTAGTATACAATGCCGTTCTGAAATACGTGGGCCGGGCGGGCAGAATCGACGCAGCGTTGGATCTACTGGGGCAGATGGAACAAAACCGGAACGTGCAACCAGACATCGTAACATACGGGACAATACTCGATATTTGCGCAAAGAAGCAAGACGTCTCGCTGGCGTATGCGGTTCTCGATCGGATGCGAAAACGTGGCATGCGACCGAACAACTTCTGTTACGCGTCTCTCATTGACGCATGTGCACGTGCGGGTCTCCCGGACCAGGCCGAGTCTCTGTTCCGGCAACTACGAGCCGAAGGCCTGGAGTACGACTTGTTTATCTGCAATGCCCTGCTTGGCGCTTTCGCCCGGGCAAAAATGGTGGAGCGAGCTTTTCAGGCCTTCGAGGAAATGCGCAGCGCGGGCGTGCGAGGAGATCGCATCACCTTTAACACCTTGATCACCGCAGCGGCGCGTGCACGCGAGTTCGACAAAGCCTGGAAAGCTTTCGAGACGATGAAAAAGTCGAACATTTCTGCAGACGCAACGACATACAATGCTCTGATTGATGCCTGTAGCAAGAGCGGCATGACTGAGCTGGCGTTTGCGCTTTTCAACGAAATGCGCCAAGCTCATCTGCAGCCGACGATCTTTACCTTCAATGCTCTCATTGGAGCATGCACGAAATTACAGGATATGCGCAGAGCCACGCAGGTTTTAATGCTCATGCATGGCTTTGGTGTGTATCCGGATACATTTACACTGAACATTCTTTTAACAGCATGTGCGCGGAACGAAGACTTTGACTATGCGATAAGTTTGGTTCGGGAGTTCGAAACGAATTATCGCGTTCGCCTGGATCGCCTCGGTTCTAGCATTGTAACAAACCTTTGCATCAAAGCGTGCGACTCTCAATCAAGGGACCGTTGCTTGAGGCTTCTTGAGGCTGCAGTACTCGAAGGCTACGAAACATTACGAGAGGTTCGAGATCGAGCTCGTAGCGCTTTCGCAAACCCAATGACTGGCTCATGATGAGCTGGAAAGCGACTTGATTTGACCAGGATCGTCGGACTTTGAATCGAACGGGATTCGCTTAACGTATTTGGGATATTTAGTCATTTTCATGGGACAGATACGTCGTTGCAGCCGCAACGGTTTGCGATGAGGCGTTGATACTGCTTTAGACTGATGCGCTCAAACCTAGCGAGCTGTCCTGCATAGCTATACGAGCGCACCGGCATTCTTTAGAGTGAATACAACGTGTCGAGATTTGGAGGTACTCGCTTCACCGGCGCACAATATGCCGACGTCGCGATATGCAGCCGATCCCTGAGCTCCTGTACAGAGGAGGCAATATCTCCCAGCGGGTAGCTTTTGGAAATTAATCCGTCGAAAATTATGGGAATCTGAACATGTACATATGATTGGTCACAATGAGGCTAAAGCACCCGCCGTAGCTCGGTTGCAAGGGACTCCACCCCCGCCCGGTCGACCGCTCGCCAATCGTCCGGCCGCATGCAGCGTCACTGGCGGACCCAAGTACCAAACGCCCCGTGCGAAAGGCACAGCGCCATCGCCGATGGCCCGGGGGCCGCTGCGCCGGCGCACTGACACCCAAACAAGATGCGTCCCGCCTTTACGCTCCATGATTGATGAATCTAGCCTGACCTTCCCGGATGCGCGCATGCTCTGGCGAGCAACAGCGGTATACGCCGTCAGCTCCATCCGTGTGCCATCGCCAGCCGCAGCTTTCGCCGCTCGCGCGCGCACGCACGAGCATGGCTGCGGACGCACACGCACGCCATGCGCATCTCAGCTATCATAGGCACAGGGAATGAACGTCGCTGGTGCGGCCGCGCGCTACCATATCGTGCAGCCGCATTGCAAATCAAGTCGCACACGCATCACCCGATACATGCGACGTCTGGCGCCGCTGCACGCTGCCCACAAATCATCGCAACATGATCGGAACTTGCCAGCGCCGGTGAATCTGCATGCAGCGCGCCACAGTCCAGATATGAGTACGAAGCGGGACTTTCGCGCTCTGTATGGTCGATCCCAACTGTAGCGTACAGCACGTCAACTGGCGGTCCACAGAACGGCGCATCGATTCCGGCTTCGTTACTTTGCAAAACGCTACAAGCGTCTGCGCGGTTGAGTCGCTCCTGCTGCGCGGACGTTACTGCATATGCCCCTGTTGCGTCTTTCTGAGACTGCATAGTGTGTGCGTAGACGCACGCAGGCGCACATCGCGGGCGTTGTCCATCCGGTCGCTCTTCAGCATTGCATTTCAGTAGCATGTGCGCCGCACATCAAACATGAATCTATGCGTGCGCATCGAGCGCGGCTTCCTCGGAGCCCAGCTTCCGCTGCAACGGAACACGCCGCAGCTGTGGGCAGAGGCGCGCTCATCGCCAGTGATGAGCGTACATGTGTCGAGCTGTTATTCGAGCGCACACAAGGAGAACTTGCATGCCGAGAATTTTCGCTCAGGGTGCCCTGAGATGGTGCTCGTGTGGGGTCATCAGGCGGACCCAGCAGTTCCTCCGTTCCATCAAGAGCCGAGTGAATAGCGGAGACTACAAGCGCTACCGAGTGACCCATGAGGCATCGCATGCTCCAGGCGCAGACGCTAGCAGTCGGGGCGCGTGCAGCGCAAGTGTCATATCAGGAGAGATGGTTTCGGCCCCGCTCAAAAACTCTGATTTGGGATCTCAGTGATATGGGACTGAGCGGGGAGCGCGCATGTTTGCATAAATCTGTTCCAGATCGCCTGTGAAGTTCCCTCTTTCCGAGCAGATGTACGAATGAGGAACCAAGTGCAATCTTCCCGGATTTTCAGGATATCTGCTCAGCATGATCCAGGGTGAATTGCGCGATCACTCTACATATTCCAAGTTGTCTTCCACAAAAAGCATGAAGAATTCGGGTCATTCAGAAACCAAGAAGCAGTATGCTAGTGCAAAACGAAACCGTGCTCATCACGTGCCGAACTTTTTTAAGAGCGCGCACGATGCTCCTTGTTATGCTTGCAGACCAATGCGTGGAGCAAAGTAGTGCCCGCTTACCTAAATGCGGAGAGCAATCGCGCATTGAAACGATCCCTGCTAAGACTAATTGAGTTCTAGCCATGAAAATCTACATAAAAGATTACTACTGGCTCTAAGCACAGCATGCTCGACAGGAAAAAAGCTCATTTCACGAAAATTTCCGAACTGATTCTGATCCGGAATGAAAATACTTGAAAAAGAGAAAGCGTCTAAAAAGCCGGCAAGAATGCCTTGTCGCGTGCCAGCGGATTTGCTCTGCCATCTTGGGGTCCATTTCTGAGCATCTGAAGAATCAAGACGGATGATAAAATGAAACCGATGTGACGCACTCGGACGTGTGATGGCACTAATGATCGCACTTTCAGACGAGGACGATCGCGGTTTCTCAGAAACACATTTTCACCAATGGTCACAAAACGATCGAGGAAAGAGATCCCGTTGGGAAGAATCAAATTACCCGCCGAATCCCGCGGACAAGACTCCGAGTTTTCGACTACACAGACAGGAATGAATATATCCCTTCGACCGGATACGCGATGTACTTCCTCTTGTGCAAGATGCATCCTTCTAGCAAGATTCTCTTCAAATGTGAGGCCCTCTGGAGGGAGCGCATACCCATGTGTGAAAACCAGTATGCATCGCTCCCATACTCCACCATCGAAGAGACTCTTCAGTTCCTCCAAAACTAGCCTGAAACAATGGGATCGGTACGAATCCAGTCGCTCTATAATGCAGACAATGTCGATTTCCAAACCGCGAAGCGCAGCTGCGACACTCTCGCATGTTCCAGCGCGGCTCCATTTCTTAGAATCCTCCCCAGCTTCATCGTAAAAATATTTTTCAGAGGAAGGGATCTCAATCAAACGCAGAGACATCCCTTCCTTTTCTACAGGATAAATCAGAACGTTTTCGTTCGGCGAAGGAACGAATTCAGTCTTGCGATTTGGATGCGCTCTTTGTTCCCTTTCACGTTCATACGATCGCTCTTCTATTACTTCGAGCCCATGCTCTGGATCTCGTTCTAAAATCTCATCATCCGATAGTATGAGAGCCATGGTGTGGTTGGTTCGTGCGACAGGGCTTCCAAGAATGCGGTTAATTGTGGCAGACTTTCCTGCACCGATCGTGCCAGCGAAAAGAATAGTGGCATCTCGAAATGGAGAATGCGCGCGAACGACGTCCACTAATTGATTTACAGTGGCGCACCCTGGCCGCGAATCATTCCCAAAGCCGCGAATGATTTCCTCATAGTTCCTTCTTTGGAGACCGACTTGCTTCATGCAAGCTGTGAATGCTTCCGAGTCCGTCTTTTCGGCGTAAGCACAAAGCACTTTGCACGCAAGGTGCAGATTTTTTCCTTCAATAACGTCTTCTGGCTCAAACAGTGCATTGGCATCGAGCCCCGCATTCCGTGCAGAATCCAGAAAGAGCTGAATGCACCGCCGCATGCTGTCCAAATTCCGTGCATCTCCAGAGCACGGAGCGTCTATTCCGGCAATATGCAAGAAAACGTTAGGGTCGCTGAGCACAGCCCGAAGCCCGTTTGAAGAAGATTCCGATGCGCCTGTTTTTCGTGCGATCCACAACAGGCAGAGCCTTTCCAAGGCTTTTTCAGTGGCATCTGGAATAGCTCCCCAAGGTTGCTCCCCACAGACCTCCGACAGCGAAGGCTTATCAGAAAGCGTAGGGCTGGGCCCCTGCTGCCAACTCGACCCAGACTCTTTGAGATCTTTGCTATATGGCGCTGGGCTTGTCACCACGAGTGCTGCGAGACGAGACAGGTTAAGCTCTTGCTTCACGTGTATACCCATGTTGTAAAGATGTCGCTCATCGGATATGAAGAATTCTCCGTCAGCTGCGTTTTCCGCTCCGTGTCCTTCAGATTCCGTGCCTTTTCGGGACTGGCTAAGCACCCCTGGAAGAAGATTACGCCGAAAGAGTTGGCGCCGACGTGACCGAGTTCGTCCTGTGGAAGGCCTCGAGCCTCTCGTGGTTTTATCCGAGTCGGCTGTGCGCCGGCCAGAGACGTCGCGCCTTTCAGCAGCATCATCACCGCGAGGCTCGACACGCTCTGCAAAATCCAGTCTGACTTGTTCTCTAGTCTGCGGAGAGGTAAAGCTCTCCGTCATTTACGGTGCCCTGGAGGTGTCGAGTCCTGCAACTATGCACCTGAGACGCAGCTGAACGAAGCCCAAACGTTCTGCAGAATCTGAGTAAATTAATACCGGCGTGCAGACGCATACCAACTTTTTTTGACCGTCTCCATGCTATCGGTTTCAACTTGTCATTGTACAGCTCGATCCTGAGAGGTTGCCCCACAAAGTTGACTCTTGTCAGCTCCTTGGGTCTCATTTTCAGCACCGCACATTTTCTGATATTGATGATGGCATGGAAGTCTCGGTTCACGAACTCCATGCGTTTATTGCCTCTGGATCAACGCACTATTGCTAGAGTTCCTCGAACTCGTACCCACTGTCCCACTACAGTCTCGTCATCCTCCCGTTGGGCATACATCTTTTGCTCAGTTGGCTCCCCTATTTTTCTTCGTCTTCGTTATTTCCTCTTCTTCGCTGCATGGTTGGCGAGAACGAGATGTTCCGTTTATTACTGCAGTCATCGATGACGGCCCTCAAGGATTCGCAAATTCCAGATCCATAACATTCTCACAGATTTTTACTTTTGGAAAAGAACGCACTTAGAACGTATTTACTGAAACCTGGGAAAAAGCATTTGCTTACGCTCATCTGCGGACGGAACACAGATGAGGTGCAAGCCTCGAAATGACGCGATCGCAAATTTGCACAGTCCATTCGGTTTGGAAAGTCTTGATTAGAAAGTCTTCTGCTCTACTAGAACGAATCCGGATATGCTTGGGAGGACGCTGAGTTTATTAAAGTCAAAAGTGGCCAGAAGTGCCCCGTTTCTTCACGCGAAGCATGGACCGCAGAACTACTACAAAGGAAACCGCTGTCGTCGGCTGGGTCGACACACGCGCAAGGGTGGGTACGTCGTAGACCACGCAAACAAGGTCCCTGACTTCAGAATACCGCAAATTCCAGAAGATTTTCCACTGAAACCATATGTTGCAGTTGGTTCGTAAAGGTTTCTGGGGCTACGTTTGGACACCTTTCGTCGTGGCGAGGGAAAAATCTGCAGGGAGTTTCAAATAACGCTGCAATATGGACGACTATGATGAGAAGACGCTTCTTTCCCCAACTGAGGCGCAACGGTTTTTACACCACTGCCAATATGACGATTAAGGCAAGTACTTACCTCTGAGAGTCCTGATGCAACCCTGTCAAAAACATATAGCGCAAAAGCACGAATAAGGTCACGGTCCTTCTGTGAGTGGCAGTATTTCACAACGTTGAGTTTTACTCGAAGCAGCTGGAAACCCTCTCTCCTGATATGACACTTGCGCTGCACGCGCCCCGACTGCTAGCGTCTGCGCCTGGAGCATGCGATGCCTCATGGGTCACTCAGTAGCGCTTGTAGTCTCCGCTATTCACTCGGCTCTTGATGGAACGGAGGAACTGCTGGGTCCGCCTGATGACCCCACACGAGCACCATCTCAGGGCACCCTGAGCGAAAATTCTCGGCATGCAAGTTCTCCTTGTGTGCGCTCGAATAACAGCTCGACACATGTACGCTCATCACTGGCGATGAGCGCGCCTCTGCCCACAGCTGCAGCGTGTTCCGTTGCAGCGGAAGCTGGGCTCCGAGGAAGCCGCGCTCGATGCGCACGCATAGATTCATGTTTGATGTGCGGCGCACATGCTACTGAAATGCAATGCTGAAGAGCGACCGGATGGACAACGCCCGCGATGTGCGCCTGCGTGCGTCTACGCACACACTATGCAGTCTCAGAAAGACGCAACAGGGGCATATGCAGTAACGTCCGCGCAGCAGGAGCGACTCAACCGCGCAGACGCTTGTAGCGTTTTGTAAAGTAACGAAGCCGGTATCGATGCGCCGTTCTGTGGACCGCCAGTTGACGTGCTGTACGCTACAGTTGGGATCGACCATACAGAGCGCGAAAGTCCCGCTTCGTACTCATATCTGGACTGTGGCGCGCTGCATGCAGATTCACCGGCGCTGGCAAGTTCCGATCATGTTGCGATGATTTGTGGGCAGCGTGCAGCGGCGCCAGACGTCGCATGTATCGGGTGATGCGTGTGCGACTTGATTTGCAATGCGGCTGCACGATATGGTAGCGCGCGGCCGCACCAGCGACGTTCATTCCCTGTGCCTATGATAGCTGAGATGCGCATGGCGTGCGTGTGCGTCCGCAGCCATGCTCGTGCGTGCGCGCGCGAGCGGCGAAAGCTGCGGCTGGCGATGGCACACGGATGGAGCTGACGGCGTATACCGCTGTTGCTCGCCAGAGCATGCGCACATCCGGGAAGGTCACGCAAGATTCATCAATCATGGAGCGTAACGGCGGGACGCATCTTGTTTGGGTGTCAGTGCGCCGGCGCAGCGGCCCCCGGGCCATCGGCGATGGCGCTGTGCCTTTCGCACGGGGCGTTTGGTACTTGGGTCCGCCAGTGACGCTGCATGCGGCCGGACGATTGGCGAGCGGTCGACCGGGCGGGGGTGGAGTCCCTTGCAACCGAGCTACGGCGGGTGTGCTGTATTTAGTTTTCATGGGTCGGAGGAGGTAACCTTCGCGATGCCGCTCCATGCGTCGCGACCGTATTGGAGAGAGCCACATTGTACCAATTGGCATGATGAACTGACCCGTTTGCGTAGATGCAACTAGCATTGAAAGAAATCGCAGCACGACTTCATGAAGGATCCGAATCACGAAAATCGATACCACAGATTAATTGAACTTCCTCCAGTGCGCATTGGCCTTCTACACGGAGAATGGAGTATACTACACCGACGTCGAACTGCGCGACAATCTTCCATCTATTCGTCTTCATAGTCCAATCGGATAGATTACACCCGGGGTCCGAGAAAGATCCCTCAATTTTTGTGCGGGGCGTCGAGTCCACTGCGTCCAGTTCATTCTGTTCAGGGATCGTCTCCCTTTAGCTACGGCACGCATGTCCAACGCTTCGTGCATGATTGCGAAAAGGGTCTCATGGAGGCTGAGCCCCCGATAGACGAGACCCCAATCAGTTCCGGCCAAAATGGTCGCGAAGTATTGTTGCTACGCAGGTTGCCGCACCCTCTGGTGGGACGCCTACTGCCCGCCAGCGAACGCGAGCGCTCCTATCTAAAAAATAGACGTAAGCGCTAAAACGGTTTTCGATGTGTAAAAGGCTTAGAAACTCCGTGAAAAGTTTGTCCTTCCGTGAAGGTGTGTAAATCAGACTCCCAGCAGGCAGCAACTGTTTCTGAAAACCTACCAGAAGGCGATCAAGCAGCCTTTCATTTACTGTTAACTCATATATGGGAAGTCTTTTTTCTGCCTCAGTCAGAATTCCGCGCCATGTGTCTAGTGCCTGTTGAGAAAACGCACGAAAGCCCAAAAGAAGCCAGCTTTCCTGCTTCCCTCCACTGGTAAGGTATGCGCGAGAGTCCTTAACGACAGTGCTTTTCCCTGCAACTTCGAATGCGATTTCCGGAAAGAGCCGCGCTTCCTCCGTTCGGATAAGACTAGGCAACAAGAAACTGTCCTTTAGACCGCGGATAACCTTCGGCGACAACCTAGTCATGAAACCAGGACGCTACGAGGCGCATACAGACGATAGAAATTTTGCCCGCATTCTAGCCACACGCCGCTCGCTCGCCGAAATGCACTGCAGGCAGCTGCTAAATAGATGACAAACGCTTAAATGCGAAGCAAAACAGACGCTGCTACAATGATCCATCGACGGCTTCTCGGGGCATTCGTTATGGAAACTCATAGGCGACTTCCAAAAGAGCAAAATCACATCCCGGTGCCGCGCGATACAGAGCCAGCAGGCAAGCCATTGGTTTGTTACGAATAGCGGCGAGTCCCTTCTCACGTAGCGAGCCGCGCAAGCTTGCGCCGAAGCGACCCAGAAATGCTGTGCGTTTGTTGTAAGTTTTGGCGATCCCTGACCCGAAAACAGTTCTTCCAGGGGTGATGACGACAGGGATCCAGCTATTGTTGTCATTCAGAGCGCGAAGGTGCCCAATGTGAATCTCATCGAAGTAAACAGTAGCGAATGAGGATCCTGCTAGCCCTAAAGCCTTCGCTTCCTCGAGCTGAGCCTTCTCAGGTTTTGAGGTGGATCTGAAGCACGAAAGATATCCGTATACCAGAACCTCTCGTCTTTCTCGTAGAAAGATTTCCGACTGGACTGCTCTAAGTCGCTCAAACTCAATGCAAAGGTTTTCAATTTTCTCCTGGCCTCCATACAGTGCTGCTAATTGCTCTAGCGTGTCAGTGTATCGAAAGGTGCTATGCTGGATCCTTCCAAGTGCGAATGTTTGACGTATCTTGACAGATTTTTTCCCCTCCGAGGATTGAATCCATCGAGCTAATGCCAGTATACGACGAACAAGACGATCCTGCAGAATTACTTTCGGAATATTTTCAGGGAGGCTCGTGCCCTCCGTTCTTTTTTGCTGTTCTCTTACTCCATCTAGCAGGTACATTGAGGTCCATCGGGTCGAATGTACCTCCATGATGCTGACACCATCAAAAGGAGCATTGTACAGCTCTCGCTTTTCGAGGGATGTTAGCAGGATTGCCGCACCTGGAACGCAGATAGCATCAAATGCATCGCGTTGGGAGGTTTCATAAAGGCGAATGCAGACGTCTCGCGCTTCGGATCCATCGCGCGCCAAAATGATTCTATATTTCCTAAAAATGTAGTAGTCATCTGATGCACTCAGTATTTGCGGTGCACTCGTCCGTTCTGCAGACCTGTACGTCCCGCGCTCTCGATACAGAGGTGACACATGTGTCACAATGCATGCTAGAGAGAAATACGAGCGGTCGTCCCATGCATCCAGAGCGCTGGTAAGAATGCAGGGGTGGTAGAGTTCACCCGTTCGACCACCGCCAAGCTTTGCAATAGGTCCGAAATCAAGTAACTCCTCATAATTATCTGAAAGCTTCCGAATAATGCCCTGGGGCGATGATGCATTCAGGTGAATCTCGCCTCTGCGTACACGGTAATTCTCTATGATAAGGATGTCACCGAGTTGAATGTGATAAAAATATTTGGAACAAAGCGAATTCCACACGACAACAGTAGCAGAATCCGCACCGTCACCTATCTCAAATTCGAATTTGAATGGCACTGACTGCCGCATGTCACTCTTTTTCGGCCATGGCATTAGGGACGTCTTTCTGAGGACGCGCCCGATGATTGGTCGCTTCACGTCTCCCATCAGCGCCCTGGCGATGCGCACCGCTGCACTAGTGACTGATTTAATCGAAGCTGGGTCTTCGACACGCTCTACGTTGCTAGGGTCTCGCAATCTGGAATCGACAGGTAAGGCATCAAACGCTCCAGGACCAAGATAACTCTTTCTCGACGATGCCAAAGGGACATTTGCAGCAGTCTCAAGCGGGGTGGATGACGTTGTCCAAGCGCATGTCAGGGGAACGTCTATCCAAAAATCCTCGTGGGGTCGACGTAGTACGAGACAGTCATACACAACGATTACTCGAGGCGGGTAGAGTCCGCGCAATTCGTTGAAACGAACTGACCATTTTCTTATTTCTAAAATGCTCCCTCGATCTAGGTCACCGGACTGGACGATTGAATTCAAATGTGGGTGTAGGCAAAAGCGTGTTTTCGTCTGCTCAACCGGATTGCAGACGGTAATGTCATACGCATCTGCATCCATCTCAGGGATTTCATCTTTTGTGCCGTTGACCGTAAACCAATAGGCTTGATCCCGGATATAATGCCGGACGCATAGAACTAGGAACACGATTGAACCGCGGCATTCTTCCCCAGGAGCACACTCGTGGAGCTTTTCCGTGCCAGCAGTCGTGAATATTTGGTCTCGTTCCTTTGGCTCTGAAGAGCCGCTCTGAACCAGGCTTGAAGAGGCTGAAACCTGACCTGTGTTGGACTTTGCAAGCTTTTGATTTGCGACTTTTAACGTGCCCTCCCTCGGCCGCTTGCGCTGGTTTCCACGGTTTCCAGTCTGTCGCTTGCTGCGTGAGTCCCGCGAGTCAGACCCTTCGACCTGTACTGTACGATTCTCTACAGCCTTCTGCAGCGGCTTTGCTCGACTCTTTTGCAGCTCTTCGTCTTGCCTCCTTTGGAAAATAGGTTTCACATAGTCATCAGCCTTGGTGTCGCCGAAGCGTCCACTTTTACGAGGCATTAACCGTTCTGTACGAGAACGTTTGTTGTTTTCTCGGATACACTCGCAATCAGAAATTTGCGCCACATTCAAATTGGGCGCGTGCTGGACAGATGGTGCATCATAAGCACAGGATGTATCCAGCTGCGCGCAGCTTCCGCCTATATCAGTCAAAGATAGAATAGACCCCGTGAGGAAAGTCGGACGTACTCGCACTATATTCTGGACCTATTTTGCACGACCATCAGCACAAGTCATTGCAGTTTGCACCGCGACCGCTTCCTTCTCCTTTCCCGTATCTCCGACTTTCAATACGCTGGCGTCTCCTAGCCCTCCAGCTTCGATGTCAGCAGGCGAAGGATGCCGATGGCTGCGTTCATTCGAACCCAGAGTTTCCTGCTTCCAGCCCTCATCGACGTACTTCATGCAAAGGCGGAAGTTGTGATCTGCGCTTCTTTTAGCATTTTCATCCTTTTTGTCCACAACTCCGGTGCACCCTTCGCAGCGAGGACACTTGCCCGTTGTCCGGTGCCGCCATACGTCCATCGCACGTCTTGCTCCGAGTGCCGCCCTGTGGCGCATGCCTGCTTGCAGTGTCGCTCGGTACACGCCCTCGACGGGTGCAGAGCGCTCCGCTCCATGCGCTCTTCAGTTTCTGTGCCCAGCGCCATACCCTGCGATCACAGGCTCGGGCTGGGCGATCCCCGCGGCAAGCACCCTCACTGCTGGGCGCGTAAACGCTCGCTGCTCGATTCGAGTACTCGGAATCCGCTCCCTCGCACGCTCTTCGTTTTTCGCGTACGCTTCCCATCGAAGCTGCCGACGAGCATCACGCGACTCGAGGTGCCGTGCCAGCTCATGAGTATTGTGCGCGCAGGTTCCATCCACTTGCGACGATGCGGGTCAGCCATCTGCGACTCCCTTCGTCTCCGGTCGCTCGCTCGCTCGCTTGCGTGTTCTTCTATCCCCATACTCGTTCGCTTCCGCTTCAGCGAAGATGGCAGGCGCGGGAGGAGAAGTCACGACTGTGGGCGTAACTCGGACGTTTCCGATCCCGTGCCCCGGGACGGGGTGTCGGTTTCCACATGGGCGTCGGGCTTCGCCTCGGGTCTCACGGAGGCGCTGGTGCAACGCTTCGCTCTCCTTGGGCTCCTGCCGTTGCTAAGTGCACTGGATTGCAGGTTCACGAGGCCACGCATCTGTACAGCTTGCTGCTCATCGTCGCCGTGTTTCCTGTTCTGAGCAGGGGTGCGTTGGAGCTCTGATGGGGCCTTGAGGCATGTAGGGCGCTCACGACTGATAGCGGTGGATGCTGCCAGGCCATCGGTCTCGAACGAGGACACCACGCCTCCTCGACTTTATGTGAGCGTTCTGTTTCTATCTGTTCCCTGCCTGTCGCATCTCTCTTTAGCGTCGTTCGCTTTTCGTTCCCCCAGCGGTTCATGAGTGTCTCCGAAGTTTCGGGCGAAATTTGCGTAGTACGCTTCATGTACTCTATGCTGTCGATGGATACCTCCTCTTCTTCGATGTGCTCCTTGGCCTCCATAGGACGTTTCCATGCCCTAATCCCTCGTGCGTGGGCGCCCACTTCGCAGCGAGGCGAAAAAGCCGCGAACCGGGGCGCGCGTACGAGCGACCTATAAATGCGTTTACAGCAAGGCGAAAATCCATTCCATTCAGGGGCTCTGGAACAGTTCCCGAGGTGCAGAGGCTGTTTCACTCGCTCGGGTAGGCACTCGCAGGCTGCAGGTCTATAGTCTCCTCGACATGTTCGTCTTCCAGGATACTCAACGGAGGCTCACGCGCTCTGTATATCCGCCCAGCATATTCAAGTCGGCGAAGCGCCCGTCATGAAGAGCTCGTCCATGCCGTCCAGGCTGGTATCTGAGTCGTCATCCGCACGTATCCACGTCATCGAATCCTTCACGCGCCATGGGAATGAATGCTGGCATGATCCAGGGTCGCGCGGCGTAGTTTTCCGCCCATATACACCTTTGAGTTATCCAGGCTGATTTGGGTCGCGAAGCGAATGCTGGCCTCGAAATGCGCAACGTCGTTCGGCTATGGAGCCAAAGTGCCCGCGACGTCGATGAAAGCACAGTGCAGGTGAGGTGTGTCCCGACTACGCTTCGAGACAGTGACGGCATGAAAGGCCATCGATGCCAACGGTGCATCTACGAAGTTGTTCGGTTTCTCAGGGACCCCGATGCACTGGACGTACACGGTCCTAGGCAGGAGGTAAGCGCGCCACTGACGCATGCTGCAAAGAAGCGCATGTTTGCGGACGCGGAATCTGATATCCGGCGGGTGCGGGTGCATTTCGAAGTATCCCTTGCCGACAGTGGTGCCGTAGAATACCTCATACAAACAGCGAAGGAGGGAGTTTCCGAGATCGTATCCCGTGAGATGTAGCGCACTGCTTATTTGGGATGTGGTTTCGTTGATGGTTGGAAAGCGAGAATATTTTGTGTTTCAAACGGAATCGATTATATGAGGTGAGGATTTGAACATACTTTCGGTATGAGCTCTTGAAGAAGTATTCGCACGAAAACTTCCAACTTTTGCGTCGTCAACCGAGCGTAGCGGCCTGGTGCGCCCACGAGTAGCCTTGAAACATGGAGATCGGAAGCGTGCAGAATGCCTGACTTGAGCGTGCAACGCGTAACTAAAGGAAAAGAGTTCAGGCTTCCTTGTACGAATTGCATCATGATATCGGCTATTTTAGGCAACGGTATGTGAGGATATCTCGAATCACCTTGATGCTGGTGATGTAACGAATCCCTTCGGTGCAAAGTCGAGGGAGCCACTTTGAAGAGTCGACCGAGAATCCTAGAACGATGCATGAGTCCTGAGGCCCTCATTGCTGGACTATGAATACTCGGGTCCTGCATCTGAAAATGAGTTCGGGTGAAAAATCGAAATCGAGGAACACAGGCAGCAGCTCCGTGTTCTACTTCACTCCGACCCGGGTGCCGACTCCGGCGATGCATCGCTGTGACGGCCAGCGGGCCCGCTGAGCTGCTTGCCCGGCGGCGGCAAACGGACACGCTGTTGAGTGCACTCGGGGCACACGTTGATCTCGCGCCGGCGTCTATGCGACGCGTTTGAATAGGAACAAACAACAGCAATTTGCTCAACGAACATAGTTCTGTGCCAAAGCTTTCCTGGGGAAGGCAGCTATCGAATATGCACAACTTTTAATATGCCGCAGTACGGAGCTCAAAATTGTTTTCTTCTGCGGGAGCTTTTCAACCATGTGGGGGATGGAGGATCCTTTTGGCAAAGACAAGCTCTCGTGCTGGTATTCGTGTGCCTCGCGGCGTTTTTGAATTCCATCACAGTCATACTTCATTTCGTTGGCCAGAACTGGATGGCTCGTTGCTTGCAGTTCCATCTCGCAAAACAGGTTGTGAGGGCTCAGAGGAGGGCCGCGCAAGACAGAGCTTTTCGCTTAGGCAGCACGGTTGGACACACCGGCACCGGGGGCACACCTGAGTTTCTGTGCGCTTGCAAAGGCTGTAGGAAACTGAGCTCTGTGCTGAACCCACAACAACGGCAAGCACTTGAGGCGAGCAGAGTTGTTAGAGTGAGGAAGCTTCTCGGTCAGCAAGGACTGCACGCTGAGGCCGCGAACAGCTCACAATGGTGCTCTGACCTAACAATCATGCGCTATCTTGACTCGTACGGCTCTTGCCCTGCTCTCGCGGCGAAATATTTAGCCGCTACCATTAAGTGGAGGATCCAAAATTCTGTCCATGAGCTTACTGTCACTGAGTTTACTGAGGAGCTCAGAAAAGGTGTCGTTTCTTTCGGTGGGTTTGATTCGCAGTCACGACCGGTTTTCATCGTCCGGTTCGTACCTGGTTTCAGCTTGAGACTTTTAATTTTCATGCTTGAAGTTGGTGAAAGCATCATTCGTAACTCTATGGAGCCTGATGTGCTGCGCAAGGATGCGCCAAGCGCATCAGCCACTCCAGGTGTCTGGCAAAGGATATACCGTTCAATGTTTCGGGGTATGAAACGGGTAGAATCTGACCGCAAGGTGCAAAATCGGGATCGATGGGTCTGGATCGTGGAATGGGGGAGCGTTCAGAGAGAATGCACCCGGGAAGCTTGCACGCAATGCACCCCTTCCGAAGACAGCCCTGTCCCTACAAAATACGCCGGCGGTGTCTCCGCATCGGAGCTTATAGGCGCCTTCCGAATATGTAATGAGCACTACCCGAACCGCTTGCATGCTGCATACGTCCTTGGAGCACCGGAACCTATCGTATCGCTGTTCAGAATCTTGGCAAAGAAGTCTACGAAGCGGAAGGTGCGATTTGTGCGACTAAGAGACGGATGTGATAGGGGTTCGCTTAGCGAATACGGTCCAATATGGCGCCGGCCCTGGGCTGCTACGGATTTTATTCAGCTGATCAACTATATTGATGGATCACTTGCCGTACAGAAGAGCAAATAAGGCAGTCCATATACAATTTACAGCTCGAGTGCTTCGCCTAAGCATTCGATATCGCGAATTGATCAGAATTTCTTCTGTTAGTTATGATGCGGCGGTCGGCTTTGTGCGTGCAAAACCCAAACAATGGAACAATGGTGACTGTTTTCTACGCGTTGCAGCCATCCGTTCCCACGTGCGACTCGGTTTCAGGACCTTCGGATCAGTACCTGAGCTCGCCACTTATTCGAATACTTTTCATGCTATTGGACGAAGCAGATCACCTCCGCGAAAGTTGACACCGCATGAGACTTATTTCGTGGACGCGATGTCCAGAAGGCATGCTTAAAGAGCGGCTTGGATGCCTTGACGAGGTGCAGTTCGCCATCTGGCATTTAGGAGAAAATGGCCGTACGAGCAAGGGCAGCAGAATCTGCGAGCATTCTAAAGGAAGAATATATGAAGCATCATCTCGAAGATGGCATGGCAGAATTATCTCATCTTTTACCACCGTCAAATACTATTCCCCAAGCTTCTAAAATCCTCCGAAGCGTACGTCTCTTACAGTCCCTTTGCCCCTTCACTGTAATGGTTGAAAGTTCGTTATCTGCTCGAAAGGCATCTTCCCGTTCAAGAACTCACCATGGATGATGCCCGCAAAGCCGAGCATGGCAAGTCGCCCGTTATTCACTTCCCGATCCCGCATGGCCTTGTCGTTCGGCAAGTTGAGGGGATTGAAGCCCAGCTCACCAGGCTTCCGCCCTTTCCATTCCATATCGGAATAGAGCACCTTGCCACGGTGGAGCAGGAACTCAAGAAACCCGATGAATGCTAAGATCTGAATCATGGCCCCAGACTTGACGAAATAGTCATGGGCTGGTCCAGCGAGTTTAGGAGCCCCCGCGAAGAACGGAAACTGGTAAAACTCGGTTACGAAGAAGTGCAGGCAAGCGAGCATTGCGACGCGCCCGTTCTTAATCTCGCCCTCTTGAAGCCAGTTAACGTCGAACGCATCAGAGAAGCGAAGCGGGTCAAAACCACGATATCCCGGCATATCAGGCGACAGGTTAGGCGGTTTCGAAAGGAACGGTAGCGCCGGCGACTGCTCCATTTTTAGAGTAGCATAACCCGAAGCATGTCTCGAACGGATAGCGCTGGTGCCAGTTGCCTTGGATACCGTATTGGCGCGCTGAACAAGTGGAGCGAAACTCACGAAAGCGTACATTATCCAACAGTTGCCTCTGTCGAGAAAGAACGATCACCACACAACCCGAGGGCTTCTAGCGAGAATCTCCGGGCATTTTACAGCGCACATGGAGCTGTTGCCGATCGCGGGAGCTCTGCGCCTGCACGCCGCTGCTGTGAGCTCGACGCTCGAAAAGCGATCGTGCCTTCCGAGGCGTCGCGCGTCACCACAAAATCGGTGGGTGCGCTCGAGCCAGCAACCTCGCCGATGCTGCAGCGGGCGCGCAGCTTCCGCCTATATCAGTCAAAGATAGAATAGACCCCGTGAGGAAAGTCGGACGTACTCGCACTATATTCTGGACCTATTTTGCACGACCATCAGCACAAGTCATTGCAGTTTGCACCGCGACCGCTTCCTTCTCCTTTCCCGTATCTCCGACTTTCAATACGCTGGCGTCTCCTAGCCCTCCAGCTTCGATGTCAGCAGGCGAAGGATGCCGATGGCTGCGTTCATTCGAACCCAGAGTTTCCTGCTTCCAGCCCTCATCGACGTACTTCATGCAAAGGCGGAAGTTGTGATCTGCGCTTCTTTTAGCATTTTCATCCTTTTTGTCCACAACTCCGGTGCACCCTTCGCAGCGAGGACACTTGCCCGTTGTCCGGTGCCGCCATACGTCCATCGCACGTCTTGCTCCGAGTGCCGCCCTGTGGCGCATGCCTGCTTGCAGTGTCGCTCGGTACACGCCCTCGACGGGTGCAGAGCGCTCCGCTCCATGCGCTCTTCAGTTTCTGTGCCCAGCGCCATACCCTGCGATCACAGGCTCGGGCTGGGCGATCCCCGCGGCAAGCACCCTCACTGCTGGGCGCGTAAACGCTCGCTGCTCGATTCGAGTACTCGGAATCCGCTCCCTCGCACGCTCTTCGTTTTTCGCGTACGCTTCCCATCGAAGCTGCCGACGAGCATCACGCGACTCGAGGTGCCGTGCCAGCTCATGAGTATTGTGCGCGCAGGTTCCATCCACTTGCGACGATGCGGGTCAGCCATCTGCGACTCCCTTCGTCTCCGGTCGCTCGCTCGCTCGCTTGCGTGTTCTTCTATCCCCATACTCGTTCGCTTCCGCTTCAGCGAAGATGGCAGGCGCGGGAGGAGAAGTCACGACTGTGGGCGTAACTCGGACGTTTCCGATCCCGTGCCCCGGGACGGGGTGTCGGTTTCCACATGGGCGTCGGGCTTCGCCTCGGGTCTCACGGAGGCGCTGGTGCAACGCTTCGCTCTCCTTGGGCTCCTGCCGTTGCTGAGTGCACTGGATTGCAGGTTCACGAGGCCACGCATCTGTACAGCTTGCTGCTCATCGTCGCCGTGTTTCCTGTTCTGAGCAGGGGTGCGTTGGAGCTCTGATGGGGCCTTGAGGCATGTAGGGCGCTCACGACTGATAGCGGTGGATGCTGCCAGGCCATCGGTCTCGAACGAGGACACCACGCCTCCTCGACTTTATGTGAGCGTTCTGTTTCTATCTGTTCCCTGCCTGTCGCATCTCTCTTTAGCGTCGTTCGCTTTTCGTTCCCCCAGCGGTTCATGAGTGTCTCCGAAGTTTCGGGCGAAATTTGCGTAGTACGCTTCATGTACTCTATGCTGTCGATGGATACCTCCTCTTCTTCGATGTGCTCCTTGTTCTAACGCGGCCTCAAAACCTTTTTCTTGATCGCGGGACACCTACTTAGCTGGAACATTGTATGCAAAATCGCTCATGTTTGTTAATACAGAGACCCCGGAGGCACATTCACATGCACGTTCGGGCCCACATTCTCATTCGAAAAAACTAACATACAAGTAAGTTCCACAATGCCAAATCTGGCGTGGTTTATGGCGGTACAACTATTTTCTGCTATTCATAGGCTTGGGATCACGAAAAAGTTTCTCGTCGCTCAGACCATGTGAGTTGAGAAATGTCACTAGAAGTCGCACACGTTTTTCGATTTTTGTAGGCTCTGCCACAACTGAAGTATCCACAGATCGTTCCGCAGTAGGACACGTGTTTCGTAGCACTTGGCGGAGAGGAGAAAGAGCTTTTCTTCCATAAAAGGAGCAAAGTTCAATCAGAAGATGGCCGTAAAACTCGTTCGTCTTCTTTTCATTCAGATAACACTGGAGAATAGCTTCTAAAGCCTGATACAGCGAAGCGCTTCGTGAACTACGGCTTAGTAACTTGTAAATTCTTGAAGCGGCTTCTATGAAATTCACAGAGGAGGCCAAAATCTCAACAACTGATCTGCCAGTCGCGCTCCAGATACGATTCCTATCCAGTAAAGAAGAGATTCGATCCTTGGATTCCAAGAGCTCAGTAGCTCCTGACGTACCCTTCGACGAAGCCCTTCTGGTGAGGCTAGAATTCTCCCAAAGGATCCCGCCATCAGTTACTAGGCTCTCCTTGCTCGCATCATCACAAACTTCGGGGCGTTTTGAAATAGTCGCGTTTGCTCTAATGCGTTTTTCGTAAACGAAAGATGATCCTAGTTTGGCATGAACCCACAGTAAAGCTTCGGGCACAGGTTCCAGAGCGCTCTGAGCGCTCAGCTCTTGTGATCGACTTTCGCGTACGACGTCCGCAATAACTGTTTCTATCATGTAAACTGTGCAGCCTTCATGAAACTCTCTGAAGTGGCTGCTTCTTTCGCATCCACACGAGGTAGTCTCATGCATGTTCCTACAGATACTTCTTAGTTGAGCCTCGAATGCCGCAAACTTTTCGGGAAAAGAATTACGAAGATGCAAACCACAGAGCTTCGTGACATGAAGCATACCAACGAGACCGACTGCGTTTCCGCTGTTGAGCACGGATGACTTGGCAAGTTCAAATACGACTTCCCATTCAATCATTCCGCCCAGAAACAGATGGCATAGCGGCGTTAAAGCATCAAGCAAATTTTGCAAGTCTAATCTTCCGGATGCTCCAACATTTTGGAGCCTCTCTGTGACTTTCACGAAAAAGCAGTTGACGAAACTAGCGTCGACGGTGCAGTGAAGATAAATCAGAACAGCACACAAAGCTGCACAGTTAAATGTTGATACGCCTTCATGCTGCCCTTTTGGGTTTTCCATAGCAACCGAATTTTCAAACGTGCGCCCCATGCGAGCAGAACAAAGAACTGTACAAAATATGTCTCTCAAATGGACGAACCCAAGGGGGTCATGACGAATCTCAGAAAAATACTTGTAAAGTTTGCTGCAAGTGAGGTCCAGATTCGTGTCCGAAACTCGGTTAAGAATGCTGCTCAGTTGCGAAACGAGACTATCAATCTCATTTTGGGTCCAGGTTTTTCCCTTTTCCCGCGCACTCGACAGCTTGGTAGCCGTCCCCTCTTGTGGGGCCACATCTTCGTCAACTGCATCTGCGGAAAGACTGGTCTCAGCACCAGACTTCATCGACTTAACCTTCTGGTTGTTGCTTTTTAAAAGCGGTCCTATGATCACGCCCAGAGAGTCTACGTCGTTTGAAAGAAACTCCGCAGCCTCCCACGTCTTCAAATCAGTTTGAGGAAAGGCGTACGGGCTCCCACGGCTCTTTCTCTTTCTTGAAAACTTCCGATCGAAGCCTTCAATCTTTCTCTTCAATCTGCTTTGCAGGCTCAGCTCCTCGTCCATGGTCAGCTAAACCCGTCTCCAGTAAAGCAAGGGAAACCAGCTGTGCACGCACGCCTTTTATCGAGGGACTGCCGTTTTCGAAATCGCGTTGTATGGATCGCTAACTGCGCCCATGCAGGAGTGATTTGGAACTGGTCCCACGTAATTTACTCGGTCGAACACTCTAGTCTTTCAGCCTCTTCCGTCCGTCATTAACTTCAGCCTTTGCGAGCAGTTTCTGCGTATGTTTCCTTTCCTTTTCCCGTACCTCCGGCTTTAAGTGTGCCGGTACCTCACTTCCATCCAGCTCCGTTCGAAGCAGTCGAAGGATGGTAATAGTGGCCTTAGGGTCCCGAGTTCATTGCCTACGGTTGCTTTCTACGCATTTCATGCACAGACGGTAGTTGCGGCCTGCGCGTCACTTCCCATTTTTATTTTCTATGCATACAGCCTACGTGTGCCCTTCGCTGCGGTGAGACTCGGCCCGGTTCAGTTGTTCACATATTTCTACAATGTCCCGTCCTCCGCGGGCACCCCTGTGGCTCGAGGTAGCTTGCTATATCGCTCAGTATATGCCTTTGACCCGTACAGAGGTCTTGTATCGATGCCCTCCTCGGTTTTTCGCGCGCGGTGCCGTATCCTACGATCATGGGCTTCTTCTGGACGGTTTTCTCAGCGAACATGCTGAAGGCTGCATGCACGTGCGAACCTTGTTCCATTTGATAAAAGATTTCTTGTATGCGTGAATGCCCTTGATGGTGCACGCACCGGTAGGTTAATCCCGCATGGAGAAGTCTAGAAATTCCGATCCGAGTGCGCTTCCTCTGTGGAGAGCGGTGACGCAGACGCCACAGGGAGCGATCGTTGTCATGACTGAAGACGGAGTCCAAAAACATTCTCCAAGCGAACAGACGACTCAAGAGCCACTCGGAGCGCATCCCTAGAAGGTACCATGCTCCTGCAGAGTCTTATTTAATCGACGGCCGCTAAAAGAGGTAGACCAGTTCGTCGAACAAAATCGACTGTTGAACTTGGCAAGTTAGGTCAACTTTCTGAACGACTTTGTGAACATGTCGTTCATGGACGACGTAGAGCCTATTTTCTCGTCAATTCATAGGCACGAATTACCGCGACAATGAGTTGCCTTGAAGCAGAGAGATCCGCAACATGAAGAACGCGGGATATGAAAATGTTACAAGAAAAGAAAGGAAAATACCATGGGTGTGGCAGTATTAATTGGAAACGGTGCCGGCCATTGTACGAACGCTCGTTCCACGGCACCGCGAATCATCCTGATTCCGGTGATGCGTTTAACTCCGGCAGCGAAACGTCGATGTAAACTTTCCGAAAATACGACCAAGCACCCTGAACTAAGAATGAAACAGTCAAGCCTTATTGCGACACCTGAGAGAGTCGAGGCTGAACGACTGAAAACCTGGGGGAAGATCATAGCACAAGTATAGAGCAAACCATTCAGTGGTGCACTTAATGCTTGCGCATATGGTTACTGTGCACGGGATAATAGTATGGAGAGATCTCTTCTATACATCATCAATATGCTGTGTGGGAGGAAGGAATTCATATTCCTACCGCGTAAAAACTCGTGCATTTCTATTCGCGTTCGGACAGTAACGTCTTCTAGTCACTGTCTGCGTCACCTTCGAAGACAAAAAAGCTTTGCTCGCAAAACTGACATTTTTCCGGAATATTTTTACAACGCCCGCAAATAATCGCTAATCCTACTCTATAACCGAATTGTTTAAATAACGGGTACCGGGAAAGATCTGGTTGTTCTACAAATTGTGCACTGAACGTTCTGCGCGTGATGCATTTTACTTCTATAGAAAATTGAATTTTCAACACCGAAACCGCTTATTGCGCGCAACCTAAATCGGCGCAGCGGATTGAGTTTTGATTTACTGCTTGGAAGCTAACTGTTCTATGCTGAATATTCTCTGCGATACGGCAATTCTTTGATCACTTAGTAGACGTCGTTCTACTTTTAACATATTCTAACTCTTTTGGGGTTGGCGTGTTCAATTTCGCCTGGCCCGTTCTAGCTGGGGCTGTCTAAAAAGACCAGTTGTCTCTTGTCGTGCGTTCCATTGCTGCCCGAATGCCATTTCATATTTATTGGTTCAAACCCAAAAAAACTGTCTGACTCTGCTCCGTTGTATCAAGCGAGCCACTTCAATGGGTCAGAGGTTGTTGAGAACGTCGTATTCTTTCAACCATTAACACAGTTTCAGAAGACGACCGAAGGTTTGCTGGCTGGGACAAGATTTTGCGAAAATTTGCAGTGCAGCAAATCGGGGATCGATTATTCTTAACAAGTAGAAATGAGATCAAGCTCGAAGAATCAATGAAAATGTGTTTATTCTGCCGTAGGTCGCTCGTTTTCATCCTTCTGTGCACCCATTATTGTTGGATGTTGTTGCGCTTGAGATGAAGACCCTTTCATAGCTCTCCTAGAATAGAAGTTCATTAGAAATGAAAACTGCACGATTCAGAAATAAGCTACAGATTCAGGAGTATCTGTTTTGATTCATTCTATTCTCTTCAATTTTTGCTGCCCAAAAAATGCATGTCCAGAGCCCCGACGATTCTAGCTAAGCCCTATCTTTCCAGTTTTGCGAACCAGAGTAGTTTTCGACACTAGACATCAAATATTCGGCGTAGAGCGAGGCCGTTTATGATTTTGTAGCAGAAGAGAGCAAAGCATTCAATTCACGCGTGGTATCTCAGATCAAATGCAGAGTCTCAATCATGACCGTGCCATTTCCATGGCTTCATTTTAGTGGTGTATCTTCAGGATGTTTTCTGCAGCCGCTGACCGCAGGAAACCACAGTTTCATCGTACACAGACGCTAATTCACCTTGATGAGAGGCTATGGCAGGCATATTGCGATGCAGGCGGATGCTGCGACCACAGCACTTCTTTGTACTTCAGTGTCAGCTTTAAGTGCACCACTGAATGGTTTGCTCTATACTTGTGCTATGATCTTCCCCCAGGTTTTCAGTCGTTCAGCCTCGACTCTCTCAGGTGTCGCAATAAGGCTTGACTGTTTCATTCTTAGTTCAGGGTGCTTGGTCGTATTTTCGGAAAGTTTACATCGACGTTTCGCTGCCGGAGTTAAACGCATCACCGGAATCAGGATGATTCGCGGTGCCGTGGAACGAGCGTTCGTACAATGGCCGGCACCGTTTCCAATTAATACTGCCACACCCATGGTATTTTCCTTTCTTTTCTTGTAACATTTTCATATCCCGCGTTCTTCATGTTGCGGATCTCTCTGCTTCAAGGCAACTCATTGTCGCGGTAATTCGTGCCTATGAATTGACGAGAAAATAGGCTCTACGTCGTCCATGAACGACATGTTCACAAAGTCGTTCAGAAAGTTGACCTAACTTGCCAAGTTCAACAGTCGATTTTGTTCGACGAACTGGTCTACCTCTTTTAGCGGCCGTCGATTAAATAAGACTCTGCAGGAGCATGGTACCTTCTAGGGATGCGCTCCGAGTGGCTCTTGAGTCGTCTGTTCGCTTGGAGAATGTTTTTGGACTCCGTCTTCAGTCATGACAACGATCGCTCCCTGTGGCGTCTGCGTCACCGCTCTCCACAGAGGAAGCGCACTCGGATCGGAATTTCTAGACTTCTCCATGCGGGATTAACCTACCGGTGCGTGCACCATCAAGGGCATTCACGCATACAAGAAATCTTTTATCAAATGGAACAAGGTTCGCACGTGCATGCAGCCTTCAGCATTTTCGCTGAGAAAACCGTCCAGAAGAAGCCCATGATCGTAGGATACGGCACCGCGCGCGAAAAACCGAGGAGGGCATCGATACAAGACCTCTGTACGGGTCAAAGGCATATACTGAGCGATATAGCAAGCTACCTCGAGCCACAGGGGTGCCCGCGGAGGACGGGACATTGTAGAAATATGTGAACAACTGAACCGGGCCGAGTCTCACCGCAGCGAAGGGCACACGTAGGCTGTATGCATAGAAAATAAAAATGGGAAGTGACGCGCAGGCCGCAACTACCGTCTGTGCATGAAATGCGTAGAAAGCAACCGTAGGCAATGAACTCGGGACCCTAAGGCCACTATTACCATCCTTCGACTGCTTCGAACGGAGCTGGATGGAAGTGAGGTACCGGCACACTTAAAGCCGGAGGTACGGGAAAAGGAAAGGAAACATACGCAGAAACTGCTCGCAAAGGCTGAAGTTAATGACGGACGGAAGAGGCTGAAAGACTAGAGTGTTCGACCGAGTAAATTACGTGGGACCAGTTCCAAATCACTCCTGCATGAGCGCATTCCATACAATGATCACCTCTGGCAAGCTCGAATCGCCCGAGAAACCTTGAAAGCATTCTATACTTTTTCAGAATTGGAGGGAAAATTGAAAGCTTTGCCTCAAAACGATTGATAACAAAAAAGGCTGCCTAACCCGAAACCCCGAACTCATACGTCCGTACGCTTGACTTAAAAACTCGTGCATGAAAACTATTCGAGATTGCCGTATACCAAAAAGTAGATCGATTCATCACATAAGTGCATATCTGCACCCTTTCGCTAATCTGAAACTTGTTCGTCTGTGGGTTCCAGGTCGCGTGAATAACTCTGCTTGAAGATACAAATCATGATAACGTGTGAAGTCTATGAATTACCACTGGATTGATGAAAAATTTCTCAGCATATGCGCATCACCTACTGTTTAAAAAGCTCTTGAGAATTTTTACAGAACATGCTCACAATTTCGAAATGCGCGGTTACTTGGTAAGCGACTCTCGTCTAGGCTGTACTGAACTCGGGGAGTATCTGATAATGAGATGCAGAAATATTGCAAGTATCTAGGCTCTCGAAAGCTTCTCATACCTTGCTAAGGATCACTGCCTGAAGCATGGCTGATCCTGGGAACATCGCTGTGGAAAATTCAGTTCCTCTAAATTAAGCGTTCTGTAAGTTTGTAGCCAGAATATGGTATTTGTTAGGGTACTAGCCAAACCTATTACCTTTCGCTATCTTTCCTTGATTTTAATTTTATACGGAAGTCTTTCTGCTTCTATTGTTGCTGAGAAAAATTGCGTAGTCTTGGCGGCAAATGTTTTCAACAACGTAGGAACGGTAGACCTGTTTCACACGCTCCTCTCTGACTTAGAGGGAATGCTACAAGCCGCTGGGTTTTCCACAGGCCTGTGCATCTACGAAGACAACTCGAGGGATGGTACCGACGTTCGAGTTTCCCAGTGGAATCAGTCCCGGCGAGGAACACCGTTCACGAGGATCCTTGCAGACAAGACACCCCCCACGGCAACGGAACGCGTGTCGAGAATAGCAGTTGTTCGCAGCCGTTTGCTGAATCTTATCCATGAGGTTCTGGCGGAAATGCAAAATTGTTCTGGACGGTATATATTATTTTTTAACGATGTTGTCTTCGAACCATCGGATGTTCATAAGATGGTGCTAGACGGAATCCGGCAGAACTTTGACATGCTCTGCGCAGTGGACGTCTATCGAGGGTTTTATGACCGTTGGGTTACTCGGGATGCCTCTGGATTGATCCCATCGCGGTGGGCATCTGTCTTCTTCACCGGGAAAACTGGTTCCAGAATACGCAATAAAGATGCAACTGAGTGGCGGACAGATTTTTGGCCTTCGAGAGCCTGCTGGAATGGAGCTGTTTTGGTTAACGCAGAAAGTGCACCGCGCAGTTTCCGCAGTGCGAGGAATGACGAATGCTATGCTTCAGAATGCAAGCTTTTTGTTGACGATCTCTTGAAGGAACGTGGCGGCCAAGCGCGTGTTGCGGTGAGACTCGATACGCTTGTGGCGTACGACGTTATCCATCTCTTACTACATAAGTTTGTTATCAGGACATATGCCTCCCATATTGCTGCTTTTCAAAGCCTCGGAGAACTCATTGTGAAAGCGAAGCATCGCTATCAGGCGGAGAGGGTTCTCCAATCAGACCCCTGTCCGAAATTACCAATGCTTTGTTGTTGATTGCTACGGAAATGTTTTGAACTGTTTCACGAATCATTGTTATTTATTTTCAAAAGTAACTCATGAAACTCTCGCAAAGAATTGAAGCGCATGTGGCCATCCTCCTGTAAGGCGCTTAGCCGTTTAAAAACCATTAATATGGCCCACGCAGATCGTCTTAGACCTATATTAATTTCAGATGGAGGAGATCCTCGCACACGGACGTACTCGCACTATATTCTGGACCTATTTTGCACGACCATCAGCACAAGTCATTGCAGTTTGCACCGCGACCGCTTCCTTCTCCTTTCCCGTATCTCCGACTTTCAATACGCTGGCGTCTCCTAGCCCTCCAGCTTCGATGTCAGCAGGCGAAGGATGCCGATGGCTGCGTTCATTCGAACCCAGAGTTTCCTGCTTCCAGCCCTCATCGACGTACTTCATGCAAAGGCGGAAGTTGTGATCTGCGCTTCTTTTAGCATTTTCATCCTTTTTGTCCACAACTCCGGTGCACCCTTCGCAGCGAGGACACTTGCCCGTTGTCCGGTGCCGCCATACGTCCATCGCACGTCTTGCTCCGAGTGCCGCCCTGTGGCGCATGCCTGCTTGCAGTGTCGCTCGGTACACGCCCTCGACGGGTGCAGAGCGCTCCGCTTCATGCGCTCTTCAGTTTCTGTGCCCAGCGCCATACCCTGCGATCACAGGCTCGGGCTGGGCGATCCCCGCGGCAAGCACCCTCACTGCTGGGCGCGTAAACGCTCGCTGCTCGATTCGAGTACTCGGAATCCGCTCCCTCGCACGCTCTTCGTTTTTCGCGTACGCTTCCCATCGAAGCTGCCGACGAGCATCACGCGACTCGAGGTGCCGTGCCAGCTCATGAGTATTGTGCGCGCAGGTTCCATCCACTTGCGACGATGCGGGTCAGCCATCTGCGACTCCCTTCGTCTCCGGTCGCTCGCTCGCTCGCTTGCGTGTTCTTCTATCCCCATACTCGTTCGCTTCCGCTTCAGCGAAGATGGCAGGCGCGGGAGGAGAAGTCACGACTGTGGGCGTAACTCGGACGTTTCCGATCCCGTGCCCCGGGACGGGGTGTCGGTTTCCACATGGGCGTCGGACTTCGCCTCGGGTCTCACGGAGGCGCTGGTGCAACGCTTCGCTCTCCTTGGGCTCCTGCCGTTGCTGAGTGCACTGGATTGCAGGTTCACGAGGCCACGCATCTGTACAGCTTGCTGCTCATCGTCGCCGTGTTTCCTGTTCTGAGCAGGGGTGCGTTGGAGCTCTGATGGGGCCTTGAGGCATGTAGGGCGCTCACGACTGATAGCGGTGGATGCTGCCAGGCCATCGGTCTCGAACGAGGACACCACGCCTCCTCGACTTTATGTGAGCGTTCTGTTTCTATCTGTTCCCTGCCTGTCGCATCTCTCTTTAGCGTCGTTCGCTTTTCGTTCCCCCAGCGGTTCATGAGTGTCTCCGAAGTTTCGGGCGAAATTTGGGTAGTACGCTTCATGTACTCTATGCTGTCGATGGATACCTCCTCTTCTTCGATGTGCTCCTTGGCCTCCATAGGACGTTTCCATGCCCTAATCCCTCGTGCGTGGGCGCCCACTTCGCAGCGAGGCGAAAAAGCCGCGAACCGGGGCGCGCGTACGAGCGACCTATAAATGCGTTTACAGCAAGGCGAAAATCCATTCCATTCAGGGGCTCTGGAACAGTTCCCGAGGTGCAGAGGCTGTTTCACTCGCTCGGGTAGGCACTCGCAGGCTGCAGGTCTATAGTCTCCTCGACATGTTCGTCTTCCAGGATACTCAACGGAGGCTCACGCGCTCTGTATATCCGCCCAGCATATTCAAGTCGGCGAAGCGCCCGTCATGAAGAGCTCGTCCATGCCGTCCAGGCTGGTATCTGAGTCGTCATCCGCACGTATCCACGTCATCGAATCCTTCACGCGCCATGGGAATGAATGCTGGCATGATCCAGGGTCGCGCGGCGTAGTTTTCCGCCCATATACACCTTTGAGTTATCCAGGCTGATTTGGGTCGCGAAGCGAATGCTGGCCTCGAAATGCGCAACGTCGTTCGGCTATGGAGCCAAAGTGCCCGCGACGTCGATGAAAGCACAGTGCAGGTGAGGTGTGTCCCGACTACGCTTCGAGACAGTGACGGCATGAAAGGCCATCGATGCCAACGGTGCATCTACGAAGTTGTTCGGTTTCTCAGGGACCCCGATGCACTGGACGTACACGGTCCTAGGCAGGAGGTAAGCGCGCCACTGACGCATGCTGCAAAGAAGCGCATGTTTGCGGACGCGGAATCTGATATCCGGCGGGTGCGGGTGCATTTCGAAGTATCCCTTGCCGACAGTGGTGCCGTAGAATACCTCATACAAACAGCGAAGGAGGGAGTTTCCGAGATCGTATCCCGTGAGATGTAGCGCACTGCTTATTTGGGATGTGGTTTCGTTGATGGTTGGAAAGCGAGAATATTTTGTGTTTCAAACGGAATCGATTATATGAGGTGAGGATTTGAACATACTTTCGGTATGAGCTCTTGAAGAAGTATTCGCACGAAAACTTCCAACTTTTGCGTCGTCAACCGAGCGTAGCGGCCTGGTGCGCCCACGAGTAGCCTTGAAACATGGAGATCGGAAGCGTGCAGAATGCCTGACTTGAGCGTGCAACGCGTAACTAAAGGAAAAGAGTTCAGGCTTCCTTGTACGAATTGCATCATGATATCGGCTATTTTAGGCAACGGTATGTGAGGATATCTCGAATCACCTTGATGCTGGTGATGTAACGAATCCCTTCGGTGCAAAGTCGAGGGAGCCACTTTGAAGAGTCGACCGAGAATCCTAGAACGATGCATGAGTCCTGAGGCCCTCATTGCTGGACTATGAATACTCGGGTCCTGCATCTGAAAATGAGTTCGGGTGAAAAATCGAAATCGAGGAACACAGGCAGCAGCTCCGTGTTCTACTTCACTCCGACATGAGTCCTGAGCGAGCCCAATAGGCGCAGGCTTCCATTAACTATGGAATCGGAGCTGTCGAGGTAACCATAAGCAAGAACTGCTAAACATTCCTGTATCTTCTCCATATTACGTGCGCAACCAAGTAGTAATGAGTCTCACAGGGTTTTGATTATGCTTATGTACCGCCTACGGTCGAAGCATTGTATTTTTATAGGGCATCCCGCTTCCTGGAGCTACTCGCTCAAAGGCTGGAAACTGTTCTGCAACCAGTTTTTATCCATGATACTGCTGGGGAATAGGTTTAAAAGCTTTCAGAGATTAAATTCCATTTTGTTAGAATGTTCGATGCCACTTTTGCGGGAACGTAAACCATATTTTTGTGGTTCTGAATTACTTTCCGCGTTCCGGATCCTCTGTTTGTTGGTGTACCTGCGCTTTGCTTGCATATAGAATTTCTGAAATCGCTGAAAGCCTGAAAGAGAATATTGAGCCCAAACACATAGAGGAAGACCCGCTGAACGAAGGCCGGTGCGCAGCATGAAGCGTCATAGCGTGCTCGAGCACCGAAGACAGGCGTCCCAGTGCAGAACAGTGGAAGCTGTTCTACGCCACTATTCTTTTGCATTTATCGTGGTATTCCGTATGTCCAGAGAAAAATCAGAAGGTTCGAAATGGGTTCGCGACGTACTCCACCACAATCGTAGGGGCGATATTGTCTTCGAAGCGGACAGGGCTCCTGAACATATTATACGGGCGAGAGAGAAAATTTGGTTTCGATCTAATGACCACATGCATCATATTTTTGGGCAGACTTGCCTCTCTTTAGTCTAGCATTTATGGCATCAAAAAATAGGCACCATCGGATCCCTTAAAATTGCACATCGCTGGTGCAGTCCAAGGAAGCAACCAATGGTAGTGTGCCGCGCAAGTTTTCAGGGTTTCAGCTGCTACTGGGTGATACTCCTCCAGGCCTGGCCCTAACAAAATGCTCAAGGAACTCAGCTACTTCATCGGGATCTCGAAGCCGCCAAGTCGCTGCCGTTTCGCGTGAATCATCCTCCGTGACGATGATGCCAACGCCGCCGAAGTTTGTGACGAATCTCAAGGCGTCCTCGTCGGTGACGTCATCTCCAACGTAAACAGGCACATACTCACGCTTCTCACGGCATTGAATCATCTCAAGAAGCCACTTCGCTGCGCGCCCCTTGTCCCATTTGACTGCCGGTCGTAGTTCAAACACACATTTTCCGCGGGTTTTTCGGAGACCGTACTTGTACGCAATAGAATCCACAATTTTCTCGATTGTTGGCACATGCGCTGGGTCGCAGCGTCGATAATGGATCGAAATCGAAAGAAGGTTATCCTCTATGCCGATGCCCCGAACAGCGTATCTCTCGGTAAGCAGCCGATCGACCTGACTCAGAAAACTTGGATCGAAAACAGGCGGTGACGACGGCTCTGGCTGAATCGGCAGCGGAGGCAGCAACATGCTCCCCGGTGCTCCACAGTCGTCAATGTTACTGCACGCCATCTGCTTTGGAGCCTGAACATTGGCGGTAACTGTTTCTTGTCCATCTACTCGCCGTTCGGGCTCAGGCAGATCCGATGCAGGCTCTTCGAGGCCGAAAATAGATCGCAAATGCCTCGCGGCTTCACGTAGAACCGGTATGACTTCTTCCGCTATATGATAGCGGAAATATGCATCCTCTGGATCTTTAGTCTGCATCGCATCTGCAAGGGCGCTGATCTCTCCATTCTCCAAAGAACTACCATTTGAAGGACGCGATTTTCGAAGAGGTACTTCTATGTCAAACCCATGCGAACCTGCATAGTATACGCCTTTGATTCCAACAAGTTGTATAATTTTCTCCCGCGATCTACCTGTGACGATGGCGACGGGATATAGTCGCGCTAGCTCTTGTAAAATGCCGCGAACGCGCTCGCCAAGCACAGCGCCATTTGGATCTTCTACGATGGCTGTTAACGTTCCATCATAGTCGAGGAGAAACGCGAACGTGTCTGCACGCTTTAAAAGACTATCCATATGGTCTAGAGCACTTGGTAGGGACTCAGCGCGTCTGCTGATTCGGGGACTTGGTCGACCTCTGTCGAAGCTCCGGGTAGGCTCCATGTTATTGCCAGAGGAACACACAAGCGCCTGTCCAGAATCAGCGAATACCTTTCGCAGAAGCACACAATTGAAGTCCAAACGTGTAGCGATTCGAAATTGGCACGAAAGCTCCACCAGTTTCACAGGGCGCGCACAGTTCAGACGGGTGCTAGACGTGTTCCCAAATGCAAACGACTCGATGCGAGGCAACCGTTCTCAACGATGCCCCAGGTGTTCCTCACCGCGGATAGAGAAACAGAAGCACAGTTTGGAGACGGCTGCTCAAAAAATTGCTCTCTGACTCCGAACACCACGACGGTACGGCAGCGGGCAATCGTAAAAACGTGCTTCCGGAACGTTCCCTTGCTTGCCGGAACTAAAATAGTGTAGCCCGCGGCACTGCGTACAGCGCAGCGTAGCGATCGTTGCGATGGCGAGCGGCTCGTCGATCTTGGTTGAAGCCGCGTTCCGCTCATTTTCGTGACTGCGACGGTGGCGGATGTTACGGCCATGGCCATAGCCATAGCCATAGTAAAAGAGCGCTCCACTCGTGCCAAATTACGCTGGAACACTAAAGTGCTTCCAGTTTTCCTGGGTCTCGAATTTTAGGCCCGCTTTTAAGTAAAAAGCGCCGAATTTCCGAGAACACCAACGAGATCTTACGGAGTCAAGCATAGCACTAGGAATCCCGGTCCTCGATTCAGCGTGGCTTCCTGGGTTTTGCCGCTGGAATTCGTTGTATCACTGGACTCAAGATGCTTCACGACGCCCTCGAACTAGGGATGATTAACTTCCTGTTATCATTATCCTGTATATGAGTGCAAGCCTCCACACGTTTCCTTACCATATGTCTAGCGTGCTCAAGTCATGCATTCTCCAGGATTTCCATATTTCTGGTTCGAGGGGATTCATAGGCGCAGCGATTTGAGCCACTGGATTAAAGACGAAAAATACTTGAAGCTATTCGTTAAAACCCTGTTCATCATTCCATGCCGAAAGTTCAGAAAATGTGGCATATGGAAAGATCAGTACCATTTGAAACACCTATCCGCCTCTCTTTGTGGTCATCCACGCAAAGTCATTCCATAGCAATACCTTAGCGCTCACGAGCTACGTTGCAAGAGGCTCCCGTCCCATTTGTTTACATGAAGAAGGGTCCTGGACTCGGGATTCACGCATCGAATTGATCGCTTGTCTTCGTATATTCATAACAGATTTGCACGATGGAGGCGTAGACAAATCGAAATTGTCGACTTTTCTCCAGCCTGGTTTTTCCTTCCGGTAGGGTTTCGTCATCGACAACATCGCGTTCCCAGTCCTCTGTCAGGTGGAGCAGCGTGCGCTTGGGCGTGCCGCAGACAGAATATTCTCCGAGGGCATCGCTCGGGGCAAGCCCGAGCTCCCAGGGTACGGCGCCATACGCGGAAGCGGACGGGAGTTTGGATCGCATTCTTCTCCGCCTCTCGGGGCCATGTTCGGCGACTTGAAGCAATTTTTCACGCCCCATATAGCGACGTCTGGAGGCGACGTTTTGGTTGACGTATGGGAAAATCTTTCCAGTGCAAAATTTTACCGTTGCGAAGTACGCATCGAGGATGTACATGAAGAATACGAAAATGCAGTTGAACTGTAGATCTCCTAACCAATTGTGGATGAAATCTGGCCAAAATAGCCGAAATGAGCGAAATCGGATCTTGAACGCCACCGCCAGCATCCTTCGACTGCTGAGAACGGAGCCGGAAGGGCAGGAGAGACCGGAGTTTTCAAATCCCGAGACCAGAAAGAGGAAGAGAAACAGTTGCACAAAATCCCATTTATGCTGGAGTTAATGATCGCACGAAGAGATCGACACTCAATAGTGCAAGGTAGAGTGAGATAGATGAATTCGTCGCATGTTAGTCTAGCATGGGTGTATAGGATGTTAATCCCCGCTACACAAGTGAGTTGAGATACTCGGCAAGGCGTCAGCTCTCCTAGATGCAGACGCGAGACGTGCATTTGGTTCGGAGAAAAACCAGCTTTGCACGAATCTTGCTTGGTACGCTTCAGGGAGTCGAGTTTTGATGCGAAGAGGCTAGGTTATAGTCAACTGACCTCAACAGATTATTGCATACATCTAGAAAGGAGATCGAATGCAAAAGGGTCCTAACATGTTGAAAAACCCCGCAAGCTAGCATGCATCAAGATCATTCGGAGATCCTCTCTAGGACGTCAGTGTGGGGCGGTGCAAACCGAATTGCTATTCCTGATTTTTCTTTGTTTCTGTGCATTTTCACGGACTGCAGTCGCGTTACCATCATGGGAAGGCTCTAAAATCCGCAAACGCGAAACAAGCGTGCTGGCATTAAATGCGAACCTGATCCACAGCTATTGCTCTCGCCCTTGTCCAGGATTCCACCATGGATTTCGCACTTAACATATGTGATGTCACCGCCTTTTCTATCTCCTACATCAAAAAGCGAACTATGTACATATTTTTCATAACATTGATCAATTATAAAAACTTTCGAAGTTAAAATCGGAATTATATGCATTTTGAATGCGTAGTTACGTGATGTTTTCGGGCAAGACTCTTCTAATGCAGAGATTGCCTTCCGGAATGGATGCATTTTTGTGAAGCTCGCGCATCAGTCCTCCCACTCGAAGGACTCGTAAACGGAGCCTTGGTTGTTTGGTCTCGTCTTTTTAGACGAGATCGCGCTGCGTAGACGATATTCGAACAGCATTTTGCGTGAAAGATCTGGTTATCGCAAGTACTTGTATCAGAAAGAGTAGAACGAGAGCTCCCTTGAGACTCAATTTTACCGACTGATACGTGTGGACTTCGCAATTCTTCCCTAAACTTTGGAATTTCATGAGGGAGTTAGCTAGATTGACGGGTTCTTGAAGAATAACGCCATCTGACCTCGATATGTGCCTGCTCCTACGGAAACTTTCCACGTGTTCGTTTGTTTTGCGCAGATGCCATCGCGGAAGTCCCTCACCGTGGACAAAATCTCTTCCATGGCCAACGTCTTTTCTAATATTTTCGATGATCCGTTACCAGAAATGGTACTTGGTGGAAGCGAACTGGTACCGTTCTGCTTTTCGCCGGCGAATACGGTCAGGCGATGGCAAATACTTCGTTGTGAAAGAGATTCCTCTGGTTCTAAATAGGATGACACGTCGTGTTATCGATCAGCACAGCCTGAATGAGCATACAGAACACCCGCAAAAGCAACTCCGAACGCGGTCTGAGGATTCAAGGCATGGTTATTCTGGGCGAAAACCGACAGCAGCGCAATTCACGATGTGAGGTACCAGTATTATTTTCTGAACAGAACAACTCGAATATTACTGGTGATGATCTGTACATATCCAAGCAACCTCCGAGTCCTGACTCGCGCTCCAGTGCGATGCATCAGTTGGCGACGAAGACACTGGCCTCGCAAGCTTGTACGAATCGTTGGATTCTCGCTTCCAATCGGGTCTCAGTTGCCACACGATGAAATTATCGAGCTTCTGTGGCAATCTCCGCAGAGCCCGGGCATTGATCGCGGAGGAATAGCAAGTGCTTTGTGATGAGGACGTTTTGGGCGGACCAGTAGCAGCGTTATCCACGCGAATTCTATTACGCTGAGCTATTCCGTTCAGCACAGTCTCATTTTCCCTCTCGTCTACAGTTTCGAAAGGGCTATCAGACATGGTTCCAAAGCCAGACGGCAATACACCTCGCACGTTGTGCTTCTCCCCGCCGTGGTTCACCAAGAAAAGCTGTTCGTTACTCTCTTCCAGTTTCAAAAGCGTATCAATGGAAACGTCGTTGCCCTCTTCGCAGATAGCAGCAGCCAACTCGGAAGCTAGCATGCTCCCGCTTTCGGCCTCCGAGTAAACTAGAAGGAGCATTTCGCTCATAAATTCGCTGCATTTGGCGCATTCAAGAAATTATAGCTGTGCAGCTCGCTTTTCTTGACAGCCAGTCTTGCCTCTGCAACAGTTTACAGATGCTGAGAATATGGTAGCACGATCCCGATATGGCGATTGTGTTCGATGCGACTTCGCCCAAACGCACTTTTCGGGATTTGTGTCGATGGGAACTATGCATGCAGCGCTCGTCTGGAAAAGCGCCGCGTTTGTGCCCTCGCACCCAAGGCAACACAGATGACGGACAAAGCTTTTAAAGTTTGACAGAACGTTTACATTGACTATTGATTCCAGGTTGTGGGATGGATATTGGCATTCGGGAAAGAGCCCACCATGCTGCGCCCTGCTTCGAAGTTGCATCACGCAGACTTATTCTTGGATATACTGGTCGTTTCATGAGCTCCATCGTTCGCCGAGCCTGCCCTAGTGGCCCACGGTAGCGCCCATAGCGTTTGCGCGGATGCATCGCCGAGACAGAGCGGCTTTGCCATACCGCTGGAGGCGTCGGCTTGAGGCGTGGATCATCCGACACGGGATCGGGATTCATCGTCATAACGTGAGCCTGCGAGCTGCGCAGAAAGACACACTGCCTGCCGGAGCGGAACGCGATATGCTACGAGTCCACCGCGACCAGGGCGACGCCCAGACACAGTATACCCGCTCCTAGTCCCAGAATAAAGTGCGTTGCGGACGAGCTGCTCGGGTCTCGCCGCATCACGACTCGATGCAGAGGCGTATGGAGCGTCTACCAGACAGACTCGTTAGGCTCTAGGGACATTCCGCATAGAAGGTAAACTTTCGAAAATACGGAAAACTTTGCTCCTTCCAACGTTTACAGTAGAGGGAGAAAGAAAATTTAAAAAGTTGCTATTTAATGGTTAGTTTCGCTTCCTTTATGGGCGACGCTTTGTCGTCCATCATGCAGGATCGGTATATCGCACCAAACTCGCTAGGGGTGCACGGAGGCTGGCAATGCTCCAAGCAAGGATCGAGATCTCTCACGTTGTTATTCCTAGTGATACGACATACATGACTCTAGGGAGTCTTGCTGGAACGCACCGACGATGTGCGGAATCTGTATATGGACTGAGTGCTCCTGCAAAGATCTCTCGTGACGCAGGATCGATGCGCTTAACCAGACGCGCCGAAAGTGTCGATGCTGACAGTTGCCGGGCCATGGAATCTACTCTCTATCGGCATTATTGCAGTTCCTAGTTCAAGAATATCCTCATAATCAGCACCGGTATCGCCCGAGTCCTGTTTTTGTGTTGATTGTGATCCTCGAATGATAGAGAACAGGGCAGCCTCGTAAATTCTCGTGGCAGTACTTGGAACGATAATGGGGACATACGCTCGTGCGGGGATCACTGTACTGTAAGCTGGAGCCGAGTCGACCATCGGCATTCACATCGCTGTGTGTTTCGAACACAGCAGTCGGCAAACACCACGTCAGTGCACTTATATAAGTATCATTGTAAACTGTTATGACCAGTCGGCAGCTTCCAGATTTCGCAATTCGAACGCTGTCGGCACTCGAGCTTCAATTGAGCAGATGAACACGGAAAGCAGTTTCAGAGTTCACGCACGATACAGTTTAGAATCTGCACTCACAGAGGTTTCAGATTTTTGTAAATGGTACATTATGTGGATATTTCAGGTACCATTGAGCGGATGCGCATTCGAAACTGACCGAAGCAAGGCCTACTTGCAGCGAATCGCTGAATCTGACACAAACGCACGCGGAGAACGAGCGTTGAAACTTAATCATCCGCAGATCACGTGCTTAACTGCCCCGAAAAAGCCCGAAACGTGGTCTGCTCCAGCAATGCCTGACCGAGAGTGTGCGGTCAGGCATATGCCAGGGTTCGATTAGAGCGAATCGATGGCATACAGAATTGTATCGAGTCGACGAGATTATATTCTATCCAGAAGAGCAAATAGGATTATAGACGCTTTAGCAACGAGTGATACCGGTCATCACCAGCTCCTATCTTTGAAATGAGGGTTCATTGTACTGAAAAAGAGGCAAAACTCTACCCGCGGCTCTCGAACTGCGAGTGAAACATTTTCCAACGCTGTAGTCCGACATCGAAATAGTTGACCAGCATCGCGTTGCCGGCACTGCGTTCGCTTGCTGTGCACAGCTTATGAGTAGACGACAGCTACCGGTTTTGCACAGAATTGGTAGGTCGATACTGCATGAGTGATCCGTTCCGAAACAAGCCAAATGCAAGAGCAACTGTTGAACAAGACGATTTGAAAGCAGTGAACGCTTTCTTCCGTACGCTTGGTCACGTCTCGTGCGATCCGAGTGCGATCGTTGACATCGGACATTCGTTACTCTCTCTTCTAGAGAGTTCCCTGACAGACGTGGATTTAGAAAGTGACCTTTTCGATCTCATAGGGAATCCAGAGGTTGCCGCGGAGCTCCTCAAACTACGTCCAAGCGTTCAAAGGCACAGTAGCTCCATAAGAGCAGAACTAACTGGCAGCTATGGACGAGAACGAACAAAAAAGACGAAGCAGCAGAGTCCGGAGAAGTTTCTACCCAGTTCGAGTCTGAGCGGCTTACAATATTCTTCTCCCTTCGAAGCAAAAGGCAGAACTCGCACGGATAGTGCCACCCATGGCGGGGCGTTCAGGCAACGAGCTCCTTTTTTATCCGGCTCGGTTACCTCAACCACGTCCGCGACTGCAGACTCCATCCAAGAGCTCTCGCCAGACTTTCCCGGCAGCGACAATCCTTTCGTTGCTAAGCCTACATATCCCGCACCGAAATCAAGCAACATCGAGTTCCGGTCAGAGGAGCTTTATAAGGAAATCTTTGTACCGCCACCGCAGCCTTGCTCTGCGGCCCAGCAGCGGTTGAAGGTTGCGGAATGTTTGGACCCTCCGTTGCGAAGAATTTTCGAGCACACAGAGCATTTCAACCCTGTACAGAGCACCGTGTTTTCTGCGGTCTACCACACGAGCGAGAACCTGCTCATCTGTGCGCCAACCGGAGCTGGCAAGACAAATATCGCACTTCTGGCTATTGGGAGGGAGATTCTCCACCGAATGCATGAGCGTGCATGGCGTTGCGTGTATATCGCACCCATGCGTGCTCTGGCCTCGGAGATCGTGCGGAAGCTTGCGAACTCGCTGAGATCGCTATCCGTCGAAGTGTTGGAATACACCGGGGATACGAATCCGACGCTTCCTAGCTTGAGACGAAGTCAGGTGTTAGTGACCACTCCCGAGAAATGGGACGTTCTCTCACGAAATAGTGCGCATTGGCAATCGGGGCTCGCTGCTTCGATTCGTTTGCTCGTCATTGATGAGATCCACCTTCTACACGATAATCGAGGTCCGGTACTCGAAGCTGTGGTTGCAAGAACGTTACGCTTAGCGGAAATTCAGCAAACGAGAGTTCGCATCGTCGGATTGTCAGCAACGCTGCCGAATTATGTGGATATCTCGGCGTTCCTCCGGGTGACTCCCGAAAAAGGGCTTTTTTACTTCGACGCTAGCTATCGACCTGTCCCCTTGGGTCAACGCCTCATTGGAATGCGAAAAAGGCGAGATCGAGGTTCCGAGTCTGCCCTTATCGAGGTCTGTTACGAAAAAGCTCGCTCATTCGTTACATGTGGGCACCAGGTCATCATCTTTGTCCACTCACGAAAGAAGACCAAACTCCTTGCCGAGGACCTGCTGAAGATGGCACGGGAGCGGAACGAGGCGTCTCTTTTCGTACAGTCAGAGCGCAGCCAAGATCAATTGCCTAGAACGATTCGATCAGCGGACCTGCGGATGCTCTTAATGCATGGCGTTGGTATTCACCACGCTGGTCTCGCTCGTTCAGATCGCATCGCGACCGAGACGCACTTCCGAGATGGGTCGATCACTTTGTTGGTAAGCACAGCCACTCTCGCATGGGGTGTCAATCTGCCTGCCAGGGCCGTCATCATCTACGGCACGAAAATCTATGATGCAAGTCGCGGGGGTTTTGTTGACATTGGCGTCCTCGATATTTTACAGATTTTCGGAAGAGCAGGTCGGCCGGAATACGACAGCTATGGAGAAGGAATCATACTGACGGAAGAGCAACGTCTTCCGTTTTTCTACCGACTCCTCAGCGTCCAGATGCCGATCGAGAGTCAGATGTTGAACGGGTTCGCTCTTGTTGATCATCTGAATGCCGAAATCGCCACGGGGCACGTCACGTCGGAGCACGAAGCCCTGGCGTGGCTGGCATGTCTGTACCTTTCGGTACGCCTTGCCAAGAATCCACTTCATTATGGTATTGCTTGGGAAGACGTGCAGCGAGATCCAACGCTCTCAGCTTTTAAATATCAGCTGCTGAAGAAATCGATTGATGCTCTTGTTATAGCGGGCCTCGTTTCTGTTGATAGCGAGCTGTCGCAGCTGGAACCAACAGACTGGGGCATCGTAGCGAGTAGATTTTACGTATCGCACCAAACGATGCAGATCTTCAAAGAGAATCTGAGACAGGATGCGTCTGCGAGTCAAGTGATTCGATGCATCAGCTCGTCATCAGAATTCGAAAATTTGGCCTTACGAGAAGAAGAAATCCCTGAACTGGAAACCCTCTATGCTGACGCCTGCCCATATGAATATCCGCGGCATGCAAACATCGCGATTAGATCCAAATTAGAGGATGAGTCGGAATATTTCTTGAATGGCTACACAGGCAAGGTATACATTCTTCTTCAGTCATATATATCACGAGCTACTGTGCATGATTTTGCATTGCTTTCAGACATGCGATATATCGAGGAGTCAGCAACAAGACTCTTCGGTGCAGTATTTGAGATTGCTCTCCGTCAAGGCTGGCCTGAACTTGCTCGAAACGCCAGTGAGTTGGCGCGAGCCGTTGAGCGACGTCTCTGGCCTTTTGAACATCCCCTTACACAAATGCAGAACGTTCAAGCCTCTGTTGTGGACCTTATCAAGAACAGGAATATACCGCATGATATTCAGATTTTGCGAAGACTATCGAACGAGCAATGGACGGATTTACTTGGTTCACCTTCTCACGTGCAAATCATGGCAGAAATAGTGTCGGAGTTTCCGTACTTAGAGGTATCTGGTCACCTGTCCGCGCTGGCGGAGCAGCTCTTTCGTATCCAAATAAGCTGCACACCGTGCTGGAAGTGGGGATCCCGGCTACACAGTACACGCACGAGCGAAGCTGCACGGTACACGCTCATGATCAACGATGTGGATGCGGGTGTAATGGTCTATTCTCAGAGTGTCACATTCTCGAAGAAGCAAGTTCAAGAGCGCGAGACATCATTTTTCGAAATTTATCTGAGCCATGGCGGTCAATGGCCACAAACATTTGAAGCGGTGTTCCTGTCGGAGGAGTGGCTCGGGGCAGACCAGAAATACGTCCTCCAAACAGATGCCCCTGGTCCGCCACAGAGCCAGCTAATACGGACGCCACTTCTGAACCTGCGCCTGCTGGGCCGGGAGGCACTCGGATTCGGCCTCGGTGCAGCGTGCGACACATTATTTCCAGGTCTGTCGCATCTCAACCCGATCCAGACGCAAATTTGCCACAGCGTTTTGCACTCGGACGCGAGCTTGTTCATTGGGATGCCACCGAACGCTGGGAAGGATCTTGTGCTGTTACTGTGCATCCTGCGTCAACTACGCGCCAAGCGCAGTGCCCACTGCCGAGTGCTCTACCTCAGTCTTGCTTCGAATAATATGGATGACATGGACGCATGTCTCCGCAGGTGGCTCTCCGTGTTGGATGTTCGCCTGCTTGACCTGAGCGATGGCTGCAAGGCAGGGATTCATGACCCAATGGTCGTCTGTTGCGTGACGCCCAAGCAGCTGCTCGACTGGCTCCTCGATAAAACAGAGTCAGCGATTGCGTTCTTTGACAGTGTGGATCTTGTGCTGGTCGACAACATGCACCACTTGAACGAGGACAATGGTGTACTCGCTGAGAGTGCTCTAGTTGCCGTGCGTGCCGTTACTCGAAGATCGACGCGACTGGTTGCCTTTGGGAATCTCATTGGTAACGCAATGGATCTGGCTTCATGGCTATCTACAAGTCGTATGTACAATTTCGCACTGGAGCATAGCCCTACGCCGATAGCGTTTAGTGTGATCCCTTTCCGAGAGCGGAACATCGCAGAACGTTTTGCGCGAATGGATCAAACCATTCGTAAGATCGTTCAACATCACAACGCGGAGCAAGTTATTGTGTTGGTGCAGTCGGATAGGGAATGCATCGAGACCGCTCGTCGGCTGCTGCACGTGGCTGCAGCTGACGGGACATCCCATAGAGCGGGCATAGAAGGACATCTACTAGATGTTTCTGTTCTGAATGCGGATATTGGCCAGTTCCTTGCTTTCGGGATCGGTGTTCTGGTAGGTGAAATGAATAACGTGCTTCAGAGCCTCATGCAAGATCTTTTCTCAGCCCGGAAACTTTCATGGTTAGCCGTAGCTTTTCCACTTCTAGATGAGCTGCGATGCAGTGCACCAGTTGTTGTTGTGAAAGGCACGGAGTGGCACCTTACAGCTGGCGGAACATGGAAGCATTTGAGTCCAAGCGTACTATTGAAAATCCTGCAACGCTGCGGTTGCCAGGAAATACAACGCGGTTCATTTTACCTCCTCGCTTCAGAATCGCGCAAGGCATACTTTCAGAAGCTACTAGAATGTGAAGTTCCCGTCGAGGCAGGCATTCGCACTGAGGAAGACCTTGGCTTGTTTCTGTGTCAGATGGTTGCAGGCGATCTTGTGTCGGAGCCAGAGGAGAGCTTTCAGCTGACGCGGGAAACGTATCTTTCGCGGCGTCTGGCCCAGAATCCGAGCTGGTATCCCTGGGTAACCGCGAACGACAATGAAATGCGAACAGTTGTGGAAACGTCTCTCTTGAGGATGGCCAGCATTGGTCTCCTTAGAATCCAAGCGAGTAGCTCAGCGGTGCTAACCCTCGAACCAACCACGCTTGGTAAGCTGGCTTGTTTCTTCTCTCTGAGACCAATTTTTTTCGAACGCATTAACAATTTACTGAGTGAGATGAATCAAGAAAAACGCGAGCAGAAAGCCCATGATTTGGCGCATGAAGACCATGCTTGTATGCCCGATTCTTGCAAAGTGGAGGATTCGATTCCAGACGCTGCAAAGGAAAGCGACAATGGCCCGGCGACCCAAGTGATTCCATATAATGTCGTCCGCTTCGAGACGGCCGCCAGAGAACTGCTCTACATAGGTCTGCGCGAGATAGCACCGCACTGCTCGAGCATGGAGCTGGCGGTGGCGGCGGCAGTCGTAGCGGCTGAAAAGGGTTTTGATCCAGCCGTGTCCCCCTTGCTAAGATTCGCTAAGGTAGAACGGAAGGAGCACAGGCGAAGCTCCCATGCGCGCCCAACCCCTCGAATTGCGCTGAACGTTAGCAGCGTTGAACGTGTTCAGCTGAACTGGATCCAGGTGAGTCTTTGCTTTCGGAAAATCGAGCTGGAAGGCATCAACAGGACTCAGCCCGAACGCATATACGCATCGGCACTACCTGCTTCCTGCCCGGTTACCAAATTGGTCTGCTTCGCATTTTCTGCTGTGACTGAAGAACTCTTGGGATATGGGATTTCGGAAGAAACTGTTCTCCACGTAGATCTTGAACTACGGCGACATATTCCCGCTGGTGGCAAACTCAAGCTGAAGCTTTTCTGTTTTCCGGTGGAGCTGACGCATGAAATAGGTGTGAGCTTGAGCGACGAGCAAATGAGCGCGTCGTCTTCCACCAGAAAGCAGTAAGGCTACCATAAACCGCGCAAGGCACCCTACGGTGAGATCATCTGTTGGTGCACCTGTGCATGACTGCTGGTCCACGTCGAGTTGAGACTCTGATTCCGCGTAATTACGAAGAATCTCTCGGGCTGACGACGAGCATGGAAAGCAAAGCGTTCAACTGCAGACGCTCCCAAACTCTGTGGATGCTCCCGGGTACATGCCAAGAGGTCACTCAGAAGTACTTGAGGTCGCAATTACTCTGCATACGAGACTCAAAGCCGACAATGGGAAGCAATCGCAAACTTGTCAGGGGACATGGCGATCATGAATGTAAAAGCACGCAGGTGCGGGAGAAAACTCTCGAGCGTGCCGAAATAATTTTCTAGCATGCAAGAGATCCGAAATGCGGTATCCCTCACCGCAGGCTGCAGCAGGTACCAGCATCAAGCCAAGGGCATTTGGCATCCCTAATGACTAATTTTCCTCGAGACGAATGCGTTGACGAAAACCCTGCGAATGCGAGTCATCTAGCGATTTGAACCGCATTCACTGCGCTGGTAAATGTGCGCATGCTCACTAGTCCCCACAGCGAAGTGCATTTTGTATACGGCTGCTATGGGCAAGTCTGCAATGACTCCGACTCCGGCCGAACGTCGCACTTTCAGACACTGGAACGCGCGCCAGCTTTCCGGTCATGTCCATGGCAATCTGCCGGAGAGTCCATGAAGCAATGAATATCCGGCGGAAACGAGGCATCTGGCCACTGATCATCGCCACCATGGAGCCACTGATCTCGTTTCTCCGCGATGAGCGCGAAATACTTCCGATCCTCATCGGGAACATGCAGAATCTCTGCGAGCTTTAACCAGACGAGTTCGTCTTGAGGCCGCAATGGGTTTCGTGAGCTCGTCGATAATCCAGGAATGTTGGCGCCGCTTGAAGTATTCGTGTCTATGGGTCCACGGTGCACTCCATCGAGCAACGTTGCTGCGACGTCGTCAGGGCTGCATACCTGCTCAACCTCGGAGTCCGACGACCACGAATCAATGACGGATGTCGACCCTTCGGAATCAGTGATGGTGGCGTCCTGGTCCGCCGAAGAAACGCTTAGAGCGAGCTGCGCAGCAGCGACAAACTCGACAGCCTCTACGGGCTGCGAGCGCTCCTCGGTACTCGTCTCCGGTTCCTCTATTCGAGTTGAGGCACTCGTTACACAGGTTAGTAAACCCTCAACTCTCGGTTCGAAATCATCGGAAGTTGCACCCTGAGCATATGAAGCTCTACCCTCTCGAAGGATGCTGAGCTCGCTAACCAGCCGGTTCCGCAACGTCACTGCGGACACATAATCTCCCTTTAAAGACTCTGACTCTTGCGCGACTTCAACGCTCCCCTTGACTGATTTTTGGAACAGAAGCAGCCTGCCAAGCGGGCGATAAATGGATCCCGAACCAAAGGATCCCATTTCTAGACAGCACACTGCTTCGGTCTGATGCTGATAGGAACCGAAAGAAACAAGTCGGTAATGGACTTCGATGTGGAGGCTGTTAACGCGCACGTTAGGGACGAGCGGCCGATCGGATGCTGTCGTTCGGTGCAAGGCACGCGGACGTCCGAAACTTGAACGTTAAAGCGAATATCGCTGAGCGTTTCGCTCTTGGAGGTTTCTGACTCGTTTCGAGCAGAGCACTGCACCTCTGTGGATCTTGTGATAGAATATGGGGAAATGACACTTGAGAAAAAAGAGTACGGTGCGCCTGGTTTCTGGCCTGGGTCGATGATAGGCAGGGTGCACGCGTTCGAAACGCCGGCCCCGCTGACGAGAGCACAGCTCGACCGGCTTCGCGACGAGTTCTTTGAGACCCGTACAGAAGGCCACCTGGAAATTTGGACTGCTATAAGGGCTGCTTCTCATGCACAAGAAGCGGGCGACGATGAGTTGGCATACGCAATTATCACGGCTGTTGGGATCCTGCCTGCGGAGGTGGGTCCTGCCGGTGAAGGGCTTGGCGAACGTATCCCCTTTGCTGAACAGCCTCTGGACCGTCTACTCGGGATGATATGCGGTTGTTGTTTTCCGGCTTTTACGCGTTACCGGACGTTGGAACGTGTATATGACCAGCGTGGTTTTCTGTACGAAACGCCGAAAGAGTGCATTGCGACACCGTCGAACGTGCTGCCAGATGAAAGCACTGAAGCCTCAGCACGCTAGAAAGCAAAATGGATGGCGGTCTCCTGCAAGGCAATATCGAGAGGCAGGTAGCCTGCTAAGTCGCGCGCCGTTTGCGCGGCGCGTTGCTTTCGCAGCGCATACGAGGCTCTTCACCGAGGCTATTTGTTAGTTGATCCGTCGCCTGCGAGCTTGCGCAGTTCTGAGGTTACGGGCGAAACGCCTCCGACAGCATGATGGATACGAAAAGATTTTGCAGACGCTACTTTGAGAGCGAGATTGTTGCTCATGGCTCTTAGCAGAAACCGTGAAAATGTTCCTTGGCGCCGTTCGTTGCACCGATGTCAGACGATAGTCTTTCAGTTGAATTTTGTTTCAACCTCAATGCAGTGTATAGCAGTAGATCGAAATTACTGTGCAATGTACCCTATAGATCGTGTACGATTTGTCTGTAGGATATATTCTTTATTAAACAGTGCAAGCAGATCTGCATTCCTCATTCAGCTCTATCATACAACGGTGTTCAGAATGTTGAGGAACACCGAAAGGAAGAGTTATATGCGCTCCGCGCCGAAAACCGATCTGCCCAGAGCGTGCCTCCGGTCAAATGTAGAAAACGATCCTTTGATTACCTTTTACGGAAGGCAAAATCAACGACAGTAACAGCTGCGGGTGTCTCTGTTGCTCTACAGCTTGTTTTTTGGTTCTGAAACCCCCGCGATACAGCCGCGAAAAAAGCGCCCTAGTTCATTCACGGCCAACTTGCACAGAAATCGCAATAACGGAATTCCTGGAACGTCGCGATCGATATGGAGCACATCTACGTCGGTTTGATTTTTCAGTCGATGAGACTGCCTTCGGAAGAAGCTGTCGGAGCGGTTATGTGTATTTTCGGAGCGGAGCGCCTGTTGTATGTACGATCGAACTCGAAGAGAATGACGACATCATCATTTGTTCTAGCCGCCGTGGATTCATTAGGCGGCCTCAGTTTCGCTCGTAGAGAAGGCTCGTCCAACAGCGACCACCGCCTGGAGTCATTGAAAGCATTTCCCCTGACGTCTGGCGAAATACTTCTACTGGACCACGTTGCATTCAACTATCCCCAATGCGTCCGAGCCTTTGGTAAATCTATCGAAGTACAGCTGCTTTTCGTTCCCTCTTTCTCTCCGGGGTTCAACACCATCGAAGGGGAGATTTCAATCGTGAAACGTAATAATCGCTCCACTGGACGAATCGGTGGAGCCTTCAGCACACGGTGACACGTCGGGACACATGTCGTCATGCTTCCGCGAGTCCTTCTCCCTCCGGGAAGGTCCTCACCAAAGGACATAAATAAGTGCATTCATTTTCTAAAATAAATTACCTAAAGAAAAAGCATGGATATGGAAGTTGAGGATCCTTGGGGGTCGTCATCGGTGGCTGCCGGTAAAAAACGAAGAAAGTCACTTTTTCCCGATCATTGAGCACAGAAGAGAAAGTGAAGAACAAAAAGAAGAGGGCAGATAGGCGAGAAGAGGTATTTGCAGGACAGGACGACGACGAGACCCTGGTGACACGGAGGGCACAATTTCTAGCAATCCTTGCAATGATGAGTTCAACCAGCGGCAACTCACGCAAGGAGTTTGTGAGCCGAGATTTCAATGTCGCCATCATTATCAGACGTTGTGTCGTGCTGAAGACGAGACCCGACGAGCTGCAGCGATCCTACTTCGCGAGGCAGCCTCTCAGGCTCTAAGTGTGCTGTGCAGAACTGAAGCCGAGAGCAGGTGGCCGGTCGAAAATGGCGGGGAGGCGTCTGTGAATGAGTATATATATACAGTTTTTGGCCGTGAGAAGTTTTTGCTTTACATGAAAATGTAAGATGAAATACTCGCTATGTTCCTATTTTGCGTTATTTTCGAACTGTTTGATTAAATGCACAGTCTCGACATTCGAATTGCACCAGTAAATGCTTACGGATTCATAGGCAATTTTGGGATCCTCCGTCTCCCTTCCGGAGGATGTTCTTTGACGCTTCGCAGCTGGAACTCTTGACGATCTCGGAATCGAGATGATTTGCGATGCACTCGAACAAGCAATCGTAAAATAGCTGATATGGTTATCCATTTCATACGTGCAAGCATATAGTCTTCTCCGTTCCGTATGTGCAGCAAGCTTACATCACGCATGTTTAAAGATTTTCTTGCTTCTATTTCAACGCAATTTGCTGGCGCAGCAATTTGCGTCGTTACATTGACGCAGAAAAATCATGATGTAGTTCCTTAACGACTTCTGCATTGGCTTACATAGAAAGTTTAATGAAACCATCACGAAATATAATCGCATCCGTTCGAACGAGAAATCCTCCTTTCATGGTGGCCATCGACGAGACGTCTTTCGATATTAGCGAAATACCTTTCACGGGAAATGTTTTCAGAGACGTCGGTGCTTTCTGTTTGCGCGGAAACTGATTTTGAGCTCGCGCTCCAGTCAGAGCAATGATCGATTTCAGTGGAGAGATTGTCAGTGCTTCACACAAATGGAACGTAGACAAATCGAAAAGTCTCGATATTCCCACCGATAATTTTTTCATCAAGGACAACGCACCGTTCGACAAATCGTCTATTATACGGAACAGCATGCACTTGCACATGCAGCCGAAGGAGTACTTGCTAGCGGATCGCCAAGCTCAAGCCGATGATCGAACGGAAGGAGATAGGGCTCGCTAACGGAAAAGGTCACTCATGCTAGCCGCTTGTACCCGTCCAAAACATGGAGTGAACAATGAAGCATGCGTTTATGCGCGTCATGGTGGCTCTCGGAGGAGGTTTGGTGGATACACACGTAAACCTGAATAAAGCCATGTGTACCCGTAGAGAATGTCGCCACAAGGCTGGATACATGGATGCTGAAAATGACACGAGATGTGCAGATCGCAGATACAATATGGCTGTGAAATGCATGAACAAGAGCCGGAAATTGCGAAATCAAGACAAACGCGCTGCCATCGACATCCTTCGATTGCTGACAACGGAGCTGGAGGGGTACGAGAGACCACGAGTTTTTATAGCCAGAGATAGTAAAGTGGAAATGGAACAGTCACCGGAAAGCCCTCAAAAGCTGGTTTTCATGAGAGTTGGTAGACGCTCAACCTTAAGAGTATACTCCCGAGATAGCTGGGTGGACCAGTTCCATTTTAGTCTGCCATCGGTGCGAGGCCGAGTCAGGTGCACTCAGATCTTACGAGTTTAAAGCTCCATCCAAAGAGGCAAATATCGGAAATGTTTCTGTTGTTTTCACTGTAAAACCAAGCTGAAAGCAGAAAATCTGATCATTCCAGACACGATTCAGCATTTGAGGAGACGTACGTGATACGTGACGTGAACACTGGGCCTCGGACGGCAGGTCTACCGTTGTTAAAAATCGCGGACGAGTATCCGTGGGTCAGTTGCCAGCAGCAGCTTTCCCAGGTAAATACTCAGATCCATGAACACGATGTGTTACAGCTGGAGATTCGCTCAGAGCAGCTATGGATCATGGTCGTTGAAACGCAGTACAACTCTGCCTTCTGTTGCGTTGTCCGCGACGGCCCACCCAGTAGTTTCTAGAGGATTTTAGAAACTTACATTTCTCTATGTTGGATGTCAATGGTACCGCACAAGGTCTCCTGGGTCCAGAGGCTGTCTTTTCAGGGTGTCTTGGATACGTTTGGGTGTGACTCCTTTGCGGGTAATGCCATGGGTGTCTTCCTGCGCAAAAGTCTCGAGAAATGCGCTGTACCACCTAGTCGTCCCACTGCAGCAGCTAGCGTCGATGCACCAAAGCGCTTCATGGTTCTGTATGTTGGCGCTCGATCCGGTGGAAGGCGATGTGCGGCGATGAATGTTTTTAGCTCGACAAGGGTACGCCTCTTGTCATTCCAGTATCCATTGGGTCTCCGATGAGCTTTCAGTCCGAGTTGCTCAGCTACCTTGGGAAATCCCCCGTGTTTGCGGATCGCACGGATGAGATCTGAGCGATGATGAGCCGCCAGCTGCCCAGCTGTAGGCATCGTGTCCTTTGCCTCGAGATGTTCGGCGATGAAGCTTTGTAGTTCCTTGGCGAGATTATCAAAGTCTTTCCAGTAGTTGTGTGGCATCATGCGTCCACGCCGCAGATCGACCGCAAAAGTCACATATAAACTTCTTGGTTGAGAGACGCACGCAGGTTTCAGGTTCAGCTTCGCTGCTACGGCCTGCCAACCGCCGTGCAGTCGAATAGGGTAAAGTAGATCTGGTCGGGGAAAGCTTGCGGATATAAACTGTTGCTCGCTAGGTAGCTGGTTCAAATTATCCCAACCGTTCAGGCGAAGAAACTCGCGGACTTCTTTCTCGAGGTTTGCAGCATCTTTCCAGTAACCCCGTGGTTTCCGTTTCCTCGTACCAGTCTCATTCTGCTCCCGTTGACTTTGAGGCGGTGTCAGTTCGCACTTGACCCCACACTTCAAGCGAGACGAAATCCTTGTGTGCGAGAGGTTCACGCTTGCTAACCACATGAGAGCTTAGTCGGTCGCTTGTGACGTGGGATAAAATCCCGTACGAAAACGACGACTGGAGCGAATGGCTCTCGAGCCGACGCCCTCAACCGTGCGGCAATGCCATTCGGTCGCGGTGATGCATCCACACGGGAGCTACTGGCGCTATCGCGGGCGATCACTGTCGGCACTCGGGGCACGATGGAATGTATGAAGCGACCAGTATATCCGAGAAGAAGTATGAGTTACGGAACTTGGAAGCAGGGAGTTTGATGGATGCTTCACTGCGCGCTGATATCAAGCACACTGTCGGGGAACGCATGCCTGTGTAGACGTTTTGCCCATTGTAAAAAACCTGTGCGAGGTTCCAAAGTCTACCATATGCGATGCCGCATTTATACTTCTTCCCAGCCTCGCTCGGTTGCGCTGGTGCGGCAGCAATTCTGCGTAGACATCGAGCACTAGTGTGCTATCTTTCCATCCTCACACGATCCGTGTGTGTGACCAAACTCCCAGGGATCCGCGGATGCTGCCGGGAATCTTGGTATGGATCGGGCGCTCTTAGGGGATTTCTTCTAAAACTTAGGATTTGTACATATGACCAGACCTGCTTGGATGCGCACCTATCGATGACAACTTTGTCGTGGATCGAGCGCTCCATTGCGGGCAGGTCACGTACAGGCCATTGAACGAATCGATCCAAGGCGTTTCATACAAAAATACGTTGAACTCGCCTGGATAGTTGCACAGTCGCCAAAATCATAACACAGAAATGCGCAGCCGCGAAGATTTTCTGGCGGTGTACAATCGGAGCAAGTCTGTCCATTATTGTAACGGCTGCGACTTCACGCGTACAGTTCATCCACATGGGTTCCAACCGTGTCGCGAGTCGCTGTCCTGGAGCGGAGCAGCAAAGCGGAACAGGAAATGCAACATGTACCGGCGAACAAGCAGTGCAGATTGCCTCGCGCAACACGATGATAGTGGTGAGGCTTTCGAGTCGTCCGGATTCGGAAAGGTGACGTCCCCCTCCCAGCAACTTCAGAGAATTTGCTCGCTGCTTGATCCAGCCGGCGATCATTTAGGAAAACGCGCATTCCGGATCCAGACCACTGGAAATATAGCAAAAGGGACTGAGTTCAAGCTCTTCCACCACAAGACCGGCGGTTCACTCGAGCATAATCAAGCTAGATATGCTATTCGACAGAGAGCTCCATCATTTTTAGGACTCAGGGAGACCAGCTGGAGGCTGCCTCTCTCTGGAAAAGCACCAGCACGCAGGACTGGTTCAAAAGCTACCCATGTCAAAATTCGCGTTATGAAACTGAGCTGAAAATCAGCTCATCTGAACGAAGGTTTCCACGCTCAATTGGCCCATTCAGCAAGCCGCTCTGAGCAACCAGCTAACATTAAAGTCAAAAGTTGTACCATTTTCGTTGTAAACGCACACACGCCGCGAAAGCGAGTTCGTCACATGCGCCATTCGAGTGCTCACACACCGCGTCTCCTCCAGAACTGCAGTTGGCCCCTTAGTGCAACTTCTTGTCGAAATCATCCAAAAGCTCCTGGTTTTGCTCGATTAAACTCTTTGCCGTTGTGTACGTTATATCCTCTGCTTGGATCTTCCTCAGATTGGAGCGCAAATAGCGAGCGCTCTCCAGCTTACGAAGTACATTCGGGTCCCGCTTCTGTAAAAGCTGATACCAGGCCTTTCGGGCACGATTTCGCCGCTGAATGCGCTCATTCTCTTTCCGCTGGCGATACCACCTTACAGCAGGAATGATCAGAAAAGCGAGCGCATAGGCCAAGAGCGGAGGGTACAACCACTTCAGAAACGGAAGCGGTACTGCTCTCAGCTGAGCCATATACTCCCCAAGCGTCACTGCACCGAGCAGATTTAGAACTCCAAGACCTGCTGCCCCCAGAATCTGGCCAGATGAGGCCTTGGAAAACACATATTCCTGCTCCTCGATGTAGCCCTTGTCGTAGTGGCTCTGCTCACTTGACGCTGAACCGGACGTGGAGCCACTTCCCGATACGGTATTCAGCAAATCAGGAAAAACGTACACAATATCGCCGTCGTCGGTTACTTCGGGTCTACCGCCGAACCTCTCAAGCACTGGCAGCATGAAAGATTCGTCAACATAAACAGCGCCTCGCGACTCGGGCGGTTCAGGGACATCGAGCAACGGTGCGATTTGCTCTGCGGTGACGGCACCGCCCAGCCGACGAATCGTTTCTCCGATCCTCCTCCAGCGGTAGGTTTCCAGATCGGCGTTCGGGTTCCCGTCGCCGAACAGGAAAGAGAAGATGCTTTCGAGAAATGACATGCCCCCTTCGCGCCTGCGTCCCGAATATCCATGATTTGCGTAGAAGATAAGGTCAAATGGACTGGGGCCCATCCAGACGTAGAGACTACCCCCACCGTAGCTGCGATTATAGCTCGAGCGGCGGTCATCCTCGCGACTTTGGACAGAGCTCGATATCGCAACAATACTGGTGTAGATAATGAAGATGGACGCAATGAGTAAAATGCCAAACGATATGCGCACGAGATAGTTCAGGAACGGTGAGATCTTTTCCCAACGATTGCGCAGCGCAAAAATGATACTCTCTTGAAGAAGCACACGGCGAACGTTGGACGGAAATGCGTATACGAGCTCGCCATCACGCGATACTTCTAGGTGCCCACCAGCGACGTTTGCAAGCGCGACAAGGCAGCGCTGTGCGGTCGGGAGGCCTAACCCAGTGCGAGCCGCCACGTCTGCGACGGTGACCCTGCCTCCTAGCGACTCCACAGCTCCGAGAACACGATCATCAACGGCGTTCAGACCGAAGCTTTTTGATTCTTCACTCTGTTCATAGACACAGCGCAAGGCATGAGCAGAAGCTGCTGCTCCTGCTGCCACCGGAAACGACACACTGCGCCGCTCCGGTCGTCGTACTCTGTTCAAGACGAGCTCCCCGGGTGCGCACAGCCTGCGTAAACCCCGTGCCACCGAAGCGGATTCTGTACACCGCCCCAGAACTGTTACGCATCTCGTGCACGTACGAACGGTAGTGCGATCGTGTCCACCGGGTACCAAACAAAGCCACATGGGCAGTTTACCCCTGGTGCTCACAGAAACCAGCTCGAAGTCGTCCAGGTACAACGATGTGAAGTGGCCGGATGTGGGCGTTGCCCCTGGTCGACCGGCCATGATCTGAAGCATCGCGCAAACGTCGCTGCCGCAACTAGCATCAAACATGCGTTATGAATGAGGCAACTGCTATCGTGCCGATACAGGAGAACTCGGACTTTACACTTTATAACCTTCCGTTCGGTGTTTTTCGAAAGAAAGGGGAAGCTTCACGTGAAGCGCGAGTTGCTGTCGCCGTCGGACGAAATGTGCTCGATCTATGTGCGCTTGCTGAGACGGACCTCTTCGAGGCTTGCAGTCCGGACACGCCGTTACGTGGCGCTGCGGCAGACGTTTTCGGACAGGAATCGTTGAATCGATTTATAAAACTTGGAGAGCAATGTTGTTCGGAGACCAGACGTCTCGTTCAGCGCGCACTCTCAAGGGACAGCGGTCTCTGTCCGCAGCTGGAGCGAGCGTTGGAGAACTCGCGCGCAGACGCTTTTCTCACCGCTCAAGACGTAGTAGACGTGCTACTGCCTGTAGAGATTGGTGATTACACGGATTTTTACGCGTCGAAAGAGCATGCATCCCACCTAGGCCAGATGATGCGCGGTCCTGGACATGAACTGACCCCGAATTATGTGCACTTACCGATTGGGTATCATGGACGAGCCTCTTCTGTAGTGGTTTCAGGAACGCCGATCACTCGGCCTTGTGGGCAAATCAAACCTGAGGGGTCGGATTGTCCTGTGTTTAAGCCAACGGAACGCCTCGACTTCGAACTAGAGCTTGGCGCTATCATCGGAAGGGATAGCATATTGGGCGAACGAATTCCCGTAGAGCATAGTCGACAGTACATCTTTGGATACGTGCTCGTTAATGATTGGAGTGCTCGCGATATTCAACGCTGGGAGTATCAGCCTCTTGGCCCGTTCAACTCGAAGAATTTTGCAACGACGATTTCACCCTGGGTCGTGACACGCGAGGCTCTGGAGCCATACCGCGTAGCGGCACCGCATCAGGATCCTCCTGTTTTGCAGTATCTGAATGAAGATGCGGGCCGAACGAACCTGGATCTGAATCTTAGCGTGATGCTGAATGGTATCACCATTAGCCAGTGCAATTTTCGGGGCATGTACTGGACCTTCGAACAAATGGTCGCGCACCACACCTCCACTGGCTGCAACTTGCGCTGCGGAGATCTCCTGGCGAGCGGCACAGTTTCTGGTGCAGAACCGAACACCTACGGCTCAATGATAGAACTGACCTGGGGTGGCAGACATCCGCTGAAACTGCCAAACGGAAAACAACGCACGTTCCTCGAAGACGGCGATGAAGTTGAGCTGCATGGGTATGCGGGAGCGGGCTCCCGCCGCGTCGGATTCGGACGCTGTCACGGATGCATCCTACCTGCCGTCGTGTGAAACCCTGCAGCATGATGTCAAGACTGAGGATACGGAGTAGCAGCTCGGCGCAGGCCAGGTATGCTGCTAGGCAGTGCGGCTATGGTGATGCACTCGAGTCTGACGAGATCTAGTTTGCATTTCAGCTGCGGAAGCCGTATGGTGCTCGAAAATGGTACTCAGGCGCTCTGGACTAGGCGGACTCGTAGCGGCCGATCTGGAGCTCTTTCGGGAATAAAGGGTCTTCGTTTCTAGCTCGCACGTCAGTTTCAGGTGGTCGTTGTCACACACTAAGCAGCGATAAGTATCCTCTCGTATCTGTGAGGGCGATCATGCTGAGTGCAAGGTGAAGATCTCCTTTGGCAAGCGTGGGGGAGCCCGGTATAAATGCATCCGGAGACGGCTCCGACTGGTGTTCACATCGGAAAGGATGCATGTGCCAGTCAGGGGCGAGTGTTGCCGTCTTCTCATCATAGCTCCACATAACCGCAGTCGGACTTCCAAAAGAGATGAATTGATGAGGTCCAACCGAACGAATATCGCCTACGGAAGCGAATGGGCTCTCTCTATAACGTCCAATTTCCCGGAACGTTCGGAAATCCAGTATGGACAAGAGACCGTCCGCATAGCCGAGCAAAACAACTGGTGCGTCACCTGCTTCATGATCATGAGCAAAGAGGCCGTCCCGTTTCGTCTCTAGTACGCAGATTGCCGCCTGCCAAGTTGGCATGCGCATGTCAACCAGGTAGAGCGCACCGTCATCGGTTGTTACCGTGCATGTCTCCTTGGATGAGCTATTCGTACACGTCGGGCGGACACTGCTCGTTGGGCGACCAATAGATACGCGACCGATCTCGGCACCATTAGAGACGGTGTCTGCGCTTGCCAGTGGCGCGCCAGATGCTTCGGCAAACAGCCTCTCAATCGAGGTCAGGAGTACTTGACCATCATGACTGATTGTGAACATGCAGTCATTTCCGTCTGTAAGAACTATTTCACGGATGGCATCCCTGTGCAAGCGTGTCGTCCGCGGCGGCATATCTGGACCGAGCCCGAGGCTTTCCGCAGTCGTGTGCAGGGCAGCTACGTGCCCTGTGGAAAGCCCCAGCAGCACGGTATTCCTTCGTGCGTAGACCAAATCCTGCACGGGGTTGTTGAGGGCGCAGGCCCACCACTGGTATGTCTCATTGGCGCCTTGTCCGCAGGAACCCTGCTGGCCGCCGCCAGATGCGGCATCCATCGGGAGGGATTGTGAGCTCGGATCAGGCTGTAAACTCACATGAATGAGGCGATTGCCTTGGCTGTTCGACGAATCTGGTTCCGTGATCCCGAATACAACTGCATCCGCATCTGGTGACAGCGCCGGACGCGATAGTGCAGAACACCTGAACGGATCGAGATTGCCTGTTCGCTGCCCAATGCGTGCAGCATGGATAACCAAACGGGGCGCCCGGCTTGGGGATATGGCGCAGAGATCACAGAGGCCATCCGGATGATCCATGCGAAGCTCAATGTGTTCCTGGAAAGTCGATGAATGCAGGACGCCGCTGCAACTTGATGATTGCGCACAATGGGCATCATTGTCAGTGGTGCAGATCCCAATCTCAGGCATCGTTTCAAGCAAAGAAGCGCAGAAGATCTGGTCTAGACTTGGGTCGTTGTCAAAACGGTATCGTGAACGCACCCCAAACGAAGCGTGCTCAACTGCCGCTCTAGTTTGCGAGAGATCAGTGCATCTACTGTTGTTGCCTGCGGCATAAAGTGCGCCCGTGTGATTCTCAGAGTGTTTGTGACTTTGCTCCATAACACAACCTGTTGTGCTCGCTGTCTATTCTCGTTCTCCAGTCGAACTGAATGAAAGCTAAAAGGCATCGCGGATGACAGTCGGACAGGAAACGCTCGACAATGAACCCTACCGGCTGACCGCAGCGATGCGAAGCGGCGCATCAGCGTACAGGCGCGATCGATCCCCTGAGCGCCGCGCGCGGCAGCGAAGGGTTCATGCGCCGCTGCTCGCCGCGATGCTCGCATCCGATCCGTTCAGAACTGTGGATAGAAAGCATGATCTAGTTTGTGAATATATGTCTATTAATTGCATATTATGTACTGATTCTGGTTGATAAGTGGTTTTTTCGATGACAAAAAAATTCGTTTCCATTGGCTATGGATCCCTGGTTGCGCGATGGATAATGGTATTTGAAAAAGCGTCGATGATGAAGCACCTATGCTCAAGTTCCATTACCCACACTTCCTCTCGGATATACTGGTCGTTTTTTACATGCTACCATGTGCTGAATGCCTGCCGTGAAAACCCTCCGTGGTGCTTACACCCCTGGAGCAGAGCCATCACGGAGACAGAACGGCGTTGCCATCCGACTAAAGGGCGTCGTCTGGAATTGTCGTTCACCCGACATATGGTCGGGATTCGGGATCATTCTGTGAGCCTGCATGCTGTGCAGACAGACGTACTGCCCGAGGCAGCGCGAAGCGATATATAAATAGCTCACTGCGACCAGGGCGATGTCCTCAGTCGGATGGCGCAGCTGTTCTGTCTCCGTGATGCTTCTGCTTTAGCGGTATGAGCGCTACGGCAGGTGCTCACGGCAGGTACTCGGCGCAAGATAGCATGTACAAAACGGACAGTATATCCGAGAGGAAGTATGGGTAATGGAACTTAAAGGTAGGTGCTTCATCATGGACGCTTTCCCCAAGGGCATTATACATATGCCGAATTCTGGGAAGCATGTTCAATGTAAAAGTTTTGTCATCGAAAAATCAATCGGCGGCATATTCTAGCAAAACTGATTATCATGCACGCACACTTTTCATGGTCAAAATAGGCTCGCAGAGACTCGTTGGGGAATAAGAAGAGGACTCTCGATGAGTTCGTGGGACCAACGGGCCATCGTTTCGGTATCTTTCTCGCCGGCAATGATGAGCTTACTATATCAACAGGTTGAAAAATCTCAGCGCAACGCGCTTCGTTTGCCGGTATTCGAATCGGCCACGCAACCGCCGTCCTTAACTTTGCGTCCAAATTTCTAATCTTTTTCAGGTATCGCTATTCTGTTGAAATTTAGTTTCAGCGAACCTCTGCACTGTGAAGTCATCGGTGGTCGTGCAGGAAGCCCGGTGTATATAGGCTTGAATGTGAGGAAAGAGGTCGTTCTGGGATCAGCACCCAACGTGCACGAACTATTCCGTGCGAGGCGCTTTTTGCTGCCGACGAGTGTTGTCGCACTCTTGCAGTGTAGCTGACAGACGGCTTTCGTGCCTAATTTTTTGAAACTTACTAAAGTGAGTCATCATCGACTTCAGAAAGCCTTAGTTTTCAGGAAAATCAGTGAGCATAGGCCGAAGAAGACGCGCTCCAGGGCGAAAAGCGCCCCACAAAATTGATATGGTGCGCCGCAAAGACTGGAAACAGCGCAAACAAAGCAGCATACCTTCTCTTTACCGGGATGTCTTCGAGAGGGCCGAAAGGGAGTTTGCGAATGAGCAGCGAGAATATGTGTTAGCGTTGGTCGCCGAAAACCGAGCACGGTTACAACGCGAGAGATCTGGGACGCCACTGCCTGTGGCCTCCGCAGAGAACGAAATCCTTCGACGCAGAATCGACCAGTCACCAACCAGTCGCGACGATAATGGAAAGCTACGACTCCAGAGATGCCGGAAAATTGTTTTTCCGCATGTCGACCCTCTTCCGGACTCAACAGCGTATATTCCAATTAGAAGAAATTTCGCGGCATCGGACATTGTCACGAGCAACCTTTTCTTGCCCTATCTCGGGGACACAAAGAGGAATATCGAGTCTGCATACCAAATTATTTCTGCGGTAGATGAAATTCGTCGACTGCAAGAAAACCAGCACGACGGGAGTGGTGATGAGATAGACACCGGGTCGCTGGCTGCCTGGAGACGAGGATTTTCCCATGGAATACCAGTGCCGCAAAACTTGGGGCCAGTGTTAGAGTGCGGCTCGCTGTCCATAATGGAAGAGCGAGATTCTGTTGCGTTGTGGACCTGGATGCAGTCGCAGAAAATGGCGCTCTACTTGCTTCGAAAGACTGCGAGCCAATTCGGTGAAGTCCAGGAAGCGCTGCAGTATTTAAGCACATACACTTCAACTAGCCTCACGGATCTGAAGTCAGTGCTTGCCGAGCAAGAGATTCAGAACAGAGAACAAGTTGCACCAGTCCATGGTCGGTCGCCAAATCAACATTGTTCAAATGTATGTCTTGCCGAAGACAGCACGGATTCCCTGCTGGGTATCTGCGAGTCCGACACGATGCGCAGCTTGTTTTGTAGGCGATGCTATATGTACGACTGTGCAATGCACGGCTCACATCACCCACTGCCAAGAGTGAGAAGACCACGTTTAGGATTGTTCGAATTCCCAAGTGCAGAGGTCACATTTTGTAGTGGTCGCTGCTTTCGACGACTCTGGCCGAACGGTATCGGTAGTATCGAAGGTGAGCTGCGCTCAGATGCCACCCGAAGATCGGAGACACCAGAAAAAGCGGATCGTATCGATTTTGATCTCAATCAAGTGGTGTGTGCCGCATACGAGTTGCCCTTGCTCCAGACGGGTCAGGAAATATTTGATAATGATTTTTGTCGTATCCGGCAAGTTTGCCTTCCATGGCGATCATGCGTGGAATGTGCGATGCTCGCGATGAAATATTATCGTGAGGGCGGCATGCAGAAAAAGCCCTCTGGACAAGTGAAAAGCAACGACATGGTGCAGACTAACCATGAAGACGCTGCCTCTCACCAGACGATGAGTGCCGCTTCCGAACTGAGACCTAATGCAGTTCGGCACGTTACCAGTACTGCAGCGCCCGACCACAGGAATGACGCCAGCTCCAGTGGCCTTGTCAGCGATGTTAGCCACTTCGCACTCGCAAACGGAAGTGTCGACCGCCTCCACGGACAGCAGAGACGCTCCTGTGATATTCGGCTGTGCAGGGCTTCGCGTCCTATGAACCAATTATCTGCAGGACGCTCGTTCGTGTATCGCCCATGCGATCACGAGGGCGCTTGCTCGAAGGAAACCTGTGAGTGTGTCATCAAGGGGCGGTTCTGTGAAAAATACTGTTGCTGTGCATCGGTTGTGATGGGTGAATCGTGTCCCAGGGCCTTTAAAGGCTGCAAATGTCGAACGAAATGTAACAACAAGAAATGTCCCTGCTTTGCGGCGGACCGCGAATGCGACCCGGACTCTTGCACCGGCTGTGGTGCTCGCGACCCGGAGGATAAGCACAGGACTTGTGAAAACATGAACTTACAGCTGGGCATCCAGAAACGACTTTTACTCGGTCGCTCAGATGTCCACGGATGGGGTATCTTTGCCAGTGCGGTCATTCCCAAAGGTGCCTTTATTGGAGAGTACTGTGGCGAAATTGTGAGCCAGCTCGAGGCGGAATGGCGAGGCCGGATTCATGATCATACAACTGGCGTATCATACCTTTTCGATCTCAACGACGAGCAATGCATCGATGCCCATCGGGCCGGCAAGCGCACAAAGTTTATCAATCATAGCCGGATTCCGCCTCGAAAGAATTGCGTGGTGCGTTATCGGATTGTGAACGGGGATATTCGAGTTGCGCTCTATGCAGATCGTCAGATCGAAGCAGGCGAGGAGCTATTCTTCGATTACGGCTATGAATCGGGTACGAACGCGCCATTGTGGGCGCGCGCTGAGGGCGGAAGCTCTAGCACGCTAGCGAAAGCCTCTTAGCAAGATCCGTGAAGAGAGACGCTACATTCCGGTATGGTTGGAGAGATACAATAGGATTTTGCTGGGAGCCGAGATGCCTGCAAAGGCGCCGCAAAGCTGCTCTGCGTCCATGTGAGAACTGCAACTGCAACGCATTCACCGTTGTAGCGAGCGCCCTGCGGAAGGCTCGACCCCCGACTGGGTCACTATACAAGTCTCAGATAAAAATGGAGCATTGAACTGCTAGCACTGTTGCTAGCGTTCAATTTTTAGCCCAATCATTTCTTAGATGCGCATCCTCCGCACTCAAACTAAAATAATAAAAGTTTACAGGTTCACTCGTGGTTTTTTTAGATTCTCGTTCGTTTTTCCGTGGTAGCTTGTTCGACTCTTTGTTGCTGGAATGCGTTTCTTTGTCGAAATCATAATGATTCACGACGCCATTGAACAAGGGTTCGTAAAGTACCCGATTATATTATCCAGTTGATACGTCCAAGATTCCATTTTTCTCCTTTCTTTGCGTCTAGTACGATGAAACAGCGCATTCTTCAAGTGTTTGACCTTTCTGCTTCAAGACAGCTGGAGCGCGTAGCAACTTGCACCGCTGGATTGACGACGACGAAGAAAATTCGACATCGTCCCTTGAATAGCGTTTCGTAAACGCACGCCAAACGCTCACTGAACCAATCACAGCAAGTAATCGATGCGGTTCGAAAAGCAAGTCCTTCCCTCTTGATCGCCATCGACGAAACGGGATTCCGCCGCAATTATAAGCTATCTCTCACGGGACACGCTCCCAGAGGCACCCATCTCATTTTCCGCGCGGAAAAGGTTCTTGGACTAGAACTAGAGTCGTCGCTGCGATCGCTTCCACTCGGGATTCCGTCACCGCTTTGAGCCTGGGGGCGTACACGGATCGAGATCTCTCGAGCGCTTTCACAACCTGGAGCTTCCTTCTGGTACTTGTTTCAGCATGGTCAACATAGCGTTCCGTGAATCCTCTATCGAATAGAACAGCGAGCACTCGGGCGCGCAGCAGACATAGTACTCGCCAAGTAGTCACCCAGCTCAAGCACGTCATCGTAGAGTTCGCCGTCGGACCCGGAAACGGAGGAGCGAACGGACAGGACCCTTTTCTGGCTGTCAAATTGGCATGTGCCGAACGATGAAGAAAGGGTTCATGATCTGCAGGGCGACCCTTTGAGGAACAGTTTTCGGGTATATCGGGGAACACTTGACCACAATCAGATGTCATCGCCGCGATGAGCGCACCGCGACTTTACGCGAGGAAGACGCAAATGGCAAGCAAAGCGTAGATCGCCTCTCCCGTTCGAGCATTAAATGCGTGAGCAGCAGCCGGAAGCAGTGAAATGGTGGCTTTGACACTGCCATGAACATCCTTCTACTTCTGAAAACGGAGCTAGAGGGACAAGAGAATTCTGCGTTGCTACAGGCGCATATGAGAGAGACAAGGGAAGTAGTCAAACATCATGCCCACCAAGACTGGTATTGACGAAAGTGAGAAGCGACCCAAAGCCTAGTCTTTTCTCCCGAGTTAGAGGGTCGGTCCTCGTTTGTTCAGAAGTGAGTGTAGATCTGCCTCCACGTTGGGGGCCTATTAATGAAATGATTCATAATCCGCGTCCTCCTGCTGGCAAACCTGCTCTTTCTACTTATGGTCTATCACCTCAATTTAGTTCCAATCTCAGGTGAGCGTCATCGAATGCTTTTTCGCAGTTTTCAGCAGGAGCATTGGAGTGCATTCATTTTGAAGGAATGAATAATCCAAGGTGAAGCCATGGATATGCAGGACAGAGATCCTGTTGTCCCAGTGTTGCCGTATACGACCAATAAAACGAAAAATCTATTTCACGCGAACCATCGAGCGAAAAGAGCATAGAACGAACAAGAAATAGAACTGGGGAGATGGGCGATAAAAGGTGTTTGCTGGACTGGACGATGCCGAGACTGAACTTGCACTGAATACACGAGTTCGATGAGTCCCTGCATTGATGAGTTCAACCTGGTTCAATCAATACAAGAGGTTCACGCAGCGTGACTGCAACGCTGCTAGCAGTATCAGACGATATTCGATGCTCAAGACGGGACGCGAGGAGCTGACACGATCCACACTTGTTGGACAGCCTCTCAGGATTGAAGTCTATGGCGAGATGCTGCAATTGATAGCATACGGCAAGTCGATATGGGCTGAGATGCATCTCTCGGGTGGATGCTCATTGACCCTCTATGGTCGCGGAACGTTTGCGATGCATTGTGCATCCTGGGGATCGCTTGGCGTCTCGCTCGAGGAAACTTCGCCTAGCCTCCTTCGCATTGATGCAACTCGTCAGGCAACTATTTCCAGTCTCGAACGCGGGGTTGCGAGCGGTCCACATTCCCCTGAAATTTTTTTTACCAAACCTTCGTGAGACACGACAACTAATTTTGGGATAAAGTATGGGATCCGGCTTGATCCTCGGATCAGAGAATATGATACATACGCTACTCTGAATCCCTCGGCACGACGCCGTACCACGTCGCTAATCAAAGCATGTACTTCGCTGGTGCGAACAGTATCAGACCGACCTAAAACAGCAATATTGCGTGCTCGTCAACGCCGAGCGTTACTTCAACCGCACCTTTTGGGTGCTGTAGCCCTACTTTACTGGCTCGGAAAATTGGAGACTGATGAAACGGAATCTTGGGATGGCGATGGAAGCAACTGACTAGCTCGTGGTGGAAGACATCGAAGTAGCAGAGAGTTCGGAACAGATGTCGCAACGATACTTAGCGTCCCGTCAAATCGTCGATGTTTGTCGTGATGATCTCGGCCACGGAACGACGAACCTCTTACTCAAAGGATGGTGAAAAGGTGATGCACCCTTCATTGCATCTTGCGCTGCCATTCGTTCACGAATGGAGTTATCCAGAGCCAAGCTTACCCTCCCTTCGAATCAGAGCACACCAGCCGCAACACGCGTCTCTTTGGTGTGGTTCTCGTACGGTACATCAAGACCCAGAAAATAACTCAAGATATTTGCATAGTGTACTGAATAGCCTCCTTCGCGAGCTATAGCTCGAATTTGCGAGCAAGTATCAAGCATTCGAAAAAGTTCGCCAAGGCTATTGGGAAAGCTTGTCCAAGCATTCTGTTTCACAGAAAGGAATTAGATAGAGGATGAACGGGTGATGGAGACCAACGGAATACACATCTGAAAGAACCATGTGAAACTTTAGCCTAACTCGATCGCGGAGACTCATTTCCGACCGTAAAAGGTAGATGAAGCGCAAGAATTCGCGGTAAGTGGGAAACCCTGCTTACATTAAAAACGTGGTAGTCTCCATATCTCTCAATCGCCGGGAACGGAGCCAAAGACCTGAACGGAAATCGGATGAAGCTGCTCATGTCTTGTAGGGCTCGGTATTATCGGGAGCCGGGCGTGATGTCCAACAGATGGCGTTCGAACAAATGGAGCACCAGCATAGTCGGAACCCGTCACGACGCTGCAAGCATCATATCAAGCTGAGTTGGATACATTTTGAGCCTCGCTCAGAGGGCATTTTAGCTCCCAGATAGCTTATGAGCGGAATTTTTGGCGGGCATACATGAAAACGTGCTGGGGCCGCCAACAGATTCGGTTGTTCACAGGCCATAGGCTTGCATGAGCCAAAATTTTCAATCACTTTCAAAATGAAATGAGCGACAAATCGGGACGTTTGGTTGAAGCCTACGGCGCTGGACGTGATGAGGCGCACATGCGCTGCGCTTGTACTCCTTCGGCGAGAGCATGTAAAAATTGTGGGAATTTGATTCTGCATCGGTCCAATTGCCGTATTCAGGACGTCATACTCGAATCACGAGCACAGGTGTACGGTTGAACTGGAACAGAGGGAGAGAGTGAAGCAAAGCCGGATGCATGAGATGGTGTCCAATAAACTGACCCAAGCTCAAGTGGCGAGGCATTTGACGGTGAGACGCTTGTGTCTTGTGATTCCACCAGCAGCAAATGCGCAAAATAAGTTGCTGCTCTGAGCCTTCAGCGTCTTGATCAACTTCCGCATTTGTCTCGTGCTTCTGAAGCGTCCAGTGGCTTTCTGTCGAGTAAACTTTTAGGGGAATGGAATAGAACTCAGCGTTGACATTCTGCAGAAATGCTGTAGGCTTCCAACGAAAAAATAGGTAACCAGAAGAGTGGAGACAGGATTATTGGGACGTGCATGGCGCTGTTGTGCTAGGGTCAGCAATTAGGAGAGGTGGGTGCTCCTTCTAGATGCACTGGGACGGCTTTCCTCGGTAACTGGTGAACGATTATCATTTTACATGGCATTCATTACTGAGTATACTCAGTGTTGAAAATGAACCGGATTTCTACGTCCTCAGTTCAGAGAGTGAATCCAAAATCAGCCTTGCTCCCTAAGTGTTGTTATTCTTCAACGTCTTGATGCCGCCCCCGTAGCCACATACGACGTGCAGGACAATCCCATCGAGTACTGGAAGCTGGCACCGGATCGCAGCAGCGCACGAAGCGATACACCAAGCAAGGAGACCTGCACCAGTAAATGCGGCTGGCGAGGTAATCAGGACAAGCTCGCCATAATGTGTATGAATGTCTTTCACAAAAGATACCTGCATAGGTGCCGAGCAAGGAAGCTGCCAACGCTTCTACTCTGTCGCTGCCTTCACGCTGTACATATAGAAGTCAATCGCCGGCATCCAGCGGCTTTCACGAGTAGAGCCCTGTCACGGATTCAGCTCATAAACGCGAAATATTGCTATCGATGCTTGATATTCTCTTATTTGCCTTACGGTATCGGGCAAGCGCAAAGTGCGCATCCAGGTAAACATCCGCGTGTGCGTCAACGGACTTGGTAATCGGGTCTGCGTAGCCACCACCCATACAAATGACGATTCCTGCCTCAGATTCCTGAAGAATATAGTCGAGCACGATTTGATTTCGAAGTCGCAACCCGGCCCTCGTGAGCGCAAGGCGACCGAGCTTATCTTCAGCGAGTGCGTCGACACCTGCCTGGTAAAAGACGAGATCTGGATCATGCTTCGCCATGATACGTGGCAACCAGACTTCTAGGATCTGTAGATAATCGGTATCATCGGTATTGTCCTCAAACTCAATATCCAAGTCGCTCTTTTGCTTTCTGAAAGGATAGTTGCCGTGCCCGTGAAATGAACAGGTAAACACGCGACTATCTCCTTGGAATATCGCAGCCACACCGTTCCCCTGGTGCACATCGAGATCGAGAACGAGTATTCTTCTAACCTGTGCATAATCGCGGAGCGCTACTCGAGCTGCAATTGCGATGTCATTGAAGACGCAAAAGCCCTCTCCATGGTCCGGAAACGCGTGATGCGTTCCGCCAGCAATCTGAGCTGCACACCTGCTGCGACCCTCGACAACATCACGCATGCAGGCTACGGTGCCACCGACGGATGCCAGGGTCCTTTGCACAAGGGCTGTGCTCCACGGGAATCCGATACGTCGAACCTCTATATCGGAGAGTTTGCCCTTAATAAACCGGTCAACATAGTCCTTAGAGTGAACGAGCAGAATATCGTCTAACTCGGCGAGTGGAGATACCAGAAAAGGTACTCCTTTGAAAGAGCTGTCCGCTTCGAGCTTCCTCCTGACTAATTCATACTTTGCCATAGGGAAGCGATGCCCGGCCGGCAGCTCTACCGCATATACGTCCGCAAAGTATACTCGCAGCGCTCCGGCGCTCCCTATCTCTGCCGCGTGAGCGCAGCGCGAGCTTCGGTGTCTGGGCCAGGTGGTGATTTTTGGGCGGAATGCGAGTTTTCTGTAGAAAGGATTAATCCAGCTACTTAACCGCGAAGCCTGCAAATACATAGCGTTCTGTGAAACTGGACAAGAAGACAGCGTGCAGGACGAGAGCTGTGTTCGCAGCACTGGAACGCAGCGGCACACCACGCACCGGGTGCAGGCGTGCCTCGGCAATAGAGGACTTTTCAGGTCTATGGCGGTTCCCGCCAGTTCTGAGGCCTTGCAGTGCTTTGACTTGACAACTTCCGGTTTGCCAGTGTTGTGGGGTTCAGAGAAACTTCAGGTCGTTGCGGAGAGAGTAACCGTCGACCTGAGTTCGACTGCAAGTGCGAGCGACTCTCGTCTAGAGGGCACCACCGTGTACGTCACTTCGCAGCGACTGCTCTTGAAACCGCAGCATCAACAGCAGCTATTTGGTACGGATCTCTCAGATGTAACCTTCATAAAAGCAAGCAAGTCGGGTAGTTTTCTGCTCTGTGGAGCCTGTGGGAGAACGAGTTCCGCGCTTGTTCGGGTTGGAAAGGGAACACTGCTACGCTTTCACTGGGCAGCAGACCCCAGCAGCGTGGCGAGCTTTCTCAACAACCTGCGTAGCGCTGTCGAGCTGCATAAGAACGCGAAACTTAGACAACAAGGCACTTTGCGTTGCAAAGATATTGCTGGAAATGACTTCGAAGCTCGCCCTGCAGGTGTAGCCGGCGTTCGGGCAGCGGAACAGCGCCTAAGAGACGAGCGTAAGCAGCTTCTCAACAGGGCGTTTACCGATATGAACCACCTTAGTGTCGATGCCGAGAACTTGCGCGCGATGAGTGAGGCGCTGGTTCGCGAAAGCCAGAGAATGAGACACGAAGCATTGAGTCAGGACCCGGAAGCGCTGCTCTCCGTGATGCTCCGTGACATGATGCGTTTCGCCGAGGATCGTGTTCGTATTGCTGCTGAACCGTCGGAACGCTCGAAGAGTTCAGAGTATTGTTCACACCTGGCGAGGGATCTTTACGATTTTTTGGAGCCGATTGTTGCGAAGAACGGTGGGCTTCTGCATATTTTCGACGCATATGTTCTTTACAACAGCACCCGACCAGTCACAGATATTGTTCCAGCGGATGATCTATGCGATGCCTGTGCACAGTGGCCCATTCTTGGTCTCCGCCTTCGACTTGAAATGATGGAATCTCAGCTCGTCATCCGTACGACAGAAACGGTACCTGTTTCACAAAGATTACTCGAACGAATCAAGGAAGTTGGGTTTATGACCTCACTGCAGGTTGCAGATCAGTTCCATATACCTGTGCAAGTGGCAGCGTGGCAATTAGAGTCCGCAGAACGCGAAGGTTTTCTCTGTCGTGATGAAGAGGAAACCGGCTGCGTGCGGTATTTCCTGAATGAATTCGATGCAATCTATGCCGCGGAAATTGGTCGCGAGACGCCAGCAACCGGTACGGCTGGTAACGAATTGTTGCCTACGCCTCAGACAAGCGCAAATGAGCACATTCTAGAAACCGCTCGTGCTTTTACGCCACCTATTTTTCCAAATACAGCAAACATCAAATCAGATGCCATGAGTGTTGAGACGCTTCGTCGGAGACGAAGCGCTCAACCGGACCAAGACACCCCAAAGAGTCTTTCTGAGTGGGACGCGACTCCCCAATAGCGCAGTGCCACCATGTGCGACATTTCACCGCATTGCACCCTACTGTTTTCGGTTGGAACACGAGTTCCCACGCCGGCTACCCGAAAACTGCGTGCCGAACGAGCCGTCAAGCGTTCGTAGACGACGAGACACTTTTCGGATCTCCAGACTAGAAAGTTCTTATTTTTTTGTAACAGTAAAACTACTTTGGCTGTTTCGTTTCGTCATCAGTTTCGCTGTTCTTGAACGTAGATCGAATCCAATCATAAGGCTCGATGAACCAAAAAGCTGTCAGGCCCACTAGCAGACCCCAACGTGCTGCTGCTCCAACATCTACTGGACGTAGCCGACGGAAAAGCTGCTGCAAAGCTGGTACACCTCGAGGTCTCGCTGCGTTCATATCACAAACACAAGTGTCTATCCCCGGAGCACCTCGAAAACAACTCGTACAGCGGTCAGTCGTCCGGGATGCGCGATGTGCCCTGGCGGCCGCACGCGCTGCGCATTGTCCGTTTCTTTCTCGATGATAAAATTCGGTTGACCATGGATCCCAGATTGCGGGACATATAATGATGATTGAAAACGCGTCCATCTTGATGCATCTTTCTTCGAGTTCCATTGCTTTCACTTTCTTTCGAATATACTGGTCGTTTTTTACTTTCTATCATGTACCGAGTGCCTGACTGCGCCCACAGTAGCGCTTATACCGGTGGAGCTGATGCAGCACGGATACAGAACAGCTGTGTCGTACCACTGAGGGTTTCGGATCGAGGAACGATTCACCTGATACGGAATCAGTGCGGACAATCATTCTGGGAGCCTGAAAAGTGGGCAGAGAAACCTGGTGCCTGCAGCAGCGCGGACCGATATGCTAGGAGATAATTGCAATATTGGCGACGCCCAGACGCAGTATCCTAGTACTTGTCTAAGAATAAAGAGTGTTGCCGACAAGCTGTGCAGGTCTCGCCACAGCACCTGCCACTCGAGGGAGTATGAAGCACTAGCCCGGCAGACCCGTCCGGTTCGCGGGACCTTCCACACAGAAGGTAAAGTTTCGAAGATACGGAAACCTTTCCCCCTTCAACGCTTTCCATGAAGGTCGAAAGAACCTGTTATTGAGTTGCTATTTAGTGGTTAGTTTCTGTTCTTTCGACAGTGGATCGGGATTCGCTTTCATTCTGGGAGCCTGCAGACTGCGCAGACAGACCTACTGCCTGCGACAGCACGGAGCGATACGCAAGGAATCCACTGCGACCCAGACGACGCTTAGACGCAGCATATCAGCTCCTAGTCCCAGAATAAACTGCGTTCCAGACAAGCTGCTCAGGCCGCACTAAGCGCATTCCCTGCAAAGCCATGCCTTCTCTCGGAGTCTAGGATCGTTCACAGGAACCAGTTTATCCCAGCTACGCCATTGTTACCGGCAGCTGGACTATCATGCCCAGCGAACCTCATTGACAAACATTGTACATGTTCACGTCCGGATCTCGTCGACGTCTCGCGTACGCAAAGCGACGATTTCGCGCACGATCCCTGACTGCGTGTGCGTACGTCACCTCGTTACATATGCCGCCGCAGCTGCGCTGTCGCCACGTTAGCTGCAAGCACTTTGTTCTGTTAAGTTTGTGAAGTTTTAGTGCTCCAAGAAACGAGCAAGTTCCTGCCTGCGGAAACGTAACGCTAATCGAAGGGGCAGCGGTTAGGACTGAGGCAGTGTTTTCAGCAGCGCTGCAAAAATCGCAGAAGAACTGCAGCACGCAACGGGAAATGAGTCCAACGATCAGATTGCTCGGAACTGAACCATCTTGTATGCTGTCCAGAACGGTATCCAAGCGCCTTGCGCGTCGAAATGTCAGATACATACTGTTGCTTGTCGTTCTAACCGGTGTCCTGTCAGGTTTTCTCTTCCTGCGTAGCACTTTCTCCACGTACTATGCGGGTGAAAAACTGAGACAGTGTGAAGAACGGCTTGCGAAAGGAGAGGCTCTTCTGCTACAGCGGCGTGTATCAAATATGGACGAAAATACAGAACAGCCTCCTAGAAGGGTTGCGGCTAAACACTTCTTGCGATCTGTGCTTGTTTTCGATGCCGTGGAGCACTTCAGCTCGGTCATCAATACAAATGCTCCAGGACGAGCAACGTTCCTGGGAACTAGTTCCCGAGGACGAGGTAGACCAGGATGGGCATATGAACCACGTCCCTTACTTCTGAACTTGTCCAATGGCGCCTGGTATTTGCCTTTGGACGGGGAACCGCCATCGATTCCGGCAGTATTGTTATGGTTAGACAGATCCAGGAATGAGCGAAGGCTGCTCGTATGGACGAGCACAACCGCGGGGATTGCGTATAACCCTCCTCGTGAGTGCGCGGAAGCTGGATCCACCTGCCAACTGGAACTCATCACATCGAGTACAACCCTTGCGGGTTCCTGTAATGTTGAGAAGCGCAATCTGAGCCTTTTTCTGAGCGCAAATGGAGCAGCAGGCACCTCATGCCTAGCAGAGGTTCGAATGCAGGTTACACTTACAAGCACAAACGCGCAAGAATGGGAACCAGAACCGTCTCTACAGACGCTCGCAATCGTGCGCCCGTTCACGGAGGACCAGATACCTAAGCTCATGCGATCTCTGGATCAATGGAATGATCCATGGCGCTTCCCGTGCGAACGAAGCGGAGACTTTGACCGCCCGGACCTCGTATTCTACGCAAACAATGAACAAGCTCTCGTGTCGGCTCGAGCCGTTTTTCAGCGCAATCATTCATGGTCTTCCTGTTTCCAACGGGTGCGCTGGATTGAAGCCAATGTTGAACCAACCGTCGACGTTCATCCAGATGGCACCTGCTTCCAGTTCTACAGCATCTTCGATGATCCGCGATTCCGGAACTACTATCAGTATTTCTTTCTGATGGAGCCTGACGTCCACCCGATACGGGCTTTTTGGTTGGACTCGATTCAGAGACAAATCAAACTCAGTGCACCTCAGGCCACGTTCTGGATACGCGGCTCCACATCAAAGTGTGCCGGTTGGTACGCAGCGAACGACTTTCATATTAACGGAAATGCCCTATACAACCTCTCATCCCGACAGTTTCGCGATTATCTGATACGTGTGCAACGCGCGTTTCAGCCGCGAGGCCACGTTCGCCACGCTCCGGGCTGCTCTGGCGGCTATGGTGGATTCGATCATTCTATCTTCCATTATGCCGTAGAAATAGCTTCGAAAAATTCGCACAAGTGGAAAATGTATCAAAAGCTGTGTTTCGACGATCGGAAATCACCTGTTTGGAATTTCTGCAAACACAGATTTCTGCCTTGGCGAGTATACACGGAGAGTAACGGAAGTGCGTCCCTCGTACACAGCAGCTGGGGTAATAACGTAGATTTTTGGGACCCAGCAGTTCACGGCATCAAACGGCTTGAAACTAGTATGCTTGAAATGATCCGCCTTTGGGAACAGGATCCTTTTCCACTACATCCTCGTTTTCGTGCTTTTGCGCTGCTACACTGTCGCAAAAGGCAGCTTTTTTAAGCCTTTCCTGACCCTGCACTGCATCTAGACGAGAGCAGCTGTTCCGACGCATGGGCGGATGGAAGTTCATATTTATTTTGTATGTAAGAACCTCAGCAGCGGAAATCGGAATCCATGGAAGCTCTCCGCTGCAGCCCACTGGAAGCATCCGGCACAAGAGACACCGAGGAGCTTTCTGCGGACCCCTGGAACGCAGCTCAGATCCTGGGAATTCCACAATCATCAAATTGAAGCGTTCTGGTAAACCCCTTGCCTTCTTTGAATAAGGAAGAGTAGCCATGCGCCATGGGCGTCCAGTGTCTGCATCATCAAGGGCACTGCCCTTTCGGAGAAGCGGACCCGCGGTGCCGGCGGGGCCCCCGTTCGGTATCCGTAGGGATTCACGGCTCCAGCGCATGCCACGCAGAGCACTGCAACTGGTGGTGCATACCAGTCTAGTTGATCAGCAGAGCGCCACGCGATACATCCTCGAAGCGTACGAGCAATAATCTGGAACCTACGCCCGGTGCCTGCGATGCACTTAGCACTCTACGATGCAGCTAATCTAGCTCGTTTCCCGAGGAGCCTTCGTTAGCACTACGAAAGATCTCGTCGGCAAGCGCATCGAACAGCCTGGAATATAAAAGGCTCTGCAGAGGCCTCTCGCCTGATTCCTGTCGAGAAAAGTTGCAGTCGCCAGCAGCGTCCAGTTTCTGAACATTGCGGGTGGCGCCTTGACGTCGTTCACCAAACCCGCGAAAAAATCACACTCCTCCGCAATGCTTGCAACGAAACGATCATCGTAGACAGGCGCATTCCTATCGTTCATGCCTTCTGGTACGATATTCGTGGATACGAACGGCTTCGGAAGAAGACTTGAAGCATTCATTCGTACAAAACGCAAGGTTGTATTTCCTGGAAGAAAAAACGATGAAGGAAAGTGGTGCCACTCATCGCCCATACACAACGTGCATGCAGATTGTGCACAGTGCATTTTCGCAAGGTGCCTGAACACCTTAAACGGTGCTGCGTAGAAACGCTGCTGACCTATAATTCGAGACCAGCTGGCAACGACACCCAAGACCAGCAAAGCCCTCATCAGAAACCTGCCGATGCGTCTCGTTCCACGCTCAAAGCTGCGCCAAACGACTGTGCATCGAGCGGCGCCCCAGCACACAAGTGGATAGATCGGATAGAGAAATCGCTCCTCCTTGTGCGCTTGTGCCGAGAAAACAGCTAACCAGGAAAGAAAAGCGCCAAACACCAGGGCCTCTACCTTGCAGAGACGCCAGTCTGCTGAGGAAGCGAAACCAGTACGCTTTCCGAGGAGCCGCAATACGTGGAGCAACTGCACTGCGGCGTACCAAACTGCGAAGGCGAAAAGCAGAGGGAAATTCAAGTTACTGTTTTTGATATAGTACGACCAGGGCTCTGTGCCGAAAACCTCAGGTCCTCTGTCCTTGTTCGGGAACACATTGTACAACACGAGACGCATAGGTGCGACGACGATGCGGCCATAGTACGCGCTGTCTACGAGCGTCATGACAGCCAGAGTGCTAGCAGCATAGACTCCTGCTAACACAACGAATCGACCCGGTGGCAGCCGCCTTTCCACTGGTAGCAGAAGCGGAATCCCCAGGAGTCCGACGAACGGCCAGCCGACGAGCACCGCGTTGGCCACGAGCATCATGGAAACAAGTTGCTTGCCGCTAAGCCACGATGCGTACGCAAACATGAACTGAATCATCGTGAAGCTGGAGGGCAGGACCGATGGACTTGCATAGAACATGCCAGCTGACATCGCAGACAGCAAAAGATACCAATTCCCCGTGTTCGATGCCTGGTACAGCTGGTCCATACTGAAAGCAAGCGAGACCTCAGCAACGAAGCAGGAACCGGCGTTCACGATGCGGATTATCTGGAAAGCAGCTGTTTTTTCGGAGCCTAGGCCACGGCCGATCCAACGCCACCAAAGAACTGGAATCTTGAAGAGCAACAAATATAGATAGCTGCGAAGTGCATACTCTGGCGAGTACTCCCAGGTTTGCAATCCGCTTCCGTATAGGAGAAAGTGTAAGGGTTCCCAGTAGTTGAAGACTTCGTCGCAGTCCGTGATGACGGCAAGCTCTGCGGCTCCGATCCTCACAACCAGTAGCATCGCAATCAGTAGCAAGCGAGCACACCGCTGTCTGCTCCGAATACCTGCTTGGTGGGAGCTATCCTTCAGGTGGTGCGTCGTGGCAACGACGTTCCCGATCCCCAGGTTTTCTGGCGCTCGACGCCTAAAAGCACGGCGCATCTGACGAGGGCAAGCAAGCCTTTAGGAGCCTCCTCAGTAGGAGGCTCTCTATCTCGTGACGCAAAGATCAGCGGCGGAAACCCGAAAACAGAATCCGCCTGTTTGATGCGGTACAAGGCATCCGGTATTCTGGCGGTTGCCCGGCACACGCCTGCGCTACGTCCGAGATGCTTGTAATGCTTTCGCTGGGCAAGGAGGCTGTATTTTGAAAGCTTTCAATTTAAAGTGTACATTTACTAATTTTTGTACCACGTACCGCTAAACTTCGTGCAGGTTATCTTTTTCAAGCAGTTTGGTGTCAGATATGGCAGCTAAAGTGAGCAAACCTTCTATATGGAAGATGTTGGCGATCGTCGTTCCAGGAGAAAGTTTTTGATCGAGTTGCAACGGCGTAGTGGTGCTGGGAACGATAACTAACCGTTTCGCTTCGAACTTGAACGGCGAAGTAACCACAGTGTTTCGTTTTGGGCGCTTGCATGGAATATTTTATGATTCAAGTTCCCATTGGAGGTGAGACTTTTTACTCAGTGGCAAAACGCAAGGAGGCCGAGCGGCGACTCGCGCGCTTGGCCTCAGAGTCACCAGGGAGCAGTGCCGATTCTTCTGTCCTCGGCTCCAACGTACCCGCAACGCCAGGACTGGAACGAGCTGGAGACGTCTCGTTGAGTCATGATGAAGAGGTTTCTAGCGAAAAACCGAAAAAATGGCCCCGAGTATGAGAAGCTTGCCGCACGGAAAGCGCCATGCTTGCGGTGCCGTTCACATGGTAATATTAGGTGCTTTCGCGTGAACGCGGTTGCCCTGCCATGTTTTTCATAGTGGAGCATTCCTTAGTCAATCAGGAGATACAAGGACACAAGAACAATGCTGGTACTCAGGGTGTGGGTTCCAAAGCGGCATATGCGCCGTTTGGATTGTATCACGTCACAACGGGACTGGGCGTATGCAGAGATTGCAGCATACATGAACGCTGCCGTTGACCAGAGATGAAACCTCAACTACCGACGAGTTATCGGAATGCAGCACCTGCTGCTGCCCTGAGCAACACGTCCTACCCCGTTGCTTGGTCAAATGTTTCGCTCGTTTGCATGAGGAATCCTATCTGGATTGCTCTTGTCATGCAGACATATTCAGCAATATCCAATAGCGGAACCCTAGTACAGCTCACCAGTTGTGCGGGAAGATCGTTCCCAGTACATACGTATGGTGCTGGAGCCTCACCAGAATCCTGAACGCACCACGCGAGACTCCATTGCCCCCTTTCCTGACCACTGAGTTTTTTCCATCGGAAGTCGTTAGTGTTTCAACGCAATGCCGAAACTGGGAACTGAACGATTCCATAGAAACTTTGCTCGACAGAGCCGGTTAACGCTGTTTAGCCCCGAGAAATTTCCGGAGTTTACTCGATTTGTTCAAGTTTCGGTGGAGAGAGTGCATGCGCGCATGGTTGCTGGTGGAATCAGACCAAAGCATGCCACTCACCTTCGTTTACCTCACCATCTGAAGGTCGGTTGTTCTGGAGTGACGAAAAATGGCGTTGTCTACGAGCCGGGCAGCATAGCGTGGAGAGGAGAAGCCACGAAGTGTGTTTCTCCTCAGGATGAAGTCGTACGCGATCCTGCACATGTCGTATTTCGTAGGTGACCGCAGTATTGAATCGCCGTACGCGCAAACATTATCGGGAAACACACTTATCCCTTCTGTACGAACACCATTTTACTCTTCGTTGGCGACACATACATAGTTCTAAGCTTTCTCTCGAACCAAGTCTCATCGAACGAGAAGAGCATCCGTCCTTAACGTAACAAGAGTTCGCGCGTCAGAATCGAATCCACTGTGTATTGTTCAAGGCGCAACGCTCTCCCACAGACGCACTCTTTTTTTCCTCGGCCATCCATGTCTCTTCTTCACCGCTCGTATTGACAGTGCGAAAACCACAAATCATGGAACTGGGTTTTTGATGTTTCTCAGAGAACGCACGAACAGGACTGGAATGACCTGGAGAGAGTCGTACAGAGAAAATTTGCTGAGTTCTATGTTGAGTGCGCGACGTTCAGACTAGGGACACAGCAAAGACTGCTTCAACTACTTGCTGAACATTAATTGGCTGACTTGGATAAGTAAACCCGTTTTTCGATAGGTAGCGGTGATTCCATGACGTCTCCCCGCGATGTTTCTCCGCCCAAACGATACACCCTTTTCGAAGAATAGTCGGAAGAAAAAACAAAAACAGAAACTGCGTGCTTGTTCAAGAGTACTGGAATTCACTGCTCACCGAACATAGCAACGAGACTTGTCATGGCGAAAGAATCTAAGGGCGTGTCAGATTAAAACAGACCACTGAACTGGGCGCTCTGTTCATCGCTTTCGATTTCCGAACTGTTTCATGTACAGCCCCGACATTTGATGCGCGGTTCGAAGAGCTTACGAATGCATATACTTTTAGAACTCTATGCTGACTTCTCGGAATGTTTACTTCGATGCTCTTCTACTGGAATTCGTGACATCAGTGTAATCAAGATGATTCGAAACGCCCCCGAACAATGGTTCGTGCACTAAGCAACGTCATTATCAAATGAATACGTACATGCCTCGACTGTTCTCCTTTGCTTACGTGTCGCCAGCTTCAATCAAGCATACTTCAAGGTTCGAAATTTTCGTTCCGAGCTAACTCCTGTACGTTGCGATTCTAGCGCCTGACTTGATGATAAGAGCGACTCAACGTCGTCCGCTGAGAACTTTTCTGGAAGCTCATACGGAAAGTTCATTCAAGTTTTGACATCAAATTCTCGATTTCGCTCGAAAGACATATCCCTCCCTCTTGATGGCCATCGACGAGCCGGCATGAGTGAGCACGATGCTACATGTCAAGCAATATGATTCCAGAAACTCCCGTTTTTCTATCTGGATGGACAATTGGTCTTGGATTTGGACTTCAGTCATCACAGAGAACCGTTTCTATCCAAGGTACACCTCGGCTTTGCACGAAGAAGCTTAGGCTAATTAAAAAGTTCCCGGCACGGTCTCCAGTCTTTGTTTTCATTCTGATACCATTTTTAGGGAGAACAAGATCGAATTCCACGAATCCTTAATGGAAAAGAAGAGCGAGCGCTTCCACGTGCAACGGACATAGTCCTCCCCGAGCCAATCGCCCAGAAGAAATCAGGAATCTTAGAGTACGGTGCTGGACGCGAGAGCGGAGGAAACATCCAATGAAGCTTTCTGTGCCTATCAAGCGAACGCACCAACTGATGAAGAAAGCATTCACGTGCCGCAGCGCTGCGCTTCGATGAAGAGAAGGTGCGGTGGACGCATGGGAAACCGCACCCCAGCCCAGCGTGACCGGTGCGAAGGACACACCGAAGATGTACACAAAGCAGATGAAAATAACCAGAGGATCCCAGCTGGCAACGATCGTATATTTATGAAACGGACCGCCAACACCGGGACGCAGTGAATTCCGGATTTTGAGGCTGCCATCAATGTATCTCGACTGCTAAAATCGTAGCTGGAGGCACAGCAGAAACCAGCGCATTAGAAACTGAAGATAACAGAGTCGAAAAGGAAGCAGTGGTAGAAAGGATGCACAAATGCTAATGCTGATGGCAGTGGGAAAAGAATCAGAGTTTCAGACGAACGCTAGACTTCGACAAGGCGATGCATTTCATTCGATCCAAACAGTTCAGTACAAAATATCAGTGAAATAGAAAATGTCCCGCGACCATGCAGGATCAATGAGCACCCACGGATAGATGCCTCCCAGGCTTTTTTGACCCGCTGTCTGCTATCGGTTTCAGCTTCTCACTGTACGCTTCGAGCGTGAGGGGATGTCCAACAAAATTTGGACCCCCAGCTCCTCGGGTCCCGTCTCCAGCACCGCATATCGTCTGATACTGATGGCGGCGTTGAAGTCTCGGTTCATAAACTCCATACGTTTTGATGCCTCTAGTTGATCTTATCAATGTGCGTATTCCCCGAGCTCGCGCTTTCAGTACCATTTGCTGCTCTGCCAACTCTCCGTGCGTGTCCAATGCCGAAGCGCTCCGTTGGCTTCTCTCCGTTACGGCCTTCTGAAGCGTACATTCCTGCTCTTTCCATAAGTTTGAACATGAACGCACTTCCTGACGCCTTTAGATGATTACTTCCCCGGAGAGAGACGGACTTGCTGAGGGACTATGACATGTATTCCCCGTGTGTCACCGTGTGCTGAACGCATTAGCGATTCGCCCAATGGAGCGATCACTGCGTACCAAGATAGAAAATACTCATAGGATGGGGTTGAACCACGGAGCTAACGGAGCAATGGAAAGCAACTGTATCCCTATAGAATTCGCAAAAGCTCGGGCGCAAGGGGAACGATGAAATGCAACGTTGTCCGATAGAATAGCGTCTCCAGACCTGCAGAGCAAAAGTCTTCAATTATTCCACAATGTGGAATGGTGTTTTCTGAGCCTTCTATTCGAGTTCGATCGTACATTTAACAGGTTAACTGCTCTGCAAATACCCGGATAAGTTGTGACGGTTTCGTCCGAAGGACGTCTCATCGACCGAAAACATAAATGGACGTCCCTGTGTTTCATACCGATCGTAATGTTCCAGGAACGCTGTCGTTGCGATTGGAAGGAAGATGCCATTGCTTGAACGATGACTCTTTTTGAGATTGTATCCCAGTGTTTTCAGGATCATAGGCGCGACTTGGTGAGAAACAGAGACGCCTGTGGCGGCTATTATCGTCGCTGTTGCTTTCCGAAAATGGTGATCAACGGATCGTTTTCTAAGATCGACTGCAAGCGACCTCTATGAATATCGATCTCTGGCACGGAGTGCATCTACATTTTTCTTATAGTTTTCGCCAACCATCTGAGTACGTCGGTATGACTGTCCTAAACGAGGAATGCAGTCCTCCTTGGACTGTTCAGAAATGAATGTAAATGCTACATGCAAATCATCTACGATCTACACTATGCATTGCATTGCGATTTCGATCTCCTAGACATCGCAGCGGAAGTGAAACAGAATTTAGTACAAAGACTACAAGAACGGAAACCTCGGGCCTCTTTGATGGTAGCGTTCACGCATCCGATAGATGCCAATATGACACATCTGGTGAAAAAGCAGCTAAACATTCGCGTCGATTCGTTTTCTGGGTCTGTTCAGGGCATGGTGCTGGCATGTGCGTGCTGGCACTCACCAGCACTCACTGAACGTTGCTTTGCAGTCGCGAAATGCGAAAGCATCCCGCTCCAACGCGAGTTCGCGGTGATGAACTTGTCTTCAGCATCGCTTCCAAAGTCCGAATGCGACCAGCAAATGCCTCTTCATGGGAAGCTTGCGGCAAATACCATCTCAGTTTGACATGGATGAATTCGTGCTCGACATTTCACGAGTGCAGCGCAAGAGGTCAATTCACTGTCCGCTTACACCTGTGCATGCGACGGCAACATAGAAACCGGAAACGAGTATTCTGCATTCACAGGAAATACCCTGCAGCATAGGCATCTGGATCCCATCCAATCGTTCAGAGCGCTTTTCCGCACGGCGCTGCTGAGGGCGCACTGATCCGTAAAACGCTTGGGATGTTTCGGTAGACATCTCGCTGCCTTTCGAGTCGAGCTTGTTGCGAGAGGAAAACCCAGCAGCCGGGGGACGTTCACGAGTTGCGTTTTTGCCATGAGCGCTGCGCGATCGTCTTCGACGAGCGTGGTGAGTCCGGCAGCGCCGGCGGACCCCTGTGCTAGGCTCAGGGAGGAGGCGCTGCGCTGCGTCGGGGAAGCCAAGCGCCAGCCTGGGGCACACGATACCTGCCGCGAAAAGAAAGAGTGCTATCGACGCTGTCGTGACCTTTGGCTGGCCGAAATACGCAAGGCACGACGTGAAGAGCGACTTCCGAACCCGGCGGTGACGGGCCAAACGCCGGACACCAGCTAAACCTCGCTCTGGGTGGTAATCGTCCGCAACCTGTGCGGCCGACTGGGATGATTTCCACGTTGAAAGCACATTTGGACTTTGTTCGCTTTGGGGGAGTCTTCGCAGATCAGAGCTGTTGTCGTCGAGGCTACCCGCGGCCGCCAGCTCGCTGGTCGGCACTCGAGTCTGGGGCAGCCTGGTGCAGGCGACGTGCTGCGTTCGCTACAGACAGCGCGTTCTGCGGTGTCAGGACCTTTGTTATTCCAAGACCTCTTCTGGAGCGCAAGGCACCACAAGCGGTAACGAGCATCCAGTAGCAAGCAAGCAAGCTAGCATAGACGCGCCCCCGATAAAGTGCACATGTGCAAATATGCCTGCAGCGCTGCCGTCGACAACGGACTTGTCTATGTGCAGCCAGTGCATGACACCGATATGCGTCCGTTCACGCTTCGTCTGCATCGGGCCAGCAACTGGTCTGATGATATTCTCCAGGCAGCGATTGAGATGAACCTGTCGTGGGGCTGTCTGTTTATGGAAGCGCGCCATGTAGGTGTACCTGGCCAAGAGTTGGTCATGGAAACAAGGACGCCTCTCCATTCCGTCGTTTTGCGTCTCGTGTAGTACTCGAATCCGATATCCACCGGTGCATCCAAGGCGCTACGTTCAATGCCGTGGAGCGTGACCTGGAGACACTGCCGGGTTTCCGCTTCGTGCGTGCCCTTCCTGAGACTGTTTCGCACCGCGTTTCAACATGTATTCGGGAAGGACGCGTCTTTAACGCTGCTCCTCGGTTCCATCCATCACAGTCTGGTCATGAACAGACACGTCGAACGTGCGCAGCAGAAACGGGAACCCCAAAAACATCTCGTTGCGAGGCCGTCTCCGCTGGCTCACAGGCCGTATGATCGCGCATTGCACTACGACCAAGTCAAGCTAAAAGCATGTCGTTTACCACTCGAGGTCTGTGCGACCGCGCTCTCCAACACACTAGGTATTTTACACAACATCACTTCCACCAGGGCTTCTCACCAGTTCGAAAGTCGGTCTCCTTCCAGGGTTTGATCTGTACGAACCCGTCATCATCCACTTTGGTATGTGCCAGAGCGAGCGGAAGCGGAGCTGGACCGCGCACCACCTTCCCTGTACGATCGTACTGCGAACCATGGCAAGGGCAAATGAACTTGTTCTGTGCTGCGTTCCAAGGCACCACGCAGCCGAGGTGCGTGCAAACAGCATTCAGTGCGTAGGTTTCGAGCTCGCCGGCGTCGTTCACAACAAGATACGTGGGCTCCCCGTTCAGGCCTTGCACAAGATCACGAGAGCCGGGGGGATGCGTCTTCAGATACTCCTCCTTCTTGATAGGCGTCCCGAGGGCGTCCTTGGCAATCGCGCCGCCTGAACTCTTGTTCTTCGACGGCGGCATGAAGTAGCTTGCGTATGTGCTCAGCATGATGCTTGCTGGGAGTCCAACTGAACCCAAGAGAATGAGGTTCAGCAGCGTGCGCTTCCCCATATCTGGTATGTAGTCGTCATCGGAGCCCGAGGAGCCGCCACCGTCGCCACCGCTTCCGCTCCCTCCACGCGCGTTATCAACTGTACTCGGCAGCGCATACGTCATGCGCAGTGCCACACGCTTCCTGCCCAGCGTTGTATGCTGACGTTCGACCGTACCAGGATAACACCGAGGCACCGTTCTAAACGTAAGGCTATTTGTTGTAAGCACGAACATTATCCAGCGTTATACACAACAATGAAACTGCGAGTTGCAATCAAGTAAGAACGCAAACGTTCATGCAACACGAACGGAAAAATCGTTTCGTGATCATCGACGATGGGCGGCAGCGTGCTCGCGATGCAGGGCTTCGAAGGATCGCGGCGTTCGGTGCAGCGGAATCGGGATGCCAGAGACGCCAGCACACTTAACCTTTCTGTGCCTGTGCTGGAAAAAAAGAACGCAGCTATCTCTTTGAGAGACATCAACATCTGGGAATCACTGTGGTAAATGAAGGCCAGCCACTTACTTTGAGTGTAGTGCTAGCAACTGATGGTCCCGTAACTGAGCTCCAGCACTCACCAGTTGTCAGCGAACTCATACTCTACCCCCTAGGTGGAAGGTCCAGCGAACCAGATGCGCACACGGGACCAGTGTTACGCGTACCTAATCACTGGTGGGTGCCAAGCACAGACCCGAGTCGCCAACCGACGGCAACGCTTTCCATGTACGATCACGCAGGAGAGAGGCGGCTCCCAGGATTCATCGTAACAGCCAAGTTTCTCCAATGTGTTGTGAAGCGAAAGCAAGTTTTGCATCCGCAGGCTGTCCGAGCACAAACTGACAACGAGACCCAGTTCTACGTCAGGTGAAGCATGCCTCGAGCAGACGCCGTCTGCGGTACGGCAACGCCGTTCTGTTTCTGTGCTACGACAGCACCGGCGCTACAAGCGCTATTGAGGCGGATGTTCACGGGCAGGCACTCGGCGCCCGATAGCACGTCTGAAACACCATTACATCCGAGAAGAAGTATGGGTTATGAAACTTGGACGTAAGGCGTGGAATGACGAAAGTTCCACCGCGCGCAGGCATCAAGCGCACAGAGTCGCGGCACGCTCGCCTGTGTGAGAAGTTTTCACATGGAACAAAATCCGCTGCATTTGCTGTTGCCGCTGATTTTTCTCCAATGACAAAACGTTTACATTGTACTTGGATTCCAGATAGCGAGATGGATGGGTATAGCTGATCGAAAAAGTGTCCATCATGATGCACTCTACCTCCATGCTCCGTTCCTTATACTTCCTTTCGGATGTACAGATCGTTTTGTGCGTTCTGTAGTGCGACCGAGTGCCTGCTTTGGGCACCCGCCTTAGCGCCTATACCACTGGGACGGATGCATCATGGAGATAGAACAGCGTTGCCATACCACTGAGGGCGACGGATCGAGGAACGCTTTACCTGATACAGCGTTGGAGTCCAGAATAATTCTGGGAGCCTGTAGGCTAAACAGACAGAACTTTTGGCTGCGAAAGCACGAACCGATATACTAGGAGTCTACTGCGATCTGGGCGACGACCAAACACAGCATCCCGCATCTAGTCCCAGAATGAACCGCGTTGCGGACGAGCTGCTCAGGTCTCGCCACAGCGCCCGCTACTGGGGGGAGCACGAAGCACGAGTCCGGGAGACTCGTCCGGCTCGCGGGACTTTTCGCCTAGAGGGAGGATTCTTCAGAATATGGAAACCTTTTCCGCCTTTTCAAAGTTTATCGTAGAAGGGGAAAGAAATTGCCGTATCGTTGCTCGCTAGTCGTGAGTCTCTTTTCTTTGTTCAACATAGCGCAGTCGATTTGCGCACCAGGGAGATCTGTCAGTTTCGAGTCACGACGCGTATGCTGCCGTTGAAGGGAAACGCGATCCTGATCAATAGCGTGCTGCTCTAATGTGCAAGTTGTACTTGCGTTAAAGACGTGGCAAAGTACAGTTCTTCAGTTCATTTGTGTTTCAAACCTCAAACAAGTGTATTCAACTGTTTTTTCGCAGTATATAACTGAAGCGTTCAAAGTCCGTTACAAAAAATAAAGAAGGAAAGTCATGGAAAACCAAGTCGACGATCCTGGAGGCCCAGTGTGGCTGGCCGCCAGAAAAAAAACAAAAAAATAGTGCCGAGTCCAGAAGAAAGCGAAGTGAAAAAGAAGCATTAGGGGAGGCTCTACGTCGAAGGCAGCAAGAAAGACGTCTGTACAACGAGATGGCGGTGAAAGCCTGTCTTCGTAAACATACCAAGGATCCGTACAAGGAAAAGTTGCGAGGCGCTATCAGAAACCGTGTCGAGTTCTAATCCATGAGTATTATAAAGGCGTCATCAGTACGAATGCATTTGGTGTCGGAGATGTACGGAGACGTGACGCACATGGAAACAGTCGAGGTTCCGGATGCGTTTTCCGACAAGACTTCTATTCGTCACCTGATGCTTGGTACAGGGGAATCGTCGACGAAAAAAGAGCTAGTCCATGCCTTCCACGAAAACTTTGCAGATTTCCGCTTCGAGGGTACTCGATACAAGGGTGACGGAAGTATTTACACATACGGGGCGATGAAGTACATCACGAACCTGAGGAACCATTTGACTATGAACCCGGAGCGTTTCATGATACGCACCGTCTTTGCGCTGTACCCGGGACTGTCTCGCAAAGGAGTATGGGCGATTATCAATGGGATCACGAACGATCGCAAGCATGAAGATGACAAGGAGGCGGATCTCGCGACGAAGAAAGTGCAGGATAACGACTCTGTCGTTCACGCGGACCCTGGGAATACGAATATCATAACCATCGCAGCACCCAAGCGTGGGGAAGATGGTACTGACGGTACCTTGCGTCAGAAAGATATGTGTCTTTTGAGGTTCTCGAGAGCAAGATACTATCGAGAATCCGTTATAATGAATGCGAGAAAGAAAATCGACACATGGAATGCAGGAATGAAGGATCACCTGGAAGCTTTGAGGGAGGTGACGAGCCACGGGGCGGACTTTACAGCTTCTCGGAAATTCATGGAAGTTCGTGTTGCTCATTGGGATGCGCTGTAGAAAGAATATACAAAGCCCCGGCGGGCTCGTTTGCGTATGAATTTGTATTGTGGGAGGCAGCGTGCATTCGCAATCTTTTTCAATGAGTTGCGTGCCCTGAAGGAGGACGAGCGTCAAAGTCTCGTAGTAGCATACGGAGCAGGGCGCTGGAAGACCCAAAAAGGATGTACACCAGCTCCAACGACAAGAACGTACAAGGAGTGCGCACGGCGTTTTGTTACGGTGCCTGGAGATGAGTTCCGAACATCGTATGTGCATCATGAACTGTGATGTACGCTTCAGAGAGTGGAGATGGAAAAGTGCCAGAGGAGCCCTGAGGATATAAAAAAGTACGGAGCGCTGACAGATGAGCAAATGGAAAGGAGGGCGAAAGTTCGAGGATTGCTTGCATTAGTAAGTACAACCAGTGATGGCAAGAAACGTATGGAATTCGTGAATCGTGACTTTAATGCCGCCGTCAATATAAGGAGATATGCGGTGCTGGAGAATAGACCTCCAAAGAAGACACAACAGGACTTAATTGGATAATCACTCAAGGTGGAATTATATGAGACAATATTGGAAGCGGTAGTAGGTGGCCGGTCCAAAAAACTAAGAGGCGTCTGCACGTCAGCTGAAGATGTCTAGTCTAGGGCGGGTCACTCGCCGCTATTGTACACGGCCGCTGGTGGCAACGTTTTTCGTTTGAAAGGCGTTTGCTGTCTGTCGATCGAAGCCACCATAGGCTCACACCTAACTAGAAGCCCCGGTTTGAAACTGCATAGGCAGCGTATAGAGATCCAAATCGTCGACAAGCCACTTCTTCTCAATGCTCGCGAGCGAGCAGTTGCAAGTATTTGGAGGACACACTCGCTCGAACTAACGCACCTGTCACTGCGAGCGGTTCCACATCATGGTTGTTGTAGCGCACTTACTCTACGTGACGGTTTCCGTGCACGCAACTTTAGACGAGATTCTTAGCGGTTGGGGTCGGAACTTAAAATGCGTCCTAGATCGGAGGCGCCCTGGCCTCGCAGGGCCTAGAGACACCCGGCCTCGACCAAGGTCAGGCGGGCACGTTCTTGACGCATTATTCGCACGCAAGCTTCCTTTTCCACCCAAGGACTCGTTTGATGGGTGGTGCACGGCGCCACTTCAGACGATGGCTTCGCTACCTTCTCCGTGGCCCATCGTGGCGATAAAGAAGCGTCGGCGAATCGTCTTTGCAGGGTTCTCGGTGACGCGGGCAGTTTTCAAAAGGATAACTGAGTCGTTTCAGCAGCGCTGGCTGGCGAAAACCGGAGAAGATGTCGACTTCGGTCTGAGTTTTGCGGGATCTGGTATTCAGTCACGGGCCATTCGGGACGGTCTTCCAGCGCATGTATGCTGCTTGGCGCTCGTGGATGATATCGAAAAGCTCGCACGCGGGGGCTTCATTGACCAGGCGTGGCGGATGCGAACCCCCTACAACGGTATTGTTGCCCGCTCGCTGACGGTGGCTGGATACCGTCCTCAGTTGGACGCATCTCCGTCGACGGATAAGATATGCGAGTGCTTCTACGATATTTTGGCGAAGAATCTTGCAGTCATTACAGCGAATCCGAAATCAGCGGGAGCTGCACGGTGGAATTTTTTAGGGTTGTGGTCCGCGGCGCGCTCCGGAACTATGCGCTTCGAACCGACATTTATTCAGAATGCGCTGCAAGCGAGGGACTCGACAAAGAACGCGATCCTCCATCGAATGCTCGAGACGGAGAATGACTGGATTGCTTTGGCCTTTCTCAGAGAGGTGTATCTCCGGGCTCCGGTGCTCCCGCGGGACGGACGCGATGCCACCGATGTCTTTCTGCGCCAGGAGCTGGGTGACGTGCTAATAACGTACGAGAATGAGGCCATTTTGGCTCAGATGCGGGGTCTTCCCCTCGCGTACAGCATACCATCAGCGGAAGCCAACTGTCTCATTGAGTTCCCCATCAGCGTAGTGGACCGGAACGCAGACCGCGAGAAAGTTCGGGATGTCGCTGATGCTTTTGTGGAATATTGTTTCAGCGACGAAGCACAACAGATTTTTGCTGACTACGGATTTCGCCCGGTTTCTGAGCGAGTGTTTCAACAAGTTCGGGAAAGATTTCCATCCCCCAGTATTTTAGAGACTGTAGATGAACACTATGGTGGATGGAGTGCCGTCATGCAGAAATTTTTCGTCACCGGGGCAGTCTTCGATATTCTTTTAGAGCAGGTATCACTTGAGCTCTTGCGTAGAAGGAGAAGTCAGAGGCGATGGATCTTCGGTGGCAGGCGCGGCCGAGGTGCACAGCAGGGCAACATTCCACACCACAAGCACGCGAACCTGGTCATGGACTCTGACGAATCCGAGCAAAGCACCAACTATGCATCAATGCAAATCCCGAGAACGAATCTCGTCGTCGTCGAATACGAGCAGCAGCAGCAGCAGCAGCGTCTATGTCGAGACGGGATATCTGACGAGCGTTGCATACGCGCGGCTTCTTGGCTGCAGTAAGCCGACGACGACGAACAGATACTGATTGCACGTATCCAACGAATAGGTCGCAGACGGTCCAACTGCTCGCTACGCAACCAGCTTCAATGTTTGCGTGTTGCGCTGCTTTTGGCGAGAAGCGCGTTGATAGCGCCGTAAAACTGTTTGGAAGCATTCAAGTTGAGATCACGCGGAACGCAGACTCGTTGGCGAATATGCTCGAGAGCGCCCCTTGCAACAGGATCCGACACAGGAGGTGTGCCTTCAACGGTTCCGTGAATCAGCACCTGTGCAACACTGCAAAGCGCTACCTCAATGCTATCCGCATCCGGCGCGTTGTCTCGGCAATGCTTCCGCATATCGTTGACGATGCGAGAGAAATTACGAATGATCGCAGCTGCTGCCTCGAGTCGAGATTCACGGACAGTCGCGGGGCAGGTGCTCTCTGAGCTGTACTCGACCCAGGGTGTGCGTTCAGCTTCGTGCAGCACTTGCTCTTGGACGCGAGTAGCCTCTGCAGACTCGGAGCGCGCGGTGGTGCATCGTCCTATTTGCGGAGGTAGGTTCAGAACCGTTGAATACGCGTTTGCTTTCAAGTACGAGGGCCGCTCCTCGATTGCCTGAAACCATGCCTCTAATCGCGGCCAGCGAGCATTTCCTCGGATCTCTATTCCCTTCCAAAACGGTATGCTGTACTCGATACGCTCCAGAAAAGGAGCAATCGCACAGTCAACGAGGCCGGGTCCATGCTCGTTCCCCTCAGCGAGCACAGAGAGAAAAGGGAACCGCGGTGATTCACGAAGCGCGTACTCCACAGCATCCATTGTTTGCAAAAACTGCTCACGGAGGCGATCTGACAGGAACGTGGACCCTGTCAGATAACGAAGCCAGTCGGAGAAGAGCCGGCGCTCCAGCCTCAAAAGCTCCGTTTTGCGACGTGTTTCGGCTGGGGAGCGGGCGTAGGCGGCTGGATATTGGCTGAACATTGGATGCTCTTCAAAAAATTCCATAATATCCATCGACTCGGTGAGCAGGGCACCGGACGGCTGAAGTTTCACCGCTGGCAAGAGTCCGCTTGGGACCATGTCTAGGTACCATCGCGGTTTGGGGTTCTCCTCCGTCTCGTAACAGCGCATTGGTATATGGACAGTACGATAGGGAATCTTTCGTTCTTCCAAATAAAACTGGACTCGCTGGCAGTACGGACACCATAGCGCGGGGTCCCGGTACAGAACGACGGGAACCTCGTCATCACCGAGCCCCGAGTCGAAGACCCGACAGACTTCCTCGAAAGAGAAGTGAACGAGTCGCTTCGCTTGCCTTCGGTCAGGTTGCAGGATCCCTTGTGGAACCTTTTGGGCAAGTTTCAAAAGACGCTCAGCCAGAACGCTACGGGCCAGTGTGTCGCTCATCTTCACTGCAGCGGACCTGTTGCACTGCGCTACCTCACGTGGTGAACGACGGACTCCAAACAGTTTAGATAGAGCGCCGTTTCCGAGACCCTCACAGCTCAATGAAAACAGTACCTGCATCGAAAGCTGGTCCGTTGCTCGTCTAAAAACCCGTATTTCACCCAGTTTCCGCAGAGATACAGTGAACGTTTTAGAGATTTTGCTGTTCAAGCCACGCGCACAAAACTGGATGCTTTGCGTTGCCAAGGCACCTGATCGAGAATGAACGCTTGTCCATGCCATGTCATTTGATCCATATTTGAGTCTACGAATGCCCAAGCAGGGACATGCAATATATCGGGTACAGTTGTCTTTCCTGTAGGCTGTACAGAGAGTCAAGTGGCGACTGTCGGAAGGTGTACACTTGTCGAGTTTCGACCAACACGCTCTCTCGAGAGCAAGCGACGTGTTTCTCGAGGCGCGGGTAGAAGTTTCCCGATAAAGAGTGCGCCGGTTTGATTGCATCGGGTCTCCGACGTTCTCACAGACGTGGCCTGAAGGAGTGTGCTGCTGCTTTATCGGTCGCCCTGGATTGTTGCACAGCCGCGACTCTGAAACACAACCCCTGGACAAGCGATCGCCAATGAGACGTGAGCCAAACAGGTTAAAATATTCCTCCCTTTTCGTCGACTTGCGAAGACGAGAAACTAATGGGAGCAAAGAAGCACCAAGTCCATAACTTCCTCTTTCTATATATCAGGATGATTACGAGTCCATCAGAGGCTCCAGCACGCCATCCGTACGGGGCTCTGAAGCCACGGAAACCGGGACCCCGAGACCAGTCGCTACTGTGGTCATGCCTGATGCGGGATATGTATCCATTAAGCCTCGGCCTCAGGATACTGCGCGGCAAGAATAGACACCAGTTGCTGTGCGGCCGAGAGAGCCAGAGCGAAATCCGATTGAGCTTGTACGGAGATGCTCCGGCTGGTGAAGCGCTGTATCGCTGAACACTGAGCCCGAATTGCTTGCTCATGTTTCCGCAACGAGTTCACCGGGATCTTGCATAGACACTGCAGCACACGCGTAATCGTCGCCCAGGTGATGCCGCGGACCAGTTGAAGTGGCTCATGCTCGCGGGCAGTTCCCGGGGATTCTCTCCGACGGGCGTTTGTGCGAAGCGGCTGAGGAAGCAAGCGCGACATCGTAGCCCAGATCTTATCAGTGCGACTGCTTGCGAACCACGGCACGAGAATGAACGCGAGCTCGATCACATCACATGCAGCTATGCGCACATCCGCACGAGTTTGGAGCATGCAGCGCGGCACGTGATCGAGAACCCTGGCTACCATGGGCAGGAGCAACCTCTGGTTCGACGCGAGGCTCTCTAACAAGCCGTGCAGGAGCTGCAAGGCGGCGCGGCGGAGCTCTGGGCTCTGCCTCTCAGTGGCAGCGAGTGCAGCGCTCCCGACACTTTCGACGACCTGTGCGAGACGGAGCAACGAGGGATCCTCTTCGACGTCATCTGCATCGGCGCGGTGCTCGCTGTCGCTCCGCAAGCATGGGTGTCGACCGAGCACTGCGCAAACCGTGTCCAGCAGTTCCAGGTTACGCAATGCACGCTCCTCAGACAGAAACGCGATGCCGCGACCGATATCCACCAGCTCATCCGAGACAAGTACGAGAGACTCTGGCCCCGCGATCGAAAAGAAAAACCGTCTCGCCGATTCAGTTGATACAACTCGAATGAGGAAACTCAACTGCGCCCGAACCAGAGACTCGACGCTGGCGAAGCCGGCGGCAGTTGCAAGAACCTGCAACGTTTGTGATGCCGCCGTCGCCAGGGCATTCGTGTCAGCAGCACTGCCGGAACCAGGTTCGAGTTCAGAATCTGCGGCAAGCGACGCATTCCGAGGGATCTTATCTTCTACAGGGGCAGTCATTTGGCTAGCTGAGGTTGCAACGGGCAAACTGACTGAGGCTACAAAAGCCATATACTTGTGCAAACAGCGACGCCGGAAATCCACAACGTCTCGCGCTGCCCAAGCAGCATATACCCGTATGCCCCGAAGGATCTGGATGAGAGTCGCGGGATCGTGTCGAGATTCCTCGCCGATTTCCAGATAGACAGAGAGAAGGTCGTCGCCATTCGATCGATTGGACACAGCCTGGCTTGCGTCCGGATGCTCTCGGGAAAGCGACCCCTGTAATAGGTTGTTAGCGAACGACAGCAGACTTTGTAAATGCTGGGCTTGGGCATCGCTTTTCCGACTATCAAGACGGCCGAGCATAGGGTCCAGAAGCGGGTCCATGGCTCCCGCATAGCCCAGCAACTGAACCAGATCACAGCGTTCCCCAGGGAAGAGGCGAGCGTTTGGCGGAGCGCCCTCGCTAGCGGCTTCCAGGATCCAAACCCCTGGGCTAGCAGGGCCCGCACGTGCATCACTGTCATGAATAGCTAGCAGAAGATCGAGGATATTCCTGCGCTCGTAGAGATACTGAACAAGGCGCGGCAGCGCAGACGCTCTTTGACACTGTCCCAGGTACACGAGAAGGCCAGCAGCGCACCTCATTCGCCTGCGATGCCAAGGACGCTCCGGGTCGTCGGAGAATTCCCCCAAATCCTCGCCGATCCCGTCTAGCGCTCTTTCCGCTAATACGCTATCATAGAGCGCTTCGATAAATCGCAGTGCACGGGCAGCGAGCACAGCAACCTGGTGATGTTCGCTCGTGAGATATAGCGCCAGGTTTGCAAACAGCATTGGCACGTCATCTGCAAACGCATCCTGCATCCGAATGGATTCGAGCACTACAGTGCAAAGATACACACCAGCCGCCTGCACCAACGCCGACGGATGATGGTGCAGGGAGAACGCATTGCAGTTTTCGACGAGAATCCGATTGAGAAGCGCTTGCAATTTTGGAGCTACAGCGTGAATCCAGTGCTTTGTGTCCGCTTTGGAAGGCACCGGGGAAGCGTGCTCGGGAGAGACGATGCCCACTGCGGACTTGGTTTGTTGCCAGTTGCATCCGCTGGTGACTGACGCTGGCGCCGTCATCGATCCAGTTACCTCTGTTCCTAGAGAAGGTTCCAGTGCACGTGCGAACAGGGTCCCAAAGCATGTAGCAGCCTCTGCAATAACCAGCGCTCTTGTTTGGGCATCGCCTGCAATGACCGAGCACAAACCCGAACTGATACCAGGTAAGCATTGGCGCAACTCGTCTTGAGGCAAGAATGCAATAAATCTGTGCAAGAGGCGAATGGCGCTGCTTCGCTGCTGCCATTGTGCTCTGGAACGAGACAGCTCCAAAAGGAACAAGAGAATACAAGAGATGGCACCGCGGCCTGCACGCTTCAAAGCCTCGGATAGAACTGCACACGGAAAACAATGTCTGCAGCCGGCCGTGAGCCTGCGCTGCGCACGAGGACCACCCTTGAGGCACGTCGCTTCCTTGAAAGCAGCATTCGCCTCCGCCGCTTCTCGTATAACTGGGCAGGCATTCTGCTTCGGCTCTAGTTTGCGTTGATTGTCGTGAGCAACGGCCCAGAGGCGGTCTACATGGCTGCTCTGTCCATTGGAATCAGAGGCATGTTGCATCGAGTCATTGTTGGGAGGAGATGGATTCCGCGTTCGAACTACAGTATCCGGTATGAGCACGCCTCCCGCATTATCATGCTGCTCTGGCAGGTCCAGCTGCGCCAGACGCTTTGGTTCACCGGAAGCATCCCCTACATGAGAGTGAATCTGGCTTGCAAGCGGGCTGCTCAAATCGTCATCGAGCGCAAAGTTTTCATGATCGAGCCTGCCTGTTTCGAGCGTCACCTTCCTGGATGATAAGCTCTTCAGATTCTCATTGAATGTCGAGCTTCCATTGCCGAACATGCCTGACTCGAGCGACAGTTCCTGGGTTGACGGCTCGCGAGCCACGGGCGCTTCGATCCCGCGCGTTTGGTCAGTCCGAGCGCGAGCCCAGCTGGCTACACAACGGAGTGCAACCTGCGCGGGCTCTGTGAAAACTTGCGAACAAGTGCCCGTTGTGTGCTTCCATACCTGAGGCGAAGACCCGGAAACCATATTAAGAGGAAGACTCTCGAAACGTCGCCAAAGTGCTGCCTCCAGCTGTGGAACGGAAGCGTCAACAACTTGCTCATCCAGAGGCGCGCTCTGAACCGAAAACGCTGTGCTCAAAGTTCGGATCAGCGTGTCGGCTAGGGCCGTTCTGGAGTCAACAAGTCGCTCTAGTACAACAGCAACGGAAAAGAAGAGTGCCGAGAGCACAGAAACACAGACTTCTGTGCTCCGCCCTAGGCACTGCGAATCAATTTGAACCCTCTGCAGCACCTCTGTGGTGTGCACAAGACTTTCGCGGACATCCGAAAATGAAGTTTGCGACCGAACTCGCTGTAAATGAGAAGCCAGCTCGAGAAGCGTTCGGATGAACGCTGCGTTTCCAGGTTGCTCCGTAGAAAGCAGCAGCCGTGCTTTTTGCCGACAATTTGCTGGTTTCCGAGCACGTTCGTCTTGGTTCATCTAGACCGAAGGACTCTTAGAAGACGACGCTATGATGTTCACGTTGGATACACGCCCACGCTCTCCTGTGCAAGCGTCAAACACCATACTCGCAATGCTTCGGCTCACGAGCACTCCTACGAGCACTGCTGCTGCTGCTGCTGCTGCTGCGATTGCATCCCTCGACTGTGCCGGAAGCCTGCCGCCAAACTCGTACCGGCAGTGATGGTACGCTGTCGTGCGCTTCGGGCAGGATCGACCGCTCTATGAGCGCTTTCTTGATCCTTTTTTTGAAGCAGCACGATCCAAATAAGAAAGCTGATGATGCACCGCATCGAGCGCGACAGAAAAGCGGTTACTGGAAGGACCTTGTCCTGGTAGCACAGCAAATTAGGTTGTTTCAGTCAAGGTTCGGGCTCCCGAACGATCGTCTTCCAACTGAATATGAGCTCCGAAGGCACGGATATAACGGAGGTCATACGATTCTCCGAGCACTTCGATTGCACGGTGGTAAACGGGCGTTTCTGCAGAAACTTGCGCGTTTAGACGATCCAGAGGCAAAGGCGCCGTTCGCCTCCTGGCAGGAGGCGAGTCCGCAGCGAAAAGTTTCAGATGCTCGTCGGGTCGCTCGGTCTCTGAAACCAGAGTTGGAAGGACTTGCTCGGAAGCTCGGGTTACCTGGAAAGACCCTTCCGAACTTGTCTTTGATCCGTGAATACGAGCCGCTTCTGGCCAACGTCATTTGCAGTACGCCGGGCGGCTATGCCGCTATTGCTCGCGAACTGAACTGTTGCATTGAGCAGCAAAAGCCGGTCAGCTGGGCGAGCATGCGTAGATTAAAGCCTCTGCCTCTCCAAGAGCTGAAACGGGAGCTCTTGAAATTCATCGCGGAGCGAACGGTCACGCCGGGCGTGATGCCCCCGGAGCGTATCCTGGCAAAGGCTGGACGCTTCGACTTGATTATTTCCATAGAGTACCACGGCGGCAGTCGAGCAGTGGCTGAAATATGCGAGCTTCGTGACTCTGCCAGCTGGGAATACGTGCTGGAAATGCGTGATCTGTTGCGAGAATTGCGTGCCTATTTGAACCTTGCCAATAAGGGCAACGAAATGCCGAGCATCGCTGAACTCCAGCGACAAGGCCGTGAGGATCTCGCACGACTCATTCGACGACACGGGGGTCCGCTCGTGTTTGCAGCGAGGTTCGGGCTGTATGTGCCTCCTTCTCGCAGAAGGCGAGAGGCGGATCTGAAATGGGGCCCGTTCTCCCTGGCGCTTGCCGTCCGGCTCCTGGATGCCTGTTACCAGCGGGGCAGAGCAGTCGATGGAATCCCTGAACTCCCGCCTCTATCCGAGTTGGATCTTGAGCTGCAGACCGAGATTGCCGAGTACGGAGGACCAGATACGGTTGCCCGTCGCCTCGGATTGGCGTTTGCACGTCCAGACGGAGCGTCTGGCACCTTGCGTGAGGATCACTGCTGACCCGTTGTGCGTGTGTTGCGCTTAATTCCATGTAAAATTTTGGTGTGCTTGTTCCAGATCGTAGAATGGTAGGTTTTGTTTGCATGAAGACCGTCTAGAGTCGGAGGAAACACGCCGCGAGTCCGCAATCGTCTCATTCACTGAGGCTGGAGCACCGAATCTGCATCCTCTGGGTCGGATCTCCTGAGAATACCCCAGAAAGCGGAATGGTTGCATCTTTTCGGGAAACTGGCGCGTGGAGCATCCTTCTTCTGCGTCGCATATCTTCAGAATAGCACAGAAATCTGAATGCTTGAATCATGTTCGGAAGGAGGATGCTTCCGAACTGGGCGAACGAAAGCACTGTGCAGTGCACATGAGGTCATCGCGAGCGCTGCGATGCGCATAGCTCCACTCATGCTCCGTGCTGCCTTAAACACACAGGATGGTCAGACGAAACCATCGAGAACTTGCACAGTTTATGGCGCTACCAATGGAGCTACAAGTACATGGAGTGACCAAACGAAACCGACAAGGCTTGGCACGAACTTTGCCGCTGCATCCGCTGCCTACTGATAAAGAGCGCTGCATTTGGCAGGCGCCCCGCTTCAAAAAGTCGCCTCGTTTTGCCCTGGGGCTCGTCGCTCAGAATCCGTCTTTAGAAGGTAAGTGGTTTACCCTGTGAGTTGCAGACGAAGACTCTGCCCCATCACCGCGGCACGTAAGTGGCTTGAAGCAATTCCTCACTGGGCAATACAAGAGCTCCTCTGTTCTTCCTAACACAAGTATGCATCCGGCAAGTGCACGTGCGGAGCTAGCGCCAGCGTCGTGACCGACGGGTGATACGCAACACTCCCAAAGTGTATGTATTGGTTCAGCCGCTGCCACCGTTCTGTGGCAAGTCCCTAGCTAACAGCTGCATCCAGGAACCGTACCAGTTATCGTTGCCGCCCGCAAGTTCAGCCGCGTCACACAAGAGTCCCATAAGCAGCATGCGCCACAACGCCTGATGCATCGTTCTGTTCGGAAAGATGCGTTCAACTCTTTGGCTCGCTGCTCGGCACTTGGGCAACATGCAGCGGCTGCTTCACGATGACGCCAGTGACAGGCCCAAGTACGGAGCAACCTTTTTGACTCGTTGCTCGTGGCGCTCGCGCTCGCAACCAGGCATCATGCCTGGTGACAAACCAGCGCCAACGTAGAAGCACGCGCGCGGATTAGACGCTGTAAAATAGGTTAGATTCTGAAACTTGTTGTCTCCGAACGTAGCAGAACGCTCTTCAGAACGTGAAAACATACGTAAACGTGCCTCTGCCGGTGTCGGGTGCAGCGGGCTTCAGCGTATGGACAGATACGAACGTACTGACAGAACTTAACTTGCTCGTTTGTTCGGTTTCTCTCTGTTGTGCTACTTCCAAGAGGCGTTTCGAGGAAGGTGCCCCAGTGCACCGGAAGTTTCGAAAGAGCAAGACTGGTTCATTCAAGGGCACTGAAGGGTTTTTTCTCTTTAGCTCTCTTTGGCAGAGTGCTTGCTTCCGACGAGTTCACCAGGGGGCACGAGTCAGCGCTTTTACAGCGCTGGTCCGCCTGGCTTGACTGAAGTAGGTTGAACACACTCTCGCCACTGTGCCAAGCCGAACTTTCGTTCCCCGAACCCAGGCAGTGCGGGGCAATGACTGCGACTGGTTTCGCAGAGGCAGTGAAGCCCACAAACCTTCTGAGCGCGCTCCAGGGAAACAGGGTGTCCGTGCGCCTCAAATGGGACCTGGAGTACACCGGCCTCCTCGCATCGTATGACTCGTACTTCAACCTGGAGCTGGAGCATGCGGAGGAGCTTCAGCCGGACGGCTCAAGCCTTCCGCTAGGCGACATGATCATTCGCTGTAATAACGTTCTTTATATCCGCGACCTTCGATCCACAGTGCCGGTCCCGCCTCTATCTTGATCAGCATTCTTTCGGATCCATTCCGAACGTTTGCGATGCAGCAGTTTGTCGCCGTATTCCGAGCAGTTACCGCAGGGCTGAACCCCAGGGATGCACAGATCGAGGGATACTCCCTTGCAAATCATTCAATCCACAGACGCATCCGTCTCGGGGTTATACGCTTACGGTTTCCTTCGCTTGATACGCCCTTACGATATCGAGGAAAGTGGGTTTCAGACTCGCCCCACCGACCAGAAAACCATCGACGTCAGGCTGCGCAGCAAGTTCAAGACAGTTTTCCGGGGTGACCGAGCCACCGTAGAGAATTCGCATCTGTGACGCACAGGCTTCGCTGACCTGCCGACGAATCCAGCTGCGGATTTCCGAGTGGGCCTCTTGTGCCTGAGCCGCCGTCGCAACCTTGCCAGTTCCAATGGCCCAGACAGGCTCGTACGCAATAACCACTTTGGCCCAGTCGTCGGCGCTGAGATGTGCCCTTACCGCCGAGAGCTGCCGCTCATTGACCTCCCGGGTGCGGCCGGCTTCGCGCTCCTCTAAGAGTTCCCCTATGCACAGAATCACGTGCACGCCTTTGTCGATAGCGTATTTTGTTTTGCGACCAATGACGTCATCGCTTTCCCGTATTTCCGGTAAATGACGCCTCTCCGAATGCCCTAGAATCACGTGACTAAGCCCGATATCCCGGATCATTTCGACCGCAACCTCACCGGTGAACGCTCCCGGTTTTCCGACCCAGCAGTTCTGCAGTGCTACCCCGAAATCAGGCCGCAAAATCGATCTCGTCAACATGGCATAAACCGATGGCGGTGCGACAACGACTTCGACCCTGTTAAAGTCGATGTTTTTCCCAGCGTTGAACGCTTCGCACAGCTCCTGGACGGACTGCTTCGAACCGTTGCATTTCCAGTTGCCACCCACGAAGAACTTCCGGGCGCTTTGGGCGGACATGAATAGACGTGTACGTGCTGTTCTTACGATGCGCAAGCGCTGTGCGTAGCTCTCCGCCTTGCTACTGACTGCGCGGCTTGGCACACCGAGCGTCACAAACATGTTTGGAGTACGAACCCGTCGTTGCTGGCCACTGATGCAGCCGATGAGCGCAAGTCGCCGAGACTATCCACGGTGTCCAGTAATGTGCGTGTTTATACATTTTTTTCTTGATCGCCTTTCGAGGCAGCGCATACGACGCGCTCGCCCCGTTCATGCCAGCGGTGACGCACGCTACGCTGGAAGCGATCGCTGCGATGACTACATTCCAAGTCCGAGACCCTTTTCCACGCATACCGAAGAGACAGTAAACTTTAGCAGCGTATTGTGTGAGATGTGTCATGCAGCTGCCGAATGCCATTCCGTGAATGGCCTCAAATGGCGGAGGATTTGTTATTCGAACGGAATCGATTGTTTCACGCGAGATGTTCGGTGAGCTTTCAGCACGGTTTTTGTGGATCGAGTTGCGAACGGCCGTTGCCAAGTATTATCGTCCGTGAATCCAGCGCAATGAATCGCTTCGTCAAAGCGTTGATTGAACCTGAAAGACCGAAACCCTGCAAGAATACCGTGTACGCATATACTATAAATAGCGATAGAGGAAGAACGGAGGCTCGTACGTATGCATCAGATAAAGGTATCCGTTAGTTTACAAAAACCTATTTGATTGCGCCGCAGATCTGCTTTACTCCGGTGATGGCACGAGTGCCAGCGGCGAACTGGTCAAAGCAGTTGCCCCGAACAGGCGGCCGAGAACTCTCCAACTGCGTATGAATCGACAAGTCCCTAATGCTCCATTTCAGAACCTCGAGGCTGTATGCCTGGGAAACCTTCGAAAGAATCTCAGAGCTGGAACAGATGGCAACGTTTCTTGTTTAATTGTTATCGGACACGACAAAGGCGGTCACCAGAAGCGTACAACTCGGAGTTGGTTCATCCCCGGTGCAGTGTATAGCAGGAGATCGACATCACGATGCAACGCTTTGTATAGATCGTGGATGAATTACGTGCTGGACATTAATTCCTTACTGAACATTGTAAGAGAGACCGCATTCCTCCCTCAGGTCAGTCATACAACAGTGCTCAGATGGTTGCGGAATAACGGAATAAACATGTATGTGCAGTCCACGCAAAGAACTGATGTTCCTTAAGTGTGCTTGCAGTCAATGGTAGAAAACGACCAATAGATCACGCTCTAAAAAGCAAAAGTGACGCTGATAGCCGCCGCGGGCGTCTCTGCTTCTCAATAGCTTGAGCGTGTTGACCAAAAAACATGGGGATGCAGTCGCCAAGGAGAGTGCTAGTTCATGCACTGCCGTCTTGTACCGAAATAGCAACGACAGAGTTCCTAGAACGTCGGGATCCGTACGAAGCACTGGAACCTCGAGTTGCTTTTTTAAGGTGATAAGACTTCCTCTTGACGAAACGGTCAGAGCGTGTACGGGTATTCGCGGAGCAGGGAGCACGATGTATGCACTACCGAACTTTAAGAGAACGAGGACACTATCTGTTCTAGCTGGAGTGGATTCTTTTCGCGGCCTCAGTTCCGCTAGTAGACAAGGTTCATACAATAGCTCCAAACACTGTATCGAATCATTGAAGACTTTACCCTGACGTCTGGCGACGTCCGCCCATTGGACAAAGTGGCATTTTCCAATTTCCCTAGCGGTCGGGCTTTCGCCGATTTTATCGGGGCAGAGCTGATTTTCATTCCTACGTGCATTCCGTGGTTCAGCCACATCGAAGGAGTGTTTTTACCCTGAAACGTCATGATAGTTTCAAGTGCGAATCCCTGAAGCGTTCAGCACATGGTGACACACCGGGTACATTTTATCTGTCTTGCGCAAATCCTTCTCCCTCTGAGAAAGTCCTCACCAAGGGGCATCAAGAATTGCGTTCATCTAAAGAAATAAACCATCCAACGGATGAGCTGAAGTGTGCACTTCAGAAGGTCGAGATGCAACGAAGGCAGCGGAGCGCTCCGGCGATCGAAAAGCACAGAGCGCCGCTAGAGCGCTAAATGCCACAGAGGGCGCGATTTCAAGGACTTCTGCTACTGATGCGTTCCATCGTCGTCAATAAACGCGTGGAGTTCGTGAACCGAGACTCCAACGCTGCCATCCATATCAGAAGATATGCAGTGCTGAGGACGAGACCCAAGGAACTGACGAGAGCCAACTTTATGGGGCAACCTCTCAGTGTCAAAGTGTACAAGGGCAAGCTGAACCCCCACAGCAGGGGGCCGGTCAAAAACGCCTGGGAAGCGTCTGCACGTGGGTATTCATTTACTCTGTATGGCCGCGAAACGTTTCCGCTTCCTTGACTGTGGAAGCGAAATCCGTGGTGACTTTCACAGCATTTTGGCGCGCTTTCGAGCAGCGCGCGCCAGATCCGCCGATGATCGCTGTGTTGCGCCTGGCGAGCAGCTCCGCGTGGCAAGACAGCGAGTTGTGTCGCGCGGCTGCTGCGCTTATCCAAGCCTGGGTTTCTTTGAACATAGTGCTCAATGAGCAGCGTATTTGAATGCCATACTGAAATTGAGACAGAATGTGTTCATGACGAATCCTATGGAACCTTCCGCGAACCTCTAGTCTATCGCAGTCAAAGACTATCAACGCAGACGCTACGCGAGAAGCTAGCCTTGTTGGAGCGGCGGCTCAATCCACGCCCCTGGGATGCGCGTACTGCCCAGAGCGAAGTGCTTCTAGTCAACAAAAAACCTCGCTTTTGTGTGGAGGGTTTTGAAAGGCTTTCTGGGAACTACTCTGGAGAAGAACTGGTGACAGCAGGAGCTGGTGCGCCGGCGGACTCTGCCGCGAAGCTCGCGACGCCAGAAGCGGAAACCTGGGTGTATTGCGCCAAAGCCGCTGCAGATGGTTGCGGCTCTTCGGTGTGTCGCCCAGGACAGAGTGATTCCAAGTCAGGTAGTGAAACTCGGCGAACTCCGATACCGCGTGGCGAACGAGTGCCTGGGAAAGTCGATGTCGTAGCAGCGGCGACGATAACGTCAGGGGCCGCAGAATGCGCGGATGCCTCGAGTGTAGATGCGAGCGGGAAACACACAGACCAGCTGCATCCTGGTCAATCTTCGTCATGTACGGACAACAGGTTCCAGGCGGAGATTCACGACCGTACTCCAGAACATAGAAACGAGAACGATCTGCGCTGCCCTGAGAGCTGTCACCGCCGCGGGTGTGAAGCTGGCGCAACGCCACCGCCCGGTTCGCAGTCAACGAGTCCCGGCAACTCTTGCAGCGTTGCGGAGACTATTCTAACCGTCTCGCGATTCGAAGGTAGAAGTGGATGCCAGACAGAGCTCGGCTCGCAGACACCGTCGCAGACTCCAGCAGCAACCGTCGATCGTAGCAGTTCGCCGGTAGCTTCCAACAGCGGGGAGAGAAGCTGTCGAAGCGAGCCGGCTCGCCATGCGCAAGAGTGGACGACCCCTGCCGCGGTCGCGGGTCAAAGCACCATGAATAGGCCCCGAAAGAGAAAAGCGCGCGTGCCTGCTGCGGAGGAGAACAACGGCCTCACACTGGATCAGTTTTTTTCGCGAGCGGAGAAAATGACGCCAAGTGCATCGGCCGGAGCCTGCACGTTTGAGATGGATTCCATTGAGAGCGGGAGCAGCAGGGTGAGCGCTGCGGATGACGCTCCTGGATCGCAGAGCATCGCGGGTCAGCAGGACGCGCGGCTTGTCAAAGCCACCGCCTCTGTGGAAGAAATCCACAACCAGTATGTGCTCCAAATCGAAGGGCTCTCCACACAGCTCGAGGAGCTACGTGCTGTGGCGTTCGAGCTCGAGTCTACACAGGAACGCCTCTCCCAAGTAGAACGCACCGCCGGTGCACTCCGAAATGCGCTGATGGATGCCCTGCGGGAGCAAGGCCGACTCGAGCGAGGGCTGAACGCCCGGCTAGTCGCTGAAAAGTGTCAGAGGTTAGGGCAACCAGTTATTGCTCGCAGCGGCACTGCCCTGCAAGAAGTGTGGGAGGACGGATCTGAGTTTCAGCGTCTGAGTGAGCGTCAAAACGTCATCGCCGCGGAGCGAGAATCCATCGAGAGGTCACGGAAAGAGCTTAGCAGACTGCGCCGCCCCGCTCCTGGTCAAAATGATGCCACTGCAGATGCCCCGCAATGGCTGTCTATGTACATCGCAGAACAAGAAGAGATCTTTCGCGTGCGAATTCAGCTTCTGAAACGAGATGAAGCCGCTCTCGCCGAAGAGAGAGCGAAACTGGAATGCGAACGCGCAATGCTTCTGCGTGAACTGAAACGCGTTCGCGATGAGAGTGCCTCTCGATTCCGAGAATTTCCACTGCTTGCCGATCGGTATCTTCTTCTCCGCTTGCTCGGTCGCGGTGGCTTTTCTGAAGTCTGGAAAGCCTACGATATCGAGCAGGCCCGGTATGTCGCATGCAAAATCCACCAGCTCCACGCCTATTGGAGTGAATCGCGGAAGAGCAACTACATCAAGCACGCTACCCGCGAGTATCGAATCCATGCGACGCTCAAACATCCCCGTATCGTGAGCTTGTACGATGTGTTTGAGATCGACGACCACACCTTTTGCACAGTACTCGAGTACTGCGGTGAGGCCTGTGACCTCGACACCTATCTCCGGATGAACCATCACGTATCGGAGCGCGAGGCCAAGTCCATCATTGCACAGGTGTTGAGCGCTCTCCTCTATTTGAACTCACAACCCAAACGGATCATTCACTACGATCTCAAGCCTGGTAACATTCTGTACACAAACGGAGAGGTCCGCATCACGGACTTTGGCCTCAGCAAGATCATGGACGAGAACCTGAACACCATGGATGGAATGGAACTAACTTCGCAAGGCGCTGGCACCTACTGGTACTTGCCCCCAGAGTGCTTTGAGGGCATCTCTGCTACGAGCGGCGCCACGGGTCCTCGAATCAGCAACAAGGTGGACGTCTGGAGTTGCGGTATCATCCTGTACCAGCTTCTTTACGGTGTCAAGCCATTCGGAAACGACCTTTCCCAGGAACGAATTCTGCGTGATGGCACGATCCTCAAAGCGTCGGATCGAGACCTCTTCTTTCCGGCAAAGCCAGCGGTATCCACGGAGGCCAAAGATTTTATCCGTCTATGTCTCACGCGAAATCAAATGGATCGACCCGATATTCGCTCTATTGCGATGCACCACTATCTTCGAGGGACTATAACGATGTCCTAAATGGTCACCCGAAAGCCAGTGGTGTCCTGAATTTCGCCTGCAAACCCATGGAGCTCACAACCTACAGACCCACAAGATCGAGATGATTCTTCACAAACGCGAAATCACCCGGGTTCGTGAGCTCAAGCGGCGTGCGAATAGAATTGCACGACAACACCATGAGCTCGATCTGTGCGTCGTGGAGCAACTCGTTCAACATTGTGGACAGAATGTATTCCTTGTGCGCGTACACGTCGTTCTCGTCAGTGCTACACCGTTTCACGCTCTGCTGCTGCTGCTGAAGATGATGATCGTCACGCAGTGCCTCCAGCTCGGACAGAAAGCGTCGAAACCGCTCGTCGGCCCGAGCGAAGATGCTCGTATCGTGGAAGCCGAAAACGTTCATACTCGTGAGCTCGTCGCCAGTATAGCGACCTTCCTCAATATCTTCGAAGCCGATGTTGTACTGTTCGACAATTTCTAAAACTCGGTGTCGCTCATCTGTCTGAACGATGGCACGGTTAACTCGCCCTTCCTTGGGCAGCACTTCGCGCAACTTGTATCCAGGCATGCACGCGGTTTTCGCCGCCGTAATGTGATTGCATACCAGTGACAGAGCTGCCACTCCGTATAAGGAATCACCATTCAGCACTATGAAAGGTCCATGAATATGCTCCCGCGCCGCAAGCAGTGCGTCCACGGTGCCCAGCGGTCGTTTTCGCCACGCCGGTACCCGTTGCACGCAAAAGTATACTGGGAGCCCATAAAACTGTTCGCCAATGAGGGCGTGAATCGGTAAGTGTGTAGCCTCCGACACCACGAAAACGAGACTCGATATCGCTGGATAGGCCTCGCAGAGTTGACGAACAGAGAGTTCCAGGAGGGTCTCGCCGTGGCGACCCACCTCCTGGAGGCACTTGATGCGCCCGCCAAACCGGGAAGAAAGCCCTGCTGCGAGGTACACCGCTTGAATTGTCGGTTTCACCGCTTCATTCTCCCTCATGGGATTGTAAAGAATCAGAGTAAACGCTCAACAAGTGGCAGTGCCGACCAGCGTGCCACGTTGTCGCCGCAGGCGCTGGGGCGCGAGAGGTAAGCACCCGCGGACAACTGGCTAGTCTGCGCTGCGTATCGACGGCCTGAGGAGGTGCGCGCGCGCGCGCCCGCGCCTCTCGGCGGCATTTTGACACGATATGCCTGTGATACCTCTGATGCTACTGCCTCTGATGCTATTGCTGATGCTGGTGCCTCTGATACCTCTGATGCTGGTGCCTCTGGTGCATCTGGCGCTGATGCCTCTGATGCTGGTGCCTCTGATGCCTCTGACGCTGCTGCCTCTGATCCTAGTGCTGATACTAGTGCTGATGCTGCGTTTCTCTGGGTGCTGCAGACACACGCGGTGTCGAGAAATCGATGACGCGACCCGCATATCCTTCCCTCGGTTATGGAGTAGATTTGCGATGTGTGTAGCGCTAATGCAGATTTGTAAATTCGCTCTTAATGCAGATACTTGACAAAAGGGTGGCGCGCTCGCGCTAGAACGCAAGAGCGAAACAAACTCGCACAAGCGCACCTCTGATCTGAGACAACGAGGCAGTATTACGGGAAGACACTCATGAACAGCGAATCCGCATTCCGAAACGCTTGGCAAACGGATCGCTCTCGCCTAGCACGTGTCATGCACCGTACCTGAAAGCGATGTTCCTGCTGACTTTTCGTGAGGTGCTCTAGCCGGCCCCGAGCATAGCACTGTTCTCGTGCAGAAAGCAGTGTATGGTGTCTAGCGCGCCCGCTTCCAGTACCGATCGTGAGCATATGGACTATTCCTGGCATGAGACTCCGAGCCCCAGGCCGCAGTTCCCAGATCAGCGGTCGATATGCAAAACGCTCCGTGATTGCTGCCACAATCACTCTGCAGATCACATCTTCGATCATAAGGGAAACGCGCATGAGAGCGCGTCGTTCCCACGGTCCTGAAGCAGCATGCTCCGCCCGCACATCATAAGGTATCTGTGCTGTGGAGCCGCCAGCACCCCGATGCTGGGGCAGCAGCGCGAACTCGCGGCTTTTGTGGAGTCCGCGCACCCCGAAACACGCCTGCAGGGCCATGGGCACGGCAAAAGCAGCCACCGTGTCTGGCAGAAAGCCACAGCACCACTTTCATGGCTTGTCGTGGAGAATTTCGTTTCCGGTTTACAGCAACTCGGAATGAGCGTACAAGGCGTGTGCACCTCGTTTCGCTACGATACTTATAGATGAGTTCCGAACATCGTATACACACCACGAACTGGGGTGTACACTTCAGAAGGTCGAGCTAGGAAAGTGCCAGCGGAGCCCTGAGGATATAAAAAGCACGGACCGCTGACAGAAGCGCAACTGGAAAGGAGAGCGAAAGTTCGTGGACTACTTGCATTAGTGAGTACAACCAGTGACGGCAAGAAACGTATGGAGTTTGTGAATCGTGACTTTAACGCCGCTATCAATATCAGGAGGTGTGCGGTGCTGGAGACGAGACCTCCAGAGTTGACACGAGAGAACTTTATTGGACAACCTCTCAAGTCGAATTATATGAGACAAGATTGGAAGAAGTAGTAGGTGGCCAGTCGAGAAAAACTGGGAGGCGTCTGCACGTCAGTGGGAGACGTTTCGTATAGGGCGCTGGTCGCCACTACTGCACACGCCCGTAGTCTTTCTCACAATGCTACGGTGGTGGTGGTGGTGCAGAAGATTCAAAGCAAACTTGCCAGTTTCTACGCTGCGTGGTGAGCAGCTTTTCGGCTCCGCGCAGCACCGAAACCTAACCCAGTCGAGTTATGTCGGCGAGAGCGTCTACTTGTGGCAGAACAAGGCTCGCGTTCACGGGCTTGTGTCGCCACGCGAAATAGCTTGCAGTCCGCGCTTGAGAAGCATATTAAGCGGGGCACTGAGCCGACGTGGTTACTCGACTCCTGCTTCGGAGAGTGTCGACGTTCAGCGGCGTCTAGATGAGCAGCTCCGCGCCAAGGCTGCTATTGCGCTGGACCCGCAGGGCCTTGCGACAGTTTTGGCCGACTCGACCCGAATCGAAGAAGCTAACGCCACAGTGCAGCCCGATTCTACCGCGAACGAAACGCAGGCACAGCAGCGACGACGTCGACGACGTCTGTATCCCGACGGTTCCGTGAACGCTACTGGACGACGGAAGACTGCCGTTGCAGTCGCGCGTCTCTTCCCGATAGAGTCGCCCGGAGGTCCGCAGTCGACCGCAGTCGATCATGAGACGCTCGTGGAACCCCGCTTTCGCGTCAATCGTCAGGATATCGCCGATTACTTCCTTCGTGTTGATCATCGTTTGGAGATCATGCGCCCGCTGATGCTCACCGGTATGGAGAACCGTTTCCATGTTCATGCGTTTGCACGCGGCGGGGGCATCACCGGCCAAGCCGAGGCTCTTCGACTTGCCATTGCGCGAGCTTTGGAGGATTACGACCCTGAGCTACGGCGTATACTCAAGCCGGCAGGTCTTCTCACGCGAGACCCTCGCATGGTTGAGCGGAAAAAGTACGGTAGGCACAAGGCCAGAAGAGCCTTTCAATGGGTCAAACGATAAACTGGCTAGGATTGCTTGCGGTTAGCTTGTGCGCCGAACGCTGGTGTCTCAACGCGGAAAATGGCAGGACCCGGGGGCATGTCCACTGATACTCTATGATGTCGAATGACTGCGCAGCGTGACCGTCTACATATTGCTCGAATCATATCCGTTTGCTGTATATACATAAAGCTTTCAAAGCTTGCTGGATCCCTGAACCGTACCATACAAATGCCTTGCTCCAGGCGAGAGGCGAGGCCCCTGTCTCCTGGCCTCTGATTGTCTTCGCTCGATGGTCGGCGAGAAGAGGATTCTTTTCGTTCTTTTCAGGAAGCCAGTAGTAACCGCCCTCTAGCATCCCGAAATCCATGTCCACATCACTCCCTTAGATTTTCTATTTCTTCGAATGAATGCGTTTCGAAAACATCTATAAATCGCGAAAAAGCAATTTGATGGCACGAACCTGCGGACGGAATACCTTTGACGTGAAAGATTATAAGTGTACGCGTTTCAACGCGAGGCCAATGACGTGCTGTTCAACGCGTGACGGGTTTTCCACAGAAGTATGCGTTGTTCTGTGTCCATTCGTATCTCTTTATCGGAGCTCGAATCCACAGTATGAAGGCTTCACATCCTCTTACTCCTTGCTTACCATTTGCTGGAAAGCATATGGAGTGGAATGCGTTGACAAGAACGTAGTTTTGTAGACAGCGTTTGATGCGTTCTGTTCTTTCGTGCAATTCTTTTCAGGACGAGCATTACGAGACGGATGGATCATTCACCAGCTGACCGGGGAACGACTGACTTGTGCATGGAACACGCTTTTCCGTAAGCTGGCAATGACAGCCCAAATTTGTTGTGCGACCTGTCTTCAATCTACAGAATACATTCCCCAAGTTGCATACCGAAGGGAAAAAACAACGTGCGTATATCGCAACAGGTGCTCCAGAATGCACCCCAACACATCCATCGACCCGCGGATACGCATATGAAGCTTTGAACTGTTACGTTTACGCATCGATACGTATATATTCACGCAGACGCATGAACGCATGCTGGCATCAGTAACCAGAAACGAACGCATATCACTGCGCAGCGATCACTGATGTACGTCTTCTGTAACGTGTTTCATACAGCTTGCATGCTTGCCAGAACAACGAGCGTACTACTCGTGCTTGCTGGAGCACTTTCAGCATCTTACAGTATTGGACCAAATCGAGACTTTTGGCTGGACTCCAATCGTCGACGACGAGGCGGGGTGACAGATATCCAGCGCGTCAAGAATCGTGTCTGGACGTACTCGGTACCAGTACTCGGTTTTCGTACGCGTTCTCGAATGCTGGTATTACGCACAATGCAATGCTTTTTGATGCTCTTTGGATGCTTGTGGTGACGATCGTGATCCGCTGATATGCTCCATTCGTATCCTGTCGAGAAAAACGACACCTCCGCATCATCACCCTGATTGATCGCTTTCATGGATCGAAAAGGGACTCGTTCGCGTTCCTGCAGCAAAATCAAGAGGAATCCTGCGCGGAAACAACATGCAACCACAAAGAGCTGGCCAGCACTCATAGATCCACTTTCGCATCCTCCACGAGCGCTTTTCGAGGTTGGGTGCTGATTGCGCCTAGTTCCGGGTAACGGGGTACCTCAAGGCGACCTCAGAGCAGCGGCGCGTTACCTAGAACGCGTGCAAGTCGGAACGAGCCGCATGATGCAAGCTTGCTGCACGAGCATTCCATGGCAATCATGGGATGTTTTCCGCAAGACTGGCGTCCTGGGACACAGCCGCCTCAGACTGCTGCGCTCGCCACATCTGGGCGTACACCGTGTTGCCTTCCCGCAAAAGACTCTGATGCTGGCCTCGTTCAATAATGCAGCCATCGTTCATCACGAGGATTTCATCTGCATCGCTAATCGAAGAGAGACGGTGTGCAATGAAAATAGATGTGCGGTTCGAGGCTACCTGCTGAATAGCATGACGAATGAGCAGTTCGGTGGACGAGTCCAAGGCAGACGACATTTCATCGCACACGAGAATGGGCGAGTTCTTCAGAATGGCGCGCGCGATAGCGATACGTTGCTTTTCGCCGCCACTGAGCATAATGCCACGCTCACCGACCATGGTTTCGTAGCCGTGTGGGAAATGCTCCACGATTGTGTCGTGGATGTAGGCTGCTTTGGCCGCGGCCTCAATTTCCTCCTTTGTTGCATCGATGCGCCCGTAACGAATGTTGTATTCGATGGTGTTGTTGAAGAGTACGATATCCTGAGGGATGCAGGATATGGCTCTTCGGAGCGAAGCGAGTTGCACCCGTTTGATATCTTGTCCCCCGATGTAGATCGAGCCTTGATCAGGATCATAGAAGCGGAAGAGGAGTTTGATGATGGTGGATTTTCCACAGCCGCTGGGTCCGATGATCGCCACTTTCTTCCCGTGCGGCACATCGAATGAGATCTCCCGGAGGATCTGATGGCTAGCGGTGCTACCAGTGCTCGGTGGGTCTGCCCAAGACGGGTACGCGAAACTCACTCCCCTAAAAGCGATGCTAGCGTCGCGCTCGAGGAAGAGCGGCAGCGCCGACGCGAGCTCGACGACGCGCGGACGCAGCTGCATCACACCAAACATCATCTCCATATCCGTTAGGCTTTGGCGAACCTCCCGGTATACTGTGCCCAAAAAGTTCAGCGGCATCGACATTTGGAAGAGGAGCCCATTCACCAACACAATATCACCGACAGTGAGTTGGCCCTGCATGACTTCGCGAGCCGCCATGACCATCATCGCAGCCATAGCTACGGTAAAGATCGCGTTCTGCCCAAAGTTCAACACCGAGAGGGACACCTGCGTTTTCACATTCTCGCGTCCGTATTTTTCAAGAAAAGCTGCATATTGATCTGCTTCCACGGACTCGTTATTAAAATACTTGACTGTTTCGTAGTTCATGAGGCTATCAGTGGCCTTATTGCTCGCCGCGTTCTCAGCAATATTCATGCTCTTGCGGAACTGCGTTCGCCACTGCGTCACCACCAGCGTGAAGATCGTATAGGCCGTGAGCGCTCCACCGGCAATAATGGCATAGCGCTCGCCGCAGCTATAGGCGAGCATACCGCAGACCAGACCAACCTCGAGAATCGTCGGCAGGATATTGAAGACAATCGCCCGCATGAGAAAGTCGATACCACGCATGCCCCGGTCAATGGTACGCGCAAGCGCACCAGTTTTTCGTGACGAGTGATAGCTCAGATCGAGGTCCAGAATTCGGCGAAAAGTCGTCAGCGCCAAATCAGAGATCGCTCGCTGACTCACTGTTGCAAAAATGGCATTGCGGAGCTCATTTGTCAGTGATGCTGCACCACGAGCTAGTCCATAGGCGAGAAGTATCAGGACGGGCCAGGTGCTCGCGTACGCTGCGGCGGGATCAACCGCTTTCGATAGCATATCGACTGCGATCTTGAATGTCACAGGAACCTGCACGAGAAGGATTTTGGAGACGAATAGTAGCGAAACGGCTATCGCTACGCGTCGACGCAGAACTGGATTGTCGCGAGGCCACGCGTACCTGCTGAGTATGCGCCCAACGCCGCGAAAAGAGGCAGGTTTGACGCCCTCGAGTCCAGCCATATCGGCGTTGCTGTGGAGAAGCTTCGACGACGTTGATGTCGATTCCGACTCGGAAATGAGGCCGAGGCTGCGAAGCCCGCGCATTACCTTCTCCGACGAGCGCTGTCGGAGTAGCAGCCAGCGCTCGGCAAGTGTCTTGGATGCTGGAGCTGGCGCGTCGGCAGGGCGTCGGAGCTTCTCTTCCGGTGCGTGTGCTCTTGGTGAACCCGCGTGGACCCGGCAACCGCGCTGAAAAGGCGATCTGCGAAATGCTTCCGAGTTCCAGAGGAGTGAGCGTTGCACCCGGTTTCTGTCATTCGCTGCTCTTTTGGTATAGTGGGCGCTGTGCATGCTATACAGCGACACTTCCTGAGCACGCACCTCATGAGTCCAACCGTTTCCTTGCTGCAAGCACCACCATTGGATCGAGGCGCTTAGCTTGCAAGCACGCTTCCGCGATGCCACTCGCGGAAACACGCACGTACTTATCCTGAAAAGTATGTGCATATTTGTAGCGAGAGCAGGGCACGCATGGAGAGCAGCAACCGGGCTGCCGCAACACGGGACGTGCCTGCTCCCTGCCTGCAGTAGCACCCGCGTGCAGCACTCGTTTCGTTGAGCCTTCGGAAACCGCCCCTTCCAGAGAAAAACAAAAGTCCCACAAGCCCGAACACCAGACGGAACTTGCCCAAATACGCAAGCAGTCCAGTTGGCTTCTTGGGAACACCAGGGCTATAAGCACCGCGTTCAGCGTACGCAACAGGCGCCCTGTCCTGAGTGTAGCTCTGTGGACGCGTCGCCGAGGATGAGCGGCTCTTGTTGCGTCGCTCCCTGTATTACTCTCGCTTGTGTTGCTGGTGGTGCGGTTTCCCTTTGGACCCGTCGTCGACATTGCAGCAACTGTGCTTTCTAGCTGCAAGCTGCCGCTCCATGCCCAAACGGAGTGGTGGTTATAGAAAGAAAAGGCGCACGCAGCCGCCACAGTCGACGGAGCCTTCGGAGTCAGAGGCGAAACCTCCGCAGTCGTTTGTTTTCCGTCGAGGGCCTGCGAGTCCAGAGGTGCGAGCCCTCTTGCTTGATCTTCGACGAGTCTTGTTACCGAATACAGCGCCTCGGCTCCGAGAGGGTGATCGATCCGATCTCAAGGATCTGCTGGACGTTGCTGGACCGCTTGGGGTCACCCATTTCGTCATGTTCCGCGAGAGTCGCCTCGGTTTCGTGAATGTACGTTTCGCACGAACGCCCCGCGGACCCACCGTCACTTTTCGTCTCGAACGCTTCTCGCTGAGTTCGGACGTGCACCGAGCGCAGCGCAGACCGCTTACGTTGAAGCACACGGACTTTGAACAGGCACCTTTGTTGATACTGAGCAACTTGGACACCGACACGCCAAATACGCAGCTGCTCGTCACGATGTTCCGCAACCTCTTGCCGCCTTTGGACGTCAAGAACATTCGCTTGGAACAGGATGTGAAACGAGTCCTCTTACTTGACTGGAATGCGACGACGGAGGAGCTCGAATGGCGACATTATGGTATTCGGATACGACCGCAGGGGGTGTCGAGGACTATTCGACGCGTCATTGAACGGCGGGGGAGACGTGCGGGAGCGCTCGGCGCTGGACACCTGCACGATGTTAGTGAGCTGGCGGATCCATCACTTGCAGCGACGCTGCTTACCTCGGAAAGCGAGGCAGAGGGACCGTCTGAGTTCCAGTTTGAGCGATGGATGCCGCCCCCGAATCCAGAACCTAGCGCGATAAGCGCTGGTGTTGGTACTGCGGTATCCGGTGCCCGGAAGCGTACCACGGGTTCAGGGAGGTCGCGGATGTCAGCAGCGAGCTACGCGCCCCGAGCTGCAGTGCGTCTCATCGAGGTAGGTCCGCGGATGACCATGCGCTTGTTGAAAATTGAAGAGGGGCTCTCCAGCGGGACAGTCCTCTACCGCGCAGCCTCCTTTAGCGCACGCGATGGTGCGCAACTCTGAACCCGTGGAGAGGTTTTTGTGCAGCGGAGCACGGACCGCTGCATATCCTTGCGGTCGTGCTCATTCGTGCCTTGTGACCGGTTCCAGCTGCACCCATTGATCAAGGGAGCGTAGCAGCAGCGCCTCCAGATGGTTAGCGCCGATGGAGTCGAGTGGGACGTGCTCTATGGCAGTGCGGTTGCCGGAGAGAGAAGCGAAGCTTGTGGTATTTTTTTACGGAACAACGTGCTCGACCCGCACTGTTTCTAACCTGCCGTGTGTGCAGATGATGCGCTTCCGGGGACACAGCAAACGTCGAAGAACACGATCCGCACTGTTTCTAACCTGCCGTGTGTGCAGATGATGCGCTTCCGGGGACACAGCAAACGTCGAAGAACACGATCCACACTGTTTCTAACCTGCCGTGTGTGCAGATGATGCGCTTCCGGGGACACAGCAAACGTCGAAGAACGTGTAGTGCGAACGGGAATTCTGAATCCGAGCCCACCAGCATAATGTACTGGAGTTCCGTTCGGAGAGCGGAGCGCGGTTGCAAAGCACACCCCAAAGCTCTTTCGGGATCCTCGTGGATGGTCGTTCACGTTCGAGCCGACCGCTTGTGGATGAATTTTTGGTAACGATACGAGCGTCGCGTAACTTGACGCAGCATGGATACGTCATGCTCGCAACGCCAGCACTAGGAAAGCGCTGGTCTGCCGCACCCCGAGCAGACTCTCCACGAACAGAACAGACGCATTCACGAGCGCCGAGCGCATATCCTGCACACTTAGCGTGCGGAGCCGCTTCGCTTGCCAGGAACGGCTGCGAGCCCTCGGCAGGCGCCAGTATCCCGTGCACGAGTCGCTTAAATCTGCATACCCGCACTGTGCTGCTGCTGTGGCAGTCACTTGCTGCAACTTGATTATGATCTGCATCATTGTTCTCGTGGAGCAGTGTCCACGGTGAGCGCTTTAGTCTGGTTATGCGTCCAGAACAAGCGCTTCCAATTGTAGCAGGGGAGAGCATCTGCATTGCGGCATACAGAACGCTGTCGTAGCTGCGCGCTCGTATCCGGCGACAGCGGTCTCCTTTAACTGGGGCGAAGAAACCGTGACGCAAGCGATCGATTACGAACGAATGCATGAATGAATGGATGGATGTTGCGCGCTTTAGAGCGTGACCCAGGGATACCGCTCGTCTTGGTCGGAACGCGTCATCAGAATACGCTCACTTGAATGCGATATGTGGAACGAACCCAGCGAAAGCGGTACGCGCTTTTCTACTCGGTTTGCCGCTCTGTCGCATGTTTCCAACGATGGAAAGCGGACTCCTGGTAGTCTGCGCGTGACGCAGTCCAGTGATTGTACGGTCGTACAATGAGCAATGAGAAGTTTGGTTTTCGTTGACAGCGCTTCGATGGGCTACGGGTGCTGTTTTCATCCGGCGCAGATGCTCAGCGCCAGAGCGTTCTCGACCTGTACGCAAAATCGGGATGCTTCATACCCGAGCTCTAGTGTTTGCGTACTCAGGAGGCCGGTTAAAGAACTCTCCAGATTGCTGTCTTGTCTGGCTCCATTTCGAACTCCACATCCAAAACAGATGTGGCCAGCGTGTGGCCCTTTCGTTTGCCGCTCACACAGAACAGCGTCGTGGTTTCCGTGCCTCGCCAGATATCCGCTCTCTCCGCATCCTGAACGAGGCGGAACAGCTCCATGTGCCGCATCTGCTCCTTGCTTTCCTGATCCTGAACATCGATGTACCCAAAGAGGCGAATTTCTTTGTCTGTGCCAAAGCCGCTGATAGGAATAGGCACTGCCCCCGGGTTGATGTAATGAACGAGAGCCCCGGTGCGAATCAGATTCACACCAGCGTGCGGTTTCTGCTCGGTCCATTTATCGGCAACGACGCCTGGGCGTAGCGGAGCTGTGTTCGACGACGACGATGTCGTCACAACTGATCGCGACGGAGAAGCCTCTTTCGACTGCAGGCGGAAACGCGTCTTGCGGACCGTATACGCCTCCCAGGCAAGGCCCGGCACAAAACCAAGTGAGGCCGTTGACGAGTTCTCTTGACCAACAGCCGGAGACTTGTTTGCGTCATGCGCTTCCTTTTCTAGACGGTGCTGCTCTTCAACAATTTTGAGAGACAGCAAGTACAGGGCACCGTAGTCAATCATAGAGGGATCTTTCAGCGCAGCAGAATGGAGAACCTCCAATTCGTGACGACCAACACCCCCGCCCAGGCGAACGACTTCGTCACAGCGGCCTGTGAGCGCAGCGGACGCTAGCAGCACCAAACGATCGTTGACATCCATGGATTTCCCATCTTTCTCGGCTTGTCGAACCGCATCGTTATACGCAGTGCGCATTTTCTCGGGATCATGCATTCGACAGGCAATGTCGAGTTTTAGTGCCGCAGAGCGAGCCACCGATTCGCGTATAAGTTGTCGAGTCTCGGCATCGGAGACAGTTGCTGCCTCCGCAGCAAGTTCATCGAATCCTCCCATTTCGAGTAGGCTCCACGCCGACTCTAGGTACGTTTTCTTCAGCTCTTCCCGGACCTGCAGCGCTTGTTCCAAGCTGATCTTGCCGCTGGACGGGTTGTACTGCGCTGCGGTTCTGGTGCAGAAAACCGTGTGGCACCACTGCGCGATGACAAAACGACAGGGCGCACTGAGCACTTCGTAGGACTCTATGGACTGCAGCTTCTTCAGGAGCTTGCGCTCCCGAGCAGTGTCGGCGTTGCCCGTTTCCTGAATGTTCCGGAGGGAGGCGTCCAACTGCCCAGCGAGCTCCGACTCGTCTATAATCGGGAGCGATGGAACGCCTCCTGTCGCAGTGTCCGTTTCAGAAGGTTTCGCCAGCGTCGTGCTTGACGAAGCAGGCGGAGGTGCTTCTGCGGTTTGTGCTGCAGCGCCGCTTGCGGACGCTGACGGCTCTCCGGTTACGGCAGCTGATTCGGAGATGATTCGATGATTCCCAGACGACCCGCTTTCGGTTTCACTCGACGTAACGTTAGCCGCTGTGGGTGCCTCTACGGGTTGCTCAGCGGCCCTGCCTTGGTACGTCTTTTCCGACTCCGAAGGATGCGCGGAAGCCGTGCTCGACAGCGATCGAAGCTGTGTGCGGGTGCTCTTGTAAAGGTAGTAACCGCCGATCGCTAACCCCGTGACAGTTGCTGCCGTCACCACATAGGTGAAAGTGCGACCCATAGTGTCTACCGGTCGAGACACGCCACACACTGCGTTTGGGCGGGTCAAGGGTGGAGGCAGCGTTCCGGCTCCGCGACGCGCGCTGCTCCGCCCGAACCCCTGGAAAGTCCTTATGATCTATTAAGTTACGTAAAAGTATATTTTAAGATAGTTTTGTACCTTAGACGCATGTCCTTGCGCAGGCTCAGTGTCGCATCGCGTGTGCGGGGATTTTCGCGATCGCGGCGCGGCCGCTGAAGGCGCGAAGCCTTGTCGACGACTGTGCGGTAACCCTGGGCCGCATCATGCTCCAGTCAGCGTCTCGGTGTCCACTGTTTTATGCGTTTTCGGGGCGCCCAGGTACCACGTGAGCACTGGGCTCTGTGTTGGATTTCACAGAGTGCCCGCTTAGGTTCTCGGCTGAGTCGCCGATGACCGGGTTTCTGCCGTATCAGCATGCGATCATCGGGAGCTCGCTTCCCATGTCCATGTATGTGCAAGCAGCGTCGGATAACGTCTACAGGTTTTATGCATATCGGTAGCAAGGTGTGAAAAGCTGAACGGCGGGAACGAATCTATGACAGGAAAGGCCGCTTCCTATCCGTTCCCTCTTTCGAAGTGAATCCTACACGCTGGTGGGAATACCATGAGGAGGCGGGTGAACGCTTCGGCTGCGAGCTTACCCCACCATATCAGTACCACTCGAGTCGCAGAGGTGTCCATTCGAATCACAGCATACGTCTGTTACGGATACGGTTGCGTCAAGTCGATTCCCGTGGCAGCGAATTTCTCGATGCACCAGCCAATGACCCCTATCTGGCGTTCTACGAAAAACCTTTCTCGAATAACAAGCGCATTTCTCACGCACTATAAGCCGGCTCGATCGAGCTGTGCAGAGAGGAAATGTAGCGCTCGCATCCGTGCCATTACCGTAGCAGCCGCTTGGCAGACCAATGGCTCTATCTGCACGTTGCGCGTTTGTATGAACAGCGTCACCCCGTATCGAAGAAGAGCTCAAAGCTGAAGCATGCAAAGGCGAATGGACCCAGAGCACCCACGAAAGCGCATCAAACACGTTCACATACCACTCGCAAACAACAAGTGTGCGCAAGCAGGCGCGCCGCCTTTGGTGCCTTTACTCTGCGGCAGGCGGCGAGGGTACGTCTGTTCGCGCCATTTGCTCAGCGCGCGACTTGAGTCCATGGTTGAACGCTTCAAAGTCCCGCAGCAGCCGCTTTCGAAACCGACCGCTGGGAAAGACATCGGCAGTAATACCTGAGAAACTCGCGGTGTGCGTAAAGAGGCATCCGTTCGTGGTAGGCTCGATCCGGAAAGAATGCCTACCCCTAAAGACCCATCCAAAGACTAGTTTTCGCTCCCAGGTGAGCTCGTTGCCTGTACGTAGCTGGGTCAGCTTTGAGCGAAAACGCCGCCCTCGCCAACCGCTATCGAGCTCCACAGTGAGCGTCGCACCCAACGCTAGTTCGCCTCGTATGTTCGAAAACAGGGCGTTCCACTCTGGATACCGCTCGAAGTCACACAGAATATCCCAGATAACGGAAGCCGGGGCCAAGATCTCGATAGAAGTATTGACTTGGACGGGCATTACCGAGCAGCAACACACACACACAGTGCAGGGTCTGCTGCAGTTTCCGCTTCGTTTCGCCAGAAACGGTGCACTGGGAAGGTGCCAGCGACGCACCGAGGCTACGTGTCGTAGTTCGACTACAAGCACGCCGCCACCACTACCTACGACTGTAGCTGCGACGAGCCAAAGCCAAAGTCGCCCCTGAAACGGGAAACACGAACGTCTCCAGTTTCGCTCAAACAAAGTGCTTCGGTTATATCGTCGAGAACAAGAGAGAGCCCGTCGCTGGCGCAAACCCGTTCGGGAGACATTAACTGGTACAACACGTGTGGAAACCGGCGCGTTGCACACACACACACACGGCGTCTCCTGTTCGAACGCTAGAGCCGTCGAGCTGAAACCGCTCCAACCCACACTGGAGCGCTGCACCTGGACACCGCGGACAGCGGCGGCTCGCGATCTGCACGTGCGCCTCCCGAGCCTGGAGCATTGCCTGTGCTGATTCGCGAGCCGCTCGCTTTCGAATGTCATCGCGACTTGTGCGCTGGTACAGCCGAACATGCATTGGTAGATCATGGTGTTGTTACATCGAGTTTGATCACAAAGGAACAGGCCCATTGAGATAACAGGGGTATCCATATTAAAGTTTGAGCGGTTTTCCGACTACCATTGAAGCCAGCCCTTGGAAGATTTGTCTGCGGCAGCTCCCTTTTCGTCTCGCTTGTCTGCAGCTTTGGATACGCGAGTCTATCCGAATTCCGCGTGGTAATTTGTCAGCATTCGAGCCATGTTATGGGCTACGTTATCGTCGGGATTTCGCAGTTTCCGGCCGACGCTCGTGCATTTGATCCATGCGCGATCGTTGCGGTCTATATTTCGCTTGCCATCTCTATGGACTCTGTAAACAGCCTCGGTGCACGCTTCGCAGCGGTGACTCTTGATTGTGGTGAGGAGTTCGCGGATGTAGACGACACGAGCTTCCCGAAACGCAGCGCTACAGCGCGTGAACGCGTGGTTTATCGCTCCGTACATGCCCTTGACGGGTACAGAGCGCTCCGCTGGATACCCGGCTCCGATTCCGCGCCCGGTATCGTACGCTGCGATTATCGACGTCCATCGGGCGATCGCTCGGCGAGCACTCTATCGGCTACAGGTGCGAGCGCACGCTGTTCCATTCGATAGAGGATCTGTTGAACGCGACCTTGATCATGATGAAACAAGTACTGGATGGGGAATCCTGTCTCGTGATCAAGTCGGGACATTTAGATACGTGTATGCTCTCTTCGTCCAAATATGTTTGGGCATTGTCCAACCGAAGCGATCGCTGCGTTGACCCAAGCCCATGTGCAAAATCCTTTTCTATGCAAGTAGAAGAAGAGATTGGAGCCCATAGAACCAAATCCTGTGAGAGGTATCCTGTCACTGTCGAATGGAGTATCGTCTATTGTCACGAAGAGAAGGATTTATTTTTGAAACGTAATGGAAAATTTGACGTGGCAAGTTCAGTAAACTTGCTGCATGAGCACGTGATCAAGTCGTCAAAGCACGACATCGAGGACGCTTCCTTGCCAATCCAGAGGCGTGAGTCGCTGCGCTCACGAGTTACCTTGAAACCGAAAGATCGAAAACTTGAAGGATGCGAATTTTGGGCGTGCTCCATGTAAGAAAAGGAGAAGAACGGATGCTTTTGCGCAAGCATTGGATATCGATATCGGTTATTATGTGAGCATTTGTTCGAGGGCCCTGCGAAGAATCTTGACTCCGGTCACGCAACGAATTCCAGCAGCATAGAGTCGAAAGCGCGACTCCGAAACCGCGGCTGGGGAACCGAAAAGCTACATATAAATCCATAAGCCGTTTTGACTGCACTTTGAATCTCAAGGTTATGCATCTGTCGAAAATCTCGAAAGTAGATCGGGAACCAGGAGCGGAGCCAGCGCTTCAGTGTCCGATTTCAATCGGAGTTCAGCATAGGCCTCGATGCTGTGCGCACATGCACGAGAATCCGTTTCGTCTCGAAGAACTTCGAGCTTCAAAGATGCGAGCTCAGCAGTTTTGCCACGATGCGTCCGTCCCACGATGACGAAACGCAGGCATGATCGTCTGTTACCGCATCGCCGACAAGTGTTTTACGGCATCTCGATTGCATGCATTGCAGAGAGAGTCTGCTGGAATCGTTCCATGCAAAGCAGTAAACAAGCGAGCGTGAAGATCCATGCAGGCATTCGCATGCGGCGGCTGTCGTATGCCACTGATTTCCGTATCATCGCCGTGCCACGATGCTATGCGTTGTCGTATGCATGACCCTCGCCATGCATTCGATACGCTATAAGTTGGTACCCGAACAGACGTCTGCATGCATGCTCGCATAGCGTCAGAATCATCATGCCTTTCTTTTGGAGTGACCAAAAATCCCGCGCTGTGAGCCCCGGGACGCACGCTTTCTGCAATGCACACCTCTCGCCAGCCATCAAGCGCTCCGGTTCAGCGACCGAGTGCGTGACCCGCACACGACGCCGACTTTTATCCTCACAAGGCCTGCTGCTGCACGCAGAACCTGGGCACAGAACGGGTGCAGCGCCCTGATCAACAACATGAACATTTCCCCAGCAGTATCTGCTGATACCTGGGCAATTCCGGCGGAAGTACAAAGCGCGAGACCATGCACTCGAAGCAGATACGGTGCACATTGCACAGACGATCGTGCACGAATTAACAGACATTTCTGGGGGAGCACCATAGGCGTCGTTCGAGCGACCACATTGCACAATAAACACCCCAGTCTGATAACAGCTCACTCGAGCCATTATCCCGCGTCATGACGAGCGCTCCCCACGATTCACGGAAAGTTGACCCTGGCCAATACCATTGAGCGTAAGCGCCTGGGTCGTACTGAATCGATGAATCAAATCGGACACCCAGGAATGCACGATTCCAGAAGCGATTGCGCGGGTGCGTGCAGTGGCGCGCCAACGACCTCGACTAGAACTTTGGAACGCGTTTTTGCCTATGGTGCTTGCTGCGTGAGTGAAAGCGCATAGAGCGTGCAGAAGCGTTTGCCTGGCGCGTAACAGTTGTCGCTCTATGCCGACGACCCGTGAAGCACACGACGGCAGTTCCGGTTGCACGGAACAGGCTAGTCAGCGCGTAAAACGCTTAAGAGCCGCACTTCGCGAGCACTCGACGGCAATTGATGCAGTGAAGGACACTGTTGATGCACAGAAACTGCAGGAGTTTCTCGATCGGAATGATGAGCTTTCAGTGGACGTCGAGGATGCGGTGGCGCAAGGTCTTCTGTCTGAAGCGTACCTCAAAATCACGCTACTGGAGCGAGCGTTGGTCGCAAAAGTGAAGACTGGGTTGAGGGTGCTCGATTCGGACGCTTTTCTTGAGCGTCTGCGAACAAAGTGGTCAGTTTCTCGGCAGCACGGCGTGCCGACTCGAGACACTTACGCTTCCGGAGTGACACTCGCGGAAAGCATAACCACAGTGCCCGAAACTAGCGAACCCGAGCGCCCGTCAGAACAGGCAGCTGCGAACCTCCGTGACGCCAGCACCGGTGACCTCGTTGTCGATTTGGACGCGCTCGGCAAGCGATTCTATCGGTTTTTTCGAACCGCGCCTGCGCCAACTTTCATGTTTGGACTGGTAAACCTCTCAACCGAGACGGCGTCGAATGTTTCAAGTGTTGAACAAACACCTGTTGTACGCGAACGCGCGGCCCGTGAGCGAACCGTTGTTGCTGCCACCGAACGCGCCGAACAGGTCTCGCTCAATGACGTCCAGGAGCAGGTTCGTACGGACGTTGCAGTGAAGCAGATGTTCGATTTCTTAGAAGAACATGGCCCTATTGAGTTGTACGACCTTGTACTCGATACGAGCAGCTTCGGACGAACGATTGAGAACCTGTTTCACCTTTCGTTTTTGATTCGTGATGGAAGGGTAGAGTTGTGGCGTGAACATGATCAGTATATGGTGAGGCCACTGCATCGCCACGGCCAAAGTCTGGCTCGCACCGGACAGGAACCTGCGCCTGGTACAGCGGGAGCGGAGCTAGTCGCAGGCAAGCAAGCCATCTTCCGATTCGATTGGCAAGATTGGAGTGAACTTTGCATGCAACGACATGGGAAACGAACGCTCCAACCGGGAACGAGCCCGAACCCGAGTCACAGTAGCATCGCTGCATTGTAACTGCGTTCACTATGAAACAAAGCGCAGCGTTTTTGTGATGTGAGATCGATGCGTTTGGCAAGATTCTCCCGGGATACGCGCATCGTCCGGGTAACATCTAATCATTCGCAGATGATAGCGTTTGGCGCTTACGAAGCCCCGCAGCGCATCGACGACTCCGATCCACGTGAGGCACTCGGGTAGCGCGGCAGTGGGGTGCTTGGTGTGCATGTCGCGCTGCAGCAACGCGCAGAGCAGGAAGCATTCCGAGTTTTACCCGATTCTCGCAACAAAAGTCGGTTCTGTTGCGGACCGAGTCGCTCTTGTCAGTGCTGAAACAATGCGGAGCACGCAGTGATTTGTGGGGCTTTGAAACATCAAGATAATTCTTGCCGTTTAGTTAGAGCCGGGGAATCGTATTTTTGGTACAGAAGCGCCCTGCGAGATTCCCTGGCGAGGCTCATCGATTGCCATGTGTTGAGCAGGGCTATGCGATTGGCTTTTGGATTGTTTCACACTACGACAATACAACGTATGTTCGCTCTAGCTCAGAATCTGATCCAAAAAACAGTCATTTTCACGGAGCTGCACCGAGCTTTATGCTAAACTTTTTCGCTCTTCTGGGAACGGTTGCTCACATCCTGCTTGCGATCAGGCCTGCATCTTCTTCGCTTCCGAGGCGTGAAGCAGACAATGCGGCTCATGCGAGAAAGCGCCAGCAATGCAGAGATCAAACATTGGGCCACTGCCTTCAAATAACAGCTTTCCCGGGGTCCGTGGCGGTTTCAGGGCACCGTTTGCTGCACTATGATCCAGCAGAACCACAAAAGAATGCGACTTGTGCGAAGCACACTGACCAGGGCTGAAATCTGTGGCCCCCGCTGGCTTGCACAACCAGCGACTTGCGAACGACTCCGCGGCTCCAGACGCTGAACGCGTACCCGTGGATGACGTGGACGCTGCCAGCACAGCAGGCTACGGCATGCGCGCTGATGTCGGACACTTGTCAAGTAACGTTAGACGGGATGAACACAGCAACTCGTCTTGGTCCGTGCATTGCGGATGCCGTGATAACAATCTGCAGACCAGGCGGCAGGGACGGGCCCTGGTTCGTGTAGGGCGGGGTTATCTTCGACCAAGCATGCTTCCATGACAGCGGGTGCGAGTCAGGCGCCCCTCCAGCGAGACTGCTTTCGGTGTGTCGCGTGTAATGCGTTATCTGATCTGGATCTCAGGTCCAAGACGCTTCGCATTCAGTCGAGGACTGGTATGCTCCATGTACGTAGTATGATCCATATTCTGGTAAAGGAGCAACGAACCGTCTCAGTCTCTTCGTACATGATCATCAGTTTCTGGGATAGATGCTTGTGCTTTTCTGAAGGAGCATTTTATCTGAAAGCTACCAACGATGAGTGTACCGAGTACAAGCGGATGCGACACAGCACAAAAACTCCATGCACCAGCCCATCGTCCATGTATGTTCATTCCTGCAGAACCCTGCTTCTCGATGAAGACGTCAAGATCCGCCGGAGCGATCCGAGCTGCAAGATGCCCATGAACACCATTTGAGCAGAATCAAAACTCCGAGGTATCGTCGCATTTGTCTATTTACCATCAACACAGCCAGTTTCGGTGTGCGCGACAATGGTTTCGCCTCCGCGTTGACGGCTGCTAGCTCTGGCGTAGTGAGTGTGTCTTTTTGGTCTAGATGTTGCCAGGGTACAGGCAGTGAACACTCCACAGGACAGCGTCAGACAGGTTCCCTTTTGCATCTGCGGTACTCAATACGACATGGGACCAATGGGTACCAATGGGTACCAATACGGAGGCGATATACAGCCCAGAGGGCACGGTCAAGTCAAACCGATCGGTCGCGTACGATGATATCAAGCATACTCGGTGAATGGGTACCAATATGGAGGCGAGATACAGCCCAGAGGGCACGGTCAAGTCAAACCGATCGGTCGCGTACGATGATATCAAGCATACTCGGTGAATGGGTACCAATATGGAGGCGAGATACAGCCCAGAGGGCACGGTCAAGTCAAACCGATCGGTTGCGTGCGATGATATCAAGCATACTCGGTGAATGGGTACCAATATGGAGGCGAGATACAGCCCAGAGGGCACGGTCAAGTCAAACCGATCGGTCGCGTACGATGCTATCAAGCATACTGCCTGGCCAGCTCACGCTGTCGCTCTATGACGCGTCGCCACCAGCGCATTTCTGCCGCGGCACTCTTGCAAGGCGGAAAGACGCGAAGCTCATCAACGATGCAAATACAGTTACCCTCATGCCAGTTCACCCGACCAGAGCAATACAGTACGACTCCAGTTTGCAGAGCACTCCGAGTCCCTTGCTTCCAGTCACCCGCGCCTTGGAGCATACCTTCGGGAGAGTTCCAGCACTGAGCCTTCGCGACTCCCGTTCCGTCGTCGATAGCGAGACGTATACAGGCACGCGAAAACTTTATTTCCCTAACGATTCCGAGCAGACACACACGCGTGATATGCAGAAGCGTCAGCGTGAGTTTCCAGGCTGGTACCCACTCATCGGTGCCGTCGTCGCTGGCTTCCGGTGTTAGTCGACTGTCCCAGCGCGGGATTGGTAGTATAGCCAAGTCGCGTACCGGCTCCAGCGCGGGAGCATCCTTTGCAGGCTGTAAAGGCTGCCGGACAGCTTTATAAAGTTGGACAGCGAATACTTCAACCGCGCTGCTTAAAACCGGCAAGTTCCTGTGGTATCCCCAGTTGAGCCGGCGCTCAAACATAACGGCTACAACAGCCGCTATCCCGGTTCGAATCAGAACGCACCTAGTGAACGTCAAGCTCACATAGGCACTTGCGTTTCCGGGTCAAAGTTGAGTTTAGAGTCGAGCGCTCCGTAAGACGACGGCTTTTCGTCGCCGTGTGCGTGGCGACTCGGCGTAACGATGTCGTGCGCTGTACGAAAAGCACGAGCAGCAGCAGCAGCGCTCACGCCCGACACTCTCAGCGGTGGTAAGGCGAAGCGGTTCTGTTTATGCGTTGCTTCCGCACCGGCGTTGCAGATGACGTTGCGTACGCTCACTGCAGGCACTCGGCACACGATAGACAGTACGACTTGAACAGTATCTCCCATACGGAGCACTTGTGGTACCGGGTGGAGCTTGAAAGTAGAGTGGAAAATGATAGACGTTCTCCAATATGCCGGTTTCCTATCCTGCACAACCGGAGATCTCTGGTCAGCGTAAACCCACTGTCGATCGAAGTACTCCATTCGAGGGCCGCATCTTGGCGGATGGACGCACCAGATGTTTTGGCATCCGCCAGATACACCACTGCAGCAAACGAACAGCGTGTAGGGACATGACTGCATCGGCAAGCGCTTTCATGTTCCATGGAATTCAGTCCAGAGATCCTCTACGCACCAACATCCTTACCAGTCCAACGAGCTTTGCAGCGCAGAGCATACCGCAGGTGCGTGATCGGCAGTCGTTTGCGCCCCAGCAAATATCCAACGGCAGCTGGACGGCTCGACGGTGCCTCTGGCGGTCGCAAATCGACGCCTGGGCAAAGCGACACAAACCCCATCACACAACCGTATAGGGCGTCAAAAAGCTACACAAAAAATGCATCTGCGAGCAGGTCCAGCAGCGCAACGTCACCGCGGATGGCAAGCGGCGATCAGCGCATGAGGCAGGCGCGCTACGCACACCCACTGTCGCGTGACCTGCTCGAGAAGCGCAACGCAGTGGAGACGCTGCACGCGGAGCACGGACCCGTCGATCCCTCAGATCCGTGGAACGCTGCGCCTAGGGAGCTTCACGCAGAGCCGCCACAACCTCCCGATTCTTTCTCTTCGATAGAAAGGTCATTCAGACCAGGAATCAGTAACGATGCGATGGATATCGCATATGCGTGATCAGAGCCGCCACAACCTCCCGATTCTTTCTCTTCGATAGAAAGGTCATTCAGACCAGGAATCAGTAACGATGCGATGGATATCGCATATGCGTGATCAGAGCCGCCACAACCTCCCGATTCTTTCTCTTCGATAGAAAGGTCATTCAGACCAGGAATCAGTAACGATGCGATGGATATCGCATATGCGTGATCAGAGCCGCCACAACCTCCCGATTCTTTCTCTTCGATAGAAAGGTCATTCAGACCAGGAATCAGTAACGATGCGATGGATATCGCATATGCGTGATCCGCGTTGCAATACGTATGCGAGCGGCAGCTCCCGAGGCAGTGCGCTGCGAATCGCAAGCCGCGCGCTGCCCTGCAGCGATGCGCGCGAAAAATCGCCTCCAGGAACGGCGCGCGCCGCGGCGTCGATCGCGCATCGCATTGGGTGCTGCTTGCGGCACGAGACGGTGCTTTCGGCTGCTGCAAGTGTCGTACGTACCTCATATGGATGTGAGCGGGAACGGGTTATTGATGCCTCGTAACCTGCAAGTTCGTCGTAGCGACGGTAGGGTGTTGTCTGTACGTATCCGCGAGGCATCATTGGGTGAAGAAGCGAACCTGCACTTCGGTAAGCTAGAGGCTGCAGTCGCTTGCCCGGTGGCAGGTGTTCATGAGGCGTCCAGCTGGACACGTGAGCCAGTATGCAGAACAAATCGGCAGTCGAGCAACAATGTCGACCACGAGGTGTCACAATCTGGGCTGAGCCTGGCTGATAAAGCTGCTACAGTCAACGGGATGCTCTGGTCAGACGCGCATGCTCCCAAAGCGTATACCGAGTTGCTCGGCGATGATCGAATGCACCGGGAGTTGTTGCGCTGGCTGGTCAGCTGGTCGCAGTATCGGGACGTACGCAGCACCTCGGGAGCATCCTTTCGGAACGGGACCGGTGCTTGTCGTCGGTTCACCGCGCCGTTGACACCCTTAGCGGTGTTGGCCGGTCCGCCCGCATCCTGCAAAACGGCGTGTGTGCGTGTTCTCGCTGAGCGGGCTGGTCTGGAAATGTGGGAGCCCCATATGCTGTTTAGAGACGGGTTGAACTGTGCAGAAAATCGATTTGCAGAGGTACTCGGGAGTGCTTCGCTACGAACAGGGCGACCAAGGCTGGTAGTTGTCGACGAGGGCGTTTTACCCGCAGAAGCCTTTGCCTCTCTGAAACGAAGCGCCGGGAACGCTTCCGCCAACACCATCCACTGGTCGGATGTTCTTGTTCGCGTAGCGCTCACGTTGAAAAGCGTACCTGTTCTCTTCGTTCTCGACGATGCTCACTGCCGTGAGGCCCGCATCCTCCGTGCGCAGGGAGCTGTCATTTTCACTTGCAGCCGCCCCGGTTTGCAGCCGCTCAAGAGACGTCTAGAGCAGGTTACGCGTCACTGTGGCTTGAAATTCGCCGAATCCGCCTTTCTTGAGCATCTTGCACTGGCACTTAACTGCGATATTCGAGCATGCCTGAACCAACTCCAGCTTATTGGTGCCTGTCAATGGTCTGATGGCCTGTGGTCCACCATTGGCCTGCGTGATGCACCGGGGCCTCTGCGAGAGCAATGCTCGCAAATATTCCGGGTGAGCGCGCGTCCAGCGTCCTATATGGTTCAGACGGGAGCCGGTGGCGTTCGTAACCGAGCGACCGGAACTGCGTCCGACGATTCTGAACGGGATATTCCGCACCGACCAGCGTTCGGGGCATCTCAGAGCCCAGATCTCTGGAAACGACAGCATTTTCTCAGCGGTGAAATTCGCGATTATCTCGACATGTGTTTCGAGAACTATCTGGCGGTGGTGCCCTTCGATCCGCTGATGCGTCGCTGCAGCGCTGCAGTCGACTGGCACAGTTGTATCGATTCGATGATCCACAACGAGCTGGTGGACTCGATGGTGCTGGAAACGCTCGGCCTTGCTGCCCTGCAATCGTACCGTTACCATTGCGGGCGATCGACTGCACCCGTACCACACTCGCTCAAACTGGCCCGTTTCGGGTGCCTCGACGCCAACTCCCCGATGCATACGCGAAACCGCGACATCATAGAGCGATATCGACAGGCGCTTATCGAAGATTCAAGCAACGCTTCTGTACGGCAAGCATATGCGCTATCTCTGCGGCGCGAGGGCGTTCTCGTTTTCATACCGTTGCTTGTTGTCACGATGCAAGCGATCGTGGAAGCGACAGTCGCGGAAAAAGGCGCACGGCGCGCGGAGCTGCTCCGGCACCTAGGAAAGCAACTGTCGAGCTACGCGCTACGTTGGGCGGCGGATGACGATTCGCAGGCCAACATTGCACCAGAAGCGCCATCAGGTGCTCGCCGGTGGAATGCTCTTCCGCTTGAACCAGCGATCGCTGACCTATGCATCATGCAAAGCGCTTCGTATCCGGAATGCAAACGGGAAGGCGTGCGAGCGCTTCAACGACAGTTCGGCGTGCTACTCAGGAACTGCGCTGGGCAACGGGTGCGGTCCGCTCGGAACGTCGCACTGCGCGGAAACGCACTCCACCACCACGCTGCGCATCCTCTGAGTTTACCGGTGAAACGCGACGCTAGGATATCGGAGCTTCGATCGCATTCAGATGGCATCCAGTGCATCGTCCGTTACCAGTATCGCGAAGGGCACACGAACGCGGTCTTGCGTCCGTGTCTGATCGAGGATTTGCTATAACACCAGAAAAGTCCAGATGTTTTTCCAATACGTATGATTTGTAGCTGGTTCGTCGCTCTCACAAAATGTATGCAAACGTGATGGGGCATCCAGTACGCGTCGTTGCTTTCCCTGGCACATATGTCGGCGACGCTTGCTTGCTCTGTGTGTGGCGGAGCACAGTTCCCGATAGAATCCAAGCAGCGTTGCCACCCTCGGAGGGATACATTTCAACAGGTCGCTTTGGGCGGATCCTTTTTCCCAGCGGGTTCTTTGGAGCTGCCGCTCTCGATGCAGCTTCGTGCTGCTGAGCTAAATAAATATTTTCGGATGCCTGATCCCTAATCCAAGTGAGCATGAGCGCGTGCGGCGTCATCGAGCGCATCACTTTGCAGCGCTGGTTACACAATGGTGAGGATCCCGCTCTTCGCGTTCCAAATGGGTAACCACAGGGTCTTGGTTTGACCCGGACGACGTCCTTCTCTGTGCCAGTCGAGCATTGCATCAAATCACTGTGACTGGCGCCGCCACCGCCACCAGAGACTCAACCTCGTTGATCCCCCTGTAAATCCCAATTCGTTCTGCACCAGGATCCGATACGCTCCGAGGTACTTGGTTGGTGCAATGGGTCTCTAGTGGAAACATCGCAGGCGCATCTGAGAAAACTGTTCAGTGCCTGATACCCGGGATGGTGCCCCGCGTAACCCAGCAACAAGTGATGGATGCACACACGTGCGTTACACGGCTATCATTGGCCATACTTGGCTTAGGCGAGCGACCATCAGCGCCCATCTGCCACAGGATCATTTGGTTCGTCAGGCATTTTCATTCATGGTTCAAGTTTTCTCGCGAACCGCTTACATCGAACGGTTTCTAACAAGGCGTCCGTTCGGCAACGTCTAGAGAAAAAATCCGGGCCCATCCGATGCCCAGCATACCAAACGTGTGCAAACAGGTGCGCTGCTGCAGAAATACACACAACGGATGCGTTCGCTTCCGAACTTGCTTCCCGCAGGCTGCACGTCAACGCTGTATGATTGATCGAGTTACCAGAGCAACGCTCTAGGCTGCTTCCGCAATGTGTTCTTCGTCACGGGCTGGCGTCGCTAGCTCGGCTCGTGCATCTGCATTCGTCAGCGAGTTGGACGGTCCCGCGGGAGTGCGCATCTTCCCCGTGACACAAGCGGTTTCCTTGGCCTCAATATTGGCTACTCGTTCAAGATGCAGCGCCGAATCTCGCGCCAAACTTCTCGAGGTGGGTGCGGACTGCTCGGGTGAGGCGTTTCTTTCACGCGATGGATGCCTCATTTCCTGTGCAGGGCCTGATAGTCGCGTATCGGGCGTTAACTCGCGCTCATCTTGTGCTGCAAGTCGATTCGTCACGAGCGGTTGCTGCAATACACGATTCATTGTGAACGCTGCTAACTCCTGCTCTTGATAGAGCTCCAACAGGGCGCGCTGGGCGTTGGCTTCGACGTCTGGGGTGACCTCACCCTGCAACGCCTGTTCGATGCTCCTCGCGTGCTCGGCTGCTTCTTGTGTCTCCAGCAGCAAGTCCTCTACACTATGCAAATCGATATGCTCGTTAAGCCTCTTCACAAGCGCCGTGCTTTTCTGGATCTGCAATAGTGTCTGTTGCTCCAACTCTGCCGTTTCGATAAGAAGCAGCATCTCTTCGAGACGACTGAGGCACGTTTCCGCGTTTAGAACTGCTCGCTCTTGTACTTTCATTCGACGTAGCACCAACAGTGCTCGTTCACGGCGGCCTGTAGCGATCAGCGTTCGTGCAACGTCAAGCTCCCGAGCTGCGGCCTCTTCGTAGCGGTTACGCAGTTTCGTGACGCGATCACGGGTAGCCTTGATAGCCAGAATCACCTCGTCTCGCTCAGTGATCTCTACCTGGTTCTCTGGGCGCCGGACGTCTTTACGTCTGGCTCGTTTCCTGGGTATGACAGCATCAGCAACCGCTCTGTCGCTGACAATGCAGTTTCCCATGGAAAGCTCAACAGCGACAGCGTAATCAATAGCACCATCGCCATCGTCATCCGAAATCTGCCGTTCTTGTGCTGGCGGTACGCGCTGCCGCGTTCGGGTTCCCGCGGCTCTGACGGCAAGCGTTCCCTCCGGTCGTGTTGCTTGCATAGGTTCGAGCACCCGTCAAACGTATGCGTACAGTTCGGGAACTGAAACGAATGTTCGTGCTTCAACTTCATCAGACGTTGCGCTGCTTCCTGGATGGGCTTGTCCCGAAATTTCTCGTCGTTTTTGAGTTCCCACGTGCTGATGCGCAGCGATGCATTCTCGGAGGCTGAGCAGGTCAATGGACCAGTTCTTCAGGAGCATGGGCGTCACACGCGGGGACTGATGAAACGGGAACTCTTTATCGCATGGAGGGTCCTCTGGTTTCTAATACGCCGGGCGTCGCGACAGCATTGGCAGAAGCGTTGCGAATCCTGCGGACTCGAAAGTCTGAATGAGGCCGTGCGAGCGCTGATCTGTGCTGGCTCCTGTCATACAGCGGCAAAGCGTCGAAGGCGCAACGCTGAAATGACGACCAGGTATCGTCCAACTAGGTGCGAGTTCGTTAGCATTGCTGCTCCACTTCAATTGTCGAATCTATAAATCTAAAGAAAAGCTCGAAAAACATCGTAAGGAAAGAACAGGATGAGCACCGATGTGTTCCATGATCATGTGGTACGACTTGTATACCTGATTAGAGACGACTGTCCGACATGCGATCCAGCAGCGTCTGTTTTTGGGCGCCGCGCAGACGCCGCTGACGAGCAAGCGCTCCAGGCGCTAACGAGTAATCCGTCATTTCGTGCGCGTTCATGCCTCAAACCAGCGTTACCGATCTTCAGTCCCAGTGTACATTTGCTTTTGCAAACTCGCAGTTACGACGAGCAAGCGCTCCAGGCGCTAACGAGTAATCCGTCATTTCGTGCGCGTTCATGCCTCAAACCAGCGTTACCGATCTTCAGTCCCAGTGTACATTTGCTTTTGCAAACTCGCAGTTACGACGAGCCTACTGCGAAAGCGATGTGGCCTCTGGTTGCTCGCCCTGCATGGAAACGCACCTTCGATTTTCTCGCCATGTGACGTTCGATCAGCTCACCACACACCGTATCGCGCATCCGACTACGCTCTATAGTCTTCTTCTGTACTGGTTTCAGCGCACGCCCGTACTCGTGGTTCGAGTACGTCGTACTGAATTCATGGATGGGAATCGTGCAGCACCGAAACCTGCACGCGTTGGACGCGCTCGTCGAAATGGGCAGCGGCGCAGTATTTGCGAGTTTCAGCCTGTCCCGTGCCAAGGGCTGCTGCAAAATGACGCAAATTTTTGAGCTACTCCTTTTCCAGCTCGTTGAATAGCAAGGCGAATGTCCGCCTCGTGCCTCCCTACATCCGAAACATTACGAGGCTCTGGCGCGGTCGGATATACTCTTGCCAAAAGTCGTCGAAACGAACAATTTGGACGCTCATTTACTCACTGAATGCAGCGTACCATACCAATCGTTGCTTCTCGATACAGTGACGAGAGCGTCGAGATCGGTCCTGCCGTCGTCATGCCACTTGTTGATATGCTTCCTCACGACCACTGGGCCCGAACTTAGATAATATCGAGGCTCAGAAAAAAAGTCAGGCCGTGGTGCATCTTCAGTACCGCCCGTCGGTTGTTCCACAAAGGTTTGACCGAGGAATTCTGGGGGCATGTGAGCGCCTGGTAGCACCTCGCCCCGAACTCCGACAATCATCTCACTGACGTTGTACGTCAAGGCAAGTGGGGCCGAACAAGACCTTCCCGAAAAAGAAGCTGCAGAGTCCTTCATGGCTTCCCGCATCTCACAGTTTTGTAAGATTCTTCCCGTAGATGCGTTTTCGTACGGAGCTCTTGCCAATGATTTCACGCAGATCCTTTCACACAGGCCGTTTTGCGTTCACGTACTTTCTCGTCCTCTTTCTGAGCGGATCTTTCTCTTCTTTCTTCTGTGGTTTCTTCACTGTCTCGTTTGCATGATGGAAGGGCACGGGTGCCGTCGCTTAGCTCTATGTCCGTTTCTCCCTTGGGTCCTAGACGCACTGGATGGATGTTGCGACGGATCTTGGCTTTCTCTATCTTTGTATCCACTATACTTCGAGCATCTTTTCGCCAACAACCCCGATGCAAGCACGTCTGCGAACCGAAATGCGCCTTTCCATTCTCTTCTGCTATCGAGCACATACGCAACGCCGTTGCTCACGGCTAGTGAGGCTAATGAACGGCTTTCCAGAGAAAAATTCGTCTACGAACGGTGTCACGGATGCGAATGAATCGTCTATGGATGCGAAAGCTTACAAACGGCGTTTGACAGCATAGAAGCTGCTTCCGATTTGATACAACCAAGGAGAATAGGCTGCCACAAAGTGCAGATTAACGCCATCACCGGCTGTGCGCTCTCTGGCCAGTTTTCGGGATGCAAAGCGACGTAGTCTACGAGCCGGACAGAAGACCACCGGAAGAAGAACCCGCAATGCGCTCCGATGAAGGAAGAGGCGTCAAACGATCCCGTCTGTTTGGGGATGATTCGGTGAGCAAACGACAGCATCGCCGCTCGGGCTGATGTCGCTTTCATTCCCGCTTGTCTTTTCTTTACGAAGAGCGGTGTGCCGCTACTCTAGGACCCCAACACAGGTCTACCATTTCTCCGGAATGAAGTCAGGTCGACTAAAACGAACATCCGTGCCACGTGTCGTCAGCGTTCGTGTTCCAGTACGAATTCGCTGGAGTGCGCTTCGTCAGCGTGCGATGCGCTCCCGAAGAAGCGCGCGTCGTTCTTCGCCTATCTGCATCGCTTCACCACTGTTCGTTATCAAGGGTATGGAAACGTTGCATGCATGCTGTGGGTTTTTGGTAGTATTTCATAGAGAACGGATGCAGTGGCATTGCCTGGCGAGGAAACTGTTGTATATATTGATTCTGATGAGTTCGAGTTCGATTGCTTGACGCTGAGCATATCGCCTAAGCGAACGTTCCTTCATCAACTTGCTGAAAGTTCAGTAGCTGATTCGTAAGAGGATGACCTGTTTCCGCAATCAAGCAGCAACAGCATAAAATCTTTCCACATTCTCACTCCATTCCGAAGGATACAGTTATTTTGTTGCATACCTGCGAAGAAATAAACCAGGACAAAAAGTATATTCTGGTTGAGGTATTCTGGTACCACCGATTATGAGCGTAACGGTAGCGGCAGCGCGTCCGTGGGCATCGCCGCTGTCGCTCTTCGAACCGACGCCCTTTGTGGTTCGGCACTGCCGTTCTGTCTCCGTGCAGCGACCGCACCGGCGCTACAGGCGCTATTGCTGCCGGTTTCGGCAGGCTCGGCACACGATAGGGCGTATGAAACGACCAGAATATCCGAGATGAAGTATAGGTCATGTAACCTGAGAGTAGGAGGTTGATGGCTACCTCACCGCACACTGAAAGAAAAACACACACAAAGAAAATAAGAAACGAAAAATGCGCATAATCGGAGAACGCTGGCCTATGGAAACGTTTTGTCCATGAAAAGAAAATGTGCCGCTGTCGCTGCGATCGGGTTGAAGGGCAGCGCGCCGGCGGCGGCGGCGGCAGCGCCAGCGACCCTAGACACTAGTCATAACCTCGCCGCTGCTGACATCATTCTATTGCCGCTGCGGCCTTTCAGAGCTTTTTGATGGGCAAGCTCTACCTTCTTTTCGAGGCAGCGTCGGGATATGCGATCTTTCGAGTGGTGGAGGCTGAAGACGTAGCATCTGGTACGACTGCGGTACAGTCCTCGTGGGGAGACTTCCACCGCTTTGCGAGCATCGTCAAGTTGCGAGCCTTCGAGCCGTACGTCTCAGCGGACCAGGCACTTGAGGACGTGAGTGCCGTGTCGGAAAATCGAGTGACGCCTTTCCTACTTGAGTTCGTTCGCGGTTATTTTGGCTCGAAAAGATGTCTTCTGGGAGTCTCGGAACCGCGGTTTGGCGCAGCGCTCCAGGAACAACTGGGAAAGAAGCACGTGAGAGTTGTTGCGGACGAACACATCCAGGAGCTTTTGCGAAACATCCGGCAGCACTTCGAGAAGTTTCTCAGTGCGGAGGTCTCGAGCGAGGAGCTCTCGAAAGCACAGCTCGGTCTGGCTCACGCGTTATCCCGTTCGCGCATCCAGTTCAATCCGCAGCGCAATGATCACGCCGTCGTCCAAGCGATTCATCTTATCGACCAGCTTGACAAGGATATCAATACTTTTGGGATGCGTGTCCGCGAGTGGTACTCCTGGCACTTCCCTGAACTTGCGAAGCTCGTGAGCGATATCGTTCTCTACTGCCGTTTGGTGTGTGCTCTGGGCATGCGCTCCGAAATGACGACGAAGCAGGAGGAGGACGTGAATAGCCTGCTCCATGGCGATGAGGAGCTCACGCAGCGGATTCTTCGTGCAGCCCGCTCCTCAATGGGAACGGAAATCAGCCCTCTGGACATCATTCAGATCCGTTTGTTTGCGCAGAGAGTGATTCAAATGGCAACCTATCGGGACCATCTGCAGGGCTATCTTGGTCAGCGCTTATCGCTGATTGCACCGAGTTTGCGGGCGTTGCTCGGTGATCACGTCGCAGCGCGACTCATTGCGCATGCTGGCTCTCTGGTGAACCTAGCAAAGTATCCTGCATCAACTGTGCAGATCCTTGGCGCAGAAAAGGCGCTTTTCCGGGCTCTAAAGCAAGCACGGGGAAAGCGGCTCGCGCGAACGCCCAAGTATGGGTTACTCTTCAATTCGACATTCATTGCCAAGGCAAAGCAACGAGCCAAAGGTCGCATTTCGCGTTACCTGGCGAATAAAGTGAGCTTGGCAAGCCGCATCGACTGCTTCCGCTCCGATAGAATCGGCGACACATTCGGTCGCAAGTTGCGAGAGCAGGTCGAGGAGCGGCTCCAGTTCTATGAAAAAGGCTTGCGACCTCGGCGCAATGCGGCCGTAATGACTGAGGCCATGAACGAGGCGCTTGCCACCAGCGCCATGGATGACATGCGTGGAAGCGATATCGAGGAAACTCCGAGACCTGCAGCCGCTGGCCTACGCGCTGATCGGCTGGAAAATTCTTTGCTTGTTTTTGGCTCGGCAACCAATGCGGATGCAGAAGGCGTACCGGAATCTGCGGCCCCGGAGACGCCAGCCCATGACGTCATGATGCGGAAACGAAGCCACGATGACACATCGTTCGTTGATGCGGGTGACGCCCATTTGACGACACTGGGAGCCCAGGATAGTTCTCGAGAAGCAATTCCTCGTGAAGCCCCGCGGAAGAAGAAGAAACAAGACAAACATCGCGCCGAGGCGGTGCACGAAACCGTGTGACCAAGCAGGCGCAAGGATACTATCTAAATGCTCTGGGCACCGTTTGCCACTCACTGGTTAGAATGACGGTGCCGTATCCGTGCTACAGGTGCAGAAGATATCGGTAGAGGGAGAGCGAACGTTCTCTGAAACCAAGTTCGTCTCAGAGCGTTGAGCTCTGGTACATCTGTATCAGCATGCTGCTTTTCCTTTTGTTTGTGTTTCTTGCAGGCATTCAATAAAAGGCATGCATCTTGTAGATCTGAGAAAGGTCGCGGAAAGATCACGCTGTCATTGTCAGCAGCAGAAAATGGTCGCTCTCATACGAGGCAGTTATTCTGTGATCAGATGGTGGATGAACCACGCTTCTCGAAGAGCTGAACGTCGTGCACGCCAAAAAGAACTTGTGAAACTCTCTTCACACGATTTTCTCTTCCTTAATTCATTCCAATCCATCTGTACACTGAGAAACACGACCAAACAAGCCGCAGGCTGTGAGGATGATGCATCGTTGGTACCACCGGTGATGAAAAGGCACGGATGGAAAACGTGAACAGCACACCTCTTTGGAAGACACTGGCCCTATCAAAGCTACACGATCGATTTCTTTATGTGATGTGGATCCGTATTCACCAACGGGCGGATATCCGTCCTACTCTATGCAACCTTATTCAGGAGCATTACCAGATTTGCGTAGGAGTCCTCCAGGAGGGCCAAATCGAGCTTCGTCGAGAAGCGACACGCGCGCGTTCCGACGACATCACCCGTGGCGGCAATGCTCTGATGCGGTTCCTTCCAAGTCGCCAGACTGACAAGATCGCTCGACACCGCATCCTCCGTTGAGGCGCTCGTCTCGGATTTGACGTTTCGCATGCTTCGGGCCTGATCCCAGACGACATCTCTTTCCGTCACTAAAAAGCGGTCAACGAGCACGCAAAAGAGAAAAGCGTTGCGCTGCTCTTCCTCCGAATCCAGTCACTTTCGATGAACCCAGCCAAAGGCATGCCAGTCCTGTCTCCGAATCACCTCTGTTCTGGCCCTACAGACGCTATTCCGGATGATCAAGGCAGACTCGGCGACTGGTGGAACATACGACATAGCCGTCATTACCGAAAACAAGTACGTGTGGAAGCTGGTGGTACCCTGGGGCACGCTGCAAAAATGATAGACGCGCTCCCCGATGTCGATCACGTACCACGCTCTCCGGAACTCGCTTTTCACGCCACCGTTCTACGAATGTTGAGCGTGCATCAGATCATCGCTCCTCGCGTATCACACTGACCGGGATTCCTGTTTCATGGCAAAGTTCCGTGGATTGCAAACAGCCACGGGATCAGCGGATCCGCCTCCGCGTTGCCGCTGCCGTTCCTGGACGAAAACGATGGTGCTGGTGCGCCGCCCAGCCACCCGGCTCTGTCTTGCCGATACGCAACACTTTCCAGCAGCGCTGTACATGTGTTGCCGCTGTTGTGCGCTTTCACCGATGACTGTAGAGCACGCGGCGTCCGACTTGCTCGCATATAGCCTACGGTTTTGGAACTAGCGTATAACGCGTTTGTGCTCGTCTTGGCCACTCCATTGACCCGTTTACGACCCAGCGTCCAGGGTTGCCAGATATGGCGCTCGACTTGGCAGCCGACCCAGAGGCGTTTCGGCAACTCGAGTCTACCCACCAGATCGTCGTCGTTGTCTTCTACCGGGGACGCTGGTGTGCGGTTTGCTGCGCTTGGCTTTCGCGATTCCAGGATACGCAACCGGCACTGGAAACCTTTCTGGAACAACATGACGCGTGTTTGGTTTTTGTCTCCGCCCAGGAAGCGTCCGAGATGCATCGCCTGGTTGACAACATACCCTGTCTCAAATGTGAACGTGTTTATTTGCTTGCAGATGAGCGTACCGAGTTCACGCGCTGGTGGAACAAGCGCGGTTACGGTCAAGTCTTCATTTCACCGACCACAAAGCAATATGGGTATCGATATTCGCACGGACTCTTGCAACCAGCCTTGTTCATTCTTCATCATGGCGAGTGTATGTACAAGTGGTGCAGCCTCCCGAATGTGCGGAATCTGGGCGGCGCCACTGGACGTCCGGATCCTCCGCTTGTCTTGGCAGCGGTGACCGAGCGCTTCGCCTCTGATGCAGCAGGGTCGCTTGCTGGCGGTGAAAGGACGATGCCAGCTACACGGGAACGTACATGGGTGTTTTTCCGCCGCATTGTTCGTAGGTTATTCGGGAAATTTTAATATGCATATGGATCTACAGGTAGACAGCGTGCATGCTGGGCATCGCGGGAGCGCTCCACTGCGCTTCGATATGGCGATTCGATGGCGCTCGCTGGCAGCGGATTCCCCGCTCAGCCGTACCCATGATGACCCGCTCCTGGGTGACGTCCATTGCAGCAATACCTGCCTCGCTGCGAGCATTCATGGTCATTGTGGTATGCCAAAGGTCCCTGGGTTGACCAAGCCCGCTTTGCGTCAGCGGGAATGCACTGGAACGGGCGGTGCTTGGAAACGTTCGCGTCGGCGCTGGGGGCCAGGCGCTGCTAATCCGCAGCAATGCTACCTGCTGGAGGGACTAGTTCCACTGATTCATTGGATATTGCGAGCAATAAAATATAGTGAGATCGCAAGGCGACCAGACCTTGGGACTCGGTGTTCGCGCTCATGCCTGAACGAGCAGATACTGCGGAGAAGCGACGCTTGATCCCGCCATCCGCGAGGCAACTAGCGCGGTAACGGAGTACCTCAGCCGGCCCTGGCGCATCAGCATGGACGCTCGGCCATCCGCATGGGACAACTGCTTTTCTGTGGCATGCCTTCCATGCCACTCGCCGTGTCAAGCGTCGTGCCACTGCTGCTGATTCTGATGCAAGCCGCATACGCTGGAGGCGGTCAGCAACTGCATCGAAGGTCGGCTTCGTACTCCTGCGGATCCCGGGCGACAGCCCATGCGGTGCACATGAACCCGCCACGAGGCAGTGTTTTCTACTCTGGCGAACGACGACTTGCTGCAAGGCAGCTGTGACAACAGGGAATTCGGATCCAGCGCTTATGATGAAAGCAGCCGCCGTACCGTGGCTAGTCTCGGTAGACAGAAATAGACCATCTGCGGGCACGCATTCTCCAGGCCAGCGCTGCCGCGTGGTGGTATTGTGTCGGAGAGCTGCCGGCCTCAGCGGGCAGTTACAACCAGTGGACCGGGATACGCAAACGGCAGCTCGCTGGCTTCCCTGCGCCCGGTAGTCTCATTCAGCGAGTGATGCTGGATTTGACTCAGGCCCTGCCGGTTCCGAGTCACATAGATGTACGAGTCAGCGTACTCCCGAATATGAAGATAATCGAGGAAGCGCTCTTCATGGGTTATGAGTATAAGCTGAAAATTGCGTTGCTGTGCACGTTGTTGGATCAAGAGAGATAGCGATGCAGCGAGCGCTTTCACGTGGCTCTCGTCCAGGTTGGTCGTCGGCTCATCGAGCGCGAGGACCCCGCAGGCGTTCCCAAAGTTTTCCGCCAGCGCAAGGCGGATCAAGAGACATGCGAGCACTTTTTGTCCAGCCGAGCAGCGACCACGCATATCAAGCCAGGTATCACCCTGGCGCATCACTACCCTGTAGTGATAGGTCCGACGACCCATTGGAAGCGAGTCCGCCACAAAGTCGGATCGTATCTCGATTTCCTCGATATCGGAGCCGAGGTAGGTGCTCTGCCAGAGCTCCCGCAGCACTCGATTGATGCTGCGCATCTTGAGATCGTGATAGCGCATGATGGCCAAGTCCAGCGCCCGATGGTAATTGCGCAAATCCCTGCAGACCAGCTCGATCACGTCACACTGCAAACGAAGCGCTTGGAACTGTTGCTCCGCTTGTGCAAAAACGTCCGCATCGAGTTCCACGGTGAGTGCCCGCAACTGCTCTGCGAGTAAATCACGCTGACCACGCAAATGATGAACTTTTTCCCGGAGCGTATCGGCTTCCGCTTTTGCCGCCTCTAACGCGGACACGTGCGGATCGTGTTCATCGGTCATTGGCAGGGTGCTTGCTAGCTCCACGTCTTTCTGTTGCAATTCGACGAGCATTTCCTGCAACTGGCGGTACCGAAGGTTGTCGCGCACTTGACGCAGATACGAATCGGCGTTCTGGCGTTGCCCGGCCCACTGAGCTACAACCTGCACTGCCTGCGCTTCTTCGGCGAGCGTCTGTATGATTTGCTCGCGGCAGGTCTCGAGCTGCTTGTGGGCAAGTTTGTGTGCGTCACCTTCGAATCGTCTCGACTCTTGGATGTAGACTTGAAGTCGGTTTTCAAGACGGATAAGATCTGTATGGATTGCTCGGTGTCGCGAACGAACGGCTTCCAGACGCGCCAACAACGCTGCACTCGCCGGTGGCGCTGCCTGCAACAGAGCTTCCTCTACTTTTTGATCCAACGCGCAAAGGGAAGCCTGCTTTTCTGATCGCTGTTTGCGTTTTTCCGCCAGACATGCTTCCAGCTGGTCACGGTCATGCTGCTTGGCGCGCTCCGCAGTGAGTTCCTTCTCAGTGGTCTGGATTAGATCATGGAGCTCTTGAGCGCGTACAAGGAGCTCTTGGCGACGCCCAAGCAGCGTGTCGAGTTCCCCCCGCAACGAAGTCTCTTCTCTTGCCAAAGCGTCCCCCGCGGACGTCGGTTGATGCGGTGCTTCGCGGGTGTCGACTTCCAATGCTGCAACTACCGGCGACGAAGCTGCGATTCCGGATGCCGAGCTGGGCCCCGATGGTGCCATCTCCTGACGCAAATGAGCCAAACGTCGCGCATACCAGAGGAGCTCTCGGGCATCGGCCAGTTCATGTTCAGCGACTTGCTGATCCGTTCGTTCGCTCCGTCTCGCATCTTCTAAGCGCTGGATCTCGGATTCGGCGCTGCGAATGCGAGAGATGCTTCGCTGCTCCTGTAAAGTGATCGCAGCACGCTCCTCCAGCAAACGCCACTGATGCTCCGCCCTGTTCAAAGCATCCTGAACGTATTCCAAGGAGTCGGAGTCTGCCGCCTGGGTCAACGTATTTCGTACTCGAGCTAGGGCGGACTCGACATTGGCCGCCTCGGCCATACCGCTGAAAGCGCGGTCGCATAGCGGACAGGTTTTCTGTTCGTGCACGCGCTTGCGCATTTCTTCGAGCCAATTCGCTTGTCCGTCACGTTCTAGGGCTGTGCTCTCCAGCTCGAGATGTCGACGTTTCAGCGCTGAAATTTGAGATTTGAGGCACTCTGCATCCACTGTGCCTGGTTGCACACTTGCGTCGATTTCTCGCAGGCGGCTGCGCATCGAGAGCAGCCGTTCGCTTTCTTTGTCGCAAATAGCGCGCCGCAAGCGCATCTCCAGTTCCGTGCCCATGATGCGATTGCGTACGGCTGATAGATTGCGTTCGGCGGAGGCGAGACGATCTTGCGCTTCGGAAACGGAGCAGGATGGTAGCCGCCTCTGCTCCAGTAATCGTTGAATGGATGCTTCCTCTTCCTCGCGAAACTTTTGGAATGCCGCGGCTATCGCGCTTGCATTCGTGTCACCACGAGTAGCCGTGTGCGTCACGTCATTTCGACGAGAGGCCAGGTTTTTCGTGCGTACTTCGAAAATTTGTTCAAGACGTTTCCGAATAGTAGACATTCGGTCCATGTCGGTCTGGTTCGAAAGCTCTTCGTCCACCTGCTGCTTTTCTGCCTGAAACTGGACTAAAAGCGCCGATTTCATCGCCACAATCTCGACATTCATCGGGAGCGACTGCAAGCGTGCAGCGGTTTCCGCGCATGCTTCCTCCAGAGTGGCGATTTCGTTCCGAATCTGCTGCGCCTGACGCTGATCGGATTCCAGTTCGAGCTTCAATTTTTGTTCACGCTGGAGTGCATCCTCCCAGAGGCGCTTGAAGTGCTCCATTTCCCGTTCGCAGTCATTGCGAGAACGCTCCAGGATATGGATTAGATCCTTGGCACTCCGCTCAATGGCTCCTTCTCCTATGTCCGTGCCATCAATCGAATGGCTTTTCCGGATTTCCCGCAGCAATTCAGCACATGATGCACGCTGCCGCTCTATGGCTGCCTGTTGGCAGCTGTAAGCAGCGCATTCCTCTTGGAGACGCTGCTCGCGATCCCGCAGAAGCTGTAACTGCTTTTGCAACTGCAAGCTCTCCTCGGATGCTTTTCTGTACTCAGCATCAACTTGACTGTACTCAGCAGTGATGCGAGTAAGCAGTCGCTCCAGATCTTGGGTTGTTTCCGTGAGTTCTTTGCCGAGTTCGCGCCATAAACGATCACGTTCCTCAGTCCGGATTCGGATTTCGTCACGCAGCGCCTGCAACTGCCGGCGCCGTTCGACCTCCTTTGCACGCGCTTCCTCAAGCTCTGTGACCGCTCGTATTTTCTCACTCAGTTCCGTTTCGAGGGTCCCCAGCGAATTCGACCATTCGAGGCATTGGGCTTGCATGCTTCGACAGTTTCGTTGCTTTTGCTTCAGGTTTTCGAGGCGATCCCGCCAACGCTCTAGTTCCGAATGCAGAATCTTGAGTTCGGCGAGCTTCTGCTGCGCACACTTCTGAATCGCGATGAGGGCTTTTGCGTAACCGCGTGCCTCGAAAATATCGTCGAATTTTTCCTTGACTTTCTTCGGATCTTGCAACGGCCATAGGGACTCTTCTTGATGAACGAAAATCACGTTCTCTAGAACCGCCTGGCGCACACCAAGAAACGCTGGAGCCATCGCATTAATGTCATTGCATCGGTTTGAGGTTTTGATGTGCTGTCCGTCCTTGTCCCGAATGCTGAGGCTTGTCTCCACGGTGCTGAAACTCTGTTTCCCAGCAGTTGTGAGCCGAAGCTGGAGCTGGCGGTTCACGGTAATCTGTCGACCAAGCGCGTCTTCAAATAGCAGGCGAATTTTGGCCTTCGTTTCCTTGCTTTCACGCAAACGTGGATCGTGCACAAAAGCGGCGCCTTTGTCGACGAGCGGCGGCAACTCGCCAGTCGTTGCCAAGCGCAGGCACTCCACTATGGTAGTCTTTCCGGTGCCGTTCGCCCCCAGTATGACGGTTATCGGCGCCTGGAAGCGTAGGCGTTGCTCTTCATCCGGACCGAAACTCCGTACGCCTGAGAAGCCTAGTTTGATCAGACGTGACATAAACACACGAACAGGCGACCTTTCTCGCGCCTAAACGACAAACGTTGCTGCGGTCGACAGCATCGTAGTGGCGGCGAACGCGCCCTATCCAAGACGTCTCCAACTGATGTGCAGACGCGTCCCAGTCTTTTCGGACCGGCCACCTACTAATGCATTCGACTTCTTCTCGTATATATCCATCTTGACAGATTGTCCCACAAAATGCTCTCGTGTCAATTCGGGAGGTCTCGTCTCCAGCACCGCACATCTTATGTTGATTGCGGCATTAAAACGTCGGTTCACGAACTCCATATGTTTCTTGCCGTTGCTTTTAGAACTCACTCATGCACGTGGCCCTTCAACTTTCATCCTCCTTTCCATTTGCTCTTCCGTCAGCGCTCCGTACTTTTCTATATCTTCAGGGCTCAGCTGACACTTTTCCATCTCGACTCTCTGAAGTGTGCACCCCGTTCATGGTGTGTATACGATGTTCGAAACTCATCTATCGGTATCGTAACGATACGCCTGGCGCATTCCTTGTACGTTTTTGTCGACGGAGCTGGCGTAGTCCCTTTTTTGGACGCCCTGCTGCATATGCTTCTACTAGCCTTTGACTCTCGTCCTCCGTGAAAGCGCTCAACTGATTGAAAAAGTTGGCGAATGCACGCTGCTTCCTACAGTACATGTTCATACGCTGCCGAGCCGGCCGGGGCGTGGTACACTCTCCTCACAGCACATCCCAATGAGCAACGCGAACTTGTATGAATTTCAGAAAAGCCTCAAAGTTCGCGCCGCGGCTCGTCACCTCGCTCAAAGCTTCCAGGTGCTCTTTCACTCCTGCATGCCATGTCTCACTTTTCTTCCTCGCATTCATGATTCCCGATTCTCGATAGAATCCCGCTCTCGAGAATCTCAAAAGACGCACGTCTTTCTGGCGCAAGTTACCGTCGATGCTCTCTTCCATACGCTTCGGTGCTGCGATGGTTCTGATTATCGTGTGTTCCCATGGTCCGAGCCAGTGACAAAATCGTTACCCTGAACTTTCTGCGTCACTGGATCCGCCTTTTTGTTTTCTTCATGCTTCGTCATGGGCGATATCGAAGACGTAACTGGACGTTTCGCCTTCAAGCGCCGATAGTGTACGCACATGGCTACTCCATCGGTTTCGATTATCCCAGTGAATACCTTTTGCTTGCTTACTTTGAGTCGTTTGAAATCGAAGGTATTCTTCCAGTAGGTCTCCCGGTTTTCACCGGGGAACTCCGTGTTGCTTTCATCGAACTCCGGACGGATCTCCTTCGTGATGCTGTAGAGGACTCTGGAGTCGATGGTCACAAAATTTGACTCGATGTTGCACAACGGAACGCAATTGAAGCGCTTCCCCATTAGGAAAGCCTTACGTCTCTCCCACTCTTCATTGTTTTTCCTTACTCAGCTTCATCTCCGCGTTGCGTTCTAGTTCTCGGTTCAAAAACATGAAATATCGCAAGACGAGGCGATTGTATCTTTCCTTATCTTTTTTTCAACTCTGATATCTTTTCCGCTGGACTCGCCAGCCCCAGTACCGCACGGTGCTCTTGTATAACCGCACGGATTACGGAAGCTTCATTTGTGCCCTCGTTTGACGCCTTCTTGTCGACGAATTCGACCTCATCTTCATGCTTGGGATCCTTCGTGATGCCATTGATAATCGCCCACATTCCTTTGCGAGAGATGCCAGGGTACAGCGCAAACACGGCGCGTATCATGAAATGTTCGAGGTTCACTGTGAAATGGTTCTTCAGGTTCGTGATGTACTTCATCGCTCCGTAGGTGTAAATATCCGCTTCACCCTTGTATCGAGTACCGTTGAAGCGGTATTCGGCGTAATTTTCGTGAACGCCATGCACTCGCTCATTTCTCCTCGACGGTTCCCCTGTACCAAGCATCAGGTGACGAATAAAGGTCTTGTCGAAAAACTCGTACGGAACCTCGTCTGTTTCCATGTGCGTCACGTCGCGATACATCTCCTTTACGAAATGCAGCAGTCCTGACGATGCCTTTACAATACTCATGGGGTACGAGTCGACACGGTTTCTGATGGCGTCTCGCAACTTTTGCCTGCAGAGATCCTTGATATGCCCAAAAAGACAGGCTTTCACCACCATCTCGTCGTTGTGTCGTCTTTCGTGCGGGTTCTGACTTCGGGCTTCCCTGTTTTGCTTCTTCGTCTTGTCTTGTTCCTCTTTGCTCCGCCATGTTTTTCGTTGTCTCCGGCAGCCAGTGACATTTAGCCTCCAGGTCCTCAACTTGCTTTTCCATAACTTTCTTGTATTTATTTTGGAAAGGAACGCACGTAGAACGCTTCTGCTACAAACGGCGAAAATCACTTGAATGAGCTTACTTGAGGGTTGGAAAACAATTCAGCTGAAAAACTATACTTTGCTATTACTTGAACGCAAATACAACTTTTACGGTAGAACAACACGCAAATATTCAGGATCGCGTTTCCCTTCAACGGCGAGATACTCCTCCTGTCTCATGCCTGCCAGATATCCCAGGTGTGCGTATCGACCACGCTATATAGAACAAATAACAGAGACTAACGATGAACTAGCAACGATATAAATATTTATTCCCCCTAGATGAAACGTTAAAAACGGTAAAGGCTTCCCGTACTGTCGAAAGTTTACCTTACAGGCGGAGGGTCCCGCGAGCCGGGCGACTCTGCTGGGCTGGTGCCCGGTGTGCCTCTAAAGTGGCAGGTGCTGTGGCGAGACCTGAGCAACTCGTCCGAAACGCAGTTCAAGCTGGAATAAGGGGCATTTGGCCTGCGTTTCAGCGTCGCCCCGGTCGCAGTGGACTCCCAGCATATCGCTTCGCGCTGCCGCAGACAGTATGTCTGTCCGCGTAGCTTGCAGGCTCCCCGAATAATTATGTATTCCGACCTCGTGTCGAGTGCACCACGCCTCGAGTCAACGCCCGCAGCGGAACAGCAAAGCCGTACAGTCTCCGGGATATATCTGCTCTGGCGGTTTTGGCGCCACCGCGGGGGCCGCAAGGCAGGCACTCAGCACACGATAGCGTGTACAAAACGACCCGTATACTCGGGAGGAAGTAAAAGCAATGGAACTTGAGGGCAGGTGCTTCATGATGGACGCCTTTTCGATTACCACTATCCATCCCGCAATCTGGGATCCATGGTCGATGGAGACGAATTTTGTCATCGGAAAAAATCGATCGCCATCCCATCGGCCTGATGGCGCTCCTGATGGCAATGCGCGCCTGTATACAACAGGGGCGCGAAACTGTCTCGGTTCCCATACGGGTCGTGTTTCACGTTAACGCTGCTCGACTCCTGTGTGTTTGTGTGTGCCCGACGTGATAGTGGCCAAGCGGGAAGGCTCGCCCTTCTTTCCATTGAACCGTTATGCGTGGAATCCTCACCTGTAAAACTACCTGTTGTGATGCAGAGACCTTTGGTTGCGCTGAAGATCGTTCTCGTGGGCAATAGTGCAGTGGGCAAGTCATCTCTCTTGCTACGATTTGCGGAAGGCACGTTTGCGGAACTGCCAGCCACAGTAGGCGTAGACTTTCGAGTGATCTCACTGGAAAACGTCCAGGGCTATCGTGTCAAACTCACCTGCTGGGACACCGCGGGACAGGAAAAGTTTCGCACCCTGACGTCATCTTATTATCGCGGTGCACACGGTGTTATTATGGTGTACGGTATAGATGATCCAGAGTCGCTGAAGCATCTTGAGACAGCTTGGCTAGAAGAAGCGAGACGGTATGTGAATAACCCAAACGCTGTTTATATGATAGTGGGCAACAAATCGGACCTGCCGACTGCTGTGGTGCCCAGGGCAGACGGGCGGCGACTCGCTGAGCGTGTTGGCGCACTCTTTCTCGAGACAAGTGCAAAGTCAGGTTCTGGAGTATCGGAGTGCTTTGTAGAGCTTGTTGCACGTATATTGGAGGCACAACCCCATGTAACAGGTGATGGCGAGCAAGCAGGAGTTCAACTGGAAGCCGGTCCGTATCATGAAACAGCCTCATGTCTTTGTTGATCATCGCCGAGCTGAGCATCGCGCTGTGCACACTAGACATGATTCGGAAGCGATGGACCTGGATTTCGAGCCGAGTGGGGAGGCTCTGCAGCTGAATAGCACCAAGCTTGTAAAATTCTCCTAACAACATACATATTTGCAGACATTAGGTAGTGCACAATTTGATGACCCGCACAACAGCGAGTTTGCGGTATGTCTCGAAAATCCAGTGGGCATGTGCAGAGATACACATATGAGGTACAAGGCAAATTCCACAAGAATCCGACGATGCGTCTCAAGTGTACGGATTGTTTGTCCACGTCATCGGTGCATAAAGAAGCCGCTACACGGCACCGTGACGCAAAGACAGGTATCACACCGACGCTTTCAGAAAAGTACACACTTTGCGTAGCGCATTGCTGCGCGTCTTTCCAAGGTCCAGCGAAACCGAATCGAGCCTAGATCGAGGTGCACAGCAGGAGACTAACGATTAACTAGCAACGATACAAATATTTATTCCCCCTAGATTAAACGTTAAAAACGGTAAAGGCTTCCCGTACTGTCGAAAGTTTACCTTATAGGCGGAGGGTCCCGCGAGCCGGGCGACTCTGCTGGGCTGGTGCCCGGTGTGCCTCTAAAGTGGCAGGTGCTGTGGCGAGACCTGAGCAACTCGTCCGAAACGCAATTCAAGCTGGAATAAGGGGCATTTGGCCTGCGTCTCAGCGTCGCCCCGGTCGCAGTGGACTCCCAGCATATCGCTTCGCGCTGCCGCAGACAGTATGTCTGTCCGCGTAGCTTGCAGGCTCCCCGAATGATTATGTATTCCGACCTCGTGTCGAGTGCACCACGCCTCGAGTCAACGCCCGCAGCGGAACAGCAAAGCCGTACAGTCTCCGGGATATATCTGCTCTGGCGGTTTTGGCGCCACCGCGGGGGCCGCAAGGCAGGCACTCAGCACACGATAGCGTGTACAAAACGACCAGTATACTCGGGAGGAAGTAAAAGCAATGGAACTTGAGGGCAGGTGCTTCATGATGGACGCCTTTTCGATTACCACTATCCATCCCGCAATCTGGGATCCATGGTCGATGGAGACGAATTTTGTCATCGGAAAAATCGATCGCCATCCCATCGACGCGCTTCCAATGCCTTCGCGGAGCCGACGGCGTCCGCGTGTCCCGCAGCATCCGTATCTTGTTGCGTCTACTTAGGTGCGCAACACAGGTAACAGAGTATTCGTCTGAGATCAGGTACGTGAAATGGTGCTTACTCCAGATTTTTGTTGGGCGCAACGCAAAGACAAGGTATTCGTCACCGTGAAGGTTCCAAACGTGCAGAAAGACACTGCTGTCCTGAAGGTCACCCCCGAAGGACAGGTGTACTTTAAGGGAACCGGCGGTGAGATTGGGCACGAACGGGAGTATGAGCTCGACATTCGGTTGCTTCACGGAATCAAGGCGGAGGAAGCACAGCACGGCATCCAAGCGAGGCAAGTGTACTTTGTGTTGCCTAAAGCGGAGGCCGGTGAATGGTGGCCACGACTCCTTCACGATCCGGGCCGAAATGTACACCTGTCCGTGGACTGGAACCTCTGGGTCGACGAGGACGAGGATGATCAGTTTGATTTCGGTAGTCACTTTGGATCGCGTGATATGGCCGACCTGGACTTTGGAATGGGTGACGACGACGACCTTGGTGACGACGAGGACGACGACGACGACGACGAAGGCGTTGATGGCGAGGGCGGCCTCGGCGACACGGAAGAAAAGGAGGACGCCCAGGAAGCCGCGGCGGACGTGACGCCGACGTTGTCTGAGAACCACATGCACCGCGATCAGGAGGCAGATGAGAATGACGTTGTTAAGAGCGAGCCAGGTACCGTGACTGAGGCTGCCAAGGATCTGGGTAAAAATGCCGAGTCCGTACAGGCAGCGTCAACCGAGGGGCCTGCGTCAGTGTTTTCCTCTTGAGCTGGACACGAGGCTTGATAGGTTGCGTACAACTGCCAGCGATTATTTTCAGTAAAAGATTCACAAAAATCGTGCACAAGATGTTTACCATCGTTTAACCATAGTTTTTCTCCAGTAATAGCATTCTAGGCCTGAGCATACCGCGCCGTGCGGCGGCAGCATGGTCGATTGCGTGCCTGGGCCCTGAGCGACTGAAAATCCATCGTGTTCCGAGCGCTGTGCTCGCAAACCTCGTTCACAGTTGTTCCATGAGGTCTGCATACCCGCCAGAAGCTGTGATCTGCAGCAAGTGGCGAGCTTGTCTAGAACAGCGCGCGGCAGGTCGCCGAGAGTTGTGTTGTGTCATGACTTGTGCGGCATTTTCGGGTATTACATACGAGCTGCCCGAGCATACCACCAGATGATCCGTTTCTTGAACAGGGCAGTGAGGAATCCCAAAGTTGCCTGCACCGATGCGGGTGCGTCAGCAGACACGCGCGCATAGATTCATGGCGCACGACACATCGCCGCCGTCGTTATCACGCGCGCGCCTTCCGCACACCTTTCTCGGATCCATGGACGAATGTCTCAAACAATGGCTCACGCATTCTGTCCACTCATGTATCCGAAGCGCACACCGTGCACTCGGATTCCGGTTAAAGCGATGCAGTTCAACTGGGGCCGGCTCCGCACGCGACTCAGGGAATGCACCTGAACTGCGACCAACACGCTTTCAGTCCGTGCGTTCGTTCGAAGCTCTGTACGCGCATTGGCTGATCATGGAACCCGATTTTGTCTAAGTTCAGGTTTCCGGGTGTGTTGCTCGGAGAGGACGTGCGTGCCCAAGTCGTGCATTACCCTGGTGTAGCAAATACAATGCGTTTTGCGCATTTCTGTGATATGCGACCAAGACACTGCTGCTTCGGAGTGTATGATCCTCTCAGCAACTGAAGTTGACACCCCAGGAGCACCGGCATGAATCACCCTGTCTCCGTGCAGCGTCCGCAGCGATGCTGCGGGCACCCCGGTGACCGCTCACGAGAGGCACGACACCCCGAGGATCGTATGAATGTTTCACGATCCCCCAAGTCTCGATAGGACGTGTTCGTCGTCTGTGGAGGATCTTGTGCGGAGTAGTGATTACGTCCCTGAATGCCGATACCAGCTGACAGCCTGACCATCCATCGGTAGCTTCATAGAACCGCAGCCCCCGCCCCCGCCACCGGCACCATCGAAAGCGAAACATGCGCTGAAATACAGCGCAGCGGATGGATCCTGTACATACTAGGTTAAAGACATCCACAAGATGATCCACGGACCCCTGTGTCATGGCGTGCATGCGCATCGCCCGCGGCATCGCGAGGCGCACGCCGCCTCGAATCCAACGGGAGGCAACGGTGCGTGCGCTGCTGCTGATGCGTGCTGCGGATCCTCTGACGCGGGTACGCCTGTTGCGCTTTCGACGTGTAGGCACCTTGCGAGCGGTGATCGAAGCGCTAGATTCTAATGCATTGTGCACGCTTTGTATTAGCGTTAGGTCGGCGTGACTTGCGTAGGGCAGAGAAGAGTTGGCCGAGTGATGTATGGAAAAGGGCGGTGCGAGCGCTGAGCACCTCAAGCGCCACATCGCTTCAAGAGGCCGTGCGCTCAAAGATTGAGCCGATGCGAGCTCAAGTCCACGAGGTTCGGGAACGATTCGGTGAAGAAGTTCTTGACGCGTGCACCGTTAATCAGGCCTACGGTGGGATGCGCTCTCTGAAGGCCATGGTCTACGAGACGTCACTCCTTGATCCGCAGGAAGGCATTCGTTTTCGGGGGTTTTCGATCCCCGAGTGTCAACGGTTGTTGCCAAGAGCAAAGCCCTCGGGCGAGCAACCACTTCCCGAAGGGCTTCTGTGGCTCCTCCTGACAGGTGAAATTCCGACGGAGTCGCAGGTCGAGAGCGTTTGCCAGGATTTGAAGCGGCGGGCAGCCGTTCCCCCGGAAGTGTTGCGCTTGTTAGACGAACTACCCCACGAGCGCATGCATCCCATGACGCAGTTCTCGGTAGCTGTTAGTCTTCTGCAGCATGAGTCAAAGATGGCAGAGGCGTATGCGCAAGGCGCTCCCAAGTCGACCTTCTGGGAATACTGCTTGGAAGACGCATTGACGCTTATCGCTCGGTTACCAGCAGTGGCTGCGAGAATCTACCGTAATACGTTTCACGGCGGAAAGCATGTGCCAGCGGAAAAAATTGAAAAAGTCGATGACATGGGCATGCGTTTGGCGAGGTCACTAGGCTTTGAATTGAACGAATTTGATGAGTTGATGCGGTTGTACCTGGTGCTTCACGCGGATCACGAAGGTGGAAACGTGTCGGCGCATGCCGTGCGCCTGGTCGGTTCGGCGCTAAGTGACCCGTACTTGTCATTTGCAGCTGGTCTGAACGGTTTGGCGGGACCATTGCACGGCCTGGCAAATCAGGAAGTTTTGCGTTGGCTGCTACAAATGAAAGAAAAGCTCGGCAATCGTCCGATGACGACGGAGAATCTGAGGGAACTCTGTTGGGAGACCCTGCGAGAAGGCCACGTCATTCCGGGGTTCGGTCACGCGGTCCTGCGGCGAACCGACCCGCGCTACACAGCGCAGCGTGAATTCGCACTCAAGCATTTACCGCACGACGAGATGTTCCAGCTTGTTTCCAAGTTATACGAAGTCGTTCCGCGGGTGCTGGAGGAGCAGGGCAAAGTGAAAAACCCGTGGCCCAATGTCGATCAGCATTCAGGAATTCTGCTTCGCTATTATGGATTGGTCGAAAGCAACTTTTATACGGTGCTCTTCGGCGTGAGTCGGGCACTGGGAACGCTCTCCTCGCTCGTGTGGGACCGTGCTCTTGGTCTGCCCATTGAACGCCCCAAATCAGTCACGACGCAATGGATACGAGAACACTTCGAGAAGCGTTCGGTTTCTGCATAGACTAGCCACCTCTGGCGCTGGCGCGCGCAAACGCCGGCACCGCGAACACAACCGAGAACGGCCTGCATCTGTCTGTCGCAGGCGCACAACTCGAAAAGGTCCGTACGAGTCATATGCCGAACACACAAGCCTGAGCCGCATCGATTCCAACGAAGGTTACTTGTGGTAAAAGCAATGACACGAGAATTTCGTACGCGCATTGGCTCACAGCGCGCTTCATCCTCTCCGTCACCATTGCGTCGTGCACACACCGCGTGCTGGTTTGGATTGCACGTATGCTTCATGCTTGCAGGAAAGATGCAGCATCCACGCGCTCCTTGGATGCCGCATGGCGGAGTGCCTGGAATCTCATGCGACCTAGGCGGCCGTACTGGGTGCTCTTGCGGGGTTGCCTCACGAACCGGCAACTGCCGGAAGCGTTTGCTACGCCTGTTGCTCTTCGACGACAGCAGCACTTGGCCGCCGGCGCTCGGAAAACTTGCGATGAACAACTCGTGCGCGCTCTTCGAAAGCGCGGACCATTTTCCTAGCCACCTCATTGAAGAACAAGTCCACGGCAGCCTGATATACTGGAGAGCGGAACCGAAAGTCTACATAAAAATCAACCCAAGACTCGTTGGGATTCTTCCCGGGTCGAAAGCGCCATTCATTAACCAGATGTTCGAAAAGCTGGCTCGTCGTGGCGGTTGCTCGCACTGCTCGGTCCGGCTCGAGACGCACCAGCGAAATGTACTTCTCGTGGAAAAGCTGGAAGCCTACCTTGAGCTCCGCTTCTAGCAAACGTTCCCCGTATCGCTGAATAACTCGGGAGCTGGTGCACCACGGCACGAACTCGTGGTACCGTTCAACGTCTGCAACGACGCTGTAGAGCTCGTGTGCGCTAAACGGAACGAGTTTGCTCTCGCTGAACGAGCGTGAAAGTGCTGTCTGAGTGCTCCGGTCTCGCGGTGCTTCCGAAACAGTAGCACTGCGTAGTTTCCCAAAGAAGTCACGTTTGCTGCCGAGCACAGAAAAAGGTAGCCCATCGGGCTCGAGTCTGGAAAAGATCGTGACGTAAGCCGTACGCAACGGTGTCGGTGTCCGGCCAGGAAACGCTGCGCTCCGCCTAGTGCTCAGGTTTCGAGAATCTATCCCCGAGCCTCGTTGCCAATGCGCACCAGTGCTTCCAATGAATCGGTGAATACGATGCATCCGCATTGTTTTGCTTAGAAGCATCTTGGCGGGCTGAAGAACCCGCCCGCCAAAAACGCTCTCCAGACGCAGCAGTTGGAAGGCGCCATGACCCGTAAGCGCTTGCGCGTTCGCCTGCGGCATACTGCGGAGCCACAGTGCACCAAGGAAAGTGTGGTTTTTGCAGGGGCTTTGCCAACGGGAGGCGAATTTTTCTACTGCCGGTCAAGGGTGCAGAAGAAGCACTCGGGAGATCCTGAAAGCATTCATCGAGGCTATAGCATAAAGAAAGTTGGACGAAGGAGGTGAAGTGTCTTTGTGCCCTCTGCAGCGTGACTTGTCGATGAGCAGCGGTCGACGCGTACCGGCACGCTCGCTAGAGCGCTCTTGCAGAGCGACGTGAAAAACTTGCATTCATGAAGAAAACACCACGGGAACGTAGCGCTTAGGAATATATGCCTAAATGCAGTTTTTGGTGCTCGTTCGTCCAGCTGTGACGGAACGCCGATGGAGTCGTAGAAAACGGGATTCGCCTGTCATAGACGTGTACCCAAGCTAGACTGAACTGGCAATGGGTCGTCTAACGCGCCTGTCAATACTGCAGTTTGGGTCTTTTTTCTACTGCCTTCAACACAATCCTCTGTGCGCTTTTTCTGTGGCTGATCCGTGTTCCTCTATCCTATCTTGGGCTCTAAATACGCGGGTCTTTAGCTTTCCCCCAGCCCCAGTGGAAGCAGTCGTACGACGTTGAGGGAGCGTTCAAGCGCCGATTTCGGAGCTCCCAGCTCTTGTCCATGCATTTGATGCACAGGGCGAAGTTGCGGCCTATGATTCGCTTGCCATTTTCTACTTCACTGCATACACCCTGACTGTGCACACCGCAGCAGTGACACTACTTTGGGCAGGTGTTCGCAAACTTGCACCAAATCCCTCGCCTCAAGCCCAACTCTGTGGTGCGTAAACGCTCGCTTCACCTCTTTCTACATGCCCCTGACGAGTACGGAAGGCGCAACGCATTGCCTTCCTCCGTTTCCGCTCTCGGTGCCGGACCCTATTATCACGGGCTTCTTCTGGGCGATACCCGCGGCGAGTTCAGTGTCCACTGCATGTGCAAGCGCATGCTGTTCCATCCTACACGAGGATTTGTGGAACGGGATGTCGATCTTGATGAATCGAGAACCGGTGACGAATTCCAGGCGGGGAAGCAGTCGAGAAATTTGGATCCGTCAATACGCATTTTTTTGCCAAGCGGTGACGCAATCTCTGCACCGGAAGCGATCGCTGCGATGACGTGAGTCCGAGTCCAGACCCTTTTCTGGACAAGCGGAAGGAACCGGAGCCTCCAACAGCATAGCTCTCGAGAAGTATCATGCTACTGTGGTATGTCGTTCGTCGCTAAACACAAAGATAGGAGGATTTGTTTTTTGTACGGATCCGATTACGAATTGAAGATAAATTTTATTTTCAGGACAATGTTACGAACAAGTCTTCAAAAGACGACGACGACGACGCCTTTTCTCTTCGTACATCGGGTGGTGCGAATTGCTGTGCCCACGAATCCCTACGAAACATCAAGATCGAAGAAATGACGCAGACGTGATTTGATCATTCTACTCGTAAAGAACGGAGAGGAATGGATGCTTGGACGTGTGCATTGGATAATGGTATCCGGCGTTTACGAATGCCTGGTCGAGGCCCGTACAAATCATCCTGAGTCCTGTGCCGAAACGAATTCCATCGGCTGGGCGTCGAAGAAGCCACTCCGAAAACACGACCGACATTCGTGTAACGACAGCCGGCTCCGTACGCCGTTATTCCCGCACATCGAATACTGGGGCTGCAAATCCAAAAAACAACTTTGGAAAACCTGGATAGACGGGAACAGTGTGAGCGGTTCAGTGCCCCAGTTCAATTATCACGCGGACGAGGACTGCTTCGTACCACCAATAGAAAACGCAGTATTGGGATGGAGCACTAGTATCCAGGTGTGCACCTATCATGATAGAAGCGTTTCCAGTCGGCACCATCGAGGATCCCTCACTTGCCTCACCTACCGATTATCCTGGAAAAAACGGCCTGCAAATGATGAATGTATCACGAGCACTGCATTCCAGGGTGGCATTTGTCTTGCAAACAAAACGAAATGTGCGCTTTATTTCCCCCACATGTAACCCAGAAACACCTAAATGCCTCGACTGGATCGGTCGCGCTGGTGGCAGTGCACAAAGCGTCCAAGTGTGTCGTGCGGTCGCGAGTGCCACTGCGGAGTGACGGCCTCTGCATGTGCTGGAGTCACGATATGCATACAACCATGCCATGAAGTATGTGCCGATGTCAACGCACACTCTGTAAGGTCGAAATGCTCTTCGCACGAAGAAACAGGCGACAGCCTCTCCGGTGTCATATCCGGTAGAACGTGGCTGTCACGATGGATACCAGCGGCCGACTTTGATACACTCTTGCTGGGACTCTGGTGCGCGTGCTCACGGAACTCATGCGAGGGCAGCGGAATTTACAGCTGCATGTAAAGGATTGCGGGTTCTGATGCCGGGGGCTGTTGTCCCGATTCACTCTGTCAAACGCTTACCACGGAATGAACTGGTTCGATGTATGGTGCATTGAGTCTGCGCCATCCCTTGCATGTCCACGGGCATGGTTTGTCGTGAACGTATATCGCGTGAGCCCATAACCGTGGCGGGTATCGAGTCTCGCTCGTGTCTGAGTACAGCTGAAAAAATTCTTATCAGAAGGTTTGGAGAATGCCTGATAGGGAAATAAGACTCGCGTCTGCACATCAGGCGAATAAGCTGATTCGGTCTTCCTGTTGATACCGCAGTCAGCTAGCTGTCAAGGCACACAAAAAGATTCACGATATGCTCGTCTAGCGAAACGGTTTCACACGCATACCAGGCGAACTAGCTGGCTCGTTCTAGCTATCGAAGCTGCAGCGAACGAATCAGCGATTCCCCGTAAGAAGGCTCATGGTATGCCAAGGTCGGTAAGAGGCCATACATTCGCCAACCAGGAGAGCCAGCTTGTTCGTTATTCCCGGCGACGCTGCAGCCGACTTGAAGCCCCTGGGCACCGTGTGCTTCGTGCTTGCACCAACGGCTCGAAGTTCATCGATCACGCTTTCTACACGCTCTAACGTCGACAGCGCTTCTCAAGAAACCGATAACTCGTTTTCCGTACATGCAGCTATCGGATAGACAGGAGAACAAGTGCACTGAGATTCGTGTTCCTTCCAATACACCCGGTCGCTTGCCATCGAACCATGGAGTGCCACTGCGTCCTCGCGAGACGCACCCGCATGGATTCATCCACTACCATCCAATGTCAAATCCAGCATTATTCCAAAAGCACTGTTGACTGACTCAAGACCATCTTATCGTATGCGCTCTGAAACACGCGCCTCTGTCAAAAGCCATAGAACGCAGTATGCGCTTTCTTATAGTCTGTGACAGCTCGCCGGTGGACGATACCCGGGGCGGCAGTCGCGGGCCTTGAGCCGGCCTCGAAACCCCCCCACCGACACACGGCGTAAAGTCGTTGCGCTCGGGTTTGGTCGGTAGCCGCGAAAGTGTTCAGTAGCGTTCGGTAGCGCTACTTTGTAAAGCGGTGAACGGCACAGGTGTCCCGGTCAAGCTCGACGCTCATGGACGCGGAGACTTCACGGCAAGCAGAAACGCTTCGGGCGCTCGAGCGAGCGCTCGTTCGGACCGAGCACGATAAGGTCCTGGCGCTGAGTAGCCAGCTTCTCGAAGGACCGGTTACGCAACCAAGCTCCTCTGATCGGTCCGAGGAAGCTGCGCTGCTGAGAGCTCGCCTCTTCCAGGTACGCGGCACAGCGCGGGCGAACCTCGGGCAGACGGAGGCTGCTGTCGCCGACCTGGAGCAGGTTCCGGAGGTTTTTCGCGACGAGTCACTGCGGTTCCTGCTGGCGTACCTTTACTACCAGATACGCAACCTAAGTGCCGCGAAACAGCACATACCCCAGGAAACTGCTGAGGGTGCCGAGTTTCCGAGCACATCGCGGCGAAGCTGGGACCTGCTACGTGCCCAAGTGGCGTACGTGGAAGGAAAACTCGACCAGGCCGCCAATACGTGGCTGCGGCTTTTATCGTCTAGCGTTGATCACGCAGAAACTGGAGCACTATGGACGAACTGGTTTGCTGCCCAGAGTAGCAAGTCTGCGCCTGTTGACTTGAGCGGGGATGCATCCCAGGGTCTCGGAGTTCTTCGGGACGCCCAGTTATACGAGGGCCTCTTTAACGTCGCCTTGTGGTGCTCGCTTCGTGGAGATGCCGACACCGCAACAGACTTGCTTGAGGATGCCCGGCGTGTTGCTGTTTCTGAGCTAGGAACCGAGCAGCACGTGGATGTCGCCCGTATCGACGTGCAGCGTGGATGCCTCCTGCAGCACCAGGGGCAAGAGCTCGCTGCACAGGCAGTGTATGCGCAACTTGCCACGTGGCAGGCTCCGCGAGCGATCGTGCCTGTCGATGGAACAACAGACTGGGTACGCGCCTTCAACCTTAGCGTTATCGAAGGGTGCCTGGACGCGTTGCTCGATAGCGAGCCCAGCACATGGACGGTAACCGATGCGCAACGTCAAATTCTGTACTGGGATCGGGCACTCGTGGCCATTCAGCGGAAGCAGCCGCGTATAGCGCTGGATGCTGCTGAAGCTGCATTCATGCATCGTAATGATGCTGCGATGCTCAAAGCATGTGCATTGGATTCGCTCGGGCGACACGAGGATGCCGAGCAGCTACTACTCGCGCATCATCTGGTGATGCCCGCTGCGCAGCTGCGCTACCAACGAGGGGATCTCACCGGAGCGCTGGCCCTACTCGAGCAACTACCGATACTGGATTCGCCGACAAACTCAGGCACTGTCCTAGGTCGGAATCAGCCTGCAAACGTGCTTTTTCGGGTTTCCGTGTACCGGCGACAAGGGCAGCTCCAGCGAGCGCTCGAGGCGCTGCAAGAAATCGACCATAGGAAGCTCAGTACCCGCCGACTTTATGTGGAGATTTTGCTCGAAAACAAACAGTACAACGACGCTTTGGACTACCTGGCAAAAGATGCAATCTCTGATTGCGTGCTTGAGAGCTACCGCCTTATCGCCCTTAGCTATATCGATCCACTTGCCGCCGAGCAGGTCTTGCCGAAGCACATCGAAGAGCGTATCGCGAGAGAGGCATCCATTCGGAGCCATCAGGGTGGATGGCGCGCGCCCACGTCGGAATCCACGTTCGGAACGCTGCGAAGCAACCAGCAGGGACCATATGACACCGAACCTGCAGCAGCACGAGCAGCATCCGCTCGACCCAGCGACGCTGGAAACGCCGAAACGGTTGCATCTAGGCGCCGGCGAGGGCATCGTAAGAGTCGAAACCCGCTACCACAATCTTTTCGAGCAGATGCCCCGCCGCCGGATCCATCGCGCTGGCTGCCCCGTCACCAGCGTCCGGGCTCTCGGCGGAAAGCACGGCGTCAAGCGGGAGCGCCGGGCTCAGCCACAACAGACAGGGCAACCCAGGGGAAGATAGAGACCGCAACAGAACTCGACGCACAAATTCGAGCAGCGTCGGCCGCTGCCAAAGTGCTCCCCATGAAAGGCGCTGCCACCAAGTTGGCTGGAAAGAGGCGTGTGCGGCCATCGCGCGCCGGCCGCTCCTAGTTGAGGCCACGAGCACCTTGAAAGACAAGCTCACGACTAGACACTAGCGGCGACTTGCAACCCAAATGAATCGCTCCGCGAGATGCGTATGCGCGTCCGTGTAGATGCACGGATGCGTGCGCGCAAGGCGTACACGTGTACATAGACCTGCACGCGTCTAGATGCGAGTGTGCATTGGCGCGGGAGCAACGCCGTGCTTGTTCTGGTAACTTTCAACCGATACCTGTCGTCGCTAAATTTCCAGTTGCATACGCTGAAATCTTGATCTCATCGGGAATACACGAAGCACCCCTGAACAAGCTGCTAGAAAAGTGGTAGGTTCCTGTTTCTCACAGAGGCCGGTTCGGATGCTGCCAATCTATCCCGGATTTTTATCTGGCGTTGCGTGCGGAACGCATGGAGTACCGCTCGCACTGTTGATCGTCATGACAGCCGACCAGCGATCTCAGCGGCCTCAGAACCACGTCCAGCAGCAACAGGTGCAAAAAAAGCTGCAGCGTCGATCAGAATGCTGGTCAGGGATACAGCAACGCGAGGGCGCCTGCTGCTGCTGCTGCTGCACGCAACCGTGCTGCATACCTCATGCAGAGAGCGAAAACGACGACAGCGCAGCGGGTTCTTAACGTTTCTCGTGCGCGAGGCGTATAACAAAAGCCGCAACAGTCCGAGGCGCTTTTCAGTTACAGTGTGTGCTCGGCATGGGTGCTCCATATCGCTCCGAAGAAGCGAACATGGGCAAGTCCTCTATCCTGCACTGCACGCGACACGAACATGGAGATGAGTTTCCCGCAACAATCACCATGCTTAGTGGAATACGTTACCCGAGATTGGGCTTTTCGCCTACTGGAGCTGATGCCGTCGACAACGCAACCCCAGTTTGACGACATCGCTCGAGACGGCACTCGTTGCGCGCTGTTCAATAGTTGCACTTCATGTCTTCCTCGTTTCCGCAGGCGAAACGCTAGGCGATACAGATGCACACTGGTCGAATGCCTTCCAGCGACAGTTTTTGCAAGTGATATCCTGTATTCCGCACATGCATTCCTAGCAGTTGCACCCGTTTCGAACATCTCATAGGAACGTTTTAGGCAGCTATCGCGATCACCCTCCGTGAATCATCACGGTTCCATGTGGAATTCGAATGGTTGATCCACCGCTGAAAGCATGCCGCCGCGGTGAATTCTGTGGCTGACGCTCTGAGCATCGTTCGACGACAGACGAAAATTCGCTGGCCGCATCACTGCAGCTCAGGTTATCATTGACTTCGTTCACGTTTCGATTCACGACTCAAGGGCTCCGGCCGATTCTCCGGAGGGTTTCGCTTCGCTCCCGGCCGAGCAAGGCTATTGTACCCCCCTGGGGACAATTCAGATGCACGAAGAGGTGCGGATGCTGGCGTCCTGGCTGCGGAATCTGGACGTCTAAGGTTGGTATAGGTTACGGCGCTGCGCATGGCCGCCGCCGTCGTCGCCGCCGGCGCCGAACCCCGCACGCCATAGGCAATATTGGCTACCGGTGCCGCTGGGACGCCTCCTTGTGCCATCCGGAGGGGACCATGGGACGGCACTGGACCCTGCCGCGCCTGCATAGCCAGTGCTGCTCCTGCGTTGGGCGCGATTCCTCCGACACCCTGGGCATGCCGCTCCAGTTGGCGTCGTTTGCGAGCCTGATACTCATGTACAGAGTCATATCGAGGGAGCTCCTCCGGTCGGCACGGCAGTGGCTCCGTCGTGAACCACGGATGCTGGAGCGCCTCAGCGGCTGTGGGTCGCCTTTCTGGACAAATTGTCAAGAGTTTTTCGGCGAAATCCAGGGCGATGGAACTCAAGCCCTTGCTTCCGAAAACCGTCCGAAAGACGTTCGGGTAATGCTTGGCCTCGGGTACAGCGTTGAAAATGGTGCTCGCATACGGCAAAGAGCGGTATCCAGGCCACTGGTCCTCTGTCGGTGTTCCCAGGAGCGAAAAGATCAAGTTTGCTTGACTAACTTCATCTTTGCCTGGGAAGACCGGGCGCCCGGTCAACATTTCCAGAATGAGGCAGCCAGCGGACCAGATATCCACAGCGAAACCGTAGCAGTTTTCCCCGAGCAGCAGTTCCGGTGCTCGATACCACAACGTGACCACCCGGTTGGTGTAGCGACGCCCGGTTTCCCCGAGGAAGCGAGCGAGTCCAAAGTCAGCGATCTTCACTTTGCCGTCGCGACTAATCAGTATGTTGCTTCCCTTGATATCCCGGTGCATAACGCCCCGCGCATGGCAATATGCAAGACCACGGAGGAGTTGCTGCGCATAGCATTTGACCTGTGCTTCCGAGAAGTGAATCTCTGGCGTGTCCATTAAACCCGTGAGGTCGTAGTCCATATATTCAAACACCATGAAGATATCGCCTTTGCGGTTGGTCTGGGTACCGCCTTGGCCTCTAGATGTTACCATCTCAATTAAGTTCACAATGTTCTCGTGCCGCAGCTCCCGCAGAACTTTGATCTCCCGGCATGCTGTCAGCGGGAATCCTTCCCGTTCATTGGCCATACGGAGGCGTTTAAGGGCTACCTCTTGTCCTGTCTCTCGGTTCCGGGCGTGGTAGACTTCACCGTAGGTGCCTTCACCAACCTGTTCTAGTTTCTCGTACACCGTATCATCGCGAATCTTCCAGGGTGCTTCTTTTCGTCGTTGAATATTCAGCGGCTTCGCGGTAAAAGTCTGTTCGGCATTTCCTAGAGAGCTGAGCGCTGGCGATGTAGATGGAAGCCGGGGTTTCACTGTCCACGGAGCCGATCCAAGAGACGTCCCTTCGGTCGTCTTGGACTCTGCAGAGGTTTTTTGGGCAGTCCCATTCTCCGGTGCGTGCATGGCTGCTATGAAGCCGTCCCCGATACGTAGAAAAGAGCTACTCAACGTAACCGCTGTCCTGTCCGTCTTTCAACAACTGTGAAGAGAACCTCGATAGAACGCGCCCCAGCAGCGCGGACGCAACCCCTTACAGCGCTGTCTGCAGCGTGGAGGTCACCAAACCGTGAAAGCGTCCGTTACAACCTCGTTGGTTGCTATGCTTAAGAAAAACTGGAGCGTCCTTTTTCTCGAGTCGTTTTGTATCCGGCGCCGTTTCGTTTCGACTCGCTCCAACACGTACACGAAGAATCAGTCGTTGGAGGAAACGTAGCGTTTTTGACCGTTCTTCGCGATCGATTGGACGCGTCCGCGTATCGCCGAGAAAAGACCAGCAGGCTAGCCGTCAAAAACGTTACCCAAACACAGTACGCTCTTTAAAGCCGGTTATCCCAGCGTTCAGCAGGGTCGAGCGCTCACTCACTCACTCACTCACTCACTCACGCTATCAGGCGCTGCACCGAGACTCGACCAAGCTCGACCGCGTACTTTCACCAAGGTACTGTCGAAACGTAGCGAGCTTGAGATTTCAACGTGACGGAAACACTTGACTTTGTATGCGTTTGCCAAAGTGTGCGTCCGTGTGCCTGCTGCGCGGAACCCACACGCTCAAGCTGATTCCCGAACTGCGGAAACGTGTTGAACGCAGTTCAAACCTTCCTTCGTTACCGTTTATACCTCAAGCTCGGTGACTTTCGTGCAAGTTAATTAGAGAACCCCACCAGAACCTCAGCTTGAAGTACTGAAAGATAACCAATCGAAAAACAACGCCGAAGACCCAGACGTCCTATAACAAGTAACCAACGAACCAACAGAATAGTAAGCTCGGTATTTTCGAGGATTCAGAGACCGCCAGTTCCATCGGCGAGCACAGCTTTGTGTCAAAGCTGCGTTCGGGCGGCGGTGCAAGAAGCTCGGGTCCCGAAGCACTTTGTCCGGCGTTTAGCTCCGACTCTGCGGATGCCGGTGGCGAAAAGGCGACGAGGCGGGAAAACTGCTGCAGTTGAGCCGGACACTCGCGACACACGCTCGGATGCAGTCGCAGACCGGAAACGCACTGCCGCTGAGGTACCTGCGTCGAAGCTTCCAGGAAAGATCACGGACTTTGGAAGCGTTCCTCTGTCGAGACCTCTCGCCCCACCACTGCTCTTCGAGCTAGCTGAAGAGCGTGCGGACGATCTTTGCCGACTTGTGCTGGTCTCCCACGAGGGACGCCCGGTGTCCAGCGTCGACGCCCTATCGGAGTCGGAGTGGCGGGGGTTTGCGACTCAGGCAGTGCTGGCTCGCGAAGCTTGCTTCGCTGCTATACAGGGCGTACACCAGGGTGAGGCTCGTTCAGAGGACACGATTAAAGGAAACCAACGCGCAGCAGCACGCGATGTCAGTGAAACTGCGAGCGACGCTGAGGCGGAACCATCTCCAGAAACTGCTATCCAGACGTCCGTATCTATTGCGGTGAGCGAAATGGATGAAATGATCACTCTATTAGATGCTGTAATTGGTGGGTTTCTGCAGACCTGCGCTGCAGAAAGGTCAGGCTCTACTCGAGTCGAAGGCGGGGCCTCTCCGGCAGCACCACCACCTATCCTGCGCCCGGTTCCTCGAGACCGCTTGACAAGCCTCAAAACGCCGGAGACATTGCATCTGCATTCCAAAGACATGGATACAGAACGAGATACAGCGATAGTAAGCGTACAACGAGGATCGAGCGATTCCATGGGCTGGGCTCCACTCTGGATGCGTCGTGTTCAAACACTACAGTCGATTGCGGCGTTTTTGCGCCATCAGCATGAGGTACTGGTTGGGCAAGGGACCAAGAATCGTCGCTTTCGTGAAGATCTTGCAATGCTCTGTTACGGAGACACGACAAGTTGCTCTGTGAATCGTTTGCGCCCGGTTCTGCTCGATACCCGTCTCTTGAGCGATACGAGAACAACAACAACAACAGCAGCAGCAGCAATGAGTCCGAAAGCTGGTACGCAGCGAATACGGATCGAAGCGCACCTCCATGATGACTGCTGGATACCGCTCTGGCCCTGCGAGCGACACGAGTCTGCACTCCATGGCCATATCTCCGTACACGCATCGGATATCGCTTCCCGTCTGGACTGCACCTGCCCGGTGCTGTTGCAGTGTTTCCGTGGACCAGAATCCTCGACCTGGTATCCAGATCAAGAGCCATTACTGCCCTTACAAAACCCAGATCCGATGTCGTTCCGTTCCGTGCCTTCTGCGATGAATGCAAACTCGGAATTCGTCGGTGTGGCTGCAGTTCGCCGTCTTCTGTTCAGGGTACGCTATCAGCAGACAATGCGACGACTGTATGAGCGACTCATCCACCAGGCGCATGACTGGCTTCGGATGTCCTTGCAGAGGCGATACCCTGGATCGCCGTTCGCCCGATACGATGGCGTCTGCGATCTTCGCGACGTTGACGAACGAGGCTTCACTTTCTACGATGCGCTCTCAGAGCAGGCGCTGCTGCGCGTTGCACTTGAACAGAAAACTCCTGGGGTGCTCAGAAGCGAAACGCATAGCGCTTCGGTGCCGCCGCTCCTGCAAGTTGTTGATGATATCGTCGGGCAACACGGTGCTGATTTTCCTGTGTTATGGCAACTCCTGGGCAATGCGTTGCGCATCTGTCATGGAACACTAGCTGTGTACACCGCAAGTCAGACATTGGGGCTGCTCGTTGCGAGCCGTCGCGACGGGTCACTGCATCCTCACGATGCAGCTGCTTCACGTGCCGACGTTGCGCACTTTACATTGGAGGTACGCTGGCCACAAACCGCTGGTGATGCAGCCAGTGTATGTCGGCTTCACTTCGGGAGCGATGCAGTTTCTGGGTGGGCATCAACGGATGCCGCCTCCCATCCAGAAAAGCTCTCGGATCCTTCCCAGTTCATTGCGTTCTTGATTCGCAGTGTAGAATCGACACTGCTACGTCGAGCGATCGATGCATGGCATCGCGCGCTGCGTACACAGGCCCTGGAGTACGAGGTAGCGCTCCTTGCGAGCGGCGTCGCTCGAGTGAAGGTATGGCCTTCGGGTGCTGCGGCCTCAAGCGATGTCGTGGAACCACAGCGGATCACGATGCATGTGGAGGCGCTGCAGAGCCCGTCAGCCTTGCCCAAATGGACGGGGCATGTTCAATTCAGACTTTGTTTGAACAGTGAGGAATGCTTTGTCGGCGATGCTGGTGCGCTCTGGACCTATTTGGACGAGTCGCTCAATATCCAGCGCCTGTTGCCGAACCTGTGAATGCTCGTGCGATCGTCTCCGCGGTGGTTCGGCAGATCGTGCAGGACACTTCGCCATTGGACACTGGGCGGAGAGCGTTTACGATCGGCAGCAGAGCTTCTTCGAAAAGCGCAAAGCAACTGAAGTTTTTTTTCATCGAGCACTGGACATGTCCAGGAGCTTGATTCGCAAACGCGGACCTTCTCGGGATGCAGTACCGACACACAGGGACTGCCACCAGTCCCGAGTACGAATTGCACAGGCGTCACAGGCTACAGCTTGTCGAGACGCGTCTGGCGGACGCATGTCTCATCTGTTGGTGCTTCATAGGCATCTTCCTAGGCAATGGTGCTGTTGTCTCGCAACATTGTTCGTCCCGAGCGAATGACGTGCTCGGTTTCCGCATGGATGCAGTGTCGCTTTTCTCAATTCGGAGTATCGGTATACAGCGTACAACGCATCTTTCGTGCAGTCAAGAGTGACTTGCGAATCTAGAGCGTCGCTTAAGCTAGAAAAACACCAACTGCCGATGCAATACGCTTTTCTATATGTATGCGACCTAGGTCTCATCGATGAATAGAATGAGTATGTCGATCATTTTCTCGATAGCGCACAGCACCAATTTTGGTATGAAACATTCAGACTGTCACGCACTTCCAAGTCATCAGGGGATATGTTCTACCCGCTTCCTCATACGCACACACACACACACATACGGCAGGTGCCGCACAGGTCTACACGCTCAAACCTGTGTGCTTCTGCCCTTCAAGCCAAAGCCTCAGAAAGCACCGCGGTCCCGGAAAAGCACCCCGGACGAAACGTTAGAGATAATAAAGTGAGGATAAAATTATAGAAAGCAATACAGCAAGGTTTCTTCCATAAGACAGGAATCGCTGCCCCAACCAAACGCTCCGCAACGCACCAACACGCCTCAGTATCAAGCCGATAACAGCAGTTCTCGCGTGAGCGCTTTTCCGTGCCGCTGGTACCGAGATAGCGTGCAGGCGCTGCGAGACGTATCCCCGACCACGCAGACGATTCCGGTATCTGGTGCCGTTGACCCCAAAACACCCCAAAGGACTGATTTCGACTTGATTGTTGCCACAGTTGAATCATTGAATACGTTTCATTTTGCAAGCGCTGTTTCCTAGACGCTTCGTTTGGCAAGTAACGTAGGCCTCGTTATGGCAATGGGTACCACGGCGTCGACTCCAGCAACACTGGAAACTGACAAGAAACAGCTCTTGGAAAGGTTTGCTGAAGAGGAAGCAGCTTTCTCTGAAATACGCTTAGCGCAGCAAACTCTTGAACGCTGTCAGCTTCTGCTAGAGCAAGCAAAAGCGTTCTACGAGCGGGCGCTCAAGAGTACACAGCGCGATGCCCAGTCGGACACCGCTTTGGCCTCGACGTTCGACTCGGGCACTGTGGAAGTGCAGCCGCACAGTTTGCTTATTCGGGCACGCTTGCAACTATACAGATCTCAATTTAACTACGGCTGGGCACTTGTACAACAGCCGCAACCGACTGGACGAGAGCTGGTGCGAGAAGGCATCCAACTGTTGCAGCGTCTCGCCAGTGAACTGGAGCGGGATGAGCACGCGAACGACGAGAATCTCGCCTCTGAATGCTATTACTTCGCTGCTTACGGCCTGTATCGCCTCGGTGAATGGTCCGAGGCTCGCAATATGCTGCGAATACTGGTGAGTCGGCGCGACGGCTCGAGTCAGCAGCGTCGTCAAGCGAGTGCTTTCCTGGCCATTGTCGATGATCGTATTCGGCGTGATGGATGGATTGGACTCGGCGTTGCCACAGCGCTATTCGGTGTCGCCGGTGCGGCTGTTGTCGGGGGCATCCTCGCAATGCAGAAATTAGGCAACCGAGACGCGTCTGCGACGGATGCTACAAAGGCGCGACGAGGCTCTGCGGTCGCGTCCCGTCGCGAAGCTTCGCAAGGTCCGTCGTGAAGCGGCTACGACGAAGCACAAGTTTTCTAGTTTTCGGAAGTAAGCACGTGGATATGGCGCTCCGAGTCTCTGGTGGTGATGTTCGTTTCAAACGAAAAATGCGGATGAAGATGGATGAAAAAGTGCATGCGCATGCACCGGTCTCTCGGTCGAGAGATCCGGCACCTGCCGCAGCTGCTCTGCCGGAGAAGCGCACGGCAGTGGTGGTGCTGGCGTCTCTGAAGCGAAACCAAATCAGCAGACGTGAACGGTATGTTGGGCATTGCGTGTCCTACCCAAAGCATGTGCAACACGTTGCTTGCAACGGAGACGCTACTGGGCCAGTTTTCTTACAGAAACGCTTCGCCGTCGAGCAATGGCCAGCGAATGTAACATTTTCCCTGAATCGTTGCGGTTCGTTGAAAATTGCTTGGAAAATCGGTGATGACGGCTGCGGTGCACACGGAACTCCACACAGAAGCACCTGTTCATGTCGTGCCCCTTGGGGGATATAGCGTGCTCTGGGTCGGCTGAAGACCGGATTTCTACGGCCTGGTTGCTTCTCATCGGGGCTTTCGTCGGCGCACAAGGAACACAGTGGACGAGACTTTTGGTACCAGCGTCGTTCACTTCGCTGAACCCTCGGGTCTCGATGCCCTCGCGCAGCGGCGGTACTGATTGACGACATCCATGAGACTGCAGCACGGACACGAGGGTGCAATGTATCTCATATGAATACTCATCGGAACCGGTCTTGCATACCAATCTGATACTCATTTCAGAGTAAAAAATGAAATGGACACACTCACATAAGTAGAGCGAACACGCTAAATTTTGGGCCTGTTACCACTTTCTGGAACACCAGTTTTGCGGGCTTTCTCTGTGACTGCTTCGTTTTTCGTCGCCCCAGTCTGAGGCGTTAAATATGCCAGTCTCTAGTGTTGCTCTAGCTTCGATACAAGCAGTCGAAAGATATTGATGACGGCATTCTAGTCCCGATTTGGCAGTTTCCGGCAGATGTCGAGGCATTTCATGCACAGGTGGAAATAGCGATCTACGCTCCGCTGGCTGTTGTCATCTCCCCAGCATGCAGCTTCAATGCGTCCTTGGAAGCGTCGACGCTAGGATGTGGTCAGGCATACCCACATGTCCATCGAACCTTCTCGTTTTCCGAGGTTCGGCCCTGTGGCTCGTGAAGGTCCATGTCATCGCTCGGCGCTTGCCCTTGGCGGGTACGCAGAGCTCCCCTCGATGCAGTGCTTTGTTTCCGCGTTCCATGCCGTTCCCTGCGACCGTGGACTTTTGGAAGATCCCCCTGGCGAGTGCTCTGTTCGGCACATGCGGAAGCGCACGCTGTTGCATTCTACAGCGTTTCTTTTTTAAAGCGATTTTGTCGAAGATGAATCTAGTAGCGGGAGGAAGATCCTGGCCGGATTCGCAGTCGAGAAATCTCGATCTACCTACGTACCTGTCGTGCGAAGCGGTGACACACGCTTCACTGGGAGCGATCGCCACGATAACTGAATTCCGAGGCCAACCTCCTTTTTCCATGCAAACAGAAGAGACGGGCGCCCCTTCGGACATATCTTGTGTGGACTACCATGTTACTACCGTCGAATACCATGTCGTCGATGGCGAAAAACAGAGAATGTTTTTCTGCTGAACGGGATCGATTTTCTGACGGTGCGAATTTCAATGTGCTTTGGATATGAGTTGGTCAACAGGTCCTCAATGGGCGAGGTCGAGCTCTGGACTTCGTCAATCCTGCAGTCCGAACGGATGTACCCAAGAAATCGGGTTGGAGCAACATGATCGAAGACTTGAAGAATACGTGATTCTAGCATGCTAGGCGCAGGACAGAAACAAGAGCGGAGGCCTGTACGTGTGCACTGGATATTGGTGTTGGTGAATTTACGAATCCTTCTTCGAGAGCGTCTAAAATCATCTTGATTCCCGACACAACACGAATTCCACCTGCGATACATCGAATGATCCGCTCTTGAAAAACGAGCTAGAATCCGAAACCTACACGTGAATCCGCACGCCGTTATTGCTGCACTTTTAATGTCGAGGCTGTACATCTAAAAGAATGTCCTGAAAGATCTCCAGGCGGGGACAGATCGCGTCGTTCAGACTTCGATTTGAATCTGACACGAGCGCACATTTGCTAGATATTGGTGTCAGAGATGGATCGTGGATATGTTTCAGGGCTCTGGGAGATTTTAACCCCAATGTACTCGATGAAAGGCTCTATTCTTTCTTTCAGGCCATGTACAGATGGTGTCTGGAATTCGGCATCGCAGCGATTCGAAGTTCCGGTTCACGATAGGGCACGCTCAACAACTAGCGTCCGACGTTGCTAAGGTGAAGACGCCAAAATTACCATGCAAACTTCATGTCGGTGATGCGCGGAATTCGGGAGCGTTCGCCACGTTGGTTTATTTTGAGCGCAAAACAAAACTTGTGGCAAACACTATACATCTGTGCGTTGAGCCTGTCGACGGCGCTCTGTTCCGGGAGTCGGGCGTAATGTCAGCACTGGGCTGCAGTGCATCCGGATCCCTTGGTGAACAAAAAGGCATTGTCGGCGAATAGAGGTGAGAGGTGAAAATTGGCTGGTTCATGTCTTGCGCTTTGAAAATCAGGGCCCGATTCAAGTTCTCTACCACACACGTTCGATGTACATGCTTGCATCCTGATCACAATCAAATGACCTCTTAATCTATATCCAGTGGAAATTCACGTCTGCATCACAGCGAAAACCCCCCGAGTTTCCGCAGCGTCGCCCCTGCATTCGCCAAATAATATTTTCAACGTCCAGTTCGCCAGGAGCGTTCCTCCTCTAACACGCGTGAGATACTTAAGCCCCAGGGATACCGCTTTCAAAGTCCGCTTCTCCAGGAGGTTTCCGGATTGCAGCGTGGGCTATCGCGATCGTTGCGACAACGAACAAGAGCGTACTGAACGTCGCACCCGCGCCTGTTAACCACAGAATAACCAAAGAGAAGACCAAAACAACGACACTTTTCCCGCGACTATCTAAAACCACGCGGTCGCCGAGTGCTGTGATCGGTTCGGGGTTCAGCGCAAACAGGTACGTGTAGAGAGCGAAAATGGCCAGCGCACCCAGAATGCTCAGCGGTGACACGAGCACCATAAGCACAACAAGCACAGCGAAGATCGTGGCATAGTTGTACGCGTAATATGCAAGGTTCTGCGACACTCGTTCACGAAGCTCACTCAGCTCGGGCTTATTCATAGCGGCTGTGTTAAAGAACTCATTCCAGGGTCGAGAACGCGTCCACAGGTCGCCGATGCGCGCTCGAAAGTCCTCGCCTGTCGGTAAGCGCCGCAGAAGACTCCCGAGGACGCCCGGCGCCTCCATAACTGCCGTCGAAGACACCGAACTTGCGGCACCTCCATTCGGACTCACTTGTATCGCCATGGAAAACGTAGCGAAAGGAGAACACAACTGAAGTCTGAATGGCAACGAAGTGGTAGACACGCAGGTGCCTCGCGTAACGAGTGCTGTCCAGGGGTTGCGTTGGCGCCGGTGTGCTCATGTCCATGAAGCGATTTGCTGGACGGTGTGCATGATTGTACTGTTATGTACTGTAATACAAAGTTTGTACGGAATGCCGGCTTTACGCGCACTGGGGCTGCCTCGCGTGCCCTGATCGTGGCCCTTGGCATGCAGAAACTGTACAGAAACGGATTTTGCTGCCCAGACATGTCGCGTGCCCTGATCGTGGCCCTTGGCATGCAGAAACTGTACAGAAATTCCTTTTCCTGCCCAGACATGTCGCGTGCCCTGATCGTGGCCCTTGGCATGCAGAAACTGTACAGAAACGGATTTTCCTGCTCAGACATGTCGCATGCCCTCATCGTGGCCCTTGGCATGCAGAAACTGTACAGAAATGCCTTTGCCTACCCTAGCAAGAAGGCGTGCTGCATGTGCTGCAGGCCGACCGTTTTGCGCAGCCGATCGCAGGCTGCCGGCAGCGAAGCGCCACGCACCAGTATACACGCTGTACCGGGATGCGTGCTTGTGTGCGCTGCCAGGCACCAGCTCACGTGCACGAGCAGCACAAGCACTACCGACCCCTTATGACGACAGAGTCTCCAGCGTCTGCTCCTGAAAATGAAGTGATCCAGGGCTCAAACGGTGTGCAGGATGATGCAGCAGCGGTTGAAGTGACTCGCCCTTCAATATACCCGCAGTCGCACCGTCCGCAACCGCGGGACGTGCCGCTGTCCTTCATCGACGAGCGCAACTTGTTGAGTGAGTTGAAAACATCACGTCTAGAGGGGTTTTATAACTTGAGTTTTCTCTTACTCGGTTTCGCGCTTTTCTACATGACAGTGCGCTCTATTGTCGAAAAGGGACTGCTCGTGGACTTTGGTGGCATCTTGTTTCGTTGCCCAGCGTTCTTGTCCGATGTCTGGTTCGTTCTTCGATTCTCCGCAGCACTTTGGGTGTATTCTCTGCTTTTCTTCCTCTTAGTTTGGCTGGCTATGGCCCAGAAGCAATACAGTCGCCGTCGCTGGTTACAGCGGCTGCGCATCGCGCTTGCAGTCTGCGGCTACATCGCAGTCCAGGCGGTGTTATACTGTGGAAGCACTTGGGTGCTCTGGCAACGACCAACGACACCAGCGCTCGGAGGATTCCTGACTCTTTGGGTTATTACGATATCGCTGAAAGGTCACAGTTATTTCATCACAAATTGGTACCTGGCCGAGGAAGCGGAACGAGCTTGGCGAGAACGGGCGCGTCGCAAAAAGGAGACACCCGTCGATGCGCATGAGGAGCCCCCGCACTCTGATGTAGCGCTTGGTGACGCTACATCTGGTACCACGAAGACCTCGCCAACGGAATCAGATCGTCAGTCGTCGTCTGACATGCCTGATTCAAGGGCGGGAACGCAGAGCCGGCCCCTGAAGCGGGACTCCTCGGTATCGAGCGATCTCTCCAGCACGATGAGTGTCGGGTTTTCGCGTGCAGTCCGCCAGAATCGATTGCGTGGCTTTCCGGCGAATGTGAATTTGGGAAACTTTGCATACTTCATGGTCGCGCCCACGCTGGTCTACGAGACGGAGTATCCTCGCACGGAGCGTGTCCGCTACCGCTACGTTGCAACGATGGTAGGCGTCATACTGCTCTGTATCGCGACTCAAGTAGCGATCATGCAGCAGTTTATGCTCCCAGTTTTACAGGGACAATCGGCTGGTTATTCTCTGGTTTATCATGCAGCAAAACTTGCGATTCCGTCCATTATTGTATGGCTGTTGGGTTTTCTGTGGTTCTTTCACTGCGCGCTCTCGGCATGGGCAGAGCTGCTTCGCTTCGCGGATCGTCAATTCTATCAGGATTGGTGGAACGCCACGACTCTAGAGTCATTCTGGAACAAATGGAATATGCTTGTGCATGAATGGGCTTTGCGTCATGTGTTCATTGAACTTCAGTACAGAAGCAAGCGAGTGAGCAAGGCAGCCGCCGGCTTTGCAACATTCCTCGTGAGCGCTGTGCTCCACGAATACCTGTTCGCTGTCGCGTTCAAGACGATCAGCGTTGGTATGTTTCTGGGAATGATGATTCAGGTTCCGGGCATCTGGCTTACGCGACACTCGTATTTCCAGGGACGGCGTCGCGGCAATCTGCTCATGTGGCTAATGCTCTTTCTGGGGCATCCGCTGGGCGAGTTGCTGTACTTTCGGGCGTATTTTCGGAACCATCATAACTTCTTCTGTCATGACTGAATCGCAGATGCTGAGACAATGGCCCGCCTCCGCTGCGGCACCCCGATTTCATCATGAGTTGGGCCAAGTTGCGCGCGATTCTCGCAAGCGTACACCGCATACAGCGCGTCTCTCATCGAGAGCATGCGCCCAGGTACCGTGCTGCACAGCGTCAACCGTCTCAAGCGACAAGCGCATGGCACCGAGGGCGCACGGCATCGTTATGCGTCGCAGTGTAGCGAGGCGCAGTTCGCTTGTTTCGCACTTGGATGCGTCGTGGTCACCAAGTGTGCGCAGTTATCAGATGGCTCCATGAGAAACCGCCGCGGCGCACCGCGGATGCATGAATGCAGCACATGTATCGATGCAAGGTGCTTTCACCAAGTTTCTATTATTCGTGACCGCATATCACCATGCTGGGATCATTGCGATCCTGGTCGCTGACTTGGATATGTCGCAGGCTTGCAGCGTGTGTAATTGTGCGTCTGCGGCCGCTCCGAATTCTCCCAGTGACCTCACAACAGACCCATATCGTATGATGTGCTGTAGTGCAGTATTGCGCTGTATCTTTACGGAGTAACGGACGTGTTGGACCGTGCTCTGTGAACGTGCGCGCTGCGTCCAGCGTAATCATGGCAATCACAAGGTTCTGTTTCAAGCATTTCAGGAGCGCGACCGCTGGTGTCGTGTTCGCGCTTAGCCCGGCGAGCGCTGCGATGCACCTGATGCGGTACCCGCTCGCTGCTGCTGCTGCTGCTGCTGCGCAGATGAGGCCCGGGCTGCAGCCTCAGGATCGGGCACAATCTGACCCTTGACGAGCCGGAAGAACTCCACCTCTGAGCCACCTGCGGCTGGAAAATGCTCCCAAGGAGTCTGAAAATCAAACGTTCGAAACTCTTGCGTGATCTCCAGCGGCTCGTATACGACGCGCTTCTCAACTTCATCATATCGAACTTCTTCGTACCCCGATAATGGAAAATCTTTGCGTAACGCATGGTAGCTTGTTCCGTAATCGCTAAGAATGCGACGCAAATCCGGGTGATTCATGAAAAACACGCCAAACATATCGTAGACTTCTCGTTCGAACCAGTCAGCGCCTTTGAAGACGGAGGTTGCAGACTCGAGCGGGGTCAATTCATTGACGTGCGTCTGCACGCGGATTCGGGTATTGTAAACGAGAGACTGTAAATTGTAGACAACACGAAAGCGATCGGGCCGATCTGGAAAGTCGACACCACAACAGTCGATAAAGTGGCGGAAGCGACAAGTCGCGTGATCGCGTAAGAAACGCAACACCGGCACAGTGGCCGTTGGCGGCACTTCGAGGACCAGCTCACCCCCCGAGTTCACGTCATGGCCGTGGTGAATGTATACAGCTGATATGAACTTGGGAAGCATCTCTACGATTGAGGCTGCAAAACGTTTCTGGGACTCCAACCGCAGAGGTTCGCTGTGTTCGGGACCTGCGCGGTATACCGGGTCAGCTGAGCGCTCCCTGTTCAACTCATCTGAAGTAGTGCTTCGTTGCCGAAAGCCCAGCGTGCCGTGGCGTACGGGCAGTACCGTACTCCTGGTTAGCGTATGCAACCAAAAGCGCCCAACCATTCCGCGGTGCGTTAAGAGCGCGCGCCACAGCTGTACCATTTTCGAAGCAAACGCCACACACCGTGCAGTCTTCTCTGTCCTGCTCACAAACAAGTTGGTTGGTCGAAACAAACCGCCAGTACGTTAAGTTTGGTATCGACGGTGGCGACCCAGAACAACGCACCTGCAGGAGAATTCGTGAAGCGTTGCGCGCTTGAACGCAATGTCGATTCGTGGTATGGGATCGTTGATACGAGGCAGGCGGTGAACAAATAGTTAGATAGATAATTAGTTAGTTAGAGCGTCATGAGTGCTTGTATCGCTGGATGGTACCACAGCCATGATCGAGCTGATGCTCGTGAAGCGATCTATGTTGCTTCTTCGGCAGAAGGTGTATATCGACGGGGGTTCTAAGTTGCACGCTGGACATCAGCGATCGGGGAAAAACGTCCATCGTTCCACCAACCTTGAAATTCCAATCATCATTACGCTCACCAGCGATAACGGTCATTTTGTACGTTCAGTCGTGCGTCGGGCCTAGTGTGAGCGACCGCAAATGGCCCCTCTAGCACCTGTGTGGAAGGAGCACGGAGATAGAATCCATATCCCAGGCAGGTAATGGTGTCGGCTCGAGGCCCGGTTCATCGGACGCGGGTTTGGGAGTGATCGTCGACGGGTGCTCCGGCAGTCTCCGGGAAGCGACTAGGTGCGTTTCAGCAGACCCCAGCGGTACATGCAACGCCGTCGCAAGCTTCTGCAGAAAGTCTGGCAGCTGAAGAATGCCGCGTTGATCAGGTCACGACGTTTTTCGTAGGATACTGGACGTGAACAAGCGGAACGTGGATTTGTCCGGTAAGGAGCAAAGGTCACTTCCCTGGCTACAAGCAGCATGCACGGATGGGTTAGCGTTCTCGTTCAATACATTGGTGCTACGCTTGCAAACGAAACGCTAGCATTTTCCGCTCCTCACATGCTGCATACATGGAGCACACGGCAAACGAGCACGAACGAAACGCCAGCATCACCATAGCACTCCGCTCGTGTGGCACTCTCTAGGATGCACATTGATCTCGCATCATAGCAAGGGTGCCGCTTGGGATCCCTGGTTCATCTCATCGATTGCTCACCATGAACGAAACATGGATCTCGGGGAGTCGGTCGTAGACAAGTATTCGCAATGCCGGGAGCCCGCCGGCCATGCAGATGCAGTACCCCGTACGTCTGGGATGATCACGAGATCCGTTTTCATGTGGGCGTCTGTCATGCTTCATTGCGGGTATCTCGTGCCTCTTTACCATGCGGCAGTGAGGCATCCGGTGTACTACCCGCTCATACCGGAGCGCGACCTATCGAAACGTACCGAGAACAAGAGCCAAGGTTACTGATAGCATGACGCAGCGCGTCACCATCTGTGTCAACGACGACAGGTGACCCCTGCTTCACACTCGTGCAGCTGTTGCCATCGATTTTGGTACCATACATTCGATGGGTACCGCGGTTGCTTGAACACATCGCGAAGGATACATGAAGCGTTGACACCATGCAGTCGGAACACTTCCTCGACACTGGCGGCGTGGTCGTTCTCCAAACCGGAATCGATCCACTTGGGATGATGGTGTCGGCGAGTCGCCGCTGCCGGAGGTGCTGCAGCAATTTTGGCGCTTCTGGTATCCCAAAAGCGACACGTCCTAGACGGCATTGTGTTGCTCTGGTGGAGGCACCGTCGTCAAAAAGCGCATCCTGCCTGGTTCCGTGCATTTCAGGTCGCTCGGCGTTGCAGTCGAGTCGAGAGAATGCCCAGAACTGTGGCGACTTTCCCATGTACCGGATGCGTATTCGTGTACACGACCATGAACCTGGTGCGACTGAAACACCACGCTCATTCCGTATGGACTATGAGACTCAAGACAGACCCGAATGATACACATGGCACTGAGGTCTACGATTTCATCCGCATGGACATGTGAAGCATGTGCGAGATCAAGCAATCGTTTTTTTCCAGGGACGCTGTAGCACCGCTGGATCAAGGTCGATCCCCAACTAGGCGTGCGAACGCTATCGAGCATGCTCCACAAGGTTCATCGAAAACAACCTCTGCACCATGAATACAAGTAGAACATGCAGATCCTACACTTGCGGCTGAACGGAAACGCTGAACGCCCATGGACGATGCACCAAAATACTCGTCAACGATTGGTTGCTTGTTGTTGTTGTTCCTGCTGCTGCTTCTGCTCCTTTATTCACGTGGACGTTGCGAGACCGGCGTTTGGAAGACGCGTCCTCTCCGAGCGATGGAAACCTATGGTGCTTGCGTCGTCGGCCTTGCACCAGAATGTTTGCAGCCGCTGCCCAACATGAGTGGCAAGTTTATGGGGGCACTCTCGGTACCGACGCTCGGGACTGAAAACTCCAACGCGACGCCATGTGCGAAACCCGTTGTGCTCGCAGTGTGGAGGGCGGCTCCGCAGCCGCTCGTGCACGTACCAAACTGTTGCAGAGCTGACGTGTTTCTCTCGTTTGACCAGGGCGCTTCCTGGGTTGCAGCCGCAAGCCTGGACCCCGGGCAGAACTCTTGTCTGGTGGTGATTCCGGCAGCGTTTCTGGAACAGACTTGGCGTAGCTCTAAAGTTCCAGGCCACGCTATTCTTCAAGTTGGTATTAGTGTAGAAGATGCCAGTGTTGTTCCACGACCTGCTCAGGCCACCGGACTCACCCAGGTGGGTTTCGGGGAACATCCGCTTGCCGCCACCGCAGCCGGTACCGGTGTCGTGCCGCCGGGTTTACCGCAGGCGCTGGCGCGCGACCTCTACCAGTTTCTGCATAGCTTTGATACGACGTTACCAGAGCGTTGTTCTCCTCTGCTTGATCGATGGCTGAAGCGTGTCGAGCGTCGCTTCGAAGCCGATCCCTGCTGGTGGCGACGCGTGGGGCAAAACACCTGAGTCGGCATGGTGTTCACGTGGATACGCAGATGCTAGAGCATGGTGTGCACTGCGGGAACAGGTCATACTTGGAGGTGTCGACGCTTGCAATGCTAGGATCGTTGGTCGTCGCTGTCAATGAGCGATATCCGCGGGACTGCTTGGCTGGGCGATGTCACCAAGCTTTGATGAAAGTTTTTCCTCGAAGCGAAAATTTTTTATATAAATACACCGGATAAAACCCAAGTGGATCGTGTCTACAACGCTGCTGCTGGCGCAGACGAGGCAATGCTCTGGCATCAGAGGCCTTAGTATATGACAAGCAGCGGGAAGTAGCGCGGGTTTTCATGGGTACGCTTCACGCCGGTGGTATCACGAACGATCATCCCCGGCGTCTGTGGGAAGAGATGGATATGGCTGGGCGGCAGAGATGAGCTGCGCGTATCATGATACCCATGGCAGCGTAAAATGGAATGCCTCACGAGACCAAGTAGACCGTTCAGGTTCAAGTTTGGCGCTCGATCCGATTTCTTCTACAGAACCGTATCTGCCGGCTTTTTGAGTAACTGCTTGTTTTTTCTCGTTAAATGCCGACTGCACCCACACACACACCGGGCTCTTCTTTCGCTCCAGTTTCGGGGCGAAAAGTCGAAGGATGTGGATCGGAGCGTTCAAGTCCCGATTTAGCTACTTTTGGCCGTTGTTTACGCAAATCACACGCAGGTAGAAGCAGCTATCTCCGCTTCGCTTATCATTTCCATCTCGTTTGTCGACAGTCTCGACGCACTCCGCGCAGCGGTGACATGTAGCTGTTGGCATTGGGTCCTATACGTCTACGAGACCTGCTGCTACGTGCACTGCGCCGTCGCACCTGAACGTTTACTTGATCGAACGGTACATTCTCGTGATGAGTACAGAAGGTTAACCTCTGTGCCTTGCTCCGTTTTCGCGACAGGTGTCGTCAACGACGACCACGGGCATCCAGCGGGCTATCCGTTCGGCGCGTACGCTGTCCGCAGCAGGTGCAAGCGCTCACCGTTCCATTCCATAGAGGACTTGAGGAGCGCGATGCTTTCCAGGATAAAGCAAGTACCTGAAGCAGAATCCAGGCTGAGGAACAAGTCGAGCATTTCGATTTGTCTACGCTCTCTTCCTGCAAAGCAGTGATACGTTCGCCGCAAAAAGCGATCGCTGCGCTGACTCAACCCCGAGTTTAAGGTCCATTTCTATGCCAGTAGTAGAGACGACAGCCTCTAGGCGCATATACAATGCGAGGTATCATGCTGCTGATGCATTGCATTTCTCTGATGCCTCTCAAGTGAGGGGGATGTTCGTTTCGAACGGAATCGATTGGTTGAAGTAAGACGTTTGGTGAATGTTCCGGATGGTCTGGTGGATCATTCGTCAAGGAACGAAACGTCCGGTACGTTTCTTCGTCCGTGGAGCCGTGCGAAGGGCTTCGCCAACGATTTCGCTTGAAACACGAAGATCGGGAGCTTGGAAGCCGCGTGCTTTCCGCATACTGTACATAAGGAAAGGAGAAGAGAGCAGGCCTTTGCGTTGGAATTCGGTGGTGGTACCACTTATCTTACGTACCGTATTACGAGAGCCCCGCGAATAACGTTGAAGACGGTTGGATAACGAATCCAGTGGCAAAGCGTCGACGCAGCTACTTCGAAACCTGATTAAGAAACCTACACTACGATTGCATTCCAAAGCACTTATAGTCTCTCATCTCAAATTCGTTTTACCCCCCAGGTGCATGTCATCAAATTCATTTTCGTGGTTTATAGCAAATATGTTCGAAGTGCTCTCATTTGGAAGAAATAGAAAATCCATGGAAAGGGGCGGACCTGGAAGTCAAGGATCCTGCAGGCTCGATGTCGCCGGGTTCAACAGCTTTTGGAAAAAAATCCTCTTCTTGGCAACCATAGAGCGAAGAAGAACAAGTGACGGAGAAGAACAAGAAGGGAGATAGGTGAGAAAATGTATTCGTCCGAAGTGACGATGACGAGACTTTAGTGTCACAGAAGACGCGAGTTCTAGGAATCCTCCTATCGCTGAGTTCAACCAACGGCAGGAAACGCATTGAGTTCGTGAACCGAGACTTTAATACCGCCATCAATATCAGACGATGTGTGGCGTTGGAGACGAGTCCCGAAGAACCAAGGCAATGCAACTTCATGATGCAGCCTCTGACGCTCGTCGTACGACTGGATACACCGAGGCCGATAGCAGGCGGCCGGGGGAAAAAGACTGCGAAGCGTTTGCGGAACAGTATGTATACACTTACCGTTCAGGATCTTAGGGCGTTGTCCGTTTTCACTCATCACATATTGCAGAGCGTGGTATTTCAAGCCTGCACAGCGATCAACATTTCGGCTAAAAATCGAAAGGCAAACATCGCGCGAGCTCCATGGTCCCCCAGTTTCGTCTCGTACGAGTGTAGACACGTCCTCTGGACTTGATGCAGAAGCAGCCGATATCGATAAGCGACACCTGTACAGCACTTGGAGCCTCACGTGTTCTGGTTGAAGCTGATCGTGCACATGTCCACGCATCTTGCTAGAGAAGGCATCATCGAATAGATTTTCACCGCATCCATACACCTGCTCAGATGATGCAGGTTCTCCATGAGCGTGCATCTGTGCTGCGCAGACACATCGCGTCTCGAAAAGAAACACAGGCGCTGCAATCAAGTGCGGATCTGAGGATTGCTGGACAACACGAATCGATGCAGGACCTCGGAGCCATTAGCTCGCAGTTCAGATTCGGGACCCAGCGACGGCTTGTACCGACATCGATTACCGAAAGATATGTGCATGGCGATAGCTAGACTCGGAAATGCAGGAGGAATCGGTATGTGACGTTCTGGAGAACGACCTGAAGCGGAATCGAATCATACCAATGTCTGAAGAGACTCTTGTCGAACGGCGGTCCAGTATGACGTGTCACGGGTATGCAAGATCATCACGTGATTGGTTTCTTGTGCAGATCCATTGAAAATATCGCATGGAGATGAAGAGCGAGCGTAAAGAGGCAGCCATGCATCAGTCGAGCGCAGGCCACGAGCGCTACCCTGGAAGGCCGGGTCGCCGACGCAGCACCACAAGCTGCACTCCACGCCTGGCAGCCATTCTATGCCAGTTGGTGCAACATCGCCAGCATCCTGGCTCATGGGCAAAGTCTCGGTTGCATAGTGATGTCCAGGCGAGCCGGATTCGCTGATCGCCTCCAGCTGGCAGTACCAGACGCCGATGCGACGTGTAGCGCCCTGCATGGAAATGCCCAATCCATAGACATTTTGCGAGTCTCCAAATCGCACCGGGAAACATGTCCGCCGTTTAGGGTTCTGTATTTTTCATGGGGCGTGCCCAGTGTGTCGAACCTGAGCCCCCTGGACGTGTGATTCCTAACTGCGACCAGTAACGCATTCGCGGTTCGAATAGAGAGCTTTTGGGTTTTCACAGAGCCCGGGCATGTGTCACACAGCCGGAAATGTGGTATGCATCCACTTTGCGACGTTCCAGGATCCAGAACATGCCATTGGCGCTTGCTGCGATGCATTGCTCTGTAGCGCCACCGCGATCACTGTCCAGGGACAGCGCCGCTTTTCGGTGCTCCAATGGAGGCGTCGGCTCGAGGTAAATTCCTCTGTATTGGAAGCAAGCAGCGTAGATTCTGTGAAATGCCTCCATCGTGACGCTACGGCCGTTCAAGTGCGCTCCGCTCCTGACGCGAATCCCTATTCGGTATGCATCCGTGGATTCCCAGTTGCGAATCGCGTCAGCTGCGGTTCCACTGCATCACACCTCTCAAAAAGTGATCGGGGTTTACGAATGGGCGTTTTTGGCCAGCGATAACAAGCTGTTGAGATTCATACGAATGCATCCCGTTCTTCAGTCCTGGGGCTCATAGTGAACATTCAGCGAGTGCCCGGTGCCAGGTACGGAAGCCAAGGACGGTCGAGTCGGCAACCAAACGCGCTGCTTTGAAGGATCCACTCGCCGAATGAATCGTCATCAAATCGCATTCCAGTTTTGATGTCGTTGCCGTCTGAGTCGACGCTTTACGACCGATCAAGCGAAGGCATATGCCTGGAAACGAAGTTTCTCAGCGAGGTACCGATTCGCCGCAAGAATACCTCTACCGTCGAGAATGAACTGCGCTCCGTTTGGCAAGAGACAAACACCACCAGCTTCCTCGACAAGCACTTGACCAGCGGCGAGATCCCAGGTATACGGACCCCATTCCGTGACCACATCGAAACGTCCACAAGCGACGAAGGCCATATTCAGGGCGGCACTGCCGGTGCTTCGAACCGCTTGGGTGCCGTTCTCGAGGATAGATCGCACCATTTCCAGCATCATGGCGACTTTGGAGGCGGAGCGATCACTACCGTATTCGGTAGCAATACATGCATCGGGGAGTTCGCTCACACCGCTACAGAAGATCGGCTTGCCGTTCAGAAACGCCCCTCGACTGCGGCGGGCAACGAACATCTCCTCCATGATGGGGTTGTACACAACGCCCAGTCGAGCTTGACCTTCGGTGATCAACGCAATAGAGACAGCACATAGCGGAATATGGTGTACGAAGTTGGCCGTGCCGTCGATCGGGTCGATTGCCCAGGTCGGCGGGTCCAAGTCTTTGACCTGGAGGCTTTCAGGGCGCCCGTCGAAACCCTCTTCCCCGAGCACTCTGTGGCCCGTACCGTACCGCTCCAGGATGCGCCTTCGGCAGAGCTCCTCGACAGCTCGGTCAGTTTCTGTTACCGGATCCGTACGTTTCTTAACGTCGTATGCCGTGTGGTACCCGCCCACTGGAGCAGTTCGGAACGGCCAGTCTTTGAAGAAAGCCTGGCGAATGAGCTCGCCGCACTCACGAGCCAGTGCTTCTGCGAAAACAAGTGCCTGATCCAGCTCCGACTCGAGCATACCTCGAGCCTTCAATCCTATGCAGGTATACGCTGCGTTGCCTGCGTAATGTCGTAGTAACCGTGAAGCTTGTCGTGGAAAAGTGCAGCACCGACAGCGAACGCCTTTCAAAAGAAAAACGCTGCCGCCGGCAGCGTACAGCCGTGGCGAAAAACCCGCCCTCGACAAGACGTCTCCAGCTGACGTGCAGACGCCTCCCAGACTTTTTTGGACCGGCCACCTACTACTGGTTTCAACTTCTTCTCATATAATTCCACCTTGTGAAGTTCCCCATAAAATTCTCTCTCGTCAAGTACGCAAGTCTTCTTTCCATCACCGCCCTTCTCCTGATATTGATAGCGGCATTAAAGTCGCGATTCACAAACTCCATCCATTTCTTGTTGCAGCTGGTAGCACTTTCCATTGCAAGTAGTCCTCGAAATTTAACCCTCCTTTCCATTTGCTCATCTGTCAGCGCTCCGTACTTTTATATATCTTCAGGACTCCGCTGGCACTTTTCCATTTCGACCCTCTGAAGTGTACACCCCAGTTCATGGTGTGTATGGGACGTTCGAAACTCATCTACAGGTATTGTAACAAAACGCCTTGCGCACTCCTTGTATGTTCTTGCCGTTGGAGCTGGTGTAGTCCCTTTTTGGGTCTTCCAGCGCCCTGCTCCGTACGCTACTAGGAGCCTCTGACTTTCATCCTCCTTCAAGGCACTCAACTGATTGAAAAAATTCGCGAATGCACGCTGCTTCCCACAATACAAACTCATTCGCAAACGAGCCCACCGGGGCTTGCTGTACTCCTCCCACAGCGCATCCCAATGGGCGATGCGAACTTCCATGAATGTCCGAAAAGCGTTAAAGTCTGCTCGTCGGCTCGTCACCTCGCACAAAGATTCCAGGTGATCCTTCATTCCTGCATTCCATGTCTCGATTTTCTTCCTCGCATTCATTATACCAGATTCTCGATAGTATCTTGCTCTCGAGAACCTCAAAAGACGCTTGCCTTTCCGACGTAAGTGTCCGTCAGTACCATCTTCCGCGCGCTTGGGTACTGTGATGTTTATTATATTCGTGTTTGCGGGGTCCGCGCCACCGACAAAATCGTTGTTCTCATGCACTTCTTGCGTCGCAGGATCCGCCTCTTTGTTTTCTTCAAGCGCCGATAGTGTACGCATATGGATACGCCATTGGTTTCGATTATCCCAGTGAATACCTTTTGCTTGCTTACTTTGAGACGTTTGAAATCGAAGGTACTCTTCCAGTACGTCTCCCGATTTTCACCGATGAACTCTGTCTTCCTTACATTGAACTCCGGACAGATCTCCTTCATGATGCCGTAGAGGACTCTGGAGTCGATAGTCACAAAATTCGACTTGATGTGGCACAATGGAACTTCGTTGAAGTGCTTCTCCAGAACCGCAGCCTTCCGTTTCGCCCACTTTTCATTTTTTTCCACACTCAGTTTGATCTCCGCTTTGCGTTCGACTTCTCGGTTCAAAAACATGACATAGTGCAGGATGAGGCGATAGCGTCTTTCTTCATCTTTTTTCATATCTAGTACCTCTTCTGCTCGATTCGCCAGCCCCAGTGCCGCACGATGCTCATGCATAACCGCACGGATCACAGAAGCCTCATTCTTTCTCCTGCGCGATGTCTTCTTGTTTACAAATTCGGTCTCCTGTTCGTTTTTACTAACGTTCGTGACGCCATCGATGATGGTCCATATCCCTTTGCGAGACAGGTCCGGGCGGAGTGCGAACACGGCGCGTATCATGAAACGTTCGAGGTTCATCGTGAAATGATTCTTCATGTTCGTGAGGTACCTCATGGCCCCGTGGGTGTGCATATCCGCGTCACCCTTGTATCGAGTACCGTTGATGCTACAGAAGATATATTTTTCGTGGAGGGCGTGCACTAGCTCATTTTCACTCCGCATATCCCATGTGCCAAGCATCAGGTGACGAATAAAGGTCTTGTCAAAAAAACTCGTCCGGAACCTCGACTGTTTCTGTTCCCGTCACGTCACGATACATCCCCTTCACCAAATGCATTAGTCCCAAAGAAGCCTCACGAACACTCGTGGAGTACGAGTCGACACGATTTCTGATGGCCTCTCGGAAATCTTCCTTGTACGGATCCTTGATATGTTTAAGAAGACAGGCTTTCACCACTATCTCGTCGTTGTGTCGTCTTTTGTGCAGCTTCTGACGTCGGGTCTCCCCGTTTCGCTCCTACGTCTTCTCCTGTTCCCCTGAGCTCGGCTCTGATTTTCGTTTTTTCCCAGCAGCCGGCGGCACTGGGCCTCCAAGATCCTTTACTTACATCTCCAAAATTTTTTTGAAAGAGCACGCTCTTTGAACGATTCTGCGATAAAGCGCGAAAAAACACTTGAGTAAACTAAACTGAGGGTTCAAAAACGATTCAATTGAGAAACTATGCCACGACTTCAACACAAATACATCTTGTACGGTAGAGCAAGAAGACAATGAGTAGAATCGCGTTTCCCTTCAACGGCGAGAAACCAATACTGTCTCATGCCTGCCAGGATGGAGGTGCACGTATCGACCGCGCTATATAGAACAATGAAGAGAGACTAACCACTAACTGGCAACGATATGAGAAGTTCGTTCCCCCTCTATGATAAACGTTACAAGTGGAAGGCTTTCCATGTTGTCGAAGGTTTACGTTCTAGGTGGAAGGTCCCTCGAGCTGGACGAATCTGCCGAGCTTGCGCTCCGTGCGACTCTGAAATGGCGGCCACTGTAGTGAAATCTGTGCAACTCATCCGCAGCGCAGTTTACTCTAGGACTCGGAGCGAGTAGAATGCATCTGGGCGACGCCAATGTTGCAGTTCTCTCCTAGCGTGCCGCTTCGCGCTGCCGCAGGCAGTAGGTCTACCGGTCCAGTTTGCAAGCTCCCGGAATAATGATAAACCCTGACCCTGTGGCGGGTCGACGACGACTGGAGCGGACGCCGTCAGTGGTATGGCACAGCTCGTCTTTCTTCGTGTTGTAAAAGCACAAGTAGTATAGGCGGTCTTGCGGGTGGAGCTATGCAGGCACTCGGTGCACGATAGAACAAACGAAACGACCAGTTTCTCCCAGAGAACGTATACATCATGGATCCTAAAGGTAGCACATATCGTGAAGGAAGCTTCCCTGAATGCCAGTATCCATGGTCAACGTAAACATTCTTTCAATCCAACAGAAAAGTACATCGGGATACCTGTGTCCGCTGAGCGAGACGTCGTCCGCCCAGGGCGCTGCCCCCGCGGGAGATCCGTCGAGTGCACCAGATAGGCCGCTCTGGCGTGCGTTCGGTGACCTTAGCTTTTTAAGCGCAATATTCGTTGAAACTTATAATGTGGGCCAGCGTTCTTCGGTTCTTACCAAAGCATAAGGGAAACTTAGGTCGTTGTATGTCCGTGAGAGCCAGCGTCTTGCGTTCTGAGCATACGGCTCCGTTTTGGGAAGCACCATTGAGCAGGGCGTTGCCGCTGTACCAGGAGGGTTTCCTGCCCCGAACGGCTTCTGTGAGCCAAGCCGAGCCGACGCGCACCGAAACTGCACCCGTGCGCTTTCAGATGGCGCCAAGTGGAGCGGGGGACTCGTTGGTTTTTTTGCATGAAACATCGTCGGTACGTGGTGCTCTCGAAGAGATGGTGCACCGGAATACCGCCTTTGTTCTCGTTGTGGGCGACCCCTTTAACCGGTCATCGCCAAAGGCGGACGTTCCTGCGTCAACTTCGGATATTGTGCGCATCTCCAGCGAAGCTGAGGGTGATGATCAGCGCGTTGATACCGAGCATGCTGCCGTGATCGGGTTGTTCACAGAGCGCGACCTCTTGCGCTGCCTGGCGGACGCCGTCGCGGAGCAGCGCACCGGCGAAGCTGCAGCGCTCTCATTCCGTCTGCGGAAGGCGATGAGTCCGCTTTACGATCGGTTTGGGACGCTAAAAGTGTCATCAAATACCATATATGATGCTGTTATGGTCATGCGGGAACGGAACATTCAAACCATACCCATCATTCGCGAGGAGGAGCACGAAGAGGACTACATCTTGCCGGGGGGTCATCCAGCAGCGGGCGAGAGCGCTTCCAGCAGCTACACCCTGGCATTGCCACCTCGATCGTTTTGTGGCGTTCTGACAGCACGCGATGTGGCTCGCTTCTTCCTCGCCCAAGATGCTAGCGTCCAAGATGCAGTCTGTAGCCTGGAGACGTCGACTGACGCTGGCGTCAGAGCATCGCGATCGACACGTCCGATGCTTCTGCGTCATCTCTTGTCTTGGCGCCTGCGTCGACTCTTTGAAGGCGCTCGACCTTTAAGTGATACTTTCCTCGAAGAAGACATCGTCGTGTACGAATCCGAGCATTACAGGGTGGTTTCAGTCCCTCGCTCGGCATCAGTGCGGGACGCGATCGCGGTCATGGCACAGCACGATGTTCGTACGCTTCTGATTAGTGAGGACGCTAGTTCCGGCTTCGATGCAGCCGGACCCTATCCCAGTATTTACGGTGTCATTACGTTGCGAGATCTCATGAGGCAGGTCTTCTATCCACGAAGAAATCCGCTGGCGCTCAGCATGCAGACTCTCTTTCGTGAGCGCTGGACAGCGGCAGGGGTATCGAGGCCGCAACTCGCAGCCGAGGAGCGCAAGTACGGAATCTCACCTGATGATGAAGTGGCGCATGCGCTGCGCTTGGTCGGTGGTATGAACGAGCGGCACATCCCAGTGTACGTCTACAATGACGCTGATCAGACGAGCAACTGCGTCGCGATGGTGAGCGTCAAGGAGATGCTGTCGGGTGTCCATGCGGCAGAGCAGCGGCGGCGCGGGCAACGGTACTAATGCGGTGACTAGGCGCTGCTGGTTGCCTGGTAGGTAGGGTGCCAAGCAACGCTGTCCTGGGGATTGTAGGCGAAAAGATGATCATCGTGCTCGATTTGCGCACCAGGAGCAACTTGCGTTGACCGATGATACCTGTAGACTACTCCAGACGAATGCTCGCGAAAGCATATATGCATTGATCACGCGAGCTGTTTAGAGTATAAGCGCTGGTGAAAAGGCACGCGCATACGCTTAACATGAACCTGTTCTATAACAGGCAAAACTGATGCTATGTGCTCCACATCGCCGCTTTGACCTGCGCAAGTTGTACCGTATTCGCAAATAGCGCTCAAAACTGATGCTTTGTGCTCCACATCGCCGCTTTGACCTGCGCAAGTTCTAGCGTATTCGTGACATTTGTCAACACCATTGCCGCAGCCGCCTTCTCAAGGAGCGTATCCGGCATGCAACATGGACCTGTTCGAATGAGCAAGCGATACCCGCGTTTCACGACGTAAGCCGTCGCCTAGAGCACGTTTACCTAAACCATATAGTGTTGCTGATGCACGTGTCGTGCACGAGGCGCGCTGACACCGATCCCATGTACCTGGAGGATATATGGTTGCCCGAGTGCTTTCACAGGAAGCACAGGGCCCGCCAGCATATGTACACGCGGGAGCCTGCCAATGCCAAGCTCATCATCGGTGCTCATTTCGCTGCTGAACGCACCGTCACTGGCACCCTCCGTTGACTTGACAGCTCTGCGCGTTTCTCGACGAAAGCTATCGAGCGTGCATCTGAAGTAAGACTCTGAGAAGGGCGTTTCTCTGCCTCCCATTATACACCTATGCCCGCGTATATGGCTCGGTTACGACACGTACAAACGCCGATACGCTGCGACTCGACTGCAAGAAGCAGCGCAACAGTGCCTGGAAGAGGTAACCCGCCACAAGTCGCCCGTTCATAGCGCAGCCAATGCGCGATACGGGTAAACGCGCATGCTCAAAACGACAGCTTCTCTTTGTAGATACCAGCGATACGCGTATTGCTTAGTTGGCATGCACCGGACTCAGTTTAGAGCGCGCTCGTGAGCTTGCCACTCGGTCGACGAGCACACGGTTGCAGTAGTTCGGCAGCTGCAAGCGTACGCGCACGTGCGCTACTAGAGCTGGAGCCCGACGCACACGCTGGAAACGCTTCGTCGTCGTCGTCGTCGTCGTCGTCGTTTCGCCAGCTTCCATGCAACTCCGCGAGGTCGCGGCAAGCGATCAAGTCGCAAGGTGTGATCACGCGAAACTCGCCGAAGAAGGATATCCCTGACTAGCTAGCTAGCTAGCTGGCTGGGCGTTTACGCTCCAGGTGGATCCCCGATATGATGTGAGCGTTGTGGCGCCTCTGATGCAACGGACATGCCGATCCCTGCTTTCGGGTTCGTTGTCGCTGCCGTTGAGTTCGTTGGGTAAGCACGGTCTCCGCTATCGCCAAATACGTCCGTGGGTTGCTGTGACCCCGAACCCGAGACAAGCGGCACTCGTTCTGCGCGCGTCGTTGCAGGCATTGCCAGAACAGTGAGATGCTGGAGCTGTTGGCGCACCAGGGCCATTTCCTGCCGCAGTGCTTCAATATCGCGACGCAAAGTCCCTTGTTCCTGGCGGAGGGATGAGAGCTCTCCTCGCAAATGTTCCACAGGTTCATTGCCTGGCTTGATCGGTCCATTGCCGGATGGTACTGCACCCATGGCTGGATGCGGCAACAAAGCGGGGCTATAACCAGAGGTACCTGCAGGCGGTCCGACACTGATGCCGCTGGCTGCCGCAGCGCCGCTTTCCATGCCGCTCGCTTGACTGTGCTCAACACGTGGTGAAACGTAGGAATGGAGCGGTCCGGTTCCGGAGCCACTATCATGTATACTGGAAACACCGTGCGGAATACCAGGGTACAGAGCGGCACTGGATGCCGGCCCTGCTCCTATGGAGATATCCGCGGCTGAGGCAGCGAACTGCAGGTTTCCGGCCAGCAGGGCCGAAAGTGTGCGTTGCAGGCCTCGTGCGTGGTGCAGCAATGCCAGCAGGTCCTCCTCGGAGACATTCGCTAGTGGCAGATTTGTGGTGGCGCGTTGCGCTCGACCTGGAACAGTACCTGCTGCGGAGGCATCTGTGGATGGATCCTTCGGAGACGTCGACGACGATGCAGTGATGCGAGTATGCGGCTGCCAAGCGTTACAAGTGGCAGTACCCGGAACGCTGCCATATCCCCGTTGATTTGGATGATTGTTGTTCATCGACGGTTGCGTCGCCCAGCGCGACGGCGGCGGTGGCGGTGACTTGGGTTTCGGTGCACGCGGAGGAGAACGCGTCGCACTCTGTGGCTGCTGGAATACACCGTCCAAAGCAGCTAGCGAAACGTACAGAGGATTATGCGGAGAAACATCCCCAGTCGACGCGCTAGATCCTGGTGGTTGCGCTGTCGTTGCGGCTGCTCCACTGGAAAGAGCGGCTCTGGCAGAAGCAGAAGTTGGCATCGCCTGATGCAGTGGAATATCGATAACCTCAAAACGCCCGTGACTCGAGCGTCGAGACGCCTCGCCCAGTGCAGAGCCACCAGATGGTACATGTGGGGTCGAGCTTCGGTTCGGATGCGACGTGCTGGCTTCATGGACTGCTGCAGATGATGATGCCGCAGCTGCAGCCGCAGTTACTGCCGCCTCAGAAGGTCGTGCATTCCCTGACTCAACGGAATGCAACAGTCGCCTCGTTGATTGCCCCTGAGCGTTCCCCGGGTATATGCCATCCCCCAGAGAAGTGATCGTGGTGGATCCTTCATCGGTCGTCATCGATGTGCCAGTTCGCATGCCCAGTTCAGGTGGCGCGGTATTCCGACTCCCAACAGATTGGTTATAGAACCGGGGACGTACGCTGCTGGTGCTGCTGCTATCACTAGCACATGGGTCTGCGGAGACCGCTCCCGGCCTTGGACTCGCGCGTGCTCGCACGTCCTCCGTGAGCATCTCACGCGTGATAATGTCTTCATGGACAAGGCACGCTGTACTAGGCGAGGTGTGTGGGCGGGACGGCTCCGTATCCACCAGGAGGAAACGCCCAGCTCGTCGAGACGACCCTGTCTCCACTTTGACAAGATTTTCTGCTGCAGGAGCGGTTTCCTGAGAAAGCGCTGACTCCGTCTCTGCTGATGCGCGCGACGTACGCACCGGCGCCGGTTCCACGACCGAGGATCCTAGTGACTGTATATGTTCGTTTTCTGAAACAACAGCGGCAAGATCCGTTACAGGCTGCAGCCTATCTGGGGCTGGTACTGCGATGCTTTCCGGAATCCGCTGCAGATCACGTTCACGTTTTGCCTCAATTAACTCAGGGCTGTCTGCAAAGTTCCAACCACTGATACCCATCACATTTCGGGGATGCTCCGGCGAGCGTCGTCCAGTCTGCGATGCCTGCGATTCCATCGTGCTCGATGAGGCGCTGCTGGCAGGCTGTTGCGACCAGGGCTCCTGCCCGGGATGCTTCGCCCCAGCGCCCGCTGACGCCACGTGACCCCGTTGCAGGGAGATACGCTCCTTCTCGGAGAGTGGATTCAACTCCAGCGGCGGCATTCGGGAGAGCATGTTGGCAGCCCAGCCATTTTCCAATGGAAGCTCCGTCTGCATAAATGGATGTTTCAAGAGCTCACTCGCAGAAGGCCTCTTGTGTGGATCCTTGTGCAGGCAGAGTTCGACGAAAGCCCGAAACTCGCTGCTAAACCGCTCCGGATGCTCCAGTGTCGGTGGCGGACCCTGTAAGGTTAACTGAAGCACTTTCATCGGTGCGAAGCGCTCATAGGGCGCACATCCCTGGGCTAATTCGATAGCTGTGATGCCGAACGACCAAATATCTGCCTTGTAGTCGTAACCAGAGACCTGCTCCATTACTTCCGGCGCCATCCAGCACGGCGTTCCGACAAAAGTCTGCCGCAAGCGACGCGAGATGCCGCTCTCCAGCATGAGCCCCAGATACGTATAGTCTGTGAGCAGGATTCGGGCATCTGGTGTCAGTAAAATGTTATCTGCTTTGATATTGCGGTGGATCTGACGATTCCGGTGAAAGTATTCGAGGCCCCGCAGCGTACCGTGCAGTATGTACCGAATCACGGCCTCGTCAGGGAAGCCTTCGGGATACAAGTGGCGCAAAATCCGCCCGACAGGAGTCCCTGCGACAAAAGGCATCACAATCCAGAGGTTATGCCCCACGGAAAAGGATGTTCGATAGGGCACAACGTTTTCGTGGGAGCTTAAAGACATGACGCGAATCTCCTTGATTAGATCATCGAGGGAGAGCGGCAAGCCTTCCAAGTTGATTACTTTGATCGCTACAGCTTCATTGCCGGCCGCAGGACAGATCGCCCGGTACACTGCTGAGTTTTCCCCGTGACCCAGCTCTTCGAGGAACTCGTACCCGTCAGGCGTCACCGGGTAGCGGCGCGGCGAAGCGGCAGTCACCACATCAACTCCTTTATCCGCCATGGTTGCACCTCTGAATCTCAACGATACAAACGAAGGGCGTACAAGAACAGGTGTCAGCGCAGCGGTTTGCTCTAGCGCCTCCAAGCAGCAGCAGCACGTATGCGGTAACCGCTTCAACCAGCCAGCCAGCAACAAACAAACAAACACTCACGTGCGTTTACCGAAAAACGGTTTGGAGAATGGACGCATACGGTGCGCGCCGAGCGCTCTCTGTGTCAACAGCGGCAGTATACAGAAACACAGGAGAGCGTCAACCGGCGTTCAGCTTCAATGAACGATATCGCAGTACAGTGCCAGTGATGTGTCCGATAACATGGTGCTGGCTTGTGCATAGGGTCTCCACTTGACGTCTCCGCTCCTAAGCAGGTCTCGCGCAAAACGCACCGCCTAACGTCGTCGAATGCTCTACATGGAGCGTCTGTGGAACAGCGATTCGTGGTGAGCGAAGAAGTGTCCATAGAAATCTGCATTTTGTCTGATAACGGTGCATGCAGTCTGGTCGTATGTGTGTTGATATAGGCTCCAATGCGTGCCTGAGGTCGTACGGGTAAATACGCGCTGGAAGCTGCGGACGGAATCCAGGTAGCGCTATGACAATCGAAGGATCCGCTAGCGAGTGGTCGACGCTGACGGCTCGACGTAGTCGAATCACTGTGCAAGGGCACGGGGCGAGCCCAGGTCGAACTCGCTGAGACCCAACCAGCTGCGGATGAAAGAGGTGCTCCAAGGAACGCAGCATCAAGGTCAGCGATATGGCAGAAGCGGGAACGCACGCACACACAGTGTGGAACGAGTGCAGTGCACGATGGATCTGGTATTGCTGTCATCGCTTTTGGTACATGAGTATCACCTGTCGACCGAATGAAGTCCGTAGCGACAGCAAGTGGCGCCTGGGCGCGGGGAAGGTTGGGCGTTTTCCCGGAAGCGTCGCGAGTCCGCACGAAAGACCCGCTGGTCGACAGTGCACCGACGATAACTGCGTCGACTCGTCATGCATGACATGAAGAGAACGACAGCCTCGGTGGTGTCCGTACAACTAGACTACTGCAGAGCGGTGATTTTTGCGGCACGCTAGTCGTACTCGTACGAGAATAAAATGGTATGGGCCCAAGCCGAGCGTACACGTTCAAGTATCGGTCTCTTCCGAAGGTCATCAGCAGAAGCCGTTGCGAGCTTTTTCCTGTGACCGCTTCCTTGCGCTCTGTTCAAATCGCCGGCTATCAATAGGTCTGGAGCTCCAGTCCCTCTGGATCCCTTACCAGCTGTCGAAGCATGTTGATGGAAGCGTTCAAGTCCCGATTTCGCTACTTCCGGCTGCTGTCAGAGCATGTCATGCATCGGCAAACGCTGCGACCTATGCTTCGCTTGCCATTTCCATGTTGTTTCTGTTCGACTTCGATGTACGCGTCAAAGCGGTGACATCTGGTTATCTTGCGGTGTTCTCCTGTGTCCGCAACGCCGGCTTCACGGGGCTACTTCCTTGTGGTGCCTGAACGCTTACCTCATTGCCCGCTAGATGCGCTTGACGGATGCAGAGACGCTCGTCCATATCCGAATCCGTTTCTGCGCCCGGGGATGCAGCGCCCGATCAGACGTGCTTTTCCAGGTTATCCACTTGGTGCGTAGTTGGTCCCCTGTATGCGTATGCGAACGTTGCGTCATCCGACAGAGGATTTGCGGATCGCGATATTGTCCATGATGAAACCAGTACCGCGTCCGAAATCGGAGCCCGACGATCAGCTCGTCACATTCCCATCGGTATACGCCCCGTCGTGCACAGCAGTGATGCTCTCGCTATCGCAAGCAGTCGCTGCGATGACTAGATTCCGAGTGAAAGATGCTATTCCAAGTCAACAGAAGAGAACAGAGACGATCGTGCATATCCCGTGAGAGGTATTGTGCTGGTGTCGGATGCCGTTTCGTCTAAGGTCACATGGAGAGGAGGATTTGTATTCCGCAGTTGTCGATTGCTTGACGTGACACGTTCATTGAACTTTAAACAAGAACTTGTGAACAAGTGCTCTAGCGACGACATTGAGCTGTTTTCTTCATCGATCCAGTGGCACGAATAGCGGCGCCTGCGACTTGCCTTGGTTGATCAAAAACGTGCAGCATGCGCAAACCATACATGCAGCACGTAAGGAATTCAGAAGATCAAAGGCTTCTATCTATGAATTTGTTGATGATATCGATTATTTTACGAAGCCTTTTTCGAAGGTGTCTCGATTCGCCCTGATGTTGAGTACGTAACGAGTCCATGCGGCAACGAGTCGACGCAGTCACTCCACAGAAACAGCCGAGAATCTTAAAAGGACCTTTGAATCCGTTGTCTCTCTCTTTGCTACAGTTCGATTCTTAAACCTGAAAATCTACAATCATTTTGGAAAGAATCGCCAGGCTAAAGCAGCACGAGCAGATACGCATCCACCCGACGCCTTTGGTACTTGGGCGTTTGGACGCGCGTGCGCTGCGCTTCAGCAGGCGAGGGACCAGATCCGAGAGCACCAAGAGCGTTACGGTGCTAGGTGGCCCTGGCTGGTGCTCTTTAAAGTGACGCAGGTGTTCAGGGGGTTCATAGGCTCGTGCGAAACACTCGAGTCCATAGGCGCGAGCAGCCGTGCTCCACTTGGTTGTGGACGACTGGTTGAACTTGGGCACCTGTGCCTTGGCTTTGCGCGGCAGAGAGGCTCGATCTTTACGTCGACCCTGCACACGGAACCTCACATCGCTTGGAGCTGGGAGAGGCACGCGAAATCCTGTTTCGTGTAGCTGAGCGACTTTTTCGTCTTCTTAAGCGGTGTATGAACTTTTGGAAAACCTCGGCACCGGCGTAGGGGTACGACCTGGAAAGCGCGGCGTTATTTTGGAGGTGGAGGCGAAGGGCATCGAGCGGAGACGGCCCCGACTGAGGAGGCAACCGTGCACGCCCGGGCTTCTGTGTATCGGTGCAGCTGCTGCTTAGACGCCTTCTTGCTGACGGCTGATCTGCCTGTGGCACGGAGCTCGAGCTTCAGTGCGTAACACAGGCAGCGTCGGGTGCTCTCGTTGGCACGACTTGTCTGCGGACGCACGTAGTGCGTATTTTCTTGCATCTCTCGGGACGAACCCGTATCTGTATTGCAGAACTGCAAAAGCTTGCTCCTGGAAACAGCGCTGTCTGTACTGCAGCAACAGATCACTCGGGTGGAGGCGTCTTTAGGTAGAGATCCAGCACTACTAGTGCGCACGCTGGGTGCACCGGAACCTTCTGCATCCTTCGAGCTGCACTCCATGCCGCTGGCGACCCATTCAGTTCACTTTCTCCGTACAACAACACCAACTGCGATGTTGCAAGACAAAGCGTGCCCAGGATGGACCATTCATATGCAGACGAATGCCCGAATACTCTTGCGTCACGACTGGCTCCGTGAGGATAGAACGCTGCAGGCTGCCTGGTACAGCGTGCTGGACCCTACAAAACTGAGCAAGCCGGGAGCATCTCTCGCTGGTTGTGCAAATGGTTTTAGAGCTCCTATCTCGCCCCGCTGGTCATTCGGAACTGGCAGTCAAAAGGAGTCGAGCGATCAGGAGAAGCTGCAGCCGCGAGACTCAGATCCACTGGCACGCCTGCAAACGCCTCAGATGAGCGATGGCGTTGAGGCTGCAGCGCCAGGTGATTCTCCCGAGGAATCGAACAATACCGAATACACGCCGACACTGGCGCGCAAAGGAGCGAGCGTTGCCTCACTTACTCGCCGAAGAAGACATTCGGAGCTAGAGAAGGCGTCTACCAGGTGCACATCGCCCGAACGTTCGGTGTCGAAGCATCAGCTTTCCTGTGCTGCTTCGCCAGAGCGAGAGCATCCTAGCTGCCAGGACGCAATCCGAACTCGAAACGCTTCCGGAGACGAACCGTCTGCACCAGCACGTGATTTAGGTTGCCTGTCGCTGCTCGTTGTAGGTTGCAAATCGCCGTCAAATATGAGTCGGCAGGAGAAACAAGCGCTTTCTGAAGCGCGAACGCTCTGGGAGATGCACGGCGGTCGTTGGCTGGACCCGTGCGACCTCTCGCAAGTCTTCCAACTGCTGGAGACGTTTATCGAGACCACAGGTACCGCAAGTGCCGCCACGGATGATGAGACTTCAAACGCTTGCCCGAGTGCCGGCGAGGAGTCATCACCGATTTCGAAGCGCAGACGCTACGAACCGAAGCCCGGCGTTCGCGAACCTGCCGCAGGAAAAGCGTCACCGGAGCCAGCGCTGCTGATTGCAGCCCTGCATCATAGCGTTGCTGCATGTTTGCAATCAAAGCAGTGCTGTCCAGTAGACGGCCTGGCTGCACAACAGTTATACGCTATTGCGTCAATCGCGTGGCAACGCGGCTGGGCCCTCCTGATCGATCTGCAAAACACGAAGGACGACAAGGATATCCGTAACGCCGGAGCTGCCGCGTTGAGGGTGTGGATTCGTTCTGTTTTGAGCGAATCTGCATCTAGAATGGAACAATCCAAATCAGAGGCTTCCCTTCAGGACGGCAACGAAAGCCTTTGGGAGCGAATTCGTAATCACGCGTTGGAGAATACAACCCCGAGCAAACTCGGTGTTTTTTCCAATTTTGCTTTTTCGTTCATAAGCGAGAAGGATCATGTCGGTGTATCTGCTCCAGCTGCGAAACGGAGGAAACACGTCCGCCAGCACAGCTCAGAGACAACGGAACGTTGGTCAGCGGGAATGCAGCCCGGCGATGAGCATTGGCATCATGACGTGCAGCTGCTGATCCGTCTCGCGGGAGGCATCTGCGTCCCCGAGCAGAGCGACGCGGCTTGTATCCGAGAGCGCGCTTCCATTTCAGTAACAAGGCAGAAACGAACAAGGACACAGAACCCGGCGTCGACCGAGTCGCCTATGCATGCTTTCAAAGTATGCCGAGCGCTTGACCTCGCGAGAATGGAGGAGAACGCAAACTTCCCGGACTCTTCGCTGCCGCTGATTGACTGGGACCGGCTGCTGTCGGCAGTTTGTACTGGGACAGGGCACGCTCTGACGTCGTCGACAACCGCCTCGTGCCATGTGGAGGCGCCGAAATCCCCCGAACGGCAAGCATCAGCGACTCCAAAACGAGAGCAGAGCAAGCGGCGTGGAACCCGTTCGCCATCAAGACAATCCCAGAGATCAAAACGGCGATCCTGATGCCCTGGCCTGTACTAAGATGCCGGATCCGCACCCAGACTGGTCAAGTACAACAGCATCAACGACCTAGTGATGACGCGAAGAGATGTCCGACGATAGAGCTGGCTGTGCCTGCTGCCTGGACCCGCCAACATGAGGCAATACGCAGTCATCTCGAACAATGAAATACCATCGTGATTCACCAATTGCTCACAAAATGCATTCCCGATGTATCTATACAGCGCTTTCTTCTTACTGGACTGCTGAACCGTACGAGAGCAGTGCCTTGGTGCAGACGGAGATCCAATGACCACTCTCGTGGCCATTGATTTTTTTCATCGGAATTTGTCAGCATGTGAGTACAGTGCCTCGACTGCGTTCTCAGCGATTCCCACGAACATTCGCGTAAAACGAAGCTGCTGGAGGCCCCGGAGAGCATGAATCATTTCCGGATATTGATCGAGGCGCTCAAGTATCGGTGCAGAAGGTGCTTCGGCGCATTGTTGATAGCAAAGTCACACCATAGCGAGCCTCGCTTCCTCCATTGCCTCTCCGTTTGGCGCTTGATTCGCTCTGCCCGACGCCATCTCGAGCATTCGTCTCTGTTTCACGCCTTGCTTATGCATCTGTTGGATATGCGATCCGTAAAACAGAAAATGCGCCACGACCATGGCGGGTACGTTTCCATATACCCACGCGCAGACGCGTCCCAGCATTTTTGACTGGCTGCCTGCTATCGGTATCGGATTATCCAGGTAAACGTGGTGCTTGAGACGCTGCCCCACAAAGTTAGCTCGCGTTAGCTCCTTGGGTATCTCGTCAGTTGCACCGGAAATCGTCTGATACTGATATCGACGTTGAACTCTCGATTCACGAACTCCTTGCGTCCGTTGTCGCTGGTGGAACGCACCAGTGCAACGATCCCCGGAACGCGAGCCCTCTGGGTCACAACAGTCTCGTCGTCATCCCGTCGCGGAAACCCCGCGTCTCGTCTATCTTTCCTCTTTCTTTTGTCGTATGTTCTTCTGTGCTCGATGATTGACAAACAGCGGATTTTTCCGGTTTTCCGGCATCTGGCGATCACGGGCATCTAGGATCCCCGACTTTTACGTCCATACCGTCCGCTTGGATTGTTTATTTCTTCAAAATGAACGCACTTTGAACGCGTCTGCTATAAACCACGAGAAAGCATTTGATTACAGGAACCCAGGAATAAAACACATTTGAGGCGAAAGACGACTAGGTGCACCGGTGCTTGTGATGCGTGTATGTTGTCCTTGACGTATGAAAGCGAATCATAGCACATCGTCTCCTGCACTCGTTGTGCGCTATCTTGGGCACAGCAGGAGTGCATTCTCGTGCGCGACAGCTCGTCCAGCGCCATCGTCAAGCACCAAATGATGCAGGTTATCAGTCAACAACGCTTCTGACTCATTGCACAAGTCGGTGAATGCACATTTCTTGCCTCCGTCCAATCGAGACGGGTCGGCAACCCCAGCGCGGTTACAGGCGTCTTTGACAAAAATCGTTCCCGTGATCCACTTGAACAGTCACGTTTTATCTAAATGAAGCGTACAGAGTCTCGCTGGCGGCTCGATACGGTTCTCAGAGTGTCGAGACTCGGCTGCTCACGCCGTGATTCCTCTTCCTGGCATGTCGCCTAGCATTCAGGATTCCCGACTGCAGATGATGTCGAGCCCCGGAGACGATGAGCAGCAGCATCTGCTTTTCGTTTTTGGCATCGGGTCCGTCCGTCCTTTAAATTTAGCAGTACGGAGACGCCCTTGGAGGTCTTCAATCCAGGATCCAAGTCCGTTGCCAAGTCTTTCTCTTCATCTACGTCGAGCGGATGAACATAAGAATCGTTGCCCGAATGGGACCTCGGTTTTCACCAAATGCATGCAGAGCGATGTGTGGTCGACCTCCATTGCCCCAGTACACTCGTTTTCATTTCCTCCCTGTGAACGTGAAACCTTGAACGAACTCCGTCACAATGTTCCTCATGAAGTTCTTCGAATGCTGCATGCCTGCTCGCGGAGACCAGACGTAACGGACTGAGGTCGGCATGCAACGCAGTCCAGTCCAGAAGTATCTACGGGCACATGTACAGGAACACGGAGTTGGATACGGTTCCCCGATCGAACGGAAACCTTGAGGAGGATTGAGTGCTCGGATCCGGGATGGCAGTCTGGTTTGCTGTCGAGGGCTCTGTTCAGGAAAATCCAGAAGCGAAAGATGCAACGAAGGTAGCGATGACGTACCCAGCGCCTTCTGGATACGACATCCCGCCGTCCGCAACCGTGTGCAGCACGACCAGCGTGAACGATCTGAAGCGAACCTCGTTCTCGTAGCGACACCTCTCCTGAACTCGCTACCACCCTTAGCGCTTCCGTCACCAGTTCGTCATTTGCATATAGCGAAAGACCAAGAATCCCTTACATCAGTCCCTGCTCCTCTGGGTCAGCTAGGTGATGGTATCAAGCCCATAGGTTGCATTTCACGAAGCGCTCGAGATGGACCCGTTGATGGATTTTCAGGTTCGTTAGATGCACTTTGTCACCTGTCCTCTGGACGTTCCGCTAGAAAACATGACAAGCCTGCGAGTCAACCTTTCATCCGAAACGCATTAGCAACTGTTTGATTCTGAGATCGAACCGTTTCGCATCTAATATCCTGGGGAATCGTTGTGTTGTTCCACGACAGCTAGATCAAACTTCCAAGCGAATGTGGTGAGCTTCCAGACCGGCTTCGCGACCTTGTACGAAGTTTGGCTTGACCAGGCGCGTCTAGACAAGGGAAGCAAGGCGGACCTTTCTCGAGTGAGAAGCTACTCGACCTCAAAAAGGGCTCTGCAATGCTCCATTCGAAAGATTCTCAACGCCGTATTGGTATGTTTGAATTTGGAGGCAATAAAATTGTTATCACAGTGAGCTTCTTGGTCCTATGGTTTTCCGGTCTTGTGCCTTTTCGCCCTCTCTTCGGAATAATCTTTCTCTTCTATGGCTGGTGATGTCTTCTCTGTCTCTATTACTTGGCGGGATTGTAAAGCCCCTATGCTCTACATCCGTTCTTTCCCTCGTGACTCACATATGCGCTGGGTCCACGATAGGACTGAGACTCGTCTTTTCTAATTCCATTTCCAAAAGTTCTCAAGTACCTCCTCATCACCTTCTCCGTCGCAAGCAAGCCCGCGGACTGAAGGGCACCGTCCCGCTCGCTCCTGTACACGAGCACAGAAGCAGCAGAGCAGCCAGGGCCGGTGAAGATGCTCGAGAACGCATTGTCGAAGTGAGGTGTCACGGATCCGAACAACTCGTCTAATGATCCATGAATTGAAACATAGCGCTCGAAAAAACATAAAAGACGCTTTCGAACGGGTTGAAGCGGGGAGGCTAGGCTGGCATGAAGCGTTGGTCAAAGCCAGTCTCCACCGGATGCTTCTTGACCGCTTTTGATTCATGGACATCGATGTTGTCTAACAGCAGCACCGAAGCATGCGGGATGGAGAATCCACAAAGCGTACGTCGACGAAGGATGCGGTTTCGAGCATTCCCTTCCGTTTGGCGATTCGTAGGTAACGAAACGATAGCATCGCAGCTATCGCTGGTGCTGTCGCCGTGCCCGGTTGTCGCTTCTTAACGAAAAGCGGATTACCCCGCTTTGTGAACCCATAAACAGGTCAGCAGCTTCCCGTGAATGAGTCTTGTTGAGTGAGACAAGCATACGTCCCTCCTGTACAACGCGGTCGTGTTTCAGTACGAAATCGATATGGTGTTGGTCAATGCGTAATGGTCTCCCAAAGGAGCGTGCTTTTTGCTTCGTCAATCTGTGTCATTTATCACTGTACGGATCAACGATTCGCAAACTCTACATCCTGTAGCTTATCAGATAGTAATTCTCAGAGTATGCATATGGTTTGGAATGCATGGACGAGGCGAAAATCGTGTGGATAGAGCTTGATAAGTGCTGCTTTGGGTCCACGACTTTCTACGAGAAGCGTGTTTCATCCATCCGTTGATCGTAGAATGGCTTTCTTGCACACCAAAGACCTCTTCTCGCTAGCTTTCATTGACAGCACGGTCTTTCCGCGTCCTCTCTCAAGCCTCAGGGATGCAATCCTTTTGTTAAATACCTACCAGAAAAACAAATTAAAACAGAAACGGCGTGCTGGTACGCATGTACCAGCATTCACTGCGCTCATTACATCACAGGTGGTAGCGCCGCCTCCCGGGCCTAGCACTCGGATATGCGACCTACTCTCGCTCGAGTTCGATAAACGGCCAAGAGTCGGCTCTGTGTCATGGTTTCGCAAAACCGAGCACTTGTTGGATGCAGGTCCCGAAGCGCGAGCACTTGCGCCTCCCGCACATATCTTCGAGAAAAGAGCGGTCCACTGCAAGTCCAGTGCCAGAGAAACCAGCGCATGTTTTCCTGATACAAACATTTCCTGGGGCGACTCGTTACCTAGATTCTAGTCATCTTTACGTGTGCCTCACTAGCGTCGGAGCAGAATCGATATGCCGAAAGTGCGCACGCTCTAGCAAAGCGTCAGCACAGCCGCCCCCTGCACGCAACGTGGACCCGAGTCACGAACACGGGTGCAGTGCCCTGTAGCAGCGAACTTTTTTGTTCCAGCCGTTGCCACAGCTTCCGTTCCTACTACCGTAACGATTCCCCGGACTCCCGCGAATCTAATTCTTCCATAAGAAACTACCAGCAAAACGAAGCAATCACCCGCCCAGTCATACGCAACGCTCGTTTGCGAACATACCCGGTGTTCCGCAGCGGAGTCCGAATGCCACCGCAGACGTCGCCGGTGCGGTAACGCACGTTCCATCGAATACGCTGCTCCTTGCGGCTGCGCTGCTCGACTGGGTCCACGTACCGCTCTTGTTGCTGGTGCGGCATCGACAACTGGTACAGCTACCAGTGCTTTGGTTACTCGTTCCATCGCCATGGCTTTTGGCACAGACGACACCTACGGCTCCACGACTCACGGGAAATATCGTCCCAAGTCCGATATGCGGTACGACGGGGCGGCTGCGCAGGTGTTCTTCACGTGTCTGCTGGGCCTGCTGTGCGTGAGTGTTACCTGGGGGCGCTGGCGGCACCTGATTCATCAACGAAAGGTTTCCGCCGAACACGAACGAGCGCTATGTCCGTGTCGTGCGTGTCGCAGTCGTCGTCACGCTAAAATCGCTCAGAAACGGCGAAGCGAACGCTTGAAACGGCTAGTTGTGAACGGCGTGCTGCTGGGCCTCTGGCTCCTCTTCCTTTTCGCTGTAGTGTTCCTGTACCGCAGCGTTTCCGCGTCACTCGCTAACGAGACGCCATTCGACCCGTACGAGGTTTTGGGAGTCTCCAGAAACGCTGATCGTGAGCAGATCGTCCGTGCGTACCGCAAACGCTCGCTTGAACTGCACCCAGATAAAAACCTGCAGAATCCGAACTATCAACCCGAAGCGTTTGTGCGGTTGAACAAGGCGTACCGAGTGCTTACAGACCCCGTAGCTCTTGAAAACTACCAAAAGTACGGGAACCCTGACGGATACCAAGGCACACGTTATGGGATCGCGTTGCCGAGTTGGCTCGTGGACCGGGGCACCCCGGTCCTCCTCGGCTATGCGCTGGTGTTGCTGGCGGGACTGCCACTCGGGGTGGGTATGTGGTGGCGTCGACGGGCCCATCTGCTATCCGAGAGCGTTAGTCAAGAGACATATGCGCTGTTTGCAGAGTTTCTGGGCCAGCCAACGGCGATAAAGTTTCGCAACTTGCCCGAAGTCTACGGTGCAGCACTCGAGTTTGCAACCCGTACACCGTTCGAGGCTGAATGTGGCGATCGTGAGGCCATCAGTCTGCTCTGTCAAGCGCTTGAAACAGGTGGCCGGTTTGATCACCGCGAACAACGACTGTTTAATCGCGGACTCCCGCATTTTACGATGAACAATGTGTTACTGCACGCGCACCTCGCTCGTATAGAGTTGGATCGTTTTCCCGTTGATATGACCCGTATGAAACAAAATGTGGAGGTTCTGCTTGCACACGTGGATAGCATGATACCAGCGATGGTTGACGTGGCTGGTGCGACGCCTCGACCCGAGGTAATGCGGCGGTATCAGCGCGTCTTCTCCACAGGTGGCTATATCGACCGGGTGCTGCGCATAATTCAACTCGAACAGAGTCTTTGTCAGGCGATGCTTCCGAGCGAAAGCGAGTTGCTCCAGTTGCCGTGGTTTGGGCTCAGCGAAGTCAAAGTTTGCGCAACAAGTCGCAGGTTCGGGGCCGATGGGATCCGCACGATCGCTGAGCTGCGGGAGCGTGTCTGGGAACCCGATGTGCTTGCGATGCTGGCGAGCCAGGGGCCATCAGCCCTGTTCCCCATAGAGGCACCAGCAACGGCAGCGAAGCGGTGCATACGTCGTTCGGACCTCCAAGAAACGCGCGGCCGCCACGGAGCAGCAACGGAGGCATCCACAGCGCCGTGCGGGCTCGAGTCCCGGCTCGATACCGGCGCTGAGCGACTGTTGCGGTGCAACTGGGACGGCACTCGACTCCGATCTCTGTTGCGCATGTTCTCCGATGCTCAACTCGATGATATCCACCTGTTTTTGATTCGCTACCCCCGCAAAGTTCAATTGCAAGTAGTCGAGCCTTACGTCGTGGACCAGGATCGCGCTGGTGAAGCGGACCTGGTGCGCGATCCTCGCGTTCATGCTGGCGATATCACGACGCTGGAGGTTCATATCCTCATCGAGCGTTTAGGCTGGCAAGAGATGCCGAATCGAACCACTTACTACCCGTGTTGCAGTCGATTGCCGTTTGACAAGAACGAGCACTGGTGGATGATCGTCGGCGATCGGAAGATGAATTCCATCGTCGCTGTTCGGCGGCTTCATGCCCGGCAGGCTGTTCAACAGCAGCCGGGGTCTCGGCAAGCGGCTGCATCTGCCGGGGAAGCAACAGATGCCCGGGACATGACGTGTACACCATCGCCGCCCACAAGCGCTTCGAGTCGCACCTCGACGCAAACTGATGCCTCTGACACCGCCACAAGTGGCAGCAACAACATCGGCGATCGTGATGGAGCAAGTCCCGTAGCCGCATCCGGGGCTCGCGAGTACGCCCAGCCCACAGACAAGTGCGACCTGGCTCCGTATATCCGACGAGAAGCGCTTTCGTACAGCGTTCAGTTCATGGCGCCGCCTCAGGTTGGTACCTGCAAGCTGGTCGTGCACGCCCTACCGGATTGTTATTTTGGGCTCAATCGCCATGTACAGTTGGATGTGGATATACACGAGCACAAGCCGCCTGAACCGGAAATGCATTATTTCGATCCGAGCGATCTTAGTGAGGACGACGATGACAGGCCCACTGGCCAAGCACGATCGCTTACCGCTGAGCATACGAGAGCAGTGCCAGCGTCGAATGGTGAACAGGGCGTCTCCAGTGAGCGCACGTCCACGCAACAGGTTCCAAATGATACCGAATCCGCAGAGGACACTGATTCGAGTGCTGATGACGCCTTCGACATCGACGGCGAAGCGGACTAGACGCACAACGCGATGGTGCTGCTGCATATATAGGCGGCATTCGCAACTGCGATCCAGTGACTGGTACGGACAGGATCTCACAGCCTGCATCGCGCGTGCTGAACATCACGGGCTCTGGTCGAGAGTGCACTCAGGGAGCGCCTAAACCAGGGACGAGGCGGAAGCGGGCACCTGTCAGCTGTTCGATGATCGCCCGTGGTCGTGAGAGCGCTCACGCGGAAACACCATGCTTTTCCCTAAAGTCAACGATAGTATTTAATGGAAATGCGCATTCATGTGGAGCGCTTTCAAGCAGCGCGCGTCATTGGCAGCACCACGGGCATGCGCGAGGCATCTCGCTCTCCGTCCAGACGCCCACGGACTCGAATCAGAGCTCCCGAAAAGACTCCCCGAAGCTTTCTTGCGCCTCCATCATAACGGTACTGTCGTCGCCGGTGTCGGTGTCGGAGGTATTTCCTGTGTTAGGAATCCGACTTTGCAACGGGGCACTCGCATCGTCATCATCAACGTCGATCATGTTTGGAATACTGGCATTTCGAAGCAATTGCGGATGAACGATTTGAGAGAGCGGACCCGTGGCAGTCACAGCGGCTGCGGCAACGTGTGCTCGTTGGTCATCTGCTCCGGCCGCTTTGGTATGCTCTGCGACACACGGCGTATGATAGGTGGATTCTACGGCATTACCGACGATCGTCGGTTTCAGTCGGATTGCAGGCGCATCTTCGGGCCTGTCTCGAGCCATGCCCTCGACCTGATTCCACATTGTCGCCAGTTTTTCCTTGGGCATGCTCGCATACGCTCGCTCGTACGGTATTCCGTCCCGCTGTTGACTCGTTAATGCCGCGCGGAAGCGATCCGCCTCACTGGGGATCTCGTATCCTCCCGCATGGCCTCGTAGCATCGTCTCGCGTAAATCTGGATGGTAGTGCAGGATTTCCTCCCAGAAAAGCTGCCGCATCTGTGATGCAGTGAGCTGCTCGCGTTCGAAGAAGAATTCCTCGGGCGGCAATGGGCTACCAGATACAATGGATTCCGGAGTATAGAGGCCTCTAAAATAAACATGCTGGAGTGCTTCCAGGGCTGTTAGGCGCTTGTTCGGATCAAACTGAAGCAGGTTTCGAAGCAGGTCCAATGCATCCGGGGGCGCGTCTGGGAACACTGTATCCAAGGGTTTCGGCGGTCGCGGCGGCAGCGAGCGCAGATGTTGTCTTACGCGCTGATTCCGCACCTTCGCAATCGACTCCTCATCCGGGGTACCGAGCAGCTTCACAATCAGCTCCAATTGCTCAAAGCTATTCATACCGGGGAACAGGGGTTTTCCGCGATTCAAAAGTTCGGCGAAAATGCATCCCGCAGACCAGATATCGATCGCCGCTGAGTACTTTGACGAATAACTCATGATCAGCTCTGGTGCACGATACCATCGCGTCGCCACATAATCCGTCCAGCACGCCATATCTTCTTGTTGGTTGTAGGCTAGTCGGGCGAGCCCAAAGTCGATCACCCTTAAATCACACAACTCATTAATCATGATGTTGTTCGGTTTTATATCGCGATGAAGCACGTTGCAGCTGTGCATGTAATGAAGCGCTTGCAATAGTTGATACATGAGCCATCGGATATGATCCTGCGATAACGGAATGGGTGCCCTCAGGACTCGATTCAAGTCCGCTGGCATCAACTCGAAAACCACGAACACGTCATCAAACGAGTCACGCTCCGAAGGTGCAAGAATCTCGCGGATGCTAATGATGTTTTCGTGGGAACGCAGGAGGCGCAGGAACCGAAGCTCCCGCAGGATGCGTACAGCTTCGGGAATCTCGTCGAAAACGCGGCGAATTCGTTTCACAGCCACTTTTTCCCCTGTCTGTATATCAATCGCTGAGCACACAACCCCATAAGCACCTTCTCCGATGATTGACACGAACCTGTAACGGTTACCAATTAGGCGTGCATCAAAGAAAGCGCTGCGCGCTTCAGCCGGGCGGTGTGGCTGTGGCGCCTGACGCCTATCCCCTACGTTGTAACCATCCTGAACTCCTTGGGCATGGCTGTTGCGCAAGTCGCTCATCGGCGCCTTGAGCAGTCACAACAAGCTGTCGCACGCCCGACCCCAGCTCCGACAACGCCTCCGTCTGTCTTTGAACGTGTGCGGCGGACCGGCCAGGACTCGCTAGCCCGCAGCACGTTACAGAGCCGTGTAAAGGCAGAGCACAACACGCAACGCCCTACTCTAGCCTAGAGTATGAAGTGCAGACGAAACACCGCCACCTTTTCAACCTTGCGCCGCTTTCTTGCAAGGTTTACCTGCATGCAGGGACACGTCAGTGCCGCCAGCGACAAGGATGCGTGCGCGCGTCGTGACGATGCGTGCGCTGTCACGCCTAATCCCGCGCCGGGGCCGCTGGCCGCCTTCGAGGCCTCCGGCGCAAATCGAATCGCGCTGAGCGGCTGACGCAGCGCAGCGCTGCGCAGCGCAGGGGTGGGCTTGTGCGGTGCGCGACTGCGCAAATGCGCTCGTGGAGTGGGGGGTTGTGGAGCTGCGGCCCCGCCGCACTTCGCTGCGTTGCGCGTATCGAGCCGACGTCCCCGTGCCGTCCCCGCCATGCTCTGGTCAGGAAAACGAACACTGTTCCACGGCCATGGAAGGTATCTATACACCCACGCACGGATGCCTGCCAGCCGTTTTGTTTCGACCGGCCGCCTGCGATCAGTTTTGTTTTATCAGGGGACAGTGCGAGCCTGAGAGACAGCCCAAGAAAGTCGGTTCTCATCAACAGCGCCTATCGTCGGATATTGATAGTGGCATTGAAGTCCCGATTCACAAAGTCCATTCGTGCGGTTCCGCTGGTGGAACGCACGAGTACCAGGATTGCGAGAACTCTTGTCCTCAGTGCCGTTTAGTGCTCTGCTCGCTCTTCGTACTTTTTTATCGCCGAAGCGTTCGGCCGGCTTTGCTCCATCTCGACGTTCTCAAATGTTCAATACAGCGCAACCTCTGCACTTCCTATTTTTGAAACTGAAAGCACTCTTTCTTATGCCATTGTTTGAAGACCTTGCCGGAGAGAGAGGCACGAGCGCAAGAAAGACGACATATGTCCGAGTGTGTCGCCATGTGCTGAACGCTTCACCAATTCGCCCAGTGCAGCGATTATAACGTTTCACGATAGAAACCACGTCTTCGATTGGCATGAACCAGGAAGCGTATGGAGGAATGATACGCGGCTCTACCCCTGATAGAATCGGAAACAGCTCGAATGCAAGGGGAATGTTATAACGCCACCTTATCTAGTAGAAGGACGTCGTCGGACGTCAGGGAGAGGTCTTCAGTGATTCGATAAAGTGATTTGTGCTGCAGTATGAGCCTTCTCTACGAGCGAGACTTAGGCTGGCAAATGAATCCACTGCAGATAGAACAGATGATGATGTCGTCGTTCCCTTTGAGCTCGATCTTGCATGCAACCGGTGTCCTGCTCCTCGAATACCCATACACGCTCCGTCTGTCTCGTTTGAAGCAAGTCACATCGACTGGAAAAAAACAAACCGATGTTCCTCTTCTTCATGTCGATCGCTGCGTTCCAGGAAAGCTGTGGCAGTTTCGATTTCGATGGAAGATGGCCGTGCGTGAACTAGGACTTTTTTGCGACTGTATATTCGTGTTTCCATGATTACACGAACGAGCTCTTGAGAAACAGAGACGCCCGCAGTAAATAGAATCGACGCTTTTGTTTTCCGTAAGGTGTTCAACGGGTCGTTTCTACACCATTGACCGCAAGAAGTCTTTCAGAGTATCGGCATTTGATGCGGAGCGCGTGTACTCTTTTCTATGAACATTCCTCAGTCATCAGGGTACTGTGCAACGACTGACCTGAAGGAGGAATGCCATCCTCCATGCACTGCTCAGTCAAGTATATATATCCTAAAGGCAATTCGTCTACGATCTATGCTGTACATTGCATCGATCTTTCGATCTCTCGCGCTGTACTGCGAAAAAAGCATTCGATCACATGCGGCGATGACGGAATAAAATAGAACTGAACGACCAGAAAAGGCACTTTTCACGCGACTCCGAACTAGCAGGTAAAGCGTGCCGGTACGCCTGCGCAGCCGATTGGCGCTCGAATTCCTTGCCGCTGCGCAGCACTGCGTCTGAGTAGGTCGTTGTGCTGCAAGGCTGCGGCCTTTCTCGAGGGTGTGCTGCAGAAACCGCCTTGACGGTGGCTAGGGGCGACAGGACCGTGTATGTTCCTGAACGTTCAAGTCTGTGCCCGTTCGGTTACTCCCAAGCCGGCAGCGTCTCTCGCATTGCTCGTTTTGCAGTCTCAGCGAGGGCCTCTCCCTGCAGACGCCGCACGGTGTCGGCGTCAGTTTCCGACCTCGCAAACGAGGGTCTGTCGCTTGCGAATGGCCTCACCAGTGAAGAAGCTCAACTTGGAGGATCTTAGAACGAAACTCATACGTCAGGAGGAGACCATCATCTTCGCGCTGATAGAGAGAGCGCAATTCAAACACAACGCAGTAATCTACGAGAAAAATGGGCCGCTGTTTCGCATACCGGGCTTTACCGGCTCATTCCTCGACTATCTTCTGGTGGAGACTGAACGACTACACGCCAAAGTGCGGCGCTACACAGCCCCTGACGAGCACGCCTTCTTCCCAAACCAGTTACCGCAACCGATACTCCCGCCGTTGGACTACGAGCAGGTGCTCCATCCGAACGACATCAATGTGAATCACAAAATCATGCAAGTCTACGTCCACGAGATCGTCAACCGCCTCACAGAAGAGGGCGACGATCTCAACTATGGCTCATCCTGCGTGAATGATGTGGCCTGCCTACAGGCTTTGAGTAAGCGCATTCATTACGGAAAATTCGTAGCCGAGGCCAAGTACCAAGCCAATAAGGAACAGTATCAACCTCTAATCGAGCGACGCGATGCGGCCGCTATTGAGCAGCTGCTCACGGATCGGGCGGTTGAAGAGAAGCTGCTGCGACGAATCGAGATGAAAGCCGCCACCTACGGCCGAGAGGTCGAGGTTGGTCAACTCCAACGATGGCGCACGGGATCGGATCGGTTTGGTGACGAGGTCCAGCAGTTTCCACACCTGTTAGCGAACATCTATGAACATTATGTCATACCGCTGACAAAAGAGGTTGAGGTTTTGTATATGCTGCAGCGATGGCCCTAGAGACGTGACCGCACGGTATACCTGCACTTTCAGAACTGGGCATGTGCATGCGTCTTGACGACCCAGGGCGAGAAACTGCAACAACGACGCCAGATACAGCAGGCAGCAGCGGCTCGAGCGAGTGCGTCTCGCGATACCATTTGCGAAGCGACCGGCATGCTGGAACGACCACAAAGACGCGCGGGACGCAGCGTGATCGTACCTGTATCTATCGCTAGTGGTTGCAGCACTACGTAGCGAGATCCGATGCACTCATCGAGAACACGTCATCGTGGAGAGAAATGCGCACAGAGACTATCGCTGCATCATTTTCGGGTGCAGCATTGCGACGCACCGAGGAAAACCGATCACGCGAGCATACCGTGAAGCGGGATAGATGTTTCCGCGAAGAAAAGTTTTTTCCACAGTCTAAAATAGGGCCTTTTTGCATCATTCCTGGACGTTCAAATGGAAACACCAAGCATTGATTGCCCTTGACGTATTCGCCGGGCCAGATGGTTCCTGTTCCAGCTGCTCTGAGCATGAAGAATGCGGAACGTGCACGCTGCATTCCACGAGTTGCTGCGCCGCAGTAGCACGCGTTTGCGCGGTCCCGATTACAGTCCGCAAAGGTTCAGGTTTTTGGTTTCAAGCTGGCGACAGTTCGTATGTGCAGGAGGGATTGGGGATCCATCTAGACTGCCAATAGAAAAGCGCGAGTCGAAAGCAGCGTTCATGTACGGCGCTCAACTCTGCAGATCCGCTTTGCAAGGAAGCGATCGGACGGTTGCACGCGACGTCGCATGCGTTTCGATACACCCGCCTAACGCGTTACCGGGCAAGAGACACCACGGAAACCCGGCTAATATACACGATGTGTCGATAAAGACACATGCTTCATGCAGCCTGCTGGTCTGCTGGACTGCAACGCCGCCACCCGTGAAGTGTATTGAACGCGCGGAAGCGTCGAGGCAGCTGCATTGGAGCGGAGATCGAGACCCTGGGAACCGGCTCTGGAAGCGGAAATTCCGGTTTACCCGTGTCAGAATAAAAAATAGAACGAGTCGCGTTCGCCAGCCGAGGCATACGTTCTAAAGTCTGGGACTCTTCGCATGAACGCCAGCGCCAGCCTCCACGGGATTTTTTTGCGTATGTTTTGTTTGCTTGTCTCGGAACTATAACTCTGTTTTCAGCTGCCAGGCGATGTGCACGGCGACGTAAATGTTCCTATTTCGTCGCTTTCGGGGGTTGTCGACGCATTTCATGCTCAGGTAAAAGTTGTAATCTCCGCTTTGCCAGCCATTTTCCTTCTCTTTAGATACAGGATCGGTGTGCCCTGCGCAGCTGTGGCACTTGACTAACGGCACGTGCTCCGATACATTCAATGCATCTTCTCGCGAGAGCGCCGAACTCTGCCGCGTGAACGCTTGCTTCTTCGCTCGGCACATGCCCTTGACAAGGACAGAACTTTCACCCTGATGCTGTTCTCCGCTTCTGCGCCCAGGATCGTACCATGCGATCAGGGGCTCCTTCAGGGAGCTCGCCCCGGAGAGCACGCCGGCTGCTCCTTATGCGAGCGCATGCAGTTCCATTCGAAAGAGAGTTTCTGAAAGGCGAGGCTCTCCGTGATGAAGCAAGTATTGTAAGGAAAAATCAGGCTGGAGATCGTCTCTAGAAATTCCGATCCGTCTGTGATCCCTCTTTGCGGAAAGCGTTGACGAAGTCTCCATCGGAAGCGATCGCCTCTGTGGCTCAAGTCCGAATCCAAGACTCTTTTCCATGAAAGAAGACACGGGAACTTCTGGGACCATACCTTGTGAATTGTATCATGGTACAGTGGAGTCCCGTTTCACCAGTTACCATGACGAGAGGAGGATTTATCTCTCGAACGCAGTCTGTGATTCAGCGAGACAAGTTCAGTGAATGTTCGGCATGAGATTGTGAACAATGCCCCCAAAGAGTGAAGTCGAGCAGTTTCCTCGTCAATCGAGCGGGCGAATGATTATGGTCACGAGATGTCCTGGAGCATGAAGATCGATAAGATAAGGCAAGCTTGATTTGTGTATTTTACATATAAGGGAAGGAGAAGGATGGATGCTTTTTCATATGCATTGGATAATACTGTCGGTTGTTTTACCAGTGCTTGTTCGAGCGCGTTACGAATCATCCCGATTCCGGTGACGCAACGAATGCCAGTGGCAGACAATATTGCAGGTGCCACTTCGAAACGACGACCGAGGATCCGAAAACTACCTATGGATCCGTAAGCGCATTGTGCTGCGCTTCGAACGCCTACCAAGCGCATCAAAAAAATTCGTACGGAAATCGAAAACCAGGAAACGATTGCCCAGTTCACTTTACCACTTGAAGCTGACACCAACGTAGATGCATAGATCCAAAACTCTACGTCAACTCGCCGACGCCCCTAGAGCGATTGTGATCATCATCAGGTCGAGTGGTGCGCGATGTGCGCTCGCTTTTGCTAGAATGGCACCAGATGCATTCGGGGTGTACGGAACGCGAACAAGACTGCTTTATTTAAACGCGAAGAACTCCGGCCATACTCAACGGTGAATGATTGTTGTCGGCTTCAGCATACCGACTGCGATACTCGTCTAGATACGGATACACGCATTCGTGCAAAAATTCATCGACTTGTTGGGGCGCACGGCCCACGAATTCAGAGCCGCTACAAAGCGAGTCTATTTGATCCCTAATACAAGCGAAACGATCATCGTTTCTGAGACGTTCCAGAAGGTCATTGTCAAGCCCTTGGTCCTTCACGCGTGCAGCTGCGGCTACGCTATGCTGCCGAATCGCTTCATGCATGGTTTGGCGGTCTTGCCCGGCGCGAACTGCGGCCATAAGAATATTTTCCGTCGCCATGAAAGGAAGTTCTTGAAGCAGATTGCGCTCTACTACCCGAGGATGCACAACCAGGCCACGACTTATGTTGAGCACCAGCTGAAGGATCGCATCCGTTGTCAGAAACGCCTCACTGATCGCAAGTCGCCGATTCGCCGAGTCGTCCAGGGTGCGCTCCAACCACTGCGTCGAGGCTGTTTCGGCGGGATTCAACACAAGCGTTTGCAGGAAACGAGCAAGACCATTGATCCGTTCCGAGCGCATCGGATTTCGTTTGTAGGCCATCGCTGAGCTCCCGATTTGGTGCTCCTCGTACGGCTCCTCGACCTCCTTGAGATGCTGCAGAAGTCGAATGTCGTTCGCCATTTTGGCCGCCGACTGTCCGATTCCAGCTAAAACTGCCAAGACGAAAAAGTCCTGTTTGCGAGAATACGTCTGACCGGTGACAGCGAAGCTCGCTGCGAAACCCATTCGCTCTGTGACGAGTCGATCGAGCTGCCGCACACGCTCGTGCTCGCCGTCGAACAGCGCCAGGAAAGATGCCTGGGTTCCGGTGGTTCCTTTCACACCCCTGAACTTGATCTCATTCAGCATGCGCTCGACCTGGTGTGCGTCCATCAGGAAATCCTGAATCCATAGACATGCTCGCTTGCCCACGGTTGTGGGTTGTGCCGGCTGGAAATGCGTGTAGGAGAGGGTCGGCAGCTCGCGGTATCGCTCCGCAAACTGGGCGAGCTCTCCAATACAAAGCCAGAGCATACGATGGAGCAACGTCAGTCCGCGTCTTTGCTGTAGAAGCTCAGAATTGTCGGTGACATAGCACGACGTAGCCCCTAGGTGGATAATGGGTCGCGCGACCGGTACCTGATCACCAAGCGCGTGGACGTGGGCCATAACGTCGTGGCGAAGCTTTGCCTCATAAGCGGCGGCTGCCTCAAGTGGAATCGGAAAATCATCTTCTGCGGCTTTGCGCAGGGCCTCAACCTGTTCGGAGGTTATCTGAAGACCCAGGGAGCGCTCACAGTCAGCGAGGACGTACCACAGTTTTCGCCACAGGCGAAAGCGGTACACGTCCGAAAAGGTCTCGCGCATTGCGGCTGAAGCATATCGCGTGGAGAGTGGGGATACATATGTTGGGCCAGTTGCGTTAAACTGAGACTTTTGCGCTTCGTTCGCCGACATGACGCTATGAACACAGCGTTGCAGCGCTACCGATCGGAAAGCTGCCCCTTTTCTGCGCCTCGCGACAATTTCTCCCCGATGACTACTTTTTCGTAGACTTGTAAAACTCGGAGCAGCGGAAAACGCAAAAGCGAGCGTCAGCATCACCCGATAGCGACGTGTTGCTCGCGTTGTACGCAGGTTACGCGTCACTCGTTGAACGCGAGTCTGTGGCAGCGCAACGAGTTCGGGGTCGAGGCGACCGCTAGCGTCTATGGAGTGCGTTCCTCGCGGCAGGTAGCTGTGGTATGAACAATGGTGACGGATACAGCTCCGAGCGTTGCCACTTCACCTGGCGTGTATACCAGCTTTATTTTTAGAACCTCATGGAAACGCGCCCAGTCATAGGCGTATGCAAGGCGTGCATGAGCGCCCGGACGGCAAACACTAGCGCGCAACGCTTTATATACCAAATTTCGTGCTAATTGTTGCGAGTCGCGGTAGTATAGCTCAGTCGGTTAGAGCGTGCGGCTGTTAAGACAGTAGAAACCGCAAGGTCGAGAGTTCAAGCCTCTCTACTACCGTCAGCTTTTTTCCTCCGCCAAAGTTCGAGAATCTTGCGTGAAATATATAAGCTGCAGAATTTCGACGTCAAAAGAAAGCCTTCCCTACATGAAGCCGCCCTTCGCTGAGCGATAGTGTATGCGCTGCCCGCTAACGTCGTGGATGTTCTACCACAGAGACCACGCTCTCAACAAAGAGGTCGTGCACGAGCACCATGTCGTCACGACTGGCGACGAGAACGTGAGTGCGAGTCCAAGACAGCAGGCTTCGTGCGCCACTACAGCGCATACGACCGGTGCACTTGGGCTGTTGAGGTCGCGTTGTGCTCGCCCGGTCTCCTGACTCTGGACTTGTTTGACCTCAGCTTTTGACGGGGCGCGACGGTTTTCGGCTGCAGAACCTGGAAACCCCCTCAACCGTCCGACAGATTCATGGGTTTTTCAATTGGACAAGACGCGCTTCGGGGCCACGTGCGCAAGAGACAAAAGCGCTTGCCTCGCATATCATTACTGCAAAGCTACCGGATGCAGCAGAGGTATGTGCATGCTTTATCGTTACAGGCTGCAGTCCGTAATATGCTTCTCGCGTTTCAAGCATTCAATGGAGTTGCCCCATAGAACGCCTAAACCTCCCCGTCACTGCAGCGGATACGACATTGCTGGTATATAGACGACACCTGGTTAGTGCACCGTCGGCTTCTGTGAGACCTGCATGCCTCGGGCCTCCGAGTGGCAAGCGCTTCCACGCAGAACGTTCAGTGCCTGCGCTGGGCAGTGCATGAAAAAGCGGGGCGATTGCTCTTGAACTTCCCGCATTGTGTCACGCTTCGGGTTGCTTTCACGTCGCTCCGGGAAAACGATTCCCATGTGACAACAGTTATCGCTCATGCGGTGTACAGAACGAATTTCATCGAATGACTTGTGTTTGCATCTATGAGCTACCGCTGCTCAAGCCGCGGACCAGTGCGCTAGTCGCAGGCATGTGTCGCTCACACCGGATCCGTGTCTGTCACGATCGATATGGACGAGTCCGGATTCCTGCCATACAAAAAGAATCTTGGTAAACGAACCACGACTCTAGATGGCATGGTATCCGCTCATGACTTGCCACTTTTACTGCGCATGCATCTGTAGCGCATACGTCGTTCCCCAGCTACCTGTGTTTGGCGAGGTCCCGCGGCAAGCTAGAATATCGTTCAGTGACCAGCAGGTTCCGAGAGGGCACGGGCCGCCTGCTGCCGGTCGTTGTGGCCTCGGTCTGAGCTCGGAATCCTTCCGTCGACAAAGAGAACGGACGCGCATGCGGCTCGAAAGACCCTCCATGACAAGCGCCTGGGATGCAACATGTTTCCATGGTATGAGGAACCTGCAAGTCACAGCGCTTCTTGAGAGTGGCGACATACAAGGACGAACCCCCATTCGCAGTTCAAAAAAGCTATTGCATGGTTTACGTTCTCAAAGAATATTCACATACTCGCGAAGCATCGCGGTCAAACTTGGATGACGCAACTTTCGCAGAGCTCGTGACTCAATCAGGCGAATCGTGTGAACTGGTAACTTGAACCTTGCACTGAGTTCCTCCGCGGAGTGCGGACGTTCGTCATCCGAAATGCCGTACCTCAAACGAAGAATCTCGCGTTCCTGGAACGGAAGGGTGCGCAACACGCACTCGACATCTTCACGCATACAGCTCCGCTCCAGAGCCTCCTCGGGTGTCTCCTCTGTGGCCTCTATGACGCTGCCAATGGAGAGCGGCGCCTCTCCCTGCTGTGCCTTGTAGAGACTCTGGGCCTCAGTGCTTGGTGGCCCCTCTAGACTAAGGGTCTGCGTTTCCCAGGCGTGTTGCGTGATCTTCTTCAGACGTTTCAGTGTCATATTGCATGCCTCAGCGACTTCCTCGTCCGTTGGTGGTCTCTTCAAAACGTGTTGCAAGCGGGCCCTCGTCCGATAAATCTGTCGCAATGATTCAGTCACATGATTGGGTAAGCGGATCGTGCGTGAGTGCTCAGACACACACCGCTGGATTGCCTGCCTGATCCACCAAGTCGCGTAGGTTGAGAACTTGAAACCTTTGGAGGGATCGAACTTCTCCGCCGCGCGGATGAGGCCAATGGCTCCCTCCTGAATGAGATCGCCGAGAAAAATGTTATGCTGCCTCTGAAGTCGCACTCGTTCATGAGCGGGCACCTCTATTCCGCTCTTCGTCTTGGACCGCCAGGCAGAGCGCACTACTGCCCGAGACTTGTAACGATTGGCTATTGCTAGAACTAAACGCAAGTTTGCTGCGACAAGACGTTCACGCGCCCTCCGTCCACGTTCCACCCGCTGCTGGATTTCCTCTTCGGGCGCATCAACTGCAGCCGCCCACTCTGCGTTTGTAGGCTCACGCCCCAGGGTGTTCCGGAGCTCGTCACGTTGTTTCAACAGCGCGCAGTAGTCCTGCGTGGCTCGCGACAAACGCGCAACCTCCTCGTCAGAGATGCGGTCCAACTTACAGATCTCTCGGACATAGGCCGTGGCTGCACAGGTCGTCGTGTGATTCGTTCGACGTCGAGGCTTCTTCGCCGCGCTCGTCGGCTCCTCTAGCTCGTCAACTTCGACCTTCTCAAGATCTTCTTCTTGAGCAAGCACCTTGTTCTCGTCCTTGATAACAGGAACATTTGGCACCGAAACCAACGTCGACAACGAGCGCAGCGACTCCGGCAAGGACCCCAGCGGGGTAACCTTCATGTGCGGGGTCATCACTGCGTGGCCCCGCGCAACCCGCGAAACGGGACAGACCCGCGCAGCAACCTGCCGCTTAAGACTCGAGACGCGTGCCCAACTGAGAAACATAGAGAGGGATACAAAGCAGTCTCCTCGTGAAACGAGGTGTCAGCTGCGTAACCAGGAAGAAACAGGTCCTGCTTGAGCACAGGTCACCGCAACGAGAGTACAAAGAACGTTGGCTGAAACCCGCCGCGTGTAGGGCGTGTGCTCGCCCCCGATCTCAACGACGGCGGGGCAACGCAGTGACCTCAGGGCGCGCGCGCGCACGCCCCAGGGCGTGGCTGGAGAGCTCGACCGCGGGTGTGGACCCCCGCCGGGGTGCACGCGCCCGAATCCCAGATCAGGGCGGTTGGTTAAGCGGGTGCACGCTCGGCGCAGCGCGTCGGGATGCTGCCGTCTGAGTCTTAAAACTGGAATTTATTGGATATTTTGGTCGTGCGTCGGCTTCAGCAGGCGCCGGCGGCCGCGGCACACCTCAACCATCCCAGATACGGCATCGTGAGCGCGCGTCCGATAAAGGTGGAATCCTGAGATGTTCGCTTTGTTCTTGGCTTGCGATTTACGTTACGAACGATTCCCAGAGGTACAGCGCCAGCATTCGGATCGCAGCAATAGGGGATGACGGATTCATACGTAGTTTCAGGATGATCGGTCATCGTTTCGAAATGGCTCTTTCGAATCTCTTTCAGAGGGAACACGCAACGATACCACACTGAGGATGATCCTCGATGCCCTCGAACAACGGCTCCTAAAATAACCGATCTCATCATCCAATGCATACGTACAAGCCTCCACGCCTCTCTTTTCCTCAGGTGCAGCACGATCGAATCACCCATGCCTCAAGGTATCGATCCGTAGGTTATGAGCGCAATCGTAGGCGCACCAATTTGGACTGCTGCATTACCATGGGGAAACAGTATTCGACATCGCTTCCCTAGGGCTGGCCTGTGACCTCGTTGCGGACGTTCGCTGAATTTGGCACGTTCAATAGTCGATTCGATTCGATTCGATTCGAATCGAATGACAAATCCGGCTCCATCTGCGGCTATCGACGAAACGGCAATCGACTGCAGCACGGGAGGTGCCACGGGGTATGGGCTGCGGGGCTCCCGTGCCTTGCGTTTGCATGGAAATGATCATTGGGTCGGTCTCGGATCGTCCGTTGCGTTGGCATCCAGCGGATACTGCGTCACTGCGGTGCACGGAAAGCGGGTGCCTGGGTCGATATGTACGGACCTGATCTCCAGCCTGGATTTTCATCCTGGTACGTGTTTCTTCCTGATGAACATCGCGTGCCGCAGACCCTCGTCTCGTCGCGAAACAGCGAAGAACAGAGGCTGAATACGATAGAGAAGAAGAAGACAAGCGAAGCGTAGATCGCAACGACCGCTTGTGCTTGCAATGGATGCACAGCAGCTGGAAGCCGCGTCATTGCGTCGATAACGCTGCTATCAACAATCCTTCGACTGCTCAAGATGGAGTTGGTGCAAAAAGGGAGACCAGCAGATTGAAAGCCGGAGATTCGAGCGAGGAAAAGGACGGAGTTCCAGATAAAGCACGCAAATGCTTGTGTTGATCACTGAAAAAGAAAGCGACTCACACCCTATAGTCTCCATCCGTTTTTAGGGAGTTGATCGGTTCGGTTTTCTGTCTGACATGGGTGCAAAACCCCAAATATGTGACCTATGCGTTTTGAAAAGCCGACATACTTCACGGCCTCCTGCGGTGTGCAACTGCAGCTGCAGCACCTGCGGCTCGGTATCGCAAGCGGCATTCTACTCAGAGGCCGCCATGTAACGCGTCGCGGTGCGTCCAGCCGGTGGGCGGTGTCCTGGCTGAGTCGCAGCGCCGGGCGTAGCTGACGTCGAGTGCGAGCCTGGTGGTAGCCAGCGACTTCCTCCGTACCAGCACGAGGCACTGACAGGTCATGTTCGTGGCACTCGGACCTGCCAAACTAGGCCTTGACCGGCGGCTTGGAGCCCCTCGAGTTTCAAACCGGTTGAGGACGTTAAGGCTGTCGTTCGCGGAACGCGTGGAGCGCAGCTTGCGGAGAAAGTTTCCTGCCGACTCGGTCGCCCGTGTAATCCAAGCTTGGCGACAAATTCAAAGAGGCGAGATGCTTCGCGAGGATCAGAGGGAGGCACATAGCTATATTCGAGGACTTCGCACTGCCAGGTTTTTTGATAACGCCGAGTTTCCCTGGGCGGCTGCTCTCGAGAGGAACTGGGAGACCATCCGCGACGAACTGCGGCACTGGGAAACGCGACGCCAGGAGCTCGAGGCGCTTGGCTCGCAAGTTTGGGTTACTGCAGCTCGAGCGGAGGCCGTTGCCTATGGCCCGGACTGGCGCACCCTGGTTCTGCAGGATAGACGCTGGCATGACGACAACTGCAAGCTCTTCACCAAAACGACAAGAATTATTCGGGATTGCGGTGTGCCGTCAGTCGAGGCTTTTTTTGCCAGGCAAGCACCCCAGAGCGGCATCAAGCTTCATTCTGACGGATGCAACTTTATTTTGACAGCGCATTTGGCACTTCAGGCACCGCCACGACAGTCATGGATTGCAGTTGGCGGCGAGCGCCGTTTCTGGGAAGACGGGAAGGTGCTCATTTTCGATACCAGCTATCTCCATGAAACATATAACGAGAGTCAAGACTCTGATCGGTACGTTCTTTTGTTGCGTTTCTGGCATCCTGAAACAACTAGAGTAGAGCGCGAGGCCTTGCAGTACATTTTTGACGTGGTCGACAACCCGTCGTGGGTCGATCGAGACCTGAATGATCTGGGAGCAGGTCTCGATTCCTCGCTCGTAGAAGATTGGATACAGCGTCCGAATAGGAAGGCGCGGCGTGGCACCGGCGGCAAAGACCGCAAGGACCGCACGTTAAATCCGCCCAGGGGTTTCGGTCGCTCGGAATGATGATGCCTTGGCTTCTCCGAGGCTGTGCCATTCAAGCGCTTGCGCGTTCGCGATCGACATTGGGTGCTCTTAGAATTTTCCAAGACATATTGTTTCTGAACTTGGCGTGCACAGAGGGTCAGCCTGGTGATTTCCAAACGTAACGTGGTTTCGCACGGGGAGTACTGCTCGACGAGCACGTCCCGCGAGGACTAGCGAGACACGCGACGACGCCAAAGGTGTATTACCGCTCCCAGTCTGGATTGCTTTTCGTGGATAGCCCAGAGCTTTACCCGGGAGCAAAGGACAACAAAAGAGCAGCGTACATGCCTGTATTAGCATCACTCGATCATGTGGCACAGGAGCCGGTTCAACTGCTAGCAACATGCGTTCACTCAAGGAAACATTCGACTGTAAACGAAAGCAGCAAGCTGTTTTGAGTCTCTTCTCGAATGCGGCAACATGGCGCTTAGCATTCAGTATTCCCTTTTCCAGGATGTCGAGCTATGGTTTCAGCGTCTGTGCATCTTGTGTTGCATATTAGCTGACATCGATGCGAGTCGTAAGAGCAAGTTGCAGAACAGCTACAAGCTCTGTTCACGAACAGGTCCATGTGTGGCGCTGGGCAAGCTCATTCGCGGGATTTTGATCAGCACTAGAGCGACAGCGATCTCAGGGTTGTGCAGTACATCACTTTCGCATGATCGACTTGATTGAATGTCAGCTTCGAGCGGCACGTTTTCAGTAATGGCTTCCAAGGGCATCTTCTGGAGCCCGGCTTCAGTGCATGATGCGCCACCTTTTCACTCTCGTGTGCAGGGCGTGCTGTGGGAAAATACATTGTACGGAAATCGATTGATTTGCGATGTAATCATGGCTCCGTGATGGTTCCAGCTGGCACCACCAGCTCATTCCGCAATACCCGCGTCCGATAAAGGTGGAATCCTGAGATGTTCGCTTTGCTCTTGGCTTGCGATTTACGTTACGAACGATTCCCAGAGGTACAGCGCCAGCATTCGGATCGCAGCAATAGGGGATGACGGATTCATACGTAGTTTCAGGATGATCGGTCATCGTTTCGAAATGGCTCTTTCGAATCTCTTTCAGAGGGAACACGCAACGATACCACACTGAGGATGATCCTCGATGACCTCGAATAACGGCTCCTAAAATAACCGATCTCATCATCCAATGCATACGTACAAGCCTCCACGCCTCTCTTTTCCTCAGGTGCAGCACGATCGAATCACCCATGCCTCAAGGTATCGATCCGTAGGTTATGAGCGCAATCGTAGGCGCACCAATTTGGACTGCTGCATTGCCATGGGGAAACAGTATTCGACATCGCTTCCCTAGGGCTGGCCTGCGACCTCGTTGCGGACGTTCGCTGAATTTGGCACGTTCAATAGTCGATTCGATTCGATTCGATTCGAATGACAAATCCGGCTCCATCTGCGGCTATCGACGAAACGGCAATCGACTGCAGCACGGGAGGTGCCACGGGGTATGCGCTGCGGGGCTCCCGTGCCTTGCGTTTGCATGGAAATGATCATTGGGTCGGTCTCGGATCGTCCGTTGCGTTGGCATCCAGCGGATACTGCGTCACTGCGGTGCACGGAAAGCGGGTGCCTGGGTCGATATGTACGGACCTGATCTCCAGCCTGGATTTTCATCCTGGTACGTGTTTCTTCCTAATGAACATCGCGTGCCGCAGACCCTCGTCTCGTCGCGAAACAGCGAAGTACAGAGGCTGAAGACGATAGAGAAGAAGAAGACAAGCGAAGCGTAGATCGCAACGACCGCTTGTGCTTGCAATGGATGCACAGCAGCTGGAAGCCGCGTCATTTCGTCGATAACGCTGCTATCAACAATCCTTCGACTGCTCAAGATGGAGTTGGAGCGAAAAGAGAGACTTGCGTATCAAGAGCCGGCGATAAGTCGTAGGAGAAAGATGCATTCGCAGGAAAACCAGCAAACGCTGGTCTTCATAGCGCTTGGAGTAGACCGAAACTTGTGAATATATGCTCCCGCTCGAAACGCGGACCTGGTTCTTTTTTATTTTGGAGTGGGTGTAGAACCATGTCAAGATAAGAGTATCTGCGATCAAGTCACGCTGGCGCTCGCTCTTCGATATTCGCAGGCGGAGGCCTTGGCGGCTGCTATCAGAATGCCATCCATAACCGGGTCGAGCTCCGTTTTCCCTGTTTCCGAGCATTTCCGCCTATTGTAACACTTTAAAGTCAGTTGATCATCTGAGGCACGAGTTGTCAAACCATTGGTTCAAAGATCAGCCCCGACCGAAGCGGGCCTGCTCAGCATCTCTGGCAGGCTCATAGCCCTTTGGGCGCTCCGGTAGCCGCTCGAGATGTAGAGATTCAGCACCAAGTCACCGGGACGTCGTTCAGCGCATATTCTGGTGCCCCGAACAGCGGTTTTTGCCGCGTGATATCGCGGAAACGAGGCAAAACTTCCCGAATGCGCAAGCGGGAATCGCAACCTGCTAAAGACCGAAGTTACTCACCAGGTGTGATAACATTCCCCGCAAATCCAATATCAAGTTCTATGCTCGAATAAAGGCCTCATCGATCCAGCAAGCCACCAGAACCGAGCGCTACTGGTGGTGCACCCTGCGACGTCGGATGCGTCGCCGCCGCGGTACCATTACCGAGATGGAACCGCGTTGCAGTCCGTAATCGGTCATCGGTTCGAGGTCGTCTAGCCAGCGATTGCATAGTGTCTGTTCACGGTTTAGAGTTACGACGATTCGTTGACGAGGCGCGCAGCCCATGTTGCCGCTTCTGTGCATGCATCGACCCAGCTCAAGATTGACTCCGGGGACACCCTGCATAGACTCGGAAGGCGAAAATTCATACCTACGCTTTGGAGACGAATGCACAGTCGGAGACAATTCGAGACAGGCACGCGCACTCTCCGCCGCATGAAAGCTACCAAGCGGCTCGCTTGTGTCCGAGCCTAACGTCGTGCGAGAAGACGGTGCAGTGTACCTGGCCAACACCACGCCATCATTTCAGCTATGGGTAGCTCGCTTTAAATCTGCATGATTTGGGCATCGTATACGCCACCAGTCTCGAGCAGTACACACCAGGGATGATAGAGCGCCTCATGATCTGACAGAATGATTAGCAACATCGCGGATGCACGCTGCAGAAGACCATGCGATCGACAGCTGCGAGGCCGTCCTCGGTACGCATCGATTGTGCACCGACACGCTGCCCAGACGCACGGAATCGCGGTAGCCCAGCAACGTGCATCTTCAAACTATATCTTTCTGAACTTTATGGTTAAAATATCCAACAATATACCCCAAATGCTCGCGGACAGCGTTCGCAGAGGCAATACCCGATGAACAGAAATATCACTAAAATATACTTTCCTCCACCTTATGGGAAAGAGTGTACCAACATTCCGACTCGATATGCGCGCGGACAGCGTCCCCCGGAGGCGATTCCCGATGAACAGGTACATCACAAAAATATACATTCCAGAACTTTATGGAAAAGTATACCCAGAATTGGACTCCAAATGCGCGCGCAATCGATCCAGCGGGCCAATGCTGCGTGCTGAGCAAGCAGACGCGTACGCGTCGCCAGAAGCGCCCCGTGCCTGCCCGCGATCCAGCGGCTGCCAGCAGCAGCTCCAGCACCGAAACGTAAATCGCGCGCCTCCACACGCGCCAGTAGAGGCAGGTGTAGCCATCGGCGATGAGCCGGCGCGCGCTGTTCAGATGCCGCGCTCCAGCACTAGCCGGCAGCAAACGCGCTTGCAACGACAACAAGTATGCGAATATGGTCAATGCGCGATCATGGCTGCTGGCCCCCCACGGGGAACAACACGGAGCCGGCGGTTGCGCGCTAGACGTGACACGGGAACGCAGCGCCTCTGTCGTCGGCGGTGTGTTTGGAATTGGTGTTCGTGAACTTTGGCAAGTTGACGGCTTGAAAGAGAGCGTTGGGCTGCATGGGGCTTCAGCTGGAACACACTGGGAGACGTTTGCGAGGTGACTCAGCACGTCAGTCGAAACGCTCGCGCTCGGAGTCGTCCTCCGGAACCGATGCGCTCAGTGAAGCTAGTTCGTGGTTGCGCGATGAGAGCAGCGGGCTCTATCCTGAAGCAGAGGGTGTTCGTCGACAACCGAGGCGCAGTGCGCGGGCTAGCCGCTCGATGCGTGTTGAGTCTAGCGCTTCGGAGCAGAGTGATGAGGCTCTGTACCTGAGTGATTCGTCGACGAGCTCGCAGTCTTCGACTGGAGCCGATAGCGAAGCGTGCGTGCCGCGAGCAAAGCGTCGTCGTGAAGCGCGAGGCTCGGAGGCAACCCGCTCCAGCCGAGGGGAGGTTGAAGAGGTTTCCGATGCACACACTCCGAGAACACCCGGCGATCAGGGTGCTTCGTTGGACTCGTACCCAATGGAGCGCATCCTTGCGCGGCGTGTACGCCATATGACCCTGGAAGAGGCGGCTGAGATGAACTCGAGTTTGTCACCAGCGTCGAAAGTCTCTGCTGGCGCCGAAGAGCGTTCGCCTGCAGAGGGCTCGGGCGACCGCGGTCGTCTGCGTACCCCCATGGTAGAGGAGTACCTGATCAAGTTTAGGGGACTCTCCTATATACATTGCCAGTGGGTCCGGGAGGATTTTATTCTGGCGCAGCCCAGTGGGAAGCAGCGTCTCCAGCGGTTTCTGAGCAAAGAACAACAAGAGGCTGCATACCGAGGTGTCCGAGGTGTCCTGGGATCGGCCTCCGATGCTGAGGATCACGATGAGGAGGACGAAGCAATTCCCGAAGACTTCGTCACGGTGGATCGAATCATAGCCGAACACGTGGGCCCCGACGGCACACGGCAGTTCCTCGTCAAGTGGTGCTCGCTCGGCTACGATGAGTGTACCTGGGAATACGAGCACGAAGTCCAGGACGATCTCAAAATCAAGGAATTTTACGAGCGGAATACGCTGCCACCGGAAAGCGAGCGAAAACGGCCACCACGGCCAAACCCAGCAAGCTTCGTGAGGCTCTCGAATCCATCCTTTAAAAATGGAGGCGAGCTACGCGAGTACCAGCTCGAGGGCCTCAACTGGCTGGTGCATTGCTGGTTCAAACGTCAGGGGTCCATTCTGGCCGATGAAATGGGCCTGGGCAAGACCATTCAAGCTGTATCATTCCTAGACTATCTCTACAGGGAACAGCACCTTCGGGGTCCTTTCCTGGTTGTCGCGCCTCTATCCACATTGGGACATTGGAAGCGAGAGTTTGAAACCTGGACTCACATGAATGCAATCGTCTTCCACGGCAACGTCAGAGCGCGTGATGTAATTCTGCAGTATGAATGGACCTATGCGGGCATGAGCGTCAGATCAGGCCTTTTTAAGTGGCATGTTCTCATTACGACGTATGAGATTATCTTGCAAGAAGCTAATCGCCTGCGGGGAATACCCTGGGCTGTCATCGTCGTGGACGAAGCGCACCGACTGAAGAACCGACAGTCCAAGCTGTTCGACGAGCTGCTTGGCTTCCGTTCCGAACATCGGGTACTGCTCACCGGAACGCCGCTCCAGAACAATTCGCTGGAGCTCTTCTCGCTGCTCCATTTTCTAGAGCCAGCAAAATTCCCGAACGAGAAAGAGTTCCAACAAGCCTACGGAGATATTCGTGACGCCGAGGCTGTCGAGAACCTGAAAGCGTTACTGCGACCGTATCTCCTGCGCCGGATGAAGGAGGATGTTGAGAAAGCGATACCGCCCAAGGAAGAGACGCTCATAAGTGTCGAGTTAACTCGAATTCAAAAGCAGTGGTATCGAGCGCTGTACGAGCAGAACTTTGCTTTCCTCGAACAAGGCGGCAAGCGCAATAATGTTGGTAATCTGCGCAACATTGTGATGGAGCTTCGCAAGTGTTGCAACCATCCGTATCTCATTCGTGGTGTCGAGGAGATCGAAACACAATCACTCGCTGCCTTAGGTGAAGATGCACTGATGCGACACTTGGTGGAAGCATCTGGGAAGCTGGTGCTTGTCGACAAGTTGCTGCCTGTACTGCGCGAAAAAGGGCATCGCGTGCTTATCTTCTCGCAAATGATTCGCGTTTTGGATATACTGGAGGACTATCTCCACTGGCGGGGATATAAGTTTGAACGACTGGATGGCCGGGTCCGCGGAAACGATCGCCAGCAGTCCATTGATCGCTTCCAAAAGGACCCGGAAAATTTCGTGTTCCTGCTCTGCACTCGTGCTGGTGGACAGGGCATCAATCTAACCGTTGCCGACACTGTGATTATTTTTGATAGTGACTGGAATCCGCAAAATGATGTACAAGCACAGGCGCGCTGTCATCGTATCGGGCAAGAACGCGACGTGAAAGTATATCGCCTCATTACGCGCGGCACGTACGAGGAAGAGATGTTCGATCGAGCGAGCAAAAAGCTCGGACTCGACCAAGCAGTGCTGCAGAACATGGGTGTCGACCAGGGCGGCAGCGGCAACATGCTCTCCACCATGGGCCGCGATGATATCAATCGCCTCTTACGACGTGGTGCCTATGATGTATTTAACGAAGACGACTCGGCAGCTGACGCATTCACTGCTGAAAATATAGAGAATATCATGGCGCGACGTACCAAGACGATCAAGACTGGTGGCGCAGGCGACGTTGGACCGTCAGCGTTTTCCAAGGCAACTTTCACGGCGGATGCTGATGGGATGTTTGGCGATGAAACTTGGCTGAATGACAAAGAATTCTGGAAGAAACTGATGCCACTAGCGGCCTCTGCACCGAACCCCGATATCATCTATGAACCGCGTCGCCGGCGACAAGTTCAGCGCTTCCAGCCGGGCGAAAACTCTGATGAGGAGAGCGGCGAACACGAGTCCGACAGCGATGAAGCCGACTTGTCCGAGGACAAACTCGGACCCGATGGTCGGAAACTCTGGAACAAGTCCGAGCGACATCGATTTCATCGGGCGATGCTCACTTATGGCTACGGAGAGTGGGAACGGATTGCCCAGGCCATGGCCAGGGCCCAAAAAAGTGCCAATCAACGGTCTGTGTTTGAGGTTCAACGCGCTGCTCGCAGCTGGTTGCGGCTACTTGCGGAGCACACTGCTGCCGCGCTGGTTGCTGGCGATGCCGCGGATGCCACGCAACAGGAGCGTCTCGCCCAGGAGCGCCTCGTGAAGCTTTGCAACGAGAAGCGCGTGCTGCAAGCTGCCTTTGAACCCTGGATCGATGAGAACACGCAACAACCTGTCGATGAATCGTTCACTGAACCAGTCTTCACTGAAGATAGCTACCTCGATGCAATGGAACGGAACGGGTACAACTGGATTGAACGTCTCGAATGCATCGAAGACATCAAAGATCTGGTTCGAAACGGTGACGTTGACGGTGAGATTCCCTCGATCACCGCCAGTGGCATCTATGTGATGCCCGACTGGTGGGACGCCGAGTTCGATCGAGCCCTGATTCTGGGCACCCACAGGCACGGGTACGGCCAGTACGATGATATGAGGCGGGATCCGGATCTGCACTTTTTCGGACGACTGGCGCCTTTGCCGCAGCCGGAGCCTGGCAATGGGAACGCAGCCGAGGACGGCGACGCGAGGCTCGCCGAATGGACCGCGCTGGACCAAAGCTACCGTGAAAAGGCCGCGTCTTTGGGACTCGACGCGGAACAGCTACGAGCACGCGAGATGCCGACCCTACATATACTGAATACGCGACTGAAGAAGCTGCTTAAGGCATTCCAGCGCCTACGACGGCGACAAGATCGTCGACGGAGCCAACTGGAACAGGCCGAAGAACGTGCGCGTGCTCGTGAGGAGCAACAGTTAGCACGCCGACGACAACGCGAGGCGTTTGAACGCGAACGATCGGCTCGCTTTGAGGTTCAGGCACAACGCTGGTCCAAGCGTGAAAAGCACGACTTTGGACGTCTTCTTGGACGTCTCGGCGGCGTGGTCTATGACGCGGATGGGCGTATTGACTGGTCCGTTTACAAGGAGCGCTGCCAGCTTTCACGCAAGTTCGACTACAACCTCGAGCGCATGTACATTGAGATGTTGGCCATGGCTCGGGAGAGTTTTCGACGTACCGGTGACGATGCGCTCGCAAAGGCCCTCGATGAACCCATCGAGTATGCGCTGCAGTGGCGGGCCAGTCAGCATGAGTCGCGCCTCGCGGAGATGCAGCGACTGAGCCGCGAGAGCAGCGACGCTGCCACTCGATTAGCTGCGCTCGAGGAGTGCCTTCGAGCGCCCCAACTGGAAGGTTTTCCACCGACTGAACTCGAGGAATTGCGCACCCTGTTTATTCTCTCTCGCCGTTTCGTAGAACGCGTGCGTGTCTTGCACTTTATCCGCGTCGTCGCTGCACCACTGCTACAAAACCCGGAACTCTGTTCACATCTGATCGAGAACATACCGCCGCCTCGGTCGGACACACTGCCCTCCTGGTGGCGTGTCGCTGAGGGCCACGACTTGGCGCTCCTGCGCGGCGTCATTCGCTACGGCTTCGACACCGCCCCGCTAGCACTGGACCCGTCGCTCCCGTTTCTGCCGATATGCTCGGATTTGGCGCAGCGAGCGAGCACCGCTGAACGTGCCCCCGAAGACGGTGACCTCAGCACCGCAGAAACAGAAACACGATCCACAAACAACGAAAACGACATCGTTGCTATGTTTGCCAAACACCGCGGTGTCTTTCTGCGTGCACGCATCGCCGCTGAGGTGCTCGTTTACGGACGTATCGAGCGCGTGCATGCAAGCGCATCGTCGGGATCCGTGAAGCCCGATGCCCTGCCCCCGCAGGTGCCACCGCTGCCGATGGACACGTCATCGATGATCACGCATGCAGCGGGCACGCTTGGCAGCTTACGTGTCTATGCGACGGCCTCGGGGGAGCCGATCTCCAGCGAGGGTGGCGATGATTTCGAGCCTGTTCCCCTGGAGCTCGTTACCGTGGATATGTTGCAGACATTCAAGCAGTTGAAGAAGCGAGCATCTGGGGTCGTCGATGTATCGAGTTTACCAGAACAAGTAGTGAGCCTTGGTCGCTTGCTCCAGAGACAAATGATCCGCGAAGAGACCATGTCAGGGAGCACGGGGCTTGAGCACCGATCTTCTGCTCCTGCTGCTGCTGCTGCTGCTGCTGCGTCGCTGGACATGGTGACAGCGTCGGCTGGATCGAGTGGGAAAAACGCCTCGTTGGTGCCGAGCCTCGCCACGGCAACTGCGGAGCGTTGCGGGCATACCGGTGACACGGAGACGAATCCCGTGCCTGTGGCGACGGGTCAGCGTGCGGTTGTGCCTGCAGCGGCGGCAGCGGGATCGACAGGTCACGGATCGGCGAGTCAGCCGCAGGTACGCAGGTCGCAGCTGCACAAAGTCGCTCGCGATGAACACGGGAACGTTCGGTTGCCGATCCAGATCGGGGTGGTCCTACGGATCGAATCCCTCGGGCACATTGATCCACGAGAGAGTTTCCATAACGAGCGAGCGATCTACCCAGTCGGGTATCGATCGGTGCGCACGTACACGAGTTGCGTCGATGTGAATCGCTCAACACAGTATGTATCGGAAATTCTGGATCGAGATGGACATCCGTGGTTCCGGGTCACTTGTGCGGACATGCCGGAGGAGCCGTTCGAGGACAAGTCGCCGAGCGGATGTTGGTCTCAGATCATGCGAATCATTCGAGAGCGAACCCCGTTGGATAGACGACGCGTTCATGCCACGGTTAGCGGTCCAGAGTATTTCGGACTGACACAGCCGATCGTCGAAGAGCTTTTGCAGTCCCTTCCAGGGGCCGCACAACTCAAGAACTACAATTTTAAGCGGTTTCTTTCTCCGGAAAAGGCGGAATCTGAGGAATCGCTCCATCCCCTGGGCGCAGCGACGGATTCACCGGCAGCGGGTACAGCGCAAGAGCAGTTGCGAGCGGTTGAGCGCGCGAAGACCATGGCAGATCCGGTTCGTATCAGACTCTGCCTAGAGCCGATGGAAACAAACCCCGACTGATGGATGGAGATGAGCGGTTTAGAAGCATCGGATCGCAGAGGATATGGTCCGGAATCAGGATTTTGGTTGAGGCTTTGAGCACTGCGCTGCACGAGTACGGTGTTGCGACAAAGCGTGCACCCTCGTGCATAGCGAGCATTCATGAATCTCAGGTTGCGGCCGTGTGCATCGCCAGCGTCTTTCGCTCCAGACGCAGACAGGTGGAGCACCACCAGCACCACCGCTACCGCTGCGTGAATCACCAGCACCGGCACCAGCAGTGCCTGTCATCATGATCGTGAACGAGTTGCAAACCGTGCGGCAATCATGCAGCATGGATACCCATGCGGACAACGCTTTGTTCTGCGCATGATCGCTCCAAAGTTGCTTTTTATGATGGCGCCCCAGTCGACAAACACAGAAACGCGCACGGCCCAGGTTGTCCATGTCATGCGCAAATCACCCTGCAAATGGTCTGCGCTTACCTCTTCGTCAGGTCCACGTTCCACGAAACCTTAAACGCTTGCTTTTACGCGCAAGGCATGAGAAACATCAAAATCCGGTTCGATGGGACGCTTCGGGATCAGGGCAGCATCCAAAGCGTCAACAGCGCCAGTTTCGATCCGATGGAAAGCGTGTTTCCCGAGGAACTTTCACCTGAAGACAGCCTGTATGAAGCAAAGCGCAAGAAAGGCCGCCAAGTGTTATATTTTCCGGTACAACGATTGAATTTTGCGACGCTATCCTGACTGGTGCTAGTCGTCCGCTGACCGAGTATTTACGCCATGAACTCCCAAACGATCACGTATGTCTTGAACGCTCACAACGTTGCAGTGGGTTGCAAACTACTGGGAGCCGCCCTGGAAGCACGCGCCTTTCGTAGACGTCCCGCAGGTCGTTAGAGGTACACAGGAACCGCACGCGGTTGGTGCTGTCCAGCCTGACGGCAAAGAACCCCGGATACCTGCGGTATTCGTGCGTGATGGGCAACAACGCCACCGTTTCAGGTAAACATGCTCACTCCGGCTGCTCTGCGTGACAGCAGACAGACTCGAAAGAACAGCTCACTGCACTGCGGCATCTGACGCCTTACCGGCGCTCGCGGTAACGCGGAGTTTGACAAGTTCGACATAGTGGCGTACTAGAGCATTCAGGCCACAGTCCGCTTGATTGGAAACTCAACCTTTCCAAGCAAGCGGGACGTTCAACCACCGTATACGAACGAAAAGCGTTTCGAGCCCCAGGTCTGTGGCAGCACGTTGCGGTTGGTGCAGGTCGGCGTGACCGTCGCCCGTGCCGTCGGAACGCAAAACAGGTGGAGCTGCTGCTGCTGCTGCTGCTGCTGCCGCTACTGCTGCCGTTGTCAGTTCGAAGATGGTGTACGGCACGGCGTGCCGGTGAACGATATAGCCGAGAATTTCCGGGCCTGGCTTCGCTCCCAGAAGCAGGGTGCGAATGCGAAACGTGGAAGTGTTTCCAGGAGATACTGCGAGATGCTGGCGCTTATGGAGAGATAGAAACAGGGGCTTTCCGGGTCAAAGGGAGCAATCGTTCCGTTTTTGTGCATATGGACATGAAGTACGTGCAGGAATACTATTTTCGGAGAGGCTTTTATGACCTGAATAGCAAGGTTTTAAGGGTGGCTGGTCGCTTTTCTTCTGGAAACCGCTGCCATGATTCATGGAGACCAAGGGATACCCGACGCTTGAGTCGACACCCATGAAGAACGACAATGTCATGGGTGCGCTCCGCGAGCTCGTACGCACACGCTCAAGTTCTGGTCTCTTGCGAATGCGATCAAGTCTCTGGGGTTTATCTCAGCGACTGCTTCCTGTTCCTGCCGCGTACTTCCGGCTTCACAGGCACCGTTCTCTTCTGTCGCTCCAGATTCGGTGTCAGCAGTCGAAGGGTGTTGACGGCAGTGTGCGAGTCCCAACTGTTTCTCGGCCTCGGGCTGGTGTCAACGAATGCAATGCGCACTCGCGGTCGCTGCGATCTACGCATCACTTGCCATGTTCGTCTTCTTATTGTGCAGCCTCAGTGCACGTCCTTCGCAGCAGTAACGCTTGACTCTGGGCAGGTGTTTCCGTACCGTCCATCGCACCGTTTTCTCCGAGTCCTGCCTTCTGGGTCACCAGCGCTAGTCGCATCGCTCGCTACAAGCGCTGGACGGGTCCAGGCGGTTACCTCTGATACCAACCTGCATTGGCGCGCCCGCCGCTGCACCCTACGCTCATGAGCTTCACCTAGAGTGACCAGCTCGGCGAATTCGCTTGCTTCTGCGTACGAAAGCGAATGCATACGCTGTTGCGTTCGGTCAAGGACTGTGGAGCGCGATGTTGTCCATGATGAAACAAGCACCGCAAGGAATACCCTGCGGGCGAAACGAGTCTACGAATTCTGATCCGTCCACGCGCCTTTCGTGCAACGCGTCGACACCAGCTCGACTGGAAGCGCTCGCTACGATGACTCGAGTCCGAGTCCGGGTCCGAGTCCGAGACCCCTCAACAGGTAAACGGAAGCGTCGGGCACCCCCGGGGTCGTATCCCGTGAGCGATACCGTGCTGCTGTGGAGTCTCGTTGCGTCGATAGCCACGGAGGAAGGATGATTTGTCTTCCAAGCGGAACTCAATATTGGACATGACATCGTCTGCGGGCCGTCGGCAGGAGCTTGTGATCAAGCCGTCATGGCGTATCGTAGAGTGTTTTGCATCGTTCCTCTGGCGTTGCGGACTGCTGCGCCCACGAGTTGCCATGAAGCAGCTGAATCGTGAGCTTGAAGCACGCGTGACTGGAGCGTGCGTCTCGTCATGCGAGGTGAAGAGCCGAGGCATGCTCGTTTGAACCGGATAAAGAAATCTGTTATTTTGCATACGCTAATTCGAGGAGGTCGCGACTCATCTTGATTCTGGTGTCGCAGCGAATGCAACCGGTTGAGCGTCGACGGAGCCGCACCGGAACGTTCACCGAGAATCCTGAAACTACTGGTGAATCTGGAAACCCCTATTGGGTGAATCTGAGTGTCGAGGTTGCAAATCTGGAAAACGGTTGGAAAAAATCGAAAGGCAGGAGCAGTCGACTAGTGCAGTATTCTATTTTCGTTGGGCACTGGTTGAGACAGCAGCTGCAAGTTGCGAAAGAATGCGCGGTGCCAGACATCTTGGAATGTAGTGAAATCCTCAACAGTAATTGCGGAAGAAGCGCTCTATTGCTTGGATATACACGTGAGTGACGGCCTTGCCGCTCGGGTTCAGGTCGTAGGTCAACGGTTGCATACAGTCTCTACAGTGAAGCATTAGAGCAACTTCGCGAAGAGCATTGACGGTGTATGGTTCAGTTTTTTTTTGCGTACAGAGAGGAAATGGAATAAAGTTGACAGATATGATATAGCCCGACGCAATATCAATCTGCACGTACTTCGTAACTACGAATTGCGAGTCGAGCAACAAGGCTCGTTTTCAACTGTTCAACATAGGTGAAGAGCAATGGTTCATTGTGGGTGTGGAAACGGGCTTGAAGAGTATCATGCCCGTTGTTTTGCCTCTGAGTCACGGATACGGGGCCAAAGGCTTACACTGAACAAGACGAGGTTGCCCAGCTTTGCAGGGCTCTGTACTTTCGAGAGTCGTACATGACACACGGTACGCGACGTACCAACAGGTAACAGGATACTGTTAGAATAATCTCGATGCTCTGAGCACTGCACCCGGCAGACGAGATGCTTTGTGCGCTTCATTCGAAGGTTGCATCAGCGTCCGAGAATCCTGATGCAGGCGAACATTGGCAGGATTGCATGAAACCACGCTGGGGGCGCCAACGGTTTCGGTTGTACGGTGGCGAGGACGGTGCATACGTCAACTTCATCAATGCGCTGGAGAAGGCGAAGACCGATACGTCGCATCGTTTGGCGGTTGAATTCTGTGGCACTGGACGTGCTGTAGAGCACACACGCTGCACTCCTGCACCATCGAAGAGAGTGGACTGCTGGCGGAGGAAGCGATTCGTCACGTTTCCCATCGATTAGTTCAGGACAATATACATGCATCACAAGCACAGGCGTGCGCTCAGACTGGTCCAGAAGAAGATAGTGAAACAGAGCCGGATACACAAGGTGATGTGCGGTAAGCTAGCCGAACGTCAGATAGCGAGATAATCGAAGTTGTGAGGTTTGCTGTGGTTTGTTTCCGACCGCATCCATGTGCGCGGAAGCGCCTTCCGCACCGAGCCTTGAACGCCTCGTTCAACAAGCGGAAATATCCTGTACTTTCGGATCGTCCAGCGCTGCTCTGTCGAGCGAATATTCGAGTGAACCGTTTAGAACTCAGTGTGAGCATTGTGCTCAAACGCTGACGACTTCCAATGAAAAACATAGCAAACGCCAAGAGGGAGGGCATCGCATTCCTGCCTCGAACAAGGCACTGGGATGGTACGGGAACGCGATCCGGCATGGCTTCAGTGCCTTACGTATACATAGGGAGAGAGTTTCTCGGGCTTTTGTTCGACGATACTGGTATTCTATTATCCGACGTTACTGGGCAAGTCCAAATTCAAAATGCAACATTTCATGGCAACGCTACAGCACGTGCCAGCGTCAGATCAACAGCGAATCGCCTCGGCAACGGAGACCAACCCCTGGGTAGTTGTATCATAAGCGCAAACGCTCCTCGCTAACGTACAGTGCCGAGAGCAGGTACTAGGATTCACCCATTGTGGTAGATCATCTCCCTTGGACTCCAAATTCGCGATACCGGAACCCATTGCATACGTACGTGCAGAAAAAGCAGATGATTTCCCTAGCACCAGGACATTTTTTCATGATTCATATATTCCAATATGCGACCTTTCTGCGGCACAGCGGAAAGTAGCTCAAGTTTCTCGCTCTTGTGAGAACGCAGTAAAGCTGATCGGTATGTAATGCGATTTTTTGCAATCCTGTAAATCGACCAAGAACTTGGGGTTGTCTTCCATCGCAACGGTTGGCACCCTGTGCGAGAAACGATGCCGCCGCCTCCGTCGACGTCACTGGAATGCAACCTCGGGTCTTCAAACGTGCGTTTCGGGTCGCCAAACGCGAAGCCGTGTTCACAAAGACTACCAAGGCACTCGAACATCAGTGCAGCATCCGCGAATCACTGTGCGTCGCGTCTTTCAAAGGCCGCTATGAAATACGCAGAACGTGACGAGAAACCTGTAACGGGAGCTGTGGCTATTTCTGCAGTGCTTGCGCCTATCCTTGGACCAGAGACTCCAAGCGGGGTTCGTGTCTGCGCTGCCTGCGCGGGAATACGAACCGCTGCAGAGCAGCCAGCCAAACCACGATGCGGCCACGCGGGGAAGACAGTGTCCAAGCGCCAACGACTTGCGATGAACGGATCGGCGAGCAGCGCCTCGACAACTTTTTCGTTTTCCTCAATCAGTACGCTACACGTGGAGTAGACAACCCGCCGGACTCGAGGAAAAGCCACCAGCGCATGCCGAAGTAGCTGAATCTGAACGGCAGCCAGTCGACCGATTCTGGACCAGTTATAGCGCTCCCCGACGGGCCGGTAACGCACTAAACCAGACCCTGAGCACGACGGATCGACTAGGATCGCTGACGCTTGCGCAAGAGCGCCATCATGAGCATCATCGGATACCACTGTTCGAAAGTCCTTCAGATGCATGCGAATGCTCTGGGTGAATCCTGCGCTGCGAACACGCGATACCATCGCCCGATAACGTTCGGCATCTCTTTCGAATGCATAAACCATGCCACTCTGTTGCAGCAGATTGGCAAGAAACATGCTTTTATTCCCAGGTGCTGCACATGCATCGATAAGGTGCCAGCCGCGTTGTGGTTGGAGCGCGAGCGCAGCCAGGCACGAACCTCTGTCCTGCACGATGAGTAGCCCGCGCTGCACCCACTCATGGCTGAGGAATGCCCCTAGGTCTCCATGGAAACACCAGAAGAGGTCCGGGTATGCAAGATCGCGTTCAACGCATCCAGGGAAGGCGCGTTCGACTGCCGCAGGATCCAAACCGCCAAGGACTTGCGGTCGAAACCAGAAAAAGCGATAATCCTCTGTTTGTTGAAAAGATGGCGGCTCATCGGTGTTCGTCCTGGACCCGCCACAGGACGTTGTTGATGCGCTGAGCAATTTTTTGAGCTTACGAGCGATGAACCCTCCAGCGCGAAGCAAGTTACCGCGGCCAAAACAGCGTTCGTAGACCACAACTCGAGCTAGCCAGTGGTTCGTGGGACGTCTCAACCAGTCGTGCCACCAGCGCCGTTCATCTTTTGGTTGCTGCTGGATCGCACTCTGCAGTATCCGCTCGAGTTCGTGGCTCCAGCGGTGTGTCTCGGTTGCCAAGGCGTACACGCGTGGCCACTCGGTACCCAGACGCGTTCGTTCGCGGTACAGAAACGTGCGCAGCGAAGCGGATGACGTTTCCGTCAGCGTTAAAACCTGCGCAACGCTTCTATAGACGGGGTGCATGAACCGTTCATCACTCGGGTAAGTGTAGTGACTGCCCCCAGGCGGTGCTCAACGTGCCCGACTCGACTCGCACACTAGACAAGTTTTGCACCCGCGGCGCGCTGCAGACAGCGGGCTTGTGTACTCGGCACACTGCGGATACCCGAGTGGAAAAGGAAGATGCTCGACAGAACACTCCTATCAGAGAGCGATTGGGTTGTAGGATTGCTTTGTCGGTGTAGCGGTCGACGAGGAAGATAATGCAAATAGGTACGGATATGCCACTGCGCGATGCTACACTAGTGTCAGATCAACATGGAATACTACACTAGTCGACTGCTCCTGCCTTTCGATTTTTTCCAACCGTTTTCCAGATTTGCAACCTCGACGTTCAGATTCAACCAATAGGGGTTTCCAGATTCACCAGTAGTTTCAGGATTCTCGGTGAACGTTCCGGTGCGGCTCCGTCGACGCTCAACCGGTTGCATTCGCTGCGACACCAGAATCAAGATGAGTCGCGACCTCCTCGAATTAGCGTATGCAAAATAACAGATTTCTTTATCCGGTTCAAACGAGCATGCCTCGGCTCTTCACCTCGCATGACGAGACGCACGCTCCAGTCACGCGTGCTTCAAGCTCACGATTCAGCTGCTTCATGGCAACTCGTGGGCGCAGCAGTCCGCAACGCCAGAGGAACGATGCAAAACACTCTACGATACGCCATGACGGCTTGATCACAAGCTCCTGCCGACGGCCCGCAGACGATGTCATGTCCAATATTGAGTTCCGCTTGGAAGACAAATCATCCTTCCTCCGTGGCTATCGACGCAACGAGACTCCACAGCAGCACGGTTTCGCTCACGGGATACGACCCCGGGGGTGCCCGACGCTTCCGTTTACCTGTTGAGGGGTCTCGGACTCGGTCTCGGTCTCGGACTCGGTCTCGGACTCGAGTCATCGTAGCGAGCGCTTCCAGTCGAGCTGGTGTCGACGCGTTGCACGAAAGGCGCGTGGACGGATCAGAATTCGTAGACTCGTTTCGCCCGCAGGGTATTCCTTGCGGTGCTTGTTTCATCATGGACAACATCGCGCTCCACAAGTCCTTGACCGAACGCAACAGCGTATGCATTCGCTTTCGTACGCAGAAGCAAGCGAATTCGCCGAGCTGGTCACTCTAGGTGAAGCTCATGAGCGTAGGGTGCAGCGGCGGGCGCGCCAATGCAGGTTGGTATCAGAGGTCACCGCCTGGACCCGTCCAGCGCTTGTAGCGAGCGATGCGACTAGCGCTGGTGACCCAGAAGGCAGGACTCGGAGAAAACGGTGCGATGGACGGTACGGAAACACCTGCCCAGAGTCAAGCGTTACTGCTGCGAAGGACGTGCACTGAGGCTGCACAATAAGAAGACGAACATGGCAAGTGATGCGTAGATCGCAGCGACCGCGAGTGCGCATTGCATTCGTTGACACCAGCCCGAGGCCGAGAAACAGTTGGGACTCGCACACTGCCGTCAACACCCTTCGACTGCTGACACCGAATCTGGAGCGACAGAAGAGAACGGTGCCTGTGAAGCCGGAAGTACGCGGCAGGAACAGGAAGCAGTCGCTGAGATAAACCCCAGAGACTTGATCGCATTCGCAAGAGACCAGAACTTGAGCGTGTGCGTACGAGCTCGCGGAGCGCACCCATGACATTGTCGTTCTTCATGGGTGTCGACAATCGTTGTTTCGATAATCATGTACAAATTGTATACTTAGCCCGATAATATCCCATTTATGTCCATCACCATCTCGATGACGCACTGTCGTCTCTACCGGAATCCAATCCGTGTTGACACGACGTTTGTGAACACCCCCGGTTCCTTCCTGAAGCATGCAAAACCGCAGCGATGTTTCACAGATCCCCGAAGACAGGCGCGTGCGTTATGTCGTTCAGAAGCAGACCGAAATTTTCGATGGAAAGCGCCTCCGTCGGGCGATGGTTCGGAAGACAGTGGACTTGCAGGCGCCTGCAGCTCGCTGGTTGCTGGACCGTACCTGGCAGCAAGACAGTCGTCAGGGACCGCCGCTGGAGCCCTCAGCTGAATACATCTATCGGCTGCAACCACCCTGTGCTGCGGCGTTTCGAGAACGGCCGATAACCAACGCCTGTACGCACTTTGTGCAGCACGCGCAGAACAAGCAAAAGTGCGGGATAAACGCCTGCTGCTGGACGCCGGAAGGCCGTCGACTCATCACGGGCGCTACGAGCGGCGAGTTTACACTCTGGAATGGTTGGACTTTTAACTTTGAGACGATACTATTGGCCCATAATCTGGCGGTGCGCAATATTACCTGGAGCCATGACGGCAAGTTCATGGTCTCAACCGACCAGTCTGGCATTGTAAAGTACTGGCAGAGCAACCTCAACCATCTGAAGGTATTTCGAGCGCATCAAGAGACAATACGGGACTTGGCCATAGCCCCAACGGATCAGAAACTAGCGACTTGTTCGGACGACCAGACGATCCGGGTGTTCGACTTTGAGTCGCCCGCTCGAGCGGGTGAGATCCAGGGCTCCCCCGAGCGCATCCTGCGCGGACACGGCTGGGATGTGCGCTCTGTGGACTGGCACCCAACGCGCGGCCTCCTTGCGTCTGGTAGCAAGGACTCTCTGATCAAATTGTGGGACCCCAAATCAGGCAAGTGCCTAACGACGATCCATGCGCATAAGAATGCAGTTGTGAAAGTGCGGTGGAACCCCAGCAATGCGAATTACCTGCTGAGCGGCTCGCGTGACCAAACCGTCAAGTTGATCGATATTCGGATGATGCGATCTGTGCAGAGTTTTCATGGACATCGTCGCGAGGTAACGACGCTGGCCTGGCATCCCATCCAGGAGGATACTTTCGTGTCGGCTGGCTACGACGGTTCGCTGTTCTTCTGGGTGCTTGGCGATCCTGAGCCGGCGGCAGTCATCCCGAACGCCCATGCGACCCAGGTTTGGGACCTCTCTTGGCATCCGTTGGGGCACGTGCTCGTAAGCTCCGGCAACGATACGTACACCCGGTTCTGGACTCGGTCGCGGCCAGGAGACGGCATGCGCGATCGCTACCAGCGCAGCAGTTGTCGCTGGGAGCACGTCAAGCTGTACGCGACTGAAGATGATCCGCTTGTGCGCGAGGTTGAAGAGCTTGAAGCCCTTCAAGGCAACGGCGGGGTCGATGGCTTCGGGGAATCTCTCCTCGACCGACACGTTATGATGGTGAAGCGCCAGCGGACGACTGCTGCTCAGCGACCTCCTCCAGGTCTGGAATACGTCCAGAATGACGTGCAGATGACCAAGAGTTGACAAGATTCGACGTCGATGCGGGGTCGCGCCTTATGCCGTCGGCGTTTGGGAGCGATAACCATTCCGATTCCTCGGAAGAAGTTCTGAAATCACGGAGTCAAGCAGGCAAGTGCCGGTGTCTCAGATGCAGGTCCAGCAATACTGCAACCGATACGAGTGTGCCCAGGGATTCGATGCCCGATGGGAGTCAGCAACGCTGCGCTCTGTGTGTGAAGCCTTCCGCCTCGTGCGACATCGGGCGGGCACATTCTGGTATTTCGCTGGATACCAGGGATACGATTCATCTTGTACTCGCCTTTGCCGATGAGGCTCAACCCGGAGGTTCCACCACGAGTCGTTTTTCGATAAAGCACGGAGCCTGCGAAAGCAACACATAACCAGTGAGGCAGGGAACATCACTGGTGGTGCCGCGTACGCGGTTGGTGACTGTGTCACTGTCGCTTCTCTGCCTATGTCGTTTTCTGACAGAGATTATCCGTCCCCTGTTTCGTATCTCACCAGGTTTTTCATTAGCAAAATCGCTTGGAGCTTCCAGCAGAGTCGGTAGTACTGATCAAATTCCATGGTGGAGTGCTCTGGCTCTGATACGTGGAAGCGTCGATGACAGCCGGCTGGTAGGCAGTAGATGCTGCAAACGTTCTGATCCGGTGTAAGGAAACGTAGATGCTCACATTCAGGCACGAAGCATAAATTGTAAAACCAGATGATCTGATATATACGGCCAGAAAAGACAAAAAAACATTTCACGACCACGGAGGGTATGTATATGTACCCAGGCGCAGGCGCCTGCCAGTCTTTTTTGGCCGTCCGCCTGCTATCGGGTTCAGCTTCACCCTGTACACGTCGAGCCGGAGAGGCTGCCTTATAAACTTGGATCGCGTCAGCTCCGCGGATCTCGTCTTCAGCACCGCTCATCGTCTGATATTAACAGCAGCGTTGTGATCCCGGTTCACGAACTTGTTGCATGCAGTGCTGGTAGTGGGGAACACCAATGCAGGGATTGCCGGAACTTGCGCCCTCCGTGGTAATACATTCTCGACATCGTCCCGTCGAGCGAGTACCTTTTCTCGTGTATCTCCACTGTTCTTCTTCATCACTTGCTCTTCTTCGCATGGTGGTCTTAGAGAAGAGTATTTTTTCGTTTTTTTTTCGCTGCAGGCGACGATAATCGCCCTCCAGGATTCTCGACTTCCATGTCCATAACTTTCCCGTAGATTTTTTATTTCTTCATATGAACGCACTTCTTGATGCTCTTAGACAAGGGCCATCGCGGAGTGAGAAGGACCTGCGCAAGAAAGAAGAATTGTGCCCGTGGGCTAAACGTACGGAGAACGCTTCGGCAATTCGCCCAGTGGAGCGATCATGACGTTCCACCCTGGAAAGTACTCCTTTGATGGTGCTTAACCACCGAGCGTACGTAGGAATGAGAAGCAGCTCTATCCCGGTAGAACTGGCATAAAGATCGAATGCAAATGAATGGTGAAATGCCACGTTGTCGAACAGAAGAATGTCGGCGGAGCTGCAAGGGAAAAGTCTTCAATGATTCAACAAATTGGGTGCTTTTGTTGCAAGAGCCTTCTCAACGAGCGAAACCGTGGCCGGCAAATGAATCCTCTGCAACTAGAAGCTGAAATGATGATATGATCTTTCTCTTGCATGTCTTTTCTAATTACAACGAGCGCCCTGCTCGGCGAATACCCATATACGCTCCGACCGTTTCGTCTGAAGGACTTTTCAACGATTGAAAAAAACAAACCGATGTCTCTGTGATGCATACCGACCGCAGCGTTCCAGGAACGCTATCGTTGCGTGAACTAGGACGCTCGTTTTGGCGACTGTATTCCAGGGCTTTCAACGCGACACGAACAAGCTGTTGAGAAACAGCGACACCCGCGATGGCTACGATCGTCGCTTTTGCTTTTCATACGGCAATCAACGAGTCGCTCTCTACCATGGACTGCAAGAACGCTTCGACAATACCAGTTTTTGGCGCGGAACGCATCTACTTGTTTCTTTCACTGTTCCTCAACCATCTGAGTACAGTTGGATGACTGAACTGAATGAGGAATACAGTCCTCCTTGTACTGTTCAGTACATAATATATATCCTACAGACGATTCGTCTACGATCTAACCAGTACATTGCGTCGTGATTTCAGTGCCCCGCTTACTGAACGCGGCATCGAGCGTGGAACGAATCCTAGTTGAAGGACTTTGAGGAAACCTCAATGCTCGTGTGCCCGCGGGCCGCCGAGCGACACGACCGGGATGCGCGCACGCGCCTGCGCCACCGGGGCATCGTGCAACGTCCCCCGGAGGCCTGACGGGGTGAAAGCGCCTCACTGGCGAATCGGAGCGCTGTAGTGCGGCTTAGGCTGTGCTTCCGCGTGTATTGGTGTTTCTGCTAGTTCTATCACTGGCAGCACTCGCTCGAATGCAACGTCATATTGCCTTCGTGTGTGCACCCTTATATCGCAGGGCAGTACAGCTGCAGAAAAAAGGTGAACACCCCCACGCTGTTTTTCGCAGCTCGAGGTGCAAAGTCGGCGTGCAGCGCCAGGTCCGTTTCACTGTACCCGGGTTGCGAGCCACGGCCGTGATGCCTACACCAACCCAAGCGCCGGTTCGTGTGCAAGTCCCTCGACGTGAGCTGGGCGAGAAGGCTTTTGGCTTCACTCTCGTCAGATCTGAATTCGTTCCCGAGATTCAGTCTTATGTGCGCGTGTACAAACACGATAGGTACGGAACCGAGCTGATATCCGTTGTGAACGATGACGAGAACAAGACGTTTGGAGTCGCGTTTCGTACACCGCCTTCTGATTCGACTGGCGTGCCTCATATACTGGAGCACTCTGTGCTCTGCGGGTCCCGAAAGTATCCCGTTAAGGAGCCCTTTGTGGAGCTGTTGAAAACCTCTATGAATACTTTCCTGAACGCAATGACGTTTCCGGATAAGACCTGCTATCCGGTGGCTAGCACGAACTTGCGTGACTTTTACAATCTCGTGGATGTCTATCTTGACGCGGTATTTTTCCCCAGGCTAACACCAGATACGCTTGCGCAAGAGGGGCACCACATAGAGCTGGATGCCGTCGACCAACCGATGTCGATCAAGGGCGTCGTGTATAACGAAATGAAGGGTGCTTTTTCCTCACCCGAGCGAGTTTTGATGTCTGCGAGCCAGAGAGCGCTCTTCCCTGACACCACCTATGGTGTTGAAAGCGGTGGAGATCCCGCTGACATACCGCAGCTCACCTGGGAAGCATTCAAGAGTTTCTACGATCGGTGCTATCATCCAAGTAATGCACGTATTTGGTTCTACGGTGATGACCCCGAGGACATGCGCCTGCAGAAAGTTGCAGAATTTCTCGATGCTTTCGCAGAATCGAGCGACCGTCCACCGAGCATGGACCCGAAAGCGACCGCGATTTCCGTTCAGAAGCGTTTCGCCGAACCACGCCGGGTCGAGCTCCCGTATGCCACTGATGAATCCGGAAAGTTTTACACGACAGTCAACTGGATGCTGCACGATACCGTCGTATCACTCGATGCGGATCGTATGCTCAGTCTCGTTGTTCTGGATCACATTCTGCTCGGCAGCTCGGCGGCACCGCTGCGCAAAGCACTCATCGATTCAGGGCTTGGTGAGGACGTCCTCGGTGGTGGCCTCGAATCGGATCTGTTGCAGATGACCTACAGTGTGGGCATGAAAGGAATTGCTCAAGAGCAGGACACGGAGCGAGTTGCAGACCTGATTTTCGAGACGCTGCGGAAACTGAGTAGCGAGAAGCTGGATGATAATCTGGTGCTGGCCTCTCTGAACACCATCGAGTTCCGTTTGCGCGAAAATAACACCGGCTCGTTCCCGCGTGGCCTCGCTCTCATGCTGCGGGCGATGACCACATGGCTACATGATGCTGACCCAGTTTTGATGCTCAGGTTCGAAGAGCCACTGAAAAAGTTGCGCGAGCGGATTGCGTCCGGCGAGCCCGTCTTTCAGAAGCTCATCCAGGAGGAGTTTCTGACGAATACGCATCGCGTACAGGTGGTTCTGCGTCCAGACCCTGACTATGCGAAACGCACCGAGGAGGCCGAGCAAGCCCGTCTGGCTGCCCTGAAACAGTCCCTTCCTGCAGCCGAAATCGAAAAGATCATACAGGAGACACAACGGTTGCGTGCGAAACAAGCCGCACCAGACGCTCCAGAGGATCTCGCAAAAGTGCCGTCTCTGCATGTATCCGATCTCGATCGGAAAGTGAAAACTGTTCCGCGTCACGCAGAGAACAGAGCTGAGGGTGTAACGATCCTGTCACATCCGCTAGCAACGAATGGTATCGTGTACATCGATGTCGGGTTTGATACGACGCAGGTGCCCTCTGAGCTGCTGCCTCTTTTGGGTATCTATGCGGAGAGCCTCTTCGAGGTCGGTACCCACAGAGAGGACTTTGTCGCGCTCCAGCGTAGGATCGGACGTGATACTGGCGGCCTGCGTGCGGCGGTACTAACCACCCAGCAAGTCGACGAGCGCGGCGACGGGGCGGTGATTCAGCGGTTGTTCCTGCGCGGCAAGGCAACCGCAAACCAGGTTGCCTCCCTGTTTGACATCCTAACCGATGTGCTTCACGAGATCAAGTTTGATGACCGAGAACGGATTAGGCAACTAGTTGTGGAAGAGCGAGCGGGTCTTGAAACGCGCCTGGTGCCCAGTGGGCATGTAATGACGGCAAGTAGACTGAAAGCGCAGTATCGCCGCAGCGACTGGGTGAACGAACAGCTTAACGGCATTTCTTACCTGCGGTACTTGCGCGCACTTCAAAAACGCGTCGAGCAGGACTGGGATCAGGTCAAGGCGGACCTGGAGCGCCTACACCAGTGCGTCATCTCGCGCCAGGGCGTCATCGTGAACGTGACTTACCCGCAAATTGACGAGGTGATGTCGCACGTGGACGCGTTTCTGGAGGCATTGCCAGCCCGTGCGCTTTCCGCAGCTGCGGACACGAATGCCGCGCCCGCGCTGGACGGCGTGTCGCTGCGCCCCATGAACGAGGGCCTTGTCATTCCGGCACGAGTGAACTATGTTGGCAAAGCGGCGAACCTGTTCGACGCCGGCTTCCGTGTCCACGGTGCATTGCTGTTGGCGGCGCGCTACCTGAGCAATACCTATCTCTGGGAAGAGGTTCGAGTGCGCGGCGGCGCATATGGCGGGTTCTGCCGCCTTGACCCGCGCACGGGCACGTTTCTATTTCTCTCCTACCGAGATCCGAACGTGGAGAAAACCGTCGATATATACGACGGAGCGTGTGATTTCCTTCGTCGGATCCAACTGAGTCGCGATGAGATTGACAAGTCCATCATCGGCATCATCGGTGACATGGATGCCTACGAGCTGCCTGACGCGAAAGGTTTCAACAGCGCTCTGCGCTACCTGACAGGAGAGACCGACGAACTGCGACAAAAGAGACGCGATGAGATTTTCAGCGCCAGGATCGAAGATTTTCGTCGACTTGCGGATGCACTCGCACAAGTTCGGGAGCACGGATCGGTCGTTGTGCTCGGTGCTAGTGAGTCGATTCGTCGTGCGGAATCTTGCCTGAAACTCGAACGCGTTGAACCAGCCCTGCCAGGAACAGACGTTTAATTGGACAGTGTAAAAGAAAACAAAAGTGATCGGATAGCGTTTGGTAGCGCCGCTGCTCATTCGGTTCGAGACGCAAAGCTCGTACGGTGTCGATAGGCTGCGCTCTACCAGTGTGCGTTGTGGCGATTACCTCCTGGTTCGCGTTCAGGAGCGCAATGGAACGCCCTCGTTCGACAAGCAATGGCATCCATTTGCGTCATCGGGACATGGTTTTAGGTGCTGGATGTTTGTGAACGCCGGCTCTAGGGCTTCTGCTTGCTCGCGACGCGATATACACGTTGGGACGGGTCAAAGCGTGCTGCGCGTTTGCGAATCCAAAGGCCTCTAATTCCAGTCATCGGTCTGGTGGCGAGGAGGAATTGCGTGGGCATCTGTGGCGCGGATGCTCGTGTTCGAGCTCGCTGCCCTCCAGAACAGTGGCGGTTTCCCGCATTGCGAGCGTTTTGCGTCTTTGAAGACTACCGACAATCATACATATATCGAGCCCTGGTACGCAGCACCAGGGTAGCGTCGTTGGTCCGTTCATAGAGGTGCCTTGCGGATCACTCAAATGGACTTGTATTCCGGGATATGTATCGTTCGGGACGGACGGCTTTTTCGGCCCGAGACAATGAGAAGCGTGCTCCAAAACAGCATGCGCTCAGAGAGGGAAAACTATGAAAATGGCTTTTTCAGACCGGCGTAAGCGCCCTGCATGTATGGAGAAATGTCGACGGCCCAAATCCTGACTTGCGTGCTTGTGGACGAGTGAAGAATTGTTAAGGTTTTCCGCTTCGGCAACGCAAGTACAGAGAGAGATCGAGCCCCGCTGGTTTGCATAGCGTCCGTGCGATTTCCCACACAGATCCTACGGGCGTTCCGCGCTAGCGCTCGAAGCAACGATGCACAACGCATCGCCTGGTCTGAAGCTGCAACCGATTCGCTCTGCCGCCCAGCAGCGAAAGCGGGTCGGTTTGCTGAACAAGTCCTGTCCAACTCACGGTGCCAAATGTATAGGGATCTCTTTCTCGAACCGTTCCTTGCAAAATTATCTCAACCAATAGGGACGATCTTTGTGCTTTTACAACACATTTTGTGCAGTAGAGGGGTCTAAACAGACTTTCATTTCAGCACGGCCATTTTTGGCAGTTGGGACATAGACCTCAATGCATGCGGGGACACTTGCATGTTCCACCTCGTGGTGGACACTGGTCCGACATGAAACCAAGGCACGATCCGCAGGCACCGCGGATGCCATATGCACGACGTGCGCTTTCGCCGTTCAATTTGCAGGCAGCGGCTAGAGCACGATGGGGTCGCGTTCGGGTATCCCGAGTTGTCGTCGTTGTCGTCGACAGGCCCGGGATTCGCGGTCTATGCATGGCTGCGCAGCACCCTCGTGGACGCATCACAGCGCGCGCTCGTCTGACGGTACGGCGCACGTGACGGAGCCGCGCGATGGCGAAGTCGCCACAGGGCTGGCCCGCGTCGCATCGCACCCGCAGGTGCTCGACAACCGTGGCCGGCACGCGTGCAGGCGCCGGTGCGATCTTCCGGATGCTTCTGCGTCCGCGGCGGCGGCGGCGGCGACGGCAAGTGAAACGCCGCGGCCGTCGCTGTGGATCGCGGGCGGACGACGCACCAGCGCCGGATGTCAGCGCCTACGCGCGCGATCAGCGACCTGAAGCATCCGCAAGGTTCCGGGCGATTCGCGGCTCTCGGGCGAGCGATGGAGTGCATGCAGGACGGCATAGGCGGCGGCGCCGACACGCACACATCGCGCACGAACGACTAGGATTTCTGCTGCTGTTTCGATTACGCACAACTCGTCGAACTGGCTCGTTCGCACTAGCCTGAGCGGAAACTTGAATAGAAAAGCATTCTGTACTTAAACGAAATGGCGCAAAACACTGGACAAGAGACTTATGAGTTCCAGGCGGAGATCAATCAGCTCATGTCGCTGATTGTCAACGCGCTGTACTCGAGTCGCGACGTGGCGCTGCGAGAGCTGATTAGCAACGCCTCTGATGCGCTGGATAAACTTCGTTACTTATCTCTGTCGGACAAGTCAGTCTTGGATGCCGATGAGAAGATGGAAATCTACATCAAAGCAGATAAAGAGGCGAAGACACTGGAGGTGCGCGACACTGGTATCGGGATGACCAAGTCAGACCTCGTGACAAACCTCGGCACGATTGCCAAGTCTGGCACGAAGAGCTTCATCGAGGCGCTCCAGGCCGGAGCGGACGTTTCGCTCATCGGGCAGTTCGGTGTCGGGTTCTTGTCCGCTTTCCTTATCGCAGATGTCGTGGAAGTGCGCACCAAGCATAATGATGATGCGGGCTACATCTGGGAGTCCTCAGCCGGTGGTACGTTCACTATTCGACCGGATCCTGAACCGCTCAAGCGAGGAACTGCCGTGATTTTGCACTTGAAGGATGATCAGTTGGAGTACCTGGAAGAGCGTCGTATTAAGGAAATCGTCAACCGACATTCTTCCTTCATTCAGTATCCTATTTTCTTGTACAAGGAGGTGGAGAAGGAGGTGGATGCGGATGAAGACGACGAGAAAATGGAGGATGTTGACAAAGCTAAGGAAGAGGGTGATGTCGAAGAGATCAAAGAGGAAGAGGAGAAGAAGGACAAGAAGAAGAAAAAGAAGGTGAAGACGGTCGAGTGGGTGCAGCTGAACAAGACCAAAGCGATCTGGATGCGGCGTCCAGAGGAGGTTTCTCGAGAAGACTACAACGCATTCTACAAGGCGATTACCAACGACTGGGAGGACCCGCTCGCAATCAAGCACTTCTCCGTGGAGGGCCAAGTCGAGTTTACAGCGTTGCTGTTCTGCCCACGCCGAGCACCCTTCGATTTATTCGAGCCTCGAAAGAAGCTCAACAATATTAAGCTGTACGTTCGGCGCGTCTTTATCATGGATAACTGCGAGGATCTCATCCCAGAGTACCTGAACTTTGTCAAGGGCGTCGTCGACTCCGAAGACCTGCCGCTCAATATTTCCCGCGAAATGCTCCAGCAGAACAAGATCTTGAAGGTCATGAAGAAGAATATCGTGAAGAAATGCCTTGAAATGTTCAGTGACCTCGCGGAAAACAAGGAAGATTTTAAGACTTTCTATGAGCAGTTCAGCAAGAACATCAAGCTTGGTATCCATGAGGACACTGCGAACCGCTCGAAACTAGCAGAGCTGTTGCGGTTCTACTCGACCAAGTCTCCGGACGAGTACACTTCGTTGAAAGAATACGTATCTCGCATGAAGGAGGGCCAGAAAGCCATCTACTACATCACAGGTGAAAGCAAGAAGGCGGTTGAGAACTCGCCTTTCCTGGAGAAGCTGAAGAGGCGCGGTTACGAGGTCTTGTTCATGACAGAGCCTATCGACGAGTACTGTGTACAGGCCCTGCGAGAATACGACGGTAAGAAGCTTGTCTGCGCCACGAAGGAAGGTCTCCAGCTCGAGGAAGACGAGGAAGAAAAGAAGCGGCGTGAAGAGGAGGCTGCGCGCTTCGCGAATCTGCTCAAAGTGATGAAGGATATTCTAGGAGACCGTGTCGAGAAGGTCATTCTCAGTGAACGGCTCGCAGACTCGCCATGCATTTTGGTAACGAGTGAGTTCGGTTGGTCCGCCAACATGGAGCGTATCATGAAGGCGCAAGCGCTTCGAGATAGCACCATGTCCATGTACATGAGCGCCAAGAAGATCATGGAAGTGAACCCGAGCAACCCCATCATTCGTGAGCTGCGAGACCGAGTCGAAGCGGATCCCTCGGACAAGACAGTCAAGGACCTAGTCAATTTGCTATACGACACAGCGCTACTCGCGAGTGGTTTCTCCCTCGATGAGCCGAATACATTCTCGAGCCGCATCCACCGCATGATCAAGCTAGGTCTCAGCATCGACGAAGACGAGGAAGAGGAAACACCAGGTGTCACCATGGAGAATGGTGCAGTCGAGTCAGGCACTGGCGATGCCGTCGAGAGTGCCATGGAGGAAGTCGACTGAGCGTCTTTATCGGATTGGGCGCGCCCACTGGCACATCATTCCCAGGTGCTGGATATCTGTATGAGCTGCTGCTGCTGCTGCTGCTGCTGCTAGTGGCGAGTTCGAGCATTGGCACTGGGAAAAGCAAACACGCTTGGTCAGCGACTGCATGAGCGCAACTGAGAACGTGGTTTTTCCAGTTTAACGTCGTCGAAATGGCACACACGCACACGGTCAGTAAAACGAAAACGTTTCACAACCATGGAAAGGAAAAATATCTACCCACGCGCGGACGCCTCCCAGACCTTTTTTGACAGGCCGACTTGTATCGGTTTGAGCTTCTCCTCGTAAACCTCTTGCCTAAGCGACTGCTCCATAAAATGAGGTTGCGTCAGCTCGGCGAGTCCCGTCTTGAGCACCGCACATCGTCTGATATTGATGGCGGCATTGAAGTCTCGATTCACGAACTCCATGTATATACTGACACTGGTGGAACTCACCAGCGCAAGGATTGCTCAAAGTCGTGCGCGCTGGGCCCTTTGGTGCTCTGTCAGCTCTCCGTGATTTTCTAGCTCCAAAGCGCTCCGCTGCATTTTCTCCATCTTGACATTTTCGAGTGTACACCAAAGATCGTACTTTTATTTTTTTTTAAATGAACGCACTTCTTTATGGCCTTCGGTAAGGGCTCTCCCGGGGGAGGAAGCTTTTGCGGAAGCAAGACGTCATGTGCCCCGGTGAGTCACCGTATGCTGGACGCCTCAGCGATTCGCCCAGTAGAGCAATTATAACGTTTCACGATAGAAAACACTCCTTCAGTGAGGTTGAACTACGGCGAGTACGGAGGACCGAAAAGCAGCTCTGCCCGGATAGCATTGGTAAAGCTCGAACGCAAACGGAATGATGAAATGCGACGTTGTCCAGTTGAAGGATGTCGGCAGACGCCACGGGAAGAGTCATCAATGATTCAACAAAGTGGGTGCTTTTCTTGTATGAGCCGTCTCTACGAGCGAAACTGAGGTCGTAAAATGAAACCACGGCACCTAGAAGCTGCGATGATATCGTTCTCGTTCTCTTCGAGTTCGATTGTAGATAGAACGGGCTCCATTCAACTCAAGTACCCGTGTGCGCCTCAACCGTTTCGTGTGAAGCAATTCTAGTCGTCTGAAACAAACCAAATTTCCTCTGCTTCATACCGATTGCGACGCTCCAGGGAACTGTTTTTGCGATTTCGGTGGATAATGCCCATGCGTGAACTAGGACTCTGTTTCTGCGACGGTATCCCAGTGCATTCAGGACCAAACGAACAAGATGTTGAGAAACAGAGACGCCAGTGGTGGCTAGTATCATCGCTTTTGCTTCCCGGAAGATGATTCACGGGTCGTTTTGAACCACTGACCGCAAACAGTCTCTGATGGTACCAATTTTTGGTGCGGTGCGCATCTGCTTGTTTCTTTCAGTGTTCCTCAACCATCTGAGTACTGTGGTATGATCGAGCAAAAGAAGGAATGCAGTGCTCCTAGCACTGATTCGTAAAGAATACATCCTAGAGACAAGTCGTCTCCGAGCTATACAATACATTGCATCGCGATTTCCATTTCCTAATATACACCGCATCGAGGCTGGAGCAAATCTGAGCTGAAAGCCCAGAGGGGCTCTGCGCGAACCTGCCGCTTGCCCATTGGATCCGTTCGTTCCCGCGGCGGTGCTCAGCGCTCCTGCGCCGCATGGTATTCGGCATGCTGGCGCCTGACACACTAAGTGCGACGTGGCTGTTGGGGAGTCGACGCCACTCTCAGCGCAGGGCCTTGAACAAGCACCAGGTCGTAGAGAGTCTGCCCGCCTTGAAGCAGTGCGCCACAGACTCATTATTTCAGATCCAAATGGGACACTGGACTGAGCGCTCTGCTCTTGTCTTTCCATTTATTTTCCGAACTTTGTTTGAAGAAGTACAGCATCAACATTCGAGCTGCAGCGATCAGGGCTTTCGGACTCGTACGTGCGTTTCGGATCCTCAGTCGTGGCCTCGGAGTGGCTCATTCGACGCTTTGGCGCTGGTATTCGATACGTGACCCGAATTAGGACGATTCGCGACGCCCGCGACCATGGGTTCCTAACATCATCCAAGTCATTATTTAATTCATACGTAGAAGCCTCCACGCGTCCCCGTTCCTTATGAATATCATGGACATAGCACGCATTCTTCAAGATTTTGTTTCTTCTGTTTCAAGGCAACGCTTGGGCAGAACGCTTCGCGCCGCTGAATGGACGAGACGAAAACGCTCAACGTCGTCACTTGAGGGCCTGGTTCAAGAGTTCATCCTTAAAGTCCGCAGAGCTTTGGGCGGTCAAATAATCGATTCCGTTCGAAACGCAGATCCCTCTCTCATTGTGATCATCGACGAAACGTGATGGCATACCAGCTAGAAACCTTTCACGGAACAAACTCCCGGAAACGCCCAGCGCTTCCGTTTCCATGTTAAAGGGTTTCGGACTCGGACCTGAGTCATCGCAGGGATCGCGTCTAGACGAGAATGCATCAGTGCGATGAACGTAAGGAACGTAAACAGACCGAAATGTTTAGACTCGTTCTCCAGCCTGGTTCCTCCTCACTGTACTTGTTTCAGCATGCGTGACATCGCGTTCCCGCACATGCTCCGAAGAATGGTACAGCGCGCACATGCGCAGCGCACAGCGTATTCACGGAAGGAATCGTCTAGAGGAAGCTAGTGATCGTAAGGTACTGCTACGCACGCGGAAACAGAGGAGGAGGCGGAGCGCATCCGGGCGAGCCTGCATGCACCATGGGGCGGCGCTCGTAGGCGACATTGTGGTGGCATATCGGGGCATTTGAAGACACGCTCTTGTGACCGCTGCGAAGCGCGCACCGCGACTATATGCAGCGAAGATGAATATGGCAAGCGAAGCGTAGATCACAACTGTTGCCTACACACGACATGCATAACCACAACGACCGGAAACTGTGAAATCGGGACTTGCACCTCGCCATCAACATCCTTCGGCTGCTGATAACGGAGCTAGAGGAAACAGAGAGAGACCGGTACTTTTAAAACCGGATATGAAACGAGGGAAATGGGATGCATTCGCCGACCAGACCCACAAAGGCGGAAACTCATGGCCAAGGGAAAGACACCCAACCTTTTGAGTCTGCCCCCGATTCGGCTGCGTGTACCCGTTCGATACGATGTTCACATGGTTGTTGCAGTGCAAGCACCTTGTCCAGCAAGTCCAGCCTTCAAGCTCACGCTCCGTTTTCTCGTGTAAAAGAGGCACGCTTGTTCATACGTGTCGAGGATGAAACCCGCTGGAACGTTGTACCACGGTACCAAGAGCAGCACCAACAACACGAACAACAACAAGCCAGTTCATGCGCTCAGCGAATGCTATGGAACCTTTGCCGAACGCGAGGCGCGCTGTGCTGCTGAACGCGATTACAGCAACGATTATCATTGCTGTGGCTGTCATCAACGCTTCCGCACTATGTTTCTTTCAAGGTCCGAGTATGATCGGGGGGTGAACACTTTTTCTCCGGAAGGACGTCTCTTTCAAGTTGAGTACGCTCTTGAAGCAATTAAACTGGGGTCCACTGCGGTGGGCATTCAGTGTGCGGACGGTGTCGTGCTCGCGGTCGAGAAGCGGGTGACGTCACCTCTGATCGAACCGCGTTCCATCGAGAAGATCGTGGAGATCGACACACACATTTGCGCGACCATGTCGGGTTTAACCGCTGATGCGCGGACACTGGTGCAGCACGCGCGCACGGAGGCGCAGAACCACCGGTTCAACTACGAAGAGCCGATGCCAGTCGAGTCTGTCGCTCAGGCGGTTTGTGACTTGGCGCTGCGCTTTGGCGAGTCGGGTTATGGTGAAGACGATGGCGAAGACGAGGATGGTGGTGGGGGTGATGGAAGCGGCCAACGGGGCCGGAACAACGCCCCGGTTATGTCGCGCCCGTTTGGTGTTGCGCTTCTGCTCGCCGGCTGCGACGAACGCGGACCGGCGCTGTACACCACGGACCCCTCGGGCACGTATACACGCTGGCTTGCGAAGGCTATCGGCGCGGGTGGTGAGAGCGCTCAAGTCGTGCTTGAGGAGCGATACCGAAGGGATCTGTCGCTCGCCGAAGCCGAGGCAATCGCACTCCAAGTCCTGCGTCAGGTCATGGAGGAGAAGCTCGGCGCGAAGAATATTGAAATGGCGCGAGTAGTGCCTGATGGCAAGTCTGGTCGCTTTGAGCTTTACTCGATGGAACGACTAAAGGCCTGTATTGAGAGCATGTCTATGACGGACTCGCCGAGATAGCCTTTGCGGAATTGTTGGTAAACATTCATCCCGAGCAGCAGGAGAATTTGCGCTGCAAGCGTCGCAGCGCACGCTAGACCAGTAGTCTCCGCAGGCGCGGTAGCCGCTGCAACCGCCAGACCCGGAAAGGCAAGCTCGTACGCGAACGTTCGACGCACTCTCGGTGAATGGCCGGCAAGGCGTCCGCCAATCAGACCAAACAGGAGCCCTATCAGTGACATGAGCAACGACGCCACAAATACGCCTCGACTGCCGCTCATCACGCGTGCCGTGCGAGACGATGCCATCGTTCCGAGGGTCAGCAGGGCGATGCTTATCCATGACACCGGACGGAGGACTCGACGTAGACGATCCACCGGTGCCGGTGGTGCGAAAATGGCGCCAACGCAGCCCGCCAAGAGCGGCACCGTAACCAGTAGGACGTAGAGTGAAGCGTACCAGAGAATCGCCGGGGCTCCGGTGCTCGCTACCAGATAATCAGCGACACCCACGGAAGAGGGAAATCGCGCAACTGCCGCAGCGATCAGCAGCAGCAGCGGAATCGTCAGCGCGGATGCGGCCACAGAGCTGAATGTCATCATCGCTGCGAGCTCGCGAATCGTTGTGTTCGTCAGTGCTGCAATCCACAAGGTCGCATAGCCGCTTGGTGAGGCAGCGATCAGCAACAGCGATGAAACAGACGCAGCGTCGAGCTGGATTCCGAGCGGGAACACCAGCAGTGCCGTGGCGAGCGGCATCAGTAAGAGGCGACCAAGCGTGGCCATAGCGATTGTTAGCGGCAATCGCTTGATATTTCCGAGCTCGTAGGAGCCCAGGGAAAGCCCCAACGCAAACGTAATGATAGCCAAGGAGGGATATCGAACTCTGGCCGAACTTGCAAACAGGAACCATCGGGGAAACACAAACGCGAGCGTTCCCAGGGCCAAGAGCGCACCGAGCAAGCGAAGGGCTAGCCGGGTATCTTTAGCGTGCGCGAGCGAGCCGTAGTAACTTGTTGGGCTGGAAAACGCCCCGCTATGGACTCGCTGTTGCAGGGACTTGTCCTGCATGTATAGAGTCTGCGTTAGACCGGGGAGCGAGCGCCCTGAGGCGTCGTCGCGCTCACGCGTGCCGCAGGCGAAACGCCATCGTCTGGCATGCCAGCCGGTCAGAGGCGCTTGCGACGCACGAGCTGAATCCAGAAAGCGCTCCCGGGAGCGGCTCACAGAAACACCGGTCGCGACCGGTTTCCGATCGGCTTGCGTAGCGCTGCGCCAGCAGCACCACGCTGGCGCCGACTGCAGTTTACACAGGAGCTTGACTTGAAACATGTTTCGTTTGCTGGAGTTCAGAGCTGCTACATGGAACTGGACACATATCCAGAACCCTTGTGGTGTAGAGGTATCTGCAAAGGACCAAGCACACGACCCCTTCCCGCCGTTCTCCAAGGCGTCCTCTGACCTGCACCAGTGGCGGTGGCTAGTCGAACGCCACGTACGAGCGGAGTTGCGTCAGCGACAGGGCTAGGTTCGCATTCCGGACAAGGCTAGAACAAAACTGAATCATACAGTTTCTATATGTATGTAATAGATCAGAAATATATATAACTGGATATTATAAGACGTGCGCGCGGATCACACACGCGCAGCGGCTGGCAGGCATCATTGCGCGGGGGATTTCCCGCGCCACACCCCAGCAGCACCGCACGGACACGCTCGCAGCGCAAATCGTGCGGTCCAGCGCAGAACGTCGAGAAACAACGCGTATCGCCGCGTTCACGAACCTGACTCAAGCGGTGCACTACACAGAAAGTTCCTGTCTGTAAACCGAGTCCCTTCACCGTGCGGTATCCAGTGTCCTTGGTTTTCCGTGCCTGCAAGAAAGCTACGCACGGACGCTCTGTGCGCTGCAGCGACTTGGAGCGCAAAAACGGACCCGCGCGTTTAGGGTGCGGTGCGTTGCGGAGCGAAGCGTCTTCCCATGTCGGCGGTGCGTCCGAAACGCCAACGATCGCACAGGTCGACGGCACCCGGGTCAAGACGCAGTTCGTCCTCCCGTGTACCCGTGGGCACTGTGAAGGCGGTCAACACGGAGGTACCGCCCTCCGCGACGTCGGGCGACGGCGAAGGCTCAGCTTGCGTCTCGGTGGACCGCTGCTGCAACGCTGCCGCCGAAGGTGACTGGACCACCTACCTCTCCAACGCAAAGCGAGTGCTGCGTGCGACCCTGGATCGTGGCACGCGTGTCCTCGATGGACACGCTCGCTCCACCGGTGACGCATGGCTCGTACTTCGCGCTTTCGTGGAGCGTGCTCACTTTGCGAATGCGAGTCAGCGCTTTCAAGAAGTGTACGCGGCGCTAGAGCGCTGTATGCAAGACGCTGCGTTTCTCGGTATGCTTCTGTCCATCCTGCAGGCGGACATCGATCGAGACCTCACTGGAACTGTTGCGCAGAGCATCACACGCCTCGCTTTCGCCGAGAATGGCCGTGAACGTCTGGAAGCGGCCGGTTTCCTGGGAGCGTTATGGGAGGCCCGCTCACGATACCTGGCCAGGTGCGATTGGTGCGTCGTTGCCCATTTAAGTGAGGCGCTTGCTATTCTGGTCCAGTGTGATGCGAACGTGCAACGGCTGTTGTCAAGTGAACCCAACCCGACGATTCACATCGACGCCTTGCGTGCTGAAGTTCAAGACTCGACAGATGCCAGTGGGCCAGCGTTCGCACTGGAGGCCATCGTCGGCCTTGTTGCGTCACCTTCGTTTTCAGTGACCGGTGCTATGGCAAAGTCCCTGAGCAAACTGGTGATACAGGTGACGCAAACGGCATTATCTGCTATGCGGACGCGCCCTCCTGCAGAGCATGGGTTTCTTATAGACCGCGTTGTCGTGGCGAGCACACTTGCACAACGACTGGCTCGATCGAATCCGCAGGATGTTTTGAGCGAACTTTATGAGCAATGGCTGCCCTTGATTGAGCAGACGATGACCGTGCAGGAGTTGGATGGTGCAATGCGATGGCGCCTCATGTCGAACGCGGCGGATATCGAATGGGTGCAGCGCCTTGGATGCAGCGAGAAGAGCGGCGATCGCACTGAAAAGGGCGATCTGCCGCTGTCATTGCATCCAAGCGACCGCACAAGCAAACAGGCAGATGCCGGTACCAGCATCGCCGGTAAAACGAGACTGAATCGGGCTGGGGCTTCATCAACTCAACGGGGACGAGGCCAACGAACGGGTCGCGGAGCTGGGCGTGCTCGCAGTGCGGGCGTCGAGGTTGCTTCGTAGTTCCGCTTGGGCCTCGGCGGCCTGTTTCAGTTTGGTGTTGAATTCTTGCGCCTCTTGGAGAAGGCGTTTTCGGATGCTATCCTCCCGTCCTGGTTGTGTTTTGGACGCTGAGCGCTGGCCTTGTCGAAGATGCTCTTCATGTCTGGTGAGAAGTCGATCTTCCAGGGCACAGATGCGTTCGCAGAGCTCGGCTGCAGTATTTTCCTTGGATTCGAGAGCCTGTTGAATCTCTTTCAGGGCTTGCTCCTTCAGACCAAGTTCTTTTTGGGAACGCTCGCACTGTTCATGTAATTCGCGCTCTCGCTTAGTGGCAGTCTCCCATGCAGATCGAACTTCGGCCAGCTCGTGCACCAGCTGAAGCTTGCTCTGCTCGAGCCGTCTCAGTTCTCGTTCAAGTTGATTCGCACGTCGCTCATTCCGCTGAATTTCCTGTTTCATGGCTGCTTCGTGTCCCTCAAGCTCGTGAATGCGAGCATACAGCCGCTCTGCTTGCGAATGCGCTCGCTTCTGACCGGTTGCTTGCGCCTGAGCGAAACGATGTGCGCATGCGGCAGCATGTAGAAGCGTCTGGGACAAACGTTGCTCAAGTGAACGGCATTTCGCAGCGACGCCGCACTCCAGTTCAGCGCATTGTCGCTCCCATCCACACGTAAAAGAGAAGAGCGTTCGGGCAACGCCCTTGAGGCCGCGTTGCCACTGCTTGGTCACGGCTTGTTCCGCACGCATCTGCTCTTCGTGCTGAATCTTCACAGTATTGAGCGTTTCGACATGGCGTTGTGCCTGTTGCCGCCACTCCTGCTCTGATTGTTTGGCTTGGTCGAGCTTTTTCTGGACCTTCTCGGTGATCGATTCAAAGTGCTGGATTTGACCCTGCATGGCTTCGAATCGATGCCTGTTCTCGTCAGCTATTTTTCGCAGCTCTTCCTGGCGTTTTTCGAGGGCCTGCTCGCGGCTATTCGCGGCCTGGACGATCTCGAGAAGCTCTTGCTGGAGTTTGCGCTCGGAATCCCTCGCAAGGGCCTCTTGTTCCTCAAGCTGATGACAGCGGTCCTCGAACTCACGAAGCTTTTGTCGTAGCGTCACGTTTTCGCGATAGAGCGCATCCGCCTGGTGGGATTCCGCTTTTTGCGGCGGCGGCGTGCTTTCAATCGTCCTCTGGACGGTCTTGCGAAGAAGCTCGAACTCCGTCGAGAGTCGAGCACGGTCGCTCTCCCATCGCTGACGCTCCTTTTCTCGGAAACGCTCCAGCCGGACCACCACCTCAAGGAGACTTCTCGTGGGAAAGAGCGTCACACTCAGTCCGACGAACCTTGGGGGCTCGCAAAGGCGCCCACTGGTACAGCGCGCTTCAGTGGCACCTGAGACCAACCCGTGCAGCTCATTGCAGGGCTGAAAAGCGTTCATGACGGCCTCGACGTATTGCGCACAAACTAGGTCTGAGCAGCTGTTTCCCTCCTGTGTGAATAATACCCGGGAGAGAAGGCAAGCTTCGGCGACTCCAAGGTCTCGCAAACGAGCCTGCTGCGACATAGCTGAGGCTGAGCCTGGCAAGCGCCCGCCGATTCGAGGCCGGCACCCCAGCAGATTGCAAGGAGCAAACTTGTTCCTTTGAACTTTTGGAACGTGCTTCAATACCCACCAGTTGCAAACGAAATGGAACAGTGGTATGATGACGTGCACACGCAGCAACAGGTACATCACCAGGAGGTGCCTCTGCTGCCTGAGCACGCTCGCTTTGGAGAGCGCGTAGGCCATGGCGATTTGAATCTGAGTGCCGATCCAGCGATCGCGCCGTGCATCCAGTCCCAGTCGCTTGAGCTGGACATTTGAGGAGCGGGAACGATCCTACGCCCCGCGCGTGACGGAAGGTGTTTATGTCCGTAAATATTCCATATTGAACAGAAAGGTGCAAACATCACGCATCAGCGTCAGGGCCCTCGGAACAGGAATCAAGTCGCCAGGGCACGCCCAGCAGAAAGCGAGCCGTTCTCGAGCCGATGCCTCGAAGCTCTTGCGTCGAGCCTCGTGGGCGTATGTCGAAATCCGGGAGCTTTTGCGGATGCTAAGCGATGTTCGTGAGACGTCGGCGGTGCGCTCAGCACCCGCCGGAGCTTCGGATTCACGTAATATCTATTCTCGGCAAGAAGACTGGTCTGGGGTCCATAACGCGGGGAAGAAGCGGGGTAGCAACAATGATCTCTTCTCTGGTTGCCATATCCAAGCAGTCATGTGTTGGAGGTATCTGTTTAGGTTCGATGTTTCTGCACCGTGAAAAATTCGTTCTCAGTTATCGATTGCGCACGCAGGTCACTGGCAGGCGGGCAGGCGAGTTCATTATCACAATCGGTAGCTCCTGTGCCGCGCCGAGTTTGCCCGCGAAAAACAAATATGGGGTCTTCAGTGCAACGCGGCCTTTTACAAGTCTATGCGTCCGCTTGCAAGGGTACTGCAGCTATTCGCTCCAGGCGAATGCGTGCACATCGATCCACCGGGCCGAGCGGTTATATCGCTCGCAGTCACGTACCTGCTGTCCGCGCTGCGGTTTCCCGGGCCTTCATGAACGGGTTCGCGTCTCGGGTGAATGATTTGGCGGGATCGTGATTGCAATGCGACTTGGGTATGACGCAAATCGCTCACCAAAAGCTATCAGGAGAACGTGGACCCAAGGTCTCGCAGCCTTAGATCAGGTACATCGACAAGTCGGGCAAAGCGTGTTCAACGCTTCTGCTGCTCCTGGAACGCAGACAAACAGCTACAGCTACAGCGCAAAGATGCCCCGACGTGTGAATATTTCGGGCACTGCGCACAGTGCGGCGACTCCCGGCGTCCAAAACGCCTGCACGAACATGCTCATACTTCCACTCGACATGGGTAGCCAAAGCACCAGTTCCAATACTTCTCGGCCTTTGCGTGCAGCAACTCGATGAGACAAGTCCATTGCGAGCAGGTGCGATTCGACGCGATCCAGCGATAACCGTTCTGCCCATCATAAAGCATCGTCCGGTAAAGCGCATCCATGCCGTTGTCCGAGGAGCGTGAGCAAGTTCCGCGCTCGCCTTGTTGCCTTTCGGCAGACCGCGTGCGGTGCTGACGTTTCAAGGCCAGCTCGTTTTGCGCCGCTACCTCCGTGCGACGTTGATCACATGGCGATCCTACTGACCCGCTTTCGCACTTTGTCAGTGCCGCATGAAGGGACGCCCGTCATCAAGGATCGTCCTTATGCGCTTGAGTGCCTGTATCCGAGCATCTCACATGCCACTGGGTCGAGCGCGGGTCGTCGACGCACCCGAACCTGGTCGCTTTCGCGTTACAGCCTCACGGATGCAGCGCTGGCAGCGCTTCATGTTCGCAAGAAGAGCGCATTAGCATATCTAGCAGAAAGCTGTCTACAACGCATGATGCTGTGGCTTCAAAAACATCATGCAACCCAGCAGGCAACTAAAGAGAGCTGGATTCAAGTAGGCATTCTCCGCGATACACGAAGTTCGCTGGGCCAGTCATATACACGTGACGATTCTCTGGACTCCAGTATATTTCCAAATCACCACCGGGCAGATGGACAACGCAAGCATCCGCTGAGACTGGATCACCGGATGCGCCCGCTCCTTGCGACGGAATACGACCAGATATCGTGGCAGCCACAACCGCTGCGCAAGCGCCAGTCCCGCAAGCCATCGTTCGCCCGGCGCCTCGTTCCCACACCGACATCCGTAGATCCCGCGGCCCGCAAACCTCAATAAACTCTGTATTCGTTCGGCGTGGGAAGCAGTGATGCGTCTCGAACATTGGCCCAATTCTCTCCAGATTGGCATCGACCCACGCAAAGGTTTTCTGGTCGACAAAGATCACACAATGCGGATTCCCCATGGACACCGCCGTGCATCGCCAGACAAACTCGCTCGCACCGCAGCACTCTGGAGGTGGCAGCGGCAAGCGAGCAGCCGCAATGTCTTCCGCAGTGCTACCGTCCAGTGGGACCTCGACTGCAGCCTTGACGTCGGCGATGCGCCGCGACCCCGGCAGCGTGGTCGGAACGCACTGCGGGTCGAGGATCGGCGGCCCCATGTCAACACAGACTCGACCGTCGGAGAGCACCCGAGGCCGAATGTATCCTGCTCCGGTTTCGATGCTCAGGGCACCGTCACCAAAGGTGGAGGCCTCGTTCGGACCGGCGGCGGAGTCGTTGCACACATCAACCGCGTACTTGGCAACACAGCGGATACCGTTGCCACACATCTCCGGCTCGCTTCCGTCGGCGTTCACAATGCGCACCCTAAAGTCAGCACCACTGCTTATTGCTGGGAGCAGAAGAATGACCCCATCCGCACCAATACCCCGGTGTCGGTCGCAGAGCCGCACGGCTTGCGCTGTATCCACCTCAGGCCAGGCGCACTTGCGTTGATCAACTAGGATGAAGTCGTTTCCTAGACCTTCATACTTCACGAACTGCAGCCAAGGGAAAGCCTTGGGGGATGTGGGCTTGCCATCGCGCGCATCTCTCACCCCAGTGACCTGCATTGCAAAGCGTCGCGTTGTTGAGGAGACGGCGCACCGCGCAGCCCGGGTACCGGGCTGCTGCGACCCCAACTCGACAGGTACTCGGATTTGGCGCCACCAAGTGGACCGCCCTGTGCAGGAGTGTCGCTCGCTCAACCTGTACTTCGAAGTGTTCGTGAGGCAACTGCTACAAAACATTCGGGAGCTTGGCGTTGGGACGCTGCGTAGACGCGCTACTTCTACGAACGCGCTGCGGAATGTTTTTGTGCAACGGGCTGTGCTTGCGCACACGCCATAGTCCGCTATGTCTCATAATGACGCGACGTCGCGCACGACGTGCCCGCGCTGCGTCTGCGTTCGCTTCAAAAAAGGAGAAACTGACCTGCTCGCCATGTTCTCGCATTTGGATGTTTTTCCAAACAGTTTTAGATGTATATCCTTGACTTTTTTAGTGCATCGATGAGGGATGAAGCATTCATGTGTATTTTAAGGATTCTCCGATTTCTCGTTGGCGTGGCTCCTTCGATATGGTGCGACTGGAATTCTCTGCCTCAGCGGAATCCAGTCATGAGTACTCGCGGAGCCTTTGTACCAGAGTTCGTAAATGACTGATAACATTCTCCGATCGACATGTGCAAGCGACGCGTAGATCCTAACTTTCCACTGCGCATGAGATGCGTGAATAACTGCCGGAAGCGGCGCAATAGGGAGTTAATCGATGTCGTCAACATTTGTCGACTGCTGACAACGAAGCTGAAGAGTAAGGAGTGACCGGCGTGTTTAAAGTCGGCGATAAGGCGAAGAATATTGATGCATTTTGCAGAAAAACCTCCCAAAGGCAAGTCCTGATGATACTTGAAAATGACCTAAACTTTCGTGATGACGCTCGGGTTAGCAAAGAGGATTCGTTGCATTCTATTCTGACATGCGTGCAGTCGTGTGTATTCTCTAGAAGCGCTTGCAGTTTGAATTTTGTTTAGTGAGCAGTTTGTGCATGAGATTCACTCGGATACTTATCGATAACCATGGCCAGCGCTCTTCTCTGATCCGTACAATAGCGCAGATCGAAGGAAGAGAGCAAGTTGGAGCGCTTCCAGATACAACAAGCCCTGAATACTATTTTATGGAGTTCTCTTTACTGCTCGTATTTTGGCACGCTGGAAACCGCTCATGTGCATGAAATACAGTGCTCATGCCTCCATAGATGCTGGCTCGCGCGCCGCACTGATTACTCGTGTCCGTGTGGACATGCCCTGAAGCACGACATCGTGCAGCAGTGTTTCGTTCGATCTCTGCTTTGCAGCGGAGGGAGAATACAGCTGCCGAAGAGCTTCCGCGGCGCTTGAGTGGTTTGCCCTCAGTTCGCGGGGGAACGGAAAGCACACGTTGCTTTCATGCGTCAGTGCTGTGCTTTGAACGTCTGCGACAGAGGCCTCTTTCGTACGCCATGTTCTGTCATATGCGAACGAGTTACGTCTCGCATCTGGAGAACGAGATTTTGCTCGGATGCCGAAAGGAGTTCACCTCAGTGGAATCGTCAGGCCAGATAGACTTCTTCCTCCGGGACGCCTACATAGACGGAAAACGCACTGGGAAGCTACATGCATGCGATTGTGGAGCTTCGTATGTAGTGTGTACGCAACCGTCACAATGTTCGGGTTTTTCAAAAATGCTGCTTCCGGCCCAGGTCAGGGTCCCTCCAGTCCGGATACGTGGTACACTCAGTTTGCATTCGCGGCACGTAATCAAGAAGCGTTCGCTATGGTTCGGAAGCAGTCGAGCTTCACAGCAAAGAAATCTTGCTATTACTTGGTTTTATGGGCAACTTCGTGCCTATATAGTTCCTGAGGAGCAATAAGACAGGGCTTGAAACGAGCATCTCGGTCGGAGTTTAGCAGCAAGTTCGAGCTACTGGCACGCTCTGGTCTCGGCGCATGATCGCTAGCCCCCTACACAGCGCATTGCTGCATAAAAGCGCTAACTTGTGGAGCTCTCAATGCTCTCCTTCGGTCACGAGCCGATCTCAAGTCGAGTTTCCGACGACGTATGCCGCCTCGGCACATACCCTTGTATTCCAGATACAGACATGAGGACCATATCCAGCATGGATCGCCATAGCGCATCAGGCGAGTTGCCGGACCTGTAACATCCTACGAACAGGCATGCGATCCTGTCGGAAGCTTGCGTTGCTCTCATCGGCGAAAGTCACGTTTTCGGATCTCGGAACCGTTCGAATGATGACAGGTTTCGGCCCCGTGTTTCTAGGGATTCAGATGCCTCTGCCCAGGTCGTTTCGGCGAGCTTCACAGCTAAATACGTCCAAGCGGGTGCTCGCGAAATGTTCTTAACTGTTCACGATCGACAACCAAGTTAGAGAAAGCAGGAACGCAGCCCGTGCGTGCGTCGTCGAGTGGACTAGAGAAAGAACCTGACTTCCGTCCGTCTTTTCTGTATGGTGGGCATTCCGCCTCGATCTGAACCGCGGGAATAACAGTGATGCGCGCTGACGGCTTGACGTTGGAAAGCGAGCCGGTGACATTGAAGTGCCCGACCAGTCAGCCAGAACCGGCGTCATTGTGATTCCATGAAGAGCTCCACGGCCGAGGGCAGCCTCAAGAGCTGCGGTCATCACACTGACACGCTACACTGCTAAGGAGCTGTTCGAAGGAAGTGATGACATGTTGGCGCTCCAACGAGACAACTGGACAGGGCTCGGGTGTATTGTCGATGATGGTGCACCGATCCGTTGGCCGCGACACACGACACGCGGCAAGGGAGTCTGTCGATACGCCCTCACGGTTTGAGTTCACCATGTGTGCGCTTTTGTGTAGTCAGATGAGTATACGGCTTCATTCCTGTCGCAGACTAGAAGTATGAGCGAAACGAACCCGATCAGTTTCTTTCATAGAAGATCTGATCTCAGTGATTCTTTCACGCCTTCACTTTTTCCGCCCGCATACCATTTTCGCTCGCTAGAACTGCGTGCCGTGCAGGAGCCTACGCATCGCTCACGCACCGCGGCATTTTACCCGAGAACTTGTCCATCAGTGAAGAGAAAAACTTTCTGTTTTTCCTGTGGACCTCCCTTCCTCATATGAGCGTTGTCGCCAACGCGGAATCGGCACCAGTGCTTCCAAAGACGAACCGTGTCCTCTGCGCCGTGCTCTCCACAGTAGACACGCTCGCTCCAGTTCAAGTACTGATGGATCCGCGCATCCACGTGGCAGGCTCACACAATACGTGCACTGAGTACGTGTCTGCACGAGAGACGTGCCTGTCCAGCGCTCTCTTGATGCACCGGTGTTCCAGCAACCGCCAGAAGTAACCCCCTCTACGCGGAAAAAGTTGCTCGGTTGCGAGGCGTATAAAAATGCTTTTTGGCTTCTTCGTTATTGTGAGCCCCGTGTCATCGATCCCAAAGTATCAGTTTGCGACTTGCTGCGAAAAGAAAACGTCTGGTACGCAGTCGAAGTCCCACTGCAGAACGTCGTCGCAGTACTTGCTCCGGTGGCGGCGTCTCGCCGTCGATAACGTATCGTTGCGGCCGCATGTTGGCAAAGCGATGCTCTCGGCAGCCCAGCGAGGCAAACTCACCTGCTTCTTGCTTCAACAACAGCAACCTCATGGATAATGTTTTGCCAGTCTATGGGGATACGCTGTGGTTTTCTCCTATTGTCGTTGACCTCCCAGGTGGTCAAAGGGGCCCCTCGTTGGTTGTGTAGGAAGAAGCGAAGTCACGTAGCCGCCACTGGCGTTTGTGCAGCAGTATTCCAACGGTCGGGGGTCTGGCGCAGCCCCAGGATGCTACACTCCGAAACTTCTGGTGCTGCGTCTGATGATCGCAAATCAGCGCTGTTGCAAAAACCAGGCTCGGCAAGCAAGCTTCTGGAAGCTTGCCTCTCTGCGGACGGCTGTCTGGAAACTAGTCTTGGCCCGGAAACTTTCTCTGAGGTGCTGGAAACACTGTGCCGGCAGAACGCAACGAAGCACGCACGCACCCTGATAAACGCACTTTGTAAGGGGCAGAGCCATTCGACGGTATTCGCAGCCGATGAACATATCATGCGGGTGCTGCCAACTTATGTAGACCTAGTGCGACGCGAGCGTGATCTCGAGGCGCTGAACGTTATTCGAGAAGCCCTTGAACAAGGCAAGTTTGGTCACGCTCTGCAGAAAGTGACGCTGGTTGAGCAAGTGTATCTCTCGAGTGTTCAGCTCGCTATAGAACGTGAGCAGCTAGAGGAGGCTGTTGCGACGATGAAAGCGCTCCGTCGCTTTGCTCGACGGCCGTCGACGCCGTGTCCGCCACCCGGCGAATCCTCCGACGGAAGTGAATCACTGACATCAAACTTCGACGCAGTGGCTCAGCAGTTCGAGTCCGAACGAACCGAACGCTTTTGTAAGACGATGCGCATGTTTAGCAAGGCCCGAGACTTTCGCGGCCTCTTCCTCACCATGGATGCTGTACAGCTTTGCGGTTTGAGCTTGAGCGCCGCGGTTCTGGATTGCCTTGCCCAGTGTGCCGTCCGTGAAGTGAGTTTTGTTACCGGTGCTGTATCCATGGACACAATGCCGGATGGGCGCTTCCCCGAAGCAGCGTTTTTCGGACGCTCCAATGTGGGAAAGAGCTCCCTGGTGAACATGGTGATTGGTCGCAAAGCGCTTGCGAAAACGAGCAAGACTCCCGGTAAGACCAAGCAATACAACTTCTATCTTGTCAATGAGGGCGACCCAACGAACGCTTTTTACCTCGTAGACTTACCTGGTGCAGGCTATGCCAAAGTCTCAAAGGGACAACGGTTGGAGTGGGAGCGAATGTTTGGGAGTTATGTACGGGAGCGCAAGAAATTGCGAGTACTCTTTCATCTAATCGATAGTCAGACGGGTCCGCTAGAAGAAGATGCACGTCTGATGTCCTCGCTCGCGGGGACATTGCCTGTGAATGAGGGTCGCGGGAAAACTCAGGGGAATCGCGCGCTGCACTATGTTGTAGTTCTGACCAAGATCGACAAACAAGACGGTTCGGTACCGCCTTCTGTCTTCGATCGGTTGGAGCAGGTCTTAGAGAGCACCGGTCTGTTGAGTTCGCGCGAAATTCCGGTTTTGACTACTTCAGCACAAACAAAAGCCGGCCGCGAAGCTGTCTGGCAGTATCTACGTCTGCTCCATAAACACTGGCGCTAGGGCACAGGCGATGCAGTCGAACTATGCCACGGACTCGTTCCGCCGGACGTGGCGCGAGGCGCTCAGTCGCCTTTCGCACGGCTGGATTCATTGACATTCGGGGACGCACTGAACAACTAAAGACTAAATGGCCGTAGGATCGCTTTTTATTAGGACCCGTACAGAGCCCAAGGGACGCATTCGCCTGATCGCCGGTGGAAATACAGACTGAATGGTCGTAGGATCGCTTTTTATTAGGACCCGTACAGAGCCCAAGGGACGCATTCGCCTGATCGCCAGTGGAAATACAGACTGAATGGTCGTAGGATCGCTTTTTATTAGGACCCGTACAGAGCCCAAGGGACGCATTCGCCTGATCGCCAGTGGAAATGCAGACTGAATGGCCGTAGAATCGCTTTTTATTAGGACCCGTACAGAGCCCAAGGGACGCATTCGCCTGATCGCCAGTGGAAATACAGACTGAATGGCCGTAGAATCGCTTTTTATTAGGACCCGTACAGAGCCCAAGGGACGCATTCGCCTGATCGCCAGTGGAAATACAGACTGAATGGTCGTAGGATCGCTTTTTATTAGGACCCGTACAGAGCCCAAGGGACGCATTCGCCTGATCGCCAGTGGAAATACAGACTGAATGGTCGTAGGATCGCTTTTTATTAGGACCCGTACAGAGCCCAAGGGACGCATTCGCCTGATCGCCAGTGGAAAGCAACTTGTATCGCCGCGTTGTTCGAGCCCCGAATGCAGGCTCGATACTCGTTTCCCTGACGACTGCAGAGGATTTGTGCGTGCAAGATGCGCACGTGCCGTGCATCCGAAACATGGACGCATCTGGTAAGCGTGCCTCTGTCAAAGCACATGAAAAGCTCGGCGATGACTGCGTGATCAGGTATGTATCAGATACGGGATACGTCTGCGTTTCCTGCTGCTTCCACGACAAATGCTCGTATGTGCGACAGACGTACGGCCTACCGGATGGAGGGAAGCGCTTGTGCGAGCCTTTCCCCGTTGGTAAAGTTAGATACATCACGCTGGATCGCGGGTCATCGAAGAATACCATCCAATGCATACGTATGCTTGTCGAGTTGCAACAGATCTGATTTGGAGATCCATCCATGCACGCGATGATCCTCACACATGTGCGTGCGTCGATTCTTTGATCCATCCATGCACGCATCTCTCCATCGATCAAACCATGCGTGCACTCATTGTCACAAGCATGCACGCATCGCTCCATCGATTTCTCTATTCACGAATGAACGCCTCATCAAGAATTTCTTATAGTGCACGATCAGTGTAGAAATCCGATTTACAGGGCGTGTAGTTGCTTCCACCACCCATTGAAAAGGCTTTCTTCTTCTACATCTGTATCTCCGTTTACCTAGCCAGAGACCAGTTTCCCAGTGGCGCGCTGTGAGGGCGCCATATGCGAGCGTCGTATAGCGCACGCCAGAATGCCAGCAGGCATACCGGCTGGTGCTCGGCGACGCCCCGCCGATGAATCCGCGGCTGCGTGCACGATCGCCATCCGATCCCCACATGACGTCGATCGACGCGATGGTTGCAAGAAGCGGCTTGTGAACGCGTACTCGTTTCGTATAAGAACGCTGCTTTGATGACACCAGCTCATAGTGACAGGCCCTGTGCAGCGTTTGCGTTTGGCTACGGTGTCTTTGTTCCTTTGAACTTCGCGAGTGTTCGGGGCAGCTGGCGCGGGCGGACTTGCACATCCGCCCGCCGATGGTTCCCTGGAACCGCAGGCTTTGTTCGCCGGACACCTCTGCGGCCGGAGCGTTCAGCACCGAGTCACCTACGTACAGATTCGTACCAGCCTTGGCTCTGGGCATGCAATGCGAATGAAGATGCAGAAGCTCCTTCTTCGGGATCCGTGCGAGATGACGTGGCGGAAACGCAACTTCGGGAGCAGGTGTTGGTTATGGCGGCGACGCCCGGCGTCGCTGATACGCGGAAACCTGCTCGAGGGCTGCGTTCGCGAAGAAGAAAGCGACGCACGGAAGCGGGGTCTTTCAAAACGACTGACAGAGTCATCGTTGGCGGAGCACTGGCGCTTGGTTTCGCCTTCATCCTCTCGATGGGTGTTGCTGTCAGCCGACCGCGGTGGATGGCGACGCTTCCGCAGCCAGTCGTCCAGGAGGCTCAACTTGCGCGCCCGTCGCAGGGACCTGCACCCAGCAGTTGGGCGCGCACTGCCAGCATCCTCGCGCTGAGTACACTTATTGGAATGATCGTGCCGCTTCTCTTTCTGTTATCGATCCAGAACCGGCTGATTTACAAACCAAGCCGCAGAATTCGAGGCAAGCCCGATCAATACGGTATGGTGCATTACGAGGACGTGTATTTCTGTACAGCCGATGGCCACGAAATACATGGCTGGTTCATCAAATGCGCACCAGCCAAATACCGAGAGCGCCCGACGTTCATCTATTTCCATGGTACCGATCTAAATATGAGTTATCGGCTGCCGAAGGTGTTCCATATTCATAGCAAACTGGACTGTAATGTGTTTCTGTGGTCTTATCGGGGATACGGAATGAGCGAGGGCTTTCCCAGTGAGCGCGGTTTGCAGCGAGACGCCGCGGCAATGATTCAGTACCTGAGTACTCGCAGCGACATTGATCAGTCGCAGTTGTGGGTATTTGGCGAATCCCTCGGCGGGGCGGTTGCCCTTGATTTCGTTTACCGACACTCGGACAAAATTCGAGCATTGATCTTGGAGAATACCTTCACTGCGCTGATCGATATGATCGATCTCGTGCATCCGTATTTGCGCCTATTCAAGTGGCTCGTGACGCAGAACAAATGGCTATCACGCGAGAAAATCAAGCACATTGAGGTGCCTGTGCTTCTACTTAGTGGTCTTCGCGATGGATTCATTCCCCCAAGAATGATGCAGCAGCTCTACGACGCCGCGAGCAGATCGCGGCTTCGGCGCCTCGTTCGTTTCGAAGAGGGCACCCACAACAGGACCTGGATGATGCCAGGGTATATTGACGCGATCCGACGATTCATCGCGGATGTCGATGCCATCGTTCCGGAAAGCGCTGCTACGGAGCGAGCGGGCTCTGTTCTAGTAGAGGGCGAGGCCGACTGTCCCGCGGAGACGCCGTGACCCGGAACACGTTTCTTCTTCGGTCTAAGGATCTGGGACTTTTTCAGACTCTGGGGCGTCTTTATGTATGCTGTTGCCTCGCACGCGTCCTGTGCTCTACAGACAAAATATGTCCCGCTTTCGGGTGCATGCCAAGGCGCAGTCTACTTGTGCAAGAGTGCGAACGAGGAGAGCCATTGTGCTTCGAGGCAGGCGAATGCTGTATGCTGCGGTTTCAGCATGGACTGGGTAATGCGGTGCATACTTCCATGCAGTGAGCAGACGTGCCCTCACTAGGTCCCGAAATGGATTGCAGTGAATCAACGGGGCGTCGAATATTTTTTCGGGGTACTAGGATGCTCGCCTGGTATAGAGTGTCCTGCACAAGCGCTGCGCATACCGGTACATTCACGTAGCGCACATGTCGCTTCACGAGGCAAACTCTCTGGATCGCGGGGAAACGCACTGCAGCCAAGTATTTCGCCGGTCATTGGCGGCGTTCTCGAACTCGCATTCAGTCGCTGGTTGTCGATTGCGTAAAATGCATGCCAGGCAAAGGAAGAGTAATGCGTGGACGGGACATGCTCATCCCAAAAGTGACCCTTTGCCGACACTGCTTCAACCCGTTAAAGCACAATTGCTGACCAGGAACGCTCGCTCCACCACAATCCCAGGCTCAGTGAAAGACTAATGAGCAGCCATGCCGGCAGCAGCCTTGAACGCTTCGTCACAGATTTCCGACAAAGTCGGATGCGTGTGTACTGCGAATGCCAACTTGTGAACGGGAATGCCGGTCTGCATAGCGTTTGCTGCTTCATGAATGAGATCTGCCGCATGCATGCCTATAATGTGCATGCCCAGGAGCTCTCCTGTATCCTTGCGAAATAGAACTTTGGCAATCCCTTCGGCATGATTTTCCGCAAGCGCTTTGCTGTTCGCCCTAAAGTGACCGAGAGCCTTGCCTAACTCGAACCGCTCGCGCTCCGCAATCGCCCGAGCCTGTTCCTCGGTGAACCCTACCATACTGATTTCCGGATGTGTGAAACATGCAGCGGGGATGCATTCCATTCGCAAACGGTACGACGTATTTCCCGCGATGTGCTCCACGACACTGATGCCTTGGGCTGATGCCGCATGGGCGAGCATCAGCTTCCCATTTGCATCACCGATACAGTAGAGATGCTCGATGGGCGCACCGGTCTCGTCCAACACACGCATGTGATCATCGACGGGAACGAATCCCTTGTTCAGTCGAACACCAAGCTTCTCGAGACCGAGACCATCCGTGTACGGGCGTCTACCTGTGGCCACTAAAGCGGCATCGACTTGGAGGACCTCGACAGGCGCCTTTGTCTCAGCGTTCACCAACTCAATATGGACCGGTTTCTGGCCCGGAATACCTGGTACGACTTTGGTGGCGAGAACCCCTGTGTATGCGTCAACTGGTCGCGGAGATATCAGTAGCCGCTCTGCATACCGACTGATCTCGGCATCAAAGCTAGGCATGAGTTTCGGCGCTGCCTCTATAAATGTCACCTCTGATCCCAGCGCAGTATATACGTCGCTGAACTCTAGCCCAATGTAACCGCTACCGATGATCGCGATCCATTCAGGTACCCATTCCAGCTTGAGGGCGTCGTCGGAGGTGAAGACGGTCTTCCCGTCGACTTGGATCCCAGGCGGCACCGCCGGTACACTTCCCGTCGCGATGACCACATCGCGAGCTGTAACGACGCGTTCCCCGGTACGCTCTCTTGGTTTGAGCAACTCTACTTTCTGGGGTGCTACAAGAGCGCCGCGAGCGTCAAGTACGTCGACACCGAGACCGCGCAGTGACTGTACCAGGTTCCCTCGAACGCGGGACGCAAGGCTATTCGCGTGGTTGCTTACAGCTTGGCGATCGTAGTCGACCTGGCCGCGCACGGAAATGCCCATAGCCTGCAGACGCTCAACCGTTCGAAGCTCCCGGACTTTTCCCGCAGCAGCAAGTAGCGCTTTTGACGGAACGCAGCCACGGTTCACGCACGTTCCACCAGCATCGCCACCGGTTAAAACTGCCGTCTTCAAACCTCTGCTCCGCGCATGCAGCGCAGCTCCGTGCCCGCCAACACCAGCACCAATAATAACGAGGTCATAGTCGTAGGTGGCTTGCACCGCTCGAACGCGCGACCGCCGACTCGCCACACGGGGAAACAGACGGTGTCGAGCGGATCGCGCCACTGGCTCGCTACGGTTACCAGTGAAACTCGTGTTCAAATTATCTGAACGGACGCGTACATCGAACGAGGTACAAAACGTCAAACTGAGTACTGAGACTCGACAAGTAGCCATACTCCCCGGAATGCGTGCACAGCAGTCGAAGCGTTGAATGCGTCGAGCGCACGAACGTGCGCATGCATGCATGCATGCATCATGCGCTGATGCAGGCACACAGGCACGGATGCAGGCACGGATGCAGGCAAGGATGCAGGCACGGATGCAGGCACACAGGCACGCAGGGAGGCGCTTTTGCCCTGCACGCGGCGTGCTCGGCACGCACTTGATCGCCGAGCTGATTCAAGCTCCATGCTCAACTGGAGCACATGTCCATGGTTGATGAAGCGTCCAAGCGTCTATATAGAGGCTCAAGTCGACCGACTGGTCACCGCTGGCAGCTGCATATTCTGAGGAATGCTGCTATGTTCAACTACTTTACGCTATGCAATGCTGCAGATTCTCTTGATAAGTATAGCCCCTATTCTTTGAGTAAATTCTGGCTCGGCGTTGTTTTCCCATGAAGCGTTCTATCAAGGAATGGAGGCGCCCGCCTGACTAGCGTCGGTGCATATACATGCATGGTGTCTGGTTCACTTCATGCAACCTTTACGGGAGCTTTTGCGGAAGAGCAAGTGTGCGCGCCGAGCTCGCTGCGCGATGACTCTGGTGGAGAAATGATTTGTATGCGCTCACGGCAGGCTCGGCACACGAAGTATCACACGAACTGACGATTATCTCTAAAGCAAGCTCTGAATAGTCTTAGCTGACGGCATCTGTAGGTCTGGCGCGGACTGATGGCTGCGCCTCTTGACGCACATAACAATCGCGTCCTGAGGGATCCTTATCCAGACTATATCCGTGTCAGATTAAAACGGAACACTAAATTGTGCGCTCTGCTCTTGCCTTTCATGCTTTCCGAACTTTTCTAGATCTACATCCTCGACATTTCATGAGCAGCAATACGGGCATTCAGATTCACTGGTGATTGCGAGATTCTCAAGTGTCTCTTTGGAGAAGCTCCATGGACACGTTGCCGCTGGGTTTCTTTACCAAAACGGAATCAAGACTACACGCGACGAGCTCGAACAAAGCTTCGTAAAATAGGTGGTATCCATATCCAAGTCATGCGTGGAAGCCTCCACTCTTCCTGTTTACTCCCGTTTGGTACGCTTAAATAACGCGTTCTGCACGTTTTCCACCTCTGTGTCATGCCAAGTCGTTGGCGCAGCCAATGCGCGCCGCTGGATCGACGAAGAAGAAAACTCTAAGTTGGCCCATGACGAGTTGCGCTCAACGCCAAGCCCATATTTCACTAAACTTGTCTCACGAATTCGTCGATTCCTCTCCATAGACAAATCCTCCTCTCGTTGTTAACGACGAGAAGCCAGCATTCGACAGCAGCATGGTACCTCTGACCGTAAACGCTCTCAGATGTTTCCGTCCCTTCTGTTTGTATGGAAAACGGTAATGGGCTCGGACGTTGTTCATCGGAGCGGTCGTTTTCCGCGGAGAGTGCGTCACCGCTTCGCAGGGAAGGAACGTGGAACCATGGAAATTTCTCATCTTGTTCTCCAGTTTGGATTTTCTTTCTCGGACTTTTTTCATGATCGACAAGTTCACCGTCCATAGATCCACTGTCGAATAGAACAGCATTCGCTTGTGCGTGCAGCGGACGAAGGACTCGCCGAGGGCATCGCCCAGAAGAGGCCTGTGAATATGAGGTACGGCACTTGGCATGGAACCAGAGGAAGGCAACGACACGAGCTTTCAGTACCCCTCAAGCGCATCTACCGCTTGATGAAAGAAGCATTCTCACGCGTCAGGACGGCCCTTAAAGAACAAAGTATGGTGGACGTATGAGAACGTCAGTAAACAGCCAAGTGCCGCCCTTTCCAGGGCACACCAGGATGTTTACAACGGAGATAAAAGTTGGCAAGCGAAACGTTGATTACAACCACCGCCTGTGCATAAAGTGCAATGAAACCATCCGACAGTAGGGAAATCGGTACTTGAACACTGCCGTCAACTTCCTGCGACGACGACTGACACCGGACCTTGAGGGAACGGAGAGATCGGCGGCTTCCAAGCCCTGGATACAACAGCGGAAAAGAGTGTATTCGAGTCAAAAGCTCCCAAAGGGTGACAACGATGATCTTACACAGAGACTATAACTTAAGAGTATACAAATCCGAGATAGATACCCTGTTCCCTTTCTTTCGGACTCGTTGTCGAGAATCCGTCGAAGGGGTGACAACGGTGATCTTACACAGAGACCATAACTTAAGAGTATATAAATCCGAGATAGATACCCTGTTCCCTTTCTTTCGGACTCGTTGTCGAGGATCCGTCGAAGGGGTGACAACGGTGATCTTACACAGAGACCATAACTTAAGAGTGTACAAATCCGAGATAGATACCCTGTTCCCTTTCTTTCGGACTCGTTGTCGAGAATCCGTCGAAGGGGTGACAACGGTGATCTTACACAGAGACCATAACTTAAGAGTATATAAATCCGAGATAGATGCCCTGTTCCCTTTCTTTCGGACTCGTTGTCGAGGATCCGTCGAAGGGGTGACAACGGTGATCTTACACAGAGACCATAACTTAAGAGTATATAAATCCGAGATAGATGCCCTGTTCCCTTTCTTTCGGACTCGTTGTCGAGGATCCGTCGAAGGGGTGACAACGGTGATCTTACACAGAGACCATAACTTAAGAGTATACAAATCCGAGATAGATACCCTGTTCCCTTTCTTTCGGACTCGTTATCGAGAATCCGTCGAAGGGGTGACAACGGTGATCTTACACAGAGACTATAACTTAAGAGTATATAAATCCGAGATAGATACCCTGTTCCCTTTCTTTCGGACTCGTTGTCGAGAATCCGTCGCTCAAACAATCGTCCACGACGCATTTGAATTCCCGGGCCGCCCTGTCCAATCTGCCGCGTCAGGCACAGCGGAGGCGCTGGCGCGTTCACGGCGGCGCTCTACGAACCTCTAGCTCTACCAACAAGTCATTGGACGAGAGCGTCGTTACGAGAATATCGGAGCACCGTCGCTCTTGGACGACAACCAGGAGGCAAGGGTGAGCAGAAGTGACAATGCGAACCGAACGCGGCAATGCAGTTGCTTCCTCGGAAGCTGGGGCAATCTGGTTCCAACTTCTTCAAGCAATTGGAGTGCCATGCTCGAGTTCCGACGATTCAGACTGGCTCTCACCGTGGAGGCTGCTGCTTCAGACGCAGTACGAACGGTTCATCGCTCACTGGTACAGACAAACAGAAGAACCAACACGTGCTGAGGTGGAGGAATCACTTGGTCGTCTTTGCGTAGGTGACTCGCTAGGCCTGGATATATCTGCGGAGAACGGCGACGCTGAGCGGATACCGTTGGAGTTTTTAGGCTCGGGGCACGATACGCTGTCGCTGCATCAGATCCCGGTGGCGCTTGTCCATATGGAAAAATTCTGTTTCGCTCTTGAATCGGCCCTGGAAGGTGTCAACAGAGAGCCGGCGCGCACCGACGTCCAGCCGGCGAGTCAGGGTGGCGACAGCGTTCATACGGGTGCTGAATCCGTGGTTACGGGGCTCTATGCTTCCTGTCCGGACGTTTCAAGTATCATTGGAGTGCTGTACGCATGGATCAGGGTCGGTATGCAGCTGGAAGAGCAGTGTGGTGCTGCCTTAGTGCGTCGCAAGCGGGCCGTGCAATTCAGCCAAGAGGGCGCACCTGAGAAGCGAGCAGCATCGGAGCAAAACTTTCGCAATGGCGACAAACAAGAGAGAGACGAGCGCTTCCGAAACCAGACTACTTGCCGTGTAACAAGTGATAGAGCCTCCAGTTCCGACGATTCAGCCGAGGACTCACAGGGAAAAGACCATGAGCAAGCCAGTACCGGGCTTTCAGATGTTTTGTTCACGCAGACACGCCTCAGGGCTGCGGTGCTTAGCATGCTCGCTAGCCAGGCGTACTGGCGTGTACTTTCCGTCATGCCCGAAGCTTTCGTTCCCTTCGTCTTCAAGGCCGCTGTGCACGCCCTGAGGCAAATGACGCGCGCGCAAGGAATCGGAGCGCTCGTCGAGGAGGTCAGCACGAAAACGCTATCCGCGCTTGCCGCTCTCTTCGACTCCATACCATGGATTCGCTATCTGCTGCGAATCGGTATCCAACAAGTGTCGGTCACAGGACCACTTCAGCCTCAAGGTCACCGCGGGTCGCCGCTCGCCGATGATGATTCTAACTCAGCGGGCCTCGAAGAATCCCTGAGCGGTGCATCAGAACTCATCCTCCGCAGATTGGTTGCAGTCGGGCTGAACAAGCCACGTTCCACCAAGCTGCTATGCTCGAAGGAACAGGTTTTTCGAAGTGCTTGGAAGAATATGATCATGGTGACTGCATTCTCATCCGAGCAGCTCGTTCGCGGAGCACTACGTCCTGTTCTGAATCTGTTCATAGAGGGTCTCTCTCTCAAAGGAGCGGCGCCGGTTATCGATCCCAGCCCAACCGCTACCCCGGCAGCGTCCAGTAATGCGCTCCACTCGCTTTCGACTGCGTTGTGTGAGCTTCTCCAGGCTGCCGGGAGAGAGGCCCCAGAAGAGGCGGGCACAAGCATTACGGAACGAATCTCAGCCGCGGTGCTTGTTCTGCTTCAGCATTTAAGCATCCGAGCGCCGGAGACGGCGGTTCGTCGCTCCACTCTAGCACAGTGCATTTTATCCTTTTTGATCACAATGGAATCGACCGATATCTACCGCTTCTGCTCTTTCGTTCAGAAACTCACACAGCATCCACGTGCAGCGGTTCGATGTCTGGCTTTGGAGATCGCTGCGAACATCGAGGAGGAGCCGGATGATGACCCCGCTAAGTCTTCAGAGGACGCCGCGGTAGCCTGGGCGCTCTTCTATCGGTCAATTTGGGCTCGAATACGTGATCGTCATGCCCTGGTCCGAGCACGGGCGCTTACTGCCACAGCTGCAGCCTTGGATCACCTTGCCGGTGCGAATCAGTCCAAGGCGCGAGCGCTGCTGCTCCGTGAGCGCCAACTACTCATCAGTCGATTGCGGGACGAAAAAGCACCCGTGCGAAAGAGTGCCCTCACGCTCGCGTTCATAACGCTGGAGATGCTGGCGCAGCGAAGCGAATGGACAAGAGCTGCAGATCGCATCCTGGCTGCTGTGCAGGAGCGATGTGCAGATACACACCTCGCGGTACGACTCGCAGCTGCACAGCAGGTTACGAGACTCGCCAGTTCGGCACCGAGTGCGTTTCGAGAGCGCTTCATCAACGCCTGGTGTGACAGCGTGTTGCAACTGGTCTACGATCCAGAGCCGGCTGTCGTTGAAGCGTGCCTTGAAGGCTTTCTGGAGCTCCTCTTCAGCGCTCAAAACAGCGTCGCGGATGCACCAGCGGAAACCCAGTCGCAGGTGTGCCCACTCGTTGGGAACACTGTGCTCACGATAGCGGCTGGGAAAGGAGACCCACGAAGACCGTTCCTGTTCCTGCTGTGGCATCGCTTAAGCCAGCGAGCGCCGCTACCAGACACCCTCTATCAGTGGCTCTGTGAAAGTGCGCATCCACAGGGGCAACCGGGCGCCTGGCATCTGCTTGCTCAACTCACATCCTATGCGGAAACTGCGCGCCAGGCAGTGGTGCGGCATATTCTGGAGTCTAACCAGCGGATTCTGATTGATCTCGATCCTGACGATCCCGTAGCCAATGAAGTGACTCAGGTTGTGGCTCAGACGGCGCCCGCTGCCGGCCGTCTGGTCCCGCTTATCCAGAGTGATGCGCGCACTCTACTGTTTCAGCTCCGAGGCAATCCTGGTCGGATACCAGCGCTCATCCAGTGCCTTGCACGGGTTGCCACCAACCCGCATTGGTCCCAAGAGCTCATTCAGGCTTGTTCCGAGTTGCTCTCCCTTGAGCCGGCGGAATACGCCTGTTCCTCGCTGGAGGAGCGGGCGTGTGCGCTTACGGCGTGGAGTGAGGTCGTCTTGAGCGGCCTCGCTGCGCCCGACGACGAGCGCCTTCGAGTGCGCGCAGAGGCTATTCTCGCTGATTCCGAGCGAAGCTCTGAGAATTTGCGCGCCTATGCACTACTGGCCCTGGGGAAACTCTGCATTCGGGGCGATGACACCCTTGCCCGGCATGGGACCAGCGTGCTCCTTCGCGAACTGGAGACCAGTGCCTCCTCGGTGTTGCGGAATAACGCGGTGCTCATTCTCGCGGATATGTGTCGTGTATTTTCATGGCTTGCTGATCAGTACGCTGTGCGTATTGCAGCTGCAATGCGAGATCCGTCTCCACTCGTTCGCCGTCAAACCACGATGGTGCTTACAGGTCTCCTCGAAGAAGAATTCGTCAAGCCGAAAAAGGACGGGCTCGTGTTCCTCTTCCTATCCGTAACGGAAGACGATGATCCGATCGTGAGCAAGCTCGCCCGCCAGTGCCTCGAGAGAGTCTTCTTTCCCCGGAATCCTGCCGAGCGGGTGCATCAGCTCCTCGAATCACTCTTCTACTTCAATGACTGTACCTGTCACCCTCGATATAACCAGCATGCTGGAATGCACCAATCTCGGGCGGAGAGAGCGCGCTTCACTTTTCCGCAACAGGAAGCGTCACGTCATCGAATATACCAGTACTTGATAAGCAACTGCACGGATGAGCAAGTGCTTTTGATTGCGGATCGTCTCGCAGCGGAGCTCATTGGCGGTCTACTGGACGGCGAGATGGGGCCCTTTCCCGCTATCCTGGACGAGGATTCGAGCGTGTACAACGTTGTTTCGGATACGTTGAAGCTGCTCGCCAGCCGGAATCTCGCAGGCGAGCGTTGGCACCTCGGCACGCTAGGCTCCTCGATGCATTCCCTGGAATGGATCACAGAGGCAGAAACGGAAACGGAAACGACGGCCATGTGGCTGTTACCTGCGGCAACGAAGCAAACTGTGAGAACAACGGGAGCACTCGCCACAGCGCCAGTCGCCATCCAAAGCACCACTGGGGCACAAGCCGGCCTGGAAGCGCCGAGAAGCGCCCAAGGGCTCGCATCCGCTCAAGCGCGGCCGACGACTCGAGACGCATTGCCACGTGCTGGGAACGCTTCCGAGGAAACAGCACTGCAAGTGTTCCGGGGGCATCTGCTGCCAGTGCTCGCGAGGCAGAGTCTCGAGCAGACCATCCTGCCGGCTCTGGTTGAACTGCGTCGACATTTCGAACAACTGAAACATCCCCTAGTAGGCGTCGTTATCGAAGCGATTCGTGAGCAATTGCGACCTCATCGTGCAGACTTGTGGGTGCTCCTAAGAGACGACCCCGTGTTTGCCCGCGAAATCGCGCATGATCTTCATCAAGAGACAGCGGCTTTGGAGCGACAACGTGCATCCAGCTCCGCTAGGGTAACCCTTTCGACGCAAGTCGCCAAAGCAGGGCATACACCGCGTGGAACACCTGGACTGCGGCCATATCCAGACTCCAACAGTGCCGCACGACCGCGTCGCAGAGGCAGTTTTGGACCGCCGCCGCTTCAGGAAACAAATCAGGATCGTAGTCCACGCACGCCAGCTGCTCAGTTGATGACAGTCAAACTCGTTCACGAAGACATCTTGACGAGCCGCCTTCGACGACCACGGCAGTCCGGCTCGGGGACGAAGACACCGGCCACGCACTCCGTACGCAAGTGCGTATCATTCACGCCCAGTCTCGTAGAGTCTAGAACCGAAGCCGAGACCGAAGTATCGCCACCAAGAAACTCCAGAGGCACACCGTACCCGCTGCACCGCGTCACGCCGCGCAGTGCGGGAGACCCCGCTTCTGGAACTCCCCTGTCGACAACGCTTCTCGACGCGGTGGACGGTCTCTCGATCTCGTTTGAGGTACCGAATCAGTCGTCGGTTCCATATGAGAGGCTCATTCGCCAACGTCGATGTCGACGACACCTGGACGGTCGCTACCCATCGCCTTTCTAAAGCTGGGACGGCCTCTCGCACGAGACCTGCACCATTGTTCTTTCACGGAGGTTCGCTCCATCGCTCCCGCCTCTGATCCTCCGAGGGAAACGGCTCTACGTCTAACGGAAAGCGGAGGCATCAGCTATGAAGATCAAGCAGGTGCGCTGGCGAGTGGCAGTATCCGCATATTCGAAAGCGTCCGGTTCGCGTTATCGACCCTGCGCACCCTAGAACAAAAAACAGCTTTCAAGAAACCATTACCGGACCGAGGCATGTTGGCATTGTCGGATCGCTCTCTGTGAGCGTGAAGCGAATGGTGCACTCGAATTTCGCTCGCTTGAAGATTACTCTTCAAAGCGGTTTCGTTGCGCTCTTCCGCCGGTCTACGATAGCACCTTGTCGAGCAAGAGCGTACGCTTGACAAGGCGGTCGTTCGCTGCTGCGACACGCTCGTGTGAAAGCGTCGCACGAGGTGTCGCTCACGCAAACTCCAGCTTGGCGTCGCGATGCTATTCGTGAGTCTGTTACTTACGCCAAGCGGTCGTCGCTGAAAACATCACACACCAAATCGCTCACAACTTTTCGAGATGATTGTAAAACAGCTCTTCGCCTACCTGTCGCGAATACCCAGAAGACGTTGCACACGCTGCATAAGTGTGTCTTGCCTCGGATCATAGACTTGATCCTTGCTAGGTATTTCGATGACCGCTGGGACACGCCCGGTGTAGCCTTCAATATTGCTCCGTATCCTATTCGCTATATTCTGCGTAATCAAAACCATCCCAACATCTTTGCGTTGGCGAGTGAAGTGCTCGAACGCCTCAGCGATGGTCGCGTCGGAGGTGTCGCGACGCACCACCAGGTACGTCGGGTCAGTCGGGCGTGTTCGGTCGCCTATTCCAGTCAAAAGGAAGCCAGTTACGGTATCTTCGTCCCCGATGATGGCAATAAGCCGGTCAGCGTCCTTGACGGAAGCCAAGTCGCCAGCATCAGTCATAGTTGGCGGCTGCACGGCACTGCAACGCGAGCGTCAGTGCTGCTGCAACTGCAGTCGGCGCGCCAGCGGACTTGCCGCGCCTAGTGGTGAGCGAGCGGTGTCCGTCTGCTCATAGGGTACTTCCCTGGGTGCGGGGAGGTGCTCTCATAGGACGTCCTTTTTGCTCGGACGCTGGCTTTAACCGATATGGATGTGAGGCGTTTGCGTCTTCGGCTGCCGCAGCAGGTCGAGGATGCGCTATCAGTCGAGCTGTTTGAAGACGACGTGCGGGATCGCCAGCAACGCTACGTCGCTCGCCTTGTGAAAAATGGTGCGTGGCAGGGCAACTGGATCATAGTCGCAGGGAGCTGGATCTTCCTTGTTCGACCACTGCTGGGAGAGGGGCTGATCAAAGCCGGAACCGGGTCCGTGCCGGCTGCTTGGGACAGCGCCACTGCGGACGCAAGCTGGAGTGCCAGTGGCTGTCGACTGCCGCGGCACGCATGGGTGCAGAGCTCGCGCCAAGTTGCGGCGAGCGCTCTAGCGAACGGCACTGAACTGCTTGTAGCACTTATCGCGCACTGTTCGGAAGCACCGTCGGACAGAGCGGGCCGTCTGCAGGCCTCAGCCGTGCTACGTATGTTGATCATAACGAAGCCGGTTTCCGATGGACGCCCCGCAGGTTCGCCCGAGGTTCAGCGCCCGTCGAACTCAACACGCAATGGGAGAACGTTGCTTGTTTCGAGTCGCGAGTTGCCGCTAGCTGAACTGCTGGCTGCAGATGAAACCCCCGAGCAAGTCATGGACATATTTTGCTTCGATCGAGGCAGACGGGTGGCACTAGTGCTCGGCTCGCAGCAACTTGTCACGATCAGACTGGATCCCACAGTGTCCGTTTTGCGCGGGCGTCAGACGGGGGGACGGGTGAAGGCGGCAACTGCACTGCGCCGATGGCTCCAGCAGTGGCGGACGTGGACACGTGTCCCGTCACGATGCATGCAGGACACGCATCGTGCAGAAGACTATGCGTGCATGTACGGCTACGGCGGTTACTTGTGTTCAAAGCGGGATGCCGCAACTTGGGATTGTTGGATTCTTCGCCAGAGCCAGATAGAGACATGGCAGGTGACGGACACACAAGTGACGTTGCGTTCGGTTTCGTCCGCAGTGTTTGAGCGGCTATCCCAAGTGCTACAAGTTCATCGCTCGGACCTGATTCCGCTTTATTTGGGCACGGCGGATCATGGCACACATGCAGTACTCGGTGCCGCAACGTTTTCTGTCGCCGAATCGGAGGAAAGTAACCAAGAGGCTGCTACCGCAGCCTCCGAGTCCGACCAGCTGCGACCCGATCACGGGGAATACCAACTGCAGCTATGGGTGACCCCGGTGAGTGTACGTCACCATCCCGAGTCCATTTGGGAGCTCGGTGGGCCGGTACCGTTGGCAAACGTTCGCGTCGCAGCTGTCGAAGAGGTCTTTTTGCATTTCTACTGGACTTGCGCGGACGGATTGGTATTCGTATTTGACCAATGCTCGGGGATGCTGTTCTGGGCGAGTGCTGCCTGGGGGCTCGCTGCTGCGCAGCAAGTTCGCGGGCAAATTGCGCTGTCTTTGGATGCAAGCTTTGGCGATTCGAGCTCGGTGATTTGCGGCTTCGGTGCCAGCAGCGAGACCGGTGTCCTCTGCATGCATGCCGACTGCCGGGTGGATCAGATTCTGCTCCCGTACCGTGCACCCACGGGAGTTGAATCCGCAGCCAGCGAAGCGGATGTTTTATCTGGTCGTGATGCATTCCCGCGACGCGCGATCTGGGAGCAGGTCCTGAATATTTTGGCGTTGGAAGCAGCTGGGGAGCGCTCCGCTGCACTGGCCAGTTTTCACAACGCTCGGTCTCGGTGGAACAGAGAACACGTATCCATCGCCGTTCGCCAAATTCACGAGCACATACTGAAGCGTAACCTGAATTGTATTGTGCAAGGCGCTCTCGAACAGCAAGTTCTGGAAATGCAACGCGAATGGATGCGACGGCTCTGCAGTTTTCTCCTGGCGCACTCGGCACTCGGGTGTGCCGACGACGCAAAGGAAAAACTCTGGGATGATTTGCCTTTGAGCGAACGTCTGAACATATCGCAATCGATCTATAGCATATATATTCTCTACGCCCTTCGATGCATGCTGAACGCGAAATCATCTAGTGCCTGGGACGTATTGGATCGCCAAATCCAGGCACTGAGCGCGGCGGAGCGCGCTCCAGGTGATAACGTTCAGGGTATCCTTTCGGTAATGAACGAATTTTACACGAGCGAGCGCGCACGATTCCTCGCAAGTGAGGACGATGTCAGTGCTGACTATGTCCAAAGCTTGTTGCAGGTTGCGCGCTACGCGACCGGCCTTATCCTGGACGGCGTTTGTATCGTGCGCACAGCTTTACCCGAGTTGCAGGAGCTCGAACGGCGAGCATGTCCCTGGCTCCATTCGTCGAAATCACCGCTCAACCTGCTTTTGCGCGGCGTGACGGAGGAACTACCTACATATCTGGCGCGCCAAAAACGCTTGCAGACCGCCTCAGCGCTCGCGACCCTCTACCATGTTGTTCAGGCTCGGATCGAACTCGAGCGAGCAGTCGATAGCGGCACCGTGGAATCGCGACCGGGCCCAGTGACGATGCTGGAACACCTTCGGTTAGCGGGCTTTGTGGACGAAGCGTCTCGCCTCGCTCGCCACTACGGCATCTATGAGATTCTGATGCGTATCGCACAGGACACTGAAGAAGTGCTCGAGGATCCGGATTCGGCCTCGGCCTTTTTAGAGACGTGCTTCGTGGAACTCGGTCGACCGTTTGCCTGGTACGCGTTCGACTGGTGGCACGAGCGCCACGAATTCGTGAAGCTTTTTGCTTACAAATCACCGCTCTTACGTGAGTGGCTGCAGGAGCGCCAGCATCACGAATGGCTTTGGCTGCAGCTCCTGTTCGACGGTGACTATGCCAATGCTGCGCAAGATCTCCTTCGGATCGAGAAAGATTGCACCGATGATGTCGATGACGCGCTCTTCTACCTCAGCATAGCGGTGCTTTGTTGCCGCGCAGCGAATCCGGATGATCGCGCCTTGGAGATGCAGGCACGGCTGCGTCTCCAGCGTGCCCGAGCGTACCAGCGCCTTGGATGCAGCAAATTCCAAGACTTTGATGAGCTCGTGAACTGGTTCAGAGAAACGGGAGCCCGCGCTCCTCTGACGGCGCTCAGTTCGAACGCGCTGCTACTTCTGCAGATCGCCGATGCCGAAGGGAAGAGCCTGGATGCCATCGGCCTCGTTCTTGATGCCGTTGTACAACGCGAACTGCACTTGTGGCAGCGCCTAACCGAACAGGGACATGAAATGAATGATGTCGAGAAAGAATTGCTGCTCAGCCAGACTGCGTTTTACCAGGTGTTGCGCCAACGTCAAGAGCTCGCACACCACCCTGCTCTGCTGGATTACCTCACGGCTTGCCAGGAGCAGGCTGCTCCGTACATTGCGTTCTGCTTTGAACGTGCACGGCAAAGCAGCTCTCCGCCAAGGAACCTGGTTTCTGCAGAGGCATCAGCAAATGCGACGCACACTCTGGCTGCATCGAACGCACATGCGCACTCAGCGTAGCGCTTGTCGGCGTTGATGAGGTATCAGTATCTCGCCGGAATTCCACATCACATATCGGAGCTGGTACGAGCTTCGCATCTTCAGGTTCTCGTGGCGCGCGTGCGGATCCAGCGGTCATGCGCGGGTCAGCAGCTCGTCCATCATAGCGATACCGTCCACAGGATGGCCGCGGTCCTGCTCCGTTTCAGCCGCAGACAGTGCACAAATCGTCTGTAGCGTATCCCAAAATTATCAACGCCGCGATCGAGTCGGCATGACGGTGCCAGATGCTCCAGTCTGTGGCACCGCTCCCGTCTCTGCGGAGTCCAACGGAAGAATCAGCCGTTCGTATTACCGAGCATGTCGTGAACGAACGTAGCGGATAGGTATAGAAATAGCGTCTCGACGGATGCGATGCGCTCAACGTCCCAGCTGCGAATACGCCGCACCAGGTGACTCGCCATGTTTGCGTAAGTGGAGCCGTCTACGGCGCGACGGTACATGAGCACCTCCAGGCGCTCGACGATACGCGCGAGTAAGGCGCGAGCGGCACGAAAAGTCGGCGATGCCTCCCGTGCCTTGGTCCAGAGGTGCTCCCAGATGCGATCCGCTACCCGCTGCCGCCGTTGCAGGGACACGGGGGGTTTCGGAGCAGCGTGCAACGGTCGTTCGACAACCGGCCTAGTTGGGTACGTTCCTTGAGCGTGCTCCTGGCTGTCCAACGAGGTCGGCACGCGACCCTCAGACGGACGCATGTTACTGGGAGCGCAGATAACGGACTCGTAAAACTCCCATAACTCGGGCAGCGAGTGACTCAACTGCCGCAACAGGTCGTAGTTGACGGGAGCCTCGTTCGCCAGCGCGTCACTACTCATTTGCCAGTGTCGCCTCTACGTACGACGGCTGAACGTGCATTTCCAGTCAAGAACTCGGCCAAGGTACAGGTCGTCGTGAAGCCGCAGACCTCACCAGCGAAGCAAACGCCCTGAACTATCTGCGTACGCGTAGCAGCTGGGCAAATCGTACGATGTTTATCGGTGGTACGCTGCGACGCAGGGTATGTAGGATCGCTGAAACACGAACCTGGATATCCACGCAGATATGGCGCTGGTTATCGACACTCGAGAGCGCATCCCTGGCATCGTGTCATATGCGACAGGCGCTCCGTTTAAAGTCTCGCACCTCACTGGTGTTCCAGTCCCAGGTGTTTGTTATCAAATGCATTGCCGCGGTTTATGGCAGATGCGCTCGAAGTGCGTTCGTTTTGAAGACATAAAAAATCCAAGGGGACGCCATTGAAAACAAATTCAGGGATCCTGGAGGTCTAATGTCGCCTGGCTCAACAAGAAAAACGAAAGAAAGTATCGTTTCGTCGATGACTGAGCGAAGAGGAGCAATTGACGATAAAGGAGAACGAGAAGCAGATGGGGTATAGACGAGATTAGATATTTGCCCGACGGGACGATAACGAGACTGTAGTGGTACAGAGGGCACGAGTTCTAGCAATCCTTCCAAAGGTGAGTTCTAGCAGAGGCAATAAACGCATGCTGTTCGTGAACCGATACTTTAACGCCGCTATCGGTATCAGGAGGTGTGCGGTGCTGAAGACGAGACCCCAGCAGCGGAGGAGGTTTACCTCTATGGGGCAGCCTCTAAAGCTCGAAGGGTGTAAAAGAACCAACTGCAGTCGATAGCAGGTGGCAGGTTGGAAAAGGCTGGGAAGCGTCTGCAGGTGGATATTCATGAACCCTATGGTCGCAGAACGTTTTCGTTCCGTGGAACAGCGACCGAAGCTGCGACTACGGCGCGGGCACGCCCTCGCGCGGCGCGCTTTTCTTTGAACAGCTGTTGCACCAGGAGTGTGCGCACTGGGGGCCTTCGGATAAGACTGATGAGTGAATCGCGGTCTTTTTACGATATTCTTGGTGTCGGCCGTACGGCGACACCGGATGAGATAAAGAAAGCTTACCGACGCTTGGTCTTGTCCGTGCACCCGGACCGCGTTCATGCCGGGGGCAGGGCAGGCGACCCAGCCGCGCTTCGAGAGGCGCACGAGAATTTTCTCCAACTGCAGCGCGTTTACGAAACGTTGATCGACGAGGAGAAGCGAGCATACTACGATGAAACTGGTAAGTGCTTGGACGAAGGACAACACCTGGTTGAAGAGAGCACGCTAGACGCGCTGCACCGTTTCTTTAGAACGTGCCAGCGTCGAATCACAGAGGAAGATATTGTCGCTTTTGAAGCAAAGTATCGGAACTCGGACATGGAACGCGAAGACGTCCTGAACCATTACCGAAATTTTTGTGGCAAAGTGGAGCATCTCATCGATCATATCCCGTACAGCGACGAAAGCGACATCTCGCGTTTTATCCAGATACTGGATGATGCGCTCAGCAAGGGCGAGCTTGAACGCACACCGGCTTATGCAGGTAGCCGCAAAACCCTACTTGGGCGCGCGAAGCGTAGCACACATCGTGCTCGGAAGCCGGGCAAGAGTGAGCGCAACAAGTTTGCTGCGTTGCAGGAAGCGATAATCTCTAAACGAGAAGATCGGGCCACGCAACTTGAAGCTCTATGTGACCGCATCGCCGCCAAATACGCTGCCGTAACTGGCCCAAATTCGACTACCGCCAAACGCGGTAGGAAGGAGCGCAAACGATCCACAGCATCCAAGTGAAATGAGATGGCATTTTATCAAGGTGCTCTGGGGTACAGCAGCACCGCTGCTCCGTTACCGCTGAGCGTGCCGGCGATGCGTCAACGCGTACCTGCACATTGTACGCTCGTTGCGATTCGGAAGGGTGTTGCAGTCGTTTCAGTGCCGCTTTGGGATACACTGCGGACGCCTAGGTCGTCCAATAGTCAACGAAGGCACCGTCATCGAACACGAAGACGAAGCGGGACGGTGGATCGATGCTCCCGGTACGATCAAGACTCGGGTCCATGGTTGTCGAACCTTGTTCTGATTTCTATGGATATGTCTGGGTCTATTTGCGTCGCATGGAAAGTTTCCTCGCCGGCAAGCAACGTCAGCACCAGTGCCGATGGTAGCGAAACTGCGTGCCTGGAGGCATGCTTCTCTTGGACTTGGGCAACCTGCGTCTCGCGCGATGGATATATGCGCGGCCGTGGCGGCAGTTGCGTTGCTGTCCCCGGCACACGACTGCAATACATCAAGATGCGAGGGCAATGTCGCCCGGAGCGAGTCGAGAAACCTGACGTGGACAAGTGCACTGGTCCAAGCTGCTCGGCGACGCGCCGTCTGCATGCTTCAGGTAACGCGTTTGACACTGTTCGATGATCCAGGGACCACGCCAGGCGACATTATGGATCCCAGAGCCGTCCGGTGGGAGATCGGGGCGGGAGATGCAGTTTCTACGAGGATACGCATGCAGCTCTCACATCTTGAGAAATATGTCGGTACAACTTTCCACCATTTTACCCATCAACGGTTGCATCGTATTATCGAAGAGCCTTTGATGGAGGCTCACTCGTGAACTTGATCGGGCTCATCGGCAAAGTTGCATCGCTGTGAGATTCTTCGTGTGCAGAAAGCAGTGTCATCGATGTGATAGGTAGCGTTCGGGGACGTGCTTGCTCGAACGCCCGTGTCTGCCGGAGATACGCCAGGCGTCTGCGGATGCCGTCGACGCTCGTTTACGAGGCGGGTCATGCTGTTCCTCGCATGATTCCGTGAAGAGCGCATGAATTATATGGCTTTAACGATGCTTATTCGATTTGCTGCAAAACAGATAGATGCCACGTTCCCCGAAACACCATCCGTGAGCAGCGCATGCTTACCCAGCGCGCGTAACCGGCGAGCCTACCAGCGCATCGTCTTGCAGCTATGCGAACGTTGCTGGGTGCTTGTCTCTAGACACTGTTCCATGTATAGAGCTAAACACAGCCCCTGCAAACAGAGCGCAGATCGTGGCTGTTCTGGGATCAGCATGCTGGCGAGAATCCAATCCCTCTCTCCTGGTCAATGATGATTTCATCTGATAGGTTTCAGTGTTTTAGCATAATGCCCATGCAGAATAATGGAGAGTTCCATGGAGAGCTCGTTCGCCACAAATCCGCTGGATGCTCCGGAAGCACGAGGCTGCTCCGATGTTGATCGACGCATTCACGTCTCAGTGCACAGCGTGCTTACGAGTACTGTCGCTGCTGGGCTTTTACCGAACCAAGCCTCCGACCTTCGAACGCCTCAGCGTCTGACGCTCGGTTAGCTTATCGCATATAATGTTTTGCTTTCGGTATTGTTACAAGATCTTCAACGTTAGTCGCTGTACCGTGCACGCGTGCTCGTGATGCGTGCACGTCATCCGAAACGCTTTATTGGGAATTCTGCAGAATTCCTTCCTGCACTCTATTTTCACGCTCATTGAAGGAGCAGAGGTGAAGCATTCGCACGCTAGAGAAAGCCCAGCACTATAGACTGCCACTAGGGCATGCGATCCATCGGTCCTTTCCTTTACGAGTCGTCGGACAGCTTGGCGAATGCACACTCGATGCCGTTGATGGCACACGCACGGTCCCAAGTACGCATGGCACAGATCGTCAGCGAGCGCTATTTCGACGCTCAGGTACTCTCTAAAGCGTAGAGGCCCTTCAACTAGTCCGAAATGTTCTGAACCAGGAAGCGAAGGGTGGAACGGGAACAACGCCCCCAGAGTGCGCTTCATGAAGCCCTCGAGATTGTACGCGCATGTTGTTCGAACCTGGTTTGATGCTTTTCGGCACCCGACCTGTGTGTGTTTCGATCCCCGGGGTGGCACGGCTACTTATCAAGGTATGCTAGGATGCGTGTGTGGAACTCCCTCTGATCTCAGGATCAGGTCGTATAGCATCCTCTGTCAAAAGCATGAGCTATGTTGCCGCACGTAGTTTTCATCGAAAACTTCTAGAGGAATACGGGCAATAGGCAGCCTTGTGTCCGCAAGTCTCTCGAGAAGTCGCCTGAGGATGTGCGTTGAGGCGAGACTTCCGTGAGCAAGAAGCTTCGCGACTCGAAATGGTGCCCTACATACCACGTTTACGACGATACCGGATGTTGATGTGTGTCAGGACGTGGCATCTTTACGATGGTTTCAGACTAATCTTTTCGCTCCGACAGCTTTCGCTTCGGGTCACTCGTCGCCTAGTTTTGGAGGATCTTTTTCCTACTTGAACGGTTGTTTCTTCTCCTTCCACTTTACGTGGCAGGATGGGATCTACGTGTTCAGGATGATCAACATCCGTTTTTCCACTAGATTAGGATACCCTAGGCGGAAGTTTTGTTCGAAGCTCTCTTCTCTATGTACGCATCTTCTGCTCCTAAAATATCTTCTGGTCCGCTTCTCCGTCGCGAGCATACCCACAAAAGCGAATAGCGCGTTTCTGCTCGCTTCTGCGCACGAGCAGAGGAGCAACCGAGCAGTTCACGACTGGTGGAGGTACCAGAGAATTACTTGCCGAAGAACTTCGGTGACACGGATGCGGACCACACGCCGATCGATCCGTGTGTGTAAAAATGCCGTTCGATAACAGAGGAAACGCCTGCCATATGGTTGAACCAGGGAGCATTCGCTAGCACGAGGATCCACTCAACCCGTCTCGGCTGCGTTCTACTTGACTATTTTCGTGCGATGCAAAGCGACGCCGTCTTCGGGCAAGACAAAAGAATGTGGGCAGAAGACGTCACGAACGGTGGTTTGACGGAGAACTCGTTTTTAAACAATCCGTTCCGTTTAACGGTTTGATGGCGAACATCCGAGTGAATCGCCACTGGTGCCCAGGTTTTCTTCCTGCTCGTTAGTCTCCTCATTACAAGCAGCGGCTTCCCCGTCTTTGGATACCTGTGCACAAATCTACCATTTCATCCGGATGGTGCCTCGTCGAGTGAGACGAACAGTCATACCTCCTGTACAAGGCATTCGCATTCCAGTACCAAGTCGATCGTGTGCTTTTCGACGTGGAGCGATCTCCCATACGAGCATACCGACTGCTTTGTCCATCCGTGTCTCTTCATCAGCGTGCGTATCAATCGCAAGTAGACTTTACGTCCAGTGGCTTCTTTCCTAGTGTTTCTCAGGGAACGCATGGCGCATTATGGATTGACGAGGCGACAGTCGTGTCAACCGAGTTTGATAAGTTCCGTCTCGAATGCACGACGTTCAGGGTATCGGCTACGAGGCGAGTGATTCATCCACTTGCTGGCCGTAGAATCACTGACTTGTACAAGTAAAGACGTTTTCGGACGCTATCAGTGACAGCAACAGCTCTTTCCGCGACCCCTATTCCAATCTACAGCATACATTCCTTTAAGTGAATACCTGCAGGAAACCAAACCGAAGCAAAAACGGAGCGCTTGTACAGGCGTCTCAGAATTCACTGGTCTGCCTACAACTCCATTCTCAACGAATACCAGAGAAACGTGGGATCCGCGCATGCATCCGCCCACTCGATCAACTTAGGATTCGGGTTCGATGAGGCCCACGCCCCCATGCCTCCGGCGATAGACGACATTGACTTCGCCGGTGTCGGCATTGCGGAAAACGTAAAAATCATGATCGATGTAATCCAAGCAAAGTACCGCTTCCTCGACTGTCTGCAGCGGCATAGGGAAGCGCTTCTTCCGCACGACTTCGCGGCTCGGCTCGATACCCATCTCTTCCAGTTCAGACTCTACCTCTCGGCGATGCTTGCTACCTTCGTAGGGCGCTCCGTCATCCACCGGAACAGGGCTCGTTGCCGGCACGGAAGCCAACCCGTCCATGGACTCCACAGGTGCGCTCGGAGAGGATGCTCGGGTCCGTCGGTCTTCCAAAAGCGCAACTTCGACCAGATCTGCAGTGGGACTGTGCTCATGCAATCGCTCCTTGTATTTTCGGAGCGTGCGCTTCAGTTTATCTGCTGTCAGATCTATCGCAGCATACATATTCTCCATTTTTACAGACGCACGAAGCACTCGCCCACGCGCATACGCCGTCACTTCGCAGTCGTGCGCGTTCTTGATGCGCGGGTTATGCGCCACAGACAGGTGCACTTCGACTCGGGTCACCAGTCCTGGAAACTTTTCCACTACGTGCCCGATTTTGTCCAGAACATGTTCACGGAGCGCCGAAGTCAAGTCAATATTATCGCCGGTGACCGTGATGGGTGTGGTTGTTGGCGCACTCATGCGCAAACACCTCGGCGAGGCGACTCGGACGCGACTGTTGCCGAGTCTGGTTACCGGGCTTAGCGCAGGTACCTGCTGCACGCTGCTACCGTGGCGGCCACCTGACACACCACAACTACGCGTACGCAGTTTCAAGAACCATTGCGTTCTGTTGGAGAAGAGCACGCTGCTGATGAAAACCATGCTGTTTGGCGCTCTTTGGACACAAGGCCGAGTATTCGCGCGGCGTCTACCGCGAGAGATACTTTCGCGACGGCAGATCATCGACGACGCCGGCCGCAACGTCGCAACGCACCTGGACTGGGTGCCGGCGCTCGCACCAGCACCGATTGCGCGCCATCCTACATGCGGATGTCGATATTGCTGGTACCGTATTGACCGGTGTGCTGGATCGACTGGGCGTTTCTATTGACCAGGAATCCCCGCAACTGCGCAATGCTTATCGAAATGCGGGAAAGCGTCCGTTATTCCAGGCCCTGGCCCTATGTTCGACGAGCGGCTAGCCATGCTTCCCTTCACAGTAGCTGCTCAATGCATACGCTAGCATCGAGCGGAGGATCCTGATCGGACGTTCCCGGATTTGCAGACACAGTGAACGTTCAGCGTACAGAGTTTTGAATGTGCAGGGGAACGTTCACGTTGCATAGCATTCAGAGCAGTGCGTATGAATCCCCTTCTTTTTTGAGGTTCAAAAGCGGTGAATCTAGCCGGAGTACCTCGTACGCGCCGATGTATCTAGACGCTCCCGGCAAAAAAGACGACCATATCCCTCCAGACGCTTTTGCATTCCACCGGCTCAAAAGCAGTCTTCCCTGTCGCGCGCCGTGGCACGATCGAGTTGTCGACCCCGCAAGTACCAAGCTCTTTGCGGATGCTCCTCGGAGACTGGGGGCAACCCCTTTGGCCAGACCTAGCGGGATATCAGGCTCGGAGGTTGCCGCGTGCGACGTGCCAGCAAGCCGAGCTTTACCACAAGCGCAAAAGCATCCATAGGAATTTGCTTCGATGTATCGATGCCACATCGTACGCGTGAGGAGCTCGCGTCGGCCGTCGCCTCTGTATCGACCGTTTCGATCACGCGCGCACGCAGCGCGCGCCATATGGCCGTCTGCCGCTGCAGTGCACGCATCGGCCGTTCTGGGATGCGTGCTGTGTTGCGTGCACGCACTGCACGCATGCGCTGAGATGCTGTCCAGTCGTACAGCGCTATAAACAGCGTTGATGTTGCTGCAAGTTGGTGCAATTTGGTCTATCGTGGAAGATAAGAGAGAGTTGTGATGAGCACGGCTTGGACGCCACGAAGATCCCGTCGCTCAGGAGATCGTTTCATTCCCGTACGGGAACGTGACTCAGCGCTCGGACTTGACAGCACGCAACTGCGCTTTCAACTGCAGGTTGCAACAGAGCTTAGTTTTCAAGGTAGGAACACTCCATCTCGAGACATTGCTGCTGAAAGTGAGAATAACGCCTCAGATGTGGGACAAGTGACCGAGTCCAGTCCGTCTCGGAGGCTACGAGACACGTCGCCGATGCACCAGCGTCGGCTCTTGATGGCAGCTAGGGCACGCCACGTTGAGGGGAGCGAGGCGCTTGCGACTTTCGTTCCTGGCCACCAGATAGAGTCGGAACTAAGCCTGGCGCAGGCAGCCGAGCGGTATATTGAGAACGCACGGCGGGATTGGTCTGATATCTTCGGGGCTAGTCCAAGCGCTCCGGCACTACTGGTGTCAGGGTCAGAACGCGCTGGACAGCGCTCGCTGCAGTTAGAAACATCGCCTGATGCGGATGAGGGCACACTGACTTACCAAAGTCGCCTGGGTCGGAGCGTGAACGAGCCACCAGTGGAATCGTCTCGAGAGTCCGGCACGAGTCCGAATCGGGGTCTAGCGGCCGCAGAGCGCGCTGGAGTGCGAGCTGAGCTCGAGACCCTGCTTGCAACACTCTCTGTTGGCAGAGCGTCCGATGCACGTAATGGAGCATATGATGGGAGCGAGCGTCCAGCACGAACATCGCGGGCAGAGCAGCCCCCGGCACGTCGTCAGAGCCGGCGTGAACGAGAGCTCGCGGATCTCCTGGAGCGCATGGACCGCGAGCAACGCGATGCAAACCACAGCGTCTCGTCGTCGTCCCGCAGTTCCACTGTAGAGCAAATCCGTGCTCTGCTACAGGCAGCAGCAGAGCTCGGTGATGCCGCTGATGACGTGGCGGTAGTTGATCTGGCAATGGAGCTTTTCGCGGACCCACGAGCGCTCTACTCAATGGAAACGCTTAGGGGAAGCGTTCAACACTTGGCAGGAACGCTCATGCGGGGTACATTGGCAAGCCCCGGAGGCACCGGCATCTCGAGTCTCGCGCCTGGGATGCTTGCCACGGATGTGGGCAGCCGAGTCACAGAGCTTCAGGGCGTCATCACTTGGTCAGAGGGCGGTACCGTGACGCGTCCAGGCGCAGCAAACGCCAACGCGGTTCTGGCCCTGAGCGCTCATTTACCGCCGCATGCGCAACATGCTACGATCGAGTCAGCTACACGATCTGCGAACGAAGCTGCATACCTCACCCAGACCAGCGGAACCGGAGGTGCTGCACCGAATACTTCCACACCGGGGATTTCGCCGAGTACGACCGGGCGATTCGTTGTATCAGCGCCTGGTGGGCCATCCACGTACGCGATCATCCTGGAGAACGAATTGCTGCACGAGGTGAATACGACGCGCACTGAGCTCGCTACCGATATGGATGCACTCGTTGCGGAGAATGAGAGTACATCGCCAACGGAACCACCACCGAGCGGCCGTCGTCCAGAACCCGGCTTTGGACTGGCCACGCCGCCCCGGCACTCGAATCCGACCCGAGCAACAAGAAACTCGCCAGTGGCCGCCTCGCCGGGAGCCAGCCACGTCTCGAGCTCGTCCGCGACACCAGTGGTCGCTCGTCGCAGCTTGCTGGAATTCTCTCGTCAGGATACCAGTGTGCATGAATCGAGCCCGTCGCCGCGTCATCGCCAGTACTCAGAGAATAACGGCTCACCGATTCGTCTCGATGCTTTGCGAACATCGCCTGTGCTTGCAGCGGATCCAACCATTGCTCGTCAACTTGGGCTTGGCCTGAGACGGAAACAGCGGAAAATAAGCAGAGTCCCCTTTAAGGTATTGGATGCTCCAAATCTCGCGGATGATTTCTACCTCAATCTGCTCGACTGGTCGGCCCGGAATATCCTCGCTGTTGGGTTGGGCAATTCCGTCTATCTATGGAACGCCTATAATTCCAAAGTATCCAAGCTGTGCGAGCTGGATACCCCGCCCCAAGGTGTCTGCTCCGTGTCGTGGGCACCGTCCGGTGACCTTATTGCTGTTGGGCTAGCCTCCGGGGTGGTCCATCTGTACGATCCGACACGCCAGGAGGCAGCCCAGATGCTAACCGGACACACGGCACGCGTCGGGTGTCTCGCCTGGAACGGGCCGCTGCTCGCAAGTGGCTCACGCGATCGCACGATCATGGAGCACGATGTTCGTGCGGGCAGAGAGCCAGTGCGAACACTTGAAGCGCATCGCCAAGAAGTTTGCGGCCTGCGTTGGAGTTTCGACCAAACCCAACTCGCGAGCGGAGGCAACGATAACAAACTCTTCATCTGGACACCGCAAGCGCGACGCCCGCTCTTTAGATTTGAAGAGCATGAAGCGGCAGTGAAGGCGGTGGCTTGGTCCCCGCACCAGCACTGTTTGTTGGCTAGCGGCGGCGGCACTGCGGATCGATGTATCCGTCTGTGGAACACAACCACCGGCTCCTTGCTCCAGTGCGTGGACACCGGATCCCAGGTTTGCAACCTGCTCTGGAGCCGCGCCGTCAACGAGCTCGTAAGTACCCATGGCTATTCCCAGAATCAGATTGTGCTTTGGCGATACCCGAGCATGCAAAAGGTGGTCACACTCACCGGACATTTGCTGCGTGTGCTGTACTTGGCTGCCAGCCCCGACGGTTCCGTTATAGTAACCGGTGCGGGCGATGAAACCTTGCGCTTTTGGAACGTTTTCCCGCCGCCACGAAGCGCTGCTCGCATGTCGCAACAACGAGCGGCCTCATCGTTGTCACCGTCGCGTCTGGGCGGGACGCGATCGCTGTACGCAGCGGCGTTGGCGGACCTCACGACGCTGCCGTCTGCGTACGCACCAACACCCAGTCAAGCGTCACCGATGCATGATCTCTGGAATACCAGCGCGATGATTCCGAGTTCATTCATTCGTTGACTTGTGGATGCACCAACATCCAATCACGCGTCACCGATGCATGATCTCTGGAATACCAGCGCGATGATTCCGAGTTCATTCATTCGTTGACTTGTGGATGCACCAACATCCAATCACGCGTCATCGATGCATGATCTCTGGAATACCAGCGCGATGATTCCGAGTTCATTCATTCGTTGACTTGTGGATGCACCAACATCCAATCAAGCGTCATCGATGCATGATCTCTGGAATACCAGCGCGATGATTCCGAGTTCATTCATTCGTTGACTTGTGGATGCACCAACACCCAGTCAAGCGTCATCGATGCATGATCTCTGGAATACCAGTGCGATGATTCCGAGTTCATTCATTCGTTGACTTGCGCAACACGTTCCGTGCATCGAGTCTGATGGCCTTGGTGAGCGATGCAAACGTTACAGGGCGCGGTTAGCATGCTTCTGAGCGTGCGTTCGTTCTGGACCGCAGTTCACTCCCTTGTGTTGGTCAAGGCCTTGCACGCTTTCCACTGCATCATAGCCCTGCTGCTATCAATATCGTTGCTTGGAACACACCCGTACTGATGTCCGTACTAATTCCCAGGCCGTAGGTAGCGCAGCGTCTGGAATGCTGGTTGGCAATGTGCATGCATTGTCGATGTTAGCGGGAACTCGTTTCGTTTCCAGTACACGATCAATAGATCAAACTGGAATTCCCGTGGAGCGTGATTGCATCGGGAACCAGGCTCCAGAGACTCGTGCTTTCTTCAATGATTGACGATCGAAGCGCCGAACCAGAATTCCTCGGTGCGCGATTGCGTCAGGAACATATAACCGATTTGCGCTAGCGTGGCGCCCTGCACGCAGCGCTCCACTAGGATCTGCAGCGCTCAGAGACTCGGTATCATGTGAGGAATGCATCCACGGCTGCTAGAACGCTCTGCGGTGCGAGCGGCGCTTGGCCGGCTGCGGCTACGACCTTTGGTGCCAACGCGCTGCCTCGTGTGTATGCCGGCGCTGCGCTTGAATTGCATCGATACTGTCGTTCTGGTTATGCGTCTTTGAGATGGATAAACCAGCGACCGTACGCTGTGTGACGCCTTGTGCATGACCCTGGTGGAAGGATTTCGGATGCGCACCACGAAATAGTATGGAAAGTGTCATTCTGGCTATGCGCCCGTGATATATATGATCTAGCGCTCGTTTGCTGCATCATACTCTTTACAAGACGTTGGTGGGCGGATTTTGACTGCACGCCGCTGCAGGGATTTTTCGCAGTCTTGGAGGCGCGCGAGCAGTCGCCTTGCCAGCAGTGCACACTGCCTGGTGCACATACGAGGGTTTTCTTGGGCGCCATGGGGTCACGTCACGTCCGCCAGAACCTGCAACAGTCGATCGAGGCGCACCAGGTTCTCCTCTGATTCGCCGGTATCTTTGCCCGTGAGGGTAGTCTCTCTGGCCATTTCCAACAACATGAGCGTCTTTTTCACTCCGAGGCGTTTTCCCGAGAGCGCTTCAATAGCCTTGTTGCGCTCTTTCTCGGAAGCGAATGCGAACCCAGAACCGCGCACCACACTTGCGACTTCCTCTGGTAACAGCCAGCTCGTCTGGAGACTAGCCTGAAAAGCCGACCGCAGCTCTAGCACATCAAGTACCTCGCTATTGCTCGTGGTGGCCACCACAAACAAACGTCGATTCGCAGGCGGGACTCGTTTCACCAGAACCAGCAACGACTGCACAACAAGGTTACTGAATCGCGGCCCGATGGGTGCATACTCCACGAGCCGCTCAATGTTATCGAGAACGATGATGCTCAGCGACGAGCGATACGCATCCTCGAACGTTCTCGCAATCGCTGCAACCTTGGCCGGCTCACTGAACCCGACAAACTGTTCCGGCGCAATGAGGCGAATAAAGGGAAAGTCGGATTCGATGGCTAGCTTGGCCGCCAAAGCGGTCTTGCCCGTGCCAGGTGCACCTTCAATGAGCAGCGTCATGAGAGGCGAGCGCTCCGCTTGTCGTACCTGATCACGAAAGAGGCGGCCGCTCTGCAAGAGGCGCTCCAATCGCGCCCCGTAATCAATAAAGCCTCCGACGAGACATCGTTGGAGCTCGTCCATGCTCACACCAAACGCAGGTCGTACTTCTTCCAGCGCTCGACGAAAGTCGTCCATACCGACGTAGACCGCATCGGGGTCTACGGGTTTCGTGATCTGGTTCAGGTCAATGTGGCGATACAAAGCGTAGGCGGCTGCCGAGCGGCAGAGACCTTCGAGTTCTGCCCCGGAGTAGTTCCGGGTTTTCGCAGCGAGCTCCTCCAGTGATACGTCGTCGAGAAGCATTTTGTTTGCCCGCATTTTCGCAGTGTGAATTTGAAGGATCTGGAGGCGGCCCTGCTCGTCCGGTAAACCGATTTCGATATGTACTTCAAGTCGACCTGGGCGCAGTAACGCCTCATCAATCAGGTCTTTCCGATTCGTCATCCCTATGATCAAAATATTATTCAGTGCGTTCACACCATCGATCTTGCTCAAAAGCTGGTTCACGACGGTATCGTGGACGCCGGTCCCATCACGTTGGCTACCACGTTGTTTGCAGATTGCGTCAATCTCATCGAAGATGAGGATGTGCAGTTCGCTCTGATCACCATGGGCGAGGTAGTCGGCTTCGGCTTCTTTGAAGAGGTTGCGAATGTTCTCTTCGCTCTGTCCAACGTATTTATTGAGGATCTCGGGCCCGTTGACCACTTTGGGCTCCTTCCCGTTCAACATTTTGCCGATCTGTCGAGCGATCAGCGTTTTTCCGGTGCCTGGCGGACCGTGCAGCAGCATGCCACGCACGTGGCCAATACCGAGCTTCTGGATCACTGCTGGCGGGAAGACTCGGGACGCGAACGCCCGACGGAAGATGTCGGAAAACTCCTTGTCCAAACCGCCAATGCCCATGCGTTCAAAGTTAAAGTCTGCACGAAAGAGTTCGCGAGGCCGATTCTCGCTGCCACGAATACGTACGTTCGCATCGCGAGCTCGCACGAAAAGGAAGCTGGTCTCTGCGCCGAGCATCGCCAACAGCGGCGAAACTGGCGTCGGTCGCCCGCCGTCTGGCGCGGCGGCCATCCCGTCCAGCCGGGCAGCAACTAGAAGCAACAGCGTGCCGTAGTAATCAAGCACCACTGACTGTCCTACGCTGATGACGAACGGCACCAGGCGTTTGCGTGCGAGTGCTTCGAGCTCGTCAGTGGACAACTCGGGAGCTGCCAGTGAACGTCGCTTCACCACAGTATCGATCTCAAAAGTCGCGGAAACGGCGTGATGTGTGTCCTTGGTCAACGTGTAGGTGCGCACGGGCACCGCGTCGCCGAGGGCAAGCTGCAGCTCACGTCGCTGAACCGCGTTCAGACCAACGGTACCGCGCTCGACCGCAGCGTCCGCAGCGGTCGGGTACGCCCATTCCGTACCGAGAGTTACGAATGTAGCTTGCCTCAACTGTGCCAAGTCCTGGGGATGAAGGAAAACTCGGTTCGTTTTTGCCTGCTCTTGGCCGGGGCAGGCCGCGACGCGAAGCGTCAACGCCATAGCGCTACGTAGCGCTCAGTGGTGCGGTTGTTCCGCGTCCGTTTGCGAGTGCCGGTGGTTCCGACGCAACTGGTTAGTGAACGAACCTGCTCGAAAACTACCTCGATCAGTTAGCTTGATGAAGATGCGCACGACGGACGTCGCCCTCCACGAGTTGCGGTGCTGCTCGCGAGTGCGCAGAACGCGAAACGGTACGCGTAGCACGAAACGGCATGCGCGCTGTTGCTGCACTGCTTTTGTGAAAGACTGTACCATTAGGGTACAATAAGGAATATATTTGAATCAAGCGGACTCGATATTGGAATGACGCGTGTCCAGCGCTGGGATGACCATCGCCTGTTTTCCCTAACGCTACAATACTTTTGTGTGACAAAAACGTGTACATAGGCCCGCGTTTGCAGACAGCGCGGTTGATATCAGCTCGCTGTGAAGCATCAATGGTTCCACGCCCTACTTCCAAGTTCCATAACCCACTCTTTTCTCGGATACACTGGTGGTTTTGTACGTTCTATCGTGCATGTCGTGAGCACACGCATTAGCGCTTGTAGCGCCGCTGCGGTCGGGGCATGGACATAGAACGGCTATGCCGTACCCCAGAGAGTGTCGGCTAAGGATGGTGGACGGAAACCCAGTAACAGGTGCCTCCCAGCGTTTTTTGTTCGGTGGCTTTTTATTCGTTTCAGTTTCTCCGCGCGCGCGCGCACTTCGAGCCGGAGAGGCTGCCCCATGACGAAGGATCCCGCCAGCTCCTCGGGCCGCGACTTGAGCACCGCACATTGTCTGATATTGACGGCAGCGTTGAGGTCTCGGGTCACGAGCTCCCTGCGTTTATTGCCTGTGGTGGAACCCATCAACGCAAGGATACATTGATCTCGGAAACTCAATGCGAATACAGCCTCATCATTGCCCCGTCTTGCGAGCAGATTTTCTGTCTCCATCTAACCTCTTTTCCTTCGTCATTTGTTCTTCTTCGCTCTATGGTTAGCACGAAGAGGATTTTGGGGGTTTTGGCGAACTCGGTGACACCGAGCCTCCAGGAAGCACGAAATTCACATCCATACCTTTCCATTCGATTTTTTATTTCTTCAATTGAACGGAGCGCATTATGCCCTTAGGTGAGTACTGTCCCGCAGGGAGAACAGATTGCTTAAGAGAGACGACATGTGCCTCGACCTGAACGTGCTGAGCGCTTCAGCGATTCGCCCAATGGAGGGATCATTGCGTTTCACACAAGAAAACCATTCTTCGATCGGTTGGAGCCACGGGGCATACAGAGGAATGAATAGCAGCTCGTTTCTCCGACAGATTCGGCAAAAGCTCAAACAAAAGGGGAATCTTGGAATACGGCGCTGTCCAATAGAAGGACGTCGCCATACGTGAGGGAAAAGTCTTCAATGATTCGGCAAAATAGGTGCTGTTGCATGAGCCTTCTCCACGAGCGAAACTGAGGTCGCCAAATGAATCCACTGCAGTTAGAACGGACTGCGTCTTCGTTTTTTCCGCGTTTCGTCGTACGTACAAACGTTTCTTTGTACTCGGATACCCCATATCTGCTCTGACGGTTTCGAGGGTAGCAGGTCTCATGTAATGAAAAAACAATCCAACGTCGCCCTGCTTCGTACCGATCCCAACGTTCCAGGAACGCTGTTCTCGCGATATCTGTGCAAGATGGCCATGTGTCAACTACGACTTTTTTCCAACTGTAACCCAGTGTTTTCAGCACCACACGAACGAGCGGCTGAGAAAGAGAGACGCCCCTATTGGCCACAATCGTTGCTCTTGCTTCCAGGAACATTTTCAATGAGTCGTTTCCTACCATTGACTGCAAGCAGTCTGTGACCGTTTCGGTTTCGGCGCGGAGAACATGGAACGCTTTTTCTCAGCGTTCGTCAACGATCTGAGCACCGCCGAATGACCGACCCGAGTCAGGAATGCAGTCCTCCCTGTACTGATCAGTAAAGAATATACATCGTACACGCAAATCTTCTGCGATCTATACGGCACATTTCATGATCATTTCAATATCCTGCTGTACGTCGCAGGCGGCACGAAACAAAAATGAGTTGAAAGACTATAGGTCCAGTCCGCAAAACTCGGGCGTACGGATTATGGTTTCGATCGTTTCCCCGTGTCAGCAGCACTGATGCTTGATGGGCCTCTTCTGCGACTGCTTCCTTTCCCTCTCTCGTATCTCCTGGTTTAGGTTCGTCAATCTCTCCTTCCTATCAGGCAGTGTCGCACGCAGTCGACAAATGGTGGTGATAGCGTTCAAGTCGCGATTTCGCCGCTCCCAGCTGTTTTCGGTGTACCTCATGCATAGGCAAAAGGTGCGATCTTCTGGACGATTCACTCCACGAGTACGCGGTCTGGTGCACACGCAAGCGTGCACACTCCCATTCGATGAATCATTTGTGAAATGTCATTTTGTCGCTGATGAAGCAAGTATGGGAAGAAAAATCCAGATAGGTGAACAAGTCGAGAGATTTGGATCCGGCTCAGCTCCCTTTTTTGCAAAGCAGTGACGCACGCTCGACTCAAGGCGATCGCTGCCATGACCCAAGTGCGAGTCCAAGACCCGTTGGCATGCTAGCAGAAGAGAAAGGAGCCTCTACGAGCGTGTCTCGTGAGAGACATCATGCAGCTGCTGTGGAATTACGTTTTGTCGATAGCCACAAAGTGAGGCGATACTATCTCTCGAATCGAACCGATTCTTCGACGTGGCTCATGGTGTGGAATTTCCACATGAGCTTGTGCAGAAGTCGACCAGGGATGTCATCGAGTTTTTTTCTCCTCGTCAGTCAGGATGCACGAATTGCAGCGCCCACGAGTTGCCTCAAAGCAGATTGATCAAAAATTGAACAATGTGTGATTTGGGCACTGTTCACGTACGAAAAGGAGAAGCGCGGAGGCCTCTGCCAATGAATTGGATTCTGATATCGGTTATTTTACGAAATGCTTGATGGAGGGCGTTGCGAATCATCTTGATTTCGATGACGTACTGCATTCCAGCAGCAGAAACCAGAAAAGAACTGCCCAAAAACACAACCGAAAATCTGAAGCCTATGTAGGAATCCGTAGGCCCCTGACCAATATACTTTGAATATCGGGGCTGTGCATCTAAAAAAACCAGAAAGAAATGAAAAATCAGGAACAGAGCGCGCAGTTCAGTGCTCGATTTTCATCTGAAACGGATGTAGAGAGCAGGGTTGTCGACACACGAACCAGGAGACTTCCCCGGCGATTCCACGATGTTTTATCGACCTTCGGGAGAGTGTTCAGCACGCTGCTCCTGGCCTCCCAACTTCTATCGGTCATCACCATCCATACCACCCCACAGAGCGACCGCACGCCACCGCTCTCTTGTCTAGTGTCCTGGGCCTCGTGCACGCATCGCCTGCGAGCCTCTTGGTGACCAGCGCGCCGCGCAGGCGCTCCAAACACCCCGCACAGTGCGGAGCAGGGAGCCTGTGTCAGAGAGAGCGCTCTTTTTCCACATATTCAAGCTCCTGGGATCACGTGTAGCCTTTCGGGAAAACCGTTTACGTCTGGAACCTGCCAAAGCGTTGAACTTGGAACAAGCGCTACTCGTGGCAAGTTTGCGGCGTGCTTATCACGTTTTCGGGGCCGATATCGCTGCGCGATAGTCGCGGAATATCCATAGCATCCGTACCGCCGAAATTGCATGCAAGTTTGCCGCAAGCTGCAGCCTCCATGGAACAAGTCGCGCATCGACGCATCGCTGGAGTAAACGCGCTATGCATCAACCCCGACGAGCATCACCGGAGCGCGCACTAGTCCCGTTGTATGTGATTGTCAAGCCAGGTGCGCAGCTGATCCATTTCGCTTTCATGAAGAACAAGGTTTGCCTGAAATAAGCACTCTGCGGACATCGGTCGATGACGTTCCATCATGCGAATGCAGGCCTCGTGCCCCGGATACGCTGGATCGAATGAGGTCCCGTTCAGGTGCAGAACTTGGGCCATGGCATGGCGCGATACCCCGAGCATGATTGCCAAGGCAGCGTACATGTCAGGCTTTCGCGCCAAAGCTGGAAAAAGCTCGATGTTCACCACATGGCGTGGTTTCCCGAGCGAGAACAAATGCGACCACTCTGCGCCGTGCATCGCGATCAACGAGCGACGCTGGTGCACCGCGACGTACTGGTCGCACCACGAGAGTTCCCCAAAATCGGGAATGTAGTCTGCATCGAGTCGTTCTGCCAGCTGATCGCTGTTTAAAAGACGCCGCCGCTGCGAGCTGCGTCCCAGAACGACGGCTGGCCGCGCTGGACGCTGTTTTGCGCGCTCCACATGCTCCTTCGAACATTCCTTCTCGAAAAACTTGAATGTGGCGAGGCGAAAAGCCTCCAGTAACCATGGACGAAGCGCGTTCGCTGCAGCGCGTTCCGACGCACTTATTCCATTCAGGCCTTTCGAATTCGGATTGTAGGTCCAGTCCCAGTTCCGTATGGGTTGCTCGCGCGCACCAACAGATAGGTCGCGAAAACACCAACCCTCCGCATCAGACACGGGATAGGGAAGTCCAACATCTCTTCCTATGAAATAAACATCTTCAACGAGGCTATGGATCATACGGATGACTCGAAGGAGTCGTTCGCGTCCGCCATTCGGTGGAAACCCGCTCTGCCCGATGTCACGCAGATCGAAGACAACCACAAACGGCAGCGGATACAGCGTCGGGTCCTGTTCAATGTGACGCACAAGGTTCACTTTTTCGAGCATGAGTAACGTTGCAACCAGTGGATACAGGTAGTCCACAGTGGTATGGGCTAGGTTACGAAGCCCGAAGTGCGACGGTCGAGTGAGCACCGCCGTTCTCGCCTCGAAACGCCTGCACAGCCGCAGCGGTGATGTTCCGTCCGCGTGGGCGCCGTAGAACTGAGCTTCATCAAGCAACTTAACGTTTTGCGAGGCGCTATAGTAAGAGGACATCACGGTTAGGAAGTGGCTGGTAGCGGTGCTGTTTGGCGAGACCGACGCAGGAGCGAGGACTTGGTCTCCGGTAAGGACGGCTCGCGACAAACGTAAATAGGGCAACTTCGTAACGCCTTCAAAAGTGCTCAGGTTCGGAGGAGCCGCCCCGTCCGACATAAACGGTGGAAGCCCTGGCACGTCTGTGGCAACGCCACTAGAGGACGTCGGCCGGGAGCCAAAAGGAAAACCTTGGCGAGCGCCCAAGGCTCTCAACAGCAGAATCACCCACGCGGTGAGAACGACTCCGCCTAGCAGTCGGATCCATAGAAACTCGCGAGACCGCTCTATCCGTCGCACTAAACCCCGTATGCCAGCAGCCATGGAGCAGTGACGCACCTCGAGAGCTTCTGGGTGAAGCGCGTCGACATGAACAGGCCTCGAACGCCCGTATTTTTTGAAGGAGAAAGTCGGGTTTCGAATAGACACGTTTCTCATCGAGAGGCGTTGCGCACCGGCGGCGATGGTGCATACGTTCGCGCGTACCTGACACTCAACGCACCGGCATGCCGTTCAACCAACAAACCCTGCATAACCGGTATACAGTAGTGGCGAGAAACACGCTCTGGACAGAACGTCTCTCCGCAGGCGGCAACGATGGACTTTTGCATGGCATTCGTAGTTGAAAGCGGTGATTCCGTCCGCTGAATATGAGCGTAAACGTCGCAGGGGTCCTCGAGGTCACTCTGGTAGCTTTTGGAAGGCTTTACACGGACGACGCGGGGGAACTCGCGAAACCTGGTCGCCAGAGCCCGTCACAATGGCTGATGGAGTCAGTCTTTTCAGCGTTCCCACGAGAAGCGCCCTTCGGATATGCTCGGTCGCTGTCCTGCATGGAACTGGCAAAAAGGCAGAATTCTCAAGGCGCTTTTCGAAACGCTGGAACCCTAAACCTGAAAAGCGAGCTTAGCGCGTATCTCAAACCAGAAACACTGCGTGCCATGATATCTAATCTTCCGCAAGAAAGCGCACGATTCGTTCCTGGTCATACTCCGAAAGGACGATGTTCGCGTCGAGGCAACATCGCCCCGGTAGGGTGCCACGTACACTTGTGTGATTGCGGTACGCGTCGAGGCAGGTGCGTTGCTGAGGGTAACGCACATCGAATTCCATGCTGGTTCGATTGCTCGTTTGCAGCTTCATATGGTGCATGACGCCGAGATATCTAGCGATCGACGCATAGAAGGTCAGTGGCGCCGCGCATGGAGGGAAAAGCTCAACGCTGCGCAGACGGGATGGTTTTCGAACGAGTAACAAGTACGACCACTCAGCGCCGTGCATCGCGACAATGCCGCTCGCATCTCGAATAATGGTATATTGTAAACACCATGGCAGATTGCCAAACGCCTCAACATACTGAGCGTGCGGTATGCGTCGGACCAGTGCTGTTCCATTGCGGAGTTGTCGTCGAACAGAGCCGCGCCCCAGAATCCATATAGTGTGTCGGTTTTGGTCGCGTTGCGGGCGCTCTCCGAATAAGTCGTGACTCGGGGTGATCACTCGTTTGCGATCGACTGACTTCGACGAACACTCGCGGTCTGCATCGTTCCGCATAAATGCGCTGAATGCCCGCAGCAGCTTTCCCCGCTGGGCATCCATGGATCGGGACAGTTCCAGGAGATTCCAGTTTGAGTGCCTGAGATTTTGCTCCCTCGCACCAAGTACTAGATCACGAAAACAAAAAGTCGATTCCAGAGCTCTGCCCATGGATCGGAACTCCAGATTCGGCGTCAAGCTGGTGCTGATGCCGCCAAGGCGGTGCAGCAGGCGACGGCCATCTGGTGGAAGCCGAAGAGCGCTGCGGCCCGCTCGTCCCAAGCTCGTTGTATCGAAAATCAGACGCGGCGGGTAGACACGCTGACGGACCCAATCTAGCGGATTGCGACTGAGCAGCCGCATCGTGACGTAAAGAGGATAAACGAGATCGAAGGTCCAGTGAGCCAAATTCTTCATCACGAAGGGAGTCAGCGGTTGATAGAGGGTTGTCCGGTGCTCCCAGCCACCGTCTGTTCGCTGGCATTCTGCTTCGAATGCCCGTTTTTCGGTTTCATTCACGACGAAATGTACTGATATGTACGCGGAGCGATATGCGGTGCGCACTCTCAAAAGCGTGCGTTCGTTCAGGAGAAGCGCGTCTTCGTCAGCTGTCGAGCTGCTACGGCAGGCGTCGAGTGAGCGGCACAGCACGAACACCCTTCGCTCCGTACCAGATACTCTCAGAACAGCGTCGCGCACTCGAGCGTACGAGACACTCCAAGTACCGGTTCCGTTCACAAACAACGGCAATCGGCGAGAGAGCAGATCTTTCTCGAACTCGCGCAACGCATAACGGGCGCTTCGGACCCCTCCGCCGTAGAGTTTCCACTCATAGACGGCAATCTGAACCAACACCGCGACGCCGAGCACGCTCCAAACTACACGGGAAAGAAGCCGCAAACGGACACGTGCACAGAAACGTCTGCTCAAGTCTGAAACACGCTGCTTGTTTGGCGAGCACCGCCTATACATGGCCGACTAACCTGCATACCTGGTACGAGCTGGAGATACGACGGGACACCCGCGAGACTCGTTCGCGCCAGATGCGTGATTCGTCCACGGCTGGACACGTGTCCACACAGGTCCAGCCGCCGCTGATTCACGCGCCTTGATTTAGCCGCTTGGGTGCAGCGCATCCGAGTTGCGGCAGAAACGAGAGGATGTTATGGCTATTTCTGTCCAGATTCTAAAGAGGACCTGCGCTTGCAATCGACGCCGTCCCTTGTAGGAGCGCCGGATGGGCAGCATGTGCTGCACCAATGCTGGTAGTTGCATGATCCCCGGCTCGTATACGTTTACGCGATAATGCCGTCGGAGCGGGAAGCGGCTGCAGCGTCACCGGATACGTCAGAGACGACGCTGAGACGGGTGATTCGTCAGACGCGGCTCGTTTGTGGAGATCTAGCTGAGAAGCCACTGGTACAGGCCACAATAGTGCACCCAGAACGGACGCTGTACGCCGTGGACGCTGCCTTTTCGAGAGCGGTTTCCGTTGTAGTCCGTAGGACTCGCGAGACGTTGGCTGGAGCTAGTCCACTATTGCCCGTTGCAGCGCTTGGTCTTAGCTTCTGGGGAGGCGCTCGGGTATACCGTCGCCTTCGTGAGCTCGTGCTCCCAAGCACGCAGCAGAAACTGCCTACAACTGGTTTACATCAGGCGAAGCGCGGTCCGTAGACTTTCTCTCGCTGATCATCGTCGTATTATCTGTAGAGTGCAGTCGGACGGGAGACTTGTGGAGGGCCACGTAGAGCAATCTGTCAAAACGCTGGGGTGGAGGCTACGCGTTGTACTTGTTTTCGCGCTGTATCGCGGTTCAGAGAGGTTTTCGTCCCGGAGCGCGGAGTGCTCTTGTCGAACCAGAAAACTGACGTTGTTATACATGGGGTATGCGGCGGAACCGTTCACAATGTGTCGGCTAGCGTTTCTGTCTCGACAAAAAAGCCTTCATTGGTGAATCCATCGCTGTTAACGTTCTTGCAGTCCGAGTCCATAGCGGAGATATTCGACGCGGACGTTCACGTGAACGGGTTCATGAACCTAGTGCATGTGGTTGCAATAGGAAAGATTCTGCAGTAAAGTACGCACATCACGTCGAGCGTGCAACACTCGTATGATCAGTCCCGGGGCGCACGATGCCAGGTTTTGTTTGCCGGTGTCGCCTGCGCAAGCGCTGTGGCAATGGCAGGCGCCAGGATCGGTGCTGTTACCGAAAGAAACGCGGTCCGCTGTAGAGAGCGCGCTGAATATAACGACGCTTCGGTGGTGTTCCTTGGATCGTGTGGCGACATCCAGAACCGTTGCGACAGTAACGACAAGTGGTTTCCATGAAATCTTTGATTAGAATAATCGTGCCGCTCACTGACGGATGCACGAGCGGACAAGGAAACATCGAGCGACTTGTTACAGAGAGCAGAGCATCGACTTTGCGCTGCAGGTGTGCAAAGTTCTTTTTACCGATACAGGATCCCATCTGGAGGAGTTGGCCCCTCTGGATCATTGCATCATGGTGATGCGTTCTCGTTTACGCAAGTCATCGAAGCCCATTCCCAGCTTCAGCTGCGAATCCCACCTGTCGGGCTACGGCTTCTGTATGTGGATATAGTCGAATGCTTTTTCGTGAAAGGCACGGAACTTGGTCTCACGGAACCCACCACAAAAGGAAAAAGTCTCTACCTCTTCGCCATGCAACTAAAAGCGTGCAGGAAAAACTGTCTGAATGGGTCTCATGGCATTCTTGCCAGCCGCGGTCGAAGCAGGGCCCAGGTGCAATACCGCGCCCGGAATCGTCTTCGGTTTCGTGTGCAACTGTTGTTCACTGCGACTGTGCGCTATTCGCAGCGGGTAGTTTCGGAGTATTCAAGCACGTCCCTTGGTATCCAGCTTCCTGGGAATCTCTTGCATTGGCTACAACATCTAACCAAAATGCCAACCTGAGTGGGCCTGACTCGCCCACAGGGCGCTACATTCTGGACGGGAGGTCCCGCGGAACAGATGCGTCCGCGGAGTCAGTGCTCTGCGCGCAGCCCCGGTGGTGCATGTCGAGGAGAAACCCGCGCGGCCCGACCGCGACACAGCTCTTTTTGGACGACGGAGGGCGGCATTCCGCGCCCAGGCTCTGCTCTGGTCGCTGAGTCTCTTTAGCGTATCTTTCCACGCCGCTCCGACAGCAGACCTGCGTGCGTAGACTGTTGCCGCCCAGGCGAAAGATGAGTCCCGGTCCAGTGCCGCAAAACGTGCACATCGAACTGGCATCCGTCATGGCACCGCAACGCCGTTTCGTCCTTGAATGATGACTGGATCAGGCGCCGTATCCATTGTCGCAGCAAGCGCCTAAGATATGCTCGGCTCCTGGAGGGTCTTTTCAGCGAGCCTCTCTAGTTTGGTGACACACTGGTCTGGGTTCGTTGGAGCGTGGAACCATCCCTGGAGAGGTACTGCAGTCTCCGCCCCGAGACCAAAAGCGTCCAAATTGCCCAGAGCATCTGTCTCTATGCAGACCTTTCCGCACCTAAACAGAAATGCTATGGCGAACTTCCGCGCCAGTCGGAGTTCTCCCAGGGTCCGATGCCTGATCAATCCTCTATTCTGTTGGGGAACACAGCTCAGATGTTGGCGCAATGATGGGCGACTTTTCTCAGATCGATGAAGCTCATCTCTTCAAATGATTGCTATCACGTACATGGACGAATGAAAAGTGTACCGTCGGCACTTAGGTTCACCAGCCAGACTATCGCACAAACGAACCAGTTTGTCTAAACGGAAGCATCGATGCTGGTAACTGATGGAACTTTGAGGTCTTCTCCGGCGTCATCGATACTCCCTTCGATACGTATATCCACCTAGCGATCGGGGATATACTTGGATTACGTTCACAATCGTAATCAGTGACACGAAAAATGTCCCACGATTATCAAGTGGACATACGTACACCCACGCGCAGATGCTTCCCAGCCTTTTTTGATCGGCCGCTTTTATCGGTCTCAGCTTCTCCCTGGAGGCCTCGAGCCTGAGAGATTCCTCGATAAAATTGGATCGCGTCAGCGCTTCGGGTCTCGTCTCGAACGCCATGAATCGTCTGATATTGATGGCGTGGTTGAAGTCTCGGTTCATGAACTCGTTGCGTGCATTGACACTGCTTGGACACACCATTGCAAGAATTGGTAGAGCTCGCGCCCTCAGTGCCACTGCAGTCTCGTCATCGTCCCGTCGAACGAACATCTTTTCTCGCGTATCTGCAACCGTTTTCATCTCCGTCAGTTGCGCTTCATCGCTCGATGATCGGCGAGAAGAGTTTTTTCTTTTTCTCTTGAATCCGGCAGGGACGACCCTCCGGGATCCCCGAATCGCACGCCCATGCTTTTCTCTCGCATTTTTATTTTCGAAAATGAACGCACTTGGCAAGCATCTGCTATACACCGCGAAAAGGCATCTGATGGCACCCGCCTGGAGCGTAGAACGCAATTGATATGAACGATTGCGACAATCCTATACATGCCCCCGCAAACAAGCGCCATCGCCGCTGCGCGATCGCGCGACCGCACTTGCGGCGACACGCGTACCGGTCAACGTGCGATCATGAAACGTGCGCGTTGAGCGATTGCGCAGCGTCGATGGCGCTCAACGGCGAATGCCAGCCGTTGGAGACGGCGACGCACGCACGCGAATGCGCCTCCATGCGTCCGTGACGGCGTCTCGACGAGCCGCGAGCGCGATTGCGTTACGCGCACTGAGCCACTCGTTGGCCGGATCGCGACGGCACGCATGCGCGTGCGCGTGCGCATGCGTGCACACCTGCATGCGCACATGTTTGCGGTATTCGTGCTAGGTTTTGTTTACGAACAAGACCTTCTTTCGTGGGTTTAGTTGAGCTGGATTGTACTTGCAAGTTGCTGCAATACAAACCAAACCTTTCTTTTTTAAAAACTGGTAACGATTTTGGTGCTTGGACTGGGTTTTTGGTGCACTGAGAGCAAGTGAGTCGTGTAACGTCCTCTAACACAGTGACGGTGCACGGCGCGTTGTGTTGCGAAGGAAAGCAAGTGTTTCTGTGAACACGAAAATGGCCGACGTTGAGTCGGGTAGCTCCTCATCCCATGATGGGAAGGAAGTGACCAGCGCAAACGGCTCCGCTGGGCAAACTGGTGACGCTAAACCTCTTCCCGAGGGCTTGGACAAGCGCTCGCTGTCCATGAGCATGCTGGAAACCGTTGACCTCGAAAAGGACGATCTGGATTATGTGATGGCATGTCTGAAGACCTCTCGTGAGGGGTTGAAACCCGACGTCGCAGCTCGTCGGTTGGCCAAGTTCGGTCCGAATGCGTTGCCGGAGAAGAAAGTGAATCCCATTCTTGAGTTCTTGATGTTTATGTGGAACCCTCTGAGCTGGGTGATGGAGGCCGCAGCGTTAGTCGCTATTTTCCTGACGATTCCTGGAGGCAAAACGCCAGACTGGGAGGACTTTGTGGGCATCCTTTTGCTTCTGCTGATTAACGCGACGATCGGTTTCATCGAGGAACGGAATGCAGGCAACGCTGTGAAAGCGCTCATGGATGCGCTGGCGCCACGAGCGAAAGTGCTGCGAGGGGGTGAGTGGATCGAGATCGAAGCCAAAGAGCTGGTTATCGGCGACATTGTCTCCCTGAAGCTCGGCGATATCGTCCCAGCCGACGCGCGCATCATGAGCGGCAAGGATATTAAAATAGATCAGGCAGCCTTGACCGGTGAGTCCCTTCCGGTTGGCAAAGAGAAAGGAGACATGATCTACTCGGGCTCAGTGGTCAAACAAGGAGAGTTCTTGGCCGTTGTTGTTGCAACCGGTATGAACACGTTTTTCGGAAAAGCAGCTCACTTGGTGAATCAGACTGAGAGTGTCTCGCATTTGATGCAAATCGTGTCGGCCATTGGCTTGTACTGCATGGCCTGGATCGGAACTTTTGTGCTCCTGCTCATTGTCACCCAATGGCCGATACATCTAGAGAATTACCGACACGGAATCAACAATATCCTGGTGCTGTTGATCGGTGGTGTACCCATCGCGATGCCAGTTGTTCTCTCTGTCACGTTGGCGATCGGTGCACACGAACTTGCACAACACAAAGCTATTGTTACGCGCATGACTGCCGTGGAGGAGCTCGCGGGAATGACAATTCTCTGCTCGGACAAAACTGGTACCCTGACCCTGAACAAGCTCACGATTGACCAGGAAAGTTTCTTCACTATGGATGGATACACCGTGGATCAGGCTATGATCCTCGCATCGCGTGCTTCCAGAACAGAAAATCAGGATGCGATTGACTTTGCGGTCGTGAACTCTTTGCCGGACCCCAAGATGGCCCGCGAAGGTATCGAGGAGCTGGACTTCCATCCTTTCAATCCTGTGGACAAGCGCACGGAAATCACATATCGGGATAACAGCGATGGAAAGATCTACAAAGCTACGAAGGGAGCTCCACAAATCATCCTTGGTCTTGCACACAACAAGAACGAAATCGAAAAGGATGTTCATTATCACATCGAAGATTTTGCGAAACGTGGTTTCCGCGCACTTGGTATTGCAGTCGCAGAGGTGCCGTCTGGCGAGCCGCACGGTGACCCTGGTCCGTGGACAATGGTCGGTCTCATGCCGATCTTTGACCCGCCCCGACATGACACCAAGGAGACCATTGCTGAAGCTATTCGAATGGGTGTGGAAGTCAAGATGATCACTGGTGACCAGCTCGCTATCGCGAAAGAGACCGCTCGTCGCTTGGGAATGGGCACAAACATCTTCAATTGCGACGTTCTGAACTTCAGCGATCAGCGCGCTTCAACGGAGCTCGGCGCCAGTGTGGGCGAGCTTGTCGAAAGCGCGGATGGCTTTGCTGGTGTCTTCCCAGAGCACAAGTACCGGATTGTGGAAGTGCTGCAGAAGCGTGGCCACATGGTCGGCATGACAGGTGACGGTGTCAATGACGCTCCTGCTCTGAAAAGGGCCTCGGTGGGTATTGCAGTAGCGGGTGCCACAGACGCGGCCCGCGGTGCATCGGATATTGTGCTCACGGAACCTGGTTTGAGCGTCATCATACACGCGATGGTCATGAGCCGCCAAATCTTCCAGCGTATGAAGAACTATTCCATGTACGCGTGCTCAGTGACGGTGCGTATTGTCGTGACATTTGCGGTTCTGGTCTGGGCGTTCCGATTCAATATGCCGCCATTCATGGTTCTTATTCTTGCATATCTCAACGACGGTACAATTATGACGATCAGCAAAGACCGAGTCAAGCCAAGTCCGATCCCGCAACGATGGAATCTGCGAGAGGTGTTCATCGTGGCGTCGTCGCTGGGGCTCTACCTCACAGCAAGCACCGTCATATTCTACGTTACGCTTTTCAAGACGCAGTTCTGGCATGATACCTTCAAACTGGAGCTGCCATGGCTGAAAACACCAAAGCCTGATCCAAACTATTTCCAGCTGCACTCCATCATATACCTGCAATGCAGTATCATCGGACAGGCTCTCATCTTTGTTACTCGTGCACACTGGTTCTTTTTCATGGATCGCCCCGGTCTATTGCTGATGTGTGCGTTCGTGGTTGCCCAGCTGGTTGCGACGTTCATCTGCGTATACGCGAACTGGGGATTCACCCAGATCGAGGGAACAGGTTGGGGCTGGGCCGGTGTCGTTTGGGTATGGAATGTAGTCTGGTACGCTCCTATGGATCTCGTCAAGATCGGCGTACGCTCGATCATCACCGGCGACAAGACGGTCATCCATAAGCTTTTTGCAGCCAGGCGCATGTTCAGCTTTGACGCTTCTAAGCACGGACGCGAGGATCGCATGCCCAAGAGCAGCATTGAGGCTGCACAGGCTCGCGCTTCTGTGCATCGCTCGATGGAGGCCTATCGAGCGTCCTTGCAGAGGAACGTGAACTCTCTGGACTGAGAGGTTTCACTGGCGCCTTGCGCTTGGATGAAACCAAGCGTCTGCGTCTCTTGTAATTCTCATGGTGATGGAAACTTGAATTTCGTGATTCCTCTGAAAATGCGGCGGATTTAATGGAAAGATCATCGCGATTATAAACCCGATCTGAACGCAATATGGTTTTCTCGTGCTTCGCAGTATCCAGGGCGTCTTGTTTTCCAGCGCGCGCAGCGAAAGCGTCGAGACCAGTTTGCGTCGTGCATGAAATCAATCGCAAATAGGGGCACAGCTGCAGCACTATGCCGGGTAAGCGATCCCGTGTGCGATAGAAGCGACCATTTCCGTATCTCGACGGCTCACGGGGATGCTGCTGATGCGGATTTCGGATCGATGGGGATTCGGCTGTCGCACCGCATACGGCAATGGCGTCAGGGCAGGTATCGCAGGGCTTGTTCCTCTCGGTATGCGGAATTTGCCAGGTCCGTCTTTGTATCGTCAGTGAATTCTGGTATACCTGAACCAGCAAACGGGTTTCGTTTTGATTGTCTTTTCACTGGAATTCAGGAAAAAGAATGTATTTTGTAGATTAGAGAAAAGTCGCGGAAATACTTGATGACGTAACTGCCAGCGTGCGTGAAATACGACGTTGCCTGTACGGGTCAGTCATTCTGCGTTCAACAGGTGGATGTATCACGCTTCGCGTCGTGTTCTTCCTGAACGCCGTGCACCGAAAACAGAGCGTATGAAATGTTATATGCACAATTTTCTCTGTGTCAATCCATTTTATTTCATACGTTCTCTAAGAACTAGTCTCAAAAAGCTGTTGAATGGAATTTTTATGGTCCGTCGATAAGAACGGCGGTGAAGCGACGCGAATCGACAACCTCTAAAGCACGCTTCTCTGAGGGAGCAACGCGCGGTGAACATTGCACTATCGATTTCGTTGTGAGAAGCGAATACCGGCAACGGTAGGGTCGGGTTTTCGTCTGACTCGAAGAGGCTTTATGCTGAAGAAATCGGAGATTTGGATATGGGCACTTGTAGAACGGCAAACCGCTGCTCGTAAACAAGAGACGAGCGAGCATTCCGTAAACATCAGGCCAAGCGGCGAGTCCATGGTGTGTTCACCAACGAATCGCCAACTGGACAGGATCCTTCATTACATCATCCATCGTTGAAGCACTCTGAGAATTCTCCATCCCAGATTCTTCCGTCTTGCTCGTAGACAACGTCGCTTTCCGTCGTTCGAAAGCGGTCAAGTAGAACGCGGCTGAGGTTCGTGTTGAGCGGTTTCCGTACCTGGATTCTCTGCGCGGCTCTATCGCGTCGAAGGCACCTCGCTGTTGTCAAACGCCTTGTCCACGTCTACGAGTCCATGGACAAGTCGTTTCGCATCCGGTACTCCGAAAGACTCAGGACGCCTCTAGGGTGCGCCTGGCTTCGAGCTCGATGAAGTCTCGTATAGCTTCTCTCGTGTTGACGCAAATCGTCAAGTAACAGCTCGTACCAGTTCTGGACACCGGGCTACTAGCTGTCCATGCTCCTGTGGAATATTTCGGTCAAACTTTTTTCTGTGAAACAGCACGACCGACGCTCGCGACGGAGGATGCAATACGGTCTGATAGCAGGATCAGGGATTGCCACACACGATTCCCAGGATATCCTGACGCGTCGCTGCGCTACGTCGACGATGGGAACGTCTATCATGCCAATGACCGCAAGCATCGAAACGAACCTCCAGAACCAGATGCGGGTCAATCTCGAGCGCTTCATGAGGCGCATCCCGCTGGCGTTGCTCCCGTTATACGCTCACTCTACTGGCCCGGAATATTCGGGGCCGATGGAGTGGATTCTTCGCTTCAGTGAGTACATGAGCGTCCATGTGACTTGAGCGGTCGATCTTTGGCAGAAGTACATGAGATCGTGCTAGTGCCATCGACGGTTTCGGGTGTACGGAGGCAAGATACATGCTTTCGCCAACTTGTTCAGTGAGTTGAAAACGTACACAACAGACAACTCGTGTCGTTTGGTGAAGGTAGCTCGCGTTGCTGGGCATGCTTTAGCGGTGTAGGGATGCAATCCGGGTCCGTCGACGAAAACGTATTACGAGTACTGGACTCGATGCTGCACGATTCCCATCAATACGATCACGACGACATACACGAATCACGAGCACGGTAGCACGGTAAAATACATGTGGAAGAAGAGAGGGAAACGGAGCTGGATGCCCTATATGATGTACGGTAAGGTGCCCGAAAGATAGATGACGAGGCAATCGCAGGCGGGAGGCTTGCGATGGTCTGACTCCACGAGCAGCGGTGCGCGCGACCACCTTCTGCACCAAGACTTGGGCGCCGCGTTCAACATCCGAAAATTTCTCGTGCTTCTGAACCGTCCAGCTGTTTTGCACGAAACGAATTGTCAAGAGAATTCTTTAGTACCCAGTGTGGGCATTGTGCTGAAACGCTGACGATTCTCTAAGAAAAAATCAGAGCGCAGGAAAGAGCGAATTGAAGTTTCCAGCTCATCAAGGCACTGATGTGGAACTTTACAGCAATCCAGGAATGCTGCAACACCGTATATCTACATCGACAACTCTATTCCTCTGTGAATGGGGATTTATGACGGTGTTCCATGAATCGGTACCATGGAGGATATTCATCGTGCCTGGCGATGACCACGGGACCCCGGTTCAGCGCACTACGCGTGTCGCGCGAGATGCGGACAGCGCACCCATGCCCTGGATCCGACCGATACCATAAAGGACAAAAAGGACACAACATCTCGAAGCACGCATGCCCATCGTCAGAGACGCGTGTCTAGTTCGAAACGTGCATCTACTTTGTATCTGTGTGTCTTCGTGTTTGTATTTGTGTCTGTGTCTGTGTCTGTGTGTGTCGTTCGCTCGCTCGAGCGCTCACCGGCAGGACGTGCATGCTTGAGGTAGGCCCCAGTTCCACTACAACGTATCGCGGGCGTCGGATTGGCGCTGAGCAAAGAACTGTACCAACGCCCAACGTCCGTTAACCATCCATTTGGGATCCTCACATGCGGCACGCATTGCTGCCTCCGCAGGAATGCCGCAACCAAGCTCGGCTTTGAGCGCTCGGAGTGCGCAGATTGCGCTGGGCCAATACGATACTACATCTGAAAACGGAGTGCTCAGCGGCCAGGCGCGATCACCCAAAAGCCGTCTGTAATTTGCATCGCCTTTGACGAAAACGAGCACTTCTTGCCTGATACAGTCCCAGAGTGGATCATCCATTTCCCAGAATGCTTGCGGCTGCGCCCAGAAGAGATCATCGCGACAGCGCCAGGATCCATCACCCAGATACCGGGCCCAGCGCGACGCCAAGCGCTGCAGAGGCATATCTCTGGGCATGTCACCGAGGACCTGCACCATCGTGTGCAAATCTGTGGCTGTTGCATCCGACACGAACGTCGGATGGCCTTTGGTGTGAAATACGACACGCTCAGCGATGCCGCTGTGCACGAGATAGTCCGCGAGTAGGAGATCGGAGAATAGTTCCATGCCGGCATTGTCCACGATAATTCCTATTTCGGCAATCGGCATACTCGCCGCGACATACTCCCAAAGCCGCTCACCATCGTCGACGAGTAGACGGACACCGGTCTCGGTATCGACGGCAGGGGTTTCGCCGCCCACCGGCCACAGCGACAAATCCATCCGATTCCCGTTCAGAGCGATCTGAACAAAGTGAGTGAACCAGTGTTTTCGCTCCGTGCTTCTGCGCAGAGGCGTCTGTAGAAGCGGAAGCACCCGAGACGCCCATTCATCCATGGTCTTGGTATTGGCGCTCACCCCCAGCTCCTTCTGTTTTCGGAATGGGTCCAGTTTTGTTGAGAAGTACTCGACGGCTTCCATGACTCGACGATAAAAGTAAAACTCTGCGATACACCAGGGGCTTGAAAGCCAGTTGCAGTCGTGAAACCGTTCCAGAATCCGACGGTTCCAAGTGAAGAGGTCCGGTGCTGGGCCGCCTCCTGGCGGCGGCTCTTCGAGAGGACGCAGCCGATGCGCTGTTGGCTCAGCGAGCTCGCGATCAAGTTGCTTGAGTCGGTCAAGAACAGCGCCAGAGAAAAACGTGTTCTCGCGGAAAATCCGTGCGAGAATTTCCTCCCGAATCCGCCTCGACATGGTATCGTGAGCCCAGGTGCCCGGCTCGGTTGCAGTTAGCAACGGCGGCAGCGGACGGTGCCGAGGACCTCGCGGCGGGTCCTCCACAAATAACTCTGGTAAAGATTTTATGTTTGACATATGTTGGCGTGACGAGGCGCTTGCAAGCGCTAGCCCACGTCGTGCCTCTGTCCGATCGAGAGGCAGCGTATGCTTCACAATTCAAGTCCAGTCTTCCCGGTGACTGCGCCGCGCTCCCCAAGGTTTACCCCTTTCAAGGGTTTAGGAACGATGAAACGAATCGAACACTACTGAAGGCGTGACTGCTGCAGCTACCCAGCGACGCGTCCGGCATTCCCGCTACCGCCAAGCGCAAGCATCTGGTTTCTACGAACTTTGGTATGAAAAGCGTCCGCAGCGCCGCGGCGCATCCTGTGCGCCGGTCGCGCTCGAAGCGCCTCTGAGGCGCAGCTCGTACGCGTGCCGATCAACTTTGTGCCATCGGGTATGCCTGCTTCGTGTTCACCATGGTATACGAGTCTTGCCATCTAGGCGGGCGGTCCCGCGAGCTGGACGAGTCGGCCGGGCTTGCGCCCCATGCGCCTCTCCAGTGCCGGGTACCGTGGTGAGATCTGAGCAGCTCGTCCGCTCCCCGTCCGTTCGGGACTATGAATGGAAAGGCGGTGTCTTGGCGATGCTCTGGTCGCAGAAGCGTCCTAGCGTATCGCTTCGCGCCGCTGCAGGCAGTAGGTCTTTCTGCACAGACTGCAGGCTCCCAGAAATATGATGGATCCCGATACTGTGACTGGTTAACCGCACCTTGAGCCGACGCCCTCCGTGGTACAGCAAAGCTGTTCTGTCTCCGTGTTCCACATGCACACCAGCGATATAGGCGCTATGGCGGCGGGCTGAAAGCAGGCACTCGGTGCATGATGGAACGTACAAAACGACCAGTGCACCAGAGAGCAAGTATGGGTCACGGAAACTGGAGGTGGCATGTATCATGATAGGAACTTTTCCGATTGCGGATATCCATCGCACAATCCGCGATCTATGGTCCATGTAAACGTTCTGTCAAACCAGAAAAAATGGTATACGAGACGGGTGCAACCTCCGATCCCGCCCTGTCCCCTGGGAAAGTCGAGGCACTGCGTCCAAATCCCAAAGAGCGGATGCACGCGCGCATCCGCATCATCCAGGAAGCCAGCCTCGTTCAATATAGAGACCGTAGTCCATGGGAGAACTCGAGGCATTGCAACTTCCGCTAGAGGGCGCGTATCGACGCCTACGGCCTTGAAGCGAGCCGTTGATCGCAACATGTTTCTCAAACCGTTGCTTTTGGATCGCTTGCAAGTTCCTTGTTCACGAAGGCCGATTTCCACAACTGCACAGCGTGGCAGTGGCAAACGCTGCTCGGGCGTTGCAACAGGCTACGATTTCGCGCGACGCAAACGAACGTTTGCCTCGCGGCTATCTCATACCGTTTGTCTGCAGGCTCGCGCTGGTAACGTTTGGACTCGGCTCGTGCAGCTCGCAGATCTCGAGTCCGGGAGAGTCGCTCCTGGAAAAGCCCTGTTCTGGAAACAGCTATGTGACGTCGTCGAAAGCGAGTCGCGTGATCTCGACTTGCGATCGCTTTCGCGAGACCACGACGCTGAAGCACATCTCACGGACGAATGGACTATCACAGTGCTTGGAAACTCGACTCAAGCACCAAGCAATAACGGAAAGGAAGCGGAGAGGCTTGACGGTACGGCGGCCGGATGGGCGCTTCACGCGCTCTTCCACCTGCTGAGCGCATCGTTCCACTGGGATGTCAGTCGCCTGCGGTTGCTCGCACCGTCAGCGCTCGAGATGAATGTGCTGCTGTGGCGTCGCGAAAGTAGCATGTCCTGGGACGATGCCCTGCAACAAATCCGCAACCAATGGCGGATCCAGAGATGTGCGCATCCGCAAATATCGATGGTCGTGCAACGAGAGGGACCGGATCGTCGCTACAAGCGACTTGCGATATTCGATCTCGACTCAACACTGATCCAGAATGAGTCTATTGACGAGCTCGCACGAATCGCTGGCGTGGAGGACGCGGTTGCTCGCATCACCGAGCAGGCCATGCGAGGCGAGCTAGACTTTGCCGCTGCATTCCGCCAGCGTGTGGCGTTGTTGACGGGTCTCGAGGCTGGTGCTGCGATGCGAGCGGTTCGTGCGCGCCTACAGCTGACACCTGGTGCGCTTCGTCTTGTTCGTGTGCTCCGCACGCTCGGTACCAGAGTGGTGATTGCTTCGGGAGGCTTTCAGCTTCTTGCCGAGTCCATTCGAGAGCAGCTCGCCGCGGATAAAGTGGTGGCAAATGAGTTGGAAATCGATCCGATCACCGGAGCTGTTACTGGTCGTGTAAACGGCCCTGTTGTCGATGGCGCTGTCAAGCTATCGACGTTGGAGGCGGAATGGCGACGGCTTCAAATCGGTTGCGCGTCTCCAACCGGGCGACTCGCACACACCATGGCAGTTGGAGACGGTGCCAACGACTTGCCGATGATTCGACGGGCCTCGCTGGGGATTGCTTTTCAGGCGAAGCCCCTGGTGCAAGATGCAGCTGATGCTTGTATCAACACTGCGCGCATCGATACGGTGCTGTACCTGTTAGGTTTATCGGAGCGCGAAATTTGTGAATTAGCAGGTGCGCAGGATACCCAGAGCGCTTGTTCCTAGCGGTCCGCTCGTGTCGGGCCCGCTGAGAAGCGACTCGATAGCAACTGCGCTATTCGTGGACCCTGAGTATGCAATCGTTCGAAATCCGATGCATGGCAGAGGACGCACAGCATGCATACGGAACGGCAGCAGCGATCGTTCTTCCATGAAGACGCTTGACCCGGAATCCTGGAGTGGCTAGGCGCTGGTCCTTGGTCCCTGATCTTGTAGCTTCTGCTGAGCCTGTGGGATATCCTCGATGCTCCGTGGAAAGCAACATGCATTCGATACCTTGGCATTCGTCTCCGGGGCGTTGTTGCGCGTGCTCTGCAAGTGAGCGGTATGCTGTTATCCAAGCAGCGACGCTGCAATATACGTTCCTTGGACGTTGCGTCTCGATGATAACCGCTACAATGCTGGTGGAACGGAATCGAATGACGACTATGGAATCCAGCGCAAGCGTTTGCTTTACGAGTGAATTTGATTTTCAGATAGAGCCGATGCTGCGCGCATTTGCGTGTGGTACGCTTTTTGCTGTACATCACCATCCAGCGGCTTTCTTTTCTTGGGACGCACATTGCGGTAACGAGCGCGCCAGTAAATTCGTCACTATTTTTTGTTGCTTGTGCCGCTGCTGTCCCCGATTTTGCTCGCTACCTCTGATTCTGCCATCATCGTAAATCGGAGACGCTCGTCACAGATGCTTGGTAGAATGCGCGATCAACGCGCAGCCTCAAATCGTGAAGTTTAGCACCATTGCGAGGCGATGGCATGATGGGCGATCGTGCCTAGGTGCATCTGTATGGTCCTTGAAAGACGGTTTCTCGCGCAGGCCACCCCAAGGGACATAACCAAAATACGCGACAGGTTTCCTTTCATGGCGATCTTCCTCAGACTCGTGCGCGACGACTATAATAGTCCCTCCCTTTGTAGTAATAGGTTGAGTCGTCAACAGGTCCGATGCAGCAGAGGAGGCCGAGGTCGAACACTGCGAGCACCCCAGCCACGAGACTAATCACCGCGACTGGAATCGCCCACTGGCGGTAATCATTCATGATCGCCCTGTAGCAGCCGAGAGGGGAATTGTTGTCCGACGAGCAACCGGTCGGGCATTCATCAGGCGTGCTCGAACAATTAGTATTCCTCAAAAATCCCGTACAATTGTACTGAGATTCGATACCACAAGCAACTGAGGGCTGGTTGCGAACCGTGCTCAACCACGCGTCATGGAAACCATTGCGTAACCAGCTCGGTCCATTGGGCCCAAGCGCCAGGAGCACCGCGAAGACGCCAACAAATATCAGCACAGCCCCGAGAATGACCAGCGCAAGCCCGTATATTATCCGGAAGAACATACCCGAGCACTTGCCTGTGCGACAGAGCAACATGAACCCGAGCAAGCAGATAAGAAATGTCACGCCGCCCACCACGATCGCCGCAACACCCGTACGCGTCAGCGCATGGTACCAGCCCTGGAAGTCGAGGTCGAGACCCTTGTGCTTGACCGTCGCCCAGATCCCAAGACCTACCAGCGCCAACCCCAGGCCGCTCAACAGCAGCAAGAAGAAAGCGTGGAAAACGTTCGCTCCGCGACTGTTAGAACAACCACAAGCCATTTCGTTGATTTAAAAAAACAAGTTCGATGATTCGTGCGAGTAGGTCCCTTACCTTGTTGAACGTGAACCCTTCAACCCGTTAGACCGACAAATAACGTCTTGCCTGTGGTGCGCGCCGCGCGATGGACACGAACAACACACAACGCTGAGCAGGCACGCGTGCGCAGCGACGGTGCTGTCTGCTGTGTGCTTACATGGACACGCGTACCGTTTCTGCGCAGCGCTGATTGACGAACATGCATCCGACGCTGCGCGTCAATCGAGCGTATCGACTTGAGGGGCGTGTCCGTTTCGGGAGGCGGTGCGCGCATCCAGGCATCGCCTGTCGCGGCAACATGGCGACGCGCGGGTGCCGCCTCTACGCCACGTGGCGCAATTCCAGTGCGGTGTCGATGTTTTTACTTGACAGAACTTCTGCACAGGCCAGCGTTCTCCGACTGTGCGCTTCTTACCAGCGCGCGGTGAAGCATCCATCCATCCCCAACTTTCAAGTTCCATCACCCATACTTGTTGTCAGATATACTGGTCGTTTCATACGCTCGATCGTGTGCCGAGCCTGCCGAGAGCGTCCGCAACAGCGCTATAGCGCCGGTGCGGATGCATCACGGAGAGAGAACGGCGTTGCCGTACCACAGACGGCGTCGGCTCGAGGCGTGTTTTATACGACATGGACTCGGGATTCACCATCATTCTAGGAGCAGGCAAGCTGTGCAGACAGACCTATTGCCTGCGACGGCGCGAAGCGATGTAGTAGGAGTCCACCGCGACGCGGGCGACGCCCAGACGCAGCATCCCCGCCCCAAGTCCGAGAATAAACTACGTTGTGGACGAGTTGCTCAGGTCTCTTCGCAGCACTGGGCACTGTGAAGAGCGAATAGCTATGGTCTGGTAGCCTCGTCCGGATCTGGGGGCCTTCCGCCTAGAAACTAAACTTTCGACAATTCGGAAACCTTTCCCCCCTTTTTAACGTTTACCGGAGAGTGGGAACGGAATTGTTATCGAGTTGCTAGTTAGAAGTTCATTTCCGTTCTTTATTCCCATCAGTGCATGACGCCATTCGATGCCTTGACGTGCGCTGATGCCATCGCATGCGGCGAACTCTGTGAATAGCGATCATCCTAGACCTCTCGATTTTCTTGAACTCAATACCGGCCAGATGTGCGGCTGGAAACGAAATTCGATACAAGGGACGTTGCAGATAAACATAGCCCGGGGCGCTCATGCGTCCTTAAACGTATACCATCCTGTTGTTCATCCGGAAACTGAATCCTACAGCGATACCCAGTTCACGTAGCGGTATTTTCCGCAGCCTTCTGCGCTGTATTGTAAACCTCTGGCCGACGCTGTTTGCGCACAGGGATCGCATTTCGTACCTGTTCCAGACGATTCAAGTCGATATCCGCCACAACAAGCGACTCACGCTCATCCGTCCGCGCAATCACTTCACCCCATGGCGAAGCGATCATGCTGTGCCCATACGCGGTATACGTCGCACTCAGGTCGCGTGCTGGCGAGCAGGCACCGACGAATACCTGGTTGTCGAGTGCCCTGGCCCGGATCAAGAGCTCCCAGTGCGCTGGACCCGTTGTCATGTTGAACGCGCCGGGATAGATGAGTAGCTTCGCATTGTGTGGTTCCCGGGCCATCGCGGTGGCCATCTCGGGGAAGCGGATATCGTAGCAGATGCCGACACCGACCCGCAAGCCAGCGTTGGCATTCGGCTCCGAATCGATACCGTCCCGAAGTGCGAAGCTTGTGAGGCTATCGCCTGCGCTCAAAACATCGGACTCGCGGAACCGAATGCCACCCGGCACATCCACATCGAACAAGTGTACCTTGCGATGGCGAGCGAGTAGTTCGCCCCCGGGGCCAAAGGTGAGCGAAGTATTGTAGATGCGCTGGTCATCGGGAGAACGCTCTGGAACGGAGCCTCCCACCAGGTAGATTCCATGAGCACGGGCAAGCTTCTGGAGCACGCCCGCTGTCTCACTGACACTGGTATCGCATGGTGCCGCAGTTGTTCCTGGACGGGGCAAGGGTTCCGCGTACTTTGGGAAACAACTCGTGTCGTAGGGGCAATTGAAGCACTCGGGGAGAACAACCAGCTTGGCACCTTCCTGCACAGCACGTTCGACCCAGTGCTGTGCGTTTGCCAAGGCAACACGCTTGTCGGGGTCGACTCGGACCTGGCAAAGCGCAATTCGCAAACTATTCCCTGCAGAAGTGGACATCCACACTAGGACCTGCGGCCTTTTCCGAGTCTTCCGTTGCCTGATGCCTGTCCGGGGGTGCGAGCCTGCCGCCAAGCGGGCCCGCAGCGTCGCTAACGTTTGCCACGCCAACTTTGACGCAACCGCTCTAAATAGAGCTCGAACGCGTCGCAGTGCGCCTTCTCGCGTCCAGCCACGGTAGACGCCAGCACTAGCGTCGTTGTTATCAGTAGCGAACTAGGGCACACTTGCAGCAAACAGGCAGAAAAGCCAGCCGCCAGAGAGCCTCGTTTTCCTTGCGAATACGGAAAAGCCTCTATTGCTGATTCTGGGATCGGGCGCCACGAACGCCCTGCCATACCGTACGCACGGACGGAAAACGCCTTCATCAGATAGGGCATGGTTGCATTCGCAAGGCTTCTCTCATGAACCATTTTCTGGTGGTGCGCGGTCCGTGATTCAGCCTGGACTGTGGTGTGCTCGACAACGGATGGGTCTTCTGAATGAACCAATAAACCAAGAGGAACATCTGGTTTGTAGCTCGTGGAACTTGCGGCTCTCCAACAGAATGGAGGTTGTTTCCTTGGCTGCCGATCTCTATCGCGCATCCGTGAGTATCCCTGGGAAAAAGCATCGATGCAATGCCATCGAGTAGTTCGGGGGACGCTGATCGAGCTCCTCGATCCTGTACGGTATAGAAATGTTTTCAGCGCCAATGGAACGCTCGAATGCTTCCGGTAGAGAGAAAAGGATGCATCCCGTATCTCCATCAAATGAAGCTGTATTTTGTCGCACAGATGGCTTCAGAAATTGCGTCTTCTCGTTTACAGGTGAGGAAAGTGGTATGTGACGGTACCCAGAAGACAAGTCTCTACTGCGTTCATGGGTACGAGCGTATGTGCATATCCGAACGGGACCGTCGCGAGCATCGCTTCGACACCAGGCGATAACGAACGCTGCGACGCTTTCGCGTGAAACTTGCGCTCCAAACGTTTGCCGCTGAACCCCTTAACTGTCACTAGAACGTTCCTGATCAAGGCTTCGGGACGTGTAACGGTGGCTGATGGAGAGCGAAAGGAACACGCACGACCTTGCCGAGAAAAAGCACGTAGCACTTTCGGGGTACGCGGCTCGCTCCCGAACGACCTGGTTCACGGAGGCAGTGGCTGTTGTCACTGCTGCCGCCACGTACGTTGCCGTGGCGTTCGCCTCTTGGGAGTGCACAAGTCCGTGGCTTTCGCGGTGGTTAGCTTCCGTGAAACCTCGTTTGGGAACGGAACAGGGGCGTCGTTTGGTTTCCCACGCAGCGTTTCGTCTTGCAGTCCTGGCGCCGCTCGTATCCATCACGTCCAGTGCAGTTGCCGGTGCGACGTATGGCCTCGTGCTAGGTTCACGAACAACACCGGAAACCGAACGAAGAACACCGAGAGCATTCGCTCGTCGCAGCATAGCGGTTTCCTCTGGCGCCCTCATTGCGCTAGCGACCATAGACCCGTGGCGGAAAGCGCTCTCCGAACACGCGCACTGTCTTCCTCGTATCCTGGCTGACATCCGTCGACCAGTTGCAGTGGCTGCTGCAACCTCGTCTGGCATGCTTGGCGGCATCGGTGTTTCCCTGGTGTTCACGGCGAATGTGCTGCTCTTTCATCAGACGTCGACGAAATGTGCTGGAGTACGAGCCGCATTGAGCATGCCGAGCCGCGAGCCATCACCGCCCAGCGCTGTCGCAAGTGCTGCCTTTCCTCCAGAAAGTTCAGTAGCCTGAACTCGACTGGAGTGTACGACAATATGCCTTGATAGGCACGCGACGCCGTCGAGCCAGTCATCCGTGGAAGCGTGCAGTCATGAGCGCTCGGTTGGTCAAGGAATCCTGCGATACGGCACAGATGCGAAATCCATGGATGCATTGGCTGTGACGAGCATTCAAAGCTCATCGACTGGGTTCCTGGTGCGCGCACCCCAGCAAACATTCCATCTTATCACCGACTGAGAGAGACCGTGACGGAGCGTGCAGGCACCGGCGGTTGTAAAAGTGAAGGTGTTCGCTGTGAGCATCCGATGAGAACCTGGCCTTGCGAACCGCTACCGGAAGACGGGACAGCGCTGCCTCCTCCGAGGTGCTTCTAGAATCGCTTCCTCTGCAGTGGCTCTGGAAAGTGCACTTGTTCTGCGAGGACTGCAGTACGGACTTGATTTGTGGTCGAGCGGAATGCACGGTCGTATTTTTGGATGGAACGGGCGCTGCTGCAGCGCTTTGCCCTACGAAGCAAGCTCCACTGCTGATGGCATCAGCAGGAGGAGCTACTGTCGCGACGGACGCTCTGGGAATCAACGTGTTTCTCCGGGAAATCCGCTGCTTATGCGCCGCTTACCAGAATATGCTTTAATTTATGCAGGTGAAATAGGACCCGTGCCGATGGAGTCAGGTGCCTTCGATTCTTGGGAAGCCGTCGTTCCGCTCGCGTCAAGCGATGCATCCACGGCCTCCAGCTCGGCTTCTGCGGCTGCTGCTGCGGAGGCGACCTGCTCCAGGCGCGACGTCGAGTTGCCACCTTGGTTGCGGTGCAATCGCTTGGCCGCCTGGTTACGCTCCGCTTGCGCTCGGCGAATGAAGGAGTTAAAGCGATTCTTCACCGCATTGTCGGTACGTCCCTGCAGCATCCGTGCTATCTCACTCCAGCGATTTCCTAGACGAGCATGGGCTGAGATAATAATCCTATCTTCCTCGGGGGTCCAAGGACGCTTGCAAATCTGTGGCGAGAGCTGGTTCAACCAGCGTTCTCGCGCTTGCTTGCCGGTTCGGCCTGGGATGTGCTCAGCGATGAGCGACCATCTTCGAGGCCCCATCTTTTCGACCAGAGACCGCAGCAGTTCATCTTCTTCGGGACGCCACGGCCCTTTGACCTCTTTTCGCTCACTGACCCGGCGTGCTGACGGAGTGCTCTGCACCTGGGCGCGATTCGACGGTGTCGAGCTGACATCAGGGCTCGAACGCTTGCTCTCGGATGACACCCGCGACAAGGTGTCGGGCCAGACGCGCGGCTCCTCGCCTGGTGACCAGCACCGCCACATCGCCACCGGCTCAGGTTGTATAAGGGAACCCTGCGCCAAGTGTGCATTGGTTGTCGTGAAACTGTCCACTGGCGTGCCCGATGGAGCACTCTTCATCGCGCCCATCTTGGGGGTGTCCGTGTCCGAAACCGGCGAATGCCTTATCGGCATGCTAGCGCATCTGGCGAGCTGAGCGCCAGCAACGCGTTCATTTTCCAAACCAATGCAAAAGAGAGGCGCTTGTTTCTCAGAAATGGCGGCAAAGGTCCCATCTGACCCAGGGTTTCCCCAGACAAGGTCGCTCCCGGTAGTATTCGTGGGTATCGCTCGCCGGCCCGCTGCTGCGCCAGAGCCAGGGCGGGAAACCGCACCCGCATCCTCGAGCTTCGTCACGACTCCCTCCAAACGCCGCAAGCATACGCTGTTCTCTGGAGTTGCACTCGCGTTTACATAGTTCAAGTTCGGCGACGAACTCCGAGACTCTGACAGAGCCGCAGCCCAGAACAGAAGCTCCAACCCCGAAAACCGCGAGTTGGAACGCTCATTCCCAGCTACCGCCTCCGCGCGTTGCTCGTGCTCCTCTCCCAACGCCACGCTCTGCTCACACGAAACGTTCCACTCGTTCATAGCCTCAAGCATCAGAACACGTTCAAGCGTTACGAACAAGTGGCTGCGCTCGAGGTGCACGCGTCGTTCAGCGTCAGCTCGTGGAGCGCGAACGGCATCTACCGTTGCGCGGCCGCGGCCGCCGGCCGGCGGCCGGCGATGCGCGCACGTAGACGCTGTTGCGTTTGTGCGTGCGCGTTTGTGCGTGCGCGTTTGTGCGTGCGCGTTTGTGCGTGCGCGTTTGTGCGTGCATGACGTGCAATGCGGGAGAGCGTGCGTGCGTGCGCGCGCGCGCCTTTCAAGACCGGCCCATGCGGATCGCATCGCCGTTCATCGACGCGCGCTCTGATCGATTGCCGCGCGGCATGGGCGCTGCTGGCGGTGCGTGACAAGGACGTGCGATTGTCCAGGATTGACTCATTCGCTGGATCCGTGGTGATGGCGGCGCGCGGGTGATCCCCCAGGGCAAGCGTGCCGAGCCGGAACGGTTGTCGGCAGTGGTTGAAAGCGCTCGTTCAGGGGCACTGGGCGTCGTGCTGCTGCCTGGACGATGTTCGGGTGCGGTGCGGCTCGTTTGCGCAGGATCGTGCGAATCGATTCATTTGATACAAATGGGTCAGTGCGGTATTCGATATCGCGGGAACGCTCGAAACAGCCGCTTCTGAATGAGGGTTTCTGCGTCTTGAGCGCCGGTGCTGTGCTGCAAATCGGCACATGACGGGATCTAGAATCGAATGTGTCTCCGTGTGTTGTGCAGGAGACTGGAGGGATTCGCAGGTAGTGTCCGCTGAGCTGTCGACACAGCGTAAGCTTCGGAGTGCCCTGGTCAATGCAATGCAAGAAACCAGAAGATTCTGGATGCTTCACATAAGGCCCACACCGGCGAAAGGCCGTGTCGACGATGTGCGATTAGCGCCAGCGACGACGCCGGATCGGACTCGCACGTCAGAGGCGCTGCCGCTTGCGATACCACAGGTCCGAAAGAGGTCTGCGTGTCGGGGTGTTACGCAGATTCTGGAGCATCTGGCTCGAGACTATTGTCAGAACGGTTTACGCTGCTTATGCTCTATGGGTAGGACGCGTTCATTCCACATCCTGCTGTGTATCGCTCCTGAACGCGTGAACAGCAGACAAAATGCTGGCGGCTCTGCGCTGAACCCGCAACCAGTGCGCCAATGGATCGCCGCCCACGAACGGCATTCTTTCGCGCGCTGGTCAACGCTGTACCGCCAATGACGTACCAAAGCGTCAAGTTACGGTGAGCTGTATTGCCTTCCAGGCACCATTGCTAATTAACTTGAACGTAAAACTGTCAACGTTGGTGTATGTGCTGAAACTAGTCCGTTCGGGTTTGGCACCGGTCTGTTTTCTTCATTGACGTTGAAAACGGACCGCTGCCCGGTGCCGCGCAGCTGCTGCACTGGTGCAGGTTCACCCAAGTCGCGCTTTTTCGACGCTCACCAGAACGAAAACCGTTCTGCGTTTCCCAAGGCACCAGGCAGCGGACTGTGTTCACCAAAGGTGTAACTAGATGCGCAGGCATGGCTCACCGACTCGGGCGAGCACACACCAGTCGAGCAGCGGCCTCGAAGCGCACGCGGAGCCGCTGCGATCAGCGTGGACCACCGACCCGGAGGAGCAGAACGATGCGACCTGCACCGCTGATACCAGCTCGATAAACTGGGCAGCGCTACTATTCGGTTCAGAGGACTTGGCGCAGGTGCCAGCGATCACTGCACTTGACTGGCTCGACACGCTGCACGGCTCGGTGCCGCTGGGACGTTTACGACGCGCCTGCCTTCACCACGTCATTCCGAGTGCATTTCGGCCATGGGCGTGGCTTCTATTGCTGGGTGCCCTGCCACCCATGCGAGCGACGTGGCGCATTGGACTCGTGGTTCGTCGAGACATGTACAACGAGTGCGTGCGCTTCGCCACGCTCACTGGTCTACGGAAGCTTGCCCTGACGCACGGTGCCAAAGCGGACTCTGCAATCGAAATTATCTTTTGGGCATATGTTGGATATCTTGCGGCAGCGCTCGAGACGCGTCATCTCACCCGGATGGACGAAGCGGCGGGCGCTGGTCTCGCTGCCGTGCGAACCCCGCACCTGCGGCCCTATCGCACCGACTGGGTGTCTCGCCTTGAGCGTACGCGGCATTGGATCCAAAACCCAGAGCAACGCAGTGAGCGAAGCGCGATTCTTGCTCAAATCCATGTTTTCGATGCTGTTTTTCGCGGAAAGCCGGAGCTCGCCTGGTGGTGCCTGGTACGCTTTCGGGAACAAGAGCGACGTTTGGCCACGAATCGCCTGGGGCAAACGGTGGAGTCGTTCGATTCCGCGTATCGTGTGCGACTGGTGCTCCATCTGGTCGATGTCGCCGATCAGGAAGCTGCCCAGAGTCCGCCGGGCACGCCGCCTCAAACCGATGACTCGGAAGGCAGCACAATTCGACTACCGAAGCAGGCCAAACGGCTGGGCGGCTTCTCCGCACTGGTAATGGCTATGCTGAAGCTCGCGAAACCCGGAGCTCCGCAGCATCAGGTGCTGCCCAGGGCCGAGGATGCGAAAGGTGCATCGGGGCGGCGCGATTCACCGAGATTCGCTCGGTCATCTGAAGAGACGTCGCTCACGGAGCACAGCGGTGCCCCAGCGACGGTGACGGTGCGCGCACTTTTCGAGCGGGCAGCAGCGGCTGGTAGCAGCGCGGGACAAGGCCGCAGCCAAAGCACCCAGGAGCTCGAGATGTACGCGCGGCATCTCTTGCAGTCAGCATTCGCTGAACGTTTATCGCTCGAATACTGCGTCTTGATGTGGGACCGCGTCTTCGCAGCGGGGCCGGATCTCATGGCCCATCTGGCGTTTCAGCTGCTGGTGCAGCTCGCTTTCCGACACCACGAGCACGGCGCACCGCCCGAGCGTGCCACACTGGATAAGGGATCACCGCACAGCGGGAAGCTTCAGGCTTTGCTCCAGCGTCCCAGCGCGTTCCTGTGTGCAGCGGACATCGAGGCAATCTGTGACCGGGCGAGCAACGCTGCCGACTACCTGCTGGGATACGATGGCGAACTCCTGGATGATTGGGATCCAATTTACGCGTTCGATGTCCAGTGGCCGGTGCTTGAGCGCGGTGATCAAGGCGCTCTCGTACGCATTCTTCAGCACCTTTTGCGCGCACGCGGCTACGGCAACTGGTTCACGATTGATGGGGTCTACGGCATACGCACTTGTACAGCTGTTGCACGCTTCCAACAGGACCTCGCAAAGCAATTTCGCCCTGATCGAGAGCTGCCGGCCCAGCGAGCCGTTCATGCGCTGGCAACGTCGCGCTTGGACACCGGCCGACCGCTTACGGTACGCCTCGAACGGTTATCGAGTGGCACTGCGGTGCAAGCAGCAGCACCAGCAGCAGCACATCGACCCCAAATGATGGGTGCGCTCACAGGGCGCCGTCCGCTCGGATCGCCCGAGTCAGCGACCGCCTCCAGGGAATACGAACGCTACCGAGGTGACCAGGTCAACGACCAGCTTTGGCCAGAGCTGGTTGTTCCGGTTTCAGCTGGCGATCGGGGTGATGCGGTCATGGCGCTTCAGGTAGCGTTGCGAGACCTGCACGGCTACGACGCAGTACGCATCGACGGATTCTTTGGTCGTCGCACTGAGGCGGCGGTGCGCGACTTTCAGCGCCGCGGTGCAGCGCGACTCATGCCCATTGACGGCCTCGTGGGCCCTGTCACTTGGCTGCACCTGCTCGGTAGCTAAATTGCCGTTGCTGTTTCTCGGTGATGCGGATTCGATCCATTGAATCTAGACAGCGCAACATGACGAGCGCGCACAACCAAGACGCATGATAAAGCAGCCGTGGCAACGACGGTCTTGTCATAGAGCACGATCCCCGTACCAATCGGATGATGCAGCCTAGCATCCTGCGAAATTCGTTGCCCTAGAGCATCAAGGCTCAGTCGATGTTCCAGGGGAAACGCATTCGTTCACGGTGGATATCGGATGTTTATGGTGCACGCACGCACGCACGCACGCATGCATCTCTAGACAGCACCGCGTGGCGATGCGTGCGTGTCCAGACACGCATACAGCGATGCGTGCGTGCGTGCGTGTACAATGGACACGCACGGCACGTATCGCACTTTTTTTTCAACCATTTGCGTTCAAGAGCGTCCCAGTACCATGGAGAGCAACGCCATACGTACGTACATACCGTACTCCATCTGACGAAAGTAAACAGCCCGAGGATCTGAATCGACTTCAGGTGCGATTTCATTGACTCGTGGCAGCGGGTGCATGACAATCATGGTGTCCTTGGCACGAGTCAGCGTCCGCGGAGTGATCACGTAGAAGGCGTTGAAACGCTCGTAATCACCGGGGTCTGCAAATCGTTCACGTTGCAGGCGGGTCATGTACAGCACATCCGTTTCCGCAAGGCAGTCTTCGAGGTTCGTGTACTCCCGCTGTTCGATGCCTCGCGTGGCGACTTCTTCGAGAACCTGGCTCGGCATGCGCAGTTCGCGCGGTGACACATAGTTAATGCGTACTTGATAGAGGGCTAACAGGCGCGCCAGGGAGTGCACCGTGCGCCCGTTCCGCAAATCACCGACAAATGTAATCACGAGGCCGTTCACGGTACCGAGCTCCTCGCGAATGGTGAACACGTCCAGCAAAGCCTGGGTCGGGTGCTCGCCGGTCCCGTCGCCGGCATTGATGAGGGGCGTTTTCGGAAGCGCCTGGGCTGCTCGCTCCGCAGCACCCGCTTCGGGATGTCGCAGCACGACAGCGTCGGCGTAGGATGCCATGGTCCGCACCGTATCCAAGAGCGATTCGCCCTTGGCCACCGATGATGACTGCAAGTCGTTCATTTGGATGACGGTTCCGCCGAGTCGCTGCATGGCAGCGGCGAAAGAACACGAGGTGCGCGTGCTCGGCTCATAAAAGACGAGTGCGAGAACGCGACCACGCAACAAATCCAGCATGCCCATGCGATTCACCATCTGGCGCATCTCCTGTGCAACACCGAAAAGCGCATGCAACTCCGCCCGGCTGAACTGCGACACCGATAGAATGCTCTGGTGACGCAGGAGATCGCGTTGGGCAGACGAGCCGGCTGGCACCGATACTGGTGCCGGTAATGATGTCTGGTAATGGGGCCAGCCAGGTTGCGGCGAAGCTGCCTGCCAGCTGCGTCGAACAAGCGGCACATCTACGGGAGCGCAGCTAAAGGAATCGAGCGGACGCGGTTCTAGAAGCGTCGATCGATTCGCCTTGGTTGATGGCATCCATGAGCGATTTGCAACCGAAACACGCGGAAAATTGACCATGTCGAGCTGGCGAGCACGCTGCTCGACGGCCGCCCGGGCACGGTCGATATCAGCGGTCGAGTCGTCCGTGGTCACAGCTGCAACAGCGCTTTCCACCGGAAGCGTTGCAGGTCTGAAGCTTGGGCGCACGCTCGACGCCGCGCGTGCGTTGCGTACGTCGGGCGCTGAAGGGAGAGCAGGCTGAGCAGGCACTGCGCCAACCACGGTATCCTCTGCAGTCGCGGTCGCAGTCTCCGTCGCGGATTCCAGGAGATCGTGACCAGCGCCCGCTTCTAGCAAAACCTTGTCATCAAGGTACGCGATGCGCTTGCGAACGACAACGCGCAACACTCGGCCTCGCAGTTGGTACGCCTTCTCGTTGGAATCACCGTCCGCCGGTACGAAGCGCTCCGTCTGATCAATATCGACCTCGACATAGGTATCCGCATGAGCGGAGCTACCCGCTGGCGCAAGACCGAGGAAGCTGCGCGGAAACTCCACGAGTCGACTCAGGAGCCAGGTCATGGTCAGACGTCCGCGGTGCACCGCCTCGAGTAAGAGGCCAAGCACCAGACGTGGTGATCCCGTCACCGTGTCAATCGCATCCAGAGCGTCCCAGAGCGCGTCGACATCGCGCTGTTCCAGCTCGTGCTGCAGTGCATCGCCGCAGAGATCCTCGACGCGCACATCGCAGGTCACTGGAATGCCGCGCTCTTTTGCACTACGGATGAGGGCGATGTCCTCGCGGCGACGAACGGCATGGATGTGAATCGGCCGCGCATACAGCACTGCACCGAACAGCATCGCCGAGAGCGCTTGGGTGCTGCTGGTGTGTAAAATCACCGGCTTGTGCCGAGGCCAGAGCTCCAAATGACGCAACCATGGCGTAAGGTTCTCACGGAGTGGCGCCTGATCGGCGCTCACGGCATTTGTTGCTGCTGCCGATGCTGCTGCTCGTCGATGGATCATGGGTTCCGTATTGTCTAGCGCGATGAAGAGACCGGCCACCTCGTTTGCCAAACTGGGCAAAGTCGCTGCGTTCGCCGCTGTTGCGTAGGCATAGATTGCATGGTCACAGCGTCCCCAGCGCGCAAGCTGCTCGCGCACAGTGCGCAAGGTTTCCGATTCAGCGACCAGGAAATCGGGTGCAACAGCGGCACCGACCCAGGCAACGTAGCCTCCGCGCAGCAGCTGTCGATCGAAATCGTCCAGTAGTGCACACAGCCTCGCATCCGCGGCTGCGTTCCGCTTTGGATGTTGGTCGCCGTTCATCAGCGGCGACTCGGGGTCGCACCGATCACCATTCGGAGCTGCGAAAGGCTCATGCTCAAGTCGCGATGTGCACATGTTCACCAGGCCCGGTAGAGTGATCACTCGGGCACTGAAACGAACATCGTACGGCTGCAGAGGCAACGAGACGCCACGTCCGTAGCGCGCAAGCGCACGAACCAACAGTTTCGCGCACTTGATATTCGTGAGCAGAGGAATACTGAAATCTACGGCTGTCCGTCGGCTAATGTAGCCGTTGCTCATGAATGTGGCTACCCGTCGAAGCTTGTTCTGCGAAGGTAAGTTGATGAAAAAATCAATCATCTTGTCCTGAATCAAGCGCGTAACGTCGAGCGTGCCCTGTTGGTACTCGTCTGAGGGCCAGACGACCAGCGTGCACGGCACGTTGTGCTCCACCAAAAAATCTGCTGTTCCCGGCGTTGCGTACAGACGATAGCCAATGGCAGCGAGTTTCTTCGCAGACTCGAGAAATTCCAGTTTCTCTTTGTACGAGCCGATGCTCAGACAAATATTCCGCTGTGGTAAGCGAATGCCGGCTGCTCGTAGTCCCTTGAGATACGCTTCTTCGCGGCTCTCTCCAAAACAGGCAACCTCACCGGTGCTGGCCATTTCGACGCCGAGAATCGGATCTGCACCCAGCAGCCGCGCAAAAGAGAACATGGCCACTTTGACGCCAACGTGCGGTACGGTGGAAATATCGACAGGATACGGCTGCACAGTCAGACCGAGCATGACTTTGGTGGCCATTTTTGCGAGGTCCAGGCCTATGGTTTTGCTTACAAATGGAAAACTGCGGCTTGCACGAATATTGCATTCAATAACCTTGATTTCGTTGTTCTTGGCAATGAACTGCAGATTCATCGGCCCTGAAACGTTCAGGGCGTTGGCTATCTTTCGCGTCGCATCCTCTAGTTTGCGAACGGTCTCAGGTTCCAGGTCCTGTGCCGGTAACACCAACGTCGCATCGCCCGAGTGCACGCCAGCGTTCTCGACATGCTCGCTAATGAAATGGACGACCAGCTCCCCGTTGCGTGCCACTGCATCCACATCGATTTCTTTGGCCTCTAGAATGAATTTGGAAATGACCACGGGATGCTCACGAGACACCCGCGCAGCCTCGGAGAGATAGCGCTCCAGGTCCTCCTCTTTGTAGGCTACATTCATCGCTGCACCAGAGAGCACATAACTCGGACGCACTAGACAGGGATAGCCCACGGAATCGCAAAAGGCCGCAGCGTCAGCGATGGAGGTCAACTCCTTCCAGCGGGGCTGATCAACCCCAATGCGATCCAGCATGCGACTGAATTTGTAGCGATTCTCCGCGGAATCGATCATCTCTGGAGAGGTGCCCAGCACGTGTACACCTTGGCGATGCAACGACATGGCAATGTTGTTCGGGATCTGACCCCCCATTGAGACGATCACCCCATCGACTGCCTCTCGCTCACAAATATCCAGCACCCGCTCGAAAGAGAGCTCTTCAAAGTACAAGCGATCGCATTCGTCGTAGTCAGTGCTGACGGTTTCCGGATTGTAATTCATCATGATGGTACGCGTGCCTTTTGCACGCAGCGCTCGAACTGCTGCGACCGCGCACCAGTCGAATTCAACCGAGGAACCGATGCGATAGGCGCCACTGCCAAGTACAATGATGCCACCGAATCGCGCACTGACGTCATGAGCACCTTGACTGCCTGCGTAGGTCGCATAGAGGTAATTCGTTTTGGCGGGAAACTCCGCGGCCACTGTATCAATCTGTTTGATATTCGGGACAATGCCGTACTCCTTGCGGAGCTTGCGAATCTCCAGTTCCGTATTGCCAACGAGTCGCCCGATCTGTCGGTCGGAAAACCCGAGTTGTTTTGCCGCACAGAGCAGATCCGCAGTGAGCCAGTTTTCCGAACCAGTGTTCATGGCATTCGCCGCTAATCTCTCCAGCGTCTGTTCGAAGCGGGTAATGCGCGCGAGCCGCATGAGAAACCACCGATCAATCTGGGATTTCTCGTGAATCTCTTCGACGCTGTGGCCACTGGCTAGCCCAGAGGCGATGGCGAGAATGCGGGCTTCGGTGGGCGTCTGCATCTCTTCGTCACTGTAGGGTTCCACGTCGCGTTCGAAACCGTTCACGTAATAATCACGCACCATGCGAATGGCTTTCTGGATCGTCTCCTCAAAATTCCGCCCAATGGCCATAGCCTCCCCGACGCTCTTCATCGAGGAGCCCAGTTGTCGATTCACGCGCTCGAATTTTTTCAAATCCCAGCGCGGCATCTTCACCACGATATAGTCGAGACTTGGTTCAAAACATGCTGTCGTCTCTTGGGTGATGGAGTTCCGGATGGCCGGCAGGGCGCGGCCCAAGGCCAGTTTCGCGGCAACGAACGCTAGCGGATAGCCAGTTGCCTTGCTCGCCAGCGCCGATGAACGCGACAAGCGTGCATTCACCTCTATGATGCAGTATTCGCGCGAGTTCGGATTCAACGCGAACTGGATATTGCACTCGCCAACGACGCCAAGATGGCGGACGGTCTTGATTGCGGAGTTGCGTAGCATCTGATATTCCGCATCGGACAGAGTCTGCGACGGTGCCACCACGATCGATTCGCCGGTGTGGACACCCAACGGATCGAAGTTCTCCATGTTGCAAACGGTAATGCAGTTGTCGTACGCATCTCGCACCACCTCGTACTCGATTTCTTTCCAGCCCTTCATCGAGCGCTCTACCAGGAGTTGCGGTGAACATGACAAGGCTTTGCTGGCGAGCTGCCTCAGTTCCTGGGCGTTATTGGCGAAACCGGAGCCGAGACCCCCCAGGGCGAATGCCGCTCGAACGATGACTGGGTATCCGATGCGCTCGGCCTCAGTGATGGCCTGTTCCACAGAGGCGGCCGTAGCAGAACGGGCGAACGGCTCTCCGATCTCTGCGAGACGCTTGTTGAAAAGCTCTCGATCCTCTGTATCCATGATCGTTTCCACGGGGGTGCCCAGGACTCGGATTCCATTTTCCTGGAAAAAGTTGCGTTTTTGCAGCTCAATACCACAGTTCAAGGCGGTCTGGCCTCCAAATTGTAAGAAAATACCGTCTGGCCGTTCGTTCTCCGCAATGCGCATCACCGATTCTGGATCGATCGGCAAGAAGTAGACCTTGTCGGCGAGTCCTCCCGTGGTTTGCACCGTGGCAATATTCGGATTGATAAGAACTGAATAGATGCCCTCCTGTTTCAGGGCCTTAATAGCCTGCGAACCTGAATAATCAAACTCTCCGGCTTGGCCGATGGACAGGCCTCCCGAGCCCAGCACCAGTACTTTGCGGATCGATTTATCCGACGCTGGGCATGCGCCCGTTGCGGCTAAACGCTGTGGCGCTGGCGGGGGTTGTTTCGTTCGCATCATCTCGACAAAGAGGTCGAAAAGAAACTCGGTATCACAGGGTCCAGCGCGCGCTTCCGGGTGAAACTGCACCGAGAACGCAGGTTTCTTTCGGTGAATAATGCCTTCATTGGATCCGTCATTCGCATTCGTGAAGTAGGGTTCCCAGCCTGGTGCCAAGCTGTTCGTGTCCACCGCATAGCCGTGATTCTGGGAGGTGATATAACAACGACCGGTGCGCTCATCGATGCACGGTTGATTGTGGCCACGGTTGCCGTACTTGAGTTTGTAGGTCTGTGCTCCCGCCGCCAGGGCCAGCAATTGATGACCGAGGCAAATGCCGAAAACAGGTCGCTCCTCAGATAGCCATTGCTGAATATTGCGAATGGTCTCCAGCACCATCGTAGGATCACCCGGACCGTTCGAGATAAAAAGACCATCACAAGAGCGATATTTGTCGGCGTTAATGTCTTCATCCCAGGGTACTACGGTCATGCGACAGTGCCGACGCGCCAGGCACCGCAACTGGTTGTACTTCAGACCGCAGTCCACAGCTAGCACATGATACCGGGCATCGGGCGCTCCGTACTCGTACGGCTGCTTGCAAGAAACCTGTGCAACGAGGTTAAGGCGATTCGGGTCTATAAATGCTTGGTCTTCATTACGATCGTCTTCAAGTACGATCCGTCCAAGCATAGAGCCATGCTCCCGAATCTTTTGCGTAACAAGTCGGGTATCGATCCCACATATGCCTGGAACTTGCTGTTCCTGAAGCCATTCTCCAAGCGATTGCTTCGCCAGCCAGTGCGAGTATTCCTGCTCGTAGTTTAGAACGACGAGACCGGCAGCGTGAATGCGCGCAGCCTCAAAGTGCAACGGAAGGCCGTACGCGTCGCGCTCCGACATGGACGGAACTCCGTAGTTTCCCACCAGAGGATACGTGAAGACGATGATCTGTTGACAGTAGGATGGATCGCTTAGGGTTTGCTCATAACCGACCATACCGGTTTGGAAAACAACTTCACCAGCAACAGAACGAGCAGCTCCGAAACTCCAACCCTCGAAAACGCTTCCGTCTGCAAGTTCCAGCCTTGAACGACGCTTTCCTGCGTCGGTCAAGAGGCCCGGCACCTGCAGCTCAAGATCCTGCGCTCCATAGGAAGCATCACCCTGAATTGTGGTCATGGTGCAGCCCTCAAGACAAGACAAGACAAGACAGAAACGTGCTCCAGGGACGAACGCGCCCCCAGCGTAGTACAGTGGAGACGCAGCTACCGTATGGCGGTATCGATGCTTCCGCCGCCGCTGCCGGCAACAACGACGGCGTCGACGACGATCGCATCCTCACAGCGGTGCGGAAGCGGTCATGGCGGGAAACGATGCGTGCGTTTGCGCGCGATTGCGGACATGCTTCTAGACCATGGTGAAATGCAGATATCATTAGATACAGGTATATAGGTGTATATATGCAATTGTGGATATGCTTCTAGACCATAGTGAAATGCAGATATCATTAGATACAGGTATATAGGTGTATATATGCAATTGCGGATATGCTTCTATACAATGGTGAAATGCAGATATCATTAGATACAGGTATATAGGTGTATATATGCAATTGCGGATATGCTCCAGAGACAATGGTGAAATGCAGATATCATTAGATACAGGTATATAGGTGTATATATGCAATTGCGGATATGCTTCTATACAATGGTGAAATGCAGATATCATTAGATACAGGTATATAGGTGTATATATGCAATTGCGGATATGCTTCTATACAATGGTGAAATGCAGATATCATTAGATACAGGTATATAGGTGTATATATGCAATTGTGGATATGCTTCTAGACCATGGTGAAATGCAGATATCATTAGATACAGGTATATAGGTGTATATATGCAATTGTGGATATGCTTCTAGACCATAGTGAAATGCAGATATCATTAGATACAGGTATATAGGTGTATATATGCAATTGTGGATATGCTTCTATACTCATGGAGCTGAAATGGGTATGTAGACTATTTCGGTGTACTCATGCCGCGCAATGTCTGATCTACCTAAAATTCCCATCGGGGATCCAGTTCATGTGATCAGTATGCATCCGTGCACTGAACGTTGCCATTCGGGTGATGCATCGGTCGCTGAAACGGGGATACGTTGTGCGATGACCTGCACAAGCGCCGGTACCAGCCTACCCAGATGCATCCCGCGAATCCGCCGTCATTCACTTAAGTTGCAATGTGCGGCTGGCACTGGAGGCATTCCGGGACGCACCAGATATGCGATGGAGTGTGACCATGGTGAGCGGTTCGCCCCCAAGCTCTGCATCCGCAGCGAGTCCGTACGCCAATAGGTGCATGTATCGATGCCTTGACGCAGCGCCGGTCTCTCGATTGATCCTAAACCATGGATACCCACTTGTTCATGGTCCATCATCGATCAATTTCTTCAGTGTGACTGGAAGCCGCGGATGCTGCCACGGACGGTGGAATACGGCATGGATGCATGCTTGTTCATGGCTCATAATCTATCAATTGATGAAAAGCCAGTCCCTTGTATCGCTCCAGCTCTGTTGTCAGCAGTTGGGGGTATTGATGACAGTCCAAGTCCCGATGGCGCTGCTTCCTGCTGTTGTCGACACTTTGGAAGCAAAGGCGCAAGCTAGGATCCATGCTTCGCTTGTCAATTTGATTTTCTTTCCAGAAAGCCTTGGTGCGCACTTTGTACCGCTGACACTTGGCAATGACAGGGCGCTCCTTCGTATCCATCACATCATTGCTCTCCGAGCGCTGCCCTGTGGCACATGAACACTCGCTTCATCGCTCGGTACATGTCGTTGGCGAATACAGAAGGCGCCCTTCGATGCTCTCTGCTGTTTCCGCGCCTGCTGCCGTACACTACGATCATGGGCTTGATCTGGGCGATCCCGACGGTGAGCAGGTTCTCCACTGGCACTTGCAAACGCCTGCGATTCCATTGGATACAGGATTTGTGGAGCGCAATTCTGTCCATGTTGAAAGCAAGACCACAAGGAAAACCCACGCTGGTGAACAAGTCGAGAAAATCATAGAGCTGTCAGCGCTCCCTTCATGCAAAGCGGTGACGCATGCCACATTCGAAGCATTTGCTGCGACCACAGGAATCCGAGAAGAGTACCCTTTTCCGTGAAAACAGAAGGTACCTGAGCTACAGACAGCACATGCCCCGAAAAGTATGATGCTTCTGGGGAACCCCGTCGCGTCGATGGCCACAAACGAAAGAAGATTTGTCTCTCCAACAGAATCGATTCCTTGACGAGAGAAATTCAGTGAATGATCAGCATAAGCATGTGAACAAGTCATCAGGCGACAAGGTCGATACGGTTTCCCGATCAGTCCACTGGCGCGAATGGCTGCGCTCATCCGTTGCCATGAACCAGACAGAACGTATGCTTCGAGAAGGCCGATTTCGGCTAAATTTCATACGAAAAAAAGGAGTAGAGTGGGCCCTCGTACGCTTGAACCGGATGATGGAATCTGTTCTTTTTCGAACCCCTGTTGGAGGGCATCCCGAATTACCTGGATTCTGATGAATCAAAGGTTCCCAGTGGTAAAGCGTCGAAGAAGCCTCTCCGAAAAGACTGCTGGCAATCCCAGGAAACCGTATGAGCCCCTATTGCTCCTCTTCGAATATCGACGCTGCATATCTAAAAAAGCTGGGAGAAAAAATCGAAAAGCAGGGACAGAGCGCACGTCGCAGTGTGTTCCATTTTAGGCCACCGTGGGTGTCGCGTCAACCTGGAAGCGCAGAAAACGTGCGACCAGCAACCAAGTGCACATCAAGTCAACACTGCCGAAGGAGCGCTCTGATTATGACGGATGGAGGCTGTGGGCTTGGCATTGCCTACCAGCAGGGTATACCTGGCAAAGTTTGGCGACAACAGGGTGCTGACGCTGCACTGGCCTGCGAGTTGGCTGCGGGTACCGTAGGCGTCCGAAGACGGACGCAACGTCGTCTCAACACGTACCGAGTCTTCCGTGCAACTCGCCGAAAAGCGCGCACAAGCTTTCATACGACAGGTACCAGCTCTGATTCGTCCGGGGGAACGCTCAAACCGAGCGTCTCTGCAACAGCGCTCGGTCCGATCCTCGGAAAGTGTGCGCTGCCTCAAAGCGCCCGCGTGCTCATAACTGGCGGCACTGGCTGCATCGGCAGCTACGTTATCGCGGAGTTACTTCTCCACACGAATTACACGCTCGAGTTGATCGTTCGAGGTGGTGCACAGCGTTTCCTCTCCGTGTCTGATGAGCGTTTTCGGTTCAGTTTTCAACAGAGGCGCATACGCGTGCACGACGTCGACCTGGCAAGCGCTGCGGACCTGCAGAGCGAACGGATGCAGCAACTCGTCGGTACCTGTGATGCTCTTGTCCTCTGTGCGGCATCCTGGGGCGGGGATACCGCCAAAGCTGTGAATGTGGACGCCGTGCTCTCCCTGCTGCACGCTTCGAGTCGCCAGCACCGATGCCGCCATGTCGTCTATTTCGCTACAGCGTCAGTCGTTTCTCCGCAGGGCAAAGTGCTTCTGGAAGAAGCTTTACAATGGGGCACCGAATACATTCAGAGCAAGGCTATTGCAGTCATCAGACTCCTCGACACCTTGCAATGCATGGATAAACCGGTCCCGACCACGATTCTGTTCCCGACTCTGGTGCTTGGGCCCACGAGTCATCTGGGCACAGCGTTCCGTGCAAGCTCCCCAGCAGCATTACGTGATTCACCGTTGTATCGTGCAGGGAAGCATGTGCTTCGTTTCCTCAGTGTCGACTCCAGGGTGCGTGCACACTTTATCCATGCTGCGGACTGCGCCCAGATCGTACGACTGGTCCTCCAAGGAGCCTCGTCCACGACGCGTGCTCTGTCGATAGCGCATGACACCGGCGGGAATGTTTTCAAGCCAGTCCAGCGAAATGGATACGCGCTTCCTCTTCAGTGTTTTGTGGTGGGCCAGGAACCACCCTTCTCCTTTGACGACGCTGTGCACGCTCTGTGTCGACTCTATGGACTCGTGATTCCCATGCGATGGCTACGCATTCCGGCTGATCCGCTGTTGTGGCTCATGGCTCATGGGTGGATACCAGTCGATGCGTGGACGCGCTTCTGCTTGCGTCGACGTCGAGAGCTCTTCCTGTTCCCGCAGGCAGTTCGACCGGAGGATTTGGGCGGCACATCTGTCGCACCGGATCTGTATACAGCGTTACAGCGTTGCATGATTCCGTCGAGGGAGGCAGTGGGTTGGATGGAGCGCGATCCCGAAAAGCGCACCACGAGCCAAGTCATGCGTTTTGGGTGACGGCGAGCCGCGTACCCGAACGTGAATGCCGGAGCGCTGCCGCCTACCAGTCCTTGTCGCTAAAGTGTCCGCGCTGGCGACTCAGGAGTGCCCCGTTTCGTTCACACTTTCCCTGGAAATCCCATACATTCCCCAAGGAGACGCTACGACCTGCATGGGGAAATCTATGCATCAGGCAACCTCATGCAACACGATAAGGGAGTCGGGAAAGCGGTTGCCAGCTTTCGGGAAGCGACCTGCTATGCAATATATTGATGTATGCCGGGATTTACGCAGTCCAGCGTCCATGACCGCATCCATGGAGCTCCGTGCCGCACACGTAGCGTTCACGCTCCTTTGAGTTGGCGGCAATCATGGACTGCTCTGGGCTCGCCACAAGTACTTTTGTGAGCTCGGGTCGCCTGTCAGGTGAAGAGCACCCAAACGCGCAGGCGCCCGTCGTCACCCGTGGAAGCGAGCAGGTAACTGCGCTGCAGCGTTTCCGTACTCATATCCTGGAAGCGCTTTCCCAGGTGAATGCTCCAGTCGCCGCAAGCATCGCGCCTTTTCTGAAACTGCACGTAATTGACCTCGGCACCGCTGTGTGCAGCTGGTATATCCAATAGAATGCGGAGCTCTGTCGCCTCGTACACCCGGATGTGCCCGTCAGCACAGGCAGTAGCTAAAAGTCTTCCATCATGGGACCAGTCTACGCAGTACACTGATTCATCCTCTTCGTCGGCGAATCCAGCGTCGCCTGCGTTCACGCGGACTTGCTTAATGACCAACCATCGCTGTTTGCCGCTCATTACGGACGATACCAACGGAGGATCCAGGTTTCTAGGAGTCGAGCTGTCCACCTGCGTAGCTTCCGCGAACCTGGCATGCTCTTCTGGATCTTTCTCGATCGGTGCTGAGGCTAACGCGTCCCTAGTCGAGCTCAAGTCAAGTGACCAGGACCCTGATTCTCGACGCGCACTGGACGGTGCTTCCGCCATGACGCCTTCGTCTGTTGGTTGGGGCGTCCCTGCACCGACACCTTTCTCGCTGTGGGGTTGCGTTGGCGTCCGCACGGATACAGTGTCCTCAACAAGCGCATCATGGCGGATGGTTTCGGGCCTTGTACCGTCCTCGCATCGTTGCCACAGGAGCAGACGACCATCGGCACCAGCGCTCGCCAACAGGTGCTCGTAACCCGCATCGGCTGTTGGTGCAAATGCCACCGACCAAACCGTTGACTCGTGGCCCGAAAGTACCGCGCAGCAGTACCATTCACCATCGTAGACGTCCTCGCACCACAAACGAATCGTGTTGTCATAGCTTGCCGAGGCGATCAGTTCAGTGCGCGGGTGCCAGACGAGGCTCTTCACGTCCTGTGTATGCCCGGCGAGCACCGCCACACACTCAAAGTCTAGGTCGCTGAAGGCACCAGGGCCGCACTCCCATATCCAAACCGTTTTATCGCGTGCACAAGTCGCTAGCAAAGTTCCAGAAGCGTTGAACACCGCCGCCTTGACTTCGGACTCGTGGCCCTCGAGCGTGGCAACCAGTTCCAGCCGCAGGTACGCTGCCAGCACTGCGTTCGCGGGTTCGCGCTCCAAGCTCAGACCGTTCCCGCCTGACACACCCTCCACTAACCGATAAACTCGAACTTTACTGTCGAAACACGCCAGCGCTAGCTGCAAACCGCAGGGAGACCAGTCTATGCGTCGAACCGAGCGGGCAAACGTGTCGCCCCCTAGACCACCCAACAGGAGACCCGTTCGAGCGTCCCAGATCCTCACGGCTTTGTCGGTGCCACATGTCGCGATGAGTTGGCCATTGGGGCTCCAGGTGGCACACCATAGCGTTTCGTGCTCCCTCTGAACATCAACTCGAAGCCACTCCCGCCACTGCATGGAAGCGAAGGCCGGAGTTGCGACTGCGGACGCCGCAATGCCGGCACTGGTGCTGACGCGTTCTACGCATAGCGGTTTCGTGTTACTCTCAAGCTGCGTTGAGAATGCAAAGAGGTTGTACTTTTGGGGCGTTCTTTGCGGGGATATGGTTGTTTCAGGTCATAATGAGGATGCAAAGCTTATAGACTTTGCAACTGGCGGCGTAGCAGGCTTTCTGGCGGACCTGGTCACGTACCCTTTTGATCGACTGCGCACCATCTTCATCGTTTCCTCTAGGCATACAAACAATTGGGATACTTTTATTCAAGCGGGCGGGTTTAGAACCCTCTACCAGGGTTTCTCAACTGTTGCACTGTTCACGCTTCCGGTTCATGGGGTTTACTTCGGGCTATACGAGTGGACGCTGCGCAGGTTTCGAGGAAGTGAGCAGCGTTCCGGCGCCGCCGACACGCTAGCCGTACCTGTCGCTGGACTCGTCGCCGAACTGGGCACCGCACCTATCTGGAACGTGCAAGAGGTCATCAAGCAGCGCATTCAAGCCCAGTCGTTGCAGAGACTTGTGCCAGGAAACGGCACCTTTCAGTCGCCATGGCAGATGTTTCGCCACATTGTGCAGCAGGAAGGCCCGAGGGGTCTCTTTAGGGGCTTTTCCGCCGGCCTGCTTGTCTACGCTCCCTTTGCCTGCGTATATTTTTGGATTTTTGAGCACGGACGAGAGCGTGGACGTGCGCCGCTCGTCAACGGAGTGTTATCGGGAACCTGTGCAACAATTGTTACACATCCGCTAGAGGTACTTCGTACGCATATGGTTGTGAGCAAGTATCCGCGATCAGCGTGGTCGGTAGCTCTCGACATTCATCGCAGATATGGGATTCGCGGCTTCTTGAAGGGTCTGGGTGCGCGTACGCTCTGGCTGGCACCCTCGGCAGCGCTTAGCCTCGCATTTTACCAGCACCTGCAAGAAGTTTGGAAGGGTAACCCCCGTCCCATGCTTAGTCGTGCGATTTCTGAGCCAAAACTGCCCGGCTGTGAAAATGCTAGAATACGCCGGGGGCTCTCGTCGAATCGGAACGGCTGAGGATGCAGAGATGCAGCTGTTGGAAATGGCGGAGCACGAGAGCGCAACGCACCATCGAGCACATATCGTCGTTTCGGACCATGTGTATCCAGCATGCGATAGCTTCGCATACAATAGGATAGAGAGCCTTAAAGCTTCGATGATACGCACACCATGTGCGTAGAATCTTGCGACTCAATCACGTTTCATCCCCGGGGCGGTGTTGAGCGAGAGATCGAAATCACGATGCAATGAGGTGTATTGATCAAGGACGAAGTGCCTGTGGGATATATTTTCTTTACTGAGCAGTGCAAGGAGCAATGCATTCCTCCTTCAGCGCAGCTATAGGACAGTGTTCAGATAATTAAGGAACAGTGAAAGAAAGAAGCATAGGCGCGGTGTGCCATAAACCGAGATTCTCAGAGCGTTCTTTCGGTCCATCGTAAAAAACGACCTGCTGATCATCTTCCGATAAGCAAAAGCGTCGATCGTAGCCACAAAAGGCATCCCTGCTTCTCAAAGATTGTTCATGTGGTCCTGAAAATACTCGGATACAGTTGCAAAAAAAGTGCGATTTCAATCACGGTAACCGTCTACCGAAATCGCAACGAATGCGTTCCTGGAACGTCATAATCGGTAAGAAGTAAAAGGACGTTGGTTTGTTTCTTCAGTCGATTCGACTTGCTTCGGACGATATGGTCGGAGCGTATATGGGTGTTCGCGGAGCAGGGAGCCCGGTGTACGTACAATCGAACTCGAAAAAGGGACGACATCATCTATGCTAACTGCAGTGGACTCATTTGGCGGTCTCAGTTTCGCTGACAGACAACGCTCATAGAACAGCACCGACAGCTTTGTCGAATCACTTAAGACTTTTCTCCTGACGCATGGCGATGTCCTTCAGTTGGACGACGTAGCATTTCACCATTCCCCTTGCGTTCGAGCTTTTGCCGAATCTATTCGGGTAGAGCTGCTTCTCATACCAGTGTACGCTCCGTGGCTCCAACCGATCGAGGAAGCGCTTTCTTTCCTAAGACGTAATGATCGCTCCACTTGGGGACTCGCTGAAGCGTTCAGCACACGGTGACACTCTGGGGAAAATGTTATCTTTCTTCCGCAATATCTTCTCCCTCCGAAATGGTCCTCATCTAAGTGCAAAATCCAATCCGTTCATTTGAAGAAATAAAAAAATCCAAGGGAAAGATATAGACGCGAGAGGCGAGCATCCTGGAGACCCAGTGTCTCCGGATGCCCGAACGAAACGGAAAAAGCTCTTACTCTTGCCAATCATCGAGCGAAGAAGAGCAAGTGACGAAGAAGAGGATGGGAAAGAAAATACGTTTGCCCGACGGAACGATGACGACACTGTGGTGCCACAGAGGACACGACTTCTAGCAATCCTTGCACTGATGAGTTCCACCAAATGCACTGAACGCATGGAAATCGTGAGTCGAGTCTTCAACCCCGCCATCAATTTCAGACGATTTGCGGTGCTCAGGACGAGACCCGATGCACTGACGCAGCCTAACTCATGGGCCAGCCTCTCAAGCTCGAAGCGTGCCTCGATGAACTGACGCCGATAACAAGGGGCCCGTCAACAAAGCCGAGAGGCGTCAGCGCGTCGGCGTATGTATGCATACATTCTGTGGTCGTAGAACGTTTTCGTTTCATTGCGCGTTCGTCAGCGCCTCCGAGCACAGCACCACTCGTTTTATGTTTCTGAATCTTCAGCTTGCTTGGTGGTGCTCCTTACTGGACTCGGGCTTGAGGTTCTTCCCGGGGCTTTAAGCAGCCTCTCACACGCTTGGTAGACTTCGCTAGGCACTTTGGTTCGTAAAGCGCCACCAAGTCGCTTTCGGTTGCGTACGTAGCTAAAGCATTCCAGTGAGTCCCGACAAATGTATGCGGATCGACCGTGAACTCGCCGTGAAGCCTCATTCTCTAAAGCTTCGGCAAAAACCCGGATGCCGGTGCCATCAGCTGCGCGGCAAACTCGGATAAACGCTGGCTTTGGGCGAGACCGGCGACACGCAACGCACACTCGTTGGTGCGGCTGTTTTCCACGCTTGCTTTCGGTATTGTTGACATCGCCTGGAGTTCCACTTTGTGCAAACACCGTAATAAAGGCTGATTGTGCCAGCATTGCAGCTATGACTCTCACGCTCGTGGGCAAAGACAACCCCCGTCCACTGGGTGGTGCTTCTGGCACTGCGGCGAACCGGATGGGCGACGTCGGGCAACGTGTGCTCAATTCCCCTGTCGGATTCAAATGGAACCCTGAACTGCGCACTCTGTTCTTTTTCAATTTTTTCTTCGGGACTCGTTTACTTATGCAGCAGCGACATTCGAAGTGCGACGAGAAGGGTTTACGGATTCATACCGAGTTTTAGGTTTCTTGATGGTCTATCCGGAACGGGTCTATCGACTGCCTGCCGCTGAATTTCGTCAAGTCGCCGTAATCAAGATGATTCGCGAAGTTGTAAAACAAGAGCTCGTAAAATAATTTGTATGAATATTCAATAGACATGTACACAACTCCAATCTTCTCAGTTCCTTATGTGATGCATGCTCAAATCATGCGTGCTTCTAATTTTCGTTGTTTCTGTTCCAAAGCAACTCGTGTGCGAGGCGGTGCGCGCCGCAGGATTTGCAAGGAAACAAACTCGACTGCGTCCTGTGACAGCTTTGCACAAGCTCTTTCTGATTTTTCATCGAACATCTCAGACCGGTTAGTCGATTCCATTTGAAAGACCAATCCTCCTCGCCTGTTGGAAAGCGATGAAACTGGATTCGGCAGCAGCATGATACCGGTCCCGCGGTACGCTCCCGGAGGCTCCCGCCTTCAGTTTCAATGGAAAGGGGTTAAGTGCTCGGACTTCAAACATCACGTGGATCGCTTTGGATAAAGGCAGCGTCACAGTTTCCCACGAGGGGTGCCTGGAAGGATCCAAGTCTCTCGACTTGGTCTCCAGCCTAAGTTTTCATTCCCTTACTCGTACAGTCATGGAAAATATCGTCTTCGAAACAACATACGCTATCGAATGAGACAGCGAGCGCTTAAGCGAGCAGCGGGCATCGTCATCTACGAGTCGCCGCCCAGAAGAATCCTAAAATCGCAGGGTACGGAATCCCGCACGGAAACGGAGGAGGGCATGGTGCGTAGGCTTCCGCAGCCCCCAGTGGCATGCACCGAGCGAGAATGCTTGCTCACGCTGCCATCAACACCCTTCGATAGCTGACAATAGAGCAGGAGCGAAAGGAGAGACCCACGAAATTAACGCTGTACATGAGAGGGAGGAATAGGAAGCATTTACAGAAAGCGCTCGCAAAGACTGGCGTTGATGACACTCGATGGAAACGAAAATATTTGCGTCCACGCCCGTGATTGAGGACCTTTCCATTTCACGCTGATATCGGTGTACCAACACTGCGGCTGGGGGCCGGGTCCGTACTCGCAGCTGCACGTCGGCGCCGCATCGAGGCATCCACATAAGAGAATTCCCTTAACGGAAAAAGGGAAATTCACCGCAATGCGCGCGCCTCTGGAGCGTTTCGTACCAGTGGCTGTTCAAGCTGCTGTTAGTGGTCAGGCCGGTATAGGGGCGTCGCTATGCCTTAAACCGACGTGGAAGCTGCGCGGATGGTCGACCCTATAAGACGTTGTCATTTGCAGCTCACAGTATCTTTATTTTATGTGACTGCAGGGGCTAGAGTGGGTGTCCTGCGCCAGCTCCGAGGAGCTGCTTGGTCTTCGTGGCGGCACTCGAGGACACACGGGCGAGCGGAGCAAACAATCCACGCTAAGCGCCCAGCACCGTCTACTCGAGTGTTGCGGGTGCGCCAGAAAGACAAACGTTCGGTGTCACGAAGCGCAAGATGGCTCATCGCTAACGCGTCCGCGGAAGCTGGTTTCTGCGCAGCGCTCTGGGTGGCGTACCGTCAACTGCAGCGCAGCCGCAAACATGCGCAGTTGACGGCGGCCCGATGGCTATGGAAACGTCGCCTACGTCTTGTACCTGCTGCGTTTCCGACGTTGAATAGGCCTGGTCGTCCGGAAAGCAACCCTACACTAACAGGACATGAAGAAGAAGAAGAAGCTTGCCAGTTGGATTCAGTCCCTGACAACTCACACCGACCGCGTTCCGGTGATGCAAGGGTACAGCATGGCTCTCTCTTCCAAACCGCAAAAGAATATGTCACTTTGGCGTTCTTGCTCGCCATTGTCAGCCCCCCTTCTGTAGAGGCAATTGGGCTTGTGCCAGCCAACGCACCTGATTGCATGCCAATGGTACCAATTGCATTTGCGGAAGGCGGTGAGTTGACCCATCGGTCGATATACCCAGATACAGTGCTTGAGTTGAATCCACCGTGGCAACAGCAGCGATACAGGCGCTGGTATGAGACCGATAGGGTCTTGCTTGAGGAGGCGCGGCGAATGCATGATCGCGATGCAGCTGAAGCGGAGGCCATTCAGGCAATGCTCGAGCATGACGTCTGGATACCGAACGAATCGAACGCATATTCAGAGGATTCCAACACGTATTCAGGCTCTGGCGGGCAGTCACCTGCCCTAGTTGCTGCGCATATTGCCAAAGATGAAAATTCTGCACAACCCGAAAGCCGCGATGTATTCTATTGGCGTCGTCTGGGTGTCGGCGCTTTTGTGGGCACTTTTCTATGGTGGAGTCACATTATGAATGTTCGGAACTCGAACCGGGTGCGTTTGCCCAGCACCTACGACCCAGGCGCTATCGCACAGTACTTCGCACTGAGACCTGAGCAGGTCGCCCTGCGAACAGTCTCTATTATTTCCGAAGCGATATGGTATATTGCTGGTATTCAAAGAGATCAGTTGGAGTATCGGATCTTCGGCATGAAGCAACACCCAGGCGGCGAGTCGGGGCAGCGCGCGGCCGGCGCTGACGCCCCAGAGACAATAGCGACACCATCGCTGGCAAATGCGACGCTTTCTCCTGGTGAGCCTGGTATGGCATCCTGGACGAAGGCGTTTCGTCGGCGGCTTGTGCAGATTCCAGAAACACTCATCTCCTCGCTGCGAAAGGATGAGACGTTTTGGGTTTGGCGTCGCCAGCGGCGAGCCGTGCTACTGCGGCAAACACTCGAACGTCTAGGTCCGGCGTTTGTGAAGCTGGGCCAAGCGCTCGCGACTCGCCCGGATATTGTCGGTGAAGCAGCTGCCCGCGAACTGCAGCGCCTACAAGATGATCTACCTCACTTTCCGAACGAGGAGGCGTTCCGCTTCATCCGGGCTGAATTGGGAGCTCCTCCAAACCGGGTCTTTGACTGGATCAGTGATAGCCCAGTAGCGTCGGCAAGCTTGGGTCAAGTGTACAAAGCACGACTCGATGGAGTCGAACTTGCCGTGAAAGTACAGCGACCGGGCATCGTAGAACGAATCGCCCTGGATATCCACGTCGTCCGTCTGCTGGGGCAATTATACATGCGCAGTCCCTGGGCGCCGCGTACGAATCTTGTTGAAGCAATAGATGAGTATGCCAGTAGGCTCTTTGAGGAGCTGGACTACGATCACGAAGCGAAGAACATGCATCGCTTCCGTCAACTATATGGCTCTTTGCCCGGTATTTACGTGCCGGAGGTTTATCCAGAGTACTCCTCGGCGCATGTGCTCACCATGGAGTGGGTCAATGGTCGACGCCTGATCGACGACACGGCAACGGTGCGTCGAGAGGATATTCCGCTAATCAAGCTAGGCATTCTCTGCTCGTTGATGCAGCTGATGGAGGCTGGCTTTCTGCACGCTGACCCACACACAGGGAACTTGCTCGTTACCGAGGATGGAACGCGCTTGGCTTACCTTGACTATGGCCTCATGAGTGAAGTACCGCAATCGGTGCAGCTCTCGATAATTTGTGCGGTTGTACACCTTATTAATCGCGAGTACGAACAATTAGCAACGGACTTTTTCGGTCTGACACTCATGCGTCGAGACGATCTAGACACGGTGCTTCCAGAATTTGCAGATGCTCTTCGTGAAACCTTTGAAAGCGAGGCGAACGCGACGAATCCCGGTGATTTCACGCTGCAAGGCGTTGCCGAAAAGCTTCTGCGAATGACTGTTCGCTTTCCGTTTGTGATGCCACCTTACTTTTTGAATAACTTGCGCGCCTTGGCCATCCTCGAGGGTTTGGCGCTCAACGCTGACCCCTGCTTCCGCATTATGGACATTATCTATCCGTACGTGGTTCGCCGCCTCCTGACGGACTCGTCACCGCAACTGCAGCGAGCACTGCATGAGCTCGTTTTGACGCCCTTTGGCGAGCCTCGCTGGGATCGCGTCGAGAAGCTCCTCGAGGATGCCGCACGAACTGTGCCAAACATGGGACTTGTGTCACTGGACCCGCGTCCGGTTGCCGTGCTCGAGTTGGCAGCTCGAGAGGCTGCGGAAGCAGCCCGCTCGCGACTGAACGGTACTGTAGAAGGCCAAATGCGTGCAACCACCAGCGCATACTTTCGACTGTCGTCACCAGAGTTGGTACTCGGAAGCGGCGCGCCTCGCTCGAGTTCTCCGGGCGAGTGGTCTGACGAACAGCGTACACCCGATGCATCGCTCGAGTGTCCGAATACGGCCGTCGTCCTCGATGATGAACGCCGCATGCAGCTTCTTGTGTCGTTCATTACATCGCCTGCAGGTGGCTTTTTACGGCGCGCTCTCGAACGTCAACTAGCGGACGACTGGAATGATTACATGCAATCGATGCTGGACGCTGTGGAGAGGCGCCTCTGGCCTGCGGTATTCCGAGAGAAGGATCAGGCCGTTGCACCTACGGGGCAAGCTGAAACCAGTGGGATTCGTCATACGACGGTAGAGACGACAGCGACGCCCGAAGCGTCATGCGTATGCGAGAAGACGTCGGCCGCGGAAACTGGACCTCCTGAAGAAGTATTGGACACAACTGATGTAGTAGTAGTGAAGACGAAGAACGGTTCGGCAAGTCGTCGGCATCGTTCGGGACCGCGTTTGACGGCAGCAACTGAAGAGAATCGACGTCGCCTGTCGCAGATTATGACCCATCTGCGTCTGCGGCACTGGCGAGCGATCCTTGGACTCGTACCTGTTTTAGCGCTCTTTTACGCTCGAGTTGTCCTGGCGGTCGCTTGGCGAGTCCTCGAACGACTTGGATTTGATCTGGGAATGCTTTTGATGCTGGGATGGCGGGCACTTGGAAACCTGCGACCACTAGCGTTAGTTAGCAGGGATCGCTCTGCTCAGGAAACGTCCCCATTGATGGACGGTTCTGCAGCAGACACCGACAATGGTCTACGTGCTGCAGCAAAGCGATCACACATCACGAATGCTGCTGGCAACGGCGCTGCAGAAGCGCAGACGCTCGGTAGCGATATCGTTCCCAGCACCTTGAACGGACGCGTTGCCGAGGATCGCCAAGTCACCGATACTGCGCGGAGCCGGTCCAATGGGGTAGCCAACTCCACGAAATACGCACCAAACGGCGTGCAGCTGCAGCGTGCCTCAACAAGAGGCCGCCGCCGCAGCGGCGCTGTGCCGGACACCAGCACCGCGGACGACAACGACAACGAGCGCAAGCGGTCATGACATACGCGGTCGATGCATGTCGCCGCTGATGTTCCAGCTACATCTTCATCGTGTAGCTGAGGGCAAATCTTGTACTCCATAAAGCGAAGGGGTATCGAGCTCGCCCTAGACTTGTTTTATGTGGACCGAGAACAGCACGGCCACGTACAAGTTGTGTCTGTTGGCAGCGTGCCGCAGCAGCGTACGACGCTGCCTGGCCATTTTTTGCATCGCTGGACGAGTTCCGCGGCTGGGTAGCTGACGGCCTCCGTTCCTATTGCGGCCGCAGGAAACAGCGAACACGCCTATGCCGCGAATAGCATTGCTTCGCGGATTTCGTGGTCGACACGGTGATTCAGCGTATTGCTTAACTAGGAACAGATGACTCGTTGAACTGCAAGCGCTCGAATGCTGAACATGTAGAGACGGTTGCCTGTGCAAGCTGCCTGATCTAGTGTGCAACCACGAGCAGTACGCATTAGGCGGTTTGAGTCGGTGTTCCGGACCTACAATATCGGTTGCTGTCAGCTGCACTGAGAACACGCTTCCAACTGCATCCTTACATGATCAGAGGATGCTGGCGATAGAGCGCTTGCGATTGTGCATGCTTCCCGCCAAATGTGCTGCACGCATCGATCCAACAGACAGCACATACGCCGAACGCTTCCAACTGCATCCTTACATGATCAGAGGATGCTGGCGATAGAGCGCTTGCGATTGTGCATGCTTCCCGCCAAATGTGCTGCACGCATCGATCCAACAGACAGCACATACGCCGAACGCTTCCAACTGCATCCTTACATGATCAGAGGATGCTGGCGATAGAGCGCTTGCGATTGTGCATGCTTCCCGCCAAATGTGCTGCACGCATCGATCCAACAGACAGCACATACGCCGAAAGCGCTGCGTCGATCCGTGTACGTTTCACGTAGATGAGCGCATCGCAGGTGCGCCCTCACCTAGAAGTAGACGGAGCTGCTCAAAGTCGCTTGGATCGTTGACAAGCCTTTGCAGCTCCGTCTGAATTTGTTGGAGTTCTACGGAATGCTGCGGTTGGCGGGCAATCAGAGCAAGACGGTAGTATCGTTTCATCTGTTGGAAAATTAGCGAAAAGGTACGATCACCGACTCGAGCACGAATGCGTTCCATGATCGTTTTGCTGATCATTTGAGAGCCACGTGCAAGAGCTGCATCCTTGTGCACAGCGGATACAGCTCGACGCTCGGCTTTCGCCTTCCAGACCAAGCCTGGTTCAGCGGTCGACGTCGACGAGACGGCCGTGGCGGCCACGTTGGTCTCGCGGAGTCTTTTCGACGACTGCGATGACAACGATAGCGAGCGCGCTCGCCGTGCATCGCATGTTCCCGTTTTTCCTGCCTGATCATACTCTTGGGACTGTCGCCCGATCATAGCTGCATGTTGCGCCATCGACTGGAGACGCGGTTGCTCGTCCTTGCTCGCCTGAAACGGATCAACAGGTGTGCGAACTGGCGGTACCGAGGTTGCGAGTTCCAACTGCGCCGCTGAGAGTTGGCGAATTCGCTCCGAGTGCCAGAAGCCGCACAGATTCGACATGAAGGTTCCAAAGCGCTCAAAAACTTGGATATTGTGCGTTGCTCGCGGATCCGCATCCGATGAAGCTGCACTCAGCCAGCGCGGGAGGTCTCTCAGATGAGCTCGAAACCGCTCGTCACAGAGGAGAATCGCTCCAAAGTCCTGCGCGTGACGAATCACCCGACCCATGGCCTGGTTTGCTGCTCGTAGGCATTGCTGCACGTACCAGAGGCGACCAGTGATCGTCTTGCCGTGATCCCTGAGGTGAAGCGCCTGACGTTCCAGATAATCGCGTTTCAGGATGATGCGCGGATCTGTTGTCGAAGGAAACGGAAGACCGACTAGAATCACCGTTCGTCCAAAGTCGTCAGCGAAATCGATCCCCTCGCCGGTGCGTCCTCGACAAACCGCGAAGAGGCATGCGTCGCGGCCGCTGGAAATCCATTGGCGGTAGGCGTCCACGGTTTGCCGAGAGGCGTCAGCGTCGCGAGGCTCCATAAAGATGCGCTTCACGGCATTGAGACGATCCCAGACAGTCGCCTGGGTAGGCTGACGGCCACGATGAGCGGGATTCAACGGGTTGTTGTGATGAAAGGCGCCCGTCTGCCAGATTTCTACGAACCGAGCGAGCAGCACATAGGACGGAAAGAAGACGAGCATGCCACGCGGTGAGACGCGAGCGATATTGACCAGCGCGCTACCGAGATCCGAGATATACTCGCGATTGTGTCGATTCGCATACGAGCTGTTCAGTTGAATATCCCGCGGCCCTTTGGTAAGGATCCCCGCGAATACCTGAGTTGCTGGATCGACGACATGGGAGTTCTGGAGACGAACTGGAAACGAAGCACCCATCTCCGATGCAACGGATTCTAGGGGGCTCAGCGTCCCTGAGGTCAACAGCACTGCATGTGCATTCGAGGTGGCTCGACGGAGCGCGAGACCCGGCCAAAGGCACCAGAATGAGAGCGTGTATCCTGTAGAGGAGCGATGTTCACGTGCGGATTGGTGTACGTACTTGCCAGAGGCAGCCTCTGCCGCTGCGGTGCCGCTCAAGGGTGGGCGCTGCTGCGACGGTGTTTGCCTCGGCCATCCGACACCATCGTACGCGGAGGGCGTCTTCAGACGACTGGGATTCATCGCCTGGTGGGTAGTACCAGCGGTGCCCTTCGCCGGCTCGTGCACACAGATCGCGAACGTGGACGCCGTCTCTGGTTTCCCGAACAGACGAGATAGCTCCAGCACCTGACTGAGCTGCTCTAGCGCGTGCACCTGAGCGGCCCATGCTGCCGCTGACGTGCGCTGTGTAGTCCGTACTTGTCGGTGAAGCAGCCCCGTATAAGGATCACCCTGATCCCGTGTCTCTATGGCATCTGCTTCCGGCGCCTGTGAATGATCGAGCGCAGCAGCGGTCCCGTCAGGGAATTGTTGCCGCAATTGTGTGAGTGCACGGATCGCCGCTTCTACGCCGCGGAGCAGACGCTCATACGCTTCCTCGGTGAGCGTTGCGTCTTTCGAAGAGCACTGCAAAAATGATTCAATAGCATGACCAGGAAGCACCACGCCATCAATCCCTTCAATCCGACGCCGCTGCCCAAAACACACCGTGCCTCCATTCTCTGCACCAGGGCGCGCATGAGACGCCTTGGCGTCCGCCTGGGAAACCAGCGATATGCGCTCTTCAAGTGCGACCATGATTTCGAGCAGAGCGTGGAGATCAGACGCGTGTAGCGCGGGCTCCGTGTTGGATCCTTCGCGCCCGTCGCGGTTCAGAAGACCCGAGGATAGCGCACTTGCCAATTGCTGAATAGCGCTGACGCACCTTTGACGCTCCGCAGCGGTAAAATCGAAGCTGAGACTATCACAGCAGATGCTCTCCAGATTGTGTGCCTCGTCGCCGATGATGATATCGCCTTCGACGCTGAGCCCCAGCGAACGCCGACACTTGCCATCGAACAAATAATTGTAGGGCATGAAGATGATTTCGGCCTCGGCAGATGCCTCACGACTGAGAAAATAAGGGCACATCGCATGCTGATGCCCGTACGCTGCCAAGTCCTCGAGGTCTCGTGGGCGCCGTCCCGGAAGCGCTAGCGTCGAGGTGCTGTCGACGGCGATGAAGAAAAAGTCATCGCCAACCTCCTTGAACTTTTGTTCGGCATTCAGATAAAAGCTGCAGCGTCGCTCTTTAGTCAACTGGGTACAACGAACGTTCTGCATTGTGGCGTTTTCGAGTCGAGATACAACCGGGTGGACGCAGAGGTGCTGGCGGGAGCCGAGGACCACGGTCCGAACGCTCGCACCATATGCGGTTCTGCTGAGCTCTCGCACTGCCTGCTTGATCTGACTATGCGTTCGCGTCAGGTAGATGATTCTGGGAACCGACTGCAGGGGCGTTGGGCCCGGCCCGTTTTCAGAGCTGGCCGCAGGTACGAGGCCACGAAGGCTGGCCTCCGGTGCCACGACTGCACCGGCTGCACCCTGCACCCCCTGGAGCAAGCGCTCACCATAATCGTTCTTCGGGCTGTCATCGGCTAGTGATTTGGATATGCGCTGAGTGCTAGCCTGACCTTGAACTTGGGCAACGAGCAACGAGCGCCAGGCTAGTGCCGCACACAAGAGTCCGAGTGTTTTGCCCGTGCCCGTCGGAGACTCCAAGAGCGCGTTTTGTCCGGTTTGCAGCGCTTCGATCACATGTTCCATATACCGAACTTGACATGGATATGGCTCGAAGGGAAATTCTACGGGGACTTGGCGAATAAACAGCGTTCGGCCCGGAGCGGGGCTACTGGAAGCCATCCAAGCGAAACGCCCCGCTCGAGGACAGACGTATACGTCCGTCTGAGCGCTGCATGCTGAATGGCGCCAAGTCACTGCACTGCGACTGGTATCGGTACCCTGGGGCCTTGCAAGCACCCTGGTGCTGAGTTTGAAGGCTTGTTTTCGGGGCTTTTATAGCAAAGGAACATGCTATGGGAAATGTGACGATCGTCCATAGAATAGTTTGGGAGCGTTCTCTTTCAGTCGGGAAACTGCTGGCGTCTTCCCGCACCCGTGTGTGCGGTGAGTGGACCGCTGGTGGCGCTTTGTAGACGTCGCTACGCCTATGCGAGGGCGTTTCGGGGTGACTCGAGGATCGCTTCTCTTCGACGCGTTTTCCTCATGGAGCAGAGGCATGGTAATGTGTCCGTTTTTAAGGTTCAGCGCACCGTTGGAAAGACATCACCAGCACCACCACCGCCTATCACACGGACGATGCCGCCCGTGTACAGTAGTGGCGAGAAACCCGCCCTGGACAAAACGTCTCCAACCGAGGTGCAGACGTCTCCTAGTCCTTTTGGACCGGCCATCTACTACTGCTTCCAACGTTGTCTCATATAGTTCGACTTTGAGAGGTTGTCCCAAAAAATTCTCTCTTGTCGACTCTGGAGGTCTCGTCTCCAGCACCGCACATTTCCTTGTATTGATTGCGGCGTTAAAGTCTCGGTTCACGAATTCCATACGTTTCTCCCCGTTGGTAGTTGTGCTTACTAGTGCGCCTAGTCCTCGAACTTTCGCCCTCCTTTCCGTTTGCTCCTCCGTCAGCGCTCCGTACTTTTTTATATCCTCAGGGGTCCGTTGGCACTTTTCCATCTCCACGCTCTGAAGTGTACACCCCAGTTCATGGTGTGTATGCAATGCTCGGAACTCATCTACAGGTATTGTAACAAAACACCTCGCGCACTCCTTGGATGTTCTTGTCGTTGGAGCTGGCGTAGTTCCTTTTTGTATCTTCCGGCGCCCTGCTCCATATGCCACTACGAGCCTCTGATTTTCATCCTCTTTCAGGGCACTCAACTCATTGAAAAAGTCCGCGAACGCCCGCTGCCTCCCACCGTACAGATTCATCCGCAAACGAGCCCGCCGGGGCTTGGTATACTCCTCCCACAGCGCATCCCAATGGGCAACACGAACTTCCATGAATTTCCGAAAAGCTTCAAAGTCGGCTCTTCGGCTGGTCACCTCGCTCAAAGCCTCCAGGTGATCCTTCATTCCTGCGTTCCACTTCTCAGTTTTCTTCCTCGCATTCATCATTCCCGATTCTCGACAGTATCTCGCTCTCGAGAACCTCAAAAGACGCATGTCTTTCTGACGGAAGTTGCCGTCAGCACCATCTTCCGCACGCTTCGGTGCTGCGATGGTGATGATATTTGTGTTTCGGGGGTCCGCGCCAACGACAAGGTCGTTATCCTGCACTTTCTGCGTCTCAAGACTCGCCTCCTTCTTTTCTTCATGCTTCATCGCGTCAACGACAAGCACGTTATCCTGCACTTTCTGCGTCGCATGTTCCGCCTCCTTCTCATCTTCATACTTCGTCACGCCAACGACAAGGTCGTTATCCTCCATCTCCTGCATCGCAGGATCCCCCTCTTTGTTTTCTTCATCCTTCGTCACGGGCGCAGCCGAGGGCCGAACTGGACGATCTTTCTTCAACCGCCGATAGTGTATACACAAGGCTACTCCATCGGTTTCGATCAACCCAGTGAACCACTTTTGCTCGCTCACTCTCAGACGTTTGAAATTGAAGATATTCTTCCAGTACGTCTCCCGGTTTTCGCCGGTGAAGTCCTCCCTGCTAACATTGAACTCCGGACTGATCTCCTTCATGATGCCGTAGAGGACGCCGGAATCGATAGTCACGAAATGTGACTTGATATTGCACATTGGAACGATGTTGAAGCGCTTCCCCATTAGGAAAGCCTTCCGTCTCTCCCACTCTTCATTTTTGTCCTCACTTAGCTCCACCTCTGCCTTGCGTTCGAGTTCTCGGTCCAGAAACACAAAATAGCGCAGGATGAGGCGATAGTATCTTTCCTTATCTTTTTTATCTCTGATATCTTGTCTGCTGGATTCGCCCACCCGAGTACCGCACGGTGCTCTTGTATAACCGCACGGATTACAGAAGCTTCATTCGTGCTGCCGTTTGATATCCTCATGTCCACAAATTCGACCTCATCTTCATATCTGCGATCGTTCGTGATGCCATTGATAATCGCCCATATCCCCTTGCAAGAGATACCCCCGTACAGCGCAAACACGGCGCGTATCATGAAACGTTCGAGGTTCATTGTCAAAAGGTTCTTCAGGTTCGTGATATACTTCATCGCTCCGTACATGTAAATACCCCGGTCACCCTTGTATCGAGTACCCTCGAACCCGTAAAAGGGATGTCGTTCGTGGAGCGCGTGAACCCGCCCATTTTACCCCGCGTTTCCTCTGCACCAAACACCAGGTGCCGAATAAAGGTCTTGTCAAAGAACTCGTCTGGAATCTCGACTGTTTCCACGTGCGCCACGTCTTCTTACATCTCGCGCACCAAATTCATCAGTCTTGACGACACCTTTATAATACTCTAGGAGTACAGATCGACATGCTGTCTGATGTCGTCTTGCAACTTTTGCTCATCCGAATCCTCGAGGTGTCCATGAGGGCGGGTTACCACTACCGTCCCGTCATAGTCTCGTGTTTCGTGCAGCTTCTGACGCCGGGCCTCCCCTTTTGCTTCCGTGTCTTTTCCTGTTCCTCTGCACTTGGCAGTGTTTCTCTTTTTTTTCTGGCAGCCGGCGACACTGCGCCTCCAGGATCCTTCATTTCTATGTCCATAACTTTCCTTTGCTATGTTTTTGAAAAAGAACGCATTTTGAACGCTTCCGTTATAAACCACGTAAAATCACTTGAATACACTCATGTGAAGATTGAAACACAATTGAATTTAAAGATTATATTATGCTACGACTTGAACGCAAATACAACTTGTGCGTTAGAGCAATACGCTATTGATAAGGATCGCGTTTCCCTTCAACGGCGAGGTACGCGTCGTATCTCATACCTGCCTGATCTGAAAGTGGGCTTATCGACTGCGCTATTGAAAAAAAGAACAGAGACTAGCCCCTATATAGCAACGAAATAACATTTTCTTCTCCCTTCAACGATAAACGTTAAAAGGCGGGAAAGGTTTCCATTTTGTCGAAACTTTACCTTCTTGGCGGAAGATCTCGCGAGCCGGACGAGTATGCCTGGCGGGTGCTTCATGCTCCCGCACTAGCGGGTGCCGTAGTGAGATCTTGGCAGCTCGTCCGAAACCCAATTTTTATTGGAATAGGACTAGAAGTGGACAGCTCTCATCCAAGTGTCGCCTTGGTCGCAGTGATCGCTTATAGTGACCCTTTGCGCGGCCGCACGCAGAAGCTCTGTCTGCGATAATTGCTGGCTCCCAGATTGATAACGAAACCTGATCCCGTGTCGCGCAAACCACGCCTCTAGTCGACGCCCCCAGTGGTATGGCAAAACCTTTCTGTCCCCGTGATGCATCCACACAAGCGGTTTAGGCGCTGTAGCGGGTGCTCAGCGCCGGCACTCGGCACACAATAGATCGTAAAAAAACTACCCGTACATCCGAGAGACATTATAAATAATGGAACATGGGAGTAGGGTTCTCCAGCATGATGAACGCTCTCTCGATTACCAGTACCCATCCATCCCGCGATTTTAGATCCACGGTCAACGAAAACGTCTTGTGAGCGGAGAGCGGAGCGCCGCGCGGTACGCGCTCCACCGCGCGCCCGTTGATGATCGCGAGCGCGCCGGTGCGCCGCGCACTGCACCAACGACCGCACAATGCTCACGTCCGCGTTGGATTGTCTGGGTGTTTGTTTTCTTTGCAGTGACGAGGAGGCATACGGGTTTGCGCTTACAAGTCTAGCGCTCACCGCAAGCACTGGTGGCTGCGTGAGGGCGCAGACGAAATCGGGTGGTTTTTTACCGACAGAAGCGCATTTGATCGGGGCTGGAACGCTGCGCTGCTTGCGTGTGCTCGTGCCGCTCGTACGATGGCGGCAGTTCGGACGGCAGGGGAACAGTTTGCTCTAGCATCCTGGGTTGCTGGCGTCCGGGCATTGTCGAGCACGAGCATCGCTTGCGGAGAGGGAGCTACTGGTGGCAATGGGGCCCAGCGCAATCCGCTACAGCGCTGCAGCGCCTCAACCGCAGCACGGATGCGATTTGCAGGCACGTTGGACGCCACGAGTGATACATGCAACTCAGATAAGGTCCGTTTGGGAGTAGCTGATGCCAGGCACCTTGAGCTTGCGTTCGGAGTGCACGTTATGGAGACGAAAACTCTGGTCCGTTCAGCAGCTGCTGCAGGCTCAAGGTGCCCGCTGCAGCCCCTACTGCTGCAGACGCACTCTACGCGGTTCGAGCATAGATCTATGGCCCTAAATCCGCGCTGGATGATGCCGTTCACTGCGCCACGGAGTCGTAGTCGAAGCCTAGGATGCGCGCCTAGCCGTCGCTGTAGACTCGTTTGTGCAGGCGTGGATGACCCGATCGGGAAGAGAGCGCGTCAAGAGGACGCATTTAGTGCATCTATCCCGGGTTCACGACTTGATGGCGAAAGGCAGCAATCAAGTTCGAATGTGTCGTCAGACGGCTCAGCGCTAGCATATACTGGCGCTTCGTCGGCAGTGGTGCTCGAAGGCGCGAATCCGCAGTTAGATGCGAAATATCGGCACTGGCGGGTGCGCGTCTTCTACTCCATCTTTCTCGGTTACGCTTTCTTCTACTTTACGCGTAACTCCTTCACGTACACGGCACCGGCGCTACGAGCAGCACTGGGGCTTTCACTCGAACAGCTTGGCGTCATCATGTCCGTGTTCCCGTTAGCATACGGCTTCTCTAAGCTGTTTCTGGGTATCGCAGCGGATCGATTTTCCAGCCGTGTCTTCATGGCGCTTGGGATCTCGCTCACCGGTCTGGTGAATATTTTCTTTGGATTGCAGTCGAATGTATACGCGATGACAGCGCTCTGGTTCTTAAATGGGATTTTTCAAGGCAGTGGCGCAGCGCCATGTGCGAAGCTGCTCACTCGCTGGTACAGCAAAAATGAGCGAGGAACCTGGTGGGGCCTCTGGAATACCTCCCACAATACTGGCGGATTCTTCATTCCATTGATTGTGGGGTACAGCGTCAAGAGGTTTGGGTGGCGGTATGGCATGATTGTGCCAGGTGTCTTGGGAATCCTCATGGGCATTTTCCTACTGAACAGGCTGCGTGATTGCCCTGAGGAGGTCGGCCTGCCGCCCATTGAAATCTACCGCGATGATCACGCCGAAGATGTTCAGCGAAGGAGCACCGCTGCAACCCGTTCAACGAGTCCCAACGGTGCAGCACCGGGCTCGTCGTCGTCGCCTGCGAATGCGGAAACCCCAAAGACCGCGGGCAAATCAGCATCCGCACGGGAGCAGGCCGCAACGAACAAGTTCTTAGAAGTCATCGGTAATCCGTATGTGCTGCTGCTAGCGATCAGTTACTTTTTCATCTACTTTTGTCGCCAGGGCATCAGTTCATGGACCGTTATTTACCTGACGAGCATGGGCGTGCCGCCACAAGAAGCGGCTTTACGTGTCGGTAGCATGGAGATTGGCGGACTCTGTGGCTCCCTGGTCAGTGGTGCAGTCAGTGATCGGCTTGCTCGCGGCCGCCGCATTCCCGTCATTCTCTTCTGGATGCTGGGTGTGGTGGCGGCGCTCGTGGCCATGTGGCTCTCGCCCGCCTCTCGGCGCTACTTGTCCATGCTCTGCATCTTCACGTTCGGCTTTTTCATTTACGGCCCACAGATGCTCGTCGGCCTGGCCGCAAGCGAAATGGTCAGCCCGGACTCGGTGTCGTCGACCATCGGGTTTCTCGGTTGGATCGCTTACATAGGCGCAGCAACCAGTGGATACCCGCTGACGCGCATTGTATCTGCGTTGGGCTGGGATGCGTATTTCGCAGCGCTTATCTGTTGTGCCTGTATTGCTATTCTCCTGCTTTTGCCGATGTGGCGAATTGGTGAACGTCAGGCCAAAGCGATCGCTCGCAAATGGCGAGCGCTTGTCGCGGGTGCAGCGGCGAACTTTCAAGCACTGCATGTGCAAGACGATGGCCAGTACGTCGACTGTGAAGCGTGTGCGGGAGCAGGCACACGCCTCCGCATGGAATGTGGCCCTGCAACACCCGCTCAAACAGTTTCCTGTAAGCTCGTGGAAACGCCGTGTGAAAAGTGCTTCGGTACCGGAAGCATTCGGCTTCCTGCGGAAGATGCAACCCGTTGAACCTCGTAATCAAATCGAGTACATGAATGATAGCCCGATGGTACCGCATGGCGATCTACCTGCGACCGCATTGCAGAGAACCAGGTGATTCACAGGCTCCCGGTGCGCTCATATGTACTATAAGTGAAAGGCTTGCAGGCAGCATGTCCCGAAATATGAATGCGTTCTCTATCTCGCTACCGTCACCCTCATGAAAACAGCGAAGAACCCGTAAAGCAGTTTCGAACGGATAGCGACGCTTCACTCGCAATCGGTCCACAGGTCCAGTGTCCATAGCAACATACCTGGAGCGCGTTTCTGGAGACGATATCATACCTGCGCTTATCCGTGCTGTTGCAGACCGGCATGTGAAGCGCCAGCCCGTCACTCGTTCGACGCAAGTCACGCTGGGATACGGTGCCGTACTCTAGCGAACCGACGCAAAAGCAGTATGCTGTCGTGTGTCGATGGCGCTTGGGACTTGCACTGCTGCGGTTTGGCGTCTCTGGGGCGCCACGTCCATCGTGACTCCCGGTCCAGTAACCACCTGGACTGGTCTGGGTTCTGAACTACGCAACTTGGTCACCTTGAACAAACGACATCGGAAGCTCGGCGGTGATCGCGGTGCTCTCGGACAAGAGACTGCAGCGGAACTGTTTAGCGCAGTGGCGCAGCAGCGAGCGTCTGGAGTTTGATCACTTTATCCCCTTGGTAGCGTCGTCGCATCCCACAGATAAAGACAACACGATCCAGGAAGAATCTCGGTGCCCAGCGTTTCTCGACGAAGAATTGCGCTTTCGGGGTATCGGACGATACCTTCAGCCGCTTGAATCATGCACGTGTACACGGTACCGCTCTTGCGACAAGGCCACTGAGGGCAAGTGCGACCACAGGGCGAGCACGACGCAGGCAGTAAGCACAGATCAGGTGTCTGGAGTCTCGATCACATGCCGCGGCTCCTTTTGCAAGTCTTCAAGCTTGACTCGGTGCAATTGCCTTCATAGATGCATTGCTTGTCGTTTCGGTTGTGTGCACTGGCATCGCTCATGTCGCTCAGGATCGCGTTACCAGCGAGTGCGCACCCTGGACCGGATACTTTTGTACATCCGAAACACGTACACGGGTGCTTGAGCTCGCCAGTCATACCATCGTATGCTAGAGGAAAGGCGTTTCAGACTCGCTCTTTTTCTGCTCGTTCGCCGAAGCTTCGCTGTGTCCCAGGCACCAAAAGCGCCTTGTGTAAAACGTGCGAAAAACAGATTCACATACGGGGATTTCTATCTGTCGAAAAGTCTCTGTCACACACGGAAACTAGGAGTCATCCGCAAACCGAACGATACGCACCCGAAAGCAACAATTAGGGCCAGAATTTCTGCTGTGATGATGCTCTCGAATCATCCTAGTCGGGGCACATGAGACTCTCCCGGGTGTCTGTATTGGTGAGCGTGTTCATTCCCTTTGCGTCTGAACGCGAGCAGAGCTTCATCTGCCAGGTGGGTTCCAGCAGCGCATCTGTCCAGTCGGTATTCTCAATATTCGCTATGGTCAGGACACTCTCGGTCCAGTAGGTGGAACGCAAGACAGCATTTTGGAAGTTGCTGCCTCGCAAAACGGTTTGTTCAAGGGACGCTCCGATAAGCTGAGCATTCTCGAAGTTCGCTTCCGTGAGATCCGCTTTGAAAAATCGAGCCCCAGATAGGTCTGACCCAGAAAAGTTTGTCTTGCGGCAAGTCGATCCTGAAAAGTCCTTCTGCGACAGTTTCCGATGCGAAAGGTCCTGTTCCGAGAGCTGTTGCCCCGCGTAGTCCAAGCCGCCCCCTGATATGGCCACAGCGTCCTTCGGGAGACCGCACATCAGACACAGGCCGACGAAGAGCGCAGCCAAGGCTCTCTTCTGACTCTCGCCCGACTCTGGCTGGGGCCCAGGACCTACGACTCCTCGCAACAACGCTGTTGCCTGTGCACGGCTGCGCACAGCGAAAGCGCAAGTCTTTCGTTGTTTTTCACATACAAGTGCCTGCTGCTTTCCAAAACAATACCTGCAACTCGGCGTTGGCTTCTTCGTCTGCGAACTTGGTGAGCAAGCGTTCACAAAACCTGTTTGTAGGGGTATCGTTGCCAGCTGTCGAGCAGCCGTTTCTGACCAGGAAGTGTAAGTGGCCCTATTGAGTTCCCTAACTGTCCCAGACATGGTGCTGCAGTTAGACATGCATGAGTGTTTTGCTCGAACCTAAACTCTATCAGGCTTTGAGGTACCAACTTTAAGCGCCGAAGTGCTCGTCCAGCGGCACCTGACGCGTTGTCCCAGTGCCAAGCCAACGAGTTCTCCATTCGAGATGCAGCTGCGCGATGCACTCCAAGCACAGAGGTGTTCGGGATGAGGCTAGTGGAAGCACTTCACACCGTATCGTCGTGCAAGTTTGGTAGCTTTCATCTCGGGAACAATTTCAATGTCGCTTTTTGGGAATTTGCATCTTAATGAGTCGGGTAGGTGGTTTTGGTGTCCGTAGCAACATCAGAGACAGCAAAGCTTATGCGAAAAGCTGCTGTGCGTGTAGGCTACGATTCAATGCAGGAGGTGTTCGAGGCTGCATTTGTTTATCGGGTAGTCGGATACCATTGATGTATGTGAGAATAAAATGAAACGGGTCCACTTATGTGATATGGGTGCACCTGCTGAAGTTTGGGTGGCTTCCCACAGTCATCAACACCAGCCTCGGAGTGCCTTCTCTACGACTGCTTCCTCGTTCCTCTCTGTTATCTCGCGCTTTAAAAACGCCGGACTCTCTGTTCTATCCAGTTCCGTTGTCAGTAGTTGAACGATGTTGATAGCGGTTTCAAGTCACGATTTCGCGGCTTCCAGCTGTTGTCGCGGTATTTGACGCATAGGCGGACCTCGAGATCTAACGCTCGCATCCCATTTTCATCTTCTTTGAATACATTTCCATTGAGGTCCTCGTAGCGGTGACACTTGTCAGGTTTTCCTGTATACCCACAGTAGCTCCTTATGCTTCGAGGCCGCCCTGTGGCGTATGAAGCCCTGCGTCATCGCTCGGTACTTAACCTTGAAGGGTACCGAAGACTCTCCTCGACGTCATCCTGCGTTACCGCGCCCGATAGCGTACAATACGATCAGGGGCTTCCTCTGGGCGAGCCCTTCAGCTATCACACTGTCTGCTTCACGAGCAAGCGAACGCTGTTCGATTCAACGGAGGATTTCTGGAACGCGATGCTCTCCTTGATGAAACGAGAACCAGAAGGAACATCCAGGCTGGGGAACAGTTCGAGAAACGTCGAGCCGTCTAGACTCGCTTGCTGCGAAGCGACGATGCACGCCCCATTAGAAGAGAGCCTCGGGATGGTTCGAGTTCGAGTCCAAGACACTTGGATCGAAACCGAAGAGACGAAAGCCCCCCAAAGCATATCCCGCGACATGTATCGCGCTGCCTTCGGATTGCGTTCCTTCGATGGCCACAACGAAAGCAGGATATACCTTTCGAGCGAAATCGATTGCTTGACGTGAAAAGTTCTGGGATGCATCAGCACGAGCGTATGTGCAAATCGTGAAGAGACGGCGTGGAGTCTCTCTCTGTATATGCAGCGTCGCGCAGCGCTGCGCCCATGCTTTTTCTTAAAACCGAAAGATCGAAAACTTGAAGCAATCTGTATGTAAGGAAAGGAGAACCGTGGATGCTTTTTTCTACGGACTGGATAATCATATCGGTTCTGGTACAAACTTCTATTCGAGGGTGTCTCGAAACATCGTGATTCCGGTGACTTGGCGAATTCCAGCGGCAAAATGTCGAAGAATCCACTACATAACGACGACCGGGAACCCAAAAACACCATATGAACCCTTAGTCCCTCATTGCTACACCATAACGATCATGGCAGTGGATCTAAAATGGTTCATAAATGAATGGAAAGCTACGAACCGAGCGCGGAGTTCAATGTTCCGATTTTTATCTGACACTGGAGTATCGAGATGCGGAAGGTTTTGCTTAACAACACAGTACGCGCTGTCTTGTAATTTCAACGTGCTTGGGCATGCCTCTTTGACGCATTCGAGCACCAACGAAAGACGCATTTCATTCCTTCTTGATGAAGAATATCGTACCGAAACGATCTGTATCAAAATGACCGATAACGTATCCTGAGGCCGTGTCCAGTTGCGAACGGGCGCTGTCATGGCCCCGAGCCTGTGCACTTCGTGCTGCTGCGAATACGCAGCTTCTAGAGCACGCCGTGCCTATGCCCGAAGCACCATTCAAAGACGCTCTATTGAGTGGACCCAAGTCCGTGTGAAGGACCTGCCGATGATCAGGGAACGCGCCTGACTGGTAGCACAAGGGCTCCTGGCACACGGCTTGGCTGTTGCGGTTTGGCGAGCTTTTCCCAGTTCGAACAGTGCGTCTGTGAATAGGTCGCTCAAGCGTCGATCACGTTGAATTTCTGTTGCTGACCCCAAACGAAAGCTTTGTAAAGGAGAGGAGCGCGAAAGGTGCCGCTCGGGAGCTTGTCTTGCGAACAAACACGAGAACCTTTCCAAACATGTTCATCTTTCACCCGAACGTCGTTCGCGCAGCGCTAGCTGCGAAACTCACCCTGGGCTTCTTTCTAACTAGCCTGCTGGTCACCGTCAATGATTTCCGGGAGCAACTATCGTGCTGGGCTCCTCTTTTGTACACGATTCTTGTGGGTCCTCTGAGCGAGTTCAGCTACACGGGTGCCATTCAACGCACAGTATCGGGGTTGTTGTACGGTTCGCTTCTGGGTACGGCTTGTGCTGCTGTGGTGTTTTTCTTGGCACGCTATTATGTATGGCTGCGCGTTATCTGCATCTTTGTTATTTTCATACCTATAAGTATACTTCGTCTGAGCGATCAGCATGCGCTGTTCTCAATCTTCACCGCAGTCGCGCTTGGTCTCGTGCTCAATGCTGCCCTGGTGTCGCAAGCACTCGAATCCGACACGTCTACAGCGAGCAACATTGGGCGCTCTCTCGCGGAGACAACTTCCTCGGTGCAGTCGCTTATGCGACAGTTTTGCATTTCTGCCTCAGTGGCATATGTTGTTGGCGTTTTTATTGGCGTCGTTGTGTTACCAGTGCCGGCTTCAGCTGCTTTGCGGGATAGACTTGAACGCGTCCTCCAGGAGCTGGGTAAGCAAGCGAGCGCGCTAGCTAGCGAGCTCTTTGGATTGGTAGCACAGGCCGAGGGCGCATGGCGAGAGATCCAGCGGCATAGCAAGAAAACATCTGGAGAAGCCGCCTCCACAGAAGAGTTGCAGGATTCTGACGGCATGTTATCGGCAACGACGACGACGATGGCAACCAGCGCGCAGTCGCCGCTGTCCGGCCTGAGGGGGAATGGGAAGCGCGTTGAACAATGTTTCAGCGTTGACTTTACTTTTTTAGACGAAGAAGACTATGCGGCACTTCACGAGGAGGGCGCTCTCTTCCTACAAGAGCAGGTTTGGGAACTGCAGTCACTTGTCGGATTCGCTTATCGAGAATGGACCTTTCCGGAAGTTACATGCGATCTTTCGATCACGGCATGGGCACGGATGATTCTTGCTGTTCGAGAGATCGTCTCGCGTCTTGCGGGTGTTGAATGCATCCTCAGCGAAAGACGCCGACGATCTGGGTACAGTATGGGTCTGGCGCTGGATCAGCTCTTTCGGCAGTCACTCGTTGATGTGATGCGCATGTGGGCCATCATCTCTGCGAGCTGTTATCAGTTATCGGGAATGCTTGCAGACTCACATTGGCGATGGTATCGTTGGACCGCGCAACGGCACCTGGGGAAGCGCTCCCGCCATCGAGCATTCTCTGTGTTGAAAACGCTGCTCGAAACGAAGAGCCTTATGCGTATTCGACAAAGCGCGCTCGCTAGTGGGCTTGTCGGCTACGAAAAGTACTGGCAGCAAATGATGATGCTTTACCAGCAACAGCAGCAACACGATCATTGCAATGACCGTAATGCGTATAAGCTTGACCGCAACGGATCGCGCTGCACTGCGCTATTTGCTGAAGACGTTAGCGCTGCCTGGTTCAGCGCCATCATGATGCATCGCATTTTGGATGCAGTGCTAGAAGCGTATCACGCTGCAGAGGCGTTTGCGCCTCCACCAGAGACTAGTGCACTGCCTCTGTCCGGTCGGCTCCGTTCCGGTGCTGATCGTGTTCGAACACTCTTGTTCAACCTCGTGAGCGAGTTTTTCGCATTGCCCATCCAGATCGGAACGGATGTTCTACAGCTTGGCCTTCGATTGCGTGTTTTGCGCTGGAACGATGTTCGGGAAATGCTGCGCACCCATCACTGGCAGGTTGTTTTCTTCTGGAAATTTTTCCTGCTTTCAGCGACAACGCTCTCGGTGGTTACGAGCATTCCAAACAAAACAGCGCTGCGGAGCGACTGGAACATTATTTGGCTGTACTACTCGGTAATAATCACAGCGAGACCCACAACGGAATCCGCAGTAAGCATTGGTCTCATGCGCGTGAGCGGGACCATCATCGGGGCTGCTTTGGGCTTTCTGGTCATGTTTCGACCGGTCATTGGGACCAACGCCTACGCCGTCACCGCTCTAAGCGTTTTTGTCCTCTACATTCTCTTCTACCTGGCGCATTTGAATCGCCACAAGTGGTTGCAGTACGCATCGCGAGTCGGAGTTCTAACGTACACGCTGGTGGTGATGTGCCAGTACCAAGGCGTCAATTACGTCGCCCAATGGCAGTACGCCTTGAGTCGCTGCGTCATGACCTGTGCGGGTGTGCTGCTCGCCGTGCTTGTCGTTGCCGCCTTGTCTCCACGAATGGCAGTGCGTGAATCGCGCCAAACCCTGGGACAGGTCTTCCGTGCCGCGGCGGAGGCAGCACGCTCCTTTCATGCCGTTTACGTGACCCGCGATACTTCGACACAGTTACCCGCTAGATTAGACCCTGCGTTTCTACTGGAACACTATTCGAACTTTAGTTCACTGATGCGTTCACCATCATTAGTGACGCTGTTGAGAGAACACGACGCTGCGGATGAAACACGACAGCGTCGTGCTGCGCGAGCGACTACCGCCAATGCAGCAGCAGACGCAGAAGCTACGTCCACGCAGGCACTGAATTCTTTCAGTGACCGGGCAGCGTCGCTATTACTCCAAAGGATAACAACAGATCTTATGGTGGCACGTGCCGCTGTCCGTCCAGCGTTCGGTGGTAACACACAGTTCACAATGTGGCGCTCAGGATTATTCAGTGCGCCGCAATACATCTTGCGCGGTATAGACAGTTCGTGGCTGCTGTTGCTGCGTTTGGAAGTTATTGAGGGTGTTCTCGAGCGTCCTCCGATTTATACGAACCGCTACACGGGAGCAGCGATACGTTTATTTATTCAACCGCTCGAGTCGGAGTGGCGCGCTCTTTTCGATGCACTGCACGCGCTCAGCGAAGCAATTCATGCGTACCTATCAGCGTTTTCGCTTTGGCATGATCTCGGGCTCGAGCGGGCATGCCGATGCGGTTCCTGTTGGCGTCACGACGCAGAAGAGGTGCATGTTGCCTCGACAGCACGTGCAGATGCGCTTTCGGACAGGTCGTTGCCGGCGTCGCAGCAGACAACGGAGCTGGACGCAAAGGATGTTCAGTATGGAGGCGAGCGTCTGCGACGTGCAATTGTGGATGCGAGGGGCCATGAGGAGTGGCTGGATGCACACGTCGCCGATGCTTTGCTGCTCTTTCGGAAGCGACGTGCACGCCTCTGGTCGAGCTTGACAAAGCGTCGCAATCGAGTGCGACGAGTGGCGCTCTCCCGCTCCCTGAATAAACAGGAACGCCAGGTAGTGGATTTCGTTGGAGCCTTATTTCTTGCGCAGGAGGAAGCTGAGCGTATGAACTTCCCCGGCATGGTGCCTGAGCAGGATTCAGATCCTGCTATATCCAAGCCAGCAGATGTTGCTTCGGCAATAGCCCGGTTAGATTCAGCGACGGGTAGAATGCGTGCAGTGGAATTGCCTCCGGGCGAGCCGTCTCCATCGAGCACCACTGCGCGATTGGAGGCAGGCTCGCAGTTGCCAGGCCGACAGTTGCTTGAAATGGAGGACACGGGTACTGCGTCGAAAATCCAATCGCTTGCGGAATCGACGAGGCGATCAGAAGCGCATACATCTGGAGGCTATGCACCGCAGCAACGCGACGAGCGACAACGACACGACAGTGCCGTGTCGCCCATGGAGGAAATCGCACCACGGTATAACAGCTCCGCAACAGCAGTAGCTGCTGCTGCTGTTGCTGTTGCAGATGATGATGATGATGCACTCGACCAAACGACGGGGATCGTAGAGCGCGTGCCTCGTCACGTACCGGGCGGAGAGCATGAAGCGTTGCCGCTCTACCCATCCACGCATTCGGAAATGAAACTGCGCATATCAAGCCTGGCGGGTTCGCGGGCAGCTGCCACCGCGGACGCTGGCCTTGGTGTTGCTGCCGAGCATCCAACTGATACCTCGCCCAACGCAATCGAACAAGCAGCACAGCCGGTAAGGGAGAAGGGCGGCCGCCGTCGCCATCGGCGCGTCCACCATCGCATACCCCCTGATGAGGAGGAGTCGATCGTGCGGGAGCTTTCACAGCTGGCGACGTACACAGAGGCGCATCCGCTTTTCGCGTCCTCTATTCAGAAACCAATCCACACCTCCCATGCGATCGGATTGCCGATAGATGATTTTGTGCATTTCTCGAGTTACCTTTTCGCTTTACGCGAGACACTGAATGTGTTCGACTTTGCTGCGCGCATGATCGCTCGCCAGCCTGCGATGTCGTCGCCCTGATCGCCTCTCTGCTTTGCTATGTCAGGTACCCGTGACCTGTTGAGGTCAGCGGTTTGCATCAGATCCTGAGCCGGCGATTGTTTGGTAGGTTTCTCGTCGTCGTTGGCGCTGCCGCACAATGGGCGCGGCTCTCGAAGCGGCGCGTGCGCACTCACCGCTCATCAGGTATTGCTTCGGGTGCCATAGAGGGCGCAGCAAATGCGCAGAAAACGCCCAGCTTGCGCTTGGTACCCGCCTGTTTGCCGGGTCGATTGCATCCCGACCCTCGATGGGAACACCGGTCCGAGAGTAGACCCGTCTGGTGTTATCGGTGGAGGTGCGTTTCTCTCGCTACACTAGTATGGAACTAAAATGGAATACCGAATGACTGGCTCTCTTCCTGCTAGTTCAAATTTTTACGAACATGGGTAGATATACAGAAAGTCCAAGTCACGCAGTAATGGCTTACGAATTCCTAAGCGGGTGTAGGAATCTCACTCGTGGTTCCGGAGAATCTGCTTTGACATTTTTGCCCATGGAATTCTTCGCGTCACCGGAATCCATGTGATTTGCAATGTCCTCGAGCACGCGTTCGTAAAATAACCAATAGTATGACCCAAATCATATGTGCAAGCGTGCACGCTACTCAATTCCTTACGTAGAGCACGCTCAAATCCCATATGCTTCAATGCTGCGAGTGCTCCATCTTATTGCAACGCGGGAGTTCAGCGATTCACGTTGCCAGATTGACGAGGAAGAGTACTCAATGACGTCCCCGGACGATACGATTATAGGCTCACGCTGAAAGATTCATGAACATTTCAGATCGAGGAGTCGATTGCTCTCGAAAGGCGAATCCTCATCTGTTTGACGCCATCGATGATACGGTACTCTAAAGCAACATGCTACCTGTAATGGTATAGGTTCCCAAGCACTTGCACATCTTTTGCATGCACGAAACCGGATACTGGACACGGATTTAAGGCATCGCTGGAATCGCATCCACTGGAGAGCGCGTTACCGCTTTGCCGGATGCGAGCGTAGAGGCATCGAAATTGCTCGATTTGATTTCCAGCTCGGATTTGCCTTCCGGTACTCGTTTCATCAAGGCCAAGATCGCTTTCCGCAAAACCTCTATCGAAGGACTTGCGTGCTCTTGCGTGTGCAGCGTACAGAGTACTCACGTTGTGCATCGCCCAGAACAAGTCTATGATCGTAGGATACGTCACCGGGTAAAGAAATAGAGACGGACTTTGAAGCGATCCTTTTGTGCGCGTCAAGAGCAAGTGCCGGGCGACGAAACAAGGGTTCACACCTCCAGCAAGGCGCACAGAGGCCGAGGCACAGTGAACGTACGAGAACACGTGTCTGTTTTCAAGCGTCACCGTACCGAAGGTCGTATCGAGGCTCCAAATAAAAATTGATGCAAATATCTGGTGAAGCGTAGATTGCAACTACCGTCCGTGCATTCAATCCGTAGAAATCAACCGGGAGGTGCGAAATCCGGATTTTGACGCTGCCAACGACGTTTTTCGAGTGCGAACAACAGATGTAGAGGGAAAGGAGACACGGATACGTCCCAAGTCGGGAGTAAACGATTTGGAAAGGACGCAGCCCCCGAACAATCGACCAAATTCTGGTATCCATGACATAACGAAGAGATCATAGCTTAAGCGTCAACGCTCGTGTTCGGTAAGCAGTCCTTTCCGATTTGATGCCGACTCGGGTAAAGGCGTCACAAAATCCGAGCATCTGCGTCTGCGGAGCAATCGGCCCAAGATCAGTCGATCGATCGATCGATCGATCATTCCAGGTCGATGTCATGGCATTTCTAGATATGTATCTCTTATTCCCAAAAATACATTTATGTACGGAATTTAGCTCAGCATGATGGGTCCCGCTGCCGGGAGCGCCATCACCGTTCATCTTTGAATGGACGGCTATGAAAGACATCCGCAACCCATGCGGTTTGCTCACCGTCGGACGTGATCCTGCCCCGGGCATATCCACAATAACCTCGTTCCTCAAGCCACCGCGCTCCTGTTTTAAGTCAAGTGCGGCACCCTGGCACAAAAACATGGAGAGAGGCGCCTTCGCATTCACGTCCTCGTCTCCAATGAACCCGGGTGGTCGATTACTTTCATCTGGCTTGGGATCAGAATCACACGCAACGGAACCTGCTGTTCACTACGACGATAGTTTGCGACTCTCCGCAGTTGGTCTCGACGCTGTGTATCACGTGCGCACTACAAGCGCGTCTGCTGGCCAAAGTGAAAACTCAGCGGACTCGAGATTCATAGGGCCAGCGTCCGCCATACTACGAGCACGAAGGACGGGAGTCTCTGCCTGGAATAACGGCTCGTCCGTGTACGAAAAGTCTTCGTTCACCCAATCCGGTTGGCTGGGTCGGACGGCGCCCTCGGAGGAGAGCGCCGAGCCGGACTCGTCCTCGGTGTCGTCGCTTGCTGTAGCGAACACGGTACGCGCTTTGGTGCACCCGCTGTACGTCTCGGCGCTGTCGGGACTGCGTTGGTTGGGCACTTTCCGCGGCGTACAAGCGTTCCGCTCGCGCTTGCTTTCCTATAATATGCTGAACAGTGATGAGGCTGTTGAGCGGGCGGTTACAACCTGCTGTGCGCAAGCTGGTTGCGAGCCGGTCACGCCCACGCTGAAATCAACAACCTCTGTGGATCGCGAGCTGCGCGCACTCATCAACAAACTGTTTGTGCGCCACCTGTCTAACGACGGGCGCTGGGTAGACTATCAAGCACTAATGCTGGACAAGGACTTTGTCAATTTTGTGAGTCTGACGCGTGGCCTCCGAGACCTGGACGTTCTCGAGATGAGCCGAGCGCGCCGCCTCGCGTTTTTCCTCAATATATATAATGCGCTCCTTATCCATGCGATAACGATCCTGGGCCGACCACGTAGCTTCGTTGCACGCTTCCGATTCTTCCAGACTGCTTCGTACTGTATAGGCGGTCATTTGTACAGCTTGAATGATATCGAGAATGGCGTTTTACGAGGGAATCGGGCACCTCCGTATCCTTTTGCTTCGAAACCTTTCGGCGAGCTTGGCTCTGGCGACATTAGAGCACAAGCGATGATCACTGGCGGCGATCCGCGCATCCATTTTGGCCTCAATTGTGGGGCGCGCTCGTGTCCGCCCATTCGGGCTTACGACGAGTCTAACGTGGACCAGGCGCTGGAGGCTGCCACCGCGAACTTTATACGGGACAACGTGAAAATAGTCTCCGAGAATCATGTTGAACTCAGTCGAATTTTCTTATGGTACGCATCAGACTTTGGATCAAACGTGATCTGGTGGATTCTCAAACACTGGCCCCTGAAAACCGAAGAGGATATGCAGAACTACCGACGAATTGTACAATGGGTAGAGAGCGGCCAACTCCGTATCACGTATTCAAAGTATGATTGGGCTTTGAACGAGGTCACCGAGAATGAGCGCTGAGCTCATGGCGTACTCGAAATATTGCACTGTTTGGAGCCGAGGCAGGATCGCTCCGTTTGAAGAGAACGCTCATGGAGCATCCCTTTCGGATAGCAGTGGAAGAGTTGTTGGACAAGAAAGCAGGTGCGGCCGCTTTTACATGAGTGTATGCGTGCGTGTCTGTGTAATTTAGCTGAAAACAGCATACCAATGCCAAGTAGTCGAGTGGGGAAATCGCTTCCCTGTCCAATACGACGCTCGACAGGTTCGTATTCCCGTAGACGCGGTACGTGATGTGGATTCTTGGTGGCAGGCGACGCGCTCACCTTGAGAAAAAGCATGCGGCACGATCTTGCAGTGCGCTAGCGACAAGCCGCATATGCCGTAAATGAGTTCTCTTCCCAGTATACAAGAAAATGCAACAGAAACTGCACTAGCAAGTGCGCATCGGTCACCGAAGAGCCCCCATCAAACGCAAAGCGCCGTTCGCTGGTGCGCTTGCACCCGCTTGGTGCCCCCAGGAGACTCGCGACGCTGTGTTGAGAGCGCAGCCTCACATCGGTACTTGGTACCCGAAATCTGCATGTGTACTGCCGCCTCGTTCTCATGCGTCAGTGAAATCACTGATGCCACTGAGCGCAGGTCGAGCCCGCAACGCTTCACGCTGCCCAAGCAATTCCGAATGTCGAGTTCGTCTGCGTCGATTCGTCTGATCGCACTGGATACCTGCCGTCGCTGCAAACACGTATTCAGGGATGCGCACTGCCGTCATCGGAAGGCCACCGAACGGTAAAAACTTTAGCTGGCGTACGGCTTTCTATTGCTCATACGGAGACTAGACAAAACTATCAGAGATATCCGCTCGGCGCTAACGAGTTCGAGGCATTGGCTGATCTCGAGACTCGTTTCCGTACAATGCAGATGGAATCGAGTGCGCACAAAAATACATTTACACGACATGCAGTCATTCGGAATGAAGCCGGTGACGTTTTCATTACAAATAACCGAATGTTACAGCCAGTTTGCGGCATGAGCTGGTGTCGTGAGCGCGCACAGAGACTCCATCTGGTGCACGTCGCACCAAAGCAGTGCATGTGACAGCTGAGAAGATGCTTCAGGGCGCACTTTATGCGCTTCATGAGGACGATCTCCGAACCGCAAACACACGCAACGTCTCCTCCTGCCGCCGCTGTCGATCGATGCTTTGGACCCAATCAAAAATCATCGCTCAAAGTAGCGACCAGGAGCATCTTATGCATTCGCTTTCCAACCAGAGGATATCGGAAACATGGCCTGTTGGCCTAGAGCGTCGCTATGCTCTTTCGAGGAAAGCGATGCAAACACGAGACCAGACCCGCACGCTCGGAGCGTACCAACAGATCACAGGGACGGATCACGCCAACGCAGCAAGTCTTGATGTCGAGCGATTGCATTGCCGGTCTGCAGTGACATCGCATCCAGGCAGACATCTCTTCTGTAGACGCCTTGTTACCGTCCAGCGAGGCACGATCCAAGCACAGTCCGCTGCATTCACATCGAATGATCGCCCATGCTGTCCTTGTTATCGAACGCTCACAGCGTACTGTTCTGTGCCTCCTCCAGCAGGCCTATATGCGCATAGCGCGTATCGACCCGGAGCCTGATGTTCTACATCTGGAGCCAACGCACGCAAAGGCAACAAAAAGCAGTCCTGTTTGCGCACTGCGTCATTGGTGACGTAACTAGTACGTGAGCATGCACGTGCAGTACACGTCACCGCCACAGCGTTGCACGAGCAATGCAACCTTAGTACCCAAGGAGTGCATTGCTCGGGAGGACGTGCAACGTGAAAAGGTTTGCGGTGCAGTTGTACAATAATACCGTGTCCACCAACGATAAAAGCGGCTCCGGAGAAACTCCAACATATTCACGGTTCGTTCACCAGGAGAAATCTCATCAGTAATGGAGCCATCGATGGCGTTTCTCGAAACGTGACGTTCTCGGGCCTTCACGCGCGCCCTGAGGCGTTTCAAGAAGCTGAACTCGAGCGTCACTTAGTGTTGAAAAAGGTCTTGTTCTCCGGCTTGCTTCCCGTATACAGCGCGCGTCGTTCCTGAGCGCTGGAATCAGCCGGAGCAAATTGCAGTGCAATAGCCAACGAGTCTACCGGATACAAATTCCTGTTTTTCAGGTAGACAGCGGCAGCGGTACCAGTCTGCTCAAGTAGCCGGAATAGCCAGCTCGCACTGTCACTAGACAGGGCAAAAATAAATTTTCCGTTCCATACTCTGCGGTGTCAGTCTTCGAAATCCGTGAGGGTGCTACCGGCAGCAAGGGGTGCAATTCACGTACGCACGAAGCGTGCCGCTGTTATCACTGACACACGGTGCCGGGAACAACCAGGAGTCCGGCCCGTGCCGTACCCAAAAATCTGCTCCAACTGCTGACCCGCGCACTAAATTTCTTGTCATATGGTTCTTCAGCTTCATCAAACTCGAGTCGCACTTCCACAAAGGAGTCCACTTTGCCCATATGCTATTTCCTGCACGGGTACACTGCAGAACTTCATCGCGAAGTGCACAAGCGTCCAACCTGAGCAAGAGGTCTCCGGCGGGAAACTGCAGCCAGACACCCTTATCTTTATGGTGCACAAATCCTTTTTCGAACCAGGTTCCCACGAGATCCGTCAACGCCTCTAGTCCCCGAAAACATGCAAGGCGCGACGCTGGTATGCGTCACCGCTCCGCACGTGGCTACAAACCCGCACGCGCTACGGAAGCCTGCACAGTGCGTTGGACATGATTTGTCCATGTTGAAACATTTGATATCGTATTAAGACGAATCCACCAGACATGAACAGTTATCTGTCCGTTTCGTATCATCATTTTCAGTATTTTCCGATATCAAACTTCTCCGCTGGTGGCGGCCTCCAGGGCGAGACTGCAGCTGGCATCGCGCGGCTCATCGGGGCAGCGGAATCTTCGACGGGTTTCCGCGGACGCACGCCGCTGGGACGCCATCCTAGACGGAAGCATTCTAGGTACCGCTGGCCCCAGCACGACCCGGGTGTGTGCGTAGGTGCATTCGACGTGTGTCGTACGAGGGTACAGAGCTTCAAGTATTTTGCTCGTTGAAGGATCTTTGTTCAGGGTACACAAAACGATGCAAAGCATTGCCTGCTCTGGTACAGTGCAGTCACTGAGACGCCTGGTCTCCGTCGGTACGCTGGGGTGCGCACAGGCTTCATCACGACGCTGGCTCGCTAGCGGCAAGGACCTTCGCTTCGGCTCAGAGGCAAGAAACCTGATGCTTCGCGGTGTAGATCTGTTGGCAGACGCCGTCCAGACGACCCTGGGTCCCAAGGGAAGGAACGTGGTCATCGACATGAGCTACGGATCCCCGAAGATCACCAAGGACGGTGTCACCGTTGCACGAAACATCGAGTTCCGCGACAAGCACCTGAATTTGGGCGCACAGCTCGTGCGGGCGGTGGCCTCGGCAACGAATGATGCAGCAGGTGACGGAACTACGACGGCGACTGTACTGACACGAGCTATTTTCACGGAAGGTGTGAAAGCGGTAGCAGCGGGCCTAAATCCTATGGATCTCAAACGTGGCATTGATCTGGCCGTAGAGAAGGTGCTCGAAAAGCTCAAGGAATATTCGAAGGAGATCGGCGGCAAGAATGAAATCAAACAAGTAAGTTTACGATGATGCAGCGGGCAACGACTCGACACGAACGATAGGATGGCCGGGGGGCGGCAGCCGTGCTGGGCCCCGCCGCCTCCCTCCGATGAAATCCTGAAGCGGCTCACTTGACCGCTCATGCAGTTTTGTCATAGTTACGCTGATCGTTCACGTCGACGCGCTGTCTACATGTGGGATACAAGGCCTTGTAGGGCCTGTACAGAGCAATCGAATCAGAACAAGCAAACTAACCGTGCGTGGGAGAAACGCCTTGTAGGTCGCAACAATCAGTGCAAATGGTGATGAGAAGATTGGCGAACTCATTGCAGAGGCTATGGACAAGGTTGGTCGCGAAGGAACCATTACGGTTGCGGACGGCAAGACCCTTACCGATGAACTGGAAGTCGTCGAAGGCATGCGTTTTGATCGTGGCTACATCTCGCCGTACTTCATCACGGATGCCAAAAGTCAGAAATGCGAACTCGAGGATGTTCTGATTTTAACAGCGGAAAAGAAGGTGAGCAGCTTACAGTCCATTCTGCCGCTGCTGGAGCAGGTCGTCAAGGCACGACGTCCACTGCTCATCATTGCGGAAGACGTGGACTCCGAGGCGCTCGCTACCCTCGTTGTGAACAAGCTGCGCGGTGGCATTCAGGTCTGTGCAGTGAAGGCGCCAGGTTTTGGTGATAATCGCAAAGCGAACCTCATGGACATCGCTACGCTCACCGGTGGTGAAATGGTCTCCGATGAGCTCGATGTCAAGTTAGAGGACATGACCATTCATCGCCTCGGCACCGCGAAGAAAGTCACTGTTAGCAAGGATGATACCATCATTCTTGACGGCGGCGGCGACAAGATGCAGGTCCAGAATCGCTGTGAGCAGATCCGTGCGGCAATCGAGAATGCGACCTCCGAGTATGAGAAAGAGAAACTTCAAGAGCGTTTAGCGAAACTTACCGGTGGCGTCGCCGTCATCAAGGTAGGTGGCGCTAGCGAAGTCGAGGTCGCTGAAAAGAAGGACCGCATTACGGACGCGCTGAATGCAACGCGTGCTGCCGTCGAGGAAGGTATCGTAGCTGGTGGCGGCACTGCGCTCCTGCGGGCAGGCAAAGATGCACTCGAGAACCTCCAAGGAAAAACCTTTGACCAGAACGTAGGTATCGATATTGTCCGCAAGGCGTTGCGAGTGCCCTGTATGGCGATCGCTCAAAACGCTGGCCATGAAGGCTCTGTCGTCGTCGAGAAAGTCCTCACGAGTTCCGATAAGAACCTCGGCTTCGACGCCGCTACCGGCAAGTATTGTGACCTCATCGCATCGGGTATCATTGATCCAACCAAGGTCGTGCGCACGGCGCTAGAGCGAGCGAGCAGTGTGGCAGGGCTCATGACCACCACCGAGTGCATGGTTGTGGAACTCCCCAAGGAGGAAGCGAAAGCGTTTGGAGGTGCTGGCGGCGGCGGTGGCGGCATGGGTGGTATGGACAATATGGATATGTATTGAAGATGCGAATGCATACGATGTTTTACACGTTGTTGATTCTCCGCTAGAAACCCTAGACAGCGCGTAAACTTAGGTACCGGACGCTGTGCGCGGGTTGCTTTTGTTTCGGCGTCGCTCAGGCCACACGTCTCGATCAGTGTCCATCAGACGGCACTTCCTATTCGTCGGTGGCTCTTGGCATCGTTGAGGCGATGACGCGAGCCACTGATATATGTGTGTGTGTACGAAGGTATCCATCATTGCGACTCGGGAGGACGGACCCTGCTGCATGAGCGTGTCTCGGTTGCTGTTGCTGCCGCGGCGGGGCAGTCGTACGAACGACATACCGCATCCTCTGTTTTTCATTTGTGTGTCGACTGGATCACCCCGCTGTTTCCAGGAATAAGCCAGCGACGAATGCGTCGACAGAATTCCACGGTATTCGCTGTCTCCCGCTAACCAGGACGCTACGCCTCGTAACGAGTATCGCCAGAACAAGGTCCACAGATGGAAGAAAATCCTCAAGATTGCTTGCGTTTGAGGATGCTCTCTCCCGGTGCCTCCAGCAATGCAGAAACCAGCGATGATGGTAGCCATCGTACAATTGTCGATGGCAATGCATCATGCACCGGCGATGCAGCGACGTTCCGTCTGTAACATATCCTTGGCGACGCATCTGTATCGATTGATACCCATATCGTCTCTAAACAGTGACCTGACCTAGTAGCGTGCTGTTGCTCCCGATGTGACTCGAGCTAGAAACTCGCCTCATAACGTCACATCATCTGTAATTGGGACGTTTCACGAACCCTATACGAACCTTGGGTATCGAGTCCAGCAGCAGCGCTCTGCATCCTCGAGAAGCACCGCGCGTTCGATCGCTCGCCACCACAAGCCAGGTCATACTCAACTCGAGTACGATTCATCAGGTGATCGCTGCCTTTGAGCGTGCGGGTTTCCTTCCAGATACCAAAAGCTTGAGGATATCTCTAGCTTTGGCGGCTGCGAGCTTGCCTCGCTGGATGCAAGTGTTCCCCTGGCAAGCTGATCCGCCATGCGCAGCGGCTCCGGCAGTCGATGCTCCCTCGCAGCCGCATACACGAGCGCCACTGCTCTACTGAGGTCTATCCCGTGCCCAATGGACACATAGATGGGGTTCACTGCCCGTTTCCCAGTACGCACCGCCGCCCCTAATACCTCATCCACATAAAGCGACGATTCGCCGGGATTCCCGTTCCCGAGTCGCTGCGAAAGCGCGTCTCTGGCTTTGGCATCGCATGGTCGCCAGCGCATACACAACGGTAGCACGGTCAACTGTTCCACTTGCATGACATGCCGGATATCTCGCTCGCTCGGGTAGAGCATTCGTCCTTGCCAGGTGCCAGTTACTGGGGAGTTTTGCGACGCCACCAGAGCCGCCAACGCCGGTATACATGGTGCCCTGTGCCCCTGCAGGGTATTCGCAAACCAGTGATAGGTTTTAGCGACGCCAATGGTGCGAACACCGCACTCAACGCCGATAGCGCTCGCTAGTCCAAAGCGACGCGGGTGCAGGATCCCGTTCCCGTCCACGAGCAACACATCCAGGTCCTGTCTGTGCCTCAGCACCAGCGACCGCACAAGAGGTGCTTCCCTGTAAGCCAGAAACGCCGGTACGTACGGAGGCACCTGTGCTGGGTTCTGGTGTTCCACGGCACCCAAGCGGCCCGGTATGACGAGTGCTGCGGTGCAGGGCACGCGGTCCCAGGCGACGTCCACACCGGCGAGGCGCAGCTGCTCCAGGTCGCTCTTAGTCGTTGCCGGGGCGCTTCCCGTTGTCTGGATCCAAGATCGTTGCACAAGGTAGCTTTTCTCGATCTGTTCAAGTTCCCAGCCGGTCAAATTGAGTGACGAATCTGCCATAAGTCTCCGAACGAATGGAGTAGCGACGGCAGCAGCGCTTCCGTCGGCGCTCGCGCAGGCTTCACCGGACAAGTCGTCTGGTCACCAGCACTGTGTTTGTTGGTATGCTCATACAAGCGACGTTCCATACGAAGCCCATTTGGCTACCAGAAATGAATACAACTGAAACATGGAACGCGCAGTCGTAGCTAGACGCAAGTGGAGCGTCAAGAACAAGTTCTTTCAATCGTAGTAGTGAACGCGGGTGCTTTGGTTTGTGCGCATATGTTAGGCTGTTTTTGTTTTCGTGGCGGAAGCGTTTTCGGGAGGAAGCAGCTTGCTCCATCGACAACATCGAGTCGAAAGTCACGATGAATGAAAGACCGCAGGTGCGGTCATCAGGATGACGTCTCAGCGTCCTTCGCGCACGCCTCCGAGAACAATGTGTCTGGCATAGCATCGCAGCACTGAAGCAGTTTGATGGGCACCCATGTAAGAAGGTAATGGAACGGATCCATTTCTCTAACTCGGACGTGCACGCTGAAATTTGTGTCTCTTCCAAGGATCAGCAGCACCAGACGATGCGGACTTTTTTTTCTGCGACTGCATCGTTTTCTACTCCCATATCTCGAGATGAGAAAACGCCGGTTATTCCTTTCGCTAACAGCTGCGCTGTCAGCAATGGAAGCGTGTTGACGGCAGTGTTCAAGTCCCAACTTTGCTACGATCGGCTGTTTTCCATGTCATTCCCGCACAGGTACAAGTTGCGATCTACGCTGTGCTCGATACACTCATCTGTTTCGTATACAGGCTCGTCATTCCCGCACAGGTACAAGTTGCGATCTACGCTGTACTCGATACACTCATCTGTTTCGTATACAGGCTCGTCATTCCCGCACAGGTACAAGTTGCGATCTACGCTGTACTCGATACACTCATCTGTTTCGTATACAGGCTCGTCATTCCCGCACAGGTACAAGTTGCGATCTACGCTGTACTCGATACACTCATCTGTTTCGTATACAGCCTCAGCGCGCGCTTTGCACTGTCGACCCTTGGCTGCGGTCAGGTGTTTCCGCGTGTCCATCACAGCATCTCCTCGTTCTACGAGCGCCTCGGTATACCACGTGAACGCTTGGTTCATCACTCGGTACATGCTCTTCAACGGTACTTCAGGCTCCTCCGATGCCCTTTACCGTATCCGCTCCCGGTACCGTACCGTGGAGTCATGGACGAGTGCGGCTGCGGGTTTCTCCGGGCGATGCCCCTGGTGAGTACGCTGCTCGCTGGTTACGCAAGAGTACGCTCTTCCATTCGATCAAGCATTTGCAGATAGAAGAATCATCCATGATGGAACAAATCCGGGAAGGAAATACAGGTTTGGAGAACACCTCAAGAACGTTTGATCTGCGTACGCGCCCAACGAGCAACAAATAGACGCGTTTCTGTCTCTCTCGAAGGGAATCAATCATGGGACGTCAAGAGGTCAGTGAACTTTCGGATTCCGCTCTTGAAGAATTCGTGAAAAGATAATGACGAGAGTTTATCGTCGTCGATCCAAGGGCGCGAATCACGGCATCCACAAGATGCCGTGAAACCAAACATTGAAAACTTGAAGCATGCGTAGCTTGAGCATGCTACACGTCAGAAAAGGAGAAGCGTGGATACTTGTATGGATGGATTGGATAAGAATAGCGAAAATGTTCTGAACGATTGTTAGAGAACGTCGCGAATGATCTTCATGTCAGGTGTCGTTACGAATTCTAGCGGCAACAACTCGGAGCCACCCCGAAACGACTCTCGATCATCCTGAAACAATTTCGAGTCCCTTAACCTTCATTGCTGCACTTCGGATACTTTTGTTGTCCAACAAAAGAGTTCGGAAACAAACCATCGAAATGCAAGCACAGAACGAGCAGTCCAGGATTCCAGTTTATGCGGACTCTGGTACACCAGACGACGAACAGACCCAAACGCTATGCCGCGTGATGCGTCTGCGTGAGAAAAGCGCCCATTCGACTCCAACTCGCGTACTTTGGCCAAAAACGCCTCCCGTGTCTTTTGCTCTTACGATGTTTCGAGGCACCGCTTGTTGCATCGTCTGGCGATGCTGTACCAGCCACGGGGGGTTCCAGTGACGAGCCCGTCTCTCGTTGGTGCACATTCGGGCCAGTTGCTGTGGCCTTGGTGGGCGCTGGTGACGTATCCGCTGTTCCCAGCGCGGACGAAAGCGTCTCCAGATGAACTGTCTCAGAGGATGCGTCGACACATGCAAAACGCATCATCTGACGTAACACGCGTGCACACAACACACTCAGCGTCTTGGAGGTAGCGATAGACCCCGACGATGACGAGCGCTCGCGACTAGCTCCCAGGAGAAGCTCCAGCAACGCCACTACCGTCGGAGCGATCCGCTGCAGCCGCTCCACATCCCCATGCATGCCGGCGAACTGCACGAGTTGCTCAAGCAGCTGAACGGCAGCAGTCTGGGCATCCGCGATCGATGCCTGCAGGTTTCGCATCGAAAAACAAAAAGGACCGCTCTCCTCGGCGTACGTCTGCATACGCTGCACCCAGTGGCTGCTCCAGCGGGCTCGTAAATACCACAACGCTGCGAAGACGCATGCGTCCAGATAGTCCTGGGTGAAAGCGGCTTCTTCTGGACCGTGTACCGCGGTGAGCGCTGTAGCGATTGCCGTACTCACCGGGGCACTGAGCGCTCGAAAAACAGACTGTGCATCAGTGCCAATGCCGCGGAAACCTGCCACCAGTTCGTTTCGGGCATGCTGCTCGAGCACAGCCAACACTAAGCGCAATGTTTCCAGGGCATAGACGATGCGATCGATATCGGGACGGGTTATAAACTCCTGGTGATCGTTCAGGATCGGGTACGACTCACACAGCAGCAGGCCGAGTAGCGGCCCCAGGACCAGTTCAGGTGCCAGACGCACGGCGCTGCGTACGAAACGTTCAGCTTCAATCCGGCTCGCCGAGTTTTCACTGCGCAGCGCATCCAGAGCCAGAAAGAGACAATTACTGGAAAGCGACTGGGCTAGCCTGAGTTCCCGTGCGAGGCAGAACGCTTGGCGAAAGATAGCCAAATGCTCGACAGGCGAGCCCCATTCACCTTTCAGGGCAGCGGCGATGTAAGCCTGACACTCCGTCGGATAGAATTCCTGTAGCGAGTACCAGAGCAGTGCTGCCTGACGTCCATACGGAAGCAGCGACGGATGCAGGAACAGCCAGCACTGCGGAATGAGAAGATCACGAAACTTCTCGATAGGCACAGACGCAAGCAAGTCCACGGATGCGGTGCACTGTTGAGAGGCGCTATCCAGCAAGTCTAGGTAATGATCCAGGCCGAGCAACATAAGCGGGAGCGTTCGGCAAACCGCCAGCTGCACAGCATCCTCAAGTGCACTTGCCACCCGCGTCTGCAGTAGCACGACGGTATCGGCAGTATCATTCACCGTCATTTCCGAGGACGAGGTAGCCCGCGCCCCATTCGGTGCAGCGGAGACGCCAGCGCTCACGTCAGAGCAGGCATCCTCGCCCTCGGCGAAAGCGCAGATGCTCAAGGCAAGCTGGACAAGCTCAGCAATGAGGTCACAGCCAGCACGCGCATCCTCGACGAGCCACGGCTCGCAAGCGAAACGATACGAGCGTAAGCGTTCGAGGCAGAAGCTGGCAGCTCCTTCGGGCAGATCCCCGTGTGTAAGGCGGTTTCGCTCCAGCCAGGGTCGCCAGATGCGTTTTTCTACTGTTTCCAAGAGGCGCAGCGCTTGCGTAAAGATGGATAACTTGGTCGCGGGATCAGAGTCACGGAGTGCTATCCGAATGGCAGAGACAACTCTGGCTAGCACTGTAAAGTGATGCCGCCACTCCAGTGCAGGCAGCTGCGTTTCGGGGCAGCACGGGCCCTGCAGGCGAGCGCACAAGATCACTGCGTACCGACAGGTATCGAGCACCTGTCCCAGCATGGACAATGATGGTAGCCCCGCGTACGCTACCACAAAAAGGAGACATTCAAAGAGCACCCGCAGCGACCTGGGTGGTTCCAGTTGACTCTCCATTTGGTGAAGCTGGTGGTGAAGCATTCCCCAGACCTGATCCGGTCCGAGCAGCTGCAGTGCTTCCCGCAGAGAATGCTCCACGGCCGACCACATCTTGGCCAGTGCGGGTAGCGCAGCTGTCAAACCAGGGGCCTCAGCTGGCCGCAGTTCGCTTCGTGGCGCTCCTCCAGGCGGCAAACATCCATGGTGCGGCTCCCGCAACAGCCTCTGGATCGATGGATCCATCTCGATCGGTGCGAATGCCTCTGGTGCTTGCGTCAGCGGCAACGTCGACGACGACGACGACTGCTGCTGCTGCTGCTGCAGTAGCACCAATCGACCGAGTCGCCAGGTGGTGCTCACGAGAATCCGCTCCAGATGTTCGCGGAGGCACTGGCGCTGAGCGAGCTTGCGTAAGACTTGCGCGAGTGTCAGCGCAGCATCTGCTATCCAGAGCGGATCCTGGGTAAACGCTGCCGCAGACACCAGTGATGCCGTTTCACTCGCGCCGTCTGCTAGTGCATCTGAGGCAGCCTTTTTGGGCGCATGAGGACACGCACCTGTTGCAGCTGTTACCGCTGGCGTGGCGAGACTGACCGCTTTGGTACCCGTGAACACGCTCTGTTCGATGCCCCATGCCCCGATATCCTGCAGAATCTCCTCTACAACCGCTTGGAAAAGATGTTCCGCTGGCTGATCTTCCATCCAGGCATAGAGACGCTTTCGCAGGGATGCATCCTCGCGGAGGACGACCAACAACGCCTGGGCTAGAAGCGTTTTCGATTCCACTTCTGTAAAGAGGATTGCAGTCTCCCTTACGCGCAGCAAGGGAATGTGCTCGAGGCGCACTGGTTGCAGCTTTTCGACCGGCTGGTGCTCCATCGGAACGAATCCGATCGTTTGCAGCATCAGATCTAGGGCTTGGCGAACGACCAGGGCGCTCCCGTCCATTAGAGCCCGCTCTAGTGCTGCAGTAACCAGCCCCGTGTTACCGAACAACGCAGCCCGGCTGACCGGTGTGACTCCGTCTGGTGTCGACGGAGTGCGGGCCTCGTCGTCGAGTTTCAAAAGATACTGCATCGTCACAAGCCGGAGACGCGACGCAAGCGACGACTCAGCATGGTGCGTTTGGTCCAAGTCGGCTTGTTGCAGTGCCCGAAATGAAATGAGATTTGCGGTGCTGACACCCTCTCGCTTTGGTGCAATCCATCGAGCGCTTCGTACTTTTGGGCGAGCGCGTACCGCTCGAGGGCCCCTTGGAGAAGCAGTACGCATCGCCAGCGATCGATCTGTAGGTGTGGCACTTGCTAACGCTGCGGGCATCCATTCGGATACCATCCAACCATTAAAATCCATGCAGAGCATTGCCCGCCACAATGCTTCCGCGAAGAACGCATCATCACTGAGGTTCTGTCGAACTTGGGCAAGCAGGTCGCTCGCTTGCACGTCGGAAAGGTCTGTGCTGGAGGCGGCTGGAACCTCGTCCAGCGCTGGTAGCAGCCCCTGCACCAAACCAGCGATTACAGGCCGCAGTGGGCTCCAGTTGCCAGCAGATGTGTCAAGACGAGCAGGGTCGAATGTAGCATGCCCTGCAGTGGGTTGCTGGTCGACCGCTATCCAGCTGGTCGTGCGTTTCGGTTCCAGTTCAACGAGGGTGCCCTCTGCGCTCGAGAGCGATTGCGAGGCACCTTCGAAATTGGATGCTTCCCGCACAGCAGCAGCAGACGACAGGCTCGGCAGAGGATGTTCTCCGGTTGGCACATCGAGCGTGCTGTCGAGGAGTTTGGCATCTTCAGAGACTGCCGCATGCCTTGATGGAGAAGCACCAGGCCCAGGCAACACGGAAGCAGCTGCTCGCGGCTGCTGAGTGTCGGAACGTGACCTCGTGCGGTCGTTTGGCACCGTCCAGCCCGGTGCGACGTCCGACATTGAAGCATCTGGACTCGTTCCTTGCCATGGAGCAGCGGAGACCAAGGTCGACTGTGGCTGACTCGCAGGCAGCAGGTGCTCTGCGCGCAGCACGACGATATAGCGACGGTAGATGTCTAGAAGCTTTGGTCGGACCGCCGTCGAGCAGTAGCTCATGAGCGGAAACAAGCCCACAGCATAGATGCTTAGATCTCTTGCCAGTCTCCTGGCTCCGATTCGCTGAAAGATCAGCTCATAGACCTCCAGCGCTTTGAGGTGCAAGCCCGCAGGAAAGCCCCCGTACAAGCAGTGTGCAAGCCACTTGGAAAGCGCGTACTTTTCCGGGATGAAGGCGTGCTGCGCGTGTCGATTGAGGCAACGTCTTACTTCACCCAGTTGCGAGGCATAGTCTGCCCAGTCGCTGGCCTTTTCGAAACGGAGTAGCACCGCGGAAAGCTCCGCACGGAACGCTCGGTACTTGACCGCCTGTAGTGCAGGCGGTGCGTCATCCTCTGCATCGTACACGGCAGGGTCATACTCTTCAGCCATAAAATAGTACTTGAAAGGTGTCTACGACCAGAATATGCAACTTGACCTAAGGATGTCGGCACTGAACGCTTTTTGCGTCTTCCAGGACGGCACCTGTCTCGTCGGTGACAGTGCAGCGGGTAACGGCCTTGCGCCCGCTGGCTGGCATTATGTTTCGCAGAACGCTCGAGGTCTGGTTTGCCTCGTGTGTCGTCGCGGTCGGAAACTGGCGAAACTGCTATTCTAGATAGACGCTGGCGTTGCATGACGTTCAAGCGGTGCGTTTAACTCGATAACCAGTGCACCAATGGAGCCTGCAAGCCAGGGTGCGTGTTGGAGCTCAACGTCGATCAGGGTATACGTTCGTTTCCGGGTGCACTGGTATGTGTACTAGAGGCGTTATTCCGAGACGGGAAGTTGCCGATTATGTGGGGTAACCGTTTTGCTCGATACAATTTCTTCTGACTCCCGTTGATTCCTCTGCGTCGGACGCGTTTCCGGTACGGTTCGGACGAGGAAAGCTACTGCTCTCCCGGAGCGCTGCGAGAAAGCGAAGGCGCCTTGTTCGAGTACCTGCTTCGTATCCGCGTTTTCGTGAACAGGGCGCTTATTCTTCAGTGGTCAGAGTGCACTGGGCTGGAGCGTGCCCGCACCAGGCGACACAACGCAACTAGCACTACCGCAGGCGCGTACGAGCCTGCGAAGTAGGCGAGCACCTTGCGGAAGGTTAGGCGGGAAACAGAGGAACGCGTCCCATCGAGTCTAGTTTTGGTATGGACCACAGAGGACGCTATATTCTGTGCAGAAAGCATTTGCGTACGAAAATGTTCATTTTGTGGTGTAGGACTGACGAATCCACCACGACTGTACTGGACATGCGCATCCAGCGGATTCCCGTCCGTGAGATTTGGGCTTCTGCATCGATGGATACGCGTTTCATTTCACAAAGTACAGAGACCTTCCAGGGATGTGAGGCTCGTTGAAACTAGCGATCGTTTGGGCGCTGAGCCTGCCACCAACGCAGTTCGGAGATACGATGGCCTTTTCGCACCCTGTGGGACGTCGGCTTGGAACGTACCAAGGTGTGAACCCGCGTTTCTGCTCTGCAATAGAGCACTCGCTGCGAATCATTCATGCCGTCGCTGTCCTGGGAAGCTACAAAGCTGCAGCGCATGGAACCTGCTCGACGCTGGCCTCGTTGCGTTCTGGAAGCTGCAGTACCGATGCGACACTGTGGCAGAGAGGAATGTGGACACAGCACTACTGATGATGAGCTGCAAGCATGACGATCGCTATCATCATCGTCATCGTCCATATGCGCGATTACCTTCGAATCGGTACTTGTTGGTGCGCCTTGCAATGGAGAAGCACAAGGCGCATTTACACAAAGAGTTTGACGCGATGTTCATCGAAAGGAAGACACATTTACCTGCTAAGCGTTTTACAACGGGGTTGTGGCGACAAGGGTTGCGCGTCTCTCACGAGAAAGTGCCGTAGCAGGTGAGCCCGCTGTAGCAGCCGTCATCGAGTCCGCTAGACAAGCGGCTCAACACAAACGTCCCAGAATATTCGAATAACGCTTGCTGGGAGATATTTTGCGAGCCTGGTGTCATCCGTCACTGCCAGACCATGCGAACCACCTCCACGGAAGCATTCGTAGACGGATCGAAATGGTGCTGACGCTGCCTCGCGTCGCCTCAAGGCACAAGGTAATCTCGAGCCTTAACGTCCCACAGCTGTGCCAGCAAGCGCGTCAAAGAGACCCAGTCCTGACCCAAGAGATGTGATGCTGTCTCTGTTCCTGGCTGCGCAGTTGGGCGCATCGCTCGATCATTTCCGCCACGTGATAGCAAATCGTCCTCCATAACGACAGCTGGGAAATGGTTCCTTTTTAGGCACGCAGGCACACCGCTTGGTACCATCCGCTCGCTCAGTGCTCGACGTGAGCGCTCCCATGATGTATTGTGCACACAGCGCTTTCTGCGCTCGCCGGTGGACGCCAAGACTTGGCCATGATCCAGCGATAGACCCGAGTGGGTATCCAGACAGCCACTGCCATCACAATGTGATCCATGATCCATGGAAACCCGTAATGGTCGCCCCTGCGTAAGAGTGCCCATATAATATGATCTGCTGCTGCATCTGGCGAGAGACAGCACGGTTTCCAGTGCCGCTGATGGGCGATCGCAGGCGTGTCTACGAAACCTGGACAAACTGTGACTAATCGTACCCTGTGATCGCCAGCGATCCGAAGCTCCATGCGGAGGCTCTCTGTGAGGTAATTGAGCGCGGCCTTGGTTGCCCCGTAGAGCGCTCCACCGGGTAACGCCCGATACGCTGCCAGCGATGACACGACAACCACATCTAGGTTCTCGACAAGTGCAGAGGACTCGTTGGGTGCCGATGCAATGATGTCCTTTGTGGATGCTTGTTGATCGCTCGGACGACACGAGGCGGGAATTTTCGTTTGAAGGAGGTCTCGAAAGGCATCTACGATCTTGAGTCGGGCTCGATGCTCGGGGATACCACTGCTACTCGGACTGGGCTTCGATTTCCGGGCACGAGATCGGGTTCTGTTGACGTCTACGCTGCAGTTGTGTCCTGATGCTTTGGTCGGTTCGTTCGGGGCAGAGAGCAGCTCCCGAAGAAGCCGATGAAGGATACGCGCTGGTGCCCACAGGTTGGTCTCGAGTACTTCCCGCAGCGTGTCGAGGCTCGTGTCCACAAAGAGACATCCATTCTGGTTCACGCCGGCGTTCAGAATAACAACGGAAACACCGAGTTGAAGAACACGCTGCAGGACGTGGTCCAGCTCGTTGCCACTTGCCCGCAAGTTCACTGGTTCGATGACCACAGCCGGTTTGTCCATTTCCCGGGTGTCCGTCGATGCGGTTGCTTTACCCGCGAGTGCCTCTGATACCTGGGCAGCGAGCGACTCTAGCAACTCGACGCGTCGTGCACTGACGACGACCCGAGCCCCGTAAAAGACAGCGAGTCGAAAGGCTAGCGCCCTCCCGATCCCAGACGAAGCACCAGTGACCCAAACGACTCGTCCTCTTAGGCTCGCTCGACGTGCCCGCAGGTCGTAGTGAACGCTAACTCGCCATAGAACCCAACAAAACGCAAAGATCGCGACGAGTGTCCAGATGAGCGTCATCGCCGCCAACGTCGTTACCCGACGAAACAGTGGGAGCGCGAAACAGCCGAAACTGTGGAGCAGCACGCGAGCTCGTAGAAACAGCTTCTCCCACCGACTACCGGTATCCGAGACACTGCAAGCCGTTCCGCGGGCGTAGCAAGCCGGTACCCATACCTAGTCGCTGCAACAACTGAAGCTGCTCGCTCTGATACCAGATCCAGCAAAGGGATGACGTGTTGCACTGGGATGCCTCAAGCGCCCTATTCCCGACGCGGGTATCCATGCACCGGGGCTTGCTGCTGGAGCAAAAAGTCGTTTACAGACTATCATATCATAGAAGGCTCCAAAGAGAGCACCATCTCGCTTTATGATCTTTGACGGCAGTGAAGCTTTGCAACCAGCGGGGTGCAGTCCGCTCCGATTTGATGATTTTTTGCTGGTGGACAGAAAGTGTGAACCTCTTGCGCACTTGAGTATGGTCTCCTCGCGTTACATAGGCAGCCCGGTGTGAAACATGAGGTCCTGAACGGGCTCCCAAGCACTGTCACACTCGCCAATGGACACACTCGGCTTCCGAGGTACCGCGCATGCCTCACACTGGGCGACATCGAAACGTCGCCGAAAACGAACCCCTCGAGGAACGGTTTTTGGTACTCGCCCCAGAGTCGATGCATCCAGCTGGGCGTGCCGGGAGGCGCAACTGCAGCCGCAACCGCCAACGTCTATTGGAGGTCATCCTGAACCCGTTCACGGGAATCCACTGGACCATGCAAGGCCCGCGAGATGAAGCAGGTTCGGTGTATAAACTGCGCGGTTCTAGGCGTTGAGGAGCGCTCGCGCCCAGTACCCAGGCACCCGAATGATTTTCCAACCTTCTACTCGGGCCTGTCACGAGCCCCGATGAAATCTACGGTAAACTGGATGAATTGATGGCATCCTACGGCTGATGGCATTCGAGCCATAGCTCCATGTGGCCTTGGCGTCTCCGAGTCCGGGACTCGTAGACGTGCCTCAGGGCGCTCTTTAGATGCGAATGATAGAAAGCATGTGCTTGCGCGTACACCTGTCGAGAACGGTCCTTTTCGGTTCGTGACTCTCGTTCAATAAAGGCCGCCGAATAAGAAGCGACATGCAAGCAGCCTCGTGCTCAACAGAGTTTCGGCCGCTGCTACAGCTACTGCTGCTGCTGCACCACGCGAACTTTGAGCATCGGTGTTTCGTGCACTACTGACGATGCTCTGCGTCTTCACTGCATAAGCCTTAACGACACTATCCATGCTGCTGTTTGAGCTAGGCCCCAGCATCTCCAAACACGAGCAGATGGGTAGGGGCGTCAAGCACACGTGCACAGCACACTCTCTCTCGAACGTAATTTCCAATGAGATGCCGCCCTTGGTGCTTTAAACGAATGCTGCCACATTCCATTTTAAGAGTTATCGACTTGTCTTTCCCATTCGTCCCTCGCAGTGGTAGGATCGATGATGCATCTGACCACTTGATTTGATCGGAGATTCCAGAGGATCGTGGACAGCAGGCAGCGCGGCTCTCGGAATGCCTGTACGGATATAGTTCAAAGAATTCCATCAAGCCGAGCGAGGGGTAAACGAGGACCCATCGAGTGAGAGGGACCAAAGGCCGGTGAAAAAGAAACAGAAACTGACCACTAAATACCCATGACCCGATGACATTTTCCCCGCGTCTGTGGAAAGCGTTGCAAAGGGCGAAGTTTTCCGTTTTTTCGAAGGTTTACCGCCTAGGTGCAAGTTCCTGCGAGCTGAACGAGTCCACTGAGCAGTTGCTCTGTGCGGCTCGGCAGTGGCGAGGCCGTAGCAACACGTCCACAAAGCATTTATTCTAGGACTAGAAGTGGGTAGCGTTCATCCACGTGTCGTCATGGTCGCAGCGGTTTCCGAGTCTATCGCTTTGTGCTGCCGCATGTTGTAGGTCTGTCTGCAGAGCTTGCCGGCTCCCAGAATGATAATTAGCCGTGATTCCGTGTCAGGCGTAGGATTCTGCGAGCCGACGCCCTCAGCGGTGTGGCAGAGCCATTCTGTCTCCATGCAGCATCCGTACCAGCGGTATAAGCACCAGTGCGGGTACTCACAATAATCACTCGGCGCATAGTAGAACGTACAAAATGACCCGTATATCCGAAAGAGAGTTTCCGTCATGGAACTTAAAGATAGCATGTATCATGATGGACGCTTTCCCGAATGCCATGATTCATCGCGCAACCTCAGATCCCTGCTCAGTGGACGAATTTTTTGTCATCGAAAAAAGGATTCGCAGATGCCGCTACGAGTTGCAGCCATTGCCAAGTACAGCCTCGAAAGGCATTGTGCAACTGAACCTAACAGCAGCTTCAGGACGTGTCTTTCTTAAAGACGAACGCTTCGGAATCCAGCACGATTTTCGAACCCCATAACGCGTCTGCTTTCTGGGGTTATTAGGAGCTTGCGTTCGCCAGGTTGCGGTGCGTTTCGACATGCGTGCTGCACTCGCTTTCCGAGCGCCGTGTCGGGGACTTGTCGTTCCGTCCTGGGAAGCAACTCGAGGTCGGTGTTTGATTTCGCCACGAAAGTGCCCGTTATCGTTGAGTCGTCGAAGTGTGGCAGGTTTGGTGAGAACGACTCGCCGTCGGGGTCTGTACGGCTGCACGACGCCCGTGGCACAGTCTCGGGACGGTGCCACTGCACCGACGAGCGCTCCGGTCTACCCCGGAGTGGACGGCAAACCGAATGTCATTCAAGTCCTGGAATCGAGAGGCCTCATTGACGCGGTGACCTCTACTGATGTGTACGCGGTCTGTGCCCGACCGGTAGCAGTGTACGTCGGCTTCGATCCGACGGCGGACTCGCTCCACATAGGTAACCTCCTGGGTCTACTGGTTCTGCGTTGGTTCCAAAAACTGGGGCATCGCCCTGTGGCTATCATTGGCGGTGCAACTGCCCGTATCGGTGACCCGTCAGGCAAGAGCGTTGAACGACCGCTCCTTGCTGCGAGTGTCATTGAAGAGAATGCCGCACGAATCGCTGAAAACCTGCGGCAAGTGCTGGATTTCAGCGGGGATTCTAGTTCAACGACGGAGCCGCTGGTTCTCAACAATTACGACTGGCTTGGCAACATGAGATTACTCGACTTTTTGCGTGACGTAGGGAAGCTCGCGCGAGTCGGGACAATGCTGAGCAAGGAATCCGTTCGTCTTCGGATGCAGAGCGAAGAGGGTCTCTCATTCACCGAGTTTACGTACCAGCTGCTGCAGGGATACGATTTTGCGTATCTCTATAAAAATCACCAAGTCCTGCTGCAGGCAGGGGGCTCGGACCAATGGGGCAACATTGTGGCTGGACTCGAGCTCACTCGTAAACTTTACGGGGGCACTGTGCATGGTCTGACGTTTCCACTCCTTACCAGCAAGGATGGCAAAAAGTTGGGAAAGACAGAGAAGGGCGCTGTATGGCTTTCGCCACAGCGCCTGAGCCCGTACGAATTCTACCAATATCTTGTCAAAGTAGCAGATGATGATGTTTGCAATTATCTGCGGAAGCTCACATTCCTGCCTCTGGAACAAATCGACGCCCTCGAAAACGACATGCGAAACTCGGAACGGAGCGGCTACCAAGCAAATACAGCCCAGAAACTCTTGGCTATGGAAGTCACTCGCATAGTTCACGGCGACAAAGGCGTCGAGACGGCATTAGCTGCCACCGCGGTCGCTGCACCCGGGCACGTACCCGGCGGTGAACACACCAACGGTAGCACGCGCTTACGAGCTGATGTGTTAGAAGCGGTCTCCAGCAGTCTACCGGGTGCGACGCTTCCCCGCACTGCGCTCGTCGGTGTGCCACTGGTCGATGTTATGGTTCGAGCGGGTCTCCAGAAGAGTAAGGGAGAGGCGCGGCGCCTCATTGCGAACGGTGGTGCCTACGTCAATGACGAAAAAGTGTCCGACAGTGGGAGAACCATCGAAGCAACAGATTTAATTGAGGGACGACTGCTTCTGCTAGCGGCTGGCAAGAAAAACAAGATGCTCGTTCGGGTGAGCGATACCTAGAATCCCGACATCCATTCGCCGAGGTAAACGCTTACGGATGATATGCGAACGACCTTGGGAGTCCAGAGGCGACCACTCTTAGTGTATCACTTTGCTCCGTGCGCTTGCAAGGCTGAGAGCTCCTCGCAGAGGCTTCGATGCGTTGCGTGATCGTCCCGCACTGGAACTCCGTCGACGTTGTTGTATAGGCGGGTTTTTTGTGGGTGTATGTTCACGGGTGCGGGTACCTCGTTCCGCTGACTCGGCGGCAGTCTGCGGTGATTTTCGTTCGAGAGCGTGCCAGAGCGTTCCGCCGGGTGCATCTCTGGTGCAGGACAGCTCATTGAGCGAGCGGCCCATACATGATTCTATGGTGCGAAGAGCGCCCCACGTCCGACGCTGTAACCTTCGTGCCGCCTCAGCGACTGTTGACGAACGGTGCGCTGGAGCCACAGACGCGCTGACCATGCGGCAAGGCACTGCGTAGTCGTTGCAACGGAGGTTTCCTCAGACGCAACCACTAGCGACGGAAACGGGACACCACTTCACTCGCCCGTATGAAAGGTTACGGAAGCGATAGCGCGTGTAGAGCGGATGCGCCCTGTGCCCAACGGATACCACATAACCAGTGCGAGGACGCATGCGGAAACGTCGCTCCAGACACACGGGGTCTGGCTGGGGCTCGTGGAACACTGCAACTTGTCGTCAGCTGCTGGGTCTCAGTTGTGGTCGACACCCGTGTCAGTGGAAAGTGGAACGGATCCACTTTACTGACTCTGGCGAACACCATAACGCTTGAGTATTCGCCATTGGTATCAACAGAAGCCCTTGCGGGCGTTTGCTTACACTGTTTCCTTTGCTTCTCTCTTATTTCGGCTTTTCAATACGGGGGTCTCTCCTTTCGCTCCAGCTCCATTGCTAACAGTGGCTGAATATAGGTGGCAGCATTCAAGTCCCGATGATGCTGCCTCCAACTGGTGTCGATGCGTTTCATACACAGGTGGATGCCACGATCTGTGCTTCGTTCGCTGTTCGCGTCTTCCTTGTACACAGCCTCGAAGAGTCGCTTCGCAATGGTGACATTCGATAATGGCGAGGACTTTCCAGGTGTGCACCACACCTTCCTCTCTGAGGGCCTGCATGTGGCGCATAGGGGCTTGTTTCAGCGCTCTGTTACCGGCAGTTGACGGGCTCAGAAGGCTGCTGGCGAGATCCTCCTCCAGTTCCGTGCCCAGTTCGGTATCGGACGATCACGGGTTTGTTCTGGGCAATCCATGCATTGGTCTATGACTCTGTCCGCTATACGCACAAGCGCATGCTGTTGCATAGCATTGGTTATCATTCGCTTCCTTGCATGTTCTTCGTTTTCTGAGTACGCTTTCCGCAAAATATTCCGATGAACGTACCGGGGATCGAAATCTCTTACCGACTTGTGGGCGTAGCGTCGAGGGGTTCCTTCCGTTTTCGGCAATGGGGCCAAGGCTTGTGATACGCCCTGTTGCGTCGCGCGCTTGCTGGCCCTTGCTGTCATTTTTCTCGTTTCTGAAGACGAAGATGACAGGCGTGCGAGCAGCATGGATATCGGTAGCTGCCTGTCGAAGTACCGAAGACTCATTGGTAAAGCGTGTCTTCGGTTGCCACGGGGCCTCGTATACTCTCGTTCGGCTCGCGCGGAAGAACCGGCATAGATGATCGCTCTCCTCGGATGCATACCGTTGCAAATCGCACTGGGGAGCATGTTCACGAAACCGCGCCTCTCCATCACCTGTTGCTCCTGCGCGTATGCCCCTTTCCGGGAGGAGGTACGTTGGCGCTCTGAGCTGGCGGTAAAGCGTATAGGACTTTCGAGGATGATAACGCTTGGCTTTCTTCCAGTCGTTTGAGAGTTCCCTGAAATGCTCGCGCGTAAGCTGCGTAGATCGTTTCGTGAACTCGATATCAAGAACCAGCCCCTCATGTTCTCCGCCGCTCTTCTCGCTCTCCATCGGACGCCTCTGTGCCGCCGTTTCAAGGACGCGCGCATCTATAACGAAGCGAAAAACAGAAAGATTGAAAACTTGAAGAAAGCGTGATTCGATCATGATTCAGGTATGGAAAGAGGGAGAAAGGAAGCCTGTACATATGAATTGGATACAGACGTTGTGTATCGTTTCTAGAAAACCGTTTTTCATTCGTGTCGCGACTCATCTGCATTCCTTTTCGGTATTTGCATTCCAGCGGCAGCACGTCGAAACAGACACGCCGCACCGACGATCGACGATCCGGAAGCAACGTATGGAACGGATATCCCTTCATGCCGCACTTGGAATGCCCATGCACTGCATCTCAAAAACTTGCGGAAAATTTGAACATAGGGACAAAGCGAGTTGTTCCGTTTTCCATCCTATTCTGGCGTGGGACTAGCGCAGTTTCCAGAGTCGGTAGCGTCCACTGCCCAGAAGTGCTGCTCTGCCTAGACTGCAATTCATCAGCTGCGACCCATATTTCAGAGCACAATCCCTGACGGATGCTCGAATAAATACTTTATACGATTGGATATGGTACTCGAGGATACTCGTATCAGCTCGCTCTAGGGCGTGGCGTAAAAAACTTTCGGATGCCCTGTGGCTCGGCAGATATTCGCGAGTTCACTGAGGTTGCTTCTCTCGGAGCGGGTTCCCTCGCTGGTGTTCCAGAGGGCGTCTGATGAAGGGTAGACGTCTTCGTTCGGGGGATTCTCGGTGCAGGCAGACGCTCTGTGCTCGCAGGCGCGATCCAGGCTCGTTTTTCCTTGGTGTCGTTGGCAGGAGCTTGCTCTGGTGCGGCGGCATGACCTTGTCTTGAAGCGTCTGCCAAGCGAACAAGGATTTCCCCGTCAGGCGTGATGGTCTCTTCTAAAATCTTACCAGCAGCAACGCTCGCTCTCGAATGTTTCTCATTCGAGTGCACGGTTCCCTGCTCGGGGTGTCGACACGTTCCCCGGGATGGGACCAGCGCGCTCCTCTCGGTCTCGGAGAGCAGGTCATTGGCTCCAGGCGCTTCACAAGTTTGCACAGAAGCAAACTCAGATGCCAGCAGCTTTGGGTCAGTGACGGATGCATTCGCTGGAGTGTCTAATGCCGGGAAGCACGCCTCAGGCGCTTGGCGATTCCAAGTCGATCTCTCGGCGTTTTGTCCAGAAAGGCATGCCTCCTCGCATGGTCTGCTCTCGCGAGCATCTGGCCTAACGGGATGTTGTTCGTCTTCGTCGTCACTTGTAACCAGGCGTCGACGAGATCGTCGTGGACTGGCCGGCATCAGCGGCAGCGTCTCGGTCGTTGAATATCGACGCTGATCTTGCATTCCCGAAGCGCTGTCTCGACCTTGTTCTAAGCTCATCCTATCCGGTGAGGTAGGGGCACATTCTTCGCTCATTGGCTCTGTATGTCCGGGAACGTCATGTCGACAAGTGCCCGGGTGCTTTGCTTTGCCCGACGCTATGCGCTGAGATGTCGTTGCAACGATCGTCGCTGTTCGTTCCATTGGTGTTGCTCGCTGATTCTCTATGAAAAGATCCTGCGTCGTCGCGTCTGCTTTGGTACCCTTCACCACTGTTCTCGAAGCGACGCTAGCAACATCCAATGCCGAAGCGCCCGACGCAGTCGATGCACCTTTGAGGTCAGCGGGAAAGGCCCCCGTTGAGGCGCCAGGGCGCAGACGTTTTGTTTCAGGTTCTGCAACCATGCCCTCACTGGATCCGTTTCCGTTTAGACTGGAACCAACACAGACTCCGTCTGGAGAGCGTACAGCAGGTGCGCGCACAACCTCTTGTTCTTCGGTGAGGAAGCGGTACAGTGCTGTTTGGCTGCTATTGGAGGCACTACCTTTCTCGTTAGCAGCGGAAACACCAGACGGCGCAGCGTTCCGGTGCGGCTCATCAGCCTTCAACGTTTGCCCTAAGAGCAAGGCATTGGATTTAGACTTGCGCCCAGAGGCCTCAGTGAGCGCGTTCACCCCAGCACCCGCCACAACCGCGGGCAGCTCTGCTTCCGTTATCACGACACCCGGCCGCAGTACACCGTACAGACGATCCCCTGGACCGTTGTACCCGCAGTGCACCCGAAACCGGAAGCACCGTCGACTCGGGTTATCGGCATCAGCTTGTGGTTCAACAGTTGCAAACACCAGCCGCTCCGATGGTAGTTCGCGAGCATAGGCCTCGAGTGCTTGTGCGGCCTGCTGTTCGTTCAGATCGAGCGTTCCTGCGACTTGTCGAATTGTTAGTAAACCTGTTGCAGACACATCTTCGTGTAGCATACCATCAAGCGCACTTGCAGTTGACAAGATTTCATCCATGCTGCAGATCTGGACGCCTCCTCTTCGAGGACACTGCCAACCTGGCTCTCGCGGGAAACGCGTACGAGCGCTCGCGCCACTGCCACTGGGGTGCTGCGGCCGCTCCAGGCATGCCGCTCGAACCAGTGGGTCACTTTCGATACTTTATAGCCTTTGGTTCAAACGAGGGTGCCCGCTTGCGAACCATCACAAGTGCTCTACGGAGCTTGTGTGCCATTGGAGAGATAGACGCGACCTCGAACCTATACGAGACTGAGCCGCTCTATGAGGCATCCCAGCCGGTGTTCCTGAACGGTGTTGTGGCGCTGCAAACAGATCGTGAACCGTTTGAACTTCTTTCAGAACTCCAGCGCATCGAAAAAGACCATGGTCGAGAGCGCTCGACTGATACGGAAAAGCGCTTCGGGCCTCGCACCCTCGACCTGGACGTGCTGCTTGCGGAGCGGTGGCAACCGAACGGCTTCCGCGGGTTACCGCCAGTCACCTCGTCGCGTTTAACGATACCGCACCCGAGAATAAAAGAGCGCTCATTTGTTTTGCGGCCATTGAAGGATCTGGGTATAAGCGTTAGGGACGCGAGACCACTACCTGGTCGAGTGCAGCAGGTGTTGGTGACAGCCAACGAGATGGTGTTGCCGGTGCGACGCTGTGCAGCCGGGATGCCGCACGTGATGGGCATCCTCAACGTCACACCGGATAGCTTCAGTGACGGTCACCCAGACAACTTGTCGATGGAGAAAGCGCTGCGTACTGCGGAGCGCCTGGTGCGACACGGAGCCCGTTTGTTGGATGTTGGTGGACAGAGCACGCGTCCGGGTGCTGTTCGCATCTCGCCTGCTGAGGAGGCGGCTCGTATTTTGCCGGTTCTCAAGGCACTGCGGGCGCGATTCCCTGCTCAAAAAGGTATCTGGATATCGGTGGACACATTTTATGCCTCAGTTGCGAAGCTAGCGATTGAGCACGGTGCTGACTGCATCAACGATGTAAGCAGCGGCCGGCTGGATCCGGGAATGTTGCCTTTCCTGGCCGAGGCTCATGTTCCAGCCATATTCATGCACATGCGAGGCAACCCGCAAACCATGATGGATCATGCTAACTATCCGGAGGGTGAAGTTGTTGATGTGGTTGCTTCCGAGTTAGCGGAGCGACTTGATGCAGCTCAGCGAGCAGGCATCTACCGGTTTAACCTTATTGCCGATCCGGGTCTGGGCTTTGCGAAGCACAGCAACCATAATATAGCGCTGTTGAGAGGCTTGGAAAGATTTCGTGAGCTTCTGAGTCGAGGCCGAGGTGAGTGGCCCATGCTTTTAGGCGTCTCCCGGAAGCGATTTCTGGAGCAGTTCGCGGCTCGTTCGGCAACATTGCCCGATGCCGCCGCAACCACATCAGGGAAAGAGGCGCAAAAAGACAACTCCGTGCCGCTGGACGCCGCAGCTCGCGACTTTGCCACGGCTGGGGCTGTTACCTGGGCCGCCCTGCACGATGTCGATATCGTGCGCGTCCATGAACCTGCCGTCTGCGACGCTGCGCGCTGTTTTCTGTACTTGCAACGAGATGCGGCTTCCCGCAGTGCAGCCGCTTCCACAGAAAATGAAACGTGTGCTCCGTACTGAGCGCCCTGTATGAAAAGATTACAGAGGATGCAAGCCGGCGAAAAACGGCACCCGTTCCGAATCAAGTAAGCTTCCTGGCAGACGAGGCTCCTGCAGCTGTTGCAAGGCGCCGTGGAGCTCCCGATTCTCGTGCCCAGTGCCGCACGTGGCATCCTCCGGGCAAACTTCTATGTTCTTATCAAACGAAATGCATGGGAGGATGCTTGAAGAGCGCCGAATCTCAGAGCACCGGCGTTGCCTCTGCACGAATATGAAAAATGCGTGTTGGCACGTGTACCAGAGGTAGCGTTGCGAGACCAAAGTCCGTTTGTATCTCGCTTGAACCTGTTCACCACGAGTTTCTCGGCATCGAGAAACTTCCAAGAGTACGATAGACGACAACCACTGGCGCGGAAACATGCTGAAACGCAGTCACCACAAACGGCATGGTGCCAGTGCGTCGGCGGCATCAGTCGGCACAACCCAATCCCTGACGCTAAGTCGCAGTAAGCGGCGTTGTTAGATTGCTCACCTCTTCAAAGTTGCTTGTGGAGCAAAACCGGTTCGAGAAGCGTTCTCGTACGCGCCTCGGGGCACGCGTGCATCGATGTATAGATCTTTGGAAACCCACCGTGCTACTGCGGTGCACGGAAACGCAGAGGATACCGAGAAGCTTCCCGCCCTGGACCATGGGCGAAACGCTGGCGCGAAGGGCGAATGCCCCCAACGTCTACGCTCTTCCGATCAATGGTGATGAATCACATTTAGCACTGAGCTTCGTGTTCAAAGTATGGCTGGTCCTCGTGTGGCATTCGAGGACTTACTGCCGAGCTGAAGTAGTAGAAGCCAGGATAGTCGGCGAGATTAGAGCACCGCTCCGTGTAGAGATCGGCGAAGAAGCTGACCTGGTGCGCGAAGAGCGTCGTTCGATGTGCCGATCGAAACAAACCACCAAAGTGCGGATTAAAAGCATCCTCAATGGACTCTCGGACCTTTTGGAGCTCAGCCTGCAGGATTCCTTCTTCATCGGGTCGTTGGCGAGCGGAGGCATCCAAGCCCCGAAACATCTCCGCTCGCAAAAACTCCAAAGCGCCCAGTCGGTCGAGAAGCCCTCGCGCTCGAGCCAGAGCACCGATCTCTGCACTGAGTTCGGGGACAACCAGCAACGTACGCCAGTGATGCGTCTTCCGCGCGACCAAGACGTCTGCGTAGATGTGGTCACCGACGTAGAGAACAGTGCTTCCTCGAGAGATTCCTGCGAGCTCGTGAAAGGCGCTAATGGATCCACCTTTGAAGACTCTACCCCGCAGCGGCCGAGCACTCAGTTGGTCAGTGCGCACCTCGTATAACATGGACCTTCCGCTTTTGGTGTCGATTTCCCGCAGAGCTGTACCCGAACGAAAGAAGAGCGGCTTTTGAGCCCCCACGATGCAAAAGTCGAACGCTTCTCGCCAGCCGGCGTTGGGTTCCGCCCCGTTCGCAAACCGCCCTAGTATGAACCTGAGCACTGCATCCGTGTACCAGTATTCGGAATTCGTGAGCAGGAACAGCTGTTTCCCGGCATGTCTAAGCAAACGCAACATTCGATGGATAGCATCATCGTTTGGTAGATAGTCTGCGAGCCGGGCAAGGGTCTCGTTTTTCAGGATGCCGTGGTCGTGGATTCGATCCGCTGCAGCTCGAACATCCTGCCATAAGTTGAAAAAGCTCAGGCGGCCGTGGTCACCATCACCGAAACGAGCACCTTCTGCAGATTCCTCTGCGGACTGATCGAAGTACTCCACGAGATCAGCGTACAGGTTGGCGATCGGCAGATGGTACAGCGTGTCCATGCTCTGGAACTCCTCCCCGACCTGAGCAGAAGCGATGTTTCCCGCTGGATAGGCAGCATCGACTTGTTCCGCGGTTAAGCGTCGGCGACCGTGAACGGCGCGCAGAATGACACCGTAAGCATCGCACTTGACAAAGTTTCCACGAAGAGCATCCACCAAAAGACCCCGAATGAGAAAACCCTCGTCAAAACGCCATTCCAAGATGCACTCTGGGTAACAAAACTGCTCGACCAGTTCGCGACATATAAGGTTGTACTGGAGCTGATCAAATGCAGGTCGCAGGTACGCTGCGAGCGTATAGTCCATATCGAAGCCGATGTGTGTAATGTGGTCCAAGTTCACGTCGCGGTTTGAGTAGACGCGTTGCGCTGCTGCGCGGCGAAACTTGCGAACGGCACCCTGTGCCTTCCAGGAACGAATATCGTCCGCTGTAATGACCCGCACGAGATCTGACGCACGCTCTCCTCCAGCCAAGTGGTTCAGAACGCTTTTGGGGCTCATAGGGCTCCGCGTTGCACCACCACCAGGTAAGGTTGCTCTCGACGTTTCGTCTGAGGGTTCCCCCGACGCTGACATGTTTCAGGCTTGCTCGTGTGACCTGCTGGTGCACACCTAGCGTCGCGTTAACTCGTCCCTATGAGAGAAGCGCAAACAAACACTCAAAATTGAGACACGAAGCGACAGGGTGCCAGAAAGCTACGGAACACACCGCGGTTCGTGGAGCGTATCTCCGGGCGCGCTCGGGCGACACGCGGGGATACGCGACGGTCGTGCAAAATGAATATCCACTCACAGACGCCTCGGGGTCTTTCTTTTTTTGACCAGCCCCCTGCTATCGGTATCAGCTTCTCCTTGTAAACCTTGAGCCTGAGAGGTATTCCAATAAAGTTCGATGTCGTCAGCTCCTCAGGTCTCGTCTGCAGCACCGCACATTGTCTGATATTGATAGCAGCGTTAAAGTACTGCTGTACGAACTCCGCGCGCTTCGTACCGCTGCTTGATCTCACCGTGGCGGGGGTTCCTCGAACTCGTGCCTTTTGTTCCATTTGGCGCTTTGTCGGCTCTCTGTACTTCCGATCGGCGAAGCGCTCCGCTGGCTTAGCTCCGTTTGGACCGTTTGGAGAGGGCACCCCAGCTCATCCCTTAATTTTCTAAAATGAATACACTTGTTTATGCCGCTAGGTGAAGACCTTCCTGGAGCGAGAAGGACTTGGGGAAGAAAGACGACATATGTCTCCGTGGAACCATGTGGTAAACGCTTCAGTGCTTCGCCCGCTGGTGCCATCATTACGTTGCAAGATAGAAATTACTCTTTCGATCGGGTTGAGCCATGGAGGATACGTAGTAATGAAAAGCAGCTCTACTCCCCGGTAGAATCGGCAAAAACTCGATGGTTAGGGGAATGGTCAATGGCCATGTTCTGTAATTGAAGGTCGTCACCAGATGTCATGGGAAACGACTTCAGTGCTTCGAAGAAGTCGGGGCTGTTGTACGAGCCTTCGCTACGAGCGAAACGGATGCCGCCAAATGAATCCATTGTAGCTAGAACAGATGATGATGTTGTCGTTGTCTTCAAGTTCGATTGCACATACAACGTGCTCCCTTTTCTGCGAGTACCCATATACGCTCCCGAGGTTGCGTCCGAAGGAAATCTCATCGACTGAAAAAACAAACCGATATCCTTTGCCTCAAAGTAATCGCGACGTTCCAGGAACGCTGTCGATTCGATTTCGTTGCCAGAGAGCCGTGACTGAAATCCGACTTGTTTACGAACTGTATCCCAGTGAATTCAGGGTCACACGAAGCAGCTGTTCAGAAACAGAGATGGCCATTGCGGCTGCAAGCTTCCCTTTTGCCGTCCGTAAGGTGCTCAACGGGTCGTTTTGTACCATGGACCGCAAGCAGTCTTTGAGCATATCGGTTTCCGGCACCGAGCGCATGTACTTCTTCGTCTCAGTGTTACTCAACCATCAGCGTCCCGTTGTATACTTGACCTCAATGCGGAATGCAGTCCTCCATGCACTGTTCAGTCAAGAATCTAGGTCGTCCACGATTTATACGGATACATTGCATCGTGATTTCGACTTTCTCCTACACACTGCCAAAAAAAGCATTCGATTACACGCAGCTGGAATGGAACAAAACTGAGCTGAAGTTTTTGTAACGACGCCAGTACTTCATTGGAACGCTGACAAAAAAGCATTCTTCCTTTGGTCAGAACGGTACTTGTGGTGCGGGTGTACGGGCATCACCCGCTATTTTAGGTTGCATGCTTTCGCTCAAAAATAAACGCTATACCAGGAAAAGCAACACATATGACCAGCCTTGCATCGTCAGAAACGCTCGCAACAGACATTTTGCGTGTGTCGGGCGCCTCGTTTGATACGCACCGTTGACTCGAACTCGAGCCTGCTCTTGATGATTGCCTTTGACACGAAGTCCCGAGTGTCCCAGTGATGGGCAAGGTGCGTAGAAACGGTGCACGCTCCGTCTAGGCGAGTAGATGCTCGTGCGTAGTCACGGCATTGCAGACCGGATGTCGTTGAGCAGGTTCCTCTCAGGACCGAGAACGACACGCCTGCTTGGCGGAAAATGCTTTCACAGACTGTTGACGATGTCACAGCGGAATCCAGCTCCGACCGATATAGATACATGATCGCTCCTAGAACGGGAGCAGAGGCATGAACCGAGACTGCTCGTGATCTCGTTCTGTTTTCAAGTGCGTGCCACCCCGTTCGCCCGAGGTTTCCTATCTCCATCTCGCTGCCTAACTTGCTGCAGTTGGCGACCTCGTCCCACTATCTATTATCATGAGACCTCTACCTATCATCCAAGCGGTATTCCCATTTCTCCATGAGAGCGTCGCCTTTAGCGGACAGCGTCGCCATGAACGATTGTTCCAGAATTACTTGCGTCCTCTTTACGATTGCATATCCATGTTCATCAGGCACCACCACCACCACCACCACCACCACCACCACCATAATACAGAGCGCGCTCAACGTTTGGATCCCGTGTCGGTTGTTTTGGCGGTTCGGACAGCTCCTTTCGATCCAGTACCTACGATGCTGCGCATCATTTGGTGGTGCTCGATCAACCACTCGTTAGAATGCTCCGCGGCTGCAGCTGTTTCTCCAGACCTGCTCCTTGCGTCATTCCGCGGCGGTAGTCTGGACCTTCGCATTTTCTGCATTTGTTGCTTCAGCACTTGAATAACCTTGCGATTCAGCGGCGTATCGACGCTAATCAGGATTGCAACCAGCATGACTACTGTGCTTGCGACGACGGCGAGGATTGTGAACAGCAAACGATACTCCCGCCCGGATTCGGCTGGGGTTATTTCAACAACGCCATCCAGCACTTTGATGCTATACCCGAGCATCGAGTTGCGATCCAGGAAAGCCGCAATCGATCCCTCCGGTTGCGTGGACACCAGTGAGGCGAGCTGCTCTGGGCGGAACCCCAGTTCGATTAAGAGCTCCCGATTTTTCCACTGTCGTTCGAGGAAAACCGTCAAGCGGAGGATGCAAGGTCCGGGCGGGAATGCAGCATGCACGGCCAGTGGATAGACGAAGGAGAGCTCTTGTCCTCGGGTTAGCGTTCGATTCACCAGCAAGAACGACATGTTTTGGAGATGCGCTGACGGGTTTTGTATCGCGTGCAACGCGCCGATAGCACCAACAACCAGATAGGGTTCATGTTCCGTCACATTATCCGCACTATTTCGAGCGTCTTCAGCGTCCTGGTGTGCCACGGTTACAAGGACGTACTTCGAATCGCCCGCGGCAAGCTTCACGGCGGTTTCTGCTTCGTGTCCAGCCTTGGCGGTCGAATTGTGTTCCGCACCGCCAACGAACGCGTAAGCGTATTCTATATCTTCCGGAGCGTCAGGCGGGTCCGTAAGAGGGTGCACCTTGGAGATCAGGTGCCGCCGAACGAACTTGTCGAAGACACTGAGCACCTCAAGCGCGGTGCTCTCCGAGCTGTCGTCACTTGCTTTTTCGTCACCTCTCACGGATTTCGAGCCCAAAACGAGCAGACACCGGGTTGAAACCAGTAGCGTACATAGTACGACGGCAAGGAAAACAGTCTTCCCTCCGGATGATACCCTCATCATACAGTGTTTTCTTTAGGGTCCTTCAAACCGCACGGGGAGAAACGAAGCATTCGATGCGATCGGGCGGCCGGTGGCGGGACGTCGCTCCGATGCTCCTCGTCACCGCTGCGTCACCGTTCGCTCCGCTGAACGCAAACTTTGAGGCGAAGATCAGACACTGCTGTCTTCCTTGAATCGGTTTCGCTGCATAGCCGCGTATCCGAAGCTGCTGGAAACGGTGCGTGCAAGCTTCGCGCTTTGAAGCTGTGCTCCCGGGAAGGACAGGGGCCCTCAAGCGTTCTTGAGAGACGAGGTTCTCCGTCCGAGCCACAGGGGCTCGCACTTGAACGGAGTCTTCCGCTGTCACGGTCTCGTAGGGTTTCAACCGGGCCGCAGTTGCTGCTGTGGCTCTAAGGTGAACGAAGCGATCAGCTGGCACGTTATCATACTCGTTCGTTTGCGCTGCTCTTGCTGTTTCTCAACGACTCTGGAGACCCTGACGTCTGAGGCGTCCCGAAAGCGTTTCGAGTGCGCCCCAGTGGACGCAGCGTGCACGTGCGTGCTGCACTTGACTAGCCAAGTGTGCCTATGGCGGACCTGGTTCGAGAGCGCCTCGCTCCGGTGTCAACCTACCGAGATCGTCAGTACGTTGGCACATATGAACAGCGCGAGGAACAGCTGCTGAAAACGCAAACAGTATACGTGGGAAACTTGTCCGTTTACACGACGGAGGAACAGATATATCAAGTTTTTGGCATGGCTGGTGAGGTCAAGCGTGTGGTCATGGGTCTCGATCGTTTCAAGCTGACACCATGTGGGTTCTGTTTTGTGGAATTCATGTCCCGAGAGGGCGCTGAATACGCCGTAGAGTTGCTGAATCGCAGCACGCTGGATGACCAGATCATCAAAGTGGACTTTGACGTCGGCTTTCAAGAGGGCCGCCAATGGGGTCGCGGCATAAGCGGCGGCCAGCGGGCTCAGGATCGGCAGGAAAAACGCGTCGCGCGCAAGTACCGATGAAAGAATCGCTTTGGATACGCGTCGCCCGCGAAAAGCCAAGCCAAGCGAAGCGAAGCCAACGCAGTCTTTCCATGAGACCTTCAGATCAAGAATCGCTGTGCGCCCGGAGCAGGGCGGTCACATGGTGTCGTTCGATATCGGGTAGCGAATGGGAGAGGCCTTTTGTGCGCTCCCTACCATAGATCGACTTGTTCTATGCGGCGTCGTGAAGTGAACTGCCTCTGTTCAAGCAACTGCAGTGCTTGGCATAGATGTCTGTAGGAGAAAAGGCTTTTTGGTAATGGCGATGGTCCCCAGGGGCATCCCTTCTGCATGTTGTGTGAATCCGCAGTGTCAAGGCGTTGAAACGCGACGCACGATGCCATGGTGCGCAGCCGCAGTGCTGCGGTTACACAGCGAGCTCATTCCGGTACCATGGATCGATTAGGATGTGGATGCTGCGCACGGCGACCCGCATCGGATGCGTCGACAGGGGAACAGGTCGTATGCGGGTGACTTCGACCTAAGAATGGGCGATGATCCCGTAGCCACAGTTCACGCGCATGGTGACCAGGAGGCATCGAGCTGTGGCTCCAGGTACGCTTCCCGGTGTCTCTACACAGCATCTCTGGTCCCGCAAGATTTTATCGATGGAGGCTTGTCGAGCATTTTCCATGGATGTGCGTTTCGCTCTTAACAATATTGTCATGGCGCTTGGAGCCAAAGCAAAGAACTACAAAGCGCATCAGCATGAACGATGCGATTGTCTAAACTCTGCGCAAAGTAGACCGAAAGGCATCTCGTGCCGATGCTTTCTCACGGAGTCGCATGGACGACGTTGTTCTTGATCCATCATGGATTGCAGATGCACTGTATGTAAGGCTGCTACCCATGCTCGTCTAGGAAAATGATGCGATCGACGCGCACGGCGTCAGTACGCATCCAGCAGAAGATCTGCACCGGACTGCAATAGGAACCGATCGCAAAACACGCTCTTCGGTTATGAAGGTTTTCCGGTTCGCTGTTCTCGTTGATCCGGAAACCTTGCGCGCCTTGCCTGTCGTTCCGGTAAAAGTCCGGGGTCGTACCAGACACCTTCGTTCCGAGGTGTGTTTCGGCCGCAGATTGCCTGCGAGTTCAACATGAAACCGCCACCGAAGCCAACAACACCCACATCGCGATCTCAGCTCCATCGCAAGCACCCGTCTATGCCTCAGATCCCTCCAGTACTGCGTCTCGATAAGCGGGATCCTTCAACCCATTTTCGAGCATCAATGCCGTCATTCCGATGTGTACAGAGCGCTATGCGACGCAAATGCGTGCATTCGCTACACGTGTCCACCGGCCGCGCACGCATCTCCAAAAAGTGGACCAGTACCCACTGGAGGCTGCACTGCAACATCGGATTGGGTATTCGATACCCACATCCACAAGCTAAGTGTTGATCTGTTTTTTCTTCACCCGATGTATCGAGCCAACGCCTGTCCACCAGATTCCATCGAGCGCCAGAATACTGCCCAGTGCCACATAAAGCGCCTTCTGCACATCCACGACTAGAGACATCCGCTTCCCGATGACTCAGTTCCTCTCTTCTGTGAAGAAATCGGCATGTGATTCCATACATCCTTCAACGCATGCGTTCCACAACGATGAGCGTCCATTGAGGATGCGATCCTCAGGTAGCACCGTAGCCGCGATGCCGCCGTGACGCCAAGCGCGCCGGTGCCAAAGGGCCATCGGATCGATGATCTCCAGGTTAAAAACTACGCAACAAGGTACTCGGAAGTACGTCGAACGACGGCTACTTTCAGTACGATCGATATCGAGTGCAACATCGGGGATTCCCGGTCCAAAGCAACCCGCTGATCCACGAAGCAAAAATCGGATTTTTGACGTCAATTTTCCGGGATCGTCGATGGCGCACAGCAATGCGCCGCAACGCCGCCTCGCGCACGGATGCCATGATGATGCGTGCAAGGACGACGTCGCTGCTGCTGCTGCTGCTGCTGCTGAACCGGTGCTCATGCAGACGCTTCGGGCGACTCCGCTACTCTCGCAACTTGGCGAGAGCGACGCTGAGCTCCAACAGCATGCTATCAAAGAGCTTTTACAGATCGTTGATGATTGCTGGCCCGAGATCGCGTCGCTGTTACCGCGAATCGAGGAACTCTACGAGGATCAGGGCTGGGACGAGGCCTCGCGCCAGCACTCAGCACTGCTCGCGGCAAAGGTATTGTTTCATCTGGGTGAGATAGATGAAGCGCTAATGTATGCTATGATGGCTGGAGACTTGTTTGTTGGGGACGATTCGAGTGAGTTTTCGCGAGTGCTGCGTGCACGTTGTCTGGACAAGTACGTGGCGCGGCGACAGCTCGACGGTGAGTCTGAAAACGCCTCTACCACCACCACCACCACCACCACCACAGAGGCGTATGCGGAAGATTTGGCGCCTAACGTCCTGGAAGCAGTCGTTAACCAAAGCATCTGGGCTTGCGTCGATGCTGGTGAATATAATGAAGCGCTGGGGATCGCCCTGGAAGCGCTACGTCTCGACGCCGTCAGTGCCGTACTCGGGACTGCTGCTGCTGCTGCTGCTGCTGCTGCTGCTACTCAGAGCGCTGTTTCGAGTCTACTCGAATACGCAATCGTATGCTGTCAGGAGCTCATATCGAAGCGCTGGCGCCGCGAAAAGATTCTGAGACATCTCGTGGAATGGCAAAACTCTCAACCAGAGGATCAAAGAGACGAGATGATTCTCTGTCGATGCCTGATGCTATTGCGGGATGCTAGCGGCGTGACGCAGATTCTACAGCGACAGTTACGCGAGCGAAAAGAGTCTCTGGCGTATCAGATAGCATTTGACCTCTGGGACCACGATGATCGGGCGCTTGTAGCACAGGTCCGGAACGACATCGTGGCTGCCATCGAGTCAAGAGATGCAGTGGCTGCCGCTGATCTCTCACGAACGAATGAGCACGCGATCCTTTTGAGCATTCTGAATGGCCGCATGCCTTCAGAACTCTATCTGGATTTTATGCGGCGTCGGAACTGCTTCGACAAGCGACTTTTGAAATCGTTGCTGCATCGGCTGGTAGCGCCACCATCACTAGCGCAGTCCGCGATCCTGTTCGCGTATGGGCTTGGTTTTGCAGGCACAGCGGATGACACGTTTCTCAGGGAGAATGTCGAGTGGCTCATGCGCACTGCAAACTGGACAAAGTTTTCCGCAACGGCGACGCTCGGCGTGGCGCACATTCGCAATGCCGATCAAGCGTTCGCGCTGCTTGCTCCGTACCTGTCGTCGTCGCATCAGGGGTCCATGGGCAGCTCTGCGTACTCGGAGGGAGGCGCGCTCTATGCGCTCGGACTCATTGCCGCGAGTGGTGTTGAGGCGCACAAGGTCGCCGAGTTTCGACGTTACTTGTTGGAGGCACTGCGCAACGCTGGAACGAATGAAGTAATTCAGCACGGTGCGTGTTTAGCTCTCGGTTTGTGCGCGCTTGCTGACGGAGAACGTGAGACCAACAATGTGAGTCCGTCAGAGAGCGAATCTTTCCAGGAGCTGCGCAATGTACTTTACATGGATTCGGCTTTGGCAGGTGAAGCGGCAGCCTTGGGCATGGGTATGGCACTCGTCGGTACCGGGGACGCGGGAGCGATCGAACAGATGCTCGAGTACGCTCGCGAGACGCAGCATCAGAAAATTATCCGTGGCTTGGCAATCGGTCTTGCCCTGGTGGTCTACGGCTGCGAGGAAGAGGCGGAACCCCTGATCCACCAGATGCTTGCCTCGGAGGACGGCACCATCCGATATGGAGCCGTCTTTGCTATTGGTCTAGCATACTGCGGTTCCGGGAACAATGCGGCAACGAAACGCCTATTGCATGCTGCAGTCAGCGACGTTAACGACGATGTGCGTCGCGCAGCAGTCTTGAATTTGGGTTTTATCTTCGCTCGTGATAGAGATCAGCTGCCCCAGGTCGTCAGCTTGTTGGCTGAATCCTACAACCCACACGTACGGTACGGAGCGGCGATGGCGCTCGCCATCGGATGTGCATGCTCTGGGAACCAGGACGCTGCAAAGATTCTCCAAAAGCTGAGCAACGACACGGTTGATTTCGTGAGACAGGGCGCACTCATCGCACTGGCGATGCTCTATCAGCACCACAACCAAACTCGCAGCGCGGCGTCAGCTGCACTTCGAAAACGACTAGATACCATAGCGAAAGATAAGCACGAGGAAATTTTGACGAAGTTCGGCGCGGTGCTTGCGATGGGCATTAGCGATTCAGGCGGACGCAATGCCGAAATAGCCCTGCTTTCCCGACTAACACAGAGTCTGAGGCCGACCGCAGTGGCGGGCATGGCGCTTTTCATGCAATACTGGTACTGGTATCCCATGGTGCCATTTCTGACCCTATCGCTGCGTCCAGCGGCTTGTGTTTTTGTGAATCAAGGCATGCAACTGATGCGCCTCAAACTCCAAGTTGAGGGAGATGACGAGCGCCTCGCGCAATTCACCTACGCGCCGATGTTCGAAGAGGACGACAACAAAATCGAGCGAAAACGGGAGAAAATGGTGCTCTCGGTGACGGCCAAGGCCGATCGCCTCAAGCGAATCCATCCAACATCACAGCAGCGAAACGACCAGGAAAGCGAGCACGGAACGCGGAAACCCGCCAAATCAAACGCCGCTGCACCGACGAGAGCCCCAGAACAGATGGATGTGATTGCGAACGACGTCGTCGAGGAGCCAAAAATGGTCACTGAGCAGACCGCCGGAGATGCCTCTCGAGATCACCACCCGGAGGCGAAAGCGCATACGCCGAAAGCAACGAATGCGCTGGCGCTTGCGGCCGTGTCGCTCCTGGAGAATCCCGCGCGGGTGCTGACGGCTCACGAGGGCTGGGTGTCGCTCGACGGTGACGATGCGCTTCGTTGGCGTCCTCTGCGACGCGGTGCTGGTATTGTTCTCGTGGAACGAGAGCCAGTACGTGATTCTGCATACCCTGATGCGCCCGACGGCGTTGTAGAACGCTTGCCGCCGCTCGCACCGCCCGTCGCACTGGCGAACGGTGCTCGTGGACGTGACGTATCAGGAGGTAGCGGCGCTGATGCTGGCGTCTCTGGCATTCCCGAACATCCTGTTTACGATGATGAGGATCGGGAACCTGCAACACCTGAACCATTTGAATATACAAGCAATACGGCGTCCGCAGAACAAGGCAGTAACCAGAAGCATCCTCCATCGCCGCCGAAATCTCCATCGACACACAAGAAAAACGACGATGACGACAAGGACGACGCTGCTGCAGTCTAGCATTGCGGTTCGTTTGAGACGTGAACGATGGACCCGTAAATGAACTTGTGCAATGTCCCGGGTTCGTCCAGGAGCATCTCTGAATCGACACTAGCAATCGGGGAAGCAAATGTCGTATCCCTCGAGAATGTCTGGAGCGTTCAAATGGTACCAGCTGTATTGTGGAAAGGCGTGTGCTTCAATGAGCGTCGGTGTTGTTGGGCTATATCAAATCCGTAGCATCCCTGCCTATGGTGCTCCCATGTGTCGGAACGTAACATGACGATTCCAAATTCATGCCGTCCTTGGTTCCGGTACTCGTCGAGGTCGGCATGATACCAGGGGTCTCACAGATCGCCATCTCGACGCCAATGCACATACAGAAGCCACGAAGAAAGCGTATGTATCGTGCAGCAGCAGCGGCAGCAGCAGCGGCAGCAGCATAAGAAAAAGCATCCACGCCGAACACCCGAAGGCCAACACGCGCCTCGCTGCCCAGCAAAACAACGATACCCTGCGTACAGCCAAGGTCCATGTTCGGATTCCGCAGCGCAGTGACTCGTCGCACAGCGATCCGAATGGAACCGAAGCGAAGCGTCACCACTTCAAGGACGCGAACTAGACCCTAAACCTCGCCCGACTTGGATGGAATCGCCCATGTCTCGCGCGCACTCGAGGCGTGTGCACTCACCTGAGACCGTGCACAGCCTAGTGAAGCGCCCAGTGATACCGATCGATGCAGGTGTGCTCTCGGTTCCTTGACATCCACAGATGAGCTGTCGCACAGAGACGTTGCTCGGATGGACGGCTGACGCAGGTGTGCAGTTCTTGGTAAAGGCCCGCGAGCAGAAACTGAACGCAAAGAACGCTTCTCCTGCAGTTCAATCGTTTCGCAGTGGCGATCACTGGTTTGCATGAATGGTGCAGAGCAGCGTCGCCAGGATCATCACCATCCGGGTTGACGAGCGCTCGTGCAGTGGAGAAGCTACTGCACATACCTGCTGCGTCCATCGTGTTTGAATCCTGTAAAAGCAGAGCTAATGAAAACACACGGAGATGAAAAAGCATCGCTGCGATCCCAACAACTGCAACCGATTCGACTTGAGCATGTGCGCCACGGAAAGCACGGCACCCTCGATAACACGAAGAAAGACTCGTACACACACACACACACGAGCTCTGTTGCCAGTTGATCAGCTCGTAAAGTAATAGCACACGCAAATGATGAAATAAACCGCAAGAAGCTCAATACCCTCGAGCCAGTTGCTCGTGCTGTCCCGCATCGCGTTCGCCAGCACCACCGTCGAAGCGATCAGGGCAAAGCCCCCAAACAACGGGATCTCGAGCGTCAGCGGAATACCAAGTAGCCAGGCAACCAGAACCAGCGCGGGAAACACCAGCAGACCAACCTGTACAGCTGACCCGACCGCTATCCGAACAGCAAGATCCATCTTGTTCTGCATCGCCATGGAGACTGCGCCCAGGTGCTCCGCAATGTTCCCCACCAGCGGTAAAAGGATGAAAGATACGAACGGCGGCGGGAGCGACAAAGCTGCAGCAGCCTGCTCGAGTGAACCCACCAGAGCATCCGTACAGAATGAAATCAAAAGCGTACAGAGCAGCAAGAGTACGATATTCGCCCACAGGCTCAGGTCGGGAACCTCGGTCAGCGTAGCTTGCTCCGCCGTACACGGCTGCGGACGGGTCGAACGAGCAGCTTGCCCGGCTGGGTTCCCGGCACCGACTTGCGCATCCGCAGCGTTGTTGTTCTGCAGCGAACGCATCCGTCTCACATCGGCATCTCCGTACCTGGTGTTCGCATACGCGTCATCGGGGAACGAGCTCGTGTCCATGGATTGACCCCGTTCCATTTCATGCAGCACACCTGCCGATACCGAGATCATATCAGATTCATCGCATTGCGTACCTGCACTGCACTCGAGGCGTTGAGCATCGACACCATCGCCAGCGCCAGCATCACGCCGCTCCAGCGCCTGCTCCGCACCCAAAAAGCCTAGCGCTGATGCAGAGGCGCTCAGCGGCGATGATCGCGAGCCGGGTGCTTCCACGGCCTCGGCGTGCGTTACGAGCTCAAACACGAGATACGCCACATACAACGCTAAAAGTAAAACAGATGTGCAGCGTGAAACATAAACATCCCTGGAGCTTGCGTTGTTGACGATGCTGGTCGCATTCGAGGCCGTTTCGTTGGCAACGGCCTGTCGCCGGTGCGCGTCAACCGCTTGCCGGAAAACGCTCGGGAAGAGAATGCCAATGGTTGTAATATGCAAAATGCTCATATTGGTATCGCTGAAGGTTGGTGCAAAGGTCTGCTCTCGAAAGTGAAGTCCTCCGACAAGAAAACAAAACCCGGTGACGAAGAGTTCGTTGCCGATAATCGAGCCCAGCATCGTGGCCTTCAGCACATCCGTCAGCCGATGCCGCAGCGCCGATACGGCAAAGATGAACTCGACGGCGTTCCCAAAGGTAGCGTTCAGAAGCGCACCCAAAGCTGCTGTAGAATACCAGGAAATATGTTCGGTAAAACGACCAAGAAGGATACCCAGCGGGAAAATTCCGAAAAAGTTGCTCCAGAATATGAAGCTTGGACTGAGGTTCAGCCGCGAACCCGCGAGCCCCGGCGGTACCAGCAACAGCAGCACGTTTACGCGATATCGCATCCAGGAGTACGGAAAGAAACGCTGCGGCAAGCTCGTGGTCTTGGGTGCGAGACGCTGGTGAGGCTCCCGCCGAATCGTCCAGTGCTCGGGCAGAAGCTCCAGGTGCCCGGACGCGTGACGCCCAAACCCGCTACCCCCTGAGGACGCTGCAACCAAAGGAGACCATTCATCGTGCGTAGCCTCGTCCATATGCTGTACCTGGACGTTTGTTTTCGACAGCCTGTGAGCAGCGTCTACACAGCGCAACACGACTTGCTTACATGCGGCTGACAACGAACGTTGTCGAAATAGTCGTTGTGTGTCGGACGGACGGCAGCAGCGAGCAGGGCGACGACTCCGGTGCTCGGCGCTGGCATTGCCTGTACCCTCTGTAGAGCGAAAGGTGGCGTTTCGTAGGGTGCTGGAGAAGGCTGTTTCGGGCAGACAGTTGTTTATACGTGTGTGTGTGTGCGTGCGTGTGTGTGCATCATGCAGCAATCCTCTAGCGTTCCAGTTGCAGACTCCTGGGAAGACGACGAGGTGGAGTTCGATCTCCAAGCTGGTGCCGCGATCGACAGTCGCACCCGACAACAACAACAGCAGGAGCAACTGGAACAGGCACGAAAAGCTGCAGCGGCGAAGCGATCCGACCCGGACTTTGATCCCACGCTCGTCGCAAAACTCGCTGAGCGCAAACACAAGGAACAAGAGCAGTTAGAGAGGCAGCGCATTCTGCAGGCCGAGCTTGACGCGTTGCCCGAAACCGCTCGCAAGCTCCGACTGCAAAAGTTAACTGAAGAAGCGGACCTCCAGTACGCCAGCGAGTGGCTTGGAGGATGCACCTCCAGCGCTTCGGCGACTGCGTCCGCCACACCGGTGGATAGTTTCTCGCTGGACAGCACCCAGCCGCGCACAAAGGCAGACTTCGAGCGCTTCGCACAGGCGCTGGTAGACCGGCTCTGTACGCTGCGGCGCGGTGCAAAGACTCCCAGGTCGTACATTTTGTTTCTCAAGGACGTTCTCCATGGACTTTTCGTCACCAGTGATGTTCTAAGTCTGGCCGAGGTTTGTGAGCTGGCTGACTACGTGCACGAGACCCTGAAAAGCGAGCGCGAACTACGTGAACGAAGCGGTGTCGCTTCAGGTGCTGGTGGCGGAGCTGGTAGCGCTGCAGCTGGCGCAAGCACAGCGAGCCATACCGCGCATAGTAGAGGTGCCAGAAAAGCCTCCATCAGGGTGGAGCGCGGGGATGATTTTGAGGCATTTGCCGTCAGAGGTTCCCGGCACGGAGCGAGCGCTATCGCGGAACGCTTACCAGACGATGAAGAGGATTTCATGTGAACAGGTTCGTCGGGCTATCATTGGCGTACGGAGCAGCAGGACGCAACCACACACACACACACACATACACACCGAACGCTTTCCAGTTGACATGACTCGAACTTGATCACCAATGCAATTGTGGATGTTCGTGTGTGCAACGCAGCATCGTTGTGACGGATGATGATGATGATGATGATGATGATGATGATGCAGTACGCACCGGTATCAACTGCTGGTAGTGGATGTCGCTGGTTAACGCCATCTCCTTGGATCAGAGTAGTAGTCGTTAGGTAGCTGCAGCATCCGAGTGCTTCCCGTGCGCAGCTTTTGGTGGCGGTGCTTGCACCCCAGTTCCCAGGTATACGCCGATACCCGTGCACCGAGCACGCGCTCCCAGTCATGTCAGGTATCGGTACAGCTGCATGTTCGCAGTGGCGCTCGCAACGCTGCACGTGCACAGGAACACTTCAAAGGGCATCGATGACGCGCACTGCTGCCTGCGTAAAGCTTCATTTAGGGATCTCGTTTCTCGTCGTCGCAATGTTGTATTCGCGGCAGTTACTGGTCGTGCTATCTATCCGAACGGGTGCGGAGCCTTGGTTTGTGCCTCGCGCCTTTGCACTACCAGGATTGCTTCAATCGTTCCATTTCCGCCTCGATGGTGTGTATCTCAGCGAGGTACGCTTCACAGCGGCGCCAAATGGCCGTGTCGGTCAATCCTGGCAGCTCCAGAGACGTAGAGCATCTTGTGGGTTGCCCGATGTTTTGAGGCGCGCCCCCGCTCGGCGCTGGAACAGATGCCGACGATGCGTCCAGCGTTTCGGGACTCGTGGAATCAGATAACGCGACTTGGGCTTCGAGCGATTCTATGGCATCATTCCACGCCTGCCAGGTGAGTGCGAGGCGAACCTTGCATCGCAGATACCGCAACCAGGCTATCTGCGCGAAGAATGTCGCGTCCATTCGGTGCCGCTCCAGATGAAGCACCAGCGAAAGCGCAAGGTCGTGATTCTGCAACCAAGGCCGCTGCCGCTCTGTCAACGCTGCATTCTCCTGAAGCCGTGCATTGGCTTCATGGACGGTTCCCGCTCCCATGTCCAAGGGCAACGCCTGCTCTGGACGACACACCCGGAGGACACCGATCGAACGAATCGTTCTGGTAATGATCCGAGCTGTACGGCTCGCAAATGAATCGCTATCTGCAAATGCAGGTTTTGTACGCATACATGGGGGCTTCGCGAGCGACACCTGCGCACCGGGTCCAAGCGACTTGGATGTACCGTTCAGCATCGGGTTTGCGCTGGACGACGAGGCGGGCGTCTCGGTGCTGTTCGCGGCGGCGTTCGGGTCAGCTTCGTCTTTGTGAACACCACGACCAGATGCAGTGATGTCTCCCGTGGATAACCCGTTGCCTAGCGGACTCGCAGCAGAACTTGCGCTGCCGTTCAAGCGCCAAGCCGGATTCGATCCCGCTGATGCCGTTCGCTCTGGGGCGGCTGCGGGCGTTGCTGACGGAGCGCGTCGCGGGGTCAACGTTGCAGAGCTGTCGCCATCGATCGGTCCGAATACCTCTTTCGGAATGCGATATGCATCTAACGGGTACTGGTGGCCTTGCTGCCTGTCCAGCGGATGGCGATGACGGTGATCCTCAACCGGTGCGTCGGTAGCATCGAGATCGCATTCCTCGATAATGCCCCGATCGATGAGCGCATCCGTCACCGCAACGATATCGTCCATGGGAAATACGGAACCGTTCGACTCGCTTCTGCCGGTGCGGTCGGTCGAGAGACCCAATAAAAACGCAATCGCTCGTCGTATCGTTGGCACTGTGATGAGCATCAGCAGCGGGATCGACTCTTCCTGCAGCCGTTGACGCCAAGACTCGCGCTGTGCCGCTGTGGCACAGACAACGATCCGAAGGAGTTTGATTTCTGCCCAAATCCAAGGCGGGTAATCACCATACGGTGGGGGGATGTAGCTGGCGGGTACCGCTGGCGCCGTACCCCGCCAAGCGGGCGAGATATTGGTCCCGTCACGAGCTTGCAGCTTGTAATAGGGCGCCCCGGTACCCATCGCTGGAGTCGCTGTTGACTGCACCAACGCGCCATTCACTTGCGTATCTGCGTTGTGATGAGGCACGTGAACAGGTCGCTGTTGAACACGCCTCTTGATTTCCGCAACCAGCTCCCGATAGGGATCTTCAAGATGGTGGAACGGCACGAATAGCCCCGCAATCCGTTGTGCAACTTGCACAGTGACTGCATGGTATTCCTTGGACTTGAGCTGCGCCATTCGAATGCAGTTTGCGATATCTTCAAGGCAAGCGTTGAGTGCCGGGCTCCGACACCAAAACAGGCGTGTCACGTCCTCCTCGGCTTTGATGCACTGTCGCGACGCTTCGACCGCGCTCACATAGGTGTCGAGTCTGCTGGTGATCTCGTGCCTCCACCAGACTTGAGCTTGCGTTACGACTTGGCGCAGATACGCTTCGCTGCCGTATGCTTGAATGTATTCATCGGCGTCTTTGACGTGAGACGGTAGCTGCGCGACACAGAGATGCAAACCAAAACGTTCCCCATATCGTTGATATTTGTCAAGAAACATCCCAATCGTTCGTTTGGTGGCCCGGCTGCCCGCCTCGTCCTGGTCGAGCTGCAGAATGAGCCGTGGACGCAGTCTCTTGGATGAGCGCAAGGCGTGTTCGTTTTCTATCAAGCGCACGAGTTCTACGAGCATCTCGCATTGCGCGGATGTAACACTTGTTCCAAGCGATGCGACGGCGAACCAGATACCCTCCTGGTGCAGACGGAGCACGTCGAGGTAGCCCTCGACGAGCACTACGCAGGGTCCAAAAGCATCGGCAAGACGCCAGTCGTCCGCAAACTCCTCAGGAAAGCGAACTCTTCTCAGCGTCTCCGACATGCCGAAGAGAATCCGAGCCTTTTGAAAGACCGGTGTTTCCGGCGTATTCACATACTTGGGCCCAGTGAACGCCTCCTCCTGGGTAGGTGCTGTGACTGCCCTGAGCTGAACCTTAGTGAGGTAGCTATCCGCGTCTCGCATCGCCGTGGACCCCGACGCAGTGCTGAACATCGACGAAGCCGTTCCTACCATGGATATCGAAGGTCCGGGCAAAGAAGCAGCGCCATGACCATGGCTTCCGGAGGACCCGTTCTCCGCTGGCGGTAGCACCAGAACCGCTTCCGCTGGGTCAGGTTCCCTGGACTCAAGGCGACGGCCCCCGAATCCAACGACTCTACCCTCTGCATCCAGGATGGGGATCATAATACGATCGCGGAAGACGTCGTAGAGGCCCTGCGAAGGCGTCCTGATCCCGAGCTTCTCCTTGTCTTGTGGCAGTGGTCGCACCTTGGCCAGACCTGCCAGAACAAGATCCTCTCCGGTAACTGCAAGCTCCGTCTGCTCATACAACATATAATCTACAAGCTCACGCCATCCAGCTGGTGCGTAACCGATACGGAAGGTGTCAATGGTGCGAGGTGAAAACCCTCGTCTCTCACAGAGGTACCGGAAGAGCCGTCGGGCCTCCGGAGAAAGATGCTCTGGCCTACTTTGCAGATCCTTCAGCTGACGTCGGAAAAACTTCAGTGCGAGACTGTTCATATGCAGTACTTTCTGCTGAACTGCCGACTGCATGGAAAGCTCCTTGGGTGCGATCGCGTCAACGCCAGCGTTCACGAACGGTACGTGCTGCACAGCATCTTTTGCGTGACGTGTTTCTGACGCTTGGAGCGGACTTGTTGATACGATCTCCTTGTTATCCTTGACATAGCTCAAGAGCGTTTTCGCAGCGGCGTGAAAGTCAGTTTTGTGTATGTTCATGAGGAAGCGGATCGCATCCCCACTGGCACCGCAACCGAAACAGTGAAAGTACCCGCGCTCGTCGTCCACTAACATGCTCGCAGTCCGCTCGTCGTGAAACGGGCAAAGACACATATAGCGGTTGGGTCCGCTTGGTCGTGAAGACCGCACGTGCGGCTGCACCAAGTCGAAGAGGCTGACTCGCTTTTTCGCCTGTTGCACGGACTCGCGGTCAATTCTACTGCAGGCTACCAGTGCACGCCGAAAGCCCCCGCGTCCACCCCTCCGAAGTCGCGCGGAAACGGAAAGACCGTGCTGAGCTTTGGTGGTCGCGATGAGGCGTTCGCAGACGCTCTGCGGGGCAAACGCTGGTGCCTGCAACGGCACACCGTTTCGCGGGTAGGAACGGCGTTTCCCCAAAGTCGCTCCGTCTGACATGTGGAAAAGCAGCCCCGGCAGCTTTTCGTTATCGGTATATGTTCGGAGGAGCGATCATGCACACAGAAGAGCTGGTTACCTCAACTCGGGCGTTGAAGGTTTTGCAAAAACGACGCTTGACCCGTGTTGCTCTGGGGCCGCAGCGGCACGGCGAGGCGCACAAACGCGTGGGCATATGTAGGTTAGTCCATAAATGTGCAGATTGTTCTAGATAGGACCAGGGCATTCGACACAGACTGGAATCGATACCTCGGACTCGGGGATCCTCCTGTGGTGTGGCAATGGCGCTCGGCAACTTTGTGAAGCAGCCACCCGTCCAGTCCAGATTAGACCAGTTCCGAGAACCCTGCAACAAGGCAGTACTTGGGGTATCAGGATTTGTTCAAGCGATCACAGGAGGTGCCGATTCTAGCCCGTGCTTGCTTGCGTGCTTGCTACTGCATTGAATGCTGGACGGATTGGAGAGGGCGGTACGACGCCTCGTCGGACGTTACCTCAATACGCAAGACTTTGTTATCCAGCGGCCTTACGGATGCTTAGACCGTCGCGGATGCCGTCCGGTGACAGAGCGGCAATGCTGCAGGCTAAGGCTCAATCGTGAGCCTGCAGCTCAGGATTCGCCGCTCTGGATCGACGTGAACGCTGCACCACGTCCGAACATGTCGCGCAATATGATTCGTGATCGTAAGACGCTGCACGCTCTCATACTGCCCATTGGGCATGGTAGCGATCGCCTCCAACGGTCAATACAGCTGGCAGCCGTCCGATATCACCGCTCACTAGCAGCGCTAGATTCGACAATACCGCAAGTCATGGCAAGGTCGATGACTCTGCGAAAGCACATTCCCCCACAACAGAAGAGAACCGAATAGAGGGCAAAAGGCGCATCCTCCGATTGACTGTAGCAGGGGGAAATTCCCGTCTTGTTGCAGTGATGCGTCACTGCGTCTTTCGAAAGGCCGCTGCTGTACTTGACGATATCATCGCTGCTGGGTTCGCATACGGAGGCGCTGCACCAGACCGGCCCCGACGCAGCAGCGTTTAAAGTGAGCGTTCGCTTGTGGGTATACGTGCTTTAGGGTGTGCCAGAGACGGAACGAAAGCGTTCACGAAAGACTGCGAAAGAGACACCGCATTTGCACCAACTGGGCCGTGGTGTCGAGTCTCTTCAGCAGGGTGCAGGCACACGAGCGTTGCTGGCGTTTTCAGGCCAGTCTCTCCTGTGATCGTGGTATGAATGCGAGTGACTCTCCGCCAAGTGAAGCTAGCGACTCAAACTTGTTTCAGAGAGCCTGGAGAAATACACTAGCATACGCAGTTCGAAGCCTCTGGGGCATACCGTGCTTCCGTTGGCGTTTACACGACTTTAGCTCCGAGACGGAAGCTATTCGCAAACCGCTTGCTTCAGGTGTCCCTGTCTTGTACGTGTTGTCCGTCCGAGGTTGTCGGTATTGTGAGTTTACGCGCCGACTTTTTGAGCGTGCCGTCAACATGCCAGTGTTACCGATAGAGAGTCAGCATGCCGAGAGTAGTCGTGTCTGGCTCATCGGCGACGCGTTGCACGTCGTATGGGTCGACTGTGGTCGCAGTGAAGCCGCAGAGAGGTTCTGCGAGTCCCGCAGCCCGCGAACGATACCCCTGGTGGAACTTGCACTACCGCGGTCTCCCGATGGATCGATACCCGCTGAGGGATTCTCCACAGTCGAGTTCTCTCGCGATACCTGGGACTGGAGCGTCATCGGGTTGCGGGCGTTTCTGCGCGCATGCGGAGTTCTACCGCCGCCAGGCCTGCCGCCTTGGCTCTATGAACGGTGGCGCCAGAGTCGGCGACTCGAGCAAACTGGCCAAATGGATGCACATCATCATATCGAGTAATCGCCATCGAACTCGCTCACAGTCCGATGGCATAGCTTCGACGATATGCGTCAGCGTCTCGCGGATGCATTACTGCAACCGGTATTCAAGGAACAGACATCATTTTCTGGACGGTTGCATCCCCGCACTGTTTTTCGCGTTGCAGCTCTGGTGTCAGGAACTGAAGCTTGATAGAGCTACAGGCGCTCGAGTAGAACGTGTACCTCGGGTGCGCGTTGCGGCGCTGGAAGCGCGCCCTCTGGTCCACGTAGGTCAGGAGCACGCCGTGCGGATGCGTTGCATCAGCACCACGCAGCCTAGCTGTCTATGCAAGGTGCCGCTAATGCGTTCTTCGCTCGAGGCGGCTCGTGCAAAAACGCTCCACAGGCTTCTATGAAGGGCCTGCTCGTCCCTGACGCACTGCCGCTGAGACCGATGCAACAGTGTTTCGGGCCCATTGCGCAAGCCACCGTCATTCGACTCTGTTGCAGCAAGGGACCGGTGTTCCCGCTGGCGAACCAGATTACGGACATGTGTTTCGTGCCCTATGCACGCTATCTGTTCTAAACGGGCAAAGAACCGTGGCCGTGTACGCTCGTGTTTGGTCAGGTCCTGCCACAATCCGGAGCTGGGCGGATACACCAGACCACCTGGCGTCTCCGTGCAAACCCCGATTCTTGGTGAAGCGGTTGTGTTCCCCTGTGCAGCGTTTCATGACCAGGAGCACGCCAACAGGTTCAACACCAATCCAGCGGGAACAGGGACTAGGACGAAGCCCCACACAGGTTTTTGCCCCGTTATGGGATCAGAAAATCTACCCAAAAAGAAACCCTGGACTGCGGGCATGCTGCTCAGTCAGCGGGGTAGACAACTCAAAGGATCACGTGTTGCTTTCGACATGCCCGCGTCACCGGATCCTGGTGGCCACCGAGCAAGCCCTGCACTGGTACCTCCTCGTCTCCATAGAGAAGCGCAACATCCATCGGTATTAAAGTCGAGTAACCTGTGAGAAACCTGAATCTATATACATCCATCAGTAATCAAGTCGGATACCCTGTGAGAAACCTGAATCTATATACATCCATCAGTAATCAAGTCGGATACCCTGTGAGAAACCTGAATCTATATACATCCATCAGTAATCAAGTCGGATACCCTGTGAGAAACCTGAATCTATATACATCCATCAGTAATCAAGTCGGGTACCCTGTGAGAGACCTGAATCTATATACATCCATCAGTAATCAAGTCGGATACCCTGTGAGAAACCTGAATCTATATACATCCATCAGTAATCAAGTCGGATACCCTGTGAGAGACCTGAATCTATATACATCTATTGAACACTTGTCAACAATCGAACCGGAATGCGCGTAGCCCTACGCTACACCACTGAGGCGCACAGACATTTCACGAACATTGTGGTGCGGTGCAGGCGACTCGAGTACGCTATGGCAGCGACGGGAATCGTTCGTGTTCTTGTAACGCGCCAAATTCAGGAGGAAGCGCTTGAATATGTACGGAAGCAAGTTCCGAACGTCGAGCTTCAGGTGCACCCGGACGAACACCAGTCACCAGCGCGTTCGGAGCTTGAAGCGTGGCTGGAGCGCGGCGTGGACGGCCTCGTCTGCGTGATCGGAGACGTTATCGATGAGGCTCTGCTGACACACGACACGCAGGGTCGTTTACGTGTCGTGTCTACCATGTCTGTTGGGTATAACCACATCGACGTGGAGTCGTGTCGGCAACGAGGTATCGCTGTGGGGCATACACCAGACGTGCTCACGGAAACGACGGCGGACTTGGCTGTAGGTCTGGCGATCGCGACAGCACGGCGTTTCCGAGAAGCGCTTCAGGCCGTTGAACAGCCTGGTGGCTGGAAATCTTCCTGGTCGCCAACGTGGATGTGCGGAACCGATGTGCACGGGGCGACTGTGGGCATCATAGGTCTGGGGCGCATCGGCGTCGCCGTTGCGCGGCGGTTGCACCACGGCTTCGGCTGCCGCATCCTATATCATGGTACTAGGGAGAAACCTGTGGTTGCAGCTGAGATTGGGCAGGCGCGTTTTTGTGCCGACCTGGGCGAGCTGCTCGCTGAGTCTGACTTTGTGATCCCACTCTGCCCGCTGACGCAAAAGACCCGTAACCTCATCAACGCTAGCAGTTTACGGCTCATGAAAAAATCCGCCTTTTTGATTAACGTTTCACGAGGTGAGATTGTCGACCAAGACGCCGTCTGTGACGCGCTAGAAGCCGAGGCGCTGGCTGGATACGGTACCGATGTAACGGTTCCAGAACCGATTCCCACTGATCACCGCTTGCTCAAGACCAGGGGTGTAACTGTGCTTCCACATATCGGCAGCGCTACCCTGCAGACTCGCTTGGCGATGGCTCGTCTCTGTGTCGAGAATCTGGTGGCCGGTGTCAAAGGAGACCCCTTGCCGCACCCCGTGCCGCTGCATGCCGAATAGTTTTTTCTCCGCTTGAGTGCGCAGCGAGCGATGCGCCAGTTACAAGAACAATCTCGACTGCGCTGCTGCTGCTGCTGCTTCTGGGACAAGGGGTAAGCATCCGGTGCGTTATTCGTTGCACCGCAGTCACAAATGACAAAGCGGCACGCACCGAGCAGGCACCAGCATTGCCTCTGGACGCGCAGCGAACGCGGCATTGCGGTACTGCCGTTTGACGCGGCAAGTGCTGGGATACAACATGCGCCAAAAAGCGCCGACGCGACCCCAAACGAAAGCGCGGATGCCTAGGCGAAACGACGATTGTCAATACTGTTTCTCTATCCCTTGTCGAACTGCGGCATGAAGTTTACGTTGTTATCTTGTGGCTGCCGTTTTCTGTAACGCTTTCACAAAGCGATACCGACGAGAGCGCCGGCTCGCAGGCTCAAAGCAGCCCCTATGAACAACGCAGCTTACGAGAGCGTGTCAGTAGGGATAGCGGTACGTCGAACCGCCCTCGCTTCCGCTAGTGCCGCCCATCCCAGAATCGTGTCCGTCGCCTGCCTTGTTTGTACGTCGAGTGCCTTTGAGTTCTTTTTTCTGTTCCTGTATAACCTTCCGCAGCTCTGAGCAGAGGTTTCGCGCTTCTAAAAGATGCTTCCTAGCCCGCTTGCCTGCAGCTTGATTACCTTTCTCAAAAAATTTACTCGCCTCACGCTCTATTGAGCCAAGTGCCTGACGGAGCGCTTGTAGCTTTTCCATGTGAGCTGCTCCAGAATCGCGCTTAGGCTCGAAGCGTTCGTCCACGGCGATCGTTGAGGCTTCTCGAAAAGCGTGCCCCCAACAGCGACGGCGTATGCAGCGTGCCCGCCAGGCGCAGACTGGAGATGGCGGGAAATTCGCCCTGGGCGCGGCGTGCGCGCGCACGCTCGCACCAACCGTATCCATTCGATTTTCTCTGCCTGACAGGGGTGTTTACGTGGACGATAGATCCTAGACTGCAGAACGGATATTGGCATTCGGTAAGAAGTCTTTCATGATACATGCTATGTGCAGCTTCCATGATCAATGCTTCCTCACGGATGTACGGGTTGTTTTGTACGGTCTATTATGCGCCGAGTGCCGGTCGAGCGTAGCAGCAGAAGCGCGTATTCCGCTATTTTTGTGATGCAGCTTGGATACAGAACAGTTTTGCGATACTGCTGAGGGCGTCGGCGCGAGGTATGGTTCATTCAGGACGGAATCCGGACTGTTCATTAATCTGGGAGTTTGCAATGCGGGCATACGCATAAACTGCCTCTGGCAGCGCGAGGCGACATGCACGAAGCCAACTGCGACCAGAGCGACGTCCAGAAGCAGCCTACACGCTCCGAATTCCAGCACGAACCGCGTTGTGGACCAGCAGCTGAGGTCTCTTCACAGCGCTAGGCACTGGGGCGAGCATGAAGCACCAGCCCGGCAGACTCGCCTTCTGCCGAGAAGGAAAACTTTCGACAATACGGAAAACTTTTCCCCCTTTCGCCGCTTACCGTAGAGGCGGAAGCGATCGTTTTCTCGTCGCTCTTTAGTGGCTAGTTTCGGTTCATGCTATCCACGTTAAAGTGATACCCGCTCCAAGACGCCTCCCAGCCTTTTTCTACACGCCGCCTGCGCTCGGCTTCAGTTTTTCCTTGTAAACCTCAAACCTGAAAGGTTGCCCCATGAAGTTGGATCGTCTCAGCTCCTTAGATCTCGTCTTCTGCACCACACATTTTCTGATATTGATGGCAGCACTGGAGTCTCGGTTCACGAACTCCATGCGTTCCGTGCCTCTAATTGACCTTACTAGTGCAGGGACTCCTCGAGCTCGTGCCCTATGTACCATTTGCTGCTTTGGCAGCGCTCCGTACTTTTCTATCGCCGAAGCGCTCCGCTGCCTTATCCCCAGGTCGACCTTCTGAAGAGTGCGTTCCAGCTCATCCCCTGATTTTTTGAAAACGAACGCACTTGTTTATTCCATTCGGGGAGGACCTGCCTGGAGCGAGAAGGACTTGCGCAAGAAAGACGACATGTGCCTCGGTGTCACCGTGTGCTGAACGCTTCAGCCATTCTCCCAGTCGAGCCATCACTACATTTCACGATAGAAATCACGCATTGGATGCAGTTGAACTATGAAGTGTACGGAGGATTCAAAAGCAGCTCTACCCTGATAGAATCGGCAAAATTCGAAAGCAACTGGAATGGTGGATTGCTTCAGTGTCCAATAGAGTAACGTCGCCAGGCGTCGGGGAAATTGTCTCTAAAATTTCAGCGAACTGGGTGCTGGTGTATGAGTCTTCTCGACAAGCGAAACTGAGGCCGTAAACTGAATCCACTAGGGCTGGAACAGATGATGGTGTCGTCGTCCGCTTCGCGATCGATAGCACATGCAACGGGGTCCATCTTCTCGAATACCCATATATGCTCCAATCGTTTCATCCGAAGGAAGCCTCATCGACTGAGAAAAGAAACTGAAGTTCCTATTCTTCGTACTAGACGCGACGTTCCCGGAATTCCGTTGTTGCGATTTCGGGGGAAGATTGCCGTGCATGAAACCAGACTCTTTTTTCGCGACCGCGTCCCAGCGACTTTTTTCCAGGACCACACGAACCAGCTGTTGAGGAATGGAGACGTCCATGGTCGCTACGATCGTCGCTTTTTGTTCCCATATGGTAATCAACAGATCGTTTTCTACCAGGGACTGGAAGCACGCTCTTACACTATCTGTATCTTGCGTGGAGCGCAAATTCTTGTCTCGTTCAGGGTTCCAGAACCATTTTGTAACCATCGCATGACTGACCTGACGAGGAATGCACTCCTCGTTGCACTGTCCAGTAAAGAATACATCCTACAACCAACTCATCTTCGATCTATACAGTACATTGCATCGTGAATTTGATCTCCTGCCATACACCACAGAGGAAGTCGACCAAAATTGGATTGAAAGACTGTGATCCGACACGCAATCTAGTCCTGTATATCCAGACTGATGACGAGAACGAGCCCCGTCTGGATACGCCAAGTCTTCTTGTAGCAAGGTTCTAGTTATGACCTATTCAGATGAAAGCAGGACGCCTCGCCTGATCCAGAGCGCAGTGCGCGCTAATGACACTTGTTGGTTGTCGCGATCGGCAAGCGGCACCAGCTATCGCTGGTATTCGCGAGCACTGCCCATGTGTTTGAGCTGGCGAGGAGATGCTGGGCTCGGACGTACTGGTACCCCGAAGCGAACAACAGTTGGAACCCGATCGAGCACCATCTTTTGCACCAGTGCCCTAACAGGTACAAGGTCGAGTCTCAGATGCGTCTACCGTGAACGCACAAGTCGCAGACCGTGCTTATCTACGCGAACTCAGATCCTGCAGCACGAAATAGCTGGTATCGCGTCAATTTCAATCGAGTGTGCATACCCTAGCTCAAACTCTGATGCAGGCTGCTTGTCAAACAAATGCATCAATGAGACTCGCGCGACGAAGCGCTCGTCATGCGGCTAGAGGGCGCTGCCAAGACCTGCGTTGCCGATGACGCAACCGCGACGATCGAAGGTCACCAAAAACTCGCGCTGCCTCGCTCCGACTGACAAGCTGCCGCTTCGCACGAATCTCGTCGACAGCATCATCTCCTCGAACATTCCATACATTCGCTACGTTCGGTGCAAAGCTCGGAAAGAGCGCATCCCCCGACACGGAGCTCGTGCGCGAACAGCCGAGGCCATGTACCAGACGACGCCAGTCGATACTGGGACCGGAGCACAACGCGCTAGATGTGCGCTCCAACGTGTCCATGTGCACGTTTCTCTTCATGATGCCAATCGAGGCTGAGCATCCGAGCGGATTTCAGGTTTACAAAGAGCAGACGCACCGATTCATATCGACGTGCATCGAAGAATGCGCTGTGCACCAGACAAACGAGAAAAAGTCCGACGCGCCCAAAGAAGCATCCACAGAATACCGGTTGACCGGAAAAACGCGCGTCTTGGGGCATATCGCCAGGAGACCATCGGTTGTTTCTGTTATCCAGAGCCGCTGAAACCGCAGATCGCAAATCAAAGGCCGTAGTTTTTCAGGCGGCTGACCGCAGCGTCGCCTGATCCCGTGTTTCCCAGCACAGGGCACGCAGCATGCGATATAGCGGGAACGAAGGGATGTTTTCGCAGGCTTTCAGTAACTCGTGTGCCCTGTCTAGCGAATCTCAGACAAATCGGGGAATGTGCTTCATGGAATAGTACAAGCACCAGGCGAAACGGCAGTAATCGGGAATATCCTACGCTTCCGACTGAGCGTAGCCCTATTGAATCGAAAACACAGGTGGAGCGTTTCGCTTGGCGTCGCAGTGCAGCGCCCGTTTCATGCAAGAACGTCAGTGTCGGGACGGCTCGTACTCGTCCTAATAGGACACGTACTCGTCCTGGAGAAAGCTCAGGAATGCACCTGGTATCTCGATATAGAGAAGTTTCGTCTGTGGTTACGGGGAAACCGCATCATGAAATCGGAATCAACGGAAAACCTCATAGCTGGTTTCAGGTTCCGATATGCCCGAAACGCCGCGTTTGTCGTATGCCCCGAAGAGCGAGCAGCAACAGATGCATACAGTTACCGCACGGACTAGAGCGAAAGCTCGATCACCGTCGATTGCACGCTGCATGCGACTACCTCTATGACGACTACCATTACTACTACTACTGCTGCTGCTGCTGCTGCTGCTGTAGGGACTCCTGATCCGCAATGTTCAGCAGCGTTCAAAGATGCGATAGAGCCGTTCCGTTCGCGCAACCACCGTGAGCGTACCATCCCGCCCCCAAACCGCCGGCGCATGAAAGCGTTCATGATCGCGAACAAGGATTAAAACGCGTTCGGCTGCTCCAGCTATGGCAGCTAGATCCTCGGTAGAGTGCTTTTCCATCGTGAACGCTTCTAGGTAACTCTCTGTATACAGAAGCGCCAGTGCCCGAATAACCTGCCGTATTCGAGTCTGGCGATCCGCTTCGTGCCGATAACGCACTAAGCGATCACCGAAAAGCGTCAAGCTCGAGGCTCGTGGATGAACCGCCACCGAACAATCTACCCATGGAAGGCTGTGCAGATACAGGTGGAGAGCCTGCGGCCTCGCCGACCAGCAGCTGAGACGCGTTGGACCTTCCCCGAGTTCACTCATGTGCCCTATTTCAGGACATAACGGCTCAAGACAGAGATGAATCCCGCAGTAGAAAGCGAGCTCCAATGCATATGAGTACCAACTGGAAAGAAACTCGCCGTTTGCGTCCACACTCGGGCGATTCGAGACATCGAGCTCTACGACCCAAGGAGATTGGAGCCGGACGATAGGCGTTGCTGCGGGTTGCGGCTCCAAAGCACCTACAAGCTGCTGATAATAGAGTTCCTCCAGTATCCGTGACAAATCGACCGCAACAAGCGCAGTACCGAACTGAATCAAACAGCAACGATCGTCAACAGCACCAACAAAGACGTGCTCGCGAAAGACCTCGGCAATCGCATGCGAATACCCATCGACACATTCCCTGTGGAGCGCTTCTGCGATGCGCTCTCGCGTTGTCGTCGCTTCTAACTGGAGGCAGCGGGACAGCGTGCTATCCCCGTTGTGCCCTGCTGAGCGTGCGGGCGTTGTCAATACGCGTACCCGTCCTTGTATGACCCCAGTAACGCTCTGCCATTGCTCCAGCCTGGTAGATTGAGCATCGACTCGAATTCGCTGCGACGGCGGCAGTGTACACGTAGATGATCGCTGACTAAATAGACGCTGCTTGTGCTCTGTACAAAGCTGTTCCCAGCAGTCTGCAGCGTCCAGTTGCCTTGATCCGCCATCCTGGGCGTTCGCGCAAGCGACAACTTTCCCGGTACCTGCGTCGTTCGGTGGACCCGCCATCGCTTCAGCAGCACGCTTGCGAGTGCTCCCGATGAGTGCTTCCCGCAACGACTCGAGGCTGACAGTGGCTCGGGCGGCCTCTGCGTCCGAGTCCCGTGGCAGCAACGCAGCTGTGCCAGAGCCGGCACGTACCCGAGGCGCCTGCACCGCGAAACTCCGTTGCGCGCCACTACTGATGAGTTGTTGCTCTAACGCCTGCACGATATTGGAAAAGGCAATTTGCTCATCGAGAAAACGAACTTCTTTCTTTGCCGGATGCACATTCACATCAAGAATTTCAGGGGGCACCTTCAGCTCCAGATAGCAAAACGGGTGATGCGGACCTTTCAAGTAGTACCTGGCGTACAGTTGCTCGATGGCTCTCCGGAGAGTACGACACTCGACGAGGCGCCCATTCACAAAATAGATATGCAATGGTTTCGTCTGACTCGCTCCAAGCAGACTGAAATACGCGCGCTCAAGCAAGATTTCTGCCTCCTGGACGGTACCCGCAACTGCGTGCTGCACTCGGTGAAGCACCCGGCATCCGAGTGTTCCCAACGAGGATGCCACCTTCTGTCCAAATATAGCTCGAATGTTATCCAAGTGGCTAGCATGGACAAACGTATGAAGGTCGTCGGTTTCCGCTTCCGTCGCTCGCAGAGCGCAAGTCTCGCGCTTCCGACAGCACATCGCTATTCGCCCGGAATGATAGAGTGCATAACGGGATACGATACTAAGCATCTGACGGTATTCTTCAGCGTGCGTGCGAAGAAAACTCTCATATCTAGCGGGCATGGAGCGGAACATATCCGTCACCAGGATGGTGGTACCCGGTGTCCGGGCTGCGGCCTGCACCCCAGGAGCCACCAGTTTCCCCTGCCGATAGCTCGCTCTCCAGCCGTGCTCTTCATGATGCGTCCGGGAAACTATGCAAAGTTCGCTGATGTGTGATATGGAGGCGAGCGCCTCACCCCGAAAGCCACAGGTGGCGACCTTGGCGAGATCCTCCACTGAACGCAACTTGCTCGTGGTGTGGCGTTCGCATAGCAACCGGGCGTCCTGCACTCGGATTCCACACCCGTTGTCGACAACCTCAAGACGAACGATCCCGCCACGAATTATCGACACGCTTATACGTGTCGAACCGGCGTCGATGGCGTTCTCTAAGAGCTCTTTTAGCGCTGCCGAGGGACGGGCGACCACCTCTCCAGCTGCCATGCGACTGACGACTTCTGGTCCAAGCGGCAAAATCCGCCGCGGCAGCTTCTCCTCGTCATTTGTTTGTTGGTCAACCTCCGAAGGAACCGCTGCATTAACGTCGGAGTTTATTTCCATGCAGTGAAAGCCATATCGTCGAGTGCGTACGCAAGTTGGGACGCGCTCAACGCTCCCGCGCACCACTGCCAGTGGCAGACGTCTACCGGCATATTGTGCTCACTCCGGGAAGGCGCGCTTTTTTCCTGGCGACTTGTCATTTACACGAACCCAGGGGAACTCGATTGAGCGCTTGTTCACTGAATTGGGAGAACTTTCCGGGAACTCGCCCTGGAACCGTGTCGCTTCTCAGGAACAAACTCAGTACCGCATGGTCTAGGTCGTTCGACTATGCTCGTGGGTATCATCGGACGCAGGTGTGCCGGAAAGAAAACGGTACACAGTTTACTTGTCGAGCGTTTTGGCTTTCTTCCAGCGTACCTGGAACCAGCTGAAATCGAAGCGAATCCTCAAGTACGACAGCAACCAGTCTCGCTGGTTTCTGGACAGCCTGCTTGCAACGATGAGCCGCTAGCAGCCCTGACACTGGAGGCACCGAGCGACTGCTGGCGATCGGATAGGTTTTACGTCCTGCCACCAGGATTGAGCACGAAGCAGGCCAGGGCGCTGAGGAAACGGCCGTACTTTCTCCTCCTAGCTGTAGACGCTCCTGGACTTGTTCGTTTCCGGAGATGGCAGAGCCAATGCGCATCCGAAGGCACAAACTGCATAGCATCCGCTTCCCAGAGCAGTGTCCTGGAGTTCCTTCGGCTCGATGACGCCGATTACTTTGGACAAGCTGTGACGGATGCTGGCTGGGATGCTCGTTGCGAGCACGAGGCCGTGGCGGTACCACGCCCATCGCCAGACGACCCTGATGCACTGTGGCGGGCCTTTGAGCTGAGCGACGTCCGTGTCTATAACCCCACGGACAATCGTGAGCAGCTTGCCGCAGCGTTGCAGCGTTTGCAGCTTCAGAGACCTGATTGGCTTCGTCCCGCCTGGGATACCTATTTCATGCGCATTGCGGAGCTCGCCTCGATGCGAACGAACTGTATGAAGCGGCGCGTAGGTGCGGTGATTGTGCGAGATCATCGCGTCATTGCCACGGGTTACAATGGTACACCGCGAGGTACACGGAACTGCAACGAAGGCGGCTGCCAGCGGTGTAATGGTGGAGCTCGAGCTGGCCACGCTCTTGACGTTTGTCTGTGTTTGCACGCCGAGGAGAACGCGATCATCGAGGCAGGACGGGAGCGGTGTGCAGGTTCCACGCTCTTCACCAACCTCTGTCCTTGTTTGGCGTGCACGAAGAAAATCGTACAAGCAGGCATCCGCGAGGTCGTCTACGGAGCCACGTACGCTATGGATACGCGTTCTGCGCGCCTATTTGCTGAAGCAGGTGTCCGAATGCGGCACTATCCGTGCACCTTGTCCAGGGGAAGCAGCGCACCGTTCGAGGTAACCTCCGTATCTCCCGTTGTCAGCAACCATTCGACACAATTGCAGTCCAGCGGATAGCGTACGCGACGTGACCTTGTTCTGGAGAGAGGTATTGGCTTCGGGATCCTGCACACCTGTTGGTTGACGTTTGCTGCCGAGCCGGCACCCGAAGGATACGCGAAGGAGGTCTCGGAGGTCTATGCCTCGTCGCATGCTGGAATACATCTCGAAGAGAGGCGTCTTGTGGTTTTGTTGCGAGGCAATAACATGCTGACACATCCGGAGCGAAACGCAGAGTCAACCTGCACGATCTGTCGAGTATGTATACCTGCTGAAGCGACCATGAGCAAACCAGCTATACGCCGTCGATGGTGCCGCCTGGCAACCTCAGTGCTTGGATGAGCGGCGTCGAGTTTCCGCAAGGAAGAGGGCTAGCGCGGCCAGCAGCTTCCAATGCTCTCGGCACTGTGGTGGGTCGCGCTTCCAGAGTGCACGATGGCTCAAGAGACGGGCACCAACGATACGCAGGCCGCGTAGATTTCGAGTCCAGTTAATGGCCGTCTGCCGTACTTCTTTTGCTCTGAGACTGATGAAGCGATCCAGCGTCTTCAGGAAATGCGATTCACGTTGATAGCTAGAGAGCAGACTCGCCCGCAGTGCGTACGCTTCGATACGGATTGCAACGCTGCGGGTGTCGAGGGTGTCGTGATCGCATCGTACGATGCGGCAATCGATTGACAGAGACAGCACGAGCTTTCGGTACCTCGAATGGCATCGACGGGAGAATCCGCTGCGATACCAGCTCCAAACGCGCAGTATGCGCGTCCTGTCCAGACCGGTAACAGGCTTCCTCGCAATCGACAGGTCCACAGGGCCGGAATGACGCTTCTCGGCGGTGCGGGCATCTTATTGTTGGAATAACCTCTCGAGGCGAGGTTTGACTCAAGCCAGCACATGTTCACGTATCCATCAAAAGCATGATCCAAACACGACGCTGGCTTCGTACCACTCTTTCACAAAAATAGGTTCGCTTTAGAACTTTAAGTTTAGGGGAAAAACGCGCCACTGCGTCATCCGATACTTCACTCGTCCTGATTATCCTCAGATGGAAGCTCTATGTCCTTCCCTGTTGTCGGACTAAGCAGAACACAACGACCGCCGGCTTCTTCGATCTTTCGCACCGCAGAAGATGAGAAGGCGTGCGCTTTCACTGTCAGGTTGCGCACCGTGATCTCTCCATCGCCGAGGATCTTGAACAACTTCAAATTCGTTCGATGAATGGCGCCGGTTTCAATCAGGACGTGCGGGGTTACCACTGAGCCTTCCGCACAGGTATTCAGCGCTTTCACGTTCACTGGCTGATACTCAATGCGCCGGTGGCTTGGACCCGGAGGACGCCCACGGTACTTGGGGATACGGCGATAGAGCGGCATCTGGCCACCCTCGAAGCCTGGCCGAATAGATCCACCGGAGCGCGACTTTTGCCCGCGCATACCGTATCCGCACGAGCCCCCTTGCCCTGCTGCAATACCCCGGCCCTTGCGTTTCTTCCGGTGCACACTGCCAGGTGCTGGAGCAAGGTTCCCCAACGTAAAGTTCTCGTTCGCTATTTCTTCCGGAATTTTGCCTTCTTTGTCCACAATTCGAATAGCTTGCAGCTCTCGTAGACCACTGTGCACGCTGTTGCCGGTAGCTACTCGTCGCGCGCTCGCCAGTCGCCACGACGACAGGAAGGGCGACGCACCAGCGTGCAGCATCGCTCGCCGGGTGCTTCCGACAGGACACCAGGCGGACTGAGTGCTCAGTGAGGCACGCAAGTGCTCTCCGCGACCACAAGACAGCCGAGGGAAAGTCAGGAACGCCATGGTTCCCCCGTGCACGCCACCCAGTCTGTTCTGTAGCCTCGAGCGCTGTGAACGCAGGCGTCAAAGTCGCTCCAGTACCGACGACGACGACGCTACTGCGCTATCGACAGTGTGCACCGGCCAGGGGCACGGCCGACGTCGTCGACGCACCTTGCCATCTGGACATAATTGAATATTCATGAACATTTCTGAAAAAATAGACAAAGATCCATGCATGCCCCTATTCGCGCCCTGCGCACCGCAGCGCGTCGCCACTGCGACAGGGACAGCGTCACCGCGATGCATCATGACCAATGGTGTCCTTGAATGTCCCTATTCTCGCCCGCGTGCTGCGCATCAGATGCACCATGACCAATGGTGTCCTTGAATGTCCCTATTCTCGCCCGCGTGCTGCGCATCAGATGCATCATGACCAATGGTGTCCTTGAATGTCCCTATTCTCGCCCGCGTGCTGCGCATCAGATGCACCATGACCAATGATGTCCTTGAATGTCCCTATTCTCGCCCGCGTGCCGCGTCCGTCGCCACCGGCATCCGCGCAAGGCGCTCGCGTTTCCCCCAAATGCATACTGCATCGTCTGCAAACGACGTTACAGCAGTGCTTCGTGTGCAGTGACAAGGGCCCGCGTTGCCGTAGCCATGGCGTACGCATCGAGGCCGCTTGTTTCTGTGATATCGACAAAGACAGGTGAGTCTATTGGCGAGCAAGTCAAGTTGCCACAAGTGTTTCTGGCTCCGATTCGCCCGGATGTGGTGCAGATCGTGCACACCGGCGTGGCGAAGAACGCCCGTCAGCCGTACGGTGTGAGCCGGATGGCCGGCGAGTGGGCCACTGCGCACTCCTGGGGAACAGGTAGGGCAGTCTCCCGAGCGCCTCGTGTGCACGGAGGCGGTACGCATCGATCGGGTCAAGTGAGCGGTGCGAACTTTGCACGAGGGGCTCGCATGTTCGCTCCGACTCGTATCTGGCGACGTTGGCACGTCAAAGTCAGCCGCGGCCAGCGTCGCTATGCAGTCGCCTCGGCGCTGGCGGCCAGTGCCCTACCCGCCCTGGTCATGTCGCGTGGCCATCGCATCGACTCTGTCCCTGAACTGCCGCTGGTGCTGAGTGAGGACTCCGAGTCCCTGCGCCGTACCAAGGACGCCGTCGCTCTCCTGAAAGCGATTGGTGCATATGAGGATGTCGAGCACGCAGCGAAATCGAAGAATCAACGGGCCGGTCGCGGTAAAATGCGCAATAGGCGGTACACTATGCGTCGGGGTCCTCTCATTATCTACGCGAATAGCGAGAAAGATCCCAAGTCGGGTGCACCAGACAACCTCAGTCGCGCTTTCCGTAATTTGCCTGGCGTCGAGTGCTGTCATGTGGAGCGCTTGAATCTCCTCCAGTTGGCACCAGGAGGTCATCTCGGCAGGTTCTGCATATTCACGAAGCAGGCCTTCGAGCGCCTTGATGAAATTTACGCCACCGGTAAGAGCGGCTTCAAGTTCCCTCGGGCAGTGATGACGCAGGCGGATCTCTCGCGTATCATCAACTCGGACGAGGTTCAGAGTGCGCTGCGTCCGATCCGACGGGTGCCGAGGTTGCCACGGTTGAAGCGCAACGCCTTGCGTAATCGCCGGATGATGCGCTTACTCAATCCTGCCTATGATGCTTTCATACGCAAGATGAGCGAGCGTGTACCGGACGCATCACGGCGCTTGCCAGCGTCAGAGAGAGCTCGCGTCCGAGCGATTGGAAAGCGATACATTCGCCAGTTGCTGGACACAAATCCAACCGAAGTTTAAAGTGATCAGTTGCTGCTATTCCGAGTTTGCCAACGTAGCTTGATCCAATCAGCCGACAGTTCGACAAGTGCGCTGGCACGGCGTCCGCGATACAAGTCGTGGTAGCGGGAACGCTGGGCGCGTCCGAACAATCGCTTACGACGCGCTTGTTCACTGCATCCGGCCTGAACTTGTCTAAAAAACGTATGACCTAGCAGGATAAGCGCCCGCTCATTTCGACACCATTGTTCGGTAGGATGCGCACCAGAAGTTATCGCCGGGTAGCGAGCAAGCATCCATCGGCGGCGTGCGGATCGAAACACCGGGGCGCACTACCCTGGCAGCGTCTCGGACTGCTGCTGATGCTGATGCGCCGCTGCTTGCCGCGTTTACAGCTGAGGCGATGAACATCACGAAATCGGGAGCCAAGTCGAGGGCTTGAATCCAACTTGATGTAGAATGCGCCCCGTCATCCGGTTGCGAACGCGGATCCTCGCTCAGAGCGTAAAGCCGCTCAGAGGCGCAACGTACGCAGGCATGCCTCCGTTCGTGCGTACCGGGGGAATGCTTCAGTTGCTCAGCTGGGGCGCTTGACAACGATCCCCCGTGGAATCACCACGTTCGACACTCGATTTGTCCATAGCTATGCGCAGCATTCGCACCGTCGCAGTAAAGTCGTTCGCCTCGGCCAAATCCAGGGCTGTTTTTCCGTCAAGGGTCTGCACCCAGGGCGAGGCTCCCGCAGCCAGCAGCAGCTCCACGAGATCCGCGCGATCATAGGCAGCTGCAAAATGTAACGCTGTCCAGCCCGCACGTTTTTCCTGTGCATCGATGCAGATCGGCTCTTGCGTGGGCGTCTCGAGCAGGACCCGCACGAGCTCCAGTTGTATCGCGTAGCGCTCCTCGACGCTGAGACTGTCTCGTGCCGCTCTGAGGAGCTCTTCGGCAGCTGCACGTTCATCAGCGTATCGTTCACGGGCTATTCTTTTGCGATTTCGCAGCGCAGGCGTCGCCGACGGGCCACTCGCTGAGCTGAGACGATCGAGAAACGAGCCGACCCGCATGCGATCCTCGCGAGCGACCGCAATATGTAGCGCTACAATGCCATCGTGCCGGGCAGTGTTCGGGTTGCAGCCCGGAGTTTCCAGCAGGATGCGAGCAACGGTTGCGTCTCGGTATTTCGCAGCGACCATGAGTGCTGTCCATCCGAGCTTGAATTCACCCGCGTTCAGCGGAGCATCCTTTGCGCGAGCCAGGAGCTCAATCACGCGTATGTCGGACGCATAACGAACAGCGGTGATCAGTGGGGTCCATCCCAATGCATCCTGCACCGTGGTCGGGTGACACACCGGTTCCGAGATCAAAATTTCGACACAGCGGGCTGCATCCGTTGAGTGGCGCACTGCCATCGACAAGGCAGTGCTCCCTTGATTCGTGGTCTTCTGCACCGAAGCCCGAAACTCGACAGCGATGACTCTGACTTCTGCGCTTGTTCGATAGCGCGCTGCGTACATGAGCGGTGTCCAGCCTTCCCGGTCGCTCTGGTCAACATCGGCGTGCGGCGCGCTCAGGAGCACCCGCACAATCTCGGAAACATCGGGTAGTTCACTGTACCGCAAACAGTGATGGATCGCTGCCCAGCCGTTGCTGTCGACGGCATCCACGCGGGCGCCAGCGTCGACAAGTACGCGCACTATAGGCGCATCACGGATCGAGGCTGCCAACATCAATGCCGTGGCCTCGTCTTCCGAGGTCCGTCGCTCTAGGTCTGCACCGGGCGCAGTCGCCAATAACTGCACAGTTTCTAAAACGTCATCGCACTCATTGCTTCCGGTTGCTAGCATGAGCGGCGTCCAGCCATCCGTTTTGCCATGATTCACGTCCGCGTGCCCTTCGTAGACGAGAATTCGACTGAACTCCACCGGGAGGTAGCGTGCTGCATGATGGAGCGCAGTCCACCCGGACGCATCCTGGCGATGGATATCGATGCCAGGCGTTTTGACCAAGAGACGAGTAATGCGGAGCGCCTCTTCACGATCCCGGTTGTGCCGCATCGCGCGTATGAGCGCAGTCCAGCCAGAAGCATCCGATTGTTGATTGACGTCTGCACCCGCTTCGAGCAGGAGGCGAACAACATTCACATCCCGGTATTCTGCCGCAAAACTTAGTGCAAAAAATCCCTGAGGTGTGGTGCGGCTCAGATCAATGCCTGGAGTGCGCACAAGTTCCCGAATAACTTCAAGGCTTTTGTTCTCGTAGATCGCGAGAATCAGGGCAGTCGCTCCCGACGCGTTCACCGGCTCGTTGACGTCAACACCGTTTCCCGTTGTTGTTAGGATTTTCCGGATTTGTCGCGGGTCATTCGCAAGGACAGCTTTTCCCAGAGGAGTGACATCACTCGTTTTCGTATCCTCCTGAGGTCGCTGCACTGGTTGCTCGCGCGACACAAAACAGCCCATGGAGCGCGCGGAGCTGCTGCTCGGCGTTCTGTGGCAGCGCTTTGAACCGCAACAAACCGATGGTGTTCAGAACGCGACCTGTCCTTTCCGCTTTTTCAAAAAAGAACCCGTAAGGTACCCGCAAACCTGCAAGCACGTCTAGCCGTGCCTCTCCCGTACGCTGTGCCAGGCGTCCAAAGCATCCAATCCTGGCGGGCGCAACCAGCGGCCGGGAGGCGTCGCCATCGAACCCCAATGATGCCTGTCCAATTATGGACGATTTATTCAAATATTTTCAGGATGCGCTTCGCGCACTGAACGCGCCTCCTCTTGGATGCGGGCAGGCAAGCACACTAGCAGGCAAGTAAAAACACAGAGTTGTTTCGGCTCATGGATACAAAAGCGCATTCGTGGCATAGCATTGACAGGTAAGGATGTACGGGACGCGTGTCGGATGGCAATGGAGCGCTGAACTGGCTGCCCTGTTCCGGCATGTCGATGTTTGAAACGTTATTTTGTAGATGGACAGCGTCGACATGCAGAGCGCAGCAATGACTGCATACGAACGCATGCGTATTTTGCGGATTCACGGTCGTGTATCCAGAGAGGCTCCTTCGAGACGCTGCTGCTGAAATCGGGTCCGTCATCGGAATCGAGATGATTTGCGACGCACTCGAACGATGCCGCGTAAAATGACGGACATCATGATTCAATGCATGTGCACAATTCGCCATGCTTCACATAAGCCAACGTGTAGCATGCTCCCATCATGCACGCTTCAAGCTTTCGATTTTTTCATTTGAAGGCAACTGGTTCGCGGAGCAATCGGTGGCGCCCGATTCACGACTAATCAGATAGAACCTTGTCCGTCGACGATTTGTTCGCAAGTTCATGCAGAGATTTCCTGAAACTCCTCATGCCAAATCGTCGATTCGCCTCGAAATACAAATCCTCTCCTGTTTGTTGACATCCGCGAATCGCGATTCGACGGCAGCGGAATCGTTCTCGTACGGGAAAAGCTCCATGAGACTCCCGTCGCTCTTCTTCCCATGGGATCGAGTCTCGGTCTCGGACTTGCATCATCAAATGGATCGCATGTACTGGAGCCTGCGTCACCGCTGTGCACGAAGCGGTCGTCGACGGATCGAGATTTCTCGACTTGGTCTCCAGCCTAGATTGTCCCACCGGTACATGTTTCATCATACACAGCATCGCGTTCCACCCATGCATTCTATCGAGTGGAACAGCGTAAGCTTGCACGCACAGCGGACACAGTACGCGCCCAGTGTATCACCCAGAAGTAGCCTGTGATCGTCGTCCACGACAACGGGCGCGGAAACAAATGAGAATATCTGGGAGAGCCCTCTGTACCCGTCATGCGCATGCAGCAAACGGCGAGGCAAGCGCTCACGTGCCACAGGGCTACTCTCGAACGAGCCGATTTGCTGGACACAGACGGGAACACAGCGCAGTGTCACCGCTGGGAAGCGCACACTGAGACTCGATGCAAACGACACGAGTATGGCACGCCAAGCTTTGACAGCAACTGCTGCTTCTGCATGGAAAGCGCTGACAACACCTGGACTCGTCGATATCGGGACGTTACAACTGCTGTCAACATCCTCCAACTGCTGATAACGAAGGTTTAGATATGGAACGGACCTGCATCTTCCAAGCTGGATCAGAGAGAGTGAGAGGAAAAGGAGCTTCTCTCAGATACAACACACCAAAGGCTGCTTTCGATCAAAGGCGGAAGCTGCCAAAACGTTAGCGTCCACACCCGAGTTTCTGGAACCGTTCCGTTTTACGCTGACATGGATATAACGAAAGCAGCCGCTTCAATCATAACGCTTTTCATGGAGATCTGAAGACCGGTTCGTTCTATCCCACATCACCCGCGCTCGACAAGAACACTCTCCCCGTCGATGCGTCGCAATCCTACAATACGGCGTAATCGGCCATCACGACATTGTTCTGCGCGATGAGCATGGCGATCTCCTCGGACGATACGGTCTCCTTTTCGATCAAGAGTCGTGCGAGTTTGTCCAGAAGATGCCGATTCTTTGTCAGAATCGTTTTCGCTCGTTCATAAGCCCGATCCACGAGACGCCTCACCTCGGCATCAATAAGCGCACGCGTCGCTGCAGAGCTCGGCAGGGATCTCGAACCGAGATCGCGACCAAGAAACGGGTTTCCCGACGGCTGCTCAAGCGCTACCGGACCGAGCAGTTCCGACATACCGAACTGTGTCACCATTCGGCGGGCGATATTGCTCACCTGCTGCAGATCATTGGCGGCACCCGTGGTGGCCTCCGACGGCCCGTAGATAATCTCCTCTGCGATGCGCCCGCCCAGAGCTACAGAGAGTTGGGACTCCAAGAACTGCCGCGTATACATACCAGACTCAGCGCGTACTTCATTCGGAGCGAAAAAGGTCACCCCACCAGCACTGCCACGCGGTATGATGGTCACTTTGATGGGCTGGTCATAGCCGGGCGTCAGTGCGCCGACGAGCGCATGACCTGCCTCGTGGTAGGCGACAAGCTCTTTGCGACGCTCGGACATGACAGCGTCGCGTTTCGCGGGCCCCAGCAGTACCCTGTCGATGGCGTTATCGATATCTTCATTCGAGATTTCCTTCGAATCCCGACGTGCGGCGAAGATCGCGGCCTCGTTCATGAGATTCTGGAGCGAGGCTCCGCTAAAGCCAGGCGTGCGGCGTGCCACCATTTCTAAGTCTACTCCTGCAGCCAGTGGCTTGTTCCGTGAGTGTACTTTGAGGATTTCGAGGCGACCCTTCAGATCCGGCAGGTCCACTGTAATACGTCGATCGAAGCGCCCGGGCCGCAGTAGCGCGGGATCCAGCACGTCACTGCGATTTGTCGCAGCCATCACAATAACGCCCGAGTTTCCTTCGAAGCCATCCATTTCGGTTAAAAGTTGGTTCAGGGTTTGCTCGCGCTCGTCATTGCCTCCGGCAATGCCAGCGCCACGTTGACGACCGACTGCATCTATTTCGTCGATGAAGACAATGCAGGGCGCATTCTTCTTAGCCTGTGAAAAAAGGTCACGCACGCGAGATGCACCCACGCCAACAAACATCTCAACAAACTCCGATCCGGAAATGGAGAAGAACGGGACACCAGCCTCCCCGGCTACAGCTCGTGCGAGCAGCGTCTTGCCGGTTCCGGGCGGACCCTCGAGAATGACACCGCGCGGCACTTGCGCACCAACCTCCGTGAAGGCATCCGAATTCTTCAAGAAACTGACCACTTCCTGCAGCTCAAGTTTCGCACCGTCGCAGCCAGCCACATCATTAAACGTGATACCCGTCTTCGGAACCATTTGCACTTTCGCCTGAGAACGGGTCAGTTCGAGCGGATTTCCCATACCCCCAGGACCAACCCCGCGACTGAAACGGCGCGATAGGAAGTACAGACCCCCGAACAGGAGCGCAGGGAAAATAAGCGAACGCAGAAAATCGCCGATTCCATTGTCTTGCTGTGCCGGCAGCACGATAATATCTACTTTGTGCTTGGTCAGCGTCGGCAAAAGATCTGGGTCATTCGGGAGCGCGTCCATTCGGAAACGATTCCCATCGGTATCGATAACGAGCGCACGCTGCATATCCGGAGAGAACGTCACCTTCTCGATACGATCGTGTACAATCATGTCCCAGAATTCCGAGTACCGGACGTGCACATTGCGACTGTTCATTTCCTTGGCGCCGCGTGCACTGCCCGCTGGTACCGGAGCGGTGTCTCTTTCGCCTGTCGCAGGCGCCGTGCGGTTCGCGTCAACTTTAGTTGTCGTTGTTGTTGTCGTCGTCGTCATAGGCGCTGCTTGGACTGGCAGTGGGAAACCAGAGCCGCCCTCAAAGCCGTGGAGCACGATCATAGCCGCCAAGGTCGCTGCCGCAAAGCGCTGCAGCGTCCTTGACACTTTGCTACCCTTCAAGTCAGCTTCCGACGCGATGGCCAAGAACTCCTGGCGGTAACGCCCGAGATCCGCAGTGCCGTTCACCATGTTGTCACGCATTAGTTCCTGTGCGAGACGACCAATTCTTCCCAAAGAGGACGTCATCCATACCCCGTACCCACTCTGCAGTTTGTCCTTGCTGACAACACGGCTAGGGCCCTGACGCGCCCGCGTACCTGGAAACGGCGTCTCTACCAGACGCGAACGTGCAGGCTGGAGAGCACCCCCAGCACCACAGAAGCCGTGCTTCCCCGAGAGCGTCGCGGGAAAAAAGGCAAAGGCGCAAAACATGTTATATTTGAATAGATGTAAACAGTGTACGAACGTTTCGCGTCCAAAGCGCTTTCACCGCACCAGAAAAACACCAACAACAACAACAAGTTCGCTGCCGATGGAATTCAACGATCAAGATACTTCGATGCACACGCGTCCTTTCACCAAGGTGATACGCGCAGCCAGCCGGGTCGACGCGATTGCGTGCGCGCTGGGGTGCATCGCGCAGGAACGCCTCGGGCAGCAGCGCCCCCGGATGCTGGCATCTGCGGTCGAGGCCGTCTGCGTGTGTGCGCGCGCGCACGCGCCATCTCGAGATCGGGGGAAATTGGGGGAAACTGGGGGAAATTGGGGGAATGGGGGGCGACAATCCCAGGCAGCAGCAGCAGCAGCAGTATCTGCTGTGCCTGCGGTGCTGCCCGGGACTCGTCGAAACGGATCTTTGGGCAGGCAAGTGCTCACGGCGCGCGCGCGCTAACAGCGATGGAACCTCTGGGGCTAGACACACAGAATGGGAGCATCGAGGTGACGCATACAGGGGCACCAGAGCGCCGCTCCGGCTCTATTTGGCAACGGTAGCGATAGAGGCGTGGTATCGTGCAGCGGCAGGGCTGGCGTCAACGGCACGCTCGAGTCGACGTGGCACCCTGAGCACCGCTGGATCGCTCGAGACTGGATTCCGGGGAAGCGCAGGCTGCCTGGATTCGTGAAACGAGACAGCAGATATGGCGGAGCTGGGGTCTCCTCGCTTGTCAATAGTGGTGCTCGCGAATTTGGGGATAGCTTGCTTCGCAATGCAAACTATCGTACGGAAATCGAGTGGGAACGCGTCGTACGAGCGGTGACCAGGGCGGGGCGGCGAATGCGAAACGTGCATGCATGCGAATTCTACTGCGGTATGCGATCAACAAGTCTAACCCTAACTTTTGCGGAACTCATAGGTGCGACGAGGAACCATGCAAGAAACGCCAACGAAAGGTCACCTCGTGGCGACCTGCTCCGATTTTGCGGTTTTCCACCGGCAGCGACAGCATTCTCAAACCGTACTGGCTACACCGGACGTTTGGAACAGCTCCGAGCCTTCTAACCGTATCCAGGAGTTTGATCTTGACAAACAAAAATCCTGCTGTGCCTGAATTGGCTGGTGCGCAAGCGTCGCACTGTCTCGAAGCCTGCGGGATGAACCTGCGCACATACAAAGCCCCTGAGGGAGCTGTTTGGCAAACGCCCGTCTGCGATGACTGTAACATATGACAACAATGCGACGCTGCGGTTACAGGCGCGAGGCGACATAACCGAATCCCCTGAAATGGCTTTTATGAAGATTCTCGTCTAGGATGACTGTAACCTGTGACGACTATTAGGTTCTGTAGCTATTCGCGTCAGACGGCATCACCACATGGGTGCCCTGACAATGATCACATATCCCCATACCGCTCCCGCCGCAGTGCGAACATGTCTTGCTGCTGTGTCCAAACCTTTTCACGCAGTGCGGACAGAGTACGAGACCACGACCATTGCAGGTTGTACAAGGCGTTCTGCGTGCTAGATCCGCACTTGTATACACGAGATGCGCAGAAGAGGGCGCACTTCGCTGGACAGGATGCGACAAGGCTAGGGACTCCACAGCGCCCCGCATGTATCCAGCGGCCGCATCCATCCGTTTGTCTACTGCGCTGGTCTGATCGCCAAACCCGTTGTCGCGTCCAATGCGAGCACGCCTCTCGTAACTTGCGTTTGAAGGCTCGGTCAGCACTTGCCTCTCCGCGTGTTCGAGGAGCGCCCCGGCTGCGCGGGCTTGGAGCCAAATCGCTTGCACCAGTTCATCGAGCGGCAGTGAATTCGCTTCTTTGCTAAGCGAACGCTGATGTTGCTGTTTGTTTATAGAGTCCGGGCGCTCCAGTGCTTGTGCATCCGCTGGTTGTGTTTCGCTAGAGGCGGCCTTTGATGATTTGCGGCCGCGTTCTTCCAGGGTCCGCAGCACTGACTCCCGTATTCGTGCTCGTTCCTCTTCGCTGCGCCGTCGTCCAAACATAGGGTTGCGCTCTCCCGATAGCGACGCTTGTATGCGACGACGGTGAGCGTCGCTCAGTGAGCGCCCGCGTAAGGATGCGGCGATCCGCTGGCACACCTCTGGTGGCCTTTTACGCCCGCGCAGCGCCGCGGAGATTCTCGCTCGAGTCTCGGCACGCCGTGACTGTGTCGAGCGCTGCGTCGTTGTGTCGTCAGATAGGCACAGCAACACTTGGAAGAACAGCAGTACCGTTTCGGGGTCGGGGAACCCCGTTGCCAGCAGCGCTGCGAGGCAGTTTGTGACGCTCGCTACTCCTGCATCCGTACGAGTTCCTGACGCCTTCAGCGCTTTCCCCGCACGTGCTTTATTCTTCGAGTCTCCGGCTTGCGGCTCCTGGCGGGACATGGCTGTGCGCAGAATCGAGTGGACTCTTCGGAACGAGGTCTTGCGCTTCGTTTGCAGCAGCTGCTGCTGCTGCTGCTGCACCGTGCTGACCCCTTGCTGGGCGTCACTCCGTACGGGCACAGACGCCTCCCTCCGACAAACGTAAAGCGCTTGCAGCCTAGAGCTAGCTGGTGCGTGAATGCTTCTCAAAACACGCGGCAGCAAACACCAAGCCAGCAGCTGCTCGCCGCTCCATTCTCTGCAGCACGTCTCGCGCCAGCGCGTGCCTTGTGCAGTAGAGCAGATAAAGCAAGCCACTACCGCACTGGGACGTGCATAATGGTCGGTATATCGTAGCCACACCAGCTGATGCTTCTGAGTACCGGTTAAAACCCTCCGGGTCGTGTACCCCATGCGACTAGCGATACGCTTTGTTCGCAACAAGCACGATCTCGCGCTTGCGTACCCACTGCCGCAGGTCGTGGGCTCGGGGCTTGATCTGCGCCCGTGCGCGCAACATCGGCGAAACATCTTCTGGACGTCATTGGAACAACATATACAAAGCTATTTTTGTCCTTATATGGATACAATTAGAATGTTTTGGAACGAAAATAGGGTGCCTTGGCGGCACCTCCGCCGGCGAACATCCGGGTCTCGCTCTACTGGTCATGAACATAAGCCCCTGGAGACTGTTTCTGCGAATGCTTCATTTATCCCTTGCTCTCTCCTGACCGTCCAGCTCCATTTAGCGCAGTAGAAAGATGTCGATCGCGGCGTTAGTCTCGATTTTGACGATCCTAGCTGTTGCTCATGCATTTTAGGCAGGGGCAAACGTTGCACTCTACGCTTTGCGTGCCAGTTCTGTCCTGTTTGCGCGGTGCCTCGGTAAGCCGTTCGAAGCGGTGTCACTTGGCGTCGGTCAGGTGTTCGCATAGGTCCAGCGTATCCCACCTGCGGCCAGCGTAGTCCTGTGGCGCACGAGCGCTTGCGTCATCGCTCGCTACATGCCGTTGACGGGTGCTGAAGGCTCTGCGCTCGATGCTCTCCTCGGGTTCCGGGCTCGGTGCTGTACGCTATGATCACGGTCTGCTTGGGGCGTTCCGGCGGGGAGTAAGCTGCTGGTCGCCCGCGCAAGTGCACGCTGGCCCATGCTGTGCATGTCTTGTGGAACGCGATGTTGCCCATGGCGATATCAGTAACGAAAGGGAAACCCAGGCTGGATGTTAGGCAGAGAAATTCGATTTCTCCGTGCCGAATTTGCGCAGACTGGTGATGCATGCTCTATGGGAAGTGATCGCTGCGATGGCTCAAGTCTGGGTCCGAGACCCATTTCTATGGAAACAAAAGAGATGGGATTGTCTGGAAGCGTATCCCCTGAGAGGAGTCATGCTGCCGCGGAATGCTGTATCGTTGACTGCCACAGCGAGGAGGATATGGATTTCGAACGGACTCGATTGTTTCACCTGACAAGTTCTATGAACTATCGCCATGAGCTAGTTGAGAAGTCGTCAAGTGACGACGACGACGACGTGTTTCGTTTCGCCGTCGATTTGGCGGCGCAAGTTGCCTTACCTACGAGTTACCTTGAAATGGAAAGATTGAAAACATGAGGCACGCGCGACTTGACCATGGTACGCGTCACTAGAGGAGAAGCTTGTAGACTTGTACGTATGCATTGGATGATGGTGTCAGTTTTTTAGGAATTCGTGTTTGAGAGCGTCGCGAAACACCTCGATTCCAGTGACGTAACGAGTTCGAAACGCAACTCATCGAAAAAGTCACTTCGAAAAGGCGGCCACAAATCCTAGAACAACGCACGAATCCGTAAGCTCTTATTGCTGCCCGCTACATGCCGAGGCTTTACATGTAAATAAAGCTCGGAACAAATCGCAAGACAGGAACAGAGCGAGCAGTTCAGTGTTCCATGTGAATCTGACATGAATGCAGGCAACGCATGCACAAAGGATGCCAGTTGCGATTCAGGGACATGAGCATGTATCAGCGTATATCTCATGGTTTCACCAACACAGTTCATTCACTGCATTTTGATTGCATTTCAAAGGGTACCTGAAAATCATCTGCTCGTCGTGGAGAACCCTCATTAGCGTTCGGTACTGTGGGCTTCGACTGCTGCGCACTATCGCGGTATCGACGCTGGAAAACAAGCAAGGCGCTCATTTTCGCGGGCTGCATGGCTTTCCTCTCGCAATGTCTGGACTCGTGGTTCGCTTGTACCCGACGTTTCCGTGGCCATATCCGGGCACTGGACATCGACAAGGATCGACATGCATCGTGCGATGGTCGGGTTCCAGCCTCCATGAATGCAGCTGCACTGACGGCCATGGGCGATCACAACTGGCTTGGCTGGCTGGCTGGCTGGCTGGCGGGCGGGCGGGCTGGCAGGGTGTCCACATGACGTTCTCGACCCTCAAATTTAAGTTCCGACACGCCCAGAGCTCCGTTTCCCTGCGAAATATATATGCTTCCCTGAATGCATGTAACATAGCGCTCTCAAACCGACGCCCTCAAGCGTACGGAGAAACCGCTCTGTCTCAGTACCGTGTCCGTCCGTAGCTGCGCGACAGGCGCCTTCCTCATAGATCACCGAACGATTCGAACACGGAACCCGGTTCGAACGAACTGGTAACTCCACTGTGCACGATGGGTAACGGTTCGTAATATTCGATGGCATGATGTAGAATAACGGATGTCGTTGTTTCCCTTGATACCGATAAGCGTCGACCAGTTGCGGATCCCCGGTTCGATGCACCAATTCTACGCCAAAAACAGCGTCTGCATCATGTCACGTGTGACATCCCCATAGGCGCCCCCAGGGCCACTGCCATCGGAAAAGAACGCGTATCGATCGCTCGATGCATTCGACCTGTCTGCAGGTGGCGCACCGCACGAAAGGTGGGGTTTCAGCGGCTCTCCAGTTTAGAGGACCGGAGGGCAGCGCCCTTTCCTGACGCCATGTACGGATCCATACGCGGGAGGTGCCTCTAAGCTCCGCCACTGCCTGGTTGCGGAGGCGCTGCGGCCTTTGTTGAACGCAGGCAGGGCGAAAAACGAACACACCCCATGCCTTTTACTTGCGGTGTCCGGGCGGAGTTTAGTGAGGACCGGTGTTGGCAGGGAGCTTTCGGAAGCTTTTTCTGCATGAGACACAGTGTTCACAGGGCCTCCTCGTTACTTGGATTCGTATGTGGACCGGGACTGGGCGCCAGAGCGAAACTCGAGCTGTCGAGCACGCGCTGCCTGTAAAGTTTGCCTGCTCCCCAGCAGAATCGTCTTTGGACGACCGGCTTGAGGGAGTATATGGAATTTTTCGTTTGATCCAGTATTCACACTGTCCTCCGTCTCCCATAACCAGCGAGTTGCCCCGAGTCTGCCGTGTATGACACTGGACAGAACTCGGACAAGGGTGGCATCCGAAGAGCCGCTGCGAACTTGGTAACACCAGCGCCCTACTCTATCCAGAAGCACTCGATCGCTCGTTCGGGCTCGATGACACTGGAGCCGAGTCCATTGCATCCGGGCCCGCAGCTGCGAAACTCTCGAACAGCCTCGTGGTGTTCCCATGAGAATGTTCTGCCTCGGGTTCGGTGGCACGGGTCGCTGCACGCCAGTGCCGAGGCGCCTCGCGGACCTCGAAACCGTGCGCGGGGCGATGCCTTCCAAGAGTCTCGTTTTTGCCGTCGCGAATCATGTTCGTTTTTTTTCGATGACAAAACGTTTAGATTGACCATGGTTCCCAGAATTCGGGGTGGATTATGGCTTTCGGGAAAGCATCCATCGTAAAGCACCTACCTCCAAGTTCCATTACTTATACCTTATCTCTGATATACTGGTTATTTTGAACGTCCTATTGTACGCCCAGCCTACCGTGAGCACCCACCGTAGCGCTTATTCCGCTGGTGCGAACACATCAGGGATACAGAACGAATTTGCCGTACCAGTGATGGCATCGAATCGAGGAACGCTTCCCGTGATACAGACTCAGAGTACAAAATCTTTCTGGGAGCCTGGAAGCTCTGCATACAGACCTACAGTCTGCGGCAGCGCGAAGCGATACGCAAGGAGATGATCGCGACCAGGGTGGTGCCCAAATGCAGCATACCCGCTCCTTGTCTCAGAGTAAACTGCGTTTCGAACGAGTTGCTCAGATCTCAATCAAGTAGCTACCGCTGGGGGAGCATGAAGCACTGCTGTGGCAGACACGTCCGGCTCGCGGGACATTTCGCCTATAAAACAAACTTTCGGCAATCTGGAAACCGTTTCCCCCTTTTAATGTTCACCTTAGAGGGGAGAGAAATTGTCATATCGTTGCTAGTTAGTCGTGAGTCTCTGTTCATTGTTCTACATAGTGCGCTCGAGACGCGCACCGGAGAGATCAGGCAGGCATGAGTTATGACGCGCTTGTCGCTGTTGCATGGAAACGCGATCCAAATCTTTATGATCTACCTGTAAAGTACACGTTGTACTTGCATTGAAGTCGTAGCATACTATAGTTTCAATTGAATCGTGTTTCAGCCCTCAAGTAAGAATATTCAAGTGCTTTTTCGCGGTTTATGGCAGAAGCGTTCAAATTGTGTTCTTTCTCGAAAGAAACTAAAAAAAGAAAGTTATGGAAAAGCAAGTGGAAGATCCTCGAGGGCCGGTACCGCCGGTTGCCAGAAAAAAACAAAAAACAATATGGAGTCCAGAGGAACAGGAGAGGATGAAGAAGCAAAGGCAGAAGGCTCTACTTCAAAGGCTGCAAGAAAGACGACTGCGCGACGAGATGGTGGTGAAATCCTGTCTCCTTAAACATATCAAGGATCCGTACAAACAAAAATTGCGAGAGGCCATCAGAAACCGTGTCGATTCATACTCCAGGAGTGTTCGCAAGGCTTCGCTAGGACTGATGCTTATGGCCAGGGATATATATCGCCACGTGACAGGCATCAAAACAGTCGCGGTTCCGGAAGACTTTTTCGATAAGACGTTTATTCGTCACCTGATTCTTGGCACGGGGGAAACGCCGACGAAAAATGAGGGAGTCCACGCCTCCACGAAAACTTCGCGGAATTCCGCTTCGAGGGCACACGGTACAAGGGTGACTCGGATATTTACACATATGGGGCAATGAAGTACATTACGAACCTGAAGAACCATTTGACAATGAACCTCGAACGTTTCATGATACGCCCCGTGTTTGCACTGTACCCGGGCATCTCTCGCAAAGGAACATGGGCGATTATCAATGGCATCACGATAGATCGCAAGCGTGAAGATGAGATCGAATTTGTCGACAGGAAGGCGTCATGCAGGAGCAAAAATGAAGCTTCTGTGATCCGCGCGGCTATACAAGAGCACCGTGCGGTTCTGGGGCTGGCGAGTCCAACAGACAAGATATCAGAGTTGGAAAAAGATAAGGAAAGATACTGTCGCCTCGTCCTGCGCTAAGTTGTGTTTCAGGACCGATAACTCGAACGCAAAGTAGAGATGAGGCTGAGTGAGGAAAAAAATGAAGAGTGGGAGAGACGGAAGGCTTTCCTAATGGGGAAGCGCCTCAACGCGGTTCCAATGTGCAACATCAAGCCACATTTCGTGACTATCGACTCCAGAATCCTTCGTGGCATCATGAAGGAGATCGGTCCGGAGTTCGATGTAACGAAGATAGAGTTCACTGGCGAAAACCGGGAGACGTACTGGAAGAACATCTTCGATTTCAAACGTCTCAAAGTCAACAAACAAAAGGTATTCACTGGGATGATCGATATCGATGGAGTAGCCATGTGTGTACACTATCGGCGGTTGAAGAGAGATCGTCCAGGCCCGCCCTCGGCTGCGCCCGTATTGAAGGATGAAGATGAGAAGAAGGCGGATCCTGCGACGCAAAAAGTGCATGAGAACAACGCCTTTTCGTTGGCGCGGACCCCGGGAATACGAACATCGTAACCATCGCAGTGCCCAGGCGTGCGGAAGATGGTACTGGTGGTAACTTGCGTCACAAAGAAATGCGTCTGTTGAGATTCTCGAGAGCGATATACTCTCGAGAATCGGGAATCATGAATGCAAGGAAAAAAATCGAGACGTGGAATGCTGGAATGAAGGATCACCTGGAAGCCTTGAGCGAGGTGACGAGCCGCGGAGCGGACTTTGAAGCTTTTCGGAAATTCATAGGAGTTCGTGTTGCTCACTGGGAGGCGCCATGGGAGGGGTATACCAAGCCCCGGTGGGCTCGTTTGCGTATGAATCGATACGGTGGGAAACAGCGGGCGTTCGCGAATTTTTTCAATGAGTTGAGCGCCCTGAAGGAGGACGAGAGTCAGAGGCTCGTAGTAGCGTATGGAGCAGGGCGATGGAAGACCCGAAAAAGGTGTACACCAGCTCCAACTACAAGAACGTACAAGGATTGCACACGGCGTATCGTCACGATACCTGTAGATGAGTTCCGAACGTCGTATACACACCATGAACTCGGTTGTACTCTCCAGAGCGTGGAGATGGAAAAGTGCCAACGGAGCCCTGAAGATATAAAAAAGTATGGACCGCTGACGGAAGAGCAAATGGAAAGGAGAGCGAAAGTTCCTGGACTACTCGCGTTAGTGAGTACAACCAGTGATGGCAAGAAACGGATGGAATTCGTGAATCGAGACTTTGATGCCGCTATCAATACAAGGAAATGTGCGGTGCTGGAGACGAGACCTCCAGAGTCGACAAGAATGAACTTTATTGGACAACCTCCCAAACTGGAATTATATGAGAAAAATTGGAAGAAGTAGTAGGTGGCCGCTCCAAAAAAACGGGGAGGCGTCTGCACATTGGTTCATGACGTCTAGTCTAGGGCACGTTTGCCGCCACTGCTGTACCCGGTCGGCATCGTTTGACTGTGTGGCTTTCGGTGTTCGCAGCGGCTCCAAACACCTTAATAAAAGCAACAGCTTCGATGTTTACGTGCGTTACATGTGGTCCGGTTGCGTACGGCAGCTCGTCCGTAGAACGCAACGTCGAGTACGCTGCGGTCCTGCGAGTTTTCGCTGTGTGTCGGACCAAGCCACCACAGACGTGACGCGCACCGCCCTTGTGAGCATCGAGGCCGAACTCACAGAAAACAGACAGCTTTTAACCGAATTGAGGACTGCCGAAACCCCCGAACCGGAGCTCCAGAGACTTGTTCGGGAGGAGATTCAGCGACTTGAGGCGCAACAACGGAGTCTCCTCGAACGTGCACGGCAACAACAACAGGAAGCGCCTGTGGAGTTCGCCTGGGACACTGAACCCCAGCGGCATTCAGAACTAGCTGACCAAAACCATGAAGAAGGTGATCCGCGAGAAATCCAGTCACTTTTTCTGGAAGTACAGTCAGGGGCCGGCGGTATAGAGGCGAACATTTTCGCACATGAACTCTTTAAAATGTACGAGCGCTACGCCAAGCGTCGAGGTTGGCGCTTCCAAATCCTCGATGAATGCGTAGCCCGCATCGAAGGTGCTGGTGCTTACGAGCGGCTCCGCTACGAGGCAGGCGGCGTGCGCGTGCAACGTGTACCATCAACCGAGACCCGAGGCAGACTGCATACCTCGCTCGCTTTTGTCATCATCCTCCCTGAGACCGACAATACGTACGGCACTGACGCGTCTTGGCCGAACCGCGAAGACCTGCGCATCGACCGGTTTCGCGCCAGCGGCGCTGGAGGCCAGCACGTGAATAAAACGGATAGTGCTGTGCGTGTAACACATCTGCCGACGGGGCTTCAGGTTGCGGTACAAACGACGCGTTCGCAGCATCAGAACTTGGCCCTAGCCATGCGTCTATTGCGTGCACGCCTTGCGGACGCTCAGCGCCGTGCGAAACGGGAAGCAATGGAAGCAAAAAGACGAGACCAAATAGGGTCTCGAGCGCGCCATGAACGCGTGCGAACATTTCACTTTCCACGAAACGAAGTCGTTGACCATCGGGTGAACCGGAAAGTCTCCGAATTGACCCGGATTCTCCGCGACGGTGACATCGATCTGCTACCGAGTCCAGCATCATCGGGGATTTCCCCATGAGCGAATGCACCCGTCGGTGCCGGTGTGCGCTCCTGCGGGACGCCGTGCCGACGACCAGCGCGCTCGTTTCCGCACGAGCGCGTACGCCATGTGCGTCCATGCATGCGTGAATCTCCGATGCCTTTAGGCCAGGTATGGAGGTACTGAAGCCTAATTTTCGACGCACAATCATTTGCGTGAGATGAAGAGCGCCCATTGCAGACAAAAGTCGCAGTCTGGACGATATGCGAGACAGTGCAGCCATGAACGTGTACATGTCACCGCGAACTGGATGATAAAAGACGTGTCCATGTACTTGAGCGGTCGTCTGGTGCCAGTCGACGCGGATACACGACTTCATCATCAGCAATGGATTGGCGTTGCGTTCTCCTCCGCGGCGTCGTGATGGACCACAGGGATGGTGCATCGTTTCGAGGTGTTCCGCTCCAGATACGATGCCAGCGATTTGCAGACATTCGCTATTTTACGATTTACAACTCTCCCTATGCATTCGAATCGCTCACGCCGTCTCGAGTTGCTTGATATCAATCACGAACCGATACCGCACATCAGAGCGGGTCATTCGTTCGTAGGCCTCATCGATCTGGTTCGGGCTGACCATTTCGATCTCACAGGTAATGTTGTGCTTTGCGCAAAAGTCCAGCATCTCTTGCGTTTCCTTGATGCCACCCACGAGCGATCCGAAAATCGAGCGCCGTCCAAACACGAGTGCCTGCGCTGGGACGACGTATGGCTTTGGTGGGATGCCCAAAAGACACAATTTCCCGTCACGTCGCAACAGGTTGGTCAAGACCGTAAGTTCATGCGGTGCTGAAACCGTGTCCAGAATCAGGTCGAAGGTTCCCGCTTCACGTTTCATGGTTTCTTCGTCACTGGTCAGCAGATACTGATCAGCTTTGAGGAGCTCGAGCGCGTCCTGTCGTTTCTTCTCGGAGCGGCTGAGGACCACCACTGTTGCACCCATGGCCTTGGCAAGACGCACCGCGACATGCCCCAGACCCCCGAGACCATGGATGCCCACACGCATGCCCTTCTTGACACCTACGTAATGCAGCGGCGAGTACGTGGTGATGCCTGCGCAGAGCAGCGGCGCCACTCGCGGGAGCACGTCGGGCTTGGCGAGTTTCTCCGGAATTCGCAGCACATACCGGTAGTCGACGACGATCTCCCGGGAGTAGCCACCATAAGTTGGCTCTCCTGCCTTGTCCCGCCCGTTATATGTCATCACGAGCTGCGGGCAGAACTGCACCTCGAGACCGTTCTTGCAGTTCTCACAGGCTCGGCACGAGTCAACGAAGCAGCCAACTCCGACAATATCACCCTCCTTGAACTTTCCTTTCGTCCGAGCGTTCTCTCCGGTCTGTACTACTTTGCCAACGATTTCGTGCCCAGGAACCATAGGATAGATCGATCCAGTCCACTCGTCCCGGGCCTGGTGAACGTCGCTGTGACAGATCCCACAGTACTCGATCTGAATACGTACGTCATCGGCAGTTGGCGCCCGCCGAGGACACGACCACTTTTCAAACTTTGCATCGCGGCTTTTCACAGCGTAGGCTGGCGTTGTGTATGCGGTAGTTGCTGCACCAGACATTTTCTGTATGCACTGAAGAAACTAGAATGAACAACTGGAATTCCGTTACAGAGTGATGTAGGCAAGCATCGCGGATCGCGAGGCCGTGTGCGCCCCGCTCGCCTTCTAGACGCATCCGAGTCCGATGATCGAACTCCGGATGTGCGTTGTGCGCCGCGAATTCGCGTGCGTCCAGATTCTTTTTCCGACTGAGCACGCCTTTCCACGGGTCAGCGATCATCGGCGGAGTGGACAATGCGGACACGTGAAGAAGCGTCCATCAGGCCGTTTTTTCTACGATTTTCCATTATCCATACTTCTCGGATATCCTGGTCGTTTCATAGGCCCTATTGTGTGTGCTTCGTACCTGCCGTTCCGTATCCGCCTTTGCACCTTAAATGCTAGAGCAGAAAGTTCATAGAGACAGAACGGCGTTGCTATACCACAGAGAGCGTCGGCTCGAGGCGTGCTTCACCCAACGTAGAATCGGGTCTCGTCGTCAGTTTGTGCTCGGACAGTCTGCGGATGCAGGCTTGCCTTCGCATCACCACACGCTGGAGAAACTTGGTTGTTAGGATAAATCCTGGGAGCCGCCTCTCTCCTTCGTGATCATGCATGGAATGCGTTGTTGTCGGTTGGCAATGCGGGTTTGTGCTTGACACCTACCACTGTGGGTAGGCGCAGAAAGCGCACTGGGCCCGTGTGCGCATCCGATACGCTGGACCTCATGCCTAGAAGGTAGCATGTGAGTTTGTTGGCCACTAATGAGCACTGAGGATCTGTTAGCGGACTATCAGTTGCCAGTGCTACACTCCGAGTGAGTGTCCGGCCTTCGACAATCACGGTGATGCCCAGCTGCTGCTGTCCTTCAAGGAGCTCGCTGCGCTCCTGCTTCCAGCGCGGGCACTGTAGGCCTAAATATGTCAGCGTCTCGGGGGGTCTCGTCTCGACAGCAGGGACATTGTAGTTCCCAGTGCGATTCCAGTGTTCCTATACGGCTTAGAGCCGGTGCTGCTAGCCAGAAGCCACCAACGCGGATTTTCGCGAGCCACTGGGTACCTCGAGCAAGTCCCGGGAACTCCAGCGCCTCCCACCAGTACTTGCATGAACAGGCTAGGTTGTAGTTCCGGTGTAGAGTCAAGCCGGCGTTACTGGCTCAACTGGTTCCGTGTATACGTTCCCATATTGTTGTTTGGACCGTTCGCTTCAGGTGACGGGAGAATTCTATATTTCTGGGCAACGATTGGAGCGTGTTTTCGCCTAAGAGGCGCTTCAGCCCAATCTGCGTCGATTTCATCCAAGTGTTCTTGCGGTGCGTTGGGGTCTGCATGAAAATCCGACTCAAAGAGGTGCGCATAGTGGGCCCTTTGGCCCGTATACATGCCCGGCAGCCTGCTGCTATCGCTTCTATCGAGGGTATTTGGAGTTCAAGTCCGAGTGTCAACGGGTTGGTTGCTCTGCTCTGCATTGAGCATCCAACAACAACGAGTCTCATTGCCCTGTTGGCAGCTGTCTGCGGACGCGAGGCATTTGGGTGCTTCATGCCGCACCATTCAGCACCACAGGTCGTAGGCTGGATGATACGCATCCTTAGTGCGCTGGTACGGATTGCTATGCAGATAGAGGGGTCGGATGGGACTGGGCGTGCGATCGCTGTACGTCTATGCATCTTGGCGATCATCTCGTCGACGTGTGCCTTTTCGTCGAGCGTCGGCGTTAGACCGACCCCCAGGTAGCGATATTTTTCCACGATCGGAATTTCCTGATTCTGCAACCGCCACGAGCGATTGCGAATGCGCTGCGAGTCTCCATGGATGACCATGACGCCGCACTTCGATGCTCCTACGTTCATCTTCCAGCGATCGACCCAGGCGCTGACTTGTTCCATGCTAGCCGCAAGCGTTCCCGGGGCGGGTGCCAACAGCACGACATCGTCCGCAAATAGAAGGCCTGCGAGGCGGTTCCCATGTGGGCGTTCCTCACCGGGCATCTCCACAGTCTATCCACGGCACCTCAAGTCCGTATTGTCTGCAGTTGTTCAGCAGATCGTTGATGAAGATGTTGAAAAGGAGCGGGGATGCGGGGTCGCTCTGTCGCAGTCCACGGCGGACTCTTACCGAAGGGGTTCTTCAGCCGTCGCCCAGTCGGATGCGCATCCACGAGTCTGCCTAGAGCGCACGGAAGAACGCTAAGCACTTTCCGGAGACTCCGGCGCGTTCCATCTTCAGAAATAGAGCCTCATGCGGGACCGTGTCAAAGGCCTTTTGAAAGTCGATGAAGCATACATGAGGATCGGTACGACCTCGGCAGTCCTCCGTACATCCGGGATGCACGCCTCTTCAAACATGCGTTGGATGAGCTCCACAAGGCGTTTGCCTAAGCTTGTGTCAGGTTCATCTGGTATCGATGGTGTCCCTGTTGTCCCGTCTTTTGGTATCGCCAGTTTCATCCACTCCGCAGGGATACCGTAAAAGCCAGGTGTTTTGCGGTTGCATGACCTTAAGAGGGTCCGAACAGATTCAGGCCAGAAGATTGGGTCGTTCCATTCCGGTACCGGTTCGAGGCGCGGTAGTTCTGCAGCATATTGGTGCCAGTAGTTTCGGTTTCGGCAGTGCCCAGTTGCGTCTTCATGCAGCTCTATCCCGTGGTTTATCCAGGCCTCATTCACTGAGGCACGCTCCGTCCTCAGCGCTTCCTCATAAACGATTGGTGTGAGCCCCAGGCACTTTTCTGGTGCGTCCAGTCTCGATCGGATGTAGCGCCAGGTCTCATCTTCGGTGGTGCTCTCCAGCACAGATTTCGCCAGGGAGGCGATTCTGCGGTTTCGATCCCCTCGTTTGTCTTCTCTGGAACGTTTTTTCGTTCTTTCGATAGCTTCCTCATGTTGCGCCTGTAGCGCCGGTAGCGCTGCCTTCGCTTCCTCGTCTCCGGCGTTGGCGCGTATGGCGGTGCGGTTGACGATCTTCTAGAGTCGGCGTCATTCATCAATCCGAGTTTTGGTACGTCGTTTCAGGTACTGCGGATCGCAACTGTTGCGTTCTGGTGCAAGCAGTCCCAGTTCTCTGGCGATCTTCAGCGAGCCCATCACGAGTGGTCCCCCAAAGGGTGCCCCAGCAGGAACTCAAGAAAGCTGTCACCAAACTCAGTCACCTACTCACAGCGCTGAAGATCCGAAAAGCCGTGCATGCAAATCTTGAGACCAACTGGGATGCGAGTTTGTAGATGGGAATCAGGAACCCCGCCTGTGGGCTCGTTTGGGAGATTTTCTTTCTATTCTTCTGTTTTCTTCTTGATGGTCTTCTTCTTCCTCGGGCTCTTTCCTGAGCTGCTTTCTCTGGTTATTCTTCTGGTACGTGGATCATGAGGTTTCTGTGTCTGTTCTTTCGTATCGCCTTGGGTCTCTTTCGCTATTGTAGAGACCTCTATTGGTGTCTCTTCTTCGTTAATGTACTGATGGTTCGTTATCTTTTCTCGGAGGGCTGCAAGTGACTTGTTGGTTAGGCTCTGGGCTTTGGAGTGACCTGCGATGATGATGATGATCGACGATCGGCGCGTCGCTACGCCCCATGCGCCCCTTGCACCGCTTAGGGAGCGCGTTTTGCGGGCGCGCGCTCCTCGACAAGACGATATGGCGTCCGGCGGGTATCAGCAGCGAATGTCAGG